CACCCATACACTTTAGCGCTTTTGTGTAATTATTCTCCTCCCCTAATAAAAGAACATAAAAATGGCATCTGTACCAAAAACTCAAGAGCTAAAGCATTCGACTTAAAAATATACCAGAGCTGTACTGAACTACTGTTGTACTTTAAACTACTGGACTATATTAAAAAAGTCGAACAATGGTACTCACACCAATAGGCACGTATTACTAGAGATACGATGGCCTATGGATAAGAATATAACAATGACAGGTATACCATTGTGAACCTAGTTATCCGAAAATCAGTACTTGCAGACGAAGTCTAAGAGTCAGTCATACCGACTAAAATATCGTGAAAGAATAAGTTTCCACAAAATCAACTATTTTATACACCATGGGGTATCAATCTAGTATTTTTTTCCACTTTCGGGGAAATCTCACTGAAAATAAACTATTTAATCTATAAGCGCTCAGTTCCTCGTCAGCGCCATTTCCAGTCACGTACTTATGGAAGCTACAATACTCGATTTGTTGAGATATATTGTAATCCACAACTAATCACAAATATGAGATGAATATCAAATACATTAACAGTTGATATTGTCAAACCCGCTTACCTACATTCCTATTTATTTCACTGCTTCAATTGCAATGCTACACCACACGTCTCATAAAATATCACAGGATAAGTATTTGGAGGTTAGCGTACTAGGTGGAGGTACGACGTGCATGCATAGAGGCAATGTCAAGTCTAAAATTGAAAATATTTAGTGAGCAACCGATATGCACTCTAGGATTAATGTCAAAAAAACCCCTCATAACAGCGTTAACCGAAGATATATCAATATGAGAAATTCTCACACTAACATTAGGCAAAGCATTACACTAGTCAAAAATCAGGGTTGTTCTATTGGAAAGCTGACAATAGATAGAAGAAAAGAATTAAGAATATACAATAAATTAATACAGTGACTCAGTGAACTACAAACAAGTTAAAAATTATTGAAAAGAGTCGTGTTCTACTTACATAAATATAAAATCTTAATTTGTAGTCAGTTTAGACATCTACAATCTCTGACGACTGCGGGAATCATCCAATACAAGTAGCATGTTCACTAACGTAGTTGTTTTATGATCTGCTTGGAGGGCTTTAGTTATTTGCAAAAAGAACCTTCCATCTCATTTTTTAAGCTCTCAGAAACGGCTACATGAGAGAACAGACGTAAGAAGTCAATTGAGTAGTTTTACCACCATGCAGTTCAAAATCTCAAATTGCTTTTTCGTCTCTCTCCCCGACAGTGGCGATCGTATGAGCTTCTAAGTAATATTTTCGACTTACTATCAACTTTACATATGCGCCATCTGTTCATGTTGTGTATTTTACTAACTTTATCAACTCTGATTCTACTAATCTTTGCCGGAATCACTTTTACCCAAACCGTAATAGTCGAAGATTATATCATAACTCTCCTTTTGCTTTTGAGCATATTTATCATATACATCTTTGGGCAATCCTATCTTAATAGTGTAATTATAGGCTGCTGACGTGACCATGTAAAATGGTGAAATAAGAAATAACGGTATAGATTCAAACAATCCCATTTTCAAACCAAATGTGATGTATCAAATATAACTATAATTATTAAATATATATGTACAAGTATATTTATGTGCTGTGCTTAATCTAGCCGTTCAACTTCATTCCTCAAAAGAAAAAAACGCTAAAGTCATAATTTGATGTGTTTAATTTCGGAATGCCAACCAAATTTGACGTCTGCCTTTGAATGCTTATATAATCAGATTTACAACATCCTAAAATAAGGATAATTATTTACACAAAAAGGAAAAAAGTAATAGAAATGATTAAATTCTAAATAACTTAAAATAGTGATCTAAATAATTAAAGTTTTCAACAATATAGTAACATAAACCTAAAAAGATAATATATAGATGAAATTAATAATTTTGGTTCAAATAATGAAACCCGTGAATACAATTATAGCAATATTTTTTTTACATATTCAAGCGCAATCATTTCATGTCTTATCATCTACTATTTAGTATAAACGTTAATCTGTCGACACTACGACACTGATTCCACTAATCTTTACCGGAATCACTTTTACCCACACCGTAATAGTCGAAAATTATATCAAAACTCTCTTTTTGTTTTTGAACGTAAGTATTATATACATCTTCGGGTACTGCTAATTTGATGGCGTATAATTGTGCTACCGACGTGACCATGTAAAATGGGGTAGCAATAAATAGCGGTACAACCTCAATTAATCCCATAATCTAAAGCTGTAGTCTACGTATGTTGATGGAATTTAAACTTTTCTAGTTGACATTTAAATTACGACGACTTCTTGGTATTTGTTTGTAGTAGCGTTAATCCAATTCATCAAAGCTGTCACTTGTGCAGATTATATAATCAAGAGATTTTTCCAAATTTAAATTTTATTATATGTAGTCAAAAAGGAACTGTCACTAGGGCCACGTATATTATGTGTAATCGCGCGAGCTTTAACCAGAACTCAACAAATTTACATTTTCAACTAATTAACGGTTAACCTCAAATACATGCTGCTACATATCTGGAAAATACAACTGTAGCCTCCAGAAAATACCATTATAGTATTTTTCTTGATTCTCAACTAAAAATTGCAACCCAGTTTGAAGATTGATAGATAAAAATAGATTGACAATTTTTTCCCATCATCAAAAACAAACTGTCAATCTGTCTTTCTGTAGAAGTTCAACATTTTCATAGCAAACTCGAGACATTACCTGTTCATCCCCCATATCATCTTGGAAACCGATTGTGAATGAGCTAGAAGAGCCGCTCGAAGGGGGCGAGTATGTTGACAAAATCCACTTACGAATGGTTTACGTTTTTACAAAAAGAGTTTTGGTGTGCAATTCTCGTACATTCGGTTACGAGCCAAGCAATCTGCAAAATAGTTAAACTAATCTCTTGCTGTCTTTATTCTCCCATACAAGTGCAATTAATATAAATAACTCATTTTGAAAGAAGATATATTAATATCTAATCGTCTACAATAACCAAGTTCTTTTTTGATAAATGCATAAAATTCATATTAAGAATGTAAATCTACTCAATAGTTTACCTACCTACTTAATTTTACTTTTCAACCTTTCGTTCCAAAAACTTTCTTTCAGCTTCTTTTCTCTTTTCAAGATTACCATTCAATTGGTTTTCAACCATATCCTTTGTAACACCATTGGATATTAAAGACTCCCAAGTTTTTCTTTGTTCAAATCCATTTCTGCCATATTGGAAATCTGTGTAAGTCTCATAAATGTCCTTTTCTGAGTCAGCAACAAATGGTCCATAATGAACAGAATCTTGATCTAAGACTTGACCACCAATTAAGACAAATTCTATATCCTTTCCTCCTGCTTGTGCAGTGTTTGTAGCACGGATCTCGTCACCATCTCTTTTGAAAAAAAGATTACTATGCGCTGGTACTGCAGTTTCATTTACAACTAAATCATCTCCTTCAAGGACATACAAGAAAAAGTTGTAATCTTCAGGAACCTTTTGACTGAATGTTCCATCTGGCTTCAATGTAACATAGTAGTATTGTACCGGAGTGTATGCTAAATCATGTGCTGATTCAACCCCATAGGAATTTCCCGATATCACCTTAACCTTGACTTTCCCATCTTGTTCCACTACTTCTGGAATTTCATAAGATCTTAAATCTCTATATCTTGGTTCAGTTTTTCTCAATTTCTTTGGCAAATCTACCCATAATTGCATACCAGAGATATTATTTTCACCATTGATAGCTACTGGCATTTCAGAATGAACTACACCCTTTCCAGCAGTCATGAATTGTAAATCTCCAGGGTATAAGATCCCCTTGGACCCAGTAAAATCCTCATGTGCTACAGCTCCCTTCAACACTAAGGTGATTGTTTCTTGACCACTATGACCATGCTCAGGAAATCCCGCATCAGCTCCAATATTAAAGTGGTCTAACATCAAAAAAGGGTTAAAACTTCTCATTTCAGAAGTCCCAATGGACCGTCTAACCCGGGCTCCAACACCTTCAGCTTGTTGTCTTGCATTGACAAGTTTTAATGCACTTCTTAATCCCATTTTATATACTTAATTGTTTTTTTTTGTTCTATTGTATGATGGTAAAAAAAATGAAAAGTTAGAAGTAGAAAGGTATCTACTACTCCTTATATAGACTGGACCCTACCTTCTAGAAGGATCGAGGACATTAGGTACCCCATGATTAATTTTAGTAAAGATAGATACCATTAGTAAATATTATTAATTTTGTGTCATTTCAATTTATAACCTCATGCGCATGATGAGCCAGCTTAGTAAAATAAGACAATTTTTTGGACTCCTGTCTAAATTAACTTACTCCTGTATGTATCTTCTACAAAAATACGAGGCATTCTGTTGCATTGATAAGGTCATATGACATTTAAAATTCTTTCAAAACCTCTCATTTTCCAAAATTTAAAGTTTTGGTGGGGATACACCAAGAACTACAGCCGTGCTAGATGTTTTTGAATCGAATTCTAGTATAAATACGTAATCACCTCTAGCTATTAAACCAATTTCAATTTCATTATCCCATTATAAGTAATCTAAATCATTAATATAATACAAGTCTTTCCCACATAGATCTTTAGTTATTACCTGCGCTTAACAGTCATTTCCCAGGGATAAAGACGAGAATCATGAAAATTTTACTAAGCATATACACAAATCTGCTTCTTACTATAAGTATAGTAAAAGGTTCAATATACCAAAATAAAGTTGGAAAGTACAAATTCTTATTCCTTTAAATGATTATCCAGTACTTAGGAATGTCAATGTTTACTTAGCTAAGTGCAAATATGTAATAAAGTTGTGATAAGCAATATTGTATGCGATCCTCTGAGCAATTAGTTGGGGACATCTGTAGCAATATTATACCAATATAATGGTCACTGTAGGTAGAAAGATTTAAATTGCCTGTGAATTAAAAATAAATGATCCTTCACTCGCTTCATTTACGAGAAATTTAAAGTTTCGGGAATGGTATACATTCAGGTTTGCCGGAATTTGTGAATGATTCTCCCTAAATTCCCTTAAAATTTAAGTATGAATAGTAACCCGCTTTTCTTTACCACCTCTCTACAAGTTTTTGCTTTATTAGTCTAAAACCATTTATTCAAAGTATTATACAAAATGACATTCCACTTACATATCGATCTTCATAAGAAGTTACCCGAGCTTAACATGACATTGATCAACGAAAAAGACAAAAACAATGAAGATTTCACCACAGATACCCACAAGAACTCCACTTTCTTTAAGTATAGTAAATGTACAATATGCCAAGATCGGAGTGCAATGTTTCAGTTCTACCGTATTTGAATATTGCGTTTCTGTATTACAAGCTAGATGAGTTGGTACGGCGCACTTAAGTAGTCGAAATGTTGAAGTGAACCAAGTTTTGTGAACTTCTGCTTTATTTATAACTTTACAGAACGAATATATTTCCGTATGACAACAATGCTTGGGACATATGCTCAAGTTTAGTAGTTACTCTACAATAGAAAATATGGTTGCTGCTCTTTTAAAGTGAGGGGTATCACTTTACACTCTCATTCTTATTTCTTCTTTCGTTCTATTTCTTACCTATATTATACATAACTACACACTAAGTAGCTCCAACATACCCTCAATTTCTTTTGCCTCTTTACACTTCTTCACCTCAGTATTGATTCTTTTAAGTAAATTTCCAAATACTTCTTCAAGAACAACGCTCTTTCCAATCAAAAGACCATACATTTCAAGTATCACACCAACATAGTCACAGATCAAGTTGATAGAACGTACATCTTCCAAGTTCTTGATGAACCATTGTAAAATTGGCAAGAGAGAGATCTCATCTCTTCCATAGAGTGATATTCTAATCTTACCACGTTTCTTCAATTCATTCAAAACTGTAACGGTTTGTTCTTTTGGGAGGCCAGTGGCAAATGCACTGTCAAGTGCATCGGACCATCTGAATGCATTAAGATGTTTTTCGAATTGTTTAAGTTTCTTTTGTGGAGTGGCAGTTGATGTTTGAATTATACGATGTTCTTCTTCTCCAAGATATTCAGCACCCTTCATCATACGTGCAAAGGCAGCAGACTTAGCTGGACCCTTAACACCTTGTGCAACCTTAGGTTCAGTCTTTCTAGTTCTGATGGAAAGTAAACCAGAAGTTAACCCGGTAACAAAATGCTTGTGATTAGTTGGTGAAACACCACAACTTAAGACACCCCCACTACCAAACTTCCAGCCAAATTTAACATCCCAATTGGATGAGTTTGAATCAAAGATCTTAACATGACCATCCAATGAACCAACAAGTAATCCACGGTCACCAGTGTTATGTAAGGTGGTAACAGTCTTGGTGAAATTGTTTAATTCATGGATTTGAGAGCCACGAGACAAGTCCCAAACTTTAACTTGAGCACCAGCACCACTTACAAGGGTAGTAGGAGACAAGGCCAAGACATCTTCCACTGGTGGAGCACCTTCATGACTGAACAGAGCAACAAGTGGTTGAGTGGATCTGGCATCGAAAACACGTACTATACCATCATAACAACCAGTGGAAATCAAATTGGGGTTCCCAGGAACAAAACATGCACTACGAATGTAATCACCATGATAGTTATCACCGAATTGAACAATAGGACCACTGGTGGTTTGTGAAATATCGTACAATCTGAGGGTTCTATCGTCAGAAGCGGTGGCAAGTTGATTACCAATGGTAGGATGGAATTTAGCTACATGAGTTGGATGACCAGAAGGATTGAGACTTACAAGTAAGTTTCTTGATTGGAAAGTATCGAAAATAGAAACTAATCCAGAAGCATCGGCTGCTACAAGAAGTTTACCATCAAATCTAAATTCACCCGAGTAAACGGTATCCTTGAATCTGGAAAATGTACGAGTAACTTGTCTAGTCTTGGATGAAAACACTTGAATTCTAGTGGATGAAGTCACGGCAAAATCGTGAGGAGATGCAGGGTTGAAGTGGATATGAGTGATTGGATGATTTTCCTTGACCAACTGTGGGTTGGTGAATCCCCTCCAGTATCTTTGTTCTGGAGTGGTCTGCGAAGGAAGTGTAGGGTTCCGTACCTGCGGTACTCTTGTTTGGCCCGACGACATCTTACTTGGTTTATTGATGAAAGAGAAGAGAAGAGATTGATGATATTTGGCTTTGTACCGATGAGCATTTTGAATTTTTTAATTTTTCACGGTATGTGCAGGAAGAGAGAAATAGAGGTTAAAAGACATATATATGGGGGAGGGGAGATATAAGGAGAGAATAATTTGAAGGTAAGACAATCTATAAAGTCAAAATAAGATGATAATATAGTAATATATTTGTTGAAATTCAAATTCTAGTTTGTTTTTTTATTTTCTTTTTCATTGTAGTTGGGAGACTTATATTAGACCCACGTCCATTTGAGAAGGTTAGTAGAACAGCTGGTCCAGTTTTATGATTCTGGAAGGGCTGTTAAAATCTCATCGGGCCCTTACTCGGGAGAATGTCTCTTGTTATATAAATAGTGTCTAATTGATTTAGAAAATTTATTATAAATATTGTAACCTTGTTGATTGATAAATTTATTTTTTTGTGTGTGTTTGCAGCACTTTTAGTGTACAGTTGGAAAGAAGTTGTATCAAAAAAGCATTCAGTGATCTTCAAGTACCTAGATCATACACATGCACCATCAATGATTTCTATTTAATATATATATATATATATATATGTATTTAAACTAGTAAACACTCAAATCCACGACCCAACTCTTTACAACACCATCAAGACCTGTACTAATAAATGTAGCAGTCTTCTTTTCCGCATCATACGAAGTCCATTGCAACCCTGAAACACCAGTTTGATGTGCCAATAAGAACTTCAAAACCTTGGCTGGACGAGCTACTGAATAAATCAAAATCCCAGTATCTAATCCACCACTCACAATAAATGCCGAATCTGGAGTCCATTGTGCATCCAAAACCTTGGAACTATGGAAAGCCCATCTAGTTGTTACAACCGAAGCATCGGCGGTGTTATAAAGGGTGTATTTCCCTGTGTTGTCGGCAACAGCTGCATACTTCCCATCAGGGGAAATTCTGATCAAAGTTGGTGCAGCACGTAATGCTGGGAATGATTTGGATTGTGTAAGAGACCCATCTGAAAATGTGAATTCCTCTACTGAGTTCTTGGACAAATTATTTAATAAAATTTGGTTTCCATATACTGAAACATCAGAAGAAGAGAATGTTAAAGATTGATCAGTTGTCTTCGTTAATCCTTCAGATGAAATAGAATAAATTTCAATTTTAGATTCAAATAAAACAAGAACCGAAGATGAAATCTTGACGATTTTTTTAGGTTGTTCCAGAAGTGAAGTAGTAGATACTAAAGTTCCATCCTTCCAAAGCTTGATAGTATCATCCCAACCAGCAGTGAGAACTCCAGAGTCCGTTTGAAGTACAGAAACAACATAATTTGAATGAGCTGCGTTCAAAGAAGGTTCAGCAATGAAATTTTTGTCCAGATCAAGAGAAATTTTAACCAAAGACCCATCTGAAGATCCAATGAGTAACTTTTCATCATAGGATGTGGCGGTGATTGAAGTTTGTACACCAGATACCACAGTGATAGGTGTACCATTGGAATATTCAAAATAATTCAAATTCCCATTGGTTGAAAGAGAAACAAGGTATTTAGGAGTAGCAACTACTCCAAGTTGTTGGTCTTGGACAGTAACTTCTTTACTAATAGTATAACTTTCAATGAATTCAGTGTTAACATCCCAAGTTTTCAAAGTATTATCAGCTGAACAAGTAACAAATTGATCTGGAGTATTTGGTAACCAAGAAATACCAAAAATCCCTCCTTGATGGGCGGCATCAATCTTTTTGATAAAGTCACCAGTCTTCCCATCATAGATGACGATCAATCTATCAGATCCTACACTGGCAAGATATTTCCCATCTGGAGAGAAACGAACATCTCTAACGGTATTGGAATGATCTCTCAAACTCTTGTCGAACTTGAAAGGTGGACCATTAAAGAATACAAGCGCCTTGTCGTCTCCGACTGTGGCAGCTCTATAAGGTCTTTGAGGTTTAATATCAACAGCATTGATGGCGGCAGAATGACCTTGAATTTCTCCAATGGAGTTACCGGAGTCCCAAGTGAAACAATGACCAAACTTGTCCTTACCCTGGCCCACAGCAATAATTCTTTGACTGTCAGCGTCCCAAGAAATGGATCTAATAGGACCAGATAACACTTGGAATTCACTCTTTATATGTGGAGGTTCGAATGATTCCTTATCATTGGAGATTGAAGTATCCCAAATTTTGACATTACCTGATTCATCACCAGAAGCTACGTAGTTACCTGAGGGAGCAAATGCAGCGGCAGTCACGGGGTAAATATGTTTAGAGAATTGAATCAGTGGCAGTAACGATTTAGGGTCTACTGGTCTAACAATAACTGATTTACCCAGTGGGTAACATAAACGATCATTTTTCGAATCGTATGATAGGCGCAATGCTTGAGCACGTGTGGTGGCCGGTTGAGGTGGGAACAATCCCAATGGTGTAATTGACATGATATTAGTGAGTGATTCTAATTGGTAAAGTTGAGTAGTTTATGACGATTGTGTAAATAATATACATTGCGACATTTCCAGATTGGGAGAGGGATCGTTGCGACATAGTGAATATGAACACCGCGACATACCTATATTTAGGAAGGCATAAGTGAAATAAAATACAGCAAATTGTGATATATTTCAACGTATAAACATATACTTCAATTTATATACATATCATCTAGTCACAACTATCATATTTTACATCATTTCCTAATTATTTGTAAAATATCTCCACTTTTTAAATTTGTTAGGTTTCTTCTGTCTTCGAAATCGCCACCGCACGCCCATTGCCTCAAATGGTATATACAAACAATTTTGAATAAGTTATCAATTTAACAATTTGTAATCAACTCAATTAAACATGACTGAAACTGGATTACCTCCTGGATGGGCTATCCGTCTTTCTAAAACGCACAATAAGGAATACTTTTTGAACCAAGCCACTAAGGAGTCTTCATGGGAAGCACCTTTTGGTACTGATAATGACAAGCTCAAGACCTATTTGACCAAGTATCATGCGGCTGGTAACAAACCAGTTATTCCATCCGACGGGAAAGTCCGTGCATCTCACTTATTAATCAAGAGCAACCAATCTAGAAGACCTAAATCCTGGAAGAGTCCTGATGGAGTCACCAGAAGTAGAGATGAAGCCATTGCTATTTTAAAGAAACATCAAGAACGTATTTTGAATGGAGAAGTTAAATTAAGTGAATTGGCCGAGACTGAAAGTGATTGTTCTTCTCATAGCCAAGGTGGTGACTTGGGATTCTTTGGTAAAGGTCTGATGCAACCACCTTTTGAAGAAGCTACATTTGATTTAAATGTTGGTGAAATAAGTGACATTATAGAAACTGACAGTGGAGTTCATTTGATTCAAAGAACTGCTTAGTGTATAATAATATAAGAGTATAAGATAATTAAATCGTAGAATATGTAGTTATTTATTATATGTTGAAGACTTCATTCGATGGGTCTGATTGAATCAGTCCAGCATGGCGTCTAAATTGTATACGACAATGAAATTTAAATTACCAATTCCTTCTCTTCTTTTTCTTTTTCTGTTTTGCTTCAACTACCATTCTACAATGGTCTGAACAGAACCACTTTTGTTTACCCGTGGCATACTTTAATGCCTCTACTCGGTTAAGTAATCCAACACACTTATAATGGAACCAATCTCCATTAGGACACGCGGTTTCGTTATCACATCCAATCATATCTCCCAGAGACGGTTGCTTACAGAAACAATACACACTATTATCCACTTCTGGCTCTTCAAATATTGGTTCAGGTTCAGGTTCAGGTATATTAATTTCATGCTTTATCTTCTTCATTGTTTGTTTCTGTTGTTTTTGTTTCTGTGATTGCTTCTTTGACTCTATTAATTCATCCTTACGTGGTCTACCACGAGGTCTCTTGTCTATACTACCTCTCCTATCAACAGCTTTCTTATCCTTATTCTTCTTTGGAATCTTCAAAATTAATTTTATTGATTTGTTTTTCTTCTCTTGTTGTTTCCTTTCATGTTGCTCCTTCAACGCTTCTCTTTGAGAAACTAAAGGATTTTCTCTATAATGTTCCAAAATTTCATTCTCTAGATTTTTTGCTAAAGATATATCTATCTCCGATGAAACATTGGCCAATGCATCCAATTGTTTTAATTCCTCCTTTAAAGATATTTTATGGGTTATCAATTGGTTATATAAGGCTTTACTCTCTTGCACAGATTCTTCGTTTAATCGTCGTATCTTTGCCTTTAACTTGAAATATTCTCCAAGAACTTCATTCTTTATGCTTGGATCATTCTGTAATTTTTTAATTAATTCATTCAATTGATTTTTAAATGTATTTGATGCTATATTGCATGATTGAATCAACCATAACGATCTAATAACATCACAAGGTAGATGATCTACTGTTGATATAAATGCATTATTAATTGAAGATGAATGTTGGATCACTGATATTACAGTTTCCATACTTGAAGTCATATCCAAATAACCCTATATATCATGATCATATCATCATAACCGCGTCTATGTATGTGAAATAAACACACAGCTCGCAGGTGATTAATATCACGTGATCAATAATACCGTTTACTTTACAAAGTCAATTCTCTGTTATTAATGTGGATATCATCTATCTACTAAGTGGTAATTTCCCGTTTCATAATTTTAAGTTCACTACAAGAATAATTTCTTAAAAGTTCTCTATTAACTATACAAAACAACTAAGTGGCCAAAAAAAAAAAGTTTTTTTTATTTTTTTTGGTATTTGTAAGATGTTAAAACATTTACAAGTCCTTCTTGAGGGTACCCATGAAGGCGTGCTTTTCAGCTGGGGTTTGGAATCTACCCTTACCGAACTTGGAAGCAGTGTCAATCCATTTCAAGTTAACCTTTTCAAGAGCTCTTCTAGAAGTGTCAACGTACAAGGACTTTCTCAAGGTAACAACTCTCTTCTTGGTACCTGGGATAGAACCCTTCAACAAGACGAAATCGTTGTTAACCATACCGTATCTGACGAAACCACCCATTGGGTTAATGGTCTTCTTGGTTCTGTCGAATTCAGTAGCACCGTTAGATTCATCAACACCGGAACCAACTCTGTAAACCTTGTGGTTAATAGAGGTTCTGTGGTGGTAACCGTTTTGACCGGCACGAGCGACGGTCCAGTTAACATTGGCTGGATGCCAAGCACCAATACAAGCAACCTTTCTCAAACCTCTGTGGGTCTTTCTTGGCAACTTCTTGGTACCCCATCTGTGGGTAACACCTTCGAAACCGTGACCCTTGGTAACGGCAACAACGTCAATCATTTCGTTTTGTTCGAAAACGGAGTCGACAGTGACGGTCTTTTCGAAGTGTTCTCTAGCCCAGTCAACCTTGTCGGAGATAGAACCACCGTTGATTTGGATTTCAGCTAAGTGAGCCTTCTTTTGAGCCAATGGGGTCTTCTTGACTTGAGTGTGAGCAAGAACTCTAACAACAGTAGCGTACTTCTTGATTCTGGCCAATTCTCTTTCGATTTGAGCACCGTCTTGAGCGTACTTGGCAGAGTACTTGGTGAAAGCCTTCTTCTTAGACTTGAACCAGTTCTTGTAGAATCTTCTTCTGACTTCTTCGGACAAGTGTTCAGCCCAAACAGTGGTCAAAGATCTCAAACCTCTTGGGGTTTCAACGTAACCAACAACACCAACAACAACCAATGGTGGAGTGTCAACAACGGTGGCAGCTTCGACGACTTCACGCTTGTGCATCTTGGAACCTGGACGGTCCAAGTCTCTGACAATGGTGGTCATACCAGCCTTGTAACCCAAGAAAGCAGTCAAGGCAACAGGCTTAGCCTTGTTGTCCTTTGGGAATGCCTTTACTCTACCTCTTTGGTTGGCAGCTCTCTTTCTTGGAAGGAAACCAAGGGAACCGTGACGTGGGGCTTCGAACTTTCTGTGAGACATAGTAAATTCTAATGTGTGTTAACAACTGAAGAAAGGAAAATTAAATCGAAAAATTTTCTCAGCGAGGGCGAAACGTTTTATACGCACAGAAGAGGAGTGAAAAATTTTCGCTTGGAAAAAAAAAAAAATTCTTGAAGAAATTTTCAAGGTCGTGTGCGGTTCTTGTGATGGAAGGGGGGTAGGGATTGTGGGGCTTATAAGCGCACAAGTGTGTGTATGCGATTATAAGGAGCAAGTTGTAAGAAACTAATTAATTCTACATTATATAGTTAATATTATCGTATTATCTAGTTATTAAATGTCTGTATTGTAATAAAAATGAAGGGCTTTATGTAACTGGAGTCGCAAAGACCCAGTAGTAAAATAGCCGCTTGTAGTGAAGAACAGAATAAAAAAGGAATATAGGTAAGTTATAAGTCTGTAACACATGAATGTGTATCAGTTGTAAAAGTAGAACTGAAAACAACGGAGAGTATGGCAATAATCGTTTAGGCAATTAATTTCTTGCACGTTTGACATGTATGATTTTCCGTAAGGCAAGTCTGGCATCACTAGTATCATCATGGGGTTGATCTGGAGAAGAAATTCCACCAACAACACCTTGATATGTAGATGATACTGTAGATGGATCTGAAGTTGAAGTAGACGATGAAGCCGAAGTGGACATGGCAGATACTATTGGGAATGTTTGCTTGTTGGCCATGGCATCGAGGGAAGTGTTTGACCCCATATTCATCAAATCAGCAATATTGATAGTATCCTCTTCACTCTCAGTTGAGCCTGAACAAGAGCCATTTGCAGCTGAAGCTTGAGATTGCAGAGAAAAAAATTCCTGACTAGAAGTGAAGAGTTGAGCAGGATTAAATTTCTTTTGCAGAGGCGAATTGATACTCATCATGGAATAAATAGTTGCATTGAACAGTGGGGTCAAATTATATGTCAAATTTGAAGCATTAGGTGTAAGCCCAGTGTGTCCATTTGGCCCAGAAAGAAGATAATTATCTTTAATCTTCGGGGTAGTAGGGAGAAGCAGTTGTGGGATATCCTCATTGACAGAAGAAAGCGAAGATGAATGTGAAGATACAGATGGAGTAACTTGTACCGCAAAGTCAGAATTGTGTCTTCTTAAAGGATGTTGCACTTGACGAGAGTCAGTCATGGATTCAATCCCTATCACTGAATTCGAATGAGTAAGACGTGGTTGTTGCTGTTGTTGTGGTTGTTGTACGTTAGTCATCTTCTTTTTCTTCTTTGGTACTTCATCCCTTGTTCCAAAAATATCATCTCTTAATACAGCTTTACCCAGATCATCAATCATCAATTTCAAGATGAAGTCATTACTATCTTCAGTAGATGTTTCATTCAGTCGAATAGAAGCTGCAGGAAGAAGATTTTTACTTCCTTTAGACTTTGGGGATAATTTGTTCACACTATTAGAAACAGTACCTGACGATGGTTCTCTAGTGGTCACAGACTTCCTTTTCGTAGAGGAAGGTGGCTTCGTATCGCTTGTAACACTATTTGTTGGAGTTGAAAGAGCATGAACATCATGAGAAACAATTTGTTGTGCAAAGGGAGGTGTGGCCCAATAATTAGTTTGGAATTGATTCTTAACTGATGAAGAGGGTGGCGTGTTATAAATCGGTAAGAAAGAGCTATCATTGGATTGAGTAATCATGGCGATGTTTTCAATAGCTCTTGAATTATATGGAGTGAATGAAGATGATGTCACCAGTTGTGAAAGTGGTGTGGTCATTGTATATCCATTTTGATGCTGATGATGAAGATATTGTTGGTGTTGAAGATGATGTTGGTAGTTGGACGCATTTATTCTTTCCTGAAGTGGACTTCCTGCCAGAGAAGCCGAGGATGAAGACGATAATGAGCCTTCACGCCTACTTCTTTTCCTTGAACGGGGCGTAGGAGAAACCTTCATAAATGGCTTTGAAATGTCAGGGACACCTCTTTTCACCATCATGTTGGAGTTATTTTCTGCCGTAGGACTGTTGTTGAACGATGAAGTATTCACATTGATATTCATGGTGGTGGTGATTTGGTTACTCAAAGATCCAGCCTTTGGTGGTCTACCCCTTTTACGTTTGACAGGGGTTTCAGGAGACATGATTGATTTTTTTTTTTTAAAAAAAAGAAAGGACTTGACTGCACGGAGGGATCGACAGTCGCCACGAAGCTTTCTGTGATAGATGTCAAAGTAAATTCAAAATGGGATATCACTTCACTCACTCTCTTGAAGGAACGACAGGAGGTGAAATTTGGGCGAAAAGAAATAAAATGAAATGAAAAAAAAAAAAGAAAGGAAGGAGGATGAATCAAAGATAACACTTCAAGAGTTTTGGAAGGAATAACCACCTGAAAAAGATAGATCCAATAACAAATCAACAAACTAAGTATAATATAATTCAACCGGAGGATATATATTTAAAATTCGAAAAAAAAAAAGAGTTTGAAGAGTTGGCAGAATTCTGTACTTTACTTACGGACCCTTGGTCGTCTAGAGTCAAAAACAGTGCGTCAGTATGATCTTTAAGCGGAAATTTACTTTTCGCACAATATATGGCTGGCGATGTCAATGCTATTGTCCCATTGTTTGGGATACTTTCCGACCGAATGAAATAAACGGGGGGCGGTAGGAGATAACCCAGGTTGACTACGAGGGGAACTACAGAGGGGAATTTTAGGTTAAAAAACTCAACTACTATACCCACATAAACTCATTACTTTGCTACAAACGATTAAGTCTCCGAAAGGCATTTTGTGAGGAGGTTCTTTTTTTTTTTTAAATGAAAAATAAATTGTAGGCGGAATACACTTATAATTCTGAAACATTACCTAATGTACACCAAAGATCGGGAGGTCCTGCATCGCTGACGTTTTGAGAAGAGCTTTATTCGTGATAGCAATCGGAGACCTGCGCTGCACGGATAGTGACAATATCTGTGGGGTGGAGCCCACACTTCGCCAATGGTTGTGTTCACAAATTAGTGATAATACGCGTGTAATTAGTCCCAAATGGGAAAAAATGTTTTTAGATTATAAATGGTGTTCATTCTGCAGGATGCGGATAAAACAATTTACTAAAAGCAAAGTTGGAATTTTGTCATGGTTATGTATATCCCTTGGAATTCACCAGATGCAGGGAAGAATTCCGTTAAAGAAGTTCGTTAGAATTTACGTTGTTTCATAATATTCTCATCATTCCGACCCATTCTTGTTGTCATGTAAGTGAAGTACGTAGTAGAAAATAAACATGTTTGATACATGTTCGATTTTTCATTAAAGACAGGGGCAGAAGTGCATAAAGATGATTAAGGAGATGTACACTACTTGGCAACAAGGTCCGCATTTCATGCATTTCACGGCTTATGAGGGATTAAATTAGATAGAAAATAAATTTTGAGAAACTTATGGAAGATCGTAATTGCGAACAATGGAACTAAGATTAGACTACATTTAGACCAATTTGAGATGGAACAGTGATATTAGTTATCTTTAGAGAATGAAGGACAAAAGTGTAATCATAAAGCAATCCATGAATAGTTTATTAATTTTCATCCATGTACAAGGGATAAAAATAGCAATAAGGGGCATACAAATGGAAGTAATGAAGGTAATGTATATATGAATACATTGAAACAATAGTAGTATTTCTAAAAAGGAAATATAGAGTATATCGGTTGTCAATGAGTCAATCGTTGGCTTTATCGTAGCAGAATCCTACTAAGATATGGATGTCTTTTTTAAAAAAAATAAAATATAAATATATTACAGTTTAAAATTGTAAGATTGATAGTTAAACTAATGCGTAACAAGTTAATTATCAAATATGGTAAATTCTAACTTACCACCCCAATTAACACCATATGACTATCCAATTAAAATCCAATCATGTACTCTATTATCTCAATGGTGAAAAAAATTCTTAACTCCATCAATCGATTCTTTTGCATCCATTTAAAACCTTAGTTTATAATATCCTGCACTAAATATAAAATCTCATACCATAGTAGTAATAGCATTTTCTGCATCAGTGAAACAGTAATAAGAATCGTAGATACGTTATTTTTTTTTTAGATACTTCCGTGGTATTATCTCATTTATGCTTCTCCGCTTTATTAGAAGATACTCCAACCGGAGCTTAGATAATGTGGAGCTTAGTACATTACTTCAAAAATCCACATGGAAAATGGAATCACTTTTAGAAAATCAGAAGCGAATCCCAGAAATTTCAAGACCAGTACTTTTGAAATTATTGAAGTTATCAGGGATAGAGACTACACTTACCAAGGAACGAGAATTGTTCTTTCTGCAATCATTGAAATCACAGATGGGGTTTATAGATCATCTTTATGAAGAAACCGAACTGAGAAATGATGATGAACCCGTTAATAATTTCAGACTTATAGCATCTGATCATCAAAAAGTTAATCCACTTAATCTTGAAAGTCTCAAGAGACAAATAAATGAATTACAAGCCAGTGATGTAAAGGGAGAAACTGGAAATTGGAATGTAGTTGAAAATTCTAATAAGAATGGTCAAAATAATAATTCTGGATACTTTTGTTTGAAAGGTAAACCATAGAGGAGCTGATGAAGTAGACATCTGGTAAACTGGAAGTACCACCCCCATTCTTCCAAGTGAAGTGGAACATAGAGACCTCAGAGAAAATGATACTGGATAACCTGCACTCTAAGGTAAATTTGCTATGGTTCCCTCTCGTAATACAAATTAACCCTTTGTACCACTTCCAAGGTGATTAGATAAATTACATTCACTTTAGGGTTGTCAATTAATGAACCAGTCTATCATTATTTCATTGACAGTTAGAGCTTCACTCAAATACCATGTATATAAAAGAAATAAAAACACCAACTTACGACACTTTACTCATTATTTTTTCGTGTATTACAAACTCCTATAATTTATACCTATTTTACTCGTGAATCCATATACATTCTATCAGGAATTTCCAAATTTATCAAGTTCTTAACAAGTTCTTGAAACTTTAAAAGATTTTTCGATGCTTGGTTGATCAATTCTACATCTGTGGCTCGCGGCACATTAATATAAACCTTAACCTGGAATGTGTTTGACTGGTCAAGTAATTTTAATTTAATTTGATTATTTTGCGATTCAAAGTCGTCATCTCGGATGAAAACTTTAAATATTTCAATGAAGATATCTCCATGGAAGTATCTTACTCCACGGATCCAATATTGATTCTTGACTTCATAACCTAAATCGTGTAGAAGCAGTAGAAATGATTCTTGTTGAGTTCCTTCTGATGTTTTATTTTCAGTTCTTGAATGATGATGAACTAATGTGCTTTCATAAACTGTTTGTGCTGAACATGTTTGGTTTTTCCCTGCAGTAGGGATATCTGATATTTGTAGAGTCCAATTACGTTTAATGGATGTGGTGGACAGATCAGAGAAAAGAGTATCAGCCCAAACACCTTCCTTATCATCTTTCAATACTGGCTTGGCACTATCAAATTTCGCACTTGTTTGATCATCCCATGTCGTTACACATTTCATAAAATATTGTTCGATTTGGTTGACTTTACCTGGTTCTAATTTGGGTTTGAATTCTTGGTATGGTTTTGTTAGAAGGGTATAAGTGGCTATATCTTGAGGGGTTTCTATACCGGTAAGGGCTTTCAAAGTAGACACCGTCTGGATGTACTTGTTGTGAGGGATCGTTGCCACTAGGCACAATTGCTGGACCATGTTATGGAGAATTGGGATGTACAAAAAAGTTTAAAAATAAATTATGAAACACCTCTATATATATTTTTTTCCCATATACGATAGAGAGAACCTGCACGAATTTATCAAAGTATCAAATACATACACACATATTCACCCACATATGCTTACAAACCTACTTTAAAACAAGATATCCGTTGTCAACTCTCTCTAATCCTTACTTCTTTAGATAACTGCTTTACAATTTCACTTCTATCATTATTATTCTTTATTATTCTTATATACATATCAATTTTATTAGTATAACGACTATTCGTGTTTCTTTTCATCGTATTGAGTGGTATCTTCAGTGAATGCAGCAACTACATAACCAATCAAAACAACATTAGCTATAAGAGCAGCAATTCCTCCACTGACAATAGCGTTGTTGTTGAATAAATATTGACACAAGAAAAACGCCACCAATGGGAACGCAATCATTGCAGCTGTGAAGAAGACAAGCTTCTGTACCACGGATCTAAAGTTAGTATCAAACAATAAGTAGACAAATGATTCATTTTATATGGTATTTCTTTCCAATTGAACGATCAAGCCCATACCACTAGTTCAGCGATTCATTTCCATTAAATCACATCCCCGTGAAAATCAACCTATTTATCCAAACGATCTAACACATCATAAATACATACTTTGGAATATCAGCCATCTTATATCTTTATTCGTTTGATGAATAAATAAATCTCGTAGGTGTCAACAACAATTCTATCAACTCTTTATATTGATTAACAATCTATGCAGGCGAAAAGATAGTATACAAAAAGCATCATAGGACCCAGTTCGTCAAGAATAATAGGGTTGCTCATATAAAAACCCATGCTTCCATTTAATTTTTAGACAATAATTCTACAAAATTCCTCTCTTTGTAACAGAAACTCAAATATCCACTCTTACCCTTAACTTTATAATATCTATATTTGCTACGATGGACCTCACCTCCCCCTCTTTCCTATTTACTTTGCCTTTATCAGTAGTCGTGTCTCGGCAAAAATAAATCCTCGCTCAATTCTCTCACACTCTCTCAGTTTATTAGCGACAAAAAGGACTATATATGAACCGGGCTAGTTCACTCTTCAATTGAACTTAACAGTTGGGCTCTAGATACTATGAAATTCAATCTCACAGTGTTATTTTCGCTACTCCCCGCCGCTTTGGCGTACATGGACACTGCCTCATTTTATTCTTCTGAGTCTTTGGATGTATCTGGCCAACATTACATTGTCGAGTCCACATCATTACATGGTGCTATGAATGCTCTTACTAAAGGTGCATGCTCTGGATCGGCCAAGAAATTGACGGTATACCGTGTATCCAACTTGGGTCATGCTAAAGTTGACAATGCTGAATTCTTTGCTAAGCATGTTCATTATAAAGGAGCTGAAGCTTTAGACCTTCCAATCTCTAATATTTGTACCAAGGAACAAGTCAAATATGTCACTTCTACCGACGAATTAGATGAAGAATCTGACTCTCCTGTGGTAATTGTTGACCTTGAAAACATCCTGTCTTCTGCTGACATGTTGAAGTCTGATCGTGCTGTAATCATCCAAGGTGTCCCATCTTTCCATTCTCCAGAATCCAAATTGGAATCTGTTAAGCATTATATTGAAGATAAGGCTCAAGAGAATTTCAACTTACCACTTGATTTTGACCAAGTGTTGAAGAAAAGAGACACTCCAACTAAGTATGAAGATGAAGAGTTTGATAAGCTTGTTTCCGAAGTCGAAGATGACTTTAGAGCTGCTGAATCTTATATTGCACAAGAAGGGTCCGACATGCCAGTCCATGCCCTTACCGATGCATCAGATGCTCCTATTGCTTCCGTCGCTGGAAACTACACCAAACCTTCCCACTCTTCGCTCTTCACCAAGTACGAGTACTTCACTCCAGGAATCTTCCAAACCCTTTTGGTATCATGGATTTTGATCTCTGTCTTGTATATTGCATTGTCTTGGATCTCCTCTATTGAGATTACCTACAAATCCTTTGACAAGCAAGTTGACTTTGAAAAGAAAACTGAATAGAATCGGTAACGATAAAAATGCGACTAGTTCGTGTATTCACTTCATATAGTATATTGTAATTAAACTTCAGATATTGCGTAGACATTGTAGATGATGACTAGAACTTATTAAGTAGGACCTGGACCTTTGTCTGACCCAATACATCTACGAAGAGATTAGAATAATTTAGAGAACGACGCATTAGAAATTTTTACATTAATCTTTTAATGTCAATACCTATTTATTTTATTAATACAAATATGGAATAATCTTGTATGGAACTCTCTTTTCATACTCAACCCAATACTTACCATACTTTTGTCTACACTTGTCTTCATCTCTAACTTGTCTGTGCAACAATAATGTACCAAAGTAGATCACGTAGAAGTAAGTTAATGGGGTCTGGAAACCAGTAGGCAAACACCAAGACCAACCAATAAACCAATCACCCAAGTAATTGATATGTTGTGATAATCCCCACCAACCATCACATAACAACTTCGACCCAGTATGGGTCTTAATGCTATCAAAATTCAAGTGGTCAAGCTTGCCTTGTCTAAAGTCAGATTTTTGTTTGTTGGAAGAATGGAAAATGTAGTAACCAACAAAATGTAATGTTACAATGGCCAGAATAGCAAGTCTACCCAAAACCAATTTGTTTTCAGGCAAGGCCAAGTATCTAGCCTGTAAGGAGTAAGACCAAGGAAGCCATGCCAAATCTCCAAAACTCAACATGAATCCAAACCCATCGGTGGTAATATCCATCATGGTTAAACAACCTTCTTCATTGAGGACACCATCAAAGATATAGAAAGCCTGGAGGGCATTAACCAAGATGAGAGAGTCTGTGACAGTACCAGTGGTATGGTATTGATGATGGAGACACGAGAGGTTAATAAGTAACCATAAAAGCATACCAGGACGTAACTCACAAAAGAGCTTGATATCCCAAGATCCAATTCTTGGGTTCAACTCGCGACCAATAAACCAATCATAGATTGGGTTACCCGAGTTACCATTGATGGAAAGAATACGTTCAGAAGTTCCCTTCCCATTAGCTGTACGTAAGGGAATAAAGGCACATACATAAACGAATACTGCCAAAAAGAAGGAGAATAATGTTGAAACCAAAATTAATGATAATTTGTTTGCATACAAAAAGGCCAATTCAGGCAAATAATAATCTTCAGAGGCATACACTCTAGCAGCAATAAGTCCCAACAAACATCCAGACATGGCTAATCCATTAATCTTGTAGGTGAGTTTCGTACCATCTCTCAAGGCTACACCTTGGAGACGTTTACCTGGGAGGATAAAGTCCAACACCACTAATCCGAAAAACCAAGTTAAATACGCCTTCCAACAGTTGGAATCAAATGCATACTGTTTAAGCTCTGCAAATGATGGAATTTGGTTAGCGATAGTATCCAAATCAAGGTTGATTCCTTGGACAGAATACTTTTCATTTGTAACTAACTCGAAAAAGGTGATGAGAGTGGGCAATCCAAGTGTGATACCAATTGCACCTGGTAACCCGAAAAATTCCCTATGAACAGTCTTTGGGTTCAATGACATGTTGAGATTGTCTTGCAGTTCAAAACACAACAATCTAAGTTATTTTGCTTCGATTTTAAAAAGTTTTTATAAGTTCAGACTTCTTTCGTTTACTCGTACAATCTCGTACAGAGTTTCGTATCCAGACTGCACACAGATGTTGGTTGCAAACGAGGCATCTTCATACGAGCCATTGAATAAATTCTGAAGGAATCATAAACATTCATCATACTAAGCCTCATTCTTGGCAGGTACAGTTAGGAATATAATACCATCGTTATAATTGATGAGGGGTACCATACGTAGCTGAGAGCTAGCCACACAGTTTAATTTTTTTTCTCTTTTGTTTCCTTTTTTTTTCATCTATTCTAATGTGGTTGGCAAATTCTACTGCGTACGATAACAACACAATTGAGTATCACCTACATTATTTATCTTCATGACTAGGGTTTATATTCTTACTATATGCATCTATTTTATTTCTTCAACTTTTCGAGTTCAGCCTTTGTCTTCTCGAGTCTTCTTCTCTTCTTAGCCAATTCTTCTTGTCTGGTCTCCTTCTTGTCAATACCATATTGCATCTTCTTGTAAAGCTTACGGTGCTTGTTGGTCATCATGATCATCTTAAGTTCCTTTTCTTCATCTTCAGCAGATCTCTTCTTACCCTTCTTAGCGGACTTTGGTTCTTCAACAGCAGCTTCAGAGAACTTAACACCTGCAGCTTCTAATTCAAGTTCCTTTTGTGCCTTCAAATCTTCATCGATTTCTTCTTCAGATTCAGCTTCAGCATCAGAGCCAGCTTCTTCGTCTTCTTCTTCTTCTTCGTCTTCTTCTTCTTCTTCACCTTCGGCAGCTGGTGCTACTTCAGCCTCTGGATCATATCCACCAGCATCTCCCCATGGAGATAAATGTGGAGGTAAAGTTTCACCTGGAGAATACTTACTCACAGACAATAATTCACTCTTATTAAGACAATCAAAGACCCATTGAGGTTGAATATAAGTTCTACCAGCAACCTTACCAATGATCTTTGGTCTGTCAACAATTTGATGAGTAATGTTACCCAAGTCAAGCTTCTTGAATTCTTCTGGTTGGTTGGCCTTTAAGTCATCCAAGGCAATTTCGGAGACAATAGATCCTCCACAAGATAAAATACAGAATTCAAGAATATCCAAAGGAACTTCTCTACCAACAAAGAAAATAAACTTAGAGAACAAAGTAGAAGTTGGGGAAGCATACTTGGAAGGTTGAATTAATTCATCACCAACATTCTTAGTACTAGAAGAGGCAAATTCATCCAATTCTATGGTTTCTACGTTTTGCTCTTCAACAACAACATCTTCAACAACGTCATCAGCCTTTTCAGCTCTTTCGATTTCTTCCTTAGATAACTTAGTACCCTTAGCGTTGCTAACTTCTTCTTCTTCCTTCTTCTTTGGCAATAAAGCACCAACACCTTGGTCCTTGGATTGCATGACATAACTAGATAATCCACCAATACCCTTCAACTTTTCAATGTCAATGGTTGGTGGGTAGATCAAGTTAGCGTCGTTGTACAATCTGAATAAAACAAAGTGTAATAAAGTAGCGTAGAATTCCAAAAAGGTTAACATGATTCTGAAATCAACATCACTTGGAATGTTGGTAGGGAACTTGAATGGAACTAACCATCTGACTTCTTGACCCTTAACGTTAGCTTGGTAGTAGACACCCTTGATGGAAACGAAAACTTTCTTAACAAGACGTTCCTTAGCAACGTAGGCAAGCCATTGATTACATAACTTTTCAGCTTCCTTGGTAACTCTATGAGACACTTTATCAGTGGCTGGCATATTAGCGAAAAGGAACAACATGTTCAATGGATCATCGATGTCTCTGAGAGCATCCAAGAAGGATGGATATCTTTCCTTGATAACATGTTCTAAAGTATACTTTGGACGATTACTTTCCAATTTTTGTGCATCTCTAACTTCACCTCTACCAAGAGCACGTTGTAACTTCTTAGCAAAAGTCTTGTGTTCTCTGAACTTGGCTAAGACTGGCTCGTGCAAGAGATATTGGATATCCTTGGAGTAGTAGAAAGTTACTGGGGCAGTAGATCCCTTGTTAGCCTTCTTCTTATTTCTTGGTTCACGAGGATAAATACCCTTGAAAATACAAAGACGACGGAAGTCAGCAAGAGAGACTTGCAACTTCTTGACCGCCTGGGTTCTGGTAATGAAGTTCTTGGCGTTACCGGATGTTCCCTTCTTCTTGATCTGCATGATGAATAAGGTGGAAGCACTAAAGAAGAACTGAAATTAATTAATGAAGAAGTATATACAAAGTGTATTTTTCAGTTTGGTGCAATGCATCGCGCTCGAGATGAGCAGAATTTTTTTTTTTTTTCTCATCAATTTTTTTCCATTTTGTGTTCAAGGTTGTTGTTGCAATAAAAGATAAGGTTGGGAGGACAAATGTGAATAAATGAGTTAGACATTAGTCCAAACAACAAGAAGATTGTAAATGGTTCTTTAACACGATTGTATACAATGTTAGTTTTAAATTGTTAATGAAATGATTTGGTATGAATGATTTAATGATTATTGTGTGAAATGACCTACCTCCATGGAGTTCCATGTTTTCTAGATCTTGTTCTGGTACTTCCTCTCTCTAGACAATTGTATCATTCTTGTCTTCTTTCTTTGTAGTTATATCGTTTTCTAAACATTTGTGAAACTTATCTAATTCAATCCACTTGTTTAGTTTCTAATTCTGTCTATAATTCCACTATATTCCTCATTATGTCTACACTTTTCACTTCATAATCCAGCTCACCCCTCAGTATCTGATCCCCTCCCCTCTTCTTTCTTAGCCACTACTTTGATAAACCACTTTAAACCTTGTCGTTTATGTCAACCTTTAAATCCCCACGTTGTACCTGTATATAACCATATTATTGATTGTCATTTTCCATTTCTTTTTTTTTTTTTTTGGAACACCAAAATCTTTTTTCTGTAATATGTTGGCGGGGCAGTTTTGATCTTTAAAATACTTCTTTGGTGATTTGCCATTGATATTTGGGTGCTTAAACTGCACTACAATCGAATTCACTGAAGGTCGTTCACTTTTAGAAAATGTCCTTTCAAGATGTTCTCAAAAGAGGAGATGAATTTCTCTCTGATTACCCAAGAACTTCTGCTTGGTGGAATTTAGCTTCACATGCCACTTGTCTTGGAATGATTGTACCGGCCAAATTCTTTTTAAATGTACTTTATAATCCTTATTTACACAATATTGAGAAACTTGATGCTGCTCTCAACAAGGCTAGACTGGAAAATAGGTCTCTTCTTACGGTGATGAATCATATGTCTGTTGTAGATGACCCAACATTCTATGCCGCTTTACCCTGGAGATTCCATACTGACATTGATACAATTAGATGGGGGTTTGGAGCTCATAATGTTTGTTTCTCAAATGGTACCCTTTCATGGTTTTTCAATTTAGGAAAGATTTTGGGTACTCAAAGATTCGGACATGGTCCATTTCAAGGATCTTTAGACGCAGCAATTAGAATTCTTTCACCTGATGATACCTTAGATTTAGAATTCACTCCTGGAGTTAAGGATGTTGCTAAACCTTCACTCATCCAAGAGGCCAGTTTAAACCCAGAAAAGGTTTCACATTTAGTTCATAAGGTTAAACCTTCAGTGGAATCAACAAATTTATTAATGTCAAAATCTCCATTCATACGTCATAAGACTTCATGGTTCCATGTATTCCCAGAAGGGTTTGTATTACAACTTCAAGAACCACATCAAAACTCAATGAGATATTTCAAATGGGGTGTATCAAGATTAATATTAGAAAGTACTGTAGCACCTGTTGTTGTTCCAATTTATGCACTGGGATTTGAAAAAATTGCCCCTGAAAGTGCTGATGAAGGAAATCAAGGATTGAAAAGATGGTTACCTCTGAATATTGGTGCTGATATCCATATTGCCATTGGGGATGCCATTTCTGATGAACAAATCGAAGGATATAGAAAGAAATGGAGACAATTATGTGATAAATACATTGATATTGATAACCCAACTGATTTATCTCAAGAATTAAAGATTGGTGAAAAAGCTCAACAATTAAGAGCAGAAGTTGCTTCAGATTTAAGAGATGCTGTTGCATTCATTCGTACTTCCTTGGGAATTTTCAAACCAGAAGACCCTAGATTTAAAGACCCAAAGTTCTGGAAAGAATATACCCATACTGAAGGTGATAGTCACCCTGATGTTCAATTTGTTGGTAAAAATTGGGCTATTAAACGGTTGCAAAAGCATTTACCAGAGTTTAATGAAAAGAGAGAATAAAAGTACTGAAATGTGCTTCATATATATATAGACTATTGAACAAGTTTCTTTTTTGTCAACCACTTACGATCCTTATATAATATATACTAGAGAAATTGTTGATGTAGAGTTCACCAGAAAGTACAGGGGAGTAGTTCTTCTTTTTGAGTATGGGCCAAAAAAAAAAAAAGAAAGGCATAGACACAATTTTACATGCAGTCCTTTTTTTTGTAAGTATATCGAAGATGGGATCAATGAATAAGACAAAGGTTTAGAAAAATATATTTCAAACCATCTAGTTTTCTTCATCCACGCTCAAGATATGAAAGGAGCTCTTCACGTGCTTCGGAACTCGCGGCCCGTACCCGTAGTTAGAAACACGAGAAGTTTGACTGTACGGAGTGAAAGGTACCGATCAACATGGTTTAACCCGTTGAGTAAATTTCAAAAGAAATTTGAACCAACTTCAACCACCACCGACGTTATTATAGAAGAACCTACTAGCATACAGACCGGTAATGAGAAGGACCTGCCGATATTAAGACAGAGACTACTTATCAATGATCTCAAACATTACCTCAAAACTGATATACCTGGAACTCTTCAACAGAAAATTCTCTCCGAGAAGCTTTTACAAATATGTAAGTCTGAAATTGACTTTACTGATATGCAAACAATACCTATGATTAATAAAGTGTTCTTGAAGTTGTATAAATTGAACGGGAAGAAGGTTCATGGAGTACTTGAACTAGATGATATTTTAAATTTGTTTGAGAAATCAACTCTAACAGTGGGGAGTGGTAACCGAACTAATGGTAGATACGTTCCTGAGTACCTTGCAATTATTTCTAAACATCTTTTATTGCAACAAGAAGTGGTACCTTCTAAGTATTACGTGTATGTGGTGGCTTTAGGTAGCTCAGTTGCAAATACGGGACTTTGTCATCTGCTTCAACTTCTCTTTAATAATAAGGAATTGAAATTATCACCTGAGTTCACTACTAATTTGATCAAATATCAACAATATTATAATAAATTGGACCTTCAAACATTTGAAGACATTATTTCGACAGTAAAGAAATACAAGAGATATGAAATAATTGACGAAGGGTTGGTGAATGATCTTGTCAAGTATGTGGAATCATTGTATGATACTGTCCCAATTGTACACGAGTACAAGAATTTAGATAAGAACATAAACAGGGTAAGGTCAGTTTTGGAAGAAATGATCGACTTGTCAATTAAAGCCAATATTAATATTGAAGGGAAATTAAATTTAGCTAAAATTTGTCATGAAATAGAATCAGTAAGTTCTATTCAAATGGAGCAGAATGAGAGAATTGATAGTCAAACCATTTTAAAATGGATCAATGATCAAACTGATGATCAAAACTTAATTTTCGAACAAGTTCGTAGAACTATTTTTAAACAAGATCTTGGAAATGAATCTTTGGCAGAAATGTTATTGATCTCTACCAACAAATTATTACCACTTGGAAACATCTTGATTGAATACATTCAAGCAGATGATGTCAAATTTTCTCCTGAACTTCGATTCCAAGCGTCACTTTTAGGATTGGAGAGTAAAGGAAGTGAAAGTGAAATATATGACCAAGTTGAGTTTAAAGTGAAAGAGATTTTAGATAACCTGGAAGTAGAAATTGATCCATCATTATTATATACCAAGACAATTCAAGCAATTGTATTAACTGGTAAGGTTGCCCCAAGAGGGTATTTCACTCAAAAATTGATGGAATTATTCCGTTCATACCTGGTTGATCAACCTCTCTACTCTTTTAAATATCGGTTAGACAGGGCAATCCTTGATGGGAATTACATTCTGGCAGTCAATATCTTTGATGATAGTTTGGAACTGTTTACACAATGGCTTTCAGATTCAGATCCAATGATTAGAAGATCTTTAAATAGTTTGATTGTTTTGTTATGTTATAAGATGGATAATATCGAAGATATATTCCCTATTTTTACTAAGATCAAGCAACAAATGGTAAATTGTCAATGTGATATCTCAGCTATCAATGCAATGAGTTATAAAATGTTACAAACTCAATTTGTTGGTGATACTATTGAGTTTTTAAAAAGAGAACTTCCAGATATCAAAAAGGATGATACTATAAAACTTCCTATAGACGGAGTAGTAGGTCAACAATATTTGGAACTTTTTAAAACTTTGCATACATTTGTCTTGACATACACCGGAGAGGAAACATATGAAACTAATTGGGTCTTATATGGAGAAATTCATAAATATTTCCATGTTCCATCTGAATACTATCTTCCTGCCATGAAGTTTTTCTGTCAACACGACAGACTTAATGCTGCTCTTATAATCTTTAGACAAATGATTAGATTGAGTGAACTTCATGGTAAACACAACCATTTACCACCTCTGAGAGATATTTATGTATATCTCTTGCAAGAATTTGGTAATAAACTCTACGAAGAAGGAGTGGAAGAAGTTCATGAACGTCTTAAGATGGATTTGAACTTGCCTAAGCAAGACATTTTACTTCAAAACACAATTTTGAATGCTTATTCAAACTTGCAAGATATTTCTCGGGCGAAGGATGTTTTCCTTGCGATGTCCACCACCCCTAAGCAGGTTGGAGGCATAAATGAGGATACAATCCAAATAATGATCAAAACTTACACTTATAGTGACATTGTATACGTGAGAAAATTCTGGAATAATTTATCACAATATGGAATCATTCCAAATTATGGAATATATAAACAATATCTTATAGCTCATGTATATCATGGGTTACCAGAAGATGCCATACTCCTCACTGAAGAAATGAAAGATTACGATTTGGAGGTATCTCTGGATCTCCTCTTGGGAATGTATAATTATTCTTTAGAAGAGAAAGATCAACAAAAGATTTCTGAATGGGCCGAAAAGAAATATCCAGAACAATGGACCGAGGTGAAGAATTCAGGCTATTTAAAAGCTGCTGGAAAATATCAACCAGAAACATCTTTATTAGTGGAGGGAAAATAAACTGTAAATAGTGTACATTAAAAATATAAGAATAGACATCCCATTGGGTAAATATTAATAAGTACATCTCTAATAAAGCTCTCTAATAATGGATTAATTCTATTAAAATGCTTATGAACCTAATTTAGTGCTATTTACCTTTGTTGCAAACCTCAATGAATTTATGGTTTCTCCAAAGTTTTTCAATAAGGGAGATACATTTACAAACATCAATGTTTTTGACGATCCCCCTAAACTGTTCTTCAATAGATATGTCAATTTAGAGTTTCTATATGGAATGTGTAGTGCTTGGTTGGATTTCTGGCCTAACGCATGTATGACATCTCCCAAACAAGATAAAGATTTATTAATTGCTTGTGTTTCTTTTAATCTATCACCGGTGGCAAGTGAAGAAGCCAACCTTTCTGAACCTGCCAAATCAATCAAATTGAGAGTGCCTCTGCAAATCTTGTTGGTTTTGAAGTTTTTACCTTCTAATTTAAGAATGAAAATAGAGTGAGATCTTGAAGACCGTTCATTTGATTTGGTTGCAGCAGTAGATCTATTTTTCATAGCTTTATTCAAAATCTGATTGAATTGATCAGAAGATGTTAATGGGATCGAAGTTAAGTTTGTCACAGTAGTTGTGGAATCCGTTTCATTATGTTTAATATCAAGTTTCTTTTTGCTTGGCGCTAAAAGATCAATTAATTGTTCATTATAGATTTCAAGAAATTGTCCAACAAGTGAATATTCCCAATGTGTAGTTTTAAGTTCTTCGATATCATTGAAGATCTTTTGAATTGAAAGAGGGATCATACCATGTTGGGGATGAGACATTGTCCAGGTTTTTCCAGATCCTGTTTGCCCATATGCAAAAACACATACATTATAACCATCTAAACATGATTGAATAAGTTGTGAAACATCTTTAAAGATAGTGTTGTTGTCAGTATCCATTGAAAGAATTTGATCAAATTGAAATTTAAAAGTATTATTTCTCATTGAATATGAATGAATTGATGAATTTTCAGAAGTTGGATCTCTAGAAATTATCATTTCCTTTTTAGCGTCATGAGAAAGTGAATCATTTAAAATATCAAATGTTGTAAGATCCTTTGCAGCATTAATTGCATCTATTGGTGGTCTTATCCTACAATAAACCCGGATATTTCCCTTTAAATCTTGTAATCGATTATGAAGAACCCTCCTAGAATGTTCTTGTTTCGCCAATCCTTCTATAAATACTTTGGTTTCTTGTTGTAATCGAATAATCTCATCATCTTTACTTTGAAATGAATTTTCAACTTCTTTAATCATTTGTTCAATTCCATTAATTTCTTTTTGAATTTCCTCAAGTTGTTCTTCTTTACCATTTGAAATCTCCTTTAATTTATTAAATTCTATCAAAATCTTTTCATGTTTTGAATCAATCTCTAAATTTTCAATTTCTATTTCATCCTTCATTAATTTCTTTGATTCTATTGAATCTTCCATTTCTTCAATTTCTTCTCCTAATTTCACCAATGATTCATCCATATCTTGGTCTAATTGAATCATTCTTCTACTATGATCTTCCTTCATCCTTATAAGCTTCCTATTCAAGTCCTGTTCCTGCAGCTTGATGGTCTTTTCAATCCCTTCACATTCATTTTTCAATTCTAATTTTTCATTTTCAAATCTTATAACATTATCATGAATAATTTTATTTATATCATTTTCAGCCTTTAATGTTAAATCATGAATCTTTTCATCATGATTTAATTTTAATTTTTCAGTTTCTAATTCATATTTAACTTCTAATTCTTTCAATGATTCTTGTTCATGATGTTTTAATTCATTAATTTCTTCATCAACAATTCCCAATTTTTCCTTTAATTTAAGATATTGATCATCTAATTTGAAAACTTCAAATTCTTGATTTGCTGTTTGAGTTTGTAATGTCATAATTTTTGTTGAAATATTTTGAATTTCTTGTTGTTTAAACTCAATATCTCTATTCAATTTGGATACTCTTGTATTTTGATCGTTTTCTATTCTGGAAAGCCTTCCAATAATGCTCCGATTGGTGGTGGTTGGAATTAACAGTTCAACATCCATTGACAGTTTCCTTCTTTTATATATATTATCTTTAAATGGATATTGATTCTCTTTATATTGATTATCTAATTTTAATGAATTTAATGTTTTCGCAGCATTTATTTCAGAACCAATTCCAAATTTTGGTATATTGGATCCTTCATTTTGTTCAGAATATATATGGTCTTTTGGACCCATATTTCTAATACAAAAAAAAATTATATTTTGGTTAAAAACACTTTTAAAACACTTTTAAAACATTTAATGTAAACAAAAACAAATAGATGGGTCTTTGTGATTTAATCTCAAAACTTATTTAGAACGGACTGTATATTGTCCTCACATACTTTTTTTGTCGATCCCTGCACAAAGACCAATGCTCTTCTCGATGACATGTAGAAAGAAAAGTTTACTATAGTACAAAGTACCGTTTAAATTATCATTAAGAATAATAAGATAAAATGGTGGCAGCTTATAAGAAGCAGAAACTTGATAAGTCTGGAAAGGCCAAGAATGCTGGCAAAAAGGTGGAGAAGGTAGAAGTAGAACGTGAATCATCATCTGAAGAAGAACAAGCTTCTGAACCAGAAGATGAAGAAGAAGATGATGAAGAAGCACTTTCAGACCTTGAATCCATGAGTGACATGGATGAAAACGATGAAGTTGATGTAGCAGACGTCTCCTCATCTGAAGAAGATGACTCCGACGATGATGAAGATGATGAAAGAATCCCAAAACTTAAGAAAAAGAAGAATCTTGATGATGGATCAGAATCATTTGCCAATGCATTCAATGCTATTATTGGTTCTCGTTTGAAGGCATACGATAGAAAGGATCCAATTTTGGCTCGTTCCAAGACTTCCTTGAAGAAACTTGAATCTGATAAATTAGAAGCTAAGGCAAAGAGACTTATTAATGCCGAAAAGAAGGAACATCAAGATAACTGTCGTGTGAAAGTTTTACTTCCAGCAGCTGATAAGCCAGAAGAAGTTAGAACCCTTATAGAAAAGGAAAAGAAATTGAAGAAAATAGCTCAACGTGGTGTGGTGCGATTATTCAATGCCGTCTTATCCACACAAATCAAAACTAATCAAGACATGGATAAAGAAAAGGGATTGGGTGTAACTCGTAAGGAAGAACTCATGAATGAGATTTCCAAGGAAAAGTTTTTGGACTTGGTACAGGCTGCAGGTCAATCATAGTGTAAATTAGAGAATGAAAGAAGTTTAAATGAAGTAAATGATTAAAGATGTAGGTAGTGAGAAGTAGAAGATGACTATACTTACCCATATTTATCAATTAAGAATTCAGGATAAATGGTGGTTTAATTGCTTAGATTAAGTTTGATAGAATCTTTTCCAAGTTTCTGCGTACAGAACGATGAAAGTATATCATGTTGCCAATATAGTTAGATAGATACAAAGTACAAGTCATTTTAGACTTTGAAAGATTTAAAAATAGAGTAACTTTCATTCCAATGAATTAAAATAAGCCACGAATACAATCAAAAACTTGTATATTTTCCACCGATTTTTCAGTAATACCAAAGCAACAACTCCTTTAATTGCTTGGTTTGCAACGGACTTTTATACGAATATTTCCTCTCTCGTGCATGGATTCCGCGATGCCTTGCCCATTCTATGCCTATATTATGCAAGTGTTTTGGTGTTGAATAGAACTACAGCTTAAAGCCGAATTAGTTCCAAATTCCTCGGTCTTTATTTTTTTTCCATAATAACCCAGCTTGAATAACAGAAGCTGAAGGTACCGTCCATAAACTATTTGATACAATGTTAATATCGAGTCAAATAAATGAATTTAAGCGACTGCTAAAAATCGAAAGAATTCCAGAACAAGAAGAAGGAAACAAAAAGTATTTGTTCGGTTGCAACAAAAAAAAAGAGACGCAAATAAAAAACTCTTGGCTAAGATGGACAATACCAAGAATTTCATGGTTAATCCGAAACTCCACTATTACCGGAAGCTAGACTCGTAGGAAAACTTTACACCAAAGACAAAGGTCACTTACACACCTGGTAATGAAGTACACCGTTAAAAAGTAGTGGGCCCCTAGGTTGAAATAACGGGTAGTTTCTATTCAATTGATACGACTGAATGGTACTATATTCATCTAACAGCTACAAAGAGGAAAATTTCTCTATTTTTCTGCATAACGCAGGTATGATCACTTGGATGTATAGCCGTACATATTTTAATGGATGGAAATTGATTTTGACATCCAGGAAATCTTGGATATAAATAAACACCAACATTTTTTTAGAGGAAATCATGCAAAATTTGTACTTCCAATAGTGCTACAATACACAGAGTCGTTGTAGGGTTTTGAGTAATATATTCACTAATACATCTTTACTTCTGAGCAAAAAAATAAATAAGAGCTCGTGCTTTTTATCAAGGGGGCATTTCGGTATAATACTGGTCGCTACGTGATCAAAGAAGAAAAGTTCCACTAGTAAAAAAATAGCTCTACACCAGATCATTTATACAAATAAATAAGATGATAGAATTAAGAACAAAATGGAGAATTGCAGCTGCATGCTTATGGTGTTTCGGGTGTGGGTTTTCCGATGCTGCTCCTGGGGCTTTGCTTCCATATATTGAAGATTTCTATAACATTTCATATTCAATTGTTTCACTTATTTGGATGGCAAATGCAGCCGGATTCATTGTAGTAGCTGCATTCGCAGGCAAGATCCAAAAATGGTTTGGACTTCGAAAATCTCTATTGATAGGATGTATCTCATCTTGTATCATGTATGGAATGGTGCTGAGTGGTGCCCATTTTGCGGTCATAGTTGCGGGATTCTTTATGGGAGGAATTGGACTTGGAATCTGCTTATCTCAGTGTAATGTCTATCTTTCCCGATTAGATGGCGGGTCTATTTACTTGGCGTATTTACATACAACCTTTGGTGTAGGTGCTACGGTTTCTCCTCTTATAGGTACTGCAATGGTAAACAGTGGGGTAAAATGGCATTATTTCTACACCATTCTCCTTGGAATAATAATTGCTAATGGTGCAAACTTATGGTTTGCATTTGAGGGAGAAAATTTCGCCGAAACTAACTCATCCGATCCAAAAGATTCAGAAGCAGTAGTTCCAGAAGAACTCGAAGGTCAAGTCACCAGTAAGAATGCTTCCTCAGGTGAAATGTTGGAAGCAATGAAAAACAGATCTACATGGTTAATGTCATTGATCTCTTTGTTCTATCAAGGAGCAGAGGTTGCATTTGCCGGTTGGATTGTTACTTACCTAATGGATTACAAAAAGGGTAGTACAAATGCAATAGGTTATGTTGCTTCAGGATTCTGGGGTGGTCTTACACTTGGTCGCCTCTTCCTCACCCCTTTACTATTCAAATACTGTGGTATTCGTATGAGTTTCTACATAACAGGGGTGTTAGCGATAGTTATGGTAGTGGCCGTGTGGGTAACACCAAATATTATAGCATCTGGTGTCTTTGTGGCCATTGCAGGAGTTTTAGCTGGTCCAAACTATACCTTAATGTTTGCTATAACTCCGCGGATGTTTCCTAGAAAGATTCAAATGATTTCAGTTACTTTCATGACCGCCTTAGGATCTATCGGTGGAGCTATTTTCCCATTTGTAGTGGGGTTAATATCTCAATATTCTGGTACATATGTGGTACTTCCAGTGTTTGTGTCATTGTATCTGGTCATGGTTATTTTATGGTTAGCCTTACCAAATGTGGAGAAAGACTTTAAGGCGGGTACCCCATGGTGGAAAAGAATCTTGTGATGCATTACTCAAAGTAGTACTATCCGAGATTAATTTGGAAACCATTCCGGAACATAATTTTCAATAATATAGAACAAATGCAATGCAGGTGGTGTACCAGTTCTGAGGCGCAAAAAAAAAAGAAGATGCAACCCTCTTCTAAAATCCGCCCATGAATATTCACATTCACTCCTAGTTCAATTATATGTCTTATTTTTCAGAAAAAAATTACAAATTTGAATTTATGATTCATTCCAGCAGATGTAGTAATTATGTTGACACTTGTATCAGATTTTTTCTCCCCGATATTATAAACTTTTCATCAGTACTCAAATTTTAAAGCTATACCCCAGAATATGCAAATTTTGCACATTAGCGTGGAGAAAAATGCGATCCCCGGCATTGTGGTAGATTTGCCGAAAATCTTTTCTAGTAACATTATTTTTTTCAATCTCAACCCGCCTTTGAATTTCTAATCTATTAGGAAAATTGAATTGGTCACACTTTCCAATATAAATGAAACAATATAAAACCATTACTTGTATAAATTTTCCAAAAAAAAAAAATTTCAGAAGAAGCAAATATAATAAAACCCCCTGCTATCGAAATATCTTAACTTTAGAGTGACAAATCATAGTAATTGAAACACGTTGTTAATCATTTAAGTTGCATAATAATCCGATTCCTGTACAAAACGTACATGAATTTCATCCCACCGGCTGATCTTGATCTGGACTCTGTACAACAACTCACTTCAAGTTTATTCGAAAAAGGTTATATGATGCCGGTAAACGGAACGAGGGACTCCATATCTACAGACCCTGGAAGGTCTGGGATATCAGAATCAATTGATAGGCCAGAAAATCCAAATACGGGGGTGCTGCAAGATGATGGAGACAATGCAAGCGGTTCCCATGTCACAAGAAGACAATCTATTCGTCCATCTGATCGTACAGTCTCGGAATCTGTAGTGCCTCTTTATAATTCTATTATTCAAAACATTCCTGAATCATTACCTACAACTCCAGGTTATGAGGTCACTCAGAAAATGTTTGAACAAGATATGACTTCCAGCTTGCCAACGCAGAGACCAAATTTGTATAGAAAGGATACTCAACAAGCGGAATTGGGGAATAGTTGGTCAGCTGATTTGGGAGGAGCTATTACCAGACTACTTACTAATCAAAGAGATATTGGATCTATCAGAGAAAATGATAATGAGAGACTGGTTATAGAAGTAGAGTCAGAACCTGTCGATGAAACTACCCCTGTAATGACATTTAGAAACCCACCAAAGAACCTTTGGAGGGTTTGTGCATGTTGTATTTGGGCATTCACTAATGGGTTTTCCGACGGTACTCCGGGTGCTCTTTTACCATTTATCGAAGAGTATTATAATGTATCATATTCCGTGGTATCACTTATTTGGATGTCCAATGCTGTGGGATTTATTATGGTGGCTCTTTTCTCTCATAAGATTGAGCCTTGGTTTACTAAACGTCAAGCACTTACCCTCGGATGCGTATTTTCCACTATTATGTTTGCCTTTGTTCTGACGGGGTATAAATTCCCGTTAATTGTATGTGGGTTTTTCTTTGGAGGTGTTGGTGTAGCCACATGTTTATCCCAAATGAATGTCTTTATGACAAGATTAGAAAAGTCCTCGACGGCATTGGGGTATTTCCATGGGGTTTATGGGTTGGGGGCAACAGTATCACCATTGATTGGTACATCCTTCATCAATAATGATATCCCTTGGCATTATTTTTATTTAATTCTAGTCGGTTTACTGTTGACCAATGCAATTAATATTTGGTTTTCATTTGAAGGTTCAGATGAAGACTTGGCTCCATGGGATAATAAAGAAGATGTACTGACCGAAACAGTGGTGAAAGAAGAAGAAGAAGCAATTAATACAGGACATGAAGAAACCGTCATAGGATTAACCAATCTCGGCAGAGGAGGGAAATCTAAAACTTCTCGTCAAGGTCCACATGCACCAGCGGTTCCACATGGGGACATGGCTGCAGCTTTAAGTAACCGTATTACATGGCTTATATCCTTCTTCGTTTTATTTTACCAAGGATCGGAAGTCTCTATGGGTGGTTGGATTGTTACGTATTTACTCAATTACCGTCATGGTAACCCCAAAAGTGTTGGTTATGTTGCATCGGGGTTCTGGTTAGGGCTCACTTTAGGTCGTCTTGCACTCACTAGACCTTTCCACAAGTATGTTGGTGCTAGAAGAGGAATCATCATTATGTCGGTTTTATCCATCCTTTTTGTTGTCTTAACTTGGGCTATTCCTAGTGTTATTACTGCTGGGGTATTTGTATCGCTTGCCGGAGTTTTCATTGGCCCCACATATCCTCTAATGATCTCATTAGCTGCCAGAATGCTTCCAAGAAAGATTCAAGTTGTTTCCCTTACAATCATGACAGCATTTGGCTCTTCTGGTGGTGCAATTTTCCCTTTTTTTGTTGGACTTATATCCCAATTTGCTGGAGCTTTTGTAGTTCTTCCAATCTTCATTGGACTATATACATTGATGCTTATCATTTGGATTTGTTTACCAAATGTTGAAGGTAGAGAAAGGTATGATGGTAAAATGACTTGGTGGCAAAGAATTTGGTAAATTTTATTTAATTAATTAATCTATAGATTTAAAGAATATTATAATTAGATCAAAGTATATATATATACCATATATTGGGGGATTGTTAAACAGAAGGTTAAAACCCTCTATGTCCCCATTCCATATATAGAAATTGTATTTTCCTGTATATAACCCGTATATGGTTAAGTAAGATTAAATGAATCCAAATCAGTCACCTTTTGTATGCTCATATACCCTTAGATTTAACACGAGAATGTCAACCAGGCCACAGCAGGATCAGCTTAGAGATATCCATGAGGTTCACCTGGAGACACAATTGGAACTTCTACCCATGGTATCCAATCAAGATCGTACTGGACCTGCCACAAATACACCACTTCAATCACGCTCTGAAGGTCCAAATCGAGACTATGCAAGCTTAGAACTTAAGATTTTAAACTCTCGTCCTCAATATTATCCACCCTTAAACTTCTCTCTAGTAGAAGATGGAATATATAGGTCAGGATTCCCGATGCCGATAAATTATCCGTTTTTAGAGCAACTCGGATTAAAGACAATCATTTATTTGGGAGACTTGGGAATGGAAAAGAAAAAGTCAAAAAAAGATAAACCTAAAAAGGATTCAAAAGAAAAACTGGAAAAGAAACCCAAGGACAAGCATGGTAGTACTGAAATCTTGGATAGTTATAAGAAATGGGTAGCTGAAACAACCGATGCTAAACTTTATCATTTACCCATGGAATCATCACAGGAACCATTTGTTCTGGCCCAAGTACAGGCCCAAGAATCGCTTACAGCTGCTCTCCAATTAATGTTAGATAAAAATAATTTCCCCATGCTTATTCATTCGAATAAAGGGAAACATCGCATTGGTGTTCTCGTTGGATTAATGAGAAAACTACTTCAAGGATGGTGTATGAGTGGAATCTTTGAAGAATATGAAAAGTTTGCCATGGGTAAGTCCGAGTATGACTTGGAATGTATAGAAATTTGGCAACCCGAATTATGGGTTGATGAGGACTCAAAGCCGGACTTTGTGCGGCTGTAATTCGCCAAAATAATTCCTCCATAGCATTGCAAACGTGATAATTATACATCATCATAAACTTATCAATATATCCCCATTACATTATGATTATCTACATTTTAAATTTGGTATAATTCATATATTACATACACATAGATACATAATTCTCACATAACGTATTGAGATCATGAATATTCACACTACAACATTACCACCCCCTCACCCTATCGCTAGTGCCAATAGAAAAGTTTTAAAAATCTATCAACTCAACAGCCTTCGATATATAGTATATACTTCTACAAAAGTCATAATTCTAAGTCATTCCCCAATTATTTCTCTATTTAGAGATAATGTAAATGATTTCAAATACTCAAGCTTTGTCCTTTAATTCTCTCAATTTATCCATTATAGAGTCGGCATCCTCAAGACCAGTTACCTTGAGAATTTGAGGATCCGAGAGACGCATGAAGGGATTAAATTTCAATTCATCACCAATTGTGAATACCCCAGTAGTTTTCTCGTTCTCAGAGAGGTACTTCTCTAATCTTGCAATATCTTCATTTTGTAACACTGTACGAGAAAATTTAACATTTGATTTGGTGTACTCATGACCAGGATACGTCTTGGTCGAAGCTGGGAGTTTGGCAAGAATCTTGTTCAATGAATGGTTCATTTCAGCACCTGTGCCTTCAAAGAAACGACCACATCCACTGACAAAAAGAGTATCACCGGTGAAGACACCCTTTTCACCTGTACTCAGATCTTGCACGAAATAACAAATGGAGTCTTGGGTATGACAAGGGGTATGCAAGGCTGTAATAGAAAGATTATCCCCCAAGTCAATTACCTCTTCATGAGTTGGTGTATATGTTACTAATGGAGAATCCTTGCCACCAATAACCGGGAGGTCCGGGTACTTGCTATGGAATGCCCTGTTACCACCTGAATGATCATTATGATGATGGGTATTGACAATGGCCTTCAATTCAAAATCATTCTTAACTTGCGAGAGATAAGCTTGAACTTCCTCGGGTTCAGCTGGATCAATTAACCATGCGTGTTTAGTTGGAGTATCAATAAGAAGGTAAGCATAATTATCTCCTGTTCCCCATCTCATAGGGATGGCTTTGACGTGCATGGCGGCTTTGGATAATCTGATGGTAGAGTGAAAAAGTTGACGAGATAATTGACGTCTAATAGGGAGCATTCACTGGTTTGTGACTAATAGCAAAGAGTACCCGGCCCAGTAACAAGATTGCCGCCCCCAATGTCATACTTATGTCTCCGCGCACAAGTTATGAGCCTTTTTTCTGTCTGGGTGTGTGCGCGCGCGTAAGCAATTCCACAATGACGACTACTTACCACTGTGTGTTGAAATAGAATTGAAGGAAAACTTCGTAAGAATGACGGAATAATAGCCTTGAGTTCGGGAAAAGTTGCCTGTTCCAATGGTGGAAATTGTGATTTTATTTTATTTTGTATTTTACCTGGATCAAGAAATTACATAGTTCCCCTTTGTGAGGTTCTCCCAGTATGGTTTATGGTCATGTGATAGATTGTAGAATATGGAATGAGTTCCCAATATAAGTACAAGTTAATATATTTAACTATATCTATATACTAAATTTTAGGATCGACTGAGAATACTAGACTGGAAAGTTCATCTAACTATATCCAATCCTATTTCTTTTCCCAAGACTTTGCAACCATTCCTTCTGGTGGACTTGTTTCGAATGTTTTAGTCTTTGCTTCATCCCAGTTAGTGGTCAATACTGTTCCATTGGATTCTACATACGATTTCATCATTGCTCGGCGGGTATCATCGTCGGTATCTTTGTACAACTTTGCAAAGAAGTCGCTTTCAGAGTTATCAACTTCATCATCATCATCGGTGACTTTGAAGTTGGACCAATTAACTGCCTTTTTTGATGAAGTTGGGTATGCAGTTACAGGAAGGTTTTGTTTCAGGTCGGTATTGGCTGAGGTTTGAATAGGTTGAACGGTATCATCGTCACCTGATCTTTCAAGTGAATTCCATTTTAATGATTTATCCACTTTAACAAGAGTTATTTCAAGTTTAGTACCATAAACTTTGAACGTTGATTCTGTTGAGTTGATTTCAGCAAATAATGGATCAAGATTATAATTATATTCAGAATTAGCCGCACTTGGGAAGGAAATAGATACTGACTTGTTAGAAAATTGAATTTTAAGAGTATCCGGATTGATGTTTTTAGCGTAAATTGTAATGATCACCGCTGAACTTGATTGATACCAATCATCTCTTATTTTAACTTTAAGAGGGGCATGCTTATTGATTGTATCTATATGGGTTGATCCAGTAGTAGTATTGACAGGAGTTGGTGTAGAAGTGGGAGTATTCCCACTGGTGCTACTACCACTCTTATCACTAGAAGCATTCTTTTTAACGTCATACTCTGCCTTTGCCTTCCAATTACTTAATGTTTGTTCTTGACAATCAAATTCTTCAGCTTTTTGTATATTCTTCAACGCTACTTCGAAATCTTTTTCTATGTAGAATATAAGTCCTAATCTGAAATAACATAAACCTATATCTGATCTTTTACCACGCAGTTCTGCAACTTGAAACGCTTCTGAAATATCTCTTTTGGCTGCATCAAGATTCTTCAATCTTTGATATGCAGTTGATCTTTTTAATAATGCTTGGAATGCCTTTGGATTTTCTTTGAGAGCAAGTGAATAGTTCGAAATTGCACCGAGGAAATCTTTTTCATCGAGACATAAATCACCTCTCTTAATATGTTGTTCAATTGCCATTTTATATAGAATGTTAAGTTATACCAAATGGGATAGATCAGGTTTATTTTATCAAACAGGATTACAAACCAATTTGTTAATTGGCGGGTGTCACGTGAATTTGACACACTAAATCTACAGAATGATGCTAAGGTATATTATGCTTGGTTTTGAATTTAATTAACTCTATGCAAATATATATATTAAATGGTAATGATGTAATAAAATGGCGACATTTGTAAATACACAAGGTTGTATGTAACCATATTCTTAAAAAAAAATTCTCTCTCAGGTTCTGAAATATTTGAATTTTAGGCAGCTACCAATGAACGAGTGTATGTTGACAAATGTACTTGTATGTCCCTTGACGCTGTATATCAGGGTATAACTGTTTCTGTCAGCTATCTATTAACATTTAATATTGGCGATTGGACCATTTGATTTCTCGGGTGATTAATTCTAATATACATGTTGGAAGCACGGGTTGAAGCTTTAAATCACATTCATATTTATTATATCTCAAATTTAATTATTTATTCATTTGTTAGTTTTTCTTAACTCATCTGTTCTTGTTTCGATAAGAGATTAACTTGAGCCTTTATAAAACTCAATAAAACACTTCAATTTTAAACGGAAGACAAATCTTCTAATTTGACTGGCTGATACACTTTAGTCTTATTGCCATACCAGTCTTTCCAAAATTACCTGAATTATCGTGATCAGACTCTGGTGATCAGTCTCCTCCTGGAGAGCCGTTATATAGAGAGCGCCTCATGTTTTTTATCCCTATTTTGGCATAGTGAGCATTTCTTGAACACATAGTAAGTGACAAATCTGCGCTTTTCCATAGTGAAATCTTCACTATTCAATTCTTTACCAATTATCATTGTAATGTTAAGCGCAGGTAACAGATTGTGAAGGCGTATATGAATGTGGAATGACATTTTTAGTCTCTAAATAAATTGAATAGGTAGTTAATTATACTTTTGTATTGTAAGGCTGCTGAAATTTTATTCTTTTATGTGCTTCTTATCGATCAACAACAAATAATGGATAAACTGGTACAGAAATAAAAAAGGAATCAGTAAAATGGGAGGTGGTTCTTTATAAACACGAGGATTCAAAGCATGTTAGCGGAAAACGAAATGAAGAATTGTTGTTTCAAAGCTCGTTTTATGCAGCTTTTGCTATATATTTTCATATTATTTCAATTGTTCGTAAAATCACATTTGTTAGTCTCAAAGTAGACATCCTTTTAAGCCCCCGAAGCTTCATGATTATCGAATTACCTAACTTATATTCTTTTGCACTTGGGTGCAAGAATGATGCAGCACCACCTTCTGGTTGATTAAATATTATTAAGAGGAATTTTATTCAATGTGTACTAGTATAAAAGGATTCAGCCGGATAATATCTGATGTTTCTAGTGGGCATATGTCTTGGTTTTAACCTGTTCATGTTTTCCGTCCAAAATCAGTACCTGTTTTATTTTAACGTTAAACTTCAAATTTGAGCAATAAAATTAATTATGGAAGATAAGAAATTATTCTGGGAAAAATACAACAGCAAATATGTACAATTTATATGTTGTATCTTATTTTAACTAACAATTAATTTTGGCTATTCAATAATATATAATGAATACTTAACGTACCATGAACGCTAACTGCATGTTTTGTGTTGCTTGGTAGAGACAATTTGATTTTTGCAGCCATAACTACTGGTTTTGTACTTCTTCACTGTGTTACTATCTTTTTGTTTCTGCAGTGCATCTTACAATAGAAGTTTATCTCAAAAGTGTATCTCCCCATCTTCCTGGATACATCACTTTAAATCCATCTCCCCTATTCATTCATTCCATACACTCTTGTTTTTTATTCTAAGAACTGTTTACGGGGCTCAAACCTTGTAAGAGCATACTGCGAATGACGTATGATAATCATACAATCGAATCCATTCTACATTGTACTTTCACAAGGTAAGCAACCAACACAAAAATATGATTTTTTGTAACAAAATGAATGAATGACCACATCTCATGTCTAACAATACATTGGTCATATATCACATATATGTTTTTTATCGTGGCAAACTATTTTAAGGGTTTGTCCTGCATTCCACGTGACTGTATTTTTACCTAAAATTTCTTACCTCAGTTTGTGTATTCTTTTCTTTTTCTTGTAATTTTTTAATTTTATTTTTTGGTTTTAGAGTATTTTAACCAATATGATTTTATCCCCTCTTAAAATCTGTGCGATTTTTTATAAAACGGATTGATTACATATCTCCAACCATTAACATTAAAACAAACATATTTATAGAGAGAATATTAGCAGGAAGTATCCAACTCGAGGAAACTGAATACTAGTACGTCCTAGACCCCTGGAACCCTTTTGTTGCATCCCGACCAAGAACCAAAAACAGGCAATCTAAAGCCAACCAATTGAGTTTGTGTACTACAAACTTTCGTATACAAAGTAAAATGTCTAAAAAGCTGTCACCTTCCCCCAAGGGATCACCTGCAGTGGTTCCTACTAAGATTGACATCCCACCGTCAGTATTGGCCATCTCAAACCTTAGATGTCCATCACCACCACCAATATTGAATAAGCCTTCGTCAGATAAAGATAAATCTGAGAAAGAGTCTGTCAAGACTTCTGAGAAGGTTATGCCAACGGGGGTTATTTTGAGAAAGGAACAAGAAAGAACCAAGGGAAGTGAAGAACTGAAGGCTAGTATAGATTACCTTACGAGCCCACCAACTCAAAGTTCTCACCATAAGGCTCCATCTGTTCATGCACACTTTTTTGTAGATCAAACATTGAAACCAAATAAAGAAAGTCGTTCAAGAAGTGGATCTAGTGCAAATGCGTCTGATTACCTGGTACCCTCAACCCCGATGATAGTCCCCGACAAGGCAAACCCACCTTCCAACGTACCTAGCAATGGTGAACAAAATGCCAATATTGACCCAAGATTACCACAAGATGATGGCAAAATTCATATACTTCTTGGTGTATGTGGAGCACTTTCATCAACTAAAGTGAAATTGATCATCAACAAACTTTTCGAAATCTACACTCCAAATAAACTTTCTATTCAATTGATTCTTACTGAATCAAGTGAGAATTTCATATCTCAAGAAGTGCTAAATTATTTGGAGCATACTAAGAAGATTAGAATCTGGCGCGATTCAGACGAATGGACAACCTGGAAGTCTAGAATGGATCCGGTATTACATATAGAACTTCGTCGTTGGGCAGATATCTTGGTTGTTTGCCCATTGACAGCAAATACACTTTCCAAAATTTCGTTAGGTTTATGTGATAATTTACTTACAAACGTTATAAGGGCTTGGAATACATCATATCCAATCTTATTGGCACCATCCATGGTAAGTTACTCGTACAATGCAATTACCACCAAGAGACAACTCAGACTTATTTCAGAGGAAATGCCATGGTTTGAAATATTGAAACCGGTTGAAAAAGTTATTGGAAGTTATGGAGATATTGGAATGGGGGGAATGATGGATTGGAATGAAATTGTAAATCGCATAGTTTTGAAATTAGGCGGATATCCGGATGAAGATGACGAAGAAGAGGAAGAGAGCAATAAGAATGATAATGACGACGCTATAATAGACGAAGAGGATGACAAAGATGAGGACGACGACGATGATGAAGATGATGATGACGACGACGATGATGACGATGACGATGAAATAGGATCTACAATTAAAGGGGTGGATCAAGTAAGCATTGTATAATCTCGTGTACCTACCCTGTATAGATAATGTAATATAATAGGTATGAAACTGTATTCTATTTAAGATAAACTATTTAATTGACGAATTCTTTCATTTCTCCACATTTGATACTCATCTCCTATTATAGTGGAGCTATCAAGGCTGGTGTTCTCATTATGGTTGGTATACTCCTCTTTCATGTACTCCGAAGGTTTAATTGGAGACAAGGAGTACTTGTTACAGAATGAATTCTCCTTATCATCAAAGTCACGAGTAGGTGAGGCACTAAATGTACTGAAACTTGTCTTCAAAGGGGATAATTTTGACAGAACTGAGACATCAGAATAGTGGTCCACATCAGTTGCAATTAGTGGAGTGTTCAACGGTTTCAACCTGGAACCGACCAAATTTGACAAATTGGAGAGATGTCTAGTAGCTCTCATTGGACTAAGCATACTAGAGTCGTAGTTTTTAGATTGAGTAGAAGGTGCAGACATCGATTTGTCAGGTGTTTTCCTTTGTGGAGATACTGATGGTTTTAATGGTGACTTGTTGCGACTAGTCGAAGAAAAAGTTGGATGAGCTGCACCTGGTGAACGGACATTTTTGATAGGAGATGATTTATGATCAAATTGAGCTTTTGTCACTTTATTTGGAGAGTTTATACTACCAGCTTTTGTTCTTGGTTTTGCTCTTACATTTCTATTCAGTGATTGTGACTCAATCATGATAATTTTTTCAAAGAAATCTTCACCATGAATAGTCATTGGCTTGTTTCCTTCGTTCAATTGAGCGTTATTATACTTGATAACCTCAGATTTAAGCTGTTTTATAATATTAGGAAGTCCTTTATTAATCTTCTTTCTGATTTTTTCTTCATTTAATAATATTTTGCAAGAATTCTTACTGAGTAATCTTGACGAATCTTTAGAAGATTCTTGTAGGAATCGTTGATCCTTTAACAATTCATTCAATTGAGTATACAATCCAAGAACCGATGATTTAGATTGATATTCTTCTTTAAGACTGGAGAGTTCAGCTTCATGATCATTCAAAACGGTTTCTTTATCCAAACTATTATTTTGGTTATAATGATGATATTTGAATGACTCACGTTGAGTTTCAGATTTAAATAATAAATCATTCAATTCTTCAATCTCTTTCCTTGCATCAGCAATAAAACTTTCAATAAATTCTGATCTTCTTACATATAATCGATTTAATTCAACTTTAAAGTTTAAAAGTGAAATATCAGTTAATTCACTGTTTGCTCTGATAAAACTTTCAACATAATTTGGATCTTCTCTAAGTTTATCCCATAATTGCAGACATGAAGTAAAATAATTATCCCAACGACTTTGCTTAGCATCTTTAATTTTAGATAAAATCTCTGCTATACTATTAATATAGCCCAAATGATTATCACTAAGTCCAAATTCTCTAGGATTATTTTGAATAAATCTCAAAGTTTCAGAATCTAAACAACCACCACTGGTATTACCTTGAGATCTGTCACTACACACAGAAGCATTGATATCAAACTTCCTCTGGATGGAGACTAATTGTTCCTCATTTAAATGTAATGTTTCAATAAGTTCAAAACATGAGTCAATAGCATTTTGCATGGCCAGCATGCGACTATTTAATTCAGTTTCACAACTTTCAATTTCCTTTCGTAATTTATCTAATACTTCATTATTAATTTTGGTAACTTTTAAATTTCGTATCACTCTAACAATTTTATAATTCACTTCACGAAGTGCTCCCATAAGATTATTAGAATTTGAAGTATGTTGATCTTTATAATTTTGACCCTCAGTTTCCTTTAATTTTTCATTTTTTCTTGGACTTGATATGATAAAATTATTATCATCCGCATTACCAAACAGATCTTCTTTTGATGGTCTTAATAAATCTACAATTGATTCAAACTTATCAATTAATTCTCGATGTTCATCTGCCTCAGTCCTGCTGGGCAATGAACCAATTAACAGATCATTATCTTCAGAAGAATAATATTCTCCTATACTTTCAAGAATGTCCAATCTTATTAAATTTGATTCCGTGAATTTCTTAAAAATATCAATGAAATTTTTAAGGACATCCAAAAACACACCATTAAGTTTACTCTTTTGCTGTAAAAGACTTAATTCAGGGATATTATTCATCATGTACTCATATTGTTCAATTGAGTTACTTTTATCAACAGTGGAAGTGACATTAAATGGTGAACTTGCATAGAAGTTTTGTTTACGATTTTGGATTTTGGATATCTTAGTAAGAATATCTTCTTTAAAACCTCTTTCATACATCTCCTGGTCATTGAAAACCATCCCTCTACGCATCAAGCTAAGAGTTTTACTACCATTATTATCATCCATCATGGCAATAATTATTCTGATTTGTTGACGGAGCCATTCACATTCATTTTCTATATTACTTTTCTCTCTTTGGAGATTGGTAGTGAAATTAGTTATAGTATCTTGTATGACACTGAAAATCTCGGACTTTTTGATGGCAGTTTCAGTAGATGAATATCCAATTTGATTATAAATCAAACTAAGTTCATGTATCGTATTATTTACATTATCAGCAATCTTTCCAAATTGGTTATGTGATTCCTTATAGTAATTCTCTTCAGCGAGGGTAGTTTCTAATTCCATCAGATCTCCTGGCTCCTCAAGCATTCTTGATGTTATTCGTGAACTTTTCTTGGTGGGAGTTATTGGATGATGTACATTTAATATTGAAGTGTCCCTATTCAAGTCACGACCTGTGATGCTCATGAAACTCATGGGTGGCTATCGTTTTTTCTTATTCGATCTCTATTAATTTAATTGTGAAGGGTGTTTGTGTGTGCTGGTAACTCTTTACCTTTGAGTAAGTGCGGTATAGATCCTACAATTGTCATTTTCCCGTCTGCGATTGTTATTGATACCTTTTGGCATTTTTGAGATCGATGCCAGTAAACAATTCATTTTAACCGTTTTTGGCCAAAATGTAAACATCAACAATTTTTTAGTTGCAGGAAAATTCAACAATAGAAGAATTAGTGCGATATTCTCTTAATTGTAAAGGATTGGTTTTGTGTTTGTGCAAGCCGCCTCATACAATCAAGAATCATGAACCCCCATCTTTGCCCCACCTGTCAAAAGTAGAATGGATGTAGAGAGATGAAACATTTGAACCTGAAATGGATTATAAAGTGTGTATATGTTGATGGTTGGATACCAACTCTCTCTTACTTGAGTGGTTGTTTAGTTAGAGATGCACTTTCAAAAAAAATCAATTAAGGGAACTTCAGTTTTTATAAATCATCTATGAGGATTTACCATTAAATGATTTCTAATGGGATAAATAACCATATTTACAATTATAATACCAAGAATAAAATTATCATCAATAATTCTTGAAAAAAGTGGAGTAAATGAATTATCATTCTTGAAGTGATGCATACACGATAAACGTTAATTTACACCTTGTGCGGAGGTGCTTCAAGATATTCCAAAAATATTTCGAATATAGTGGTTTAAACTGACCAGTGCATAGTAGTAGTCCATCTAAGAAATAATTGTGTGAGTAAGTTATCGTTAAATCCAAAGATGTTTCTTCTACAAGTAAATTTAAGTTGTATAATTAATTTCATTAATTCATGACTTTAGTCCTTTTTATGTTCAATCTCAAACAATAGATTCGAGATTTCATCTCCAAGGTTAATTTCCCCTTCTTCTTCATACCCACCTCCAACTAGTTCATCTGTAACATTTTCTTCAAGTTCTTCCTTTTCAATAAATGAAATCCGGTCAACCAGTACCTTTTTAAGTTCACTTCTCTTTTTCTGATTCAGAAGAATACCATATTTCCTATAAACAAACCCTGAAACTTCCCAGTTTAACTCTCTTGCAATCCTAAACACTTCCTTAACGGGAGTAGCCTTTGCTTTCACTCCATGCTTGACAAGTTCTCGGTACCACATTTCTGCTTGTTCGAATTCATTTCTAGAATAATGGAACATAATGAAAGGATAAATTTGGTTGAATGATAATGGTAACCCTAATGAACGAGATTTTTTGATCACATTTGCTGCAAACACATAATCTTTATGAACCATTAAACTAGAATAGATGAGTAAATCATATAGATAAACTGTATGTGAACCCAGCAGCATTACTTTATTTTCATGGAAACTCTCAAATATCTCCTTCGCAAGTGTATAATTATTCAAATTTTCATAAACATCCATTTTTTTACTGTTAGGTTGACGTTTTAATAAATATTTCAAAAATAAGGTTATGATTTTATCATCATGTTGATAATTCTTCAATTGTGGAACATGTTCCATATACGAATGATAAAGAGGGCGTAACTGTTGATAGATATTTTCCTTTTTCATTGTCTGTAACACAGTTTGATAAAGTCCAGAAAGTGCTTGACTGGATAGTCTCGACTCTTTAAGCTTTGGATCAACATTTGCTATCTGGATTGAATTTTCCCAATGTTCAATGTCATTATCACTACCATAAATCACTTTTAATAATTGAAGCTTATGGAATAATGGTATATTTTGGGAAAATGCCAACATGTATCCTAATAAAATCTTGGGTTCTCTTGGATATTTTTGAATGATTAATGACAAAATTTCTTCAACTAAAATTTGCTTTTCATCCTTTGTTTTATCATTTAAATTTATATTTTTCATCAAGATTAATGCTTCATTATAATAACCTTGACGTCTTAAATTATTCATTACTGCAATTAAAGTTTTGAAATTAACTTCCAAGTGGTTTTTAAGCATATACTTTAAGACTTTAATACAATGTTCAGATCCTTTAAACACCATAATATGGTTTAAAATAACGTAGAGAACTGATTGCAAATCTTGAGTAATTGATGTATCTAGAGGTTTCTTTGTTGAAATTGAAGGATTTGTCTCTGGATCATTTTGAAATTTACATTTCAATTCAAATTTTTCAACGAGTAAACTTAAATACAAATTAGATTCGATCACATCTTCTTGTTTGATTGCATATAATGCATAGTTACGAAGTTCATCCATGGAATAAAACTGAACCATTTTTTGTTTATGCAATTCGTCAAAGTCAACCAATTGTGTATCGTGCCACTTTGCATGAAGTAAACCAGTTCTTAGAACATACTTCTCCAAATTGGAACCTCCAGCCAAGACCGATTTAATAGGATTGAGTTGATATGGAAGGTATGGTTGAATGTTGAGATTAAATAAACAAGAAAAGAATGTGGCATAATCTGATCTCGGAATTAGTTTTGATATTTTATTGAAAAATGAAGGTTTCCATATGATTGGAATTTCATTCATTCTTTGTATCGATGCAAGGGTATCCAAGTACTTGAGAATAGGTTCCAGAGACTCTTGACTCTTTAGTATGTATTCCAAAGTTGAATTTAATAGTTTATGCCATGATGGATTAGATGGGGTTGTCATGTATGTTAAGATGGATTGTTTAATTATATCATTTTTATAGAATGCAGACAATGCCGATACTATTCTATCGGTTAGTTCATTGTCTGCTATGCACATGAGCAATATAGATGCTCTTCTAGAGTCAGAAATGATATTTTCATTCACTAGTTCAGTGATATGCCAACAAAATTTATCAGTTTCAGACACATTTTTATATGGAATCTGAAGTAAATGCATATATTCAGCCGGCTTGAGAGCCCGGATCTGCTCTTTATCCATGCTGTATAATGGATTTGGGTAAGTATCCAATGGAGTATTTGCAATTTCAATGCTTTTACGACCAGAAAAGAGTGACAGTTGAAGGTTGGGTCGTTGATAGGAAGGTTTCAGAATCGAGACTGTTGATAGTTTCCGATTAATAGATCCCATCCTATCAGCACCACGACAGCTACAGAAACATCCCCTCCTTCCAAGACATCTCACAGTGTTTCGTAGCATCTCTTATATCTCTGTCTACTATCTAAGAAACCCCCTATTGATCTAGATTTGTTTTACACAATTGAAAAATCCTAAAAAATCATTTTTAGTCTTTAAAAAAAAAAAAATGAAGAAAAAAGAATCAGCGCTCAGAAAAGAATTCTTGTTGCAAAAATGGTAACCCATAATAAAGATAGAGACAATACACATTCCAATTATAATGCAATATCGAATATAATATATATATCACATATAATCCTCTCTAATGGTATCCCAATCATCCATGCCCATGACCAATGTATTCCGGCCGTTATTTCTATACAAGTACCGCTGATAAAAATAAGCCACATCGAACACAATTGTCCCTGAACTACCAAGAATGTATGGAAGTTCTCTCATGATAAATGTCCACTTGTCTTCTCCAAATAAGAAGTTACAACTTGTAAGAATCGATAATGTATACGTGAGGTTCCCAATCAATGCAGATCCGAATAAAAGAGGTGATATTCCATCCACAGACTTCCTCTTGTAGTTCTTATAAAGTTGAGGGCACCTTGAGGTAACATACACAACAGTACATGCCCATGCAAGTACAAGACCCAATGATTGAGCAGAGTTGGCCGTGGTAGTAGCAGCAGTAGCAACGATAGTGCTTCTAATCACAACCGGGAGAGCTTCTGTTGAAGCAGCGTTTAAAGTCGTTCCAAGTACAAAAGCCTTAGCTGGACTAATGCTATTACCAGAATCATTAGTTGAATTATAACTACCATCAGGAGACCCTGAGGATGAAAGGTACTCAACAATTGGTCTATCCTTTCTTGAGGCTGCCCCTCGTATTTGTATCGAATCTGTAAGGTGTCGGTCTACATCAGATACCACAGATTCCGGATCTTCCGGGTCAGTGCCCTCAGAACTTGTGGCAACTGACAAGTAATGTTTCTTTGGATAGACACTAGTGTAGTAATAATACTGGAAGCACAAGGTCAAATCATTACATATGAAGAACATACTAAGGTATACTTGAAACTTTAACACCACATCGTTAAGCAAGCAGCTGGTAAGACTGAGGAAGTCACCCATAAACCAGAGTAAAAGAAAGGACGGCGAAATCCCCTCGGCTGATTTGGATGTATAATTGGCGAATATTTGTGGGAGTTGAGCACAGATCCAGCTGCATAGAGAAAGCACACTAAAAAAGTCTGACACCATGGAGATGCCTTCACAGGTGGCCATGGTCGAGGAATAGTTCTATTAACGCGTCTGGAATGACTTCTTCCTCCATATATTAATGACTGTAGTAAATGAGAGATTCTCAATTCTCGGGTAGTCAGTTTATGTTATCGAATTAGGAAATAATTTCCTGGAGATTCAAAGTGAACTAATTAAAAAATACCGAGTAAAATCAAATCTACTTAAAGGAAAGAACAATTCTAACTCGATATTCAATTAAAACTATGTTTAATGCCTTTTAAGTAGGGGAATAAAGAGAGAAAAAACACAATACAAAATGTTAACTGAATGGCTAAAGTCTTGAGTTTTCCTTATCTACAGAAACATTTATGCAGGTCCATAGTTCTACCTTACTACCGCTTATAGTAACCATGACGCAACCACTTACATGAACGACAAATCATTCATACATATTTCTATTTATATTTTGTAAAGGGAATCTAAGAATGCCACAATGAGTCTATCGGCGACACCAGCAGTTTGGACACTTCCGGCAACTCCATAGAGCGCTCCAATTTCACTCTCAGGGATCTTTTCATTGGATTTTTCTGATTCTGCAACCAATTCTTCAACTGTATTCACTAAATCTTCAATTAATTCATCAATAATAGGAACTGTAAGTCTAGTAAGAGCAAAGTGCAATGCAGCAGGACTTTGAAGTGTAGAGAAGTGCCATCCCTTCTTAGTTAGCAAATCACCTAACGTGTAGATATTGAGTAATTTGGAAGATGAATCAGCAATTTTGAAAGAAATAACTGATCCGATAGGTTCACCAATGACATCTAATCTTTTAGAAAGAACAGGATCCAGTCTAATGACATTCTTTAATTTCATAGACGCACTAACAATATCAAAACATGAATCAGAATATCCCTTTTCCCCAATACTTACTAGGGTTGCCCAGCAACCAGCCATCAATGCTCCTGGTCTTGACCCTGCAAGAGTTGGAGATCCATACATACCACCAGTCCAGTCAGTCAGAACATAATATTGACATTCACGAAGCTTGGGGTCTCTGTACATGATAATGGAAGAACCCTTTGGAGCAAACCCATATTTATGAGTGTCACAAGAGATGGAAGTAACCCCTGGTAATCTAAAGTCAAATTTAGGAATTGGGGAATCTCCATGAACCTTTGATTTTTCAAGGAAGGTAACAATGAATGATCCTAAACATGCATCAACATGGAGTGGGATTTTATACTTTACTGCGAGCTTTGAGAGTTCTTCAATGTCATCAATGATTCCATGAGGGAAGTTTGGAGCTGACCCGACCAATAAAACCGTGTTACTGTTAATCAATCGTTTCACCAGAGGGATATCCACTTGGAAAGTCGTCGGATCCAATTTAACCTTGTGTAATTTCATACCAAAGTAATAGCAAGCTTTTTCAATACCAGCATGAATGGTAACGGGGGCAATAATTTCCGGTTTATGAATTCCCTTATATCTTTTCCCATACTCTCTAGCAGCCAAACCAGCTAAAAGAAGCGATTCTGTACCACCAGAAGTGGATGAACCACAACCAGTTTCAGGTGCATTGAATATTTTAAGAACCATTGACACGACTTCGGCTTCCATTTTTCTTACTCCAGGGAATACATCTGGATGAAGTTGATTTGCCACCGAGTTTTTATGATATGCCTGAGTCTGGAGAGTTGTAAGATCCTCACCACCATGATAAACTGCACCTGAAACTCTACCACGAGCCCAGTCTGTATGTTTGAGATCATGGAGTGATTCAAGTTCGGAAAGCACGGCATCTTTGGAAATTCCAGTTTTTGGAAGTCCTGGGAATTGAAGTAAGTTGGGAGAGTTTCTGATGATATCAGATTCAATTTTAATGGTTGTAGATGCAACTTCAGAGTCAACTTTATTTTTGAGTGGTGGTAATGATAAAACAATTTTGAATAGATAACTAGCTATCTTCTTGTATACCATCTGTATACATGTAACTATTCCATACCCTCTAATGGTTCTTACTGCATTTTTGAAGTACCCCAAAAGCCACCATGTAACTATGAATGTACATAAAATCGGGAATAAGTTGAATGGGAACTCATTTGAATGATATATTTCCTCCACAAACCAGAGTCGCCACGAGTTTAATTTAAGTTTGAAAAGTGACTTTACAAGAAATACGAATTGAGGAACATTTTGCGGCATATAAGGCTGGCCATATATATGACCCGATAATAAAGCGTCCATTTCTTGAGCTTCCATAATGAATGTTATAATGATATAACTTCTAGTGATGGTTAACAAATCAGTTCACTATTTAAACAAAACCCCAAAGAAATTGTGGATCTACAACTCCTGCAGTCCGAAACTAATGCGGGAACTATCGGCTGCGAAAAATTTAGGCCATCAATTAGGAACTATTTTACTTGAGTAAGAGCAGAGAGATGAAAAGGTTCAACATACAATCAATAAAGCCAAATTGACCTGAAATAATACATATATATATATATATATAAACCATTTGTAATTAATAAATATATTGATGTTCTTTTACGATCATTACTAGCCCAGCGTCATTTTCCTGTACAGACTATTTATAGTATCTGTGTAAAAAAGGTCTGATGGAGTCCCTCAATAATTACCTTATTTAACAATGATTCATTTCAACACTACACAGATAAAATATATTTCATTCTTGTACTAATTTTCAATTTCTTTCTCTATATCTCAAAAGGAGTTGAAGCTCTACTTAATCTTGCACCTCTACTACTTGATCCAGACCCTGTACTCTCCATAATACCTTGCCTTTCCTTAACTACCTTTTGTAACTTTTGTGACAATAAGCAATCCATAAATGAATTTTCTCCCTTTATCTTGTTGAGTTCAAATTCAATATTAATTAATTCATCCTTTCTACGAAGAGCTGGAAGTACCTTACTTCCTGGTCCATGTAATTCAGAGTTTAACTTTGCTCCAATTGTCTTCAATCGATCTAATTTAGCTGAATATTGAACTGCTTCACCTGAGCTTTGTTGATAATTAGCTCGAACTCCATCTTCTTCTTCAATTAATTTTTCAAGTTCTTCCAGAACTCCAGCTAATTTAGATCGTAAATCATCAATGGTAGATACTTGATCATTTATTAACAAATCCAATTCATGTTCTTCAGATTTATTCAATGTTTTTACGGTTTTCTTATCTTGTTCTTGAGATAAAAATAATTTTTCTAAATGTTCAACTCTACCAACAAGTGTATCTTGTTGCTTTTGCAATTTCAAATAATCCAGATCAACTCTGACCAATTTACGTTCACTTATAGTTGCCAAATCATTCATTTTCTTCAATTCATTGTATTTCTCTCCAATCTTAAGATTATCTTGATCAATTCTTTCTTGAACTATTGTCTCTCTTAATCTTTCATTGGAAATTTCATTCTTATAATTTTCTTCAATTGAATTTTCAATTGTTGCAATTCTTTCTTGTATAATATTTGAAAAATTAGCCTTATAAGATTTATAATCAATTGTCGAATTAAATGCAATTATATTTCCTTCCCTTGATATTGATTTTGATGGATTTTCTTGATTATTTAAATTGAAAAGATAGTTTGATTTTAATTCTTTGAACAATGTTTGATCATTAAATCTTGCAGTAGTACTTCTATTGGTAGATTGCTTCAATAATTCATCATAATTATCAATAAGGGGATATTTTGTTTTATTCCATTCATGAAACCAATCATATAATTTGCTCATATTATTCCCATAAAGATCAATATAAAATTGGGATTCATCATAACTATCAAATAGCTGCAGTCTATTCACAATAAAAGTGTTAATTGCCTGCAATTTCCACTTGAATATTGGATTTTCAAATTCAGAATATTGATTAAAATTAAATGAAACTGATGGCATTGGTGAACTCATTATACGATGTTCAATTGAAAAGGCTGGTACCGGAATAATCACTGGTGTTTTGATTGTTGGTCCATTACCCATCAAACTTTGCTCAGTAGACAGAGTTCTAATTAATTCAATGGAAGGACTATCAAGTTTTAAATTCAAATCAAATGAAAAGAAAAGATCAATATATGATTCCAACGTATAATTATAAAGTTGTTGAGTAGTGATCAAATATAAACAAAGAGTTTCAGGAGAAGAGCCATTTGAATTCCCTTTGTGGAAATTAGTGGTAATATGACTTGTTTTCCTTCTTTTATTCCCCGTTTGGTTGGAAATATCATTTATATTTGATGCTGTTAATGATGATTTTTCCTTTGGTATAGATCTGTTATCTTCATATAATTTAGCACTACTCAAGTTCTTGTAATATAATTTTTTCCCAATAATAAGTCCCTCAATAAGTTCTAATTCTTTTACACTCAGTGCCACCACAAGCATATGATACCCTCTAGAACTTCTAGGAGAACGTTTATCTAATGGATATCTATCAATAAATGAATCAACCACTCTATTGAAAAGTTGAAATTTACCCAGTACGTTTAACATCCTTGAATTGATATCCAGAAGTAGAAGTTTCTTTGGGATGAAATGATCTACTAAAAGAGTTGGATGTTTATCAATAAGTCTCAATTGTTCAAATAAAAGATTAATTTTATCGGCAGACGAAAACGATGGTTTCAGCGCCGTTTCAGTCCCATCACTTGTTCCATTTCCCACTGTAGAGTCACCAGGAGAGCTAGGTTGAGTCAATGCTAAAAGGCTATCAATACTGGTTTTTTGTTTCCTGGCATTGGCCAAGTCTAGTAATTCAGCTCTAAATACCTCCACCAACAATTCAAGTAAATCTTTTTGCATATTTGTTAAAAGAGTTGGAAGGTAGTACACTCCATTGTGGAGTTGTTCAGGAACTTGTTCCACTACCTCATCTTGAAGTATGCTCATAAGATTCATTTGTGATCAATTCCGTCAATCCGGTTATAGATTATGTTCTCTTGGTGATATAAAAAGCTCAAAAATCAAAAATAAAAGCTTCTAAAATCATAAAAAAAACAAAAAAAAAACAAATACTAGAAGAAGAAAACCTTGACATAAAAAATTAGTGTCTTTATTTTGCGGCAATCAATTGATCTCCTATTCTATTTATTCCATATATTCTACTCTTCAATCTATCTACCTTACTGTTTAAACCCATCTCCTTTAATTCCTTTATCTCTATACTCTCTTACCCGTCTATCAACTCTATTTACCGTCTACCCTTCTTTTTAACTACTACATTCACACCAATACTACCTAAATTATCCCAAACCACAGCATCAACCTTTTTGGGCAATTTTCTCCCATACAAACATTGATCAACCAACCACATCCCTACTAAAAACTCTGGCTTATTCAAACTTCCATCATGACGGAAATCAACAAGATTCCAAATAGCCTCCAATGTTTCATTGGGTAATTTACTTCTCTTCCAAATCCGTTTAACCACTACTCCATGCATTAATTGACCAATTTCAACTGATAATAAATTATGGAAATTTTGTGGATCAACTTGTGAATTAATATCTTTGGTCACCTTGGTGGAAAGTCTAGCTGCTTGTAATGAAGTTTCCTCTTCTGTTAAAACTCTATCTTGTGCAATTTCTTCTTCTTTCTTTGAATAATCAACCCCAGTAAGCCTAGTGACGACCAGACTCATATATAAACCCTTGTTACTAACCCATAATCCTTCGTATCTTTTCCTTTCCAGTTCAGAAACATATGCTAGATCCTTATGGTTCTTCCATGGTTTATATTCATTGAATTGAAGTTTCTTCTCCTTCCGCTTGTTTGTCTTTCTCATAGTTGTCTTCAAATGAACCAGTTGTTGAGGCGCAACTATACCAGTTGGACGTGTTGGTGCAACTTCCGTCTCAGTAGGATCAATATATTCATCAAAATTGTTTTCACTGTCATCGTCATCCAGAAGTAAATTGACACTTGTATCAACTCCTTTAATCTTATACTTTGATTTAAATATATGATGTTTATGTGCTTGATTCGATTTGGATTTACCATGTTTTTCAATTATATTTGGAAATTGTGGGAGTTTTGTACTATTGATACTTACTCCACTTCCAGTGCTACCTTCTCTTGGCTTATCACTCCTATCTGTGTTTCCTTCAAACAGTGACTTACTTGAAAAGACTTCATATGATCTCAGACCCGGTGATGTTAGAATCATGGCATATGCCAGGTCTGAATCTTCATCTTGAAGATACATTGGCGGAGGTTTTCTTCTAGGACCTCCACTATTTTTAATTTCATGTACTATACTCTCACTGCTTCTCATAGGACTAACTGGGAGCGAATGACTTTGTTGAACTTCTAATCGTTCATTATCATGACCCAGTTCATCATCTGCGTGTTCTTCTGGCCGGTCATGTAAGTCAACCACAATCTTAGGGGTCATAGGAAGCAGTACAACATCGTTGTCCAGCAACGTAGATCCCAATGAAGAATATGAATTATGGAAACTTGATCTTTCGTAAACACTACCACCTGAAGTTGGCGGAGGACGGATAGAAGGTGTAGAAACCGTCAGAATTCTCTTCATATCAATACTTTTCCTAATTTCATTTAATCTATCTTGGTTCTTTTGAGCAATTTCCAAAGATTGATTAGCACCTGTCTTTGATTTGGAATTTATTGATTGTCGAACTTGTGAAATCATTTCGTTAGTACGATTCTTGGATGATAAATCTTGCAATTTTAATTTAGATTCAATAGAATTCTTAACATTTTGTATCATATCTTGAGGTAAATGGGCACTATTTACAGAAAGACTAGAGTGTTGAGAACTTGACTTTTTAATTGGTACAATCTTATGTTGATTCAGGGTAGGCATGGCAAAATAATCCGAGGTAGTTGTAATGTTGGAGGTATCAGGATCTGATGATAGTATAGAAACTGCAGTGGATCCAGCTCTACTTTGTTGATTTATTGGTGTTGTAGAGCTTTTAGATATTGGCATGTTTCCCCTTGGAGTCGAAGGGACCGCAGAAGCTGCTGCAATTGCCGCAGCAGAGGCTGATGATGAAGAGCTTCCAGGGGATTGATGATTACTAGAGTCATTGGACTGGATTTCCTTTGATGCTACTGGTCTCTTGATCAGTTGCAAAGTGGAAGTTCTCTGCATTGTTGGCGGAGTTCCCTTTTTGTAAGATTCCACTCGTTTAATCGTACCGGGAGGATTTTTCTCATTCTGTTTTATCGAGTTGGAAGGCATTGGGATCTTGAATAATGGTTTCTTCTTATCATGTATTACCTCTGATTTGGATTTGTTGGTTAGCCCATTAAAGGCAGCCAATGCTGCCGCATGGCTTGAAGAAGACATTATACCCAGCAATCAAAGCGTTATGATCTTGATTGATTTTTGTATATTCTGGTCCCCCTTTCCTTGGTAGATTGGTTACTAAAAATGACTCGAATCCAGACACTGAATAACCAATTAAATTCCAGTGCTACTCTGCTTATGCAATGAAATATAGAAAAATACTATCTAGCAAATAAAATCAAGGCTGTGGATTGCAAAATCGCTAAGGGTACAAAAACAAATATATAAGAATAGAAATACAAAACCGGCAAAAAAAAAAAAAAATAGAAGACTCTCACATGAAAGCAACTAAAAGAGAGCAGATATCAGGTTTTTTTTTCACCGTGCTAATATATATCTACTTATTGTCAGAAATTTGTTACTTTTTTCTCCTAGGAGAATGTGATTTAATTACTAATTTGATAGATATTTTATAACTATACAAGTATCCATTCTTAATTCCATAATTGTTGGGGCGGGCGGAGTTGTATGAGTATCTTGACAACAAACCTCTTACTGAAATATTGCATACAGGATTAACTCGTATTTGATAGATTGTATTTTTAGTATGCTGATTAAATTATACCATTTTGAAGGTATATTTTATTGATAGTACCTACTACTGACTTGCTTCCTTGATGGACTGTTATGAAATTGAATAATCTTTAGGAATTTCAGGTCAGTACTATATGTCTACCATTAAAAAAATACGAGAATTGAAATTGCGATAAGATAACGCATAAATGTACATAAATCAAGTTCTTATATATTTGCGAGTATAGTTATTGGATAGTATATCAACCTTTTCGAATTTAGGGAATATAGTTCCTGGACTACTCATTTTATACAATGGACATGATGCGCCAGGGAGAGAATATAACCCAATTCATATACTTGGTATATGAATACAAACATATCAAGAATGTAAGAATCATGATATCTTATGAATCATCAATATGGTTGAATAGACCTAACTTACAGATATTTTTTTGCGTAGAGAAGTTTTCATCTACATTACGAATTATTGCAATATTGTAAAACCTAATTAATACCTATGTTACTATGAAATGTTAATTCTATAAATAAACACCTAAATCAAACAACAAATAAATGTTTGTTTGAAATAATTTCTGTCTATCACACACTCTCTACCATTTTCTACTTTCTCTTCTTTGATGCATTTACAAATCTACCCTTTCCAACCCGGACACCAGATGGTCTGATGTTTTGAAGGGTACTGAAAGGAGAAACGTAGTTATCGGCACTACCACCTCCGATCCATTCTTGAAGCATCTTATCGTTTTGTCTTCTTTGCCATTCATCATCCTTAAGCGCTTGTTGATATTCCTTTTGATCTTCTCTCAAAAGAATAGCATTTTGTAAACCCTTACTACGGTTTTGCTTATTGTGTTGGAACCCTCCGTTACCTTGAAGCTTTTGTTGGTTTTTAGAAAGTGGAGATGGGATAGAAAACTTGTCACCTCTCTTAAACCATTGGAAGTTAGCCTTCAAATGTGGAGTAATTTTACCAGTAAGGGTGTCCACAGATACGGCACACCTCAACAAGGTGGCACCTCCACAGAATGGACAGAAATGCTTAGGTTGACCATTCTTTGGAATGGCGGTGAGTCTGAAACAGGCATGACAACGGTACATATAGTTACGTACTCTCTTGATTTGTTTACCGGACATTGAGTTCATAAGGTTAAGACCAAGTTGCATCGAAACATTTTGACAGGCAAAATCCCCGGTGGAAATTGCAACCTTAATCAAAGGTCCAGCTTTAGCAGATTTAGATTCCAGAATTTGTTCGTTGTCATCCTTAAGGATTTCTTCTTGAAGGTTTTCTGGAGTAATCCAGTCTCCATCATCATCAGACTCATCGTAGGCACCTTCAAGGTCTTCGGAGACTTCTTCGCTAGTTTCTGGTTGAGCTTCATCCGATTTTGATTCAACAAGAACTTCATTCGATTGGGTTTCAACTTCAGCTTCGGCTTCAACTTCAGCCTCAGCTTCTTCAAGTTCTTTTTGAAGTTGTGCTTCTCTCTTTTCTCTTTGCTTCTTACCACCTCTACGACGTGGTTTCTTTGCCTTTGTTACGGATTCTACAGTTGGAAGTTCAACAGGTTCTTGAACAGTAGATTCTTCTGTGGAAATTGGGGATTCTTTACCCTCTTCTACAATTGGTGCGCTCTTCTTCTTAAATTCCAATTTTTGACCCGGGAACTTTCTCAATCTCCAATCACCATTGTTCATTTCACATTCTAATTCGTATGCCAAGGCAATGATATGTAAATCATTGGTAGATAATACCGCGTAGTCACCAGTAAGTTTTGCAAAATCAGTGACTCTTTTAATGGAAGATTGTTTTGGATGCTTGATCTTTAAAGTATCGTTCCAAATCAAAAGTTGTTGTCTAACAGCTTCATCCTTAAGTTCACTATATACACCTGGAGTAGTATAAAAACTGTTGGCATGTTGCTGCAAAGCTGAAGCAGATTGTGTGATAAGTGGACCAGCATCCAATACTAAGGCCTGGATTTTCTTTACAGTTTGAATGTGTGCATTATGTTCCACTTGGGAAACCTCTTCCTTTGGTAAATTAGTTTCAGACATGGCTAATAGTATCAATATTACAGTACTCTTTGTATTATATTTCCTTTCATCTCTAAGATGTGCATCGCATTAAAAAAAATTTGAGAACTATATGCAGGCGATATCAATAATAAATAGTAAAAAAAAAATATAACTAGTAGAGTTGTAAACGATTGTAGATTTGGATATAGATAAACTGATTTTACAGCATTAGATAGGAGATTTTTTTTAGTGGGATGATTATTGATTAAGATTTAATTAATAATTTAGAAGTAGAGAATGAGTGTGAGTCAGGAAAACTGATTTTCAAGTTTTTCCCTTAAAAAAAATGATATATACTTCAATTGGTCAAGGTTGTAGGTATACATCATTGACAATCAGCAAATCGTCAATGCTTTTCTCAATCAAATTTGCAATGTGTTACTGAAAAACAAGAGACATATAGAGAGTGGGGGAATTTATGGTGGGTCCAGAGAGGGGTAATGAACTCAGTTTGAGAAGCATGTCGCACACATGAATTGTTTCTTTTTTTTTTTTTTTTTTGTATTATTCGATTCTTGATTACAAGCGAGTAATGGATATACGATCAAGGACATTATTTACCCAGATGTATGCCGAGACTAGGACTTATTCCCGGCTCACATCTGTATGAATATTATACCATTTCTCCTCTTTGATTTATTCCTTCTTAAATTCTCTATGATTATAGGAATTCAACCTTAAAACGAAACGGCTGCATTTGAAGTAATTTTTAAGTTTCCTAAACAGGGTACTTGGCTTTCCCCACATTTCCCACTTAGATTGGTTTTACGATTATCATATATAATCGAGGGATGATTTTAAAGATAGTGATTTATGAGCATCTATTGTAACATTGTAATTATACGATATGTCATTAGTCAGTCAAGGTGACAAGTTTGTTCTTCATTGGTTAGTAGATTTATGGATGCGTATCTAGCAATGTCTTTTAACTAACAAATTTTTAGGTTGGACCTTTCCAGAGCCCATAGAATATTATGGCTTTTAGAGATTCTTGAACTAAATTATGAAGTAAAAGTGTATATACGTGAGCCAGTGACCTGGCGGTCTCCACCTGAATTACATGCTGTTCACCATTCGGGGAAAGTTCCTGTTCTTGAAATATTCCATGCAGATGGACTGCCCCCACTTAAATTGGTAGAAAGTGGATACATTATACTGTATCTTTTAAGACATTATGATGTTCATAATCTTCTTAATCCAACAGAACCTGCATTACAAGAAAAAGTTGATTACTACTTACATTATTCAGAGGGAACTTTACAACATATCTTAGTTTCAATACTTGTGAATTCAGTTGCAAAATCTATAGCACCACTTGGTACGAAAACAATTGCTAAATATGTCACCAAGGCAATTAATAATGGGTTTTATGTACAAGAGTGGAAACTTAATATGGAATATCTTGAAAATCAATTAAAGAAGGAAGGTACTGGGTTCTTTGTTGGTAATAGACTCTCTGGAGCTGATATCATATTAAGTTTCCCAATTTATGAAAATATTTTTGATAATGAAGAGGAGGTGCATAGGTTTACTGGTACAAAGATAAATCTCTCAAGAACTTATCCACATTTATATGCGTGGAGTAGTATGATTCGAGATGACCCATTATATATCAAGATTGATGAAATGATGGATGATATGGTGCAAGAGAAATTAGAGAAAAAAAGTAGGCGGGGCAAGAAATGGTAATGAATTTACTTTGTTTAGTAGCGTATGTATTTATTTATGATTGATTTTACGAGTTAGATGGAAGGAAATAACAGTATTAATTGAATAACCTGGTGACTAACGTAGACGAAGGAGAAAATAGAGGAATCATTTCCTCTTCCCCCAAAACAAAAGAACGTATTCCTCGCCTTACCTCTACGTTATTCGGAGGTAAGGCTAATAATTAGAGTGGATTCTGGTGGTTCTTAAAGAGTGCTAATCTAGTATTGAAAAAAACCACATTCACGTGGAAGACTCATAAGTGCGTCTACTCCTCCAGTGGAGTTTTACTAAAAAAGTTCAATTTAATAGCGACTATATAAATACCAGGGGGAAAATCAAATTACATATTACATTTGCCACCATAAAAGATCCAAAAAAACAATAACCAATAACTTATAATGTCAAATTTATTTGATTTAACTGGGAAAGTTGCATTAGTAACAGGAGGTAACCGAGGAATTGGACTTGCACTTGGTGAAGGTTTGGTTGAAGCTGGAGCACATTTAATTATAATCCACCGCCCTGAAACTGATCTGAAAGCTTCTATTGAAGAATTGAAATTGAAAACTATAAATTCTGCCAAAATCTTATCCATGCCCTTTGACCTTAAGACGGTAACGGAAGAAAATGTTAGTGAATTAGTTATTAAAATACTTGAATTATCTCCTACCAATAGAATAGATATACTTGTAAATAATGCAGCAATTGCCAAGGCAATTCTTGCCAATGATTTATCTATGAAAGATTATGATGAAATAATGACGGTTAATTTAAAGGCACCGTTATTATTACTGCAACATGTTGGGAAACATATGATGGAAAGATATAAAATTGATAATAGTTATCGTGGGAAAATTATAAATATATCCTCTATAATGGCATATACAGCCATGACACACTCTACAGCTTATACAATCGCGAAAACAGGACTTCATAATATGACCAAATCCCTCTCCAATGAATGGGCAAAACATGGAATCAACGTGAACGTAATTGCGCCTGGACCAACTGATACAGAAATGGTAGCAGCTATAAAACGACAAGGTGATGAAAACCCAAGAAGTTCAATTGTCAACAGAATACCTATGGGGAGAAGAGCTACACCAGATGATTATAAGGGGACTGTCATATACCTTTCTTCCAGAGCTAGTGACTTTGTAACAGGTGAAGTTGTCATTGTTGATGGAGGATTTATGGGATAAAAAAAATAGAATTTAATATACATCAAGTAATAATTCTTATTGTTTCCGGTTGCAAAATATGTATCAGGGAGTTCCTTATGAAAGATATGCAATTGTTTACTTTTGTACTCTTTTCTTGAAAGATCGAAAAAAAAAAAACATTAATATTTTTTTTTTTCGCTTCTCCTTGAAAATTCCTGCATACCAACAGAGATGAGCACAAAAAATTCAAAAGAGCTACTCAAAATGTAGATATAGGCATAGACTATCTCATCATCACTTTACTTAAATAACATGGCTAAGACTGTTAAAGGGGCTAATGCTCCCGAGAAGAGTGCTTCTAGAAAGAGAAAGCAGGTTCAAGAAGAAGTTGAAGAAGTTCCAGAGAGATCTTCCGATGAAGAGTTTGAAGTCGATGGGCTTTTAGATGTTGAAGCTGATGAAGATGAAGAAGAAGAAGAAGAGGAAGATGAAGAAGCTGACTCTGAAGAAGGAAATGATGATGAAGATTCTGATGATGAACTTAACAAACTTTTAGGTGAAGAAGAAGACGTCAGTGACATTGATTCTGATGACTTCTCCGATGAACCAAAGGATGATTCTCATTCTATCACCGACGCTTTATCTAACGTTAAGATCAGAAGTATGTCTGCATCTACTGACGATGGAACTGTGCGCACTAAGTTCTCTGACGGACGTCCTAGATTGATCAAGCCAGAAATCAACCCAGTATATGACTCCGATGACAGTGACAACGAAAACTTCAACACCATTGGTAATGTTCCAATTTCAGCATACGAAGAAATGCCTCACATTGGTTATGACATTAACGGTAAGAGAATTATGAGACCAGCCAAGGGATCTGCCCTTGACCAATTGTTGGAAAGCATTGATCTTCCAGAAGGATGGACTGGTTTGTTGGACCAAAACACCGGTACTTCATTGAAGTTGACTGATGAAGAATTGGAACTTATCAGAAAGATTCAAGCACAAGAAAATACTGATGAAAACATCGATCCTTACCAACCAACTATTGAATGGTTTACTTCTGAAACCGAAGTCATGCCATTGACAGCCGTTCCAGAACCAAAGAGAAGATTCGTTCCTTCCAAACATGAAGCCAAGAGAGTCATGAAGATTGTACGTGCCATTAGAGAAGGTAGAATTGTTCCACCAAGCAAGGTTAAGGAACAAGTAGAAGAAGAACAATACAACTATGACTTGTGGAATGATAACGATTTGGAAGTTCCAGAACATATTATGAACTTGAGAGCACCAAAGTTACCACCTCCAACCAATGAAGAATCTTATAACCCACCTGAAGAATATCTTTTGACTGAAGAAGAAAAACAAAAGTGGTTAGACATGGACCCAGAAGACAGAGAAAGAAACTTTGTTCCTCAGAAATATAATGCATTAAGAAAGGTTCCAGGTTACCAAGAAGGTTTGAGAGAAAGATTTGAAAGATGTTTGGATTTGTACTTGGCACCAAGAGTTCGTCACAACAAGTTGAACATTGATCCTGAATCATTGATTCCAGAACTTCCATCTCCAAAGGATTTGAGACCATTCCCAATCCGTTGTTCTACTGTTTACCAGGGTCATACCGGAAAGATACGTACTTTGTCCATTGACCCACAAGGACTCTGGCTTGCTACTGGTTCTGATGATGGTACCGTTCGTATTTGGGAAATACTAACTGGTAGACAAGTTTACAAGGCTACCTTTGTTGACTCTGAAAACACCGACGATCACATTGAAGCTTTGGAATGGAACCCTGATGCCGCTACTGGTATCTTGGCAGTTGCCGCAGGTGAACACATCTACCTTGTTGTCCCACCAATTTTCGGTTTTGATATTGAAAACATTGGTAGATTGAGAATTGAATCAGGTTGGGGTTATGACACTTTTGGAAACAAGTCTAAGACTAAGGATTCCAGCATAAAGGTCAACTCAGATGAAGAAGAGGAAGAAGAAGTTGATGCTAACCAAGAACCAGTCGTTAAGGCTAAGGACGTTGCTAAGTGGGTTACTGCCAATGCTGAACAATCCAAGGACGGAATTTCAGCCATCATTCAATGCCGTAAGACTGTTAAGAAGATTTCATGGCACAGAAAGGGTGACTACTTTGTAAGTGTCTCCCCTGACAGTGGTCACACTTCTGTGTTGATTCATCAATTATCTAAGCATTTGTCACAATCTCCATTCAAGAAATCCAAGGGTATTATCATGGACGCCAAGTTCCATCCATTTAAGCCTCAATTATTTGTTGCATCCCAAAGATATATCAGAATCTATGACTTGGCACAACAAACTTTGATCAAGAAGTTGATGCCTGGTGCTAGATGGTTGGCCAATATCGATATCCACCCTAGAGGTGACAATTTGCTTGCATCATCCTTCGATAAGAGAGTGTTGTGGCACGATTTGGACTTGAGTTCTACTCCATACAAGACCTTGAGATACCACGATAAGGCTGTCAGATCCATCAAGTTCCACAAGTCGAACTTGCCTCTTTTCGCTTCTGCTTCTGATGATGGTGTTATCCATGTTTTCCATGGAACTGTATATGATGATTTAATGACCAACCCATTATTGGTGCCATTGAAGAAGTTGACTGGCCACAAGGTTGTGAACAGTTTGGGTGTCTTGGACTTGGTGTGGCATCCTAAGGAAGCATGGTTGTTCAGTGCAGGTGCCGATGGTACTGCTCGTCTTTGGACAACTTAAACAAAACGTAACCTACTTCCTTCACATCATCTCCTCTAAAATATCACCTCCACCCCCATTTATACACTACATAGATAAAGCATAAAATACAATGATTTTAATTTATTTTTACTTTTGTATATAGTCCACGCCTAATAATTGTTTCCCTGAATATGTTGCAACAAACATATCTTCTTCAACAGAGGTGAAGATATGTTTCAACATTATCTTTACATTATCCACAATACCTGTGTTTTCCTCATGCAAGACCCAATCCATTTTCTTCCAGTCTAATATTCCTTCATGACAATACACCTTTGGTGTAACATATTCCTCAAAAACTTGTGCCGTCACAGAGGCTGTGAAAAGATATGCACCTCCTTTATCTTCACCATCTTTTATCCACGTTAAAACCCCTCTAGGTATATATTGAGGAAGTAACAATCCGGTTTCTTCTTGAGTTTCTCTAATGATGCAATCTAATGGACTTTCATTCACATCCAATTTACCTCCAACTCCATTCCACCTCCCCATCCATGGGGCCTTTTGACGGTTCAAAAGAAGTATTTGGTTGGTTTCGGGACAATGGATGAACCCTATAGTATATATGTATTTGTGTGAAGTCATTTCTAGTTGAGTGGGGAAATGATGGGGGGGGTTGGAGTGGAGTCATCGATCTGATGGACTAAAATACGCGTCTATATATTGTGACACCTTTAGTCCGAAATGTACTGCATAATCCAAACTCCGAAATTGTTTTACCATTTAACACAATCAAAGAGTTGATTCCATGAATTTGTACTTTTAATATAAAATTTTCTATACTCTTCATACAGACTCTTATTAAGAACTTTTTCAAAAGTTCCAATATCTTCTTTATTTAATAATTTCTGATATTGTTTCCCTAAATATATTAGTATGAGAAGTGACCTTTTAAGTGGTTGTGATATTTCCATTTTGTGTAGAATTGTAGCTGCAACCATATCCATGGCAGCCCTTTCCAACAGAATTGATCCATAACCAGTACCGAAACCTGGAATAATTAAATTCGAGTTTCTTTCTGTAGAATTGAAGATATTCCACATACAATTGAAAACCATATTTTCATCCAATATTTCTTCTGGTACAATCATTGTAGGGCAATGCAAAATAGTTTCAATTTTCATTAATTCCCAAGATTTTGAATTTTTATAGTCATTTCCCAATACTTCAAATAAGTTTATCTTGTTAACTGTACCAGGTGGAGTATATGAATTACTTTTATCAAGTAAATAATCTTGAAATTTGGTAGATGATCCATTAATTGATTTCACTAAACTACCGTCGAATCCACCATTCATAAATCCCAAAGAGTTACCCGGTGTACATATTACAAAGTTATCAATTTTAGAATTAGGAGGTTGAATAGATTTCCAAGAATTTATCAATTCATCCAAAGATCCCAGGAATACATGATATTTAATTGGAGGTATGTTACGTTGAAGAAGGGCATTGTTTGCAGCAATAAATGTCTTTTTGAGCAATGTAGTGAATTTCTCAGATATATCAAGAAATACAATCATTAAAGGAGATCTAGTAAATATATGTATATATATATATATATATATATAAGCACTCACTGTGGGCGGGTCTACAGATCAACCTTAATTAATGACTAAATCTGATTATTATTATTTTTTTGTGTGGGATCAATTTACGGAAAATAGGAGAAATCGTATACAAACGAATAAATTTCATGTGACAATCAAGCCCACGATAGACCAAAAAAAAAATAAATAAACAACAATATAGAGTAAACAGAGTATACCAATAATAATCTGCAGTATCTCAATCTCCACAGAGATTATTGTGGAGAGTGGCGTCAGCTCTCCCAAACTGCGAGAATTTTTGATCATTACATATTAAGAGGGGTTACAAAGTTTTAATCGCCGATTAAGTGGATTTCTCGATTTCAATGTGGGTGACCATTAATTTTTTTTGGAACTTGTTGGACAGAGTGAATTAAATACATGAGAAAAAAAAAATTAAAACTCCCATTGGAATTCCCAAGATGAAAGATTGATAGAATGTATTAAATTGTTTTCTTAAGAGGACTACATATCTTGACACCAGAAAAAAAATAAAATTAAACGCTCTTGTAGTGTTGCGCAATGTTTAATTGTAAAACGGTGGTAGTAATTAGCCTCTCAATATATCACAGTGAAGAAATTAGTGCGGGTTATGTAATGTTAGCCAATCACCGATGTCACTCAAGCACGGGTCCCCCAACAATTTGGTCGTGCACGGAACAGAACTTTTTCTGTTTGCACTATATAAAGTTCGGACTATCCAAGAACCGTGGCTTTATACACGTTTTGAAACCATTCAACTAATTGAACACTAAATACTACACAATGTCTCCACCAGCCTTTTCTGACATCCAAAAGTCTTCCAACGACCTTTTGAACAGGGACTTCTTCCACTTGACCACTGCCGCTGTCGACGTTAAGTCTACTGCTCCAAACGGTGTTGCTTTCACTGTTAAGGGTAAGACTGCCAAGGACAACTCCATCGCTGCCAATGTTGAAGCTAAGTACTCTGACAAGGCTTCTGGTCTCACCCTTACCCAAGGTTGGAACAACGCCAACGCTCTTGACACCAAGATTGAACTTTCCGAATTGTTGACTCCAGGTCTCAAGTCTGAATTGATAACTTCTGTTGTTCCAAACGGTGCCAGAAACGCCAAGTTGAACTTCTTCTACCAACAAAACGCTGTTAACGCTCGTCTTTTCTTTGACTTGCTTAAGGGTCCAATTGCTCTTGCTGACCTCTCTGTCGGTCACGATGGTTTCACCGCTGGTGCCGAACTTGGTTACGACATCTCTTCTGCCAAGGTCAACAAGTACTCCCTTGGTGTTGGTTACGCCAAGCCACTTTACACTGTTGCTGCCACCGCCACCAACAACTTGTCCGTCTTCTCTGCTGCTTACTACCACAAGGTTTCTCCTCTCGTTGAAGCCGGTGCCAAGGCCACTTGGGACTCTGTCAAGTCTGCCAACCCTAACGTTGAATTCGCCACCAAGTACAAGCTCGACTCTACCGCTTTCGTCAAGGCTAAGATTGCCGATTCTGGTGTTACCGCTCTTGCCTACTCTCAAGAATTGAGACCAGGTGTTAGATTGGGTTTGGGTGCTTCTTTCGATGCTTTGAAGTTGGCTGAACCAGTCCACAAGTTGGGTTTCTCCTTGTCCTTCTCCGCTTAAGTAATTTGAAGTATATATATGATAAATGAATCAATCTACATATTAGAAAGAATTGAAAAATATGTAATTATTTAAATGTAAATATTTGGGTTAAAATGCCTTCTCATCATTCAACTTCTTTAATCTCAACAAATTCTTTTCATCTCTTTTTGCTTGTTCTTCTTCCATCTTACGATTAGCCCATTCTCTCAATCTTTCTCCATACATTAAGCAAAAGATTGGGAACGGTAATCCAAGCACCAACCCAACTAACCCACACATTGTATTACCCCAGCCATATCCCAATCGATCATACATCTTATTGGCGAAAAGTGGGAACAGAAATCCAAAGAATGATCGGAAAACTGCGGCTGCAGCAACTGCCGATGCTGCAAATCTATTATTCATATCAATCAAATAATTTTGAATAGTTTGGAAGACGGCAATGAATGAAAATGCATATATAGCAGTACCGATAGCAGGCATAATCCAATGAAGTTCCTTCTCTGCAGACCATCCATACCATATAAGCCCTACGGGAATCCCAACCCCAGAGAAACATAAACAGGGGAGTCTATACTCTGGTTTAGGCACTCCTCCATTTCTTGCAGTAAGTTTCTTATAAATCTTATCAATAGCAATTGTGAAAAAGATTATTCCTAATATATACCCAACTCCCATTGGCAAGTACATAAGGCCAGTGATTTGCACAGAGAACCCATACTTAACTTTATACACCTTGGGGAAGGTAACTATCATCAAATACATAAATCCATAAGTAAATGCCATGAAAGATCCAAGACCTAACACCATTGGATGGGTGAATAATAATTTTACTGGTCTAGAAACAGTAACCATAAACTGACCCCATTTAGTTTCTCCATCAGCAATTTCATAAATAGTATGTAAATGCTTATTATCAGTTTCTTTCTTCAATGCTTGACATTTGTTGTATAATAATGTAGGTGAATAAGTTTCTCTAAAGAAAATGGTACCAACAATTGCAATAGCGGCATTAAATATTGATAAGAAATGGAAAACCCATCTCCAATTCATGTTAGCGACAATAAAACTAGATGCTACAGGAGAAAGAACGGGACCCAATGTAGGACAAATGGAATAGAATGCCATGGCCACAAGTCTTTGATCATCATTCCATAAATCAGCTAGAGTTCCAGCGCCGACATTCAATGCAGCACAACCACCAAGACCACCTAAAAACCGACATATGCATAATTGAGCTGGAGTTCGAGAAAACCCACAACCTAAATTAAAGAATAAATTAATCCAAATGGATGCATTCAAGACCGGTCTTCTACCAACCCTGTCACTTTCAGATATAGGGGCAATAACAAGGGGCCCCAAAGCCCATGCTAAAATCATTATTGATACTGAAAATGATTCTAAAAATTGGTTATTCTCCATTCCTAACGATTGAGAAATTTGAGGCATAGCAGGTGATGGAATTGACGATGTAATAGGTGAAACAAAAGTATATAGAGCTACAATTGTAGTTTGCCAAACCTTTTGTTTCGTAGACCAATTTCTAGGGTACTCAGGGTCATCTGGACCATCCCAGGTGACCAATTCTGGATCAATTTTGGCAAATTCTTGACCATAATCCTTTGTGGGAACAGTGGTATCGGGTAAATCTTCATATATGTTAGATTTACGTGAAATTGATTGGAGTGATATATGACCATCATAATCCTTTTCTTCCACATCATGAGTGATACCAGCCGCTTCATCTCCAGCACTTTGTACTCTTTTTGCTAAACTATTTAAGATTGTATTTCTTGTTGCAGTTCTACGAAGTCTTACTTCGTTATCATCCATATCTCCATAGATATCCCTTACTGAAAGACTAGTAGATTGACGGGTAAGGTTTTTGCTGGCCTTTGTATCAATAGAGCCAGTCCCACTTAATGTGTGACGCAAAGCTCCTAGAGCTTGGCCGGCATATGTATATGTACTAGAATATGATCTTGTACGTTCAGGATTATTACCAAATGATACTCTTCTAGTACTTCTTGGTGTATCATCATCACCATCCCTATCATCATCTTGGTACGCAATAGGTACTGGGCTAATTACTTGGTGGTCTTTTGGAGCCGCGCTATTTATTGATAAATCGGATGAACTGATAGATGAGGCTGACGAAATACTTTGTATTGCCAGCTCATTAGGAATAGAATCCCCATCAGCCAAATTATTGACGATGTGAGGTCTATCAAATCCACTCATTATTATTTTAATTAACTAATATGAGTAAGATTAGGTACAAAATTATCAACAGAATCTGAACATGTTCTAATACGAAAATTTTATACAACTATTTAGAATCATGTAATACGCAGATTACCCTCTATCTATGGTTGCGAGCGCGGATCGCGGAGATGACACATAGTTTTCCTATTATAGATTGCAATTTTGAGACAGGATAAAGTCTCTAAGGCGGAAAATCCTGACTTCTTTGACATTTTTAATACCGATGAAATTTGGGATTATATTGAGAATTGAATACAGATAGAATAGGTGAGATGCAATGGCATTACTTAACATTATTGAATTAAGTTGAAACAACAAAAACCTTCGATAAATAACCTACATCAGTACTTACATAAGTGGCGGAATATGGTACCCGGTCTTTTCAGATTTTCCCCGTTCTTTCTTGTACTATTGTTGATAATATTGTAGCTGACTAAAGCTCCTCTATATACAGAATCAATTTAAATAAGTCTAGAGCCTCGAATTTATAATTCTCTTTTTTCTTATTTTTCTATTTGTTTTAATTCTCATGCTCGTATAAATGAAGATAAATATCGTTTAGCTCGTTTAGTTGCACGATCCATCCCTAAGAAAAAATTGGAAAAAAGGGAAAAAAAAGCAAAAAAAGAGGTCTTAAACGAATACGCGCCCTAAGCACAGGGCTCAAACCGAATGTTTTACCTCAAATATTTAGCACAGGATTCGCCAACAGAGAAAAATAGACACTAGTGTTTAGAATTTGTTTAAGATAGTAACGACAATGTCTACGTATGTAAAGTTGAAGAGAGCTGCTATTTCTGATTGGGTAGCAAGTCTAATACTAGGCAATTTTTTCTTATCCAAGAATACTATGATGAATTTTTACTAACAAGCTTCAGCGTTTATCACGACTATTCGGGCTTTTCCAACATCACCACCTTTGGTGAAACATATGCTGCCTTCGGCAATATTGAAGGGTTGAACTTCATTGAAAAACTCTGGGCCTCATACTACACATATATCGGTAATGATATATTTGCCACTGGTCTTCTTTTCTTCACAGTTCACGAAGCTTTGTACTTTGGTAGATGTATCCCATGGGCTATCATTGACAGAATTCCTTACTTCAACAAGTACAAGATTCAAGATACTAAGATTCCTTCTAACCAAGAACAATGGGAATGCTTAAAGTCAGTTTTGACTTCCCATTTTTTGGTTGAAGCTTTCCCAATTTGGTTCTTCCATCCTCTTTGTCAAAAGATTGGTATCTCATACCAAGTCCCATTCCCAACTGTTGCCACTATGGCTCTTCAAGTCGCTGTATTCTTCGTTTTAGAAGACGCTTGGCACTACTGGTTCCACAGAGCCTTACATTACGGTGTTTTCTACAAGTACATTCACAAGCAACATCACAGATACGCTGCTCCATTCGGCTTAACTGCTGAGTATGCTCATCCTGTTGAAGTTATGTTGTTGGGATTCGGTACCGTTGGTATTCCTATTGTCTGGTGTTTGATCACTGGTGACTTGCATCTTTTCACCGTTTGTATTTGGATTGCCTTGAGATTGTTCCAAGCTGTCGATGCTCATTCTGGTTATGAATTCCCATGGTCTTTGCATCACTTCTTGCCTATCTGGGCTGGTGCTGACCATCACGATGAACACCACCATCATTTCATTGGTAGTTACGCTTCCAGTTTCAGATGGTGGGATTTCCTTTTGGACACTGAAGCTGGTCCAAAGGGTAAGTCTCTGAGAGAAGCTAAGATGAAGGTTAAAGCTGAATCTAAAAAGTCCATTTAAATAGTTGGGCTACTTCCTTTTCCTCCACCATTAAACTTTCCCCTCTTTTATCCTCCATATTTAAGTCTACATATTCTATAGAATTTTCTTTTTCTTTTAATAAAGAAAGACAAACAAGAAAAATCACACATATAAATTAATACAACAGTCTAAAGAATAGCTAAAGCCTTACCTCTCCACCTAATACAGTTCCATACCGCACTATAACTCCAGGTTAAATCTTCTGCTCCTTGCATGAATCCATCATATTTATTGAATTGTTCACTCATTCTACCGCTGTTATCAACATGATCTTTGATAACTGCAAGGAAGGAATCTGCGTATTCCATGAGATTTAAGGTAACCTTTTCATATTCCTCGGATCCATATTGAATAACAACATCTTCAATACTGTCTTGCAAATCAATAAATTGAGAGAAGAATTCTTTAGTAGATTTTGTAATTACTAAATCATCCCCATTAGAATTTAATTTGAAGACAATCTTGTAAAGAATTTCTGAAGCTGAAGCGGTCAGGATAAACCATGGATTACCCTCAGAAGTGGCATACCCATCATATATATCTTCAGGGTATCTTCCTAATCCAACCCCAAACCCGGTACGGAATCGATTTACTGGATATCTATATTTCATGTCTGCAACCATGGCTCTGAATGAATTGATGATATGACTATCATCTATATCAAATGGAATATCTTCATACACTTGTTGAAGATTCTTATTTTCCAAACTATGGGAATGAAGTGAACCCAATAATGTAGCTGCATCCAATCCAGATCTTTTCCCTTCTTTCAAAAGTTGAGGACATTCAACGATATAAGGGATATGTTGTTGCTGAAACCCAGAGTCATTCTCAATAAAATTCTTTAGTTCTGTATAAGTCGACTCAAGTTGTTGGAAAAATTGATCATCTTCGTTATCATATCTTTTGTATAATATGATTCCATCCTGAATAGCTCTCAACAGGGTAATACTGGTAAAGAAATGGTTTGAATCAATTTCTTCCCAGAGATCAAACCCTGATTTATTCCAATTTTTCACAATATAAAGCAAATCGGGTTTAATGATTTCAGAATAAACATATTTACAATCACTTAAATCTTTATGAGAAGGATTCTTACCGTATTTCTCCAAGACATTAAGATAACTAGTAATGGTACTGGCACGAAGTCCTGGGCCATCTCTTTGAGGTCTACCCCAATGTTCATTGAATGCAGTTAAATCAGCGTGAAACTTTGGTTCTCCAAGACCACTATAATCATCATCAAATGAACCAGACAAATTTGGTAATCTTTGTAATTTGTGATTATTTGCAATATATGCCTCGATAGTTTTTGAAATTTCCAAATCATCGAATTTTGAATCATCTAAATGATATATCAAAGATCTAATTGTAAGAGCCAGATCTCTAACCCATTGATAGAAATAGTTAGGATGTTCAGAAGAAGGTGAAGCAATAACAACCCCTTCAGGCACCAAGGTGGTATTCAACAGAGGTGAAATACCTCCAATATTCTTGAGTATATTCTTAAATGCAATATCCTTTTGTTCTGAAAGCCAAATATCAAAATCTTGTCTAGTGATCGATTCTGAATCTATTTGGAATGGTGACTGCTTCTGGAGTGAAACAAGTGAAATTGCCTGGATTGAGCATACAATCCAAAGGATTATAACCGTTGATCTCAACATATTTGATGCAAAAAAATAGGATTCAATAGATTGGAAAAACCTGGGGTAATTGTATAATAGTCTGACTTCAGGGTAATTAAATAAATTATTCTAATAAAAAAATGCTTTTCAAATCTAGGCAAGATACGTAAGTTGTAGTGGTGGCGTTCTCTTTAAAACTGTAGTTGAAAATATGGATATTACCGGAACCTTTATTTTTTTTTGCTGCTGTAGTGCGATAATGGATGTGGCTAAAAAGATAAGAGATGAGCAACCCAAACTTGAATATGCAGTATAGAGAAGAAAGGTCTAGTCTCGTGTGGCTTATCTAGAATAAGAGTGAGATGTCTCAATCTTTAAAGAAGTATGTGATTAAGGAAGGAATGAAACGCAAACGGATCTCTCTTTGTAAAAAAAAAAGTTTTCTTTTACTACAAAAGTAAACAAACTCCACAAATCGGATTTTTTAGTTTATTTAAATATGGGGTACCTGGAAAAACAATGATCACGAATCACTCGGGAAAAAAAAAATGACACTTTAAAAAAATAATAGGAAGAAAATTTTTGAGATGATGAAATACATGGTAAAGCAACTATTACTTGAAGTGACAGAGTAGTACTTTTTAAAGATAAATGGTATGTTTTTATGAGATGAATACTGGAAATATAGTACAATGATCTAGGGTTTTTTCAGTATAATATTGACTGTGATACAACTTCTTTTCTGAATACCTACAGCGATGTTTACATTTGATCCAAGATTTCAGATTATTTGAACTAATATGGTACCCCACATAAACGGTTTCCTCGGTATAAGTATGTAGAATATTAGGAATTCGTGACTCGCGTGAAGTTTTTTCAAAGAAAACTTCCACAGTAGCACAGTATCACCATGTTACCAAAGCTCCATGTAGAATAAATGCGTGTGATTGCTTTTTTAAAGGAAAAAAGAAAGGAGGGGCCACCTGGACGGTACATTGTTACGAATATAGGATGTATGATGATTTTGTCAAGTAAGAATGTATCTTCTTGAATGAGTATTTAGAATCTGAATCATGGGTTTATGTTGTCATTTCATGCATGCGAGTATCATTTAGATGTATTTTTTCCGCGATTTCCTTTACTTTCATGCATTGGATGCAAAATGTTTAAAAATGCTTAACAACCAACAATGGAAAGAAAAAAATGTCGATACTTTGTGAAGAGTTTCTCCTATTGTTGGATATAGAGTGGGGTTCTCGAATCGTGTTTCTGGTTTTATTTTTTGGAAATATTTAAAACATACTACTAGAAGTTCACTCTTGGCTCTTGAATTCATTAAGTAGTATCGAAAGGAGGTCCTAGCACATTCAGTAACACAAGCAATAAAGAATATGAATTTGTCACATGCCAATATGGTTAGACAAAGGTAGTATTAAAAATATAGAAAGTCTCAGAATCGACAATAACTCATTAAATCTATCGTAATACTACAAATACATAGATGTGTGTGGTTAACTATCCTTTTCATAAAGACTTATATTATTTTTCAAGTAAGTATAAAGTACATTACTCATTCCAATACATATCATTCATCCTTACCATTTGCTTCTGTGTTTATTCAAAGTTCCCTATCTTATAATGTCTTCTTGGATTATTGTTGTAACCATCTTAACAACTCTCAATTACTAGAAAAAACGTCGTTATCCTGTATATAACGTTTTCTACCCACAATTATTTTCCATCTACAAATATAAAGATCAATTGAATTCATCAGTTATATTAAGCATATATACATCATAATATGAGCTCAATCTTTTATATCATTGGGTCTACCCTACTCTTGCATGCCGGTTACTCGTCATTTGAGTTCCATCTGCTCATTAAGGCAAGACATGACAATCTCGCTTTACCAACAGATATCATACTAGAAGTAATCTGTGGGATATTAATACTTATTGCTGGATCAATTAATTCTACTAAAAATACCCCATTCTTATCTGCTAGTGGGAAATTAATCAACCCAACAGATACACATTTAAAAAATATAGATTTCAGAAAGGCCACTAATGAATTCCAACAAATTGAAGTCAATCCATATGAAGATCTTGATAGTAGATTAGAATTTATTAATGTTAAAGAAAAGCGTGCAGAATATAAGAAATGGGTTCAAAATGAAACTGATAAAATAGAATTAATATAACTATATTATAATAATAAAATATAAACACATTTAACCTCATTGTTCCATATTATTAATGGTTTCAAAAACTGTAATATTTTTGAAAGTTTTCTCATTACCATCTTCATAACATTTAGCACTTCTATCTAAAAGTTCATTCAATTCATCTTCTGAGAGTAAGTTCTCATGTTTAATTTTACTATTTGATTCAAATTTATGAGCAAAGGCCTTTGGTAATTCAATAAGATTTTTCAAATTTTGAGTTAAAATATCGGAATTTTGTAATTCCTTACCATCAAGTAATGATTCGATATTTTGAGTCTTGTGTTCATTCATTTGAATAATTAATTTATTCAAAAATATCTTGGAATAACTCTTGTATAATAAAACTTCTTCAATTGAATCTCGAACAACAAATCTATAAATTTTCACTGGATTAACTTGTCCAATTCTATGAGCTCGGTCAATTGCTTGTAAATCAATTTGTGGATTCCAATCTGAATCAAATAAAATTACTGTATCAGCGGTGGTTAAATTAATTCCTAAACCACCAGCTCTTGTAGAAAGTAGAAATACTGGTGGCCCGTTCTTTGTATTGAAGCTTTCAATGGTTTCTTGTCTTTCAGATTGGGAATTGGATCCATCTAATCTACATACTTCAATTCCATGGAAATTAAACCAATCATTCAATAAGTCTAACATTCTTGTGAATTGAGAAAATACCAAGATTTTATGATTTTTCTCGAGTAATGAATCAATGAGTTGTTCAAATACTTGCATTTTACTAGAATTATCATTCAATAATTTAATAAATTCTTCTTCACTTTCACTTGTATGATCTTGTTGGATCGGGAATGGTTCATAAAAAATATATGGTGAATTACAAATATTTCTTAATTGCATCAACATATTTTGAAGTGACTTATTTTTAAGATCTCTTATAACTTTATTCTTAACTTTGTTTAAAATAAATTGTTTCCGTTGAGATGGTGATAACTTTGCCAATTGTTCTTCTTCTTGTTCCAAATCTTCTTCACCGTCAGACTTTCCATCAAGTCCATCTCCTGTTTGGAACTCGTCATCACTGGCCTCTTCTAAAAGTGACACCTTTTTGGTTATCTTACGTCTTTTAGCTCCCAATTGTTTAATTGAAAGTGATTCATCAAGGAAAGTATCCAACATTGAACTTCTAAACATTCCCTTATAATTATTTTCAATATAATCTTTAAAATACACCCTTACCAATGTATTATACAAGTTCCCATTCAATGTTTCTTGATAAAGATATCTTTGAGATGTTGAAAGATTTACATATACAATGTATTCCTTCTTTGGTGGCAAATTCTTAATAACATCTTTCTTTAACCTTCGAAGAATAAATGGTTTTAGAATTGTATGAAGATTTTCAATAAGAGATTTTTGAATATTTAATTCAATAAGTTTATTTTCAAATTCATTATTTGTATCTTTCTTTAAATTTGTTAATTCATCAAAATTAAACCATTGTTGAAATAATTGAAGATCATGGAAAATATCTGGTAAAATAAAGTTTAATAACGACCATAATTCATCAAGATTATTTTGAAGCGGAGTACCAGTAATAAGTAATCTATTAGAAACATCAAGTTCTTTTAATTTTTGAATTAATAAACATTTACTATTCTTTAATCGATGTCCTTCATCTACAAGTAAAAATTTCCAATTGAAATTTTTAAGGAATGAATGATCCCTTATCGATATTTCATAAGATGTAAGTATTACATTTGTAGTTTGAACTTTCTTGGACAATCTAATATCATTTCTAGTATCTTTCAGTCCAATATATTCAAGTACTTTGATCTTGGGTGCAAATTTTCTAAATTCATTAGACCAATTCCCCACCGTGGAAAGCGGCGCAACCACAAGAAATGGACCGGTTATTCCCTGTTCCATCAAAAACAGGATAAATGATATACACTGAATGGTTTTACCAAGTCCCATTTCATCAGCTAATATACCATTCAATCCATTTTCATACAATGACACTAAGAAATCTAATCCATCAAGTTGATAATCTCTCATAGTAGCCCCAGTGAGCAATTTAGGTTGTCGATTTTCTTCAACAACTTTACCACGCGTCTTCTTTTGTTTCTTCTTTTGATCAACTGTCTTCTTTTGTTGCATATTTTGTAATAAATTCTCTGCAATGATTTTAGAATATATTTGTGATTTTTGTACTAATGCATCAAGTTTTGAAAGTTTGGTGTCTGTTGTAAGATTATCAAACTCCAATTGTTCCTTGGAGTTCGATACAAGACTCGTTAAGACTTCATCTTCATTGACGATTTCAGAATCTGAGACAGTCATGCCTAAAAATAAATAACTTACTTATCTATCAATGACCTTTATCACAATCTATTATCTGATCTCATTAATTGTTTTAATAAAAATTAAAAAATAAAAAAAATAAAAAATATAGAAATACCGCGTAGTCTGCATACAAGACAAGAGACAAATGAGAAATGAAGTAGAAAATTTTTTGGAATCATCCGTAGCCCTCGTGACTCAATCAGCAAGGACAATGACTCCATAGACGACAGGAAAGGTATCATTTTGTCATCGAGACAGCAGCATGTACCCAAGAAAATTATTCACAAAAAACACCCACAGTTTGAATTTGGTTAACGATAAGTAATATTATGATCATACATTCTCTATTGACGATCCCGACGAGTTAAGTTGTTAACCACATCGTCTCTCTTTTTCTGTTCAATCATGTGATATGTGAAAGGTTTCTACCCACATAAAAATGATTGACAAGTCAAATTTTTGATTCTGTTAAAAAATATTTTCAATTACAATCCAAAAAAAAAAAAAATACTTTGAACCCGTTTTGCACACTAAGGTTCGTATGCATATCGTGATATGTTTCTGAAACTTCAACTTGATAAATTCACACATGCTATGATAAAACTTTATCGAGGGGCGGGAATAAAACAAACCTACTACCGACCCAAAAATGAGTATATAGTTGTACGTAAACTTTAATTTTTATTGTCTCCTATTGTACTATCCTGAATGTCTCAAGTTAGAAGCATTACCTCATAGCCCAAGTCATATACTGTCCCGTATAAAGTCTCAATTCAATTTTTTTTTTGTTTTTCTTGCACATTTTAGGCAGCTTTTCGGTTTGATTTTGAGTCAAAAAACTTCCGTGATTTTCGGTCTCGACCGAGCCGCAGTGACGTATCGCACAATGCAGCAAAATTGTATGGTTGGGTTTCTCTGTATTGGCTATAATGCGTCGTTGGGCTACAGTGGACAGTAATTATTGATGACAACAGACATATATATATATATATTGTAAATGTTCCAGATCTCTGCTTTAGTCTGATATTTTCTCATCCTTCAAAGATAATTATTCAATAAAGTTGCCAACTTTACATTATCCCCGTGGAGAGATTTTTAGATAAAATTTCAAAAATTTAATCCCCCTTACTTTTTTGTGTACCCTTCTATTATTACTGATAACCCGCACCCACACTGTGAGTCTGAAATTGATTGATTTGTTGAAAAAAAAAACTATCAGCGAATTTATCTATTATATATCATCAGGCTATACACCAGTTCCAGATTTAGAACATCCAACATAAACCTCTGAGTGTTTATAACTGTTGGTTGTATTAAGGTAGAAGGAAACTTAAGGCCCACCCCCTCATAGTTTCACTGCCTATCATACGAGCATTTCAAGTCTCGGTTCATCGACCACCCTTTCGGTCAATCATACCATTGCGAGCCATAAACACTTCTGTGTATCCCCATTTCCATCATACACATTCCAAAATGGGCAGAGAAAACATTCTTCACTATCAGTTAGAACACGACCACGAAACTGACCTCGAGCCACCTTCTCCTGAAGAAACACCTTCATCTCCAAGTATGACTTCTTCTTCAAGATTGAAGAAAGTATCAAATTATCCATTTCTGTTACTGAAAATGTCAACCAAACAAGATTATTTGAACAACAATAAATTCTTTGTTGATTCAATAAATCATAATCATACTCAAGAAATTTTTGAACTGAATGGAAAGGGTCAATCTCCCCATACTCTTTGGATTGGTTGTAGTGATTCAAGAGCTGGTGAATCTTGTCTTTCTGCCCTTCCTGGTGAAATCTTTACCCATAGAAACATTGCAAATATAATTAATTCAAATGATATCTCTTCTCAAGGTGTCATTCAATTTGCAGTGGATGTATTAAAAGTATCAAAAATTATTGTTTGTGGTCATACTGATTGTGGAGGAGTTTGGGCTTCTTTATCTTCCAAGAAGATTGGAGGTGTTTTGGACTTGTGGCTCAACCCAATTAGGCACATTAGGGCTGCTAATTTGAAACTTTTAAGTGAATATAATGATAATCCAAAGGAAAAGGCCAAGAAATTGGCCGAATTGAATGTGGTTGCCTCTGTATTGGCATTGAAGAGACATCCTTCTGCATCGATGGCATTGAAGAATGGTTCTATTGAAGTGTGGGGTATGATGTATGATGTTGCAACCGGATTGTTAGAAGAAGTTGAAATTCCAAACGATGAGTTTGAAGATTTATTCCATGTTCATGATGAACATAGTGAAGATGAATATAATCCTCATTAAGGATTATTAATAGAGATGTGAAATGAAGAATAGAGATAATATTTATAGGAAAATAAGGCGTAGCCAATAGAAATGAACGAAAAGATAATGTGATATTGATCTTTGTAAACTTAATGGACTACTTTTATTAATTATGCTTAGTACTAATCATTGATTCTTGATTCTTCTTGAGTAATGTATATGTATTATTCTATTTAAATTCTACTAAACTCTTTCTTTTATTTTCTTTTTATTTTTGTTGCACTATTTTATCTCCTTCCAAAAAAAAAAAATATTATCTCCCCACTCGTCTCCTCACTTACTTTCAGGTAGACTTCCAGTTAAGGTTGAATCTTCCATCTGGGATCTTATACTCTTCAATTTCCTTCAAGACACCTTCAACAGTGGTGGCAACCTTGATAATCTCACCATTCTTCTTGGAAACAAATCCACTTTCAATGGCATCTTCAATAAACTTCAAAAAGTTATCATAGAACCCATCAAGATTGTAGATTACAATAGGTTTGTTGTGAATGTTAAGTTGAAACCAAGTGACAACTTCCATCAACTCTTCCAAAGTACCATATCCACCTGGGAGAGCAACAAATGCATCAGCTTCTTCACCCATCATTCTCTTTCTGGTGTGCATATCCTTGACCAAAGTAGTCTTTCCATATTCCTTGGAGTCAGGAATTGGAGTAGAACCATCATGGTTGTCGATAGATTTCTTCAAGTTTTCATTAAAGTCCTCTTCAGTAGTTCTTTCTCTAGCAATCAATGCTTCTGGAATGATCCCGTGGACATATCCGTCATTGGTGGCACAACCACGTGCAACGGCTCCCATCAATCCAGTGGATCCACCACCGTATACCAATCCCCAGCTCTTTTCGGCCATCTTCTGGCCTAAGAGAGTTGCATCATCAGCAAACAGTGCCTTGTTTCCAAACCCAGATCCGCAAAAGACACAAACCTTTTTAAGTGGAGCAGTATTAGTAGTCATTTTTTGTATGTGTTGTTCAAGAGTAAATATAATTGATAGAGTAAATAAAGAAGTCTCTTTGTAAAATTTGTAGTTAGTTTCTATTCAGTTGATTGTTCGAAACTTTTCTAATCTTCTTTTTTTATAAATAATTCAGTTCAATTCAAGTTACTTATATAGTAGTTTTTTCTGAGAAATGGTTCATCAAGATAAGATCGATGGTGACGTTCGTACTGCAGATTATGCGCATGACTTCGAAATATTCCGCTGCACGACCACCTGCACATGTTGCTAATAATTATTGGAGACTTTATGTGTCGGAAACTGTTTCTATTACATTTGTACAAATCAGACATTTACCGAGATTCAATAGACAATTATTTTAAATTGAAGTTACAATCAGTTTATTAGACCAATTGATGATGATTTTTGAAGAATTATTATCAAATAACGGAACTTCCCCGCCGTGTAGAATATTGTGTTAAACATTTAATTGCCGCTATAGTTTAGTGGTTCATATGCAAAAATTCCTCCATTCCGCTGGGTTCCGCGGAGATATGCCACGTTATCTCTTGAGATATACAAAAAATTGTGATTTAGGCCATTACCAAATTAAAAACTCTAGACACCAAGACTTTTATGGGCAGATCATATAGATCATCAACTATCCTCGTAGATATTTACTAATACAGATACATAAATTCAATGAAACATAAACAAAAAAAATGATCGATGAATTCATTGAGATAATTCGCAACCAATACAAAAAAAAAAATACCATTTGAAAAGACTTCGGAAATGTTCCAAATTGGGAAATGGTCAATCTACAACTACTCTCACTATTAATTTTTAATTCTTGTTTTTCAATGAGTCATTAGTGGCTTATAATGTTAAATTATATACACATTTTTAGTATTACAATACTAAAACCTTGTAATCACGTGGACATGAGATGGATTCGCATTCAATTTTACTTTTGTGTATCTTTTTTCCAATTGTTACCCCAATGTTTTTAGTTCACCTTAAAATGGATGGTACAATGAATTTAGGTTCCCTAATGGATTTTTCGTCAAGCTATTTGAAAACAACAACAGAAAAATATATCAGAGTTGTTACTCCTCTTGATTGTATGCCATGTATTGTATGTTATATATAAATGAACTGCCATGATAATCATAACTTTGTCAAAACTCTAACTAAAGAATTTGTAGTAGAATCGTGTTTTGTCATTATTCTTGGTGAATACTTACAATGATCAGAAAAAGCGCGTACCATAGGCCAAGCTACTCTGACATCAATAGATATCTTCCGATAATATTTGAAAACCCATTATGTATTTTATCTTTCTTCTTACTTTTTTAAACGCCTCATGTGGACCCACACCTCAAGCTTCTATGTGGATACTATATTTAGTACGACGCGGTCAAAAAAATCGCGATCCTCTAAAATAAAGATTCGTGAATCTGCATGAAACTGCACATATGGTCTCGGTTAATCAATTGCAGGGTCTTCAAGTGTAAATATATCCCTACTCCATGCAGCGTACAGAACGAGAAGGAGTGGGAAAACTTCTTCTATAATTCATCTTCCATTTCCTCCTCCTCCGCCTTCTTCTTCTTTTTCTTTCAGTTCCTTCTTATAGTAGAAAAAGATACATATTCCATGGTACGAAGAAAAGACTTATTCCTTCAACTAGAAGGCTTACAAACAGAATCTCAAGAATTAAACCATCATGACACCATAACGAAAAACAAGAATATGAACAAGGGGTTAAGGACGGATACAGAAGTGACAATTACAGATAGACTAAAGGCATTGGATACAAACCAACAATCACGAGTGCCGTATAAACGAACTACAAGGACATCACTGGTGAGCTCCATACAAAATAGATTGAAAATGTTTGAACAAAATGATGGAATAGTGGAAAAATCATTTACACCTCGACGTTTAACCAACCCATTTGAAGAACATTCAAGAACAATACCGACCTATAAACCAAACCCCAAGGAAGATAATTCACCCTCGTCGGCTAGTTCATTCACGTCTTCCGATACAGATTCAGATTTAGAAGTTGAATCTACTCATACTGCAGAAACTTCAATTTATTCGACATCTCCACGAAAATTGGACGGCAAACAAACTACTACAAATTATAATCATACAAGATTTCAAAAGGAATGCCATATAGGACAATCCACTTCCGAAAATTTGCTAGGCATGCTTGACTGCTTAGAGGCAATGGCAATTGATGATTCAAATATGATTTTACGACAATTAGAAGAATTTACAAACACTATTCAACAAAGTGTCCCACATAACACATATACTGTGAACCTTGAACGGTTTGAGAAGCCAAACATATGAGACAGATAATACCCAGTTTAATAATATAAACAAATACAGACAAACAAACAACAATGTATAATCACGTAGTAGTATTATTTTTATTTTTTTAGTTGGGAGGGGGGGTGTATGTCCCTTCCATACATTTCAACGTCTATACCTCCATTGTGTTGTATTTAATATGCGCGCTTATCTCGGAACTGGAGGAAGATATGAAAATGTGCTGTGTGCACTACTTCGCACTACAAGTCTGTTTTTAGTAACTGGGGGTTGAGATTGAAACTCAAAAGTGATTACAAGATGGCAAACGAATCATTTAAATCATTGATATAATACCAAATTTCTCAATTTCAAATTTAAAAGTATTATGGGGATCAAGGATTTGGAAAGCACACTCTCGAGGTTGAGAACTTTTGAAGATGAGCTTGCCGATCAAGTAGAAGAACGGAATCGTATGGTTGAAGTGTTACAACTTACCCCGAGTGCCAATGATAATCTTGATCTTATCAGTTACTTGGAAAAGATTCTGAGAGTGATGAAGTATTTTGAAGAAGATTTTAGTGATGAAATCAGGAAAGATATCTCAATAGAGAATTATCAACAACTGTATGTATGAATAGGGGGTGAGGGGGCGTGGAGAATGGCAATATGATCAGGAGACTATTACTAACCACTTAGCTTAAAACAATACCAACGGATTGTAAAAGTATACACCGATCTTACCGATAATTTAGAATCTGACGGTTACATAGATGTTTCGGAATATAAATTCAGTATAGATGAAAACTTACCAGAACCAATTCAACTTGGGAATTCAACATCGGGAAAGCTGGTAAGATTTAAAGATAAATTAGTTGAAACAGACGTTGAACATGAAGCTGCACGTCAAGAATTATTAGGAAGAAGTAATAATACATTTATGCCATATAGAGATGATGAAAATGATACAAGTTCTATTGCATCTTCTTTTGATCTTCAATCAAACCAACAAATATTTGCACAACATCAACAACAATTACTTGAACAAGACGATAATTTAGATATCTTACACCTGTCTGTTCGAAGACAACACCAAATGGGTCTAGGAATAAATGATGAGGTAGATGAACATATAATATTACTCAATGATCTTGAACAAGGCATTGACACTGCACATGCTAGATTAAACCGAGCAACAAACAGATTAAAATCATTTCAAAAACTTTGCAAGGAAAATGGAAGTTTAGTTACAATTGTGGTTCTTACAATCATCTTGATAGTGCTACTTGTTGTATTGAATTAAGATATTCTCTTTCAATAAGATTTTTTTTTAATGATAACGATAATAATAATAATATAATAATAATAAGAATAATAGTAAGTATATAAATAGGATTATTTATAATGTTTTTTTATTGGAGAACTGAAAGGGGACAATCAGTCTTTATGTTAAAAGTTGAAATCATCATTTTCTTCTTCATCCTCACTAAAGAACCAAATAAAGACAATGATGGCACAATAAACAACCAACCCTCCAACTATACTCATGGTCATGGCACCTAATTCGATGAGATTGGAATGGTACAATGTCAACGGTAATGCTATACCACTAACAATAAGGAAACCAGTAAAATGTTGACAAAATTCCTTTAATGCGGTTGGGGTATTCCCATGATCATTTGAGAATGTTAAAAAATCATCCCGATGACTGTCTACTGATTGAGCAACAATATTTGGTAATGGTGCTAACAAGAATAATAATATCACCCAAAGTGGTTTCCAATTGTTGAATAATGCACATGATAAGAGAATTAACAAGAAACCTGAAGCTAGAAATGCTGAAAGGAAAATAATCTTATTCAATGGATTCATTTTGTAATATGGATCCCTTTTTATGCAATAATGATATTTATCTGAGTGGGTTTCAAAACTTTTTTATTAATGAATTAATTTAATTTTGTCTATAATGCAATGATTCTGATATTATTAACATATATAACTTGTGGCAATCTTTTAATCTATGTACCCTTAATTCCATATTGGTAAAATTAGTCCACAAAATTAAAATCTATTGTACGAAGTCTATATACAGGGAGAGCTTCCATTCTTACTTTACTAATACTAGTAAAAAACAATAAGTTATATTAGAGTAGGATATATACAGTAGGGCTCTCATAAACAATTGAATCACCATCAAACGAATTTAATAGTGAAAAGAAAAAAAACAATAAACAAACCAAAGAAAGAACATATAAAAAAAAAAAAAAATTCCAATTCATAATGTGTGCTGTTCCATTCCTTAGCACCAAAATGACCATTTCCCATCATAAATATGGAACAATAACCTAGCGAGAAGACTATATAATTATTCCATGATCATCAAATGTATGTAATAATTACATCATCATTTCTCATTCTTCCAAAACCATCCGTTTGGTTCAACTGATGTTTGGTGTTTCTCTTCAACTCCATTAACCTTTTCAACAATACTAGTCCAATCCTTTGCATCGAATGGCTTGGATTTAGTAATTGTCTTGGTAGATGAAGTTCCATCATCGTAGTATTCTTCTCTAGTTTCATTTAAAACAATTGAATTGGTTTCATTATCTGATTGATATGATGATTGAACAGAATATGAAACAACTTTCTTATTATCAATTGATTCTGAAAGTTGTTGTTGTTCTTGTTTATTTAATTCAATAGGTAAATTCAAATCTTTTTCAATTATTTTTTGTCTTCTTGAACATTGTCTTTCTCGTTTAATATTCTTGTACATTTCATTTTTCCAATTCAAATAATCGGTAAATTGATTGAAAAAAAGACCCTTGGTACCCAAATCAACTTTACTACTATTAGGATCAATCCCATTTGCATTAATTGCATCCAAATAATCATCCTTAGTGAGAATTTCCTCACTATATTGTTCATTCTTTAATTTCAAATAATCAGGAGGAACGACTGCATTGGGGAACAAACATCTCCAATATCCATTGGAATCCCAAACAGATTGTCCATCTTTAGCCATACAATCACGGTAACTTCTTTCATTTGGATTTTTCAAAGAATAATATCCAAATGGAGTTCTACCACGTTTCCATGAAGGTCCAAAGAAATCTCCAAATCCAAATGATGGGGTAATTGATCCTTGAGAATCACCATCGAAAAACCCTTTCAAATGCTTGTTGATCAAAGTAACAGGATCTCTGTCTTGGTAAGGACGAGGGAAGTAAACATCAATTTCTTTGGATACTCCACCCTTATCATTCTTATCAGTAACTCTGAATCCATCTTCCTCATCACCAAAAATTCCTTTAACTTGCAGTTGAATTTGATCAAAATTACCATCCTTTAATACTTCAGTACTAATCTCATTAGCCTTTTCTTGGAAATTTTGTAAAGATTGTGCAGTAAGATTAAAAAATGATGATGCAATTGATGCAACATTTTTTCCTACTCCTTCAAAATTGTTCATAATCTTTTCAATCTCTTTATCATATAAATCAACTTTATTGTTATCATTGTTGATCTCATCTTCAGATGAAACCCTGTCAGTCTTACCAAATCTTCTACACATCTTTTAAATAGATAGTAGTAAAAAAGAATAATTTCCTTGCTTAAAATTTATTAGCTAATATATATACTTGTCTATAAGTTGCCTCCCGTCCCGTATTTTTTTGCCATCCGATCACGTGAGAAGTCAAGAAATATAAAATATTGGAAAAAAAAATAAAATAAAATAAAGTTAAGAAAAATCTGTAGTTGCAACCAATTTGATTATTTTCTGAAAATCAGAAAAAAAGAAAGATAATGAAAGAAAGAATATAAAATTATTAGATATATTTATTAATGTTCTATAGTAGTTAAGTAAGATCTATACCAAGATTACCGTATGCCCATCCCAAAAGTAGTTTTTTAGATTGTTTTTTTTTTGCTTCGTTAAAAATAAATAAAAAAAAGATTTAACCAGATGAATAAAGGTGAAAGGGTTATGCAAATGAATGAAAAAGGACCGAAATGAAAGGTAAAGTATTGAACATGTACAAGTGATTGTTTTTCTTTTTTTTTTGTTTTGCTGAGGAAAAGAAATTGAAAACGAGCATTTTAGCTCAAAAGATGATGAAAACCATGGAAGTAAGATGTTTGAATGTGTGTAAGTTTGTCTCTTCGCAGATAAATAAAATGAGAAAAGTTATTGAACTTTATTCCATCTACCAGTTTCTAGATGATACATTCATTCTATTTTGCAGCTGTTGGATTTGACTTGGATCAACTACATGGATACCTCCAGATCCGACTTGTGTGTTAGAAACGACCCTTTTACGGAAGTTCATGTTTACACCTGCAGAACTAGTTGGTGTTCTTTGCTTTGGAGATTGTTGGTTCATATAAGTTGGTCTACTCTTTGGAGTTTTTAAAAGTTCATTGAGTTGTGCTGCGGGAGAATGATAAGCATCTGGTCTACCAGAGTATTGGATAGATGGTGACATCACTGGAGATGGCATGCTTTGCACTTGAGCCATAGGTTTCCTAATGCTCATATGTTCGTATTCAGTTGGGATAGCTGGTAAAAATTCCATATCAGATTGAATATCAAATGATTTATGAATGTAAAATTGAGTCTTAACTGCCTTAAGCATTTGAATTCTGGCCAATTCTACCGAAGATGCATGAGAAACTGCTGATGCAGATGTTCTAGAGTATCCAACCGTGTCCATGTTTCGTATTGGTTACTAAACAACTTCAACTTGAATGAAGAAGTTTTATTATATACGAAGAAAAAAAAAAAAGATCTACAATCGATGAAGGTATTTGAAAAAAAAACCAGTGGAGTAATGGCCTTCTCTAAGCGATAATAGAGAATAGCGACTGAAAAAAAAAGTAAGGTAAAAAAAAAAAAAAAAGGATATACGGTACAAGTTATCCGAGTTGTATACAGTATAGGGTACAAACTGTTTGATAAAGTATACCATTGTAGCTAATAATATAGGGTACCATCTTAGATAAGCTGTTGATGTTTATTGTAAGATCCCGACTTTCTAGTCCACGTACTTTTATACGTGCTGCTACTTACACTACAGCTTCCCCTAAATTCAGCTTTACTGAAGATGCGGTAGATCCTATCGAACGTAAAGGTTCAGTTCACCCTACTACACCAGCAAGAACTAGATTTGCACCTTCACCTACTGGGTACCTCCATCTCGGCTCTCTTAGAACAGCGTTGTATAATTACCTTTTAGCAAAGAATACAAATGGAACATTTATCTTACGATTAGAAGATACAGATCAGAAACGTTTAATAGTTGATGCGGAACAAAATATTTATGATAGTTTAAAATGGTGTGGTCTTAAGATTGATGAAGGTCCTATGGAAGGTGGACCATATGGTCCTTATAGGCAATCTGATAGAAGAGAAATCTACCAAAAATATGCTCAGATTCTTCTTGATTCAGGACATGCATATAAATGTTATTGCTCTAAAGATAGGCTAGCATCTTTAAGGGAGTCTGCCATGAAACTTAAACCACCAACTACGGTCACATACGATAGATATTGTGCCAATGGAGCTCACGACCATGAAGTAGATGCAGTTCCAACCATTAGATTCAAATCGCCTGATGTATATGAACCGATTGAAGATCTTACTCATGGTGTTTTGAATTTACAACCTCAATATAATACATCGGATAGAAGATTTGATGATTTTGTCATTATGAAAGCTGATGGGCTCCCAACTTATCACTTTGCTAATATTGTTGATGATCATTTGATGAAGATCACTCATGTTATAAGAGGAGAGGAATGGCTTCTGTCGACTCCAAAGCATGTTGCCTTATACAAGGCATTTGGTTGGGTACCACCAAAGTTTGTCCACATCCCATTATTAACTTCTCTTTCTGATAAGAAACTTTCGAAAAGATCAGGTGATATCGGCATATGGAGTCTTAAGAATAAAGGAATTCTTCCAGAAGCACTCACAAATTTTTGTGCTTTATTTGGGTGGTCCCCAGCTAGAACTCCAGGTGTAAGTGCTACCGAAGTCATGAAATTAGAAGAATTGGTACAAAAATTCTCTTTAGATAACCTCACCAAGGGAAATGCTAAAGTTGATGATGCAAAGTTACATTTCTTCAATAAAAGTCATCTTCAATTAAGATTACAAGATGAAAGATCATTTCAAGAGATTGTCGACTTAAATTTGTCTCAATACCAGAAATTATATCCAAATCTTACTGAAGAATATTTTAAGAATGTTTTATCTTCTGTTGGACCAAGCATTTCCAGCATTAATGAACTTGATCAACATAAATATCTTTTTGAAGAAATTGATTATCTGTCAATTGATACGAAGAAATTACCAGCGGAAGCAAAGGAGGTTTTGCAAGCATTTACTGAACTCGATGATTCAATTACATTTGAAGATGGAGTTAAGGAAGTCATTACTGAAGTTCCAGGACTTAAAAAGAAGGACATATTTAAAACATTAAGATATGCGTATGCTGGAGGAGCATCCGGTTTAACAATTCCATTACTTGTTGAATTGCTTGGTAAGGAAAAGGCTACTTTAAGATTGCAAAAGGCATTAAAAAGCTTGTAAATAAAATTAATTATTCTATGTATATACCACCTGTTATAACTATGGACAGTTTAGCTGTTTGCTCATTATGTAGTTAATTCAACACATCTTTTGAAATCTAAAAAGTCTGGAGATTTTGACTTTTGATCAATTGGATCGAGATAGGCTCCAGTGTAAATACAATGAATCACCATTTCAGGATGATAATACAATCCCGTAAGCAACTTTGGAGTGACCAAGAAATACTGAGAAGACTTTGATTTGCAAGCAGTGTGAACCAAATATTTATGAGCCATCTTTTCATTTTTAGGATCCATACCTTGATTTATTTCGTCGACAACTCTAAATGGAGCATCGGTTAAACCTTGTAAGGACATAATAAAGAAGATAGTTGAAACTGCACGTTCACCACCAGATTGTGATTGATGATCTAAAATCTTCAAATCAGAATTTTCACGGAATTTTACAAGAATTTGTAATTTCCAATCTTTGTATCTATCAGCTTTTGCTAATTCAACTTGACCGTCACTGGCAACTGCTGTAAATCGTTTTTGAAATATATGTGATATTTTAGTAACAAGGTCTGATAATTTTGGTTCCCATTCTCTATGAATCAGTTCAATTCTAGATTTTAAACTTGATAAATTCGTTTTCAATATTGGCAACTCTTTATCGGCAAATTCAATTTCTTGAAGTTTCCTTCTAAGGCTCTCCATAGAACTTTGATCGACGGTTGACATTAAAGATCTTTCTTCCTCCAAGAGTTTAATTTTATTTCTAATATTAATTTCCGTCAAAGTGTTGCTCTGTAAGTAGCTTGCAGCCAATGCTCCTAAGACTTGTCTTTCCTCTGGTGTGTAAGAGGTACTTTGTTCTTGGATCTTTTTGGCAGCATCACTCTTTTTAATCTCATCATATTTTGCCTTAGCCTTAATATATTTTTCCTTCAATTGAATCTTATGATCTTCAAGATTCTCAAGAAATGATTGAGCTGTAACAACTTTATTTTCATTTTGTAATTCATATAATTGAGCTTGACATAACTGAATAGATATATCACTTAATTCCTTTAATATTTGGGATATTTGCAACATCTTTTCAGAAACAATCGACTTCTTTTGTTTGATTTTATTTTCCACTTGAACTATCTTTTCAGAATAATCCTTTTTGGTTTCGGAGTCAAGTCTTTTCACTAATTCCTTTTTAGATTTTAATCTACTTTGAAGTGTAGCCTTAAGATTTTTCAATTTTGATAATTCTTCAAGTTTAGAAGTATATGATTTAAATTCTTCCAGAGCTGATTTTTGTTGAGTTTTCAATTGGATTAATTCTTGCTGAGAATCTTCCACTTCTGCTATTATTTGTTGCATTCTTTGCTTTAATGACTGAATATCTGCCCTAACTTCCTCCTTAGCATGTTCAGATAATCCAGACAGAACAAATAATCTGGCTTCAGGAACTTTTTCTGTAATGAAAAATGATTGTTTACTACCATATCTAGATTTTCTAATAGTGAATAAATTACCACCAGATAAGAATTTCCCAAACTTATTATTTGGTGATGAATTGTCTTCATTAAGTAGCCTTCCTAATTGTTCTTCTGATAGTGGTGTATGGCTGACAGGAATATTATTTAACTTGGATACTTCATTCAACATATTAAGAACTTCACTAGGTCCAGATATGAAATCAGAAAGGTATCCATCAAATCCAAACCTTTTCAATTCTTCTCTTGAATACATAGATTTTGGTGCAGTTCGTGTAGTAACTCTCATGGGCACATTGAACTTTTTAAATACCAAATTATTCACCTTATTATATGCTTCTTTACTGGTGAATGATATCCCTAATAAGGTATTGTTATCAATAACTTTCTCAATGTATTTCGCATATCTTAAATCTGGAACTTCACATGAAACCACTGGTGCTTCAAAATATTGATCTTTGAGTTCTGGGTGATCCCGAAGTAACTTATGTGCTCCATAAGAACTATCCATCATAACATTTCTATTCCGATTGTTTCGATTATCAAGCACAACTATTTTGTCAGTTGATGTGAGACGATCAACTTTTTCATTCATTTCACTTTTCAATGTGTCAAATAAATTCTTTTTGGGTCTTAAAGAATATTCAATTTCTTCAATTTGTGGTTTCAAATCTGCTATTTCTCCATGTTTTAAATCTCTTGATTTCTTTAAATTTACCAATTCATTATCATCAACATTTGGGAAATCCTTTATTTTATTTTCTAATTCCTCAACATCGATAATATATTGATCTCTTTCAGCTTTTTTCCTATCTGCTCTAGTTTTTAAACTTCCAATGGTTTGAATTAATTCATTAATTTTATCTTCATCAGTTTGAATTTCTTGTTTTAAAGCTTCATGTTTTTCCTTGCTTTCCTTTTCTATTTCCTTGGTATCTATAATATGTTTATTTGCCTGTTTTAATTCCTTTTTAAATGCATTTAATTGTTCTTCTATTGGTTTGGCATTAAGATTGAATTTCTCTAATTCACGTTTTGCTTGATCTCTTTCCTTTTTCAAATGTCTTTGTTGATTCTTTAAATCTTGAATCTGTGCATATGGAATTAACATAACATGATTTTCTAATTCTTTTGTCTTTGTTTGATATTCTTGATATTTATTGGCTTCTTCTTGAAGTCTATCACGTTCTTCAATCAAATTATTATAATCTTGTTCTGTCTTGGTAATCTTTTCTTGTAAATCCACCAGATCCTTATCATTCCGAATAAGATCTTCATGCATTGCTAGAAGCAGTCCATCTCCAATGGTTCTTTCCGTTTCCAATAATAATTTCTCTGGTGATAATCCTGCAAATTCTGCAACTCTTTCTTGAGGAAGAAAATGACATAAATTATCTAATTGAATATTAAATTCTTTACATAAGTTTTTAATTGATTTCTCATCTGATTTCCTATTATTAATCTTCCATCTTGATTCCTTTTCGGTGAATACTCTTTCAATTACAAGATTTGGTTTTAAATCATGATTTTGTAACGTGATTTCAATAGTACATTCAGTTTGCCCTGTCTTTATCATTGACTTCATAGATTTTCTCTTGATTAAATCAATTCTACCTGCTAATCCTAAACATATGGCTGAAACTAATGTACTTTTCCCAGTACCATTTGGTCCAATAATCATATTCAATGTAGGTGAAAGATTAAATTCTCCATAACTGTACGTTGTGAAATTTTTAACTTTGACCTTGATTATAGATCCAGGTGGGAATGAAGTCGGCGTATCTACGCGTCTTCGTTTAATTTCATTGGAATTCATATAAGTTTTAAGTAAAAAAGTGTGCCCGTTTGATCTAATCTCTATATTTTGATAAATGACATAAATACAAAAAAAAAAAGATTCAAAAAAATCAAAATCAAAATCAAAATAAAATCAAAATAAAACAAAATAAAAAATAAAAAAGGTCAAAAGTTATAGACACCATACACGAGACAAAAATAAAAATCATTAATACATTTTTGTGAAAAAAAATCCAATCCTCAACCACACATCCCTCCCACTCTAACTTCCATATAAATAATATACTCTTTCCTCTATCAATTAAAGAAAAACCTATGATGTAAAAAGAAGTTAGCATACTTGTTATAATTGTATGGTCCTGCAGCTACGTACTCCGGCTCCACACGACTTTCGTTTGTTTACGTTTCAACTCGAATATGTTATCGAGAAATCAAAAATCTTTACAAAGTCCTCTCTTTTAAGGAAGAAACGAAATGGTATGTATGAGTCCATAGGTCTAAATCAAGGGACATTGCAAAACGATAACATAATCCTGATTGACATTGGGAATAAATCGAAAGCTGATGCTTACTTGTACAATTTGAATGTTCATCCCACTCCGCCTACTCCAATTTCACTACTAACAATTACAGTCCCAAAACACTAAAACTTATAAAGACGCGTTTGCTCTCTTTGACAAGAAGGGAACTGGAAAGATCCCAGTTGAACACTTGGGTGATTTGTTAAGAGCCGTTGGTCAAAACCCAACTTTGGCTGAAATCTCAGAATTGCAAAGCTCGATCCAATCAAAGGAATTTGATTTCGATGTCTACCATAAGATTATCAACAGACCAGATGGTTTCAAGCCATTAGGATTGCCAGAAGACTACATCAAGGGTTTCCAAGTCTTTGACAAGGAACAAACCGGCTACATCGGTGTTGGTGAACTTAGATACATCTTGACCTCCATTGGAGAAAAATTGACTGATTCTGAAGTTGATGAGTTATTGAAAGGTGTCAATGTCACTGCTGATGGTAATGTCGATTATGTTGAGTTTGTTAAGTCCATCTTGGACCAATAGGTGGAACAATAATGAATGAACAATAAAGCGATCTATATACCTTTTTTAGTTATTTTCTTTTATTTCGCTATTATATACCCGTGATGAATAGATGTATGTTATTTTTTGCAAGATTATCATCAATTCCTTTTTGAATTTTTTGAAATGTAAATGTAATATGGTCTCTATTACTACCTCTATATCTATACCTGTCCATAATATATATATATATATTATACGCTATTGGCTATATACAGTCCCTTTCCAATTTTTACACAAGATATGAAGAAGAAGCTAAGATACTTTCTATTATCAAATATACTTTCAACCTTGTTTCAAATGAATAATATAGATGTACAGATAGATCCTCAACGAGAAGAGAGATTCCATTTGTTTCCGGAAGAAAGGTTGAAAGTTGTGGCCATTCTTGGAGGATGTGTTGGAGGTATGCAAGGATTTTATCTGGGAGTAAAGATTGCATCATTAAGATACTTGACAGAAAATGGTCATAGATTACCAACTAAAGTTGGAGGATGGTATTTTTATCATAAAAAGAAGAATTATGTGATGCTTGTTAATGGTATACGGCTGGCGTGTGTACTGGGAGGCAAAATGTCTTTGGCAGTAACTGGATTCTTTGGCTTGGAATATGCCATTGATCGGTATGTACGTGGAGGTACCATTGATCTTGCCAATACTACCGCTGCAGCCATGATTTCTGGAGCTATATTCGGGGTCTATAATGGGTTAAGTCGGATCCAAACCGTCAAGTACGTGAAACAGGGTGCAATCCTTGGACTCAGTTTGGGTATTTCTCAAGATCTTATGATTTGGACTCGTGGTGGGAAAGTTTGGTATATGGATAAATTAGGGATTTTAAATCCAAGATTCAAACATGAAAGAGAGGTCCTTACTAATTAAAAGAATGTTAAAAGTTTATATGTATATAGAATAATTTATTAAAGTCTCATTTTAAGTCCTACTCATCATCATCATCTTCATCTTCATCCAAATCTGCCACTGGATAGTTTAATAATACTGCAACACCAGTTAATTGGTTTAATTGCTCTCCTGATTCATGTAAACTAGAAAATATTAATACTTGTCCTCCATTTTGTTTCACATCTTCACTCATCTTGATATAATGTTTTCGTACTGATATATCATCACTTCTGAAAAGAGTATCGGTAATCATCAAATACTTAACTGCTCCAAGTTCAACTGCCTTGGCTGCCTCGGTAGGTCCATACCATGCTTTATCGTCATCTGCGTTTAAAACATGTTGGAATTCTTCGAAAATAAGTGCCTCCTGAGCAAATTGAGTATCTCTTAATTGACTTTGAATAGATGGATCTTTCAATGCTTCTTCAAGTCCTTGTAAATATCCAGTCGATGAATGAACTACAATGAATTTTGATTTGTTCTGGAATACAACCTTGTTGTCATCCCTAGTGGCTTGGGTTAGCACATGTTTGTACAAGGCATTTGCTGTGAATCCTGGTGAAGCTAAGATAATTGCCTTCAATCTAGTTAAATCAAAATTTCTTAACATTGTACTCAGAGTCATATCATAGAATTTTTCCAATGCCTTATCATGATTACCTCCACCACCTTCGCCTCTTCTTTTCTTGGGGATTGATTTTTCAATTTTATTTCTTAATACTGTCATATTATCAGTAATAAGACAGATGTGTGCAACTCCTTCTTCCAATACAACGGCACCTATCTCTGCCTTCTCCTCGATAGAACATGCCTTAACGATGATTCCATAACTGATCTCATCCCAATCTGGCTTATAGAGCGTGAATTGCTTACTTAATTGAATTTCTGCAGTATGATAACTCTGCATTGGAACATATTCATTTGGTTCTACAGTCTTACCTCTAATTCTAAGAACTTCATCAGATGGTGTGTAATCAATATTCTCAACATTGATCTTCAATGTAAGTGGTTTCCTTTCAGTTTTACCCTTATCCTTCCCACTAGATGGGGCAGCTCCTGATCCACCAGTAGTCTTTTTAACATTTCTATGAGTTGATAACTTCACATCATCTCCCTTTTGAATAAGATTATAAAGTTGCCATAAATCTTCACGATCCTGTGGTATCAACACAGTTGATCCACTCTTATCCTTCTCAAAAGTTTGTTTCAAAAGTTTCATTATTAGTTATTATAAGGAAAAAGGATTAATGATGTGACTACACCTGTCCTATATAATCATTTGATTCTCATTATGAGTAACAGCAAAAAAAAAAAAAAATTACAACTAAAAAGAGCAAACCAAGGTTAAATGTAATTATATAACCCAATTGATCTGATATGAGCTAGCTGAAAGATTTGTATACTTGTTATATAATTCACTCTCTCTACATATTTTATCATTTTTCCATCACCTTATTAAAATGGCTATATATTCTATCTAACGCACGTTGGCCTTAACAATGTTGGAGTTCTTACATAATTCTCCTCTGGCATTGACTAATCTTACTGGAGCCTTACCTTCTTCAGTGAAGGTAACTTCAAAGTTTTCATTGGTGGAGAAACCTGGTTGAACTGCTTCCCAGACCTTCTTCTTTGGGTTTAATTGCTTTTCTGGAACACCATCGAATCCTTCAAAGAAAAGCTTTTCACCAGCCTTAGAACCAGCTGGTGGGTTGACGAATTCAACGGTTTCTTCGTCAGAGGCACACAAGACCATGGCGCAAGACTTGACACCTCTCATGTTGACTGGCTTCAAGTTGGCAATGACAACAACGTATCTTTCTTGCATATCTTCAATTGGAATGTACTTAACCAAACCGGAACAAACGGTTCTTGGACCTTCGGCATCACCCATGTCAATGGTGGACATGTATAAGGAGTCAGCATCTGGGTGCTTAACAGCCTTTTGAATGAAACCAACTCTGAAATCAATCATAGCTGGGTTTGGTGGGACTACAGCGGCAGCAGACTTAGCGTTAGCTTCGGCCTTAGCCTTGGCCTTAGCGGCCTTCTTAGCCTTAGCAGCTTCAGCGTTGGCCTTCTTGTCTTCTTCAGAAACAACACCAGCTTCCTTCTTTCCAGCTTCCTTCTTTGGAGCTTCCTTCTTAGCTTCCTTCTTTCCTTCTTCCTTCTTGTCACCTTCCTTAGCAGCAGGCTTCTTCTTTTCCTTGATTTCTCTTGGGACCTTGGCTTCGTAATCCACCTTTAATTGGTCGGCTTCTGGAACAGTAACCAAAGTGTTTTGGACTAAATCAGCCCATCTCAAAACATGTCTGAATTTGGCCAAGTCTTCATTGGAAGTCCAAGTCTTAGCCAATGGTAAAACCTTAGCGAAAACAGTGAGGTCGGCAGATGATGGGGAGTTACCAGCAACAAAAGTCTTGGTCTTTAAAGATTCGTTAAATGCAATGACTGATTCTGGTTCTTCAGTGAATCTTCCAGACAAGGTCTCGAATTGTGCAACTAAGGCCTTTTCTTCGTTGGTCAAAGAAACATCAACTGTAGCTGAAGATACATCTGCCAAGGAAACCTTGGAAAAGTTCTCAATGAATGAAGCCATTATATGATACTATTTATATATGTATATATATGCTAATTTAATCTATATCTTGATCAATTTTACCCGCTAAAATGTTTCAGAATGGTCATAGCCAAAATTTTATAATGACACAAAACCAATCTAAAAATTCAAATTTACATGTATGAATAAATTTACGTATACACACACCACTACCAATTCTAACTAAAGTATAATTTATATACAATCATTAATCACAACTTAATGCCACTGATTCACCTGCATTTCCTCCCCTTTAAATAAAATTCATTAGATCAAATTATTTTTTTTAGTTGCTATACATAATAATTTTATGGTTTCCTGCACAGCTTGAAGTGTTATATTAGTTTATTCTACCCTTTTCTCCGCAATTTTGAGTTTTGTAAAGTCAATCTGGTGATAGCCTTTTGTTCTTGTAGTGGCTCACTTTTTTGCGCTAGAAAAAAATTAATAATATTAAGAATAAGTAATTACAAAGATAAAGTCAAAAAAAAAAAAAAAATAAACACTACAATTGATTCAAATCTACAAAGAAGTTTTGAGCATCATACAAGAATTTTGCTTATATATACTTGGTCAAATGGCCCTTGAAGATGACAGATATAGAGAGTCAACAAATCGTATGTACTACTAACTCATGAAGTAATTGAGATTGGAAATGTTACTAACAGAATCAGAGGCGCAAAAAGACGAAAAGAGCATGTAATCACTGCCATAAGGCACACATGACGTGTGACACGGGCAGACCTTGTCAGCGATGTGTGCAGCGAGGTCTTGCTGGCAGCTGTGAGGATGCGCCTAGAAAGAAAAAGAAGTACTTGGCGGATGTCCCACCTACAGTCTTATCACAAGCTCACTATCAATCAACGGCACTTCAACCTAGCAACACTACACCTGCAAGTTATGTTGGCACTGGAAATGACAATAATAATAATAATAATAATAGTATTAATAATAATAACAGTCATAGTACGGACAACACAATCGGTTCGTTGGTACCTAGAAGATCTCAAAGTCATGATATTGTCATGGGAGGACTGGGATTTCCAAATCATCAACTATTTCAACAAACCCCATCACTCCCACCACCAATTACATCGAATTTAAATCAGTTGGGTGCGCCAGTGACGATTCCTGGAACTCAGCATGGTACAATACCACCCATTGTCGCTCGATCATTATCTCACTCTGTATTACCTACAACTACGGTTGTATCTCATGACCTTAATAATGATACTGTAAAACAAAGAAAAAGCAATTTCCTTTCCTCGGCAGCAGATCTTGAATATTCTACACTTTCAAGCATTCTTCAAGATAACTTCATGCATACAAACCATTCGACATCCACTGAAGCCACTCCTAATTCTGTGATTTCTCCAGTAGTATCTCCTCAAGTAAAACCCAAGGTTGAATCTAATAGTGTGGATGGATTTGGTCAATTATATCCTCATGGACAAAGATCGCCATATTTTTCAGGGTCTCCATCTCCAACAACAAATGGGAATCATCATAATATTACTAATGGGGAAAATAATGTTAATCATACTAATATTACCAACCCTTCATTATTGAACCCTTCAAAGACAGTTATTCCCAGGAAATCTAATAATGGGAGAGAAATTACTAGTACCTATACATCACATCTTAAATGTGATGAAAGTATTAATCAATATATTTTGGGTCCAACTGGTTCAGAAGAATTACAAATGTATCCTGATATCATTAATGCAATTGAACAAATGAAACAAAATGATCCTTCAGTTTATCATGAAAAGAATAAGAGACTGGCACTTTCATTTGCAGTTGGAGTGATTTCAAATCAAAGTCAATATAAAGAAACAACTGATACTGAGAATAGTATGAATAATTTGGCATTTAAAGAACCTGAAGAAATATATGAAAAAGTAAAGAAACCATTTTCTTATACACCTGGATATCATTTACTTATTGCATATTTAAGGAAAAGATTCCCTAAGGAAATGTTGGTGAAAATGGCAGAATCAATGGCAGTATATAGACCTTCATTTATTGCCACTACAAACTTATTAAAGGAAGGAGATTTAATTTTCATGGAACAATGTTTCCAAAGAACACTTCTTACTTATGATAATTTTATTAGTGTTAGTGGTACACCAACCATTGTTTGGAGAAGAACTGGTGAAATTGCATATGTTGGTAATGAATTCTGTATGTTAACTGGTTGGCCACGAGAAATGTTAATGTCTAAAAAGAAAACATTTATTGTTGAATTACTTGATGATAAATCAGTTTTAGAATATTTCCAACTTTTTCTGCATATTGCCTTTGGTGATTTCTTGGGGGCTACAATGACTGAATGTACTCTTCTTACTCCTAAGAAAGACGTTAAGATTAGAACAGGATGTATGTGGACATTGAAACGTGATGTATTTGGTATTCCCATGATGATTATTGGGAATTTTCTACCAATTTTATAAAATATTGTACGATAATGAAAGAAGTAACAAAAATTAAATTTACAAAATAATTATGAATGAAATATACATTGTAGTTTGGTACATTTAAGAACTGATTATTTGAATCACTACTTGGTGATGATAGTAGTATGGCCAAGTCCTGCACATGAGTGTCTAACACAATTCCGTTATCAATTTATAATTTGTACGTTTTATTTTTTTTTTTTTTTGTTGTATGGGGGAAGAATTCAAGTCATTGTCACAACTCAATTAAACACTACCCAAATCATGTCAATTCTGCATCTGTTGACTCCGTCATTGATTGTTACGGTGTCCATAATATGTCTTGGTGCCCTCCAATTTGGATACCATATGGCGGAGCTTAACTCCCCTGAAGCAATCATCACTTGCCGCGTTTCTAATCCAGGAAATGTTCCATATTCGGAATCTTGGTTTGGTAAACATGGATTTGTAAGATGTCTCCCACTTGACCCAAATCAAGTTGGAGAAATTACTTCAATTTTCAGTTTGGGAGGTTTGATTGGATCTTTCTTTGTTGGGAATATTTCGGATAGAATTGGTCGTAAAAGAACCGGATTGTGTCATTGTGTAATATTCCTTGTTGGTTCCACCTTGAATGCCTTTGCCAACACTTATTTCACGATTTTGACCGGTAGATTTATTGCTGGTATTGGTGCAGGTGCAGCCTTGGCAATTGGCCCTGTTTATATCAATGAAGTGGCCCCTCTGGAAGTTAAAGGATTATTAGGTTCAATGAATCAAGTATCAGTCAATATTGGAATTCTCCTTACCCAAACTTTGGCATTATTTTGGTGTGATAATAATAATTGGAGATTACTTTTACTCACTGGATCGGTATTATCATTCATTAACTTTATTGCCATTTTATTCTTTGTTGAAGAATCACCAATGTGGCTCTTCAATAATGGTTATAAAAGTAAAGCATATCAAACTTTACATAATTTAAGAGGCGGTGAATACATTCATGCACGTAATGAAGTCAATAGTTGGAGTCCACATGATTCTGTGTCTAATTCTGAAGAATCAGACGAACTTTTATCAAATGGAGTAGAAGATGAATCCAACCTTCTTGATACTACATCAACACCGGCTATTAGTCTTGCAACATATCTTAAAGATCCTGAATATCAAAATTCAAGAGTAGTATCGACTGGTATATTAATTGCTCAACAATTCTGTGGAATTAATTCTATTATCTTTTATGGAGTTTCTGTTCTTGTGTCTGTATTTCCTGATTATGCAATTTTAATTAATTGTTTGATTTCCATTGTTAATGTTGTGGTTACATTTGCCGCTGCTCCATTGATTGACAAGTTAGGAAGAAAACCATTACTTTTAAGTTCTGTTACAGTTATGGGATTGCTGTCGATCTTAATGGGGATTGGTATAATCACTGGTAGTCCTGTTGTTTCAATTATTGGTACATTTAGTTATGTAAGTTTCTTTGCCATTGGATTAGGTCCAATTCCTTTCCTTCTCGTTAGTGAAGTTACACAGCCTAAGGTTAAGGCAGTTGCTCAAAGCTGGGGGACTTCTTGCAACTGGTTTGCAACTGGAATTGTAGGTCTTGTGTTCCCAATCTTGAAGAGTTCTTGGATCGGAGGAGGTGTTTATTTTATATTTGCATTCTTCTGTGTTGCTACTTATTGGTTTATTAAGAACTTTATTCCAGAAACAAAGGGCTCAAAGAGTTATGATGAAGTTTGGGGTCAACCAAGAATTGATTAAATAGAATTTGACAAAATTATAAAAATCCATAAAAATGTTAAGAAATATAATTAAATAGATTTATTGCAAGATTTAATTAAAATTATAAATAGAAACAAAGCATATCGATCAAGTAACCGGATTAAATGTTATGATGTTGCAAGAAGTTGAAATAGGCTCAATAGTAATCAGTGATTCCTACAATGGAAGGTTGGCTAGATAGAATAGTAATTACATTTAATCATGTCTTTCTATCAACATTGCTGCAAAATAGTTAACCTGCAGCTGCAAAAATTAATTAAATTAAGAAAAAATAAGTCGGGAGGGCAAATTGTACATGTTATTACAATAAACATATACCATCAACAAAATATTAAAGATTACTATAAATATATCTTATATATACTAGTTTAGCAGTTTTATTAATAGATGAGAACTGTTAGAACACCTTTTTGTTTTTAAACAATCATTATCTCTCTATTTTTTAGGAAACTAATTATTTCATTTAAATTCATCAAATGATAACCTACGTGCTCACGAGACCAAATGAGGGCTGAAACCTTATAACCAACTCCTGCATACATGTAAAGTGACTGCTTTTATATGTGATCCTGCCTATGGAACCAATGATTTTTTTTTGTGTAACAATGTTCCCCCTGTGTAGTCGCTTCGCATGGATGAAAAATTACTTAGTTGAAAATTTTATTACAGACTTATTACTCCAGTTCCTTAGTTTAGTCTATCATTAGCAATGCCAACCAGATTAACCAAAACTAGAAAACACAGAGGTCACGTCTCCGGTATGTACCTAGAGTGATTAGTAGATGATATCCGGTGAAGTGATATCCATTGCATTCAAAGTTGATAGAGAAAGTAATGACCAGATAAACGTTGGAAGAAAATTGTAACTACTTAAAGTAACAAGATGATAAATGAAACTTATTATAATGATGATATGAATTTAATACAGGTTGATTACTTGTATTAGATTTTATTTGCCCGATGGGAAGTTTATGTAATGATTGAAAATTCTTATAATATTTCCCTTGGGGCATCTGGAACTTACTTTCAACTACAACTTTGAAGCAATTAATGGTGGGAGATGTATTTCCCATTTAACATATTCGAAAACATTAATACTAACAATTTTTAGCCGGTAAGGGTAGAGTCGGTAAGCACAGAAAGCATCCGGGTGGTCGTGGTAAGGCTGGTGGTCAACACCATCACAGAACCAACTTGGACAAGTACCATCCTGGTTACTTCGGTAAGGTCGGTATGAGATACTTCCACAAGCAACAAAACCACTTCTGGAGACCAGAAATTAACTTGGACAAGTTGTGGACTTTGATTGAAGAAGACAAGAAGGACGAATACTTGAAGTCCGCTTCTGCTTCTGCTGCTCCAGTCATCGACACCTTGGCCCACGGTTACGGTAAGGTCTTGGGTAAGGGTAGATTACCACAAGTCCCAGTCATTGTCAAGGCTAGATTCGTTTCTAAGTTGGCTGAAGAAAAGATCAGAGCTGTCGGTGGTGTTGTTGAATTGGTCGCTTAAAAAGTATGTCTATAATTCAATGAAATAAATCTACGTGTTTATATTAGCAATCAATACTATATAATGTACTTTAGAAATATTTGGTGAAGTCTTTAAATTGACTTAGTAGAAAAAAAAAGAACTCCTGACGAGATGATCAATTTGATTGCCGATGCGCACTGATCACACGTTTAAGAATTCACTTTCAACACAAATAAAGAAATATTCTTTAATTGTAAATTGTTTAATGATAGCCATTAAAAGTACAATATAGAGACCATTCTTATCTCTTGTATTTATACATTGGGGAGTTATCTACGATCTCCCGAGTGTTTTTTTATTTGTTTATTTATATTGTGTTTAATTAAAATTAATTGATTGATCGATGTTTTGGAGAAAAAATGTTTTTGTTTTGATTTCGAATACATCAATACAATCTAAAAAGTTCTTTTCTAAAAATTCAAGACTATCAAATAATATCTATAGATCTTCAAGGAAATTAGTAACTAGTACCAAAATGTCTGAAGAATTATGGATGCCACAGAATGCTATTCCAGAACATATTAAAAAGTTGTTGGATCCAACTTCTCCAAAAATGAGATTAAACTATATTTTAGCCTTTATTCAAATAGTTCGTTTATTAAAGACTCAAAAGAGAACCGGATGGGTTGACCATAAAGTTCCTCATGCTTCCGTGGAAAGTATTAGCGACCATATGTATAGAATGTCGGTGATATCGTTATTGATTACCAATCCAGAAGTTAACAAGGATAAATGTGTTAAGATTGCAGTAGTTCATGATCTTGCTGAAGCATTGGTTGGTGATATTACTCCATTTGATGGAGTTACCAAACCAGAGAAAAGTAGAAGAGAATTTGAAACCATCAAGTATCTTTCATCAATTGTTAAGGAATATAATCCAAAAGCAGCAGAAGAAATTCTTGAATTATGGTTAGATTATGAAGAAATCCGTTGTTTGGAAGCAAGATATGTCAAGGATATTGATAAGTTTGAAATGATCCAACAAGCATGGGATTTCGAACAAGAGTATGGTGACAAGTATAACTTGAGTCAATTCTATAGTGCTAGAGATCAAATCAAAACTCCAGAATTTCAAGAACTTTGTGATGAATTAATTAGTCAAAGAACTGCCTTTTTGAATGCTCTTAAAGAGTAAGAGATTATAATACCCACATTACATTTGACGCAATTATACCATACCAAATCCATAATATGTCATATATATATTCATACTACATAGAATAATTTAAATTCACATTCATATTAGTTAATAGATTTGTAAGTTTATTGTGTAGCCTTTTTATTTTTGGTTTGTGTCATGTTAGTAATCATACACCTCGATTAAGAGAGATGATTTAATTCTATACTTAGATACCAAAAATATATTTGAATACGCTTAAAGGAGTGTAAGGGAATATGGTAGAGGGAACCACCGTTGAGAGAGAGGGCACTGAAACCTCTAAACCAGTATTTGGTGCTACTGGACGTAAAATTATCTATGATAAAGATGGAAAACCGTAAGTGATTCAATTATGACTTGAAAGACTTTTTGGTTTATTTTTGTTACCGTTTACTAACAATACAGATGTCGTTCATGTAACTCACTCTTAGACTTTAAGCTGGCTATGGGAGTCCCATCAACACCAAAGCAACCAGTAAAGAAACCTGAAATCGTTGAAAAATCTAAGGTTTTGCCACCAACTAATCGTGCTTGTCCTCCAGATGTTGAAGAAATTGGTAAGTCAAGTTGGACATTACTCCATGCCATAGCAGCTACATATCCTGAAGCCCCCACAGATAAACAACAAACTGATATGAAACAATTTGTTAAGCTCTTTGGTAATTTCTATCCATGTTGGTATTGTGGAGAAGATTTTGTAAAGTACACCAAAGTTAATGAACCAAAAGTGGCAACTCAAGATGATTTTGGAAAATGGCTTTGCGATGCCCACAATGAAGTCAACGTTAAACTTGGAAAGGAGAAATTCGACTGTAATTTGTGGAAACAACGATGGAAGGATGGATGGAAAGATGGAAGTTGTGATTAGACACGAAATATAACACTTGTAAATAAATAAAAGAACTGAACTTTTCATGTATATATACAAATATACATATATATATATATCTATTTTTATGTATCTTATTAAGATAGCGTATCCTACTATTTGCCAACACCAGCAATCCAAGAACTCAAGTCCTTCTCATCGATTTCATCTGATTTTGAAACGTATCTTGCAGTTGGGATTTGTTTATGTAAGGCAACCAACGATGGAACCTTGTTGACCCCATATGTTAGCATCAAGTCTCTTCCACCTGGAGTGTCACATGAAATACTGGCCAAGTTAACTGGATTTGTATTGGAATTTAAAGGGTATCTTTCCTTATATCCAAGAATGTTATACAAGGCTTGGGTGAGCTTATTAGACTTTGGATCAGCCATATATGTAAAGTTCAACACGAGAGGTTCTTTGAAAAGAAGTAAATCATGCAATTCATTCTGACTGTTGATATAGGTTGGGAATAATCTATTTTGAGTGGTAATATCAGTAGGTGGATAAATGGTCTTTTGGTTGAACCACCCACCAGTGAAAAACATTTGGGAAGCCATGAGGGCGACACCAGCCGAGCCTATGATTACACGTCTGGTCAAGATAGATTTAGTTGCAAGTTGAAGCATATTGATATGGATTAATGAAAGATAAAACGTTTGCCACTATCCAATAATTTATAGACTGCGGAAGTTAGTTAAGTTGCTGTTTTTGCAACCTCGCGAACAATTCTGTTGCATAATTAGTGGCAAATTAGAATAAAGTAGGTGATTAAATGTGAAGGGAACGTCCCATCTTAAAAATAGGATCTTCATTATTATTATTGTTAAAATCTTAAAATACGATACAATTCATTGAAATATTTTCGTAGAATGGAATAGAATGTTTAAAATTATACTGGTACTCATGATTAGATATATTATATTTATGATGAAAATCAACTAAAATCTAAGAAATAGAGAAAAATTACCCGTTATTCCTCAAAAGAAAGTAAGATACAGATCAAGATTAATGACCGAAATAGTTATAGCTACTCTAAAACTATGATGTATACGATATACATAAGCATATTTAAGTTACTTAATTTCCTATATCTACCATTTTTATGTCATATCTATTGACATGTAATTTTTTTTTTATATTATACATATTTAGTAAAAGCGCCACACTTGTGACAAAACGTCGTTGATAAAAAAAAAAAAAGAGTAACTCCATTTTTGGCGCGAAATCGGAAAAGTTGAGTAGTAATAAAATTCAAAGATTAGTAAAATTCAGTCACACCTCGAACAGATTACTAATTTTTGATTTGAAAAGAATTAGTGGTTTACGATGTCATCCAATAACAATATAAACAGCGAAAGAAGTACAGGTATGAAGACCCCACCAACTAAACCTACTGCATCTCTGTTTGAAAACATGCCTATAATTTCACCAATCCTTTCATATTCTTCCTCCCGAGCCGATTCTCCACAAATTCCAGAAATTATTCCTGAAGAAACTAGGAAATCTCTCCCAATACATGAAACCTTACCAATAGTGAACTGCATAGCTAGAGCTCGTATTCCAACTACTCAAGGACCAGAAATCTTTTTGCATTTGTATGAGAATAATATTGACAAGAAGGAACATTTAGCTATTGTTTTCGGTGAAGATATCAGATCAAAGACATTATTTGCCAAAAGACCCAATGAAACCCAACAAGATAGAATGACTAGAGGTGCGTATGTGGGAAAGCTTTATCCTGGGAGATTAGAAGCAGATGTTGATCATAAGGAAGGAATGTCCGTTGAATTTGATTCTGAAGGACAATTAATCAGAGAATCTACTACAACATTCAAAGATGAATGTTTGGTACGAATTCACTCTGAATGTTATACAGGAGAAACCGCATGGTCTGCAAGATGTGATTGTGGGGAACAATTCGATGAAGCTGGAAGAATTATGGGTGCTAATGGTCATGGATGTATTGTATATTTAAGACAAGAAGGAAGAGGAATAGGTCTTGGAGAAAAGCTCAAAGCTTATAACTTGCAAGACTTGGGAGCTGATACAGTACAAGCCAATTTGATCTTGAGACATCCAGCCGATGGGAGATCATTTTCTTTAGCTACTGCAATTTTACTTGATTTAGGATTGGCAGATATAAAACTTTTAACAAATAACCCAGATAAGATTTTGGCAGTTGAAGGTAAGAATAGAGACGTTAAGGTGATAGAAAGAGTACCAATGATACCATTGGCATGGAAATCCAAACTGGGGATCAAATCCAAGGAAATTGACGGATACCTCAGTACAAAGATAGAAAGAATGGGCCATTTACTTGAGAAGCCAATCAAGTTTTAAGAAGATACGGAAACATAATAATAATATTAATGATAAAAAGAAAGAAAGTTCAATATGAATAATTAATATCAAAATGGTGCTAATAGATTTAGGTTATCTCAGTTTACAGATTAGACCATTATCGGTATTTTATGTATATAGTACAAAAGTACCAACATAAAAAAAAATGCATTTAGTGAGAACTCTTTAAGATCACAAAGTTAAATACAGATTGTAGAAATTGAGATTAAGCATTGTAAATGTTAAATTTGCAGCCACCTAGTATATTTGGAGAGGTAGGAATGTTTTCATACCCAACGGACTAGAAATCTGTACCCCACTAAGCATTATTATTTTGGAGTTATTTCTTAAACTATAAATTGGATTAAAAACTCAAGATAAATTTCACTTGTTAACTCCGTACTATTATCAAACGCTCTTGATAAAGATTCTCCGATTTATTTTGTATTTTTGCTTAATGTCTTGTTCGATAATATATATATATATATATAAATTTAATAGTCTAATCATACATGTATACTGTTCATATATATATATGCTTACGAATACATGCTATTTAACTTCCTTTATTTATAGACGTAGAATTGATGGGGATTTCCTCTATTGTTCGGTGTGGCTTTTTTTAAGATCTGGAGTGGTAGGGCTCACACGACCATAGGTAAAATCACATGCGATTTTCAGCTGCATGTGAATACCCAACTTTGCAACAGTATCGCTTCCTAAACGGAGTATAGGGGACGAATCAATGAAAAAGCTTAAACCATCGGTTAGTTTAAATATGACAAATCGGCCATAATTTTTTTAAAAACTAAATTATTTAGAGCATATTACCTCATTATTTCTCTTTCTGAATTTGGTTGTAAATCACATCAAGTCACACTCTTTTACTTTGTGCAACCTATACATCACGTAAGTGACCCCCCACATTAAAGTGTTGCATAGTAAAATTGAAAATTGGATATGATGACAACTCCTACTCTAACAATGCTGGCAAAGAAGAATACGATATCAGGAGCTAAGGGTATAACGTTTGGCGGGGATACATTTGTGGTTCCCGAGACCCATGATATGGTCAAGACATTATTTGATCCGTCAGTTCGTAAGTCAATCTGTGAAGTTATAATTTTAACATTACTTGCATCAAATGGTCTCGTGTTTTGGTTTGTACAATCCAATTCTATTAGAATTGGAATATTTATTGGATTCTATCTATTTTGGAGAACTTCCTATAACTTTGGAATTGGATATTTATTGAATCTGCAATCAAATCATCATGGTCTTGTTAAACTTGCCAATAGATTTCAAATCTTTAAATCTTCAAATACTTCTACTTTTTCCAAATTATGTCAATTGGAAATTAAATCTCAAATGGGTGTGAATTATTCCATTGAGAAGTATCCAGTTGAATTCAATACTTGGCTTTTATTTCGTAAAGTTGTGGATTTAATATTGATGCAAGATTTCACTACATTTATTTGTCTTGTGATTGTATGTTCTATAGATAAGGATTATCAATTCATAAACACCAGTCAACAAAGTATTTGGTTAGTGGCTAGTAGAATTGTGGTTGGTTCCTTTTTAATTTTGTTCAATTTATGGGTTAAAGTAAATGCACACAATACAATCAAGGATTATGCTTGGTATTGGGGTGATTTCTTTTTCCGTCAAATTAACAATGAAGAGTTGATATTTGATGGTGTTTTCGAAATGGTTCCTCATCCAATGTATTCTGTTGGATATGTTGGTTATTATGGATTTGCTCTTATTTCAAAATCTTATACTGTTTTAGTTGTTGCATTATGGGGTCATTTTCTTCAAATGATTTTCTTACATTACATTGAAAATCCTCATATTGATAAAATTTATGGTGCTTCCGATAATTCAGACCTTGCAAAGTTAAACAAATTAAAGGATTTGAGGAATTTTGATAACTTGAAACCTTTAGTTGGATTAACCAATTTCGACTGGATTAGATCGACTGATTTGATAACTTTGATTTTGGCTGCAACTTATTCAATTATTCTCCCAGTTTTTGCTTCAACTTCAACTGGTTTAACTCTTAAAATTGGTAAATTTGTAGATATACCAACTTTAAGTCCAACTGTAATGTTATTTGGTTTGACAATTGGAATAAAAGTTTTTGAAGCAATTTCAATAAATACATTATTGATTTTACAAAGTAATTACAAAACATTTACTAAATTTTGCCTTTCAAATGATATTCCTGTTGAAGAATCATTAAACAATTGGTCTGTTATCTATAACTCATTAATAGTGTTGACTTATTCCTCATTCGTGGGATTAAACATATTCCATTTTTTGATCGGTATTAAAATTGACGATCTTTACATTCAAAGCTGGTTACCATTACGTATTTTCTTGGGTATTACATTGATTGCAACACAATTTTGGATTAACTCTTCCATTATTGATCTGATTGGGTATTTTGGTTGGTTCTATGGGGATTTCTTTATTCCAAGATCTTCGTCTCCTCAAAGGTCACATTTAACTAAAGCTGGTATTTATAGATATTTGAATAATCCCGAGCAAATATTTGGTGTTTGTGGAGTTATGGGTATAACCTTGATAGTTCCATCTTTAGAAAACTTTTTATGCTGTTTCTTGTGGGTTACAAATAATTTCTTTAGAATCAACTTTATTGAAAAGTACCATATGATTAAAGTTTATGGAGAACAAGAAGTATTAAAGGATTCCGGAGTCACAAAAACATTCAAAAAGCATTTAATACCACAAGCTATTCTGAGAAGAATGTCCGATGGCAGTGAAATTGTTGGCGGAGGAAGAAGGAGATCTTCAATTTTCAGTGGTGCAACTGACTCTTTAGAAACTTTTATTAAGGAGTTAAGAAATTCTAACGCTAAATTGAACAATGATAAGATATTGGAATTATCACAGAATTTATACTTTGAAAATTCAGATTACAAAATTGCAGTGACTAATTTATTATCAAATGAAGGTAATGCATTTATGAGAGTTGAACTTGGAACTCCTCTCGTGGTTGAATGGACTGCTCCAAATATCAGTTCATCAAGAGATTGGATTGGATTATATAGAATTTCTCAAACTTCATATTCACGTAATAAGACCTTGATTTCTTCCTCTGGAAGATGGTTTTGGGCTCCTGGTGAAACTGGAAAAGTAACCTTTGCTTATGAAAAGTTATTTTGGGAAGAAGGTGTTTATGAATTTAGGTATCATTTAGATGGCAAACATGATGTTGCGTATATTTCGCAACCATTTGAAATTAAGGCAACATCTATCGATATACCTTCCCAAGAAGAAGGTATTCCGGAATTTGCTAATCAATTGAAAGAGAGAATATTTGATAAGGTGTTGAAACAAAAGCTTTCTTCATTAGATGCTCCAATTAGCACTGCAGTTGAAAACTCAGGCGATATTGTTACCACGTATGAGAGGCTTTCTGCAATGATTTCATTACTTACAAAGGTGAATATAAGTGCGAAGGTTTTCCTTCACGATGATAATGATTATAAGTTGGATATTCTTAAATTAAGCAAGAAACTTATCAAGATAAAAACAGTGTTGGACGAATTATCATATAATGACACTGAACTTATTATAGAGAAGAAGAGTATTTAGAAATTCTCTTGTATTTTTTTTTATATATATATTTATATGTAACGTTTTATTTATGTTATTTATCGATTGGCTTTTAATATAATATACATGTCTATTGCAAAAGATTCACAAGGTATGAGTTAATGTTGCTCCTAACAGCCTTGGACATAGTGTTACAACCTTCAATAAGTTTCATTGTGACATCTTCATCTAATTCATTTTGATTTCCTTCAATCCAAAATCCAACAATATCATCATTTCTCATATTCATAAAACTGACCACGCAATCAAGACTGTCATCATCATGTGCTGCTGAAGTGTTATCATCATATTCAGGATCAAGAATTAATTCATTTGTCTTACAGTTCAAACGTACTTGACCACTGGTCACTATGTCCTTTAATTCGATCCCTGAGTCAACCAAGGCCAAAGAAGAACAGTTTACTATCCAGTTACATAAATGAAGTAACGAAGTATTTGATTGGGATGTAGAGTTTGTTGATATTATGGTGACAAAAACATCAATTGTAGATTTAGGGTATTTTTCAAGTAAGATCGATGCTAACAAAGAAGTTTCAAGATATGACGAGATCTTTTGTTCAATATTGGATAAACCTGGCTTACCATTATTATTAAAAGTTGTTGAGCTACCATTGAATGTAACTTCATTTGGTTGAGGTATATATGGCAAAAACTTGCATTCTACAGAAAACGATGCTCTGTCGATGAAGGACCCCTTAATAGGTCTGGGTCCAAATACAGACACTTCAATAATTGTATCATCAACTTCCAAGTATGCGGATCCATTAGCATTACCAACTAAACCAGTCTTTAAGAACATTTTTCTGATTTCATCATTTGCCTTTGTACTGATCTTTACATCCTCGGAACCTACAGCAGAAACCGGGAGCTTGGCATTTAATGGCCCCAAAAGCCTTCTTCTATCACTGACATTCATCTTCTCGTGATTTCAAGAGGAATATATCAAGTAGTAAAACTATTATGATAATCCTTTTGGTGTGTGATGAGATTTCATACTGTAATCGAAATCCTTTACATACAGGATAAGATGGAATTGAAGTATTATGAAAAAAAAAAGGACATTTTAAAGTGTAGAAATCAAACGAAAATAAAAATAAAATAATAAAAAAAGAGAGATTGCAAACAAACGACTTAGATATTTCACGAAGAGTTGAAGTACTACAATGGGTTAGATTTAAATATAAATATAATATTAATACTTAGTCTAATAATAATAAGTGTAAGATTTCTTGTACATGTTTTTTTTTGTAATTATTTTCTCAAAAAATGGTAGAAACGGAAATTTAAGGTGACATTTGCATGTGGTATTGAGGATTAAAGGGATCCAAGTGGTCGATAGTTCCAGCATCATCCAACATCAAGAAGTCAAAATCTTCATAATTTATAGGGTTCGAGTGTGGATTTTCTGTATTATACGATGGTGGAGCTGTTTCATCGAATTTGTTCTCAGATCCATTCTTTCCATGATTAAGCGAAGCTGCCTCTTTATTAATTGTAGCGTATTTTGCATTAGGTTCCAACATATATGGTGGAAGAATCCTTCCAAATATTTGTGCATCAAGCTTATCTATTACACCAGGCATGTACTCCTCAGTTATTGGAGTTTCAGAACTTGCTGAAATTGGATGCAGTAATGGTTCTGAAAGTTTTGAAGCATCAACTCTTGGGAAATTAGTTGAAACTGGAATACTATTATCTTTTGATTCAGAAACTTTGTTTCCATCATTTTCCACTAAATCTGGAGACATTAATTTAATAGGTTCTTGAATGGTTTGTTGATGTTCAGGGTTTGGATGTTGGAAATTGTTCATAGAATCAAAGTTATAAAAAGTTGATTCTAATGTCTTATTATTCTGGGTGGCAACTGGATGCATGAAATCATCTACATTACTCTCGTGTTGTATCATAGAAACACTAGTGTTCCCACGAGAACTAGTGGCAGTTCTCCTGTTTAATTGTTCAAAAAGATTATTCAAAATATTGAAGATTCTTAATGATGAGTTTGAATTATTCTTTAAACAATCCAAAACCTTCTTTCCCACTTCAATATCCTTTTTAATCATATCGATATTTAAATCATCATCAAATAAAACCCCAGCATAATTTACTCCACTCAGACTCGCATTTCTATAATTAGCAAAATGGAAATAATATATCAAACAAGCAATTGAAAAAAATATCGTATACATTGAAAACCAATATGTTCCAACAAGTAAATTTTGATCAATCATCTTGTTGGCCAATTTCACAACCATTCTTGCCACTTTTATACAATTTCTTCCTCTGATCAATGATCTTGGATCTGAACGACGAATGTTACTTCCAGTACTGATGAAATGAATAAAAGGTCTATAAAGCATAATTTGACAATTAAGAAATGCCAAATGAAGATAACAATTTGCCAAAACAAATCTTTGTGGGATATCCTTCCCGGAATCTGAAACGTTTGGATCAGTTGGTTTTAATTCCTTTGGAAGATTATCTAACCAAGTTTTCAATTCTAATTCAATTTCAGTAACTCTTGCGTGTGTATATTCAGGCGTAAGACGATCTTCTGAATTACCCTTGTTCTTAATAGGATATAAATCCTTCACAATATGTGAAATAATTAACATAAGCTTAGTATGATGATTTGCACAACCAGAAGATGAGAGTCCAACTTGATTAGAGAATTTTATATCGTCAACGGTAATATTTTCATCATCCAAATCTTCTGGAAGTTCTTGATCGAATTCTTCTTCTTGAATTGATCGAGGTAATCCCAACAAAGAATTTATATAAATATCCATCTTATAGATTGTATAAAATAATCTTTTCCTTGTATCAATTTCTATTGGTGTAAGCTTATTCTTTTTAGAATTTTGGAAAATTGATAAATTTCTATGAAGACCTTCTTTAAGAGAACTTCGAAGTGCAATCCCAATATAAGAATAGCATGTGGAGAGTCTAGCAGAACATTGTAAATATAAAACCATCATCACAATAGTTTGAATAGAAATAATGTCTCCAACATTTGTAATATCTATAAGTTTCCTCGCAGCCATGAAATATCTAAACCCATCATCTTCTAATGAGTCATTACTGGTTGGATGATTATCTGTCAGCTTAGAAAAAAGCAGCCCGGTAGCAAGTATAGAGTACATAAATGGAAGGAACTTTTGTTGTCTATCAGTATAATTTGAAGGATCAATACTATAGAGAAGTTCAACTTCCTCCAAAAGCGAGGGTCTATGATAGAATCTAAACAATACACACGCTTTATTCCAAGTGGTATATATCAAATTAAGGGCAACTTCCTTGGGTGGGAGTATTATCTTATGTTCTCTTGCAAGACTAGAAGGTGTATCATCCATGGACGATACAGATGACTGTCGTTCTGTTTTTTCATGAATGGGAATACCCTTTGAAGGCCCATCCATATAAAGTTCAGAAAGTTCATTAAGTGGTAACGATCCTGAATTCTTTGTCAGAAGGTATTTGAAAACTCGTTCAAATTTATCCAAATTAAAATCTTGAGGGTTTTCATCAATATTTAATTTTGGAAGCAATAGCCGTACTAAACCTTTTAAGGTTGATTGTTGTTGTTTAGAAAGAGATCCTAGGGCATTTGTCATTCCTAGTTGTGAATTTGCAACAAAAGGTGAATTCCCCGGTACCACTCCAGTTGGATTTCCAGCATGGTTGAGGAAAGAAGAGATTCCTAAAGACAGTTGTTGAGGAGCAATGGATGACTTCTTATTACGAATGTTGGGTTGTTGGTATGTACAAGTATATGAATACACCGTACAATGTATACAAGGTTGTTTCCCATCACATTTGACCTTTTTCTTTCTACATTCATCACAAGCACGAGTGACCCTTCTTCTTTTATGTTGTGCCTGACTAGATACCGGGGACAGTTGTGATTTTTCCGGATGAGGTTGTATTGGATGGGGTTGGATAGGTTGAGGCGGCGTCATAGTGCCTTGTGAAGCCTCCTCAGGTTTTATATCCTGTTTGGGCATTGAATAATATTTTTGAAATCAAGGTCAAAGAATCAGACTGTTAGAAAAAAACAAAAAGATTTCAAACAATGACTCAGGATAATATATTAATGAGACTAAAAGAAGTGAATAAACTCTCCTTTTTAATCGTGAGCTTCAGGACTCTTGACTACGCTTCAATATAGTAGATTCAAAGATAAAATTAGACCACTTTTGACCACAGTGGTGAATACATATAACAATACTGTGGGGGATGTTAAATTCAATTTGTTAGTCCTATTAAAATTAGTTATAGAAATCCTGTTTATGTAAAAAATATCACAAAACCATTTAGCGCATCAAGCCTCAGCTACTCTACATATTTAATATCTCCCGCCTGACGCCGCAGTGCGCACGTTACGCATCGAATTTACGAGCAAATTCTAAGGGACCAACTCCCTTCAATTTCACTCACACGATTCAAAGAATGAATTGAAACTTCTTTGGTGATATATTTATTTAATTTTTTTTTTTTTTTGATGGGGAAAACAATCAAAGATCATTGATCTAAATACTACATGACTAATTCTTAAAAACCTTCTATAAATAAATAACGAAATAATAAAACAAAATTAGAAACGACGGTTGGCCATAGGAGCAGAGTTGGAACCAGATTGGTAACCACCTCTTCCACCTCTTCCACCGCGACCACCACGACCTCTGTAACCACCACGACCTCTACCATATCTAATGTGAGAACCGAAACTTCTTCTGTCAAATCTTTGCAATTCAGGAGGAATGACTTGCTTAGCTTCTCTCATGATCTTACACAAGTCACCACCAAGCTTGGAGTTGGCTTCAGTGAAGAAGGAAACAGCAGTACCCAGGGTACCAGCTCTACCAGTTCTACCGATACGATGGACGTAATCTTCAATGTTACCTGGCATGTCCAAGTTAATAACATAAGAAATACCCTTAACATCTAAATTTGTTAGTAAACATTGTTCATATGATGTATCATCAATAGAAACAAGAGGTGGGAGAAATAAAACATCATTGACAGAAGCAAAGATAAATTCTCTAAAAACATAAAGAAACTTCTCAAATTTGCTTGTAAAAAGACATAGGCTACAATCTTCTACTTAGACATCACTACAAAAGAAATACATGGATAAGAGTCGTATAGGAGAGATGGATCATTTATTGAATCTAGAAAGCATTAATAACTCGATTATTGTTGGTATCCAAATAATATAGGCTGTATGGTTCCCAAAATAAAACTTCAACAAAGTGATCTATAGATCCCTTAAATGAGGTATATTCCAATAATTGCTGGTTGCTTTCCAAAGTTCAAAGTAAATTGACTCGTGTTTCTATCTCCTAGTGCCAGTACTGTTCATTGAACTACTGTTTCTCTATTGCTCTCACGTAAATCTTCTGGCAACTGAAATTGTCCAATATGAAGATTCTTAAGAATACGCAACGGACTGTATCGAGAGTCTTGGATTCCTTCTGAATTACCAAAAGAAATTAAAATACAGACTTTAAACTCTTCTATCTCCGTTGCACTGTTTGGTTAAATTTTTCATGTTGATGAAAAATAAATTAATGGTACTTTGAATCACCAACGTACACACATTTCCACAATATTCTTAATTTCAAAAAAAAAAAAAAATCAAAAAAAAACTCAAAAAATAGTCATTTCTTCGTTTTTCCCTATGTCCCTAAACCCATCCAGTAAGTATAAAAAATTCTCTTCCCCCAGGTCCCACAATTGATCAAAAAAATATAGAAAATAGAAAATAGAGTTCTCAAAAAGATTGCCAGCAATCTCAAGACTCTCATAAATACATACCAATACCACGGGCAGCAACATCGGTTGCCACCATGATTGGAGACTTTCCGGTTTTGAATTCCTTCAAGACCCAGTCTCTTTCGTTTTGTTGCTTGTCACCATGAATGGCCAATGCAGGCCATCCATCAGCTCTCAAGTATGAAGTAATTTCGTCACAAGTTCTCTTGGTAGAAGCGAAAATCAAACACTTAGCTTCTGGGTCAGCAGTGGCAGTTTCCAAATGCTTAACCAATCTGTCACGCTTTTCGAATTCAGTAACAACTTCAACCAATTGAGTAATGGTGTGAGAAGCAGCCAATTCCAAAGAACCAACAGTAACTTGAATTGGGTCGTGCAAGTAGTCTCTGGTAAGAGCTTGCACTTCCTTTGGCCAAGTAGCGGACCACATCAAAGTTTGACGATCTGGTCTAATTTGATCAACAATCTTTCTGATTTGAGGTTCAAAACCCATATCCAACATTCTGTCGGCTTCATCAAGAACAAGGTAAGTAACTCTTCTAAGGTTAGTCTTGTTAGATTCCAACATATCGATCAATCTACCTGGAGTGGCAATGACAATTTCAACACCTCTGGCAAGATCTCTGATTTGTTGACCCTTTGGAGCACCACCGTAAACACAAGTGTTTCTAATTCTAGAAGACTTACCAAACTTAGAACATTCTTGTTGAATTTGAACAGCCAATTCTCTGGTTGGGGCAAGAACCAAAACAACTGGACCATCACCTGGACTCAACAATGGTTGAGCATTGATATGGACAATAGCTGGAAGACAGTAAGAAAGAGTCTTACCGGAACCAGTGGCAGCAATACCAACCATATCTCTACCAGAAAGAGCCATAGGCCAACCTTGACATTGAATGGCAGTTGGCTTTGGGAAACCTTCGTTCTTAACTTCAGTAAGAACGTAATCTGGGAAACCAGCTTCATCGAAAGTGGTGATTGGCTTTGGGATATCGTTACCTTCAAGGGACATGGTGTGTTCCTTTCTGAAAGCCTTGATATCATCGTCAGAACGAGCTTGAACATCTGGGTGTTCAGAGTAAAAGTTCTTTTCAAACTTTGGCAAGGATTCAACATCCCAGTCTGGAGTGGTCAATTCAATTCTTTCTTGTTGGTAACCACCTCTGCCACCTCTACCACCGTAACCGCCTCTGCCACCGCCGTAGCCACCACCGTAGCCACCACCGTATCCACCTTGGTCTCTACCACCGTATCCACCTCCACCGTAGGAGTTTCCACCGCCGTAAGAGTTACCGCCACCGTAAGAGTTATTAGTGTAACCGCCGTCGTAAGACATATTGTAAGTTCTAGATTAAAATTATATGAAAATAAGACTAACTTAGTTATAATTCAAAAAGAGAATTAAGATGAGATTAAAAAAATTTAACGAGATGCCCTCCAATTTATAAGGACTGGAGATTTGAGGGGGGCGGGCATTACTGCAAAAGAAAATAAGAAAAGAAAAAAAAAAAAATAATCCTCTCATCGCAAAATTTCTTTTGTAGACTTCCCAATCAGGATATAAATCGGTACCGTACATGTTACTAGGTGCATTTATGAAATTTCAAGTTGGAGATGACCATGAAGAGGAGGGAAAGCATTAAGAAGTAATTGGGCATATAATAAGTTTATTATTTCAAGCTACATATATACATATATTGATATTACAATCAGTGTTCGTATGTAATTGTTTATTTCTATAAATGATGGTTTGTTTTATGGGGCAACTGTCTTATAGTTTCCAGCTTGAATCTTTTCGCTAAACTTTTCTTCCACGGTTGAACAAAGTTCAGTCAAGTTATCTAAACCTTGGTGCAAAGCTTCAACAGCTGTTATGTTTCCGTATGTTTGGATTCTGATGTTAAGCTTGTTTTCAGAAGGATGTGGAATGGAGTAACCACAGAATTCAACTTCAGGGTTCTTCATGATGATGTAACGTAAGGCATTACCTAATGTGTGGTCTTCGTCGATAATTTGGAATGAAGCAGCAGTTCCGTCATCGGAGGCTCCTGGCAAGAGTGTGATCTTTTCAGTGTCAACTTCTTGTACTTGTTCTTCTTCTTGGGCAACCACTGGTTCTTCGGTCATTGGTGTGTCTATAGGTTCACTCATTTCTGATGTATTGTATGTATGATTAGCGTGGATATATGACACAGAGGCGTTTTTGTGTGTTTCTTTGAGTGATATATATATCTAGTATTTTTTTAGCTCTTGTTCAGCTTTATCTTCGTTTGTAATCAAAAGTTCTCTTTTTATTGAAATCAAATTTTTTTTTTTTTTGTTTTGAACTTTCTGATGGAATTCAAAAATGACACAAAATATTATTTTAATCATTTGGTGTGCGCGTGAAAAGCCTTCTGTTTATATTTGTAAAAAAAAAACACAAGCCCAAGCACGACACGAATTGTAGCGACCACTGCGTCTGTACTTCTCGACTTGGCTTCTTCCACTTTATTTTCTAAATTAATAGCACTGCACTTACTAGCTGAGACTAGATTGAATTAGAAGTAAACTCTGAGCTTTACCACTGCTATATCAGAAACCCCTAGAGAGTACTCATATTATCTTTTTTTTGTACTTTTGGATTGTTTTTGTTTTCAAACTCTGACTGCAAAAAAATTTAAAGTCTGGCAATTTTAATAGGAAAGGGGAGAGAGCATATATAATGTCTAGATATATACCGTCGGACTATGCCGACCATTCACAAGCTCCTACAGACTCATATATTCACTTATCGACTGATCATGGTCAAGAATATACCGATGACTCTCTGACATTTGGTGATACATCTATTCACAATGATACTTCATTATTGATGGATCTTGTGGCAGCCATTGATCAGCCTTTAGTTCTGCGTTCACTGTCACTTGAGGAAAAGTTTCTGAAGATTAAACCGAACAATGATAATAAAGAGAATCTTAATGCTACTACAGCTACTAATAATGTCAAGGAAAACAATACCGGTATACATGCAAGTCCTGTATTTCCATCACATTCAACCCCCTTGGCGAATCTTCGTCATTCATCAACCCCTAAACATAAAGTGAAACTTGATAAAGTGAATGAAGTACGTCATCAATCAGAAGCTGAACAGTTGTTTAAATTATATCAACCACAAGTAAATGAAGAATTAAAGTATTATATTCGAAATCTCATTAATCAAAAGAAAAGCATTAGTGAAGTTCAACAAAACATTATATCACAAACTCCTAGTAGGAGTGGTAGTGATGGAGAAGATGAAGTGGATGATATATTAAATACATCTGATAAGGCAAGATATCAAAATGATTTAACTAAAAATCAAAATATAAATTTCCCATCTCCAGATACAACACCACCACATTCACAAGAATATACTGAAGGGGGTGATAAGAATACATTACAACCCAAGAATATTGAACCAGAATTAACGAATTCATCTGGAAATGAAAGTGATTATGATAGAAGTTATGTTCCAAAAAGTGTTATATCAAAAATGAATACACCTGATCCTGAAATTGAATCTGAAGAAAATAATTTAAGATTACAAATTGAAATATTAAAGAAAAAATCAGAAGAATTGGAAAGTCAACGAAATAATGAGGTTGAAGTTTTAAGAGAAGAATTAAGAAGAATGACTGAAGATAAAGAGAAACAATATCAAAAATTAGAAAATGAAAATCTTAAATTGAAAATTGAAATGGGTAAGTTAGAAGTTAGATTACTTAAGGAAGAGAATAATGAGGATCATTTCCAAACAAATATTAATGATGAAGAAGAGATGAGCCCAGGAGTTAAGGCTAAAGTGGACATTTTGCAGGCAAAATTGAACCTGTTGACAGATCAAAATATGAAATTAAATAAAAAATTGATGAATTCTAAAGATCTTAATAAAGAATTACAAAATGAACTTGAATTTGCCAAAATTTCAAGAGAAAAAGTTAATGAAAGAATTGAAAAAAGAGTAGGAATAGATGTTGAATCTTTCCATCCAATAATAACTCAACATGATGGAAAAGATTTAAATAAAAACGGGAATAAAATTAATGATAATGATGATGATTTACGTTTACTTATTAAAGAATTTGAAATTCAAATTGGGAATAAGAATGATTTAATTACCAAGGATACAGTTCTGTCTGTTTTCAAAAATCATTATATCAAGTATAAACTTGATGAAGTTGATAATCTTTCAAAAGTTGAATTGATTAATTTAGTTAAAAATATCATGTTGAGTTTACTTTGTGGGGAATTATCAGAGCTTCCACTTTCAATCAATAAGATTGCAAATATTATGAAATTAGCCACCAAATTTATGGATGATATACATGGATGTATTTATCAAGATAATAATGGAAATCGACCATCTACATATGTTAAAGCGCCCCATAATGAGGAAGATATACACAGATTACATTCATGTGTATCAACCATGGTTGCAAAGATTAAAGAAAATTACGCTACATAGAACAAATTTTAAATAAACGAAATAAGTAAAAAGGTTAAAAGCTATCGAAAGTATGAAACATATTTTCAAAGACTAGTTCAATTTGATTAGATAAAGAAGCTAAATGTTAAAATTAAAAAAAAAAATACAATCAAATTCAAAATCTTACTACTTAATATCAAACCCGATTCTAAATCGTCATTATATTTAGCCGCCCAGCATTACTGTTTATTGATGTGTGTGAATGTGTATGGCGTGTGTTTTATTGGATTTGGGTTTTTTTTTATTAATTTTTTTTTTTTTTTTTTTTTTGGCCCAAATTGTTTCCCGCGTCACTCACCCACACATTTTGAGAATTTCAATTAGCTAATTGATAAAGGAATGATATTCTTATATTTCTCATATCCTGCATGTAGTTGAATTGCTAATTAACAATCATAAGCATCATCATTATAGTGCGCAGAGAGGCAAGGCATGCAACACACTTACGAGATTAAAAGACAATATTAATAATATTTTCATAGATTAAAACATACGACTGAAGCGACCTTTTAGATAATAACTTTGCTATTTACCGAATTCTCGACCTCTGGTGTGTTGAGAAATTGCTATATTCTAGGTTTAAACCATTGTTGTGATTACACGGGCAATAGATAAGGCTTAGACAACCCTGATTCTATATAAACAAGAGACTTGAATTAAAAGGAGAAAGTTTCTAGTTGGTTACGTGTGTCGTACCTTCGTATCCGAATTTTCCAACTACAAAGATAACCCAGAAGAAGCAGGACTTATCTTCCTATTTTAAAACTGAAAAGCATTAAGGGCAGGTTTCTTTATTGTTTTTTTCTTTACATTGACAACCACCTACAAAATGGGTAAATCGGCAGTGCAGCCACGTGGATCAGCATCTTCTACTCCGGCTTCGTCTGTCAATAACGCGGTGAGTGGGAGTGCTAGTCCCAAAACAACTTCAAGTTCCAATATGGGGGACATTCCTAAAAGGAGTGAACCACGTAGATTTGACCAGAATATTTCTGGTTCACAACTAGATAAAGATGACGATAAACTTGGAGAGCTTGGTAACAGTATTGCTGGGAATAATGGACAACATTCCAATTCCCAGAGAAGGAAAAGTCTGGTGAATTCCAATTTTCTTTTCAATCCTGCTCGTCAAGACCTGATCAGTTCATTATTGAATAGCTATCTGACTACTGCGAATGTTCCAAAGACTAGTAGTAGTACAAGTGGTGAGTATGGCACAAATCCCGCAGGTGGGATTTACCTCAATAACTCAGGTAGTTCAACTTCTTCATCTCAATTACCGAAGTCTCAACTGATAGATTCAAACTTTCCAAGCTTTTATATGGGTCATAAGGATTCCGGGAGCTCTCAAACTGAATCTAGGCCACGTGGTGACAGTGTATTTCTCCCTCCTCCAATTACTCCTACTGTACGTACTGGGAATGATGAACAATTACTGCGTCAGCAAATACTGCTGCGTCAGCTACAAGAGCAACAACCGCCACAGCAGCAGCAGCAGCCACCACAGCAACCACAACAACATCAACCATCCTTGAATTCAAGATCGAATAGTATATTCAGTGCCCTTATTCAACTTCCAGCTTCAAACGGGAATTCATTTAGTGGCCAATCGGGGGGCCCAAGTAAATCCAGTTCACTTTCTAATAATGCTGTTTCGACGGGAGGAAATTTGCTTCTGAGATCAAGGCTTCCATCTGTTGGAGGTCCTGGAGCAGGTGCGGATTTTCAATTTACCGCCCAAGAATTTGAAAACTTTTTAAATAAAGAAAGTTTAGGTGGATCAATTTCGTGGCAACAAGCTACCGATCCTAAAGCACAAGGATCGAAATCTAAAAGAGGATCGGTAGATGCAAACTTTTGGGAAGGTTTGGGTAACCATACCGAGTCCATTGTTGGGCTTCCTATTAGTAGTGGGAGTATTAGTAGTATTTTAGCTGGGATAACTAACGGGAATATTCAATTCAGTGGCATGAACAATGAACAAAGAAGGGATTCTATATTGAAACTTATCAATGAACAGCAACTACTCCAACAGCAACAACAACCAATGTCAACACAACCGAAACAACTGCTGAAAATGGATCAATCAACTAGTAAGAAGGATTTTGAAGGAAGTACTAGACTTCGTGAGGATATTTTCGATAAGAATGCTGGAGGGTCTGGAATAGCTGAAGGGAAACGTTTACGAGAATCAAACGATCAAGGCTTGACTATTGGAGGCCCAGTATCACCATCGTCTATGAATTCAAGGTCCGCTGGAACAAAGGGTAATTATTCGAAGGACGATGAATCTCATTCTCCGAAGACATCACCCAGTGGATTCCAAGTAAAAATGAGAAAGGGTAACCCAAATGAGAGACAGCAGCAAGTTCAACAGAATATGGGAGTGCCACCTCAATCTGGGGTATTCTTACCAACTCGTCAACCAAATAATTACCCTGGAACAGTCTTTCCACAACAAGTACCATCACATGGATACCAGATCCAGCAGTCGTCAAATCCATTAGTTAATCCTAACGTACCTAATCCTAATGATACTAGTAATACTGGAGTGATGAATGAAAATAAGAATCAAATGTTGGCTCCTGTGCAGCTGTTTATGAAATCAGAAGATGATAGGCCGCTATTGGGGGCAACAAAGATTGACCAACTTATGTTAGTGATCCAAGCGAGGGATAAAGGGGTGAAAACAGCTATTCCCCAAGGAATGGATGGGAGTGTTCTTGCCAATCCTGAGACTGTTTTACAAGAATCACAAGATCAAGATTCTGTAGGAGTTGTACCTCGACCAATTGGTCTTGTCGGGGGAATCCCCCATAAAAAGGGTGGAGTAAATGATAAGGAACAAGGAGACTCTAACAGTTCTCGAGATGAACATCAATGTCCCTATTGTTTCAAATATTTTACACAACAAACGCATTTGGAAGTCCATGTACGATCTCATATTGGATACAAGCCGTTTGAATGTGAATATTGTCATAAAAGATTCACTCAAGGAGGTAATTTGAGGACTCATTTAAGATTACATACTGGAGAGAAACCATTCACTTGTGAGATATGTGGAAGGTCATTCAGTAGAAAGGGTAATTTGGCAGCACATAAGCTCACCCATGACAATTTAAAGCCATTTGCTTGTAAACTTGATGATTGTGATAAGGCATTTACTCAATTAGGTAATCTCAAATCTCATCAAAACAGATTCCATCAAGAAACTTTAAATGATATGACCCACAAATTTGCAGCATTAACAGGAGCACAGATTAATAATTTACCACCACAAGAAAGAGATATGATGAACTATTTCAAAGATTTGTACAAAAACTCAAATAAGGGTATCAGAGGAAGAGGTAAAGGAAGCAAACATGCCAATGACCTGCAACAAGATGGTTCGTCGATATCGCCTCCTAATTTAGGGGTTAATGTAGGAAACAATGGCATGCCTCCACTATATAATGGAAGATTGGATATGTGATCCATCCTGATTATTGAATTTCGAAAGGTCTGGCCCATTAAAAATATCCAGAAGAAAGTAGGACCAGAGCTGGCTCAGGTAAACCCATTTAGATAAATTAAATACCAATGAAACCGTTATCAATATTTGAGAATTGTAAGCCTCGTAGAGCAGTGCCTCGAGCTACATGATCTTCTCTTGCATTTTGCAATTTTTCTTGTCCTTTTCATGCTTTTTTTTTTCGATTTTTGTCTTCTTTTTTTTTTTTTACTATTATTATTATTTTAGTTTATATTTACTTTCGCAGCCTATCCAGACTCCATTCTGTGGTTTGCGCGTCTGGACACGGAATATCTAAAAACAGTCATTGATCTCCAATCCAGTTTGAAATTATTAAATAGGGAAAGGTATTTGAAGAGCCATCAAAAAACTAGGAATATTGTGAATATGAATTTCCTTTCAAAGACTTTCAGTTCTCTTACAGGGACCTCGATTCCTTACACATTTAAAGAGAAGGAAGTTGATCCACGTCTGGGGATCTTCCCTGATAGTGCCTCAGTATGGACAATTTATAAAGGTCTTAATCCAAAAAACGACAACACACCAGTAACCATCTTTGAATTTAATCTCAGAGACTCTGCAAATGCTGATTTAGAACCACTTGCAAGAAATTGCTTCCGTAAGAGTAAATTACTCAAATTACCAGGTGTCATTTCTGTTATTGATTACATTGAAGATGAAAGTTATTTATATATTATTACTGAACCAGTGGTCCCCTTATATCGGTACTTACAAGTCAATGATGGCAAGGTTTCTACCGATAGTAAAGTGTGTGGTATTTACGAAATTGGTCAAACTTTGCTGCTCATTAATTCCAAATGTAATAGTTTACATGGTAATCTTGGATTATTTAGTTCAGTATTTGTAACACCATCTGGTGATTGGAAACTTTTCGGGTTTGAACTTTTAACTAACTTAACTTCTGATCCAGATCAGCCAATCTACAGATTCCTGAACATTCAACAAGGTTTCAATTGTACCTTACCAGAAGATGGACTTGATTCAGTGAGACAATTCCCACTCAAATTGGATTCCTTTAAATTTGGATCATTTATTTATTCGGTATTTAACATACATCATATGAAATCCCTTGGAGTTAAAGTGACGCAATCTGAATTAAATTCCATGGTTAACATCCCCAGACAATTAACGGTTGCTTGTAAGCGGTTAGTGGGGGCTAAGCTTGGGCTTAGACCAACTGTTGAAAAATTTATGCTGGATACTGAATCATATTTTGAACGCAATAAACTTATCATATTCAGTCATGAATTAAATGAAATTAAATTCAAAAGTGAAGTAGAAAAGCTTGAATTCTTTAAAACTTATTTAAGTAATTTCATTTCTGAAGAAGATGTGAATTCATTCCCTCCAGGTTTCCTTGAACATAAGGTACTTTCAGAACTTCTTTCCCAGTATGAAAATATTCAAAAACAAAAGGTGACTATTTCCTCCACTCCAGAAGAAGTTCAATCCCGTCAAGAAACTACTTCTGTATTATTGAACTATATTCTTAAGTTTGGGGTTGCTATACAAGAAAGTAACTTCACCAAATTAATTAAACCAATTATTTTCCAAGCCTTCACTCTACCAGATAGATCTATAAGATTAACTTTACTTAATCATTTGACCCAATATGCACCCATGCTTACTGAATCAGATGTCCAACTGAACATATTCACTCCACTTCTTTCTGGATTTCAAGATACTAATTTTACTATTAGAGAAACAACACTTCGGTCGATCACCACTATTATTGACAAGGTTTCTGTGAAACAAGTCAATCAAGAATTACTTAAAGTATTGGCTAAATCTCAAATGGATCCAAAACCATCCATTAGAACTAATACATTAGTATTGATCATCAAAATTTCAAGTAAGATTTACAATACTTCTAAGAATAATGTTTTGATTACTGCTTTATCGAAATCATTAAGAGATACTTTCACCCCATGTAAAATGATGGCATTATCCGGGTTTGAAAGTTTGATCGACGAATTCTCTTTAAATGAAATCTGTGGGAAGATTTTAGGACATATTGCTATTTCATTAATGGATCCACAATCATTTAAGGTTAGAACTGAAGCAAGAAGAATTTTCGAGTTATATTTAAAATCAGTTGAAGAACACGCATCGTCATTGCCAAAAGTTGAAGATGACGAGGAAGCAGAAGAAAAGGCCTTTTTCGCCAAATTTGCACCTCAACAACTGGAAGAAGAAAAATCCAACCCGACGGAATCACGAGAATGGAACCTTGACTTTGCATTTGCAAAGTTTGGTATGTCAAATTCTGGTAAATTGAATGATGAGTTTAATGTTTCTACTCCAGATTTAACAAGAATAACTACACCTACAACTGAACGAATCCCAACTGTTAAAGTACCAAAGTCTGCTATTGCTCAAAATAATTGGAACGATGACTTTGATGTTGACGACAGCTGGGGAGGTGACGATGAAGTAGTTGAAAAGGTTGTAGCACGTCCTAAAAAGGCAAGTTCAATGAAATTGGGCTCAAAAAAAACGATTGTGAAACCCGCTAAAACGGTTGGAAATGCCTTAAAATTGGATTTGAAAGTTCAAGAAGATGAAGATGAAAATTGGGATGGAGATTGGTAAACTATCTATTAAGGTATAATAATAAATATTTAATCGTATATTACAGATTTTTGCTAATAAACTATGATATCGTCATCTCTGTAAGGAGGCGGCACTGACATTTCCTACTCCATTCAATGTTTCCTGATTGGAAGGAATATTATGTGTGGTAATACTGGTATTCGAAGAATCCATGCCTTCGCCGTTTGTATGTGGTTCAGTTGTTAGCAATGTGTCGTTATTAACGGAATCGTAGTGTGGCACAAAGTCAATCTCGCTGTATTGATCTTGTTCTATGTTAGAAACATTATTATGCTCAAGGTTATCATAAGTGAAGAAAGAATATTCTTGGCCACCTGTGGCTTCAGAAACTTCTTGAGGTTCGACATTATGTACACTATAACTGTCTTCTCCTTGCTCACCTTCTTCTGATACATGTTGTAAAATATCATCATTCCGATCCACAGGACTAACACCACCAATGTCTTCTTCAATATCGTCCAAAGGTGGTGCAGAGGGCATCAAACTAGCTTCTCTTAAACGCATTTGATCTTTCTCGGAAAGCCTACTCTGGTTTGGAACTGGAAGAAGACTTTCACTTCCACTTGGAGAAAATTCATGATAATCAGGCGCATCCGCATATGGAGGAGTGCCAATATTTACTGTCGCCATAGGAGCAGATATCGAAGCAGGTGCTGCATTTGCTGAACCTTCTCCCGTTGATAAATGACTAGAAGGCGACAACGTCTTAGGTACTTCCAATGGTACTACGTCGGCTACTTGTGAAATATTGGATGATACAAGTGAAGATCTTCTACTAATAGGAGATACTGAATTAGTCTCATCTTGTAATAAGGCAGCAGGTTTCTTTTCCTTCAGTCTATGGGTACCAATAATGACTTCAGTAGTTATTTGAAGAAATTTCTTCATCCGCTTATATTTATCAGTATTGATAAAGGTTGAAAGCTCCTTCTGATTATATGGAGCCTTATTGCCGAAGTTAAAGTTGAACGAACCACTAGTAGTATCAGGTGTTGTGGCATTATTACTTTTGCTTTGTTCAACACCATCAATCGGAAGTGATTTCCCACTCAAATTAACAAGTACCTCAATGAAATATTGAAATGACACTAAGGGACATCCAGAAATTGTCGGAAAAGCATCTGCTGGCACTCGAACACTGGTATTAATTTCAGACTGGAATGTTGTTGGATCCACATATAATGGGATGATCAGTTGTTGAAGGTCCTTCCGAAAAGATTCAAACAAACTATCAGGGCCATTATCTAATCGGCAAACTCTAACGAATGTTATAATGATTCCATTCGAGTCTTGAATCATCTTCAAATGAGAAATGTTGATCTTGATTGGAATGAGTTCACCTCGTAGATAGCCTCTTTCCGGAATCTCAAGACTTACTCTAATATTCTCCCGTTTGTATTGTTGGCCACCTGTCGTTGCTGTCGTTGCTGAATGCTCGGAAATTGGAGTCACTGGCGGTAGATTAGTACCGCCACTTTGAACCGCTGTATTTTCTGTCAATGGAAATGTTGTAGAATCAGTACCAGCTGCTCCTTCAGAGTTGTTTGATGACATTGTGCTGAAAGTATTCACTGTAGAAGTCGAAGATAGAGTTCTAGATAACTTTCGGTTGTACTTGGGGTTTTTTATTATGAGTTGTTTCGCCTTTGCCGGGGGTAACTTTGCCACGTCAATAGGATTTATCAAATTTATAAGTTTTTCAGAAGTGTAAGTTGGGTTGTGTAAATTCTTCAACAGTTTGGCCTTGGCTATGAAATTGATTCCACCTACTACATGTGTAGAGTCTTGTGGAGAGGAGTTATTTGTTCCGGTACTCGAAGGACTATCACTTCTTGATGAAGGAGTTTGTATACTTCCAAGAGATGCCTTAAGCAGATAAACAATCGATCCCTTACCAAACTCAATACTTGTGAATACACGTTTGTTTGGAAGTTTTACTATAAAAGGGAATCGATGTTCTCCCTTGTAGAGACCATTTTGAAACTCATTAGAACTTGCATTCCCATGTTCAGGATCTCCATAATCATCATCAGTTTGTTCTTCGCCATAAATTTTGATAGTATGGTTGAATAAAGTGTGCTTTATTGGGCGCATTTTTGAATGGGAGGAAGCATTTATCTTAACACAACCACCAAGTGATAAAGTTATTGATATATCAACAAGATTTTTCCTTGATATAAGGATGATTTGTCCAGAAACTTCATCTCCGGGAAGCCACAGCTTGTGCGGATCGTCAAGTGTAATATAAAAGTCTGCCACGGAGTTGAAATCTATCTTAAAGTTGGGATTTCCATTCGACGGGGCATTGGTACTAGTTAGTGCCAGGTCAAGGGGGGACCGTTGTGGCTGTGCACCCAACTTTTGATTTCTTTGTTGTCGGGAGGGAATAATACGGGAAACTGCTCGTCTCATGTAGAATGGGCAACCATATAGATATTTAGAGAGCGGAGCTCTATGGAAGGGGGGAATAAATTAAAGAAAGAGTCAGTAGTGACGAATTCGTTGTAATCTCAAATGACTTCAGACTAAAAATATGCAAAAAATTTGAAATTTGCAAGGCGGAATGAGGTGAAATAGGGGTAAAACACCAAGTTAAAACTGGTAGATATCAAAAAGTGCGAGACCAGGTATTATTCTATGTTGGAATAGGCTTGTTTGTCCACTGTATTTCGTGTTTCAAGACGATTTAAAATGCGCTTTTTTGTATTTCCTAGAATGTACCTCGTTTGACACTTTTCCCTTGTGTGCAGGACGAGGTGGGTGTGAGAATTATTGTGGGACATTTTTCGGTAATGACAGGAGTTTTACTCTGTGGTATAATGCTACTTTCCTGTATTAGCGGCGCGGCGCCTTCCCTACAATATGTTTGACTGGTTTTTCTAAAAAAAAAAAGGCGAACAGACATCCACTTAATTGTCAACAATGCATGTCATCAGTAATATACGCGCTGCAATTATTGGTGACTCTATTTTGTATTTCAATATTGAGAATCCATTGTTTCATGTTCTGAAACGGGGAATATTATTCCTTTCCTCTTGACACCCTCAATAGATCTTATCTTGAAACCAAAAAATCGTAAATGTAGTCATTTTAGGATGCGGCACCTTAAATTAGATGAGCCGTACGTCTCCAGTATTTTTTTACTACAATATGAATGTGACGGAATTGATAATAATAATGAGATTTGATGAATAATTCCCGCCGCACCTCGTTATAACTTGCCCCTATATTTACTATTATAAGAATCTAGATAACGATTGATTCAAAACGTTAAACATGAATGTTTCCTTGAAATGGATGTATACCTTACTAATAAATTATTTTATATCTCAATGACATTCTATATCATCTACAAAAAACATTCTTCTTCAAAGTATATGCATTGCTAAGGATAAACTAAACAGACCCTCAAATTCTCTAATTATGGTACAGTGAGTGGAGTTGTTATGCAACCGGTCTCTATAAAATTCAATATCTTTTTTATTGTAACAAATTGTTTCCAATTTGTTCTCGTCTTTTCATTTAATCGAAAGTCTTCTTGGTACCCTTGAACTCAGCGCTGTTAGCACCGGTTCTTGGTGGACCGTTGAAAGCTGGTCTTTCACGACCACCGAAACCACCTCTTCCACCTCTGTCACCACCGAAGCCGCCTCTGCCACCTCTGAAGCCACCTCTTCCGCCTCTGTCACCACCGAAGCCACCTCTGTTACCACCGAAACCACCAGCAGATGGTTCCTTTGGAGTGGAGTAATCTAATCTACAAGCACGACCGTCAATGTATTCACCGTTCAAAGCTTCGAAAGCAGCCTTGGATTCTTCAAGAGAAGAGAATTGAACGTAACCGAAACCCTTTGGTTGTTGAGTGTCTGGGTGAGTTGGGATTCTGCAAGAAATAACGTTACCGTATTCACCAAAGATAGTGAACAAGTTGTCTCTTTCAGTGTTGAAAGACAAGTTACCAATGAACAAAGTGTCAGATGGTTGGGATGGAACATCGCCGAATTGCTTGGCTCTGTCGGTTCTTGGGTTAGAAGCGTGTGGCTTACCGGTGGACATGTCCAAGTTAATTGGTCTACCATCAATTTCCTTACCTTGCATCTTTTCCAAAGCTTCTTCAGCCTTAGACTTGCTGTCAAAGTCAACGTAACCGTAACCTCTGGACTTACCAGTGGCTCTTTCCATGATAACTCTGGCACTGATGACACCACCAATGGATTCGAATTCACTCTTCAACCATTCGTCATCAATGTTCCAGGATAATCTACCAACGAACAAAGTGGCTGGTTCTTCTTCAACCTTAGCCTTCTTGACAACTGGTTCTTCAACTTGTTCTTCTTCAACCTTTCTCTTCTTAGAGTCAGATTCAGATTCTTCAGAGTCAGAATCAGAGTCGGAAGAGTCAGAGTCAGAAGAGTCAGAAGAGTCAGAAGAGTCAGAAGAGTCGGAGGAAGATTCTTCCTTCTTCTTCTTGGCATCCTTTTCATCTTCAGAAGATTCATCGTCAGATTCAGAACCGGAGTCGGAGTCGGAAGAAGAGTCAGAATCAGAAGAAGAAGAGGAAGAGGATTCTTCCTTCTTGGCTTCAACCTTCTTGGATTCCTTCTTTGGAGCTTCCTTAACTTCTTCTTCTTCGTCAGAAGAGTCGGAGTCGGAGGAAGAGGAGGAGTCAGAGTCGGAGTCGGAGTCGGAAGAAGAGGAGGAGGAAGAAGAGGAAGCTTCCTTCTTAACTTCTTCTTCAGTTTCAGATTCAGAAGAAGAGTCTGAAGAAGAAGAGTCGGAAGAAGAGGAGTCGGAAGAAGATTCAGAAGAAGATTCTTGCTTCTTAGCAACCTTCTTAGATTCCTTCTTGGAGACCTTGGTAGCCTTAGCGGACTTAGTAGATGTCTTAGCCATTGTTTTTTTAATTAATGTATAAAAAGAGAGTAGAAACTATATAACTCAATCAGCTCATCTAATGAAAATTTATTCTAATGAAAAAGGAAAAAAAAAAATTAAAATTTTAGTCACGTGCTAGACGATGAGCAATCTGGGGTTGCAAATATAGTAAGGTATTGTGATACGGTGAAGTTCTTCAATGGTGAAAGTAAATCAAAAAATTCTCGCCCTTTGGATAATATATACCATATTCAATGATAACATACTTCTAATCTTCTTTTCTTGATATTGTTGTGCTATGTTCATTTATAAAATTTGATTTTCTTTCTATCTGGCGTAAATAAATAAATTAATTTCTTTTCTTTTTTGCAACTAGACCAAATAAATTCCAATCTTGACAATATTAAAGAATTGGTTGTTATGCCAATTAAAACTTGAATACTTAAAAAAATTCTAAATTTAATTGAAGAAATCTTTCTTCATATTCAAAAGAATTAATTCTTATCTCTACATATTTCATATCCCATAAAGTAAACTCTACAATCTAGATGACAAACACTGTTTTTTTCAACTCTGTTTTCTGTTTCACTAAAAAAATTATATCCATTTTTAACGTAAACTATTGCTTTAGATAAATATCAATAGCATATACTCGATAATTCAATAAAATATCAGCTTAGAATTCTAGATACTACAACTATTGATGATTGCGTTTACATGGAAATGTTGAGATGACTCTGTCCATATATAAAAATTTTAACTTTATTTCAAGCCTACATTGTACGTTCTGTCCAACCACGTTTCTTTTATTTATAATACCGTAGTATCATACGAGATGTGTAATAGTAACATGACACATCATTATTGCTATATTATGTGCATTATTCAGGTACCTGAAATGCTTCCCCTCATGTTGCATCTCGTGCCGGTACCGCTGAAAAAAATTTGTTGAAAAATGTATGAATCATTCAACTCCGCACTTCAGGGCCTGAATCGGAATTCCATTCTATCAGCACCATATACAAGTCGATATAACATAATAGATTGAACTTGTTTCAATAGTACTTTTCTTTGTGAATATAGATTTTTACAAGAACCTTCTAAAATGTTCAAGTCTCAACCGCTTTCAAAGGCTGTTAAGCCTTTTGCTAACATGTTGAAAGATCCATCAAAGAAGTATAAAGCTTTTAAAGGTGTTTCTCTTCCAAACAGAACTTGGCCAAATAAAACTATCACCAAGGCTCCAAGATGGCTTTCCACCGATCTTCGTGATGGTAACCAATCTCTTCCAGATCCAATGTCGATTCCTGAAAAGAAGGAATACTTTCACAAATTACTTGAACTTGGATTTAAAGAAATTGAAGTTTCTTTCCCATCTGCATCTCAAACTGATTTTGATTTCACCAGATATGCTGTCGAAAATGCCCCTGAAGATGTATCTATTCAAGTTTTGACTCAATCCAGAGAACCTCTCATCAGAAGAACCGTCGAATCGGTCAAAGGTGCCAAGAAGGCCACTATCCATACTTATCTCGCAACTTCAGATGTCTTCCGTGATGTTGTCTTCAACATGACTCAAGAAGATGCCGTTAAGAAGGCCGTCGAAACCACCAAGCTTGTTAGATCCCTTACCAAGGATGATCCAAACATGCAAGAAACTGAATGGAGCTTTGAATTCTCTCCAGAATGTTTCTCTGATACTCCAACTGAATTTGCTGTTGAAATTTGTGAAGCCGTCAAGGCTGCTTGGGAACCAACCGTTGAAAACCCAATTATTTTCAACTTGCCAGCTACTGTTGAAGTTGCTTCTCCAAATGTTTATGCTGATCAAATCGAATATTTCTGTAACCATATTTCTGAACGTGAAAAAGTTTGTGTTTCTGTCCATCCTCACAATGACAGAGGATGTGGTGTCGCTGCTGCCGAATTAGGTGTCATGGCCGGTGCTGACAGAGTCGAAGGTTGTTTGTTTGGTAATGGTGAAAGAACTGGTAACGTTGACTTGATCACTGTTGCTCTTAACATGTACACTAACGGTGTTTCTCCAGAATTGGACTTTTCTGACATTGAATCTTTAATTGATATTTCTGAAAGATGTAACAAGATCCCAGTTCACCCAAGATCTCCATACAGTGGTTCTTTAGTTGTTTGTGCCTTCTCTGGTTCTCACCAGGATGCCATCAAGAAGGGATTTGTCAAGTCTGAAGCCAGAGCTGCTCAAGGTGACGAATCCTGGGCTATCCCATACCTTCCTCTTGATCCTAAGGATGTTGGCAGATCTTACGAAGCTGTTATTCGTGTAAACTCTCAATCAGGTAAGGGTGGTGCCGCTTGGATCATCTTACGTAGTATGGGTTTGGATGTTCCAAGACACATGCAAGTTGTTTTCTCATCTATCGTTCAAACTGAAGCTGACAAGTTAGGTAGAGAACTCAAGGCCGATGAAATTGTTCAATTATTCAAGACTCAATTTTTGGACTCTGAAAGTTCCGCCATCAAATTGGTCGATTTCGATGTCTCAAAGAACAAGGGTAGCGAGTCTGTTCGTTCAGTAGTCGTTGACCTTTCCGTAAACAACACTAGTGAGAGCATTTCCGGTGAAGGTAACGGTCCAATTTCAGCATTTGTTGATGCTATTTCCAAAAAGTTCGGCACTCACTTTGAAGTTGCAAACTATGTAGAACATTCTTTGGGGTCAGGTACTCAAGTCAAGGCAGCTACATACATTGAATTGAGCTACATTAACGAAGCTGGCGAGAAGGTTAACCGTTGGGGCTGTGGTATTCATTCCGATGTTTCCCAAGCTTCAATGCAAGCCATTATCTCTGTTATTAATTCTTTAATCGAATGCAAGGAAATCTCTATCTAGAGTTCAACTTGAATTATGGATTAGAGTGAGCTTGTTATTGAGTAGTTCTAATCCAATTGACTTTATATATACAATAATAAAATACTACGTATTCAATCAAAATTTATAAAATTACGAATTGCTGCAAAATTACATTAAGAAAAAAAATATTGATAGAGAGTGTCTTCGGATGAGATTCGAGTAGGATTAATTTCTAAACTTCATGAAAATAAATATCTACGACTTCATAAACAAAATCAGTTGGAGATAGTTTAACCTATTTCAGTATTATGAATTGAAGATAAAAATCAAATAATATTCGTTAATTCATCATGTAATCTTTTCTAATATTTGATATCGTAAACTTTATCAAAGCAATGCATAGAATTAGACCCTTTCAAATTAACATTTATCAACACGTGCACACAGAGGGCTTAGCCCTAAGCACGTGCCTTTGTCATTGCGTGACTGGGATTTTCCAATTAAATACGCACATTTATTTTTGTGTCTTAAATTATTTATCATTTGATCACGTGACTGCATACCAAAATCACGTCCTGTGTATAGTCTCCAATGAGTGAAAATTTGGGAAAAAAACTTGTACACTCAACCAAAAAAGAAGTTTACGTCTAAAAAATTTCTGTTAGTTATTATCTTATCCAACTAAACCTTGTTAAAAGATGTCTACTTTTGAACCAGTTGTTGTTATCGATGGTAAGGGCCACTTATTGGGTCGTTTAGCTTCTATTGTTGCTAAGCAAATCTTGAACGGTCAAAAAGTCGTTGTCGTCAGATGTGAAGCTTTGAACATCTCCGGTGAATTCTTCAGAAACAAGTTGAAGTACCACGACTACTTAAGAAAGGCTACCAGATACAACAAGACCCACGGTCCTTTCCACTTCAGAGCCCCATCCAGAATTTTCTACAAGGCCCTCAGAGGTATGGTTGCCCACAAGACCCCAAGAGGTAAGGCTGCCTTGGAAAGACTTAAGGTCTTTGAAGGTGTCCCACCTCCATACGACAAGAAGAAGAGAGTTGTCGTTCCACAAGCCTTGAGAGTCTTGAGATTGAAGCCAGGCAGAAAATACACCACTGTTGGTAAGTTGTCTTCCGCCGTCGGTTGGAAGTACGAATCTGTTGTTGACAAGTTGGAAGAAAAGAGAAAGTTGCAATCTGCTGAATACTACGCCAAGAAGAAGGCTTTGACCAAGAAGGTCAACCAAGCTAAGGCTTCTACCGCCGAATCTGACGTTGCTAAGCAATTGGCTACTTTCGGTTACTAAATTAATAGATGAGTTGGATTTCTTTTTATTTAGTCGATAGTGGGTAATGTTTTGTATGATTATTGTGTAAAGCAATATAAACACCAAGGAACGAACCTCAATTTGTATATTTTATATCTATAAATTAATAGTGTATTCAAATGTAAAGAATGTGAGGATATAAACTGTAGATATCAGGGAGCGACATTTTAATTTGTTGTTCACACAAAGAGTACAAAAGCAAAGAGATTGAATTAGAAGATTAGGCAAGTCATGATAATAAAATTATGTATCTAGCTTTAGTATTGTAAGATTGTAATATAGAGAGAGAACGAGAAGTCCATGCTAAACCTCGTTTATAAAGTGAGTTTATATAGAAAGACTCATAATTCTATTCATGTAGTAACTCATCTTTCGCAGCCTATTGACTTGATTGATGGAATACATTTGTGGTAGTACTAATAAATAAATACATATATAATTACTTATAAGGAAAAGAAGTACACCCCAAGTGTTCACCCAAATTTAAGCTGTGGATAGGCCTTGCATTCCAATAATGTACTTGTTCACTTTGTGAATACATATATTATAATTATCGACTCAAATTTTACAATTTACATATTAAAATATGAAATAAAGGTTCAAAATTATAAATCAATTTTTTGTAGATTTCAAACCATTTTGCATTCAAATGTAGTCATCAATGGAATAGATAGTATAATGACTAATGTTTAACTTTTAAACAGGCTCTATAAAAGTTTTTTTTTATATATGAATGGAAATAGTAACACATTATGGTAGGATGCAATTTGCATCATGAGAAAATAAAACACTCTATTGTATTCAAACAATGATTCCGCAATGTGGATCCTTTGTGTCTACTATTTATAGTGAGACCCCATGATCAATCTCGTTTGTAAAAATTGTAAAGTTCCAAGTAGGTTCTACGACGCACCATTTTACAACCTGTTGCGCTTCTTCTCTCACTCTAAAAATTGACTTTGTGGTAAAAAAAGCAAAAATATTAATTAGTAATTTTCTTGATTTACATATCTATCAGCAATTGATAAATCAAGCTGTAAATGATATACATTCATAATGATTCAATTTACCCCTGCATTAAGCATGCAATGGTATTAATTGAAAATACTTATAATGAATCGAAATCAATCAAAGTGATGTATCTTAATGCAACAAACCCAGATAAACTCTTCAATATCTTCAATACTACTTCACTCTCAAATAATGAAAGTGTAATGCGTAATTTTGTTTATGAACGTATTGATAATATCAATTCTTTAATTTTATATTTACAAGAGATAAAGACAACCGATGATGTCACAAAAACTATGATCATAATTGAAGGTCTTGAAACAATTCTTCTAAATGGGTTGGGTGATTATTTAGAGAAAAATTTAGCACTTGTAACCCTTTTTAAACTATTAAATAAAATGGAAAGAGGAAATCAATTTATTACATTAATTTTGGATAAGAAGAATAATTTCTTCTTACTTCATTGTCTGGAAGAAATTCCAATAAAAGAATAAAATGAGATACAAGTCTTAGATCAATCCTTATTAGGAAATGTGTTAGATTAACTTATTTCTTGCCATTATCAAAGGCTGACAAAAAGTCATCACTTTACATTATAACAATGATATAAGCATATCAATTGTAGTAATTTGCTACAACTAAATTGGCACACGAGCGCATAATTTCCAAAATCTTAAATTTAAGTAATTCCTACTAGAGGAAATGATACAACAAATAATAATTGATGACCCCTATAACGGAAATACAAGTGAATGCCTAGAAATTTAGATGAATGAAGTGATATGCATCAATCACTTAACTTCATATTCTCTGCAATTTAAGGTATTGGGTAAGTATATGTAACAATATATGAGCCCAAATGTACCAACTTGACTTCATTCTTGAAGGATCAAGCGACCCCACTTTATGTATGCATCATTCATTTTTAGCTTTTAATACGTAACTACTGTACATTTTCGTCCCGAAAGTTTACCCATATCTGCACATAGACCGAGTTTTCATCGTAAATTCTCCATTTTGTGGACCAATTTGTACTACGGAATTTTTTTAATAGTCAGGAGGATTGCCTAAAACAGTAATTCCCCATAAAATCTGCAGGATTCATAACACGTGCGTGTGGAGTGCAGATCTAAGCCGTATCACAATAATCTATATGCAAACCAACCAACATTATTTCGATCTAATGTCCCACCGCTGTTTATATACCAATAACTTGCCTTTTGAGACCCTCTATGCGCATCTGAATATAACACCATTCTTTCAAACAATACATTCCATTTACTATATAAAGCTCATTATAGGTTAGGAGCTTGATGCATATCTCAGACTAAAGGAAGAAAGAATGGACTGGCAAAATATATTAGGACAGCCCAGTTACGAACTACGCCGAGAGAGTAGTCAAAGGACGAAAAGGGGAACTGATTATAAACCACAGATCAATAATAGTGACATATCTTGTCATGAACCATATCAAGATCTGGATTATGATCACTATAGAGAATACATGTTAAATCTAACTCCATGTTCTTCAAACTGTACCAAGACTTCAAACGTGCTGCACAGTATTACCTTTGACCAGAAGGCACTTGATGGTTTAATAAAAAGACATGAAGGTAGTTTTGAATTTCTAAACGGAAATGAAAATGAAACAACTCCATCACCTCCAAGTCCTTGCATAGATTTTATTGAAACAACACATACCCCGATACCTTCCAATGTTGCGTTGGGTGAAACTAAAATCGAAATTTTACGTACAAATTCACATGATAAATTTGAAATAACCCTCAATGATATAATCGAATACATTGAGCAAGAACTTGAACAAGTACTTCATGGATCTATTATCACTAGAAGTCAAATATTGGAAACCCTCACGGTAAATCACTTATTAATCTATATCCTTTCCCATGATACAACTATTGAGAATATTGGATATATACGATTATTCCATCTTGGACGATCTTATACCCCCGATAAAGGAATCTCTGATCCAAGATATCTTACACAACAATTTTATCTTAAAGACCTTCATTTATCACGATCTCCATGTTTCCATTTAATTGTTTCTAATAATGAAGATTGTAAATTACCAGAATTATCAGAAAAGGATATGCTTTTGAAATCCTTCGTATGGAGAAATATTGTGAAACCGAATCATATCCCGTGCACATACGCAGGTCAACTTATACGGAAATTGAAGAAGATCAAGTCAAATGTGGCACTTCAACCTGAATATAAGGAGGGAAAACTTCAAAATAATTTCTCTACATTTTCTACCCACTTTGAGCACACACCAAACAAACTTCTGCGCTTAAAAAGAATATGTTATCAGTTCCGCGAGAAGTCTACAAAAGCTTAAATACTATCTATTTTATATGGGAAATGTCTGGGTTATATAAAATAAAAAGATTTTACGTTTTCAGAAGTTATTAATGGCACGTTCTAACTTTCTGTACTACTTAGACTAGTATTTACTAAATCTACTTTACTATAATGGAGATTTTCCCTAGTTACAGGATTAATCCAGTAGAAGAAAGCTCCTAGTCACTGGGTCAATATATCCATACACCCCTCATGAACCAACAATCTTCACATTCAATTGATTATTATGTAATTACTCCGTATTTGATTGTTTGTTTGACTCTGCGTTTTTAATTTAAAATTGAAAGTCCTAAATTGTTTGCATGCTGTGATTATTTGATGTCTTTATATCAATAGAAATATTCATTTTCTGACCCTATTCTGGAATATTGAACATTTACTAGACTTGTACTACCCAATAGATTTGTGAATGTATATAATCTGGTATTTTCAGTAGTTGAATAATTTGAATAGCTCATCAGATATTTCATTACAATACATGTGAAGAAATACCTAGATTTAGAAATGGAGGGTTTCCTTATTTATACCGAGGGACGTGAAAAGAGAGACTAGAACTATAATTTAACTAACCCTGAGTATTCAACCTGACTGATTCTTCCTTCAATTTATTAATCTTAGGTTTTTTATCATCGAATAGGAGATATAAATAGTATTTCAAAATTTTATGCTACCTTATCAATTATAGCATTATCTACCTTTAAATTTGAGTGTGACTTCTAGAAAACTCTTTTTAAGCGTTCATGATGTTAGGCTCCGTTACTGCTAAATTTGTCATTTTATGGACTCCAATCAAGATTTACTCTTAGGAAAACTGGCCAAAATGAAAAGTGTATTGGAAAAAGAGAGCGGTGGTCCTTCATTCACATAGATTTTCATTCAAAGCATGTTACCTTAACAAAGCTTTGACATTTTTTAATCATAGTTTATTTAATGTACCCTTTGCATTTAATTCTTGCAACTTCTCGTAAAAATTACTTTGTTGGACTGAAAGTACTAACTTTCAGTCACGTGGACAAATACTCCTTAAAGTGCTGCAAGAATCATTAGCACGGAAATTAAGCCTAGTATCCGTACAGTCATATACATTCCTTAATAAATAACAGCGAGCTACTTGTTGTTTTAAAATACTAATTCCAAATATTCTACCAAAAGTAAGGCACCATCCGGGCTAATATGATCGGTATAGGGGGTTTCAAATCCTAACAAGTATTCACTCCACATCTTCTTCAGATATATTCGTATATTATTATTCTCAAATGCATGATTCTATATTATTTGACTTTTCTAAATCATCAGTGAAATTCGTTAAAATGAATAGCACATTGCGCATCCCACGATGCCGTACAAGTTCGTGGCAATTGATAACAGTGTTACTTCTACATTTTATGTTATCTACAGCTACATGTGTCACTATGGTCATAGATGAACCATTGTTGTTCTATGTTTCTCAACATTGTAAGGCCCTTTTTTCGGTTTTTTGAAACTCCCATTGTACATCATAATTTACGATAACGTTGAATATTTTATATATTTGAGTGGATTTAATAACTTTGTAGAAGTGAAAGGGAGGGAAAATACGTGGAAATGGTTTTGACTCTAGGATGTTGTAAAATTTAGGTTTTGAACTTAATTTATGCTGAAACTTGTAATGAAACTAATATTTAAACTCTTTGTGTATTGAAAGTAATCATACCTTATCTTTCGGATTGAGTACGCGTCGAGATAACAATACCATCCCCACAATTGTTAAAAGAATGAATGTAATTTGTATTCCAACAGCAGCCGTACTCTCCAATCTCCAAGTTCGTAATGACTTAAGGTATCTTCAAGTCGTAGTCAATAAGTAGAAAAATTAAGTTTGAGGTGTTGGGAAAAGGTTATTTTTTTGAGAAAAGGTTCGGATTTCTTTGGAGGGTAGAGGACCACTCCTCGGTAGGTTAGGATAATTTGATCTTATAATTATATAATTGACACGGTGAGTATCAAGAAAATGTTCTAAACTAAACTAGATTTCATAGAGTATCATTATCCATGATTTTTTCACGGATCTCACAGCTAAATTTCATCCGCCACAATGAGCCATGTAGAGTAACTAGTGCATGATTTATTTCCTTATCCTGGTGCCGTGCATGTATTAGGCAACCGAGTCAATAAACTGTTCTAACTGATTGTATTTTCACAAAAATGTGCACTTTTTATGGACATCGAGCCATTACGATTTTACGTCAATGGCCGAAAGCCCCTTCTACATATTTACAGAAATCTATAAAAAAGATATATAGGTCCATAGTTTTTTAAAAGTATGTAGACTTCTTTTTCTGTATACAAACTAATACAATTAATCTACGATGACAACGAAAGAAGGTAGTCGTCCTGACATTTCCAGCATTAAAAGTGGTGCTTCGCGGTTTGAACCTGAGGATCACGAGGTTGATCTTGCAGCCATGATTTCGCAGACAATTGCAATTGGAGATGTTGGAATTAGTTTATCTTCGGAACAAAAATATTATATTTTAAGAAGACTCAACTATGATTCATTGGTGTCTTATGAAGACTTATCAACTGAAGCTACCTTCATGATCGAGAAAGTTGAAAACTTGAAAGTTCCAGAAGCACTCGAGATATTAAAAGAAACTTTAAGAGATTACAGTGATGATTTTAATTTTCCAACTAACGATTTGGATTTGATTCAGAAGTTGGTTCAGCTTGCACCTTCCCACGATGGTAACGACATTAAATTCAAGTTGAACAAAGACTTATCTGAAGACTATAAAGATCAAAAGCAAATGCTGCTGAAGGAAGAGATTAACGTCGAAATTCTTGCTGATTCTGATTCTTTTGAAGGACATGTTCCGAACTACTATGATGTTACCGACTGGAACTTACAAGTAAGACTCGAGGCTGCCTTACAAGCATACCATTCACCATATCCTGAGGTTCGAGCAATTTCAGATCCCTTTGACGACCCTAGTATTCCTTGTGAAACACTTAGAGCTTATGTCATAGGTTTAATTTGGGTTGCCATAGGAGTTTTTATCAACATGTTTTTCAGTCAAAGACAACCTCCAATCAGTCTATCAACACCCGTGGTTCAGCTTTTCCTTTATCCAAGTGGTAAATTATGGGAATACGCCATACCAGACTTCAAAATCAAAATCACTAAGAATTATTCTTTCCGATTAAACCCTGGACCATGGACATATAAGGAACAAATGTTTGCAACAATTATGTTTTCTGTTTCTGCAGTGAATGCATATATTCTGTATAACGTTTACACCCAAAGGGTTGCGGTTTTTTATGATAACAAGTGGACTACCATGGGATATCAAAGTTTGTTGGTATTATCAACAAATTTCTTGGGTTTTGGGTTTGCAGGAATTTTGCGTAGATTTGCAGTTTATCCAGTGAAGGCGATTTGGCCAGCAATTTTACCAACACTTGCCTTAAACCGGGCATTACTTCAGCCCGAAAGAAAGGAAAATATTAATGGATGGAAAATCTCAAGATACAACTTTTTCTTCCTTGTAACTGGTGCTTCTTTCCTTTACTTTTGGCTTCCTGACTATCTTTTCCAGGCCCTTTCAACCTTTAATTGGATGACCTGGATTGCTCCTGATAACTTCAATCTTGCCATGATTACTGGTTCTGTAACTGGATTGGGTGTTAACCCTATTCCTTCTTTTGATTGGAATGTTTTGTCATTCAACGCTCCATTAATCGTTCCATTTTACACACAAGTAAATCAGTTTATTGGTATGGTAATTGCTTTCTTTGTTATTCTTGGAGTCTGGATGAGTAATAACAAATGGTCTGGATATATTCCTGTCAATTCTAATTCTATTTTCAACAATTTGGGTGGCCGATATTCAGTTGGAAAAGTTTTGAATGAAAATGGACTTCTTGATGAAGCAAAATATGCAAAATATGGACCTCCATACTATTCGGCTGCAAATTTGGTAGTTTATGGTGCCTTTTTCGCACTTTATCCATTTTCGGTGTTTTACGAAAGTATAACCAGATGGTCAGCAATCAAGGATGCATCGATTGGTGTTTTTAAAACATTCAGATACATTCATAGGTCAGGTTTAGAAGGTGTTAATGACCCACATTCGAGAATGATGACCCGGTATAAAGAAGTTCCAGAATGGTGTTTCTTAATTATTTTGGTCATTTCAACGGTATTTGCAATTGTATGTGTTAAGGTATATCCAGGTACAGAAACCCCAGTTTGGGCGATTTTTTTTGCAATTGGAATCAATTTTGTGTTTTTAATTCCTTTAACTGCCTTGGTCAGTTCTACTGGTTGGGGGTTTGGAATGAATGTTTTAGTCGAGTTAATCGTTGGTTACGCCATTCCTGGTAATTCCCAAGCTTTAATGTTCATCAAAGCCCTTGGATATAATATTGATGGTCAAGCACAAAATTATATTTCCGATCAAAAGATGGCACATTACGCCAAAGTCCCAGCAAGAGCGATTTTCAGAGGTCAATTACTTTCTGTCATTTTGAATTCATTCATAGGAATAGGTGTGATGAATTGGCAGATAAATTCTATGCCAGATATCTGTACTCCTGAGAATAGTTTGAAGTTTACATGTCCAGGAGCCACCACTTACTTTTCTGCTTCGGTTTTATGGGGTACTATTGGACCAAAGAGAGTTTTTGGAGGTTTGTATCCTGTAATGCAATATTGTTTTTTGATTGGATTCTTAATGGTTCCAGTTGCACTTGCTTTCAAATGGTACGCACCAAAGAAGTATACAAAACATTTTCAACCATCTATTTTTATAGGTGGGTTTTTGAATTGGGCTCCTTATAATTTCTCTTACTTTATTGGAAGTATGTACTTGTCAATTGCTTTCATGTATTACATCAAGAAACATTATTTGACATGGTGGGAAAAGTATAATTTTGTTCTCTCGGGTGCATTAACTGCCGGGGTTGCTTTTAGTAGTATTATCATTTTCTTCGCTGTGCAGTATCATGATAAATCAATTTCGTGGTGGGGTAACAACGTTCCATATATGGGGATCGATGGTGGAAATGGCCAACAAGCTAGACTTAATGTTACCGAATCAGCTCCAGACGGATATTTTGGTTTGAGAATTGGTCATTTCCCTTAGTTTGTACGTTTTTTTATTGTATCTTTGTTTTAGTTGAATAAATTTGTTGAATTGTAACTGTGTAAAAATTATTTTCTCTATTGTGTACATTCCCCTTTTCAGTATTTTGACACAAAGACCTTGTGACATTGTATGTGCGTGAGGCACCGCAATATGACGTACTGTAAAAGGGGTACCATATTTTTTTTTTTTTTTAAGGGATACGTAGAAAGGAGGCGAAGACCCTCAATATTGATAAAATAATAATACTGAACTCGACAACAAATATTTGTATATGCAAGCATTCCAACGTCGTCTTGCATGTTTCGAGTTTGTTTATCCACTTAATCCCCCTACAATTTTAACTCATATAGTAGTAGTCAAAATTGCTGCACAGCTGATTACATAATTTAAAGAATACAGGGGGGGGGGGGGGGTTAAAAGCTTAATTATTGGAAGGGTCTGAATCTGTGATATCAAACAATTTTCAGAGCCACCACAACAAAAATACTCAATGAATAGAAACGGAATAAATCTCGAAAAATGCTACACGTTGAATTGAACAATAACCACCGTTTGCTAATTGAGGCTGTACTAATTCATGTACGTGTCATCAATTTGACGCCTTTTCTCTGCATGTTGCCCTGAGAAGAATTAGTGCGGTGAATCGTGCGTCGAAGAAAACTTGCGTTTTAGGAACAATTGGGGGTTGGACGTGCAGGTATCGTATTCGTCTAATGCATTGCTCTACATCGTGCTTGATGACGGTGCCCAGCCCCTCATTCCAATATTAATAAAATTTAGAAATTCATTTACGTAATTGGTCTACGGCGACCCCCGTGTACCCCCTCCCCCCAATCAAATGTATATAAAGCCACAAGTAAATTACTGTTTTTCCATTTTGTAGATAATTTTTCAACAGACATATATTAATATATTCTAAACACACACACAATGGTATTCGGATTCGGTAAAGACAAGGACAACAACGATAACGACAACGACGACAGAAGAGGAAACTCTGACTCTTACGGATCTTCCGGTCGTGATAACTCTGACTCGTATGGTTCTTCCAACACCGACTCTTATGGTTCCTCTGGTCGTGACAACTCTGACTCTTATGGATCTTCCAAGTCTGATTCTTACGGTTCTTCTAACACTGATTCTTATGGATCTTCCGGTCGTGATAACTCTGACTCTTACGGTTCATCCAAGTCAGACTCCTACGGCTCTTCTGGTCGTGACAACTCAGACTCTTATGGTTCATCCAAGTCTGATTCTTACGGTTCTTCTAACACTGATTCTTATGGATCTTCCGGTCGTGATAACTCTGACTCTTACGGTTCATCCAAGTCAGACTCCTACGGCTCTTCTGGTCGTGACAACTCAGACTCTTATGGTTCATCCAAGTCTGATTCTTACGGATCATCCAAGTCCGATTCTTACGGCTCTTCCGGCCGTGATAACTCTGACTCTTACGGCTCATCCAAGTCAGACTCTTACGGCTCTTCTGGCCGTGATAACTCCGACTCTTACGGATCCTCTGGTCGTGGTAATTCTGACTCCTATGGATCTTCTGGTCGTGGTAACTCTGACTCCTACGGATCCTCCAACCAAGACGATGACTACTAAACATTCATTGATTGAATGAAGTATTTTAAAATTAGCTTATGTATCTTATTGCGAATACACGATTTATAACGAAATCCTCATCCTATTTCTGTTTTTTTTTGTAACTTCGTCTCATTCTCGTCTATATAGTACTAGATTGCTATTTACTGTTGCAATGGTGCATAAAGAACCTGGGTCACATATTTTCTTTTGTACCTCACAACAGATGCAACAGCCAAAGTGTTATGTTTAATGCTAGTAGTTGCTAAATGATTTAAGACCACATGATTAGGAATTGGCAATGCCCCTGAATTGTTATCGGTAGCACTGAAATTATTCAAAATCACATTCTCCAAATGTGGTGGGAGTTGTGGCGGGTGTAACCAAGCTTGTTGCAGTCCATTCTGATTTTTTGATTGTTTATCAATAGCCATATAGTATTGTTCCATCACTTTTGGGTCAGTGAAAATCGGAGGGATGTCCGTTATATATTGAAAGTCTGAATTTCCATCATTGACTTCCTCATGATATCTAGAATATCCATTACCCATATCATCATCATCATTAGTAAGTCCCCAAATAGAATTACTTCTAGTATTGCTTCTGGAAAGAGAGCTTTTACGACTTGGAAACTGGTCAGGATGTTGCTGTTGTTGTTGTTGTTGTTGTTGTTGTTGTTGTTGTTGTTGTTGTGCCAGTTGCTGTTGGTCCAGTTGTTGTCGTTGCTCCTGTTGTTGGTCCAGTTGCAGCTGTTGTTGTCCCAATTGCTCCAGACCTATCAGTTCTTGTTGTTGACTATTGAGATGGTTGTGAATACTTTCAGGTGTAACTTCAACATAATTCACAAAGTTACCCATTTGATCAGTTGCTGTCGGTAAATAGTCTGAGAATCTCAATTCATTGTCAATTACAAAACGGAAACGATGAGTACCAACAGGAAGACCTAACGTAATTGTAAAATTTCCATCTTCTTGTTTAGACAATCCAATCATTTTTCTCCATCCTGTAAAGGACCCGGTGACATAAACTTTGTCCCCTCCTTGAACCCACTTAATAAGCACTGGAATTGTGATATTTGGATCAAGTTCACGTTCTACAGGTACTTCAGCTTGATTCTCTGGTTGTTGTTGTTCTTGCGAGTATTGCTGTTGTTGTGGCTGCTGTTGGCGCAGATTATTTTGATTTTCCTCAGATTCTTGTTGATCAACGACCATGCTATCCCCCTCTCCTTGAGTTCTATCATGTGTGGTTCTATCTATGTCCATTTCATCAGTAAGGATCATAGTTGATTTCCGACGTGTAGGTAAGCCATGTCCAGCTCCTTCTACATCACCAGAAACTTCTGGAGCCTTTGATACATCCACCATAGATACATCTTTTAAATCTGGTGGGTTGGTCATTTAGCAGGGTTATGGGTGGTAACAAATAAGGCGGCGTGTTAATAGACCACAAGTCAAAAAAAAAAACAATAGACGTTGGAGTATCACTAAGTCGGTTGAATCTGATCTAGGAGGTTCTCTAGCAGCTGAAAATATGACCGAAATCCAGACAAATTCCTTTCTTATATGGGTCCGGATAAGCGAATGCAGGTCTACGTCGGATTGTTTGGAGTAATTCTTCCCGCCCTTGTTGTACTTGAGTAATCTCTCAAAAAAACGAGGCGGACGTTTCGCTTATCCTGCAGGATGTCCATGACACAAACGTTGAATTGTATTATATACTCAATTTAAACATAGTGGAACAAAGAGATGTCACACCATAAATATGCTAGTTTATTATTATTATGTTTTGAATAGTACAAATATTCTCATTATTTAGCTTTAATTATTTAACATTGTAAAATAATGTTTTATTGCAACTTGTGTAGTCCTTTCATGTTTTTTTATCGTATTTTAATATATATGTGGTGAAATACTTTATACATATACACATGAGATGTAGTTATAGATTATAATTATTATTATCATTCTTGTTCTTATTTGGTGTGAGTCCCCCTGTTTTACCTCATTTAAATTGTGAATTGGGTAATTTCCCTTGTATTATTTCAAATAATTGTGCACCCTTTTCGTGTTATCTACTCAATTTTTTTTATTGTTGCGAAATTGTTGCATTGAAAATCCTAATCAGGAAAGAAACCTCTTACATCCCACAATTTAGAACTCCAACTAATTTATTATAAATTGGAGCTGATAATCACCCCCGATGAATTAAATGTCCATATTAAATACCAACTATTGACTTAATATGTCTTCTGAATTCAGCTTCATCTCGGATGGCCAAATTATCCAGGTCCCATTCTCAGTGGTAGATCAAGATCAACAATCTTTACTTAGATATGCAATGATTTATGGTACTGCCACTGGTTCCTGTATTGTCCTTATGTTGGTTCTTTTACTTTTTTCTAAAAACAGGAAAACTCCAATGTTCATTTTGAATCAATTGACTTTATTCTTTATGATTATCCGATCTGCACTTTATTTAACTTATCTTATGGGCAATATTGTTTCGATATCCTTTTACATTACCAATGATTTAACTCAAGATTCAAACCCCTTCAAAAGTTACCAGATAGCAGTAGTTACAAGTGTAGCTCAAATACCTTTGGTAGCTTGTATCCAAGCAATACTTGTGCTCCAAGTCAATGCTATATTTAAGTCACCCGAAGTGAAAGTTTTACGTTTATTCCTCGTCGCGTTTACAGCTTCTTTAAGTACAGCCGTGTTAGTATTATACATTTATAATTCCATCAGCTATGCTGAAAGTGCAAGAACATACTATGATCCAAGTCATGTTCCAAAGGAAATCGGCAATTGGCTCTTTAATGTACCATTTTGTTTATTTTCAGTCTCGGTGAACGTTAATACATTCCTTTTAATGTGCAAACTTTTCTTTGCAATTCGGTCAAGAAGATATTTAGGGTTGAGACAATTTGACGTTTATCATATTTTATTTATCATGTCTACTCAAACAATGATTGCTCCCACAATTCTAGTTATTGTCAATTATACCCAAAAGTCCTCTACTCAATATCTCTCTACAATTAGTTTCTTGTTAGTGGTTTTATCATTACCATTGACTTCTATGTGGGCAACATCGGCAAACAATTCCCCCAGACCAACATCATCTGCCCTCTCATTTCTTTCAAGAAGTCATTCAAATAATAGCACAGTGGTTCCAACCTCATTTGCTTTCTTTCCAAGTAAACTCACTAACCTGGCCAGCATTGATTTGGAAAAGAATCAACTGCCAAATACGATTATCGAACCGGAAATAGTTAATAGTTTGAGCCAAACATATGATTCAAATCTTCCCCCTGATATCATGAATATTATTTATGATACTGAATCTTTCACTAGTGATGAAGTGAAAATGAGTACAATAGAATCACAGAAAGATGGACGAGTAATTGCAGTGAAAACTCATACAATTAGACCTTAGTTAATCTATATTACTTTTCGAACAAATTATATTATTTTTATATGTGTGATGGATTTATTTTTTTGATGCAGTTACTAATTTATATTGTAGAGCTCTCAATTCTTATGATTTTAACCCATTTTGTTATGTAAAGAGTACACACCATGAAAGAAATTTGCAGCAAAAAGTATAAGTTTCGGCCATTTTTGGATATTGAGTTGGTGAACATATTTTTTAAAAATTTTAACGAAAATATAACCAGCTGGTCTCGTATAGTGGTTAGTACAGTTCGTTGTGGCCGAACAAACCCAGGTTCGATTCCTGGGACCAGCATTTATTTTTTTCCTTTTTTCATTTCTCAATACTTGTTAAAGGAGTCTTCGTTACATGACTATCTAAATAAAACCTTTGGTTCTGAACAATCATTGGTAATTCAATTCCCTTTTTTTTAAAAAAAAGGATAATATTGGTTTTACGTCATTAATCCAAATAATGGTCGCTGAACCAGTTCAAGCTACTGTTGAAACATTAAGCAACTTGTATAACTATGCTTCTCATTTAGTGGCAACTCAGAAGGACAATATCGAAAGTTCTGACTATATCGAGAAGATCCGTGGATGGAACCCAATTTCTACATCATCTAAACAACCCGATAGTTTTCCAAAAATTCATAAGAGTTCAATATTTCATAGTTTGGGAACTAATTCAACTAAGAAGATTATAATATCAGGAACTCTTTTTACAATTGGTATTGGATTTACATCGTATTATGGGTATAAATGGTGGCTAAATGGTCAAAAACCAATTTCAACAGTTCAAAATAAACGAAGAGTTCCGAAGTTAAGTAATGGAGCTAGAAGTGATGTGGTTTTGGTGGTAGGATCACCCACTGAACCATTGACTCGATTGATTGCATTGGATTTCGAAAAACGGGGGTTCATTGTGTATTTAACGATTCTTGATGAAAAGGACCTTAAATATGTAGAATCTAATCCAATCACGGATGATATTAATTATTTGAATTTAAATGATTCATACAGTTTTGAAATTCAACTTGCTAAGTTTCAAAATTATTTACTGATTCCAGTTGTTCCATTCCAAGGTGCAGCTCCTCATACATTAAAGTTAGTTGGTGTTGTATTTGCTCCAAGTTTATATTTCCCACTTGGACCCATTGAGAATGTCACTGTTGCATCTTGGAACAAAGTTTTAGAAAGAATTCAAATTCCATTGAAATTATTTTCTTCAGGATTGATTAATTTAGTTAGAACCCAACAAAGTAAGATAATTCTTATATCATCCCATATGACAAGCTCATTAGATTTGCCATATCATTCTGCCGAGACTCTTCATCAGAAAAGCATTGAATCTTTATTTACTTCATTAACCAGAGAAGTTGCACACCAAAATATATCGGTTACTCAAGTTAAACTTGGTAATTTGAATATTACAAACCAAAGAGTTTCACCAGAGTCCAGAAAATCAAATATTATTAATCTGGAAATCCGTAGTTGGAGTGAAGAAATGAGAGAGTTATATGCTACCAATTTCTCCAAATCACAATTTAAATTCAATCCAATGCGTACATCTAGAAGAGGTGCCAATTTGAGGGACTTATACCATCAACTTTATGACTTGATATATCCTATTAATCAAAGTCAACGAAATCCTGCAACAGTATATTGTGGAACTGGAGCTAGAACTTATGATTGGGTTTCTAAAGTACTTCCTGAGTATGTCATTACATGGCTACTTAGTTAAAGATGTATTAATACATTCAGATAAGAAAATTTAACTTATCTAGAGAAATTAAGTAAGAGAAATTAGTAGAGATAAGTTAAATATCAATCATGAACATGAATCAGGAACCATTAGATTGTAGATGTAAATTAATTATTTTTTAACTATATTTTAACAGGCTAAATAATTGTTAAAGTAACATTTACCTAAAGTTAACAGACGTGTTTCATAGATAAAAGAAAGAAAAGACCCAATTGTAACTCATATTGTTGTCGTTTCCTAAAATATTAATGTTATAGAATACCCCCTATTAATCTCACGCTTAGCAAAAGTTTACACTTCGTGAGGCCCGAAAGAAAATCTGGCATTTTATTATTTGGCTAATCAGTGCGCATGATAAAGTTAATCAATCTAATTTAAATCAAAAGATTTTAGGGGAAGGGAAGGAAAAAAGAAAAAAAAACATACTAACTATAGACATACAAAGTATTTTTTTTGAAGCTAGGCTATTTAGGGCGTACTGAGTGACTATGATAAAATCGTTCGTCCTACGCCCGGTACGTCTCAGAAGACGGCAAATCATTCTACTAGCCACAGTAGGGGTGATTCTTGCGATAGTTGGAGTTTTATTTCATGGACCCGGTATACGATGGATAGTTTCAACTGCACTTTTTTGGAAAGAACTTTATAAACATCAAGGTTTTTTCGGTACAAATATTCGTCCAGAAAAGGATATACCATTTTACAATGATCGGTTATGTGATAACTCTTTATTAAAGGACCCAACTGTGGTACAATACATCGAATCCACGGGCGTTACAGACAAAAGAATCGCCGAGTCTGCACATTCGTTAGTATATGACGCGATTTTCAAATCACATAGTCCAGCAGACATCGTTGAATTAACATTTGAAGAAAGATGTGACTTATACTTCACCAAATTATACGAATTAAATCCGGAATGGCATTTAGATCCAAAGGAACCATTTCCTTTACTGGAAAAGGGTAATTTTCGATGGGAGGATTATAAAGAAAAGAAATGGAATTCAACTAAGAAAATGCTTGCCAAAAAGGCAAGAACAAAGGTATCTCAATATTTCAATGATGAAGCTATTGAAGCAACATTAAGAGTTGGATATGAAAAGTTTTGGAATAGAACAATTCATCAAGAACAAAGACTTGTAAATTCTATTTCTCATGTTAGAATTTATAACAAATGTTATATCACTAGTAGTGATGAAATTGTTTCACAAAGAAATACGAAGTTTATTGAAGAACAACAAAATATACTAGGAAAAAAGTCTTCCACATTAATTATCCCAAACCAAAAAGCAGAGTCATGCTCTGATCTTGAATCAAGAGTTTATCAATGGTTATCAGGTCAACTCCCAATTTATGAAAGATGGACTGGAGAGATTTTACATCACCCACCTAATATGATTGACTTTTTAGATTCTATTCCAGAGCCTACTAATTCTAAAGGTTCCAAGGGAAGAGGTACTGTTAAAGTTCATTCAAAAGTTACCAATAACAATATTGGATGTTTTGTATCTGATTTTAAAGATTCGATGAATGGTAAAGGTATTGTTCTTTCCATTGGAGAACAACATGTTGACGATTCTGTTAGATTGATTGCTGTTCTTCGTGCACTTGGGAATACCTTGCCCATTCAATTTATTTATAAGGATACCCTATCAAAAACTTCCAAATCCAAATTAATCAAAGCAGCAAGAAAGGAAGTAACCAAGGTTCCAGAATCATTCAAAAAGGTTCATAATCATTTCCCTGATGATTATTTAGGTGAAGATGGCCTTTTACCCCAAGAAATTTGGTTTGTGGATGTACTGAATTCGGTGCAACCGTCATATCATCCAAAATTCGATGGTTATAGTAATAAATTTCTTGCAACATTTTTCAATTCATTTGAAGAAATTATGTTGATTGATGCAGATACCATTTTATTAGAAAGTCCCGAATATTTCTTTAATTTGGCTAAGTATGGCGAATATGGTGCGTATTTTTATAAAGATAGAACTACAAGAATATTGAAACCATTGAGTGATTCAGCATTTTTCCAAAAAATGTCACCATCTATTATTGATAATTTTGTGTTTGATTTTAAACTTCCAAACGATGAACAGTTGGAAAATGAATACATGACCAAAAGTTTATTTCATTATATGGAGAGTGGGTTGGTACTCATTGATAGAAATCTTCATTTCAATGCAATTTTAACCATGATTCATTTAAATTTTTACCTGTTTGCCAAGGCCAGAGTCTGGGGAGATAAAGAAATCTTTTGGTTATCATTTATGATTTCAGGGGAAGAATTTCATTTCAATAAGCATTTTGCAGCTGCAATTGGAGAAGTTCAAAAGGGGAATAAATTTGAGGCCAATGAGATTTGTTCAGCTCATCCTGGTCACTTAAGAGAAGATGGTACAACTTTGGAATGGTTTAACTCTGGGTTTCAATACTGTGGACAATCCGACAAAATGAACTTTAAGAAACATTTCCCCAAACAATGGAGATACCCAGAATTAGAATCTCCAAAGATGTATGAAGCATTCTATCGAAGTCGTTTGACAATAGCGCAAGCAATCGTACCACCTTATAATGAGCTTCCACTGAACAACATAGATGGTGAGCCAAAACATGGCTGGTTCATGGATAAAGAGTATTGTAAGGGGTACTTATGGTGTGCTTATGATAGAATTGGAGGTGAAACAGTTGAAGGAGACTCAAATATAATGCGGGGTACTCTCGTGAATTTTAGTGAAACTGATCAGGATATTTGGGCTTATCTTGGTGATACTTGGTTTGGGGAAGATTGATACTACAGGTAATAATAATAATTTAAATTAATAGAGATCATATACTGTGAAATTAAATATTTATACAGATGAGAGTAATGTAAATCATAATAATGTCAATTTTTTCTTAACCATTGGATATCATTTAACTATAGAGGTTTGAAGAAGGTAGCAATATCAAAGATTAATATGCAGAATTGGAGAACAATTTGACATTTGATACATTTTTTTTAGGGTTGTGCAATTTCGGTGTTCACACGCCCCATCATAATTGGTGTATAAATTTCTAGAAAAGATTTTCAATACTGAATAAATTATTTGTTTGTTTATTTCTTTACGTTCATGAACAAAGATTTGTTATCGAAGCTTACACAAGGATCTTTTTGGTCACTATAATGCTTTGGGGAAAGTCTCCCGCCAAGTACGCGGAAACGTAGCGGAACATCCTTCCGTTTGATTGTGATTCAATTTAGAATACATAGTTTGCGTTTTTTGTTGAAAGTTGAATGTTTGTTTTTTGATGTTACTAAGTCCCTTTTGGACTTTTATCTACCTTTTGGTGGCTCTGGTTCATCTTTTCTTTGATATTTGACTATTTTAACATTTAACATTTGGTCTTTAGACTGCTTTCTCATGCTCTTTATTGAATTTATGATTATTTTACCTTCCTAATAAGTTGTGTCTTTCGGCAATGGAATCTATGGTTTCTAAACGATAGTTATAACAAATGATTACATCTTTGTAATTAACCCAATGGAGCTTATTCTTGTTTCATGAACGTCACCCCCCTTCCATTTTATTCTATCCAAGTCTGATATCTAATCGTCATGATTGAGATGTATGCATAGTCAAATATGCCAGACTTTCATCTCTTTATATACAATTATGAATTAAAACTTCAGAAGAAGTTTTGGGCTATTTGGTTTAATTTTTGAATCTACTTGAAACGTAACCAATGATTTTCAAAAGAATAAAGTTTTATGTTTTTCAATATTTTCAAATTTTTATGATGAAACAATCAAGCAACATAGAGTCAAGCTCAGAGAACGCTTCACTGTCTGGAAAGATGGCAGGTTGTATTTCGTTGACGAGAATTGCAAATTTTTCTGAATTTTGAAATTGAAAATTAAAAATTTTATTTTCGTTAAACATTTTTTACGTTTTTGTTCATTGTCAAAAAATAGTACTCAAATAGTTCTTTCAAATTTAATACATTCATTGAAATAATAATATAAATAATAGTAATAATATAAACCCATGTAAAGACCAGAAAGAGAGGCCATGCAAAAAAGAATTGAATAAACAAGTGAAAATCAATATAAAAAACTAACGATGGCAAAAATCATGCTGTCATTAAAAAGGAGGACTCGTACTGGGGTATTTTGTTTTGTATGAATAAGGATCGATCGACTCTCCAAAATGCTCTCATATATATAATACAACATAAACATGTGCAAATTAAGCAACATCTAAATCAACTGGAGTATAGTAGAATTATACTTTCAAGTATGATTATTTCAGAAATTACTCAATTTTCCAATGACTTGTTAAGGCAGTTCCACCTTGAGATCCATTATTACCCATTAATTCGGCAGCATAAAGGATCAAGGTTGTTGTCATATTTATCCAGTTCCAGAACTGCCAAGGATGTACTACTATGACTGGTTGATCTTGCCAGAACCCCCATAATTTAAGTTCAGTACCCAATTCTCCATTATACAGCATCATTAGATGTGTATAGACTGCTATTATGATACATGGAGAATAAGAATAGATAAGTTTAAGAATTGTTGAAGGAGGAGCATTTGATTTTTTGTTGTAATGATGATGAACTGTTGGCTTCGAGTTGTCATTAGAATGAGATTCTGAAGTTCCTATTGGTTCCACTACTGATTCTTCAGAGTGTTGACCATGAGAATTATTTTCATCCGATAATAATAAGTTTGAAATTGATGATGTTGATGATTGACGGGATCTTTGAAGTGCTGGTGTCCTAGGTGGTGTTGATGTAGGGTATGAGGCACTATGATATAAAGAGGGGATGATTTTGGTTGCTGCATAAAATACGCCAATTCTATACGCTAAATTAAGTAATAATGGTAAGGTTAACTTTTGAGTAGCCATAATAAAGAATTCCCAAATTGTTTTAAATGATCCAGGAATATTAGAAGCTAAAAATGGTACCAATTGTGAAACAATATCAGTTATTTGAGGTGGGAGTAAAGGGATTTCACTCTTTAAATTATTTGTTGTTTGAGTGAATAAGGATGTAAGGGCTTTACTAGCATCTTCTGAAAGGATTGGGAAAGTTTCATATATGCAACGAACAATGTATGCAAAAAGTAAAGATGACTCAATCATGGACCCTTTACCAGATACAATACCAAATAAACCCAAACCAACCGTTAAAGTAAGTAATGAGCCCAATAATGAGGATGTGATAGTCTCAAGGGTGAATGGGAACACATAAATTCTGTATAAAAAGTACAAGGCAGCAGTGATAGTAGATCCACTACCAACTAGGGAAACTATAAGCCAACTGTCCGATTTATATACTGTAAGCCAATTTACAGTTTGACCAATAGCTTGAATAAGTAACAACGAACAGAATCCTTCCAAAATGGTAAATATTGGAGTAGAATTTACAATAAAATATCTCCATACTTGAACTGGAAGAAAATGATCCTTTGACTTATTTTCTTCTGAACTGTAGTAAGATAAAAACAAAGTCAATAAAGACGGTAAAACTATGTGCTGGATATAATATAATACCGATACCCAACGGAAATGAACTGATCTTCTTGCAATAAGTCTAACCGAAGTTAAAACAAAATAAAGAGAAAATACTGTGAAGGAGAAAGGCAAGCCACATGAAACTCCTCCTACGTCAAATGCCAAGGGAACACACAATATGATGAGGATAAGGTGCACCACAGATAGCACCAGGCGAACCACATGCTTTAGACTTCGGGCCCTGATATACATGTTAATTTGCTGATAAGCGGTGGACTGTATTTGTGGTGTGATAGTTTTAGATTTTATTATGAATAGTTGTCGTGCGAACAATTAAGCGGGAGGTTAAGATTTTTTAGTTTGCAAAATAAAAAATAAAAAAAAAAAAACCTCTTTTGAGGTGTAACAGGGTAATGCAAAATTTAGGGGTCGCTACTACATACATGACGTTAATTAGAGCAAGGTAAAGTAGAAAGCATTAATGTACACCGAAATAATTTTTGTCCGGGGAACATAGAGAATAAAAAGACATGTAGATATTGTTAGGTGATTTTAAGTTTCATATTCTACTACAGTTTTTGATACTCTGTCCTTTAATTAAAGGCGTATTATGTTTTGTTTTAGTACTTATGGTAGAATTTATACAGTTACTCGATGCAAGGAAAATAATGCAACATTACAAGGTGAAAAGTCCTAAATTTGATTTAAAAACTGTAGTAAAATGATATTATTCTAGGATTAATGATTTTCTTTCGTGATATGTGTATTCATTGTCCCTGGCAACTGTTAGAATTTTTGATCATTCATTGAGATTCACAGGGGTGAATTGCAGCCATACAAAAAAGAAATATGAAATAAACCAAAAAATAAAAAAGAAATACTAGACCTTAACTTTACCTGGATATTAAAATAATAAAGGAGAGTCGTTAGATGTAGCATATATCTTAGTTTTGATACAGGTGTGGTTTTGACCAACATTATTGTCTGTACCGCTTGTCGTGGGATACTTGGCTCTTACTGAGAAATACAGCCACAATTTGATTTTATACACGACCTCATCCTGTAGTACTACATGCAGTTTTTCAAACTTTATAGATCTGTGATGATGATGACTTAGATGTAATCTGGTACAATTGCATAATTACATCAATTCTATAAATGAAGTACGGTAAAAAGAGGTCCAGACCTTCAACAAACTCAGATGAAAGCTATCCAAAGAGACCAAGGGAAAAGCATGGAAGACTGGAAATAAGAAATGTTACCAGAACAACGAGAAGAGGTGAATACAAGAATGACGAAGAGGAAGTAGAACAAGAAGTTGATTCTGAAGTTGAAAGTGCTGATGAAGAAACAGCTCATGTAGATAAAAAGGAAGACATTCCATCTGGTGCAGCATACAATGCTTTGCTAACGCTTTTAAAGTCTGACCTGGATTTGAAAAAAACCGCCAAGGCTAGAAATGATGAAGATATTTCAGCTAATGATGATAACAGTTCAGACGAGGAGAAAGAAGGAGGTGAAGATGATGAGGAAAGTGAGGCTGAAGATGAAGTTGCTGGTGCCAATATTGATAACTCAGAACCTGAATCTGACGAAGATGATGTTATAGATGAGAACGAAGACGAAGAAGAAACCAAGGATCCATTCGAAGCACATTTTAATCTTCAAAGTGAACAATACCTTGATAGACAAACCGAAGTTTTGAAAGAAAAGGTAAGATGGCCTATAACTTCAAAGAAAACATATTCCCTGGGATATTCTTCTTTATTACAAGCAGCACCAGACTCGCCAGCTCCAGTTGCTTCCAATGATGTACCATTTCTGGATAGACAATTTTCTGATTATCTGATTAAACATAGAGTTTTACAATCATACACAAAGGTCTATGAATCACTTGATGATAATGATAAGATGTTGTTGGATCCAATAATGAGTTACAAAGATGTGAATTTCCCATACAAATCGTTCAACAATACTTTTTATCGTAAGCTTTATTTGTTGCATATCCTCAACCATATCAATAAAACAAGAGATAGAGTTCTCAAGAACAATAACAAACTACATAGTGTTCAAGAAGCAATCAAAGCAGGCAAAACCGGAGTTGAAGAGCCAGAATTAAGAGATCAAGGGTTTACTAGACCAAAGGTTTTAATTTTACTCCCAACCCGTGAATCTTGCTATGAACTTGTTGAAATGTTAATTAAGATCTCCGGCAGTGAACAACAAGAAAATAAGGGGAAATTGAATAAACAATTCCATACTGATAGTATCCCTCCTGAATATAAACCTGATGATTTCAGAGATGCCTTTAAGGGTAACAACAACGATTTCTTTTGTTTAGGAATTAAATTCACCAGAAAGACTTTGAAGTTGTATTCATCATTTTATACTTCAGATATTATAATTGCTTCTCCTATTGGTCTTTCAATGATTTTAGAGAATCCTGATAAGAAGAAGAGGCAATATGATTTCCTTTCATCAATTGAAATCTTAATCATTGATAGAGCCCAACAAATTGAAATGCAAAACTGGGATCATGTAAATACAGTCCTCAAGTACGTTAATAAGATTCCAAAGGAATTCCACGATGCAGACTTTTCAAGAATTAGAATGTGGTCAATTAATGACCAAGCACATCTTTTGAGACAAAATTTGGTGTTTTCAGAATATCAATCCCCAAACATCAATAATATAACAACAACCAAATCTTTTAATCTTGCTGGGAAGATGAAGTTTAAGGCTGTGATTAATAATGATAATTGTATCATGAATTCTATTGGATTAAAATTGAAACAAATTTTCCATAGATTTGAATCACCAAGTCCAATGAGTGATCCAGATACTAGATTCAAATTTTTCATTAATACCATTTTACCTTCATTAACGAGAACAACATCTTATGAAGACGGTTTACTTATCTACATACCATCATACTATGATTATTTACGAGTAAAGAACCATATGATGGACCATACGAAGCTTACTTTTGGAAGTATAGATGAATATTGCTCTCAAGCTCTGTTATCCAGAACAAGAGCTGCTTTTGCATCTGGAAAGATAAAAGTTTTACTTTACACTGAAAGATTACATTATTTCAGAAGATTTGAAATGGGGGGTGTTAAAAATTTATTAATGTATGGGTTACCATCAAACCCAATTTTCTATAAAGAACTTGCCCGTTTCATTGGTAAATCAGTTTTCAAAGGAGAGGCAGACTTGGATCTTTCCTTCATGAAGGTTATGTACTCTAAATGGGATGCCACTGTGCTTGAGCGTATCATTGGACGTCAAAGAGCACCAGTCTTATGTAATTCACCAAATGAAATGTTTGAATTCCGTTAAAAAAAAAACAACAAGAGAATCTACAAAATACATATGTATATAGAAAATAGAAGAATTAGTAAGTACATGAGAAATTCGTAAATGAACTTGTATTCAGATGATAATATACAAAGTAGTCTATTGACTATGAGCGGAGAGTGTTGAAGGCGATTATAAAGCAACCGATGGAAACATAAGGACTTAACCTTTCACCAATTCTAGCAAATTTCCAGAATATTCCAAAAGCACCAGTCTTGTTTTTATCTAGTAAGTTTGGCCATGTGGCATGTATGTATGTGCATGTGCATATAAGTAATAGTATCACTTGCAATAATGATTGAAAGTTGAATAAAGCAGACTAAGATTGTTAGTTAGTATATGTGAATAGATTTTATGAAAGAAAAAAAAGACACTTCCATATCAAGACATCCCACGGGACCAATTGTCTGGACATTCAAGGCCTCGAATCGTAGAATACATACCATTTAATTTAAATATTGGGGAGTAATGCAAATAGATTGTTGTAACATATGGTCGTAAGATTTGTAAAGAATAAACTATAATCGGATACCCAGGAGACTTGTATACAGTCCGGGCTACTTGAACCTTTAACAATAAAAAAATTACACAAAAAAAAGAGTGTTAATATCGGAGAGTTAAACCTTCTTCCAATGATATTGCTTTATTTTAGTCAATTCTACTATAAATTTTCTTCAATTTATTAATCAGAGTTGGGGTAGTAGTTGAACAGATGAATCTGATATGTTCATGATTTTCATAGTTGTGTATTTTTTATTTTTTGGGGGGGTTTAAACATGAATGTTGTCCGTATATGCAGTCTTCCTTGAATTCGAGGGTACATGTGAGACTCATGAATTGGTCATAGACCAAAAACTTGTAAAAGTAATTATTATGATATAGGAACAATATCCAGCAAGAATTAGAAGAATAGTTTTCATTGGGAGTATCTTGACCTTAAATTGTACAAGATATTATTGGTTATTATCAAAATTTCGTATTCGTCACCATAATCTCATTTGTTAAATCAGAATTATTATAATCTTATCAGGAAAGAGCAAACAGAATAAAGGAAGAGAAACATATCTAAAGATAAATACTACCAATAAGTTCATTTCTTTTATTAAAAAGACCTAACTTTAAAATGACTGAATATTCAGAAGATCCATTTCAAATGGATGAAGATTTTGAAGTGGTTGAAAATGAGGAACCATTAACTAATGATATAACTCCAAATTATGAATTAAATGACACAACTAGATTTGATATAAAGAAAGATAATGAGCTAATACGATCAAAGATTGCACAATTGAAACTCCAAGAGAACAATACTGCCAATAATACAACTGAAGAAGATGAAATATATGAAGAAGATATTGATGATAAATTTGATCCTGAACTTCAAAAGAAACTTCAAAATGATTTTGAACTTACAAAAGATGATTCAAATCCAGAATTGACCCCTCCAGAAAACTTTGCCCCAGTGATAAATACCATATATCGATCATCATTCCCTCAACCGATAAACTTTACATTTTTAAAGAAATTAAAATTAAAATCTATTCTTTGTTTAATCCCAGAGGAATACCCTGAAATTCATACAAATTTCTTAAAGGATGAAGGAGTTAAGTTATTTCAATTAGGAATGTCTGGGAATAAAGAACCATTTGTTAAAATTTCATCAGAATTAATTACAGAAGCAATTAAAATTGTGATAAATCCAGAAAATCAACCTATTCTTATCCATTGTAATCGAGGTAAACATAGAACAGGATGCTTAGTGGGTGTGCTAAGAAGGTTGCAGAAATGGTCCTTGACCATTATATTTGATGAATATAGAAAGTTTTCAGCACCAAAGGAACGTCCCATGGATCAACAGTTTATAGAACTTTATGATGAAAAGGAAATTGTTAAATTTGCTCAAGATAACAATTTTTTACCATTAAAATGGGATTAATTCAAATAGACAATACTACACTTTTACATTTTAGTAAATTTATTTACTTTTAATTTTATTGTAGTCCTAACCATATTAAAATTTTTATCGTTACCCAATTTCTTTTTAAAATGTTTGATTTGTTTAAGGCCAAAAGAATCTCTTACCATAGATACCAGCATTACCCAAGGCCAATAAACTGAATGCTAATGGGTTAATTCTTCCAGCGAAAATACTTTTAATACCAGCCCTACCATTGACAATCAAATATAACGTAGACCATGCAAAGTTAAATCCAGCACCATTAAGTTCATCTCCATCATAGATTATCCATCCACCAAGCAAGTGCGCAGCTCCAAATGTGAAGCAAGAAGCCTTGGTAGGTCTTGCAGTTGCCAAAGTTTGACTGAATTTAAATGAAGAACCAGATGTTCCAGAAATTGGAGTCATTGGCTTTTGAATTGTAAGACCACGACCAAGAAGTAATCCACCTAATGCCCATGCGGGATAAGGAGTAGATGATGCATTGGAGAAATTATGGGCAATTGCCTGGAAATCTGGTACTGATAACATGTCAAATATATATAGATAGTAAGTTTGTAGATTGAAAAGTGGAGAAAGGCTGTCTTGAAATTTAAAGGGTGTATATGGAATGATTGCTATATGCACAAATTAATACAGGGGAAAAAAAAAAAATAGACCAAATTGAACCATGGTTCAGTTTGCAACATTCGATCACCTGACCAAGATTTTCTGCAATGACTGCAATTACAAAGTAAACTTACAAAGCATTAAATTATTTTCAATCGTATTCTCTTGTATGTATTCAACACATAATAAACAGTAATATACTAATATACAAAGCTGCAAGCAACTCTAAGATCTTTCACCTCTCAATCTTCTGGCCAATTGGATGTCCTTCTTTTGGATAGTAACTCTCTTGGCGTGGATGGCACACAAGTTAGTGTCTTCGAAAAGGGAAACCAAGTAAGCTTCAACGGATTCTTGAAGGGCACCGATAGCGGAAGATTGGAATCTCAAGTCAGTCTTGAAATCTTGAGCAATTTCTCTGACTAATCTTTGGAAAGGCAACTTTCTGATCAAAAGTTCAGTAGACTTTTGGAATCTTCTAATTTCTCTCAAAGCAACGGTACCTGGCTTATATCTGTGAGGCTTCTTGACACCACCAGTAGATGGAGCAGACTTTCTGGCAGCCTTAGAGGCCAATTGTTTTCTTGGTGCCTTACCACCAGTGGATTTTCTAGCTGTTTGCTTGGTTCTAGCCATTTTGTATGATAATAAAATAAAATAAAATTAAGAATCATTGGAAGAGATCCACACGATATATATAGGCTCCTAGAGTCAGTCACGATTCAAATTGATATCAATGAAAACAACAAATGTATGCAGGTCATACTGAGATTCACGCAATGTAAATAAAAATTGTATTCGTCAGGAGTGTATCAGGATTTGCTAAGACGTGATACCGTGACTTTTAATTCAATGAAAAGAAACATAAACATTGAAAAAGTGTACCTGAAGGAGATGTAAACAAGTATATCCTGTACATACGCGCGAAAAGTTACGTTTTTATCACTTCTCGCGATTTTTAATGTGTTGAAAAGACGCTATTATCTATGCTGCATTGTACGCGTCGCGTGCGTAAATCTCAACACCTAAACAAAACGCTTTTGAAGCGTTCCCGTTGCTGTAGAAACCAAAAATTTTGTTTTTGTTTGTATACAAGTATTTACAAATTAACGATATTACGTGACTTCATGCAGGTGCACAACAATAACAATAAATCGTTCCCTTGATCTATATAAGATCCCAAAGGTATCCATCCTTTATCAATATTCTCTCTTATAATCATAGTTTTTGAACTACTAATTACATTCAAAACAAATATAATATAAAATGTCCGGTAGAGGAAAAGGTGGAAAAGGTTTAGGAAAAGGTGGTGCCAAGAGACACAGAAAGATCTTGAGAGATAACATTCAAGGTATTACCAAGCCAGCTATCAGAAGATTGGCCAGAAGAGGTGGTGTCAAGCGTATTTCTGCTCTTATCTACGAAGAAGTCAGAGGTGTCTTGAAGTCCTTCTTGGAAAACGTTATCAGAGATGCTGTTACTTACACTGAGCACGCTAAGAGAAAGACCGTTACTTCTTTGGACGTTGTTTACGCCTTAAAGAGACAAGGTAGAACCTTGTACGGTTTCGGTGGTTAAATCTGCTGTATCGTTTTGTACTTCTATTTCTAGTGGCTTTGCCTTATTGTATATTAGAATAATTGATATTATTTGAGTGAAAAAAAAGAAATTGTAAGCTTGTAATGATACTCTGATATCTTAGTAAACCGTTGTTCGTATTTGAATTGTGCAGGTTGAATAATATACGCAGGAACTTTTACTGATTACCAAAGAAATCAATATACTATCTGCTAGTTATTTTCTCATTACCGATCATCAAAGATATCTATATATTATCTTCCTAGTTACTTTATTCTACAATCATTTCAGTTACATTGTATATCGTTAATTGGATTGAGTACAAATAATAAATCATCCCATTATGTCCCTAGATCCAACATTAATGCATAATATCTTTCTTAATTAAAATCCCAGATCTTTACCTAATTTTTTTCCAGAATCTAAATTTATTTGAATCTTCTTTCTTGCTTCATCTTCCCAAAAATCTACATCAATTAGCTCCCTAGGAGTATAAGAATCTCTAGTTAATTCTCTCCATTTCTTGGTACGTGGCTTTCTGAATTCAACATCTGGTGCTAACCATGGACATCTACATCGACATCCCAGTCCTGCAGTACCTGGGGTATCAAAATTAAGCCAATATCTTTCTTGCTTAGGGGTGAGTTTATTCACAAATGTTTCACTGGGTACATATGGAAGTTGATTTGGATGATTTTTAGGACAATGTTGAATGGTTGTATGTCTATAACCAATATCTCTAAAATAATGAATATCTTCCAAATTTAACATCATTCCAACCCCTAATGAATGAACTGGTGCATCACCCCATCTTTCTTTATAAAATCCACCACTTTTCTCTAAATGTTGGAAATATTCTTCATAAACTGGATTTGTAAATAAATCAGTTCTTGCAATTTCAAAATTAGACCAAAAATGACAAAGATTATATTCTTCTTGATCAATTCTATCTTCATATAATTCAGGCTTTTTATCAACTCCTTCAAATAATTTATCCATAATTTCAGAATCAAAATCTTCAACTTCTGAATCCTTTTTATTTCTTAATTCTAAAAATTTTTCAAGGATCATATTTTTACTTGCTTCACTTGCAACTTGTTGTTTATTTGTAAGTCCATCATATTTTGATTTATTTTTCCCATATGTATATTTGGAATCATGAATAAATAACTTCCATAAACTTCCTAATTGAATGTTTTTCTCATTGATATATTTCTTTGTTTCTCTGAATAATCCTGGAACTGTATAATAAAATTCATTATTTAATACATTAAATCCATATTTCTTATTATGTTTTTCCATTTCAATGAATGGATCATAAGTAATATCACAGAAAAATTCAACATTTGGTTCAACTCTCCAATACCATTCTCTCTTTTTAACAAGTTCATGTTTATAGAAATATCCAGAATAAAATCGACACATTTTATGATATGATACTAAATTCCCATATAATATACCTCTATCACCTTGAGATTCTATACTCTCATAAAATTCAAGAGGATCAACTTCATTTGGGAAATTCCATTCTTTCTGTGGTACAAGACCAAATTCAATTTCTGAACTTGTATATTGTTTAACGGTTTCTTTAAATTCATCACTAAATGGTTCATCATTAAGAAAAACCCATGGATAATGGAACCATTGATTGAAATGTCTTTCCAATGAATTCATTGATTTAATCACATCATCCAATTCGGAATTTCTAACCAAAACTACAAATGCTGCATCTGCTCTTGGTTGTGTAGTATCAGGGATTTGACACCCTTCTACAAATGGTGCATCTTTCTTGGATGCTAATGAAGTATAACTCAATGGAATATCATCTGGATGCATCGAAGCAAGATCCATTGGTTTGGATTTCGATACTTGAATAGTTGTGGTGATGATTGTCGTTATAGCAATATTAATCACAGCTACAATAAGCCATACTCTTAAGGACACTTTACGGAATATTCTCAATTTAACCCCTCCATAAGTGCCTATCTTTTTACCAAAGCCTCGAGTACGACTACGAATACTCTTGCTACTCGTCTTCTCAACATCACTCCCACTAGATTCAAATGGTTCTAGTCCATGTTCAGCCAAAGACGCGTCATACAGCAATGACTGTCGTACTTGGTTAGTCATGTCCCCGAATAAATCCCCTTACAATGATCCTACTATTAAACGCGACCTTGAACAGGGGAGGAATTACCTTTGATATATGGTGATTCCTATCACTAAATGCTTAACATTAAAAAAAATTAAAAAAAAGCAAAAAAAAAAAAAAATACCTGAACAAAATATTACTACAGGGAATAAAACAATTACACCAAGAGGTTTTTTTTTTTTTTTTTGGCTTTCACTTTTTTTTATTTTTTCGGAAATAATAGTACGACTCCAGTAAGCTTTTCTCAATTGTGTCAATTTATATTTGAATATATATGAATATATGGAACGTCTCAAATTTCCAATGAAATTTTCGCAAGCAAGATAATGAAAGGGAGACTCTGGCAATGGATAACAACAAGTTTAACTTTTCTGTCAAAAAAAAAAAAAGAAATAAAAAAAGAATAAAAAAAGTTGAAGAATATATTCAGCCTCGTTCCTTTGGTACCAAAAAAAATATATACGGGAGTGTTCACTTTTATTGGGTCTTGTTGATTCACTATGCATAATATGTACCACCATATCCAGTCAACGTAAATAATTACGAGATGAATGCGCCTCCTTGAAGGAAAGCCCCAGGCATCCTCACCTCATACAACGGCCCTTTACACACAATTTACGAATCGTGCATGCGGTGTATGTCAAAGTATTCTTAATTTAGTCCAGGCTGGGGTCATCAACTAATATTCTATATCTGGAAACTATGGGCCAACTTTAAACTCTGTTCATTTTTTAGGGCAGCTAGGTCCTGTCGGGCAAAAAAAAACTATTCAACAGTTAGATTTACCAATCATTTATCCTTCTTTATAGCATTCCGTAACAATGTCAAATCGTCATTCAATTCTTCTGGCTTTAAACCGGAAAGTCCTGTGAATTGTTTGTTTGAACCTCTGGTGTTTGGCTTGTGCAGACCGTTACCGGTATTGCTAGTGTTTCCATTAGTCGCTTTGTCTAATAGCTCCAATGAGACTCCTCCGTCTTCATTACCCATGATGATGGTATTCAAAGTATCATAATCCTTATCACTAAGATTGCTATCATTCCCACTGCTAAGTCCTCCTCCATTCAGATGGCCTCCATTTCTTGACGTTCCATTACTGGCAACTCCGGAAGATTCATCATTGGATGAATACCTCGTAGCATAATGTCTTCTTCGTTTCGTTGATGATGAATAGCCACCTCCATTAAATGTAGATGAAAAATATCCATTCCCACCACCTCCACCTCCTCCTGCAGATGTTCTTCCACCGAAATCTCCTCCAATATTGTTCCCACCATCTGATAAATCATCTGCTTCTCCAGCTGTAAACCTCAGACTGGTTTCTCTTTTCCTTAATGATCTTCTTTCATGCAGAGATATAGCTGCTTCAGCGGCTGAAAGAACTGATGATGAGGTACCACTATTCCCATTGATTCCTTTCCAAGAGTTTGCATTCACGAGGTTCAACAATAACTTGTCATCCTTGAGTTGTTTTATTTGTCTTTCTAATTTATCGTATAATTTTTCCTTTATTAATTTAATCATCTTATCATGATTATGGTTTGCCTTTAATAAATCTTCGTTATATTCAGTTTCTATTCGTTTGACTTGATATTCTTCCCAAAGTCTTAACCGTGTAAGTTCATAATCTCTTGTCTCTTCAAGATCTTCCTTTTTCTGAATATATTCTTCATTTGTACCTTGTTGAAGAGTAGCCAACGTGGTTTGAAGATTATGAAGCAGAGCTCGGTAGAAATTATCTCTATCACTCCCAAAGGTAACTTCTAATTTATTGAGGCGAGATGCAATCTGTTGACGTCGCTTGTCACGTTTACTAAGACCTAAAATACCTGTTAGTACATCAATCTAATTCATTTCATTTAATCTAATGAAAATGAAAACAAAAAACTCATTGAAAAGATCAACATTATGTCCTTTATCTTGATTTTTAATTGAACATAATTTGAAAATATATACATACTCTCATTCACAACAATGGAATTCTTCTTATATTCTTCCATAATATTATCCTTTTATTAAAATCACTCTTGTTTAATCTTTGTTTGTAAATTCACATTCTCGATATACAATTTTTGAAATGGATTGATGATTCCCTTTTTGCTCAGAGACTGCAGATAAACCGCTGGTGGTTTTTCTAGTTAAATCCTGATAGTATGGAGAAAAATAGCAAAACCTGTTCTAGCGGGATCTTTTGATAAGAAACTTCCACCACACACACTCTCTCTCCTCACTTACTGACTCATAATATAAAGATCAAGTAACTTTTAAATCATTGTATTATAAATCTTTATATTCATAACATTAATTTATATTGTTCCCCTTTATATTATATATCTATATACAACTATTCAATGACAATAACTCAAGAGAAATTTAACCAATTGGAAACACTCCCATTTACTGATACTAAATTTGTACGTAATCAATCTATTGATCCAATTGTGTTCACCCTTGCCAAGGATCCTTCTAAAATAGTCACACTTTTATGCGCAACTAGTCATGAACAAGTTCCTCGTGAATTAATAGATGTATTACATGAAGAATACAATTACGTTATAGAAGAGGGTAGAACTTATCCTTATCATGAACCATTTGATTATGATCATTTTGTGGAATCTTGGTTTACTTCAGCAGTATTTATTTTAATTGAAGGTGATTACTCTGATGGATTTGCAAACCCCGAGTTAAAGAATAAACTGGTTGAATTTTGGAAAGAAAAACTCCTTGGGAATTTTTATGTTAAACCAAATTATACCGGTAGATGCTCTCATGTATGTAATGGAGGATTCATCGTCAATCATTCCAAAAGAGGTTTGGGTTTAGGGAAAGAATTGGGGAAACAATATTTGATTGTTGCTCCACAATTAGGTTTCGTTTATTCTGTATTTAATTTAGTATTTGAAACAAATGTGGCAAGTTCTAAAATTTGGGATAGTTTAGGATTTGAAAAAATTGGTTTTGTTAAAAATGTTGCCGTTTTAAAAGGTGAAAATAAGTTAGTTGGGGCTATAATGTATGGAAAAGATCTTGTATAATAAAAATAGACTAGACAGTAATATACACGGATTGTTCTTCTTCTTTTATAGATATTTAAGTCACTAATGAAACCTCTATTTATTTCTTCTAATTGGCCAAGTAATCCTTTCTGTTAGCAGTTCTAACAAATCTTCTAAGTTGCCATTCAATGTCTGCATCCTTATTATCCAAAGTACCCAATCTTAACTCGAAAAGTCTCATTTCGAATCTTGGTCCAATTTCGGCCAATTCGACACCATCTCGCGTCTTTACATATACATGTTGTCTTGTTGAAATAAAGTCACCATCATTCTTGAATGTAATAACTCTTGATGAATCTTTCTTCACTCCAGGTGGGAATAAATGCTTCATGATGTTAACCACCCGAGCTCCAAGTGTACTTGTGAAATTATCAAATATCAAATGTGGATAAGCTTCAGATTGATTGCCTACATCGGGTATATCATGTCTCAAGACAACATTATGTAAGGTGAAGAATGCAGTAGGTCCATGTGGGAAATGGGAAATTGTAAGGGAGGTTGGGACACCTCTATGTTCATGGATCACGACAAGATCAGTGGTTCCAGCCAGCTTACATGCTTTCACGAGTTCTGGCATCACATAATTACCTCTGTTTAATCGTATGGAATTTGGGAATAAAAGTTTGATTTCTTTTGTAAATTGTGATAATCTGGTTGATGGATCTCTGGAAGTGGTCACTACAATCTTTGGTTCCAGAATTCCGGAAAGTGCCAGATATTCGTCATCTATGGCTTCTTGTTGACTCTCGTCATATATGAAATCTTTTCTAAGTTGTTCATCTTCAGCAATATCTTTTGGTAATGCCTTTCCACTGGCCAAAGCAGCCTTCAACTGTTGTCTTTTCTCGGTTTGACTCGATTCTTGAAGTTCAAGTGCCTTTCTGTAGAGATATTCTCTTCTCTCACGAGCTTGTTTTCTAATCATACTGGTATTGATATGTATGAGTTGTATGTGAATCGTTTATATCTATTTGTGATATAGAGATGAGCTTCTCATAAAAAAATAGACAATGTTGTATATGTAGGATTGGAAATTTTCACAAAAAAAAAATTAAATAAAATCAACATCAACGACATTTGAACGACATTTTCTTTCATAAAATTGTTTTTAATAATTTTGTGTAACTTGGAATTAATCTTTGTAACATTTTAATTTTTGCAATTTATCAAAACTTTGAAGTTTTCCTAACATTTATAAATACATTATGTCTTTACAATAAATATTACTTTTAATTCCTATTAAGGTGAAACACCAGTCTATTTAATTTTCTTCTTGTTTTTTGTTTATTCTGTTCTTTTGCCCTTCCCAAAATTTTTGACAATTCGTGGGGTATATTAATTGCTGTTAGATGGTCTTCTCACATTCATTTCATACAGAGATTCAGGATGATAAGTGGTTGGGCGTTCTTCTTGTTGTGGTTCTTGGTAAACATTACCTTGAGTTTGTGCTGAAGGATGATAATTTCCAGTGAATGTAGATGATGTAGGTAACCTGCTCCTTATTCTATTAAGCATTGCATTTCCATCCACACCAAAAGTAGAAGCTCTTCGACTAATAACACGACGTAAACGACCTCCTTCACCTTCATGTTCACTGGCATCCGTCATATGTCTTCGAATTGCATGGTTTTCTTGCATCAAATCACGACGTTTCATAGCATCGTCTGGTAACATAATGGCTCTATCCAATGCATATGGTAAACCTCTATGTCGACCTCTGACCATCATAGCAATAATTACAAGTTTAGATATGGTGGTGAATTCATATGAAAATGATGCATTGACTCCAGGATAACCCAACAGTAAACCGACAGTACCATAGGCACTAATAATTTCAAATAAAACCTTGAAAATGGTGAATTTCGTATTATTTTCATCAAGTTTACCCCCTTCAGCGATGCAAATGATAAATAATCCCAAGAAAATAAACCACAAATCAAAAGACAATTGATTTCTTAAATGGGCACCAACGAAGGATTTAGGTGTACTTTCGGTTTCTCCTGATTGATCTTGGTTTTCATCTTTAAGATAAACACCCAAAGATTGTTCTTCATAAACATTAGTTCTTCTAATAGAAATAGCCAAGGGTAAAACAGAAATATACATCATTAACATGTAACTGACTTGTACCGCAGGATGAAGCTGTGATAAGTCAACTACTGAAAACCCAGCAGTACGAGTACTGAATGCTTGAAATAACCCATTTAAAATTCTATACCCAAGAGGAATATCTTTCAAATATTCATTTTTCAAATCAAGGATAATAAATAAGACAAGATCAACTGCATTCAAAGCCACTAAAATGAAAAGTAACCACCAAGTCGGTACAGATGGGAAAAGTAATGTAAAACACCGTCTTGGATGATCTAACAAGAATCCAAGCGATTCTTTGAATAATGACAAAGGTTTGGAAACTTTAAAAAGAATCCAAATTATAAATCGAAGTAATACAGGGAACCCTGTATTTCCAATAATGACAAAGAATGATACCACAACCAATACAAATGTAGATTTATAAAATGATTGCATTGAATTTGGGGTCAATGTAAGACCTAAATCATTGAATGAAGATTGTGCCGTGAAAAATGCCCACCACGTAGGCGAAACTCCATCGGAGCGTAATATTTCTGTATATGGCAATCGTCCTTGAATCCAAGGTACAAGCATAATAATTGATAGTATGTGGAAACCAATGTAATATGCCATGAGAATTTTAATTAAAAGTTTGACAGCTCTGTACTCTACACCTCCTAATTCTTCCTTCTGTTCGTCAGTCATATGCACAAAGGTGGAGTTTCTACCCACAGTAGGAACCCAAGACAAATAATTACCACTCATTACTCGACCAAGTGAATTCCCATCATGTTGATCATCTTCAGATTCACTATCGAAGGAATGATCTTCCGTTTCATCATCAAAATCAGAAACAAATGCAGGTGTTGAAGAATTTCTTCGGAGTCCTGAACGAATTCTTTGGATATTATGCTTTTTATTGTGTTTTCCTCTTTTTAATTTCGAGCGGATCATTCTTTCAAATGTTGGAGATTTGGTAATGGAATTTTTTCTTCCTGGTGTTATTTCCAATGTATTGGAACGTTTTCCAAACTTTTTCCCTCCAGTGGCGTCAGATGAAGGAATTACCAAGTGTGATTGTACCTTACCAATTCCTTCTTCTTCGTCTTCAGAATCATCCACTCTATTTCTATCATCACAATGTTCCTCTTCGTCATCATCGTCATCGACTACGGCAGTTTCGTCGTAATCTCCATCTTCATCATCTTCGTCATCGTCATCATCATCTTCGTCATCTTCATCTTCTTGCTCTGAATCAATAGAGTGATCATCCCCAGAATTAATATCTTGGGTATCATTTGTGTGTCTTCTTCTTCTACCAGATGGTCCACTGTTGGAAAACGTTTTCTTCAACTTTGACCATTGATGCTTCCTTTTGGCCTTTCTTTTAGCTATCCATTTCTTATGAGTAGGTTTTTGCCCAACATTAAATTGAATTTGTGGGACTTTCCTGGTATAGATTGGATTCCTATCGTTTTCTATCTCATTGGGAGGTCTAATCACCAATACATCCTCGTCATCATCGTCATCTCCATGATATTGATTATGAGATTTTTTCTTGGATCTATGGTCATCTTGAAGCATTGCAATCGATCTATACATATCTGAAGGATTTATATCATTTTGTCTTCGCTTTGATGGTTGAGGGAGATGACCAAACCTAATACCTTCATTTTCATTCTCATGATCTGGAGACGAAAGTGGATCTTCTGGAGCTATTTGAACATGTCTATTCTCTGGAGGTATTGGTGTTTCCAAATCGGAATCACTTGGTTCGCTCTCATGGCAAAGTTTTGAGTCTGAAGATTCATTCCGTTGAGTTAATGAAGAAGGAGATCTCAAGCGGGGTAATCCTAATTCAGTTGCCCCATCTTCAAGTATCGAATCTATATCGGCAGGATCAGTAGTCACCTTACTGGGGACTTGTGTGGTACCAGCATATGATGTTGAAGTACTAACGTGTGGATTCTCATTCTTTCTATTATTCCATTGATTAGCTCGCATACCAAGCCCTTGATTATTAACTGTATTGATATGAGTTGCATCAAAGGATTGAGTACGAGCTGCTAAAGTGGCAGAACGTCTCATTTTGAAATTTAATTTAGAACTTTCCTTAATATCATCAAAATGTCGTTCAAATGCATAAAGTCTAACAAATAAAATAGAACCATGGATGAAAATAGGAGTTGTGAGGGTTGCAACGATAAACACAACAATCTGCTGGTATAACGATGTTGCGTTAAGGTCAATCGTGTTAAGTCCTGCCTGGGTAGATGCCCCTCCTGCTAGAAAGAGAGCATCAATATAAGACATATTCTTCACTGGATAAATTAACACTGAACCGAAAAACACCCAAAATAAAATGTATGCATAATGGGCTGCCCTAAAGTTTGGGATGATGACTTGTATATATGGTAGAACCTTGTTGCTAACCTTATGGAAGAATTTACGCAGACGGTATCCCCATGCTTTATCATAGTTCCACCGTCTATATCGACCCCACTGCTCACGTACTCGTTCCATTCAAATGAACTCACTGAGACAAGTGATACCAAACGGAAGAGTTCTAAGTTATGTTTGGAAATCCACGGTGGGTCTGAACGGCGTTAGCAGGTTGGTTGACTACGTTCTTTACGTCGATCTTCCGCAAACGTTTACTTTTCCTACTTCTTTTTTTTTTTTTTACTATTTTTTTTTTATTTATTGCTTGGGCTGTCAAAATTTATAGATACATGATAATTCCGCTTAGCCACACGCATTGTGTTCATGCCGCAGCAAAATTTCTCACACATCATCGCACAATTCACCTATTGGAAAGTATAGAATACCTTTTTTGTTCCAATAATAGAAGTTGGGAATGTAAGAGAAATTGAGCTATTAGAGAAAATTTAAAAAATAGAAATAAATAAAGGCAAGTACTGGTCCTACATTATATTTAACAATTCGAGAAATTCTCAACTTGAAAACACATAATGTATAGACCTCATCTTGAATATTTATTACAAATCTACATGCGTCGACGACAACATCGAATTGATAACTAAAGTTATACAAAGTATAAAGATAAAATATAAATTTATACTTTGATGTAACTTGTCAGACAGCCACTTATACCCACCCTAATCTGCCACAACCGAAGAAGTAGACAAAGAAGGGTAAAGATCATCGCTCCTTTTAAAACAGCCGCCCGAAGGCATTTGTCGAAGAAAAAGGCAAATAAAAATAGATGACTAGACCGCTAAGGATCACAGACAAGCTAAAGGGTTTCTCACTTTGAGGGTATAAGGGTATCATCTCATCAACCAAGTTGGATTCAGTGGCTCTTTTGAAGAGTCAAAGAGGGACGTAAACTATAGAAATGATCCTATGAAGTACGTCGACAAAGAAAAAAGAAGAAAACCATCAAACTAAATTGCGAATGGTCTTATTTATACCTGATGGGCTGGTTGTGGGCGCTGGCATGCGAATGCCGGGTAAGTTAGGGTTAAAATTTTGCAATAGAGAAGAAATGAAAAAAAAAAAATAAAAAATTAAATAAAACGGCTCCACTTACACAAAATCAAAGTAGGTGTAAAGTATAGTAGATGGTGGCAAAAATAGATCCAAGTAGGAGGTAGTCAGTGTAGATTTATAGAGGAGGATGATATTTGAGTGTATGGTATCTGAGAAGAATTTCATAATAGGTATAGGTTTACTCGTAAAATCAAAGAAGAATTAATGTATAGGAAACGATCTGAATGTTTTTGCCCTTTGAAAGGTTAATTTGCAGTAAATTATATATTTTATGTGAAAAAGAATCAAAAACCATTAGAAATGTCTCATTCTCTCAAGGAATATTTGTCATTAGGAATGATTAGAGAGAGCAGAGAGCTACTGCTACTGCTACTACTACTACTACTACTACTACTACTACTACTACGTTTACCATACTCTTCACATTACCAGCTGTCTAGCAATAACTATACTACCACTATTCAACAAACCTTATGCTTTGGGTATGATGTCGCTTGCTTTACCGTTTTTCTTTTCTTTTTTTTCACAATTTTTTTTTTTTGATTCTTATTTTTTTTTATTTTTATATTTATTCGTAAACTAATTTTTCCAAACTGCTACTACTCCCGCCTTCACATCAGTTTTTCTAAATTTAATTCATCGATAATATCTGACGGAATTCACTTCGTCACCTCCAATATGCGGCTCTATATATTATTGTTAACTATCAGTTGTTGCTACGGCGATATGAAGAGGCTTTCGCATGATATTAATTTTTGACTCTTCCTCATGCTGAAGTACTGACGTATCCGAGGGTTCGGAGATGCACTTTTGGTGCGCATGAACGGTTGGTAAGAAAAACCGGTTTTCCCATTTCCGAGGGACCGCAGCGAAAATTTTCATTTTGCAGATCTGTATAAATATTAGATGAAGTACTCTCTTTCTTCATTATTTCGTTTTCTTCTCTCTTCTTCTCCTCTCCTCTCTCTCTCTCTTCTTGCGCAACAGTTTCCCCACTTGCAAGCTTTTCTGTCTTAGACTCCCCGCTGAGACTACGAGTATGTGTGATATTGTTGTGCAAGAAGAAGAGAACGAGAGACCTTTAAGTTATCCTATAATTTCATTCTGTATGAATCCATTTTAGGGTAAATTAATTTGTAACTCGCGTAGACTCATTTCTTGTGCAATTCTATAACCCTTTTTGATATACGTTTTGAAAGTCCCCATATCTGGACATGGAGAGTACACTTCCCCTTGACACTTTTCCAGAGTCAGAATCTCAGATTAGATTACGCACTAAGGGTTTCCTTGTTGCTATCTATCTCATTTGACTCGACTCTATGTCATTGATATTGGGCTTTTAATTAACTTTTTTTTTTTTTTCTGTGCGATGAGAGTATACTAACCTTCGAAGATCTTTAGATTTCAGAGCTTTCATTTTCTCCATACTCCTTTGCATCAAACCAGAGTAATTCAGTTATCCCCCCCACCAACTGTCTTTCGCTGATTTACCCATTTTTGAAAAAAAAGCTAGTATCAACTTCCCCCAGTCTTACTTGCTATCTTTCAATTACATTTCATTTTGTTCTTGTATCTAATTCTTATTGATTAATCTTTATTATGTCTTTCTCAGGTCCAATTACTCCTCCAATGGAATCAACTGGTGACAGATTGATGACCTTGGAAACCCAAGATGGCGTTGCCTTGCAAGGTTACTCCTTTGGTGCACCAGTCACCGCTGCTGGTGAAGTTGTTTTCCAAACTGGTATGGTTGGTTACCCAGAATCCATCACTGATCCATCTTATGAAGGTCAAATTTTGGTTATTACCTTCCCTCTTGTTGGTAACTACGGTGTCCCAGATCGTGAATTGAGAGACGAAGACGTCCCTGAATTGCCACGTTACTTTGAATCTAACAAGATTCATATTGCTGGTTTGGTTGTTGCTCACTACACTGAAGAATACTCCCATTTCCTTGCCAAGTCCTCTTTGGGTCAATGGTTAAAGGAACAAGGTATTCCAGCTATCTATGGTGTTGACACCAGAGCTTTGACCAAGCGTTTGAGAGATACTGGTTCCACTTTGGGTCGTTTGGCCTTACAAAGTGCTGAAGTTGCTCCAGCTGAAGCTCTTGTTGCTTCCACTTGGAAGAACCACTTTGATATCCCAGAATGGGATGATCCTAATGTCAAGAACTTGGTTGCAAAGGTCTCCACCAAGAAGCCAGTCTTGTACACTCCAGCTAACCCTGTCAAAGGTAAGAACGGTAAGACCATCAGAATTGTTGCCGTTGATGTTGGTATGAAATACAACCAAATCCGTTGTTTCGTTAGACGTGGTGTTGAATTGTTAGTTGTCCCATGGGATTACGACTTCAGCCAAGAAGAATACGATGGTTTGTTTATTTCTAACGGTCCAGGTGATCCTTCTGTTATGGCTACCACCGTTGACCGTTTGAAGACTGTCTTGAAGGAAGTCAAGACTCCAGTTTTCGGTATTTGTTTGGGTCATCAATTATTGGCCAGAGCCTCTGGTGCTTCCACTTTGAAGTTGAAGTTCGGTAACCGTGGTCACAACATTCCTTGTACCTCCACTATCTCCGGTCGTTGTTACATCACCTCTCAAAACCATGGTTATGCTGTTGACACCAACACCTTAGCCCCAGGTTGGAAGGAATTGTTCGTTAATGCCAACGATGGTTCTAACGAAGGTATTTACCACGAATCCAAGCCAATCTTCTCTGTTCAATTCCATCCTGAATCCACTCCAGGTCCAAGGGACACTGAATTTTTGTTTGATGTCTTTATTCAATCCGTTGTCGACTTCAACACCAGTGGAGGTGTCCACAAGGCTGTTGAATTCCCAGGTGGTTTGCTTGCCGACAACAGAGCTGCTCACCCTAAGGTTGAAGCCAAGAAGGTTTTGGTTTTGGGTTCTGGTGGTTTATCTATTGGTCAAGCCGGTGAATTCGATTACTCTGGTTCTCAAGCTATTAAGGCTTTGAAGGAAGAAGGTATTTACACCGTCTTGATTAACCCAAATATTGCTACTATCCAAACTTCCAAGGGTTTGGCTGACAAGGTTTACTTCTTGCCAGTTACTGCTGAATTTGTCCGTAAGGTTATCCAATTTGAGAGACCAGATGGTATTTACTGTACTTTCGGTGGTCAAACTGCTTTGAGTGTCGGTATTAAGTTGAAGGATGAATTCGAATCCTTGGGTGTCAAGGTTTTGGGTACTTCCATCGATACTGTTATCACCACCGAAGATCGTGAATTATTCTCTCAAGCTATGGAAGAAATCGGTGAAAAGTGTGCTCGTTCTGAAGCTGCTAACAATGTCCAAGAAGCTATTGATGCTGCTAACGCCATTGGTTATCCATTGATTATTAGAGCTGCTTTCGCCTTAGGTGGTCTTGGTTCTGGTTTTGCTGATAACGAAGAAGAATTAGTTGCTCTTTGTAACAAGGCCTTCGCCACTTCCCCACAAGTTTTGGTTGAAAGATCTATGAAGGGTTGGAAGGAAGTTGAATATGAAGTTGTCAGAGATGCCTTTGACAACTGTATTACTGTTTGTAACATGGAAAACTTTGATCCATTGGGTATCCACACTGGTGATTCCATTGTTGTTGCTCCTTCCCAAACTTTGTCTGACGAAGACTACAACATGTTGCGTACCACTGCCGTCAACGTTATCCGTCATTTGGGTGTTGTTGGTGAATGTAACATTCAATATGCTTTGAACCCATTCTCAAAGGAATACTGTATTATTGAAGTTAACGCTCGTTTGTCTCGTTCTTCTGCTTTGGCTTCCAAGGCTACTGGTTACCCATTGGCTTACACTGCTGCTAAGTTGGGTTTGAACATCCCATTGAACGAAATCAAGAACTCTGTTACCAGATCTACTTGTGCTTGTTTCGAACCATCTCTTGATTACGTTGTTGTCAAGATTCCAAGATGGGATTTGAAGAAGTTCACTCGTGTTTCTTCCTTATTGTCTTCTTCCATGAAGTCTGTTGGTGAAGTCATGTCTATTGGTAGAACTTTCGAAGAAGCCATTCAAAAAGCTATCAGATCTACTGATTACCAAAACTTGGGTTTCGGTAAGACTGCTACTTCTTTCATCTCTATTGATGATGAATTGCAAACTCCATCCGATCAACGTTTGTTTGCCATTGCCAATGCTTTGGCTGATGGTTATTCTGTTGACAAGGTTTGGCAATTAACCAACATTGACAAGTGGTTCTTGAACAAGTTGGACGGTTTGATCAAGTTCGGTGACAAGATTGCTTCTTTCGGTGCCAAGGAAAAGCTTCCAGTTCCAGTTTTGCGTCAAGCTAAGCAATTGGGTTTCGAAGATCGTCAAATTGCCAAGTTCCTCAACTCTAACGAGGTTGCTATTCGTCGTTTGCGTAAGGAAGCTGGTGTCATTCCATTTGTCAAGCAAATTGATACTGTTGCTGCTGAATTCCCAGCCTTCACAAACTACTTGTACATCACTTACAACGCTGACTCTAGTGATGTTACCTTCGATGACCATGGTGTTATCGTTCTTGGTTCAGGTGTCTACCGTATTGGTTCCTCTGTTGAATTCGATTGGTGTGCCGTTAGAGCCATTCGTACCCTTCGTGAAAATGGTGCTAAGACTATTATGATCAACTACAACCCTGAAACTGTTTCTACCGATTATGATGAAGCTGACAGATTGTACTTTGAAACCATCAACTTGGAACGTGTCTTGGATATCTATGACTTGGAACAATCTTCCGGTGTTATTATTTCTATGGGTGGTCAAACTTCCAACAACATTGCTTTGCCATTACACCGTCAAAATGTTAAGATTTTGGGTACTTCTCCAGAAATGATTGATTCTGCTGAAAACAGATACAAGTTCTCTCGTATGTTGGACAAGATCGGTGTCGATCAACCTGCTTGGAAGGAACTTACTTCTATTGAAGAAGCTGAAGAATTTGCCGACAGAGTTTCTTATCCAGTCTTGGTTCGTCCATCTTATGTCTTGTCTGGTGCTGCTATGAACACTGTCTACTCTCGTGACGATTTGGAACTGTACTTGTCCCAAGCTGTTGATGTTTCTCCAGATTACCCAGTTGTTATCACTAAGTACATTGAAAACGCCAAGGAAATTGAAATGGATGCCGTTGCTAAGGATGGTAAGATGATCATGCATGTTGTTTCCGAACACGTTGAAAATGCCGGTGTTCACTCTGGTGATGCTACTTTGATTGTCCCACCACAAGATTTGGACCCTGAAACTGTCAGACGTATTGTTGAAGCCACTGCCAAGATTGGTAAGGCTTTGGACATTACTGGTCCTTACAACATTCAATTCATTGCTAAGGACAATGATATTAAGGTTATTGAATGTAACGTCCGTGCTTCTCGTTCTTTCCCATTCATCTCCAAGGTTGTTGGTACTGATTTGATTGAAATGGCCACCAAGGCTATTATGGACATGCCATTCACTCCTTACCCAGGTGAAAAGTTGCCAGAAAACTACTGTGCTGTTAAGGTTCCTCAATTTTCTTTCTCTCGTTTGGCTGGTGCTGATCCAATTTTGGGTGTCGAAATGGCCTCCACTGGTGAAGTTGCCACTTTCGGTCGTAACAAGTACGAGGCTTACCTTAAGTCTTTGATTTCTACTGGATTTGTTTTGCCAAAGAAGAACATCTTGTTCTCCATTGGTTCTTACAAGGAAAAGCAAGAACTTCTCCCATCTATTCGTCGTTTATCTGAATTGGGCTTCAAGATCTTTGCTACTGCTGGTACTGCTGATTTCATCAAGGAACATGATATCCCTGTTCACTACTTGGAAGTCTTAAACAAGGAGGAAGATCAAAGATCTGAATACTCTTTGACTCAACATTTGGCCAACAATTTGATTGACTTGTACATTAACTTGCCATCTTCTAACAGATTCCGTCGTCCTGCCAACTACATGTCCAAGGGTTACGAATCTCGTCGTATGGCCGTTGATTACTCCATTCCATTGGTTACCAACGTCAAGTGTGCTAAGTTGCTTGTTGAGGCTATGTCTCGTAACATTACTTTGGAAGTCTCTGATGTCGATGCTCAAACTTCCCATAGTACTGCTACCCTCCCAGGATTGGTTAACATCACTTCCTTTGTTCCTTCCTTGTCTGACTTCGCTGCTACTACTCGTGCTTCTTTGGCCGCCGGTTTTACTTTCAATGCTTTCTTGCCACAAACCACGGAAGGTTCCATCTCCAGTGCTGAAGCTTTGATCGATGCCTCTGAAGCAGCTGCTGCATCTGCTTACACTGATTTCACCTTCTCTCTTGCTGCTTCTGAATCTAACTCTGAAGAAGTTACTGCTGCTTCTGAAAATGCTGGTGCCTTGTTCCTTCCATTCAATGAATTTGCAAACTCAAAGGTTTCTTCTATTTCTAGTCACTTTGCTTCTTGGCCTGCTAACAAGCCAATCATTACTGACGCTAGAACCACTGATTTGGCTTCAGTCTTGTTGTTGGCTTCTTTGCACAACCGTTCCATCCACGTTACCAGTGTAGCATCTAAGGAAGACTTGGACTTGATCATTATGGCCAAGGACAAGAAGTTGCAAGTTACTTGTGATGTTTCTGTTTATGCTTTATTCTTAACTAAGGAACAATATCCTAAGGTTGCTTCATTCTTGCCTTCCAAGGAAGACCAAGAAGCTTTGTGGGCAAACTTGGAAGACATCGACTGCTTCTCTATTGGTGTTTTGCCTTACCTCATTGCTAAGAATGGCGACAAGCCAGTTGCTGCTGGTTTAGGTCTTGCTGAAACCTTGCCTTTGCTTTTGACTGCTGTCAGAGAAAAGCGTCTTACTATTGAAAACATCACCAAGCGTTTCCACACCAACCCTATCAAGATCTTCAACTTGCCAAAGCAAGATGCATCTATTCATGTTGACTTGGACTTATGGACTAAGTTTGGTTCTGAATCCGCTTTCGGGTCCAAGTTGCAAGGTGGTATTGAAAGAGTTTTGATTGCCGGTGAAACCGTTTGCCTCGATGGTCAAATCTTGACCACCACTGCTTCTGGAAAGAACGAAGTCAGATCAAGATCCGTTTTTGGCTCTGTCTCTGGCCCATCTTCTTCTACTGCCGTTCCACCTTCCCCAAACATGTCCAGAAAGGCTAGAATGTCATTCAACAATGATGCTCGTCGTCCATCTCTTGCTAAGGACCTGCCTGATTTGGAAAGATTAGGTTCTACTTTGGTTTCCGAACCACCAACTGTTTCCCTTAGTGAAACTAATGCTTTGGTTAACTACATCCGTAACAACAACCTGTTCTTACGTAACTCTGTTTTGTCTGTCAAGGACTTCACCCGTTCTGACATGCATGCCTTGTTCACTGTCGCTCAAGAAATGAGATTGGCAGTTGAAAGACAAGGTGTCTTGGATATTTTGAAGGGCCGTTTGTTGGCTACTATGTTCTACGAACCTTCCACTCGTACTTCATCTTCTTTCGATGCTGCTATGCAAAGATTGGGTGGTCGTGTTGTTGCTGTTCCAGCTGGTGCTTCTTCTGTTAAGAAGGGTGAAACCTTACAAGATACTATCCGTACCTTGGCTTGTTACTCTGATGCTATTGTTTTGAGACATCCTTCTGAAGAATCTGCTGACATTGCCGCTAAGTATTCTCCAGTTCCAATCATCAATGGTGGAAATGGTTCTAAGGAACATCCTACTCAAGCTCTTCTTGATCTTTTCACTATTAGAGAAGAACTTGGTACTGTGAACGGTATTACCGTCACTTTCATGGGTGACTTGAAGTATGGTAGACCAGTTCACTCCTTATGTTACTTGTTACGTCTTTACCAAGTCCGTGTTCAACTTATTGCTCCAAAGGAATTGTCATTGCCACGTAACATTCGTGACATGTTGGTTGCTCATGGTTTGAAGGTTACTGAATCTGAAGTTTTGACTGAAGATCTTATTGCCAAATCTGATGTCTTATACTGTACTCGTGTCCAAGAAGAACGTTTCGCCGACAAGGAACAATACAACCGTTTGAAGGACACTTACATTGTCGACAACAAGATCTTGTCTTACGCTAAGCAACATATGTGCGTCTTGCACCCATTGCCACGTACCAATGAGATCCGTGAAGAAGTCGACTTTGACCAACGTGCTGCTTACTTCAGACAAATGAAGTATGGTTTGTTTGTCAGAATGGCTTTGTTGGCTATGGTTATCGGAACTGACTTTTAAAGCGCTAATTTCAACGGGGAAAACCTTTAAAAGATTGAATTAAATTGCAGACTTGAACTTTATAAAGAAAAAAAAAAAATGAAATCAAACACATGAGTATTCATTTACTCACTTTACCACAATGAAGCTCAGTGCTTGCTAATACTTCGGGGGATTTATTAGCACACTGCTGTTCATACCGTTATATATATAGTTTTAATTTTACGAATTATTGTTAATTGAAAAAAAAATTGTAAAATGATTTGAATTCTATTATACATATTATACACTTTAGATCTATTCTTGATTTTCTTTGAAGAATATATTTGTTTCATCATCGTCTCTATTGTTGGAAAGTTCTGGTTTCCCATCGACGTTTGTACCTGAATTATCATCGGTAGCCTCATTTGCATGAATCAATGCTCTTGCAATTTCCATTTCTTCTCCACCTTCATCGTGGTTATGATCATCAAATCCAGTCACCGCAGGATCAACCGGGATGTTGTTATTATTGTTATTATTATTGGGTTTCCGTTTAATGACACGATTTGGAGAATGTGTAGCTCCAGTACCATAATCTTCATGTGTTGAGAAATCTTCATCATATTGGTCATATGGTGTATCTTGTACAGCAGCGGCAGCAACAGAAGCATAAGTTTGATGTGGTTGAGTATGTGCATGGTGACTATGATGCTGTTGTAAGGATTGAGCAGATGAAGGATCCTGCAGTTGTTGCTGTTGCTGTTGTTGTTGATCATCTTGATGATGGTGTTGATGTTGATGTTGTTCTTGTTGATGTGATCGTTGTGCTGCCTCGACAGCTGCTATAATTCCATCATCCAAACCAGATAAATCATGAGTTAATAAACTTTCAGCTGTATCGTGTCTAGCTGGTAAATTATGGAGTTGCTGTGCAGCAGCAACCATGGCCTCCACTTCTTCGCTATCATTTCTACGCATACCTGCAGAGCTTCCCAACTTATTCACACCATTGACAACTGAAGAAGATCCGTTTTTGCGAAGCAGGGGGTGATGTCCATTGAGATGCCCACCTTTCTTAGAAATGTTATGCAGTGGATGAACAATTCCTCTTTTAAGAACTGGTTGACTTTTATTAGGATCCCTACATTCAGGACAGTTTTTGATTGCCGTGGCAACTGTATCCTTGATTCTTGTCCAATGGTACTTCTCAGTAATGGTAGCGGTGGTTTTATTAATTCCTCCATGGTTGGTCATATGCACGTCATTACATATTTGGATTTGTTTGACTGGATCAGAAACAACTTCTCTACCATTTAACATTAATTTCCCATTTTCTAATCTATAGTGTGAAGCTGAAGATCTTAATCTTGATTTTTCTTGACGATCAGCCATGGCAGGATATTTCCCTGTTTCCAAATAAAATTTGATTTTATCAAATCTATAGGCTCCAATTGCAGGATCAGAATTATTTATCAATTCTCTTCCATACATGATAGCATCTACAGCTGTATCTTGACCTTTCAAAATCCCTGCAGATTTAACTCTTCCAACTCTTTTGAAATTTAAAGATTCCCAAATTCTTCTTGCAGCAACATTTGTTTCAAATACCAAATTAAAAATTGAGTAAGTATATCCCAATCTTGGAGCCCATTGTAAATAACAATCAGCTAATGTACGACCGATCCCTTTCCCACGAATACCGGCATTAACAAGAAACCCAGCAGTACATATATGCAGACATCTTCCTGGATAGTTTGGCTTGATGAAGAATGTACCTAAACATTCCTTTTCCCATTGTCTAGCACCTTGTAAAGTTGGTAAATCACCCAACACCATCACTGCTGTGAAAGATCCAAACCAATAATTTTGAAATGTCTCGATATGTAAAGTATCGAAAAAGGGGAAAGTATCACCACGTTCAATTTCCATATTGAACTCATCACACAAGAACGCCAAAAGTCCCGGAGGAAGTTCGTTCACATCATGAATAGGATAAATAGTTGCAGTTGTTTCTCCATCCTTCAACAAGACAGTGTATCGGTCAATGACCGAAACTGGATTGTAATCAAGTTGTGGCCGATAATGTGGCGGTTGAGTAACATCGTCAAACTCGGGCATTCCGTCTCTTGTCTTGCTATGTTCTTGATTGATCTATGATTACTATACTAGATAAGATATATCAAGTGTATATGTTGTCCTGACCGAGTATATTTTGGTATGTTATGATTTGAGAAAAAAATATATATATACACTAAATTTACATAAGTGTGTATATGGGGCAAATGAAAGATGGGTTACAAAACTGGTAGTTTCCAATTTTTTTTATCACAATTATTTTAAAATTAAAATTAAAATTAAAATTAAAATTAAAAATTAATAATTAAAAAAAAAAATAAAAAAAATTAATTGAGGAAGCATGACCACTCCTGTATATTATCCCTGTCAACTACCTATCGGCACATTGCAACAACGTCAATTGCCGATTGATACATAAGGATCCATCAAAAAAAGAGATCACGTAAGGAAATACATTAAAATAAGGGGGCTGTTACGGATAAACCACTACAAATTAAAATTAAACACAAGAATTTTTTATAATTACAAAAATGAGCAAAATGCTTTAATATTCACTTTTCACTTTTTTTTTTATTCTTCATTGAGTAAGATTATATTCTCTCAAAACAATATATCACACTATGATGCAAATAAGATTGCAAAAACCATCGTAGACCTTAAATCCGTAATCCCATTTTATTTTAGAAACACTAGTTTGTAGTACTAATTCCATTAAGTTCTGTATGAGTTCTTCTAATACAGTCTCCAATAGAAGTAGAAACCAAACTTTCATTGTCTGGAACCCCTTGGGAAAAGCTAGACTTGAAAGATTGACCAGAAGAAATAGACATATGACGACCAACAGATTCTTTAACATAATCACCATTTTCTTCATTATCAGAAGATTCTGGAGAAATTAAAAACTTCTTATTGATCAGTTGTTGTGATGGTTGTAGATTGGACTTTGAGGATTTAACTTGTTGCTGTTGTTGTTTCATAATTTGCTTTGATAAATGAGAAAATTGACTCGAGGCATTTGAATTTGATCTTTCCAACCCACTAGTACTAGATCTATGTAAAGGTCCAAATCGATAAGATGGAGGGGAAGATAATTGAGATTGACCAGTAGATGAAGTTGAAATAGAGGCTGAGTTTTGCAAAGATTGTAAAGTTGGTACAAAAGATTGTGAATGCAGAGGAGTTCCCAGTGGTCTTCTTGAAAACTCATCATTACTAATCATATCGGCATATGAGTAGAAATTAACTGCCGATTTGGAACTAGTAAGTTTTGGAGGAGAGACACTAGAAGTTTGAGTTTGTGGGGATTGTTGTGTTGGAAGTTGTGGTTGAGATTGCTGAGCGGCAAAACTATTCATCAGATAAGTTGAGTTTTTTCTTGATGGTGCAAATGGTCTACCCAAGGCCATATTAAGTCCAATAACAGATGAATTTCTTCTGTTTGAATATATCATTTCCACATTATCAAGGTTTGTATCTTTATCATTCAAGAGAGAAGCTGTTGCATCAAGTGCAGCAGGGATACAATCTTCTTGCTTTAAATATTGACCACCTTGAATAGAAATTGAAGAATTATGAGTACAACTTCTTGAACGTGTTGAAACACAACGGTTACATTTAGGAACAGAAGCTGTTGGTGAACAACAAGAATCTTGAACTGAACGTTCAAAAATATCAGATTGTTGTGGAGTAGAAGATTCAACTTCATAATCCGGAGAAACTATTGGAGACATTAATTGTGATTTTTGGGATGGTGAAGTTGAAGCATTGGTATTAATTGGTCCAGGTTGAGAAACCGAACCCTTTCTTGACAACGAACTGCTAGAACCAAATGAAAACAAACTTAAACGACGTTTGAATGATGGATGGTTAGAAGAAGTTGTTGTGCTTGAGCCAACGCCAGCATTAACTCCAGTGACCAAGCTTTTGTCACTACCACTATTGGAATTTGAACCAATAACTTGGGTTGAAGTCATGATTGATAATAATAGCTAGAAACGATAGAAAGTTTGATCAAGGTATACAACAAGGGTAAGTGAAGCTTATAAGATCAAATGGGGGTTACTCAGCATATACAAGATTTGCTGACTTTTCCTTAAAAAAAATTATGGTAAAAATATTTATAAAAAAAATATTAGTTATTCCCTCCTTGATAATATATGTCGGACAAATAAGTGAGGGTTATCGGGCTCAGCAGTTGTGATATTCTTTTAGTTAGAATGACCTGAAGCAAAGCAATGCACAAGAGATATTATTTTTTTGTTTGGTTAGTGTTTGTTTCAAAACTTTTAATTATCCTTTAAACCAATAAAAGTGTAAGAATGTAGGGAATTAATCTGTTTTATTGAAAAAAATACAAGCTCCAAGTTGAAAACTCAAAATTGGAAATTGGTAAGTGTTTAAAATAAGCTACGGGGTATTTCCAATATGGCGCCGCATTAAATACCTCGATTATGTAATTCCGCAGATTATTTTTTTATTTTTTTTATTTTATTTTTTTGAAAGGTAAATCGTGGCATTGCATACAGTGCTAAGATTGTGTCCACACGGGGCTAGAAAGGGGGGGAAAAAGAGAGGAGACCAAAAAAAAAAAAGGTCTTGGAATAGTATTGTGCTGGTTATTATTTCTCTTTTAGAAGGGAAGAGCAGGTGGAAATAAAGTTGGATTATGAAACTTTACAAAGGGTGAATGCTAGTTAAAATTTTTTATATGTTTTTTTTTTTACCTTCGAGATTGTTTAATTCGTAGTAACTCCTTCCAATGTCATTGAACCTGGTTCATAATTTGTTAATACCTATCGCTTTGGGATGCATATCCACATTTCTTGTGTTAACAAAAAAAAAAATTAAAATTAATCTTTCATAATGCAAAAACGTCATGCATTGGCCAATCAACGAGGTCGCGGAAAATATTGATGAATTAAAGATAACAAGAAATATGTCGACTTGGGGCGGTCTCTCACACGGCAATTTGATCCGTACAGGACAAGTCCAGGGGGTTAAAAAATAACGAGAGATTATATCAATGGTAAAACGGTTAAACTTACTGTGCACTGATTTGATTTTTCACTGGTACTTCTAAGAGTTGACGGGTTAAGAGCATATTTCTCTTGATTTGAACTTCAACAATGTTAAAATAAATGTCAACAAATTTGTGAAAGAGTACAAAACTTTAACCACAAGTTGCAAATGTGGTAATGTTGCTATCATGATAGATATGCTAATCGCTTTATTACCCCAATATACTTTGTTATATACGGCCTTTCCCCAGTTTGAGGGTTATTATTATTTTTTTTTTTTTTTTCTAATTTCGAAGCTCAGGGAATTTTTTAGATCACACATTTTTGTAGACGATGTCGTTATGTGCAGAATCTCCCGTTTTAATCCACAGTTATCTCTGTACTTTTAATTTTCATCACCATTTGTTTCCTGAATTATCCGTTTTTGCAGCAAACTGCACATATCAAAATTTACCATTTTGATATTACATATGTTTACTTTTCTACACATTTAACGAACGCAATTAATATCAATATTGTAAAGTTTTCTTTTTTATATTGCTAACTTTATTACAATTTACTCTTTGGGGCGAAGAATTCAGCAATCTTTCTACGTTGAATTTTACCAGTAGCTGTCTTTGGTAAATTATCAACGATGAAAACCTTCTCTGGAACTTTGAATGGTGCTACTTTATCTTTCAAATAATTTTGTACCTCTTTTTCAGTTAAATTTTGACCCTTTTTAGGAACGATTGCAACATGAACAACTTGTCCATACTTCAAATCTGAAGCACCAAAGAAAACAACTTCACTAACTGCTTGATGATGTAATAAAACACCATCTAATTCAACAGGACTAATCTTTTCTCCACCTCTGTTAATTAATTCTTTAAGTCTACCAGTTAAAATCAAAAATCCATCTTCATCAAATTTACCTTGATCACCAGTACGGAAGTATCCATCAGAAGTAAAATTCTCTTCATTAGCCTTTGGATTATTCATATAACCCTTTGTAACATTCTTCCCCTTAATTGAAACTTCTCCAATTTCTCCCTGTGGGAGTTTCTTTCCTGAATCATCTAAAATCACAATTTCAACCCCTTGACCTTGACCAACTGTTCCTGGCTTTCTCTTACCTGGTGGTAAATTATTAGATGTCATTTGATGAGCTGCTTCTGTCATAGCATAAGCTTCTAATACAGGAGCTTGGAAATGTTCTTCAATTTTATGGAAGATTGCTGGAGCTAAAGCTGATGAACAAGATCTAATAAATCTAATGTTTGGTAAACGTGCTGGTTTAGGGACATTCAATAAGATATGATGAATGGTTGGAACTGCAGAATACCAATTAGCTTCATATTTGATGAAATCATCCCAAAATTTAGTAGCAGAAAACTTTTGAGGAACAATTACAGTACCTTGAGTAGACAAGGTAGATAAAAGAGAACCAATAAGTCCATGAACATGGAAAAGTGGCATAACAACATATGTTCTATCCTTTGGAGAAAGTTTATAGGTGTTTGCAATATTCTTGAATGAAGTAGTTAAATTCAAATGGGAAAGTGGAACTTGCTTTGGTCTTGAAGTAGTACCTGATGTATGTAAAATCATAGCAGTATCATTTTCTTTGGCTCCACCTGAAAATTGATTTGATTTGTTAATGAAAACTGGATGGGAAATTGATTCATAAATCTTACCAGATTTGTTAAAGATATCAAAATCAATTGTAGATCTACTTGATTGATTACTGAAATAAATTTCAATAATTAAGATATTATCATTTGCTGCTCTAATAGCACGAACGATTTCCGAATCCGGCTTAATTCCACGAGGAACTACAACAGCATCAGCTTGAAGATCAGAAAGGTAAAATTCAAATTCACTCTGTTTATAGTTAGAGTTCAATGGTGCAATAATATGGCCAGCAGTAGTGACACCAAGAAATGCAACAAGAAATTCTAATCCATTTGGAAGAGATGTTGCAATTGTCAATTGCTTCTTGCCAGTGTTAAAAAGCGGAGACTTTGTAGCATTGAAAAGATTTTGGTAATTACCAACCAATGAACTTAATTCATGATAAGTAAGAGAAAGATCATATTCGGGTATGACTACTGCAGAACGGTTAGAAACCTCAAGCAGTGAAGTTATAGTTGACATGACTCAGTTGGAACTATATAGCAAAGATATTTAATCAGTCCCTGCCAACAAAAGGAAGATATAAGCCGTAAAGGAACAAAATTAAATAGTATTTAATATTGACGTTATCAAGGATTCCTTCAATGACAGTCAAGAAAAAAAAAAAGGGAATAAGGAGGTGTCCAACAATTGATATTATTTATACTGAAGAAATGGAAGATGTATGATGATTCAATTTAGTGGGAAGATGATTGTGAACCACAGTTTGGGGAAAAACTCGGCCCGAGTTCCGACAAGTAATTATCCTGCACAAAACAATGCTATTCCTGTGTACAGTAGTCGCGGTTATTGATTCCTGAGTATAGAGCTGTTATGTATGTCTTGTTTAGATGAAGAGGGTATTGAAAACAGGTGTGTAAACTAAAATATGAGCGGTAATACCAGGTTTCGATCACCGTCCTTGACACAGCTGGTATCAATTACCAGTGCTCGATCGAAATCAGATTCTTTCAATAATAATATAGATGAATTGACTCAATTTCTTAATAATCTTAAACAGATCAAATTTGATTTAGAGTCTGAATTAGCAAATGCTGCAGGGAAATATGGAGGCGATATCAAACAATCCATGGGATCACCGACAGATAATGCTACAGTTCATAATATGACTCTAAAATTGAAAGAAGTCACCTCTTCAATAACTCTGTTGGAGAAACGTTTAAAGATACTTCAACTGATAGAAGGTACTCTGGTAGATAACAGTCGTTCAAGAAGTAATACCACATCAACCACACGTTCAGGAGAGCAGAATACTGGTGTAAAGGAGACTAATATACACTTACATGGTGGCCCAAGTAATACCAATAATATTCACAGCATTCAAATTAATGGTGGGGAAATACGAAACCCTACTGTATTTACAAATTCATCAACTGCATTATCAAACCTTCAAGGATTAAATACTTTGAAGACCTCATTACCATCTACAACTTCTATATTTAATTCCGGGGCTGGACCTTCAATTTCTCCCGTTGCAGTACCGCCAGATCTGGAGTTATTTGATGACATTCTTCCACATGGAAACCACCAAGGAGATAATACTTATGAGAGTAGTCCCACCTGGTTACTCAGTGATATATTACAAACTCTAAGTAGTGCCAGAGATCGTGATGAATACTTTTTGGTAGCTAGAGGAAATGACTTGGTATTATTATTGTCACAATACCCTCAAATTAAACAGGACCTTGTTGTGAAAACTTTCTTAAACAAGATCCTATTTATGTTATGCCACCCAGTACTGGAAGTCAGAGCGACCGTCTACCGTATCGTAAGATACATTATTTCCGATTATGAATCTTTGACAGTTCTAGTACAGTCCAAAATCTTAATATTCATAATCATATCTATGGCACGTACAAACTGTCACGTAGAGAAAGAGCAGGCTCTCAAACTTATACGTGAGTTTCTTAGTGTTCCCAAGGGGGCTAATAATTTATCCATTGGAGTTGTTAAAAGTATCATTGCAGTGATTGAAAACGAAGATATAGATCCAAATGTTGAAGATGAATCAAAATTGGCAGAATTGAAAAATATTTGTATTGAAACAATGTTAGAGCTCACCTTGCTCAAAACAGAATTGGTATTCTTAAGTGGTGGACTTCGTGTACTTTTTACAACAGTACAAGATGGTCTGATTGATTTAGCTGTCAGTAGTATCCTTTGTGTTATTCTGATTCTAGATTCTCATGATACGAGAAGATTCCTAAGGGATGGATACGATATGTGCAATCTAGTAACGATATTTTCTGACTCTGAATATGGGACTATTCTGAGTAAAACTAAAGAACATCGCAGAGGAGCATCCACTAGTAAACTGAGTACTTTTACATATCAATCGAAACTTCAAAGAATTGCATTTTTAATCTGTTTGTTTCTTAAATCATGGAGTGGCCTTATGAGTTTCGCTCATGAAGATTTCCAACCTTGGAAGATTTTAGTCTCGAGCTTGAAACGACCAGATGATAAAGTTCGTGAAATTGTGTTGGATATTTTTTTCGATTTGTTAAGGCTCAGACCTTTACCGTGGATAAAGGGAAGCTCAATCGGCGATACCATTAGTAAAGTTACAAAATTTACCGAATATAACTCTGGTAGTTTCGAATATTCCAATCTAGAAGCTGAAAGTTTAGAGTCTTCGATATATCATCACTATTTGGGATTAGTCCTTCACATTCTAGTTAACAAGTGTGATATAATGTCTACACTTGTTTCTGTTATAAACAATAGTGAGAGAGTGACTGTCACTGAAAAAAGTTCCCAATTACTCCATCAAATTTATAAATTACTGAACTATGTACTACCACAGGAATTTTTGTCTGATAAACAAAAGCTTTTACCAATAGACAAATCATTTAGATTATCCAATAACAATATGACTCATTTATATATCGATCCTACATTTCGGGCACTTGGAGATGATATATATGGAAAAGACGGACTGCTGGTTAATGCCAATGATCGAATGGGTGATATAAAGAGGTTCGTAAATACTATCGCAATTGATTCCCGATACTATATGGATGAACTGGAATTGAAAATGAAAATCCATAGCACAAAAGTTCTTACAGTCAAGGAATATAACGAATGGAACTGGCTCATTCTTTCAGAAATTATAGAAGGTCCGATGAGAAATCCTAAAAAACTTGAAGAAATTTGCAAAAATTTCCCTAAATTCTTGAAGCAAGTTTTAGCATTCTACAGACCATTTAAATTTAGGTTTTGCAATCATGTTGTTCCAAGTACGAAATCAAATTCGTCAAAGGTCGCAAGGCATAAATATATTACAGTTGGTTGTCAATTATTTGACGCTCTTTTGAGTACAAGTGAAGGTGTTAAATATCTCAGCACAAACAAAATATTACCGCAAATTTCTGAAACATTTGCACAAGTAGACCCCTTCAGTGGTATACTGGCCAAGGAACCCATTTTATCAAGAAGAAGATTAAGGAAAACTTTAAGTTATGGTTACATTGACTTTATTGCAACCTTCTCAAAGACTTTACAAGGATTGAAATTACTTCAACAATGGCAATTTTATAATCTCTTTCATCATTTAATTGAAGGATCGAATAATAGTAACTCTTACCTTGTTGTACTATTGTTGAGTAAGTTGGATTTTACATTTGATAGTCCCATGAGAATTGTTCTTTCCAAAGCGATATCGGTATGCTCCCTTGATATAAAGTTACACATTATGAATAAGGTAGTTCCCAAATTGATGAAAATTACAGAATGTGAAAGATGGGTAATATCATTATTACTGCAACGTCTATATGATAACAACAAGGAAGTATCCTCGATTGCTATGAAGCATATTTTCAACTTCTGTTCTGAAGATGAATCCAATTTGATTTTCTTCATATCTTTACACCCATCAGTTAACATTTTAAATAAATTGAACAAGGGTAAAAATTTATTAATGAAATTCCTTTCAACGTCAATTGGCTTCAAATACTTGGATGATCTCGGATATGTCACTAGAGAGTTCACAGAATGGGTTCAATTCAAGAATAGTAGATATTCCATCGAAGTGGGCCATAAATTAGAAGAAGTTTTGTTTCCATATGTGGTGCGGGATTCCAAAATGAGAATTGATACCATGCCAGTTCATTTCTTTTCGAATCTACTCCAAACTGAAGAAGGAATGCTGTTCTTTCAAAAAGAAACGAACAAACGCTACCTTGAAAATCTTATCAATGAAACTCATATTCTTGCAAGACAAATTGATGATAGATATGACGGGAGGTATAGTCCAGTGGATGAAGAAGACAAAGTTCAGCTATTAGGGGTGCTTGGAAAATTGAAAGAAAACCTTTGGATTATTGGAAACATTGCAAGCTCCAAGTACGGTATTCAGTTATTGGATACGGAATATGGACATGTATTATCCACACCGATTGTGCCTCTTATGATTCATTTGGTTCAAAACTGTCCCTTCTGGCATATTCGTGGGGTTGCATTGTATCAATTAGGTATGGTTGCTTCCACAGTTGAAGGAACTGAAATACTTGATGAGCTATCCTGGATTCTGGTTTTTGATTCTTTCAACAGACCTAGAAGCTTATGTTACCCAGCGCATAACACAGATAAAGGGACGTCATGCAATACCGTATTCAATGTTCAAATAACCAACCCTTATGAAGACGGTAATTACTTCACATTGTTTGGACAAAGTGATGATACTATCATTGAAGAATTACTGGATATCACAGCCGAACGTGAGGATAGTATTACATCATATTGGAATGAGGAGGATATTGAACGATATCAAAATCGAGTGTTAACATTAATAAACCACTTGAGTGCTGTTTTGAGTAAAATCGAACGTAAAGCTAGCAAGGAATTACTCTACTTGAAGAAAAATATTCCTGATCTATTTGCAAGACCAGTTTTATTTTCGAAAGTTGTTAAATTAATCGATAAGGGAAGGTACAAATTGAGAGTACGGAGGTTTGTGTTCAGTTTGTTCTTAGATACCCGAATTCTTGAAACTTTAGTGAAAAAGGATAAGAAACAAATAATTCGATAGATATGTATATAATGAGAGAAATGAATAAATATATCCAAATATTAGAATATTATTATTAGAAAGAATTTAGTGTATATTTTATATAGTTTAAATTTAATTATATTCTAACTAGTCTTTATTTGTTTGGGTTGTGGGCTACTAATTTCAATATCTTCATGTTCTGTATCTTGATCTTGTGAGCTGTCACGCACTGGTTTCCGCTTTCTTTTATTGACTGGGCGTGCAGGTTGTACAGATTCTACTACATCAACTACTGTACTAGGGGTGAAATTCATAGGTTTGAATTTTGAAACCACCAAATTTGGATATTGTCTTCTCAACCAAGGCTCTGTATCTTGTGGATTTATCTCCAAATGATCTAAGGAATCACCAACTAATTCTGGAACTGATTCTGATATGAAAAGATTTATCAAATGTCTCTGTGACACTTTTGTGCTATCGTCTCCAGATTGAAAAATTTCTTTCATTGGACCTAGCACGTCTTTCAATGAAGGATTTTCACTTACCAAGTTCTCTATTCTAGCAATATTGGCTGTATCATTGATAAATGTATCAGTATCGTCATCATGAGGCTCGGATGTGCTAAGCATATCCAAAAGGGAATTCACCCTTCTTTGATATGAATATAACGCTTGGCGAAGTGTCTTTTCTTCTTTCCAAAGATCTTGTGAATGAGCATGAACTTTGTTGAACTTTTCTAAGTACTTTTCCATAAGTTTTTGATAATCTTTTCCATCTGGTTCGGGCAAAAGAGCCGAAGTCTGACCAGCAGTTGATGAATTAACAGGTTTAGGCTTTATGTCACGCGTGGCTTCCTCCATTTTTACATCATCGTTATTCATATTTAACAATTGACTTTTATTATCGATAATAATGATTGATTGTAATTGTGCTTTTGTAACACTATTGGTTGTTTTTGGTGAGAGTAGAATTTCAATTCTCATACATGAGCGACATTTACCCACGACATTTTAAGACCTCATACACATAATATATGTATAGACAGCACGACATTCGCGTCTCGTTTTATAAAGTTTCATATTTAGGAAGTAAAACAAACTAATCTATTGCAATTAATTTATCTGAACTAATATTTATATAAACATCAAATAATGTCTATTGTATCTCTTCTAGGAATAGAGGTATTGAACAATCCCGCTAAATTCACTGACCCATATGAATTTGAAATCACATTTGAATGTTTAGAACCATTGAAGGAAGATTTAGAATGGAAATTGACATATGTTGGTTCATCTCGTTCATTAGATCATGATCAAGAATTGGATTCTATATTAGTTGGTCCAGTACCAGTAGGTGTAAATAAGTTTTTGTTTCAAGCAGACCCTCCATCTCCCGATCTCATTCCTGCCAGTGAACTTGTAAGTGTCACTGTCATTCTTTTAAGTTGTTCCTACGCAGACAGAGAATTCGTACGTGTTGGATATTATGTCAATAATGAATACGATTCAGAAGAATTAAGAGAAAATCCACCAGCAAAAGTTCAAGTAGAACATGTTTTAAGAAATATTCTTGCGGAAAAGCCAAGGGTAACGCGATTTAATATCGTATGGGATAATGAAAATACGGATGAATATCCTCCAGAACAAAACGTAGAGGAGGAAGACGAAGATGAAGAAGAGGAGGAGGAGGAAGAGGAGGAAGAAGAAGAAGAAGACGAAGTGGTAGGTGATGAAGACGAAGATATAGAGCGCGAAGATATCGAAACAGTAAATGGAGCTGGTGAAGATATTGAAGAAGATGTGGAAGAAGATATTGAAACTGAAGGTGAAGAAGCTACTTCAGAAAGAGTTCAAACCCCAATAGATAATGTTCAATCATAGTAGAAGGATTTACAAATATACAAATTTATTAATGAATTATGCAAATAGTAGTATTGTTTACAAAGTTGTTTTTTTCTTTTTTGCCTTTCGACTCTATAAATCCTTTAACTTGTCAACAAGTGAATTCAATGCCTGACTAAGTGTATCAATAATATCCTTGTCCATTGTATTATTTCCGGCCCATTTATCAGGATGCCATTTCAACCTTTCCTTTTTCACTGCGTTGAAGATTTCATCCTCCTCTAAAATATATCTATAGAAAGATTCTACCGATTCCTCGTCGTTAAGTGATTTTAATAGTTCTTCTTTTGTTTGTCTATGTTCCATTTGAAATTCAATTAATAACGGTAATTTCACTTGTGATGTTCCCCATGATTCAAAATACTCAATTTTGATTTCTTCTCTTCTTTGATCGGGTTTAGTACTATTTTGTAACCCGTGTAAATAAGGATCATTTATCCGTTTATCACCAATATGCAAATCGCCATCTTCTTCATCCATTAATCCTGCAGCACTAACTGGAAATTCCCCAACTATTTGATATTGACCCAGTGGCAAGTTACGAACGTTTACTGGTTCATTTCGAATATATGAATTTCTCAATTCTTGTGATAATGTTGCGTTCCGATTGATTGTAGTACTATTCTCGGGAGTCGTATAGCTGTAGTATGGATGTGTAGGTTGTGTTTTTGTTTCAGTAGTGGGCACAGAGGATCGTACAAATTTATATCCATTAACTGTATCTCCATATTCTTCGTTTGTCATTGGTGGTGTAGGTGCCCTTGAATTGGCAGGTGTGGATTGTGAAATTGGTGTGTTCTGTTGATTGAGTACAACCTTGGGTATCGAATTGTTGACCGAGGTCACTGGTGAAGAAGTACTCGATGGAGGTAGTGAAGAGAAGGATGCCTTTTCGTAGGAAGGTGTTAATTGGTCGTCTTCATCTTCGTTTTCATTTTCCAAGCTTGTATTGATATTCACTTGATCTCCTCCCTTTATGCTATGTAATTGTGTAAGGATTGATGCTGAAGCCTTAGTTGAATTGGAAAAATTTAAAATGTTCTTCCGTTTCCCTCCATTCAGTGGAGTCCCTGACGGGGTACTGTTCTTAAATTTCAAGCGCTTTCTTGATTGTCGTGGACATGGGGTAGAATCACTATTCGAAAAACTTAACTTGAAAGCACTCGACGTACTATCATTGATGCAAATGGACATATTGTCAATAGATCGATGTCTCGAGGAAGCTCCTGGGGTTATAACCATATCCAGAGAAGTATCCATAGCCCTCTTCCTCGTATTCATATACACAGGCTTTCTACTGGGGAATGTACTATCTTCGTCTTCATCATTTTCTCCATCTCTCACTTCACCATCTTCTTCAAATTCAATCTCACTACTTCTATCTTCACCAATTGTTTGATCAGCTTCTGAATAATCACCATCATCATCTGAAATCCCGGAATGGTCTATCGGTATCATCCTATCTATCGGTATTTCGGGAGATGAAGTACTTAAATGCAAATTGTGTAACTTTTTCATTGGCGATACAAATGCCGTGGGTGAAACTTGTGATGACAAATTAGATGGTAGCCTCAATGGTGTAGACTCCCCAGCCATCGCAAGTTCAAATGATATGTTGTCATCCATGTCAGAATCATCAGACAGAGCACCATGTTGCCACTTCCGTGGCCTTCTATGGCTAGACTCCATTTAACTATTTATATGTATAGATATTATTTATATATTGTTGTATTGTCTGTTTTATTCTTTTTCTCTCAATGTGGAATTAGTTGCCCGATATTTTAAATTAAAATATTAAGAACTCTGTTGGGTTACTTGAGATCCCCTATTTCTATATTTTCAGTAGTGTTTGGTTAGTTTCTCCTTAACAAAATGTGTTTTCTTGTTCAGATTTGTTGTTAAATCTTTCATTATACCCATCCCTTCAGACATACGTCATGTTGTTTGTTTTGATTTCATATCTGTTTTGATCACATGATTCACTCATGTGACTTCCGCAAAAAAAACATTTGTCGTTTTTGTGACATTCTGTACATAATATGGTTTCTAGAACTTGTCACTTGATATGAATGACTTTTTCCCAGTTGCGTGACGCCCTGCAGGAAATTGAACATTCTCGGGATTTTGTGAAGCTTACAATTTTTCTTCTTTTTCTTACCCGAGTTTCGGTCTTCACCCACGTGTCTTATCATAGTGTGACAATTAGGCAATATTCCTCGTTGATTTGCTTTAAACACTTCTAAAAACTTTGTTTATTTTTTTTTCATTTTTAGCCATTCCAACATCATTCATCGCCACCACAACTATTCTTGTTTACTAAGCCCTGGCCTCGTGTAAATGAAAAAACACCCTTGTTCAGAGTATCATGTCTTAATTTTGATTATTTATGTAGTGTGCTCACTCCTTTGTTCCCCCCATCTGATCTCTTATCTATTTTTTTTTTTTATTTTGCCATTATTATTTTTACATTTAAGCTAATATCTAATAAATATAAACAGTGAAACTACTATTCAATAACTATTCTCAAAATTATTATCATGAACCAAACACTCAAGTTTGTCACCATTAGTAAAAATTTCATAATCCCCTCATTTATTGCAGTAAATTAGTTAATTTTCCTCAATTAATGGCTTAGCTCAAGATGACCGGACTTCACATTTCGTATGATTGATTATATCACTATATGCGCGCGCGCCACTGTTCTCTAACAAACAGATTTTATTTTTTTTAAAATGTTTTAAATTTGCCGTTTTTTTTTTCTAGGCGGCAAGTCATAATTTGACGTAAAGATAAGTTAAATTAACACAGCTTAGCCCATAAATTTTAACTTGTTCCTTTTTCTTAAAAAAACCTACCAACTTTTTTTTACCTATCGCAAGGTCCCTTTCTTAGTTAAACTTGGTTCGAGTTACTTAAATCTCCCGTATGTTTACGATTCTTGAACAGGTTCAAAATGCGAATCCCGACCTATCCTTTTTAGATATTTCCTTCCTCACATTTGAGGCTGTGGTTGAAGTTGTGATTATTTGCTTTGCTGGTTTCATTGCAGCTAAGACTGGACTTCTTAATCTCAATGGACAAAAGGTCATATCTGCACTCAATGTGGATCTTTTCACCCCATGTTTGGTATTTTCCAAACTTGCACCATCCTTATCAATTCAAAAAATGGCTGAGATTGTCATTATCCCATTATTTTATGCCTTATCAACTGGTATATCTTACTTATGTTCCATTATAGTTGGTTCCATGATGGGATTGAATGAACCAGAAACAAATTTCGTCACTGCCATGGCTGTATTTGGTAATTCAAACTCCTTACCAGTATCCCTTACATTGTCTCTTGCTTATACTTTACCAGATTTGTTATGGGATGATGTTGAAGATGATACTCCAGATAAAATTGCTTCAAGAGGAATCTTGTATCTTTTAATTTTCCAACAATTGGGCCAAATTCTTCGTTGGTCTTGGGGTTATAATAAATTACTTCGTAAAAGATCTATTGAAGAATTGAATACTTATTCAACAATTGAAGATGAAGAATCTAATCCTAATGTTAGTAATACCACCAATTATAATAATGATGATGCCATTTACATCACACCAACCATTTCTCATCATCCATCTATTGATCCAAATAGTGCATCTTCCCTGATTGGGGAACCAGAAGATGAAGAAGGTTCTTCAAATAGTGGTAATAGCTCAAGTTCCGACTTATATAAGCCTATCGTTGTCAGAATAAGAACTGCCTCATTCAGAAGATTTCTTCATAAGGTTAAAACTCATCCAATTATTGTTAATTTCCTCCATTTCATGAATCCTCCACTTTATGCAATGTTCATATCTGTTATTGTTGCTTCTGTGCCGTTTTTACAACGTCAATTTTTCACTGATGAATCTACATTTATCCATAACACTTTATCCAATTCAATTAAACAACTTGGTTCTGTATCCATTCCATTGATTTTAATTGTTCTTGGTTCTAATTTATATCCATCAAAAGATATTCCACCAGCATCGCGCCATTATAAAAAGATTGTTATTGGATCTCTTTTATCTAGAATGATTCTTCCATCTTTAATTTTGCTTCCATTCATTACTTTGTTAGTAAAATTTGTTAAGATTTCCATTCTTGATGATCCAATTTTCCTTATAGTTGCATTTATCTTAACTATTTCACCACCAGCAATTCAATTGTCTCAAATTGTTCAATTAAACGGTATTTATCAAAAGGAAATGGCAGGTGTTCTATTCTGGGGTTATGTTATCTTAACATTACCAACAACAATATTTATTGTGTCAACTAGTTTAGAAGTACTACAATGGGCAAAAGTTTAGAAAATGGGAGATTTCAATTTTATATACAATTAAAATTAATAAAAATTAAAGAATGAAAAAATAAAATTAATGACGTATGAATTTGTAGATGTTTAGTTGAGTTAAATGTAATATAATGTATACAAATGGATGTATTTTATATTTTGGATGGTATACTTGTATTTGCAGTAATTGATTATTTTATTTCTTTCAGTTTATGTCATTCATTTCTTTTTCTTTTTTTTCCAAGTGGCACAATACTACATAATTGAAATTTAAAGATACAAGAAACTATAGATAAGACAAGATAAGTGCATGATTAATTCAAAAATGGTGTAACAGAAGAAGTTATCATTTCATTTATCTATGCATCTTTGTATATACACATTAGCATCATATCTTGTGGTTGTATGTTTAATGTAGTTTCCTTCATGGATATACCCGATATACTTTTGCTGTACACAGTCCATAAGAAATCTCATCGTTCTTTTCTTTTTCTTTTCTTGGAGTGTACGATAAGATACAACTCATTATTGCTTTCCATTCTTCATAATCTCCTTTTTTTTCAAACTAGATATTTTTTGCCCATTAAACCTTGGATAAGATATATAATCTATAGTAGGGCACTAAAGAGAACTAGAAAGATAGAAAGGAAAAACAAAATAAGAAAAGAAAAAGAATTGTATTTGAAGAAATTCAAGACACGTACAAAAATATCGCCTTAATTGTCACTTCACCCATAAAAGTCATCACCTACCACCACAATACAATATGGCCAAGGCTCGTAAAATAGCTGTAGTGGGGTCAAGATCCGTTGGGAAATCTTCCATGACAGTCCGTTATGTTGAAGACCATTTTGTTGAATCATACTACCCCACGATCGAGAATCAATTTTCAAAGACCATAAATTATAAGAACCAAGAATTTGAAGTGGAAATTCTAGATACTGCAGGTCAAGATGAATTCTCCATCATGAATCAAAAGCATTTGATCGGAGTACATGGATACTTACTTGTGTATTCTGTTACTTCGAGACAATCGTTTGAGCTTATTGAAGTTATTCGTGATAAAATTTTAAATTCTATTGGTGCAGATACTATCCCAATGGTACTTGTAGGAAACAAGAGTGATTTAAACTATCAACGACAAGTAGATGAAGACGAAGGGAAAAAATTGGCAGCTCTGTTTGGCTGTGCATTTTTAGAGACTTCAGTGAGAGATAACGTGAATATAAATCGTACTTTTGAATATTTGATTGATGAAATTGAATCGATACAGAACCCTACTGTGAAGCAAGAAGAGAAATGTGTAATTGTTTAATTAGAAAACCAAAACAGCTTCATTTATATACCAAATATTTATAATTCATTTATACAAGCATAATAAGAAATTGTAGACTCACAATAAGGAGGATTTCACAATAAGGAGGATTTCACAACAAGGAGGATTTGTACAAATACGCTCTTACTATGTTCTTAGATAGAGATGGTTTTCAAATATATGAAGAGAGTTGATTGGTTTTTAGTCTATGATACTTAATCTTGTAGTAAATAATGGGAAAAATTCAGGCTCACGTGATAGTTGATATATTATCAAACAAACGGATTTCATTAGCTGATTAGAAGATGGTAAAACTTTACAAGAAGAGGGAAAAAAAAGATCACAAAGAATGAGAATAGATAAGAGAGGCAAGAAGAAGAACAAGGGGAAGAAGAGCATTACTGGGCCAGTTACATCAAAGGATGGGGTCCCATATGACTACATTGTTATAGTAGATTCTGGATCAAAGGGGTCGCGGGTATATGTATACAATTGGTTAAATCCTTTGCATATATTTAATAACGGGTTAAACTATGAACAATTAGAACTATTGAAATCTAAAGGGGATCTAAAGTTGGTGAAAAAGTTTGAAATTAAAAGAGGTGATGAGGAAGAATTGACTGAGGATGAAGATGAAGACAAGAGTGATGGTAGTAAAGCGGATAAAGAAGTAAGTAAAGGGAATGAAGATGATAAGGATGATGATAAGGACGATGACAAGGACGATGACAAGGAAGATGATAAGGAAGATGACAAGGAAGATGATACGGAAGATGATAAGGAAGATGATGAATCCGACAATACTGATGAAGATGATGATGATGATGATGTCAAAGATAACTCCAAACAAAATGGTAAAGATAAAGTGCAGCCACTTCCTAAAATTAATACAGAAAAGCTGTGGCATAAAAAGATTAAGCCAGGGATTTCATCTTTCAAATCTAGTCCACAAAAAATCGGAAATCATCATATTCAATACCTTCTTCAACTTGCTAGTTCTGTAGTTCCAAAGTCTGAGCACCATCGTACACCGTTCTTCCTTCATTCCACAGCTGGTATGAGATTACTTGCACCAAATGAACAACAACAAATTCTTGACAATATCTGTACGTATGTACAAGGAAATTCGGAATTTTATTTGCCCGATTGTGCATCCCATGTGAATGTAATTGATGGTGACGTTGAAGGTTTATACGGTTGGTTGTCGATCAACTATATGATCGGATCATTAGATCATCCTGAGAAGCATAATCATGGGAAGAACCATACCACCTACGGTTTATTGGATATGGGTGGTGCATCTACACAAGTGGTATTTCTGCCTAATGCTACGGAAATTGAAGAACATCAGAACAATCTCTTTGATATTACTTTACAAAGAACTTTTCAAAATAAATCTGAAGCACATCTGGGTAATCTTAACTATAAGCTTTACTCTGATTCTTTCCTTGGGTTCGGGATGTATCAAGCACATAATAAGTATTTGACTTATTTGAATGATGAATACACTCAATCGCACTCGAATGAATACGGAAGCATGAATGGTCCCATTTTAGATCCTTGTCTTCCAAAAGGATATATTAGTACAGGTGTGACACTTAATGAAGTAAATGTGGACTTTACTGGTGACAGTAATTTCCAAAAATGTCTTACATCAATTTTCCCTGTTATACTGAACAGTACCTATAGTTCCATGACTCAAAGTTCTGAAAATTGTAAAGAATTTGGTGATGGATCTGAAGTAAGTTCTTGTTTATTGAATGATTTAATTCCTGCGTTTGACTTTGATGTCAACCATTTCATCGGAGTAAGTGGATATTGGGATTCTATTAATAGTTTATTATCGTATGACGAAAAGTTAAAAAGAGATTCCAAAAAGAAGACGAAACTGATGGTATTGGATGGTATGAATACTTATGATTATCAAGTGATTTACAATGAAACGTCAAAAGTATGTTCTAGGTCTCTTAGTGAGCTTATCACATTGAATAATGCCAAAGATAAGAAAGATCAGTTTTCAGAGGAAGAACTATCTGAGCTTTGTTTTAAATCTTCATGGATCTTAAATTTCTTGCATTTAGGTTTAGGCTTCCCCAGATTTGGTATTGATAAAGTTGGTGTAAATGGTGAAAACGAAAAATTCGAATCCTTACAATTGGTTGAACAAGTTGATGGATCTTCATTTTCGTGGACTTTGGGTAGAGCACTTCTATACGCTAACGATGAATTCTCCCAAGCGTATAATAATTTTACCTTAACATCTAATAATCTTACTGTGGCTACCGAAGACATTAAATCGCAACTTATTAATAGATCTGGTTATTACCATACTACTTCGTCAAATGATTTCCACTATGGTGCAGAACAAAAGAGTATTGCCAAAAGACCAGATTTTATTCCAAACAGGGATATACTGAACCTCCCTCATTATAGTTATGAAGATGGATATGAAACTGGTGAAACTGAGCTGAAATGGAATATCGAACCTCACCGTTGGTATGGACTTTTCATTTTCTTACTTATGATTGTAATTATTGGGTTATTGTTATTGGGTAAATCTGGAAGAAGACTGATTATCAATAATATTCAATCAAGGTTTGAACAATTTCTGAACTACCTAGGATCGAAAAAGAAAAATTATAAAGCTGTGCCGATTGAAATCAATGACAACAACTATGATGTTGGGAGTAGCATCGAACTTGAGAATATTGACACTCGTGAAGAGAATGATGATTCCAAGTTTCAACTTGACAGCGAGGAAGAACTGGTTTGAAAATCAAAAGAAAGAGCCTCTACGTTAATACATATTATGAATTTAAAAGGATTTCATGTAGTCTTTGTATTTAATCTGATAACACAACTTTTTCCAAGTCTAAAATTTTTACTTGAATTGACGGCATCTTACTCCGTTGATGGTGTTTTAACAGACCCCAACCGTTCCTTGTCCATATTAACCGTTTAAAAGAGCCATTCTTGAATGGCTTGTACAAAAGTGCACCAGCACCGTCAAGTTTCTCCAGTGGCACTGTAGTTGATCGGATGACTGTATCTATGAGTTGAGAATCAATGAGATGATATATACGACGTGCCAATTTCTTTAAGAAATCGTTCTTACGTTTCTCTGTTTTATATTTGAGTCTAATCAAGATATCAATATGTTCTTCCAAATTAATCATGAACAATTTGAATAAATGCATTCTTAGAAAGAGTCTCTCTTTCTTGGTTTTGATGTTGTATGTGCTAAGTGGGAATGAGCTCAAACTGTGGAGTTGAATTGGCAAACTGATTTCAGTAGAACCTGATTCATTCCATAAGTATAGTATTTTAGGCTTCTTCTTCTCAAATATTTGAAATTGGTTGCTCTTGAGAGGAATGTCTGGAAGCATGAGAACTCCACTATATTCACGCAGAATTTCACTTCCCAATCTTCTTCTCAAGGCAGATATTAAGTTCGAAGTTACATCTACAGTCTTATTAGATCTGGTAGGAAATGGTTTATAATCATCAAGACTCTGTACTTCGATACATTTCTCCCGAAATTCAACCTTTTCAATAATCGCACGAGTATCGATATCAGGATGGATAGTTATTGAATCATTTGAAGAATTGAGTTGTTTGTCTCTATCAGTCTCAAAGTCCAAGTCTCTCTTATGAACTGGCACTGTGGTCTCATACATCTTTAAATCTTTTACAAGCTCCACTGGGAGTTCTTGTTTAGTTTCTCTTTGTTTTCCCCATCTTAATGGTATTCCAGAAAGTGAAACATCATAGCCAGGAACATTATATGGCATTCTAAATGGATTAATTTCCAATCTGAATTGTTGAGGGGATAATGGTAACAGCAGGTCTTCCCATCTTCTCAACAGCTTGAATTTATCGTTGATACCGTTTATTCCTTGTGTAATATCGTTCACGAGATCATTAACCGGTAATCCAAATCTTTCGTAATATTTATTATGGACTGCTTCATCAGTGTCAAGTTTCTCCAAATCTTTATATATTTTTTGAATCCCCTCTAATGTGTCAGTCAGGTATTTCGATGAACCCTTGTTTTCCTTGTCAGCTTGTATTCTTAACTCAATGGTAGCAGGGAGATCCTGGATAAGGTTTTTTCGTATTTGTAATCCCTCTGGTTCTACCGATAAGAAAGGCTTGTCTCCATCAAGAAACTTCTGATATTTAAGCTCTTGTGGAGTCATAGAGTTTATCTTCTCCATCGTTCGTTGAACTTCTTGATCAAGCATATGTGGATATGCTGGAGATGCTTGATCTTGAGACGACACTGTGAGTTTGGATATCTCGGTTGTGGTATTATTTTTCGATTCAGACCTCTTGAGAGATGAACCTAATAATACTTGTTCTTTTTGAAACAGATGTCCATCCGAATCATCATCCTTGAATCGTACATTACTGGTGGAGAACAAAAGTTTGGATCTAACATAGGTTGCCGATCTCGGGATCGAAGAGCAACGCAATAGACGCAGTGCCACTAGCATATTAATAGCTTGTTAAAAGTCTCTATGTTTGTAGCACCACTACAAATATATATATATATATATATATATATATGTATTCCTTTATAAAATGCTCAAATACTGTGGTGTATTCTAATTTATTCCCCATGAAATCGACTGACTAAGGCCGGTATATAAATGTAGAATGCTTTCCTTTTTTTTTTTTTTATCTTCATTATTTTTAAACTCCTTAAAATACGAATCTACAATCAAAAAAAAAATAAATGATAAACCCCAATTGTAATATTATAGAAAAAAAATACCCAATATATAATAAAAACCTTTAAACCAGAATTGAATGTATGTATGCAAAGTTGTGAACTAGTATGCGTTTGTTGGAATAGAGTTATTCTTTGCGTACTGGTCAAGCATCTTTTTAAGTTCTTGTTCTTCCCTTCTTGCAGTAATTTCGATTCTTGGATCAACAGTCTCCTTTTTAAGTACACCTCCAAAGTCAGAGTTTGCAGGAATCGTCACTATCTTCTGCTTAGATAACATATTAGCATCGGGAGATGATTCATGGGAAGATACAGATGAAATAGATGATGTAGAATCTTGTCTGTTGTGCATACTGAAGTTTGAAGTGTTTGAATTCGATCTTGCAATGTACTTGTCTGAAGATGATCTTCTTCTTTGTCTTGGCAGATGTTGTTGTTGTTGTTGAATTTGTTGCTTTTGTAAGTATCTTCTCATGTGGTGAGTTCTAGTTATATCTTCCTTGATTGGTTCCAAGAACTTTGCCAAATGTAAACACATCTCTTCGTTTGAGACTCTCAAGTCCCAATTGAGCAAAAATAATAATTGTCTTTCCATTAAATTAATATCTTTGACTGAGAATAATCCATCGGTGTATTTGGCCCAATGAATGTTCTTTGGGGATGAATCATTATGATTCTTTGAAGATAAAATCAAACAAGAAAGAAGAATTCTATGTCTGGTACAAGGTAAACCTTGCGCGTTCTTTGGTAATTTATTCTTCAATCTGTTCAAATACACAAGTGTTGCCAATAAAGTTCCACTATAGACGTTTGTATATCTGACAAGTTTGGTGAGAAATGTCATGAGAGAAGGAAGTTGTCTTTCTCTGGATTCAGGAGATGATGGTGGAGAAGGATATTTTGATTCCTGACATGGTAAGACTTGTAAAGTAGCCACCACAAGCTTATGAATCATATCTTGCGACACAGGTGAATTAACTAAAATATTAAGGGCCTTGAGTGATGTAGGTGAAGCAGTCATCATGAATGAATGTAAAAGGTACTAAAATTTAGAATGGAAAGGAAAGAATTGATAAAGCAGTTAGAGGTAACATTAATCAACCCCAGAAATATGGACTTGTATCTATATATATATATACATATATTTGCATGATGGCTATGCATGATTGTAGAATGAAATTATTTCCAAATGCACAAATCGATCAAAATATTTCAAAGGAGTCTTACAATGATTACCAAACGCGCTTGATACAAACACTTTACAGGTATAAAAAATCAGGGATGAGAATAACACAAACTTGGCGAATGCAGAAAAACCAGCAGAATCATCCAAAAGTGGCATAATTAGTGGTCGGTAGAGCGTTGCGTCGCCCTTACAACTCAGGTACAGAACTACATCTAGATGGTGAGACGCGATTGAGTTTGTTTCGGAAAACGCGAAAGTTTCTCTCGCGAAACGTGTCTGAAATATGTTTTGGAAGTATTATTTGCAGGATTCAGGCGCACAAAGACTCCTTACAAAGTGCCTTAACCAAGACTTCGCGAATAATAGGGTGATGAAATGCACAAAGCCCGGTTTAAAGTTCTAATTTTATCCAATCCAGCTCTCCCTTTGTGTGTAAAATTTACACCATTATCAAATATTTCTACATTCAACTGAACACGAAAGTCAATCAAAGAATGTAAAAATGTAAAAATGTAAGGCGCGTTCTAGCGGACAACAAAAACCAATGTGAATATTCTCTATTGTAGTACGAAAGTAGGTAAATCTTTCTTCAGCACAAAATGGTACAGAAAGAACCCTTTTATCTTACAAACACTACATTTCTACAAATTTTTGATTTTTGATTGTTCAACAAATATTTTATTAAGATAATATATCAATATTTCATCATCTGAAATTGTTAGTAAATCTGGTTAATAAAAATAAATAAAATTATTATCAGAATTAATAGGTCTTGTCAGAAATTTGGGTATACTGAGTCGTTCATGTTTTGAGTACATCAGACTGGTGCACAGCGATCTTGTCGTCATTTAGATCCTATATCTGTAATAATGCAAATGCATATTTACATACCTTGACCAGCAAGATTAAGAGATAAAGAAGAAGGAGCTTCTTATTGTAGTAAAGAAAAAGAAATACTATAATTTTCACATTTTAAGTTTCTTTTATAGACTTTTTCCTCAAATGCCGGGTAACTTTTTCTCTCTGAAGACAATTCGGGCTTCTCTTGTTCTGTTTTTTTTTTTTTTGTCTTCTTTTTTTTGTGTAAGTTTGGTACTTTTCACAAATACTTACAGTGTTTGGCTGCAAACAAAACAGCTAGTTTTTTTTATAATTCGTAATATATTAGTTAATTAGTTAAAGTATTTTATTTATTTCCCAGCAACAATTCATCCGTTGCTCCCAGTTTTGCGATATTTATATCAACAGGTAATTCACTGTTCAAGTCAAATGGAAACATGTCAAAGTCGCCAAAAAATGTACTACTCTCGTCAGTATTCCCATAGTGATGGCGACCATTTGAATTTTCCATATCTTTCCTTTGTGTGTTCCTTTGTTGGCCACCATTATTAATGGGGGTATTAATGTCATTGTAGTTCGAGTTGTAGACGGTGTGAGGTAGGTCATCAGTAAATTCGGGAACATTCCCATTTTTCATTGATGCAATTTGAAACCATAATTGGTCAATTACATCAGAGTTCATAAGATTTAATTCATCTGGATCTGACATACTATTACTTGAATCGACGGTGGATGCACTGCTCTCATTCCAAGGGAAGTCCAAAATGTGCTTGGATAGTCTTCTAGAATCTTGTTTTGGATCTATTGGTGGTGGCTCTGTGGTGGAAACTGGAGCAGCAACGGTAGTTGTAGCTGTAGGGAAGTCTGAGCCACTACGTACCCCAGGTGGAAGTTTTCTTTTATATTTTGCCAACGGAACATTAGTGATTGTAATCAATTCGTTTATTTGTTCCAAAGAAAGCACAAATGACATCCCAGTTTCTGAATCCAGTTGTGAATAAACATCATCTTGATACATGACACTTAAAAGAAATTGATGCGATTTGCTAATCCTCCATGCAAAGTAGTATCTATTACTTAATGTCATCAATGCTGAAATGCAAATTTCGGCACATTTTTCCATATTTGAGGAAAGTTTGCATAATCTTGCAAATAACATTTTATAAGCTGGGTCCGTATTTTGTAAATTTTTATGTTGACTTGAGTACTTCATCTTGTGAATCCTCATATTAAGTCTTACAATAACCAAAAAATTTATTTGGTTGCATTTGTGAAGGGTTTCTTCTATTGTTGGATTCAAGAACAACAGTGCACCCTCTTCAAAATATGTATGCATATTGCCAATCAAATTAGCAAAATATGGTAATAATTCACTATTAGAATTAGTTAGCATTTTCCTTAAATAGAAAAATGACAAATCAGCTTTCCCCTTATTCTCATAATACAAGAATAAATGAATATACAAACTCAATGAAAAATATTTCAAATGTAAGTATTGCCTACATTTCTGAGCTTTAAGAAATGGGTATCCAAATGCTTTGGCATCAAATGGAGTAAGAAGATCGTTTAAAGATCCGAAAGTGTGCTCAAGAAATTGTTCATAATCGGATATTCGTTCTGTTAATTCCTTAACATTCACAAAGGACTTTAAATCGAGGCACATATCAAGAATAGATTTAATCATTGAAAGGAAGCGATCAGAATACAAAAAGCTCCCAACAATATGTTTCTCTAATTCCGCGTCAGCAATGTTTGCATTTTTTTTGGTAAAAAAAGGAACTTTTGTATCATATACATTGGGGTCCACAATCATAGGATGGCCAAAAGTAAATGCCTGAATCAAATCTGTTATCACTAAAATATACCAAATTTTCCTTGATATATTCGCAATTTTTTCTTCTTCTGGATCTATGGGATATTCTGGTTCTCGATGTATTCCAATGGAGTATGCCATCAGAATAAGTAGTCCGGATGTAATTTGTGACTTTCCCCCATCAGCACCATCTCCATCCTCGGGTGCATATTTGTAATAAAGACGCATCAATAATGAACACTGGAGAACCTCAATACTAGGCTTTTGCAAGATTTGGAATTGCTCCAAGCAAAGTTGCGCTATCCCAACCACATCAATATTGATTGGATTAGATAATAGATACTTCAAATCTTTTGCTTTATTAGAGGTATCTTTCGAGTGCAAGTTTTGTTCATTTACTCCATTTCTATTCAGAAACAATGACAAATATGTGAATCTCAATATAAGTAATAATATTCCTATATTAGCAAATTCTAGTCTTTTGTTTATTTTAAGAGTAATTGATTTCTTCGTCAGATAACTTTCTGGTCCCAAGATCTTCACCATTTCTCCTTTGAATAATCCTTCATCGATAATTGGGAGATATGGATAAACAGTTTTGAAAAATCTATTAATAAGCATCCAGATGACTTTTTGAGGTGGTAAAACTACTTGAATTTTTTCAATCAACTTTAATTCTTGATTCATTTTCCCCTCGAATAATGTTAATCCCCTACTTAATGCATTCTCGTTCATCTTTATTCGTTGTTCAGTTATTTTTTCTTCTTCTGACATCTCGCTACTTTCTGGTTTATCCTTACGTTGGTCAAATGGACGAATATCATTATATCCATCTCTATCAAGAGCCCGTTCTGTAAATTCTTTCTCGGTATTATTAGCAACTTTCAGATCGATAGAGCTGTCTTCTTTACTAGAAAAATCTTGAAGACATGAAACTGAGACTGAAGTGTGTCCTTCTTGACCTGGGAAAAGTTTAGTTTTAAATCCGCGAGAATATAATATATGTTTCCACAAATACATAACCAGATGATCCTTTTTCACAATGGAGAGCCAAGAAAATGGTCCAGGATTAAATCGTTTCTTCAACTCTTTGAAATGAATATCGGTATATTTATCATAAAAATTAATTGTCTCGAATGGTGATGCTATTGGATTGATTCCAACATATTTAGATAAAGTTGTGGGGTTACCCTTATGATCAAACACAATTCCCGCACTATTATTACCTGTCTGATTATTGACCCAATTGATTGGTGGTAATTGTACTGGAGAATCTTGGCCAGAGCTTGGGATAGACTTCAAGTTGTTTCCAGCGGCAGGAGAATTTTGTTTTTCATTGTCAAGCCCTTGTGGGTGTGCTGGAAGGGGTACGGAATGTGGGGTTCTATAATTTTGTTGTCGATATGAGCCGTCAAGAGGTGATTGCCACTGTGAATAGTTTGCATAATCTCTGGGTGAATTTCCATGGGTGGGGTGTCCTGCTTGGAATAGATTGGCTACCGTTATAGATGCTTCTATTTGATTTATTTTATCCTTTAATTCTTCTGAACGAGCCATAGGATCTTTATTAGTTGGTTCGACTGGCCTCTTGCTTGGTATGAGGTTGGATCTTTGTTGCTGTTCAACTAAATACATAGGATGTGGGCGGTACATATCAGTCCTTCTTGGATCTTGTGAAGGAGGACCAACTTGCTGACTAATCTCTACCGGAGGTTTATCTACGTACACAGGAGTGCCATACATTTGTATCGGGGTTGGATATGTAGGTGGATATGGCAGTGGTTGAGTGACTTCATATGGAAGGGGTCTGTCAGTACGATTATCTATGGGAGCGATTGCCACATTTGTATTTCTATTGGGATAACCGTCGAAAGTGGTTGCAGATCCAGGTTCTGTTAGTGCAACTCCTGCAGTTGGAGTCTTTATCTCAGGCCATGACTCATCAGGGTAAACACAACTCGACTGCAGCTTGAACTTTATACATGAAGAGCATGGCCTTCCCTTGTCACATTTTACTTTCCTCTTCTTACATGTGGTACACACCAATGTCATTCTATTTCTCTTTCTATCCGACATATCCAACAGTAATTTATATTATATTCGAATATTGGACTGTCTAACGTTTTCCTAAACTAGAAAACAGTAGATGCGTTCCAGTAGAACGTCTATTTTGAATGGATCTAAGTCGATTTTGACTTCTACAAGGGTTACCTTCTTGTAATCATCGATGAATTCTGATATTCTACTATTTTGAGATATCGCCCAAAACAGACTTAACTCCGAAACAACCTCGGTTATATCTATCTGCAGTCTGCCCCCAGATTACATTTACCGCCAAACATGATTTTAAATATTCTCTATACATTTTTGAACTAAACTAAAACCCAAATGCACCTAAGGAATCTTGATCAAGATCAGTATAAACATCAAATAGCTTGATGAGATCTTCATTTTGACTCATTGGGTTGTCACCTAGAATAAAATTATTTATAGCTGAATACATTGATGTATCTCCACCTCCAAATGGGGTCGATCCAAACGATGCTGTTGTGTTGTGGCCCATCATTCCTGGTAAAACCTCCATTAATCCTGTTCCAGAATCCATGGGAAATTGAGTATTCTCTTCATTATTAGAAGTTGAGCTTCCGTCCTTTTGTTTGTAAATCTTATTTTGCTCTTCCTTGGCTATCCGGAATTCTTCACACATGCGGCACAAATGTTCCAATTCGGCAACTGTGAAGAATTGTATCATGTTTGTACCCACATGGTATAATCCTGCAATCTTCTCCGAGTTTTCGAAAAATATTTCTGGATTTGCCATACATTGACGAATGACAAAATAAACCATTACATAAACTCTATAGGAGTTGATATATTTGCTGCTTAGTTTCCGGAAATTCCCCACGAAAAGTTCAGATTCGACAATGACAATTGAAAAAAGTGTCTCTAGTACTTCAAGTCTTGTCATAATCTCTTCGTCATTAGGATTTTGCATTCTTTTGAAAGTTAACTCTTTAATATGATGAAGTAAGCGGATGAAAAATGATGTTAAAAAACTATGAGTTTTAATCATACATCTTTCATTCACTGAGGTTAAGATATAATCGTAATTTTTTCCAAAGAGCTCCACAGAATGATCTAAAACATATGACATGATGTATACAAGCTGGACCACACTCTTGATATAAATCTTGAAAAGTTCAATACCAGCACTCATTGATGGTGTCTTATCTTCATTGTATTTGTTTTCGTAATGTACTGCAATCATATAGTACATACACGAAAGATTAGTTCGAAGCTGAATAAAAGTCATGAATTTAATCACTTTGATGTACGATTGTTCATGTCTAATGAGGTCTTGTTCCGTAGTTGGTGGAGATCCAGAATAATCCGAATTGGCGTTAAGATCAACATTGGCGGGTGTAGTAGGGCTCTCGTCTTTTTCAACTGGTAAGCAAATATAATCCTTGAAGAAATCTTTACCAAAGAAATTGAAAAATATTCGTTCAAGTTCATTAGTTTCAGTTAAAATACTAACAACTTTTGGTTTGTTTTTAATATTGCTAATTTTGTTAACAATATTTCTATATGATTGGCAAATTAAATCAATATTTTCATAGATATGTGCCAACTCTCCAGTTTTACTCTCAAACTTGGGAATTTCCACATCTGAAATATCCAAACTTTTAATATTTAGCATCGTCCCGCAATGCATAGCTGTCAAGGCATCTGTGGTTATAATATAATGCCAAAGGTTTCTCCAAGTAGACATTAATTGACTCTTTTTCCGAATCAGGGTTGAGAAGAATTTAGATGGATCACGATTTAATCCTATGGTCATTGCATGCTTGATAATGACTCCCAAAGTAAGTTGGCCGTCTGATCCACTTAATCCATGACAATCGTCAGGAGCTACCAGTCGATAGAAATAAAATAAGGTTAGAGCTTGAATAAGCTTTAGTGAACTCTTCTCGAGTGCCGCTTCGTCGGGAATACATAAGCGAATTACTTTCCCATATTCCTCTGAACTCACTTGTTTCATATCATTCAATGCATTTAATTCATCCTCTCCGTATTCATTATTACCTTCATTGTTATGAAGCATAGACATATATCCTAATCTAACAGAGATTTAAGTTCAATGGGAACCTGTCCCTGAAAGTGAAACAACCAGTTTCATATCCAAACACCCTTGATCTTACACAATTTCTGTCTGATAACTCACCAACAAAATACGCAACTCCATCTTGGAACCGAAAAGCTAGTCAAACTTGGTCATTTAGAGGAAGTAAAAGTCGTAACAAGGTTTCCGTAGGTGAACCTGCGGAAGGATCATTACAGTATTCTTTTGCCAGCGCTTAATTGCGCGGCGAAAAACCTTACACACTATGTTTTTCTAATTTGAAACTCTTGCTTTGGTCTGTCTTAGAAATAAGTTGGGCCAAAGGTTTACACCAAACTTCAATATTTATATTGAATTGTTACCTTCATTGTTATGAAGCATAGACATATATCCTAATCTAACAGTCAATAACAAAAGTGCTAATGTGTTTAAATCGTGGGAATGACTAATAGATATTTCTGTATACTTTTCTTGAATAAACCTTGGAAATCTTTCGGGAAATAATTTATTCAAATCTTTAATGAATGAGTTCTCATCAATAATTGGAATGAATGCATGGACATACTTGAAATATCTGTAGAATAAAATAAACAAGTTCTTTTGAGAAGGTAATACTAATAACACTGACTTGATAATCACGTCATTATAAAACTCCTCCTGCGACTTTTGACTTTTATTTAATGATTTTATACCAAGAAAGGTCTCAGGGATTGTAACCTTGATCTTGGCTTCTGCATCTTTCTTGGCTAATGCCTCTTTCGATAAACTTATCTTAGATACAATAAGACTATCTTCAATTCCAATGTCGTCATCTTCATCTTCATCGGTGTTCTCCTTTTTCACATGGGGGTAACCATTGGTGCCAGTCCCATGATCCAATGTCTTATCCGGGTTGTCATCTAAGGGCAGGTGTTTTCTTTTTGACAGCCCAGTATTATCCACACTTGCTTTTCTCTTCTTGGAATATTCAGTTAAAAAGTACTTTGATAATTCACCGGATTTGAATAAATTGACAGCATATGATCTAAGAAATTTTATGAAAGGATCACTCTTTGTTAAAGCTGTATATGAAAGTGAACCATGCTGTTGCCAATTTGGACCATCGATGACCATCGAGTAACTCCCATGGGAAAACACATCCATTGTATCATGTGGGTTAACTTTTAATGTGGAGTTGGGCCCAATTACAATCGATATCAACAGTTGGCCATGTGCCGTTCTGGGTAGATTGTTGAGAGAAGGGAAGACTGGACTATCTCTCTCTAATGGTGCTAATTGCACATGATGATCTTTATCAGCGTTACCGGTTAATGGTAACATTTTGTTTTGTGGAGGGGTGAACGTATTAGGAAGAACAGGACGCTGAAGTGCCGGTGCACTGGTTGAGGTATTGTAATTCAGTGCTGGTAGTGGTAGTGGCTGTGGACCGCGATGATGCAGTGATGATGATGATGATGATGAAATTGATGCGCCGGTCGCATTGGTCACAGAAGCCCCCGATCTACTTCCCAGGCTACCTGGAGTTGATTCTGGTGTACCACTACCGATACTTCCGCTGCCAGCAATACTACTGGTACTGGACGGTATTGTCACCCCGCCGGTGTGTGCCAGGTTAGAGTCAATAACTATGTCAGTCTCCACGGATTTTTGTTGAGACCTTGAACCATTTTTGACCTTAGCATGATGTTGCATTTTGGTCCTCTTTGTCTGACCATCTCCAACAGAGGGGCTAGGGCCAGTAACGGATCGTTGCTTTATGTGTTGTTTGTGGGAATGAGATTGTGTTCCCTTCGATGAGAGTTCGTTTAGTTGAGAGTCTTTAACTTTTCGGGGCTTTTGTGTTGGGGACTGCTTGAGTTGTGTAGCCGGCTGTGATTGAAGCTGTTGGTTCTGTTGATGTTGAAAATGCGGTTGTGATTGGTGTGTGAGAGGAAGTGCGTGTGAATGAAGTTGTTGTATTGGCGGAACGGGCGGAACAGGCTGAGGTTGATTCAGAGGTTGAAGTTGAGCTTGGGTTTGAGTTTGAGTTTGATTTGGATGTGCATGTGAATGTTGAGCTTGGGGAGATTGATGCGGTTGAGAATATTGGTGATGTGATGATGCCAGATATTGTGGTTGAAATTGAGGTTGAAATTGCTGCTGCGCTTGTTGTTGGACTCGTTGAAATTGTGATTCTTGTTGAGAAGAAGAAAGTTGGATTTGTCCAGAAGTTTGTTGAAGCGACTGTGGAGGTAAGCTTCGTACATGCACATGGTTTTGAGAGGTTGAGTCTACACCTGTAGCACTTACAGTCCCATTTGGTGGAGCATAAACATACAACAGTTGATTTGTAGGGGCGAATGCCATTTGAGTGACTCCTCCATGTTGGTTAATTCCTCCTCTAGGAAGTTGTTGCCTAGTTATATTGGCCTGATTCGAATTCGGTACATGTTGAAATTGGTGATGAATTGGGGCTTGATGTTGTATATTTGGGTCAACAAATGGGATATCCGGAGCCAAGACAAATTCATTTACAAGAGTTCCATCGTTTAAGCCGTTACCAGTACCACCATTCTCAGCTTCGTAGAAACATAAATGGGCTATGGATTTCTTTTTACATGAGCCACAAACAGGTCGGACCCTGTCACATTTGGACTTTCTCTTGCGACACACTGAGCAAGATGAAGGTGTACGATGACGCTTCACATGATCTGACCTATTATGTGGGTCAGCCATTGTTATGTAAGGGTATTGAAGCTCAAAATGGATATAAAAATAATATACCCTTTAATCGATAATGTACTTGATAAAGTGACTAGAAGTTCTCCACTTTCTATATGCACGCGATTACAGAACTAATACAAACCCTTAAAAGTGACCAAAGGTGGGGTTGTATAAGATTAAGGGTATTGTATTATGGTATCCTATGAAGAAAAAAAAAACTGATTTCCTACAAAGTTATTACATGTACTTCTTCAAGAATAAACTGGGGTTTGACAATGGTGGATGTAAGATATAGACATTTTTGTGCCACCTCTTCCACACATATAGATTATTAACGCTAGGTGCTGATGTAATATTGCGTGCATTAATTTGTCTGAGAAAGAAAGAGAAAAATTGAACTGAAAAAAAAAAAAGTTAGAATAGGATAAAATTCTGCTCCAATAGAAACATATGAAAAGCCAAGGGGGTCTTGGAAAATACAAGGTGAGGTATAGCTCCAGGTGTACAATAAGTATATAGGGGACCAGAGTCAAAAAAAATCATTTTAGAGGCAATACTACATGTCCTAGGTTGCTGTCGCCTCGAATAAAAATTATACCACATCAAAATCGCAACATGCACAGAAATATGCAAGCGATTCATGGTGAGGTGATAAAATTGTAAGAATTTTAGACTACTTTGAAAACTATACATGTACTAATTATAGAGGGGGGGGGGGGGCACATAATCCAGCTATGAAATTAGAATCTAATAGTTAGCAAATGAGGGGTATTGAGAATTTCTTGGTGCTTCAAATAAAGATATAGTAGATTAGAGATGTGAGGCGCTTATAGATAAGTTGATGCTCGTTAATTAATTTCCATAGTACCACTGCATTCGGTTAAACAAAAATAATAGTGGGGATATATTTTTCGTAATTTTCTTGAGTATTTTTATTTAGAATCTCAATGTGGTATATTTTTCTCCCGCCATTAGTTTGGGCAGTGATTTGAATTTCGAAATAATACTGTGCTTCTTGAAGCGAGAATGAAAAAACAACCATTATTATGACATATGTTTAAAACTAGATTTTTTAATAAAAAATATTCTTTCCGAGGCTTGCTGAAATTAAGGAGAATTTTATTTATTTCTAATTTACTACAGGATTTGAGAAGGACATATACGAAACTTAATACAATTTCTGCTTAATCTTGAGGTTTTCATTGGTATCTCAGTGGAATCTTTCCAGTGCTACGTGGTAATTAATATAATTATTCTATCATTCTTTACGCTTCTGAAAAACATAGATTTTGAATGCCTTTATCACATTTTTAATTAGTGCCCCCCCCGCCACTAAGGAATTATTTTTCCTGACAAACTAACTCTCTAATAATTTTCGTAGATTTAGATTCTATGCCAGATCGCGCGCGCGCGTGTTTTCACCATCCCGATCACATAGCACAAAAAAATAACGCGTAAATATATATTGAATGTCTGAGCCCTTATCGACTGATGCTTGTATGAGAGAAGAGTTTCTATAGACTGAGGATATGTCTGGCTACGAATATAGTGACGCAGAAATTGATCTTGATGGGTTCATTGTATCTGAAGATGAGGAACAACAACAACATGATAGATCGTTGTTAGCGGAAGATGAGATGCCCCATGATAGAATACTTGATATAACTAATACCTTAAAACCCAATGAAGACCAAACTCAGAAGGTACTTAAGGCGCACATTTCAGTGTTGGTTTCGGCATTGGGTGGTCCAGACCACACTTCCCAACAAGTACCAGCGCCATATAAGCTTGGACAAGACGCGTTGGCCTGTTTGAAAGATATAAAACGATGGATAAAGGCAGTTGACGAAAGAACCAATAGTTATGATGTAGCACTTGCCTGTGCAGACTCTGGTCTTGTAGTAAATGATCTCACCAGCATCTTGTGTCAATGGGACAGGAAACATCAGAAGAAGGAACCAATCCTCAATGCAAGAACTACAGAGAAAGTTATGTTATCATGTCTTGAATTATTAGTTTTACTTACTTGGCCATTAGAATTGACTCCTGAACTGTCAACCAAACAAAGAATTGCCTATCCAAATTTAAAGAAAATTCAAATCACATACAAGAAGCATATACTTGCATTTAATAAGGGACAAACTTTGAAGGCTGTGATTAGACTTGTTCTTCCAATAGTTAGTAAACCTAGACTTGATAGAGAACCTAGAGATAATGCAATCATTAGAATGGCACTCTTTTTCGTCAGAAATATACTTTTCATTGAACCTGCAAATACTACAGTTTCCAGCAAAGTACGGAAGGAAATTGTTAATCTTGATAATATGCCTGCAAATGTAAATCAGGATGATATATCACTTAACGCAGTATTACAATGTTTCCAAAATAACAAGGTACTTATTTTCCTTTTGACCATTGCAGGATCACTAGGAACGGAATTTGATAGACAAATGTTTGGTCATTGCACTTTGGAATGTATATATTTGATAATTAAAAGGATCAGACCTGAAGTTGAGTTCACACAGTCATCGAACAATAATTCATCAGCTAGAGTTACATCAGAACCGACGACAAATTCTGCAACCGGAACGCAACTCCAGAACTTACTTAATAAAGAATCCAAGAAGAAACAACTCCAAAACCTGAGTGTATCTACAAGACATGGAAGATTTGGATCTCTTCTATCCATTCAAGGAGATACCACCTCATATGTAGTTTCAGGACAAGATGCTTTACATAATACAGACTCTTCATTGGCCAAGTTAGATAGTACCAAGAAGTGGCATCATCGTACGACTTTCAAATATGATGCTGATGACTATGTAACAACTGAACTGGAATTCCTTAATTCAAATGCTTCATTAATATTACGTGAATTTCTTGACAGTTTCCTTGAAGGTGGATGTTTCAATAATTTGATTGAAGGGGTTAGTTGGCTTCTTACTTCTAATGGTGACCTTGCCTTCAGTGATCCGTACGAACGTGCAGCTTATTTCCTTACTGTAGCATGGTTTTTCGGCTATAAGAGAGAAAAGGTTATTAGATCTAACGTAGAAGCTGATTATGGATCGGTTGGCGCTGGTTTAAATGAAACTAATTTTGTATTACTTTTGAGTTATTTCAGAACTTCTTTTGAATCAAAAGATTGGAGTTCACTTCATGTTGCAATGATTTGCTTTAGAGAAATGCTTTCAATTTCAAATTCAATCTTTTCTAAAAACAGAGAGAAAATTGCTGAAGCAGACGAAGAACAAGCTATTCTCGATAAGGAACTTGCAGAGGGTATTATACATAAACTTTTTGAATCTAAAATGTTCCTTGACTTGATTGTTGAAATCCCTAAAACCGCAGCAAAGCACTCACCCGATTACTTGAATGTATCTGTTTCGGTGGTTTATATCGTTTTGAAAACATTTGAAAGTTTTGCAAATGAAGATATTGCACTTTACGTTAAAACTAAAAGAAGACAATCCAAAAAGAAGAAGAATAGCAATAATTTAGACCATAGTACTGAAATGCAATTCAGAGAACTCATTGAAGGTTCTGGGTCTGAAGACGAACAACAAGAAGAGTTGGTCAAACTGGTTTCTAAAGAACGTAGACTTGATTTTAAGGAGACGGAACTCAGATTTTTTCATCCAGCAACGGTTTCAACATATATTGAATACTTATCCCGATACGAGGATTTGTCACACGAGGAAATAAAGAGATGTTTATCTTTCTTCCATCGATTATTTGTTGTTCGGAAAGATTTCACAAATTTATTCCGCTTAGACTTTATGAATTTGATACATAAATTAAGATTAGATTTACCATTAAGTTCAAGTATACGAAGTCATGTGGATGAATTCATATACTACTTCATGAAGAAATTTAAGCAAGCTTTTAAACGGTTCCCTCTCCCAATTGAAATTTTATTCCCACGTATTGAAGATGCTCAATACAAGACGTATCTTGGAAGTGGTGAACTCCATATCAAAGAAGAGAAGGCTAAAAGACCTCCTCGTCTCGGAAAGGACTTGGAATTTATTCGTGATACGTTCAGTTTGGATGAGAAATTCAAGATTATTATCACAGCGTTGCTCGAACAAGAGAAAGCAGGATTTCTTTCCTGGTTTATTACCGAGTTGGATCTTTTAATCAAGAAAAGAGTTTTGGAAACATCTTCTATTATTGGAATGTTTTTGAATCTCACACCAGAATACAAAAGATTATTGATCAGTAACTCACATATTAGAGTTTTCGTTGCTCTAGTTGGATTTGAATTGCCTTATATTATGGATGAGAATTGTTTACTTCCATCAAGTATTTCTACTGATAGCTTATGTGAAAAATTGGAAATTATTAAAAAATGGATTGCTTCCCAACCAGCATCATTTGAAGATGGAAATGATGCTTCATACTTTTTAAGAACTAAAGATTTCGAAGATGATGAATACGAAGGAATTAACTACAGAAATGGAGGTTATGACAACGATGATGAGTCTATTGCATTTGAAACTGAACCTTCTGGAACTGGTGGATCTTATTATGGTAGTCAATTAGACGCTTTAGATGAATTAGAACTGGGAATTCCTCGTGGAGTTGCAAGAGTGAAAAACAGAAAGCGGAAAGACAAACCTTCAGAGAAAAAGAAACACAAGAAGGAATCTCGTAGAAGGCCACCAAGATTCAATGTTAATTCAGATGATGAAGAAACTGCTCATGCCCCGGTTAAATCGGCCGAATTTGTTCACGATTCAGATGACGAATCTGATAATGAAGAGTTTTTTGCTCGTGAAGAGAGATTGAGACAAATGCTTGAGTCATCAGGGGGTATTGTTAACCCACAACAATTGGCTGAGTTTAAACAAGCTTGGTCTCGATTAGAGAAGAATAACGGTTCCATTTCAACTTCTGTGACAAAAGCGATAGAAAATACGTTATTTGTTGAAAATGATCATGACGATGAAGACGACGTTGCCAACGTTGAGCCAAGGATGGCCGACAAGGATTCATTTGAGTCAGATGCTGACAGTATAGATGGAAATCTGCAAAGTTCAAATACTGCTGACTTTGAACAAACAAAGAAGCGGAGTAGAAGTTTTGAAGAATCTGAGCAATTAGAAAGCGCCGAAGCGGATGAAGCTGAAGAAGAAGAACAACATATATCGAGAAAGAAAAAGAGATTGGTAATAAGTGACGACGAAGATGATGATGACGAATAAAATATTTTTTTAGAAAACTAATATACAAAATTTTAAATAACCAAACCTATTAATCTGCAACACAATGTCCATTAGATTTGTCATGCAAGCTATTATATATACTCATGTAAGAGCTAATGACCATAACCAAAAATCCAAAAATTGCACATCCGACGGTCGGAAGGACTGTCTGTAGAATAAACAGACGTTTTTCAGACTTGTTCATAGTTTTATAGTCGATCGAATCCCATTTGAGCTTTAAATAACACATTGGAGGAATGATATACGCCATGAGAGATGCAGATGTTGAACCAATAAGTTCCAATATGATTCCCAAGTTGCATGTAAATAATGATACAGACATGGATGTAACAACTAAAACGGTAGTTATGAAGAAATGTTGCTTTGACGATAATTCGAGATGAGCAGTGCTCCCAGTACTACCAACATCACTATGTCCAGCTAAAACAATATCTTTAAGAACGTCTCTAACCACGAATATTTCCAATGGGAATGTAGTTAACATATTAAGACCAAAACAGAAACGAGCGATGTTGATCCAATTATCATCACTCTTGAAATTGTTCAATATATTACCCTTTGTATTACCACCGAAGTTTAAAACTCCACTCACTCCCATAACGAAGCAACATACCATAGATACCAAGCATGCAACGTGGGTCAATTTAGAGAATTTTGCAATAGTTGCTCTTTCCAAGGATTGATATATGAATAAAGTATTATGATGACACACCAATGCAAAGGAAATGACAGATATTCCTTGGAAAACGTTGATATTCAACGTCCATTCTTGAATAGTAAGCTTTGCCTTCAATGAAGGGTCTACAAAATGACCCCGGATAACTGTTATTATCACAATGATGAGCATTCCTACCAAGGCAAAGCCCAGAGCCTTTGCAAGCTTCGAGATGTCACGATTAAGTGACAAGGGATACGAGATGCAAGTAGTAAACAATACCGTAATGGTATTTCTATGGAAAAGCCATGAAAGTGCAGCACTATGAGTGATAGAATGAGGAATAAATGCCTTAAGCACATGAGGAATGGTATCACCTATAATCACACAAAAGGCCATACATCCCCCATATGCAAAGGAACTGATGGCAAATAGAAGAAGTCCTCGGCCATATTTGCCAAAGCAATACATAACTGTATCCTGATAAGAACGAGTATGAGCTAAAGACGCGTTTATGACAATCAATCGAAGGGTCCAATCGATTAACCACGTCAATAGAATCAACACCACTATTCCTCCTACCACACCGGTTTCTTTAAATGCATATGGTTGTCCAATTATACCGGCGCCAAGAATTGAGTTAGCCATGTTCATAAATGCCATTCTCATATTTGATTTTGGTTGGGTATCTTCATTGACAACGTCTTCTTCAATGTGCGATTCTTGGGGTATTTCGAAATCTAGAGAATTAATGGACTGTAACTCAAACTCTTCCGATTCCCTTGACCCAGATTCATTTTGAGGAACTGAAGCATAAGGCTGGGAAGGTTTCGGTGCCATCTTAATTTCAATTGAATAAATATAGTTCTTATGGATGGAAATTGATCTTGTCGGTATTTTTTGTATGGGGAAACAAATAGTGCACACATTAGTCCACGGTGACATGCAGGAGACTACATAGACCATGATTTCTTTTTGTCAACGATAGAGTGAGTAGTGATAGGCGTACATTTTAATTTCCTAATGTAATGAGTTCAAATAAGAAAATAACTAAGAAAATACCCATATAATATGTACGTTATAGCATCGGAAGAAAAAGTGGAAAAAGTGGAGAGAAGAAGTATAAGAAAAAAGCAAACATATGGAAATCAACATGTCACAACAAATGTTGAATTAGTCAATTTTATCAACTTTCAATGATCACTTTAGTATTTAATCAAGTGAGTCCTATGTCTATATAGATAGATCTTACATTTTGAATTGTACACACTAGATATCAACTATTTTTTGGTATGTTGGTCATGTTATCACTGGTTGCAAAAATTAAATATATAGTGGCTTACATAATAATAGAGATGATCATCATAGATCGCGAAACTTTGTAAAAGAAAAATGAACCATATTTTTGAACCTTTTTCCAAGTCACTACTAGTGTATAAGAAACAAGAATAAGATGGTTGCATACAAAGGAAAGTTCAAGCACCAAAAGAACCCATACAGGGACCGTAAGGAGCACAAGTCTGATGAAATTAAAAAGTCCTTGACTCATAGAGCTAGACTTAGAAAGAATTATTTCAAATTATTAGAAAAGGAAGGAATACCAGAGACTAAAAGAGAAGATAGACAAGATTCCCACCAACAAGAAGGAGACAATAGCGAAGACGATGAGCAGGATGAAAATAGTTCAAAGTTACCTGCCCCTAAATATAGAGAACGTAAACCTTTGGATAACAGCACAAAAAAGCCTATGAACTTTGCTGAAAGAGCTAAATTAGCAAAGGAAAGAAAAGAACAAAATAGAAAAGATAAATTGCAGGCAATAAAAGAACGCAGAGAACAAATTTCGCTGAGAGTAAAGGAAAGAGAATACAAAAAGGAACGTTTAACCAAGAGAACAAGATCTGGTCAACCACTTATGGGTCCAAGAATTAACAATTTATTGGATAAGATAAAGAGTGACATGTAAATGTGTACAACTCCTTGTTTTTTATCATCTATTTAGCATTAACAAACACCAACAACGGTGAATAAATCTACAACGAATCAAGAAAACTTCAATTTTCTTTTTGTTTACCTTCATAAATAAAATAATATTAATATATAATAATAATAATAATTAACTGTCCATACTTTTAAAGTAATCTAGCCTTTAAGTTTCTTAAAAGCATAAGCCAATCATATATGTACAAGGATCTAAGTCTATTTTGATAACTCCACCAGTTTTTAATACTGTACAAGATTGACGAAGCAGACCAATGACCGTAAGACTTGGTGATTATTTCCTTTTGTTCATCATAAACCACTCTAGCACAGTAACTAGCCATGATTAAAAATGTTCTTTCTGGACCTAAGGGATTGTTGAGATTTTCATCAAGATTTCTTGTCAAGTCATTTGTCTTGAGAATTAAAAGCACTACTCTTGGCATCAGACTCAACATTTCCATCAAATCTTCAAGAACCCCCGCTTGACCGTGCAACAGTTCTCTCATACTATCCATCTCCTCACTTGTTCTCGTTTTAGTGATATCATACGAAAGAGCGGTATTAGAATCTCTTCCAGTGATAGCTGAGGCAAAAATCTTAAATTTTTGATCAGTTGTGATACCTGCAATCTTTTCAGAATACATACGCATCTTAGGAACATCATTGTCTAAAACAGAAAGCCAGAAATGAGAATAATCCCGCTTCATTTGAAGAGGAATTTGTCTGTACAACCCATGGTCGTATAGAACAATTTCAAAATTATGGTGATGAACAGATTTTTCAACAGCCCTGATAGCCAAATTACCTCCATGAGGATCACAATGAAGACCAACTCCAGGAGTGAAAACCATATTATTGAATATATGTGAAAGACAAGATGAAACTTCCAGAGTGTTAATGTTATGTTTCTTCATATATTCTAAATCATCAAGACGAGCACCTGCAACATATTCCATAATCATAATTCTTGGTTGGGCAGAGATAATGTTTGGAATTTTCAATGCTGTAACTTCCTGAAAGTTTTGGAAATATTGAGATGTTCTTTCAGCATTTTGAGCCTCATTAGTGAAATCCAACTCAACATAAATAGAACTTTGAAGCTCATCACCTAACCAAGAAAGTGGATATTCTGGGAACACTTTATGCATCAATCCAAAGACTGTTTGAGTCATATAAATATCTATAGGTACAAATTCTTGGAGAGATGGATGTTGAATCTTAACTGCAACTTTTTCTCCAGTTTTTCTTAAAGTTGCTATGTGGACTTGAGCTAAAGAAGCAACTCCTACTGGGTTTGGATCGAAATCTTGAAATTTTTCAGAAATCGAACATCCCAAATCTCTTTGAAACATATTTTCAATATCTTCCAATGATGACATTGGACATCTATCTTGAAGTGGAACCATAGTTTCAGTCCATTCTGAAGGCAAGAGATATGTAAGTGCAGAGACATGTTGTCCCAATTTGATGTAGATACCTCCATTCTTCTCTAAAGCCTTGAGCGCGATAGCTGCAGCCTTGCTATGGGTCTCAGAGAATGCCTTCAACCTTTCTTTATCATTCTCATATTCAGCAAAAATGGTTTTACGATAAAGACTGAAACAACGTATAGTAGCGACTGTGACAACTCCAATACGTTCTGCAGTTAACACAACATGTCTGACATTATTGTGTACCGTATCATTTGTTGCATATAGTAAAGACCCCACTAATCCAACTCCTAACCCGACTTTGAATAATTTTTGCGTTTGTCTCTTTGGTGCAACCGGTGGTACAGAATATGCTCTAAAGCTTCTAGGTGAGTATAATTTCATATTACGATGCGCATGCCTAGACCAGATTGTCCCATGCTTGGGAAATCCCCTAATACCACCAATCATTGATTGTTGAATAAGTTGAACTAATTAATAGTTGGATAGACTTTTTGCAAATCAACTCAGAAACTTTTTGGTTATGCACGTGGAAATCTTTATAGTAACACAAAATTTCATGACTCCAACGTTAATCAACTTTTTTTGCAATAAAAATGCATCTATTGGTTATAAATGAATATACTTAAATAAATATATCTATACATATATTAGTTAGCGGCCAGAGAAAAGTCCAGCATAAGGAAATCAAAATCTGTATCCATGTCAAAGTTAAGTTCTGCAAAATCGTTTAGAATACCCGGTAATGAATTCTCAACTTTAGATATTCCTGTATCCGCTGGAAGCAATTCAGCAAGGTTTGGCAACCTCGTATTATTTTCCGGAATAGGAGAAACCGCATGAATTGGAACAGGTGATAAAAGTCCAGCTTTATTATCCTGTCCACGAACATGGCTTTCCTTTGCACCTACACGGCCACCTCGGTTTACCAATGCCTCATGGTCAAATGGACATTTTCTTTTACTTATGTCAATGGGACACTTACCTAACAGATCTTTATCTAGCGACTTGTAATCTACTGGACATTTACCCAGTAATGCGGAGTGGTCTATGGGACAGTTGCCTTGTAACGAAACATGATCCACGGGGCATTTCTTTTCACTTGTAGTCAGTGTAATGTTCGTTTTATTCAAGTTTCGTACAGGACACTTATTAGCCCCACCATCTTGTCGTTTAAACAGTGAAAAAGCTGGAACATTAGCATGAATTTTCTCATAACTACTGTAGCTTATTTTATTAAAATTTTTGATGAATACCAAATAAAAGTTCCAAATCTTGGACAACATATGTGTACGTTCATCCCGATTCTCAACAGCCTCTCTCAATATAGTAATAGAACTACTTACAACCAGGATTATTTTATTTCCGATTTCTCCAGCATGAGCACAATCATCGGGGAATTGTTGATCAAGAGTCTCATTTAAATTCAGAACGACTTCGAGTGAAATTTCTGAAGCCAGTGTACTGGCTAACCTTAAAAGAATCCCTGAAACTGGTGACACCATTCTGGTCAATACTTCATTCACAATTTGAAGCCTATATAAACTGCAAGGCAATTTATTACTGGAAGTAGTCACATCACGCAAATACTTTAATAATGTACACAATTTGAGTATGGAAGATGTACAAAACTTGTATGTTTCCCCTTGCTTTGAGTTTTCTTCAAATTGTAGCATTTGTAAATATGACAAGAAAAATCTCAAGTATAAAAGAGTGATTTGACTTTCAACAATTCTTAGAGATTGGAAACCATCTAACTTCTCAGAATTATGCGAAACCCAAACCCCACATTCGCTTGAAAGGCGTTGTAATGTATCGATAGTAACCACCATTTCATTTGTACCTCTAGCCAATGTATTTATTATCCTCGATATCAACTGATTGACCTCCAATGGAACTTCCAACGTTTTCTCTATACTAAGAGTATCAAGAAATCTCGTATGATATTGATTAGTTTCCGATTTCTCAATCAAATTTAAAATCTGTATCAAGTAATTCCCCATAGTGTCATTTATACGTACAAGGGGTACGATTGAGAATGTGACCAAGTTGACAAGGCATATTGTATTCAGCCAGAGAAAACACATATGAATTTGAAGTTCTTGTAGTCTAGTGGCATCTCCATTATGTATTTTCAATATATTTGGGTCAGTCCAAATATCGACACTGTCAGGAGCAAGTACTCTCGAAAGAAATAATGCAAATACTTCAGCAAATGGGCGTGGAACTTTCGAGTTTTCACTTTTGTAATGAATAGTGTTATTCATAAACAATACTGAACAAGCAAAAAATGGGAGTGTATGAGTTACTTCGGGATCGTTGTCAGCGAGTCTCATCAGTAAGGTTTCCGTGAGAAATTTATGAACTCGATTCTTCACTAAAGATTCTTTTGGACCCAAAGGTGCAAGGAGAACTTCCGCAGGGAAAATTCTTTTAAAATGATCAATTTTAGGTGATGATGTATGGACTTGGTCAAGATCGGTCAGAAAAGCTTCTCTTCTCAATCTTTCTATGGCCTCTTCTACTAGAAGTGCAAGCATACTGAGGTACACACCTTTCATCTTTAACTTCGAGAAAAGTGATTCATCTGAATTCGAACTAGCCTTATCCATATCATTATTCAATACTACTCTATCATCCATTTTTAAAATGTGACTTAAAATATGTTTCCGATGGAATAATGTTAACCTTCTTGATTCGGAGGTCTCGAAATAATAATCAATAAGAAATTGGATTTGTTCATAGTTTAAAACTTCTTCTCTCAGAATTTTTAAAGTCGAGTTCCAAAGGAGTTGAATCGATTTGAGTACAGTTGCCCCATTGGTAGAAAGATGATCATATACATTCAAATCAGATTTCTCCTCAACTCTTGCCTTCAGGGTAGATTCTGGAATAGGGGTAGGAGTTGCGGTAGGTGAGTTTTGGGCCATAGTATTAATATCGTACTGAACTACAGGGCATTTCATCGCCAATTGATTGTTCTGGTTATAATTATCTGGTGATATGGACTGTGGTCGTAAGGAATTCATCTTATGTGTATAGTATATCTTTTGAAGATTAGTAATTTTAAACCACAATCCGGCAAGTTGAGGATCCAACTTGAGGCTATTCACCCATGAATAAATGTCAATGAACTCTCTTCGTTGTGATTTTATAACAGTAATAGAAATACCATCTTCAAACTCCAAACATGGCTTTTTACTGCCTCCAAGTTTCAGTAATGCTGTAATAAGCGTTTTATTAACCCCTTCTCCATTTGTAAGCACATTAGAGTAATCTTTGGTAGTGGTTTGAAGTGCAATGGCAAGTTTCCTTTTTAAATCATCAATTTCTCGACGTTGTTTTTGTAAAATTATATTAACTCCTGTAGGGGTTGAAGATTGGGTTGATAAATTAACCAGTGAGATATCCTTCCCTTTCTTGTTTGAAGTGTTTAAACTATCCTCTTGTGACCAATGTGGATCAAGATATTCGCATAGATGTTGCACTTTATTTCTGACACACCCTCCACAGGCTGGCCGAGCCTTATCACATTTAACTTTACGTCTTTTACAAACAAGACATGAGATCGGAACACGTTGTCTTTTACGTTGTGATCCCAGCATTGCTTTTAGGTCATACTTTAGTACAATATTCAATGTAAATGTATTGTAAACCTCGAATATGTAAGCAGGAGACTAATCTACAAGGTATGGAAGTGGTCGTGTGCACACCGATACAACTGTCTGTATTATAATTTGGCTTTTGGTACTTTGCAATCTTGAAAGTATTCATCTATTTACATACACATCATCATATCATGTCAACTGGGATCCCTGTCAAGCTTCTTAATGAAGCCCAAGGTCATGTGATATCTCTTGAGCTTGCCACGGGTGATACTTACCGTGGGAAGTTGCTTGACAATGAAGATAACATGAACTTATCACTCTACGATGTTACCATCACAAAGGGAAGAACCGGTGCTACATCTTATATGAATCAAGTATTTGTTAGGGGACTGATGATCAGATATATTATGGTTCCAGATATCTTGAAAAATGCTCCTATGTTTTTCATGAAGCCTGGTGATAAGCCAAAACCACCTGTGCGAGGACCACCACCAAAGAGAGTAAAGCATTAAATAAAAACGAACTCCAAGCACAGTAATCATCCCTGTTACAACCTTCTCCATTTGGTTTAATATAATTCTACTGTATAGATCTCGTTGGAACTATACTTGTTATCCATTCTGTATCATACTGGCCATATTTGAGCCTCCTAGTTTTTTAAAGTACATCGCATTCAATAAATGTATAAAATTATATATATAAATATATTCTAAATATCATTATTTCTCGTAGATATCTATCTCATAGTGACCAACTCTTCAGCAGAAGTAGGATGGATAGCAACACAGCTGTCAAAGTCCTTCTTGGTGGCTCCCATTTTAATGGCAACACCAAAACCTTGTAAGATTTCACCACTGTCATCCCCAATGATATGGAGACCAACAACCTTTTCATCTTCACCAGCAACAATGATCTTGTAGAAAGTTGGAGACTTCAAGGAGTCATCTTCCATCATGGCGTAGTACATAGAAGTGAATCTAGATTGATAGATTTTGATATTTTCTTCACCGTACTTCTCCTTTGCTTGCTTGGTGGTTAAACCAATAGATCCAGCTTCTGGGTGGGAGAAGACAACTGAAGGAATATTTGTGTAATCAAGCTTATCTTCGGCAAATTCTTTCTTGCCAGAAAATAATCTGTTAGACAACTTACGACCAGCGGCAATGGCAACAGGAGTTAATTCAACATTACCAACAACATCACCTAATGACAAAATCTTAGGGTTAGACGATTGTTGATATTCATCAACAATAACTTGTTGATGGTCATTAACGTTAACATCAACTTTCTCCAAACCAATGTTAACCAATGACTTTCTACCTACAGTCCAAACTAATTCATCAACTTCTAATACTTCACCGTTACCCAAGTAAACCTTCTTCTTACCTGAGGTGGTCTTTTCGACCTTGGTAACACTTCCAGATTGCTTGATGACATTAACACCAAGCTTGTCAGTGTAGTAGTCAGTGACAGTGTCTTGAATAGCTTCGTCAAAGGATCTCAATACAGTGTCTCCTCTGATGACCAAATGAGTCTTGGAGCCCAAACTTTGGAAAACACCGGAAAGTTCAACACCAATGTATCCAGCACCAACAACGGCAACAGATTCAGGTTGCTTTTCCAATGCGAAAAACCCATCAGAAGTAATACCAAATTCAGATCCTTCAACCTTTGGAGGGACAATTGGTTGACCACCAGTGGCAATTAAAATCTTATCAGCAGAAAATAATAACTTTTCATCCTTTGCGTATTTCTTACCTTCTTCAAGGAATCCTAATTCTTGATCACCGCTTAAGGTGACTTCCACATCAGCATTGGAGTTGGCAAATTGTGCATAACCAAACAAATATTCAACACCTTCCTTTTCCAAATTTCTGGCATAAATACCGTTTAATCTAGTAACATAAGCATCTCTCTTTTCCTTGATATGAGACCAATCAAAATCCCCAAACTTGACTTCATCATCATCATTCTTTGATAAACCATACGATTTTAATTGATGCTTCTTGTGGGCCAAATCGGCAGCATACCACATGACTTTCTTTGGAACACATCCAACGTTTACACAAGTACCTCCCAATTTGTTGAACTTGGATTCAACCAATAAGACTTTCTTACCATAAGAGGCAGCTCTACGAGCGGAGGCAACACCTCCAGATCCACCCCCAATTACAAGGTAGTCGTAATGTTTAATAGATGTACTAGAAGTAGGAGCCATTGTCAATTGTGCACTGCTTAAATGTCTTGAGATGGAATTCAATCTTTGTATTGGTTGTTTAACTAAAATTGTCGAACTCTTACTAAACATACTAATACATTAAGGCATTCTATATAAGCCGTTCTGATAAATCGAATTGCTGATTTATAATCTAATCTTGGTTGATGCACGATCAGCACGCAATTGGAATTTGTCATACATAAGTTTTCGCAACTCTCAAGTACTAATTTCCCCAATCCTGTATGATAATCAATACCAAGATCTAGAATACTTCGAGATCATTTGTACTTGAAGATTCAGTTTCTTCCTTTAAACATTTCCTAAGAAACTCCAATCCAAAATTTTGAAGTTCCTCGTCTTCTTCATTATTTTCTTCTTCAGTTTTTTCAATGTTAGCATTTAATTTGAACCTTCCTTCATCTGTATCATCCTCGGAAAGTTTTGCAATTTGTTCCTCGTATCGTTTATTTAACTGAAGAGAAATCAATTGTTCAAATTTTTCTCTATTAAATTCGTCCATGTTTTCATCATCATTCTCATCATCATCATCATTCTCTTCGTCATCATTAGCCCCTTCTCGATTCTTCATTCTTGCCTTAGAATTAATACTAAAGAATTGATTTTTGGATGACATAAATACTTTCAATGCATCTTCGAGATTAGCTTTATAACTTCCATGTTCTTCTAACAATTGACTAATCTCTTCTTTATCTTCTTGGAAAGTCTGTTGTGATGTTGCATAATTGTTTTCAAGAATTGGCATTGATAGATTGTTGGTGATAAAATTACAATTCAAATTGTTTCCTGATCCAAAGATTCTACTCAATAATTCCTTCTTTTGTGATATTTGTATTTTCCGTTTATCATTCAATGACAGATATTGTGCAAATACTCTCTCTTGTGATACTTGGTGTCTTTGTCTATATTCCCATAATAATTTTTTTTCTTCTTGCTCCATATATGCAAAGTATTCCTCACTTGTTGGTTGACTTTTTGTTCTTCTTTGAAATTCTTGATATCGAGAATTAACAATTTCTAATTCATTTGTAGTATATCCAGGTAAGCTCTTAATTATATTCTTATTATCTCCCAGTATATGATTTGATGTATACGATTCATCATCAGAAGAGTCACTTGAATTATTGAAAATTAAACTGGCTGCAACTTTTTCTGCTGATTCCCATGCTTTTATTTGAGATTCCTTTACAGGTGGTACTACTCTCATGGGGTCCGTATGAGCATTTTCATGTGTATATGATTGAAGTGCGGCGCTGGTAAATACTGAATGATCAAAAGTAGATGAATTGTCAATCGGTTTACGAATAGCAAAACTTTCCATAGTTTGAGAGATGTTGGCAGCCGCCATACTTTCGACATTATTAGCATAATAGTGCTTTGAAGATTGCTGAAGATTGAGTAATTTACTTTTAACATTTGTATTTGTGGTTCTTTTACTTGTTAATCGACTTGATTGTCGTTTCTTTCTATAATCATGTTGATTTGAAGATGATAATTGTTGTTGAGAATGCAGTGGACCACTTCCATATAGATTATGACGTGCTTGATTCTGTGATCCATTCCTATTTTGCATCTGAAATTGTGAATGTCGTTGCTCTTGAATGCGTCGTATATTATTACTTGGGGTACTCATCATTGATGCAGATGATGAAGATATAGTTCGTGTTGTGATATTAGGATGTGACAGGAACGAATCATTATCTAAGGATGTCTTCCTCGAATATACCGGGAGACTATATCGTGAGGTATTGTTGTTATTATTATTAGGGTTATTCATATTACAATATTAAACATTATTTTGATTAGAATCAATGATTATCAAAGATGAATGAAATCATTATCACTCTGTATATAGGATTTATCGTATTTGTTGCAACATACACAAACAAATATTTAGAAAAGGGTTGACTTCCTAAAACGTACCTCAATAGTAAGCGCGTTACCCAAACTCAGATATTGATTAATACAATTAATTTTAAATTGTATTTAATAATCAGCATTAGCTGAGTCACGTGTATGTGTCAGATTCTTTAGGGTTTCAGCCCGTGACTGCTTAAAAAACCAATTAGTTGTGCAGTACACGAATTATATTAGTTTTGTGTAATAGAATATGGGTTTTTTTTTTCTCTAATGGTCAATGTGCAGTACCTTTCCAATACCACCGCGAGGGAGTCCACGCACGATCATTTTTCATACTCTACATATAGAAAATTTTTCAGTGTAATTCTTCTCGTTATACCAACAAAGTAAAGACAAGATGGCTACTGAATTGACCGTTCAATCTGAAAGAGCTTTCCAAAAGGTTCGTATATGTTCACAACAGGATGTTTAAATGTGATAGTCAGAGGACATGACTTTTCAGAATAACAGAGAAAAAAAATTGGCCCTCCAAATGAAGCCTAATTATGAACAAAGTATTCCAAGATATTCCCCTACGATGGAGCATCATACATGGTGTGATTAGAAATGGCCCCCTAAGTTCGGGCATGTAGAATATTAAAGCCAAAGGCTCTTGAGTTACTAGATACTGGAAAAAGGGATACCACTATAATTGAAGGAATATTCATTAAAATACAAAGTCTACGTTTTAAGAGACATATTAAAGTCTCTGACAATCATTAAACATTCATTAGTTTTTTTTTATTTTTATGAAATTCATACTAACAATTTTTAGCAACCTCACATCTTCACCAACCCAAAGGCCAAGGCCAACAGAAGAACCAAGAGATGGTTTAAGGATGTTGGTTTGGGATTCAAGACCCCAAAGGCTGCTATTGAAGGTACCTACATTGACAAGAAGTGTCCATTCGTTGGTGACGTCTCTATCAGAGGTAAGATTTTGACCGGTACCGTTGTCTCCACCAAGATGCACAGAACTATCGTCATCAGAAGAGAATACTTGCACTACGTCCCAAAATACAACAGATACGAAAAGAGACACAAGAACTTGTCCGCTCACGTTTCCCCAGCTTTCCGTGTTGTTGAAGGTGATGTTGTTATTGTTGGTCAATGTAGACCAATCTCCAAGACTGTTAGATTCAACGTCTTGAAGGTTGCTGTTTCTTCTTCCAAGGCCAAGCAATTCACTAAGTTTTAAATAACTTTATAAGAATGTATTTAAAATGAAAATAGTCTTTACATGTTATTACTAGTGCTTTAATGTTATATTAGTTATATAAATCATAAGTTGTAGTTTTTAATTTATCGATCGTTTCACATTTCCATTTCTATTTACTATAGTCATCAATAAAACATAAGTTGGTGTTATTAAATTACATATTAGAAGGAGTTTCAATTCTTTTAACATCAAGTCCCTTTCCACCCCATTCTTTTAAAAGCTCAAGTAATGTTCCATTTTCATGTAAGGCAACAAAATCATCACATCCACCTCTACTCTTGGTAGAACGGCCAACAATTACATTAGGAACAGTGCTTCTGTCACTTACATCGGCTAAATGTTCTTGTAATTCCTTTCCATGAGCATGTTTGTCTAATTCAACAATAATTGGAGCTGGTGTAATTTGATAATTATCATTAAGAATTTCTTTCAATTTCTTTGAATATGGACAATAAGTTTTCGAAAAGATTACTACTGGACTCATAGAACGAATTTCAATTAATTCCTTAATAGGGTCAAATGATCCAATATCTGATTTATCTTGAGTCAAAGAATCTGGAGTTTGTGAATCAATATTGGCATTCTTAGACTCCTCTATAGCCTTAATTGCACTTTCTTCATCACCATCACCAAGTTTGGACATTTGTTTCTTGATAGCCTTATCAAGGTTTTCATCATTTGAAGTATCTGTAACTTTATTGGTTGTAAGTAAATTTACTACGTTTCTTGAGCTTGGATCAGTGGCATCATCAAGTACATTTACTCTTGAATTGTGAGAATGAAATAAAACCACTAATAAAATAAGTGAGAAAGCAGCTAAACCTATAACTCTAACTTTTCTACTGTTCATTATAGTTAGTTATTATTTCGCTTTCAAAATAATCTGAAATTCCTTATAACAGATGAAGTGGAAGAAAAGTTGACAAATTCTCGTTAAACGCGTTGATCTTACACAAAATGATCCACATACTGATATATACCCTATACATATAATCCAAAGTATAGATCTATGACAGCACTGGAGAGTCCTACTTATATGTGGAGATAATATATATATATATATATAATCCGGTGTAAACTTGTTTTAATTAAGTAATATTATGGTGTACCTTGGTAAGCCATATTATACTTCGTAATTAGCATTATTCTATGCATGTGCGGTAACAATTTTGTTGCAATTTCAACTTAAATTATACAATGCACAGTGAATAATAGGGGGGACCTCACAAAGGTATATTTGAACTAGAATGGGTAATATTCTGATGTGAAGCTTTATATTATATAAATATTTGTGACGTTATAAGAAATTGAATATAAAATTGTTGAGTGTTTCTGCAACGTCTACAATAAGATATGCCTCTTTAACTTGTATTATTATTTCTTTTTTTTTTTTACAGTAGGGGAAATATATACATTATAGATACCCCTTTCTTTTTTAGAGATAACCCTTGGGATATAAAAGCATTTTAAATTTGAGGGGGAAACATGCCCGATATTATCGTGATATTTGATCCAAATGAAAATCAAAAAAAAAAAAAATTGTTATCAAAAAATATATATATCTTTGTATAATTTTAGCATTTATTAAAAAAATCCATTGAACCACAACTTATGGTAAATCATTTTTTACAGCTTCTGTAAAACCACTCCAATTTACAATATTACTACAACTTCACATTTTAATTTTCATTTATAAAAGTTTCTTTTTTATTTTCAATAAATACATTTCATTTACTATAAATCATCATCATACTTACAACTTGTCAGCAGCAATTGGTCTACCAATGGTAGTCACATCATCATAAAGTAAAGTGGTGACGAAATCAGAGTACTTTTCACCCAAAGATTCTGGCTTGAAGTATTCCAAGGCTTGGCTGAATTTGTTACCTGGAGTAGCAGCCTTTTGCAATTTGGCAACTTCTTCACCTAACAACTTAGAAACCAATTCTTTAGTAACTGTGACACCAGTGTCAGTCTTGGTACCATGAGTAACCCATTGCCAGATTTGGGTTCTGGAAACTTCAGCAGTAGCAGCATCTTCCATCAAATAGTTAATTGGAACACATCCAATGTTTCTTAACCAAGCTTCAATGTAAGATAATCCAATAATGATATTGGTTCTAATACCTTGTTCAGTAACCTTGGCACCTGGAACATATGGACTCAACAAATCACGAGCAGTGATTGGCTTGTATGGAGTTCTTGGTGGAACATTAATTTGATTTGGACCCTTCATGTTTTCATTGAAAACCTTCAAGACAACTGGGACCAAAGCAGGATGAGCAACCCAACAAGAGTCACAACCAGCCAATACTTCCCTCAATTTATCCTTGGCAACGTTTTCCAAAGCCAATCTGTTACGTTCCTTATCATCCTTAATTGGAATTTGAGCAGCCATACCACCCAAGGCATGAACTTGTCTCTTGTGACAAGTGTGAACCAACAACTTCACATAAGAAGACATGAATGGAGCAGACATGGTGATTTGACCTCTGTCTGGTAAAACAAATTCAGGGTGGTTTCTCAAGGACTTGATGTATGAGAAAATGTAATCCCATCTACCACAGTTAAGACCACCAATGTGTTGTCTTAATTGGTAGATAATTTCATCCATTTGGAAGGCAGCTGGTAAAGTTTCAATAAGAACGGAACCTCTAATAGTACCTCTTTGAAGTCCAATGTAATCTTGAGAGTAGTTGAAAATATCGTTCCAGAGCTTGGCTTCAAGATGATGTTCCATCTTTGGAAGGTAAAAGTATGGACCGAAACCTCTAGCAAGAGATTCATGAGCATTGTTGTAGAAGTAAAGAGCAAAGTCAAAAATACCACCAGAAACTGGTTCACCATCAACAAGTACATGCTTTTCTTCCAAGTGCCATCCTCTTGGTCTGACAATAAGAGTTGGAATATGTCTCTTTGGGTCAAGGTTCAACTTGTAAGACTTACCATTTGTGGTGTACTCAAGGTTTCTTCTAACACCATCGTACAAGTTAACTTGCCCGTCAACCAAGTTAGCCCAAGCAGGGGTCAAAGAATCTTCAAAATCAGCCATATAGGTGGCAACTTGAGAGTTCAAAGCATTAATGACCATTTTTCTGTCAGTTGGACCAGTAATTTCACATCTTCTGTCTTGGAGACCCTTAGCAAGAGGTGGACCAGTCCAAGTTGGGTCTTCTCTGATATGCTTGGTTTCTGGAAGGAAGTCTGGAAGAACACCTTGGTCTCTAAGTTTTTGTTGTTCCTTTCTGTTTGCAAGGAGACGCTTTCTTTCACCGTTAAAAGAACGGTGCAAGGTAGCTACAAGTCCAAGAGCTTCGGCATTGAAAATATGCTTAGCACGGTCTGGAATTGGAGCAAGGATTTGAACACCCTTGAGTTTATCAGCAACTTGTGGGAATGGAGAAGACATGTTTTTTCTTTTGTAGTAATTCTTTTATTTTATTTTGCAAATTCTTTATTCTCTACCAAATCTGAAGAAAAGATGTAAATAAGTAACCTGACTCAAATAAATCTTCTAAATATTTCTTAGTAATAACTAGTATTGAAAAAGAAAAGTTGCGTTCGTTCAGAAGTAGTGGGAAAAACTTATATTGAAAACTTAAGGGGTAATCTGGGGTTGGCCTTTATATATTACCCCAGATTGCTCGTTCCAGCGGAAGTTCTGAGTCAACTTCCTGCATATGCATAACCTGGATTTGCCCACTCATATGGTTGCCCCACATTGACTCGGATCGGCTCCGGGCAACCCTTCGGGCTTATCGCTCGGTCGTGCGGATACTTCTATCCGAGGTAAAAAGCACACTCTACTTATACTTTCTCACTACCACATGGATATAAATATATAATCCTGTAGATTACTTAATATTAGATCCAATATCATGCTATTATTTTGTTAAATATTTCCAATTTGGAAAAAAGCAGTTTATGGATGAATTTATGAGAGGCGACTGGATAATTTTAATCTAACAAATTTGATCCTTATCTTATTTCAGTTATACTCAATGAGTATCAAACTTTTACAATGTAAATATAATTGGGTACCATAAATCAATATTATCTATATAGAATAACCATAATTAACTCTAAATCAAGAGATCCTAACAGTATCATATTACAATATGTCATTATTTTGTTTTTATCCCAATCTCTAATTGGTAAATTTTACCAGAGAAAGTAGGTTTCCACAACCAGTAGGAATCATTTCTTTATAATTTTTTGTTTCAATTAAGCCCACTTAGTACCTTTAGCAGCAACTGCAGTCAAACCCTTTTGGGCTGGAATGTAGTTAACACGATGGTAAGAGTTCAAGTTCTTTCTCAAAACGATTTGGTAACAGGTGGCAGAACCTTGTCTAGAAATAATGGTAGAAGAAGCTAAGAAGTATTCCCAAATTCTGTACCATCTGATACCGTACTTGTTAATAACCTTATCCTTGTTACCAATCCAGTTTCTGTACCATCTCCACAAAGTAGCAGAGTAGTGAACACCAATGTTGTCCAAAGAAACAACTTCAAAACCAGTACCTTCCAAAGCATCAATGACAAAGGTCAATGGAGTAGAAGCATCAGCACCTGGGAAAATGTACTTGTTCATGAACAAACCCCAACACAAATCTTCATATTGCCAGCTTTTACGAAGACCAGCATATTGTAAGTAGAAAACACCATCATCTTCCAAAGAATCGTAAACTTGCTTCAAGAAGGCAGAAAACTTTCTAATACCAACATGTTCAGCCATTTCCAAACAAGTAATCTTGTCATACAAACCATTTTCTTTAAGAGACTTTGGAGTGTCACGGTAATCAACACAACAGATTCTGGATTGACCTTCTGGAACACCGTATTGTTCCATCAAGGAAGTACCCCACTTAGTTTGGTTCTTACCCAAAGTAACACCAGTGACATGAGCACCAAACTTAGCAGAAGCAATGGTAGCCCAAGTACCCCAACCACATCCTAAATCTAAAACATGATCACCCTTAGCCAATTGAATCTTGTCAGCAACAATGTGCAACTTGTTGTCTTGCAATTCTTCCAAAGTTTCTTCTCTAGTAATATCGGAGACAACACCAGAAGTGTAGATCATTCTTGGACCCAAGAACCAAGTGTAGAAATCATCACCACGGTCATAATGGTCTCTAACTTGTTCTTCATCTTGAGACTTGGAGTGCATGATGACTTCTGGAATCAAACCGAAAACGAAAAATCTAAAAAGGGAAAGAGTGAAACGGAAGTTAGCCCAATCATGTCTGTATTCCATAGCATCTAAACAATCACCCTTGAAAGAAACCTTACCATCAAAGAAAAGTTCTTGGAAAGTTTCAATTGGAATCTTCTTACCTTGGCCATTGTTGGAGGTTTCATACTTGGCCTTAAGTTCAGGAGTATGGTATTCAAGATAGTAAGAAATAGGACGGTTTGGGTACTTGACCTTTTCATTTAAACGAGGGGAGAAAGTGGACAAGATGGTCCAGTAGGCAATGATAATTGGGAGACCAGAGATAAGGGTGAGGAAGATCCACAATTTGAATCCTCCTCCCAACTTGGTGGCAACGTAGTAAGGAATAATGGCAACAAAACCAATCATGGCGTAGTTACTAAAATGCTTTGATCCAGGACCATCAGCAGGAAGTGGGGCATTATGAATGGCTGGACTAGCAGTAGTCTTAACACCACATTCATCCGACACAGGTGGGATTGGCCCTTGACTAGGGGTCTTAATGAATTCCACTCCGTTCAACATTGTATAGTTATAAGAGTGAAAAGAATTAATTTAAAAAGTTGAAAAAAAAAAATGAGATATAGTTGGTCGAGATATACCTATTTACTTGAATATTGAGCGTGTGTTGCCAAAAATGCGACGTGTCGTGAATTGGTACGGCAATATATTTATATATATACAAGTACAATAGGTAGTGTGTACAGATGAAGATCAAACGTTCAACTTGTAATCAAACTAGAGAGTATTTTGTTAAAACAATTTATATAGATATCTAGAAAATTCTCAATTCCATCATTTGTAGGGAGTGTCTTTAATTTAAATGGTAATTTGTAGGTGTATTTTTTAGATCCCTCAAGTAAGTGGTAGTTTGTGCCAATACATTTTCGCGTCGCATTTAAAGAGTCGGAACCCGAGAAAATGGCTGCTGAATTTACTTCGCCCCATATAAATATTGATGTACGCATACATGAGAGATACGGTCGTTAATTCGTTAAGATTTAATATACAACCAATATACCATATACATAATATATGAAACACTACTTTAATTCCTTTTAACTTTATAAATTCGTTGATAATTGGAATTTTTGCTTTTAGTTAACACCTCGTATAATTCATATTCATTATGTAAGATTGTACATAATATTCAAAATACCAAGCCTAAACATTGCAAAATATGGTTTTAAAGAATAGAGAATATCTGACCCCTCCGCCCCCAATATAGAAGTAATATATATATATATTAGTTTGAACTGCCTGGATGTCTTTTACTCTCCCAGCTTACAGTTTCATAGTTGATTCAAACAATTTCTTATAGTGTACTCCTGTCTTGGTATGTAACAAATACTACACGCTTTTGAATCTCATTGATTTCAAAAAAAGTACCACAATGATAAAATTTGTGTCGCGATAATACAAAGTAAAAAAGTTAAAGGGAAACTCAAATAGCATTGAAGAAGTGCTTTTGTAGTCTTAATTTCCAACGCGTATCGGTGGAATGACAGCTCCCAGGAAGCGGACCGATGTGGTTTTAATAGAATCGGACGAAGATGTGCCACCCACAAAGATAGCCAAGCTGTCAAACGGTAACAGACGTAGAGAACCATTAAGGAAACCCTATATGACATCTGATGTCGATTCATCTGACGAAGATGTATCAAATTCTCAAGGAGAAGAGTTACAACAACTGCAAAATCAAACACTTCAACAGGATGTTTCATCATCCGAGTCTCCATTTGGATCTTCATCATCACCAGAAGATTCTTCCTCAGATTCAGATAATCCAAATAAATCATCACTTGAACCAATTTCAGTCGAAGAATATAAGGCTAGTGTTAGCGAGGCTGCCGCACTCGCAGGGGAAGAACATCCACAAAGTATTCAAGACCCAACACAGGTACCGCCTGAAGTTCGTCTTGAAACTAGAAAATACCTTAAAGCAAACGGAATAATGAACTTTTTGGATAAATATTTACCAACTACTGCATCTGCAGATGATATACTCAGTTTGATTCTTAGATTAGGTTTTCTTCCAAAGGACATAGGCGAATATGAAGATGAAGACAATCTAATTAGATTAATTCAAATCCTTAATCTTGCGATGAAGAAAACTTTAAGTATGAGAAATAGACTTTCTGATTTTAATACAATGGATGATTTACTTGCCAAAATTGAATCTTCGAAAAAAATCATGGTTATTACTGGTGCTGGTATTTCAACATCTCTTGGTATACCTGATTTCCGTTCTTCAAAGGGGTTTTATTCTCAATTACAACATTTAGGATTATCAGATCCACAAGAAGTATTTGATTTAGATTTTTTTCATACAGATCCTACTATTTTCTATCTGATTGCCCATATGATTCTCCCACCAGAGAATTCATACACACCATTGCACACATTCATTAAGTTATTACAAGATAAGGGTAAATTGTTACGTAATTATACTCAAAATATTGATAATCTTGAAGGAACAGTTGGGATAGAACCTGAACGTTTAATTCAATGTCATGGATCCTTTGCATATGCGCTGTGTATTACTTGTGGATATCAAGTGAAAGGAGATGTGATTTTCCCTGAAATTAGAAAGAAAGAAATTGCATATTGTCCAAAATGTTCACCAAAGAGGAAAAAATTACTTGCTAAAGATGATGTATACGTTCAAGAAAGTTTTGGAGTTATGAAGCCAGACATTACATTTTTCGGAGAACCATTACCATCTAGGTTTCATAAAATGATCAAACAAGATATTGTAGATTGTGATTTACTTATATGTGTTGGTACATCACTTAAAGTGGCTCCAGTTTCACATATTCTTGATAGAGTACCGGAAGATATTCCACAGATTTTAATTAATAAGGATCCCATTGATCATTTCAATCTTGATATCAGTTTATTGGGATATTGTGACGAGGCTGCCAGCTATTTATGTAACAAATTAGGATGGAATCTCCCGCATAAAGATTACGATAGTATTCGTGGACCAAATGGTAGTAACCTTACGCTTGAGACATTAGATGCAGTAAATGGGGTGTTCCAGGTGAACAAGAAGAATTAATTATAATACAGAGTAATTCTAAGCATGCCATCTTTCTATACATTATTTATTAGAGCTTTAATGAAATAAATATATTAATAGCTTGTAAAAAAAGTAGCACATAGTAAATATTTGGATCATCTGTATTGATGCAGAAACTGAACTCTAACCAAAAAAATAAAAAAATTATGAATGGGAAATAAAAAAAAAAGATTTTGAGATATTGAAAGATTCTTTTGATTTAGATGCATACTTTCAAGATAGTTATATTGCACATATTTATATACCAAACACATATCTGACTATGTTGAGACAGTTGATAAGGAGGACGGGTCGGATACTGTCTATGCAGGGGAGTGGTGGACGTGTTCCAAGGGGCTCTTTTATGAGCACCTATAGTGCATTGCAAAATAAGAATGATATTCCAGCCGTTAAGACCGCTTCGAATGATGTGGATATTCTTAATCAGTTCTTAGAAGAGAGCTTGGAAGAAGATGGAGATAAAGATTCTGAGCTATTGAATAACTTCTTGGAAGATAAATCCGAATATGATCTTAAAGATTATTTTGCAGGATTTAATCTTGAAAATTCCAAAAGTGCTGAGAGTAAAGAAAGTCAATTTTTAGACACGTTATCTAACCTTACAAATACATCAGTGGATAATTCCACCAGACCTTCTGATATATTATCCGGCGCATCGCCTTTACAGGACGATGCTAATAGAGAAGAAGGGGTAGTATTTGATGAAAAATTCATTTCTGAAGAAAGACAAACATTTATGGACATTTTTAATACTTATATGGAAAAGTCATCAGATGATGATGCTGATTTATTAGCAAATCTTGACGGCACTAAACTGAATGACAATAAAATAGTGGATTTAATTCTGCAATACACACGAGGAGAAAAATCAGCCGAACAAGCAGAAGAACTTTTTAGAAAGACTAAAGAATCTCTTGAACCTACCATTGATTATATTTCAAATATTGGCACTGAACAATTATTAGAATATTTTGATCAGATTGTAATAAACTGGAAAGAACTTTCTGTAAGTTCTCCAGAAACAGTATTCTTACGGGAACTTCTTTCACGCCCAAATGGTGACCTGAACACTACACAGCTTACCATTGACCTCATGAACAGAATTAAAGACAAATCAATTATTGATGCCACTAAGCCAGAATTGAATGTTTTTACATTACCGATAATTTTCAACACTGTTATCAAAACATTTGCCCTTAAATATCAAGAACCACAGGTGGCCTTGTCGTTATACAATAGCATGAAATCTGACGTTAATTTTTTCACCATGTGTTGTAACCAACAAACATACAATGAAGTTATTAAAATTATCTGGATATTTCAAGGGAAATCAAGTTTATTTGGATTAGAAAAAATTGTTCTTGAAATGATAAATAATGGATTTACAGGTGATTTGACCACGTTCAACATTTTAAAGCAAGCCTTGGTCGATTATTATAATATTAAGATGGGTGTTAGAAATGGTGAACGTGGACACAGATCTATGTGGACACAAGAGGATGATAAGAGAGCACAAAATATAGAAAAAAAATTGAGAGAAATGGGCAAAAAATTGAATAAATTTGTTTAGAATATCTCAAGACTTTAACATAGACATATATTAAAGGACTTACATATATAGATCATAATAAAATAATGTACATAGTTTCAAAATTTTGACTGTATAACTTTAAATTTGTTTTTTGCAAAAAAAAAAAATAAAAATAAAAAAGGGCATACTACATTTTGAGAATACTGCCCCACCAAATATTTAGAATTCTCTGCATACAAAATTATGTGTTTATGTGAGAGCATTTCAAAATTTAAGTGCAAGGGGATAGATACAGTTCTATATTAGTTACTAGTTTCAAACAGAAAATTAATTGAATTGAGAATGTCTGACTTTCTTGGGGTTAAAGACTCCTTTGTTAAATCCGAACCACAATCCAGTATCAATTCAGGCACAGTTTCAGCAGACCTGGCATCACCCCCAAGTAACAATATGTCGAAGTTACAATCCTTAAACATACCAAACATGAATATCAAGACTGAATCTGGAGACAAATTCTTACTGAGATCACTTGATATTAAGAAACAACTCTCACTGTCGTTCCAAGGAACGCCACTGCATGGAGGAATAACGAAACCGCAATCAAGAAGGAACTCTGCATATGCAATCAAATCAAATGATGGGAGTGAAGATGGTAGTGACGATGAAGAAGACGATAATAATAATAATGGTAGTGGTAATAACAAGAATAAGAATGAGGAACAAGGACATGAGCGTAAAAGAAGAGACAATATTAATGATAAAATACAAGAACTTTTAACATTAGTTCCGCCTGAATTTTTCCAAGAAACACATCCACTGAATGTCCCACAACCACTGAACCAACTGGAGCACGATGCAGCAATTGCAGCTGCCGTTAAGAATTCTGGAACTAAGGATGGGAAACCAAATAAGGGTCAAATCTTGTCAAAATCTGTAGAATACTTGCAATATCTCCAGAATTTAATTGATGAAAACAATCGTAAAGAAGTTGAATTGATAATGAAACTTAAGAAATTGCAAATGAAGGAATCGGGTCAACTGAATATACCAATTAATGTCGGACATACTAGCGCAGAGCGTGCGTTAGGAGAAATAGGAGTAGGACCACTTTCTGATGAATATTTCAAGAAGGTATTACAATCGAGTTCTAAACGGTCTAATGCAGTGGGAAGTCCTTGAGACATTTATATATATGTATATCTACTATGTAGATGAATTACTGATTTATGAATATATTATCAGGAGATGTAATGTTTTATATTTCTTTTCTTCCACTAACGTTTTATTCTTTATCTATATCTATTTGAAATGAAATTTATTTTTATTTGGTTCTTCCCAATCTTTCTCTATTGTCTGCATCTTCTCGTAATGTATACGCCGGGCGATACGAATTCCCGTTTTGTAGATATGGATTGGGTACAGTGTTATTGATCCCACCTATACTTGTATATCCTAAATCATACATTTGACAATAATCTAAATCACAGCCGATTAAAAAATCCCATATATGAACATAGTCCCAATGAAGGATAGGGTGAATTCGCAAGAATTTGGGCCAATTATGATCAGTTACTTGTTCATATTCAAGAGTTGATCCATACGGATCTGAACGGCGTATTCCTACAATTATGGCCTTAATCTCCGGCTTGGCTTTTAAATAAGTATCAAACCCTTCTTTCAACGAGTCTTTGATAACAACTGCATTCAAATGGTATTGTAATGTAGAGTTTGCAATGAACTCCGACACTTGTGGGAATGGAACTTCAGAATTAATATAAATGGCATCAAGCTTATAATTGTCATCAAATTTGCTTTCAACTCCAGTTGGACCATCCGGCAGACCACTGGAGATATATTTCATCTTATAGATGGTGGCTAAGATAAGAATAAGCATCACTAGACAATCTTTGCCTCCATTATATGATATTGCGATTTCTTCTAATCTGGTCAGTTAGTACTAATGAAAAAAAAAAAACAAAATTGGAAACATAACTGCAAAATGCAGTAGTAGATTGATGCTAAACGTACCCATGTCTATCTATAGCACATTCAAGTACTTCTAAACTCTTTTTCACCTTTTCCTTGACAGCCCCCCGCAAATCGTCATTGTATTCAAAATCTGATTTGTCAGAAGAACAACGACCCCAGGGTTGCGAGTCATTGAGGAAATGATTTACTAGAACGTATGCATCTTTGCAAGCATCACGGAACGTGCCTGGCACTCTATTTCTTCTCGAGACTTGTTCCGTACTCATTTACTAGGCTATAGTTCTAGAATTACGTGTACTTTCATTTGGAATCTCGTTATATAAAAACCCACCGAGGATGTCCTGCGTGATCCGGACAATCACGTGATTCACAGAGGTCGGTTGCAAATACTCCCAAAAAATACATAATCTAATGAAATAATTACTTTATATATAATATATCTATTGTGGAACCTTTCGAAGCAATGCCAATCCTTCAAGAAGTTCCTTTTCAGCAGTTTTCAAATCTTCATAGTTAAGAGCAGAAATTGCGAATTTAGCATGTTTTTGAATTTTGGCAATTGCTTCAGCTTTATCTACAATGGCATTTATATCTTGTGGAGTAGTGTTAGCGTGATTTGACTTTACCAATGTTGGCTGTTTCTTTGGTTTGTGGACTGGGGCAGGTTTATTTTCGTTTGGAGGAATCACTGTAATGGATGAATCCTTATTTATATGAGAAATATCATCATCTGGCAAAAACAGAGGGGCACCTGGAAGCTTTACATCAGACGTATTCTCCACCTCTTCATCTTCAGGGAGAAATCTTGGGGCACCTGGTAAATTTAATTGTGACGTTGATTGAGTTGTTTCTTCATCTTCAATGAATGAAGGTGCAACTGGAAGTGAAGGTTCATTGGACTCCTCTTCAACGCTATTTTCTTCTTTATCCAAGTTCCCATCAACATCTTCGTCATGTGTATCAATGAATTTTGGTGGAACTGGAAGATTAAGAGATTTATCATTCGTTTTCAAATCTTCATTTTCATCTTGTTGTTTGATTTTATTTAATTCTTGTTCAAGTTCATCTTCTAATTCCTTTTCTGTATTTGATTGACCCTTTATTGGAACTTCATCCTTTAATAATATAGATAATCTATATTTTAATAGTTTAATTTTATCATTGTTAATAGCACCAAATGATTGTGCATCATTTGCCTTCCCACCACTAAATTTGGAATAATCAATAGATTCATCAGGTTTATTATAAAATATTCCAAGTAAAGTTAAAAAGTTCAAACAAGCTCTAAATTTAACAACCAATTGTGGTTTATTTGATCCATCATATTTTGAAAGATCTTCAAGACAACTATTAAATAATTTGTAACTAAATCCCATAACCACACTAAGGGACAAATTTTTATCATTCAACACTTTATGAAGTCCTTCATTCTCAGGATCTACATTTGTCTTAAGAGCTTCAGTTTCATCCAATAATTGTACTGTGTATGCTTCAACATCTTTACCAGTTGTATGTAACTTGTTGGATAAAATATATTCAAGTACATATATCTTACAATAATATGAAATCACAGGATTGGAATTTTCTAATTCTAATGATCTCAATACAAAGGCAGAAATCGTTTTGTCCGCTTTCAATGAATCCGGTACCACAGAACTCATATTTTCTTCTTTTAATTATTATATGCAATGAATCTATAATTTAGAAGAATCATTCATTTTCAATATTTTTGACAGAGCCTGCCCCCCCCCCGTCTTTACTAAACCTCCCCAGATATCGATTACCTATATGCAGTGACGCCCATATTTCTAACATCCATAAAACGAACACAAATAAACTTATTTAAAATAACCAATATGTATATTAATAATATATAGACAAGAAGGGAGGGGATTTAACAAATCATATGGCTACATGTAGATTTAGGAATATAAATAAAAGTAGTCTTGTACCATTTCCATTAATTTCTTTATAATTCAGGCATTCTTAAAATTTCTCTTTCTTCATTTTGAGCGTCAGCTTGAAGAAGTTTTAAGATTTCTGAATCCTTCCACTTTTCAGGTAATGGGGTAACATCATAATTTTTAGTTGCCCAATAGTAAATATCCCAATCAGCTTCATCTAAAAGTTTATCATATTCATCCAATTGGGCAGAATTGAAGGACTTCAAATACTTCTTAGCGAAACGAGATAACAATAAGTCACTTTCTAAAATACCTCTTTTTCTTGATTGGTATACAAGTCTTGCACGTTTCACGTCGTCGGTTTCACCGGTTCTTTTCACTGGCTCGATCTTCATATCAATATTTGGATTATGAGCAGGATTTTGTGGTTTCCCATAGTTGAGCAGAGCTCTGAATGTGTTACTAAACTGTCTTCTACTGATTCTCAACATTTTGTGGAAATAATAAGGAAAGGGTGTTTCAAAAATAAGTAAGTTTATTGGTATATGTAATCAGAAACGGTTGGCTTTATATGTATAACTCTCACTTTAGGTCGTGTTTGAGAGATTTCTATCAAAACTACAGGAAAGTAAAGCAAAAAAAAAAAAAAAAAGGGAAAATAGGTGCCTTCCCTTTGTGTCACAAGTGCAATATGGGTTTTGTATGTATGACGTTTTGTTTAGCTAGACAAGAAGGACAACGTATCTTTGAATAACGCCACCTTCGCAACTGATCACATATTAGTTTCAGATTCATTTAGATTAAGTTTCTTAGGAATAGATATATCGAAACCAATTTTTCATTCATTTCCAACAGTTGTTGCTTTTATAGTTCTATTTATTGTTTTATTTTTATTATGGGGAAAGCTGTATCTAAACTTTCCAAAGATGATTTAAAATCACTTCGACTGGCTACATATTTTGACAAAAGAGAATTACAGCAATGGTATAAAGGATTCCTTAGAGACTGTCCGCTGGGACAACTATCGGAAGAAGAGTTCTCCAAAGTATTTAAACAATTTTTCCCCTTTGGAGATCCAACTGATTATTGTCGATATCTTTTCAGAGTATTTGATGTTGATAATTCTAAATATATCGATTTCAAAGAATTTATTATTGCATTATCCATTACGAGTCGAGGCTCATTGGACCAGAAACTCAATTGGAGTTTCAAACTCTATGACTCTAGCAAGAGTGGGAAGATCACTTATAAGGAAGTACTTGCTGTAATATCGGCAATTTATAAAATGATCGGCTCAATAGTTGCTCTTCCAGAAGATGAAAAGACCCCAGAGGCTAGAGCAACTAAATTCTTCACTTTGCTAGAAAAGGATAAAAATTCAGATACTATTAATTTGGAAGATTTTAAAAGATTACTGAAATTAGATCCGTCTATCACCAATGCTCTTAATACGTATGAAGGTTTAGTATAATTGAAAAAAAGAAAGAAACACCATATATAAAATAGACAAAGTAATACAACCATGGCAATAACCTCCAATGTAATTAAATATGTCGTAACTCACATTCTACAATTCATGCATATCTTTCTTCATAATTATGATAATAATACATTTTCTAAAATATCCTCGGATTCCTTTACTGTTGACCCTCTACCGCTTCTAATAAACCATCCAACAACTCATCAACTTCATTAATATCCACACCAGTACAGAAACTAACAACCTTCTTAAACTTCGAAGTCAACTCGCTATAATCTAACAAGGTTCCAAGTTCTGTTTCAATTTTTTTATTGATCTCTTGATATGCATTCAATCTTGCTTGTAAAATTGGTAATGGTGGCAATTTAGCCATGACATCCTCATCCACGGTCACTTTTTCAGGGTCTACTCCACTCTCAAGTTGATCATATATACTTTGGATTCGGAATGGTTCATCTGCATCATATTTAACATTTTCATCTTCTGTATCAATATCAACACCACTGGGAATTTCTTTCAGTGATATTTCTAATCTATCAGTAATATTCGCCATTTGTAACTTTAAACTATCCAAGTACAACAATTTTTCACTGATTTTCTTTGAAATAAACCGATTGTTGGCTGTGACAATAGTTGTATCGTGTAACTTTTGATTAAGGTTTTTCAAATGCAATTTCTTGGAATTAATTAAAGTTTCATATTCCGTATTGGTATTGGATAAAAGATTTTGAATACTTTGGAAAATCTTGGCTGAACCAAATTTTTGATCTTCCAATTTAACTGACTTTTTATTATTAGTAGTATTGTTGTTATTATTGTTATTATTCGTGGTTGTATTTGTCACTGAATCCGCGTCAATTGACATATCTTGTATATCTTCTTCCACATCAGCATCATCTGCAATTCCAAGCTCTATTTTCCTTTTATGAAGTTTAACACTTGATCGAAGTAATTCAAGAATATAATTATCTTGATCATTTTCATATTTAAATGAATCATTTTTAACTTCTTGTAATACTTCATTAACAATATCAAAATCAATTGGTTTTAATCCTGTCTTATTGGCAATGGTTATATCAGCATCTAACTCAATCAATACTCGAATTATCCATTTAGATTCACTTTCTGCTGCTAAATGTAAACAAGTATTCCCATTCATTTCGTCTTGTAAATCAATTATATCTGAACATAATTTAGATAAAAAGTTTTTAACTGAATACCCTTCTTCAGATGATGCTAAACCAAATTCTAAAATTCGATTTAAATAAAATTTACTTGCTTCTGATTTTTTGGCCAGTTGTGATGCTAAATAATGTAAAAATGACCATTTTTTATTATCATACAACCATAATGATGGCCATAACCACTCACTCAATAATTCTTTGAAATTACCCTTCTCCATTGCATTTGTCACCATAATGGTTGATATAAGTGGTGATTCTCCTGTTTGAGTTCCTCTTATTGGTGAACATAATCCCAATTTGACAAATGCTGATACCAATGTCACTGAAGCTAATGTGGATGCAAAGTGCAAAGCAGTTTTCCCTTGTTGATCAAGAGGAATATCTGCAACCAAAGTACCATGTTCTAAATCCCCTGTAGAAATTATTTGTTTGAAAATTGTTTCAATGTCTTCAAAAGTTAATTTAGAATCTTTTTCATCATCCCTTTTAAATACTTCTCCATATTTGAGTTTTAGATCAGAAACCATCGATGGATTAAGAATATTAGGATCATTTAATGGGGGTAAAGTATATGGTATGTTGGGGTTTGACCCCGACAAATGTTTTAAAAGATCTTTTGAAGTAGATGAAGATTTGGTGGTGATTGAATTGAGATTTGAACCAGTTTCTGTATTTGCCTTATGATCAACTTTTTGCTTTTTAAGTGGAGATCCCATTAAACCAGCATCTGCTTGATTGTCAAAACTTTCATCATATAATCTTCTTTTACCCCCCATAGTAATGGACTGTTTAGGTAATTTATCAAAATCATGTACATCAACCAAAAATAATTTCTTTGAAAACTCATAGATATCAAATTTAATCGCCAAGGTAACGGCTTTATCGTATGGAATCCATAGCCCGTTAAGTACGGGGTTTTCATGGTTACGATAGTCATCAATATCCTTTGTTGAATACTGAGGATTGGTTAAAAGTTCATTATTAAGATACTTTTCAACTTGAGAATTTGAAAAGAGGTTCAATCTAATGAGGATATCAAACAATTGTGTAATGTTGATATATGAATCTTGAACCCTTCTTAAAATCTTGATGGGCGCTTTCAATGATATGGTTGGCAGAGTATCGATTGACGAAGAAGTATGATTATCATTTTGATTGTTGAATGAGTCCTTCAAGGAAAGAGCCAATTGTATCACTTGTTGGCCAGAATAGGTGGCACTTGAAATAGTTGCGGACGCTACCTCCTGGAGATGCGTGTCTTGAAGACGATGGAGTATAGAGTTGGTGGTGGTATCACCAACATTCACCGGAGAATCCATTTATAAAAAACAAATGAGAATACCAAAGAAATTACTGGATTAAGAATAAATGACTATTTCTATAATGAGCTCAGTAAAAGATTGATATTGAGCTCAGACGCACACACGGTATAATAGACTCTTGGAATATGCCAAAAATTTTAATTTAACATCAACAGTTTGATAATCAATCAGCTCTTTTTTTTTTTGGATTACTGTATATTCCTAATATGGTGGTGTTCCTCCAACAGTCCCATAGACGTGTTTTTGTGAGATTGCCTGCAGGTAGTTCCGCCCCAGTATCTTTATTTTATTTTGATTATTTTCGGAGAGAAATTTTGAAAACTAAATTTCGTGTCACATGACACAAGTCGATGGATAGATATAGGAAAAATTACAAAGGGAATCAATTGCAATATAGATATATCTATGTAAATATATTTAATCAATGGATTATTCAAACCGTGTGAACTCGAAGAAAGGTTCAGGTGGGGTTGCAGATGCGCAGGAAACGAATGTACACACCAGAAGAAGATTGAAAGAACTTTTAACTACTCAGGTTCTTGATATTGATAACGATCCATATGTTTTCCGAAATCATTTGGGATTATTAGAATGTAAATTATGTTTAACTACACATGTAAGTGAATCCTCATATATCTCACATTTGGGAGGGAGGAAGCATCAATTAAATTTAGAGAAGAGAAGGATACTTGATGAAAAATATAATAATCGTAATCAACAAAGAGACGCAGGTTTAAATTCAGTCTCAATTAGTAATGTTCCTAAACGAGTTTGGAATAAAATTGGTAAACCCGCTTTCAAAGTTACAAAGATTAGAGATACAAACACTTTAAAGATGGGTATTTTAATCAATGTTAAATATCCTAAGATTAATTTTAATGCTGAAGAACCAATGATTCGATTCATGTCATTTTATGAACTATCACAAAAGAATCAAAATGTAGTAATATCATATGTTGATCAACAGAAAAGTGGGGATGAAGCATCTGGATATCAATACCTTATTATTTCAGCAGAACCGTATGAAAATATATGCATTGCCTTACCAAATAAAGAGATAGATAAACCTAAAAAGGAAGGTGAGATGTCAGATACCTATTGGTGGTTTTGGGATAAAGACACCAAAGAGTTCTTTTTACAGATGCTTTACAAGGAATAAAGTGATAAAAAATCGAAAACACTAATATGTCGTAATCTAAGTTGAGTATGTTCTATTTTATCCTGAAAATCCTAAATGGGGAACACAAATTAACTTCAGATGCATATTTTGAAAAAAATCGTGTTTCAAATTCGTGTTTCTTGACCCCACAGAGATTCAATCGAGGTTGAGGGAAGGAAAAAAAAAAATAATAAAAAACCATAATTTTTGGACTGCGACGATTTCGAAGACTATGTCAAACATGAGTTTTTATTATGAGCCCCCTTTGCATATACTCCGCCACATCCCTTTATTATTGCCGCTGGTTATGTTGTATGAAACGTTGATGATGGTGATGATGATGATGAAGGGTTAGAATATAGATGAATCAATAAAACAATAAAGGTGTACAAAAACAACGCACATTTTTTATTATTTACCGGTGTATGCGACGTTAAAAAATAATAATCTCGATAATAGTTTTACTCAAGTAATAAAAATGTCTGATCATGGAAGTGCAAAATATCAATGCATGGCTTGTTACGCAACCGTTTTAGGGTTTGTATTTTCTTACCCACGCCAATAAACACATTTCGCGAACTCCAACAATGTGCAGTTGTGTGCGTTTTAGTAGATTTTGTTAGTAAATTTGAGGTGTTAACATTAACCACAGTATGTAGATATTCTATAATATTCCATTACCGGTGTGGAACAACAAGACTTATATGCACAGTAACAATGGGGAACAACCTCCCTTGGGCATGGGGCGAAAAAAGCTTCCTCTAAAAAAAAAATTCAATCTGTTCCATTGGGTAAAAGTTAAAACTTTACATTGTATGGAATCTGCGGAACTGATAATCTGTTGTTTAACAAAATTGTGTGAGTGAGACGCGCCTAACCGTATTTCCATGTGCAGTGCTGCGGCGCGGGGTCGCGCCGAGGCAAAAATCTTCTTGATCTCTATGATTAACTCAATCATGGAATTGTCGATTATTTTTACGCTTTTACAAACGCTACTAATATCACTGACAGTTGAAGTCAGGTAACCTTTATATCCGGTTTGCGAGATATCGGTATTTTTTTTCTTTTAAAAAAACTTTTCTACCACCTAAGAATAAGTGACCAAATTGGGTCTCTTTTTGCAAATTCTTCTCCCTAAAAATCTTGACGTCTTTTGCGACCACGACAAAGTTTAATTGAATTTTTGGTCAGCAATTACGGCAAACATTCAATCCTCACTTGCTTTAAACGGTTAAACTGTCTCAATTTTGATCCCACAACCCCATATCTACTACCTTTACAAGAATCCTACTTCAGATAAAAGATTCCTCAATTTCAAATTGTATAACTTTGCTCAGAAATAAATTCATAACCCTCCTCCTACTTGAATTATTGAACCAATATAAAATGAACAGTGTTAAAAAAAGGTTTGGATCCAACAATTCTCAGAATTCCTCACCAAAGAAAAGACTGGAACCTGCCCAACTTTCAAGAGCCCCGTCGAATGATCTCGATGATTTGTCACCTGAATTGGTGCCGATCGTAACTCTCCTTTCGTCCCAATCTCATAGAAGGTACCATGAAGGTATATTCATGTTATACTACGATTTAAATGGTGATGGGAAACCTGCCGATAGAGAATGGAAAGAAGTATATGGTATTTTGACTGGTAATCAGCTTGCTTATTGGGATGCTGCCAATTTAGCTGAATTCCGTGATAATCCAGAGGCCCTTCTCCAAGCATCTTCTAAACCAAACTATATCAATTTTACTGATTCCGTTTATAATGCCATGAAGACTCTTCCTGCTGCAAAGCAAAATCTAGACAATGTCATCATTGTTTCTACCACATTGAAGAATAGATATATTATTCAATTTAAGGCATACAGGGATTTGACCGATTGGTATCTTGCACTTCGCTTAGCCAATTATGAATATCTGTCATTACAAGAGGCATATACTGGGGCTTTATTGTCTGCTAGAGGATCCCGGTTATCTGACATTCGTACTGTTTTGGCAGAAAAGAGATATAACCATGAAGATTGGGTTAGTATTCGATATGGTTCAGGAATGGCTTGGAAACGTTGTTATGCCGTTGTTGAACCTTCAACTATGAAACGTAAGGTTTTCACTCCGGGTAGAATACTTCTCTACGAAACCGAACAAATGAAGAAGAAGCAACTTATGGCCGTTGTAAACAACGCTACAAGTGTTACTGCTATATATCCACAATCTCCACAACTCATTGATCATAGTACAATGTTGAAATTGGAAGGTTATATCAATTTTAAATCACCTAGTGTTGCTACTAAAGTTTCAAAGAAATCATGGGAAGATTTTAAGAATACATCAATTTTCATTATGCCAGAGGCTCATTCAGCAGTACCTGGATTTGATACCTTGATTAGATTTCTAATCCCGTTATTGGATTCCTTTGGTTTATATGGTAGACCTAAAAGACTTAAGGCTGATCGAATTGATCCTGAATCTCTTCTTTTTGCCTTACCAACTTTACCACATGTTCATTACCTTGAGATAAAGGATTTAGAAAGGTTGATAGAAAGAAATGACTTTTTGTCATGGGATGTGAAACAATGGACGAATGAATTTAAAGCAATTATGAAGGGTAAGTTAAGTCAAGGTTATGAAGGTTGCGGTAGTACCAGAGGTCTTATGGGCGCAGTTAATTCATTGAACAGTCCTCGTTCGACGTCGAGCTCTTCCTTCAAGAAACCAGGAAACTATGTAGCTGTTCAAAATCCATTACCAAGGCCTAATAATGAGTCTACTGGTAGTTTGAATAGTATTCCGGGTCTTGCTTCGACTCCTTCGCAGACAATGGCGAATAAGAATCCTCACGGTTTAACTATTCAGGCATCGCCTGCACAATCAGGCGCTAGTCTTTCTCCAGACGTTGGTAGCAGGCATAAACTCGACGCACATAAGTCGGTTCAATTGGCTGATATCTATCAAAAGTATTCTGATATAAAGAGTCCATCTGATCAATTTCATACCGATAGAAATCAATTATTGAATGGATCTCATGAGAAATTGGTGGAAGATGAACTCCCCGAAGGATTTAGACAAATTCATATTGGAAATAACGATGTTGGGGCATATCCAAAGAATGATGATGCCTTATTTGGGGATGATGAAGATGATGAAGATGACGATGGAAAGAGATTTGATACCCATGATATTGGTTTACGAAACCAAGACGATTCGAATTTGGCACTTCCATCTTTTACCAACAGAAACAGTAGTTATTCTTCTGTTAAGTCACCAATGACTCAATATCATGAATTTAATGAACAATTCAGCAAAGCGGTGGACCATAAGCGTCGTGAGCCTCAAGAACTCAACTATACCGATTCTGAAAGTGATGAAGAGTCAATTGCTCCATCTCCTCCTCCTCATCACTTCCCTTATGACAAAGACACTCTGCCTTTGCATTTACCGAAGACTAATCCTAACTTCAACAATGTTTCTCGTGGTACTACTACCCCACGTGGAGATGCCCAAGGCCCAGATTATTTATCTATTCACTCTGAATCTGGTAAAGTCATCAGCGCGGACTCTTCCCCATTATCAGACAATTCAGGAGAAAGAGATACCAATGTTCCATATCCTACTTATGATCAGCCAACAACATCTCGCTCTCAGGCACATCACATTTCATCTCCAAACAGTTCCCAAAATTATGTGGCAAAGTTTAGTCTGCAAGACAGTCAAATTCCTCTGACGAGAATCCAAGATGCTACAAGCTCCACTCCACAAATTCAAGTTGCTGACTCGAATAATGTGCCTCCTCCTGTTCAGAAATATCCTCCACCACAGTCGCGCCAACAACATCAACAATACCAATATCAACCTCAACCCCAACCTCAACAATCGCAACAACCAAGATCTCAAGGAAGACCTGGATATGAAAACCCACAATTGCCTCCGCAACAACAGGTTTACCCAAACTCACAACAGTTTGGATACCAAGTGCAACCTTCAACTCCACCACTGCAGTCATCTGCAACATTCAATCAGCCACAACATCAATACCGCCCTCAAGCACAACAACAATATCAACCTCCTCCTCAACAACAGCAACAATATGCTCCTCATAAACAATATTCTCCTCAACAACAATACCGTCCTCCACCACAAAATGCTTCTCGACCACCCCCTCAACAGCAATATGCACCACAGCCTCAATATCAGAAACAACAACCTCACCCTTCTCAACAATACCGTCCTCAACCACAACAATCGGGAATCCCTCCGAGTGTGAACTATCAACAAAAGCCTCCTCAACCTCGTTCGCAACATCAACCTGGTATTCCACCATCGGTTTCGATGCAGCCTGTACCACGTCCACAAAGACCAGTGGTTCCACAACAGCAATCTGCTGCCAATATGAGAGGTTACAATGGAACTCCTCAAGGTCAGTATCAATATCAAGTGAACCCCAACATTCCAACTGGAGCTCCTGGAGCCCCATCCCATGGTAGAAAGCCACCTCCACCAGGCAATCCTAACTTCAATAGTTCCAGACCATACTGATGCTACGAAATGTGACAATATTGTATATTATTATATGTAAATTATTTAGAATGTATTATTTGCTAGTTAAATATTAAGAGAAGTTTATGAGTTAGTTCCTACTAGAGGGTTTATATTTCAAGCACATCTTAGGAACCATTCCTACTTCATTGCTGTCTTTCTTTATAACCAAGCACCATCCATCTGAATGGTTTCTTGAAACTATTACCTTTTCACCTGGAGAAACAGATATTTCATCATTTAGAACTTTTTCATAAGCTCTAGTAACAGTATATACAGCTCTTTTCTGAAAGGATTCATCTCGATCTGAAACATTATCAACAGAATTTTCCATATTTCGTAAACTTGAAGGGGTATTTGGAATATTTACCACCGGGGGAAGTATCAGAACTGCGCTCTTCGATGATATTTCCTGTTTCCCATTCAGGTCTACCTTTATACTTTCTACCGAATCACCATTATCTTGTTTGTATAAATTTGATGGACTTTTTGCACCTGTTGATTGGGAAAGGTTAAATTTTTTTAAAAACATTGGTGATATCATTCCTGAAAATCTCTTGGGTATTATAGGCGTAGTTTGCTTGAAGTCAGCAGCAACCCCTTGTTTACTAATCAATTTGGATTGAAATAAATTGCTTTTTATATTGATTGGCTTTTGAGGACCTTCATTATATTTGATATCAGTCTGATCATATTTCATTGCGTTATCATCATTGTTGAGGTAAGTTTTTTCCAGATTAATGGAGTTGACATGATCCTGAGTATTAATGTTCCTTGGAATACTAATACTTTTAAATGGTTCCAGATCCGCCCTTCTCTTTGCAAACACCCTTCTCTTTAAATAATACCATCCAAAGAGTACAGCTGCAAAGAGTGATAAGACTCCAATTGGAATTCCAATTGCAAGTGCTACATTGGAAGAGTTATTTGTAGAACTTGATCCTCCTAGAAGTGCAGGCACTGTTGGCATATTGGAAAATGTCGCATGAGACAAGGTTGAAGTAGAAGTTTCTGTTGAGATTGAAGAACTAATTGTTGAGGTTGTGAAACTTGTTAACAGGCTAGTTAGAGAATTGGGATGCATAGATGTTGTTCTTTGACTCACAGTACTGCTTGATAATGTCGATCCGATTGTGTAAGTCTGAGTGAGAATAGCGATAATTGTGTATTGATCCATATCTATAGTAGAAACCATATTTCTAATTTGCAGCAATTTTAAAAATATTGTAAAATGATAAAACAATAAAACTAAGGGGTTGCATTTTTTTTATAATGAATCCAAGAGTTTCTAACTCGTTTCAAATAGTTTACAACCATGTCTCTGAATATATAATTTAAATTATAAAATAAATTTATGCTTATTATTCCCATGTTTCAGATTTTCATTTCTACATGCAAGTGAAGGAAATATGCACTCACATGTTAACCACCATACATCTCCAATAATTGTCAAATTAAAAGTAAATATTGAAATCTATTTGCGTCTGAGAATCGTTTCATGTGAGTAGATATGACGTGTTAAGCGTCTAAGACAGTTGTGAAACACTATTATATACGGGTAAAACTGTTTCAATTTCTTCAGATAATAATGGTTTATCAGAATTGTTTGAGAAAATTCTTGGGAAAAATTTGTGGTAAATACCAACAGCAATCACACTTCCTAAACTTCCACCTAATACGATGTCACTGAAATGATGTCTATAATCCTGGGTTCTACTAAGTGAAATATAGAATGCACAGAGTACAGGAAGGATACAGAGAAGTAATTTATAAACTGGGGCTTTCACTTGCACAACTTTAAATTGTCCACAGAGCCAAAGAGTTACATATAATAACCCAGAAAATGAAATTGAAGCATGACCAGATGGTGTTGATCTCATACCATCAATTAAAAGACGTTCACCCAATGGGGCAGTACAAACTTCAATTCCCACCAATGTATTCAATGGAGTTCCCTTTTTAGGTCCACATCTAGCCAAAAAATCTGGTCTTGGTCTAGCAATCCAATTTTTAAATATATCAGTAATTACTCCATCAATGCTTAAAGCAAGTAACAACCCAAGAATTGTTATTTGAAGTAAATGGAAATGTTCAGCTTGAGATTTTTGATGCTTCGCTTTCAAATATGAAGAACATACACCAATTATTGTCAATGGGATAACTGATGCAAGAAGTAAACATTCAATGCCAGAAACTCTTTCATTGTCTGCAAAGGGATGTTGAATAGTTGGATCAGACAATGAAAACTGTCTATTAAATGGTTTCGCATGTTCTGCCACAAGGAAAAAGTAAACGAAGAGACCGAGAGCCAATGCCCAATCATAGATGTTTCTTCTCAATGTTTCAGATTTGAAAATCGGATTTAATGACATACTGTTTCTTGTAAAGTAAAAATAAAGGTAAATATGTGTTATAGGAACAAACTTCTCCTCATAAATACCAAGAAGGACAAGAAATACAAGAAATACCAAAGATGCAGTACATGACACCTATACTAACAAACAGGGCGCGTGTACATGTACATGTACATGTATGTCGGTGTGCGCGAAATTTCTCCACTTTCTAGAACTACAAAAACATCACAGTAGCTAATTTGTTCAAATTGTCTATATAAGTTAAAAAAGAGAAAAGAAACATTGTTTGAATAGACAAATGCAAAAAATAATTATAGTAATAATAATTTTTTCCCGTCAAATAGTTTATTCCTTTTTTTTTTCCTTGTACTCTTTCCTTGTCTTCCTTTTTCTTTCTGTTGGTAGACTTTGATTTAGATTTAGATCATGTCTCTATGTCTCTATTGTCTATAGTTTTGCCTTTTCCTTCTTCTCAAATCATGAACTGAAAAATAATTGTAGTAGTAATCATAATAATATAATAAAAAAAAATAAAAGTAAAATGATCCTTCTATCCTTAAGATGAAGGATCTCCAAATGGATTAAAATTTGGTAAAATTTTTGAAGTATGTGGATTGTGTAATTCTGATTTCATTTGATGTTCATTCAATTGTTGTCTTTGAGGAATGAATTCTTGTGATGAAATCGGATCCATAACTTGCTTTTGTTTGTTTGGGAAAGTTGGAGCAATTGTTGGTGCTGGATTATTATTATTAAAACCATAAAATTTCCCTTGAATTTCATTACTTAAATGTTTAATAAGATTATCCAAATTTGCTGAATGGAAATAATTTGGTTCAGATAAGTTTTGAAATTCATTAATTGAAAATTTTAAAATTTGATCATTTGATAAGTCATATTCCTTTGGATTACGCTCAGTAATTAACGGTTTATCTTCATCTTTCTTTCCCCTTTCTTCTCCTTCTGCACTTGTAATATATAATTCTGGTTTATCAAATGGTAAAACTGCACAAAGCCAAATTCTTGTTTTATAGATTTTAAATAATTCTTTAATTAAACTTCTGAAATCAATTCTTTTGAATCCTGCAAAATAATAAAAGATCAACTTTTTAAAATCTGATTGATATTCAACATTAATTAATTCTAAATCATTTTTCAAATTTAATTCACGAATTTTATTTAAACATGTAACAAATGCCTTCTTTTCTTCTAAGAATTTCCCACTTAATTTATGAACTTCTTTTGGAGTTGCAAATCTTAATACTTGCTTAGTTGGTAAAGTAATTATAAATTCATTATCTTCATTTGAATGTGAATTAATAATTTGTGAAGCATTCAATAATGTAGAATGTGTACCTCCAGCAACTTTTTTAATCTTTGAATCAAAGATTGTCAAAGATTTTAAATGTTCTAATTTTTTCAAAAAATTAAATAAAATTGCAAAATTCAAATCAACTAATGGATGAATTATCATAACTAAATCTTTCCCTCTATCACCATCAACAATTACAAGATCTCCATCTTGTAAGAAAAGATTAGAATTATTAGGACATGATAATAAATCAAATTTCCCATTCTTATTAATCACTAAACATAATCTCTTATGATTAAATGTAAGATTATTTAAATTTTTAATAAATGTAATCAATTTTATAATGGTTGGATTCTTAACAAGATTATTTAAATTATTAATAATCTTCTCAGTTTGATTAACATTTTGGAAATATTTAGTCGCCTTCAGGTAAAATAATTTCAAATCTGATGATGCAAGAATAACTTGATCATGTAAAATAAGACCATTTTCAAGCTTGACAAATTGTGATTGTTGGGATTGATTGTGGTTTTGATTTTGATTTTGATCTTCAAGGTGGTACTGAGATGATGATGAATTTGGATTTTGTTGATGTTGGATTTTTTGAGATCTATTTGATTCTGATTGTTTTTGAGTGTGTGTAGTTGAAGATTCTTGAAGTGAAGGAAGTAAAGATTGAGCAGGAGGCGCAGCCGAAGTTTGTGGTTGTTGGTGAATGTGCTGCTGATGGTGTGGATGAAGGTGGTGAAGAGATTGTGGATGACCCTGACCCTGTTGTTGTGGTGGCAAATTCAAATAATTGGGTACAAATTGATTTTGAGGCGGAGGAGTTGATTGGAAATCAACTAATTGAGAAGGTCTTCTAGCTTGGAAATCATTAAAATTGGCATTAAGATTAAAATTAGCAAATGAATCATTAAATGAATCAAGATTAAATTTATAATTATTTATGGCAGCAAAAGCTGCTAAGTTCTTTGATTGATTATTGCTCCCATTATTATGACCTTGAAAATTTGAATTATTTATTCCTTGTCCAAGATATTGCATGGATGGATCCAACTGGTCGGCAGATCTAGTGAAGGACTCGGCTGCATAAGAAGGTCGACGTGAAGATATCGTTCCAATACCTCCTTGTAATTCAGATGGAAGTGTAAACAGATCTTGTTGTTGCTGTTCAAATAATGGTGCGAAAGTTGGTGGTTGAGGAACAAGTGAAGAATCAACCGGTCTTGAATGTGGGGATTGTTGTGAAGGAGATGATTTCTGTTCCAATGGTTGAAGCTTATTGAAAAGAATGTCTTCAAATTGACTCTTTGACTCCATCATACGTGTTTATAAAAAGACAATTAATACCAAACCCCAATAACTAAAAAAAAGTAAGACAATCGGAAGCAATGATAATATGTAGCAGATAAAAACGTCCGTGATATCCCTTTATTCTTGCAATACAAGTGTAACAAAGTATCCTAATATACAATAGTTAAATTAAGTATTCTCTAATCGTCGTCGTCTAGTATTTCAATTCAGGGAAATTTATAAGGCAACGTATTGTGATTGTGTAGTGTAGTAGGACAAAATAAGAGGCCGAAAAATAAAAATAAGAAAAAATTAAAATTGAATTAAAATAAAATCTGGAACTGATGTTTTATATACTTCTGGGGTCAATAATAATTTAAGTACAAATATATAGTGCAAAAAAAGTTACAATTGCAGGCGATTGTAGTGCATATGGGTTTTGAATCTAGTGCTTAAGCTTATGTTTTAAACCAACAATTTGTGCTTGGGTTTAATTAGTAGTTTTAAGCATGGGGTGGGATTAGCGAACCTTTTTTGTTAGTAAGTAAGTTTAAATTATACCCACACATTTTACTTTCTGGACAATTACGGGGATAATAAGCGCACATGACTATTTTTGCTCGTTGCACTAAAATGGAATAATAGAAAAGATTTAGAGGAGTTACAAAATAAGTTGACATGAAATGAAATGGATCTCTTTTTACTTTCCCCTTTTGTATTGTAGATATTGAACCCAGTTTATGTAATTATAGTAGAGATTAATCCTTTGCATTGATGTATAGCCATTACATGTGGTAGTTTTCCAAAGACAAACTCTTTTCCTGGTCACTGAGAAAAGCCAATTCACTAAGAAAAATAGATTATGTACAGGTATTACCTTTACAGTGCGGGGGTGGGGGGATTTTGAGCATTTCTTGTATGAAAAAAGCCCTTAATTAACATGGGACCATATGGCAGTAATCAATCAGATATGAATTAATCATATGTAGAAACAAGAATTGTAGACTGACTTAGTTGGGTCTTTTCAAGTAAAATGAAAATGAATGGGGAAAAAAGTATTATCAATTGAATGATTTGGGGAGGGAACCCCACAATTAAGATTACAAAAAGATATTTAACATACTCTACATTTTCTCTTCCATTAAAGAGATAAGGTGACAGGCTTTTAATGATGATTTTTTGTAATATTCATGCTAACAATATCGTATACTTGAAAGTATGAACGAAATTCTTTTTGGGGTAATTTCTGTTCCTACTGTTTTTTTGGTTTGTGTCTCCCCCAGTTTTATTTAATGCGTGGTTTTCTTCGCAAACCCAGTACCAGCCTTTGGAGGATAAGTACCTGACTCATCGTCTACACCTTCACAGGTGCACCATTGGGCCTTTGGGGTCGAATCCATAACGCTTCCAATGTGACTACCGCATCCGGTCCATGACTTGTGATCTAAAATTAATTGTTAATATATTGCTACCATATAAAATTTGGAATTGCGACTGGACTGATCAACCCTTGAGGTTATCTTGTATTACTTACGGCAAATTGAACAAATTTCTCCTCTGCACATGTTTTAAATAGTATTAGTATTGTATGATAATATAAATAAATATCAAACTTTTTAATTAACTATAGGTAATCTCTCGCCTTTTTATTATGTGAATCTCACACGATACTTATCTATGATTATGAAGTCATCCCCTATTTTTCCATTCATCCGCGGTAACGACCAATAACACTAATTATATAAAATCTCGATCCAGTATGAAATGAGGTCATTCGCGGTTCGGGCACGCCGGATCGAGTCAAGATACACTACAATAACAACCTGATATACAATCTACCATGTTTCATGTTGGGTAATTCTCGGAGAAATGTGCATTACCATACGTTTACATCTGAATTGTGTGTAGGATTATTAAAATGGTGCCGCGGTCGATTTAAAATTTAATCGAATGAGTCTTGAAAATTTAAGCAAAGTAACGTGCGATATTTCAATACTATGTGCAACTCAATTGAAAGTAACACCATTTGAATGTACCAAAGCCTATCTCAAGTAAAATAGCCCAAACTTCATGATTTATATATGACTGTCAAGTTCCGGGAGGTACTCTTTTGGGTAAATGAAATGGATAATATTATCACGTTCAGGGTGTTTCCTCCGGGGTAGCAATTGTATACACAATGACCCTTGCGCGCGTGCCTTTCAATACCATGTATGCTCTTATATGGACTTGATCCTTGGTGTCTTTTTCATTCTTTTTTACTCTCTCGTAATTAATATTCTAAATTGCTTCAAAGTTTTAATTTTAACAATATTCATCAGGGAAATACACCATATCACTAGTTACCTATGTTTTAAATTATTAAAATATTACATCGTTAATTGATTTCTTCTTTGTTGAATTTCTTGAATAAATTCAGTTATATGTCTATTAATATTTTCTACAAGATTTGCCACAAAATGTTTTTGTATTTCAACTCTACTAAAAGTAAATACTCCCAAAATTTAACAACCACCGATTTGCTCACGATGAGCTTCAATAACATCACCATCTTCTAAGTCTAAATCGTCAGCAGTGCTGTCTGGAGCAACTCTAGAACCATCGATCAAAAATCTTAAAGTATCCATGGTCTTTCCTTGTCTTTTACAAAAAGTTTCCATCAATCTTCTCATAGGAGTAGATCTCTTAATCTTGAAGAAGATTTCTGCAGATCCATCCGACACCTTTAAGTTGATGTGGGTTTCTGGCTTTTCGTCCTTTGGTTGGTTTTCGTTATCAGACATTTATAATGGAATGGTATTTAACAAGGTTATTACAACCTTTTGATTATCAATATATCCCATATGTTATGAAGTCGCGTTCCAATTATGAACAAGTACACGACATTTTATCAGAAATGCGACCAAATGACAAAAAAAAAGGCTCATAAAATACTACCCTTTGCCTTTCTATGTAGAATATAGGGTTTGTGCTGTAAAGGAAGGGATGATTCATTGACGTGTAAATGTTGACTATATTATGTATTGTTTTTAGATCTTAATCTTCCTGTCCAATGTTTCTCTTCTCCATTTCTTTTTCTTTTTTCTTTGTTTGAGCGACAATACTATGTATGTTTTTTTTCTTTTTCCGAGTTGTGATGATGTTTCAGAACAGTTACAACGAAGTTTCAGAAGATAGATGATCAAATTGAAGTAATGTAGAGTTTAATATGCCTATCATATATATAAGTATATACCAGTGAATTCTTTTATTCACTTTATTTTCTAATATAGTTAATTTTTTCTTATCATGAATCACAACAGTGGCTGCAAACTTTCTAATCGGTCTTACTTATCGTTTTGGGAAAGACTATCCCAAATTTGGTTAAGCAAATGGACTTTGATCCTACTATTGATGTTCTTGAAAGTTTACTTGTTTAAACGTTCACTCGCATCTAGTGTCAAACAATTATCGTCGCAAACAGCATCGGCTTGTTCTGTTCTAGATAACTACATGACAGATCTTGAAACATTTCCTACCAAACTTTCAAATTTAGGTAACCAATTCATATCATTTGGATTAAATCAAATGAATTCAGAACGTATCAGGATAATAAAGCTAATCTTGACAATGGTGGAATACTTGATAATTTTTTTCGTTGATGTTTTATTTGGTACATTTACATGTTTATTAGGTGCGGCTTTAAATGGCACAGTAGATTTCGCACTTGATGCAACCGATGAAGTTATAGTACTTGTCAATCAAACAATTGTAGGCTTGGCTGGAGACATCCAATCTGGTCTAGATGGTTTATCTATTGTGATTAACGGTCTAGTGACTGCTTTTGATGCTGTGAAATCTTTTTTCAGTGGTGATGATAATAATGATTCCACAAAATATATAAATCAAGTAAATTTGACCATTTCAGCTCTAAAACTGATTCAAATACCATCAACAGTTACTGATAATATCAACAGTTTAAAGTCAGATATTCCTGAATTTTATCCAAATTCAACTACTAATTTCATTAAAAGTAATTTTGATACTCTTAAAAATAGAATTGTCCTAAATAACATTACAACATCTGTTTCAGATCTCCCAGTCATTTCAATCCAACGCATTTCCCTTTGTCCACCGACGTCCACATTTGATTCCATTTATTCGGATATAGGAAATGGTATACACAGAACAGCTTCCTTGATAATGATCATTCTTATAGTCTTGGCGATTTTAGCTATGGTCCCAGTTTCAATTCTTGAAACCTTAAAATGGAGGAAAGAACAAAGAATGATATTAGATTTAGCTCATGAAGAATCGACAACGGGGTTAAACTCAGTCGTGTATAAATATTCTAACATCTTTATATATTATCTTTCCAAAATGTCAAGTAATACCCTGTTTTTATGGTTCATGTCATACATTACCTCCCCATTTGCAATTATAATATTATGGATTGGGTTAGGTTCTATAATAACTGTTGCACTTCAATATGCTTTACTACGAGTTACTCTACTGCCAATGTCAAGTATATCCAGATTATTTTCTGGGATTGAACAAACATTTAAAATTGATTTTGAAATGGCTGCAAATAATTGGACTTCGATTTCCAATAAATATATTTCCAATGAAGAAAGTACAATTAATGAAGAAATGTTTGGTTGGGTACAAAATGCAACATCTACCGTGAATGATACTGTAACTCGGATAAGCTCAGATATCAATTCTGGTTTGAATTTCTTAAATGGTACTATCCTTTATAAACCATTTCTGACGGTGGTATATTGTGTTATTGGCAGGAAATTAGAAAATATTGAGAGTGGATTAGAATGGATTCACGATAATGCAGAAATTTCATTACCTAGAATACCAAATAATTTTATTCTTGATAGCGTTTCAGATACAAATTCGACATTGTCGAATGCTTTAGGAAAGTCATCCCAAGGAATTAAATCCATCGTGGAAAGCATCGAATCATATTACAAATCGCAATTGAAAATTGAATTATGTATTGCAATTATAATTATCAGTATTTGGTTGTCACAGGTTATAATTGCTGCTATTATTCTAATACTGAGATTGTTGTTAAATTACTGGAACAAGAAGAATAGTAACAATTCCATAGAAAGATTACCTCGATTTTTTATTAGTACTCCAAAACCTTTAACTGAAAAGGAAAAAGAATATGTTCCCGCATCTTGGAGATTTCATCTTTAAAATCTACACAATTTCATAATGCAAATTTCTTTCTATTTATAACTAAACTTTCTAATATACAATCAAACCAACTCGGATTTGTGCTCTACTTCTTTATTGGTGCAGGTTTTTTCCAATAGTATTGCTTGTGGGTTCTTCTACAAGATCTCAAACCCCCATGTCCCTTGATACTAGCAACAAGTTTTGGACGCTCTATATCATCATCTTGCTCTGGGATGTAGTAGTACTCTTCTTCCAATGGTTTACCGGCAGCATCCTTACCCTCTCTGTAAATGACTCCAATTGGCTTCAAGTTATGCAAAATAGCTCTCATTTGAGTCAAAGATAAATCAGAAGTTAAAGCACTGATGGTGTTCAAAAATGAAGCAGGCGTAGATGATAATCTTGAAAATGCCAAATGGTTAAGCAAGACATTATTGATTTCTGACATATTAGTTAAACCTTCAATCAGAGATTGGTCAATTATAGGTCTTGGTTGTGGACTAGTCTTCTTCTTCTTTCTCTTACCTCCAAATTCTCCTGTGCTTGGCTTTTTGCTTGGTGATGATGTGAAAGAATTCTCGTGGGTAATATCATTTAATGGTTGTGCTTTAGAAGGTACAATGACCTCTTTCAGTGGAGTATCTTCTACGTCAGAAAAGATTTGAAAGTTCAATTCTGATTTATCCAATAGTGAATAAGTTGGTGTTGGTTCTTCCGAAGTAGCTCTAAGGTTGATCATAGTTGACTTGGTAGACTTTGCTGGAGTGACAGGAGTCGACGAGGTAGTCATGACAGACTTGATAGGAGTACTTAACTCTTGGAATATTTTCTTCTTTGGAGCTAAGTTCACATTGTCAGACTGTTTTCTTTCGATAGACTCAGCGATAACCTCCTTCTGTTCAACATCGACAGGCTTAGTTTCAATTTCGGCAAGTGGTTGAGTTACTTTCAAAGATGATTTGACAGGGGTCATCTTTTCTAATACGACACTTGGCTTAACTATTAAAGTGGGCTCTTCATCATCTGTAACATCTTCCATATCTTCAACTGGATTCAATAATAACACATTATCTCTGATTTGAACGAATATATTGTCGATCTTAGGTAAAGTAACCCTTTCACATCTGTTGACGAAAAATTGAGTATGGTTTGCATCCAAACTAATTGTACGTGGAGTTACTTTATAACCCAACGTTTGTAAGTCATTGAATGACAATGCAGATCCTTGAGTTTCCATCAAGATGTAATCATTGGTCTTGTTGGATCCATACACTAAACAAGCTTTAGGAATTGTTATAAGGAATCCACTGTATCCCATACATTCCAAGATCACATGTTCATCCTTGCAAGTGACAGCTAAATGGGTTCTGGAGATCGTTTTATCCATAGTTTTGAAATGATAATCACAAGACTTTGAAGACCTTCCAATTAAAATAGATCCATTTTCCCTTAAGGGAACACGCAACACATTTGCATCTGGGTTCAAAACATTGAAGTTTCTGTTTATGCTAACTTGATGAGTCAGTTTAGGTTGTGCCATTGGCACAGCAACAGGGGTAGTAGCATCCAAGTTGAAAGAAACAGCCTTTTTCGGTTTGACTGCAAGATCAAACTTAACCTCTTCAGCTCTAACAGGAGAAGATGATCTCCCAGTGGTCGAAGAAGGGTTAGGCGTAGGATATTGTTTACTTCTTCCTCTTTGAAGGAATGTATCCTTTCCCTTCACGGCGAAGGGGTCATGTTCTTGATAATCAGCAGCATCGCCAATCAAGGGAGAAGATGGTGGGAATTGATAGCTAGACATCCTTTCCCAAGTAATACTAGTTTGTTTTACAATAAGTTATACTTAAATTGATTGTGTTTAAAATTTCTTCTTCACAACTATATTTCCAATTGAATGTTACTGGTAAACCAATGACCATTCACCCTCCCCCTCCCCAATAAAATGTTTGTTTATGTTTACACGGTTAACATAAACATTGGACGCGTATGTTTTTGCCTAGCAACGCGCGTATCTCAATTCAATTTCTTCTCTTTTTATTACCTTTCTAATTGTACAAAGTTAGGGCAGAGCCCCAAAGATTCTATTTTTCCGCGTGACTGCTATTTTCTAAATCCGCACTGATTGTGACTTTCGCACGTCTACTAACATTTGAATCCTGTCCAGAAACAATCTTCGCACCAGTGCTCAAACCGTAGCACAAAGTCGATTTTCGCACACTCCCATTCTAGCACTGGAGAGAAAAGTGAAAATTTTCAGAAATTTATTACTGATATACTAATACATCATACCAATTAAACATGTCCAGTATGTGACTATAACAGATAGAACGCAGTAGTTTGCGAATGCAAAGGGGATGCAGTATATGATACAAATGATCATTGGAAGATAGATATTGAAATAGATAGTGATTGAAGAGGATGAAACCGGGCAACTTCATGATTGAGGACTCAGAAAGGGATAGTAAAATTTTTACAAGTGTCCATCACTTTATAAACAAATAATAAAAATTTGATAGATTCATAACACCAGAAGAATGGGATAAAAACAATCTTCAATCAAGAAGATGAGTCCATAGACGTTTGAATCGAGAAATAACTGTTGAATTTATATCCATATACCTTAAGTGTTTAACCTCCATGCCCCTAAACTTCAATCACAATCGTCCAAATATGAACTTTGAATCATTGCTACACTCTACTGAAGTTTCTTGACTGTTTTTTTCTACTTTTTCTTCCATTTGAATATTTACTAACAAAATTCCAGAGGGTACTCCATCTTTAGGTAAACGTCACAACAAGTCCCACACTTTGTGTAACAGATGTGGTAAGCGTTCTTTCCACGTCCAAAAGAAGACCTGTGCTTCTTGTGGTTACCCAGCTGCCAAGATGAGATCCCACAACTGGGCTCTCAAGGCCAAGAGAAGAAGAACTACCGGTACCGGTCGTATGGCTTACCTTAAGCACGTTTCTAGAAGATTCAAGAACGACTTCCAAACCGGTGTTGCCAAGCCTCAATCCGCTTAAATTTTAGTCAATAATATAGTAAAATAAAGGTCACACACAAGTTAAAACTTCAATATAAAATATTTATAAACGTAAGCTAAAGAAAATAGGATTTACTGTCTATTTTATTGTACAAGCATTTTTCTCTATTATTATTTATTCAATTTGATTATAAAATTAATTATCTACAAGATCCATTTCATCAAAATTTGGATCTTCATAGTTCATATTGAAAAAGAGATTATCGGCTTCTTCATGAGTTACGCACAGATCTAAGATTTCTCGTGATAATTCGATAGTTTCTTCTTCATATGGGAACTCTAAACCATTAGCAAATTGACTTTCAATGTCTGCAATGAATGTAGCATTGGAAATATCCCCGTGTTCAATATGGTTCAATTGTCTTGCTCTTTTCTCACACCATTTATGAAAGATTGGTTCTTTTAAATATCCCTTTCTTCGTATAGTAGCTAATAATTTATGAGCATCTGATGATAATGAATTTGAACCAAATGCAATTCTCAGTAGAGTAACAAATATTTCGTAAACAGTTTCAGGATATACCAACGCAGTGATACCTCTAGATTCTGAAGATATATAATGTAATATTCGAACAAGAATTGATATAACCAGGGTCCTTAAATGTATGGTTTCAGATCTAGGTGCTCTCATGATAGCAGTTTGTTCAAATCCAATAGTTCTCACTATTGATTTAATATGATCTCTCAGTTGTAATGGCTTAGTGTTACAAGTATTCAATATATAACATTCAATAAACGAAGCCACTCTAACTCTTAAAGTTAATAAATGGAATTCATGTCTTGAATTAAGTTTAAATTCAAATAAATGACGATTTGTACTTTCAGGAGTTGCAATAGAACTATACTTTGGTACAGATTCATCCTCAATGTACATTCTTTCCTTGGAAAGATAATATGGTATAGGACATGGGATACAAACTAAAGTATTACCCAATGGAGTTTCCGATTCCGGAATAACTGATGAAACTTTCTCCAAATCTATATTATTCCCAATTATTCTATTAAGCCCATAAAACATAAAATCATCCTTGATAGGAATATCGATTAAAAATACCTTCAATAATGAATTGAAAATGGTACTATTCAGTTGTCCAATGGGGTTATCCTGTTGAATATTGTTGGAATATGCAAAGGTGGATTCTGTTATCGAAGACATCAATATTTCCACCATATTAAATACCATATTAATTTGAGCAGTACTTTTAAATCTTTCCGTGTTTTCTGGCAAACATTTCATTAATAATTCATTTGGAATACTCTCGGTCCAAACTTGGTGGATAAACTCTGCTCCGTATAAAGAACTTAATGATGCCAATTTCTCTATTATATCAAGGGAACAAATTAGAGTGAATTTCTCTAAAATGGAAACCTGTTCCGATACATCATGATATGTTATATAATCCTCTTGATTTTGAACTGATTCCAATAAAAATATATATTGTAAGGCAATATGTGAATTAGAACCTAATAATGACAAGATTGACGTTTTCACCACAGCAGCAGGTCGGAAATTAATGGCTGCATGAATCAATGAAAGTAAAAATGGCACAGCCAATAAAGTATTTTTTTCAAGTAAGATCTTGACCACTTCCATGATAACATCAGTGAATTCAGCCACCAAGTTATCTAATCTGAGGTTTTTCTTCAACATTAGAAAATCAATAATAGCTCCTGCAATGGAAGTCTTGTGGTGATATTTGAATTCACCAATCAAAATGTCAAAGTCTATGTACACCTTTCCTAATATTGTTAAGGTTTTCCTTTGTGCTCCATTAATACAATGGTTCCATATATGGTCAGTAAATAATGAAGAATCATTTTGAATTCTGATTATCTTTTGTGGTACAACTGATCGAACTTCAGAATCATGTAAAATACGATTCGTTTGTTGACCCAGGAGTGTAATTGGTTGTCCTGGAGATTGTGATATAGATTTACTAATAGAGTTTGTTGTACTGTTTGGAGTAGATGTGGAAAATGCTATTGGTTGCGGTTTCAGATAACCAGAATCAACTCCTCCCATTGGACCTCCATTAGTAATCTGGCTAACCTTCCGTCTCTTTGTTGAAATGCCCTTAATTTCATTTGAAAGAAATTTCTTTTCATCCTCTAGTTTTTGCACTGTAAATTGAAGAGCCTTTAATTGTTCTTCATGACTTCTTTGTAATGCAAGATTTGATGCTTTCAAGTTATTTATCTCATGTTGTCTCAGACTTTGAAGGGTTTCAAACTTATCTCGAAGTATACTGATCTCACCGTCGGCTCTATATAATCTTGCCTGAATCTCGGGATCTATTGATGTTGCATGAGTTGTATTGTTTAAACTAATGTTGTCTACTCCACTTGATTGGGTTGCAATGTTATCTCTATATTCGCGACTTTGAGTCACTTGCAGTTTATTTGTCGGCAAGGCAAGTAAAAATTCATCGTCATCATCATCAAAATCATTGTCTGAAGAAGTCATATCTCTACCATGACCTCTAGTGAACCCCTCTATCAAGTTTAAAACTAATTTAGTATCATCCTGTTCACAGAAATGTATATAAGGGTACCAACCTCACTACCTGCAGTCTCCCTCAAAGTTTGAATTGTCATAGTCTTCTCACTAAAAAAAATCAAAAAAATTTCATAGCCAAAGTGAAGATTATAAAGGTCATCTCTCCATTTTTAAATCATAATTTATTTTGATCAATACTTGGTAGATTAACGTTTTGATATTCTGATCCTTACTACGTATCTTCATTATTTTAATTTCTTTTGGATTTAAGCAGAATTTCCGGTTTATCATTTCATTTTATAATTTGATCAAACCTAGTATACAACCTTACCCCATCATCATAGAATTTTATACCAAACATATACACAATGTCTGAAGCCAAACAACAGGAACCACCTAAGAAGTCCGCCGCTACTACAGCCGCCTTTGTCCCAGTACAACCTACCGCTATCAGTTCCAAGGATAAGGATACCAAGAGATTAGTGGTGGTTTTATCCCAAGCATGTTTGGAAACCCACAAAATGAACACTAGTGGTCCAGGTGGCGACAAGTATGCTTTATTGAACTGTGATGACCATCAAGGTTTACTTAGAAAGATGGGTAGAGATATCGCCGAGGCTAGACCTGATATTACTCATCAATGTCTTTTGACTTTACTTGATTCCCCAATCAATAAAGCTGGGAAGCTTCAAGTGTATATTCAAACTGCTAGAGGTGTTTTGATAGAAGTCAACCCTAGTGTGAGAATCCCAAGAACTTTCAAGAGATTCTCTGGTCTTATGGTGCAACTTTTACACAAGCTTAGTATTAGATCCGTAAATTCAGAAGAAAAGTTATTGAAGGTCATCAAAAACCCAATCACAGACCACTTACCAACAAAATGTCGTAAGATCACCCTTTCCTTTGACGCTGAAATCAGAAGAGTTCAAGATTATGTTTCTACTTTGGATGAAGATGAAAGTATATGTGTGTTTGTTGGTGCCATGGCTAGAGGTAAGGATAACTTCGCTGATGAATACGTGGATGAAAAGATTGGTCTTTCAGACTACCCATTATCTGCTTCCGTTGCATGTTCCAAGTTCTGTCATGGTTGTGAAGATGTTTGGGGTATTTTCTAAAAATGTTCCAACCTGTAACATATTTAAAAGAACAAGTAATACAGTCCATGGACTTCCATGTACATAAAGTTAATATATAAACTATTTGAAGATATTGGAAATTGAGATATTAATATGTAGAGTTATTATGTACGGTATTGATATGTTGCTCCTACTAAGTCTCCTTTATGGAAATTGACAGGTCCCTTTTCTTCGTAAATCTTCTTGGATACTTTTTTTTTTTTGATCCCTTTTTTTTTACCTTTATTTTTTTTTACTTATGTTTTTTTTGTCTAGGGTTTTGTAATTTTTCAGTTTGTAATTTGCAGCCGTTTACAAATACAAATTGATTGCATAAGTAGTTAGCTATGTTCTTGCTGTAGCGTTAATTTTATTTTCTTTAGTTCTTCTCATTGTCTTATCTACTCTTCTTGCTAATGTCTCATATCATCGAAGCAGCTGCAGTTCGTGGGTTAACAAATGCTCTTTCAACTGGTACTTTTGTATTGGAGCATTTAGGTTTGAAAGATTTGCTTGACTTACACGCATCGGCTGCAAATATCACACCATTGTCCGAACACCCCACTCCATTCTTTGTGCGTCAAGACAGGAAAGACCCAAACAAGAAGGTGAAGGTTTTTGGTGCAAACGGTGTACAACTCTACACCATTGAGAGATTATCAACTTTCCATCCAGTGTGGACTTTACTTACTTTCCCAGTTAGAAGAGAAGTTGCCACCATTAATGCTGGATTCACCAGTAGATCAGTTGATTTCCATAACAAGCCAGGTATGTCTCATCGTGATATCACGGTCGATTCGGGCTTGAGTGGTCGTTATAGAAGTTTTTATACTACGGATGGAGCAAAGTATTCCTGGGTAAGAGGTTCAAAGTTTTTAGAGAAAGTTACTAATCCTAATGGAGGAGTTGAAGAAAGCAGACAACGAGTTGCCAAAGTAAAGCTTATGAGACAATTCAAGTTTGATTTTGAAGTGTTGGTGGATGAAGAACTTATTGATAGGGAAGTTGTTTTATCCACTGCCTTTGTATCCATGTTAACTCAATGGGGAGTTGGTGATGTCACCGACACCATCGGTCCAACATATATTGCACCAAAGCCAATCATTGATAAAGAAGAAACCTCCTCAAAAGAGTCTGAAAATGTTGTGGTTGTAATTCAAGGAAACTCGAATGATGATTATACCATTGAGGCTGTTTAGTTGTACAATTGTTTTAAGAAGTATATTATATTGTTGTTGAAATCACCATCTCATATATAAAATTATGTTTTCTTCATAGCGAATCCCTTATAAGCTAGGAATAAAATATATTTTAGATAATTAATGTAAGTAATTAATTATATAGAATAACGACTTCAATTTACAAAAAATTTAAGAAGATAATATATTAAAAGTATCTATAAAACACTACCATCATTATTCAATTATTCGTCCATTACTCCTTCCTTACGCAATACCTTTTCAATTTCTTTGAAGAGGGTATCGGTTGTAACCTTCGAACCTTTAACACGAGCACAAACAATTTGTGATTTTTGGTTGAAATCGGTTGAGCTAATCTTGATTCTAAATTTACAACTCTTCAAATTGAAAGCATTATGTGAAGAAATTCCACCGGTTATATTATATCCAACGGCATCATTTTTAAGGTTTTTCAAACCGAAATTGGTCCAAGAATTTAAAAGTGCAAATAAAGCAGTGGACATTTCTTGCTTTGGCAAGATTGTTTTAAATTTCCGTATTTCAGATTCCAATGAAGCTTCCTCATGGTTACCTGAAAGCCATCTGAAGAATGGATTACTTGTCTTTCTAGTTTCTGCAGATGGTTGACGAGAATCAGCTGGAGATGGTAATTGTGTAGGATTACCATCTTCAAATGTTTTCTTTGTTCCCCAAGAAAGTTTCCGGAAAATAGATCCCTTTTTCTTAGTACTATCTTGCGTAGCAATAGATGGCTTATTTGTAGTATCTTCAAGTGGCTTCTTGTAATGTGGAGCCATAGGAGGAATAGTTTCATGGTGTCCCTTAGGTTTGCGAACCTTTGGATATGGTTCTGATCTTGTAGTAGGAAGATTGTCACTATCTGGTAGAAGCATGGATGGAGCATTGTGGGGTTGTTGATGCTTATTTCTGGTGTTATTTTGAGATTCAGGTTGACGTGGTTCTGTCTTTCTGACAGAGTTACTATGTTCAGGAAGTTTGATATTCTCAAAGACATCTTCCCCAGTGCCATCTTCAGAATAATCTCTTTCATGAATTTCATCATGCTTGGTTGCAAATGTATCATCAGCTGCATTTTGAGTGTTCATGTTATAATCCTTAGTTGGCAATCTAGGTAACTCCGAAACTGGTCTTTCTGAAGCTCTTCTACCACCATTATTCAAGTTTTCAACTTTCCCATTGAGTTTAGAATATCTTCTACTATTGGCATAGTAAGACGCACGTCTGGTTGCAATGTCGTCAAAATCCATAACTTGATCTTCCCCAATTGGTAATTCCTCAAGGTCTTCTTCAGGCAATCCAGCTCTATCCAAACGATCAGCAAAACTGGTTCTAAGACCAATAGACTTCTCATCCTTCAAGATAGAATTCAAGTCTTGGTATGACTCCTTAGTAGAATACATAGTTAAAACTGATAATCTCTTGTTGGAATTTGTGAAGCATCTGGATTTTCTTGTCACATTGGGAATCTTAACATTGCCAATAAGAGTAGGTTGTTCACGTGGCTTGATCAGCTCTTGCTTGGATAACCGTCTACCCTTATTACCATCTAAGTGCCCATTAATATTGAGTTGAGAGTTAAGTAACTTAGACTTACGAATCTCACTCATATATTCAGCACTTAAATCACTATGTTCAACTTGAGGTTCTGGTAATTCATAACTAGCTTCCTTGACGAGGTATTCGTCCTTAGTATATCTTTTCTCATCAATATCATCCCCAACAGAAATCATTGATTGTCTGTTGTTATGAATGATAGATTTTCTTGATTTGTTGTCGCTTACATCTCTATCATGGTATTCTGCTTCAAGAGCATCTTTAGCCCTGTCAAGTTCTTCATTCTCGTAGGCTGTCCATAATGGATCAAGACGTGAGACTGGTCTTCTAGATAAATTAGGAGTTGCACGTCTTCTTGGAACTGGTTGGGTAACTGAACGTTTCTTAAAGTTCTCAACATCTTCTGGCGTTAATTCGTCAGAGTTAGTTTGTGCAGCACCTTCAGATATAGAACGCAAATTAGAGCCTCTCTTTGGTTGTGAAATAGGCTCAGCTTCAACAGTAATATCCTTAGCATCTCCATTGGCCTCATCCTTTATAAAAATAGAAAGCTTTTTAGATGATAAAAGAGACTTACGCTTTTGTCTTTTCCTTTGCTTGGCCAACTCCTTTCTTGCCTTGATCTCAGCTTCGTGTTTCTTTCTTTCAATCTCCATGATCCTTTCATATTCCTTTGCTTGCTTTTCTTCCTCATCAATCAATTTTTCATCTTCTTCATCATATTGTTCTTGGTTAAAAATCTTATCACATAAAGTTGCGAAAGTGGCAGAAGTTCTCTTTGTTTGTTTATCCATATATTCCCAATCAGTTTCACCAGCTAACTTGGCATAAGTGGACAACAATTTCATAGTTATCGAGTTTCTCTTTAAACCAGTAGTCATTGAAGCTCTCATCGACTTTCTTTTGGATAATCTATTCTTGGATACGCTAGTAGCCAAGATAGAGTTTCTCTTATTAGCCTTACTTGGTGAGATATTAGCAGAGGCCAATAAATCTTGATTACTAACTTCATCAACAATTGGATTACTTTCTAATTTTGATTTTGGAATTCCTTTCGCCAATGGGATAGATTGTGAAGTACTGGATTCAGGTAAAATTGCAGGAATGGAGCCAAGAGAACCATTTTTTTGAGCAGTAACAATCTCATTATAAATATTTCTTGGAATTGCAGGAATAGATGCCCCAGTAGCAGATTCATCATGATAATTACCATACTTCTTGGGAGATCTCTTTGGAGATCTTATTGGAGACTGACTGTACGAGAATCTTTGGGAGTTTCTTTGTGGAGAGCGACGTGGTGACTTGTAAGGTGAGTTTTGAACACTCGAAGAAGCAGACAATCGTCCTGATACACTGGTTTTAATACCATTTTTGTATTGGAACAGCACAGGTCTTCTAGAAGAAGATCTACTGATCGGACCTCTAGTACCTTTTCTTGGAGTACCAATGGATGTACTACGAGGAATAGGCTTTCTACCACTATTGTTACGCTTGATTGGTGATCCTGCTTGGGATTGATCTTCTTGGTTGTGTCTGTACCTCATAAGTAAGGCATAAAATGTCTTTTCAGGATTAGATCCACCCTTTAAGAGACACTTGATGATATCTTCTTGAGATCTATCGTGCCATAAAATTGATAAATTTTGTAAAATTTGTTTGTCAATATTGTTAACAGAACCCAAGGATTTATAGGCAGTTTCTGGATGTGGCAAACTTTTCACACTAATTAAATCTTCATTAGGGATTGGGTATTTGTTAAGAAGTGGATGTTGTAAGATCTTTTCAGTTGGAATTCTTTTCATTGGATCAACAGTAAGCATCCTTTCAATTAAATCTCTTGCCTCATCAGATATTTCTTCTGCCATTTCATAATTACCAGCTTGAACTTTCAAAAGTAAATTACGAATGTGTTCATCATCAAATGGTAATCTTCCAGTTAAAAGCGCAAAAAGGATAACACCACATGACCATACATCTGAAGCAGCTCCATGATATTTGAGACCACTAACAATTTCTGGGGCTGCATAATGTGGTGAGCCACATGAAGTCTCCAAGAGTTTCCCATTGCTTTCAAGTGCAGCCATACCAAAATCTGCAAGTTTCACATTCAAGGATGAATCTAATAATAAGTTTTCAGGTTTTAAATCTCTATGACATATACCTAATGCATGACAATAAGCTGTACCAAGAATAATTTGTCTGAAATATTTCACTGCTTCAATTTCTTGAAGAGGACCTCTTTCAACCAACAAATCAAAGAGTTCACCACCTTCAACGTATTCCAACACAAGGTATAAAGCCTTTGAAGTTTCCCAAACGTCATATAATCTTAACACGTTTGGATGGGCAAGTAATTTCATAATGATAATTTCTCTTTCGATTCCATATGGTAAACCTACATTGTCTGCCAGTTTCTTAGGAGGTTCATTTTCATCAGCAAGCTCCAGCTTTGATACAACCTTAACGGCAGCCTTTTGACCAGTGATATGATGAGTAGCTAACAAGACACGTCCTGTAGCACCACGACCCAACGTTTTGCCCAATTTCCATGGACCTATTCTTTGAGGATGTGTATGTGTGGATGAGGAAAGAAGCGAGGACGCCACCGATGGTTGTCTCGAATGATATGACATGGCGTTATTTTCTTTTGAGGAGGGATGGTATTCGGATAAAATGACAATTCCCTCTATAATATATTAAGCGTGTCCTTGTAGCTTAAAACGAATGAATAGAACACCGTAGTAATAATAATAATATATGTCAACTAGTACTTGGGATAGACACTTGAAATCAGAACAATACTTGTTTTTCACCTAGGGTGTTTCTAACGTATGAAATTCAGTACACAAGTTGTAGTCAATAAGAGAAAAGAGTAAGCAAAATTTAGAGAAAACGCTCCTGTATTTTTAATATCCTAGACACATTTGGCGACGAAAAACCGTTTTAGGTATAAATGCCGATTTTCTCAATTCCTTACGCGACGCGTTCCTACCTGTAAAAAATATAATGCGTGGGTGTGCGGATGGGCCGCTCAGCGAGACGAGATTGAGTACACATGTGGCTATATTCTACACTGATACAGAGTTATGACCACCAACGTTCACGTTGAAGGTCTAGATTACGAGTGTACATTACGAAAAAATGTTTCACCAATTGTTTCTGTTCCCGTTCTCTTTTTCTGTTTCCGCCTTTTATTTCAGCCCCAACAATAAAAAAATTCTGTACTTCATTACATACACACACCCCCCCCTTACAAATTTGTTTGTTTGTTTGTACTCATTACAAATTGTTACAAACTACAAAACAAAAAAAAAAAAAAAAGATTTCCTGTGTACAAGATTCAAATACAGTAAGCTCATCTATCATTATTGAATTATCACCTGTACATACACAAACTATAGATGCTGAACTAATATAGAAAATTAGTTCAGTATAAAACCCCTAGGTTTATTGTGTAGATCGTCCCATTTGAGATAAGAATATCCCTTTCTATTTTAATTTGATTTTGTTTCTTTCAAAAGCTTTCATTTTGTTCTGCTTTTATCATTCATTTTATTATAATCCAATTCCAGTAAGCATCTCTAATTGCAGTTGAAGGTCGTTATCAGCCTTTTTATTCTTTTCTTGGACCTCGATATCCTTTTTGAGATCTTCCTTCAACCCAGAAGCATCCAATGCCTTCACCGGACGAGATGCCGGGGCTATAGAAGAGAGTGATAACCTTACCTCATCTATTTCAGCGAGATTATTATTCAATTTTTCAATTTTACTCTTGGTAGCCTTTGATTGTGCCTTTAATTTATGTTTAGAAAGTTGTTTCAGAACACCATTTTTCGAAGATTTATTTGAATTAGTCTTTTTTATGAACCCTTTTGGTTTAGTATCAGGTTTCTTAGCCATATTAAGTGAATATAAATAGTTTTGTTGAACGTTTAGTCCTTGTATTCAAACCAAAAAAAAAAAAAAAGATGAGTTCCATCTTTTTGCGACCTACTGCCAATAATTATCGGGTTCATAAAATATTACCTTCATTGACTGTCATTAAAGTGCGGGTCACTAATAGAAGCTAAAAGAAAAAAAGGTAGTAAAAAAAGAAGGCAATAAAAAAAAACAAACTTTGCGATGGCTTTTGTGAAATTTAGGAGAAGAGCCATTATCAATATAGGATATATACATCTACTTATTTAAGATAGATATAGAAAAGTTAAACTAAAATGGTTTCTACGCACAACCGTGACAAGCCTTGGGACACCCCAGACATTGACAAGTGGAAGCTTGAAGAATTCAAGCCTGAAGACAATGCATCTGGACTTCATTTCACTGAAGAATCTTCCTTCATGACCTTATTCCCAAAATATAGAGAACAATATTTAAAGTCTATATGGAGTGATGTGACCAGAGCACTTGACAAGCATTACATAGGATGTCAACTTGATTTGGTTGAAGGTTCTATGACCGTGAAAACCACCAGAAAGACCTTTGATCCGGCTATTATTTTAAAGGCTAGAGATTTAATTAAATTATTAGCAAGATCAGTTCCATTTCCTCAAGCAATTAAGATTTTACAAGATGATATAGCATGTGATGTGATCAAGATTGGTAATTTCGTAACAAACAAGGATCGTTTTGTTAAAAGAAGACAAAGATTGGTTGGACCAAATGGTAATACTCTTAAGGCATTGGAATTACTTACAAAGTGTTATATCTTAGTGCAAGGTAACACTGTTAGTGCTATGGGTCCTTTCAAGGGACTCAAGGAAGTTCGTCGTGTAGTTGAAGATTGTATGAAGAATGTTCATCCTATTTATTATATTAAGGAACTTATGATTAAACAAGAACTTTCTAAGAAACCAGAATTAGCTAATGAAGATTGGTCAAGATTCTTACCTATGTTTAAGAAGAGAAATGTTGCTAGAAAGAAGCCTAAGCAAGATAAGAAGGAAAAGAAGATTTACACTCCATTCCCACCACAACAATTGCCACGTAAGGTTGATCTTCAAATTGAGAGTGGTGAATACTTTTTGGGTAAGAAACAAAAGGAAACTAAGCATCTTAATGAAAAGCGTGAAAAGCAAGAAGAAACAACAGCAGCTAGAAAGACTGAAAGAGAAAAGGATTTTGAAGCACCTGAAGAAGCTGTCTATGAGAGTTCTTTAGTTAAGGAAAAGAAGGAAAAGAAAGAGAAGAAGGAAAAAAAGGAGAAGAAGGAATCAAAGAAGAGATCTCTGGAAGAAGATGGTGAAGAAAAGAAGAAGAAGAAGAAGTCAAAGTCTGAATAAATAATGTAATTCTGTCATATTAATAAATGCAAATTTTATGAAAAAATAAATAAATAAAAAGAAATAGAAATTTTAGGATGATTTACAGTTATTAAATGTAGAGCTGAGTACTGGTAGTATTTCAAACTGTTCAGTGAAGTTGAAATTTGAGGAACTTTCTAGTAATAGATTCTAGTAGTTGAAGTTTTATTAGTGTTCGTAGTCTACTTCTAGAACACATTTCTCTTTAAAAAACAATCATTCCCTACTATCATACTCTCAATTTAATTCTCTCTATTTCATTCTATACTTCGTATTCGCCCATTAATTTGATATAATATCCCATTGTTCATCCTATTTCCTAGTATTGTCTTTCCTTGCCCGATTAGATTGAATGTCTGCACTTGCAGTTTTTCCCATACAAAAGAAAAGATATTTTCAATGCATAAACCTCGTATATTCTCATAATAATATTTACGTTTTCCCGTTTATAAAGGTTAACTACCGGAAAAAAAAACATTAAATCAACATTGATCCTGTATGGTGATGCGAAGAGTGTACTATAATATAAAGTGTCTAGGGAGACTAATACTAATAAGCCTCACTTTGCATAAGGCTAAAGGGATAGACAGATATATGTATATCGGTTATATTTTCTCTTCCGGTTATTAACGCAGCTTTGCACCGAAGATACACACACGCACATTAATACCCATAGACTTTCACACTTTTTCCCCAAGGGATCAAAAACATAATAACTTTCCTTTAAGATAAAGAACGGCTGAGAATTTCAGAACAACACAATTTTGGGATGTCTCGACTTGATCTGTTGATCTCCTTTATGGATCGCTTGGAATCCAAGTCAAACGCCTTGTTGCAAACAGCGAGAGATACAAGTTCATTAGTTCATCTGGCATCCAAACTTCATAACAAAATCATTCATGCTGATGAAACTATAGGTACTTTAAATCATGCTATTTCAGAAAATTATTCTTGTCTTCACAAGTTGGACCAACTACACGAGAAGACATTTTTCTTGGAATCTTCCTTACCATCTAATGATACCCTTACTTCTGAAACAACATGGTCAAATTTGAATACTGAGTATAAATATATCTTGACTCAATGTAAAACTTTGAGGGCCAATGTCTCCAATAAGTTTGAAGAAGAAGAAGAAGAAGAAGTAGGATCCCTCCATGATTATAATAACAATAACAATAACAATAATAATACTCCCAAAGATTTCAAGAGTCTTAAAAACTCCATATCAGTGTCTGATATACGATTGAAACCAATCCGATGTCGAAGTAAAAAAATGTACAAGAAGAAATCAAAATATAGAATTTCAAGCATTTATAACATCAACCCCTTAGCATATAGCCCAGTGATGGAAGTTCCGAATAGCGATATAGAGAAGTATAGTCCATTCCCACCTCAACTGGGAACTTTTGACGACAGTGAGTGTTTAGGATTCAAGAACAATGAAGAACTGACAGTGTGCACCTCACCATCAAGGTCAATGCAATTCTTTACCACTCCTAGGAATAGATCTAATTCTGTACCAGAAACTCATTTAACTTATCCAAGTAGAGATTCGGTTAGTGGGCTAAACATCTTTAATGTGGACTCATCAATGAAATCAACAAATATCTTGAATAATTTCCAAGAACAGGATAGTGATACTTTAAGATTAAATAGATTGAAACATTTCATATCTTGTGATAGAGGTTTAAATAGTGTTACTGGTCCTTCACAACTTCCTCCATCACAACTTGCACCACTTTCTACGGTAAATTCTCCAGAGTTTTCATGTCAAGCATTCAATAAGACCCCCACATTTACTCCTGTTGACGGGAAAAATGATATCGATAATATTTCAATATGTTCTGATTTATCATATTACTCACCTGAAAAATATGATACTAAACTTGAAGAAGATGATTTTGAAAAGTATCTAAGGAAATCTCGTATTGATCTAAGAGAAGTACTACCAAATCTAGTTAAGAGATCCACTTCACATGAAAGTGTACTTTCAAATCATATTACAGTACAAGAAAAGCACAGATTTCACAACCCTATCGATAATATTACTCTTTCTTCACTGATGAAAGTCCCAGCTCCAACACTACAGGTTAGTGATGACTATATATACTACCGTGGTACCGAGTCGTCGCAAAAGGATGTTACGAAGGATCATAACACTAAAGACTTATTAAATCAAGTCATGCTGCTGCAACAACCACAAATACCACCAACTGATACAATTCTGAATATTAATTCTTCCCCTAAAAAGGTCTCCTTTTCATTATTCAACTTTAATTCATCGTCATCCGCACCTAATTTGAGTACGCCGCCGACAAGCATATCCTTTTCAGATAGTTTGATGAGCTTTGTTCATTCGACTCCTGAGAAGAAGAAAAAGCTTAAAAAGCCAGAACCTCCACAACCTGAGTCAAGACATGTGGAAATTTCAAAAACAAAACCCATCACGATAGAAAATACGAGCCACATGAGAAGAATCCCTCCTGCTAGAAGTGAGAGAACAGATGGATTTCATTCCAAATTAACTATCGGACCTAATAAGACTCGAATATTGAACCATGGAGAACTGTCTTACTTCAGAAAACCCTTGGTCAGTAAGGTCAGTCATAACTCCTTACATGAAGCATTGTCTTATAGCATTATGGATTGAACTACGGTTAACCCCAATGAAAACTCGAAGTCCTTCCATTTACCATTCATATTTATTGTAATTATTATATTAAAATGTATATTAGTTTTTTTCTATGCTAGGGTTGTGTTATGAAATTACATATCAAAACCAGTGTTACCCGATAAGTTGATACTTCTACTTTTTGAGCTTAAAACTCTCTTTGCAATTTTTGCTTCTTTGACACTCTTTGTCTTTTTGAATGAAGACATGTGAGCAATAGAAGACTTTGATCCTGTGGCAGGTTTATACTTCTTACTGACAATAACACCAGAAAATGCCAAACTGGAGGTCTCCAGTGTAGAGTTGTTGGATCTAAATGATTTAACCAACGATGGACGCTTCAAACTAGGCATGAATTCTTCATCTTCGGTGTCAACATCAGTTTCATTGACATCCAAGGGTCGTTTCTGAGATTCAGATTCTGGAGTAAGACTTTTACCTTGGTTTAAATTCTCTAAACATCTCTGTTTCAATGTTTGTAAGTCTTCAAATTCATTATCAGATTGATAACCATGTTGCTTGTGTGAAATCTTTTGCTGTCTCATATACTCAATTTCTTCACTATCACCGACGTTACGAAGGAATGAAAGTTGTCTTTGAACAAACGCTTCTTCCACTCTGATTACTTTCTTTTTGGTATCCAACTCTTCTTCAATATCCTTTTCGGTGTTATCATCATCTTCCTTTTCTTTCTCTTCGTTTTCAGAAACCTGTTTAACATCGTCATCGTCAATTGTGACTAAAGATGTAGAGTCTTGGATTGATGCGAAAAATGCTTTCGATTTTTCATTCTTAGCAAGCTCTTGCATTTGTTTATTTTCCAACAATCGAGCTCTTTGTTCAGCAAGTCTTTGTTTTCGGTATGCTGTAAGTAACTCATCTTCTTCATCACTCAATTCGATATCAAATCCGTTTTGAGCACCCGCTCGTTTGGTAAGTCTATGATTTTTAATATCGTCAAGTAATTTCTCTAATTCTTGTTTATCCTTAATTTGATATTGATCCATAAACTTCCGTCTAACTTCATCATCATTTAAATCAATGTTGAAATTATTATCAATCATCTTTTCATCTTCAGAGTTTGCTTGGTCAGACATTTCTGCATCAAGACCACCAATTCCATGCCATTCATCTTCAGATTCTTCAGCTTCTCCCTCAATTATATTTTTCAAACCTTTTCTTTCCATTTCCTTTCTCTTTATTCTTGATCTTAATTCATTTCTTCTCAATTTATTCTCAAATATACGCATTTGTTTACGTGCTTCTTCTTCGTCAACCTCTTCTTCCTTCTCTTCTTGTTCATTTCCTTCATCGTCACCTTGAGAATTACCTTGAATTAATTTCCTTGCTCGTCTGAGTGCAGATGGATCTACAATATCTTCATCATCCGAATCTTCCACCATTGGAGAAAGTTGAGAAACTGCTACATCATCAGCTTGTGTGGAAATATCAACTTGCGTAGCAACTTGTGATTCTTGCTGAGTTGCAATATCTTGGAAAGATGGAACTTTCAAATGACTTAAATCATCTTGATGTTGAGATTCTCTCAATAGTTCTGAATTTTGTGATTGAGTAATTGAAGATAACTTCCTTGGTTGTAAATTTTGGAATAATTCATACTTAGATTCATTAGTATTGCTATCATTAATTTCATTCTCTTGATCATTGTTGATTTTTTGAGTATCTGACTTATCACTGATTCCAACCAGAGGCTCGACACTTTGAGTACTAAGGGTTGTAATATATCCATCTCTATTGGCGTTAATACTGTCGATGTTTTCATCACCTTCCGTACCTTTAGCTCCAAACATATAACTATCATCACTTCTAAACATCTTCTCATCCATTTGTTGTTGATTTTCCTCTTCCTCTTCAGAATTTTTATTTAATTTAGGATCATCATCTTCATCATCACTAAGAATGACTCTTCTATTCTTTCTAATAGATTTTCTATCTTCAAGTTGTTCTCCTTTATCTTCTTCTTCTTCTTCATTTTCAGATTCACTTCCCTCGGCTGAACCGTAGTCAGAATCATCCACAGAATACTCCATATCACTATCAGGAACCTCCTCGACTTCTCCATGTACACCATTTACATTAGCTTCTCCATTTATTAAGGCATTCTTTGCCTTTTCCAATAATTTTTCACGTTTTCTAATGTTTCTTGCTCTTTCCATTTCTCTCTCCAATAATGAACCCATAACTTCATCATCTTTCTCAATTTCAAGCATTTCTTGACGTAATGGATCAAATTTCTTATTGGATTGTAATTGGTTTATGTTTGCCTTTTGTAAATTATTAATCAAATTCTTAGATTCACTTTGTTTCCTTTGAGTACTTATCGAGTTTCTAATATTTTTTGGTAAATGAATAAGATTAGATTTTGGATTTGCAGTCATTTTTTTAATTAAAAATTTTTGCTTGATATGTAACTTTGCATCCTTGGATAATGCGGGGATTTCATTTAGCTCATCATTAGAATCACTAGAGTCATCCAGACTATCATCCAATTGTATAAATTGCCGGGTAGGCTTCTCTTCTTTTGTTGGTGATGAAAGTAATTGTGTCTTCAAATTTTGTGCATATGTAGAAATTGGGTTTGTCAAGAATTGTGGAGATTTGGTTGTTTCAACCACCTTCTTTACTGGTGACGTGATGGGGCTACTTCTAGCTGCCAGTGAACCAATAATAGATTCATTTTCAGATTCTTCGTCATCATTGAATGCAGACAAAAGTTTATCAGCAGTGAACACATTTTTACGTTTAAATTCTGGTTGAATATTTCTTGCTCTTTTCTGTACGTGAAGGAATTCTTCAATTTCTTGCATATTCTTATCGGAGTGAGGTCCAGCCACTGAGGAAACAACTGTATCATGTTGTAAATCGTTTTCTTCGTCTGTTAAAGAAGTATGGGAGATATCTGCTACCAAATTATTTTCTTCGGCTTCTTTAGCTAATCTTTGTTGTCTTCTTGCTTCTGCAAGTTTAGCAATTTTTAATTGTCTCTCTTCTTTAGATGGTTCAACTATATCTTCAGTATCTGATACAAATAATGGTTGAGTATCTTCATGGTTGGAGGTTTGTTCAACTTCATCATCTTTCTCAATGGGTTGAGCTGGGACATGTACAGCCATTTGAGGAATCACTTGGGTCTCTGGAGCTATTTCAACATCATTTATATCTAACTGTGGAAGTTTTTGAGTTTCCATCGAATCTATTGGAGGAAGAATTTGAGTGTCTTCAACATTTTGAGTAGGTAAATTTCCAAACAAAATTGATTTAGAGAAATCAAATGGATTCCCCATACTTTCGATTGGGGCATGATCTTGAGTAGAATCAACTTCAGCTAATTTCAGTTTGATTTTATTCAAAATTACGGTCTTTGGTGTATCATCAACTTGTTCATCAACTTCTTCATCAACTTGTGTGATTGGTTCTTCATACAGAACTTGATATGTTTTAGCAGCACCGCTACGATCTTCTATAGTATCCAAGAGATCCATTATTGTTTATCTATCTCTCTTAAAAGGTAGTTCTTTATTCTCCTTTTTCTTTCTAATAGATGTATGTATTTCTACTACCCTTCCTTCTTTCTACCTATTACTCTTTCGATTTCCTGCACCCAGACAGACGCGATTTACATCTACAATATTTATTAAATTTACGTGTTTTGTGTAAGAATCGTATAAAGGATCAAACTTCCAAATAAAACCTCAAAAGAAATCAAAAAAAAAAAAAAATCGGAACTGATTCCCAAAAGTAAAAAGTCCAAAAAAAAAAAAAGCAAATATTACTCAAGAAAAAAAAAGTAAAAGGAGAAATGGGATTAACATATAGCCAAAACGTGCAAGGAACAAGATAATAGTTTTGAATTTGTAGCATATTTCTAAATTAACCAGACACGCGTCTCTTATGATAAGAGATAATAAAGTTACATGCCGCAAATTAATTGAAGCTCAATTCCAAACACACGTTGCAATATTCTATATAAACTGCCCGTACATATACTTCAAGCTATCTCTCAGTACTATATTCAACTCCTCTACTTCTACGATTCCCATTCTGCACTACTGTATATTTTTTTGGCAAAAAAAAAAAGAATTACCTCATCGGCTATACTCCTATCATCTCAAGTAATTAATTCAACGCCAAATGACAGTATTATCTACAGTCCCCCAATCTCTTTTCAATTCATATAAATACATATATATATATATATAAGTACATTTTACCCAGTCCATGATAAATAAAAGAACAATACATCTCTCTTCCACCACCCAACTTATCTTCTTCCATTAAAACTCACCCAATCATTGAACACTGTCGTTTAATTCAAAACGTTTTTCACAACAAAAAGGACAAAAAAAATAAAAATCACATGCATTATGGGTCTGAGTCAACAAATATCTGTACCTAACACCCACACACCCACAGAAAACGCACCCCACGTGATCTCGCGCACATCGAAAAGGCGGAAAAATAAACTCTTTGTACGAGCATAAACGGGAGCGAGAAAAAAAAAAAATCTTTTCCAACTGTGGCTAACCGGGAGTCGTCGTTCAAATAAAAAATATATATATATAGTCGGCCAGACTTTCAGTTTTTTCATATAGGTATAATTTTTTTTTTCCTTCTTCCTTAGTGCAAATTTAGTACAGTTTCTGTGTATTTTGAATTTAATCCTCCCCTTCTAAGTAATCAATATGTCTGAACAAATCGAAAAGTTTATGTTCACCTCCGAATCCGTTGGTGAAGGTCACCCAGATAAGATCTGTGACCAAGTTTCCGACGCTATTTTGGATGCTTGTTTGGCTGCTGACCCTCTTTCCAAGGTTGCCTGTGAAACCGCTGCCAAGACCGGTATGATTATGGTTTTCGGTGAAATCACTACCAAGGCTCAATTGGACTACCAAAAGATTGTTAGAGACACCATCAAGCACATTGGTTACGACCACTCTGACAAGGGTTTCGACTACAAGACCTGTAACGTTCTTGTTGCCATTGAACAACAATCCCCAGATATTGCTCAAGGTTTACATTACGAAAAGGCCCTTGAAGACTTGGGTGCTGGTGATCAAGGTATTATGTTTGGTTATGCTACTGATGAAACTGACGAAAAGTTGCCTCTCACTCTTTTGTTGGCTCACAAGTTGAACGCTGAATTGGCTTCTGCTAGAAGATCTGGTGCTCTTGCCTGGTTGAGACCAGACACCAAGACCCAAGTCACCATCGAATACAAGAAGGATGGTGGTGCTGTTGTTCCTCTTCGTGTTGACACCGTTGTTATTTCTACTCAACATGCTGATGAAATTTCTACTGAAGACCTTAGAGAACAAATTCTTTCTCACGTTATCAAGAAGGTTATCCCAGCTCATCTTTTGGATGACAAGACCGTTTACCACATTCAACCATCTGGTAGATTCGTTATTGGTGGTCCACAAGGTGATGCCGGTTTGACTGGTAGAAAGATCATTGTTGACACTTACGGTGGTTGGGGTGCTCACGGTGGTGGTGCTTTCTCCGGTAAGGATTTCTCCAAGGTTGACAGATCTGCTGCTTACGCTGCCAGATGGGTTGCCAAGTCTCTTGTTAACGCTGGTCTTGCCAGACGTGCCCTTGTGCAATTCTCCTACGCCATTGGTGTTGCTGAACCATTGTCCATCTACGTTGACACCTACGGTACCTCCAAGTACTCTTCCGATGAATTGGTTGCCATTGTCAGAAAGAACTTTGACTTGAGACCTGGTGTCATTGTCAAGGAATTGGACTTGGCCAGACCAATCTACTTCAAGACTGCTTCCTACGGTCACTTCACTAACCAAGAAAACCCATGGGAACAACCAAAGAAGTTGTCCTTCTAAGTTAGGGACATGCCCATAATAAAGTGTGAATGATTATACGTTCACACCTACTTAATGATTAATGTATTGACTCCATTAGATGTCTATGGCCAACGCTCAACTCGTTGGCTTTATTGTTAATATTTGAGAGAAGTTATTTCTCCAAGTTCTTGTTATTTTTTTTCTATTTATGTTGTTGAAAAGTTTTTATATGGTGAGGTTTTAATTCCGTGTTAATTAAGCTTTTAGTTTGTTTTTATTGTTGATTTGGATAGAGTTTTGCATTAAGGGGGTCCTCAACGGACCATTAAGTTCAATATAGGTATATTACATTGAAAAAAAAAAAGTATTGTAGAAATCACAATGTGTAAATATTACTTTGGTAATGACAACTCATTTTCTTGAACAACTTGAACATTTGCTTGGTTACTGTTGTTACTCTTTAAAGGTGAAAAGAGTGAAAAATAAATACTATAACTAAAGATAATACCAATGGCTCCACCAAGGATAATATCGAGAAAATGGTGTCTATAATCTTGAGTTCTACTGAGTGATATATAAGTAGCCAAGAAGATTGGTAAAGATGGGACAAAGTAGGCATAGGCAAGACTTTTCGAAGGAACAAGTTTAAATTGGCCAATTAACCATAAACTTAAATAAAGTAATCCAGCAAATGATATGGATGAATGACCGGATGGTGTTGATTTCAATCCATCATATAATATCATATCACCATATGGCTTGGTACACACTTCAAACCCCACAAGTTTAGTAGGGTCAGTATTCTTTTTAGCTGCACATCTTGCCAAAAAATCAGGTCTTGGTCTTGCAATCCAAATCTTTAAAACATCAGTTACCACTGCAGTTATTGTAAATGATAATAATAACCCCAATAATGATATTGACAAAAGATTAAGCCAATCATATTTAGAAATTTGTAATTTTCTCTTTTGATACAAACTTACAAGTGTAATTAAAACTCCTGGAATTATAACCGATAAGAAATATAAGAGATTGTCAGATACAGTTTCCTTGGTTGCAAATGGATATTGTAAGGTAGGGTTATCAATCAGGAACTTTCTTTCAAATGGCTTAGCAGTATCAATTACAAAGTAAAAGAATGCAAGGAGTGAGAAGCCAAAAATCCAATTGGGTAAGAAATATTTGAATGAAGCGGAGTTGAAATACTGTTTAATCATTGTAGGAGAATAGTGAGTTAACGAATAATTTTTAAATTGAAAAATAAAAAAGTAAATTGTTTATGCTTATGTGTTAAGTTCCAAACTTCATATATTCAAGGGGAAAAGGGTAATACACCACGTGCGAAAATTCCATAAAACTATGATAAGTCGTATTTAACTGAACCCCACAACGCGAGATATGGAAAGGTTAAATTATTATTTTTCATTTTTTACTTTTTATACTTACAGGGCTGATTTCTAAATGATAAATTAAATGTATTCGTATTTCTGATTATTAAAATGTAGAGCAAGGTAAATGCTAAGAATTGAAAAGTTGTATAGTTTATTGCTTCAAGTCAGAATCGTAAGATTCATCTTGTTGTGTAACGTATCTGTCCTTACCCAATTTGGTGGTGTCAACTTCACCGTGGTACTTTTCACAAATTTCTTCCAAAGTCATTCTCTTAGTTTCAGGAACCAAGAAGGAAAGGAAGAAACCGAGCAACATAAACAAAGCAAAGATTTCCATGACATGAGGTAAGAAACAACCGTTAGCAGTTGGACAACCGTGGTTAATCAAAGTACCGATACAAGTTTGAGCAATGATAGCACCAACCTTACCAGTAGCAGCGGAAATACCATGAGCAGTGGATCTGTATCTAGTTGGGAAAATTTCACCAGGAATAATGAAAGTAGTGGTGTTTGGACCGAAATTTTGGAAAAATTGACACAAGACGTAAAGAGCTAATAAACCATGACCGTTGTTTTTCTTCAATTTGTCGTAACCAAAACCAATGGCAACGAAAAGAATAGTCAAGATAGCGAAACCACCCATTTGAATTGGCTTTCTACCAACAGTATCAATAGTAGCAACAGTGGCCCAGTAACCTGGTAAGGAACCAGCACAAATCAAAATCAAGTTACCAGCAGCAGAGTTATACAACTTCCAGTAAACGTTCTTAGAAGAAGCGTAACCAATAACAGACAAAATAGTAGCAGAGTTCAAACCTAAACCATAGAAGGCAACATCCAACATGAACCAAGTACCAGCAGTACCAAGTAAAATTCTACCATGCTTCCATTGACCGAAATGAGCCCAGAAATCCTTGAAAGAAGCCTTTGGTGGGGCAATTTCTTGAGCATGGACATCAATAGCAGCTTCAGCGTCAGCAACCTTGTGGAGATCATCGTTTTCATCGACATCAAGAGAATAACGTGGGGATTCAGCAATAGTCAAACGGTAGTAAAGGGCAACACAACCTGGAACACAACCGAAACCAACGAGAATTCTCCACATTTGATCACAGGCCTTAATACAAGAACCAGTACATTGAGCAGCAGTGTTAGCAACAATTAAATCATCCTTGTAGGCAGCAACAAGAACAATGGCAACAATACCAGCAAATAATTGACCAAGACCTTGGTTAGAGAAAACAGCACCCATAATGGCACCTCTCCATTTTGTGGTTGAGAATTCAGAAGAGATAATGGAAGAAAGTGGATAATCACCACCAATACCAATACCCATAACAATTCTTAATACAACGAAAATAGCGGTAAAGTTAATGGCTGGAGAACTACCAATGGTACATTGAATGATACATGCAACAATCATAATGATCAATTCAAGACCGTAAATCTTCTTACGACCGAAAATATCAGCACAGAAACCGAAACCTAATTGACCGATAACGGTACCAACAGAAGTAGAAACCTTGATAAGAGTAGTAGTAGAATCTGGAATAGTACCCTTCCAGTATACATAAGCCAACATGGAGACACCCAAGTTAATGGCAAAAATATCATAAGAATCGGTAAGGAAACCAACACCGGCAATTAAAATCATCTTGACTTGAGTCCATCCAAATCCATCATTATCAATATCTTCCAATGCAAGTCTTCTTCTTTCAAGAGGATCTTCAATGTGAGCATATTTTCCAATATAATCCTTAAAGGCAGTCTTACCACCAGCTTGGGAAACAGCATGTGGAGAGTTATCTTTGATTTCAGACATTATTACTAAAAGGTGATTATTAGTATTTAAATATTTGATCTAATTTCTAAAGAATAATGAAAAAATAGATTCATAATTAGGTGGGCCATTATGTTGTATTTATATGGAATTAAAGGGAGACACATTACCAAAATGGATCTTCGCTACTAATTTACTAATAACCTGTCTCGTGGGCTTCCTTAATTAATGCACGGCAGCCGATGCATGCGGCGATTGCTTCCTAAAAGAAATTCGCATACTATTACTCTTATTCTTTTTTGTAATTTCTTTTTTTTTTTTTTTATTGTATCGCTAATAATAATACCTGGTTGGGATTTACAGGAGTCAATTCCAACTAGAGGCGGTGAAAATCATCGTAGTTAGCCGAACTGATGTAGAATAAATTATCATTTATCCATGTGGTCCGTGTCAATAAACAGGATTTGGTTGTCATGCAGTCGATAGGAATTAAAATTGTAGGAGAAATCGAGAATCAAAGAGTAGTCCATTTGAGTGAAATGCCTTACATTGGCGCACGGTTTAGTAATTTGCGTAGCCCGAGTTTAGTTTTTTTGATTAAGATCTAGGTGATACTTTCATTTTGCAATTTGGTTACAGCTTGCAAAATCCTTCTAAAATCTCGAAGAAATGGTTTACTTTGTTAGATAATTACATTAGTACTTATATATTCCCACGTATTGATAAGGTTTAACCCACAACTGTCGCTAATAGTCTTGGCCATATAACATTGTAGGGAGAGGGAAAGCCAAGAACTTCTCTGCGTTACAACTTTTCTTAGTTGGTTAGTATCAAACAACCAAAGGTCCATATGTGTCAGCCTTGGCCAAGGTTTACCCCCCTATCTGTTTTTACAACTGAGTATGCTGCTATTCCCATTTTAGCGTTTTTTTTTTTTTTCTTCTTAAGTTTCCAAGAATTTTGCACCCACGTGGGTATCAAAATTGTCAATCGCTGCGCAATAAGCTTTTTTTTAAGAAAAAAAATATTTTGTGCTGCATTTGAATATCGTTTTTTTGTGGGGATTATCGGGCCCACGTTGTCGGTATGCGCACACTCTACACGTGGAGCAGTATTGCACAAGACAATTAACTTTTTATAGTAGATAAATGGATCTTTGGCGGTGTGAATTGGGCATATGTATCATGTAGTCCCCAATTTCCGATCCACCCATTATTAATTTACGTTCTCTATACTGATCTACTGGATTATCCCACATGGTTAGGGTCCTTAAGCGGGAAATTACGACAATCGTACATCCCCCAACATAAATTAGACAATACTTGGTTTACATGTTGTACATCAATTCATACGAGAATTAAGCTTTCAGATTAATTGTCTTACTGCTGTTTTACATGAACATCTACTAGGCTCTCTATTATATATCCACTCTCTATCTCCACCATCGAGTAAAAAAATAAAATGCAAATGATGTCGTTATCATTAAATAATGAGGATTCTCATTTTATACCGGATACTTTCTTATCAATTTATTTATGTAATTCAAGTTAAGTGATAATAAAGCCAAAAGGGCTAAACGAGGATAATTCAAATTATTTATATTTCACATTTAAGAATTGATAGTCAAACGTTTTCAAGTCAATTTCGGTACTTGCCCTAATGATTTCCTATTCAATGGCTAGTTTCACCTTGATCTTAACTTTTCCTCGATTGTTCTATTAGACAACCCAAGTCAGAAACGCCCATTTATCAATTTATGACTGTGTGGGATGTGGATCACATGTGTCGGCTCCTGGTTTTGTGGCCAAATTCAAATAGCAATATTGATGAATTTGGAGTCTTCACTCGTTAATCAAACATATTGTGTACATGACACAATATTATAATACTCTCTAGATGTCCCTGTACTTCAGTTTGCTCTTAGTCTATATTATCTATATGGATTCGGTTTCCACGGTCAGAGTGTTTTGTGCAACAAGAAACAAAATTATACCCAAGATAAGTGACTAACGAAACTAGTATAAGGACTCTTCTATTGTCCAGGATATCCTCTCTAGTGTAGATAGTCAAATAGTCTTTAGTAGTAAGGTATCTAGCCTTAGTTGACTTATTTCGAGTAGGAAAGGGTATAGAATTTTAGTAGAGTTGCATTTCTTTCTCCCAATGATATAGAGTATCATTCTGATGCAGAATTTAATAACGGGCAAGCTCCTAGATTAAATAAAATGTGCAACATTGGTACACCTTACACAATTCTTTTTGTTAATCTTATTGAGACATTGTTCTATTCGTCAATAAATATATCGAAGAAAAGAATCCTTTCAATATCACAAATCTTAGATATCGAATAAACAATCTAGGTAACTTGGGTTATGCATCAAGATATCCTACTACCCCTAATTTAGTATGAGAATGTAAGCTATCACAAGCAAGAGTTCTTAATGCCCGGATTGAACCCACAATAGCAACCGATTTCTTATCGTATACTTTCTTCGGTGATATGGATGACATATTTCTATATTTTTTATCTTATTTCTGTGTCAATACCGTTTTTAGTACTCATCTCGGTGATATGGTTATTCCTTAAGGTTATTCTTTATAGGTTATCCTTAAACTTCCTTTCCCCCGAATCACGTGAGTGCGGGTTCTACTTTCCATTGGGTTGTTCTTTTTTCGTTTTATTTTTTTTTTTTCATTCTATGTGGCTCTCCGTTAAACCGACTGCGGAAAATCTAATTGTCTAGCGTATCGGAACCACTTGTCCGAAACACGATTAGTCACAAGCTCAAGGGCGGGCTCAAAAACAAATAATAGCAATCGAGAGGCTTATTTCCAACCCCAAACATACTATGAATGATGTGAGGAGATACCTAAACTCAGGAGATAACAACCTACTCTAAAGTCCAGAGACCTCCCCTCCCCATTCTCCAACGCTCTACTTTTTTGTCCCTCTTTCTCGGGCGCCCTTCTCCACTTCTAAAACTCCGAAAAACTATATTTTTTTTTTCTTCTTTACCAGCACGCGACGGACATCAGGACACCCAGCCATGTATTGCGTGTTCGGCCCAATGGCGGAACAATTTTTTGCAACGTTTGGACCCCATTAGTCCGTCATCATCGATGGCTCAAAAAAACTATAAAGCTGCACATTTGACCCATTCTTCAATATCTATTTTTTTCTCTTGTGTATATATCTTACAGATTATAAAAACATATTCCATATTTAACTTACAATAAAATGGCCAACCCTACTGCTGCTACTATCAAGGTCAAGATGACTGCTCAAGAAAAGGAAGCTTTGATTATGAAGGAAATCAGAGCTCTGTCTGTTAAGTACGAACCAAAGTTTGAAGGTTCTTTCTTAGGAAACATTTTCGGTATTGCTTTCAAGACCACTGCTTAAGCCCTACTCCTGCTTATCCTTTCTCTTCCTTAAATCACAATTTTAGTTTGATTTTTATGACTTTATGATAACTTTTATAGATTTAAATCCAGGTTAATACATCAAATCCCTGGTATTAAAAACATTTATTACAATATATTTTTCACATGTTTTCAAAAAAAAAAGAATGTAGATCATCTGACTGCCTGATATCGATTCAACGGTCTCGTTTATGTAAACGGTATCGAATGTTTTTCCAAGACTCTGACGCTGGTAAAATTTCAAAAGATGTTTTTTTTTTTATTTTCGCTTTTTCTTTCTTTTTCTCTTTCTTTTTCTTTTGAATTTAAATTTGCAGCCGCGCACGTGACCAGAACTCAGTGCTAATCCACACCAACTCTAACTTTATGATTAAACCATCTATCAATTCCATCCCTAGGATTCATATCACCTGAGATAGATTCAAATAAACATTTGTTAATCTTTATATATTGAATGTTTGAATTTGTTTGTGAATATAACATGGCTACATGTTGTACCTTGAACCATTCATCAAATATTGTTGGATGAACCATTTCTAATCCCATATGTGGTGCTCCACCAGCTTGGGTACCAAAAACTTCTAAATACTTCAACTTGTTTAATTGTGATACAATAGAAATTATATGTCCCTTCTGATGAGACCCATCTTCAGTTTTAGTAGATGGGTTAATTCTTAATGATGTCAATTGTTTACATTGTGCAATTTCATTATAGAAATGATTAGATGGGATTGGAATAGTAAGATCACAAAAGACATTCTCCTCCTTGATATCAATTGCTAATTTTTTCAAAGTTTTAGAATTGTTGCCAGAAATTATTGAATTTGAATATTCTTCATATAATAGGTTTGCATCTTGGTTAAAACTTTGTAGTTTACTTGTGTTATATCTAATAACTAGATCTAAGGATTGTAAATTTCTGGTGGGTAATCTCTCTAGAAATCGTGGAACTGTATCGACCAATGCCTCTCGATAATCTAAATGTAGATGGTTCAAGTTCTTTAAAAGAGGGCAAATTCTATCAAGAAAACTGGGTTCAAGATCTTCAGGCTGAGGAGTATCAATAAAAGAATCTATAAGTTGATATTCAGAAATTTGTTTTAATTCTAAAGTTTGTAAATTTTCAAGATTTACAGATTTACAAAGTAAATCTGCTTCATTTGCATTTAATATACATCCACTTAATTGTAATATAGATAAGTTTTGTAAAATGGTATGATTTTGGAACATATTGCAATCAATGAAAATTGCCCTTAAAGTGTTTGAATCTTGCGGTTTAATTTGATTGGTTGAATTAGAAACTAATGAGTAATATGGATATATCAGCAGAGTAATTTCATGATCAAATTTTGCAAGCTTTAATATTTTCAAATTCTGGCTAAGATTTTGATTGAATTTCAAAATTTTAGTTAATAATTTTGTCAATTGATTAGATGTTTGAAATGGAATAATATAAAGACTTTCAAGCATTGAAAGTGATTGGTAATTATATAAATCTTTCGGGCTTGAAGACAGAATTGATCGATTTGTAGTATTTGATCTAAACTCTGATAATTGGGAATTATTTCTAATATTCAATGATAAGCTTGTAATTAAAGAACTTTTAGGTATATTCCAAAGATAATCCAGTTTAAATCCATTATCAAGCCATATGAAACATTTTAAATTAACCAAGGTGGTGAAAAATTGGTCTAGAGTATCAGTTAAATTATGGTCATGAATATTCAATGCATCGGGGATATCAATAAAATAAAGAGCTTTAACATATGGGAAATTTTCTAAATTTAAATCTAGAAAATGATCATTGGTAGTAACTTGTTTAAAGAGTTTAGTATAACTTATTAAAAACTTTTTATAATTATAACTAGTTTTTATAAATGAACAAGAAAATGGTTGAATACCAAACTCTGTATCCATGTATTGATGATAATCAAACTCTTTACTAAATTGACTAAAATTTTTATCAACTTGGATATGTTGATCTAACCTGACTATGGTTGATATATACAATGATTTACATACTCTTAAAAGGTTAATACAATCATATTGTGATAATTCATTTGCGATTTTAACTCTTAGTTCAAATGGTAATTTATCTAAAGTTAAGCCGTTTCCTTTACTTAAAGGAGATTTATATGTTAAGCTGTTAATTGTGTTGTTAGAACTGCTTAGTTTGGTATCTCTATCTCTATTCTTTTCTCTATTCTTTTCATGTACAATAGGGTTCTTAAAGTATCCTATCGGAGAATTGAACAGTGAGATTATATGTGAAGATGAATCATTCCCATTGGATTCCATATTATTATATAGATGGATGGTTTGTGTTTGCTTTTATTTTTTCGTATTTCTTGTTATTCAAACTTGTGAATATTATTTTATCTTTGATATAATTCTGATCATGTGTGGTATTATCCTTATCGGGAAGGCGGTTGCACGTGATGATAGAGATATTAGAAATAGTAATAGAAACAAAATAAAAAGAATAAGAACAAGTTTAATATAGAAGAGGTTAAAATTTGGATATAATGAAAGTTAAGACCAATATTAATGTATTTGTAGACTAATTATAAGTATAATGTACTTCTATATATGTATTCATTGTAGATCATAATTGTTATATGCTATATTAGAGGGGGGTATTAACCTATTATTGTATGCAGTTCTGCTGTATGCACGCTCTCGTATGAAACATATCCATCAATAAAGGAATATAACGTGTACAGAGCAAAACAAAAAAAGATATCAATTGAAAAAAACCCATTTAATACCAATTTATTATACTATTATAGGAAATATGAGTGAAGTAGAAGAATCGCTTGATGTACGACTCACGCGAGAGGTGACATCTTTGTCAACCAATTTAGTCACCGCTGAGGCTAAACTGCTTGAAATGGAGGAAAAAGTATTACAATTACGTAAAGAGAATCAATTATTGAAAACAAACATAAAGGAACATGAATTGATTCTGAAGAAATATGCACTTTTAGTTCCTGAACATGCGAAGTTGAAACAAGATTTTATTAAAAATGATCTGCTGAGAAAGGAAGCAGAAGATAAGATTGCCGAACTTCAAGGAGAAGTGGAAGATCTAACTGCTTCACTTTTCGATGAAGCAAATAAAATGGTTAGTAATGCTTCAAGAGAAACATATAATTTCAAAATTAAAAATGGTAAACTTCAAGAAGAAATTCAAGAAAAGAATACAATCATTGAAAATTTACAAGATCAATTGAAAGATTTAAAGCAACTTTTCTTTCAAATTGAAGATGAACAAAAATTAACATCTACTGGTACTCCCAAATATGAGAAACAACAGTTGGATTTTAATGTTTCTTCATCTTCGTCTACCGCTGCTGGGGGTAAGTCCACAACTTCCACTGTTGCAAAGGATGAAGAACAACATCAACAAGAGGGTAAAAATCTATTGTATCAACAACAACTTGATGCACTCATTTATTCCCCCACGATTAGATCTATTAGATTTGATCTTATTGAATATCATCAAGATTTCAAACCATTTATTTATGCCATCATCAAACCTAATTATACCCTTGATTTAACCTCTTTGAAAACTTTAAAGTATTTCCGAAAAATTTGGCTGGAAGAATTGGAAAATAGTATTCCAATTATACCAATTCATTCTAATTTCATGAGTAGATGGCTGAAAGGTAAGAGTTTCTGGAATTTAATTGTCGATGGGAAAGCTGTCATTGAACCAATTAGTGGAGTAAATGAAACATACAAATTGACGTACAAGGGGAAGAACAGTGTTGGTGGGGTATCTACTTCGGACACTACCAAGAAAGAAGAACATCCCCCCATTGCCACAAAGGAACCATGTAGTTTCTGTGGTGAAAATAAAGATGATATATTAGAACATGCTAGATTATATTCATTAAGATTATTAAATCCTGATTATAATCCAAATCTTGCATCTTCCAATACTGGAGGTTCATCTAATTCTTCAAATTCCACTGCTACAGACCAAGAAGAATATCTTGCCAGTTATCCATTATGTAACTATTGTCTTATTAAGTTGAGGAATATCTGTGATTTCTTTGCTAAAATCAGACTTATTCATAGTAATGTATTCAAATTAAAACAAAAATCCATCATTGTTGGGGGTGATTCCAATAATTCATCTCCAGTTATGAGTCTGAATAATCGATTTAATCGATTATCTGGGATTTTCAATGAATCTGCCGCTACCAATCAAGATACTACGAAAAATAATGAACAATCAAGACTTCCGCCAACTTCTATCAATGAATTTGAAGAAGAAGCTAAATTAATGAAATTATACATGATGTTGGTTCTGATTAGAGCCAAGATATTCTGGAGTAAAATCGGATATTGGGATAATCCTAACAATGTACATGAAACTAATCTAGATGAAGTGAATTATGAAGCATTCAAAGAGTTGATAGGACATGTAGAAAGTCATTCACATGATGTCAAAGATCTACAAGAAGTTAAAGAGGAGGCGTTAGCAATAAAGAGTGAAGGCGATGACAAAATTAAATCCAATGTGAAAGAACTGGTACATTCTGAAGAAGATGAAGTATTTGCTGATACTACGGAAGAATTTGAAGAGAATTCTTTAGCAAAAGATGGAAATGATGCCCCAATCAGAAGGAAATCACTGTCTAAACAATTCAAGAAAAAAATGGATACTGAACTCGATCAAACCCTTGCCATGCTTCAAGAAAGCCTCGAACCAGAAAGTAAGTAATGAAATGTACCTTTAACTGTTAATACTATCGTTAATATTGTATTATATATTTATATCGTGTAGGAAAGTGAGACAAAAAAAGGGTATCGCACCATTTTATATGGGGTACGCACTAAAAATAGAATGCATAAAAAAAAAAAATTCCGGATAATCAGTAGAACGACTTAAAGGACAGAAGAAAGAAAAGAAGGAGGGTTCCTAAAGAGAAATAAAATCTGGGCTGGATCTATGGAATTTTATGAAATTAGCTGCCTATCACTTGCGTTGTTATTTATTTTTTAGACTCTCTTGTTAATATACATTGTTTAATTTTTTTAGAATTTTTGCCGACCAGTCTAAAAACATGATTAAGCGCTCAACTAATCAATTGTTAACATTGCATTCTTGATGAACTTAATTTCATCTCGTCCAAAAAGGTTAAAAGAGATCAGCCCCGGTTGTATACCCGACTCGCTACGTGGAAGAAAGATTCTAATACGTCGATGTGAAAAACTTATGTATGGTGCCTCACTTTGCTGTCAAATACTGCCTCATTTTTGACCGAATATGTTCTTAAAGGTCTCGCTAGCTGGTTCACTAACTGTGCGCAATTCCACAAATAGCGGCGTTTTTTTTTTTTTAATTTTACTCAAATTTAGTATAATTTTTACAGATTTGTTCCTGCAGAGGACGCGTACGAGTTTTAAATTACGCTGGCTGGGTCTTTTTTTGTATACGTCTTACGTACTTACGAACAGGCGAGTAAGCAAAAGACGGATTTTGTCGGAGTACTGTTTTTTTTTACCTTCTCTGTTTTCACCCTTGCTGAAACAGGTATCTGACTACTAGAGGTGTCTAAGAAGAGCTCCACTGTGTTCACAGTCTCCAGGACTACCAATACTCAAGCACAATCTATCGTAGAACAAACTGCATAAAGCTCCCTTGTCCATCCCCCCCTCCCCCCATACTAGAAGGTTTTATTCATCCAGATTAATTATACCATAGGGCACTGGCCTCCTTGACAACAACCAACTCCCCCAACTGCACTGTCATAGACATGAGACGAAGACCTACGGATACCTCTCCGCAAAAGAGTCTTAATCCTCAAATCACGGAAGACTTAAATGGTTCACGAGCTTACAGAAGTTCAAATAATATTGGACAAACGAACGAAAAAGATTGTAAAAGTCATAGAATTTCCACTGGCTCGATCTTTTCTTCGCGTAAATCGAAACAAGCTCCAAGTAACCCCTATGCACAAAGCATGGACTCCAATAGTGATGTTTCGCTGATTGATTCCGGAAGTATTCTAAGTGGTATCGGAAGTACCGGAGCCCATACTGGAAACGGATATGGATATCCTTATCCATCGTCCTCGAATCAGTCTCGTAGGAACACCAGCTCCGCGTCTGCGATCTCGTTGACGCCCAGTCATAATGGGTCTATTCGTACCACCAATATAATACCAAACTCTCATGTGACCAACTCAAATCATTCGAGACAAGCATCTACATTCAGCATATCCACCGCAAATGGACCCAACTCAAACACTAATAACTATCCTTATGAATTGACTCCAAGTGCAACTAATTCAAATAAGTCTTACCATTCGAAGAGCGCGTCGACTTCTCGAAAGGCTTCACATGCTTCGATTATTTCTAAACCTTCATTATCTCTCACCAGTACTAATGATACCCTCACCGCTGGAGGAGCCAATGGGTTTACTCTTGAAAAACCATCACTGGTTTATGAAATAGACCGAATGTTCCGTGAACTTATGGATAAACGTGATTTTAGATCACTCCCACCACAAGCAAAGCAAGAAATGATCAATTACAATCCAGATAAAAAATGGATGCTTATCTATCAAGATGCCCTTACTGAATTCAAGCGTCATGAACGACTGATCAACAACAAGGAGGAAAGTGCTACCCCTGAGTTTTATTCCTATAGACTTCGTTCATTTACCATCACAGCACAACAATTAAAGAATTTATGGGTATCATTAAGAACGGAACCTATAGATTGGGTCCGGGAATTCATCTTTGGATTCCAAGGTGATACTGTTCTTTCTAACTATTTGATCAACTTGCAGAAACGAATAGATGAATCTAATATCGAAGATATAAACCATGACTACTTTGATAAGGAATTCAATACTCTTAAGGCATTGAAATGTATGATGAATCAAAAACTTGGTGCTGAAAGAGTAAGAAATGAAATAAATTTGTATGTCAATGCTATATCAGGATCATTATTATCTCCACGAATATTGACAAGGAAAATTGCCACTGAATCATTAACATTTATGATTGCATACTATAGTCATAATGATGGAGATTTACAAGGAAAATACCATAAGATACTACGTGCATTGGATACAATTCCAACAAGACCATATTATGAATTTGAATCTATGGATTCCCAAACTCCTCAAAAACGACAATTGGTTCGGAAACCACCAGCACCAAAATCTTTCAAAAGATTTGAATTATGGCTTAAATTGGTTGCAAGAACAGTAGAAGGTCGAGGAAAATATATGAATTCACTTGTAGGAGCAAGTGATGAACTTAAATCGGCACATGCGGGAGCATCCGGTTCTGCTGGACAGTTGGAAAACCATTTATTGGAGTACAGTCTTGGTACAATGCTTTTAATTAATACCATCATTCAATATGGTATAGATTATAGGGTTAGAATTCATTTGAGAGCACAATTCATGGCTGCAGGTTTAGATCTGATCATTGAAAAATTTCTGGATTTAAACTATGATGGTTTGAATCAACAAATTTCAACATACTATGCTATGGCTGAAAATGATGAAGAAGATTTGAAGAGTCGTGAACAAGTTGATGAAAATCTTGATTTTAATAATCCAGTAGAGTTAGTTCAATCGTTGTGGAACAATGTTAAGAACAGCGAAGCCCAGGGTTTCTTCTTGAGTGCTATTCAACATTTGTATTTGAATCAATCTGAAAAACGTGACAACTCAGAAGAACTTGCAAGAAGCTTGCGATTATTAGATGGGTTGATTCAAAATGTCACCATGGTTCATACTACCAATGATGATTCGGCAGTTGGAATTGCTATGAATAGATTACTTTCGAGCATGAGTACTGATGAAATGTACAAAAAGGCAATGGAAGAGGTTAAAGAATACAAAAGAATTGCTGAAGAGGCCACTACTGAAAGAGATGAAATAACCCGTCAATTGTCTATGGGGACTGATGGTCTCATTACAAACTTGTCTAATGAGATTAAAGAGCAAGAAAATGTTTTATTCAGGACCCGAAGACTTAATGAAGAGATGTCAATTGAATTGGAAGAACTTAAAAGGAAACATCTTTTGGAGAAACAGGAACAAGAATTGGAAATGAGAGAATTGCTCATCATGTTGAACAACAATGCTGAAATTACAGGATCACAACGTGGTCAAGGCAAAACAACTCTACTGATTCAAACAAATAATGAAAATTTGGTTAAAAAGTTGCAGAAGCAAATCCATAGACGTAAAGCTGAGTACAAACTTGATAATAGACAGTTTGGTACTCAAGTTGAACCAAGTACTAGATTAAGAGCTTTGAGGGACCAAATGGGTGACATCGAGAATATGGCCAGAGAATTGGAAATGACTGAGTTCGAAACATATACTCCTGTTGTTGAAGAATCTCAAGCATCAACTGAACCTGAAGAAGTGGACGTCGAGGAAGATGAAGATGATGATGATGACGAAGAAGAAGAAGTTGTCACTCCACCTCCATTTGTTCCATTACCAAAGGGACCACCAAGACCATGTCGTGAAGATGACTTAGACAAGTTGGACACATTAAGGAAAAAGTTGGCTTCATTGCAAAGCGAATCTAATGATATAATGAAGTTCAATAATAGTTCCATGTATAACAAGCAAAAGTTTTTGGCTATGGAAAGATTGAGAGAGCTTGAACTTAATTTTAAAGATCTTAATATTGATTTCTCTCCTGAACAAGAAGAACTTCATTTTGATACTGAATATGTTGATCCTACCATTAAGGCAAAGATTCAAGAAGAATTGAATGAAGTAGAAAAATTAAAAGCTGACTTGGAAGCAAAATTATCTGCTATCAGCACTGGGAAATCGAAGGCTGACAAGCGTAGATCGATTCTAGTTACGGATCAAAATATTCTTCAAAAGATTGAACAAAAGTATGTTAGAGGTCAAGTTCCTACTCAAACCGCTGATATCAAATCTACTACGGGCTCAACAAAAGCTTATAAAAGTCATAGAAAGACTACTATTGGTGGAATGGATCCTAAATTCCTCATGGAGTTGAGTTCTAAGGTTAGCAAGGCTGAACCAATCGGAGAAATGGAAGAGGATGATGAATCTGAAACAAGTTCCGCGCCCGTTGAAGTTCCCAAAGCTCTCTCATCGCCGAGTAAAGCTACTTCTGGGCCTCCACCTCCTCCACCACCACCACCACCTCCTCCTCCTCCTCCTCCGCCCCCATTGCCTCCTATTTTGGGAGGCTCGGGTGGTCCTCCACCTCCTCCACCGCCACCTCCACCCCCATTACCTCCTATTTTGGGAGGTTCTGGTGGTCCTCCACCTCCTCCACCTCCTCCGCCTCCACCTCCACCTCCGGGCGGTATGGGTTCTGCTGGTGGTCCACCACCACCACCGCCGCCTCCTCCTCCTCCATTCCCTCTGTCAAAATCTACAGTGGTAACACGCTCATCTCCCTCGCCATCTCTTCCAGGTGCATTTGATCTGTACCCAAGACCCAAGAAGAAGTTGAAACAATTGCACTGGGAAAAGTTTGACAGTAATACTGATAACTCTTTCTGGCACAATACCAAAACTGATTCTATTGCGAATGACTTGATGTCCAAAGGTGTATTCGATGAAATTGAAGTCATTTTTGCTGCCAAGGAAATCAAGAAGTTGGCAACTAAGAAGAAGGAAGATATAGATAAGTTAACTTTCTTATCCAGAGACGTAGCACAGCAATTTGGTATTAATTTACATTCCTTCAATGGAATTTCGGATGAAGAATTGGTCCTCAAGGTTTTACGTTGTGACCGGGATATTATAACCAATCAATCTGTGTTAGAATTCTTTGGAAAGGAAGATATTGTTGAAATTTCTAATTCCTTGGCAAGAAGTTTTGAACCATATGCCACGGATTATTCTGGCGGTGAAATTTCAAAGGCTGATAAAGATGCAACCGAATTGCAACGACCAGATAGAATCTACTTAGAATTGATTTACAACTTACAGCACTATTGGAAATCAAGAGTGAGAGCTTTGAAGGTCATAAACAATTTCGAAAAAGACTATGAAGATTTGGTTTCGAAATTGAGATCTATTGATGAAGCTGTTGAAAATATTAAAAAGTCTCAGCATTTGAGAAGTGTGTTTGATATTATTTTGGCTGTTGGTAATTATATGAACGACACCACGAAGCAAGCACATGGTTTCAAACTTAGTTCATTACAAAGATTGGGATTTATGAAGGATGATAAAAACAGCATGTCATTTTTACATTACGTTGAAAAGATTGTTCGTACACAATACCCTGAACTTTTAGAATTTATGAATGAAATCGCAAAGTGTATTGAGATTTCTAAGTTTTCTATTGAAGTTATCGCATCTGATTGCAAAGAGTACGCACAATCTATTAAAAATGTTCAAAATTCTATTGATATTGGTAATTTGAGTGACCTGTCAAAATTCCACCCAGAAGATAAGGTTTTGAAAATTGTATTGCCAACGTTACCGAAGGCAAAGAGAAAGGGTGATCTTTTGATGGATCAGTCTACTTACACCTTGAAGGAATTTGATAAACTTATGAGATACTTTGGAGAAGACCCAACAGATTCTTTTGCTAGAAATTCGTTTATGAGTAAGTTTTCCAACTTTATTTCAGAGTTTAAGAGATCATCCGCAGAAAACATCAAGCGTGAAGAAGAATTAAGAATTTATGAACAGCGTAAGAAACTTCTTGAAAAGCCAAAGAAGGCCCCATCTACGTCTAAGTCCGAAGCTAATATTGATGGTGATGATAATGATGACGAAAATGTCATGGACTCATTATTGGAAAAATTAAAGGCCGCTGGTCCACCTAAGGGCGAACCTTCATCTGCTCGTAAGCGTGCATTGATGAGAAAGCACTTATTAGAAAACAAGAAGCCTGGAAATTTGACTATCAACACTGATAGTCAGTCTGATGAAATGAGAAGTCCTCTTGATCATGCATCTGGAGAAAAATTGGACCTCTCACCCGATGTAGTAGCGTCTCCTGAACCTCCTAAGGAGACTACACCTACATTGGAAGGAAATGACGAAGACTCCAAAGATCAAGACGAAGATGTTGGTTCTAGAGCTAGAAATTTGTTACAGGAATTGAGAGGTCCTGTGAACGACAGTGGTCGTGAAGGAGAACATGAATCTGCTGCATTAAAACTTAGACAACAAAGATTTAGAAAAAAGATGTCCGCTATCGATTCAATGGATTTAGAACCAAAGCTGCCTGATACTGAAAACTGATTATATCATAATTCCGTATATTTATAATAAAATTAAACTAATTTTAGATGCATATGTATAGGTTTTAATACTAAAGTAATACATTCACTGCGCCCAGTTTGGCGACAGCATCTAAATCATAATCGATCAATGTGCCCCTGTTCTCTCGAAAGTTGAAGAAAGGCTTGTATAAAGAAAATAACCCCTTCCCATTCAATTTATCTTCAAACGGGAGATTTAATTCGTCAGTAGATGTAGGGCTATCTGATTCCTTTTGTAAAATTGTTACTGTTCCGTTGACGCCAATACAAACAACGGCTAGTCCCTCATCCTGGTGGTCATTTTCGGACCAGATACTTCTAAATCTGGCGGCAAATACTCTTGGAATGCTTGACATTTTGTATGAAAAAACGTTTTGTAAAACATCATCTCTTTTATCCATTAATAAAATAGATGAGTGCAACTTATCAGCGATTACTATTTGATCTCCGAATTGAGCTTCATTTACTAAACTCTTGGGAGATGGATCCTTTGCGATTAATTGAATTTTCTCTTGTCCTAAACTTTGCTTCTGGTAAGTAAATTGTAACACAGAATCTGACTTTGTGGTTACCAATATTTCAGACCCATATACATTAAGCGATACAATCGGGCTAGAAAAAGATGCAAGTGTATTCACAGGATTTAGTCGCCTTTCACTAATGTTATAGCTCGTGGTATTCAATGTTGATCCACTAGAAAAGAAAATAGTTGATTCTATTTGTTGAATACAAGTTATTGGCTCTTTCCATTCAAATGAGTTGAGCTCTGTCACTACAATATCTGTTGCACTTTCTTCCCCATCTAACGAAATATCCAACACCTTTAAAGATCCTTTTCCAGTTTCTGTACTAAATCCAACAAGTATTTTCTTTGATACTCTATTGTCACTTCTCTTGATAGACCAAATACAAATAGAAGTTGGAAATTCTCTTTCCTTGATTATGCTGGCTTCGCCATCTGTGCTTTTATACTTATTGAACTCTCTGTGTGACAAAGTTTTAAGCAGTTTTCTATCGATAAACTTTAGTCTCGATCGAGGACTTTTTGAGTTGCACAATATAGCAAATGTTGAAATATAAGGAAGAAATTTTAACTTTCTTGCAGGCTCCCCAATATTCACATGTTTGGTATTAGATGATCTGGTAGTTGTGACAGATCCAATACTAAATCCATCTTCTCGGAGGAATCCAAAGAATTTCAACAGTGACAGTAGGTCTCTCTCGGCATCGTCAGGTTGAATTTGAACCATGTTGACGATAGCCTTATCGGTATTCTCACTGAAAAATGCCTTCTCCGGATATTTTGATTCATAAAGATTTACTAGCCAAAGATTCCGAGAGAGAATGCAGAACAACATTTCGTCTCCTGCAATGTCTTGAAACGAAACTGATGTGTCACTTATCTTGAGGAATTGATCACAGACTAGATTTTCCATGCTGCTTTCGAACTTAAAAGTAATATAAAACCCATCTTTGGATCCTATCAGCAAATAATAAGTTCCCTTGGAACTTCGTATTAGCACATCATGTGGGATGGTTAATTGTTGGTTTAGGTCCCCTTGTTTGTAAGGGTTATGTGCATTCAAATAAAATTCAGAAACCAATTGATTCAGCTGAAGCAGATAAATTTTGATAATCCCATCAAAGCTCCCAATAACAAGGACGAGAGTGTCATTGATTTCAATCAACTTAGCCATCGATGGCTCAAAATTTAAGAGTAATTGGAAATCAATATTCGCTATATCTAGCATATCCATTCCTTCATCAAATCGAATCGAGTTAATATCAAACTGAAGCACTTCGATTACATAATTTAATTCGTCATCTTCTGACACAAGTAGTAAATTGTTATAGTACAAGTGTGAAGAGATAATCCTTTTACTATCAAATGAAGTTCCTATTGGTTCATCCACCAAATTGGAAACAAATACCGAATTCTCTGTTACTTGAATAATAGTATTGTTCAATAAAGAGCCAAATTGAAGAGTTGAATCTTCAAGTTGTAATTGGATGTCCTTCACCTCAACTAAAACTTCGGCATCGTCTTCCGCGTCATCAAAATATTCAAATACTCTTGTTTGAAACGCAAACGATAATATGAAATAATACTCATTATTTGGAGTTTTATGAAAGAATATGTTAGTGGCCTTTCTCAAATCAGCAAACGTCTTACTTAATCTGTGTGCGAGGTACCCACTCCTAAGTTGCATAAGTCTTGTTCGTTTCCCCGTCCCTGCAAGGGCCCATAGCTCCTGGTCTGTATAGTTATTGATGTTCCTACTTCGTATAGAATTAATAATCTCTGCATCAAGTAATGGAGCCCAGTTCTTATAATCATTTATTGTCCTGGTGCTGCTATAAGGTATCTTCTTTTCAGGTTGCAGGTCTCCAATAGATTCTTCAGTAAATAGCTCATTGATATGTACTTCTCGGTTCGATCCTGTGTCACTGCCAAATATGAGAGAATATTCCTCTGAATTGATGTGTTCCATTGCGAATACAGATACAGGGTCAGAAATTCGAGCCACCGGAATGATCAGTATATCTTCATTTTTCCTCACAGTTATCGAATATATTGTACCATTATCCGTCGCTAGAAGTATTTCATCCATTTTCTCCTCTGCAGCGTCATTGCGTATGCTTGTAAGTGGGCAGTAAAAACTGGTTGGGAAGGAAATGTCTATGTGATGCAGATAAAAGTCATATTCTACTGACATAATATGATGAATAGAAACAATTATAAGTTCGTGCTCACAGACAAAAAGAAAGCTAGCATTATTTCGCAAGGGTATGATAAAGATCGGGATGGTGAAACTATTGTTCAAAGGTAAAGTCTTTTTCTGTAAACATCCTGTTATAGGCTCATGAGAATTCCATTCATATAAGTTGATCTCGAGCCTACGCGTATCAGTGAAAACCAACGTAAGGAACATTTTATGGGTGTCTATTTCACAATCAGCCAAGGGTTCAGAAAAGCATGCATGAAGTATAACCCCTTCAACAGGTACATTTGTGTGCGGTCCTAAAACCATGCCATTTTCAGTCATGTGAGTATTGTAGATACGAAACACGTTGCTAGCTGATGTAGAAACCACTGAATGCCCAGAACTATGCGCGTGTAATGAGCTACCAGATGATTCTATCGATGCTGCCATTTGCTCCTGTGATGTATCCCACCACTGGACTATGTAAGGCTTGAAAATTAGATTAGTAGATTTGATTGGATGATCTTGTTGTTCATAGAATTTATCGGTAGACAGTCTTGCAACAAGATATATTCTAATTAATAATAAATACCCTGACTTCAATGAAACTAAGATTGAATCTTCTCTTTTCATATTTGTCTCTGGATCACGTTCCCCTGGTACCAAACAAGACGAGCGTAATGGAGCAGGGAGTGCATATTCTACTTCGTTTATAAGGATAGAGGTCAATTTTACTATAACTTTCATGGAAACCAATTCAGGTATCGGTTTTGGAGCTTGGGTTGCGCTTGCAATGCCTCCTCCATCAATGGATGTATTAGAATTACCATTGCCTCCTAATATCGAAAAGTCGTCGTCATCATCGCTAAAGGCATCCATTTGAGAATCTATCTTTGGTACTAGGTATTGATCACTCTCATCTATGGAATTACTAGGTACTCCCTTAAATGGTTTGGCAATATCAACATTAAAATTTGGAAATATATTTACAAAAATTGGGGAATGTATTATTGTCCGCTTAGTATAGTTAGCCTGTGAAGCTGAGGGCAAACTCTCACTTGTATTCTTCTTGGTCTCATTCTCAATTCCACGAAGGGCAAAACCTAACCCCATTACTGAGACTGATATTCGTATTGGCTAGTAAACTCTAGGTAAATATGATATCATATCTAAGCTTGATAGATACCAAAGTACAACATGCAGGATATTCAAGATTTAAATTTCGAGCCACCAATTGCCGCAAATACAAAAATAAAAATTGGGTGCAAACTGACAGATTTGAGAATTTACCTTTGGTGATTTTGCAACAGAGGCGGATTTTTGTTTAGGGTTTCTGTTTATTTATTTATCTTAGCAATCAATTTAAATTATAACATTACTCAGTGTTTGAGATGCTTTCAAAAACATATAATGTGATTGGGATTACTGCTATAGTTTCCATATCAGGATTTCTCTTAGGTTTGGAATCGTCCTCTTTGACTTCATTTCTCTCTAGCACTCAATTCACAAACTACTTTGGATTATTAAATGTTTTGGAACAAAGTATGGTTTCTTCTAGTAACTCAATGGGAGCCGTTGGTATGTATAAAAGTTTTCAATGTATTGTTTGGTGTGCTATATATAGACGATTGTACTGACAATCCTAAAGTTGGATGCATTATATGTGGAACATTGTGTGACACTCTTGGCTGCATTGCAACTCTTCAATATGCATGTCTTATTTGGATTAGTGGAACTGCACTTGCAGTATTTCTGGTAAATATATACATGCTTGTCCTTGCAAGATTATTCAAAGGGACAGCCGTGGGGTTTATTTCCACGGTGATCCCAGTTTATGTTGTTGAAGCTTTGCCAGATGAAAGAAGAGGAATGACATTGTCAATCGTTCAATTGAGCTCCTCTTGTGGTGCATTGGCACTTTACTATATTGGATATGTTTTTCAAACTTACATTTCTAGTGATTTATCATTTAGATACACATGGGCGGTAGAAGCGATTCCAACTCTTCTTTTTCTACTTTTAAGTTTTTTTCTCCCAGAATCACCTAAATGGTTTGCTTCTCGGTCAAAATGGGTTGAAGCTGCTACAATATTGGATAGATTGAATAAGCATAATTCTCAAAAACGAGGTGAAAGAGAGGTGATGGGTGATAAACAATATGTATTATCTGCCTATACAGCTCAACCAGAAGTCAAAAAAGGTACATTTGCAGATTTATTTGGGAGAGAGTATTGGAAATATACTGTAATTGGTATTTCAATACAGCTGTTGGTTCAATTTGCAGGAGTTACTACTTTTATGTATTTCTTTGTGTATATATGTGGCATTTGCGGTCTTGAGGAAAAAGATAGAGTGTGGACAGTATCCTTACAGTATGTAACATTGTCCGCATTTACTCTCTTTCCAATACTTCTAGTTGATTCATGTCGAAGAAAAGATGCAATGGTATTTGGGTTCTTTATTCTTGGTGCTGCTTATGCTTGTATTTGGGCATTGATTTTGGTATATACAAATGAAAACTTGAGAGTGGAATTAGTGCCAAATTCACCATTTAATTCTGGAATTACTGATGAGCCTGCTTCCGCTGTTCTCGCCCTTTTCCTCTTTCTTGTGGCAGTTTTTTCAACTTCAATTCAAAGTGTAAGCTGGCTTTACACTGGTGAAATTTTCCCTATTTCAATTCGTTCTAAAGGTTCTGCAATTTGTATGGGAGTTTCTTGGGCCCTCAATATGTGCTTAACTCTTTTGATGCCAATGTTACTCAATTTCTTGACTTATTGGGTATTCGGAATATTTTCCATACTCTGCCTTGGTGCTTCAATAATTTTACTTTCATTTCCGGAAACACGAGATCTAAATGCGGTTCAATTAGAACTGCTCTACACTAGCAATGTTATGGTTAATTGCCAAGTAATTAGTGATACATGTACAAGTAGCGCGTTGGATAATGAACCTTTGGTGAATCGATTCAATGCTGTGGACCTGAGCGACATGAAGAGTAAACAAAGCACATTGTTAGAAAAGGAAGAGGCAAAATTCGAATATTCAAATAATAATGGAAAAGAATATTTAACTGAAACAGATAAATTGATCATGGAAGAATTAAAAGATCGAACCAATCTATATGAAAATATAAATAGTGCAACTTCTAAGAACTCCAGCTCTCTTGAATTACCAACAGCAAAGGGAATAATGTCAAAGGCAATTAAGTTGGAAATTCCAAAAGAACCAACCATTGAAAATGAGAGAAGCAAATCTAAAAAAAGAAACATATCTGGTGTAAGCACAAATGAATACAAGGATGCAATTGCAACTCCGGAGCGCCAATCCACGATTGGAACTAATTCGGTAACTAATGATTCGGAGTCATACTATTCAAATGATTGGCATTTGGAAAATAAAACAGCATCAAGTATGCCGAATAAACCATATATAATTCCTGGGGCACTTACTACACTGTCTACAATTAGTGATAATATCGGAACTTCCCAACCAGGGATCACGTATGAACCTGCAGCATTCTTAAGGCAAAATAATCAACACAATCTTGTAGTTCGTAATAGTCCTTTGCAACAAGAAACACGGTTGCAAATTGAGAAATTTTCCAAAAATCCAAGTTTACGCAACAATGCCAGATTTGGGTCAAATAAGAATATTATGAATACCATTGCTAGAACTAATAATCAAGAAGAAATACATTCAGATGTTGAATGATTGGAAAATATAGAAAAAAAAAATTATATAATATTTATAAGAGATTAATGATGAAGTGAGAGTAATAAAAATATAAAATATAAAATTGGAAATTTCAAAATATTGGAGTATAAAAAAATTAGAAAAGACCAAGTAAATATCACTCTTAAACATATATGATTTAATGTTTATCTGAGGTATGTAGTTAATGCTTGGTAGAATGAATGATTTATTAGTTAATGGTTGCATCATGTATATGCTTCGATTATTGTCTGCAGTACTGCACATTTATTTTTATTCATGAGGGCAATTTGCTCCACAAGAAAACCAAATACGTTTACAATATTGATTCAATTACAAGAATAGTCAATAATGTCATACTCCAAGATCAATGATAGGGGAGACCCAAATGTATGTATCTAGATAAACCTGAAAATTCTAACCCATACCCTTACTAACACGCATTCTAATAGACATCTTTAATTGACCAAGAAGACTTGATTCTGGGAAACAGTATGTAAATTGTCCGAAACTACTAGATAAGGATATCAATTATTTTTTTATATTCTTTGCTTCAATATTTTTAGCTACTAACTGCATTAGACATCACAGCACAGCCTTATATCATCCCCGATGTGGAGCAGGGACCAACTACAGCCAATGTCACGGGTCAGATACCCCTCCAACCCGAAGTAATTAAGCCGCAAGTGCCAATTAATGCTGCCAATTCACATATGTTTCAAATAAATTTTTACAGACAATTCTTCGATCTTGATACAGAGACATTTTTCCATAAGTTACAAAGGGCTATGAATCCCTTAGATAGGTCATTCTCTGGAGAAAGCACCGATGAAAATGGAACTGATAATGGACCTACTGAATTGTATGGATTTATTTGGATCACTGGTACACTCATTTTCCTTATGTTTGTCAGTTCTACAGGATCTAATATCATTTCATCTTGGATTCATTCTGATGGGAAAGATCCATCAGAAAAATATGAATATAAATTTGATCTTCTTACATTATCGGTGAGTCTTTTCTACGGATATAATTTGATTGTTCCAGTAGGATTATACGCATTTACCAGTTGGATTCTCAAATTTCCTCATAAATTACCACTTTTAGAACTTATTTCAATCTATGGATATACAAATATTCTTTGGATACCTATCACTGTTGTTAATTTTGTAATTGCTATACTTGTGAGTCAAAAACATAACTTGATGTTAAACATTATTGAATGGACTATTGTTGTACTTAGTGGATTTATTACAGGAGCCAGTAACTTGAGCAAACTTAGCCCAATTATACAGAGAAATTGTTTACTTTTAGCTGAAGCAGATAATATTGATTCGAAAAAATTACATTTTATTCTTGTTGGTATCCTTGCATTTTTACATTTATGTTTTACAGTTCTGGTTAAAATTTGTTTCTTTGGATTTGATTAATTTCTAAAGCCCTAAATTTTATTTTAACAAATTATTAGTTTCGATGCGTGCGCCCACCGATAACAATTAAATATATAAATAAAAACGAAAATCTCAAATTTTGAATTTATTAGTGTAAGAGTTAGAAAACTTTTTCTTTTCTCAATGAGTCGGTGGAGTTCAATAGTTTTCTTTTTGTTTTAAATGAAAAGATGATAATTGTTCTCTGTCTTCAAAGATAATATTTTCATTGTTCTTTACAGTTGAAGTATTCACACTAAGTAAAAGGTATGTTTTATTCACTCTATACGAAGAACAAAATAATGACGGTGGACTGAAAAAAAAAAAGAATTATGGATGGCACAGGAAAAAAAAATAATTTGTGTGAGTTGGCGAAGATTATTTGCATTATACCAATTGTTCCAACTGAATGTTCCGTGTTGACAACTGCATTATCGTTAAGTTTCAGCCTTGTATGAGCCCTCTCAACACTAAAGTTTTTTCTTGTGTTGTCTACTTACTTTTTCCTTGACATTGTGAATTGATTTGTTTCTTTTTCTTTACTGGCTCAATATGATCACCAGTACTAACAATCAGGTATGTGACCATAATATAATTTATTCTACCTGTTGAGTGGAACGGTGTTCATATGAGGATACTTGTGACCGGGCGGACATATTATACCCTATTTGCCCCTCTCTTGTACAAATAAGGAGAGGAGCCGCAGTTCAGTGTACAAATTTTGAAGTGCTGGCAGATGGGAGGTGATGAAAGGTCTTTAACTGATTTTAGTACACTGGTTCGACATGGCAGTTTTATTTTTTTTCTCACTTGGGATTATTTTACTAACTATTAATTAGGTTTTACTTTTTGCGTGTATAATTTACTGCAGAGAAGATTTATCTCAGACTTTACTATGATGATTTTTTACCATATTCACACTGTACGAGAAGTTTCTGCTTCCCTGACTACAAACATAAAAAAACTGATTTAATGAATCTGATGTATTGTCTGAGATTTATATATAGTGAAATAAATTTTTTGATCAAAGACAAAATGATAAGGAACTTGTAATTGTAGGATTTGTAAGTAAGGATTTAATATAAATTTTCTTGAAAATAATTAATACCAATTATTGGGGGGTCAAGGGTTAGTTATAGAGATTTTGCGGTTTGAATTGATTATATATTTTCTGTTAGGAATTAACTGTAAAAATTTGTGCAGTACTGAAAATTGTAAAAGAAAATATCACATCAGTAAGAAAAGCTTACACTAAAAAATAGAGGTGTCAAGGAAATTTACAACAAACGTCTTCTCTGATTGAGGAACATCCAAATCATGAGGCAACTAGGGTGTGTTTTGAAGACAGTTGGTCTGCATAGAACCGTGGCAGGACGTTGTTGGCAGTCCTCGAACTTGATAAATTCTTCGACATGTTCTGGGCAGCTTCAACATGGCCTGATTCATCGAGCTATACATCAAAAATCGATAAATAAATATGAAAGGGTAATAATACCCCAATATTACAATCGGATTGACAATAAGATCAATTCTCGAAAACTTCATACCAAGGCTCTTAGATCTGCTAAGCATTCTCCCAAAATACGAGCAGCAGATGATGTAGTATTGGAAGATATGTACTACTCCTTCTTGGAAGCGGTTAGTATGTCTAGGGCTAGAATATCAACAAGAGCATTAGATGACGCTATCCGGATATGGAAAGATGTATTTTCTGTAGATTCCTCAATCCCTGATAATATTCGTGATCTTCAAGCTAAATTCATCAACAAGAAATACCAATTTGTTACGTTTTTGACAAACCACCATAGATATGATTTATATGAAGCACTTATCAAGCTGAATTATAATAAGCACCCTGCATTCAATGGAATATCTCCGACTCCAGCAGAAAGACAATTTTCAATCCTTCAATTTCAAAGATTTCAAAATGATAATTTTGAAATATCAATGAAAGTTAATGAACACAAATTATCTTCATATATAAATGATTCTAATGTCACCATAGAAAATAAGAGGGATATACTCTCAGTACTCTTACATAAAGGGTTACTTTATACACCAATAGAATATCATGGATATTATATTGATACATTTTTCAAAGAGCTTTTTGCTCTTGGAGACCTGCATTTTGATCGAGAAGTTACCCTGTATGATGTTTATACTAAATCATTCAATTTACTTCTTTTAGAACCGAATTTATTACATGATTTGGAAACTAAATATATTGCAAACAAACAAGCATTTATGAACCTTTTAACTATACTACAGAATGCTCTGATACGAGCACAACAACCAAAGGTTGCCATGGACATATGGCAATTAAAAATAGATAGATCCAAGAGAAATGAATATAATGGTATCACTTGTTGTACCTCTAGAGACTTAACCCAAACCATGAGGGCTACGTTCAACCTTCGGTTATTTGAAGACACCTTAAAGCTTTATAGAGATTGGGAATCTCTTCATGATGATGATCAAATAGCTACATTACTTCGAATTGCCGAAAAAGAACGTAACTGGGCTGCACTTCAACGTCAATTCGAGAGCATGTACGGGAGAGGTACGTTACCACATAAGGTACATTATGGGATAGTTATGAATGCATTGGCATCTATTGGTGCTAGAGATGAGGTGAATTTATTATTTGAACAATTATTAAAGAGAAATTTCAAACCAAATACTGGTATCATATCTGCATTGGTGAATAGTAACTTGTTTTATAATGATATAAAGGAAGCAGGTGATGTCATTGATAAATGGGCCCCAGAAGATGCGGAATACCTTCATTCATTGATGTATCAAGTGTTTTTCCAAAATAATGATTTATCATCTGCCATGTCGTGGATTGAAAGATCAATGGAAGTTTTCAATACCACGGGGAAAAATACCCTTATAAGTCTGCATTCTATTCACATTTTACTTCGACTTTCTAGAAAACTTTTTGCATTAAAGGAGACTGAACGCTTATGGGCTATTGCTAAAGAATTAAAATTGGTTAATCAATCTACTTATGTTGAGATGGCAAAATCATACACCAAATTTGATTTACACGAAAGATGTGATGAAATATGCATTGAAGCAAGAAATAATACAACAAATCCCTTCCGTTGTGGTCCATTATATGCGGTTGAACTTCGAAACTTAAGGTTTTGGTTAAAGAAAGTTACTAGTGCTAGAACCAAGGAACTGATCAAATCTTTTATTGATAATATCATAGCATCGCACACTACCGATAAGATTCTTCCCGAAAGGAATTGGTACGCAGAATTAATAAGATATTATATTTCCAATAGTCAACTTGATAAAGCAACTGAGGTACTAAAATTTCTTAAAAGTACAAATGCTCGAGTGTTACACGAATCTCATTTCCAGCCTTTTATGGAACATCATCTTCGTCAGAAGACTACTAGTGATAGTAGTGAAGTCTTGGAAATCTTCAAAGATTTGACAGCAAACAAAGTCCCTGTAACAGTAATGTCATACGAAAGATTGATGGAAGCCTTACTTTTTCTTGATAGAGCCAATGACACAGATTATGTCAATTCGACTAATCTTTTGATGGCCGTGTATGATATGAATAAATTAACATTTCCAGGAAAAACTTCAAACGCTAGTGTCATTCCACCACGTGAATTGATTGAAAATTCTCAGTCATTATCAAATATTACATTATCTTATATTGTTGAATCAAGAGATACGCGGGTTAGCGGGAATGATTTACTTTTAGGATTTTTGGATCAACTTCGTTCAAGAGGAGGAAATAATATTACAGATCCATTTAAACTTTCGCTTTATCAAAAAGTTTATCAATACTATATAAAACAAAAGAACTATGACGATGCTCAATTATTGATTGACAATGTCCTTGTTGACGTTCAATCTACAATTCAGAATTATGTCAACAATTTCCCTATCGATTTATACCCGGAGTACAAGGATGGAGGAAAAGTTGATATCCCAATACCTAAAGATTTGGCGTCTAAATATGAATTTTATTTGATGGCCAAGTTTGATTTCATTTTACAAAACCCAAAGGAGAAAAAATCTGAATTAGTTACACTTTTAAAGACTTGCAATGAGTTCCCAGTGAAACTTTCTAGTTTTAATTTGAATAGAATCATTCAACAGTTACTTCTTCTACCAAATTTCATTGGATTTAAAGATGCATTGGCAATGTCGGAACGTTATTTGATAGAAGGCAGTTGGCATAGAATTGCCCTCGTTAAGGCCAAGATCTTCATACTTCGTAGTTTGGTAGTTTATCAACTGACACAGATGGATAGAGAAACTGTGAAACAAAAGTATAAAATATTTATGGATCTTTATAACATAAAATTAGAAAGAGCAGAACAACAATTTAAAAGTTTCAGAAATAATCCTGAAAATATATTGAGAGAATCAATTCAATCATATAATTTGAAATTCTCCAAACATAATCCCCTAAGCATGGAACAAATTCTTGAAGAAGGTCATATATTTTTCTTGCCAGAGGTAATTAGACGTCACGATTATGTTCTCGGCTTCGACACAAGAAGTGAATTAGTCAGACAAATGAAGAAATATAAACGTTTACATCTGAAAGATGGAATGTTTGAAATTATGGATGAATTCCCAGAAACGGTTGAATATTCATTGCTTGTGTCCACTATTCAACGAAACGAACATACATTCTTAAAAACAGTTGATCTTTTGTACCCACCAGGAGTAAGTGAAGAAAGAGAATCTCTTACCAGTAAACGTAAGAGAATGTTAACTGCAATTACCGCACTTCATGACCGAGATTTCAATACCCTCAGAACAAATTTTCAAAGATAGAAGATTTGTCATCTAATATTTAACATATAAACATACTTGTACATATCATATAGACATAGCATCGTGTATTAATAATATCGAGAATCGATAAATCTAAACAAGAACGTAAACATATAGACAAGCAACTCTACTTTGTGGCAGCACTTGCAAACTTGAATTCACCAACAGAGGTTGTTTCCCCAAAAATAAGTGGGCCAATATGAGGTTGAATATTCCATTCTAATTTAACAATTGCATTTCTTGAACGGAATGACTTTTCATAGTCCCATACGGAGTACTTTGATCTTTGGTTTTTGAGAGCTAATTTAGCATCATCTTTAGATGTAATGATTTTATCCCAATATGTGACCTTATTAGAGGAATCTTTACTCTTACCAGGGTATTCAGCAGTAAGGTATACGAATACCTGCTTAGTGTTCCAATTGAATAAAGGAGTCAAGTCTGCATCCAAATCAAATATAATCTTGGAATTTTCCTTTGGTTTTCTATTGATAGATCCATAGTTAAATGATTGCTTTAACAGAGCCAGTGCCTTAATATTTGAAATATCAGTTGAATCTATAGACCAAGCGTTGGTAAAGAATAATTGCAATAAACTTAAGACCACAACTATTCCTGAAACTACCATAGACGCAGACAAGGCCTGGTTAGACACTTGTTGAAACCGTGTAACTAAGTTAAACATGATTGGTATTTGTATGTGGTTACGTTATGTTTAAGTGATTGTTGTCAACTATATTTGATCCGCAAAATAATCCCAATTTTTGAACTCCAAGGTCACGTGGCACAAAAGCCGTTAGAAACCAATTGTTCTATATTAAGACTTAGAAGATAAATATAATAATTCTAGATTACAATTCAATTTTATACTGCTATCTGTTTTAAATCTATTATACTTCTTTAAACCTAATTATTAAGATTTTCATTATATATATTTTTTTTAAAAAAAAATCATTCAATCAGCTTTAAGTATTCTTGGTATTGCTTTTGTTGTTGCTGTTGTTGTTTAGTAAGTTTCTTTCTCATACTCTTGGAAACTTCTTCCCCCTTGATATCCTTCAATGGAAGGCCTTCTTCGTCCCATTCGGAGTACAAAGATGAATCTTTAAACATATCTACAGGGTTAATTTTCATCTTTTCTAATCTTTCCTTTTCTTTTTGAGCATTTGCCAATGCAGCTTGTTCCTTCTTTTTCTGCTTTTCCAATGCAAGTTTTTCTTTCTCTGCTTGTTGGTTTATTAATTCTTCTTGTTCTTGAGGGTTTAAGAACTTTACCAATGCTGGTAAATTATTTGGACGATCATCTAAAGAAATACCCAATTTAATTAAATCAGATCTAAGCAAATCAGTTGCAGCTAAAATCTTACTGTAATCTTCCTTATTAATAGCCAAGTTACGAACTGAATCACGGAATTGAGACAAAGCCTTAACATATGGCATGGCAATATCTTCAGTCGAAGCACCACCTTGATTTGAGGAAGAGGATGAAGAATCAGACCAACCAAGGTTATCAGATCTAACTTCAAATCCAAGAATGTTCAAAATCTTTGAAATCCATCTAACTACTTCCAACAATGGTTCAATTCTTAATTCATTCTGGTTACTAGTACTAGTTGCTTGGATGTAGTTGTTACTCTTAGAAACCAATTCTTGCATACTTCTTAAAGCTTGATACGTGGATAAGTTATCACAGAATGCAGCATGTACGTCAGTTTGGGCGGTAGCCAAATCATCGTATAATTGCTTTTCAACTGGTCCCAATCTCTTGGAAATGTATTCACCTTCGCTTATTGAATGTTTATTATCATTGTTCAAGGCACGAACAGTAGTGAAAAACTTGGAGAATGTAGATTCCAATGCCTTGACTTCCTTAATGAAACTGTCCTTGAAATCAATGGTCTTTTCCCAAGCATTCATGGCAAAAACAAGTCTCAATTGTCTTGGAGAGTATGAGTCCAAAGCTTCTTGAATGGTAATAAAATTCTTCAATGATTTAGACATCTTTTGACCTTGAATATGCAAATGACCGTTGTGAAGGAAATAGTTGACCCATTGCTTATTGTCATAATAAGCTTCAGATTGAGCCAATTCATTGTCATGGTGAGGGAAACACAAATCAACACCACCAGAGTGAATATCCATACATTCACCAGCAGTATCTGATGCCATTACGGAACATTCAATGTGCCAACCAGGTCTACCTTGGCCCCATGGGGAAGTCCATTCTGGTTCACCAGGCTTGGAAGTCTTCCATAATGCAAAATCAGCAGCGTTTTTCTTTGTTTCTTGTCCAGTTGTAAGGGAACCTTCACCATCATTAATCAAAGACATGTCACCCTTATTCCATGGTTGTAACTTGGCATAGTCATGGTTCAGAGAGTTTTCAAATTTGGCAGTGTCAAAGTATACTGATCCATCATTTGTGGCATATGCATATCCATTAGCAATAATTTTTTCCACATAAGTAATAATATCTGGAATATATTCAGAAACTCTAGTGGTGATTGATGATGGTAAAACATTCAACTTGGCCATATCTTCATTAAAGTTATTTTCCCAGAAACTAGGTAACTTACGGAAAATAGATGGGTCATTGATTCCAGATCCTAAGGTTTTATCTAAGAATGGCATGGTAACATCTTGAACCTTAGTGAAGAACTCTTCAAGTGGGATGTTAGGGGTGGTGATTGCAGAATGGGCATCATTGGCTGCCTTAACATACATTGGGAACTTTGGAATGGTAACCGCTTGTTCTTGAACATTAACAGTCTTTGTCCAGTTACCAAATTCTTGTTTAATATCCTTACCAGTAAATTGTGGCAAGTTCTTGTTAACATACTCTACAAGAGCATCTTCAGCTAACTTGAGCAATTCTGCATCAACTGACTTGAACTTGGTAGTTACTTCTTGTTCATACAAATGTTGGTGACGAGCAGCAATAATAATCTTGTCATCAATATCAGTAACATTTTGAATGAATTTGACATTGTAACCAAAGTAATCTTGTAAAAGTCTTCTATTGATATCAGTGGACACGTAGTTTCTAGCATGACCCATATGGGAGTGGGTGTAAACAGTTGGACCACATGAGTACCAAGTAATATGGTTAGGTACTATTGGAACAAATTCAGTCTTTGTACGTGTCAAAGAATTGTAAACTTTTAAAACTGGTGATTCAGAAGCCTCTTGAGGATACCACTGAGGTTGGACAGTGGTTGGCTTCTTGGCGGAAACCGGGGTGGCTGCCGAAACAGCAGCTGCTGAACTAGTAGACATTCTCTTTGAAGCGATTGGGCTTTTGAAAAGAGCTCTATACATGCAACAATAGTTGAATATATGGCTTTCAAAAATTTGTTAGGTGACGACCTAGAAACTTTTACATAGTGAGTCAGTACTATATGCAGGCCATGCCAATATTTTAAAAAAAAGATGAGTTTTATACAATAAACAGAAAAGTTTAAGAATAGCAATTTAGTTTAAAGAACAAAAGTTTATGTAGAAGTATAATAGAAGGGTTATATAGATTAATGGATCCAGTTTCAAGAAACCAATAGTATTATACGAATTCAGTATTCACAAAAAAAAAAGTGGATGGGATTGTATGAATAATCAGACATTAGTTGGTCGCATGTTGCAACAGATCCATAATGAAACTAGGCATGTTTCAGACCTGTTACTCTAGAACGCAAATTATGAGTCATCATGTAAACACATCGTACCTTGTAACGTTACAAGTTGTACAATTGTTCTGAAATAATCCTCTTTCCAAACAATTGAGACAAATTGTATCGAAACAAAATATGATGTCACATCTTCAAATTATGTATGTGAAAAACGAATTGTATAGATACTATAATGAATAAGCAACTAAATCCATTACAGATACCAGGGAGATATATATTGTATGATCTTATGATTAGAATCCAAAGACATGAATTACATTATACATTCATAAAATATAAATAAATCTCATTCCATTTATAAAGAGAGAAATATTCCATAATTTATAACTCAACTCTATTTTTATTTTATAGTTTATTTGAATTTATTTTTGTAACATTGGTTATTCCCGCGCTAGGGCTGAAGCCCCAGATATTCACGTGATAGAGAATTATCAAAGTCAACTCGCCCCATATGTGAGTCGCGCACGCAACAATTTTGTCACAAATTCAATATTCTCTACCTGCAGTCTCTCGCATGGGTTCGAAAATTTTCAGTGCGAATTACATACAAAGCGATAATCTTAGTTGAATCTTTTGCTCTATCCATATTACGCTATATCACATAATGTCTTCATACTCCACCGTTAAAGCTGCCAACTGGAGATTCGTTGAGTTGGGTCGTGTTGTCTTGATCGACAACAAGGACTTGGCCACCGTTGTTGAAATCATCGACCAAAAGAGAGTCTTGATTGACGGTCCAAAGATTCAAAGACAAGCCATCGCTTTGGCCAAGGTTGTCTTGACTCCTATTGTCTTGCCAAACTTGCCAAGAGGTGCCAGAACCGCTACCGTTCACAAGAAGTGGGCTGCTGCTGAAATCGACTCCAAGTGGGCTGCTACCTCTTGGGCTAAGAAGTTGGCTGCCAAGGAAAGAAGATCCCAATTGACCGACTTCGAAAGATTCCAAGTTTTGGTGTTGAAGAAGCAAAGAAGATTCGCTGTTAGAAAGGCTGTCGCCAAGGCCTAAACGTTTTAAAAAATGTATATTTTGATAAATCATCTTACATGTTGTGTATTCTTAGTTTTTATTAGTTTGAGGGTATCATAATTAGGTTTTTTTTAATGTTTACGTCATAATTGAGGAAATTAAGAGCTATTTGTTTGATGTAGGTTTTATGATAGGTTTCAAATAAGAATAATTTGGTTAAAGAATCAGAGAGGAAATTAAAGAATAACAAAGAATTTGTATTCTTTAGATTACTCTTATTTTTGTAGGACAATAAGTCAAGTTGTAGTATCAAACTTTACATCAATCAAAGGTTTAATATTTAACAAGGTTGTATTTCTTTCTATACTATATACATGTCAGACTTGTGTATTTAAGCCTTGATTTTTTGCTTCTTTTGATATTCAGCAATCAATTCCTTTTGCAATTGTGCTGAACATTGAGCATATTTAAGGAATTCCAATGAGAATTCACCCTTACCTTGAGTACAAGCTCTCAATGAAGTGGAGAATCCAAACATACCATTCAAGGAACATTCGGCAGTAACGGAGAATTCTTCTTGACCGTTAACAGTTTCTAAGATCATACCACCAATCTTATTGATTAAACCAACAACAGAACCTTGGAATTCATTTGGAGCAGTAACTTCCAAAGTCATGATTGGTTCCAAAACAGCTGGTTTAGCGTTCATAAAGGCTTGCTTGAAAGCACCGTTGGTGGCGGTTCTGAAAGCCAATTCAGAAGAATCAACAAGATGTGTTTGACCATCATTAACGTGCATGTGTACACCCAAGACACGGTGGCCAATCAATGGACCCTTTTCTAAAGAATCATCAAATCCCTTAGCACAAGCAAATAAGAACTTATCGGAAATCTTACCACCAACAACATGGTGAGAAAACTTATTGTCACCTTCTAATGGTTTCATATCACCCATAACACGACCGAATTGACCAGCACCACCAGATTGTTTCTTGTGGGTGAAATCGAAGTCAGTAGGAGCAGTAATGGTTTCACGGTAGGCAACTTGTGGCTTACCAGTGGTACATTCAACACCATATTCACGCTTAATTCTTTCAACGTAAATTTCCAAATGTAATTCACCCATACCAGAAATAACAGTTTCCTTAGATTCATTGTCATATCTAACTCTGAAAGTAGGATCTTCTTTTTGGAATCTGTTCATGGCCTTAGAAAAGTTACCATTATCCTTATTCTTAGGAGTGATAGAAAGCGAGATAACTGCATCGGGAACAAACATGGAACTCATTGCAATTTGTTGTTCAGAATTGGCACCAATAAAGGTGTCACCAGAAGCACAATCAATACCGAAAGTGGCACAGATTTCACCAGCACCAACTTCATCGACATCTTCCATATCATTAGAATGCATTCTTACAAGTCTTGCAACCTTGACTTTCTTACCAGACTTGATGTGGTTCATGTAAGAACCCTTCTTCAACTTACCTTGGTAAACTCTAATATAAGTCAATTGACCGTACTTACCTTCTTCCAACTTGAAAGCTAAACCAACGAATGGAGCAGAAGAAGATGGAACTAAGTTAACTCTCTTTTCTTCACCCTTGGAGATATCTAAACCAGTGTTCAAGATTTCATTTGGTTGTGGCAAGTAATCAACAACAGCATCTAAAACTGGTTGAATACCCTTGTTGGCAAGAGCGGAACCCATCAAAACAGGAGTGAATCTTCTAGCAATGGTAGCTCTTCTAATAGCATCTTTGATTTGTTGAACGGTTGGTTCTTCACCTTCAAGGTAAATATCAGCCATTTCTTCATCAACATCAGCCAAAGTTTCAATCAATAAAGCTCTCTTATCTTCAACTAATTCCTTAAGATCTTCAGGAATTTCTTGTTCAATTTTGATTTCTTCACCTTGTGGTCCAACGTTATATAAACAAACTCTATCAATAATGTTAACAACACCCTTCAATTCAGATTCAGCACCGATAGGAACTTGGATGGCAGCAGCAGGAGTCTTCAACTTCAAGTTAATTTGTTCAATAGCTCTGAATGGATCAGCACCCATTCTATCCATCTTATTAATAAAAGTAACTCTTGGAACATTATATCTACGCATTTGACGATCAACGGTAACAGTTTGAGATTGAACACCAGAAACAGCACAAACAACAAGGACAGCACCGTCAAGAACTCTAAGAGCTCTTTCAACTTCAATAGTGAAATCAATATGGCCTGGGGTATCAATCAAGTTAAAATGGTAACTGGATCCAGCCTTGTCCCAAGAACAGTAGGTGGCAGCAGATTGGATAGTAATACCCTTTTCTCTTTCCAAATCCATATGATCCATCTTAGCACCAACTGCATCACGACCTCTAACTTCATGAATAGCCTTAATTCTACCAGTGTAGAAAAGAACACGTTCAGTGAATGTAGTTTTACCAGAATCAATATGAGCTGAAATACCAATGTTTCTCATATTAGTCAAGATTTTAGTATCGTCAGGGGTCAAAGTGGTGTTAAGTTCATCAATAATGACCTTTTCTTCTTCATACGTTTCTGGAATTTTTTCAACGACAGAGTTCAAAGATCTCGAACTAGCATGGAGCAGACGGATTGGGAATGATGGTCTTGCCAAAGTTGTAGAAGCAGTAAGATTTGCACCGGCTAACTTGGACACATTGTGTCTCAAAGAAGCACTAACACCTCTCAAGTACCTGGACATGGTTTGTTGTTTGTGTGGACAATCTAAACTATTCAAAATTCAGTATTAGTTCAGGTTATTTTCAGATCTATTGAAAATGAAAAATTTTGGGCGTGTGTGAACCGTGAATTTATTAAAAATATTAAAAAAAAAAATATTGATAGGCACTTGGTTGTTAGTTGTTAAAAGGTTATTGAATGACAACACAAAAGTTTAAAGGTAATTAAAAGATATTAAAAGAAAGTACTAGATCCTAAGAATTCCGGTAGATCTCTAAAGTGTAATAGTTGTAGAAAAATAATATTTGCAAAACAAAAATGTAACAACCAAGATTTCCTACTACGGATCTCTCTCCGTTTCACATTCAAACGGAGTAGAGAAGCCAAGAGTAAGGTGATGCAGGGGTAAATAAGTCTATATGTTGTAGATTATGAGCATAGCTTATATTATCCAACCAATCTTTCCACCGTACCGAAATAGCTACATCTAAGGCACATACTTGTCTTAGTATTCTTTTTTCTTGTATAAATATATTTTGGTTGCAAAATTACAAAATAATTTAAATTCCTTAAATACAAAAACCAAAACAAATATGTATAAAATTGTTTAATTAAACGATAAAACTTCTATATTAAATAATTTAATCCTTTGGCTTAACTGGACCAACTCCATTGACGTTTCTAAACATCATAACACCCTTGGAGTCTTCCTTATCATCATCAACAAATTGGCACATTCTCATACACTTCCAGAGCGAAAGCCACATGTTTTCACCTTCATATCTATAATGTTCACCCATAACCTTTCTAATGGCAGCAGAAGCTTCTCTAGCATTGTAAAATGGAATTCTAGAAACATAATGATGTAAAACATGAGTTTCAATGATATCATGGAAAATATGTTGACCAATGAATCCATAATCTCTATCAATAGTAGCAGCAGCACCACGGGCAAAAGTCCATTCAGAGTCCTTGTAATGAGGCATGGTAGGGTCAGTGTGTTGCAAAAAGGTAACAAACACAAGCCAATGGTTAACCCAACACCATGGTAAGAACCAGTTAACCAACATAGCATGGAATCCAAAGATCTTGTACCATTGGTAAACACCAGTAAAAGTTAAAATAATACCAATGTCAGATAAAACAATATACCACCATTGATTCTTGTCAAAAACAGGAGAAGATGGAGCATAATGAGATCTAGAAACAAAGTTTGTACCAGGATAAACTTGACCAGTAGCATTAGAAGCTAAATATAATTGTAAACCACCCAATTGTTGGAAAATTAAAACAGAAAGAGACCAAATTGGAGAATCTTCCATAACTTCAGAAATTTTAGAAGCACCTTTCATTTCAACAAATTCTTCCTTAGTATATGGAATGAAAACCATATCCTTGGTCATGTGACCGGTGGCCTTGTGATGTTTAGCATGTGAAAATTTCCAAGAAAAGTATGGTACAATCAAATAAGAATGAAGTACCCAACCAATAAAGTCATTGATGTTTTGGTAATCTGAAAAGGCACCATGACCACATTCATGGGCCAAAATCCATAAACCGAAACCAAAAAGACCAATAAGATAAGAATAACCAAACCATAAGGCACCGCGAATAGCGTATGCGATTTGTTCATGATCTTGAATTTGAACCTTTGGGATAACGGTACTACCAATGTAACCAATGGTTACCATGGCAATGATATCTCTAGCAACATAACCAAGAGAACGAACTAAAGATCTTTCGTAACAATGCTTTGGAATAGCAGAAAGAATGTCCTTAATGGTGTAATCAGGAACATTAAATTTTTTACCATAAGTGTCGATGGTTGAAAGATTCTTACGTGGACCAACTTTAGTTTCAGTAGATTCAGAACCTTCTCCTCTATAGGAAACTGTAGATGAAGTAGTAGCCATTTTGTTATACTATTACTTATGAAGTGAAAAGAAAAGGTATGACAAAGGTAAAAAGGAAAAGAATGCTACGATAAAAATAAATTCTAAATCGAGGAATTTATGGTACAACATCACATTTGGTAAAAAAAAAAAAAAATTCGTATAATAATAAACAGAAATTATAGCCTCAGTAAGGCAGAAATAGGCAAGAAAAAAAGAAAAAAAAAAGAAAAGAAAGGGGGAAACTATGGTTTGGTACCCTTCAATGAAACTGACAAAAGGAAGTTTAAGTGGGGATTGTTCCGATGTCCCATGGGGAACTAAATTAAACATATGGCTTATGAAAAACATTATAGATTTTCCATAATCGTCAAAAAACTACTATTTGTAAAATATTGGGAATAGAAAGCATGTTCCCCAAAAAAAAAAAATAATATCTAAAGTAGAGGACCAAGCTTAGTATTGACATTGTATTGATTGGTGGTGAAATTTCACATTTATCTTGGGGGGGGTGATGGATTCGAAAAATTAAAACGTCAACAGTTGAAAGGCTGAAGATATTTTTTTTTTTTTTCACCGAAGGTCGCGTTAAACAATGGAAATTTCCAAAAACAGAAAACACGTTCACATTTTAGATATTGTTTTTGCATGCAATTCTATAGGGAAGTATCACAAGCAACTCACTGCACCCCTTCAATGTTAACTGATACATAATTTTTATTATCATACATACACGCAGGGAAATGCACCAAGTCATGTAGAATTGAATTAGTTTAATAAATTTATTTTTTAAGTTTACCCGAGGAAGTGAGCGCGTTTCGAAGCCTCCCCCAAAAAAAGAAAAAAATTGGTCGAGCATCGGGAACCTGCACATGATTCAAGAACACAAAAAGTGGTGTGAGAGGTCAGGGCCGCAAACGCCTTGATATGAGATATGTACAATCTTATCGCATGACACAAATAATGTGAGTGGAGAAGATTATCTTAATCTATACTTTTATATATATTTATATATTTGAACGTACCAAATGTATCTATGAAACTTGGAATAGTATTTGTACTTTCATTGGGGGCTACATCAATGCTCCCATACATTGGAAATGCGATGAAGAAACAACAGGTACTAGCCCCTACTTCATTGAATTCTTTTCAATCTTCACCTGAGATTCCCAAATCTGTACCTGTTTCAGTGTTTTTGCAACTATATAGATACGCACATTTAATTGATATTTCATATTGTGTGTCTAACACCAATCATATCTCAGAGCCATTTGAATGTGATCTCAGTTGCTCACATGCATTTCCTGACGTTTCATTACTTTATCAATGGTTTTTTGACGACACTGTAGCAGGATATATTGCAACTTCAAATTCAGATCCATTACAAAATAATTCAACCTCTCACAATAATATACCAACAATAATTGTCTCATTAAGAGGAACTCAATCAGCACCAGATACATATACAGATTTAAAAGTAGATATGACTTCTTATGAAAATTTACACAATCACCTTTCCCAATGTGGTCCAAGGTGTAAAGTACACAAGGGATTTCATGATGCCTACTTGGCTACACTTGGTAAAATTGAACCTTTATTAGATTTGGAATTGGCTAAGATTCATGATAAAAAAGCTCAATTACTCTTTATGGGCCATTCATTAGGAGGAGCAGTTGCAATGCTATTATCCCTACATTATCTTGATAAAGGATATGATAATAAACTTGTAACTATGGGTCAACCACTAGTCGGGAATGACCAATTCACCGCATGGACAGATCTTGTTTTGGGGTCCTCTAATCCAATTGAAAAAAGGAAATTTTGGAGAATTATCCATAAGGGGGATATTATTGCCACGATCCCCAATAAACATCTTTCCATTGGAACTACTTTTGGATTTCCTCCATATTTCAAGCCATTCCCACCACCAGATATACAACCTGATTCATATACTCAATTTGAAAACCAAATATATATCAATTGTTCCACTCATAATGCAGTTCCAAAATTGGAAGAGGTGGTGGATTGTTTAACTTCTGACAATATGAAATGTATCAAGGGCGACTTCGCTCCATTAGTACATGAACAAAATATTAGATACGATGCCCATCTCTACTATTTCAGGAAAATGGGATTCTGTGGAGTAAGAATATGATTACCTTCTACTAAATCCAAATTTCGGTTGATCATCATCATCATCGTCATCATCATCATCGTCGTCTTGTTCACTGTGGATATCGTTATTCATTTGGGCATGTATGCTTTGTTTCGTTGTAGAAGGTGTAGAAAATGATTGTGAATCTTCGGAAACAAACAATGCATCCTTTCTAAATGAGAAACTATTTTCTTCATCATCAGCTTCAACGACAGGTTTATATCCTCGGATATCTTCTATAACATTTTGAAAATCATTCTCTAAAACCTTGGCACCTTCCTTTTGATTATTTTCCTTGAAGGGGAATTTCATTGATTCTCGTATTGGTGAATTCCCATCAAATTCTTCCATACAAACAAAGGAACGAGATAATTTTGATTTTAATGGGATATTCTTTTTGAATTGTTTGAAATTTTTCCTTCCTTGCCAAGCAGTTGAGGAGTTAGTTCTTGTCGCAACAGGTTTGCGCATAGGAATTTCTACTTCTTCCACAATCACCAAATTTGTCATTGAATTGTTCAATGCAGTTGACTCGTTCAACCCGAGTCTTTCTCGAACATCATCTGCGGCCTTTGATTTAGTTAGTTTGATTGCATCCTTCAATGTAACCTTTGGCACAAAAGTTCCAATTTTATCAAGCTTTTGACGTTTTTGTAGAGTAAATTCATCATTCAAAGATTCTAGATCATGTTTTTTACTTTCCTTATTATCTTCTGATTCATCCAGTTGGATTTCCTCATTTAATTTTTGCTTTTTAGTTGGGTTTTCATCAAGCTGTTGTGATTGCCTTCTTTTCTGATCCATTTCTATATCTCTTTCAATGGAATTAGATATATTATAGTCATTTTTTCCAACAATAGATGATTGAGACAGCACAATTTCATTATTATCGTTTGGAATGCTTTCTACAGTGGTAGACTCTGTTTCTTTCGGAGGAGAAGGGGAACTTGCAGTTTGTGAAAGTGTTATTGGGGTTGAATTGAAATCAAAAAATTCCAATCTATCGACTTTTCTAGTTTTACGTTCTCCAAGTCTTCGTTTCTTGGGAGAAATTTGACTTTGTAAACAATTAATCCGTTCAATTAGATACGGTTTTAGATTATCATTGTTAACATTTACAATGCTATCATATAATTGTGAAGCATTTATATGCTTGGCATTTAAATTTGATTCAATATTCTCTATAATGGTACTTTGATTGGTCAGTTCATAAAGATATAGTTTATCATATTTTGGGATTTCTACTTGAATGGCTTCCAATATACGAGACTCAGAATTTCCATATTCCAGAAGGTCTATTGTAGTTCCAGATATAGCAGAAATCCATTTCGAAAGTAATTTAGAATTATCAACCATTAGAAATGCCGAATTTTGGAATTGAGTAATTCTTTTTGGATTTGGTAAGAAATACTTTGCTGTAACATCTTGACGCATCGTTTCAGGTAAACATATATCCCAATTCTTAGGTTCTCTAATCCAATCTTCAAAGTTGTGCTTATTTTCAAGAACATATTCTGGCCATCCATGCCCTACAATAGGTATTCCCCTCAGTAAGGATATTGCCAAACCGTACCAGAATTTCTCATCTGAAGCAGTCACCAAATGAGTTATTAACAGGAAATCTTGTACAATCCGAAGATCTATATCATTATTGAATAATTCTAATAAGGCATCTTTAAAGATATCTTTATTGGTGGTCACTCCGTTTGTACTGATATTGGCCTTTATTCTCCCAATATTAAACGGTACCCACTTAAGTATTAAATATACATCCTTTTCCTTCTTGAATTTAAATCGTAATTCTTGTTCTTTGTTTGTAAAGTCTCTTACAATTGGAGCTTCTTTCTTCTTAAATACTTCTCCATTAACTTCAGTCCTTGCAGGACTTTGGAAAGTTATAGTTAATGGAGTTTGCGCATCTGGATTCGAAACTTCTTCTAGTGGGATTGCACCTATCTCAAAGATCATATGCTTTTTGGATATATAAATCTCTTGAATGTTAATTTCAGTTTCTGAAGGTGAGAATGTTCTCCCAATCTGATAACTTGTATTTGGTCGTAACCATTGTCGCTCTAAAAACACCCGTTAGTATACTTGAATTGAACACACGTTCTTGAATGTACATACTAGCTCTATTACCAGGACTTTCTAAGATCCACATTGAGACTATATCGTTTCATATATCTATATATATATATATATATATATATATATAATGTACACCTTTTACACCTTTTACAGACATACCTTACTTCATACAGGAATTTTGTGCAGGAGCTTTGCAACATTAGTATTGATATAGTGGGGCCAATAAAGAATCATTTATGACCATATGGCCATTCTACATATCGACATAAGATTCTACAATGCTACTTTACCTTTCTTTTCTTTATCTTTTACTTTTAAATTAATGACATGAATTCTATTTGCTTTAAAGCCTATGGAGAATAATAAACTAAGCCTTCTTTGGCTTGGTGACCTTACCTGTCACCTTCTTACCCCTTGGGTTCATCTTCTTACCAATAAGCTTGGCAACTTCATCAACATCACCCAATTCCAACAAACCCTTCTCGAAAGTAGAAAGCTTAACTTCATCAGTGGAAGCCTTCTTGGCCTTGGATTCTTCTTCTTCCAAGACGTCTTCTTCGCTATACAAGGAGTCGGTGTAGAACAATGGCAAGGATGGAGATTGCTCAGTCTTGACAGAAACACTCTTCAAGGCTTCCTTATCAAACAGAGCCAACACATCATTCAAGTTTTGAACAAGTTCCTTTGGTTCAATTTCGATACTTCCAAACTTGACAGATACGTTGACACCAACTGGTGGCAAGTAGTATGTGCTTTCCAAACATTTGTTCAATTGGTTACTGATGGTGACGACAGAAACTTCCTTAGGGTTGGTGGCAGAAGTAACTCTAACTGGCAATGGAATCTTAGTGTTAGAACCATAGAAAACCTTACCCAAAACAGTTGGTAAAGTGTTCATCAAGGCATCATCAACCAAGAACAAATCGTATTCAGAATATAATTGACGACGTTTTTCGTATGGCTTGTATTCAGTTTTCAATTGCTTTAACAGGACAATTTGTTTTAAAGTAGGCAAGTTTTCAGCTTCAATCTTTTCCAATTGTTCGTTGGTAGTGATCAACAGGTCACGTACAATCAAACAAGTCTTAATAGAGTCCTTGTCTTGGATAGGGTGGCTCAACCTGATGACCTTTGGCTTGAAATTTGGCTTAGAAGAATAGTATTTCTTGGCAGCTATTTGGAGGTAAAGGTTTTGAGATTCAGCATCGTCTTCGAACAAACCTGGCTTTTCAGACGAAGTGTTTTCTCTTTGAGCAAACTTAATGAGCTGAGCAATAGCTTGAGAAGCGGCAGCAGCTGGAACTATAGAGGAAGTGGTGGTGGTGGTAGTGGTAGTAGTGGTGGAGTCAGATGAGTCAGCTTGCTTCTTGGCTGGCTTAGCAGCAGCCTTCTTAGCTGGCTTGACTTCCTTGGCAGCAGCCTTCTTAGTTGGAGTACCAACAGTGGTTTCCTTTGGTGCAGATTTCACAACCTTTTTGTTTTTTATGTTCTTGACCTTCTTGACGGAAGGAGATGGAGCAGCTGGAGAGGCAGCAGCCTTTTTAACAGACTTAGGGGACTTGGTTGGCGTAGCCTGGGATCTGGTCTTGGCCATTTTAATTGTTATTGTGCTATAGAAAAGAAATGCTTATGTTAATGATTCTCATCTCCATCTCATCTTCAACCTGAAAAATTAAACAGGACAAAAAAAAAAAAAAAAGTAGTAGGTACTGCAGATAAATTTGGGTGCAAAGTAAGAATTTGGTAGTCAAGTATGAATTGTGATATAATAAGGTATTTTAGAATTCAAACTCCTTCTAATTACTTATTCTTCTGTTTCTATTGATTAGTTCACTGTTACAGATCTCTGGTAACCTTTCTGCTTTTTTTTAAAAATTATTTTTCTTCTATTTTGTTCATTACTACATATCTTCATATACTGGCGGCATTGCTGTTTTGGCCAATTTTGGAGCAGACTTCAGATTATTGGATTTATTTGTCTGATTTTCATTAGCTGAATCCAAAACTATTGCTGGAACTCCATTATCAATATTTTGGAAAAGAATTTCTGGTTGATTTGCCACATTATGGATAATATCAGGGGATTCTGACTGTTCCAGAGAATATTTACGCACATGATCACTATCAAACCCACCAAGTCTTTCCCATAAGAGATGTGAGAGTTCCTGTGGAGAAGGAATAGACTGTTTATTGGGACCATCTTCTGTTTTATGCCAATGATCCCATTCTGCTGGAGGGGAAAGAGGCGGTGATATAAGAAACCGTCTACTTTCATGTTCCAGGGGTAATTCTAAATATTCCACTGGTATATTTGAAGTAATATTATTGGCATTTTTCAATAAATCATTGTCCTTTATACTATACGATATCGATAAGTTTCCATACAAGTCCGAGTCTTGTGTAGATAGATTTGCAAGATCTTCAAAAGTTGACTTTGAATCCTCACGAGATGAACATACAAGTAGGATTCTATGGAATTTTGGAAGTGCTATAAGTTCAATCTCTCGTTTAGATTGGGATAAATAATGTAACAATGGTGTTGGTTCTTTAATAAATTCTAACAGAAGTCCCGTAAGAATTATTGTATCTGTCGGGGATCGAGCAGACATACTTTATGTGAATAAGGGAGACAGATATAATATACAGAGAAACTGTCCTTACAATGAATAAAAAGTCACTGATCTAAAAATTTAACCTATAAGAAGATAAATCAAAGGTATCTATCATTATCGCATACTGATATACCTTTTCAGGTACATAGCCCAGCTGCTAGACTTCCCCATTGGGAAAGAAAAGTAAAGGACAAGAAAAAACAAAAAACAAAAAAGCAGAGAAGAAGTGTAAGAACAAAAGTTTCTCATTAAGTGGTGGTAACGTGGTTTAGTGAGGGCTAAGTGGATCAAAGAATAAATTGAATCACTATAATTGTGATATAGATTGATAGAGTACTTGACTTTTTTTCTTTCTTTTTTTTTTACTAATTAAATTATAAGGAAAGGGGTAATTTTTTTTTTAAAAAAAAAGACCAATTGAAGGATAGTAATTGCAAAATCACCTACCTGATAATGTCCTGTGAACACGAACATAGTAATGGTCATGGCCATGGCCACGATCATGATCATGACCACGATCATGTTGCACCAATTCCCACTGGTGCTGCACAATCATTATGGACCAAGATCGATCACCCACATATCACCGCATTGAATATGGCAAATCCAGCAGATGACATCCGTAGAATATTCAAAAAGAATGACGACAGATACAGTATCAAACCTACAATTAAATCAGATTGTGATGCCCAACTCATTGTACATATCCCATTTGTAAATGTTTCAGTCAAATTGTTTTCTATTATCTTGAGAACAAACGGAGAGAGTTACTGTCCTAAGACAATTAGATTATGGAAAAACGATCAATCAATTGATTTTGATTTGGCAGTGTCCAAAAAGCCAACATTTACTATCGAACATCCATTAGTTGGAATTGCTGATGACGATGATGATGAACTTCCAGAAATAATTGAATCAGAAACTGAATTTGTTGAGCATTTCTTACCAAGACACATTTTTTCAGGAGTTCAACATTTGACAATATTTATTGAAGATGTTCATGGAGATGAAGATGAACTGAGAATCCATAGTGTAGAGCTTCGGGGAGAATTCACAGAATTAAGTAAGGATCCAGTAATTACCTTGTACGAGCTGGCAGCAAATCCTGCTGATCATAAGAACATGATGGCTGAAGAAGCTTCTAACTACAGTCAAATATAGTACGAAATAGTTTATGAGTAATGAATAAAGAAATGAAATATAAATGAAATATAAAATAAAAGGATCAAAGGGGATCGGTCGGTATATGTGATCATAATAGAGAAGAATGTTCGATCAATGTAAGCGCATACCCCTGTAGAGACACCACGTAAGTGCATACGCACCAGGAAAAATTCGAAAACAGGTGGCTCCAGTATTATATGATTTATTCTTTATGACATGATGAGAAACTATGTATGGTGCGCAATATTAGGTGTGCGTGTGGTACCACGTACATATTGGATATCGAGTCGGAAGCTGCTTTTTTGCATTCACTTCCACTGGACCTATATGCAGAGCAGGGTGTCTCCACTGTGGTGGGAGAAAAAAAAAATATACCAGCTACACCACGCAACTCAATTTGAGCTCCACGCCCCGGAGTTCGCACATCCGGAACATATAAAGGTCCCCTCGGCTGGACATAAATTTCGACGATTTACAATTTAGTTAGTACGCCTTTTTTCAAAAGACATTACATACATACATATATACACATAAAATGGTTAAGTTAATCTTGGTTAGACACGGACAATCTGTCTGGAACGAAAAGAACTTGTTCACCGGTTGGGTTGACTGTCGTTTATCTGACGTTGGTGAAAAGGAAGCTGCTAAGGCTGGTGTTTTGCTTAAGGAAGCTGGCTTGAAGGCTGACATCTTGTACACCTCCAAGTTGTCTCGTGCCATTCAAACCGCCAACATTGCTCTTTCTACTGCTGATCAATTGTACATCCCAGTCAAGAGATCTTGGAGACTTAACGAAAGACACTACGGTGCTTTGCAAGGTAAGGATAAGGCTGCTACCTTGGAACAATACGGTGCTGAAAAGTTCCAAACCTGGAGAAGATCTTTCGACATCCCACCTCCAACCATTGAAGATGACTCTGAATTCTCCCAAGTTGGTGACGAACGTTACAACGATGTTGACCCTAACGTTTTGCCAAAGACCGAATCCTTGAAGTTGGTCATTGACAGATTGTTGCCATACTGGCAAGATGAAATTGCCAAGGATCTTTTGGATGGTAAGACCGTTTTGGTTGCTGCCCACGGTAACTCCTTGAGAGCTTTGGTTAAGCACTTGGACAACATTTCCGACGAAGAAATTGCCGGTTTGAACATCCCAACTGGTATCCCATTGGTTTACGAATTGGACGAAAAGCTCCAACCAACCAAGCCAGCTTACTACTTGGACCCAGAAGCTGCTGCTGCTGGTGCTGCTGCCGTTGCCGCCCAAGGTACCAAGAAATAGATAAATCTAATACATGAGATAAAGACGAATTAAAAAACTAAAAAAAAATAATTGTAGATATATACGAAAAGTGAAGTTTTTTTTATTTAACTAGCTAGATTGATTAGATGGTAGGATCAGAGGTAATAATTAATATGAATCTTGAATTACAATAAGGTTCTTTTCTCATAGTTGTGATTTCTTTAATATTTGGTGATTTATCAAAATACACAAAAATCGAAATTTGCGAATTTTTTGAGATTGATGTTTGTTATTGTAGAAAGTAGAAGAGGAACTAACCTTTGATTAATCTGGACTTTAATTCTTGCGCACAAGAACCTGGCCAATTACGTAGGCAAAACCTTTGATCTTATAAGATGAATTCATCAGGCGCAAACACAGGACTTTTCGGACAGAAGAAGGATGATGGATCCAATTCAACCGGATTTGGAGGATCATCATCAGGAGGATTTGGGAATTTCTCCAACACTGCTTCCACCGGTGGGTTATTTGGAGCTAAGCCAAGTTCCCCCGCTCCTACTGGGGGTTTGTTTGGTGCTCCTAAGACAGATTCGTCAGCACCAGCAGCTTCCACTGGATTCTCATTCGGCGCTAAACCAAGTTCACCAGCTCCAACTGGAGGTTTATTTGGGGCCCCAAAGACTGATGCATCAACACCAGCACCTGCTGCTTCAACTGGATTCTCATTTGGTGCAAAGCCAAGTTCTCCAGCTCCAACTGGAGGTTTGTTTGGTGCTCCTAAGACCGATGCACCAGCACCAGCAGCTTCGACTGGATTTTCCTTTGGTGCACCAAAGACTGATACACCAGCACCAGCACCAGCAGCTTCCACCGGATTTTCATTCGGTGCACCAAAGACTGACGCATCAACAGCTACGCCAGCTAAACCAGCTGCTACTGGCGGCTTCTCATTTGGAGCCCCAAAGACTGATACAGCACCAGCTGCTTCCGCACCAACGGGGGGATTATTCGGAGCTAAAACTGATGCTGCACCAGCCGCTTCTACCGGAGGATTATTCGGTGCTAAAACTGATTCTAAACCAGCTGGTTCTACCGGAGGATTATTCGGTGCTAAAACTGATTCTAAACCAGCTGCTTCCACGACTGGTGGCTTATTTGGAGCTAAGACAGACTCTACACCAGCTGCTTCAACCAGTGGTGGCTTATTTGGCACTAAGACAGACTCTGCACCAGCTGCTTCAACCAGTGGAGGATTATTTGGCGCTAAAACTGATTCTAAACCAGCTGCTTCCACGGCTGGTGGATTATTTGGCGCTAAGACAGACTCTACACCAGCTGCATCAACTACTGGTGGCTTATTTGGAGCTGCCAAGACTGATTCTACACCAGCTGCTAAAGCCCCTTCTACTACTTCTGGATTTAGCTTTGGAGGTGAGAAGAAGGATGATAAACCTGCCACACCAAGTCTTTCATTTGGAAAGCCAGAAGAAAAGAAGGATGATAAACCAGCTACAACCACTACTGGTGGCCTCTTTGGAAAACCTACTGAAAAGGCTGCTGACTCAAATAAATCGACTTCAGCCTTTTCATTGAATAAACCAGAAACATCCACCAATGCTACAGCAAATACTGCCACTGCTGCCACCACCACCACCACCGCTAACAAATCAGGTGAAAACATTAAACCAACCACCATCCAACCTCAACAAGTTTCTATTGACAACAAAACCATGGATGATATGATCATTAAATGGTCAAAGCAATTAACATCTACAAGCAGTATTTTCAAGACATATACAAATAAGGTTCAAAAATGGGATCAACAATTAGTGAAGAGTGGAGATGAAATATCTCAATTATATCAAGATGCTTTGGAAGCAGAGGCATTACAATCTAAAATTGATCAAAACTTGATGTTTGTTGAAAGTCAACAAGATGAATTAGATAAATTATTGGATCATTACGAAGCACAGGCAGATACATTACTTGGTAATGTAGAATTAGGGAATAACGGCAACAACACACTTGTTGATGGTTATGGAGCATACAACAATAGCGCAGGCGGTCTTAGTGTGACCGACAAGCTTCGTGAAAAGGCGTACCATAATGCTGAATTATTAGATGAAAGATTGGATTCTATGGGTAATAATATTTCTACATTGATCGATGAGATCAATTCTGTTAGTGATGTTTTCAATAAGAATCTACTTATTGGGGATAGTTCAAGTAATGGTAATGAAAAGAGTGAGCATAAAGATGGTGATAACCCAATAGAAGAAGTTGTCAAGTTATTAAATTTACATTTGGAAAACCTTAAATATATTGAAAAGAATGAGCAATTATTGAAGGAAAAGTTGGAAAAGTTAGACACCAAAAAGTTGAGAAATTAAGTAAGAAGTAGATATAAAGAAACAGATAATTTAAAGAATTTATGTAAGATAGTACTGAGAATTAAAAGGAACAATATAAATAATGTCCTTGATGAATTTCTTAAATCGTTCGATCGCACGTGAATGCTTAACCGACAGAGCGCCCCACATTTCGACTTGAAGTGTGTATGACTCTGATTAAGTCTTTGGGGAACCAATGAAAGGGTACCTAGAATATTTCTAGTTAGTTTAAAAAAATTCCCTATAAGGATATAGGGAGATGAAACATATATGTACATATATCTGTTAAACATGTGATTGTTGTAGTTGCACATGCACTGGTAATATCTGCGCACCCCAACTTTACAAAATCTCATAATTTTTTCTGGAATATATTTCCTTTCTTTTTCCATAATAGCAAAGTATAGACCATGTCACAGATCACTCCCGTGGATGCGGTAAGGTTACTCTTAAACCCAAACATTGACAAGAAGCTTGTAGTATCCATGTTTTTACAGCAATTTAAAAAGAAAGAAATTGGACCGATACTCTCTAAACTTCTTGGCTCAGGAATTGTTGGGATTTCATCAATTATTCGGATACCACAAATCCGCAAGATTGTGAATCCAGAGAAATTGAGTCAACGAGTATCAGTATCCAAGGGATTATCACTTTCTGGTATTAGTTTAGAAACCTTAGGATATTTGATCCATGTGGTGTATAACCATCAGAATAAGAATCCATTTGTTAACTATGGAGAGACTCTTTTAGTGGGGTTACAGAATGTTGCCATAATCATTCTTATCAAGTACTACCATTCTAGAGAAAATGGATCTGTTCTGCTGGCTGTCATTGACACAATTAGACCGATTTTGGTCATGCTTGCAATTTCAATTGGAATTGGGAAATTTGCTAGTCATGATTTCATATCAACACTTCAAGTTTTAAACATTCCAATTTCAATTTTATCAAAATTACCTCAAATTAGACAGAATTATTTATTGCAATCCACTGGACATTTATCAAACATTACGGTTGGTGCCAATGTTCTTGGGTCATTCACAAGAGTATTCACTACTTTACAAGACTTTGAAAAGTTGGGCCGTGATAAGGTTTTGCTTGTTGGATATGGTAGTCTGTTCTTTTTGAATGCAGTACTTGCTGGTCAATGTTACTACTATGGCAATAATACTATTGGAACTGATGAGAAGAAAAACAATTAAATAATCTTTATTCTACATTTATATCATACATAAGAATGAGACGAGAATGCTTCGACTAGAGGATCTCTTTACGAGTAGTCTTATAAAAGGGGTCATGTAGTAATTTGTAAAGGTATGATTAGGACTTTTTTTTTTGCAGCTTTTGGTTCAGGATTCAGTTTCCCATTTGGGGAATGACTAAAAAAAGAATGAAAAATAAAAATGTAGCGAAAGGATAAAGTGCCGATTCTGATAAATTATACAATAGACACTACTGTAATAACTCTATACATACATCATAGCATAAAATGGTTCACACCGCAGAATACCTCCCAGACAGGGGCCACTCCATCCCCTCTATCCTCCAAGGTGGATATAACCATGACCTTACCCGTGAATGGGCAAATGAACGTCAACTTTCAAAGAATATGTTTATTTTCCCACTCTTTGTGACCGATAATGCTGATGATGAAGTAGATATCCCAGCTCTTCCAAACATCAAGAGATTCGGTGTCAACAAGCTTATTCCTTATGTGCGTGGCTTGGTTGCCAAAGGTCTTAGAGCTGTCATTTTGTTTGGTGTTCCACTTGCTGAAGGCGCCAAAGATAAGGAAGGTACATCAGCTGATGATCCAGAAGGTCCAGTTATTCAAGCCATCCAAAAGCTTAGAAAGGAATTCCCAGACTTGTACATTATGTGCGATGTTTGTCTTTGCGAATACACTGACCATGGACACTGTGGTGTTCTTTATGAAGATGGTTCTTTAAACAGAGAATTATCTGTTCGTAGAATTTCTGCCGTTGCTGTCAACTATGCCAAGGCTGGTGCCAACTGTGTAGCTCCATCCGACATGATTGACGGTCGTATCAAGGATATCAAGCTTGGACTTGTTGATGCTGGCTTGGCTCACAAGTGTTTCGTTATGTCTTACTCAGCCAAGTTCAGTGGTGAGTTGTATGGTCCATTTAGAGAAGCCGCAGGAAGTGCTCCAAGTCATGGAGGTCGTAAGGCTTACCAACTTCCACCAGGAGGAACTGGTCTTGCTCGCCGTGCCCTTGTTAGAGACATGAATGAAGGTGCCGATGGTATTATCGTTAAACCTTCTACTTTTTACCTTGACATTATCAGTGAAGCTGCCAAGATTTGTAAAGATTATCCAATCTGCGCTTACCATGTTAGTGGTGAATATGCCATGTTACATGCTGCCGCTGACAAGGGTATCGTTGATATCAAGCAAATTGCATTTGAAAGTCATCAAGGTTTATTGAGAGCTGGTGCAAGATTAATCATCAGTTACTTCACCCCAGAGTTTTTGGATTGGTTAAAAAATTAAACTAAATCGAACTTATCCTGATTAATATCCAGCATCCTCTTTCTTCACTTGTATATATCTATATAAATAAATAAATAATAAAAATGGTCATTTTTAATATAATTGCTATATATAAAATGTACTATGCAGCAATAGGTTGCAGTTCTTCTAAAGAACTTGCCTTCTCCGAATTTTTCTTGTTAGACTCAAGCTTCCCACTTGGAGCTTCTGGTAGAATAGAAACTTTAGGAGCATCAGGAAGATCCAATGATTGATTAATTTTGGATTTCCCAGTGACTTGTTCCTCAAGACGTGCGAGTTCTTCTTCAACCTCAAGCTCATCTCCATTAGTTAAAGAGCCCATTCCTAACATATCCAGTACGTCATCCACCTTCACTCTTTCATCTTCAAGATCATCTAGAATCTTATCTAATTTATCCATACTCATTTCAGAGTTTAATTTCTTTAACACTTCGTTCCCTTGTTGTAATCCATACATCACATCCTTTTCTATAACTTTAAATTCAATCGTTCCAATCAATTTTTCAAGGTTATCAAGCTGCTCATATGTCTTAGAAATGGTTGTTTCTTGTTGTTTCTTTGATCTCAAATAGAATTTTGCTCGGTCCAAGTCTTTCCTTAAAATGGCTTCCTTGGCAAGATTATTTTGTCTATCTATAACTGTAGAGAGTCGAGTTTGGTATTGTTTCAACTTATCTCTTTGCTGCTTCATCTGATAGATAGCCCTATCTTGAGCCGTTATCTTTGGCGTAGTTGAAGCTTGCTGACCCATAATTGATTGACCAGAGTTAAAAATGCAATTACTATATTTAGTTAATATAAAATGATCAACACCCCAATTAACTCAAAACAATGAAGATCTCTATATGGTACCAATAGAATGGATAATTGATAAATTAAAAAGTAAATTACTGCCTAATTAAAAAAAAGGCAAAAAAAAAAAAGATATAAGTATGGCTCAAAGCTTTATCTCTATATTGCACACACTCTTGCGAGTAAGAACTCTCGTGATTCGAACCAGTGACACTGGTAATTGTTTTCTTGATTTTTTTTTTTTTTTTCTTAACGGAAGGAAAAGAAAGCAAAAAAATTTAGCCATCACGTGACTCTAATATCCTTTATATAACCACGTTTATTTTTATTCTATGCATCACAAATGCACATAACTACCGCATCAAGAAATCCCATTTGTCCCAATAAGGATGAAATGTAAATATTTCTAGCATCAAGATCATTTCCATTACAAGATATTATAACAACTTTTAGATATCACTAAACCAGATCCGTGCAATAGCACGACTTTTTTGGCGCTGGAGGCTTAATTTTTTTCCTTTAAAATTCTCACCCTTAACTCAAAGGAATTATTAACCAAGGGATTGAATCTAGATTAATATTTTGAATCTGGTTCATTCAATTTTTGTTATTCGTCTTCGTTGACAAGTTCGAATTTGCATTTTCCACTTTCCCAAGCTATTGAGTGAAAGTTGGATCATCCTACATATATATATTATATTGAACTATTAAGCAATCATGTCTCTGACAATATTCTTTGATTCGCCTAATAGTACAAACATTAGCATTTCATCACCAATTAGAAAGATGAAGGTGGTGTTGGGAAATTCTCCCATGGAAAACATGCAACTGTCATCGCCCAACAAGAGAGGGTATTTGAAGAACATGAGTCCCAATGTTGCACGTAGAACTGTCAATGTGAACTCAAATGAATGGGATAGACTGTTTGAAAAGGGTGGTTCTGTGTTGAATAAGCTGTTTGATAAAGTTGCAAATAATGTTGTTTTGAATACATCTGGTAATACCGGAGGAATTGGTAATAATGGGGTTACAGCAAGAAAGTTTGAGAGACCTACTCTTAGCAAAGAATTAAACTCAAAGACCTTTTTCCCACCAACTAATCCTAGATCTGCATCGACTACTCTGGTTCTTTTGAACAAGTCACCTCCTTCTTTTAAAAGCAAACTTAGAAGAACAAACTCCTTAATTTCTCAAGGTGGTTCATCATCATCATCTGATAATCAACAACAATCATCAACCACATCTTCAGATCGATTCATTCCTTCACGTCATAACTCAATTACCGGGAAACTTCAAACTAATAATTCAATTCCACATCCAAATGCATCACCACAAGCACATATTAAGGCACAAACTTCTAAAATATATCAACATCATGTTGCCGAAGCTTGTGGACTTGAAGTTAATTCCCGTATTTTACAATTCCAACCTCTTCCACCTGAAAGAAAAAGACCAGTGAATTTATTTGGTCATATTTCAAGTGGAGCAAATTCAAGAACACTTTTGAATTTAAAGCTGCTTAGACCAGCTGCCGCCAGTGCGCGAGCTAAAAAGATTCCAACTGCTCCTGAAAGAGTGCTTGATGCACCAGGACTTGTGGATGATTTTTATCTTAATCTCCTTGCATGGTCTAGTACCAATTTGCTTGCCATTGGATTGGAAGACGCTGTTTACGTATGGAACGCTTCCACTGGAAGTGTTGGACTTTTATGCGAGCTACCAACATTTGCAACCCTGTTGAAATGGTCAGATGATGGCTCATACATATCTATTGGTCGTGACGATGGACTTCTTGAAATTTGGGACATTGAAACAAACACAAAACTTCGTACATTGAATTGTGAACATCAAACTCGTATTGCATCTCAAGCATGGCTGCAACATATTCTTACCAGTGGATCCCGAATTGGGAATCTTTTCCATTCTGACGTGAGAGTTGCACAACATATAGTTAGTAAAAACACCACTGCTCATCTGGCAGAAGTTTGTGGAATCAATTATAGACTGGATGGACAACAATTTAGCACTGGTGGGAATGATAATTTGGTATGCGTTTGGGATATAAGAAATTCTCATTCAAATTTTGGAGAACCAATTTTTGCAAAGGCAAACCATAAGGCTGCAGTTAAGGCTATGTCTTGGTGTCCATTCCAACTGTCACTTTTAGCCACTGGAGGTGGATCCTCCGATAAGGCTATTCATTTCTGGAATACCAGTACTGGAGCCAGGGTCAACACCATAGAAACTGGTTCACAAATTTCATCATTAAATTGGGGATATGCTTCAGGTATTGGTATGGAAATTGTTGCAACTCATGGGTTCCCAACAAATAATATTTCAATCTTCAATTATCCAACTCTTCAAAAAACAGGAGAAATTCAAAATGCTCATGATTCAAGAATTCTTAGTGGATGTCTTAGTCCAGATTCATTAACATTGGCTACAGTAGCTGGGGATGAAAACCTTAAGTTTTGGTCGTTGTTTGATTTGTACAAGACGAAGAGAAGAGGAAGTGATACGGAAGAAGTAATGGGCAATGACGATAAAAGAATGAAAAAAATGATGAATATTAGATAATACAATAAAATATAAAAGATTTTATAGATAAATACAAAATATATAAATGAAAATTACTTTGAATGGTTAGTTTATGTACAGTGTGGTTATAGGAAAATATCTAGAGATCTACATATTGGAAGGATATTAGAAAAAAAAATTAAAAAACCTTAAATTGTAATGACGTCATGCGGCAAAACAACAAGACCGAGAAAACACCCTGACTAGAAAATTCCATTATATCATGAAGGAAAAAAAAAGGTAAAAGAATTGACATCATCAATTGATATTCAATAGTGAATGTAAAAACCAATCTTGATAAATGAGCGTGAATTTTGCGATAGAAAAATGAATATCGTATAAATATCTTTATTAGTGTGCATGATGATTGCTTTGTTGTGACATTTTTACTTTTGTGCAATTCCTAAAATAGCGAAATACGACTCGAATGTCCCCGTCCCAATTTTTTTTTTTAGAAATATAAGTAAAAAAATAAGTCAAACAAGGGGTATTCATTTACTAGAATCCATATAACAGACATAGCTTAATAATATATCTGCCATAAGTCGTCTGATCGGATAGAAAGCGATATAATCACTGCTTTTATAATCCATATTGATAATTAATATTTGTTAGTACATCGGCATTTTCGTCCAACGATACAACTTTTACACTCCACTCACCTCTCTTCTCACTTACCCACCTAATACTGTACACTATGTCGTCCGACGGAGAGTTCACCAGAACCCAGATTTTTGGAACTGTGTTTGAAATTACCAATAGATATACAGACCTCAACCCTGTTGGAATGGGTGCATTCGGTCTTGTTTGTTCTGCAATCGATAAACTCACAGGACAAAACGTTGCTGTTAAAAAGATCATGAAACCATTCCTGACTTCAGTATTGGCCAAGCGTACATACAGAGAATTGAAGTTGTTGAAACATCTTAGACATGAAAATCTTATTACTCTTGATGATATTTTTTTATCTCCATTAGAAGATATCTATTTTGTTACTGAACTTCAAGGTACTGACTTGCATAGGCTTTTAACCTCTAGACCATTGGAAAAACAATTCATCCAGTACTTCACATATCAAATATTACGTGGGTTGAAATACGTGCACTCAGCTGGTGTTATCCATCGTGATTTAAAACCATCCAATATTTTGATCAATGAAAACTGTGATTTAAAGATTTGTGACTTTGGATTAGCTAGAATCCAAGATCCTCAAATGACTGGGTATGTTTCTACTCGTTATTATAGAGCTCCAGAAATCATGTTAACCTGGCAAAAATATGATACTGAAGTGGATTTATGGTCAGTTGGATGTATTTTAGCAGAAATGATCGAAGGTAAACCACTCTTCCCAGGTAAGGATCATGTTCATCAATTTTCTATTATCACTGAATTATTAGGATCTCCACCACCAGATGTCATCGATACTATATGTTCTGAAAATACCTTGAGATTTGTTCAATCATTACCTCATAGAGATCCAATCCCATTCACCGAAAGATTCCAACAATGTACTCATGTTGAACCAGAGGCAATCGACTTACTTGATAAGATGTTGGTCTTTGACCCAAAGAAGAGAATCAGTGCTGTTGACGCCTTGACCCACCCATACATGGAACCATACCATGATCCAACCGATGAACCAGCATGTGAAGTGAAGTTTGATTGGAGTTTTAATGATGCCGATCTTCCAGTGGATACATGGAGAGTTATGATGTACAGTGAGATCTTAGACTTTCACCAAATTGTTGGTGCTGGACAAGCCCAAGAAGATCAATTAGCTCAAATTCAACAAGAGGGAATCCAAGCACCAAGTAATGGTCAACAACAAAAGGTAGAGTAAAGATGTATATTTTAAAAAGTGAAGAGGTAACATTGTAATAATATATATCTCAATTATAAAATAGTAATATATATATCTATATGTATGTATGTACTTTGTAGGAAGTTTGAGTGTGTGCGCAATATGAGAAATATTTAAAATTGATTAGATAAAATATGAACAGATACCCCAAAACATAGACTAAAAGTTTGAATATTGATTATGATTAAACATTCCACCTCGACGTTTTTGAACCATTTTGATCCTCAATACAGGAAGGAAATATCCGACCTGTTGGTTGTATCTCTTTCATACTTGCAGGACAATGAGAATGAGTGCTTGGTTAGTTTCCATAATATTTTGAATGAGAATGTCACTATTAATCCCAGTGCCGATGAAGAGAGGGATAATAATGAGGTTGCTCAAACAAACACAGGTGGGTGGTTCAGTAACATGTTTAGTGGATCAGCTGAAGCTGAACTGAAACCACTTCACCAAGGAACGTCCACGTCGAAGCAACTTTTCCTTGGATATATTCAATTGGTAGGGTATGTTGTTTGTAATTACAAGTTTGACTTGAATGACGGCAATACCATTGACATGGGAAATACTACAATTGGATGGTGGAATGACAAGGACTATGTCTCTATGTACAATAATGATGATACAGAACCAGGACAAGAAGAACTTGAAGACGGAATGACCACTGAGAATATTTTAGATCAAGTACCATTCATTGCCCTGAGTATTAAGGATAGAATGATTGTTGGAGGGAAAATTGGAGGGTTGAACGATTTGGTAGTCTCCACAGGAGATGCACGTGAAGAATTGATGATTGATAATTCTAAACGATACTTTCTTCATGATTTGGTGTATGGATTCAATTCTCTTCAAGCTCCAAACCAGCTGAATTTTCAAGAGAATGGTGAGATCAAGAATCAGTTATCTATTAGCGAGATCACAGAGTCGATCCTTCCATTTTATTCCACATCTCAATCACTTCTTTTTTCTGATTTAACCTTGAAAGGAGGTGAAACGAAAACTTTCCATATAAAATTCCCCAAACTAAATGACGTACCACCTTCATATAACGTGAGACTGACTGGCTTAGTTGCAGACCAGGGACTTGTCAGTATCAGATATCTGCTTGTAGTTGGGACTCTGGATATTCAGGATGGAGGGAATATTCAATCTTCTACAGTATATTTCCCATACGAAAAGACCCAAACTTATGTTGGAAATGAAGAATATTTACAACCTGACTATTTACAAAGAGTTGTGGTGGACCATAAATGGAATACTGTGATTGTTAATTCAGGAGAAGATTTGGAAAATATTGAAACTAATGAAAATCAAGAAGAGCAAGCTTCAGTAGATAGATCCTCATTTCTAGATGATTTACAGCAGTTGGTCGAGTCTGATTTATATACCATGCCTAAGATATCAACCAAAGAGAGACGAAGAAGTAGTCTTAGTATTACTACACATGAAAATAACACCAATGGTAACCACCATGTTAGAGATGATGGACTAATTGCACAATTACCAAAAAATCAAAAAACTCAATATCAAATTAGACTAAATAATCATCCTCTTTGTACATTGAGTGTCTCGAAACCATTTTATCATATTGGAGAAGATATTAGTTTTGTGATAGATATGAATAACGAAGACCTCTCCAGTTCAATTAGAATTGCGGGAGTGATCATTCATTTGGAGGCGTTAGAAAAATTTCCTTATATGACTAAAAATTTGCAAGACAAGGCTTTTAATAATATATACAAAGTTGGTCCTAGCATGAAATTAAATGCATTTGCACCTGCAATTTTCAATCAAGAAAATACGCAGATTAGCGGGTTTGTCAACATTCCGCAACATTTAACTCCACAATTCCAAAGTTCTCGATTAATGGATCTTCTGTACTTCTTGGTGTTTAAATTCCATCTCAATGAATTTGAAACTTCCGTAGTTGAAGATGGAACTAATGGGGAAGAAGAAGAACTTAATCCCCAGGAAAGTGCTCAACCACTCGTGAGTAATAATTCACATGGACAGTCGAAGGGAGTTGATGATGTTGCACCGTTTGAAAAGTTTCGTAAATACCAGGTGGACAACAACGGTAGAGAATTTACATTTAGGCTTCCTGTGGTAATAGTATAGAATTTAAAAGTTGCACATTATAATAATACATCACAGCAATTTACATGTGGTAGAAACCCAATAAACTTTAGCATAATAATTTCCTCCTTCCCTTTTCAATATTTTGCACCCAAGCATAAACATTTTATCCGACTCGTGCATTGTGATGTAATAATAAATTGTTCGAGTTTCTTAATCCCGTATAAACCTAAAACATTCCCTTCAAAGTTTCTATGGATACCCCCCTCTACGCCTTGACATATTTTGAAGTACTCTCTTGATGAATAGGTTTATATCTTCTATTGGTAATTCTAATGCGGCTTAGCGCTCCACTTTCTCTCGCACTTAACTGAAAAAGGAAATTCGTATGAACGACTGAATTTTTTGATGAGAATTTGTTTAGGTTTTGAGACACAAAAACAGCATCGCACTTTGCGGCTCACCACTCTTTACCCCAACTGGAATCATAGCTATTACCTCTTTGGGATAATGCTGCTTCAACCTTCTCTTTTATAAACAGGTAGTTGTGCTCATTAATATCCACCCCTCTCAATGATTTTTCTTTCTTCAAGCTAATAGATAGTCACTATATAATCTAGAGTGTTTTAAGCTTCTTTCAATATTTTAAAACACCCCTACACATTCTCTCGCTAATGAAGTTCGCAACCACACTTACAATAGCTTCAACTCTTTCTATGGTTCAAGGGTTAGCCTTTGAAAATGTCGAGAAGAGAGCCACAACAGATCAAGTTGCTGGAGCCGAAAGCGCTTTAGGCATTCTTGGTCTCATTGGTGCTGCTGGATCCGAAACTGGTTTGTCCGCTGATGCAGCCCCTTCTACTGCCGCCGCTGCCGGAGCCGGATTCACAGGAAGTGATGCTGGTATTTATGCATCCATTGGAGCTGCTCTCACAGAAGGATCTAACACTGCCACTGCCGCCGCTATTGGTGGTGCCCTTACAACAGGATCACCTGCCGGGGGTGCCAATAGTGCCTTCTATGCATCCCTCGCTCAGCAATTGGATTCAAGTGCCACCTCTTACGCCATAGCCACTTCGTCAGCAGCTACTAGTGGCAGTTCTGGATATGGAAGTTCTTATGGAGGCTTTCTTGCTAGTATTCTTGGAGACATTGATTTCGAATCAGTCGCTGGCTACGCTGATAATATTCTTTCTGAAAACTCCCAATATTTGGACGATGCACTTGTATGGTTAAAGGATACAGGTCTTTTACCCAAAGCAACCTTGTATTTACTTGAACTGAACTTTAGTTCTCCATTAGTTTCCAGTATTGTTCTGGGTGCATTGAACGAGGTGTCTGCTCTCAACACTACCTCCTTCTTTGTTGCGTTGGATCAATCTGGTTTATTCTATCAGATTATCTCTAGTTTTATTATCGACCCTGATTTATTGCCAGCTGGATTGTCAATTGTTAAGAAACTTATTGCTGAAGGTGGGATTTCATTTTCTGAAATTATTGCTGCCGCAGGAAGATTAGTGAAGAAGGATGAATTCTCAGTCGAACAATTTGAATTACCAGAACTTGCTAGAAGAACTTTTGAAGATGCATTATTGGAAGATCTTGAGACTAGAGATGACCTGGATCATATTTTCTGGGAATTAGATATTCAAAAGCGTGACAATATCGAAAATTTACTTACCACTGTTTTCACTTCAGTTGAAAAGTCTGACATTCTTAATAGTACCATTCATACTTTACTCATCGACCCACAATTCCAAGATGCCGCAGTTACTCTTCTTTCCGGAACATTCAAAAAGTTTGCAACTGGTTCAGGATATCCATCAAACCTTTCATTCTTGGGTCCAATTCTTGCTGGTATTGTGGAATCTGGTTTGTTACAAAATACATTCGAAAGAGCCTTGGCTGACCCAGCATTGAGAGCTGCATTGATTGCAGACTTGGGTGCAGTCTTGAGAAGTGGTGCTGCTACTGTTGGTGACTTTGTTTCTGGAAAGGACATCGTTATGTATCAACTTGCTTTGAAGGGCATTATTCCTGACTCTCTCGAAGTTAAAGCTGCGACTTCTGGTGTTAGCTCTGTAATTGGAGCAATCTCAAGCACCTTGGCAACTGTTGCATCTTCTGCTGAATCATCTGTTGCATCTTCAATTGTATCATCATCATCCCCATCTGCAACTCCAAAGACGACCTCTTCGGGTAATAGCGGTGTTTCCACTACCTCCTCCGGCTTCTTAGCTCTTGTTGCAGGACTCTGTGGTTATATCATGATTCTTTAATCTAGTTAAAGGATTAAAGACTTTCGAAATTCCCCCAATTCCCCAACTTTCCTACTCCTTTTGGTGGAGATAGGGTTGGTTGCAAAATATTCATTTTTAATTTGGCAGTTTTTCAATTTCGCAAAAACAACTCAAATATCTTTTATTACATCAAAATTACCAAAATAGATTCAATTCTATAATCAAATTGGGATTGTTGTCTATTATCTTTTACTTTCTTCCTCCGAATCATTTTTCCTTTTTCTTTACAATTTATGCAACCAATCTTCTCTCATGAAGGGTACACATTTCAAATTCATTCTAAACAAATTAACCACCATTCAAGACTACTATGAATTTTTCTTCGAGATTCCTGCTTGATGCCACGATTTAATACCATAGTTCATATATAAAATTATACTACGAAGACCATGTTTACTCGGAAAGATGTAGATAAATTACACATTAGATTATTCTCATTTTATAATATCTTTTTTTTCTCTACTTTTATGTAATTTTATTTTTTATGCTTGATCGTTTTATTTTCATCATTTTGTTTTTCGGCATGTCATTCTAAATTGCCGGCAAAAATTGCTATCAGTTAAACTCTTGATTAGAATATATGACACACCAGATAGCTAATGTTCTTTTCTAGTAGTAAATGTTAAATACGTGGTGGCTTAAATATTATCTGACTCATAAATACTGCCAATCATCCTAATCTATATCATGCATGCATATCTTATCACCGGTGAACCGGTCGTAATTACCACATATTTTTATCATTTGACAGAATTTGTTCCCGATAACCTCAAATTCCGTTTCTTTAATTAATTATTTATTATTTATCACGATTAATTTTTTTTATTTTATTTTTTTTCTATTCTTTTTTAAATCTCAAAGTTTCTTATATAGAGTTGCCATCTTCTTTCAAAACCTTTAATTTGTAATAAATAATAGAAAGATGTCATTCGAACAATCACCATTTTTCGAAACTGATGATGGTCACAAATTCGAGGCTGATAGTGATGATGAACAATTATTATCCAACTCTCACAAGTCCACCCATTTTTCATCATCTGAAGATCGATTCATAAAGGACCACGATTTGAAGGTCAGTGCCTTGGAAGCTCTTCATTTGGGTAACCATCAGGGTCCTTCTATGACTAGAAAAAGTTCTGATCCAGTTGCCCCTTCCAGTCCTAATGTTCTTAAACGTAGACAATCAATCATTGACTTCCCACATGGTCAAGTGGGTCCACAAAGTAAAATTCATTACCACCCTCTGCCATCTTCTGCCGCACACAACAATAACCACACACAAAGCACACTTGCCAGTGCTAATGCGTTACCAGAAGAATATCCATCCGACGAATTGATTGAATTATATCAAAATGTTAAGGATTGTCTTGAAATGAGACATAAATATTTGAAAATTTCTCTTCAAGATAATGAATTGGAAAATCCTAAAAATTCTGACAATTGGAACATTTATCCACCACCTCCATTGCCTACTTACAAGTCAAAGAACAGATTCAATCAATTACCGGTTGATCATGAAGATGAAGTTGAATTTGAATTCTCTAAATGTGAGATCCCAGAGAAAACTGTCGATTATGTGATTGAAACAAACTGTGATGATATTTTCCAAGTTATTGATCCTTCAACTGGTAAGCCATTGGTAGATGTTCCAAGTATGCATGATTACTACTCAGATCTCAACAAAATCACCAAGATTTCTTCTGATGGACCTTCCAAATCCTTTGCTTTCAAGAGATTACAATATTTGGAGACCAAATGGAATTTGTATTATTTACTTAATGAGTTTGAAGAATCCAAACAATCTAAAAAGAATCCTCATCGTGATTTCTACAACGTTCGTAAAGTGGATACTCACATTCATCATTCCGCATGTATGAATCAAAAGCATTTGTTACGGTTCATCAAGTACAAGTTGAAAACTGAACCTAATGAACAAGTAATTTTCAGAGATGGTAAGATTTTGACTCTTTCTGAGGTCTTTAAGTCATTGAATCTTACTGGATATGATTTATCTATTGATACTTTGGATATGCATGCTCATACTGATACATTCCATCGTTTTGATAAATTTAACTTGAAATATAATCCAATTGGAGAATCAAGATTGAGAGAAATTTTCTTGAAAACTGATAATTTTATCAATGGTAAATATTTAGCAGAACTTACAAAGCAAGTTTTTGAAGATTTAGAAAGTTCCAAATATCAAATGGTAGAGTTACGTATTTCTATCTATGGTAGATCTATTTCCGAATGGGATAAACTTGCTAGTTGGATCGTTGATAATAAGCTTTTCAGCCATAATGTTCGTTGGTTAATTCAAGTTCCAAGATTATATGACTTATACAAGGGTAATGGTAATGTAAACAGTTTCCAAGATATCTTAACCAACTTGTTCAAACCATTATTTGAAGTCTCTATTGATCCATCTAGTCACCCTAAATTACATGTATTCTTACAAAGAGTGGTTGGATTTGACTCAGTTGATGATGAATCTAAACCAGAGAAATTGCTTACATCTAGAAAATTCCCAAGAGCAAGTGAATGGGAATTCCCTCAAAATCCTCCATATTCATACTATTTGTACTACTTGTATGCTAACATCACCTCATTGAATAGTTTGAGACAAAAGAAGAAGATGAATACATTTTTACTTAGACCACATTGTGGTGAAGCTGGTGATCCAGAACATCTTATTAGTGCCTTTTTAACATCTCACTCAATTTCCCACGGTATCTTATTACGTAAGATCCCATTCATTCAATATTTGTTTTACTTGGATCAAATTGGATTGGCAATGTCTCCTTTATCAAACAATGCACTTTTCTTAACTTATGATAAGAATCCATTCTACAATTTCTTCAAAAAGGGTATGAATGTTTCATTATCTACTGACGATCCATTACAATTTTCTTACACGAAGGAACCTTTAATTGAAGAATACTCAGTGGCTGCTCAAATTTATAAATTATCTGGGGTTGATATGTGTGAATTAGCTCGTAATTCTGTCAACCAATCCGGATGGGAAGCAGCCATCAAAAAGCATTGGCTTGGAAAGAAGTTTATGATGCGTGGAATTGTAGGTAATGACATGGAAAAGACCAATGTTCCTGACATTAGAGTCATGTATAGAGAGGAAACATTACAAAGTGAATTAGAATTGATTGAGTATTACACTAGAATGAAAAAGTGAATAGATAAGAAAAATAAAAAAAAACACAAAGTAAAACATAATAAATAAATATAATAAACCAAGTGAATGTAAGTATCAAAATCTGAGTAGTAAATGCTTGCTTGTGGAATGATTGAATCGATACTTGTAGAGGTTTATCTATCATTTTAAGATCCAGTAGACGCATAAAAAGACAATTATTTTTTATTTTGTGCATGTGTTGCATGCGCTTAGAGGTTTATGCGATTACAAGTGATAAATATGAGAGGTTTTAGTTGTATAAATGGAATGGGTTTGAAATATGAAAGTTTCACCTTCAGCTAATATTTGCTACTATCATAGATAAATATGAACTCTTACAATACCATAACACTTAGAAACCGACCTCTATCGAGGGAATCAAAACCTGTTCCAATTGTATTGACAATTGCAGGGTCTGATCCTTCTGGAGGGGCAGGAATTGAAGCTGATTTGAAAACCTTTAGTTCATTTGGGGTCTTTGGAGCAACATGTATAGTTGCTTTGACGGCACAGAATACCAAAGGGGTCAATTCCATCTCCAAGACGTCAGAAATATTGGTTAACGAGATTTTGGAGTCAATTTTCGACGATTATCTCCAATCTGATGGTTCAAGTAGATTGCGGACAATCAAGACAGGAATGCTTACCCAAGAAGCGGTAAAAGTATTGGAAGGTAAAATTGACTTGTTAGATAAAGAAGATGTCAAATTAGTGGTTGACCCAGTGATGGTAAGTACATCTGGAGCTTCATTATTTAAGGAAGAGGATATGCAACAATGTGTCACAACTCTACTTAAACATGCATATTTGGTAACCCCAAATTTTGAAGAAGCACTAGTATTATATTCCTTGAGTAATAGTGACGGATCCAAAGATCTGAACATCAAATCAGTCCAAGACTTTGTAGATTTTACAATTAATTTGCAACAATCATTAAAATGTGAAAATATTCTCGTTAAAGGTGGCCATATTCCTTGGGATGCAAATGATAAACCAATCAATGGAAAAGATTTCAAAAGTGCCACCAAAGTGAGAGATGTCTTATATGAATCTAGTTCAGGTACAGTTACGATTTTTGAATCTGAATTTATACATTCTCAAAACACTCATGGTACTGGATGTACATTATCATCGTCAATTGCTGCTAATATCGCCAAAGGGAAAAATCTTCGTGATTCATTGATAATCTCAATTGATTATCTTCACCAAGGGTTGGATAGCATGACCAAAATTGGGCATGGTAATGGGCCATTAAATCATAACGTTATCCCTGAACAAGATATTTCATCTCTCACCAAAAGTGTCCTTTCAAACCCCGTATCTGTTTCAAATAAGATAAAAGAGGAATATGACTCCTTTTTGGATTTCTTTAAAAGCCAACCTTTAGTGGTGCCATACTGGAAGAAATATATTGAGCATCCTTTCGTCAATCAAGTTGCAACAAATCAATTACCATTTGACAAGTTTCTATATTTTTTGAAACAAGATTATTTTTACTTAATTAATTATGCTCAAGTGCAATGTTTAGCTGCATCAGTGGCTCCAACTTACCAAGAAACTTTAGCTACTTCCAAGGTAGTGGAAGCAATTGTAACTGAAATTGAAAAGCATAAAGTGAAGTTGCATAAAAAATATGATGTTGATTATGATTCAAATTCTGATAATGATTTACGCCCAGGGAAAGCTTGTATAAACTATTGCACTTATTTGCTTGAGATTGGGAAAAAAGAAGACTATATTGGGATTAAAACTGCTATTGCTCCATGTTTGTTCGGATACTACGAAGCAGGTGTCATTGGACAAGAAAGAAGACAAAGAAGAGATTATGATTTGGGATCTCTTTCAAATAAAGAAGAATCAGAAGTATATGGAAGTTGGATTGATGAATATACTCTGGATTGGTACCGTGAAGCCTACGAGGTAGGAAAAGTAGGATTGGACAAATACCTCAATGAACATGATATTTCACAAGAAAGAGTTGACCAATTGACGCATATTTTTGCAGAAGTCACAAAGCTTGAAGTTGCGTTTTGGGATGAAGTATTAGATTTAGAGTGATATATATATATATATACATATATATAAATGTATACAGTTACAGTCGTTTAATCAAAAGAAAATTCTCGTGGTCTTTCCTTTGCCTCTCTGTACCTTCCTGTTCTCCACACTTTATATTTTTGCACCCAATAGTAAATTGTTAAATAATAAAATTAAAAAGAAAAACTCTTGTCCTAAATTGATCAATTGGTTGAAAGTAGAGCTTTGTCAATTCTACTAAGATAATGTACAATTAATAGTAGTCAATTGAAAATAGTAAATGGTTGTATATAGCTACGCCTTGACATGACACCGCATCCTGCATAGTACCGATCTAATTTAGGAAATTGATTTGATGTTCAAAGGAGTGAACCTGAGCCACGACCAAACTTTAAAATCACACTCAATTCCAACTTCTTTGGAAGACTTCAAGCTAGACCAAAAAAGAAAAACATTAATTGAATCTAACTAAGAATTGTTGCTGCGATGTATAATCCATACCAACAGCAACAACAACAGTACGGGTTCAATCCTCAAGCTACGGGGTTTAATGGTGGCGGATTCCAACAACAACCGCCCCAACAGCAGCAACAACAGTTTAACCAGTACGGCCTTCAATCGCAACAGACTGGATATGCTCCGCAACTTCAGCCTCCGCAACTTCAGGGACAGGCAACAGGCTTTTACCAGCCACAACAGCAACAGCAACAACCACAACAGCCTCAGCTCTTGCAATCTCAACCAACAGGTTACATCCAAACCCAGCCTACTGGATTTGGTGCTAGTGCCCCCACCGTCACTGAAAACAATGAATTGAAGATCCCTTCAATTAGATTGTCATTCCTTACTGCTAGTGACCAGAACAAGTTTGAACATTTGTTCAGAACTGCAGTTCCCAAGGGTGAACAAGCCATTTCTGGGGATGCTCTGAGAGATATCCTTTTGCGCTCTGGACTTGCTCCAGTGACACTTGCTGAGATTTGGGCTCTTGCAGACACCAATAAGTCTGGTTCATTGTTGTTTCCAGAATTTGCCTTGAGCTTGCACCTTTGTAACTTGTCCTTGAAGGGTGAACCATTACCAGGTGTGTTGCCAGAAAAATGGCTGAATGAAGTGAAAAGCTTTGTTGATGCTATTAGTTTTAGTGTCCCTGAAGACTCTAGTAAGATTTTGGCAAACACTCCGTTTGCTTCTTTTGGGAACACTCCTGCTGCGTCTGATTGGTTGGCACCACAGGCAACTGGATACAACCCCCAATCCTCTGGTAATGCACCACCAACGTCATTCCAACCACAGCAGACGGGATTCCAACCACAAATGACTGGTTATCAATCACAACCACCACCAACAGGATTCCAACCTCAACCAACGGGATTTCAATCCTCTTTTGGTACAACTCCGGCTTTAACTTCGCAAAGAACAGGAGGGGGATCTTTGATTCCATTGCAACCTCAGCAAACTGCTGGACTTGTTCCTGCTCAGAAAACAGGCCCTTTGCAACCACAGCTGACTGGTTACCAACCTCCTCCTCTTTTATCTTCGCAAAGAACTGGCAATGGATTCCAAAACCAACAGGCACCAATCGCCTCTCAAAAAACGGGCCCTTTGACTCAACAAGCTACAGGATTTCAACCTCAACCAACTGGATTCCAACCGCAATTGACAGGCGCACCTGCACCTTTACAATCCCAACCTACTGGTAGACCAGGGGAATGGGGATTTGTTTCGATGCCTACCGGTGGTATCCCTGGATTGAATGCTATTCAAAACCATTTCCTCCCTTCTGCTCAATTGCCATCTTCTCAACTTCAAGATGCAATGGGTGGAGCATTGAAGACTAATGTCACCTGGGCCATCACCAAACAAGAAAAACAGATTTATGATGGAATTTTTGGCGCTTGGGATACAAACAAGAAAGGCGCAATTAGTGGTGATGTTGCTATTGGAATTTTTGGGAAGTCTGGATTAGGAAGACCAGATCTTGAAACTATTTGGAACCTTGCTGATGCCAACAATAATGGTAAGTTGAACAAGGATGAATTTGCTGTAGCCATGCATCTTGTCTACAGAAGATTGAACGGTTTTGACTTACCTATCAGATTACCACCTGAATTAGTACCACCATCGACTAAGTATTTACAGGACTCGATGGATACTTTGAAGAGTTCCCTTAGATCAAATAACACCACCAAGAATGTTAAGTCAACTACCTCAAAACCTACTGCGAAAACCGATGGTACCAGATATAAAAACGACGATGATGACGTAGGATATGTTTCCAACTCACGCCATAGAAGAAGAAATGGTGGTGATGAAAGCAGTAGCGATAATTCATCATCTCATTCTTCACTCTCTATTGAAGATTTGAAGAAATTGATTAGAGAAAAGAAAATCTTATTGGAAGCTATTGATGCCGAGGATCAAGATTCTGCACAAAGGAAAAGTCAAGAGGCTTCAAGAAACTTAAGTGAAATCGAGTCTTTGAAGAAAAAGGTGCAAGCGGTTCAATACCAATTGGACAATTCTGCTAGTGGTGTTTCTCATAACAGCAAGAAGCAATTGTTAGAGAAGTTGAACACATTGACTCGTGATAAGGTTCCTGCCTTGATTTCTGACATCTATGCTATCAATCAAAACATTGTGAATGCAAAGATTGAACTTTCTAAGCAAAAATTAATGAAACAGAATCCACAATGGCAACCTGATACTTCTGAGGCTACCATTGTTGGAACAGGTGCAAATGGTGAGGTTACTGATCCCGATAGAAGAAAATTCAAATCTAAGCAATTGTTGAAGCAAAGAATGGCTGCATTGACTGGTAAATCCTATGGTGGTGGAAACCAAGATTTAGATTTGAGTTTGAAGCAAGATATTGAACTGGCAAAGAAAGTGAGCGAGGACCAAAAGAGTATTATCGCTGACATTGAATCTGGCATTAAGGAAGTGGAGAATAGTTGTTTCAATAATCTCCAAATTACTAGCAAGGAAGAGATTGGTGATACCAAATGGGAAAAGGGAAATGGAGTCACCCCAGAAGTTGGCAGATTCATTCAAGAATTGAACAAGTTTGCCGCATCACAAGTGAACCAAACACAAAGAGATGTTTCCTCACATCCCACTCTGAAATCAGAATCATCCTATAAGCCTGTACCACAAGCGCCTTCCCCTGCACCAGCTAATGCTACAACGTACAAGAGTGCCGAAGACAGAGCCGCTTATATTAAGGCTCAGGCTGAAAAGAGAATGAACGAGAGACTTGCCAAACTTGGAATTACAAGAAGAAAGACATTTGCGGAAGAGTCGCCTAAGCAGGAAGAGCAGCCAATCCAAAAGACTGCCCCTGAACCTGTCCCTCCTAAAGTTGAAGCTCCAGTCGAGGCCGTAAGAGAGTCTCCAATTGTCTCGGAACCTGAACCCGCCAAGAAAGATCCAGAACCGGAGTCATCGGATGATGATGATGATGAATATGCCGAGTTGTTAAAGCAGAAGCAGAAATTGGAAGCGGAGGAAAAAGAACGTAAGTTGAGGAAGAAGAAAGACAAAGAAGCTCGTTTGGCGAAATTGAAGCAAGAAATGGAGGATTTGAAGAAAAAGGAGGAAGAAGACTCCAGCGACGATGAATCAGCTCCTGTAACTCTGGTTAAAACATATCGTGCAACATCAAATACTAATCCAGAACCTGCTCCATCCACCATTGAAGCGCCAACAGCAAAGGAAATTGAGCCCGTTCCGCAAGTAAGCAATGGATCAGTACCAACCGCCACGACTCCGTCTGTTACTGGCACACATGCTGGTAACCCATTTGCAAAGAAGGAACCAACTTCAGGTACTTCTTCAAGAGCTAACACTAACCCTTTTTTCAAGCCTTCTGCACCAGCAGCTACTATTGATCCAAAAAAGGCTGCTGCTCAAAGAGCTTCTCAAAGAGGTTTGGGTAATGTTAGCGATGGTTGGAGTGATTCTGAAGACAATGTAAGTGATGATGATGGTCCAAACAATGCAGGTGCAGCACAGCTTGCAAGCTTATTATTCGGAGGAATGTCACAACCAACTAAGCCCGATACTCCTCCAGTGGAAAAGCCAAAAATTCCCGAAGTGGAACTGAAGAGAGAAGAAGATGATGATACTGATAGCTTCAGTACTCCTCCTCCAGGGATTTCGACGAGTGTTGAAACTATGTCTGTTCCCCAACCTGCACAGGTTCCACCACCAGTTCCATCAGGTATTCCACCACCATTACCAGCTTCGAGTATTCCTGCCCCACCACCACCGCCACCTTCTGGAGCACCACCACCGCCACCTTCTGGAGCACCACCACTTCCACCTTCTGGAGCACCTCCTCCACCACCTCCTCCACCACCTTCTGGAGCACCACCACCTCCACCTCCTCCACCACCTTCTGGAGCACCACCTCCTCCACCACCACCACCACCAACTGCAACAGGAGGGTTACCAGCCCCTGCAGCTCCTTTTGACTTGGGTCCATTGTTGGGTCAAATTACCGGAGGTGCATCTTTGAGAAAGGTAGATGACAGTGAGAAGCGAATTGCAGATGGCTCAACTGTAGGTAGAGTTCTTTAGAATACTTAAGCTACCTCCGTTTTGAGGCGTACCCGAAAAAAGAATGAGAAATATTTTCATCCATTCGAGTAGTACCTTCACTATTAAAATTATAAGTTTTACTACATATTTTATTTAGAATTAAACAGTTTTTATCAAACTAAATTATGTACATGTAATTATATCTATCATATTTATATATTGTAAAATCAAACATCGGGTTCATGGTTTGGATTAACGTGGATTTTATGGTCCTTAACAGAGATATGAACAACTTCTCCTTCGAGCACCTGGCCCTTGATCATCAACATCGCTAATGGGTTAAGAACTTGCTTTTGTAAAACTCTGTTCAATGGTCTTGCCCCATAAACTGGATCGTATCCCAAGTCACAGAGTAAAGTCTTTGCCGGTTCAGTTATTTGTAACAGGATTCTCTTATCGGTCAATCTCAGGGAAATCTCACCCAATCTGATATCCAAGATATTCTTCAATGAATCTTTCGATAATCTATTGAAGATTAAAACATCATCCAATCTATTCAAAAACTCAGGAGGATAGTAGTGCTTAAGTACTTCATTGATCTCCTTCTTAGTATTGTCATTGATGTGACCATCGTCACTAGTCTCTTTATCAGCAAGAAGAATTTCTTGACCAATGTTCGAAGTTAAGACAATGATGGTGTTACGGAAATCAATATGATTACCGTGAGAATCTGTAAGGGAACCTTCATCAAGGACTTGTAATAACAACTTGGAGACATCAGCATGTGCCTTTTCAAATTCATCAAACAAAATAACAGAATAAGGTTTTCTCTTAACTGCTTCAGTAAGTTCACCACTTTCGTCATAACCAATATAACCTGGCGGAGAACCGATTAATCTAGAAATTGCATGCTTTTCTTGGAATTCTGACATATCAAATCTGATAACTGAGGATGTATCATTAAACAAAAACTCAGCCAACGACTTCGTTAATTCAGTCTTACCTGTACCAGTAGGACCAAGGAATATAAAAGATGCAATTGGTCTCTTCTCACTCGTTAAACCTGCTCTTTGTAATCTGACTGCATCAGCAACAGTATGGATAGCTTCATCTTGACCAACCACTCTCGTCTTCAAGATGGCCTCCATTCCAAGTAGCTTATCCTTTTCTCCCTTCATAAGATTGGTGACTGGGATACCTGTCATCTTCGAGATGACATGGGAAATATCTTCGGAAGTAACAGAGTCATGCAACATCGTTGAATTAGAAGTTGGTGTACCATCTTCAGTTGGATTCTGCAGTTTTTCAGTCAACTCTTGAAGAGTTTGCTCCAATTGTGGAATCGTTGCGTATTGAAGTTCAGATGCTTTTCCGTAGTTTCCTTCTCTTTGACTTTCTTCCAAGTCAAACCTAGCTTGTTCTAATTCGGTTTTAGCATCTTTAATCTTGTCGATCAGCAGCTTTTCCGATTCCCATTGTTCTGTCAATTCTTTAAGTTCTTCCTTTTTGTAAGTCAACTCATTTTCAAGCTTAATCTTTCTATCAATTGATAATTGATCTTCTTCTTTTCTTAAAGATTCAAGTTCAATTTCAATGGTCATGATCAGTCTGTCAAGTTGAGCAATTGAATCTGGTTTAGATTCATGTTGTAATCTAAGTGTGGAACATGCTTCATCAACCAAGTCAATGGCCTTATCAGGAAGAAATCTGTCAGTAATGTATCTATTAGAATAAACAGCTGCAGTGACCAAAGCACCATCTGCAATTCTAACCCCATGATGCACTTCATACTTCTCCTTTAATCCACGTAAAATCGAAATTGTATCTTGAACAGTTGGTTCATTAACCATGACTGGGGAAAATCTTCTTGCCAAAGCCGCATCTTTCTCTACGTATTTTCTGTATTCTTCAATTGTAGTGGCACCACAAAGGGATAATTTACCTCTTGCTAATGCTGGTTTAAGCATATTTGATGCATCAATGGAACCTTCAGCTTTACCAAGACCCATTAATAAATGTAATTCATCAATGAATAATACAACTTTACCCTCTTTTTCTTCAACTTCCTTTAAAATTTCCTTTAATTTCGATTCAAAATCACCTCTAAATTTGGATCCTGAAATAATACCAGCTAAATCTAAAGTAATAATTTGCTTCTCACGCATACTTTCAGGTACTTCACCTTTAAGAATCCGTTGAGCCAATCCTTCCATAATTGCCGTTTTACCCGTACCAGCATTACCAATCAACACCGGATTGTTCTTAGTTCTACGGGATAAAATTTGGATAGTTCTTCGAATTTCTTCATCTCTTCCAATCACTGGATCTAATTTACCATCCTTGGCCATTTGAGTTAAATCCGAACCATATTTTTCAAGTGCAGGACGATTATCCTGTTCATCCTTATTCATAGACATTTGAAGACTCCTAGGAAAGGATGAATGTAACTCTCTTGATGAAATATGGACTGGTTTAATTGATAATTTGGTCATTTTTGCAGTTAAGCCACCACTAGTACTAGTATGTGGGTTGCTAATGTATCTAATTCCAGTGCTCAATGCTCGTGAGGTGTGCTTTGCACCCCCATATCTTGCTATAACATTCCTATTGACCTTAATTGCTAACATTTTTAATAGAAAGGTTCAATATTCAATATGTATGTACCCATCCACTACCCATTTCCCGTAGCTGGAGAAATCAGTTACTTATATAAAACTGCTTTGTTGTATACAGGATTTTGAGATCTTTCTAGAACGATCTAGAATTTCGCACAACCATAAATGAGTGACCATAGAGTATGACACTATGAGTTCATGAATTCTTTGAAAAGGAATACACATAGGGGTTATTGAACACTACTAAGATATATACTGGATGGAACGTTCTTTACAACCGTACTTTTGTCTTTTCTTTTTTCCCGTTTTTTTTTCATTTTTTATTTTTTTACGCATTATTACCACTACATTTTAGGTTATTGAAATTCGTTAAGTCATTAAAAATTAATTATCGTTTTAATCATGTTCAGAGTTCGAATCGGAGAAATCATAGCTGTAGTCAACTTCTTGATGAGAAGTTGCGTCACCAAGATCGATGCTATTCCGTATTAAGAATTCCTGTTGTGATTGTTCTTCTGATTCCCTGGAAGTCAGTTGTTTAATTTGTCCGCGATCATCGGTCTTTGTATCTGATGATTCCGATGATACCAATCTGCTTGAAGTGCTTTCAATAGATATATTTTGCTGTGATTTTTTAGTCTTCTTCTCTGTAAAACTTTTTCTTAATCCCCGTAAAAGTGAACCTTTCTTATTGGGATATTGTAGGTTCAGATTCAAACTTGTAACGTCATCCATGGATATTCTACGACCCAAAACACCTGAGATTTCATCTCTTTTTTCAAGCATGGCCATAATATATATCCATTCCCAAATTATCGTAAGGAGGAATATTTCCACAATATATGGTAAATAAATAATCCAGTATTTAAGTAACCATTGTTTCTGCAAATATGTCACAGACAACACTAGAAGTACTAGTTGTGCAACAAGCATAAACCATGCTAGAAATGCTATGGATACCACTCTTTTCGAATAAGAAATCTTTCTGGGATTCTTAACGTATGTTGTATACCAAAATAATGTAATTGCAACACCACATATAATAACCATTTTAATGGCCACCAAGGCTATTCTCCACGAGAGATTTAGTTCTTCTTCATGAACCTTGTGGGCATAAACATCATCATATTTAATTTCAAAAATTAGTTGTAGTATAGTGTATGTTGCCGTCAAGATTGTCCCGAATACTATCGATAACCAACGGAATTTTGGTCTAGTGAGATGCAAAACTATTTCAAAGAACGCTAGATGGGTCAATAGTTGTGAGATCGATATTGGGATGCGGAAACTGAATGATTGATATATGCTATTATGTAGATCAACAATATCTAGTGTATCTGCATAATATTGTCTTGCTGAAGCATTGGTGATTTGTGATAATAAAATTGACGTTACCACCGAATAGAATAAGGTCGCTATATGGGTCAGGAATGGTTTTTGTTTGTGTCGAGGAGATAAATATAAAAGTAATGAGAGCATCCAACACAGCACACAAGACCCACTAACAGTGAAAAGTAACGACACCAATGAACTACCAAGATCGTTTCCCAGTTGCATTTCTGATACTCGCGATATATTGGAAAAGTTTCGCAGGGTGGTATATTCCAAAAGTGATTCCATAGAACAATTTGTTATGTAAAAGGCCGGAAGTAAACCACTTGTATAGTTTGAAGATGTGGAACCATTTATCCAATCTAGCACTATACTTCCCGAAGTCAAGGTATATACCGAGCAGTTCAACGATGAGGAAATATCGTCGTAGAATGCCAGCAGTGATAGCGACGACATGTTGAGCAAATTTTCGGTTCGCAACTATCTAATTATAGTAGTGCTTTTGATCTATTTATATGTATATATATATCTATCAATATATTTATTCTCTTTGTATAGTGCTGTATCTACACATACTTTCCCTTTTCTGCACCCCACTCACAGTGACACAAAAAAAGTATCCTGCATTGTTTATTGATGTATTTTGTGGGTGCGCGGCCGAGTACTACACACCACAAACTAATTTTGATTTGAACTTGCAGATTCAAAACACATCTCCAACATTAGAAACCCAACAGCCAAGATGTCTTTGAATGGCGCGGTAGACTCTGCGGTGAGAAAGAAGAACAAACGTTCTGTGAGAGCGCACTATACGGACTTCAATACCACTCCGAATGATGCTCTTTCCGGACCTATGGCTGGGTTAAATATAGATTCTGATGTACGTTCTCCAAGTATTGGATTGGGGCTTGAAGGAGTATCTCCATTCAAAAGTCCTCAAGTTGGCTCATTATCCACTGGCCCAGGTACCTCCAATGTTTCCGGAGTCCATCAAAATGGGTTTGTTGCTCAAGATCTACCACAACCTCCATTCAACCAGGGCCAACATGCGTCGACAACCGCTTCATCAACGGCTCTGCCTTCAATTCCAGAGTCAAGATACGCTCTGAGTTTGGACTACACAACCCCAATCCAAGCAGAAGATGGGTCTATGCAACTCCCATCGTTCCTCACCTTCCAAAACGTTGTTCCCCCTGTAGCGGGCACTCAGTTTAACTGTATAGATCAGGGTACTGCACTGGCTAGATTCATGCGCTCCTCGATGTACAATGTTCCTGAAAGTGAAGAACTTCGTCTGGCAACAAAACTTCCAGTTTCTATAACCGTTAGACCGTTTGCTCCGGTACTTCCAACCGAAGAACCAATCCCAGTCGTGGACATGTCTCAATTGGGACGTATCGAAGGAGCTACAACTTCATCCGGAGATATAGGCCCTCCTAGATGTGGACGTTGTCGTACATACATGAATCCAGCTGTTCAACATCAACAAAATGGGAAATTCACTTGTAATATCTGTCAATTTGGAAACAACACATATCCTCCAGAGTACTATGCCTCAGTTGACCCACTCTCTGGTAGAAGATTGGATGCTTCTATTCGTCCTGAATTACATAAGGGTGTTTATGACATAATTGTCCCTCAAGAATATAACTTGGATGATACAAAGGCTACAAATGAAATACTTCATCATGTATTCTTAATTGATATTAGTGAAAACAGTATTAAACAGAATTTACCAATTCTTTTAGCTGACAGCATTAGAGCCACTCTTTACTCTGACGAAGAATCTCCATTTGTTGGTAAAATTGCTCTTATTACTTTTGATAAAAAAATTAATTTTTACAATCTTTCAGAAAACTTAGAGTCTACTCAACTTTCTGTCTTATCTGACTTGGAAGACCCATTTATGCCTTTCGCAGATGGTCTCTTTGCTGATGTCGAACAAAGTAGAATGGTAATTGAAGATGCTCTCAATCATCTTGAATCTTTGTGCCATATGGGTGGTGGTAGCATGCCTGATGCGGAACCTTGTTTTGCCGCTGCTTGTAGAACCGCCATGTTGTGTTTGAAATCAGTTGGAAATGGTGGTAAGATTACTTCAGTCCTCTCAGCTCTACCTTCTTGGGGACCTGGAAGACTCAAGTTTAAGGATAATAGATCCGTTGGTAGATTACCAAATCCAGAAACTGAGAAGAAAATATACAACCCTGACAATGAATACTATCGTTTATTGGCTAAGGACTTCATTTCAAACAATGTTGGTTTGGAGTGTCTTGTTGTTTCTGATATAAACGTGGACTTGTCGAATGTTGGTTGGTTATGTTCAACAACCGGTGGTTCTGTCTTTAAATGGCTGAACTTCAATTTCGAAAGAGATGGTCGTTCTTTTACTGCTAGGTTTTACAACTCAGTTAGGAAATCCACTGGTTATCAAGGCCAATTTAAAGTTCGTTGTTCTAACGGTTTGCAAGTTGTCCAATATTATGGAACCTCTTCTTCTGCCTTGCATACACTGGCTGTCGGGGGTGGTCCACTGGATCCAGTTATTCCTGTTTTGAATGAAGACCAAACTATTACAGTTTTGTTTAACTATGATGGAAAACTTGAAACAAAGTATGACTGTCACTTCCAGGCTGCCATGCTTTATACTGATCCAGCGGGTATTAGAAAGGTCCGTGTGATTAATTTAGTACTTGCTGTCAGCGAGAGACTAGAAGATGTTTTCAACTTTGTCGAAGAAGATGCCATTGTTGCTACTTTGTTAAGAGATACTCTTTCATTTGTTGGAAAGCAAACATTCTTGGAACTTCGTGAGTCTATTAATACGAAATTGGTTGAAGTCTTCACGCAATATAGAGTTATGAGCGAATTGGGACATAATAGAAATAAGACACTTACTAACCAGCTTTTGTTTCCAGACTCACTCAAGAATTTACCAATGTATATTTTAAGTTTCCTAAAGACCAGAGCATTAACTCAATCCACTGAGATAAACTCCGATTCTAGATTGGCGGACATTTTCCAGTTGCTTAACATGCCGATTGAAACTTTGGTTTATCGTTTGTATCCTGCCTTGGTTGAATTGCACTCATTGCAAGAGCATGAGGCTACACCAATTGAACCATATGGATTCATTACATTACCTAAATATAAATCATTGTCTAATAGTTCATTAGATGAGGGTGTATACATTTTATGTGATGGGGATGTTATTTATGTTTGGATCAGCCCTAATCCAAATATGTTACTTATTAAGGATTTATTTGGAGAAAATATTGAATCAGTTAGCGAAATTGATCCTCTTCTTGATGAGTTCCCTGATTTGCCAACACATATATCCCAACAAGCAAGAAATTTGGTTGGCTATTTCCAATCCCAAATCATAGGATGTTCATCTATTGGTCAATCCGGAATTCATATTGTTCGTGAAGGTAAGGAAGCAAGTACTAGAAAGTTCAAGGAATGTCTTATCGAGGACGCCCTTCCTGGCTCTATTGGTGGCTCTAGTGGGCCAGGCTATCCTGAGTTCCTTTCAAACTTGCACAAGGCAATTAGAGTAAAATTAGATAACGATAAGAGCTCCAATAATGTTCGACAATCCATTAGTTCTGTTGAACACCATCAAGATACCTTAGCACAGCGCATTATACACTACTAAAGGAAATGTATTTTAGAAGTACATAGACGTTAATTTATTGCCAAAAAGTAAATAAATAAACTAAAAGTTTATAATTAATATTTAAGTTTGCATCCGCATAATTTTCAAGATCTCTAAAATTGCACCCATGACTTCACGGTCCTTTGACTTCGATATAATAAATGTTAGTCCTCTTTGTAAATCTTGGTTTTGTGCCATAACCTTCAAGTCTTCGTTATTGTCGCTAAGAGCATAAGCCATGCTTACCAACGAAAATACTACTCTTTTTATAAGCTCGACATTTGTAAACTGGTTCTTAAGAACTGAAGATACATTCTGGAAAAAGCTCGAGGCAATTTGTTTCTCTCTGGCAAATACATGACTAACAATCTCAAACTCAGATGTGGCATTAGCTATTAAGCCAGTAATTACAATTTGCAATTGTTCATCCTCAGAGTCAATAAACCTTACGAGCATTTCCAATCGTTTTTTATTTTCTGTGACCTCGAGGTTAAAAAATTTAGCAAGCAAAATTGGTTCAGAGATTAAATTAGAGATAAGTTCCCAAGATGCCCTCTGTATACTTGATGAATCAGTATCTATGATGAAATTATCCAAGTACTTTTCAAAAGTTTTGTTGATAATAATTCTTCTTAATTCCACATTGGAAACATCCGAAGTTAAGTTAGTCAATGCTAAAAGTGATTCATACTTATCAAGGTTGGTAACTTTCTCGTACAAATAAGTATCTGATTCCTTTTTCGAATTAAGTCCTCCATATTGTGAAATGTCTGGGCCAAGCAATTCGACCAAAAATGGAACACTAGTTTGTGTATCATATTTTTTAAATGCTAACTTTGGATCAATGGCAACAATCATTCTTGCGATTGACCTGATCGCAAATAATCTAATATCTACTTCAATGTCATTGTCATTCATTGGTCGGGTATTACCATTCAATATAGTGGAGTTCGAGATCAAATATTCAAGAGCTATGTTTAATGCACCTTGTTGAACAAGTTCTCGTCTAACATTTCTATCTTGGTTTCTTGAAATATGATAGATTATGGATATTATAAGATGTGTAAACTTGGAGTTTTGGCTATCCTTTCCTGATTTGGTTTCCTTGAAAACCTTAATCTTTGAAACACAGTCAATGATTTTGTGATTAGAAAGTAATGATTTATTGAACAAATTGATTTCTTCCTGCAGTTCTTTCCCTTGATTCAGTTTAGTATTTGAATCTGGAGTAGCGAAAGATTTCAAGAATTGTTTAGTTTTATGATCAGAGGAGCCATTTTTATCTTCAAACTTGGAAAGATTAGTAAGAATTAAAACCAATCCATATGTAAAGGATGTATTTACCTTGTTCCCTTTGATATTAGACTTTTCCTGTGATACTTCGACTATTTGCTGTTGTTTTAGAAGATTAAAAAATTTTTCTATAGCAGTTTCATCAGCCCTCAATCTATTTCTAGCAAGTGCATTCAATGTAAGATATGCTAATCCTTCGATTGATTCTTCCAAGATATTCATATCTTTCAAACTTAAAGCCGCTAATAGAGTATCCAACATATCATTGACTGTGACTGCCAAGTCCCCTGGACCATTCACCTTTTCCGCTTCAATAAAGTTCCATATCTTGATAACACAAAGGGTTGAAAGGGTTCTAATCCGTTGAAAATTATCATCATCAAGAGCATCTATCTTTGTACCAGACTTTAATACCCCAAGGTAGTTTTTAGCATTATATGTTCTACATCCATCATTCACACAAGAACTGCTAACAAGTCGAAGTATGTTTAATGTTATAAGTTTCTCATTTGATTTTAATGGAGTTGGACTAGTTGTAACTTTCCCAACTTGATACATTACACTTTTGTGAAACGTTTCTTGTACATAAAACTTGGATGCAATAGATGGAAGTACCGGGAAAATCAATTCAAGAGATTTAGCAAATGTAAGGAATTGTGTAGTATCTTTTAATTCATCGATTTCCAATGATGTTTCAAAATATTCTTCCACCGCTTCCAGGGTTTCTTGAGAATGAAATTCCATATTTTTCACAATAATCATAAGCACTAAAGGTGCTAACTTATCACTTCCTAAACATAATAATAAACTTGTAAGATGCTTAGGGTAACTATATTTCAACTCAGTTATCACCACGACATATATAGTTAAGAAAAATTCAGCTCCTTCTGAATCATTTTGTTGATCTCGGATTATTTTACGTAAGCACTCCAACACCTTTTCTTTGAGTGGGGGATTTTTTTGTATCATATGAATTAATAACGTCCCTTTCCTGTCGTTCAACACTCTTAAGCCATTCAAAAATGAGCTTGGATCCTTTGTTATATACTCTGACAAACAATTCACCCCTTCTATCTTCATTGACCATTTTGCAATCTCTTCCAAATGCTCACTTTTATCTTCTGAGTGATCATTTGATCTTACGAAAATAGATTGACATATTTCATAAACCTTTTTATCTTGAATAGATAACTTACTCAAGTCCAAGGATATATTTGAAATATCTTGAGTCATATCAAATATATTGTATTTGAAGAAGGATTTACTTCGAACTTACTCCTCTCCTTCTGTAAAATAATCTTGTCGCATATTTTGGAACATTTCCAATTTATCATCATGGAAGGAAAAATAAAATAAAAAAATAAAAAAATGTCTAATTTCCTGCATACTCATATGTGGACTATATCATTCAAAACAGAAGTATTCAAATTGCAAGCTTATATAGACTTTCAATCACAAGGTTGACTTGAGTATATTATGGATACTACTACTGTTCTAGACAAGTATACACAAGACTTGTCGAACCTCCCACTAGAGGTAAAGCACTTGTTGCAAGAGATTAAAATAAAAGATACCCAGCTTCAAGAGAGAAGAAAAAAATGCCAAACAAAGGATTCACAGATTCATAAGTTCATTCGAGCAAATGGGACTCTCACGAAACACCCTAAGGAACAACAAATGTATGCTCGAATAGAGGAAGACATGGTGGCGATTAAAAAGCTTCAAAAGGAAAAGATTCTTTTGGCAAACACTGCATTATTCCTCATATCAAAGCATTTGTGTAATTTTGAAACTGATGTTTCCAAATTGGAAAGAGAAGGCATGTTACCAGTTGTTGAAAATGTTTTGGATGTAGATAATGCGTCTGATTCAGCCTCGGGTGCAGCAGGTGCTAGTGATGGTGTGTCGGGAACGTCGACTCCAAAGCCATCAGACTCATCAACTGCCAATGTCAAGAGATTGCAGAAGAGAAAACAGGCTGGTTCCATACGAGTATCTTCATCTATGACCCCTAATTCTAGCAGACCACCTAAGCGACAAAGATCAGAAGATGCAGAGGATTCCACACCTGGCGAAGGAACCCCTGTCAACCATAGAGAGCACATGCATGGTGCTGGTGGGAGTACTGGTGCTGGTGCTGGCGCTGGTGCTGGAGATGATGCTGATAATAACCTCTATTGTTTCTGTCAACGTGTTTCTTTTGGTGAAATGATTGGTTGTGATAACGACGACTGTAAGTATGAATGGTTCCATTGGGCATGTGTGGGGATTACTTCTCCACCTAAAGATGATGATATTTGGTATTGTCCTGATTGTTCTCCAAAGATGGAAAAGAGAAAGAAAAAGAGAAAGTAGATATATAGACAAATACAAATTCAATGACTGATAGAATTCCTATCATTAATTACAATTAAGAGAATGTAGATTTATGTATTTTACTCTTTAGCTAAATGCAAAGTCTCCTAACTTCAGTTCTAAAATATGGATGGTGTTTTCAAGTTCTGACTTGTTCTCTGAGAGTAATTGAAGTTCATCAAATTTTCTTTGTTTCGTTGCAGTTTGAATTAGATTCTTTACGATGAATTTTTGTTCATTCATAACCATCAATTCTTCCCGAAGCTCGCGGATTTGTCTTTTAGTAAGATTGGGTTGTACAGGGGTGCTCAGTTTGGGTGACATCGGTGTAGGTGAAGCAGACACGGGGGAGTGCGAGTCTATACTACCAGCAATAACGTTGTTCTCTGTTTCAGAAAGTAACTGATGCTGTTCAGCGACGCTACTCCTCTCTGCTTCCTTAAGTGTATTCGATAATGTCTTCACATTGATAAGTGTATCTTGTAGAAAAAGAACTGCTCCTTGATAAATATTCTTAATTAGTTGTTGATAATCTGGAGAGAAGGTTGTTCTTGGCTTTACTATATCCTTACCACCTTCAAAGAATGATTTTTTGAAAATACCCGTCAAAGATTCAAAGTCTCGTAAGAAAGACATTAGTTTAACTCTCAATTTATTTATTTCATCAACATTCTTTTGATCGTACGTCTTTATGAGTTGTTCATACCTAGGATAAAGTTGAGTTATCCTTTCTTTAACATTGAGTTGTTGGGAATGTAGTTGGAAGATCTTATCCTTCATTATACTCTCGTTATCTTGTCTATCTTTTTGATGGGGCTGCTGTTGTTCCCCTCCTTTTCTCTTCCAATCATACAATAATATATCCTTGCACTCCACGCAAGATCTGATCCTGAACTTCTCATTGGTATGAGAAACATTTAATAACTCATCTATATTATTCCTCACCAGTGGAGAATAATTCAAATTACAAAGCTTTTCCAAAAGAATACTCAATGGTACATCCATCGAACAGACAATTTGTTTACCATTAAGAGTCCCATCACATACAATTTTCCCACAGAATCTACAATGGTGTCTTCTTGTTAGAATATTAAAGGGAGAAAAGCAAATTGGGCATTGTTTCACATCATGATCATTCAACCAATTGTCATACCCGACGATTTTCCGCTCCTCATTCAAAATATACTCCTTTGTCCATTTCGACGGTTTGGATATTGATGATAAAGTATTCCATAAATTGAAAGTCTCATTGGGTTTCGTGGATAAATAATAATCTGCAAGTAAGTCGACAAGTTTAATAAATCGTTTTTGAACTCTATTTCTAATCAATTCTCGCTCATCATTTGTTTCCAGACGTATCCTTTTGAATTTCGTGGTTAAATCAACAGAAAACGCTGATCTTTCTTCATCTACCAAATCTGGCTTCTTAAGATAGCAATTTTGACATACTCTTGACCATGTCCCCAGTTTACTTGGTTGATAATCCGGTATCGTTGATGTATTCATTAGCCTCACTTTATAGTAGGTGTGCTCATTACAATAAAGTTTACCACATTTCCTACAGTTTACCTTTCCATTTTTGACATTTAGATGTTTCCGACAGGTTGAATCTGTACATGTATCATTATTAACCGAGGAAGGTTGTTGCCAATGGGCTCTACTAATTCTAGTATTTGCTCGACCACCTGCTCGCAATGGAGATGATGATTCAGAATAGACAGCCATTTCTGCTTCGTTAAACACATTAGGATGCTTTGAATTGGAAAATGTACCATTGTCATCTCTTAAACTGAACCCTTTATTATTATCAAGAACATCTAATTTGATTGTCTTTCTCCTTTGAGGAGTCGTTGAAGGTGAATTGTTAGACGTACGTGAGGGTGAATCTGAAGGTATACCCGTTGTATTAGTATCGAAATTGCTTTTAATCCATTTGCCTACACTCCCGTTAAGAAATTCATTATTTATTGTAGGTAATGATATTGTTGGTAAGGGAGAAGTAGAAGTCATCATATGTGAACCATGGTTAGAATGTGGTGGTGAATGAGAAGTGGAATCTCTGGAATCATTATTTGAATCATGAATATCGGTTATATGCTGGTCTAGTTGTTGTAAAGTTATCATTCCCTCTTGACATATGGGACATTGAATTGATTGATCACCCACAGAGTCAGCTTTCAGTACACTCTCATCAATAGTAGTTTCTGTCGGCGGCACCTTTACAGCATTAGAAGTGCCAAACACTCTTCTTCTTGATGTTTTCTCTTGGCCTGACATCACCTAGGATCTCATGTCTTCAATTGATGTGGTTTATTTAATATTTGTTATGCTGTTTTCTTATCATAGTGTAGTAATTTAAATAAATCAATTTGTCCTGGTCACGTGATATCTAAACGTATCATAAAAGGGTACTCTACAATGTTGTATATTAAATGTTATACGTTTGTTTCATATAAAATAGAACAATTCTAAATAGAAATTGACAATGAGTTAACTAAATTTACTTTTATTTATTTTCAATTCATTTGTCATTTCATGTTACATTCTTCTACTGTTATTGTTTCTCTAACTTCTTTGCATACATTGAGTTCTAAAAACTTCTATATTACATCATGGTTTCCCACGGCTAGCAGCCGCCAGTAATTCAGAACCAGTAGTAGCAAGTGCTCGTCTAGCATAGCATGAATATATATGTTTTTTCGTATTTTATTTTAACTCCCAGACTCGCAACTTACAACTCGCTTATTCCAACTTCAGGATCAACCCTTCCAAAGCTTGGCCAATGTCCAAGTTAGGGTCTTCCCAGTTGATGGTACCAGCAGCGGAAACAGTCTTCTTTGGGGCATTCAAACGGGCATATTCAGCCTTGGCTTGTCTAATCAACTTTTCTTCCTTTTGGAATTGAGCAGTAGCAGCAGCTTGTTCAGCGTTGGCAAACAAGTTGTATCTGTGGACAGCTCCGTAAACAAGACCGGCACCCAATGCAGAGTATCTCAAGACGTTGAAAGTAGACATTATGATAGCTATTTGATTAGATTATTATACAGTAAGGGTTAACGTTTGATATTATAGTTTGGGTTTTTTTTCAGTATTGTACCGATTGAGCATTTGATTGGTCGGGCAATATGCAGGATCGAACAAATTCTACTAGTCTTTCTATGGGTAGATGAAACAATATCATTTTAAATATCATTTAATTGTCTCTTTGGTTTATTTCATCTCTTCCTTATTCTTGTAATTATTGTACTCTTTACCTATATATATTCGGTCTACTACAATTTAAATCATGAAAATATTTCCCTTGTATTTTTTCTTGTGTTTAATTATTTTTTGCAGTTCTTTCTGTTTTTCTTTAGTACCAAGAAGTTTCTCAATACCAGCTTATGATACCGATTGACCCAGAACTCTCTGCAGTACGGATCCCCCTTACTTTGTGTAATCCCATACTGTACACTCCAACCAATTGGAACCATACTACCTGTTCTTAAACAAGCAATGCTTTTACCCCAGATTTCACACACCCCTGCGTACGCACTGCGATTTCTGCTAATACTACAGTATATCACTGTCTTCATATTTGCCTTCATGATATCAGGATTATCTAAACGAGGTAAGTCTTTGAAATGTTCTTTCCGTTGTTGTTTGTTTTATTTCTTTCTTTTTTTTTTGGTTTAATTTCCCTTACTAACTTCAAGCTTTTGCTCCACTGAATGCAAGATATGTGCTTCGTAGCACAAATGTTCTGAAACGTTCATTCAGCTTTTCGTCATTTTCCTGGTTTGGCTCTAGTGGATCGTCTTCTTCTTCGTCATCTGCAAGTGCTGCCGCTTCTGCAGCTGCCGGTGCCGCTACCGCTGCTGCTATTAATGGGAACATTTCTATACCTTCACTCTTCAATTATGATATTGCTGTAGCTTATCAACCTAAAGATAGAGAAGAAACCAATTTGTTCAAGAAAAACTCAAAGAAAACCACTCCGGCCCAAGAATCACCTACTGGTGAAGACAACCTTTTCGTTTCTGAGCCAAGAAATGGATATCTTGCCCTTGGGGTTGCCGATGGAGTTGGAGGTTGGTCAGAAGCTGGATATGATTCTTCTGCCATCTCTAGAGAACTCTGCAATGCTATGAAGGTGGCCTTCGAACAAGATGTTGTCAAATCCCCAAAGGAACTTCTTTCCACTGCTTTTAAAAACATTTTATCCTCTCCTAAAGTTGAAATCGGGGGTACTACTGCATGTCTTGGTGTCCTTTCTCCTGATAATAAACTTGAAGTGGCAAACTTGGGTGACTCCTGGTGTGGTGTTTTCCGTGAACATAAACTCGTTCATGAAACAAACTTTCAAACTCATAACTTTAACACCCCATATCAACTCGCCAAGATTCCTCGTCATATCTTAAGAGAAGCAGAACTTCAAGGTCGTCGTTATATAATAGACTCTCCAGATATGGCAGATGTGTATTCTTGGAACTTGAAAAAAGATGATGTCATAGTTTTTGCTACCGATGGGGTTACTGATAACATAGTCCCTGGTGATATTGAAATTTTCTTAAAGGATAATGAAAGCGCACCATTGGATTCATTGACTAGCTTATTTGTTTCAAAAGTTGTTGGTCTTTCCAAAGATGTAAACTACCCAAGCGCCTTTGCACAGGAATTGTCTAGACTTACTGGTCAAAAGTACTTGGGAGGTAAGGAAGACGACATCACAGTTGTCTTTGCCAAAGTGAAATAGATTACATAGATTTTTTTTTTCTTTTTTGTTTCTTTATATACTTTACTCATTAATAAATACATAACCCGTCATCTAATCATCCATGTTATTAACTAATTGCATGATTCTTTCTCTATGATTTCTTTGATCTTCTTCTCCCTTCAATTTGATTTCAGAAAATTTGGAATCACTTGGAAGAAGTACACGTGTGCTACTGGTTTTCTTTCCCTTCTTTGAAATAAGAGTGAATGGAACATGTTCAGGTTTCTCATTCTTATTCTCATTTTTTTGTTCCATTGATGGATCAATATACTTCTTGGATGGTACAGGAATACTAAACTTACTTTTACTCATTGGAACAATTAACTTATTCCTTTGGTATGAATCAAGTACAATTTTTTGGAAATCTTTCTCTAGTTCTTCGGCAATCTTTTTATCTTCTTGAGAAAGCTTTTGTTGTTGAGTCAAATCTATTTCATCTTCAGATTCTCCAAATGAATCATCTTCATCATCTTCTTCTTCTTCTTCCTCGTCTTCATCTTCATCGTCTTCTTCGTCATCTTCATCATCTTCTTCATCGTCGTCATCATCTTCCTCGTCATCATCTTCATCGTCATCTTCATCCTCTTCTTCGTCATATTCCTCTTCTTCTTCCTCTTCATCTTCCTCTTCATCTTCTTCTTCCTCTTCTTCTTCCTCTTCGATGTCGGACTCCTTTTCCACCTTCTTTTCAGGGTCATTTTTTGCGTTTGAACCCTCTCCTCTCTTTTTAATAATTGCTTGTAAGTTTGCAATTGCCTCACCAATATTTTGTGGTGGCTTATAATTTTCCCTAGTTACTCGGCCATACATATCTTTAATCTTAAATTGAGTCTCGACTGGGATAGGTTGCCTCTTGCAAAAGATGTAAAATTCAAAGTATGCCACAAAGGCTTCCAAACTGGTTTTAAATTCACCGAATTTGATCTTTACTTCTTCCTTATCCATTGACTTGGGCACTTTCTTTGTATCAATATTCATCAACAAGACACAACACAAATGAATTCTAAAATAGTTGTCTGGCAAGTCAGTTTCTACTGAACTATTTGGTAATGGTTGATTATTTGGATGACCTGTATTAATCACTTTGTACAATAAACTTTCAACAAGTCTCCAGTTTAATGCTCCACGATTATACAACTCTGCAACATATTTCATTTGGGCGACTCTAGCACGATTAAGTCTATAATCGGTTATTTCAAGACCTCTTTCAACCTCTTCCACTACCGTATCAATTGTGCAAGTCAATAAAGCAAAGTTTGAAATTGATAACTTGCAAAGCACAATGGCCAATTTTGAAATTACATCATAATTCACCATATCTGGTTTGCAAAATAATTCTAAAAGTGATTCTCTAACACTTAAATCATTAGCAAAATCAAATTTTTCTAAAAATTTAACAACCATGGCAGTACTGGATGGAGTATTTTTCAATTCAACTCGAATTATCCAATGCATGAATTGTGCCTTGGGTGAAAGTTTAGGTGCATCTTGATTGATCTTACTTACTTTTGTTGCAGGTGGATCTATCACAACAAGTAGATTGTTAATTGCCATTTTATCATTAATCAGAAATTGTTCATTAGTTCGTTTCTGTTTAAGTAATGTAACCATTTGTTCCATAAGTTCATGATATTCAGGTTCATGCAATAAAAACCTTCCACATTGTTCATAAAACACACTGAGAATATCAAGATTGTTAGTGGCTGAAATATTAATAGTAAGAGTTCTAATCTTGTGGAATATGACATGTGTAGGCACTAATTTAAATCGAATAAATTCACAAAAGAAGAATATATTCTTAAAATTCAAACGACTTTTACTGTTGAAAATTTGGGTACGAAACCCTCTATCAAGATAATCAACTAATTCCAGAATAACTTCAGAAAGTGGACCAGCATTAATTGCCATAAACCGAGCAAAGAATTTTAATTTAGATATTTCTTGAGTATCAAGAAAGTATTTAAAGATTCTGTTTTTTGATGCTTTATTATTAAGTCTTGAAGTGTTAAATTCAACGGCTAAAGAGTCAATTTCTTGTTGACTTCCAACCCTGTCCAACCGATCTATAAAGTCTCGCATTTTTTCTCCATCATACAGTTGTTGTGCCGATGATAATGATGAAGCTGCGGTTGTTGAAGCTGTACCTGTCTCTGAACCATTTTCTTTTTCATCTTCATTCAGTAGCTGATATTGTTCTAATAATTCAGTGATATCTGGAACTTTAGTGTAGAAACTTTTCACTTCAACACTTTCCCATATTCCTAATTCATCTTCAGCAGTACTTTTACTTTTGACAATTTCTACTACTGACTCCCCATCCTCGTTCACTTCGTTACCAAGAAGAGGCATCGTAAGATCTTCAAATACTTCACAAAAGTATTCTGCTGACAGTTTCATTAAATCAAAAAGATTTTGATATTGTTCTCTTTCTGGAATAAGTTCTTCTGGAATCCTACCTATTCTAATAGAAGTCTTTTTAATTCTAACTTCAAGTAACAATCTTTTCTTATGGACTGAAACTAATGATTTCAAAGTTGCAGCTGAATATATCTCATAGATTTGTCTTAATATTTGTCTAGTTTTGTCATCGACAACCAGAGGTTCAGAAGTTGCTATTATACTACGGAATCGTTTCAAAAAACTCACTGCGAGTGGGAGTGTTTTCCCCAGATTGATATCTTCATTAAGAAGATCTTTTAATGCAGGGATTATTACATCCAAAGTTTCAATCTTACTATAACTCTTCAGAGCATACATCGGGAGGTCATCCTTTGATTCAACATCAGTAACGGTTCTGAATACTCCCATGAAGTTGTATTCTGCAAGCAATTTGACTAATGTCTTAGTTCTGTTCAACCTAGCACTCTCTGTCTCGGTAGTACTACTACCACCTTGCTTTGATAATGAATTAAGAATATTTGAAAGTAAAAGAGGACTAAATCTAGCAGAAAATCGTTGATGTAATGCTGAAATAATTTCCATTGATGCAACTATATCTTCGGACTTGGTTACTTTCACCAATCCTTCAGATATAGAAGAGATCATCTCAGAGAGATATTTTTCTAATGAAAGTGAGCGAATGTCTTTCAAAATTGATTGACATTGATCATGACACATAGATGTTTTGATTTTTTTTACAAAAGCAGTATTCTTCTTCAATGATGAGTCGAGCTTTGTATTACCCACAAATACCACTTCACCGTCCCATGCCCTCTCATTAAGGTCTTTCAAACGACGTCTTATGTCTTCAACTTCCTATTAAATTTGTTAGTTGGGTTCTGAATTTTAATTCAATTTATTTTCTAATTCCTTAAATGATTTGATTGAATAGTAAATTACCAATTAAATCAGACATTGTAATGATTCAAACATACTTCTGACATAATCTATGGTGTCGTTATATTGTATAGATATTATTACTATATTTTTATTTTGGTAGGTACTATTGCCCTTTCTTCTGTAAATTCGAAAATCGTTCAAATATTCATATTGTGTCACGTGCAGAAATTCCTTATAGATACTCATATACTTCTTAAATTCTAATTCTTTTTCTTTGTTTTTCTATGTCTTTAAGATATTCATTTCTGATACATCTCTCTCGATTACTTATGCTGTTCATTTCTATTTATATACAAGTTTCTGGCTGAATCTATACAACATTAATACCGGAGTAATCAATGACTGGTTGGTTTCTCTTCACTCTATGGAATACTCTTCCCTTACCCAAGTTGTAGTCTTCTCTAACAGCATTGACAGATCTGTCAAATGCTTGTCTCCACATGTGTGCACCAACGGCAGTCAAACCATGTTGTTCAGTGAAAGATCTGATATCAAAAGAGTCTCTTTCCTTGTTCAAGTTGGTTACTGGCAATTCCTTTTCTTGACGGAATACCCAGAGACATGCTCTTTGGGTTTGAGCATTCTTTTCTGGAACCAATGGTTCATAATCACAGAAAGTATACTTATCACCATGTTGTAAAAGCTTCAATGTGTCGATGGAAATATCACTGTTGGATAATGGAACATTGCATAATCCATATTGCAATGTAGTCTTGAAAGTGTTGGTATCCAAGTCTGGAGTGTCTGGGTTAACCAAAATAACGGAGTACAACAGATCCTTTGCAATTCTTTCAAATTCTTGGATTTGAATGGTTGGTGGTTTACTGACCGCAAAAGCTGGCAAGATGGTACCTGGTTCAACCCAGCTCTTAAATTCAGAAGCGGTGTTGTGTGGGAACTTCACCTTCACTTCAGCAACTGGTACCAAGGTAGGCAAGGTGTCTGGAATCACATGATGTTGTTCTAATCTTTGCATGGTTAACATTTTGTCGTGGGATTCCCACAATTCCTTCAAATATTTTCTGTATACTGGTTGTTCTCTATCGATCTTTTCTGGGAAATTCTCAATGTTGAATAATACTTCAGGGTTATACTTTTCTGCCTTTACCGAAAGTTGATCTATTTTAGCTTGATCCTTTTCCACTGCAATTTGGTCATATACAGCCTTACTTTCCGTTTGTAATAACTCGTATGCCATGGCAAAAGTCTCGTCAATAGCAACCGGGGAGTGGTATGCAAGTTTTCTGTCTTCTTGTTCAATAGAAGCTGGTCCAACTTCTGGGTCAATACCCTTCAATAAATCATTTTGATATTGTTGATCGATGAGTTTGAGAGACTCAGGTCTTTTGGAAAAGTCGCTCCATACACCGGTGGAGTAGAGCCTTCTGGCAGGATTCACTACACCTCTCAATAAACGACTAGACAACATCCTAGGTATAGATATATATATAAATTAATCGATATATAGATATTATATTTGTTTAATGTTAACAAACATTTTCAATAGAATGGTTCAAAAAATTTCAATCGCGCTGTGCACTAATTTACGCGCACAACCACTATTCCCGGTCTCATAATTACACATATAACAATATTCTACAAGAAATTGTACAAAAACGGTAATTATGCCTATCGTATATGTGGTATATGTATTATATATATATATGCTAATCTCATCTAGATACATGAGTTGGGGTGAGTGGTAAAGTACTCAAATTCATAAATTTATCGTTATCATTGACATCCATTTTCGGGAAGAGTCCCGGAACTATTGCATTTAGGCTCTCTGAGTCAACATCTTCTTCTTCTTCCTCCTCATCTTCTTCTTCATCTTCATCTTCGTCTTCATCTTCATCTTCTACTTCATCTTCAAAGTCTACTGTATAACATTTTGTAGAAGTGGCAGTACTATAATCTGGAAATGAAGGAGGTAGTATGACTTCATCCTTTGTATGACGAAGATGATTTACACTTTTGGGGTTTATTCTGGAATTTGAATGATGTGAGTCTCGTCCTATGGTTTCATCTGATATTAAATTAATGTCATAGATGGGAAGTATATGTAATGTTGAAACATCAAGTTCTACTTCTGGGGTATGATAAAATTGTACAGGCAGGTTTGATCGAGATATAGATGGACGACTTCTTCTTCTTCTTCGTCTTCCTGACTCTGTATTGCCTCTGATAGTATTATTTGAAAGGCTTCTTGTTAATGAACCATGACGTTGACATTCATTATGGGTTCTTCCAGTAGAAGTATTACATTGACAAGGTTTTGGGGTATGAGACCTTGATTTATCATTAGGAGAAGTTCCAGTTACATCATGGTCCAAGTCATGAGGAATAAACAGGTCGTCATTATAACTAGCCGTTTCAATCTGAATAAGAAACTCATTAAAGGATTCTATTGTATTAATATTCATGGTTAATTAAACGTATCCAGCACGTTCTTTCCAGTGTATTTTTCCCCTTTATTGAAAGAGTTAGAATTATAAAATGTATCGTAAACCAAAAAAAAAGGGGAAACAATTAAGGGACTAATCACGGATTTGAGGGTTTCCTGATAGTCAAACAATATGTATTTACGAATATTTGAATAATGAAACTGCCAGAGAATCAAATCAAGTTGGAAAACTAAGAACCAAAAGCTAATAAAATATTAGAAAATTTTTTAATAAAGAATCTAATGAATGTGAAAGTTTTAAACTTTATCAAGGCGTATTATTTCACATAGATTGTAAATTCCTTTGCATTGATTAAACAAGGCAAAGTTGCATATTTTAGACCGCCGGAATTGGTAACGCCACAAAGATATCAGTATGCCGCAACTGTCTATCGAGCGAGCGGCACAATGCGGCATCGCAGTTGCGATTGTCCCGTTACCGGCGACGAATTTATACTATGGTACCCACTTTATTTCATTTCGCCATAAACTTTAAACAATATATAGTATGTGCCAATGGCTCCTTTCAAATGGATATTAGTCTATATGGTGATCATACTTGATGTGAATCATTTCTGTTGCCATAAATTATTTATTAATATTCCGTAGAGCCGTGCGATCTTACATTGTTTACATAGATAGTTAATTTTACAACTACAAAAAGAAACTGAAAAAGGATTCCGATCTTCACGTTCCACGTCCTAAGACTTATAATTTAGTTATTATTTGACCTTCTTAGTCCCACATTAAGCTTGTATTACTTCTCATTATATCCATACCAATTACTGATATATCCTTTGTACTACCTTCTAAGGTATTTAATAGTCCTTATTTTATTTTTATTTTTTTTTTTGGGACTCTCCTACCTCCTTTTTTTTTATTACTTCCTTCCTATAAGGCTAGTTTTCTAATATGACTCAAAACGTCAAGAGTGCATGTTAATTTGTGGGATCCTTGTGCCCTTCATATGCGGCGATTCCCTTTATTCCATGAATCCCCTCCCCCACGGCTTATTCTGTTGCCGTGCATTCGAATATTATTTAGATTTTTATCCGGCAATGCCGCTTCAAATTCCATAGTCATTTTAAAATGCTTATCTTATTTGAATCTAACCTATATATCACTACTAATTTTGAATTATTCTACAATTTTTTTTTTTATTTCTATCTATTCATATTATTTCATTTCATTCATATATAACATCCTAGTAAGAGCGGAATTAAATCTATAAAAGTGTTCAACCTTTTACTTTTCTTGATTAAACATTTTATTACCACTAAATACCGCTGCTGGAGGTGCAGGAACGTGATCTTGACCCTGTGGTGGATGACTTGGAGATAATTCAATTACTCTACTTTGTAAAGCTAATGTATAATCTCTAAGTTGTAAATTTTCCGCTCTTAATTCTTCAATTGTTTGTTTTAATTGATTTGCTTCAGCTGCTTGTTGTTCCAAATCTTTAATATATTTTTCTTTTCTAACTCTAAATGCCTTTTGTGCTGATCTATTTTGTGCTGCTCTTTTGGTACCTGATACTGGTCTTCTCTTTTTAGCTTCTTCTAATGCTGCTTGATGTTCATGATGTTGGTCATGTAATTCTTGATTAGCTTGATTTTGTTGTTGTGCATTTGCTACAGCGGCAGCAGTTACATCTTCCACCGTTGGGAAATCAGTGTCCTGATGTCTTCCAAATGTAGGATCTATTTGTCCACCATCTTTTATATCCTTCTCAGTCCATGTTCCAAATCCAGTGTTCATGTTTATTTTTTTCTAATTTAATCAAAATTTGTTTTGTTTATTCAGGTTATGTAAGAATGTTATGATTTATGACAAAGCAATGACCCTCAAAAAAAAAATTATTTTGTTTGATAGTAAGTATCATTGTTTCCTGTATATAAAGAGCCAACTTTACCAACTGTTTCTTTTTGTGGAATATATCGAATAACCCATAATAAATTTGATTTTTTCTGAAAAAAAAATAAAATAAAATAAAATGAAATAAAAATTCCGTATAGTCCAAAATGGCAGGCCCTTCCTGCAGAAAGATAACTGATAAGTCTACTTATACGACCCGATTCAGTAAATTAACCGTGGAGAGATGATTAACGAATTAAATTTTTCTCTTACAGGTTTAAGGATTTGTATTACGTAAATACGGTTTTCTTTAAACCCGAAGTAATTTTCCCTCGAACAAAAATACCCCATTCATATGGTCTGACACCTTTACTTTATTCTACCCCCTTTTCTCTAGTTCAATCACGAAACCCCTTTCTCTTCATATTTTACAGTAACTCGCTTCGTATACGCCTTACATCTATTGTATTTACTTTCTTTTTTTTTCCCTCTACTCCTTTTTTTTTTGCTTTTTTTTAGCAGGGGGAATTTCTGTGGAACTGCATCTGATGAGACGGTGGGTGTGTGTGCATTTTCAGAGTAACCCTACATCGGGGTTTAAACTTGGAAAACCCGCTCACCCTAATATAACATTCCAAGAAATATTTCTTTCAATTGAAAACCTTGCTATACACGATTTTTATCTTCGAACCATAATAATTATCATCTTTATACAATTTGAGATAGTACTCCAGCCTTCTCAAACGTGAGTATCTGATTGCATCACACAAAGGTTATACTCTTAGAAGGACCTATACCTTTTAGGTTATACATTTTTTATTTTATTTTATTCTGTGTATAACTCTTTCTTAAAGAGAATAAGGGTGACCCTAACACTTTCTGGACTCATCTGATTGTGTCCAACATTTACACTATACTTAACCGATCAGGTGAGTATTCATTATTATCCTCGATTATTATTTTTGGTCCCCCTTTTAATGTCAGAAGTTGAGCTTGATCCCACACTCTTCGTGACGAGTATAGAATCTCCTTCTTTCTCTCAAAAGAAAACAAGTTCTTTCTTCCCATCAAATAATCAAGAGTATACTCCAAGAATGGATAAGGGATCTTTCTTGTCAGATAATAATTATGTATCACCATTGGATCATCAGCATAATTCAAATTTTCATCCAAGACATAATAGTACTCCACCTTTGATGGGTTCTAAATTCTTTAACTCGTTTAAATCTTCCCCAGAGTTAACTCCTAATAACAATATCAATAATAACTACAATACTTCAAACTGGTCAAACCAATCAACTCAATCCACACCTTTGTCTTTGTCGGTTGATGGTGCACTCATGGGTGGAGGGTTTGGTTTAGCCTTTACAAATGGAAATAATGGGAAGAATGGGATAGGTGCTAATGATTTAAGTGATTGTTTGAATATGTTATCATTTCAACAATCTCCTGGTACAATCCATGGTCCCAATAGTGGAGGTGTTCCTCCTTCACTTTCTCCTTCTACATCGTCAACTACAACTAGCGCCTCAACATTACAGTTGAATCAATGGGGCCAACCTCGTCTGCAACTGCACCCTCGTCTGCCTCTGCAACATCCGTCAATGCAGAATAATTCCAAATTTTCCAGATATCCATCCATTTGGAATGATTCTCCTAAATTCAATATTCCAAATGAAGAAGAATCCTTAGATCCACATTTATTTTCTCCATTTATATCTGTTGATAGTCTGTTCTCTTCTGAAATGGAGTTATTGGCAGAATCAGAGCCCAATGCCCCTCAAACTGTTCATAATAATATTTACCTGTCCAAGGTTAATAACCCTTCATTTATTCCAAATTCAATGAAAGTGGAAGGTAATAATAATAATAACAATAATACCCAGGATGTACCAACCATTTCACCAATAACCAAATTGGTGCCAACTTTTGAAAGCACTGTAGACCTGAAAGTTGATCATCCAGTAAATGAGAACTCGAACTCCAAATCGAACTCATCAACAAACTCAAGCTCGAACATTAGTCCATCTTTGAACCCATCAATTAACTCACCAGTTGAATCTAAATCACGAACAAATAATACATTGACACCGCCATTAGCACAAAATAGTCCTATGAAAGCGATTGCAACCACCATTATGGTGAAAACAGATTCTGATTTAATCCTTGAATCAACTAGAAACATTATTAATGCATCCAAGATCCCTAAAAGGAAAATGGGGTCCATTTCAACTAGAAGAAGAGAAAGCGTCAAGAGTAGAAGAGACCTGGATATTATTATAAATTTACCACATAAAATCCCTTCTACAAATTCTGATTCTTCTCCAATACCTAAAAAGGTATTTAATGATTTTTTATTATCACAAGATAACATGAAAAAGGCATATCAAGAAGACTATTGTTCTACATTCTATAAAAGAAATCAACATGGTTATATGTTTGTTAAGGAGCCTGCTAACTCGTTGAAAGTCAATACAAATGGGGTTGGTTCTAAATCTTGGGTTCAATTGAAAGTGAATTTACCAGAATCATACAGTGTTACGAGAAAGGTGAAGGTTGATGTGCGAGAACTCCCATACTGGAAGCCGGCAACTAGTACGGGCTCAAAGACAAAACGGTCTAAAAAGAGAGATTCTAGTTCGACTTTCACTAATTCAAATGAGTATAAATGTCATTCAGAAATGGGTTCTAATACTCGTAAAAAGCCTCATAATTTACTGAAAAGATTTGGTAGAAGGTCAGATGAAAGAGAAAGGGAATGAGACAAAAGAAAATAAGACAATTGGTTATTATAAGATAATAAAACAAGCCAAATAAGAATAATAAGACTATTGTACAAAGCGAAGAAGAATAATAGCACAAGACTAATAATATGACAAGATTACATACTACTTAATAATATTAAAATTAATAATAATCATAACAATAATGCCTATAATCTTCATCATGTTAATAAAATATATTAGTCAGACTCTTACAATTCTTTTACCACACAAACTCATATCCCCACTTTGCAATAATAAACATATGTACTGGCCAGATGTGCAGGTTTAACGGGAATAACTAAATTTATAACGTGGTTTTCGATTCTCTCGTCTCTGCAACCTATTGTACAGGCAAAAGTCTGAATTGAAGTAATCTTATTGGCCCGCGAATTAGGCTGCAAATTCCCTAACTATAAAAAATCTCAATATACACAACAGTAGTATGACATTTTTTTGTATATCTGGTTTTTTAAAAAAAAAATTACATTGATATCATTCCAAAGCTGTATATGTCACTATTCCTCAATTATAATATTTCTACAATTCATATCGTCTTCATTTAAATCATTAATATCAATTGTTTTCTCACATATGGGATGATATCCTTTTTTCCTCTCCTCCTGTTTTTATTTTTTTTCACGCTTTTTTTTACCAAATAATATTGTACGCCCAAAGTTCTTTGCCCCCACACGACTCGTACGATCCAATTAACATAAGGTTTTATGAGACATACGCAAAGAATGAGGTATAACAACATATTGAACGGTTCCCTTAACAGAACAATAAAGACCACATTACTATAATATGTTATCTGCTCCATTCCGTACCGCCTTGAGGGCCCCACTTGTGTCCAGAGCTGTTGCTAGACCAGCCATGATTGCCAGACCAACCATGATGAGATTCCAAAGAAACTACTCTGCTCACCACGAAGAAACCTTTGAAGAATTCACTGCTAGGTATGTATAACGATACGAATTAAAAATTTGGGAAGTTCTAATCATATTCCTTATATCTCCTTCAGAGGGATGTATAACCTCCATCAAATTGTACTTTGAAGAAGTGTTGTGGAGGGAGAAGAGTACCCCAATTTCAAACTTTTAAACTTCAAAATTAATTTCCATATACTAACATCATTTCTAGATACGAAAAGGAATTCGAAGGTGCTTACGATCTTTTCGAAGTCCAAAGAATCTTGAACAACTGTTTCTCTTACGATTTGGTTCCAGCCCCAGTGGTTATTGAAAAGGCCTTGCAAGCATGCAGAAGAGTAAACGACTACCCAACTGCCGTCAGAACCTTTGAAGCTTTGAAGCACAAGGTTGAAAACAACTCTCAATACGAAGCCTACTTGGAAGAATTAAAGGACATTAGACAAGAATTGGGCATTGACTTGAAAGAAGACTTGTACGCTGATGAGGCTTAGAAAAACCCACCCCACCCATTACATTTACTTCCATTGTGTCATTCATGGAGCAACAACGTAGTTTGTTGTTGCAATTATATTGTATATCTCTCAATAAAAGGTATTACTTGAGAACTAATGTAGCCAGAACGAAAGATAGACAAAATGTCCCCCCATAAGAATGACAAATTTTTGTAGAGTAAAGTCAAAAAATAATTAGTTTTAACATTGTTAATATGTAGAAGATAGTCACTACTCGGATTTTACAGCCTAAGATTTAATCTTTATAGACTCATTATATGATGGTTATTGATTGCTAATGTTTGTTATTTACTGGTGTCTTTAAATTTTGTGTCATTTACTTTTTTGGGTCGGAATATGATAGAAAGGCATAGATACTTTTTGTCACTCATACGAATCCTTGTTTTATATATATTTGCTAGTATTACTTCTTGAGCCTTGCTCTATTTAACTCTATTGCAATAGTACCGTGGAATAAAAAGGTTTAAAACTGAAAGTATTATGGGCGTGTATATTCCTCCACCCAATGATGGGAATTCGAGTGGAGGAGGAGATTCTACTGGATCAGGTAACAACAACTCCAACGAAGGTGGCAGTGGCAATGGTGGTACCACAATAAAAATCCCCAACCCTTCACATTTCATACCACGTAACCCTAGCATGGGATTGAAACTATGGGGCCCATTGGTACCAGCTTCGGATAACCTCGGTGGATTATATTTCTTAACAGCATTACAACTCGGGATGGGGATGATTGGATTACATAGAGCTCGTCAATTGCGTAAGTCACGACTCTTGCAGTTCAATGTTCCAAACAATTTCCAAACAAGGCTTACTAAATACTCTTGCATGATTGGTGGAGCATACCTTATCTTCCAATCTGGGTTGGAAATGACAAGACTACTGTTGCCTTATGACCCATGGTGTGAAGAAGCACGATATTATCGTCGTTTGGCCGCCAAAAATGGTGACGGTCCAAGTTGGTGGTTCGGTGCATTTTCATATTATACTCCAATGACATTTAAAGAATGGAATTCAAAAGTAGAAAATTGGATTTCAAATACTGCCAATAGACTTGAATTTGATGAGTCAATCCCGAACAATAGTATAAATGCTGCTACTAAGCTAGCACAAAGTGCATCCCTTCTTTCTAGTTTGGCGAAAAAGGGTCGCTATAGTGAGATCCATCAAAGTTTGCATGAAACAAATCAAAAACGATTTGATGAGTTACTTGCGAATGAATTGGCAAATGTTACCGAACTTAATAAGGCCCTGAGAGTTGATGCCATCATGGAAGGTTCAGGTAGAGTCAAGTACAATGAAGGCTATGAAAAGCCATATATTCAGTTTGGAAACCATCGAATGGAATCTGATGATGAGTTTGAAGCCGCATGGCTTAATCTTGACCCTTGGGAAGAAATGCGTCTTGATACAATGCGAGATATGCGATTGATTCCAGGGTGGGTAGGAAACACTGATCCTGAAGAAACTCAAGACGTTGAAACAGTACAGTCATAATGCATATACAATTCAAAACAAACCTAGTGTCTAAACAATTGATACTAGTAATACACATTCTTCTATATAATACAACATTTTAAAATGTAGACGCCTTCCATTCATTCTATATCTATTATTTCTTATTATATATATTTATATTATTTACAAGTTGTCACCAATCATTTTATCCTGCTTGTCAGATTCAATCAAATCATCTGCCCATTTCAAAGATTTAGTGGTTGCATCATCACCAACTAAAGGTGTATCGAATTGAGCTAAATGTTGTTTCCACATGATGTCTGCTGGATCTTGATCAGGTTCAACCCATTCAAATCCATCACCACCAGTCATCCAATATGCTTGCAACATTAACTCATTCAAATTATCTCTAGTGGCTAATAATCTGACCTTCTTCCCATTTCTGGTATAACCTGGTTGTAAAGTTCTTCCATTAGTCAAAGTCTCATCAGTACGACAAAGCTCTTCGATTAACCCTTCAGATGCACTTCCAGTACCATTTAAGGCAATATCAGTCTCCATAATCTTAGTACAGAAAAGCATTTCATCAGAATGTTTCCACCAATGAGTATAGAAAGTACCCTTTTGCCAAGTTAAATAATCTCCCCCTCCAGCTACTGCCACTCTACCAAATTTAACAACTGCTGCAAAAAATGATGAATTGACAATATAAGCAGCAACCATTGCATAAACAGAAGTCATATTAGCCCAAGCAGAAGGAATGTATCCAGATTCAAGTCCTAATTTGACCCCTAAGTTAGCAAAAAGACCAGCCCCGACGGTAGAACCTAATAACTGAATAGTTCCCTTTCGTAATTCCTTTGATTTAGCTTCTATATAATTCTTATGACCGGTAGTTAAATCAGTTAATTTCAATGCATTTTGTAAATCTCCATTATATAAACAGAATCTTAACGGAATCAATGCCGTTTCCTTGGGTATAAAGCTCTCTGGATTCTTCTTATAGAACGCTTCAATCACCGCAAGAGTAGTGATGGTGGGGAGTTGTAACAAGAAAATTTGTTTTAAAAGATCATCAGTAAAATTTACTGATTCCATCAATAAAACTTCAACAATCTTATCATTGATTTTGATGTTTGTGGGGTCTTCCCAAAACTTGTCATAGTTATGAATAGTTTGTTGAAGGTTATGACATGCCCGGATCGAGTCTAAAATGTGTTCTTGGCTCGATTCTCCTTGTAACATGTCATCAATCTTATTCGATAAAGTTGGGAAATCTTTCACATAATGTAAACTATGACTATTCAGATACATTCTTCTAGATACTGACCATATTGGTCTCCTCCACGTCAGAAAGATATTGGAACTGATCCTATTTCTAATCATATTCGGAATTAGTTGATGCTACTCTAAACAAAGATTAATTGGTGTTTAAAATAATACTTGTAGAAAAAAAAATAATCATATACATAGAAACAGAGTAGAACACAAAAATGTCACTTCACAATATTTTTACAATGTTGCAAAAATAATAGATAGAGGGTTCCAGTAATGAAACAGCAAGATAATATTGTTCTGTTATGGTGGAATAGAAGATTCTATTGTTACGGAATTTCAAAGGTGTTGTTCTGGAAAATATCCCAAAATTTCACAATTCTCGAACTCAATACTGGCTGGATCTTCATCTATTTTTTTTGGTATCCAAATGTTGTATGTATGTATAACTATAAATATATATATTCTTTATTTAATGTCTCTGTTCTAATGTAATTTTATTCTTTTAAATAAGTGCTGCAATCACCCCTAAACATGCAATGTACACACCATTTCCAACTTCAATGGAGTTGATTCCATTCTTAGATCCGGTTGAAGCGCCTGAAGAGCCGGACCCACCAGTAGTTTGAGCACCTGCAGTTTCTCCAAATGTAGTGGTTGGTCTTTGGTATGAAGTAATAAACGTTAAGGCAGATCTTGTTAATGGGTCATCTGGATTAGCAACTGGAGCTCCATCAGCAGTGGTGGCACCAGTAGTAGTAGCAGTTCCAGTTGCAGTTGCTGGTACTGGTGCAGGATTTATTGGATCAGTAGTGGCTGCGCCGCCCGCAGGAACTAAACCAGGATCACCAACTGGAGTGGTGGTGTCCACTGCTGCACCAGGGGCGACTGGTGTAGTGTTGGTAGTTTTAGCAGTTCCTGTAGTTGTAGGAGTAGTCTTCGCAGTAGTAGCTCCAGCTGCACCAGCTGGAGTAGTAGTTGTTGTTGGTACGGCTGCGCCAGCTGGGGTAGTAGTTGTTGTTGGTACGGCGGCTCCAGCTGGGGTAGTAGTGGTAGTTGGTACAGCTGCACCAGCTGGGGTAGTAGTGGTAGTTGGTACAGCTGCGCCAGCTGGGGTAGTAGTGGTAGTTGGTGCTGCTGCTGCTGGAGTTGTAGTTGGTGCTGCTGCTGCTGCTGCTGCTGGAGTTGTTGTAGGTGCTGCGGCTCCTGCTGCTGGTGCTGCTGCCGGAGTAGTATCGGCGGCTGGTGCCGCGGCTGGTGCTGCTGCTGCTGCAACATCAGCTGCTACACACACACCGACTAATGATAAGGCGAATAACAATCCCGTATTTCTCATGTTTTGAACTCTGGTCTAAGGGTCTAAGCCTTTTACTTCAATATTTCCTCTTTTCCTTCTAAAAAAAGATCAAATGTGATTCCTGGAACTACTTGTAACAGAATAGACTTTCCTATAGTGTTTAATACCCTTAAAATGTAAGCCAAAAAACGAATGAATTCACCTATGTTTTAGGGCTCATTCCGTTTGTTGTTTGATCCAAATAATATATATCAGAACACGGTATATGCACGACGCGTTCAATGTTTTCAAACACAAAATCGTCATAATAAGGGGTATTGTTTTACCGAGGTATTTGACACAAATGACAAAAAGGTACTTGATATATTACTGAATAACATATTCATTAACTTATGATGAATGGTTTTATTTTTTCTGATCTTTTGGGATATGTTTTAATAACTTATGATAGATTTTTTAAATTTATTAAAATCAATTTTATAATAAATTTCAGAATAATACATTAATTGATAAGAAAATGGTTGCAAATTACATACAATATTTAAGACTCTTACTCCCAACAACTCTATACATATATATATATATATATAGTTTTAAGGTCTATCAATCCATGTCAGATTTAATTTTCTTGTAGCAATAATCGGTTTAGTGATAACAACTGCAAGAAGTAATGCTAAGATTGTGATTAATAATTTGGATTTAGCGAAATTAGCACCCAAAGTATCATACTGTAAAGAAGGTTGAACAGTAGTACAGAACCAGTCCAATTCACCAAATGCGCAAACAACCGATGTGGATTCTAATTCAGTTGGTTTTGTTAAAAGTTGCGCATTATCTCCAACCAACAATTGTTGTTTATGATTTAATACATGGTAATACTTCCCACCTTGTGAAATAACTGGTTCATATGGTGAAAGTCTGAAATCAGAAGCTGCATCTTGAGCAGTAAATTCTCGGTCTGCAATACGACGACTGTTTAAGATGAATTTTGGGATTTGTACAATGCTACCACTATCAGTTAGGGCAATTATATTTTTAATGGTAATTCCGAATTTAGTTCTTGTATGGGAAATTTGATCGATTCTGTCAGGGAAAATAAATGATTTAGTAGAAACCTCTCCAATAGTTTGGTTAAACCCGTCAAAGATCGATTGAGATTCTTGACCTACATTGGATCTTTCATTTGGAATACCTGTTTCAAATAGGTCCATCACCACTATTCTTTGTTCCGGTCTTGGATTCAAGGCAAAATAAGTGTAAACGATCCAATTACTATCCATGGTAATATCAATGGAATCTGTTTCAATCTTTTCTCCTTGATGTGAATGATGGTATAAAACACTTCCAGTAATTGCATCCAATATATAGAATCCAATAGAATCCTTTCCAGTGTTGGAAGTAATAATAGTAATAATATTTGGATTCAAATACTTGTAAAGAACTGATTTATCAAATAATGAGATTCCAATTGATGATGCTTTATCTTCATAATTCACTTGACTAAACTTTAAAATTACTTCATCTCCATCCAATGGTAATGACCAACTTGGAACTAATGATTTCAGTGATGCTAAAAGTTTATACCCAGTACCACTCTTTCCATCAACCAAATATTTATCATCTTCAAGTACTACCTTGTTTTCGTCAATGAAATGAATTTTCTTATCTTCTGTAATCAATCCAATTGAATAATCATCATCTGAATTAGATATTTTCAATACATTGGTAATTTTAAATGATGAAATATCATTTTTAGAATCTGAAATTTCTCCATTTCTCAAGTTTAATTCATAAACTTCATTCGTGAAAACAACAAGTGCCTTTTCATCAGAAATTTGTACTGTATCAACATGATCCCCAGTAGGTTTAATAGAAGTTTTCCATAAAACTTCACCATTCTTAGTACTAACTCCAATAATTTTCTGGTCAATTGAATTGAAAAAAATCACAAATTTTTCTAATCCAAATACATCTTCATTTGATTCCACTGATTTGGGTAACTTCCCGGTTAATACAGCAGTGGAGATAAACTTACCCAACTCGGACAAATGTCTAGTGGATCTTGACAACCATTTACCCAAAACACTTCCTTCAAATCCAGAATGCTTTTCATCAAGTAAATGGTGGGCAATATCCAATGTCCGTTCAGATTGAAGTTTATCTACTATCAAATACTTACCAGTCAGTGAACCGAAAATTTCAGAGTTGAATACATTTTCTCTGGATGTTTGAGTCTTTGATGAAAAAGTACTGATGGTTAATTCTTCTCCAGTATTCTTTGGTGATTTGACAGTTACAATGGTAAGATTGTCATTAATATCATAATCCAAATAATTGAAAACAGTTTCAACAGGTGAAGATCCAAGTGGGAATTTGTAAACTTGCATACTTGCAGGATCATGATCCGAAAGAAGACCAGTAATATCAATTACAAATTTTTCATCAAATGTGGAAAACACCAAAAAGTCCGATAAAGCTGGACTAACATGTTCAATAGATATTATGTTCAAATTGGACAATTCTTTTGGTAATTCAATCAATTCAGCAGCAGTACCAATCACGTTGAAAAACATTAATTCATCACCTTCATGGTAAATGAAATAATCTGGGCTAATAAGTAAAGCATTACCTGTTTCAATTAAACCTTTACCCATATTTTTAACGAGTCCATCTTCAATGACGAAAAGTTTCCGTTCTTCTGAAACAATGATATTAGCTGACATTTGTTCAACTTGACCAAGAGCATGAGGAACATTAACCACCACTTCAAAATCTCCGGCAGCGCTAATACCGACAGCGTGGGAGTTTGAAACAAGATAAAGAATTCCATTATGGAAAGAAGTGACTAATTTAGTTCCAATATTTGGGGTTGGAATCTGAACAATCACTTTGGAAGTGGAGGTTCCATCTTCTGGTAAATATTCAATAGTACCATCTAATCCAAGCACTAAAGCTCCATTGTTAAAGAAATTAACCACAGAGATTGGGTTTGAAAGAACTTGAAATTGTCTCTCAAGAATACCAGTCTTAATGTCCCACACATAAACATTGTTGATATCAGATGAGTATGAATATACTTTGTTAGTTCTGGTGGATACCAACATTTTTTGATTTGAGCCAAAGGGACGCAAGTCAACCTTCCAGTTCAATGGAGCATTCTGGGTAGTGTCATTCCCACTGATGTCAATATTGAACAATTGAGATCTATCAGAAATTGCCACTATAGATTTACTATTGATCACAGTAAAGTCCACTGGCAATCCAGACCAATGCTTTGTCCAATCTCGAACAAACGCATCGTCCAACAGGACTGCACCCGTTAGAGCGATCATTATAGCAAAAAATGCTATCAATAACTGCATTATTTGTCTTGGTATCTGGTTCAGGTTCTTCTACTGCTATAATCTCTCTGAATTACTATCTTATTGATGTACAAGGTCCCTCAGACTCTGGCACTGAATATTTTGGGGTGCATATAACCCGCAGTACAAAAAAAGTTGTTACAATTTAGGCGGTCCTGTACATAGTGAAACTTACCTTGCTTTAATCCTATTCCCCCCTTAAGCTAATACATCTTTCAAAAGATTGCCTCCCTCGCCACTTGAACATTCGTTCTTTCTCTTTTTCTTTCAATTAACTCTGTTGGTAGTTTGTCTATAGTTCAAAGGTTAAATTACTACAACTCAATTCCACCATGCATGCTAAAGATTGGTTTTTGGTTCTTATTGGATTCTTTATTCCTCCAATTCCTGTTTTCATCAAGAGAGGGTTTTTCTCAGCTGATTTCTTGATCAATATTCTTCTTTGTCTCTTAGGTGTCATCCCAGGTATGTTACATTCTTTTTACATTATCCTGTTGTACCCCTACAGAGAAACATACTCTGCCTTGGGAGGTGATGGCCATAATAACAGGGTGGATGATTACGGTTCCACTCATTGATTGAGATGGTTTACTGTATTACCTATTTAGTAAAGAAATTAAAAAATACAATAGTTATCAAATATTCTTATGCAAATTTACTTGAATTCCCTAAGATTGTTTCGAAAATCTTACTGTAGAGTAGTGTATTTAAATAATGTACATTCATTTCAAAAAGAATTGTACTAATTAAAGGTAATTAACTTTCTATAATTCAATTCACTTTCCATTTGCAACCCCAACTTTGATTATCGCACCTTTTCTCCTACTATGATGATTCGAATTTTTTTTTTTTATTATTATTTACCCGGACATAATTTTTATATATTAACGGTTGGAGTGGTGAACGTAAAAAATCACAAAAGAAAATGCTTATTGAACTAAAACATATATCTTCCTCATATACTACTATTCTATAGTAATAAACAGTGTTTTATATTTCTCTACTGTAGACTCCTGCACAACTTAAGTTGACCGGTAGTCTTCGGACATCCTTTATTTATATTTGGATCCACCGTCTCAATGTGTCTATGTGCAAATATCAACATCAATGTCCTTCACTCAGCAGCAAAATGGGAAGTTTTGAGGTTTCCTCTCAACTTCCTGGGTTCTATTGGTGGTTGTGCAGTCTTTGTGCAACCGTCCCAATAATTTCCCAACGTTGTATCGGGGATGTACTGACGGAAGAGTATTTCTACCTAATGTACTTCCCCATCTAATGTGATTCTTTGGGTAGTTCAGTCTTTTAAGACAATTTTTACAACTATTCTTAAACTAGGATATTAACATTCATTAATTACTTTATCTATTTAAACTTTCTTTTCTTCCTCTTCCTTTGATTCTTGACCCTGTCTCCATAACCAAAGTGCTTCAAGAGCGTAGTTCCTTACTGAAAGATTCTTGGTCTTTGCCTCGTCAGCTGCTTCGGTAAGTGTTTCTATTATTCTCAATTCTTCTATTAAATCCCACATCATCTTTTCAAAATTTTCTAATACTTCCTTAATACTCTCGTTAAACTCTGCATCTTGAGGATCTTCACTGACTGGTAAAATGTTATACTTGTGCAAACCTAATTTATGCAACACTCTACCAAGTACTTGGATTGAAACACATCGTTGACCAGGTACCACTGATCTTGAAAGATGTGCCAATTCAGCCAAAGTGTAGCCAGCAAGGTGTGGGTTTTCAGAGTGATGGTGAAGTCCAAGGTATGTTGGTGCTCCATTCTTGTCCTCATCTTCGTTCAATTCAACCAAATTACCCTTAAAGTCAAATCTCATATCTCCAATCGATTCATATGTAGTTGATGTTGTGCGAGGCATTGGAGTAGTCATCCAGGAAAGTTTATTGGTTTCCTTAGGTAAATCGGGATAATACTTCTCGTGTAACTTATTATAAAACTCAGGATCATTCAAATCAAGTTCTTGATCTTCGGTGGTTATAGGTTTAGGAAAATGAACTCCAAGTTTTTCTTCATCTTCTTCATCTTCAACTAATTGGTAACCCTTGTCAGCAACTTCATCAAGTCCACTAGCAGCACCGGGGAACAAATCATTGACATCTTCTACATCCTCCCAACCATTAGGGTCGAGTTCCACATCGTCATCTAGGTCTTCATACTTGATTGTGGCTACATCATCAAATCGAACCTTTTTCGCATCTTCTTTGTCAGCAGAAATGTCATCTGCAATATTTAATTGATTGATACCCAAAGCTAGGTCTACATCAGCCAGGTCCAATGATGGTAGGCTAAGATTGCCCTCTTTGTCACCTCCAATCCATCCATCATGTCCCTCAGCGTGTGTATGGTTCTCATGTTCATGCTTTTGTCTCTTCTCCACTCTTTTAAGTAAACTCTTCACTAAATTTGGATCTAATGATTCCAATAATTCATCTCTTTCATTAGCAATTTCTCCTTCAGTCATTTGACTTATCTTCTTCATATTCTCCTCGTGAATCTTCTCTGACTCACTAAGTTGCTTAGTAATCTTTTTTGGTAATGGATGTGCATCTTCTGAATCATCTCTCTTCTTCATTCTCAGTTTCCATCTAGATTCCTTCTTTACTCTTTTAGGGAAACCTTCAACTTGAGTGGCAGAAGGTGCAACTGGTGCACCAACTTCATGTTCTACAATGTCTCCAATAAAATCCATCCTAGTTAAGAAATTAATGACAATCTAAAATAAAAGAATGATACAGTTTATGAATTTTTATATATCTTATCCATATACAGTATACACCAAAAAAATGCAACCTGGCCACTCTTAATATATTTACAACTAAGCTGTGTACATTTATATATATATTGTATTTGTAAGTATGCATTACGGAACTCACTCATCTTCACTATTGTCCTTAGTAGTTGGATTAACGTATTGTGGCAAGTAAAAATCACCCTTTTCAATTTTCTCTTGAAGAAAGTTTTCAAAATTTTCATTCAATGAATCACAATACTTTTCATAATTGCCATGATCTTCCAAGTCCTGCTTGGAAGTATCATTATTATTATAGACTTTTCTTTTCGGAAATGGTTCCGTAAATGGGATGAAAAACATTAATACACATCTAATAAATTGTTTTGTTTGTTGTACTTGTGGAATTAAATGTGGTCCATTACCATTTAACCATAAGTTATTCCAATTAGCGATAAACCCATATGAGTAAGGAGTTTCTTTAAGAGTGTATTGTACTACTGCTCTATGACATGTTGATGATATCAGATCATGAGAATCGATTGGACGAGCCAAATTAATATATCGTTTCCCATCTTCTTTACGAGGTTTCCGTTTGGGATTTCTTCTACTTGAATTCGACCAACGTGTGTACCTTTTATGTTGCTTTTTACTCACATCATCCAACATGGTCATATTTTTAGAAATGTATAATAATTGAGATCCTAAAAGACTGGCCAATATTAAAACCCACATCCCAGAAAATATGAACAAGACAATGAAATTATGGTTTAACCCTCTATCAGCATTATCCTTGGTATAAACAGCAAGGAATATAAGGGCCGTAAAAAAAGTTACAAACACCCACCATACAAATTTCAAGAAATAAATATAATTATCTTGACCAATTACAGTGCCTACCCATACGCAATAATGGTCAAATTTCAATACACAGTAGCCCATATCTTTCAGATGTAATGATCTAGGCAATTTAAGTGATTGACAGTTGGAACACCAAAATGGGAATCCATTTTCATCACACATGAAGTATTGTGGCGGAGTTGCTAATGATTGATCTACTCCGTATAAATCGAATGGCTGGAATTTGGGTGCTTTCCCTGGACCCACAAGCAAAAGACTTGCCCAATAGTAAAGTACGAGAGGTACACTTAGTCCAAGTATTACCCATAGAGTGATTGCAACTCCATGTGAATGATGAGTGTATATCTCAAGATAGCCAAGTGAATAGAATGCTACAAAACTACCATAGCCCAATAATCCAAGTACCAATAAAGGTACAATTTTCTTCACCCAGGCAAAGTGAAACACTGGCAGGTCCATAAAGGAGTATGTAGTCCTACCCGACAAAAAATATATATATAAAAATATATATTATATATCTTATGCAACGCTCACAAGCCTCGTAGTGTATAGTAAGCCTCATATGCTCGACTTACCAAAGAGAAAAAAAATCCTGTACATGTAATTTCTTATAAAATGATCAAACCTGTTAGAGATTACAAATATATTTAAATAAATACCAAGTATATAACAGTCATGATAGAAGGTACGGGGCATTCGATGGAATTAGAAGTCAATAATTCAAAATTTGTACTAACAGATGCTTTAGATGAACGAACGAAGGATATGTGTCCGATCTGTAAAACAGATCGGTATCTCTCTCCCAATATGGTCTTCTTGATCAATCCAGAATGTTATCATAAGATCTGTGAATCATGTGTGGATCGTATTTTTTCATTGGGTCCTGCTCCTTGTCCATATCCCGACTGTGGGAAGATTTTGCGTAAGAATAAGTTCAAAAAACAGGTATTTGATGATCTTGTGATTGAACGTGAAATCGATATCAGGAAACGAGTAAGTGCTATTTATAATAAAACAGAAGAGGATTTTGAAACATTACAAGAATTCAATGCATATCTAGAGAATGTGGAAAACATTGTCTTTAATCTTACCAACAACATAGACGTTGAGAAGACGAATGCAGATCTTAATGCATATGAAGAAGAACATAAGATTATGATCTTAGAGAAGAATATGCGTGAATCACAAAAGAATGCAGATTTCGTTCGTTATCAAGAATCTATAGCACAATTGAAACAAGAAAAACTCCGAATTCAGAAACAAATGGAAATGGAAGACTTGGAATACCAACAACAACAAAAGCAAGCATTGTTGGACAAGTTATCATCCAATGCCAATGCAAACTCTGAAGTCATCATTGCACAATCAAATAGTAATATTTTGAAAAGATCTTCGCTTAGAAAAAGGCAATTCCAACAGCTTTCTAATCAATTGGATCAACAACTCCAGAATGCTAACCCACATTCTAAGCGGCCTACTCCAGAAGAGGGTCCACTGACCCCTTTTACTCCCTTCAAGGGGGACAGAGATACCAAAAAACGTTACTCCTTATTATCCGCGGGCGTGGTGGATGCAGATGCTAGTACAGGGACGTACCACGATCCCTACGTTACCAAATTGGCCCGTAATAAAGAATACTTGGGTGCGGGTTGGAGATTGAACATGGTTTTCGAGCGGGCTCTAGACGAAGCGTTCATGGGGTTGGGGTGTTTCATCGAGAAGGAAAAGAGTACAAATGTTGTATAGCTGCATCAATAGAAATATATCTATATATATATACTTTAAAAAATAATCATTTATAAAGACAATAAATCTTCGGGCTCTGTAGGATTAGTTTTAGATGGTTTATCAAATAAGTCAACCAAATCCTGATTCAGATGTTCAATTTTATCTAATGGCATAAATCTATTGGGCTTTTCTTTTGGCTTAAGAACAGGTGCAGCCGATGTAAATTCCAGAAAGTCGTCAAACTCGTCGTCATCCTTTCCTGGTCCGGCAGGCTCTGGTTGAACGGGAGGAGTGAAGGTAGTTCTTTTTACTGGTGTAAGAATTGTGGGTGAGTGAATAGGGGAGTCGTGACCAATTTGAATATGTGCTGGACGGGGGTGTACAATTGATTTCTTTGGTTCGTCCTTAACTTCTTCCACCATGTATACTTTTTCAGCATCCTCAACTTTCTTAGATTCTTCAGTTTCGCTATTTGCCTCATGTATAGGGATGTCAGTAGCCTCGTTTGGTGGTTCTCCGTTCGGTACAGTGCCTGTAAAGGAAGGAACCTGTTTATGTTTGGTTGTTGTATCAATGTCCATTGAGTTAGAACCGACAATAGAATCCAATGTTTCATCTTGAATGGATATATCTTCGTTTTCTCCATCTCCTACCTTCAATTCATTCTTCTTTTCTTCTTTCTTGGTGGTAGTATTATTGTTATTATTGTTACCGCTAAATCCAAATATCGTACCGAAAAAGCCTTGTTTCGTGGTTTGAGTTGACTCCAAGCTCTGGTTATATTCTTCTTCCTTCATCTTGAGTCTATGAAGATGCTGCTCATGATCTCTACGCTTACGTTCATGAATTTTTTGTGAGATTTGTTCGTTATGATGTGCCTTAATCATTTGGATTCTTGCATGTATAAATTTACTGGACTCAGTTTCAATTACACGACCCAATTTATTGGTCATTGACTCTGTTGGTTGATATATGAAGATATCTGAGTCTGAAGGTGGAGTAGGTTCCTTGGTTGGATGATGATTAGGAGAAGAGGCTTCTACTGTTTCAATCTTTGTTGTTGTTTTCTCCTTCAATTGTTTCCGCCTTTCTTGAACATAGGAGTCTGCTGAACTCCAACTGAATAATGCATTGGCCGGAGTGGCTGTCTTCGTCACCTGCTTCGATCCTCCTCCAGTGCCTCCATTTGATTCAATCTCGGACTTTTGTTCTGAAACAGCCCATGCCTCAATCACTTTCTTCAGTGTATCCTTTATTCGAGAACGCAGTGACCATCGTACTAGCTTCTGTGGCGATTCCGGGATGAATTGTCTCAGATACCTTTGGAAGGATCCATAGTATCGATTCCCCTTCTCCGATTGTTGAAGTAAAACTTCCGGATAAGCAGGAACATTGGGAATGTCTTCCGATCGACTCTCGGTGACGTTTTCCCCGTCAAAAAGTTGTGTGGCTAATGCCATAAAATCTACCTTTTCTTTGCTATCGAGAATCATTCCTCAATTTCGTTCTCTATTCCCTTCTATTACCCCCTCTATAAAGTAGAATTCCCGGTTCCACTACTCTTACAAACGTGATCTGTCTACACGTCAAAATCAAAACTTGTGCAACTGTATGGATTGCATAATGTACAGGAAATTAATTCATAGAAGCGAAACCCCATCATCAAAATTTCAACTCACCCTCACAATATTGACAGTTAATCATAGCTATTCCATATCCATCCCACCCATATGTACACTACTATTGCATTCCCTCAGTTCCCTGAGCAAACAGCTTTCATAAGTTACTTCTCAAACGTGCCAAAGGATGTTCTTCTGGAAGTAAAAGCACAATTAATCGCCGCTAATACCGAGTATGATTTTTGCTTCCTAAACACAAAACATATCATATCTCTTGAACATTTGCAAAGCAGCATTTATAGAGCGGTTCTGAACCACACATATGCCTCCATGAAGGCAAAGACATTAAACACAGAAATAATTTTCAGTCTTTCCCCGGTCAACAACATAATGGATGCATTGAAACGGTTTGGAGTAGATCAAGATTGTTCCAATCTTGTAGCCATTAAAATTGTTCCAACAAAGGAAAATGTAGATTTTGAAGAGATACATAAACATTTGATAAAGATCTTGCCTGGAGCAAAGCCTGAATCTCTTTCCGATGATGTATTGTACACTACAGTAGATATCCCCAAGTTTAAAAAATTGTACAAGTTAAATGATGCTGTGTTAAGTAATGATCCTAAGGGTATCCAAACAGAACTCACCAGGTTGGCAGTAAGCACCTGTCAATTGAGAGGTTTATAGAAATTTTATAGATTAATACATCATTTTTCACATTAGTTGGAATAGACTTTATATATATTCTTTTCTATTCTATCTATCCTCTATATGCAAATCTTTGAAGTCCTACATTGGTAGTACTGGTTGTCTTTTGAACTACCGTCTTGGTAATTTGTTTTGTTATTTGTTCCGGCTCTTGTGATTCATCTTCACTAATTTCCTCTGCATCAAATTGTAGGTCAACATTGAGATCTGTTGGAGTTAATGGATGGTCACCAATTGCTAATTCACCCTTTTTAGTGATATTAGTTGATCTTTTCGATGTAAACGATTTTGCCATCAGAAATCTTTCATGAAGGGATTGTGTAAGTGATTTGATCCGTTCCTGATTCTTCGTGGGCGATTTCACTGGAGATTCTTCTATATCTTCTATATCGTCGTCATCATCAAATCGTTCCACTCTTTCTTCAACTTCTCGAATTTCTTCTGTTTCATCCATCCTATCGTTTTGGCTTGGTTTATTTTGTAATTTGATCGGTGATGAGAATTCATCAGGAATATCTGAATCTCCAGATACATCCCAACTTGGACGTGGGGTTGCCAACGAACCACCACCAATTAATGTATCGAAAAACTTGCTTGCTAATTTAACAGGTGATGATTTCTTCACATCAATAATTCTTCTAATCTTCTTGGTAGTTGGAGAAACAGAGTCCTTTGGATTGCACTTTATTTCATGAACTGTTCGTTTAATAGACGATTCTGAAGATCTGGAACTAACGGTTGAAATGACTTCAGCTTCTAAGGGAGCAGATGGTTCAAGTGATGGTTGGATAACCTTGGACAGTTCGGGCTTTAATCGAGACAGTGAAAAGAAAGAATCGATCCCGCCCTTGGGGAAACTCTTACTCTTTGTGGCCACTGTTACCGATGGTTTAGACGGTGGGGCTCTCATTTTTGGTTCATTTACTGAAGTACTTCTAAGACTGGTCAAACTTTGTTCTCGAGAAATTAACGTTTCAAATGTAATCGGGTGAACTTCTCCATTACAAATTTGTACATGCAAATTTTGGTCCAACATCTTACCACAACAAAGGTCTAACAAAGATTCATCCATTTCTTCAGTGACATCATTCAATGTACATAGAGCTTGTTGATGTGGATGGAATACTTTTTGAAATTGGAATGCGATATTAGCTCGATGTGCTTCTTGTTCAAAGTCTCCCGTGACAGTCTTGCCATCGTTTCTCAACGATGCAACAATCTTTTCCAAGCTACTGAATCTTCTAACCAACGTAAAGGCAGTCTTTAACCCAATCCCAGCAACACCCTTGGTATAATCACACCCAGAAAGAATGGCAACCAACCGAAGTTGTTCTGGCGTATACAGAGCGAGCTGTGGGATCTTTTTAACCTCACAAAATCTGTCTCGACAAATCTCTACACAATCTCCAAAATCGTTCAACTTGGTGATAAGTCTTCTACAACCAAAGATGAGTAAATCGGAATCCTCCAGTAATATACCGTCTACTACACCAATCTTCTCCAAGTATACCATTTGTGGGTCAGCTTCATACGGAGCTACGACATATTTGACTCCTCTCTGATCTAATTCAAGCATAATGGATTTGGCCATTTGTGGTGTAACTCCAGCAGCCTTCATAAATTCCTTCCATGCTAACCCTTTCTTACCCTGACGTACCAATTGATCTGCCTTTATTTTCGCTTCCTCTCTCTTAGCTCTACGTTCCTTGGCGGTTTCAGCCTTAGTGGGAAGGTACCCCCCATCAAATACTAAATAAGGTTCTACTCCAAAATGACGGAGCATATCAACCTTCTTCATTACCGAGTTTATATACTTCCGCGTGGGGATATCTTGGCAAAGTTCTTGTGCACAAGATACTAGTCCACGGTGTAACCACCCATATGTATCCACAGCTAAGGTCTGGCCCTTATATTTCTCCAAGTTCGTGGTCTCCTGGATCTCCTTGAGACTCTGGAGTAAACCGGTAACTCCCATTGCGTGTCCCTAAGTAGATTATATCTTTGTAATGTCAAAGAAAATGTAAACAAAGTATTGCCTACAAGACGCGATCTGTCTATTTTCGCGCCCTTTCTTGTACAACAGCACGCGCAGCGCAGCGCGCGCAACCTCATCTACAAAATTCATTTGGCTGCGAAAATTCAAAACAGAGCTACAAATTCGATAACGACCATGTTTATATATAAAATGCATTTCAAATATATAATCTATTTCTTCTTCGGTTTATACATACTGACCTGCGTATTAACTGGGAACCGAAACGTACCATTCTCCTGTGCGGTCTTATTTGCGAATGTCTTTCTCGAGTTGACACCAGGTTGACTCGAGGGATCGTATTCTAGAATCGGTCCAAATGTGATTTCCCTAGGCTTGACATTTTCCTTATTATCAACCTTGAATGAACCTTGTGGATTCTGAATTCCAACCGCTTGTCTATTGACACCTTGACCTTGTTGGATTTGTGTTTGCATTGGTGCTTGAAATTGTTGTCTAGTAGGTGCTTGAACCCTTGACTGTTGCTGTTGCATTTGACGTTGCTGTAACTGCATCTGCTCTTGTTGCTGTAACATATACAATTGTTGCTGTTGTTGTTGTTGAATAATATGTGCTTGTTGCATCAGAAGGCCCTGTGATTGGGGTTGGATTGGCACTTGGGATTGTTGAAGCTGTTGAAGTTGTTGTTGTTGTTGGAGTTGTTGTTGAAGCTGTTGTTGATGCTGTTGTTGGTGTTGATTTTGTTGTTGAATTGGATGTCCTTGTTGCTGCTGTTGCTGCTGTAACATATATTGTTCCTGTACTTTGGGAGGAAGCATATTGAATGGAACAAATCCATTTCCTATATTAACCATTAGTTGTTGTTGAGCAATACCTTGTGGTTGAGGCATTACTTGTTGTGGAGGTTGTATATGCATTGGAATGCCCTGTTGTGGGATGGTATTGTTTTGGAAATGTGGACTTTGGTTTGTTTCATGTGTTTCAGCTGCTGTAGGAACAGTTGGTGCCTGGAATGGAACTGGATTACCATTAAATCCTGGTGCATGTGCGACTACAGGGGTCATCATTGACCCTGTGGATTTGGCTCTCTGCTGTTGACTCAAGAATTGATGGATATCTCCCGTAGATTGTGAAGCAATAAGTGGTGGTTGTTGAAAAAATGATGGTTCATTTCCCTTGTCGATATTTTGTAAAATTCGTTGTTGTTGAATTTCTAGCTGTAATTGAATTTGGGCCTCAAGTTGACGTTGGTCTGCCGCGTCCTTTTTCTGTTGTTGTTGAAATCTTTGAATCTGGATCTGTTGCTGTTCTTGAAGTTGTTGTCTCAATTGCTCTTGACGTTTCAAGGCATCCAGGTTGTGCTTATGTACAACGTTTGCATTGTAGATTGGTGCACTTGCTGGACCTTGTGAGGCAGGAACAATATTTGCTCGATTAACATCAATCCTCAAATCTTGAGCTTCAGGACTATTATTCTTACCTGGGGATGCCTTATATGGTGAAGATTCTGCAAGAACTGTAGCATTATCATCAACATCATCATGATGTACCAGATCCTTATTGGATGCAAACGATGAAACGCTTCTATGGTTGTGTAATTTCAAGTTTGCTGCAATGAAATGGGTATCTCCTGAACTCTCAGCAACGGCAAAATCATGAAGCAAACATCCACGAAGTAAAAAATCTGTGTCACTTGGTTGAGGCAGAACTACTTCGCTACCTTCGTAGATGACTTGTAGTACCGATACATTTGTAAGATCGGTATTATCGCCTCCATTGGTCAAATAAGTAAGATAACCTGACCAGAAATTCTTCAAAAATGGAACCTGTAATTCGTACAGATCAGCTTCACCGGTTGAATACCCATTAATAAACTCATCAACTTTGAAAATTACTCTATTTTCCTTATAGATTTTCGTCAGACATCTCCAATTTAACATTGAAGGTGATTGAGAAGAAGTCGCGTGTACATTCAATTTCATAAAAGATTTGAAAGTACCATTATCAAGGTTTAAACTTTTAGGAATAGGTGTCGAAGTGAATGGTGACATGGAAGATGCAGGAGAAACGTTAATATCCTTTGTGAGAGAAATTGAATGTGACGCCAACCAAATTGGGAGGTTCTGTGTAACTAAAGATCTAGTAATGGGCTTTAATTCTTCCGCTAATATGGGACACACTTTATCTCTAAGTTCCACCGCAGTTAGGCGACTTTGTTTGTGTTTCTGGCTTGGCGTACATATTGTGAAAATGTGTGAATCATTGGCATGCAAATTGAAGGACATCAACATTTCACTTGGAGTTAATGTGTATGGTGCCTCCTGAGTTTCTACTATAATTGGGGAAGATTCCAACAATTTCGAGCCATTACCCTTATCAAGAGGTGATGACGACAACTCACATTCTAATTCTTGATCAACGTGAATTTCATCAAGTTCTTTAACATTACTATTGGATTTGATACTATTCTTTATGCTGTCTCTGCGGCTATCCATACTCTTCCCACTAGCAATCAAATCATCCAATGGTGTAGTCTGGATAAGGTCCTCAAGATTTTCCGGTGTGAATGCCTTTGCGTGTCTTTGCTGTATTAAACGAGAAAGACGGGTAGATATCTCAACTACGGACTTACGTATTTTGGTCTTAAGGAAAAGCATTCTCGACAAAACCTTATTCTGAGAGACATTCTTTGTGGAAGCTGAATCGGTAGGTTGGTTCTCCAACCACTTCTTGTACTTGTGATATGAATTCAAAAGCGCGTCATCCATGTCCTTAGTCCATCCATCAGATTCAACCAAGGATGAGTCCATTATACTATTATGGGAAGATTTCCGTCGACGATTACCTCGAGGAGATGCAATGGTATTAATCTGTGTTGCAATGGCGCTGGATGGCGATTCATCCGCAGATATCTTTCTTTTCTTGATGATTCCAGAAGAATTCGATGAATAGTCAGTATTTGAGTTGTCATCCAAATCTTGGTCATCCTGGGTTCTTTCTTCATCCTGGCTCGAGTTCAATTCTCTTATTACGTTTTTGACATCTTCAACATCAACTTGTTCATCTACCTCATCTCCTTCATCGTCATTCTGTTGTTCATCATCACTCTTCCCATCTTTCTTGGTTCCCTGTCTCTCCACAAAATGAGGAGGAGAAAGTTTCCCATGGGGCTTTTCATCCAAACTTTTAAGGAAAAGTTTATTAGGAGTTAAAAATGTAGTGTTTACCGATGCTCTTCTTGAATGACCGGATTTAATAGGTGGTGAAGTTTCTTCATAAATAGAAGTCAATGTAGTTTGGTTGTGTGAATTATCGTAGCCAAGTGACCAAAGGTCAATATTGTCACCATCTGTAGAAGTGTTGATGGTTGTTTCATGCAAGTCCATCAGATCAAGTCTATTAGCCTTACGAGAAACTGATGAAGTTAAAGATTCTAAAAACTTTGTGTTTGGTTTAGATGCAAGTTGAGGTGGGGTGAACGAGTTGAAGACATTCTCCGACGCGTCATCAACCAGGATCTTTCTTCTATGACCATCTACAGCTTTGTTGAGATTATTAGAAATATCAAAAAACCGTTGTGGTGAGAAGGTTGACATGAGGTTGATGTTTCTGGGTGAGCCAAATTGGAACGATGGCAGAAAGCCAAGCCCAAAACTAAATGAAGGGGTAATGCTTGGTTTGGTTCCGCTTCCTCCGTTGGCTCCCCTTGGCGTTTGTGGAGGGTGGGTTATTTGAACCTGTGGAACCGCTTGCGTCTTCACAGGGGTATCAGACATCCTTTAAAATTAGAAAATGTGAGGTAAGATATAGTTAGTTTATCCAGAGAAGCTCCAGTCGGTAGTTAATCTCGTCTAATTTAAGCACTTGTGGTGGTGGTGGGAACTGGTCCGATCTGTTGAACTTTGTAATCTGACCGATCTGTATCTCTGAATGATCACCTTGTAAAGGGAAAGATATCGGAAGAAAAAGGTCCACAAGGGTTTATATGTATGGGGGTGAACGATGGGTCCTCTGGCAGTGGTTCCGCGCCTATGTAAGTCTATCCGGGTTCTCTAAACTATCCTGGTGTAAACAACTACGGACGTGTTTTTGAAGTGATGCTATCTGAAACCCTCTAACTAACCTATTAGTAAAAGATCACAAAAACGCGGTTTCGCGATTCACAATTAGCCAGGGGAGAGCAAACAAAAATAAATTCACTACAATAAAAAAAAAACAAATCAGCGCAATTTCGCACCTAAAACTTTTACTTTATTGAGGTGCTATTGTGCATTCTGAATGAGTCTAGCTCATGTTCCATCCTCCTGTTTGTTTCATCTACATTGGGACTTTCCACCCCTGTCCAATATCTCTCTGATACATTACGCGAACTTCACCAACACTAACATAGAACTCGTCTCTCATGGTCCATTCTCCACCGTGGTCTACTATTTTATCTATACATTCATGGTTCGATCTTTTTTTCCTCGTTACTGTCAATATCTACTTTGTGGGGTATCATCCTTCCCGCGTTTGTTATTTATTTTCCTTTGTTTCTTTATTTTAAGTTTCTATATAATACAATTGTTAGTAAAGACTCATATAATCAACATTATCAAAAAAGTTCACAGGAAATGGCCCAGATTAATTTCCTCAATCTTGTTTATGTCCCACCTTTGATCTTCATTTCATCCTTCTATGTTACGACCCGTTTTTTTGCTGCACCTTAGTGTACGCCCGTTTACGAAAAATATCGGCCGCGAAAAAAAATCACACCTTAATTTTTTTTGTATTTCTCCTAAAACGGCATTACTATGTAATTTGTATTTTTTCCCTTTCTCATTTCATTCTCGTGCTACAATCTTTTGGTTTGCATCATTTATATTCATTTAATAGCTTATACATTCTAACTCTTTGTCTCGTTGGCCATCATCTGGTGCACGTGTATACAGATTTCCTCTACTACCGCTTCGCATATGCCGGGCTGTTGTGATTCGTAAACTACAAAGTTTCGCGCGAGCATCTCAACCGTCCTCTTTGTCTCAATAGATTTGGCACGATTTGCAACTCGTCCAAGGCAAATAATAATTATATCTTCAAGATAATTTTTCGCAACCAATTTATTTGGAGATCCTGTAACGGGTGTGCTTGCCGTCGTATTCGACATGTTTGGACTCATATTGGTAAGTGGCAGAATAGTAGTCTCCATGGGACTTGCACTGGTCCCAATACGTGGACTCCTTTGTGTTTCAAAATCCCAAGATATTTTCCGATGGTATGGTTGCTTCTGTTCCTCAATTGAATGTCTTGGTTTCTTTCCACGAGAGTATTTCTTCTCAAACCAAACATTCTTCTCTTGAATAAGCTGAACTAAATTAATCCCCCCTCTTCTGTTCTTCAAATATCTATGATATAATAACATTTTTGCTGTGGGTCTCTCTTCTGGTTCCTTTCTTAAACAATATCTAATAAAGTCTTTTAAATTACTTCCATATTCATTACCTTCCAAAATGGGCGGCTGATTTTCTGGGATTTGGAACAATATCTTAAGTGGGTCAAATTCAGAAAGAGGTGGAGTTCCAGTAACTAACTCAATAGTGGTGATTCCAATTGACCATATATCTGCTTTCTGGTCATAACCTCCATTTCGTCTTTTGATTACTTCTGGTGCCATCCAAAATGGAGTACCAACAAAGGTATTCCTTTTAATATGAGTCATGGTTATCTCCCCACTGACACCAAAGTCCGCCAATTTCACTTCTCCCTTTTCAGTCAATAATATGTTTGCTGACTTTACATCACGATGTACCTTACCCTGATTATGCAAATATTTCAATCCCAGCATTGTTCCACGGATAATATACGCAACAACATCTTCGTCAAGCTTTTTATGGCATTTTAAGAGATCAGAGCAAGACCCACCACCACAATATTCCATTACAATCCACATAGACACGTTTGTGACAAATGCTTCAAAATAACGAGTGATATATGGAGACCTCATACGTGATAACAACTGGATTTCTTGAACAAGTACAGAAATATCTTCTTCTGAACTATCAAGGTTTACTGTCTTGATGGCCACAACTTCAGTTTCTCCACGAACTATTGCTCTGTAAACATCTCCAAAATTCCCTCTACCTATACATTCGTGTATGTCGTACTTACTGGCACTCATTTGATCAAATATTTTAATATCTCTCTTTCAGCAATTTCCAAGCCCTTCCTTTATTTTTTGTTTATAAATATGTATGATCGTGGTAGCGTTCTACTAGCTTAAGAGTTGGTTCTAATTATATTACTAGTACTAATCTCTATGTATTCAAAGAAAGTGGTTTTCCCCTTGTGTCATATCAAACAAACAAAAAATTACTTTCCCGCTTTGTCAACTGAATTTACCACAGATACAAATTTTATCTTTCATTTCTAAGGAGTCTTTCAATTCTATGTCTCCAATATTCAATTGAATCAGATGTCAATCCTATATTCTTTTTCAACACCTTCACATTTTCTGGGTTACAGCTATTCAACACTAATAACTCCGATATAGCAAATAATTTTTTAGAAGTTGAACCTTCATTAACAACAATAAACTTTCTTAAAGAATATTCCAAGAGACTTACTGAAACGTATTCGTCTTTGTTGACATTCAAAGATATATTGATATTGATGTCACCTCCGCAACTGATATATTTAAGAGTGGCAGGAATGTCAATTTTCTGAATACTCTTGATCAAAAGATCATTTAACTCATCTTGATCAATCTTTGTACAATACATTTTTTTAGCGTATTTTTGTTGAATGAACTCCGCTCGAGCTTCATCACTAGCATTAGAAGTTATTTTCTTTTCAATCGGGAGTAAGTCTTCTAAATATGAGTTAGCCGTATGGTTGTCGATGTATTTCAATAGCAACTCTGTTTCATCTTTAAAATTATCTAATTTCAAAGACTTAATTCTTGAAATATGTGAACCAAGACCTCTATGAGCTGAAGAACATTTAAGACAGAATACTGTCAAAAAATTCACCGAAATCCATTCGACTGTGTCATTAGATCCGCAATCGGCACATATATTATTCTGGCTATTTTCAAGAGATCTTACAAGACTCAAGTGGTCCTTTTCGATTAATGGTATAGGTGAAGTTGTGTGGATTGAAACAGGAGAAAGTACATCAGGATTACCTGCTCCAACGACATTGGGTTTAGGTAACTTCATCAGTAGTGGCAGCAACACTTTCTTCCTGGAATCCTTGCTCCTATTATTTCCATTATTTGCATTGAGTCGTTCTGTATCAACTAATTGGCCAGCATTATATAAGGCACGAATCCAATTATCTCTCTCATTCTCATTTATTGCTTGGAATATATGCTTCGATCCTAATGAAGTGATCTCAAAACAATGTTTCCTCTTATCCTTAGTGATAGCCTTAACATTAGAAAGTGCTATTTCTATTGGTTTATTAATAGGGACTTTACCCCTACGCCAATCGGAATACTCTTTTAATTGACCATTAGCAAGGACAACCCATTCTTTATGCCATCCTTGCTTCCCTTGACCACCTAGTGTGTATAGGATCCCAGCCATTTCAGCATTTTGATCATCATGAATATTTGGAGCTGATGTGATACCAACCATTTGCCCTGAGTTTACCGAACTCGTTGGATTTCTAGTACTTGAAAATACTTTATCAAGTGAGTCATTAGATGCAATTAACTTGCCAGCATTATCTGAATGACTCAAGTTATTATGTCGAAGGAGTTCAGTTAATTCTTCATTTGACGTACTTGCTTCAATACTTTGTCTCAAAAGAAACTTTTCACTATTATATCTTGATACTAAGTTTAAGAAAAATTCATATTTTTTTCCTAAAGGTGATGTAGAGAATTGTTTCAGCTTCAACTCAAGGTATCCCAGAGATGGGGAAATGTCCAAATTAATGAGCTTAAAAATATTTTCCAATAACTGATTGAAATACTGATTATTTGTGGATGTGACGAGGAAGTTTAAGTAATCAAACTTCGATAATTCAAATATTTTCCTCTTGACAAGAAGTTTCAGTGCTGGTCTCTCCTTTTCATTAGATAAATACTTGTTGAGCCATGCATAAAACTCCTTAGAATTACTTTCAAATAATTTTTTGTTGCCTACCAAATCATTACCAGAACCATTGGAATTGTTTTCAGTTGTTATACTGCCCAATTGGGAATTGAGTCTTGATAAAAGTCTGCTATCATATAAGTGGTTGAGGAAAAATCTTAAATTATGCTCAAATGAAGTGAAAATAGCTTGAAATTTTGCTTCGAAATCTTTAACAAAGTTAAGATCGTGAAGAAGTGGACTAAAAGTATGTAATTTGGATAGAGTATTCGTATACTCAATTATATTATTCTTGGTGGTTGATAAATGATCTAGTTGAGAATCGAGAAGTCTCAAATTATGAAATAATCCCTCACAATTAGTCTTGAACAGTGGTAATGCAATTTCGTACAGCCTAAGAGTCTTTCGAAATTCAGGACCATCTTCAGTGTTATAAGAATGCATCTTGAACGTGAGCCATTTTCAATGATATAACATTCTTTTTCATTTCAGCTGCTGCTGAAGTTGTTGCTGTTGTAGGTTCCATAAGTGGGGATTGTATAGGAGCATTTTCATTTTCAGATGAACTTTTTGCTAAAGGACTACTAGATATAGAAGAAACCAAATCTTCATTAATCCAAACCTTAAAATTTAATAATGGTAAATGAGTTTCCAGTTCATGATCTAATTCCCAGAGTGAGACATTCAACCTATTGTTTTGAAAATAAGTTCGCGTGAATACATCGTTTACGATTACCCTTTGATGGTCATGGTCTAGTATTTCAGACCCTTTTATTGGGAAATTTGTATATGGTAACCTTGAAGCTTCTCGAACATTGGAACTGGGTGAAGGTGAGTCAAGAGTCCTTTTGAGTACCGAAATATCATCGTCTTCGGCCAATGTCTTAAGAATAATTAAGGATTTCTTGTTTAGATTGGATTGTAAACGTTCAGTACTGATCGATATGCTAAGTTTGATCCTATTAAAGTTTGATGGAGTGCTCACTAATAAAGGAAAGCTTGCTGAAATTGGGTTCGATGACGGAGGATTTTGAATATATGTAATTAAGGTAGGTACTGGCTTTTGATCAATGCTTTTAATCTTGGAGATGTTCGTACATGTACGCTTTTCATTATTGTCAGAGTCTTCTAGTGTCATGACATATCTGTATTCATCGTCACTATCTGTCAAAATGACCTTATTTAGCCTTATCAGGGTGTTATGAGATTCCTCATATGGGAACGCTAGTAACGGAACAGACATATCATGCAGTATATAAACCGGTGAAAACACTATTAAATATAAGGATACGCTTCAAAAATAGTATGGGGACCTAGTGCATACCAAGTTAAACTATTTATGTATACGTTTTTAAGCGGAGATATATGCAGAACATGTGATTTCTGAAATAAAATAAAAAAATAAAAAAAAAAAAAATAGCTTGATCTTCTTATTACCTTAACATTATCGCATGAACCTTTTTCTTAAAAAAACCATATTTGGGTGTGCATTGTTTCTAATTTAGATTTTTAATAAACATTGTTTGGAGAATACAAAAATAAGATATGAAAGCAATATTCATCAAAAGTGAGAAACTTGCAAAAAAAAGAAAGAACCCACGGCGAGAGTCGAACTCGCAATCTTTTGATTAGAAGTCAAACGCGTTAACCATTACGCTACGCAGGCTATTTGATATCTTTAAAAAACACTTGGTTTAATATGTTCCCGAAACCTATTTTTCGATCACGTGACCAACTCAATCCACTCCTTAACGTTAGGCTACAATATTTAAATGTAAATCGTTACCTCCAAGCAATTCATCGTTTCTTTCGGGAACGACGACAGACCTCAACAGAGTTAAGGAGCCCCTTAACGTCTCGCGATATCACAGAGTTGGGTTGTTTAAATTAACAAATAATAAAATAATTATGAAATAAACCATCCAAGGATTTCGAAGTTCACACTTTTTCCTCTTTCCCAAAAACTTTATTATATAGCAGCTATGAAATTGTATATACATGAGAAGGTCATATAGTCATCAACAAACAATTATATAGGGAATTAGATATATTATAGGGTAATAAACATCGAAAAAAAAAAAAAGCAATCTGATTTTTGAAGCTTCTAATGCGTGTTCATGAACTTGTACTTTATACGATTCTTTTCAAGTACCTCTTGTAACTCTTCTTATTGTCAGAAATACCAAATAATGTTAATTTTCTACGATTTTTGGAAATTGGAAATTATAATATTTTTCCCTTCAATTGTACTTTTCTCGTCAATTTGCTAAAATAAACACAAATTAATGCATAAGCAATAGTTATCAGGGATTAATATAGTTCTTATACCACAGATGTTTCAAATCTTTCACCACTTAGTGGCACGATTGAAGGTGGAGGCAAATGGATACTGTAGCTATAGAAATATTTGATTTATTATTTTTCTGTCATCACTTTAGAATAGACGATCTACTCAAAAGTTTGCTGTTACCAAATTGGCAGCCAACTCTACTGATAGTAGAGATATTTAAATAGCGAATTAACTAGGAAAAATTCAGATATCTTACAGCTGGTTGTATGTTCTCGATTCCAGGGAATTGGTACTCTAGTTCATACCTAGGAATTATAGTTCCATACACAACAAACAAAATAATTCGTTTCTTTCAGGGTATTCTCCTATTGAAAAAAGTTTAACTTCTTGAAGAAATGAAAAAAAATAACTGATTTACATATTCGGTGAATGTACAAGGAGTTGATAAAAAAATATCAGGTATTTGTTTAGAAGCTAAGTACCCAACTAGGTTGTACTACATTTTATTCTGTACACAAAGAAAGAAACTTGCAAAAAAAAAGAAAGAACCCACGGCGAGAGTCGAACTCGCAATCTTTTGATTAGAAGTCAAACGCGTTAACCATTACGCTACGCAGGCTTCTTGATGTCTCTTAAAAAGACGCTTTTTGTGGAGCGAAGTATAATCTGGAAAACTTGGTACGGACACGACAAAGCTGTCAAATTTCCAAAAATTGATTTAGTACAAGCACCCAACTATATTTTGTTGTTGGTCATAGGAACGATGACGACATAGTTCAATAAGGAGCAAATTGTTTATTTTCATATACGTATGTTGCTACTAAATAGAAAAATATTAAAATTTCATTCACGCAAATTGGAATAGTGGCATTTTTGTAGCCATTCACAATCTTTGATTTAAATTGGACTTGTACTTTGTACCTTATACACGAGCCATCAAATGATAACATATAAACAAACCTTCCTACTACATGTACGTAATGTTTCTAATATATTAATAACTTGAGATTCATATTCCGTGACCCAAATATAGGCGCGGCTAAATTTACTTCAAATCCGCTCGAAAATGTTGCACTTGCACTCAAAAAAGATAACCACAGTTCCATTGTCGATTCTCCTTTTTTTTTTTTTTTTTTTTTTTTTTTTTTTTTTTTTTTTTTCTCTCTTTTTTTTTTGACAGATCTCTAGAATACTGAACTTAATGATGTAAGCATGTTCGATGAAGGAGGTCCACCACTTCATATTGTTCTAGCAACTATAATCTGATTTCAAAATCTGGTCTTAAATCACTAGTTTTCTGCTTAAAAATATTTGGGCGCTGAAATGGATGTTTTCGCCGTATACGGAATTTGGCGCACCTATCCCGCTTTTGGGGTAATTTAACTTTCTTCACTGTACAAAAAATATGTGACTCAGCCAAGATAAATAGAAACTGTGTGGCACTTGTTAAAATAAATATTATTTACATTTTATTCCTACAATACTTTCTTGTTTCTGGGGAGAAAGTTTAGGTTGTTTTTTCCCACTGAAGGTTTTCTTTAGAGACGTAGTTCTCTTTACTATTGAAATTTTATTTGTACCCCTGATATTCAACTTAATACATCATGTCTTCGTTACGTTCAAGTCTAGAAGACTCATTACATTCATACATTTCAAAAGAATCAAATCAATATAAACCTTATACACAAGAAGGTATTGATATATCTCGGACAAAATCACATACTTCGGAACTTTCCAAAATTATATCTGGCATTAGAGATGATCAGGAACAGGATATGGATGGCTATAGAGATATAGCACGGGTTGAACAAGTCTTGCTTAGGAGACTTACCAGGAATGAAGATTCTGCAAAGGGCTCAACGACAAATCTCACGCCTGAGGATGATATTCAATCGAATAAAGGCGGGGAAGAACACGATAACAAGTCATTGGCTGGTCCATTAAGTACACATTCTGCTGACATTTCAGGCCAAGTATCAAATGTAGAAGAAGAAATTGAGGGTCCTGCAATGGATTCTGGCTTTGCTTGGGTAGTAGCAGTATGTGCCATGTTTGCTGTATTCAGTACTTGGGGTGCTAATGCGGGATTTGGAGTGTTTCTTGCTTATTATATTAATTCTGGGAAATTTGAAGGAGCTTCAGAGTATGATTATGCCCTCATTGGTGGGTTGATTGTATTTCTTGCACAGTTTTTAGCACCAATTTGTGTACTCTCATACAAAATATTTGGCCCAAAATATGTCTCTTACTTTGGTATTATAGTGCAAACAGCTGGATATATTCTAGCATCATATTCAACTAAGGTTTGGCAACTTTATCTTACACAAGGTGTTATCATAGGATTTTCATTTCTGTTTGTTTTTCTTCCTGCCACGTTGATGCTCCCAACATGGTTTGATAAAAGAAGAGCCACCGCAATGGGGATCGCTGTAGCAGGTTCTGGATTAGGAGGTCTTTTCTTTGCCCTTGTCGTAAATAAAATGATCGAAGTTACTGGAGATCAAAGATGGGCCTTGAGAACTTCAGGTATTGTAGCATTGGTAGTTTCACTTGTTGCATGTACAATCATGAAACCTAGAAATTATAAACCTCTTCCGTTGAAAACAACATTAACTAAAGAGTTTATTTATTCAAACGCAAAAGTAATCTTTGATGTGAGAGTATTTATGAAAAGTTATTCATTATGTATTTTAGCTATTTGGTTTGGAACTGTCCTCTTAGGTTATATGGTATTGATATATTCCATGTCAGCTTACGCAACACTGATTGGCCTTACCCCTAGCCAAGGGTCTATTTTAACTGCCATTATGAATGCTGGTCAAGTAGTTGGTCGACCATTGTGTGGTAATCTTGCTGATAGATTTGGTAGAGTTACGTTTAGCTCGATTAATTGTGCCATTGTCACGGTTTTTGTACTTGCATTTTGGATCAATGCAACCTCTTTTGGAGCCTTGTGCCCGTTTGCAGTTTTGGTTGGTATGACCATGGGAATTGGCAGTTTAATGTGCCAAGCTATTGCAACAGATATTCTTGATGATTTGGAATCACTCCCAGCCGCATGGTCGGGTTTAAATATAGTAGTTCTGCTCTTTTGTATTGCTGCTGAAGTTATTGCATTGGCTATCCGTAAGAAGGATAGCCCGCGACCATTTCTTAATCCTCAAATATTGGTAGGATGTTGTTACTTTGCTGGGTTTATTTTTTTGCTTGTAATTCGTGAATTCCTAGTAAGGAAGACACTTCGCACGAGATTAAAGACTGCTCAAACGGATGTTGTTGAATTGAAAACAAAGGCAGGATATTTGAAGGTTTGTTGTGAAGATGAATTAGCAGAAGAAAGAGTGCAACGCTATGAATATTTACTAGGATATTCTGTAAAAGTCTATGTCATCCGTATGTTCTATCCCATCAAGGTTTAAAATGGGACTACTGAAGTACATATAATTAACAAAAGACATTTAATATCTACATACGTATTCAATTCATATTATGACAGTATAATTTTACCAATACGTTTCTAATCAACATCAAAAGAATATCTATTTAAATATTTCTTGTTCTGTATAGTAATGGAGTCTTATATATATTCCCCACGCTGAGTCATAATAATGCTTCAATATATCACAATACCAGCCCCGAAGTACATATATTGACTATTATATTTTGCAACGTATGAAAGTAACCTTTGTTTTTTTTTTTTTGTTTGTAGACTCATTTAAATACTGTAAATGAGAAAGTTCCAACAAAAGTTCTAGTGATACTCTCTCAAGCATATATTTAATACGTACCATATACATAGATATATGTTTCGTTCTGTACTTAGAAAGCCATTATCATCCACTTTCATCACTTGTGCATTACGTAATAGTATTATTATGAAGCGTCATATTAATTCAGAAGTCATTTTGAATGATACGGAAAAGAAGATCAGATCTCTTCTTGTAGACTTTTGCGATACATACAATCAATCAAAGACTGAAGATTTATTAGAACTTCGTATCACAGGTGGTTGGGTTAGAGATAAACTCTTGGGAAATCATAGTAATGACTTGGATATTGCTATAAATCATTTACTGGGGGAAGAATTTGCTGCACATTTATTTGAATTTGCAGAATCAAAGTATCCACAATTAACCCTTAACTCAATTCATACCATTAAGAAAAACCCTGAAAAATCAAAGCATTTGGAAACTTGTACAACTAAATTATATGGACTTGATATTGATTTTGTGAATTTACGTTCTGAAGAGTATACTTCAGACAGTAGAGTGCCAGTGATTGAATGTGGAACAGCAGAAGAAGATGCATTAAGAAGAGATGCCACTCTTAATGCATTATTTTACAATTTAAATAAAGATATTATAGAAGATTTCACCGGTCGTGGGTTACAAGACTTACAAGACGGTATCTTGCGTACTCCGTTACAACCATTACAAACATTCTTAGACGATCCATTGAGAGTCTTAAGATTGATTCGATTTGCCAGTAGATTTGATTTCATTGTTGAGAATGAAACCTTACAAGCGATGACTAATTCAGACATTAAATCCACTTTAGTTCATAAGATTAGTCGTGAAAGAGTTGGTATTGAAGTTGAAAAAATCTTGATGAGTAATAATCCCCAATATGGATTAAAACTTATTAATTATGTTGGACTTACTGACAGTATTTTCAATGCCGGTGTATTATCATCCACGATTACAGAAGTAAACGAAAATGCATTGATCAATGAATTAAACACCAAGACCCAAGAAATCCCTGCTGTTCTTGATATTGCTACAGAATTTTTAAAATCATTCAAGAATGAAATCCAACATTTTCCAAAATTATCAACCATTTTCAATGAAATAATGATCAATAATAAACAAACACAAAAGTTGTTTTGGCTTACAGTCATTCTTCAGCCATATGGAGATCTCAGGGTTAGAATCAATGCGAAAAAACCAAATCTTAACCGCCTTACAGAAGTCATTTTGAAAGAAGGTCTTCGTTTAGGGAAACACGAGTTTGAAGCTGTTTCAAATGCAGTTAGCAGAACTGTACTTGAACATACAACCCTCGACAATTACTTCGATGATCCAACTTCTATTTCTAGATCCACTTTAGGACTTTATCTTAAAGGTTGTGGTCCATATGCAAACTTAAACATTTTACTCAATTGTTTCATTGATTTACTCCCACATATCGAATTGGTTGACTGTCCGAAAGTTCCACAACCAATTTTAGATTCAGGAATTACTGAATCTAGTATTGGTGCGTTGAAATCATGTTTGAATAATTATGAGCAATTATGTCTCGATATAGAAAAAATGGGTCTTGAAGACATTTATTCGACCTTCAAGCCAGTTGTGGATGGTAAGACCCTTTTGGCTGCTTTGCAAAGAAAACCAGGTCCTTGGCTTGGTAGAGTTAATGAACAGGTTCTTATTTGGCAATTAGATCATCCAAATGGAACTCCAGAGGAATGTATTGAACATGTTAAATCAATTTTACATCAATACGTTTAAGAGATCTACAATTTTTAAGTGGGAGTTAATAGATATAATAGTACATATGCTCATATAGTGACTCGTACAATAACATATATTTAATAATGACATTCATACTTAGAATATTCCCTAGTACCAGCTTTTTCGCCATGTTAAGTCTTTGATCACGTGGACTGTGATTCACCTTAATTGTTTTTTCGTCTTGTATTTTTTTTTTTTTTTGCAAAATATTTAATCAGTCATAACTCTGGAACACGAGCGAACTCTCTGGCGGAACCGGCCACAGCTGAAAAATACCCAAAACCAATATTGAACAATTCTTCGATTTTTTTTTTTTTAAACTTTCTTTCTTTAAAGCACCCCACTCCCCAAAAAACCAAACCATATATATATCACTAACAATATAGACAACGAAATGTCAGTACAGAAAGTTTCTATATTGGGTCGTGACTCTATACATGTGGGATATGGCATCCAAGAACACCTTGTTCGTGAGGTTGTTGCTAACTTGGTGTCGTCCACCTATGTTATAGTCACCGATACCAACATGGCTGCTACTTCTCCGTACGCCAAGTTGGAAAGCCGTTTCCTTGAAGAACTTAAGCAAAACAGACCTGAGTCTCGTCTTCTTACTTACAAGGTATCTCCTGGTGAAGACAACAAGAACCGTAAGACTAAGGCTGAAGTCGAAGACTTCCTTTTAACCAAGGGATGTACCCGTGATACCGTCATTCTTGCTGTAGGTGGTGGTGTCATTGGTGACATGATTGGATTTGTTGCTGCCACCTTCATGAGAGGTGTTCGTGTTGTTCAAGTTCCAACCTCTCTTTTGGCAATGGTTGATTCTTCTATTGGTGGTAAGACTGCTATTGATACTCCATTGGGTAAGAACTTCATTGGTGCATTCCACCAGCCACTGTACGTTTTCTGTGATGTTTCCTTTTTGGAAACTTTACCTGCCCGTCAATTTATCAATGGTATGGCTGAAGTTGTCAAGACTGCTGCCATTTGGGATGAAGTTGAATTCACTAGATTGGAAAACTTTGCTACTAAGTTCTTGAACGTAGTTACCGCCAAGGATCTTGATCTTTCCACCGTTAAGGATGAAATTATCCAGACTGTTTTGGGTTCAATCAGAGTCAAGGCCGAAGTTGTCACTGCGGATGAAAAGGAAGGTAGTTTGAGAAACCTTCTTAACTTTGGACATACTATCGGACATGCCATCGAAGCCGTTCTTACCCCACAAGCTTTGCATGGTGAGTGTGTTTCCTTAGGTATGGTTCTTGAAGCTGAATTGGCTCGTTACTTGGGTATTTTGCCTCCAGTTGCCGTTGCCCGTTTGACCAAGTGTCTCGTTGCCTACGGATTGCCAGTTCTGCTTGATGAAAAGTTATTATTGGAAAAGGTTGGTCGTCGTAAGCGTGACCTCGTTCAACTTCCAATCTTATTGGACAAGATGCTGATTGACAAGAAGAATGATGGTAGCAAGATCAGATGTGTATTGTTAGAATCTATTGGAAGCTGTTACCAACAAAAGGCTCATCAAGTTTCTAAACAAGATTTATCAGTTGTTTTAACTGACGAAATTTTTGTTAGTCTGTTTGATGCTGCTCCAGAATCCACCACAGTTATCCCACCAGGATCTAAGTCCATTTCCAACAGAGCTTTAATTTTGGCTGCTTTGGGTTCTGGTACTGTTAGAATTAGGAATTTGTTGCATTCTGATGATACCAAACACATGTTGAGTGCTGTTGCTGCCTTAAAGGGTGCCGAAATTTCCACTGAAGATAATGGTGAAACTATTGTCTTGAAGGGTAACGGTGGTAAGATGTTGGCATGTCCAGAAGAATTGTACTTGGGTAATGCTGGTACTGCTTCTCGTTTCTTAACTACTGTCGCTGCCTTGGTTAACACTGATTCTGGTCTTGACTCCGTGGTTTTGACTGGTAATGCTAGAATGCAAGAAAGACCAATCGGTCCTCTTGTGGATGCTCTTAGAGAAAACGGATCTACTGTTGAATACTTGAACAACGAAGGATCTCTCCCATTGAAGATTGAATCTGGCCGTGGATTAAAGGGTGGTAGAATCGAACTTGGTGCTACCATCTCATCCCAATACGTTTCTTCTATTCTTATGTGCGCTCCGTACGCTCAAAAGCCTGTCACTTTGACTCTTGTTGGGGGTAAACCAATTTCCCAATTGTACATCGACATGACAATCGCCATGATGAGTGCCTTTGGTGTTGAAGTTACCAAGTCTACTTCTGAAGAATACACCTATCACATTCCACAGGGACAATATGTAAACCCTGCTGAGTATGTGATTGAATCCGATGCTTCTTCTGCAACTTATCCATTGGCCTTTGCTGCCATGACTGGTACTTCATGTACTGTTCCAAACATTGGCTCCGCTTCTCTTCAAGGTGATGCTCGTTTCGCTGTTGATGTGTTGAGACCAATGGGTTGTAATGTTGTTCAAACTGCCACTTCTACTACTGTAACTGGTCCAAAGAGAGGTCAGTTGGTCGCTTTACCTCACGTTGATATGGAACCAATGACCGATGCTTTCTTGACTGCTTCTGTTGTTGCTGCTATTGCCACAGGTAAGACCTCTATCACCGGTATTGCTAACCAAAGAGTTAAAGAATGTAACAGAATTGAAGCCATGATTGATCAATTGGCTAAATTTGGCGTTAAAGCCAACGAATTGCCAGATGGTATTGAAATTAACGGTGTTGAAATCAGTGCTCTTCAAAGTGTTGGTCCATCGAAGGGCGGTGTTCACACTTACGATGACCACAGAGTTGCTATGTCATTCTCTCTTCTTGCCGGTTTATGTGTTGACCCTGTCTTGATCTTGGAAAGATCTTGTACTGGTAAGACATGGCCTGGTTGGTGGGATGTTTTGCACAGCACTTTCAAGGTCTCTCTTGACGGTTATGAACCACCAGTCCGCAAGGTCGCCAAAGTTAACAACAAGAGTATCATTGTCATTGGTATGAGAGCTGCTGGAAAGTCCACTCTTTCCAGATGGATGGCCACCTTCCTTGGTTTCAAATTGTTGGATTTGGACCACTTGTTCGAAAGCAAGCATGGTGACATCCGTGAATTTATCAAGGAACATGGCTGGGAAGAATTCCGCAAACTTGAAGCTCAATATGCCAAGGAAACTATCGCAAAGTACGGTACTAACCATGTTTTGTCTAGTGGTGGCGGAATTGTCGAAAGCGAAGCTTCTAGAGACATTTTACGTCAATACCTGAAGTCAGGTGGTATCGTCTTGCACTTACACAGAGACTTGGACGAAACTGTTGTATTCTTGTCTGCTGATACTACGCGTCCAGCATATGTTGATGAAATCAAGGAAGTTTGGAAACGTCGTGAAAACTGGTACCATGAATGTTCTAACTATCACTTTTACTCTGCTCATTGTGAAAATGAACTCGAGTTTAAACAATTGCGTACTTCATTTGTCAATTACTTGAAGCTTATCACTGGTCGTCAAACCACTGCTATTCCAACTGAGAAGTCGGCCTTTGTTTGTTTGACCTTCCCTGATTTGAAGGATGTTCAAAGTGAAACGTTAGAAGAAGTGACTTCTGGTTGTGCTGCTGTTGAATTAAGAATTGATCTTCTTGCCTCTTACGATAACTCGTTTGTTGCCGAACAAATTGCAATCTTGAGAAAGAATGTTAGTATCCCAATCATCTACACTATTAGAACAGTCTCTCAAGGTGGTAGATTCCCAGATGAAGACCATGAAGCTATTGAAAGATTGAGTTTCTTAGGTATTAAACTTGGTGTCGAATACTTGGATGTTCAACTTACATACCCTTCAACATTAATTGATCATATCATGGCCAAGAAGGGTAACACTCGTGTAATTGGCTCTCATCATGATTTCAGTGGAAGCTTGAAGTGGGATAATGTTGAATGGGACACCAAATATGCACAAGCTGTAGAATTGGAAGTTGACATTGTAAAGTTTGTTGGTACTGCTTTGGATTTCCAAGACAACTTGCGTTTGGAAACTTTCAGAGATTCGCACAAGGACAAGCCATTGATTGCTATCAATATGGGTGAACAAGGTAAGTTATCAAGAGTTTTAAACACAATTTTCACTCCAATCACCCATGGATTACTTCCAGCTAGTGCTGCCCCTGGTCAATTGACTCTCGCACAAATCAATTCTGCTTTCTCCGAAATCGGTGGAGTTGTCGCCAAGAATTTCTACGTTGTAGGACAACCTATTGGACACTCTAGATCTCCAGCCTTGCACAATTCTGGTTATGCTAAGCTTGGTTTGCCATTCACTTTTGAAAAATTTGAAACTTCAGACGCAAAGGAAGTTTATGAAAAGCTTATTAAGGGTAATGAAAAGAACTTTGGAGGTTTAGCTGTCACTATTCCTTTAAAGGTTGATATCATGAAGTATGTTGAAGAATTATCAGATTCTGCAAAGGTAATTGGTGCTGTGAACACTGTATCTTTAAGTAAGGATGGAAAAATTCTTGGTGACAATACTGATTGGGTTGGTATCACTAATTCATTCACTAGATTTGGAGTTCCAAGTATTGAAAACTCCCAAGTGAATGGTTTAGTTGTGGGTGCTGGTGGTACTTCACGTGCTGCCGCCTACGCTTTACATGGTATGGGATGTAAGAAGATCTACATGATTAACCGTACCGCTTCGAAATTAACTGAATTGAAGGAATCTTTACCTTCTGACTACAATATCGAAATTTTGGACACAGTAGATGATGTTGAAAATGCTGAAGCTGTGTCTCTCGTTGTATCTTGTGTTCCTGCTGATAAGCCACTTGATGACCAATTGTTAAACAAGGTTGAAAGAGTTTTAAACAAGGGTATTAAAGCCGAGGCTGGAGGATTTGTTCCAACTCTTCTTGAAGCTGCCTACAAACCTTCCGTTACCCCAATTATGAAGGTTGCTAGTGAAAAGTTCAAGTGGAACATCATTCCAGGTGTTGAAATGCTTGTAAACCAAGGTGAGCGCCAGTTTGAAATCCACACTGGTTACACCCCACCCTACAAGACCATTCATGCCGCTGTGGTGTCTGAGTGATGTAAAGAGTAAAATAGACTAGTCGTATAAACAATGATTTATTTTAGATAGTATGCTTGTAATTTTTTTTTTCCTTTTTTTTGCTTTTTTTTTGCTTTTTTTTCATCTCAGTTGGTGGCTGCAAATATCTATATAATGATACTATGAAAAATTATTAAATAAAGTTTGTACCCCTCAACTTAATGTCGTACGAGGAAATATATTGTAGCGCTGGACAGTGCCCGCAATTCAAGTCTTTTTTCTTTTTCTTTTCTTTGACGCGATGTATGTATTTTTATGGTCGCAGGGTGTTTCCATTTCGGACTTTGTCGGAGACGGAGCTGATCGGAAAAACGGTAACATAAAAAAAAAAAAAAAAAAAGAAAAGAAAAAGAAGGGAAAAAAAAAAGAATTCAGAAGGTTTTTGTTTTAACGAGGCTGCAAGGGAAAATACACCCCAGTGCCCAACATCGACAGTCCGATCAACAATCAAGATTCGTACAGAAATCCAAAGGTAAAGGTTATGTTGATTTCTCGGGAGAATTCGACCCCTCTTTGGTTATTATTCCCCTCTGTCCCAAAACGCCAACTTGCTAATAAAATAAAGTTTGGCTATCCTGGCTTGACCTGCTCTTCCTGCAGAACGCATCGGTTTGTGCACGCCAGAGAAGAGGGGATGCAGATTATCATATTTTATAAAAGCAACTGATTCCGCCTCCGGACTTAATGTGGTCCCATACGTGGCTCATAGAAGTTACTTTACAGAATAATTCAGTTTAACTCTGTATAAGTAAATTGACGTTTTGAAATAAGAAGGATGATTTCTGTTACATCTAGATGTTCCTCTGTACATCATTTGTACCGTCATGCTTACACCATACAACAAAGAACTTATGTTACGCAGTTGATGTCTACTGTTCGTACATATTTTCTTCCAAAGTTTAGATTCACCGAGGAAGAACCAAGCTCTTTAGAAGAAGCCCCTTCTGCATACATCCAATATCCACTAGTGACAAAAGATCAACTCAAAAGAATTACCACAAACGATCGATTCAAACTTGATTATTCATATGCTTCATTTGCGCACCATTCTTCCAGAAGTGATCCAACCATTCATTCATTGTCGGACTTGACTGATCCAGCACAACTTAACTCTTTGCTTCCAAGAAGAAGACCACATGGCTCACCAGCCGATACTCTTTCTATCAAGGCTGGAGATGATGCTATGCTTGTGTCTCCCACTGTGATGGCCATCGCAGATGGTGTTTCTGGGTGGGAATCGAAAAGTAACCACAGTTCTTCCGGTATCTGGTCAAGATCTATGGTGGAAACTCTCTCTCGTCTAATGACCGAATACAAGCTTACACACACTCCACATCATCTCAATAAGCGAGACATTGATCAAATTTTGGATGACTCTTTTCTTCATACATCCCATCTTATGGATTTACAGAAATTAGGTGGATCATCTACATTAGTTTTGGCCATGCTTTCTGGTGAATATCTTAAGATGATAAGTATTGGTGACTCAAAAATGTATATTATTAGAGATGGAGATATTATAAAGACAAATGAAGAACAAATGACTTCCACTTTGTGTCCTCTACAAATTGGAACTCAAACTCTTCTGCAGCTTCCGCTGGAAATGGCATGGGTAGACTCTGTCAAGTTGGAAGAAAATGATATCATTGTAATGTGTTCGGATGGAATTTCCGATAATTTATATGAATGGGAAATTGTCCACTACATTGATGAACTGCTTCAACTGAATGATAACTTAAAGAAGGCAGCCAATTCCCTTTTGAGAAAAGCCAAAGAAATTGCATTTGATGACTATGCCAGTACACCTTATAATGATAAGCTTAGTGCTGCTTCGCTTGACAATAGAAATTCAGGTGGTAAGCTTGATGACATGTCTTTATGCATTGCACGAGTGTGTCTTAAGAATAATAATAATACAAAAAAGAAGGAGAACTAATAAAATATGGTTTGGGGATTAACCCGTGGTGGCCACGGTAGGACTTATAGATATAATTAATATAATACAATTAATACTAATACTAATAAAATTTAATCATGTACATTTATTTAATATTTATAAACTGTTCTAAGCTGAAGCCATTTCAGAAAAGTATTGTCTCAAAATCAAAGATAACATCTCTGGAAGTTCGTTGATATTTCTAACGATAACATAGAACTCGAATGGGAAAGTGTCCAAGTATTTGCGGACTTGCATCTTGGAAGTACCAGTCTGTGGATCGGTGTTGTAACTGACTTGACTCATGTCCAAGATAGACTCATTAGAATTGATTCCATCAATAACAACAAAGACCAACATAATCTTTTGTTCTCTGGCACGTCTGACAAGTCTCTGTACTGTTTCATGATCTTCACAAACACCATCAGAAAGAATGATTTGTAATTGCCAAAGATCAGCATTGGAAGAAGACTTTGCATCTTCGAAAATATGCAAACTCTTCTTACACAACAGGGTAATATCAGTTCTGGTTTGTTGGAAATCAAACCATTGGAAGATACGAGCACCACTTTCTTGGTTGTTGAATGGTCTGTCAAATGGATGAACAACCTTGACATCTTCACCAAATCTAACAATAGAAAGACCACCAGATTCTAATTGAGTCAATGCCTTGGAGACAAGAGCAATACTATGGAATGCAAGTTCAGTAGATTTACTTTCGCTCATAGACTTGGAGTCATCAATGGCAATCATAATTTGATATTGTCTCTTGGAAGGCTTAGTTCTTCTTAACCAAATCTTATCCTTACGGAAATCAGATGCGATATAAGGAATAATTCTCTTCATATTCAAACGTTTACCAGTCTTGTAATCACCACGAAGTTTGGTTGCGAGAGTAGGCTCTAAGATAAGTCTAAGTTGTTCACACAATCCAGAAGCAAGATCTTGGGTAGCTAATTCACTATTCTTCCACAATTCTCTAGCCTCATCGATTTCAATTGGTGGCAAATCAGACATACCGTCATTTCCAACATATCCTTCGACTTCCTCATCTTCACTAGAATCGACATCCATAAACTCGCCGTTCATGTTGAATTCATCATCTTCATTCACTTCAGTCTTTTCGTTACCAAGTAATCCTCGTTTCTTTCCTTCAAAGTCAGCATCTTGCTCATCATTTGGTTTATCTTCAACCTCCGGAACTTCTTCATTATCAACTTCCATCTTATCATCTTCATTTTCCTTAGCAGCAGTATCATCAGTTGACTCATCTTCTTGCTTGATGTTGTTATCCTCAACCTCATCATCAATAGCCTTGTCCTCATCAATAGATTGGACTTGGTCTTGATCAGCAGCTCCAAGTGCTTGAGTGTCAAAGTCAGCATTTTCACCATCTAAATGTTCAAACTCGTCAGGCCTTTCATTCGCTTTGTTTTCGGTCTCTTCTTCTTCTTCCCGAGTAGAAGCTTCTTGAATTTCTTGACGACGACGATGGAATTCCTTTAAGGAATCACCAAGCTGTTTCAATGACTCTCTTGCCATATCACGAGCATCGTCATCATTGTTCTTCTCCTCATTCTTATCCATATCTTGTTGAGGGTCAGATGAAGCTCCTCCAGTAGCACCAACATCGGTGTTTTCTTCCATAGCTTGGTTATCAGATCCTTCACCCTTTTCACCAGATTCTTGCTTTACAGCAGATTCAACATCCATTTCTTCATTAGCAGCATCTTCATTTGCACCATCAACACCTTCGGCCTTCTCCTGATCTCCGTCATCATCATTTCCACCTTCTTCTTCATCATTCTCATCTTCGTTTTTATCACCAAGAGTCTCTTCATCTGATTCAAGACCTTCTTCAGCTGGATCTTCAGCAGTTTCACCGTCAGCTCCGGCATCTTCTTCGGGATCCGCATTCTCATCTTCATCTTGGTCCTCAGCATCTTCTTCACCAGCTTCAGCTTCAGCATTCACATCAATTTCTTCTTCGTCCTCCTCGCCAGCATTTTCATCTTCTTGTTCAGCTTCTTTCTTATCTTCCTCCATATCAACATCCATCTTATCATCAAAATCTTCGCCATCTTCTTCATCATCACCACTCTTTTCATCACCAGAGTCAAGATTCATGTCATCTGGAAGATCCAAAGCATCAGTTTCCGGAACATTGTCTTCAAGTTGTTCATTTTCTTCATTCTTAACTTCGTCTTCCTGTTCACCAACGTCCTTTTCATCATCTCCCTCTTCACCATCGTCCTTGTCCTCTTCTTCGTCCTTCTCTTCTTCATTCTTTGAATCTTCACTATTCTCTGGTTTATTTTTATTCTCCTTGGCATCTTCTTCTTCATTTGCTTTCATGTCATCTTCATCCTTAGTAGAATTGTCTGGCATGTTTTCTGTATCCTTTTCTTTACTATCTTCTTGTGCTTCTTCATCCCACATTTTGTCATCAATAGCATTTGGATCAAGGTCATCAATATCGTCAATTTCCTCATCCATATCTTCTCCCTCTTCATCTTCATCTTCATCATCTTTATCTTGGTCAGATGCATCTTCAAGTTCACCAGCCATATCACCTTCAATATCAACAGCGTCGTCATTTTCATCTTCATTTTCATCCTTTTCCTTGTCTTCCTCATTTGGTTGTTGAGCATCTTCAGTCAAATCTTCATCATCTTCGACATCCTTGGAGTTATTGGTAGCACCTTCACCATCACCCAATCCTGTACCATCATGTAAATTGTCATCTTCTTTTTGTTCGGTAGGAGGTTCTGGAGAGCAGAAACCCTTACTTGCAAGAATATGGAGAGATGAACTCAATATATAAGTACCTCTAGACATGTCAACATAGTTGGATCTAACCTTATTCAAAACAGTGGTGATTAAATCAAAGTAATGTTTAACAAGTGGGAGTGAAAATTGAGTAAGAGCAGCTGTAACCTTAGATGATTGTTCACTATGTTCAACCAGAGCAATTGCTTGCAAAACAGTGTTAAAGTGATACAAAACTCTACGATGGTTTGTTGATTTAACATACTTCATCATGAGCTGTTGAGTTTTCAACAACCAGTTATCATCATCTTCAGCAGCGTCATCTTCTTCTTGAGACTTAGTTTGACATTCAGTAACTCTTTGGACTGCAAGGATGATGGAGTTGGATAAGTTTCTCAAACAAAGTTCAACATCTTCAACAGTCTTCAAGTGTTCTACTGAGGTAACAGAAGTATTAGAATTGATAACAGAAGTGCCTTGAATCGACATCCATTGTAAAACGGTGTCAGCAATAAAAGAAAGAGTGAAGTTTTCAATCTTCCACTCATTCAAAGTTGATACAAATTGAAGGCTGAATTCTCTAAATTCTTGAACCAAACTAACATCGTTGCAAGTAGCAACGAGAGGATCGTGTTTATCAAGCTTATTTGAAATCAGACTAATAGTACCCTTGGCATTGTAAAATACCTCTAATGCGGAGCTGCCAATCTTATGGAAAGTTCCAGCAGCTTGAATAGATTCAATTGCAAAATCAATTAACTTAGCAGTCCATTGAAGTGTTTCTTGAATGTTATGAACAGTCAAATGAGCAGATTCTGCCATCGAAGATCTCAATAAACTGGAGTTTGTAACAGTTTCTAACGACTTAGCCATCTTTTCCATTTCAACAACAGAGTCGGCATATTTGGACAAAGGCTCACGAGTAGTTGCTAAAGAAAACACAAGGTTTTCAGCAGCTGCAAGACCCTTTTCGGCATCTGGCTGTGGTACATCTTCAGCAAGACTACCGACAGCAGCACGAAGCCTTGGCATAAGATCAAGAATTCTGAAATAGTAAACATCACTACCACGTAATGCTGGTTGCTCTTCAAAACTCTTGCTGTTACACAACATCAAGTTCACGGTGGCTTGCATCTTGTGAATATCAGCACGAAGACTTGTCTTCAACCCGATTCTACGAAGCTCACGAATAGTGTCACTAAGCAACTTACGCTTTTGAACCAACAATGCAGCAATAACCTTTTTGTTGTCCTTTTTCAACTCCTTAGGGGTTTCGCGTCTAAGTCTATCCATTTCTTCAACCAATTCCTTGGCGTATGTGTAAAGAGATGGAACTTCTTCATCACCTACTCTCTTAACATATACCGACATGTTCTTGGAAACAAGATCAATATTCTGAAGACGTTTTGGTCTTTCATTCCATGAGGAAACTGAAGAACAAATTTTTGAAACTTCGGAATTTTCGGTTACATTAGAGAAAGTAAAAGGTGGCAATTCAGAAAGATTTGCTTTAACCTTAACTTCTGGAGAGAGTCCCAGCTCAATGATACTACTTACAGGGGTAGCCAACAAAGCTCTATACTTTCTTACAACCTTGTAAAGGTTGTTGTGGGAACGACGGGCACTTTGTTTCAAAGCATCAATGTTAACATCCTTCCAACTAGCAAGCAAGATAACCTCATTAACGTCCTTCTCTAACTTCTTTCTTTGAGCTGCAATGTGGTCACTAACGACAGGCACAAATTGTTCATAGAAAGTGATAAAGTTGGTAAGAGCTTGGTACTTAGTACCACCATTTGTACCCACATGATTCTTAAACGACTTCAAAAGACGTAAACGGTGACAGAATTCACCGTAGGTAGATTGACTCATGAAAACATTCAAAGCGGCAAGCACCTTAACTTCTTCATGAATCTCTTCATCTTCTTCAAGGTCATCATCTTGTTCTGGAACCACAATTGTCTCGAAAAGGTGGAACCACCATTTTCCGAGACTTTGGGAAACCATGGAATCTTCATGAGTAAAGAGAGCTTTCCAGGTAGAAAGCTCTAACTTACGCCAAGACACAATAAGATGTGTTAAAGTATCAAAATGGGTTTTGAGTGACACTTGACTGTGTGCAAACTTTTCCCATTCAGAGATGTAAGTGTAGATCTGTTCAATCTTTTGAAGAAGACGAGCAAGTGGAGTGTTAATAGGGAAAGTCAAAAATTCCTCAGTAGTACGAGCAATACTTTGAAGTGTAGCATGTTCGGGCCATTGAGAAAGTAACTTAAGAGATGCCGCTTGAATGGATGTAACAATACCAATCGACTTTTTAGACTCAGAAGGAGAACTTCCTCTATAGAAATCAAGTTCAGTAACAGGATTACGGAATGAATTAAATGAAGTAGATAAAAGGGAAATAAAAGAAGTCAATGCAGAATCAGAGTGGTCACTAATTCCCTTCTTAAATCTCTTAGAATGTTCGTGTAACATAGTATGAAGTTTGCTACCTTCGGCCACGAGCTGAGGGAGTGAATCTGACTTGTTATCAGCATATGATGACATGTAAATATCACCAATGACTGAGTAAATCTCATCAAAATCACCCTTACTACTTCCTTCAAAGTTTACATCATCCATTACATCCTCAAAGTCTGGGAATAACGCTCTGAAATCTCCCTCGATATCACTGGTGGGGTCCGCATAACGGTATAAGTTTCCCAGTTCAGCTTCTTCTTCATCTTTCTTCATCCGGCGCAATGACCATCTGTAGTAAAGAGTTTGGAAAGCTTGTTGAAGAACAGGTTGTAAGGCTTCAGGGCCATGAGCAAAGCAAAGTCTGATAAAGAAAATCATGGTGTGCTCAGGAACTTGCGAATCTAAACTAAAAGATTTAGCAAAATCCTTCACAGTCTCAAAATTCTTTATGATTTTGCTGGAGCTAGCCAAGTTTACAGCATCAACTGGCCAAGTGGTAGAGTGAAGTTCACCGTATTTGGCTTGTTGTTGCTCCACATCCATGGAAATTAAATCAAAACCAAGCTTCATACCATAAACAAACCCGCGTAAAATATCGTTCAAATCAGAGTAAACAAAGTAACTTTGATTCAAACGAACCAAAAATTGAGTTGAATTGTTTTGGAACATTTCAAGTTGTTGATCTTCTTCGACCTTTTCTAATAAACTCTCAATTGCTTGGGCGTCAATAGTTGAAGTCATAAACGCAGTCCATTCATCAAAAAGATGATCAATTGTAGAGTTTTCTGGACGGAACACCCGCGGTTTGGCAGGTGCCTGTTCTGATTCTGGCAACAAGGATTCAGCTAAGATCTCTTTGTCTCCAGATAAAACACTTCCAGCAACTCTCCAATTCTCAATAAGCGATAGAGCATGTTTTTGATGACGTTCAAATCTAGAGTAAACTACATGGTCAGCAATAGCAGGATCAAAAGCCGAACTAGGAACATACAACTGGATGGCACCACAAGCAAACAATACCCAAGATCTTCCTAAAGTTCCCACATCAGTAGATTCAATAATTAAGAATAAGGCTGGGAAAAGATACTTCTCGGCAACAACGATAAAAGATTCATCAGCAGAACACCTAGTAAGTTCGATGTATTGACGAATTGTTTCTGTGGAAATATCTTCGACAATAATCTGTTCATCAAGATGAACATTCGCGATTTCAACGAACCATCGGACTAATAATTTCTTGAAGATTAATTTAGTATCACTCAAGGAAGATTGAGAAGCTGAAATCAATTGGTTAGCATAAGTTGAAATATCACTAAGGTTTTGCTCTAAATTCTTACCTGGGCCATTAGAAAGCTTCTCAGTCTTAAACAATGAGTTTTCAATCAATTCGTTGGAGAAAAGACCAGAAACATGGGAAGTACGATCAGACCATAAACTATCAAAGATCTTAGGGTATGGACTGAATTCAACGGATTCGGAAATACTTGCATGACATTTCATGATAGTGGATCTACCAGCAAGTGCTGATAATGTGGCAAGATCACCTCCAGACTTGGCAACTTCGACAAAGTTAGCAAGAAGAGAGAACTCGTATTTGAACACATTATGACGCTTAATAATAAAGTCACTTGAGACTTCCTTTAATTTAGCAATTCCACTAGAAAGATCATCACAGAACTTCAAGAAAACACCTTCATCGACAGCTTCCTTAGTGTTAACAATGTCGGTATAACAATCAACAATGACAGAGCGTAAAGCCGAAACAGCTTCTGCAGAGTCCGCAAATTGCTCACTAGCGACTTTGTCGAACTGTTCGGCTAATTTGAAAAGCTCTTGTGTTTGTTTCCAAGCAAGAGCAGAAGATGGGTGGTTGCTACGGAAATTCTCCCATATCTTACCCATAGATGACCCAGTTGAAAGAGACAATTCTACTCCAAGTAACTCAACAGCTTCTTTTAATGGATTTAAGGTTTGGTTTTCTTCATCGCGAGAAATCCATTGTCTAACTAAATCCTGATAAACACGGAATTTAGATTCATCAAGCTGAGCAGTGTGGTCAAGAATACATTTCATGATAAGTTGAAGATCCGCAAGACGTTGGAAATCACAAGAAGTGTCTTTCAATTGAAGTGAAATAAATTCCTGTACCCGTACCACAAACCTATAGACATTAAGTCTAGGAGGTTTTTTGATACTACGACCCAATTGGAATGCAGTAGAACGTTCAATATAAGACAATTCACCAAGTTTTCTTCCAAGAGCCCTTTGTTCAAGTTGCTCAACCAAAGAGTTGATTTCCCAAACGCCAGCTGCAGCAAGGAAATAAAATGTAGGTTGTGGACTAACCTCTTGAAGAAGGTAACTATTGAGAAGTGGATGGAGAGTTTGATGTTCGAAAAAGATTTCCTTTGGCTCAACAATTCCTTCAGCCAATTCTTCCAGAGCAGATGAATACACGGTCTGTAACGCGCGTACATCAATATTTTGAGACATATCGATAAGATTTTGGGCAAAGGTCTTAGATTTCGTGCCAAATTCAGGTGATTTCAAAACTAAATCTCTCCAGGAACTAGCTAACGGCACATTATCAAATGGTAATGTGCCTACAATTGTGCTCACCAATGTCTCATCTGTGCCACTAGCATCGATCATATCTTGCATTAATGCGAAAGATCTCTCAGTAGAGTGGTGAGTTGAAACGAATGATGAAACTGATGTTTTCATGTCAAAGGTTGTCATTCTTTCATCCAACCCGTCAACAAACAATTCAACACCTCTATTTCTCATAGCACGAGATAATTCGCCGTATCGTGGATCCACAGTTAAGAAAAGACGGAAATTTGGATGGGGTTTAACGTTACGTGGTTGACCATCGGCAGAACTGCACTCGTTAATTACCAATGTACCATTAGTTTCAAGAAGTGAGTTCAAACGATCAAGGACTGAAGGACTACACAAGTTGGCATTGTCCAAGACAAGCCAGTGACCATTTTCAACAGCCTGAACCAAAAGACCATCAAACCATTCAAAACGAACACCATTATTCTTCTGCTCAGAGAGTTTCTTCTGAAGAATATGAGATTCTTGTAATATAGATTGCAATTCTGAGTTGGAATACAATTTCAAAAGTTGTTCTAAGTTGGAATGTAATTGAACAGAACGTTCAGATGCATCACCACGGCTTTCATCTAAGAATTTAATGAAGGCCAAAACATTTTTCAAAACAGCAGAATCTGTTTGTTTCTGTTTGAGGTTTACAAGAACAACCTCAACCAAAATAGCACGAACACTAAGAGAAAGTTTGGTTACTCCTCTTTCAAGATCAACTTGTTCATATCCACCAAGAATATCCATACTGTCGACATCACTATTCATTGCAAATTCATCAATTTGAGAACCAACTGCATCAGCAAGAAATCTAATAAGCTCGGTCTTTCCTGATTTGGTAGGACCAGTAAGGATAAGTGGTAAGTTAAGGTTAATACAACGAATAGCAGATTCTAAAAGACCAAAGTTACATTGCAACGCCTTATGGTATTTGCCTGTACTATGGTGGACAAGATCTCTTCTCGAGATTACTGCAGCACCAGCTTGAACAAAAGTCTTACCGATAGAATAATAGTTGTCACGACGAGATTCAAAATGAGTGCCAAATACTTCTTTGTAAAGGTTGGAAGCCTTTTGTCTATCTTCTGGGGTTCTAAATCTTTGCAAAACAACCATATCAAGGAAATCGGCAGGGGAAACATTTGCTTGTAATCCACGAGTACTGTATAAATCTAACCAACGTAAAGTATCACGCAAGTTAAATTCCCATGGACCACCACTATGACCCCAAGCACGGCGAACAGATACTTCTTCTTCCAAACGAGAAATAAATTTGATCATTTTCAAGTTAACCAGAGGATCAACTTGTGGATATAAATGTTGTGAAATCATACTTAAATCTTGTTCCTTCAATACGTCCACATAAACAACCAGGAAACGATTAACAAAAGATTTTGGTAAACCCTTTCTACCACCACCTTGATATTGAGGATTTTGAGCAGCAAATACAACAAACCCTGGGTGTCTTTCAAAAGTCTTGTCCAATTCTGGAATATAAGCACTACCTCTGTGATCCAAACAAGCGTTTAAACCTTCAAGAACAGATTGAGAAGCTAAATTCATTTCATCCAACAATACCCACTCACCTCTTTGCATTGCTCTTAAAAATGGAGCATCTCTCCAAACAAATTCTCCAGTCTTACCACCTTCAGCTGGAGCATCACTACCAAACAAGTCGACTAAATCAGTTTGTTCGGACAAGTTGATTCTCACAAGTGGATTACCAGTGGCCTTAGCAAGCGCAGAGACCAAACTAGTTTTACCCACACCTGGACTACCTTCTAAAAGAATAGGCTTGCTAACTTGCATGGCTCTAATAACCCGCATAGTATTGGCAGCAGTAGTTGGGGCTTCAAGGTTAAACAGCAATTGTTCTTTCTCGGTAGATTCCTTCTTGGCAATGCTAAAAAACCCACTGGTCAACTTTTCATTGTCAACAATGACTTTGAAGTTTCCTCCATAGTATTGTAACAAATCAACACCAGCAAATTCAGACAATTTCTTGACACACATACGCTTTTCTTCATTTAGCCTCTTTTCACTTTCTGCCAAGTAAGCTGTATTGTTGGTACCGAGGGCGTCGACGAATACCATAGCAGCACCATGTAATAAGGCGGCATCAACATTCACGTTATCATCACAAGCATTGATAAATTGAACCCAAGCCAAGATATCTCTGAGAGAAATAACACCGCTAGAAGCATTACCAGAACCGTAAGTCTTCCCATACCATTCAGAAAATTGAACAACCGGTTCAGCAAGGTTAGAAACTCTTTCGTTCAACTTAGAGCCAACAATTTGACGCACATCATTAAAGTCTTCCATAGAAGGAACCCAAATTTCTGTAAAACGATTTCTTAAAGCTGGTGATAACTCCTTTTTACCATAGTCACCACCTGGATTCATTGTTGCTAAGAACTCGAAGTTTTCTGCAGCGGTTACAAAAGAGTCGTCATTTCCCTTCTCAGCAAGTAACAAACTACGTTCAGGTTCAAGAACAGAGTTAAGTCTTTCCAATACTGAATCATCAGCCAACGAAATTTCATCAAGAAGGAAGAAATCACCATTCTTCATTGCTTGAACAAGAGGACCATCATTCCATTCAAAAAGAATAGAAGCATTACGTCTTCCTGCATCAATTTCAGCAAGATCTTCCTTAAGAGATTCGTCTTCGTGTAATTTGTCCTTAATTGTATCATACTTCTTGAGCATATTTTCAAGATTAGATTCTTCAAGGTCAGTTTCAACATTTAATTTGGAATATAATTGTAACAAGTTATTGTACAATATACTTTGAGTTTCAAATCTATGTCTGACGGGTCTCTGAGCACCCAAGATATCACCAGTTTCAGTGTTTTGATGAGCGTTAACAGTAACCAAACGACGACCCAAGTATTGAGCAATAATTTGACAAACAGTAGTCTTACCACATCCAGTTTCACCGACTAATAACAAAGGTTCTTTGTACTTCATCGAGGTATGAACTAGAACTGCAAGACGGCGCATGGCTTTAGTCCAAACAATTCCCAAACTGTTACTACTTGTAACCTCTTTCAAAGCCTCTTCTTCAAGCTTTGAATAGTATGCATCAATGTCTAAAGTAACTCGCATAACCTTCTCGATAGTGGCCTTGACAACCGCTTTTTCTTCAGGTTTACGAACTCTTTCGGCAAGCAACATATAACCATTCGCAGCTAATTCTTCGTATCCAACTGCTTCTCTTAATGCCCAACGGAATAAATCTCTCAAAGTTGCAAAGGAATTTTTCTGTTCGAAAAGACGAGTGGATTGACGTTGAATAGACAATTGTCTGTAGACCTCAACAATCTTCTTACCATAAGTAGGAGCAATTTGACAACGTTCACGTAAAATAACTTCCAATTCATCTTGAGGAATGTCGTCAAAATGCAATTCTAAGAATCTGTTACGGAAAGCTCTCGAAAGGAATTTTCTTCCACCGTAGAGTCCAGGAGGATTTTGAGTAGCAAACAACATAAAGTCTGGATGTGGACGAATAACTTCCTGAGTTTCAGGAATGAAAAGTTCTCTATTGTCATCAAGTAAACGGTTCAAAGCTTCCAAGACATCAGTAGGAGCTAAATTCAATTCATCCAATACAATCCAGTGACCCTTTCTCAAAGCCTCCACAAGGACACCTTCTTTAAAGACCAACTTTCCGGTTGAATCAGACATGTATGTACCCAAGTATTCCTGCAAATCAGTATGTTCATGATTGTTGATACGAACAAACTGATGACCGGTGATGTTTGCCAAATAATTAATCATAGAAGTCTTACCGGCTGATGTTGGTCCCTGTACAAGGACTGGAAATCTTCTTCCGGCTGTAGCACGAACTAAGTTCAACATATTCTTCTCCACGAATGGAGTGATGATATAGTGAGGTTGTGGGACAATTGCACTTGGACCACGCTTCATCCAATAATGCTTGAATTGGACAAATTGCGAAGCAGGTTCTGGCAGAGGAGGAGTTTGTCTCATAACAGACTTTGCATTCTTGAGTCTTCCTAAGGTGTACTTAACAATCACTTCATGTAATACCTGTTCAGATGTAGCATCCAACAATGTCAAATAAGACATGCAGAACCCTTCGTAGAGGGCTCTACGTAAACCATAAATTGACACAATGTCACAGACGTAAACCAAGGTTCTAGTCAATGTACGAATACTGAAATGAGGGCGTTGGTTAGCACCGTCGACGATTTTGTTACTTTCAGATAACTTTTTGGCTTCCAAGTATAATTCCGCAATGTCGTTACCTACCCATTCGTCTGCAACAGCAAAGCGACCGATATATTGGTCAATGATAGATAACAAGTCATTAATGTCCTTATCTGGAGAGTGAACATAAAGCTCACTGAAACGAGAACGAATAGATGGAGGTAAATCTCTCTTACCAACATCAGTGGAAGGATTCATACAACCAAAGATACGGAACTCTGGGTGGGCAGTAATAGCTTCGACGTCACCTCTTTCTGTCAATAAGACAGATCTCTGGCTTAATGTCTCAGATAACAAGTCGGCAATACTTTCCAAAGTATCTGAAGAAGCCAAATTGATTTCATCGAGTAGCAACCATTCGCCATTACGTACAGCCTTGACAAGGGAACCTTCAACAAAGTTAAAGATAAAAGAAGAATCAAGTGTAATCACTTGAAGTTCAAATTCTTGTACTCTCGACTCGAAGTCGACCCACTTTTCAAGAAGAATAGCCTTCTGGTTAGATGAAAGCTTGCGCTTCTTGCTAGGAGGTGGAGTGTTGTCACCAGTTTCTGGTTCAGGAGTGACATCTTCTACAACCAAAGTTGTCTTGGCCATTTTTACGGCTTCCCTCCATAATTTAATGACGTTCTTCCATTGACTTTTGTTGAAACATTTGGTGAGTACTTGAGCAAATTTTTCGTTCTTCTTTTTAGAAAAACTGGCAATGAAAAGGTTCTCAAAAATCTCTTGAAGTGGGACAGCTACTGTTTTGGTATTAACTGGTTTGTACCCACCCAATAAATCACCAGATTCGGTTTGTTGAGAAACATTGATTACAGTCAACTTCTTGTTCATCATTCGAGCAACTTGTTGCACCACTGTGGTTTTACCAGTACCGGTCTCACCAACCAACAAAACTGGTTCAACCATTTGGATGCAGACTCCGATCTGTTCCATCAAACGAAGAGAATGGTTTGTACGTGCAAAGTTACTACTAGATTTAGCAATGTTCAAAGCCTTGTCAGCAGAAGATTTTGGAAGAACGGCTCTACCGATCTTCAAAGACTCATCATTGTTGATGAATGTAGGTACATGCTTAGTCATGAACAAATTTATTCTGGACGTTGGGATTTCCAAATGTTCACCAATGGTATTGACCAAGGGAACCAATGCTGCGTGTTCGGTAATTGCAGATCCAAAACAGTCAACAGCTTCGGCAAAGATCTGATCATATATGTGTGACGAAAGGAGAACACTACCTTCGATAGAAGTGATACCTTCATTTGCGAACATGGCATTACATCTTGAGCACAACTTCATCAAATCTCTGAAGGAAATCACTCGAGGGTGGGAACCACGATTTAACGTTATAAATGTGTTGGTGCTGTAGATACGAACAATTTCATTGAAACATTTAATGAATCTTGCAATAAAGCGACCCAAAATTGGGAATCTGCTTTGCAAGATGTTACGTAAATCGACTTCAGCAGGTGTACTTACATGAACCAAGTCCCATAATCTGAGACCAATCAAATCAGGTAATGAAGATTTTTCATTGGCTGTTCTGACAGTAGAAATTAATTGAAAGCCGTTTGCAGCCTTAATGATTTCTCCTCTGGACGGAATTGTAAGCTCCTTCTTTTCCAAAAGTGTTAACAATACAGATAAGACTTCAGTAGGGGCTTGGTCGATATCTTCAATGACAACCCAACGTCCCTGTTGTACAGCGGTAGTGAGAACACCTGCACGCCATTGGAAAGTTCCTGGCTTTTCTCCAGATGCATATGTACCCAAAAGTAACTTTGCATCTGTTTGTTCACCTAAATGAATCTTTACAATTGCATGCTCATATGACATACGACGAGCAAGTTCTGAAATGAGAAATGATTTACCAGCACCTGCACTACCATGGAGCATAATAGGGTGATTTTGTTGGATATGGGCTGCAAGTTGACGAAGTACATTCACTGCACTATCGGTGGGGACAAATGTATCGATATTAGCGATGTCAGTAGTAGAGGCGGCATTATGCTTGGTTTCTAACAATTTTGGAACCAAAACGCCACAAACAGATACCACCAATGGTGACAAATGTTTAGGTTCTATAATATATGAGGAAGAGGTAGAAGTTGATTCAATCTTTGGCAAGTTGGCAAAGTTTGACAATCTCTTGGCCTCAATTAATGCTAGGAAAGTAAAGTCGATTCCAACTACGTCATCATAAGATCCGATCAAGGAATCGCTACTTTTTTCAACATGGTTTGCAATCATTGTATGGCGAGAAGTTTCAGAAGCGTTCAAATAGATGCTAATTATTTCGACTGTCAAGTATTTAGCAATATTGGTGGTAGAAACATTTTCTAATACACCGTACAATACTTCTGGGAATACAAAACGCTTGAATCTATGGGTATCGTGAGCCATAAGTCTATAGAATGCCAATAATAAGCTTTCTAGAGTAGCATTACTGGTGGCTCTTTGTTGTAAAATGTTCTTATTCTTATCAAGGAAGTGTTCGGCTAAACTGGCAGACTCTGGGAATGGACCACATGATCTGGCAAGTGCACAGAGTACGGATACATCATCTTCAAAGCCATGACAGATCCATCTGGAAATAATTTCTAAGGATATTTGTTGATAAGCGTACAAAACTTGAAGAGTTTGACGACCCTTCAAAGCAGCAAGGGCGATGTTATCCAAATTTTCTTCAATAGAATTGAATTTAGCAAAGGACATAGTTGATACATCTATCAGTTTAACCTCTGTGTCTGTAGATTCTGAGGTCACTGGTTCAATTTGTCTTTCTCCATCGGTGTGATGGGTTTGGAACACCTTCAAAAGGTGTTCTGAGTGACGAGCATTGACAACAATATTATTATTGTTGTTCTTCATTTTCACGGGGGTATCTTAGAAAGATAGGTCAGATTGGGTTTATTCCTGCTGCTAGATGGGCAAAAGAATAGTCCTATATCTGTCTTTATAAGTCCTATACACCTTGATTCAGAAGAGATAACTACAGTGATGTTTTCCTGAAAAAAACTCGAGATGCGATGAGTCGATTTTGTGTCATTTCTGTTTTGTTAGAGAACCTTTGAGATGGGGAAGGGAGTGAGTGCTGCAAAAATGACTTTTGACGAGACGGGAATGATGGAGATTACAAAAGTACAAAGCATGTTAATAATAAAAGAATAATAAAATGGTCCAGTAGGTCTAGCTTTAGTGATTATATGTATATAGGTAAAATAATGGCTACTATTTAAAATGTTGATAAGGTTGGAAGTAGGGAATTTAATGATCGCTCATCACAAAAAATAATTGATCAGATATGAGTAGTACTAAGATTAATATTACAAACACTAGAACTGTTTTAGTAAGCAAATGAATCATATAAATATATATATATATATATATATTGAAGACATATACTAGAATTTCGTATTGTGTATATATTTATCTACCATAACTTTATATCTGGGTTCTTGTCTCTGTCTGTGTTTTTTGTTTGTGGTTGCAATGGCTGCGAAAAGAAAAATTAAAACAGGAGGTGCATGCCCACAATTGTAGAAATCATTTGTATTACTATTGATTACACCTGGTATTATAATCACCATGCGGATCAACTTCTATATTTTATTTATCCTCCACTTAGTGACCGCACTTGTGCATTTGAATGGTCAAAGACTTGAAGTCTCTGATGATGAAATTCTTACTTTTGTGGATTGTATGTAACAAGAAGAAACAATTGTTCTAAAAAGTTATACTAACAACAAAGACACTCAAGGAAATTCAACGGAAAATGAAAGCATTCCAGATGTCAAGTGTACCAAAGATGTTCATACTATTCATAATAGTGCCGATTTAGCTTTCATTTTTGATTGCAAAGTTCTTGATGGTGATGTTTTAGTTTCAAATTACAAAGAACCAATCATTCAATTTGGAGATATTCAGGCAATTACCGGTAGTTTGACAGTAAGAGGTGCACCCAACCTTGTCAGGATTGAGGCACCATCGATTGGTTCCATTGGGAATGTGTTTTCATTAAGAGAATTAACTTCACTTGCACTTATTTCATTTCCAGCTTTACGAACTGTTAAAGAATTAGATTGGAAAATCTTACCAATTTTAAGCACTGTACATGTTAATAATGAAATTTCTGGTATCGAAAGTATTATAGTTTCTGATACTTCACTTACTAAATTTTCAGGATTTATTTCCAATGAATTATCAAAATTAGATTTGAATAATAATCGATTTTTGGAAAGTATTCAATCAAATGTCGAAAAAATTACTGGTGAATTACATATTGCAGCAAATTCAGCAAATGTAGCTGTTGATTTATCAAGATTAAAATCTGCTCAAAACCTAACTATTCAAGAAACTGCAAGTTTAGATTTAAGTAAACTTGAACAAGTTGAAAATTCTGTAAGTTTTATTGCTAATACGTTTAAACAATTGAAAGTTCCAAAGTTAAGATCAGTGGGAGGAACTTTAAGTATATCAGAAAATCCGTATCTTAATCATTTAGAATTCAATTCAATTGATGATATTGGTGGTGGTTTGGTTATCGTTAACAACACAAGCATTGAAAAAATCAATTTTTTCCCTAAACTTAGTATAATTGGGGGAGCCATGGAACTTGTTGGATATATGAAAGAAATTAGTTTAAAGCAATTAAAATTAGTGAAAGGAAGTGCCAAAATCCAAGCTTTTGCAGATCAATTCGATTGTTCTAAATGGACTAAAAGTGAAGTTGGATCTGTTATTAGAGGTGGAAGAATTGAATGTACCAATTCGAAAGATGAAAAAATTGTTGAAATTGGTAATGGTGGTGATAATGAAATGGTAAATTCAACAACTGAAAAGAATTCTACATCAATTTTTGACTCTTTAAGATTTAAATCTCAAGGAAATAAATTATCCAATTGTTTGAGACATATTGTTTGGTTTGGTATAGTTGCTTTAGAAATAATGAGCTAAGAAATGAAAACGTATTAATTATTAAATCTACCTGTAAATTTTATTTGTTTCAATATAGTCCTTGATTTCTTCAATGACATCATTTTCCCAATTCTTTTCAGTTTGACCATGGATTTGTTTCCGAATTGAGGAAGAAGAAACTTTGGATGTACTATCATTTTTTTGTTCGAGGAAAATTCTACTAGACCAACCACTGGGAATATGGTCATGTTTATTTAACAGAATGTCTGTGACATATCGAACTTGTTCTTGGAAAGTTGTATCAGCATCAGTTCTAGTTAAGCAAAATAAATCTGTAGTAGACATAAATTCTCCCAAGGTATGCAGAATTTTATCCGGGACATAATATTTTGGATTAAATATACGAATCAAAGTATCAAACCCAACCAGAAATGTTAACTTTACTTTGACTGGATCTTGCAATTTTTCATTCCTTATATACAGAAGGGCGGAAGACCACTTATCAACAAATCTGGCATGCTTTGTAAGACCTACACTTACATTGATCCCCAAAGTTTTATGCAAATAGTTTGCCATTAAACACATCATATCAATTCTTTCTTCAAATGAAGCAGGTTGAGGTGTAATTTTGTCTGCATTCTTGACAGAAAGAAGTAAGAGTAGAACCTTGTCTTCATCTTCAGTCGCAGAATACGATTGAGCTAATGAATCCTTTGCCAACAGTAAATGTCCTAAATGTGGAGGGTTAAATGAGGAATCAAGTACACATATTCTTTGAGTATCTTGATTCAAAAATGATTTTTCAGGTTCTTCAATTCTTCCAGTTGGATTGAAAATTACTTTAAAATCTGAATTTGATACCAAGAATTCTTGAAGTGTTTTAGTAAACATTCGAGTTCTAATTGGAGTAGTCATAACTTAAATTTAAAATAAAGTAAATTACCTAAAATCATTCATTTTTAAATCAGGTCACTTTAAATCTTTTATATAATTTTTCTTGGTGTTGCACACCGTTAGATAAGTAGTGGGGTTATGGTCACGTGTGCATTCCCAAATACATTTATCATCAAAAGGTTTTTAATTTCATTTAATTTCTATGTAATATATATATATTTTTAAAGTTCATCTTTAGTGTTAGCCTTCTCAACAATTTCAACCAATTCAGATTCAAAAGCTATAATTTGTTAGTATACGTGAAAAATAAAAATTTTTGAAAAACTAAGTTGAATTTATACATACTAAGAGTAGCCTTTGGTGGAATAACTCCACCAATACCGGAATCACCGTAGGCCAAGTCAGAAGGAATAGTCAACTTTCTCTTTTCTCCAACACAAATTCCATCTAAACCTTGATCCCAACCTGGAATAACTTGACGAACACCCAAGGTGAAAGTAATTGGTTCACCTCTTGGGTAAGAGGAGTCAAACACAGTACCGTCATCAAGTTGACCAGTGTAGTGTACTCTGATGGTATCACCTTTACCAGCAGCGACACATTCGCTAGCTGGAACCTTGGTTAAAACTTCTATAAAAAATAATTGTTAGTAAGATTTTTCTACAATGAAAAAGGACTCTTAAAAAACATACCGATTTGAAGACCAGAAGAACCAGCTGAGACAATTGATGTAAGGACGGCTCCAAGAGCAATTTTGTTGAATGAAACCATTTTTTGTTCTTTATATTATATAATATATCGTTCCTTTGATAAATCATTTTTAATTTTGGTTCTCGTGTTATCTTCTAGAGATTACTGCTAATCCTGCATGAACTAGTGTGGATTATACACCACAATCAATTAATTAACTTCATCTTTTGAAGAAAAAAAAATCTACATCTCAAACTTCATCCCTTTTTTAAATAAAAATTTCTATTGTACAAGATTATTAATAAACCTATATAATCATTTTCGTATCTTCATACCCCGAAAAAACCCATAAAACCAAATCAATAGCAAAAACATGTTGCACGCTCCTTAATAATTGGAGCTCCCAGCAAAAAACAACATAAAAAAATTTTCAACAAAAATGGAATCCAGATCTAGCTAACAAACAAAAAAACCACTTAGTTAGCGTAAAAGCGACCTTCTTCCAACTCTTCAATTGTTCCTTCAACAATTTCATCATCATCATCATCTTCAACCAATTCAATGGTTGCATACTTAATCATATCCCAACGTTTCCAGAAGGAATTGACATCGAGTACATCTTCCGAGTCAACCAAATCTTGCAAAAAATACTTTGCCTTTGTCAATCGATCTTTCAATTCTTGTAATTGACTTGACGATGGATTGTATTCAGAAGAGCAAGTTGGCTTTACAGGCAGCAGTTTTTGGTACATTTGTTGTTTATGGCTGCCTTTTACTCTATGTTGCTTGGAACCTTGATCAAAGTCACAATCTTCATAATCAGTGATGTCAGTAGAATTTCCAAAGTAATCCTCATCATCTGTAGCAACTGATGCAGGTGTATTAGCATACATTTGTGGTTTGGAATAACCATATTCTTCGTCTTCTGCATATGAAGTGGCATTACAATAACGAGCCCAGGCTTCGTCGATAGCAGTGACTAAATAATCAAAGCAACGACTTCTTGCATTCTTATCAGATAAAGGTACCAAACGCTTCATTGGAGAAGATGCAGCCGCGTTATAGTTTGAAACTCCAGAGTTGACATTAGCATTAGCATAGTCATCAGACATCAATGTACCTCTGCGCTTCAATTTACCAAGACATATAGAAGATCCAGTAGAGGAGAGTAGCTTACAATCAATATTCTCATCATTGAGGTCATCTTGGTTATGTTCATCATCCTCATCACTGTATTTCGCAATCGCACGCGATACATTAGGGTTGACTGAGAAAGACATACGTGTAGAAGCCCTTCTCTTAGCCTTCACCTGATCGGCATTGTAGCATGATTGTTCATCCAGATCATCATCATTTTCAGATGAGGAACAAAACGCAACAACAGAACGGTATGACAAAGCGTCTTTGGCGAGTCCAAGACACATTCTTTTTGGTCCATTGGATCCATTAGATGGAGATCCATTAGCAGAAGAATTAGGCCTTGATCCCAAACCATAGCCAAATTGGCAACTACGTTTGTTCAATGACTGCGATGAAAGAGCCATATTGTGAGGTTGGGTGTGTGTGTGTGTGATGGTTGTGTATATAAGTATTCACGTGCCAATCAATTCCCTAAAAAGAAAAAAAAGAGGTGCGGTAGTGTGTTGGTTCAAAAAACACAAAAGCCAAAAGGACAGGTGGCAATAACTGAACAACCAATCAAGGCGTCAGAAAAATGGGCAAAAAACCGGGAAATAAAAATTCTCCAGATGAGTGCCTGGTACTATCGTTAGTTTGAGTAACAGATAGAAAGTATAACGATATTTCAGTAGATCAACCGTAGTATACAACACAGTATAATTTTGTTAACCAACAAAAATAAAACGTGTAATAAAAAAACCCAATATAATAAGTTGTTTCAACTATACAACAAGGGGCGATAAAGTTGTTGTAGAGAAAAAAATGACCAGAAATTAAGGAGGAAATTTCCGGAATTGAAAAATCGGGAAAAGTGCGAAGAGGTTTGATTTTAAGGCGCGCTTCGACAATTCTCTGATTGGCTATAAAATAATTACCCGGACTTTGCACTTTTTAATGTGGGTGTACAGCACCAAAATCCTGTGTAAGAACAATATTTTCCCATTTTGTGTGAAAAGATAGGGGAAGATTATGCACCTATGGGTGCCTATACATGCAATGCTCCACATAATAATACACTTTAGGTTCAGAGCACTGCCTTTGGAGACGCGAGAATACTTCCAGTATTTGCTAAATGTTACAATCTGGACGCATCAATTCCCCGAATTAATATGAGTTTTTCTTATTTTGGATCATTTATTTTATATTTGGTCATTTACTATGTATGCATTATACAAAAAGATAATGAAATTATTTCAAGGTGAATGAATTGAAGCTCACTTTCCTGCAAAAAATGAATGAAAAAAGATAACTACTGTTATACAAATCTAACTTTTTTTTTTCCAATACAAACAAGTGGTGTTAAAAAAAAATGATAGCCGCATGGAATTCTGAATTTGTTTGCAATGATTTTATATACGCAATTACTAGTTGCCCATAAATTGCCATGAAATCTGAAATCCAATGCTATATAGTTAAGTTATAAAACATAGAGAGTAGGAGAATCTAGTATTGGACAATTGAAGCCGTACAGAATTAGGCAATCATCATGCTTCAGAATTTAGGATGGAGACAAAATTTAGAAAAGATAGTACTCGTAGAAAGTAAGAGCAATTATAGATGTAAATTATAGATGTATAATGAAGTAAAGAAATACCCTTTAAATTAATCTCCTAGTGAAGAGAAATTAGAGTTCTATTTGAATTGTATGTATTAACCATCTACAGGTGCCTTTTACTTCTGCGAATTGAATATGCCTCCCTATTTCTCTGTGTTGTAACATGAAGTATGATCCATCATGATCAAAGCAAAGGATTGATATATGTATTTCCATGCATCTTTAAAAAAGCTAAAATAAGTGTAAAGTTAATTTTGATATTTAAATCTAATTTCAACGACAAATATATTTCGCAATCAAAATACCAATCCATTGAGGGAAAATGAACGTTAATTTTAAGGAATAGTACACTTGTAGAGGTTCCCGCCATTTATCTGAGCCATTCAGGTACCTTTCAATACATATGGCTCAGAATTATCTACATTTATACTTTTTACTGTTGGATTCCAAAAACAAATATATATATATAGGGTGTAAGGATGTACATATATTGAAGAAAAGTGATACTCTTTCTCTGGGAGTTTTACTGAAGATGACTATCCTCAATATTAAGTTGTATAGCCTTATAAACTCCATATCTACAAAGTTTCAGTACTTCGATGGAACTGGTGGAAATTTTCTTCATAAAGAGTATATCAAGATTGAATTTGTGCGGCATCAATCTTGAGATTGTATTTAGACGACACGAAAAAGATTAAGGCAAATTCTTATTTTCAACAAAGATTATGGCTTCACATGCATCTATGTATACAGGGTTGAAATACTATTGAAACGTCATAATTATAATATAAAAAGTGATCTAATATTGTAGGGGTGCATGGTGTATGGGTGTAGATATTGCACCCAATTCTTTTGTTAGCTGGGGACAAACACTTGTCTCTCAACTGACATACTGCTGCCTCACTTATGTCCCACATGAAGAACAAAACCTTTTAAATTCCGAATTGATTGATAATATACGTATATTGAACCAATAATGTAAATGTAAAACGACTGCGATGAAAATTTCAACTTGTTCCATGTTGAGATGGCGCCATTTACTACTAATTCCTAACAAATGTGGAGGGTAAGACTCTGCTAGTATATACACCCGCATCTAAATCAGCCACATCTTCAACTATGTATTATTGCAAAGTTATTGACATGTCATCATCATATTGATATATATTTGCAGTGGGTGAATCACAACTGTTTTTTAAGAATTATACATTCTGTATTTTAAGATGCGTGTACTTTTCATACTCTTCACTTTGCTACTCCAAACAGTAATTTGTGAAAGTTATGCCGATTCATTGCGTAATATCGTTACCTCGAAGACAAGTCCAGTTGATAATAGTGAGGGTGTTGTCACATTTAAGTCCTCTTCATTTGGATTAGCTGACTATGGTATTAGCGGTGAAGATGTTGAAGTTCATAGTTTTACCAGTTACAACTATTTGAATCTATTATCAACTCTCGCCTCCACTGCTTCGGAACAAGGCCATCACGGAGACGTGGTATACTTGTACTACAAATTTATTTTTGGTGGACAGCCTGAATTAACTAGTACCGCAAGTGGATCAGTCTTGGTCAGTTCTATGGCATTGGACTTGATCGTTCCTTCCAGTGATAGAAACGCTGCTCTCAAAACCGTTGAATTGTTGGGTAACTCTACTAGTATTGATGAGATTGTAACTTTGTATAGCTCTACATTACCAGGTGTCTTCTTTACTAATTAGAGAAAGTTTGATCTAGTAGCATGCTGTCCAAGAAAAGTAGGTTAACTAAAATAGAAAAAAAAAAAACAAAAAAAACAGTTGAGAATATTTGAAATATATTGATAGATACATACACATATATTATAAATGATACAAATTCTCAACATAAAATTTCATACTTAGTCTTACTCGTCTTACACAGAGGAGAAGGCATGATTAATCGTTTCTTCATTGTCTTTTTTATGTTTGCAGCCAAAATCCGGAAACCTGATACATATACAGGAACTTTGTACCCCAGTCAAAGTACTTGTATAGAATGCAGAGATTAGTTGCAATTATCTTTAAATTACCAATATGATATAATATATACATTGTAATTGTGAATTGAAAGGATTTTCTGTATTTTCAGGTATATTTTGGGAAAGCGAACCTGGAGAAACTCGAAACAAAAAAAATGGTAAAAAAAAAAAAGAAGAAAAAATCTACTAAATGTATAAACGCTCCTATATCTCTAATTATTGAATTTTTGAAATATTTTAACATATAGTATTTACAAGTGTAGCAGTTTAAACACCATAACAAATTTATTAACTTAATATCATCACCCATTTTAGAGAAAAATTAGGTCGAAAAATATCAGTCTGTGCACATAAAAAACAGTGGACTTTTTAGAAATATCAAATAGCCTGCGTAGCGTAATGGTTAACGCGTTTGACTTCTAATCAAAAGATTGCGAGTTCGACTCTCGCCGTGGGTTCTTTCTTTTTAATTTTTTTTGTCTAAATTAATGTTTTAACTCCTACTAAGTGGTGATGAATTCGACATATTGTCATAATTTCATATTAAGATATGTAAAATTTACATATACATTTACAAAACATATTAAAATTCGGCAGCAAATGTTTCAGCTGCATGCAAAAGATTAAGATTTTCTTCAGATGAAGATTGTTCAATTTTTGATGGTGAAAGAGAAGTTGAAGAACTGTCTGATGGTAGGTCTGAGCTAGATTCTTTCCCCTTTGAGAAATATTGTGAATACTTGGGATCATTTTTCCTTATCACGTTCTCATGTCTTCTTCTTCTTGCCACAGTAGATTCATTTAACAGCTGGGGTATATATCTACTAAGGAGGTAGTTAGCTGCCAAACCTTGCCACGTAGTAGTGTTCGATACTCCTTGGCTGTTTAATTTGGTATTGAGAAATTCAGTTGCATTATTTGTCATTTCATTATATAATTCATCAAAGTTTTGATCATTTTGTTGTTGTTCTTGTTCTGGTAGTTTGGTAGATGGGCCATGTCCATATTGATATGAACTAAATGGATCGCTATTAATTTTCCCATCTAAAGATTTTAATAATTTAATAAGGAAACCTAAGAGTTTATTAAAGTTCTTTTTGTTTATCATGTATAATTCATTGGCTGTGTACTTCCGGTACAACCAAAGTGAGATAGGAATGCCTAGTTTGATCGCGGTAAACGAAAGCCTGATCAGAAGGATAGCCAAAGCCTGCACTTTATCGATAGTTATACCCGATTCTTGAAGATTGTTGAGATCTTCTTGTTGCATTTTTTCCAATGATATTTCTTCCTCATTAATATCATCTCTAGCATCCTCAAAAATATCTAATTCATCTTGTAGAAGACGTAAAAGTTGACCCTTTTTACGATTATCCAACAGTTTAATTAAATCTTCCAATTCCTCTTGTGTAGAATATACATCATCATTGTCCCCGTGTTCCAGTTCAAACGTTGCTACCCTATTATTTTGAAGCATAGGAGTACCTGGGATACTGTTTTCTCTACTATTATTGGAAGATGATCTCCATGGGCTATTTTGAAGAACTTTATTGGAAGCAACTTCAACAATAGAAGAAATATCTTGCAACTTATGTGTCAAATTACGGTCTCGAACATCCAAGAGATCGTATATAGAATCCCTCATTGATGGAGGTTCTATTTCTTCAGATTCTTTTAAAACCTTTTGAAGATTTCTATTCACTAAGTTATCAAATTTTTCATGCTGTTCATTTAAATATTGTTTAACTTTTTCAGAACTAACTTCCTTTGTTTCATATGTTGAGTAAGATAGTCTTTTTGTAGGCAGAAAATCTGAATCATTCAGAGATGCTGAAGACGGAATAAGTGTTACTTCATCAATATTATCTTCCACAATCGTGGCTCCCAGTAGTATTTTATCGCCACTAACTCGTGGCTTATACGAATGATTCTGTCCTTGCAATTTGTTTGGTGGTAATGTTTTGATTTTATTGATAGGCTGCATACCCTGATAATCATCAAATGTATCAGCATAATTTAAAAATGTTTTACCAGCCACCACTGATGTTAGGTTTTTATCCTCATCCTCTATTATTTGCATTCTTTCAACTTCTCTTCTACGAAGAATTCGACTATATATTTTTTCTTCTGTAGTGGTGTTCCTTTTATCTATAATAATCTCATCATCTGGTTGATCTTGTAGATGCTTCATAACACCCTTAGGAATAATCTTCTCACTCATAGGAACACTCGATACTAGAGAATTTACCATACTCTTCAATGGCATCTTAGCAATCAGAATAAGAGTTTGTAATATATATGTATATTGTGATATGTGACTAAGAAAGAAGGGAATGCTAAAAAAATAAATAAAAATAAGACTGAGGTTCGTAATCAAAAAAAAAATAAGGGTGAGTACAACGACTCCACGTTCTAGAGATTGTAAAGAATTATTTTTAGCTTCTAAGCTACAGGAATAAAGGAATAGATACAGAGAGATTCCCCTCGAAAATCCTCGAAAATTGAATCAATATGTCATCAAGATCTACCGAAAAGAAAAAGAAATCCATATGTTGGGGTGAGAACCCCTATGGATTGTATCTATTAATTGTCACATGCAAAGAATGAATATTAGATAGAAGGAAGAAAAAAATAAAATAGGAAAATACGACACATGCAGGCAGTAGCAACTTTCGCATACATATTGATTACGTTCTATACTTGCTACGATGATAGTTTATAATTGAAATAAAACCTTGACAATTTTAAGCATACGTAAAGTAACAAGAGAAAGAATCTAAAATATAGACTAAAAATTAACATTGACAACATGTCTTCATATATCGTCAAATACATTGCTAATAGAGTTCTCAAGGATAACCAATGGAACAGACTTGGGGTTGAAGATCCCTATTACGAATATATTCCACTTGACGCTGAAGGGAAGAGGACCAAAAAGGTGAAGAGAAGAGTCCCTGATGGTCTTAGTAAGAATGATATTTCCGTACTTGAAGCCATCAAACAAAAGGCGTATCGTTATGACATTTGGTTTAATGTTGCTGGGGTGCAATTTGGTTGGTCTAGTATTGTTGGATTTGTACCAGTGGTGGGACAACTTTTGGCCACGTATTGGTCTCTTACCATTTTGGTAACTGCCAGAGGATTGGACGATGGGTTACCATTCGATCTTCATCTCTTATTTCTTATGAATATTGTCATTGACTTTGTTTTGGGGTTGATTCCAATTGTCGGTAATTTAGTCGAAATTGGATATAAGGCGAACCTGCGTAACTTTTTATTATTGGAAAAGCATCTTTTAAGAGTCGGACAAAAGAATATGGGGATCATTGAACCAAATGAAGTTCGTTCAAACTTCCTCAATGACAAAGTTGGCCCAGTGGTTGAAGAAACAATTCTTCCTGGCACCATCAAGGCTGGTGAACACTTGAAGCATTTTGTTAGTGACCAATACCATTCGATTCAAAAGCTCAAGGTTCGTCCAGGTACTGCTGCATCTGGATCCCCTACCACTGTCACTTCCCCTGAAACTGTACACCATCTTGAAGTAGAAGATGATGCCAAATCTATCAAGAGCGTCAATAGCTTGAACTCTAACTTGAAGAAGTATCCGGTTGCTTCTGAAAAATTGGATTAGTTGAACTTGTTGATTGATTCATTTGTTATTTTTTTTTGCAGCTATTTTCTAGGAGAGGAATTTTACAAGTTTACTTTATTAAGTTTTTAACTTTTTGCTCCCCTTTCCCCCTTTCAACCATCACCATTACTTTTATAATACTGTGTTATAATCGATATAACGCTGTATTAGGTATTTAATTCTTTCCCAATAAAATAATTTGTATAGATTCTATTATTATACTCAGATCAAGACGCGCGTGCACTTACCAAAAATGTTTCAAAAGTAGGCAATGCAACACTTTCACTGTACAAATATGGATGATCAGAAGATTGTGTTGGATGAAATTGTTTGAATTTCCTTTAGACGAGATTTTTTTAACCAAGTAATAAATTGAAATGGCCCGTAAGAACAAGAAGAAGTCTCCTTCTCCCCCTGCCCCTTCTGCCCAAACATCAGTGACAGATATTGTCTCCAACACAGAATTGGATTCTCTTGACGTATCGAAGGAGTCTAACGACACCAGCGAAGTAGAACCAATTAACAAAATACCCGATACTTCCGCAACTCTAATCCCCTCTCTGGGAACTGAACCAGAGAGCTTACCATCTATTACGAATGAAGTTGAATCATTGAAATCTACAGATGCAATTATTGAAACTGCCAAGGATGATTTGAATGATGTTGTACCAAACGAACTTCAAGAAGATGATGTCCAACCTGCCATTGTTAACCCGGAACAACTTGAACGTGAAGCTAATCCCGAATTGCTGCGATTTATGAACGCATGTCAAAAGGGGGAATTATCAGTGGTACAAGAACTTGTTTCTAATGGTTCCGTCACAGTCACTGAAACTTTCCAAGATCAAGTAACTGGATTGCATTGGGCTGCCATTAATAACAGATTATCTATTGTTAAGTATCTTTGTGAGAATGAATATTCAAAGGCCGATCCAAATGTCAAAGGAGGTGAATTGGATGCCACTCCATTGCATTGGGCCTGTAGAAATGGATTGACATATATTGTGGAATATTTTATTTGTCATACTGATGCCGATCCTTCTATTAGAGATGCACAATCCTACAACGCTTTGCATTTAGCGGTACATCTGTCTAATATCTTGCTTGTGGTTTATCTTGTGTTGCAATGTTGTGTGACTTCTTCCTCAACGAAAAAATTATATATTGATGAACCTGACAGTAGTAACAGAACCTCACTTCATTGGGCTGCATACCAGGGTGATATTTTCACTGTCAATACCTTGTTGAAGTTTGGTGCTGATGTTGGGAAAGTGGACAACACTTTATTTATTCCATTACATTGGGCATTTATGCGTGGTCATAAATCGGTTCTTAAACTGTTAACAGAAGCAGGATCTGATATTTTTATTAAAAATGACAAGGGGAAAGATTCTTTTGAAATTGCTAAAGACATGAATTGTTATAATACTTGGGTAACAGTTTTGAAAGAAAATGGTCGTTCACCAAAGAGTAATTGGGAATATAAACCATCGATTCTCGATGCAAAGACTGCTAAATTGATTACCTTTTTCTTCCCATATTTATTATTACCACTTGTCTGGAAGATCTGCTCATTCAACAATGGATTTGCCATTCCTAAAATCTTCTTTGCGTCTGTTTTAGCAGTTGCTGGCGTTTATTTTATCCAAAAACTCATAATTCCTTCATATTTCCGTGAAGGTAAGGCATTAGCCAAATCTCCATTTTTGGCAGGTATTTTCTCATCTTCATTGTTTTGGTGTACATTAACTTGGCTTTATAATATTGTTCCAACCTTATTTTTCAAAGATTTCTTTGCAAATGTTATACTTGCAGTTTGTATTGCAGTGATTTCCCGCACTTTCTACAAGTCTATGTTTATGAATCCTGGATTTGTACCTACACCTAGTGATTATAATGTCATTTTACAACAAGTTAAAGATTTGATCCAAGTGGGGAGATTTGATACCCTGAACTTTTGTATTGAATCTTATGTTAGAAAACCATTAAGATCGAGATATTCTAAGATTAGTGGCAAATTAGTTGCTAGATTCGATCATTATTGTCCATGGGTCTATAATGAAATTGGAGTTAGAAACCATAAATTATTTATGACATTTGTTTACTCACTTAGTGTTGCTGTTGCGTTTTATGTATACTTGTCAATTGAATTCTTTCATAAATACGAAGGAGGTCCCAACAGTGGTTATGATAGTGACGATGATGCTCAAAAATGTTGGCTTTTATCAGAAAACATGTGTATTGGCTACAGACACAATAATTTCCATTTCAATGTTGTCATGTGGTCGTTATTACAGTTTATCTGGATTATATTTTTAGAACTTACTCAGACTTTCCAAATATTTAAGGGAATTACCACTTGGGAATTTAGTTTATTAAACAAACAACAAGAGGGAAGTCCTGATAATATGGCGACATTACCTCGAGATTTTGATGGTCCAACTCCTTCAGTTACAAAACCACATAGACATAATGATGGTTTCAAGACAATGATGAGATTAATTGGATTAGATCAATTTGTTTCAACTTCAAAAATCTTTATTCTTTCCTTATTAGGGAATGCTACTACTGGTAACTCACAATATAGTCCGCTTGATAATGTTGGAATTCCTAGTGATTATGGTTGGAAAACGAATTGGTTAGACTTTTGGTTCTTGGGTGAATATAAATGGAGAAACTTATTTTATTTACCTATTGAAGGAGAGAATAACTTGAATGGTAAAGTAGTTGACTACTACAAGCTTTATGAATATCCTGCTAAATCCGCTGAAGCAGTTGTTTAATAAATAAATATCATGTCAAAGTAAAAGTAATGTAGTTGTACGAAGTATAAAAACATTTGAGCTAAATAAATCTTACACGCAAAAATCTACAAATATAATTCTTTTTGGACAGAGTATGTATTTTCCATATTTAAGTACGTCGACGTCACAACTTTGGATAAGACTACAGTTACTACAAAAATGAAAAACATTTTTGAGGTAACTTGTCAGACAGCCACTTATACCCACCCTAATCTGCCACAACCGAAGAAGTAGACAAAGAAGGGTAAAGATCATCGCTCCTTTTAAAACAGCCGCCCAAAGGCATTTGTCGAAGAAAAAGGCAAATAAAAATAGATGACTAGACCGCTAAGGATCACAGACAAGCTAAAGGGTTTCTCACTTTGAGGGTATAAGGGTATCATCTCATCAACCAAGTTGGATTCAGTGGCTCTTTTGAAGAGTCAAAGAGGGACGTAAACTATAGAAATGATCCTATGAAGTACGTCGACAAAGAAAAAAAAGTAAAACCATCAAAGGCGGTGAAATCGATGCGTTTAAATAGTGAAAAATTCGCGGTTGTGAGCGTTTGTCGAAAAAAGAGGAATTTAGGGCTCGATTTTTATGGCCGGGTAACAAAAAACACAGGGCTAGGTCCTAATGATTAAGGGTAGTAAACTATAATGTTCACTTATTAAATATATATATATATTTTATAACTTAAGAATGTGGGTTCAATGATAAGTGGGTTCAATGATAAATAGATTCCTAGTTAGAGTTTCTTTCTAATCAGTTAATGTAATGGTAGCGGGTTTATTGAAGAAGGACTTTTAATAGTGTAGTATATTTTGGCTGCAAACGGGGATACCGCTATGCCTCCATTTCAAAGGTATATGTCCAGTAAAATGTTTTTGAAGTATCTTTTATATCTAATTCTAAGTGCCTGGAGCACATTGAGATTTCACTATGTATATACATCTAAGACAGAAATAGATATTGAGGAAGATGTATTACTTTTCTCTCTACTTGGTGGGCGTGCTTCTACTTCAAGCCTTAGAATGTACCTATATCAATGACTTACTCTACACCTCTAAGAACTTATATGGGCTATAATGATTTATCCAGATTGACTCTCTCAAAGTATGACCTTCAGTACTTTAGCTGAGAAAACGTTCTTAGCGCAATTGCTAGAATAATTTTATTTAAGGTTCCAATCCACTTCAATATATAATAGGGGAGTTCATTTTCTAAGCTAATTGACCTTTTTGATTTAAAAGGTTATATCTAAACAATTTGACCATTATCTTGTCATCCAGTTGTAGTTGATTTGGGCTGAATGACATGTATCGTGATTTTCTGCACGTGACAAGATCAAACAAGCATACCATATATGCATTGAGCACTTCTTTTTATCAAATTTTAAATATATATAATCTTACCTTCATTTCGAAATATTCTATTCATGTTTAAACTTGGAGATGGATATTTTTCCCAAATCAAATGTCCGAATGTATCAGGAAATTCCCAATGTAATATTATAAATTGTATTTTTAAACATGATAACCTGAAAAAGAGATCATTAGATGAACTGGTTGAAGTTTCTTCTAATAAAAGAAGTGATAATACTACAAAGACGTCAGAAGTTAAAGATATAACCATCCTCTTACCTAAAGCAGTATCACATATATCAGTTTCTAGAAGTGAAAGAACCCAAATAACCAGAAAGATAGCCGATCATTTCAGAAAGGAATCGAAAACTCCAAATAAGGATGCAATTGATAAAGAATACGAACTTTGTTGTTCGAGTAAAAGTATAGAAGAATATAACACGAATGTGGCGAACTATATTAAATCAATTCTGGCCCCAGAACTTAAAGATCCTAGATTTATATTACCGAAGGAAATGAAGAGTGGAGCACCTGCGATGATTCAAGTGAGAAAGAAATTCATTCAACTGATCGTGGACGTTTACAAACAAGTAACTCCTGAACTTAAAACACCAATACTAAGGGCGATCAAGGATGAATATGGAATTGCCACCAAAACTACTGGTAATACTTATGGACCTACTATAAAAAGGTTTGTATATGACCTCAAGAGGAATGGAGGCACCATCAAGACTGAACCATTAAATGCAACTAAAGACTTGAGCGACCTGGAGCTATTATCAAGACTTGAGAAAATTGTAATTTCAAAGGATGTACTTACAAAATTTGGTTACATTATGGATACTCCTGAGACAATCAAACCAGAACAAAACAGAACATGTAGGCGGTGTAACATATCATTTAAATTGAAAGACCAAATGATTCCTACAAAGTGTATATACCATTCTGGTCGAAATAAAAAGAAAGATAAACACGTAAGAGCGTGGACATGTTGTGGTGGTATAGTTGGTGATTGTGATGAGTGTAGTACTTGTGAGCATCATGTGTTTTATTGGTCCAATGCTGAAGAAATGCATCTGGCGATTCCATTTACTCACACAAACACTTTAACTGTGAACAAGAATGCATTTAAGGCGCTTGGTATAGATTGTGAAATGGGATTCACTACATTGGGATTTGAACTTCTTAGAACAACTGTAGTTGATTTTCTCAGTGGTGAAGAGGTGCTTGATATTCTTGTTCGACCTAAGGGTACAATAATTGATTTGAATACGAAATGGTCCGGGGTTGCAGAAATCAAGGAAGAGGCAGTTAGTTTCGAAGATCATCTTATGATGTTGAATGAAGTTATGGATAAAAACACGATATTGATTGGGCATGGGTTAGAGAATGATATGAATGCAATGAGAATAATACATGACCGAATTGTTGACACAGCTATTCTTTACCCTAAACACCAAACGTCACCTCAAATGCGTTTCTCTCTTAAACATTTGTGCTTCACGTACCTAGGAAGAACAATTCAAGAAGGGGAGCATGATAGTGGAGAAGATTCATTGGGAGCTATAGACGTTGTCAAGTACTTCCTTAAAAAGTAATACAGTAAAATATCGTATACATATATTCATAAAAAAGAGTTCCTCCAACTATTTCTCTGTTAAAATTCATCTTTGAAACGGTAATGGGCCTGTGAGACTTGTGATATTGATCTTTTACAAGTAGGTGTTCTCCCGTCTACACAATGGAAAGTTCCATTGATTGGAATCTTTATCTTTTCCACCGATGTGAGTGCACCGCGAAACTCTGGATCTATTATGCGGAAACCACAAGATTTGGCAATCTTAAGACTTTTATCAAGTGTTACTTCCAATGACAATTGTCTTAGTTTGACTTGTGCAATATCAAAATATGATATTGAACATTCTAGATCATAATTGAGATGTTCAAAATCGTAATAGGGTAGATCTAGTGCTGGGAAGTTGGAAAACTTTTCAATAATGTTATCTTCAATTTCCTTGTGGAGAAGATTGGGTTCAAATTCCTCATGAATTTTAAGATGTATTTGTGGTGTGGGGGTAATGATTGCCAAGTATTTTTCATTTGTATTCAATCTACACTCTGACGCTTCAAGTTCATCATAAACTAATCGTATATCATGTACATGGAATGTTATTGTTGAGTCCAGAATACATTTTCTTGACGCAGAATATGGCGCTAAGGGAAAAAGGGAATCATGAGCTTGTGATAACTCTTGGATTACAAATGAATCATGATGTGATTTTGTAGAAACATGGAGTACTTCAAAGTTTTTCAAAGTTGTACGATACGTTTCACGCCCAACAATTGGAGCAAAGATGAATAATACCATGTAAAAAAATAACTTTGAGTACATATTTACTTTTTGGGTTGTATAAGTTGGGTACATTGAATACTACTGATGTTTTTATATACAAATATATATAATTTGCAGCCACCACAAATGGAAGATTGTAGAAAAATAGGAAGATGAAAAACAAAATAAGAAATACTTGGTATCCTCATACAATATGGAGAGATTACCTACACACATATATACAAAAGCTTTAGAATGAGAGAGGTTAGATCCAAGGGTGTCACAGATCATCATAATGCTAGATGAAAAAAGTACAAGAGGAATCCATTCTATTTATCACTCTAGGTGAGAATAGATAGAAAATATATATAACTCTAAAGAAATATGAAGATAGAACAGGGGGTCTGGTAATATATGATATATGATATATGATATATGATATATGATACATATATATATATATTAAGCAATAAGTAGAGCATTGGGTACTATTCCGTTATCCTTACTACATTCCCGATACTTAGTGATTCTCTAATTTCAAGGAGACGCGAATCGCGACTTGTATTTTTTTTTTAACGTGTATGGGGGGGTACACGTTATTTTTTGTTGCAACATCCTTAATCAACTTTCTTTTTTGTTTTCAAATAACGAATTGACAGGGATTACTGATTTATCTCGAGATTGTATATCACCAACCTTGAATATATCATATCTGTAAAACTTGCGTTATGGCCATAACACCGATCAAGAAAAGGGCAACCAAGCCCGCTAGTAGTGGCAAGAAGAAACAAATGTCACTTATGTCATTCTTCAAGCCGCAACAATCGTCACCTTCAAAGACTGGCAGTGACAAGGAGAATGAGGATTCCAACATTCATTCGACACCCTTGACCTCAGACTCAGACCCAACCCCTTCCTCCTATAAGCAATTAGACTCATCTCCATTGAAAACTATAAAAGATACTCCTCAATTGAAAAAGAAGGATATCGAAGCTGATTATAAGAAAAAAGGAGCAAATGTAGTGGTAGAGGTAGTAGAAGAAAAGGAGGTTCCAGTTCAAAAGAAGGAAATACCTCCTACACCTGCAGTTGTCAAAGAGACTCCAGCAAAGAACGCGACGCCTGTGAATTCTTCACCACTCAAGGCTACACAATCAAGTTCCAAACGGAGTGCTGCTAGATCAGTCAGCTACATAGAATCAGATTCTGAAACTGAAGCCCCCACACCTTCCTCAAGAAAGAAGAGAAAGATTATTGAAAGTGATGACGATGACGATGAATTCAAGATGGATGAAGACCATGAAGATGACGACGATGATATGAGCGATTTTGTTGTTGATGATAACGAGGATGTTGCCGCGGAAGTAGAAGAAGATGATGATGTTGACGAAGAGGAAGTAGTCGAAAGAAAGCGTCCACAGAAGAAAAAATCGTCGTCTCCTACGAAGAACGTACCATCAACGACAGAGATTACCGAGTCCAGTGGACTTGGACAAAAGTTCAGTGCTTCTTCTTCATACGTAGCATCAGCAAATACTCCCGTTAAAAAGAAGTCTACTACTGCTAGTACAACCCCTGGGAGCACAGCGAAAAAGAATTTCAGTAAGGGAAACGAGGAAAGATATCAATGGCTTGTTAATATCAAGGACTCAGAAAAACGTCCCATCGATCATCCAGAATATGATTCTAGAACATTATATGTTCCTTCTTCAGCATGGAGTAAGTTCACAAATTTCGAGAAACAATATTGGGAAATTAAGAGCAAGATGTGGGATACAGTTGTTTTCTTCAAAAAGGGGAAGTTTTATGAATTATATGAAAATGATGCAACTATTGCCAATAGTCAATTTGATTTGAAGATTGCAGGAGGTGGCAGAGCTAATATGAAATTAGCTGGTATTCCAGAAATGTCATTTGAATATTGGGCTAAGGAATTTATTAGCCATGGTTATAAGGTTGCAAAAGTTGACCAAAAGGAATCACTTTTAGCAAAAGAAATGAGAGGTGGGGCTAGCAAGGAGGATAAAATCATCAAGAGAGAATTATCTTGTGTTCTAACTGGTGGTACTTTGACTGATATGAACATGATCAATGACGATATGGCTATCTATTGTTTGAGTGTCAGAGAAGAGAATATCGAAGGAAACAAAAAGAAGTTTGGTATTGCCTTTGTAGACACTGCAACTTCAGAATTGAACATGATTGAAGTTGTTGATGATGCTGAATGTACCAAGTTAGATACTATCATTACTCAGATTAAACCCAAAGAGATTATCGTTGAAAAAAATAACTTGTGTTCTATTGCTACCAAGTTAATCAAACATAATTCCGATATCAATGGTGGACTTATTTGGAACAATTTAAACCCTTATCTGGAATTCTGGGACTATGACACCACATTGGAAAACTTGGTGAAAAGTAAATATTATCCAGCGGAGGATTTAGATGATTTATCGAATTATCCAAAGACTTTGATTGAATTTAAGGATAACTATAAATTAGCATTCCACGCGTTTGGTGGGTTATTATATTATTTGAAAGGATTGAAGTTGGATACAAGTATCATGACATTGGGAAATATTAACCAATATGACATGGTTCACAAGACTTCCAGTTTGTTATTGGATGGTATTACTTTGACCAATCTTGAAATCTTAAACAATTCTTTCGATGGAACAGACAAAGGAACCTTATTTAAATTGTTAAACAGAGCTATCACTTCATTTGGTAAAAGACATTTAAAGAATTGGATTTTACACCCTCTTTTGAATCTGAATGAAATCAATGCTAGATATGACTCTGTTGATTATTTGAGAAATAACGGTGAATTTAGAGATATTGTTGAACAAGGATTATCAGAATTACCAGATTTAGAACGTTTGATTGCAAGAGTTCACGGTAAGACGTTAAGATTTAAGGATTTTGTCAAAGTGATTGAAGGATATGAGAGAGTATCCAGATTAATGAGTATTCTTAAGTCATACGATACACGGGAAGCTGGTGTATTACAAAAGTTTATCGAGAACTTCCCAAGCGAAATGGAAGGAGCTATAGAACAATGGTCTGATGCATTTGATAGAGACCAAGCATTGAATGATATTGTTGTACCTGAAAAGGGAGTTGATTCTGAATTCGATGATTCTCAAGCTAAAATGGATAAATTAGAGGCACAATTGAATGAATACTTGAAGGTATACAAGAAAGAATACAAATCACATGAAATTTGTTTCAGAGATTCCGGTAAGGAAATTTTCCTTATTGAAATGCCTGTAAAAATAAAGAATATCCCCAAAGATTGGCAACAAATGGGCTCTACCTCGAAAGTGAAGAGATTTTGGTCACCAGAGGTAAGAAAGTTGGTCAGACAATTACTCGAACAACGTGAATTACACAAGATGTTATGTGAAACTTTGCGATTCAGAATGTACGATAGGTTTGATGCTCACTATAAAGTATGGATCTCCACAATTAAGGCGTTATCCAACATTGATTGTTTGATTGCTTTGACAAAGACTTCTGAGAGTATCGGATTCCCAGCCTGTAGACCTGAATTTGTAACTGACTCAAATGACGGAACAATCAATTTCAAAGAATTAAGACATCCTTGCTTTGTTGGAACTAATGATTTCATCCCTAACGATGTCATTTTAGGAGGCGACGAGGCAAACATTGGGTTGCTTACTGGTGCTAATGCAGCTGGTAAATCTACTTTGATGAGAACAACTGCATTGGCAGTGATTCTTAGTCAAATTGGATGTTATGTCCCTGCAGAACTGGCCAAGTTAAGTCCAGTGGATAAAATCATGACTAGATTGGGTGCAAACGATAATATTATGCAAGGAAAGTCTACCTTCTTTGTTGAATTATCAGAAACAAAGAAGATTCTTGAAAATGCAACCCCTAAATCATTAGTAATTCTTGATGAATTAGGACGTGGTGGTTCCTCATCTGATGGTTATGCTATTGCTGAATCTGTTCTTTATCATCTTGCTACACACGTGCAATCATTAGGATTCTTTGCTACTCATTATGGTACCTTGGGATTATCTTTCAAAACACACCCTAAGATAAAACCACTCAGAATGGCAATTGTCGTGGATAAAAACTCAAGAAATATTACATTCTTATATAAATTAGAAGCCGGTGCTGCTTCTGGGTCTTTTGGTATGAATGTAGCATCTATGTGTGGGATTTCGGAAGATATTGTGGTGAAGGCAGAAATTGCTGCAAAGGAATATGAACATACTTCAAAATTGAAGAAGCTTACTGAAGAAATGCTACAAAATGAAGGATCAACTAACCTTAGTTTGGGATTGCAAAGTGACTTCAGCTGGCTAGTCAACAATTATGAAGACCTTTCTAAATCGGCAATGGTTTACGACGAAAATGTAAAACAGAATGCCTTAAAGAGTATTTTTAAGATGATTGAATCACTTTAAATATAAAAATATATAATATAGGTTTAATAGTATTTAAATCTTACAGTATATTTCACGTGACTATTGTATAATACCTGGGATTTTGATACCCATTAATTGGATCCAGGTATTTCCGTTACCAAATTCAATTATCAACGACATCACTTTCACAATTTCCCGCAATAGACACGCTGCTTAATTTTACAATAACCAATTTTATGGCATTTGTAATTTTTCGCACTTTTGTATGAGTATCACTATTCTTGATAATTGATTTAATGCTTATCAATAAAAATTATAAATAAAAGGTTATGATTAATAATAATAAAGAATAAGTAATAGATGATATAGAAAATAGTGAAGATTATTAGTAGTTGGGATGTAAATTCCCCATTTTATAGCATTTCCAAATATAAACACACTAAATGCAACAATAGATAAGTTTCTTAGCCGTATATAAACTGAAATCTAACTACTAGGTTCTAAATCGGCATTGGTTCACTACGGACATATAAGACAGAAAGCCTTAAACAGTAATTCATTTCAAGATGCATGATTCACTCTTAAAAACATATGAAGATTACTAATGACTTCTGAGTCAATTTATTAAATTCGCGTACAGGATGGTTCGACTTTTGTAAATTCTAGGACTATTAGTGCCACCCAGTATTTTGAGTCATTTTTTATCATTACTATATCGATTCAATTAACGAACATGTTTCGCAGATTAGGTTTACACACAAGAGCTCCATACCATGTTTTTCTCTACTCCTTGATTTTTGGAGCTACGACTTTCCATTCTTTTATCTTATCTCCAATTGCCTTCAAGCTACTCAAGCGCGAAGACTTTGGTAACTTACAAAACAAGATCTTCCCAGGGTACTTTATTGCTCAAACCATTTCTCCTGTGTTGTTGGGACTTACTGCTCCATACACGGTTTGCCCATTTGGAATTGGTGTTTTGGCTACTTCTGCTGTAGCTGGTGCCCTCAACTATTTTGTGTTGTTGCCATGGTGTCACAGTATCAAGGAGGAAAGAGTTAAACTTCAAAAGGAATTAGGTGCTGATGCTGAACCAACAGAAGAATTGGTTAATTTAAACAAGAAGTTTGGTAGGGCCCACGCTTTGTCATCCATTGCAAACATGGTCTCTATTTTTACCTTAGCCATCTACGGTACCTACTTGACCAGAAGTTTGAATAAGGTTTAAAAAAGATTAAATTGATATTTTGAATTGAATTATTCTGGGTATACACATTAGATGTATACAAAATTATGTATGTATATAGTTATAGCAAAAAGCAAAGTTGTTTATATATTTTTTGTATTTATTGGTTTTTCTTAAGAGCTTCAGTTTCTTCCTGTTCCTTCTTGATTTCATCTGCATAGACATAAGGGTAGAACACAGCCAAAACTAAGTAGACAGAAACCACAAGATCAATCACAAATAACCCACCATGAATGGCAATTTCTGAAGTTTCCATGTATGGGTTTCTCAAGAGTTTTCTCATAATCATGGCGTAATGGAAAAGAAGCCATACTACAACAAGGAAACTACCAACCATGAAAATACCGTCAGCTTTCATCTTTTCAGTAATAAAAGGTTCTTCCTTAACCTTCTCGGCGCCCTTTACGGCTGTCTTATCGTTATTACTCATATTTATTGCTCTTTAATTGTAATTAGAAAGGCTAGTGTATTAGAATCTATATCGCATCGCTTAAAAAAATATCATGGAAATGTAATTTTCTCATGTCACTACCCCACGTCAAAAATTTATCGCAATAAGATAAAGATAAATCATATGTTTTGTACATACCTCATAATAAATAGTGTTAATAAATAATATAAAATTAAATAACAATATACAAATATAATAATATAATAATAATAAAATGAAACAGAGCTGGCTCCACGTCATCAATAAATACATTTTGGTTTCGTTCCTTCACTTTTTTTTTTCTTTTATCTTTTTGATAGCTGCAAATCTTCTGATATCATGAGAGAATACGGCCTTCATTATCAATCATAAACTTTCGTAATTGTGACAAACTTCCACTAAGTTTCTGGAAGATGCACACCTTGATGTTGGTATCATACATATAGCCCAAAATCAACTCTCCAATCTTGAGAATGTACAATGATTTCTCTAAACTATAATTATTGCTCGAGAATCCGTTATTACTGTAAAGATACAAGTTTGCAAAATCGTTCTCAAGGTTCAAATTTTCGTACTTTTCTTTCAAAAATTGTTCAATCTTACCCAAGATCTTCAACATGATTTCAAATCTTTGATTTAATTCTTTATCAAATTCTGTAGCAGATCCATTTTGAAATTCATTGACAATATGATTTCCACTGTTCTTAAAATGATTCTTTCTAATCATAAACGTTGAAAATAATGAAAATATTGAAAAGATATGGAATAACATTTGTGAATGGATTGATGCTTTTGAATTATCAAATTCATCATAAACTTTTAAATTGATCATTTTTTCAAATTCCGCAGATGTATTGAATGTAGACGATGCCATATTCAATAACAGCTCATTCACCAAATCATGGAAACTTTCCGTACCAACAAATGAAATTTCATCATGATTCTTCTGTAAACCTCCATTTGATGTATCAGTTTTGAACAAAATTAATTTAAGAATAATGATGCAACAATCAACAATTTTTAAATAGTCATAATCACTAATATTGTTCATATTCATCAATAAATTGTTGAAATTCTTTGATAATTCATCATAGTTTCTTAACCAACTTTGTTCCTTAACCAATTTAATATTCACAAGAGACGACATTTTAGTGAAATTTGCTAGTAATGCATAATCCAACTTTTCAAAATCTTCTTGAACCTTATTGAGCAGTTCATATATAACCCCATGGTCATTTTTACCAACATATCTGGTTAAATTGTCTAAGATAACAAATACATTAACACTTCTCATTTCCTGATATTGCTTGATCTCAAAAATTCCATGAACAATAGATATGAATCCAAATAACGACAAATTATACATCTTACTATTCAACACAGTATCAGTTGGATTTTCCACATTGAAATTCTTAGTAATTTGTAACAATGCATCACGGAATACAATTTTATTCAAACTTGCTTCAGTAAGTAATTCATCAATTGATTTTCCATTATGACTTTGTCTGAAATCTTGGAAATGCAGAAAGCTTTTAAAGTTCCACAAATATTCTTCCGTTTTATTTGGAGCATCAAGAGTCCCTAAATCATTAATACTCAAAGTTAATGGTACATTGTACATCATAAGTAAGAAATTAGTTAACCGATAAATCATGAAAACAATTCTCTTTTGTGATTGTATGTTGATATTGTTCTTAAACTTCAATTCTTCATGTACATCATACAAAAAGAGAGACGAAGTGGCCGAGGTTCCAATATTTGATGTCGCCAAATCCTTTTCCATAAGGGACAGATCCTGCTGTTGTGACAGACATTTCAAAAATGTTTCATAATCCTCTCCATAAATTGAAAATAAAATGACTCGATTACTCTTGATCGAAGTCTTCACCAAAGAGTTCAATGCATTCAATTGACGGATTACAATGTACACATTATTTTCATTATCAGAAAATAATCCATAAATAACAGAAAGCGTCAATGATTGAATGAGCCATAATGGATTCACAGATTGTGGGGTACCACCAGCCTTTTCATCTTCTCCATTTTCTCCACCAACATTATTTTTACGACTTTCAAGATAGATATGTATGGTACGTCTTGATGCTTCATAAAGATGTTCAGAATCATTCTTATTATTTGTAAGCAAGGCACCAATAGTAGCAACCAACAATGGTAAACAAACCCGAGCACTTTCATTATTCACATCTTCATTTGCAGTCATACTCATTATTTCATACTCATTTAATTTTGAGAAATGAATGAATGGAAAATGTGCTAAAAAGATATTAACAAAGTTGTTCAAATAAAATTCCAACTTTTCATTCAGCGGGATTGAAGGGGTCATTATACCACTAATTGGATATTTACTTAATGCACGATTGATCAGGTATCTGATGTTATTAGTGAATAATTTGTTTTTACTGTAGTTACCTGCTCTGAATGAAGAAGATCCACCATTTCTAGCAGAAGAACTCTTTTTAGTATTAATTTGAGCATCATGAGGAGATATTGACGTTGTTTTACCCTGTTCAATATTCATGAGTTGATTTTGGTTCAAACATTCTGATTGTTGAGGAGTTGTCGAGTTATGTGGGGAACTTGTTTCCATCCCAGAAGAAGATACGGAAGCATTATCACCATAAAATGAGTATCCATTTGGCATAAACTTTGAGTTTACATCATATTCATGAGTTAATTCTCCAATATCATTCAAAAAATTCAAATCAAAATTAGGGTTGCTATGGTATCTCATTTTGCCTCCTGAAGTACCACTTATATTCACATTATTGCCATCAGCACTACCAGATTCTTGGGGAGTTGGCGCTTCACTTTCTTGTTGAATTGTGCTCAATCCCATAGGAAGTCGGAAGTTCTCAAATTTGGCTCCACCAAGCATTGATTCAGGGATATCATAGAATGAATATCCATAATCACCACTTGAAGTATGTTCAGGCATCAAGCCACTCATAGCATGTCTACTCAAGGGGTTGGGAGGGTTGCTCGTGGCCAGTTGGGGAAGCTCTGTGTTAGAGAGACTGTCGTTTCCAACCATGTATTGCACACCATTACTCATTGAATCAAATGTATTGAACGAAGCAATGCTATTGATACTATCTGATCTCAAGTGACCAGGGATAGGACCAGAAAAAGATCCATGATGTGATACATTTTGTGGCAATTCATCTAAACTGAGAGGGGTGATGGAATTGTTTTTAAGTCGTTGTTGTTGCTGTTGTACTTTACCATTCATAGTCTTCATATTGTCGTTAAAGTTCTTGTTATTGTTGTTATTGTTTTTATTGTTAGTCGAATCACTCATTCCAGGAATGGTTGATAAGCTGGTTAGCCAATTGTCATCACTGGTACTTGATGGTAGCATTTGTGGAGTCGAAAACTCTATGTTATCAGCCCCTGGGTAGATATCATTAAATTCAGGCATTCCAACGGCATAATTGGCCCCAGATTGAGCTGAAAACGACACCCCACGACTTCTCCCCACTAATTTTCTACGATCAAATACTTGCCTTTGTAATGAAGATGATGCTTCCTTCAAAGAACCATTACGGGATAGTTTCTGACCACCACCCAATTTCTTCAGAGGCGGGGTATGCGGTTGTTGCTGTTGTTGCTGTTGTTGTTGTTGCTGTTGTTGTTGTTGCTGTTGCTGTTGTTGTAAATGTTGATGTAATTGTTGCAGCTGGTTGAACAAGTTCAAGTTGAATTGAACCGATTCACCACTGTTATTGTAGGAGGTAGATGGCGTACCTGAAGACTTAGTTGGACTGCCGCTATAATCTGGCGGAGAAGCAACTGAGTCATCATCATCCATGTCCATATCAAACTCATGGGATTGAGAACCTGAACGTTTCATGGACTTTCGGCGAAGTCTGGTAATAGCATCAGCACAGCCCGCATGAAGTTTTTGAGCGTGTCTTAAAAGCAAATCTCTTCTAGAAAACTTCCGTTGACAAACGCCACAACTGAAGGGTTTCTCCTTGGTATGTGACCGTTCATGTCGACGAAGATGTTCCAATCTAGCAAAGGCTCGGGTACATACTTGACAAACAAATAGTCTTGGCTTACCAGAGGGAGTTGTTCCAAACGCAGTTAATTCAACAGGGATGTTTTTTTGTTTCTTGCTTCCAGAGGAAGGACTGTTGCTGGAAGATGATCGTTGGATATTTTCCATCTGTTCGTTTTTGATCGGGAAGTCCATATTTGTTTGTAATTTCACTTGCGAAATCATAACCGGCTAGAGTATGGATGTAATTAAGCAATTCATAAAAGAATCGAAACTCTCAATAGAAAAGAAAGATCAAATGACTGATGGGAAGCGTATAGTCCAAAGAGGTAGAATGTATAATGTCTGTATGAAATGTTAGTATTAGCAATTAAACTATTATTGAGAATATCCACCACCAGGAAATTGCCGAAAAGAGGGGGAAATAAGTATGTTGGGAATTATGCCAGCGCGCATATGTGGTAAGAGACTGCCAACAGTTATTTTAAATACATGACATAACAAAAAAATATAGGGCAGCGCAGTACTCGTTTTATATCTTGTCACACAAGACATATCCACACACACACACACTCACAAATACACGTTGGCATCCTTCGACATGGTCCATAGGGTCACGACACACATATATATATATGTCCCCACCTACTTGCTGTGCAGAAAAACGCAAAAATGACAAATACTCATTTTCCTAAAAAAAAAAAGCCAATTTAGTGAACGAAAAATAAATGGAAAAAGGGGACCAAACCATTAATTTTTACCCCAGATTTCTGCGGGTGTATTGCCCTTGGCTAAATGATATGGAAGTTCAAGAATGTAACACATAATTGAGACCACACATTCAAGCCCGCTTAATTAATCTATGGTTGTTTCTGGTCTAGTACTACTACTCTCCCCTCTTCAATAATAAGATCTTTGCCCTCTAGCTCGTTTAATTGTTTTCTTTTTTGGTCCTTGTATTTTTTTGTTTTTCTGTACGACCCCCACATTCGAAGAAAAAAAAAATTTGGTGAGAGAAAAGTTCTCCACCATTAGATAAAGTGGTCAATCTGAGTGATATTCTCAACCTATATCCAAGGTTGGACGGATCATGGCAAGGCTGCAGAGATGTATCTCACACGCTGATGCTACTATTAGACCCCATTTATACATACTGGTACGTCAATGGTCCAACTTGTTAGTTCAAAGTAAAAAATCTATTCAACCCCAGAAAATACAAAACAGCGAAAATTACGGAAGTGAAGGGAAATTCCCAGAAATCCTCAAACGTCCTGCGTGCGGGATAAGAGTGCAGATAGGTGAAAGCGTGACGGATTGAAGCCGCAGATGTCGTGGCGGAATCAGAAATAGTCTCGATTTATTTTTATGTTTGCCCCACAAATGGTGGATGTACGATAAAAGTGGCAAATTAAAGATTATTTGATTGTTTTCCTTTTTCAATACTTTTTAAAAAGTGTTAAGTAGAACGATTAATTTTATATAGATATATATATATATATATATATATTTGCAAAATAGCTGGTGATGCATTAAACGGAGATCTACTATGCTACAGTTCCCGTTTCATGGTGAGTACAATGGGGGAGAATTTTCAATTTTATTTATTTTTGAATTTTCCTGCGTATTTTTCCCAACTATTTTTTAGATTGTTTAAATGTTTAACTCCACATTTGAAGGTCCGAAGTTTGAACCGACAAGTGCCGATGTCGTGCAAATGCCCAATACCACCTCAAATGTGTATATGAATCCACCAAGGCACATTATAGATAATTTTATCAAGTTAAAACTTGTGTGACCCCTTAAATATGATTATCATTCTTTAATTTAATTTATTTTTGACTTTAAAATATCGTTCTGCCCCCGTTTCTTTTCAATCAATCTAGTTTCCGTTTTTAAGCCTAAATTTATCAATAAATTTCAGTTCCATGTAGAACATGAAACAGTAATTTCCCTCATTTTTTGACCCCTGAATCATTATCATGGTTCTATACGTGACACTGAACTACGTCAACCTACCTAGTTGGCTGGTGGAGCTTAGTATCATATGTAAAGATGTGCAAATCAATTCATAGTGAAGAAAGGAATATTCCTTAAGAAACAATTCTTCAACAGTTTTAATATTTTTCTAAATGCTCTTTCATACGGTTAGACTTAGCGATAGACTTTTCTGTATTAGCTGGAACCTGGGTGCAAAAAAAAAGAAAATTGGACCCTTTTTTTAAGTGATTGTTTATTGATATATTCTACCACCATAAATGCTGACTACAATTATTTTTCAATTAAAGTCGTGGTAGAGCTCCAATGCTACTTCTTGTATGATAAATACACACCTCTCTCTATTGGGGAACTGTTTTCATCTACGTTCATTTATAAATTCTTCTTTCTAATTACAACTATTCACAATTACCTTCTAAACTTTAGTATTCACAACCTGAATCCTCTTCTTCACTGTCGTTGTCTTGTGAGTCTTGTAGAATGGAACATCTCCTAAGTTATCTGCCAATGTGATCACTTGGCCACTATCTCACAATCGTTCACTAGGAGAATTTGCACAGCAATTGAAGCAAGGAGAATTGGGATAATAGTTTCGATGACGAGTAGTAGTTTGACAGTTCCCGCAAGAACGTGGACCAAACTGTCTGTCTTTTCACTTACCCTGAACCGTGAACCGGATCCGCTTCTAAATCAGCTCCTCGCTATAACCATATAGATAATATAATTACTATCTTCAGGTTCTGCCTTAAAAATCTCAATAACGTAATAATTCTGACCGTCTTCTAGAATCGTTCATATATCAGATTCAACTCAGTTTGCGATACCTCCTAGAGATATGAAACATCCTGAAATCTTTAAGTTTATTTAAGACTATCACCCTCCTTAATTTATTCATCTTCGTGTCTTTCAAACTACTGAAATGATTTACCTAATGAAATTAATGTTTCCCTTTATGTTTTATTCTGTTCCACCATTTTCTGGCCATGACTTCAAAGCAGAATCTGGAGTATTTTCACTTATTAATGGCTGTAAAGAATCATTTTACCAAACGATATTTGGCACCGTCCCCTACTTCCTTCTTTGAAATATCATTTGTTAGAAACCTAGCCTCTAGGCTGAGGAGAACAATATCCCTCTGAGCATAGGACAAATCTTGCTGAGATCTATACCGGGTAATATTGTGTGGTAATTTCTGACTACTGATGAAAAACAGTGAAGATTTTGCAGCAATTCCTCGTCACATTTGAGTAGCATGACATGGTATCAATCATCCGGGGAGAATTAGATAGAACTAAATACAAGGTAGCTAGAGAGTTTTAGACTTGTTAAAACGATCATTACAACGAAGTAGAGCATTTAGAATATATAATACAACTTATTATGTTGAAAAAGGGTGGTACAGTCTGAAATTCCACGTGATTACAATCACCTGCAATCCTGTACCAATTCCAACATAATTGGATTTTATTGTAAATGAATTAATTCATACTAACATTTTCATTTTGAGACACTTATTATTTAGATTGAAGCAAAAACTTACACTATTGGTGATTCATTAATCATTGATACACGTAATTTTTCTTTTTTTTTTCTTTAAAAAAATGAGCTTTAGGGATGCTCTTCAACTGTATTTGGATGCACCTGAAAAACATTCAAATGCGGTTCTTTTCCAAGATGAAAATGTAGTAATTATTAAAGATTTATATCCAAAAGCATCCAGACATTATCTTATACTACCCAAAAAACATACACATGTACATCCAATGGAGGTATTTGAAAAATATCCGGAATTTTATAACATAATAAAACCATATATCCAAATGGCCATAGATATATTAGTTGATAGTCTTATTGAAGAAGGGATTATTGAAGATGATAAGTTAAAAAAATTGCAATTTGCTAACCAATACATAAAAGCTGGAATTCATATGGTACCATCATTAAGAAACTTACACATTCATGTGATCACAAAGGATTTTTATTCTCCAAGATTAAAAAATAAAAAGCATTATAATTCATTTAATACAAATTTTTTTTGTGAATTCAAATCTTTATCACCAAAGAAAAATATAGAGGAATTGGATGATACCGATTATAGTACGGATTCTGATATCGAAGTAATTGAACAGAAAAATCTACCCAAAAAAATTAGTGTTGAATCTAGCTTGTCCAACGATTCAAAAATAGACCCTCATGACCTTTTGAACTCCCCTCTAATTTGTCTGTATTGTGGCAAGGCTTTTGCCAACAAATTTGCAGCCTTAAAATCTCATTTAGCAATTGAATATAATAAACATTTTCCTTAATTGGATAGATAAGAATATTGTTCAGTTACCGCCCCCCCGCCATATATTCAGTTTGCTCTCTACTAGCATAGTGTGGTTCATGAAGAATGGGGGAATAGAACGAGCATATATAAACCCCTCCATTCGAAGACTCAACGGATCAATTACCGCTTTGAGACACGATACCACCCAAATAGGAAACACACCCGCGAATATTGGATGAATTGGGAAATAGTTCCGGTAGAGTTTTTCATTTTTCCGGGGAAAATTCTGACATCAACATTAATATTCAAAACTTACTTTCAAATTAACTCCCCACATTTCTTTAATATGACCTTAGAAATGTAAAAATTATGTAAGATTGCATGGTTACTTTCCATGTAGCTATTGACCTTGAAGTATTCAATAATGAAGTTATCGTTGAATAGTCAATACCAAAAAAAAATTGTAAGCAACTTTTACTTCGAGATTAATCCGAACCCTCTCCTTGTCATTTAACGGCTGTAAAAACTCGTCAAGTAATACGTCAATATGCAGCTTGCGGGAATAGGTTTTTCCAGCCAAGACTCAAAAAATAAATACGGAACATAGATGTAAGTAAACCCCACACTTTTACAATTCAAACTGAATGAGGCGACATGCATGGTTGAAAGTGGAGTGCTCACGCACAGTTGGAATTTGATCTGGGGTCATCTCGTAAAAGATTTTAAAAGGATATAAAGGTACTTAAAATCGCTCGAGATTAATCCCGATAGTTTAGAAAATCATTAACTATACAATTTCATATTCACATTTTCTTCCAATATGAGTATTTTCGAGAAGAACTCGTCTTCAGACGATTCTATCAGGGAGGACAATTACAATAAGATCGACACGGCTGAACTTGGGAAAAATTTCAACTTTGACAAAGAATTCGCCGAAATTGAAGCACAAGCAGAAGCAGTTAAAGTGAATGAAACATTTCTTCAAAAGCTTAAGAATTGTGAGTTTGAACTCAACTTTGAAAATAAACAGTTTATGGTTTACTTTTTAGGTGCTTTTGCATGTATGGCAGGTTTACTTTCTGGTATAGATCAATCTGTTATATCCGGAGCGAATGTATTTTTACCGGAAGCTCTTCATTTGAATGCCACTGAGTCTTCATTGGTCAGTGCTCTTATGCCATTAGGTGCCATGGCTGGATCCATTATGATGACACCATTAAATGAATATACTGGTAGAAAGAAGTCTATCATCATCTCTTGTATTTTCTATACTATTGGTGCTGGTTTGTGTGCTGGTGCAGTAAACCACAAGATTATGTATGCTGGAAGATTCATTTTGGGTATTGGTGTTGGTATTGAAGGTGGTTGTGTCGGTATTTACGTGGCAGAATCAGTTCCTGCAAATGTAAGAGGTCTGATTGTTTCTCTTTACCAATTCAACATTGCTCTCGGTGAAGTTTTAGGTTATGCAGTTTCTGCAATTTTCTTTGAAGTACATGGTGGTTGGAGATTTATGTTAGGTTCATCTTTAGTTTTCTCCACCATTTTGTTCTGTGGAATGTTCTTCTTACCAGAATCACCCCGTTATTTAGTTCATAAGAACAAAATCGGTGAAGCTTATAACGTCTGGAAACGTTTGAGAGATATCAATGATGAAAAGAACAAGTTGGAATTCTTGGAAATGAGACATGCCGCTTTCCAAGAACAAGAAGCTAATCGTACCGAAAAGAAATATGAAATTTGGCTTGATTTGTTTATCAATCCAAGAAATAGAAGGGCTTTGGTATATTCCATCATTATGATCACTTTGGGTCAATTGACCGGTGTGAACGCTGTCATGTATTATATGTCAACTTTAATGGCAAAGATTGGTTTTGATAAGAAAAACTCTGTCTTTATGTCTTTAGTTGGTGGTGGATCCTTGTTAATCGGTACCATTCCTGCCATTTTATGGATGGATAGATTTGGTAGAAGAGTTTGGGGTTTAAATATTGTTGGTTTTTTCATTGGTCTTATCCTTGTTGGTGTTGGTTACCTTATCAATATCGACACTCATTTGGCTGCTGCTGAAGGTGTATATTTGACTGGTATCATTTTGTATATGGGGTTCTTTGGTTCATATGCCTGTTTGACATGGGTCTTACCTTCTGAGAGTTTCGATTTGAGAACAAGATCAGTTGGTATGACCATTTGTTCCACCTTCTTGTACTTGTGGTCTTTCATTGTCACTTACAATTTCACTGGAATGCAAAATGCTATGACTTACACTGGTTTAACTTTGGGATTCTATGGAGGTATTGCCTTCATTGGGTTCTTTTATCAAATCTTATGTATGCCCGAAACAAAGGATAAAACTTTAGAAGAAATTGATGACATTTTCTCCATGAAGACAAAGGATTTAATTAAACAAAATATCAGAGGAATGAAACAATATTGGGGAAGATCTTAATAAATAATAAAATAAACAGCATACTAATTACAACTTGAGAATTAATAGTTTTCTATTACACTCTATAAAATATATACCACTCCTTGTACCTCTCCATCTATTTGAATTGTTCAAATTCATTCTTCATCATCAGTAAGAATATACTCATTCAAAATTTCTGCATTTTCTTGTTGTTCGTTTCCCTTCACTGGCCATACAAATCCTTCTGTAGCCTTTATACCTCCCAAGGTAACAGTACACCCATAACAAATTTGTAAAGGCTTCAGTTCACCATTGGTTTCATCAGTAGTTTCATTCTTACCGACAAGATCTTGATACAACTTGACATATTCAAGTTCCTCTTCTGTTTCAATAGGTGCTGCTTCATTCACAGTTATCCGTCTGAGCCAATGGATTGGATTTTGATGGATTTCAATGCCACATACTTGACAAGTTTGTGACACTTCTTGGAATTTAGGTGGTCCAAGCTTATCACCAGTTTTCACCACAGTGGAGGCTGTAGATGCATACCCAGTGGCATCAAGCATGTTAAAATATTGTGTGGTAAGTTCTCTGATGGTCATGTTACGATTTATTTTCGATTGTGGGATGGTTGACCTCACAATGAATTGATCAAGGTTCATTAGCTTAGCATAAGCGTCAACTTCTGCTTGTAACACATCTCTGAGTGGATATATTATTTTATAATCATTGGAACGGTACACGGTGGTTCTGTCTGAAATCTTTTCATGGATAGATGAACCTCTACCCTTGACGGTCAATGCAATGATTTCATTGGCAATACGAGTCATGTTATGACCATACAAGATGGTTTCACACTTTTCCACATGAGCAGTACGAAGAATAAGTTCATCATAAACTATGGTCAAGAGATCTTCAGCAGAAGACTTATTTGGACATCTTTTCAACAACTCAGTAAGGGTTATTTCTGATGACAAGTTGGTGTTAGATGCCATGGCAGTAAAGTCCGGATACAAGGTAATTCTTTGAAGTAATTCTTGATCAATAATGTACGAGTCTACACTTAAACATTTGTGGGTGAACTTAACCGGCCAGAATTGCTCCAAATGTGGCATGATAGACTTTGCATGTTTTTCAAGTAACATGGTCTTACTCTGATCTATGTTTAATACCACAATCTCAAAACCTTGCTTCCCCTTGTGCATTTCTGCTTGTTCTTGAAGTAATGATATCATCACGTCTAGCATAACCAAGGAAGACGAACCCAACGAAACAGTCACAAGCACTTTTGGAAGTGCATCTTCTGCTCGTGGCCCGTATTTGACCTTGTACTTATCATCAGGCATCAGTTTTCTTTGCTTACTTCTGACAAATCGAGCAAAACATTTGGTACAAAACTTTTCCTTTCTGGTGATTAACACCGCCTTGGTGTCATGACATCTCAGACAGACAGATTCGTCTTCAGCAGAGAGATATTCAATAGGTGCAGCCATTCTTAATCTTAACTATCAATCCCCATCTCGATCATAGTTCTCATTCTTTCTCTATGTGAGCCAAACCTTTTTTTTTTTTTTTTTCCGAGTTCATTTCTTTTTTTTTTTTTTTGGTTCTTTATATTTTCTTAGTAGAGATTAACGTAAGAGATTAGCTACTCTGTCAATAAACGGTAAAATAAAAGATGCCTGAAAAAGCTGAAAAGCCAGAAAAGGTTGAGGCCTCCCCTATAAGCAAATTTGAATCCGAAGAGGTGATCAAGGAGAAGGAAAAAGTGGACTTCACAAAGGGAGGGGTGGAGAACTTCAAGTTTTACCCCGATAATCCCGAGAATCACCGTCATAAATATCGTTGGGCCTTGAAGGAACCGTCGAAATTCTACGACCCATGCGAGGAAAGTAGACAGGCTTCCATCAATTGTATGTTGCGTAACCAAGAGGATAAGCTTGCATGTCAGGACTTTTTCGCCGCCTACAGGGAATGTAAAGCTGATTTCTTCAGCAAAAGAAAAACCGACAAGAAGAGTGGAATGGGAGGTTGGGGTAAGTGGTAGATATCTTGACAGAGAAAGACCAATTGATAGATGGATCGGGGATGTAAATAGCAAATAAATATTAGATGAACTGCAGTGCGGAGTCTAGTCTACAAAAGTAATCTTTAAAGTAAGCATAAATATTAAACCAAGTACTTACACATTTATTTGTCAAGGGTCTCTTCCTTTTTTCTTCACACCATGGAAAATGTTGAGTTAACACATCTTTTCCGTACATTACCAGTCAATGTTGTGTGGAAGTCGGGATGTAGGTAGGGGTCTCGGAATCCAGTCAGTGTGTAAACCCCCAAGCCGTCATACAAGGTAGCATGATCATAATCTTCTTCCGGGCCAATAGATGCGCCTCCAAGAGAGATTCCCGAGAAGACACTTTCAAACATGTTATCTCCAACGTCAAGATCTCTTGAGGATGTTGGAGGTGTAGTTGAAGTAGTACCGGGAGGCAAATTGGTTGACATCAGAGAGTCACCACGATATATATCTGTATATTCAAGGTATGCCCTTGTATTGTGCAAATCAATCTGCCCCGTTTTACGGTTTATAGAACAAAGGAAAGTTGCTCTGGAGTCTCCATCAGGGTCGTTGTTCCCACTGGTAGTAGGGCCAGAGTCTACTTGATGGATAGACTTACCCTTTCTCACAACCTCTTCTTCACACAAGACTTGGGCTCGGCTGATAAGTTCATCCAACAAGAGCCCAACATCCACGGTGATTGTAAATAGCAAGTAATTCAATTGAACATTAGCCAAACAATGATCTTTACAAGTAAGACACTCAGTTAGCCTTACAAGCAACTTTTCATTAAACCCTTGTGAAATCTTCGAAATACTATGACGTGATGAAGACGTGGTAGATTCGATATTTGATGCAACATATGCACAATTAACTCCCCCAGCTGCATCAACCAACAATCTTCTCTTAGCCAATTGTTGTCTTGAGAGTAATGGGCGAGGGATAGTAGTACTAGATCCCGGGGGCTCGTCAGAATTAGCATTTTTCACAGTGGTATGCAAAGAAGGAAGCTCCTTTAAATGTGATTTCAAATCTCGATAAATTTCTCTTGCTTCCTTATACAAATATGCCTCTTCAAATTCTTTAAATGGTTGGATCTTCGTCCACTCAGATAGTTGAACCATTGTACGATCTGCATGTGTACACCTCTCATAATGACGCCAATATTGCTTCCCGGACCGGGTTTCTCCTGCAAATACATTGAGTTGAAGCTTAGGAAGAAATGTTAATCCATTTTCTTGGAAATCCACGATTTGACCCCGCACTGGGATATGAAGAGGTTTATGACTAGTCTTTGGTTCGGAATGAGCTAGATAATATTCAAGTAGTTCCAATTTCTTGGAAATTGCTCTATTACGAGCCATTCCTTTAAACCTAGCGAGTCTTCTGGTAGGTGGAACTACCGCCCCACCAGCAAAAAATCTTGCCGTGTTCCTGATATAATCCCCCATACTTGTGTCTGCGACGAAATGCCCATAAATTCCATTTGAATCATAATCAACAGAGGTGAATGACAATTCACAGGGATACCCACCATTTAAAGTGTAGTTGATTCCACCTCGTAAATAAGAACTATACATCCCATCCATGATTGATCCAATATTATCTTCAGTCAAGTCTAGACATCCAGTGCCATTAGACTTATAATATAAGGGACCATCGATTATCATTTCATTTTCCAGATGTGCTGTAGTCTTTCTCTTTTTATTAGATTCAACTTTAATGGAAGTACCTTCTATAGTGGGGGCAGTTACTCTTTTTTGTACATTTCTTTTCGAGGTGGCACCCCCCACCATTGATTGGTAGCTTCTAGTCTTCAAACAATCGAACGCAGCCTCAATATCTGAAGGTTCCAAAGGCTTACCAAACACACTTCTGTGCTTATGCAGTTTGCTGACAAATAAGGGAGATGGACCATTTGAAAGCTTTGTGGCTTGTAGATCTTTTACAATCAATTGCATCGTACGACACATCTTTTTGGCTTCATTGAGACTTGGTGGTTTTCTACGAGGAGGCGGGGGTCCGCTAGATTGTTGCTGGATGTCTGGATGCGTATGATGTTGCATAAACAGAAGCAGTGAGTTATTGGGGAAATAAAGTTGGAGTTGAGATCGAAGGTGTCTATGTGCCCGTTCAAACGTGGGGAGTCTTGGAGGAGGACCCGATGGTAAGGGGGGTGGAACACTAACTGCTGCCAAGACAGTTGAATTACTGTTATTAGCAAGTGAAGTACTTCCAGGTTGAAGTGAAGATTGCTCCGAATGTCTAAGTAAGCGTTGTCGTTGTCTTGATCGTATGGCATTACTTCTTCTAATCGGGATACCTCCATGCGAAATTAATGTATTTGTGTTAGTGGGATTTTGTCTTGCTGAAGATAATAAAAGGTGTTCATTTGATTGGATATCGGACCTTAAACCATCCAGGTCGGGCCCAGGGGGCGGGGGAGGAGGTGGCGGATGTATTTCCGAGTCTTCTTCGTTGTAACTAAGTTCTTCTCCATCCAGGAGGTTATCATTACCGTTATCGGCAGTGGAGGTGGATTCCGTGGAAACATCCATATCAAATATGTTTCTGATTTGGGCCGGGATAGGGTTGGAGTTGATATATAATTCAGAGTCGTAGACAGCGCTGTTACGATGGTTTGCCCTTCGTTCTGCCCTTGAAATCACTTCAGACCAAAGATTAATATGGTTAAGTTGAGACGAAAGTGGAGGGGGTCTTGGCCAGTCATCCTCTTCATCATCCACATCTTCTGTAGAGCGTCTATCAACAGGTGACATTCTATATGGTTAGCAATTTTGATTGAGAACAATAGGACGCCCGTGAGATAAGGAAAGATAACGATTATCAACGGTGCAAGAATGTAGAGAGAGAGAGTAGTGTGTATGAGAGAAGGTGTGGTTGTGGGCTTAAAAAAAAGAAATTGACATAGGAGACCGGCATGTGACCATCATACATACTGATTAAACGGATAGGCAATCCCGTGGTTTATTGAATACTTCTAATAAGTAGAATAAAATCAATCAATTTGTAAAACACTTGATTAAACAATCTATTAAAAAAAACAAAGTAGATACTAAATTGACAAGAGTTTAATCCTATTATAAACCGATGCCTGGGTGTATGGCTTTACGCAACACACCGGATTAGTATGCTAGCTACACTTGCCACTACGGGAATATGTGATAGATAACCTAAGACATATATGGAACCATTAATTCGAAGAGCCTGGCGCGCATACGCATAAGACGGGGGGAATAGCTGACATAGAGGAAGAACAATCATATATCCTCAGATGAATCAATTCTATGCTGTAAGTTTTGCTCCTTTAAGTAGTAAAGGCTGCAGCACTTTTCCAGGCATGCAGGACAAATTAGATAACCTCTCATGTTTTATGGTCCTGGTGGTAAATTCTATATTATTTCTAAATCTAGCCATTTCCACATTGTCGAGTAAAACCAAATTCCCTTTGAAAATTTTCCCTTTATGTAGAACTTTAAGCCGCCTTTCGAAGTGGTCATGATACACATTTTACATTATCACCTTCCTTATCGAAGAATCCTATACAACACAAAAATGCAAACCAAAACCTAATTAATGTGGTGGGGATCTATCAGTGGTTTGCCCCCGCCTCAAGTCATGTACCCTGTTTTAGTTTTATTGGTAGATCCTGCAGATATGCACCTCAAACTAATGAAACAGAAAGGCAAAAAAAAAAAAAAAAAAAAAAAAACAATAACAAATATTTATCAAACAAGCAATGCAATTAAAGAATATTCTAAACAAACAAGTAGTTAATCCATTACAATGTCGGAGTATCCCTTAAATCCGATATTCATTTCATTTGTGCCATCTCTCTTTATCTCGTTCCTGGTAGAATTTCATTCAATGTTACATATATATTTTCTGTACATCAAAAAAAAAACAAAAAAAAAACGTAAATTGTATTGTTCACAATCCCTACATACAGGCTGGGCACGTGACATTCTTTCGCGATGTTTTCCTTACACATTTTTTTTTACCCTCTTTTTCACCTATTACGATAAAACACGGCTGTTTACTTTCAAGTTCACAACGGTTAATAAATACGTGTTTCCTCACTCTCTCCCGCTTACATCCGCGTCTCTTTGCCTGTGTTAGTCGTAACTACAGGAATAGACATACAGAAATACTCGGTGTATCACCCAGTCTTCAACCCAGACCACCTTTTTAATACCATTTGTGGTGCAACGCAACGGTTCACAACCCGAACAAAACAACACAACTTTTACTAAAAGTTTGAATTCGGAAAAAAAGGGATAAATTCCAACACAATTTAATTGCCATTTATCAACGCAACTTAGTACAAAAGTACGCCATTCCCACCCCACAGAAACCTTTGTCTTTGCCAAAATGTCTTCTGTTAGTGGGTCTATATATCTCTGTGTGAAACAGTTTAATGCCCGTTTAGGAGATGAACTCAATTTGAAAATCGGTGATAAGGTGGAAGTATTGGCCGATGATAGTGAGTATAACGATGGATGGTACATGGGACGTAATCTTTTGACAAACGATGTAGGACTTTACCCCAAGACATTCACTCAATTACTTCATACTCCGAAGAATCCAGAAAACACTCTATTAAGGTCTCGTTCTCGTAGAGTTGCTAGTTCCACCAGTATCAACAAATTGGCTGAAAATGTCAGCAGTCTATCCCTTAATGCACCCCCTACACCTCCACAAAAGGATACCTATTTTCAAGGTGACTCCAAGAATGAAAGCACTTCTAGTTTCAATAATAGCTACAACAATCTGACTAATGGGAGCTCTTCTAATATCCTCAAGAGCAATGAGAAATCATCTAATGGTTCAGATTCTACCACCACAAAACCGGTAGTTCACAGAACAATGAGTGAGATTGATATGGCCTTAAAAGAACTTCAAGACCGTTCTTCACCTCCTAAACCAGGTGAGGGCCGTAATGATAAAGTACAACATGAACAACATCATGTACCACCAACACCTCCACAAAAACAACCACTGCATCCACAACATCGTAGAGAAAATTCAACCCAATCACTCACAGAAGATTTGGATCCAACTGAAGCAGCTACATGGACTCCCAAGCAAGTCTCTTCATATTTTGCCATTGTATTGGGCTTTGATTTGGAAATTGCTGGGAAGTTTGCCCGTCATAAAATCACCGGTACTATTTTATTTGAACTCGATCTCACTCACTTAAAAGAACTTGATATTGATTCATTTGGTACAAGATTTGAAGTTTATAAGGAAATTGAAAAATTGAAACTTGCTTCAAAATCAGGAACTAATCATAATTCAAATGAGACTACCAAGTTAGAACTGCCCGATAAGAGTTTCCCTTACAAAAAGAAAGATGAATTGGAAGAGGAGTCGAATAATGGTCGTGCTAGACCCCACTCTCAATTAATGCCTCCAGCAGCTGTAACAGGTGGTAATGACAGGCCAACCAGGGAAAATTCATCGTACAATAAATCACATCAACGTCAAAGATCACAATCATTGGAGAACATTTCCTCACAATTTGATGTGCGTACCCCCAAGGCGGATAAGAGAAGAAGTGTAGTTATAACTCCACAACAATCTTTCTTGTCACCTAGAAAAGCCCCAGAGCCACCATCTCATCAAAGTCCATTGAACAAGTCCTTCAAATTTGGTGCTCATGAGAATTCACCAGACGTTTCTTCTGGTAATATATATAACACTAGGAACAATGCTCCTAATACCGGGTTGGGAATATCTACCAATGGATTAAGTCGTCCTGCTTCTTCTATCTATGATAATTCCATAAATAGTCATAACCGTAAGGAATCTGGATCTTCTCAAACACGTCATAGAAGAAACTCTTCAGTGGCTTCTGGACATCATCGTCGTCATTCTTCACTTTTCCTGTTTCTTTCTACAGGTGAAGACCTTACCATCAATGGTGACAAAACACCAAAGGCACAGAAAACCACCAGTGATGACTATTTCAGACAAAAAGGTGTTAATGGGGCTCTTACTTCACCAGCAAACATTAAGTCAGAGTCTCGTAAAAAACTTGGCTTTGAAACTTTGGAAGAACCAATTGATATCGATAAGGCTACATTGTCTCCAAAGAAACTGAAATCTGTATCTTATCGTACAGCCGAAGATACCAAATCACCCAGACCACTTTCTAAAGAAGGTGAAGATAAACGTTCTGTTTCTGACTCAAACGCAATTTCTCGTTTGAAAACGCTTAGAACAAGTTCCACTCAAAATTTCCGTAGTTTGACTTCGCTGAAAAAGCTGAAGACATCTGCTTTCCAAGAGGGAATAAGACAAATCACACCAGACGAAGCAATCAAGAGTGCAAACTTTAGTGGTTGGATGTCCAAGAAATCCGGTAGTAACATTGGATGGAGATCGAGATACTTTACTCTTCATGGTACAAGATTGCTGTACTTTACTTCGTTGAGAGATAAACGTGAACGTGGATTAATTGACATAACTGCACACAAAGTATTACCGATTAATACTGACGATAGCACCAATAATAATGACAAATATATTGCTATGTATGCTTCATCGACTGGATTTGGAAGATATTGTTTCAAGATTGTTCCGCCAGCTCCTGGATTTAAGAAAGGTTTAACTTTCACCCAACCAAAGACTCATTACTTTGCCGTTGAAACTCAAGAAGATATGCGTGGTTGGTTAAAGGCGTTAATGACTGCTACCATCGACATTGATGATACCGTTCCAGTGGTCAGTAGTTGTGCCACACCAACCGTGACTCTCAGTAAGGCCCAAGAAATGCTTGCAAGAGCCAGAGAAGAAACCAAATTGAAGGATGAAGAACTTCGAGCTCAAGGTTACTTTAGAGACGGATTTGATCATGATTACGCTAACATGTCTACAAACACAGGAGATACAACCGTCACTACCTATGACCCAGCAGCAACTTCGCGCACTTCCTTGAACAATCTGCTGTACGAACAACATGATTATACCTCAGAGGAAAACTCGCCATTAGTGGATCTGTTGGAAAGACTACCATCACTGAAATCAAACCCAAAGTTGAGCCTTGATACTACATCTAGAAGTGCATCAACCGGTGGCCACTCTTCAAGAACCCCAACAACACCACTGCAAGGTGGGTTTGCTTCTCCATATTTGCTTGCTTCTGGCCTTCTTTCGCCAAAGTCCGGCAATGGGAATCACAGTACTACATCAGTTCCTCAATCTTCAAGCAGAACCAATTCTCCTTCTGTGACCACCACTGGTCTTGATACCGGGGTTGAAGCTGGTGCAGGGTCAGGGTCAGCAACACCACTGACATCCAAATATGAGTATTTCCCAATTGTGGAAACCACTCCAAAGCTGATCTTTTCGAATAGTAATGGAAGAATCGTTAGCGGAGGTAGTAGTCTTGCCAGAAAGAAGTCTGATAAGATGATGGCATACAGTAACGATGGTTCTGGAAACCATTCGTTTGTAATCAAACAGAAGTCCAACAAGTAGAGTACGAGAGAAATTCAAGAGTAAATATACAAATGAAAGTAATAGTAATGTAAATGTATTAAAATAAGCAAACAATACCAGTTTAGGTATGTTTGTGTGTAATGTTAGTATAATTGTCTCGCGGAGTATGTGTGTGCGCATTTTTGTAAACATCAACATTTAAGTTTTCGAATTGTGTTTGTCAAGGAATCATCAATCAACCAGTGAAACGGGAAAGCCATTGTTCATTATGCAACTGGCACAACATGGCTTGGACGGACACCAAGATCTGCAACCGCCCGACCAATCCTACATTATCCAGCATCTTCGATCTATCGTACTTCATTCTTTGGACACTTTCAATTATGCTAATGCGGAGTTTGCCTGTGAACGTCTATTAGCACTTGATTCGTCTAATTTAGATTCGATTTATTTGTTCTGTCTTACATTATTCAAAAGAGAGCGGTACAAGGCATGTTTCAACTTTGCCAGCGATCGTCCTGACCATCTTGGATGTAGTTTCCTCTATGGTAAACTGTGTTTACATTTAAAACGATACAAGGAAGGAATCTATCAATTATTGAAGGTATCATATTTATATAACGAATCCAATGTGTTAGACGATGAAGACGACGACGAGATTATTGGGTCTGGCCCACGATCTGGATCTGGGTCGAGTTCAAGTTCTGGATTTGCTTCATTTGCAACCCCTCTGGCCAAACTTAATTATGAAGCACATCGTTCCGTTGGACCTGATCTGTCTGCAGTATACCATTTACTTGGAGATTTGTACCGTGGGATAGGAGACAACAAGAACAGTGCCCTTAGTTACTCCCTGGCTTTGAAATACAATCAGTTTGATTTTGAGGCATTCCAGAAACTTGCCAAATTGGGAGTCGATGTGCGAGTTAAGTCCATTTACAAACCTGTGGAATCCTCTAGAAATGGGTTATCTTTACACCATAATATCAACAATAGTAACGTTTTATCTTCTTCAGGAGGATTGTTTGGTGGAGGTGGCGGTGGAGCTACCATTTCAAATCCATTTTCAGCCACGACTCCAACAGGTGCAAACACAACAAATAATAACAATAATAATAATAACAACAATAATAATTCTAATACGAACTTTGATGACAGTTTTACAGCAACTCCACGTGGGAAGCAACCTTCAGTACAAGATGCTCCACTTCGAAGGAGCAGTTATTTTGATAATAATTCGCATAAACCATTAAATGGAGATATTTTTACCAAACCTTCATTCCCCATCGAAAGTGTCAATGTTCCAGATGCTTCCAGGAAATCTAAACGACAAAGTACATATTCCAAGATCACATCAAGATTAACCAAGAGTGGAGACAATGGCGCCAACAATGCTAATACCTCGACTAATACTACAGGTTCTAGAATCTCCAATCCTAGAGCAATCTTGAAGAGAAACAATTCCATAACTGATCAACAACCATTACAATCACAGCAACAACTGCAGCAACAACAAATATCGTCTGCGCCGATACAATCGTCATTTGTCACTCAACATAATATCATCAGCAGTGATCAGTACCTTTTGAATCTTTATGTTGTTTTTGCCAAGAGTTTCAAATGTATGAGTAAATATGATTGTTATAAGGCAATTCGGATTTTGGAACTGTTACCTGGACATGAAAAGGATACCCCATGGGTATTAAGTAAATTAGGACGGTTACATTATGAAATTGTTAATTATAAGCAATCTGAGCTATTCTTTATTAAATTAAGACAATTGGATAGAACAAGATTAGAAGATATGGAATATTATCTGACTCTCTTATGGCATCTACATAAAAAAGTTGAACTTACATATTTGGCCAATGAATTATATGATCTTGATAGTGAATCTGCCATTACTTGGTGTACTATTGGGAATCTCTTTTCATTAGTTCGAGAACCAGACGAAGCGATAAAATGTTTCAACAAATCCATTAAATTGGATGAAAACTTCACATATGCTTATACATTGAAGGGACATGAATATTTTAGTAATGATAATTATGAGATGGCGTTAGAGAACTTCCGGATCAGTTTACTAATTGATCCTAGACATTACAACGCATTGTATGGGATTGGGATGGTATTTATCAATCTTGGCGATTATCAAAAGGCAGATTATCATTTCAGAAAGGCCGTATCGATCAATCCAATCAATATTATTTTGATTTGTTGTGTAGGGATGGTTTTAGAAAAAATGGGTAAGAAACAATTGGCACTCAAACAATATGAATTGGCTAATAAACTTCAACCATTGAATCCATTACCTATTTTCAAAAAGGCACAACTATTATTTGCCATGCAACAATTCCCACAGGCATTAAAATATTTTGAACAACTAAAGGATTTGGCACCTGATGAAGCTAGTGTTCATTTCCTTTTAGGACAATTATACAAGATTCATAATGAGAAATACAAGGCTATACGTGAGTTTACCATTGCTTTACTATTGGATCCAAAGGGTAATTACTTGATTAGAGAAGCGATGGAGAGTTTGAAGTGAGGGAAAGAGAATGAGAGCAGCAGTTCGTGTTAGTTGAGAGAATTAATTTTATTTCACATAGGGTAGATTCCAATGAAGAACAATAAATGTCAAGTGTGTAAGGTTCGTCGCCACATCAAGAAAAAATTTATAAAAATAAAAGAAGAGAAACCAAAAAAAAAATGTTAAGAAGTTGATTGTGTGTATTTAGCGCGCTAGACATGGGATAGTAGATAAGAAGAAGTGAACCTTGACAAGTGTAGAAACGAGGTATCAACCCCACCAAAGACGATGGTTCACCCAGGAATTGTTTACAGTTTTTCTACAAGAAAAGTAAGGTATGTCTTTGGCTGGTCATTGGCGCTTGTCATTTCTCCTTTGACATATTTAAACGAGATTAAAATTTTTTTTGATTTGCATGAGATTATTTTTTAGATTTTTGTCTCTTGTTTTTTTATTTATATTTTTGTTTTTGTATTCGTCCGAGCACCAAACGGCACTAATATCTTGTCGTACTTTTTGAAAGCACAGGAAGACTTGTAATCGGTCTGACACTAGACGGGCGAATAACTAAATCCGTCGAGGGCCCTCTACACGTCGGAACTAGTACACCTAGTAATAATAATCATATAATATTTATAAGAGGAATAATAGAGAGACGGTGTGTACCCATATAGAAAAGAAGAAGTATATTCACATAATCACACAACATGAATTGCTGGATAATAATACCGTTGCTCTTGTCGATATTCCAGGTGACACTGGCAATCAATTTGGGCTATTCGCCAACATATTACACAGAGGGACAGAAAGTAGAGCTCTTGGTGAACAAGGTGGAGTCTGATCACACCCAATTACCATATGGATACTACGATCTCCCGTTTGTTTGCCCCGCAGGGAGTGATGCAAAGCCATTGGCGCTTTCTTTGGGTCAGATTCTCCGCGGAGACCGGATATGGCAGTCAAACTATGACTTGCGATTTGGAATTGATGTTCCATGTATTCGACTCTGTGATTTGATTTCTCGAGATAAAGGGTTAGGTAAGGCCGATAAATTGATTCGTGATGGATATGTTGCTCATTGGCTTGTGGATGGGCTTCCTGGCGCCACCACTTTTGTTCTGGGGAATAATGAAAATAAATACTATGCAGCTGGATTCCCCTTGGGATTTGTTAAGGATGATATTTCCTATATTTATAACCATGTGATGTTGGTGATTAGATACCATCGTGACAAGAAAAACCGTAACAAGAATACAATTGTTGGGTTTGAAGTATACCCAAAGAGTGTAAGTAATGAGTTATGTCCTGGGAACTCGAAAAATTATGAAAATTTTGCCATTACTTTTGAATCAAAGGCAGAAACTGCTGCTGCTTTGAAAAAAGACCCTAAATATTACCGGAAAACAATTATTCCATACACTTACGCTGTCTATTGGCGTGAAGATAATTCTATTGATTACGACTCAAGATGGGATTTGTACTATGAAAATGAATCCGGTAAAAATAGTCAAATTCATTGGCTTTCTGTCATCAATTCCGTTGTACTCATGTTTTTACTTTCCATGGCGGTTGCCATTGTATTGGTGAAAATCTTCAAAAAGGACTTACAACAACCAATGTCTCCAACCCTCCCATTGACGGACAGATCTCTTGGCGACAATGGTAGTGGTGGTAGTGGCTGGAGATCTCTTATTGGAGATGTACATCAACAACCCTCGTTAGCCGTCATTCTCTCAGTGTTTGTCTCCTCAGGAGTACAAGTTCTTATCGTTATGATCGGCGTGGTTACTATATTCACTTTGAATTCTCAATTTAGTTTGAATTCTAAGCCTTCCAATATGTTTTTTAATAGTCATCAGGGAGCATTCTTCTCACTTTCATTATCATTTTTCGTATTTTCAGGAGTGATTCCATCGTATATTGGGATTATCCTTCATAAATACTTCCATAATGAAAGTTTAACCCGTGAATATCCACCGGGGAAATATGTCAAGTTGTCAGTGTTATTCAGTGGGTTCTTACCAACAGTTGTATTGACAATTGTACTTACCATCAATTTCTTTGTATGGGCCAAATCTTCTTCTTACGCACTCCCATTTGGAACCATTGTTGTATTATTATTATTTTTCTTTGGACTTCAACTCCCATTAGGAGTTATAGGTGGATACTATGGGAATGCCAAAAGATTTGACAGTAAAAATTCTTTACTTGGTAATAATGAAAAGGAAACTAATGATTCAAAATCAGTTTTCTCCCCTAAAATTTATAAGAGACCACTTTTATTCCTGCCACTTTTTGGTACCATCGTTTTAGGATTGATCCCATTTGGAATAATTTTCGTTGAACTTCATTTCATTTTCAATTCAGTTTGGTTGGAAAAGACCACCTTCTACTACATGTACGGATTTTTACTCGTGGCTGCTATCAGTCTTGTTGTGGTTATTATCGAGACAACCATCGTTGTGTTATATGTGTCATTTACTGTATACCATAACCCTCGATGGCAATGGCTTTGTTTCAGAGTTGGTGCCAGTATTGGGTGGTATATTTTTGCTTATTCCACCTATTACTTTTTCTTTGCCCTTCATGTGCGTGACTTTGTAAGTATTTTGCTTTATTTTGCATACATGACTTTGGTCAGTGGATTGATTGGTATTGCTTGTGGTTCAGTTGGGGTTATTACAGGATTGATATTCGTGGGCAAGATTTTTGGAACGGTAAAAATTGATTAAATAGAGAACAATTATTTATAAATTATTCATATCAGTGTAGAAGAGATAGAGAGTACATGTGTGTGAATAAAGGAAATAATGGGACATCATGCTACATATAAAGTCTTCTCTACAAATTTGTTTAATCGTAACTGTATATTCTTTTGTTTTGTTTCTAATGATCTCTCTATTCCAAGGAAGAAGCACCAGTAATAATATCGACCAATTCGTTGGTAATGACAGCTTGTCTGGATCTGTTGTACAAAATAGTGTAAGAGTTGATCATGTCACCGGCGTTCTTGGAAGCATTGTCCATAGCGTTTCTTCTAGCAGAAATTTCAGAAGCGTAACCTTCAGCCATGGCAGACAAGATAGAGTTAGCCAAGGAGAACTCAGCGAATTCAGAAGTGGTTTCTTCGTTGTCAATTTCATACTTGGACAAACCTGGAGCCTTTTGCAAAGCAGCAGCGTCAAAGACAGAAAACTTACTTGGTTCGAAAGAAACAGCAGAGACAAACTTGTTGTACAAAACTTCAACGTTGGAGTATTCACCCAACTTGGTGATTTCATCAGCAATCAAAGAAACTTCGTAAAAGTTTGGAGCTTCCTTACCAACACCACTGAAAGACAACTTCAAGTTGTCAGAGTGAGTTCTCATCAATTGGGCCTTAACCTTGTCACCAACAGTGACAATGTCAGCAGCACCGTTCAAGTCTTGGAATCTCTTTCTGGCAGACTTGGCGATTTGAGTGTGGATAGAACCACACAAACCCTTGTCAGAGGATACAACAATCAACAAGGTCTTGGCGTCTTCGACGGCAGCTGGTTCAGTGTTTTCGTAGAATTCAGCATCGGTCTTGTTGAAAACTCTGGAAGCAGTCATGGCTCTTTGGGCCTTGTTCAAACGAGTAGAAGCGACAATCTTCATGGTCTTGGTAATCTTTTCAATGTTCTTAATAGACTTAAGACGCATTTCAATTTCACGAAGAGTAGCATAGTTTCTGTAATGTTAGTATAAAGTTAATTATTGGAGATAAATTGGTGGAACTCATTTGGAAAGATATGGTTTTATTATATAATCTTTGAATTTGGAACTGGTGAATTTCCATGTATCGTTGGTGGTGATGGAGTTGGCCCACTCAAAAGGGCACCATTCAACAAGATGGAGCTGTCGTGCTGTCTACATGTCCATCAATTGCCCCGTGATATATCAATTGACCTGATAAATGTTGGGAGGGTTTTCGTCATCAACACTTTCATGTTTTGTTTCCATTTACAATCTAGATTCCACCTTTTGAATATACACTCATAGTACATACCTAGTCTGCGCACCGACAGAGCGGGCGACTTGGGAAGCACCTAAACGAAACATAGTAACTTTGTAGCCAAACAGAAGTCCGTGGTAACTAAAACACAAACCACCTTTTCAATTTGAATATCTCCAAAGATCCGTTCCGGTTTCGCGAGTGAAAACATTTCATTGGCTGAGAAATCGGTAGTGCACGGACGGGTTTATATATGCAGGCACACATTTTTACAGCCAAGATTGGTTGATTGGGTATACGAAGATATACAAGTGGATATTGAAATTAAATAGGTAACAGGTTAATTTAATGGGAATATACTTGGATGCCACTATATAGTCGTTTGAAAATTGTAGTTTATTTTGAATTTTTTTGTATCAGTTTTTTTTTTTGGAACAAGGTGATTAAATGAAGAGATAATTTGTAGAGTAATGGAAGGGTAGACGTGACGTACTGAAAGTAATATTAAGTCCTTGGTATAAACAGTCAAAGTTGAGCTATGTGTGTTCTTGAAAGCTGTAATTAACTTATGTGTAGACTATTGAGCTTATAGTATACTTTTGGTGTACAAAATAGCAAGTTGAATGCACTTCTTTGTTTATTCGAATACTATCCTTTACTACACATCTGGATATCCAGTCTACAAGTCTTCTTCAATGCTTGAATGTTATCTCTATAACATTCGCTTATATTACACTATATCCACACAGTGGTCCCCTGGTATGCAACTCAGCCGAAACTGACAATTCTATTTAGAAGGATCGTTCTTTTGGTATCCCAAGTAACCTTGGACACCGTAGGATTCGATCATCTTCATGTACTTCATGACCAATGGTCTACAGTTCTTTTGAGCATCATCTTCATGGTATTGTCTACACTTTCTCAAAGCTTCGTGTGTCACTCTCAAAGATTGTGTTCTGATCCATTGTTCTCTCAACATGGAGTCTCTGGCCTTTTCGACATCGGTGAAGTTGGCGTAGTCAATGTCATCGAACGACACGAGTTCATGTCTCTTGTGGTGGGAGTAGTCTGTCAATGCTATATCGTTTGTTAGTAAATTTTGAACTTGCGATATATAAAGTAATCATCAGACCCTTGAGTCTTTTAACAAGTCCACCTCCCCCATATCGGTGCTACTTGTACAATCCACTGCTCTTCTATTCTTGCTCTTCAATCATTTACATACCCATTTTGTCTTGCTATACTTGATCTATATCTATCTCATGGTAAGTATCAAAAGACAAAATTTAACTGGATAACCATTTGGAATGTGCACGACCATTGTTTTTTTTCCGCCAGGAAATATGGCTGTTTTTGTGTCATAGCTCACGTGATCAAACATGTGACCATAGTTGAAATTCATTGAGGTTATCATATAATACTTGTGAACTATATTTTTTTTTTTAGTCCTAGATATTTAAATTATTCTCTGGTTTACAGATAAATAAATTCTATATTGTCAATTGTTGCCATAATTGGAAAACTTTCTTCTTTCTTTCTTTTCACAAACTTTTCATATTAATTCACTTTATTTTTGAACCCTCGGTGCCTCGAGTTTTGTGTCATGTTCCAAGTTAACATGTGTGTACACCCTTCTTGATCAAAACGTATCATCACTTCCCCGTAATAATAATTAGAATTCCCATTGCGCCACTGCTCTTTCCCAATACTCCTTGCTAGTCTAGTTTGATTCTGTTTTTTCCATTGGAACTTACTTTTAGACTACTTTCTTTCATTCATTATGTCAACATTGGAAAAGAAGGCTGTAGCTCGTAAATCGGACGAGGTTGCACCTTTGACGAGTACTTCTACAACTAAGAGAACTACAGTTTTTTCCTTCAATGCCAAATACGTGGCATATGCGCATGCTATCTCGGCATATACTGCCTTCATATCTGCTCTTGTGGTAGGATGTTGGCTTCATTATCATAAGATTGTGGAAAACTCTTCATTTGGTTATCCAGATGAATGGTTCCCATCTGTTTCTGCAGCAATAGGGGATAGATACCCTGAAAGATCACTTTTCCAAGTGTGTATTGCCCTCACTGCAGGCCCAAGATTCCTTCTTTTGCTTTTCAACTTTGTCAAGGGCTATCCTAGAGGTTCTAAAAGAGCTATTTCTGCCCTTATTTCTGGAATCATTAGAACGTTTACTTGTGGTGGATGGGTCTACATTACATCAACCGATGATCATGATTGGCATGATATTTTCATGATCGCTTACATAGTCCTCACCATTCCTTGGACCGTGTTGGTTACTTCCCTCTCTCCAAAGAATTCCACTGTTAAAAGAGGAAGAGCAATCACTGCTCTTACTTTCTTTGGTACATTGGTCCCATTGGTCTATTGGTTTATTCAACACAAGGTTCATGTAAGACCTGGTGCTTACTCAATCTACGCATACTTCGAATGGGCATTGATTCTTTTGGATGTCGGATTCGACACTTGGTCCATCATTGATTTCAATGATTTAGAAGTCAATTTGACCAGTGAAGGTGTTGCATTTTCTGTAATCCCAAAATCTGAATTGAAAACTACCACTACCACCACCACCACCAAGGTTGCCGATGAATTCACTCTTTTCGAGTTTGTCATTAATGTCATCAATTCATTCATGTTTTGGTCGGTCATCACATCTCTTTTACTTTGTGTCTGGTACTTCCCTCTTTGGTATATGGGTCTTTCAGGTTATGAAGTAGTTGTAGTTGTGATTTTTGTCAGTCCTATTCTTTTGGTTATCCCACCCTTACGTACCCTCTTCGTTAAATATCCATTTGTCGCTAGAGCTTTAGCTGTCTTGGGTGGAATTGGTGCATACAAAGTAGAAGAACCAGATCATAGATTAATCACCATCACCGTGGGTACTGCCTTTGCCTCTATTGCATTGGTTTCTGAATTGTACTCCTTCCTGAAACAACCACACAAGTTCTATTCTTACGCTGTTTCATTCATTCTGGGATTACTTACCACATCTGTATTTAAGTATTTGTGTTATTCCAATAACCCAATCTGGCCCGTCATGCATGCTGACAATGGTGGTTGGAATGCTCTGGGTATCTTTATTGGATTGGTAGCTGCTTTTTTCACACCCAAGTTAATCACCTCCTCTACAACCACCAGCGTCACCACAAGTCCAACTGGAGGTTCAATCTTATTAGCTGCCCTTGGATTTGGTGGATACTTCTTCTCCATTCAATCGTTCCTCAGTGACTCGTCGACTCTTGCCTTATGGTCTTGGGAAGGTTTTCCAGTGCAAGGTCCTACTCCGATCACTGGGGCTTTATTCAACATTTCGTCCATCATCATTGGTGTATTGATCTCCATTAAGGTTCTGCCTAGCACTTTATCAAGCTTAACCTGGAATTTGATTGGTTGTATTGGTGCTATTGTATTGTATGTGTACTCTGATTGGATTGGGTTTGCCGGCTCATGTGTTTATTCCATTTACTTGGCATCATTAGCTCCACTTATTTGGAACTCAGTATCTGGTTACAATCCGGGATTAGTTTTCTCCTTGGCACTTTTCCTTGACGTTTTGATTTCGTTAGCGTCTATTTGGATTGTCGCTTATGCATTTGTTCCAGCTGGTTGGGTGTTAAGAGAAAGAACTGATATTGTGTTGGGTACTTCATACGCTATGATCTTATGTGGTGTTCTCAACTTCAAATTGAGACAAAAACTGATAATTATTGCAGCCCCAACTTCCAAATTATTTAAACAAGCTTTATCAGTATTGACAGTTTTACTCTCTCTTTCAATTGCTATAACTTTCAAGAGATATCCTTCGAAACCATTTGAGCCATTTAATCCAGAGTCTGGTTCATTCACTGCTGGTATCTGGTGTGTTCACTTTGGATTAGATAACGATATGTGGTCGAGTGAAACTAGAATGAGAGATCTTATTAAGGATGCTCAAGTTGATATTATTGGACTTTTAGAAAGTGACACACAAAGATTGATTGGTGGTAACCGTGATTTCACTCAAACCATTGCTGAAGATTTGGGTATGTACGTTGATTATGGCCCTGGCCCTAACAAACATACTTGGGGTGCTGCCTTGTTATCTAAATTCCCAATCATTGAATCCACTCATCACCTTTTACCACTGCCGGTCGGTGAACTTGCACCAGCAATTCATGCTACTTTGGATATCTATGGGGAATTAGTTGATGTTGTTGTTTTCCATTCTGGTCAAGAAGAAGATGTTGAAGATCGTAGATTACAATCTTTGGGCATTCAAGAAATCATGGGCAATTCACTGAGACCATTGGTATTGTTGAGTTATTTGGTTACAGAACCATTACAGGGAAATTACAATACTTATGTCAGTGAAAAGTCGAGAATGTATGACATTGATAGTACTGATTGGGATAGATGGTGTGAATATATTCTCTTCAAAGAATTGAAAAAAGTTGGTTATGCCAGAATTTCTAGATCAACTATCACAGACACTGAATTACAAATTGCTAAATTCAAATTATTAACAGACGAAGAAAAGGAAAATTCAAGTGATGAGTTTTTATATGGGAATAATTTTGTTTCCGAAGAAGAAATATCTCCCGAGTTAAGATTCCCATCTATGTTCCTTGGTGATGGGGTTAGGGGACACAGATTCCATGTGTTTGACGAGCCACGTTATTTCGCACAACAACAAGACCAAGGAGAGGAAGTCGAAGAGGAAAGAGGAGAAGAATCTAGGGATTAATAGTATCAGTAAATATAATGTGAATATTCATCAGAATAGTTTGTAAAAATAAGTTCTCAAGATAGTTTTGTAAAGGTTAAGATATGAATTCGCGAATAAATGGAGAAGATCTTTAATGTTACAAAGATCAAGAATTTGTGAATTGATAGATATTCCCATTGAATAGACTAGGAAATATGCCTGATTTTGTGAAAGAGAACGGGTTAGAGGCCAATGAAGTGGTCTTGCAAGCATCAAAAGAGGCTGAATTGAGCAAATCACATTTTCTTAATGAACAAGAACTGGAGAGGAAGACCCTATATGAACAACTTCAAGAGAGTAAAGGTATGTTAAATTGGATAAATATGAGATTTCATTTCGAACTAAGGATTATACTAACAATTGAATTATAGAGAAAAAGCAAGAGGAGTATGAAAGGGTTATAGCAGCAAGAAACTCTTCTTATAAGCTTGATGAGAAGTCAGCCAATTTTTATGAAGATTTGCGTCAACGAGACCTTGAACGTGAAAACAAAGCCAAAATGGCAGAAAGAGTGGAACTAGAACAGTATCGGGTAATGAAAGACAAGGGTAAGGTGAAAAAATCTGTCCATAAGTCGAATGAAATCGTAGGCAGTATAGGATCTAAAGTTAAGATTGTATCTAGGTCGAAATTGACATCTAAATCGATCAAGAAATCTACTGACGAAATTAGGACTATGAGTGAACAAAAAGAACAAGACGAAAAGAGTGAACAAATAGATTCTCAGAGTAAGGATAAGGATAAGAATTTGATTACCTCTACAAAGTCAGACTCGTCTCCTTCTCCTTCTGCACCTCGTCAAGCGGCTATTCCTGGCCTTGGCGGATATTCCTCTAGTGAAGAGGATTAGAGAAGTTACATCCCGGGAAAAGGAAAAGGAGAAAGCAAAAAAAATACAACGGTGTTTGAACACTTGGTTGACAGTTTGTTTACCTGATCTACTCTTTGTCTCTCTATACTATCAACAATTAAATGTGTGCACTTACCGATTCACGAGATTTTTTTTTTGATTTTTTTGGTAACGAACATTTCTCAACACATAGACAAAAGAGAAGATTAAAAATCATACTCAACTATCAGTGTACCGAATGAGCATGTTTGGATCTTTCTTCAAGGTAGGCTTGGCCAAGCAGCCAGCATTCACATCCATGATGCAAGTCAGACACAAGATGAAGTCGCATAAGGGATCTGTCAAGCGTTTTATCTTGACTGGTACTGGTATCAAGAGAAAGAGAGCCAGTAGAAACCACGGTAATGGTGGATGGGGACCAAGATCCTTGTCTGCCTTAGACGGTTTCACCAAGGTCACCACCAAGGGTGGACATCTTGCCAAGTTGGTGAAGAAGACTTTGGCCACTCGTTAAAACCATGTACCATAATAGCACCCACCTGTATATACACACGCCAATATAAAGTTTAAAGATTTAAAACTTGATGTAGAAATGTATTTTTTTAAAATAAGAGTCTATAGGTCTTTGTTGTTGATCTCTTGATCTGTTAGCTAACTGTTTTACCTGTCTCTACAAATGATCTTTTAACCCAAAATTTATTATTGGTCTATTCTACATATTCTATCTACCTAATAGCCCTTAATTGTCTTTCTCAATGTTCCACTTCGTCCCAATGTCCCTCACCATTCTTTTTCAACTCACTGGTTGGGAAGTAGTGGTAGTTCGTCTTGACAGAGATAGCCATAGGAACGTTGTCACTGGAAACCAATCTAAGCTTGATGTATGTGTTATCAGGGATGTCCTTGATAGTTTTGATGAACGAGTCCAAGTCACGGGTTTCAACATCGTTTACATGTGTAATGAAACTGTTAGTGGAAATCCCGTATTGATGACCTGGACCTCCAGAGTTCTTTCTGGTTACATAAACGCCAGAATGAAGCTTGTCCAGAATTTGACGAACACCATGGTGTGGTGCTTGGAGGAGTGTACCACACCAGAAAACAACGTGCGATGTGTTAATGGAACTAGTGTCGGTGGTTTTCACGATGAGGGAAATCTCCTTCTTTTGTCTGATCACTTGGAATGTAAGTTGTTCCTTTCTGTACATAACCTTCAAATCTCTCATGTTCTTTACAATGGATCCATCCACAGCAAGAACTATATCACCAGTCTTGAATGGGTTAACATCTGCTTCAGCACCGATTTCACGGGCAGCAACTCTATCAACGGCTAAGAATTTGATTTCATCATTACAAACATCTTCAAATCTTGCAATCCATTCCTTAGGGACACCTCTAGTTCTACCTTGATTAATGGAAATTGGAGCAAATTCAACATCCAAAATTCTCACTGGACTAACGCTTTGCTTGGCCTTCAACTCTTCAAGAACATCAAGAACATCGGTCACATCCAACCCCATACGGTACATTCTTTCAGTTTGCAAGTCTGGGTTAGTTTCACCAAAATATGTCAACCAGAAGGCTCTAATAGTACCATCACGGTCTGCAAGACATCCGGTGTCACATTCTTGACAAACCTTACTATCCAATAAGATACATTCCAAGTTGGTACCTCTGTACCGTGGGGAAACGGTAGATGGTGGGATATTAAGAGAAGTGGTGGCACTAACTTTGACATCGTCGGTAACTACTCTAAAGTTGTAGTTGTAACCAACGAAAAATGCCTTGTCACCTCTTTTCAATGGTTGAGTGGATAACTTTGGAGTTTGTACGTCTGCCAAAACCAAACTTGGGTCATACTTGACGATAGCATAGTTTTGGTTTGGATGTAAAAAGACAACTTCAGCAGAAATATCAATCGATTCAGCAAAGGTCAATAAGATGTCACACATATCATGAGGAACAAATCTTCTAGAAACCAAGACATATCCATTGACACTGTCCACGACTATACCATGACCTCTTTCCTTACGGTATGGGAAAGAGTCAACTGGAACCGGTAAGATGGTTCTTACGTGTACAAATGAACGAACCAATGAAGAACAACCCTTCTTGTCATCATCATCAAATGGGATATCGATAAATTTAGCATTTTGTGGTTCAACTGATGGTGGTGGCAAGGCCTTATCTTGTAAAGTGGTGAAATCCCATAACCCAGTGGAATCGTTTCTAGTGGCCATTCTAAAAGTGGATTGCCAATGTCTTTCAATGTAAAGAATGTGAACATTTTCAGAATTTAAATCTTGAACATGACGGTATTGGACGGAGATCTTGACTCTATCAGGGATTTCCTTCATTACTTCAACAAAGGTATCAAGATCAGGGGTTGGTTTGTCATCAACAGAGTCCAAAATCCATCCATTCTTTTCATAAGGACTGAATTCAAAAGATCCAGAAGCATCATTGACGAAAACACCCTTGACTGGAATACAGTAACAACGAGCGACTTGGTAAGAGAGGTCATTGAACGATGCACCGGCAACTTCGACGTATCTAGAAGGAGTGATCTTGTGGAGATCACCAATGACAATGTCATGTTCAATGAGCTTAGCACCACGTTGTAACACAAACTTGAGAGTTTTGCCAACGTTATCATCCAAAATCTCATCTACTCTAACATGAGTGGCAATTGGTTCTCCGTTAATACTGATAAGAATGTCACCTTCCTTGATGAATGAATCAGCTGGTCCTTGAGGTAAAACAAGTTCGGCGACAAGAAGACCGATTTTTTTAGGGAACTCCTTTCTTGCAATTGCTTCATTTTCTGAAGTTAAACCAAGACGTCTACATTCATCAAATGGCTTGAGTTGCCATTCCACTTGAATGTCACCTCTTGTGATGGGTTGTGATTTTTGGATGCATTGTAAGGCACGAAGTGGTCTATAAACTGGGAGGAAGAAATCGGTGGATGCCTCCAGTGACCCACCGGCTTGAAGTGCAACGGCACGGCCCTCTGAGTTTACAACTGGAGAACCACTCGAACCACCGGATGCACTGGCAGCAGCTTGGATATACTCGGTATTGAAATCATTGTATGTTAATAACCCATAGTCTGGAGCATTTCTATCCAATCTAGAAATAAATCCAGACAAAATCGACAATTTTTCACCTGCATCGTTACCTACAACTCTGATCTCGGTACCAACCTGTGCTGCTTCTGGTCTCAATTCTAATTGGACAACCTCCATATATTTAATATCCTTTGGATTGAATTGTAAGAATCCAAAATCATGTACAGGGTCACGATAAATTGGCTTTACCACTGCTTCCTCGTGGTTATCGAAAACTGCATACCCACAGAATGGACCTGGACCAACAACATGTCTGTTGGTCAAAATGAGACCTCTTACGGCATCAACTACAAATCCGGTGGCTTCACTGACAATGGAAGTTTCAGTATCGAAATTGCTAACATGGGTAAATTGAATGGAAACGACAGATTTCACCACATTTGTGATGGTTTCTTGCCACTGAGATGAAGTGGAGTCTTCGATCTGGAAGTCTCCCTGGTATGAACCGTCGTCATCTTCACTACTATCACTATTACTTTCAAATTCTACGACTTCTTCGACTGGTGAATCTCTTCCTGTGGAGGTGGCAAATGTGGTGGCCAGTTGTCTTTTGTTTGGACCATCATCACTTGAAGGTCCTCCTGAAAGTCTTCTTTTGGCTCCCAAATACCCGGCCATATTCCTTCTTTATGGTTCTTTCGAAATGATTACTGTTTAAGGTACTAGTTCATTCCATCGTGTGAGTGAGCTTCGATCTAGAAATTCAGACTGAGAATTTTTATCATAACCTGCACAGTGAAAAAAAAAAGGTTGCAAAAAAGAAACGACCCTTTCGTCTAACCAGTACAAGTCTATTGTCTACATATTAGATGTTAGATTTAACTATAAGTATTAAAGTTGGAACTGTCGATGTAAGCCATTTCAGGTATCATAGTGTTTTAATAAACAAAAAGTTAAAAAGGGAGAGAGATGATGACTGGCCATAAAGTAAGAGAACCAATATCCACCCTACGGGGTCTGTATGCCGCTCCGCTGGCACTCCGTGGGCCACTAGCCGTGGTGGCTCCTGTTCATCTAACAAGGAATGCCTGATTTTTAGGAGACCTCTCGTAGAGCAGCTTGGCCCCACGCAGTGGCCCTCCCGGATCAGGGGCCAGCGGAGCTTCTTGCTGTGCAACCGGAAAGGAACTGTGCAAGATAGAGAGTCTATAAGGCGCTTTGTTGCCACTGACCATGGAGGTTCAATATCGTGCTAGGAAGTAAGTGTTCAATCTTGTGCTGGAGATAATTGGTTTGTTTCTAATCTTTCTATGAATTATTCAATTGAAATCTTTTCTAATACTCTGGACTTCCATGTATCGTAGTAATCTTGTTGAGATTTCTTCTCAAACATCATTGAAGAATCAATCATTGCTCCAAATCTTTCCAAAACTCTTTCTGGTCCCAATTTAGCATTCTGTTCCTTCTCCCAAGTTTCCGACGTTTGAAGGTTTTTCCGAGTGTTGCTACTGTATTGTCTTTCTAGTTCTCTCACCCAGTTCTCCTTATAGACCAAATCGTCTACAATGTTGCACCAAATCAACATATTCCATTTCATAAGTCCACCCTTTTGATATTGAAATAATTGATCTTGGAATTCTGATCTTGCACCAATTCTTTTCTCAAGTAATCGATGGTTGATGCGGATATATGTAGCATGAATCATCCCACAGGCAAGTAACCATTCATTCTTTTTAGCAAATTTTTGTTGGATTCTTCCAAAAGATGCAAGTAATTGTGGGGTCACGGTAGCAGGAATATAGAAATGATTGGCAAATGCAATAAGATCAGGGATTTGTACCACTCTTTTACTACGACTTGGAGACGCTGGAACACTACTACTAGGAGAATCTGGAGGTGCAAGATCAACAATTGATTTTGGATTGAATGGAGATTCCATATCAAATGGAGTTGTCTTTGAACCAGATGGTGATGAACCCATTTTCAACTTTTTAGAAGGAGTTTGAGGCTCATCTCGAAGTTCTTGTAATCTTTTCAATGGAGAACTGATCTTGGGGTTATGTGATGCTTTTGTAGGAGAAAGCATGGGGTTCTTGGTTGGCGAACTCTTTGGTGTACTTGAAGGACTACCACCCATCACCTTCACTCTAAAATCATCCAAAACTCGTTCTAAAAGCTTAGGTTGGATCGGGATTTTGTCCTGTACTGGCTCTGGCAATTCTAGATTAACTCTCAATTTTTCAATAGATAAATAAGCACATATATGATATCTGGCAATTTCTGCCTTATTAGGGATTTTAGGTAATTTTGATAAACTTAATTTGTACAATGAATCCGTGTGTGCGATAAGTTTCGCGGGTAATGGATCTGGTTGTGTCGGTATTATATCTTTAATTGATTGTTTAACTTGTATACTCATTATTAAAATTGATATATCTATATATTTGGGAGATGTTGTATGTATGTATATAGATTTGTTACTTGCAACATTAACTTGTTCAATTTCTCAAATTGTATGGAGAAATATTTTGTTTTTCTCTCCTGCATTTAATCCTCCCTAGCTTTTTTTCAAAAAAATTCACATTAATGGCATTTTCCGGGTAACTTCCCTCCAACCAACCAGATTTGTACAATTCGCACTTACAACCAAAAACAAAAGTCAAGTTTGACAAAGATATACTCTTTAGAAGTAGCTTAGATATATTAATAACATAAAATGAACATGCTTAGATCCACCAGAACCGCGGTCACTGTGTCGCGTGGCTTCTCCACCTATAGCAAGCTTCTCCAAAAGTCCACCCCGGAAATCTACGATCAATCTACCGTTGCAAAGGAAATAGTATCTGGAGGTCCAGTTGAATTGACCACCAAGAGAACCGTTAGAATCTACCAAGAATCTAAGCCTGCCACACAATCCGGCCACCACAATGGTGATCACTGGAAGTTGGACTGGGACGTCTTGGGCAAGGGAAACAGATGGGAAAACGACTTGATTGGGTACCAAGGTACCGCCGATTACATGCAAGGTACCATTATGAAGTTTGATACTAAGGAAGCTGCTGTAAGATTTGCCCAGGGTCATGGTTGGGATCATTATATCCAAGAACCAAAGAAGAGACACTTCAGAAAGAAGGACTACTCTGCCAACTTCTTCCATTCTTCTGGTCCATTGAAGCACATTAGAACCAAATAGAGAATTTGAACAACACACTCCTTTCAATCTTGAACAATAATAAAATAGAACAGGAACTATTTGCTCTATCTTATTCCCAAGGAGCTATGAATGATACCTCGATTGTTTTTTTGACTAGATTTATTCATTTCTCCCCTGTACACTGCATCATTAGTGATATTGGATAAAATCCTGTACCGCTACTATATACGAAAATAAATTTTAACATATATTTATCATCATTAAAGTGTAGTAGATGAGTATATTAGATAAGTGTAGATGGATGGATCGATGAGTGGCTTCCTGCATGGAGAACTGTCTATCATGTAAATAAAAAAAAAGCGTTCCTCAGTTTCCAGTACCGATTTTTTGTATAGTGAGGGAAAAATAACAATCGATATTCCAAACGGCTTTTAACATTGATCCATAAGGAAGCAGTGTAGAAGACAAATTCATTTGAGTTGTCTGATAGGAGTTGCTGAGGAGGGATCTTTGCGAAAAGGTAAATTAATTCTTATTTCATTGAATAATAGGCGTGAAATATTTGTTTATAGATCACACAATTTACAACGAGAGTGTGGGAAAGAGTATATAGATAAGGTAGAATATAGTTATGAGTGGAAAAAGACCTTGGCAAGAACGTAAAGGTCGTTGGAGAGATGATTACCAAGGACGGGGTCATTCAGGGTATAACCAGTCACAATATGAAGATGAATACTACACAAATTCATATTCTAATTCATACACAAACTCATATTCCAATTCATATACAAATTCAGATTCTCGTCTGAAATATTCAAGTTCACGTTCGCATGAGTCACCTCCCATGACAACTAATAGCACCACCACCGGTACCACCACCCCGGTAGTGACCAAGAAACGTGATGGAACAAACCCAAGAACTGGGGAAAATCCCAACGATTTAAAGTTGGGTAAACTAATTATTCATAGAGATATTCAAGCACAGATTGGATGGGAACATCGACCAGTAGATCCAAGGAAGAACTACAAGGTGATATATGACCCAGAACTTGACAAGAGTTTAAGTAAGAGTGAACGGAAGTCCAAACAGAAAAAATTCAGATTCAATGGAGAAGGTGCAAATGATTCCGTTGTAGAAGATCCTAGAAAGAATTTACCTGGTGGACTTGCAACTTATTTCACTAAACCAAACAAACGATCCAAGAAATTCCCGTTCAAACAATTGCCTCAGGCTAGATTTGTATATGATAAAGATTCATTGGGGCCACCTCCAGCTACTGAGATCATTATCTGGGACTTACCATCAACCACTAGCGAGATTTATATAACCAATTTTTTTAAAAGTTATGGAGGACCAATTCGAGATTTGAAATTTTATAATGATCCAGTGAATGCCGTTCCCTTGGGGATTGCCACTTTTAAGTTTCAAGGACCCATTGAAAAATCTCTGAGACTTGCCAAAAAATTGGTACAAACAGTAAAGCAGGCAAGAATGCAAATTGATGGGGTTGAATTAAGGATAGCATTGGATGAAGATGATGGTAAGATATTGAAAGAAAAATTATCAAGAGCAACGAAAAAGATGGAAGGTATTCGAAGAGAAGCTGAAGCTGTCAAGGCTGCTGAATTAGCCAAGGCTAGGGTTGCAGCTCGAATGGAAGCTGAACGATTGGCCAAAATTGAACAAGAGAAACGTAAACGAGAACAAGCTGAAGCACAAGCTCGAGAACAAGCTCGTATACAACAACAAAAGCAACAACAACAGCAACAACAAAAGGAAATCAATAGTTCCAAGAGATCACTGCTAGGTTCCAAATATCTACCAAATACCACCATTACTTCTATCAGACATAATAATGAAGTAATTCCAGGAGTATTTCTTCCAAGGGATTTAAATAAATATATCAAGGACCGACCATTTATTCTCATTCATGATAAATATGCACCAACGAGAAAGATCATGTCTCAAGATATCAAAAAGACTTTGAATAAGTATGACTGGACGCGAGTTCTCTCTGACAAAACTGGGTTTTATGTTGTTTTCAACTCAATAGATGAGTGTGAAAGATGTTTCCAGAATGAAGATGGAAGACGTTTCTATGAGTACAGGTTATTCATGGAAATGGCTATTCCAGAAGGATATGTTGTCTATGGTGAGAATGAAACAACAAGCCATGGGAATAATATTGTTGCAGAAAATGATCCAATTGAAGAAGCAAGTAATATGTTAATTAAAGAATTTCAAATGTTTTTAACCAAAGATATTCGTGAGAGAATCATTGCACCAGCTGTTTTTGATTTATTGAGTCATGATAAATATCCTCATCTTATGGAGGAATTAAAGGCTGAAGAGGCTGCATCCAAGGCCAGAGATGCCGATAAGAGAGCTGAAGAGGCTGCCAAGAGAGCTGAAGAGCTTGCTAAAAGAGCGGCTCAAATGCCAAAGCCAGTTAAAATAGAAAGAAAACAACCAATACTTCCAAGTTTTAGAAAGAAGGAAGGAATTTCCGACAATAAACGGAAAAGTTTATCCAAAAAGAAGGCACAGCATATCCCAATGCAACACGCTCTTAACTATGATGATGATTCTGAAGATTCAGAAGATGAAGATTCGTCTAGATCTTCCACACCAGTTCCACCAACAAAGAGAGAAAGAATTGATGAAGTTGGTAAGGTGAAGAAGCCATTGAAAAAGAAAGCCAAGACTTCATTACATAAGTCATTCTTGTATGATAGTGAAAGCTCTTCTGATGAGACTACTGAAGTTCCAAAGGTGAAAGAAGAGCAGGATCTTGAAGAGAGTAAATCCCAACAAGATGAGGCAATTGAAGAAGAAATGGAGGATGTGGAAGGCGAAGTTGAGGAAGAAGAAAAAGAAGACATGGATGATATTGATTACTCTGGCTTTGCTGAAAGATATCAACCAACTCTTGACCGTCCAAGAACCGTTTACAGTGAAGATTCATATATTGGACGAAACTTGGACTTGAAGGCTTTGCAAAGTATAATTAAAGATGATGAAGATTTAGAGATTGCTAGGAAAGTTCTTGCTCAAACCACTGAACCTGCAAACCTCAAAAATTTGGAGTATTGGGCATGGAAGCAAACAAATGATTTATCTTCAAAGATTCAAGTACCAGAAATTTCTGATTCCATAGACTTGGCAGGACCATTGGATGCCAGATTACAAAACAAGACTGGGGCTTTCAAGAGTGAAGGGTACCACAAGATACCTGATGTCGATAAGAATGAATATCTTCCGCATCGTAGAAGGGTTCATAAGCCACTCAAGACTATCCAACATGAAGATGAGGATATGGGAGTCGATGACTCGGAGGGTAACAACTCTAATAATTATAACACCGCTGGAGGAAATAATTCCAACTCCAATGGAGGAGGAAATTCTAATAATACTTCTAATAACAATAACAACAATAACTCCAGTGGTAATAATACCAGTAACTCTGCTCTTTTACAAAGTTCGCGTGTTAACAGAGCTAATAATAGACGGTTTGTGGCGGATATAAGTGCTCAGAAGCAAATGCTTGGTAGTGAAACTGATATTTTGAACTTGAATGCCTTGACCAAGAGAAAGAAACCCGTTTCATTTGCCAGATCTGCGATCCATAATTGGGGGTTGTATGCCTTGGAACCTATTGCAGCCAAGGAAATGATCATTGAATATGTCGGTGAGTCAATTCGTCAACAAGTTGCGGAACATCGGGAAAAGAGTTACTTAAAGACTGGTATTGGTTCTTCGTATCTCTTTAGAGTTGATGAGAATACTGTGATTGATGCTACCAAGAAGGGTGGTATTGCTCGTTTCATTAATCATTGTTGTAACCCCAGTTGCACTGCCAAAATCATTAAAGTTGAAGGTAAGAAGCGTATTGTCATTTATGCGTTGAGAGATGTCAATGCCAATGAAGAATTGACATATGACTATAAGTTTGAAAGAGAAACCAATGATGAAGAGAGAATTAGATGTTTATGTGGTGCTCCGGGTTGTAAAGGATGGTTGAACTAAGTGTATATAGTATTCAGTTATAGACAGACGTTTGGAGGAGACCTACACTGGGTCTATATAAACCAGTTAAGATATAACTAATGCATAAAGCGAATGATGTAGTAGAGATGGAGTTAAAATAGAAGTAGAAATAGAAGTAGATATAAAAGTAGAAGAACAGGAGTATGGCTAAAACTAGGAGTTAGGATGGGTGGGTTCACATTTTCAATGATCGCGCGATGTTTCGTATCTATATGGAATATGGCACTGAAACATTTCCCCCACATACAAATAGACAAGAATATAAAACCGAATCAGGGTGTCAATTAACACTACTGTCAGGGCAATATGATTCGGTCTAGGGTAAGTACTGGGACTGCTGAGGTCTGGAGACGATTCTCAACGTCTGTATTTGTTCAACGACGGTTTGTGCAAATAGCTGCGACGCGTCATCGAGCCGTCTCGGTAATTGATCTGGTAGTAACACCTGAAAATACTAGCTTTCCCACTTGGGAAGATCGGGGTGGATCTACCAAGACCAATAGTATGCCACCGCTCCAGAAAAGTATCCAGAAGTTGCGGGAAGACAATCCAAACTGTGTATTGCTTATCCAAGTTGGATCATTTTATGAACTCTATGGAGACCAAGCACAAGAATACGCCCCTAAATTGGGACTAAAGGTTGCATTAAAACGCACAAGGATGAACGATTCAGATGGTATATCGATGGCTGGATTCCCAATCTACCAACTAGAGAAATATGTTACGATGTTGGTGCATGAAAATGAAGAAACTGTAGCCATCATCGATCAAATTGGTGAAAAGAAACTCGGGGACAGTCTCGTATTGAGAAGGGTATCACGAATTGTCACTCCAGGTACGTTAATAGACGAAACATTCTTGAATTATAACAAGAATAACTACTTGTTGGCATTGGCATTGCCCAAACAATTGGCGGTCAGTGGTGAGCATGCTGATCCAGACACCACTGTCGGGTTGGCTTGGGCTGATCTCTCACTTGGTGAATTCAATATTCAAGAAACAACCCTAAAGGATCTCATGTCGGACATAGCTAGAATCAGTCCTAGTGAGATTGTTATTTCTAAAGAATTCCAACAACTACATGAAGTAATGAGCCACGACTCCCTACAAGAACTCCGCAGATATTTTGTACGATATCATAACTATCAGGGAGATTCATCATTATTTAATCTAGCTACAAATTTCAAAATAGAGAAACTGTCTCTTAAAAGACGGATGGGTCTGTTGACTCTCAAACAAACAACTGCAATGAAAATGGTCCTCTCGTACATTGCGGTCAACTTGCCTGAATGCAATCCGGTGTTTGACTTCCCCAAGACGCATTGGAATAACCAGGCGTTGCAGATGGATCCACGTACACGTGAAGCCTTGGAGTTGAGTTCCAGAACAACTGCTGATGGAAAGATTTCACAAACGGCAACGTTATTATCCACCATACGGAAAACTAGAACTCAGCTGGGATCTAGAATGCTTCTCCAGTGGATTAGTGCTCCACTTTTGGACATAGAGGAACTTACAAAGAGACAAGACTTTGTGGAGCTATTCCAAAAGAATAATATCTTGTCGCTCAAAATCAGAACTCAATTAGACTCAACTGGTGACTTTGCTCGATCAGTTCAACAATTATCACTTGGATCTGGTGATAGTTTGAACCATATTATGTTGATTGGAGAAGGGTTATCTCAAGGTTCTATAATCCGAGATATTTTATATGACGGGGTTCCAGAGAAGTATTCAGAGTTGATTAAGACATTTGATATGAAGTCATTAGATGGTATGGCCAATAAAATCTTCAGTATTGTAGATGAACGGTTACGTAATGATCGAGATAAATTTACAGATCAATCTTCCAATGATATTCAAACTCCTGCACCAAAGAAGGATGATCAAAAGGATACTCGAGAGAGAAGAAGCTTTTTCATTCAGAAAAATCATACTGAGGAGTTGATGGAAGCTCATGATTCTCTTGCACAATGTTTTAAAGAACGTCGAGAAATTTTTAATGACTTTGCAACCAAGACAAGTGATTTACAACTTGATATTTCTAAAAAGGAAGAATATCTCAAACATACTGATATCATTCACTTCTCGGGTACTGCTGCCAATATTGATGCGGCCATTGAAGCATTGTCCATTCAACCTCATGAAATCCAAGAAAGAAGGCCTCGAACGTTGGTGGTTAAGACGTCAGCATGGATGCAAGTTCATCTGCGGATTGATCTGTACATTCTGAGAATTGATAGCCTTGAACGAGAAATCATTTCTCGCTTAAGGTTAGAAATATTAGAAGAAATTCAAACGATTCGTGAAATTGGACGACAATTGGATTTCCTTGATGTAACTGCTTCATTTGCAGTTCTTGCTAGTGAGAAAAATTTAGTTAGACCAATTTTCACTCGTCGTAACACTCTTGAAGTGAAACAGGGAAGACATCTTGTGGTGGAAAATGGCTTGGAAAGTTCTGGAGATTTGTTTACTCCAAATGATACTAAATTAGGAGGCAAAACCAACCGGTTATGGGTTATTTCTGGACCTAATATGGGTGGTAAAAGTACTTTTCTTCGTCAAAATGCAATCATTGTAATATTGGCACAAATAGGCTCATTTGTTCCAGCAACACACTGTAAAATGGGGATAGTAGATCGGATATTCACTCGAATTGGTGCGCTGGATGACATTTCGAGGGATTTAAGTACCTTCATGGTAGAAATGGTGGAAACTAGTGGTATATTGGAAAATGCAACTACCAAGTCTTTAGCTATAGTTGACGAAATTGGCAGAGGAACAAGTGGGGATGAAGGGTTGGCCATAGCATATGCATCATTGGAACAACTTCTTCTGGTGAATAAATGTAGGACATTATTTGCAACTCATTATGGTATAGAGTTAGACCGGTTACTCACTGAAGATGGGAAGGATAAAAGCGCCGTGGAATATTTCCAAACCGGCGTTTTGGAATCATCAGAGAATCGATTTATTGCCGATCATAAACTTCGTCCAGGTATTAGCGAAAGGTCATATGCCATAGAAGTTGCCAAGATGGCAGGTTTCCCCAGTAGAGCTATCAAGAGTGCAGAGAGGGCAATTGGGTTGATCAAAAAGAGAAATGGGTTATAGATTTATAAATTCATAGTTTAATATTTTTTATCGTCATGAAGTCAAGAAAGACCGTTTGGTTCCACATTCCGTTGTATTCTCTATATATGCAATTAATTATCTATGAAGTTTCTATTGTTGAGGTGGGTAATTATTGTACGGGTTTGGAGGTTGTTGTTGATGCTGTTGTTGTTGTAATTGGTTGGTAAGGTATTGTTGGATTTGTTGCATCTGTGCAGCCTGTTGAGCAGGGTCAACCCATTGTTGAGGAGCCTGCCCATGTTGGTACTGTTGTTGCTGGTGTTGTTGTTGGTATGATTGTTGGTATGGCTGTCCTTGTGGGAAGTATGGATTGTATTGAGGAGCAGCTTGTGGTGGTGGTACAAAATGGTTTTGTTGGCCAGTATTGTGTTGGAACTGGTTATATGGGGTACCATATTGCAGGAATTGGTTATTTTGTCCCACATTTGCCTGTTGTTGGAATTGAAGCATCTGTTGATGGACCAACTGTGGATTTTGAGGAAGCTGTGGGTATGCATGTTGATGTGGTGCTGGTGGGAGAGATTGTACTTGATTTTGGTAAACATTTGGCGCAGCTGGAATCGAGGAAGGTCCCGGTGTAGGAATTACTCCTGCAATTGGTGCAGCTGGGACAGGTGCTACGCTTGTTGGTTGTGGAGCTCTTTGTGGGGGTGGAGGTGGTTGGTTATAACCGTATGCCTGATATGTTGATCCTGGTGCGCCTGGTGCACCTGGAACACCTGGAACACCGCTTGGTCCATTGGGGGCACCTCCTGGAGTTGAGGTAGATGCAGGCTCAGAGTTACCATGATGTCTCTTTCTCTTTTGATTCTCATCAGTATTGGTTTCCTTAGGTTGCTTTGGCTTTCTCTTTTTCTTTTTTGATTGTTTAGATGCCAATTCTGCTTCATCATCACTGAATTCTTGTTCTTCTTCAGGTAATTCCTCATCGTGACAATTACTAGCATCGGTTCCCTTCAAGGATTTTATGGTGTCAGTATATAAGAATTGAGAGTCTGGTACAACATAAAACACCTCTTGTCCCTTTCTATCTTTAAATTGATTGAATTCTTCTTCAGTATTGAATTTCACTCGATAAACTGGCGATTGAAGTCTACCAAAAGTTTCAAATAATGGCCCCAAGAGAGTACGATCTTTGAAACATAAAATAGAATTATCCTTAAGAACTCTGAATTCACCCGAGATGTTGGCCTTGATAATTACACTACGTTCAACCAAGCCTGAAACTTCTCCAATAAGTTGAAGTGGGGCAGATTCAGGGATCTTATAGTCTTCAGGAATGCTAGGAGCCTTTTCATCAAGAACTTCATTTTTAGAAAGAATTGGTCCCACAGTGGCACCATCTTCTTCCTCGAGTTCATCATCGATATCTTCGGCCTCATTTTGTGGGGATGAGTCTGAATCGGAGTCTGAATCTGAATCTGAGTCTGAGTCTGAATCAGAAGAGCTTGAGCTTGAATCGGATGAAAGATCTTCATCGATCATGATTTCATCGTCAGAGTAAGCATTAACAACTTCATCTGAAGCGATAGCTTCAGTGGATGATTTTGAATTAGATTCCACTTCAGTTGATTCTTCTTTAGCTGGTTCTTCTGTTGATTCTGACTCTTTAGCTGGTTCTTCTGTTGATTCTGACTCTTTAACTGGTTCTTCTGTTGATTCTATGGATTCTTTAGTATCAAATTTTGTATCAACTGGGTTTACTGGTTCAGTTACTTCAACTGACTCTATAGGTTCTACTTGAGAAGATTCATTGACGTCATCTGACTTCTTCTCCTCGATCTTCTCGTCTCTCTTTTCATCTACCTTCTCCTCAATATTGTCATCTATCTTGGATTCAATTATTTTATCTTCACCTTGAGCCACTATTTCCTCTCTTTGTTCTATAGTTGTTTCCTTTTCATTGTCTTCATTCGATGGCTTGTTATCTTCATTGTCATTTACACCAGCATCAACTTTTGTTGCTTGGTCAGTAGTTTCGGCATAAGACACAGAACCCCCGGTCACGGGTTCCGACACTTCATCTAAATTGCTATTGTTCACAGTCATGACCTCACCTAATTTGAAATGCTGGCTAAAAGAATTTCTGGTTTCTTAAAAATAATCATTGCTAACTTTTTGTGATGCATCTCATTGTTCGGTCATGTGACGAGAACGAGTTGAGAAAATAATTATTTTTGCAACCAAGTTAATGAACTGTGACATGTGAATAATTTAGAAAGGGATGTTGGTGGGGTTATATTGTAGAATTAGGTGTACCTTTATGAGTATCCAATACTTTTGTATATGATGTTTCGCTTGGGGATGACTTTAAAATTTTTAATTCTTAGAATAAATGACTATTTGAAAGGAGAAATAATATATTTGGGGAAGTTGATGGGGAAATGTATGTAAAAGTAAGTTAAAGTACCGTTCTGTAAGCTTAAGGGTGTCCTTATCAAAGGCCAATAACTACTTAATCAGTGTTTGAGTTCTTATCGTCCATATCAGATCTTAATTTCGGTCTATCTTATTAGTCTAAAGAAATAAATATAATACAAACAAGGGAGTAATCATGAAAACGAGAATTACAAACATAACCACTACAACGAAAGTTATTCTAAAAAATATCTACTCATACACACTGTAAATAACATAATTTATCCTCTTATAAGAGATTCTATCCCTAATACCTTACACCTCAACCTACTCAAAGTCTATTTATTTCCCTCCTACTCACGGTCTATTTATTTCCCCCCCCCCACTCTCTTTTCTCACATTTCCATTCTCAAATCTCTCCCATTTCGTCGTCTAATTATAACAAGGCTTACAAGAATTTTCTAACCAAATTTGAATATTTCTCTCCTTTTTCATAAAATATTTTATCTTTATGTAATATTTCTAATTATCATACTCTCACTTTTCCCGTGATTTCTCCTACATTTCCCATCCTATCACTAACAATCTATCTCTTGGCAAAATCTATCGGACATTTTATAAACGGACTTTCCTGTACACTCGTGTACAAAAATGCATCATACCCGTAGGCGACTGTTACGAGCCCGGCACCCACCATGCTGGCTTCTAATGTGTGCGAGAAAATTACATATCATTTTTCTATTTTATTTTTTGATTGCCATGCAGTTTAATGCTGGTCGTGTTCTATCTTGTCGGAATTGACTAATTTCGACTATCAAACGTTGCGTCACATTTATTTCCCTTATACTTTAAATTAAATCGGTTTCGCTCCCACTGATATTCTTTACTATTATACACCTTTTCTGCAAAAAAAATTAACTAGCTGTTCCCGGTTTTTAACCTGTCATTCCTTTAAACAGCACTAATTGTATGTATCATCGAGATAGTAGATTATGAAGAAGAGAAGAAAAGAAAGAGAGTATTACTTTTTAAGAATTTTTAAAGAAATCCAAACAAAATTTGACCGTCAATCTGTCAATTTACAACTGAGTTTAAAAGTCAATTGTCAGTCGAATAATTAGTCAAATAATTAATTAATGACCAATTGCCAATACTCTCACTGAGTTACACATGTCACATTCGTCGTTCACCTTTCTTACATTGCCCTCAGGTGTAATGTATACCCGACTGATATCCTCTAAGCTGGCTACAAGACTAATTGAATTTTTTTTTTTTTTGACTAAGCCAACCACACCCCCTCCCGCGTTTCATATTTGTAAACAAACAAACAAATATTGAAATGAAAATAAGAAAATCTCAAGAAAAAAAAAGAATCAGAAAAAACAATACCCGGAATTCACATAGTAACGAGAATTTTCGAGGGCTTGTCGCGCCTCAAAAAAAACAAACCTGAAAATTTAGCCTTGGCCAAGTGTCACAAAGACGCGATTTTTCTGCCTCAAATTCCCTTGTTATTCATACCGTACTCCAAATCGGTACAATTCCACAGGGGCACAGATCACCAACAGCAGCACTTGGCACCAGTCGGGAAGGGGGGGCTTATGAATTTTTATATAATACATTGGGCTTCGTGTTCTTTAATGTGATGTTTCTTCTTTTCTTATTCTCCAACTTAATCATCTAGTCACTCCTTTTACTAACTATATATTCCAGATGAAGTTTTCCCTGGCTACTATTGCAGCTTTTGCTGCCGTCTCAGTTTTGGCTGCTCCTGCTGCCCCTGCTGAAGACTGTTCCACTACCGCCGTCCATGGCCACCACAAGCATAAGAGAGCTGTGGTTTATGATTATCAATACGTCACTGTGACCGTTGATAATGATGGTAATGCTATTGCTGAAACAACTAGCGTTGCTTCTGAAGCTGCCACATCCACCCTTGCCGCTGTTGCCAAGGGTGTTGTTGATAATGCATCTTCCTCTTCCTCTTCATCAACCGCATCTCCAACCACCACTACCTCCTCATCCTCTTCATCAGCTTCTCCAACTACCACTTCTTCCTCTTCCACCGCAGCATCTCCATCTGCTTCTCCTTCCAGTACTTCTGGAAGCTCTGGACACTCTGGTTCCATTTACGGTGACTTGGCTGATTTTGTTGACCCTACTGAAGATTTTGAAGATGGTGTTATTGACTGTTCCTCCTTCCCATCTGGTCAAGGTGTCATTGCCTTGGACCATCTTGGCTTTGGCGGTTGGTCTGGTATTGAAAACAGTGACGGTTCCACCGGTGGGAACTGTAAGGAAGGTGCCTACTGTTCATACGCTTGTCAACCAGGTATGTCCAAGACCCAATGGCCATCTTCTCAACCAGCCAATGGTGTTTCCATTGGTGGTTTGTTGTGTAAGGGTGGTAAGTTGTACAAATCTAACTCTGGCTCCTCCAAGTTGTGTCAATGGGGTGTTCCAAAGGCTAACGTTGTTAACAAATTAGATCAAACCGTTGCTATTTGTAGAACTGATTACCCAGGTACTGAAAACATGGTTATTCCAACTGTTGTTGATGGTGGTAAATCCTTACCATTGACTGTTGTTGACTCTGGCTCCTACTACACTTGGAGAGGTTCTTCCACTTCTGCCCAATATTATGTTAATGATGCTGGTGTCGATTGGACTACTGGTTGTACTTGGGGTAATGCTGGTACCGGTTACGGTAACTGGGCTCCATTGAACTTTGGTGCTGGTTACAGTAATGGAATTGCTTACTTGTCATTAATTCCAAACCCAAACAATTACGACTCTTTGAACTATAACGTTAAAATTGTTGCTGATGGTTCTTCCACTGTGAGTGGAAACTGTGTTTACAGTAATGGTAAGTACAATGGTGATGGTACTGATGGATGTACCGTTGGTGTTACCAATGGTGCTGCCAACTTTGTCTTGTACAACTAAACAAACCAAACAAAAGAAATCAAATTAACAATTAAATTGTTTTGTATATTATAAATCAAATAGGGAAAGAATATTATCATGTAGATTAGAGAAAAAAAGAGACATATGAAGTTCTAACGGAAACGTCTTATATAGCCCCTTTCCACAAGGTTGATAATCTTCTTATGAAGTTAACTGAGTGCGACAGTCACGTGACTCTCCATAAAGTCTAAAATGGCTGCGAAATTTTGTGCCAATATCACGAAAATTGCCACACTTTGGACTGAAATTCGACTATATAAAAAACCCCCACCCATCAATTTATTAAAGGGGTGTAATGGTTCTTGTAACTAAATCTATCATGACTGAAAGACCAAACTTCTTAATTATAGTGGCCGATGATTTGGGATTCACTGATTTGTCAGCATTTGGAGGAGAAATCCATACACCAAATCTTCAAAAACTTGCTGAGAATGGAGTTAGATTTACAGATTTCCATACAGCTCTGGCATGTTCACCAACAAGATCCATGTTACTCTCAGGAACCGATAATCATATTGCAGGATTGGGGCAAATGGCCGAATTTATGTATCGTAAACCGGAGATTTTCCATGGACAATCAGGCTATGAAGGGTACTTAAATGATCGGGTTGCTGCTCTCCCGGAATTATTACAAGATGAAGGATATTTCACCTTTATTTCAGGGAAATGGCATTTAGGATTATTACCAGAATATTGGCCTGTAAAGCGTGGGTTTGAGAAATCATTTACCTTGTTACCTGGAGCAGGAAATCATTTCAAATATAATGCCAAGGATGAGAATGGACAACCATTAAAATTTATCCCACCAATGTTTGCTGAAGGAGATCGTAAAGTTGATCATGAAAAGGAATTACCAGAAGATTTCTATTCAACCAATTTTTATACTGACAAAGGGTTGGAATTTTTAGATTATGATGATGATAGACCATTTTTCGGATGTTTGACCTACACTGCCCCACATTGGCCATATCAAGCCCCCCGTGAAGTGATAGACAAGTACAAGGGGAAGTACGATGACGGTCCTGAGGAGTCGAGAAGAAGAAGATTGAAGCAGGCACTCAAGGCAGGGATCATCCCAGATGGAGTTGAACCTCACAAGATGACTAGTCATAAAGATAAACGTTGGAAAGATTTAACCATACATGAACAACAAATTGAACTGAGAATCATGGAAACTTATGCTGCCATGGTGGAGATTTTGGATACAAATGTGGGGAGAGTTATTGATAAATTGAAATCAAAGGGGAAATTGGACAATACTTTCATTCTATTTATGTCGGATAATGGAGCTGAAGGGATGCTTATGGAAGCCATGCCATTGAGAGTAGTGAGTATTAGAGAAACAGTTCTCAAGTATTATAACAATTCCTTAGAAAACATTGGAAATGAAGATTCATGGGTTTATTATGGAGATCAATGGGCACAAGCAGCTACCGCTCCGTCGTACATGTATAAGATGTGGGCATCTGAAGGAGGTATTCGATGTCCATTAATTATTCATTATCCCAAGTTACATGAGAATGCCATTGATAAAGTTGCAGCAGGTTCCATTTCAAGAGAATTCACTACAGTTATGGATATCTTACCAACAGTTCTTGAATTAGCAGGAGTTAAACATCCAGGAAATTTTTATAAAGGTAGGGAAGTTGCAGAACCCCGTGGGAAGTCATGGGTCACACATTTGTCTCACTCTACACCAGTACATCTGGAGGATACTGTCACAGGATGGGAACTTTTCGGTCAACAAGCTATCCGTAAGGGTCCATACAAGGCGTTATACATTCCTATCCCATACGGACCAGGTGAATGGCAACTATTCAATATTAGGAAAGACCCTGGAGAAACAAAAGACTTGGCTGCGTTGCACCCAGGAATATTGAAAGAGATGCTTGACCATTGGGCTGAATATGTGTCCGAGACCGGACTTATCGAATTAGGATCGGAATTTTTAGACGTTGGTGAAGATGGGATAAACTACATCACTTGTGAATCGGATCTGGAACCCGAGCCCGAACCCCAGAAGGAAGTTGGACAATGATGAGGGGTTTGTACTTTTTAGTAATCGTTATGTAACAGCATAACCAGGAAGGTATGACCAAGCCACACCCTTAAGGCGGCAGGTACCTTCATAACTGAATACATACCTTACGTATACGCTCTTTTTATTTTCTATGTCAAAGTCACATATGACAGGTTTCATTAACTTTTGTGCTTCGCCCGGGAGGGCCTGGCCTATACACCGAGGTTCTCATTGTAAGTTGATAGTAGTACACATTCTCACGGCTAAACATTTTCCCGTCTGGCATTTCCTGCGTCATGCAGATTCCCTGTATTGTTTTAATTTTCATGTCTGATTTTTAAGATATATGTACATGGTAAGTTTAAGCCTCTACTGCACTTCCTAGTGCAGGTAACTCTACATTCCTGATAGTGGGATATGCAAGATGCTGTGAGATGCGTAGGCCCTTGAGATGAGGTGGTATTTTTGCGTTTTACAACATTTCTATTGTGTTTTTTTTGTTTTTTTTTGCTTGCAAGATATCTATGCAAGGTAGTAAATTAGGATTGATCATGTACTTGAAATATAGTTTCAAAGTATTACCACAATTCAGGATGCATGATGCTAAATATAATTACCTTTCGGATCGATTATTACGGTTCGGATCGCGTTTGACAGTTTTTCTTTCCGATGGTTAGTTCGCGGAATTTATCGTACTGCTGTAGCCTGGCACCGTATGTCCATGTAGACCCTCGTATTGAGTTCCAGAACATGCCTAGACAGACAAGCTAGCAGGGCTGCACCGGTTGTGAATTTTAGGTATGGCGGTATGGGTACCAGGGCATTTCCCTCTTTTCTTTTTTATTACTTCTTGAGTAGCTTTACAATATTCTGATAAAGATATAGACTTAGAAAAGGATTGCTGACCCCTCCCTTCGAGGGCAAGAATCTTCGCTGGTCCTTATCCAAGGAGCCTGCGATGCCTAGCTCCCCCACAAATATGCTTCTTGCAGCCAAACAGGGACATTACGACTAGTGGCGTGTCAGAAGTGGCTTACATATTGGTCCCTGTGAATCTACTATTTTTTTACTTACGAGTACTGGTTCTGACTCGGGTTGAGCCACTAGCACAAGCACGGGTGGTTAAGTTTTACAACGGTATAACTTGATGTCTCGTATATTACACTAACAGAGAATGCGGTTTAAAAACCCCCCCATCCATCCTTTCTTCTACTTTCTTTTATTTTCTACCCTTGGACTTCTTCTTCTTATCCTTCTTATGTTTCTTGTCCTTGACTTCTTCAACAGCACCACCTTCAATTGGAATCCAAATATTATTTTCATCACCGTCATCTTCAGGGGCCTTGGGCATACCTCTGAAAGTTTCCTTTTGCCAATCCTTCAAGTGCTTCTTCTTGGTGTACTTTCTCTTATCCTTCATTCTCAACTCCTTAGCACGGTATGGAGCAAACTTCTTCAATCCAATGTAATTGTTCAATTGCTTATCGTCAGCCATAATGATATCTCTGGTACTCAAACCAAAGGTCTCTGGGGAAACTTCTCTGTATTTGAATTTCAATTCATCATTATCCTTCTTCTTGGAACGTCCTCTTTCTTCAACAACTTCACTCAAAAGTTTCAATGTGTTTGCCTCTACAATTTCTTGTGCCTTTTCCTTGATAGATTCTTTACTTTTCTTGGCATTCTTCTTTTTTTGAAGTTTTTCCTTTTTACTAGAAACAACGGGTGTGACGGATTCTTCCTCCTTGTCATCTTCACTGACTTCCTTGTCATCATCACTCCATTCAGGCTTTTGTTCATCATCACTAAATTCAGGTTTACCCTGTTCTTCTCCATAATATTGTTCATCGAAAATTTGGGCCATCTTATTATCCCAATCTTCATCATCAAAATCATCATTCAACAATGAATCTCCAAATACTTTTTGAATCACTTCATCAGAAACTTCTCCTCCTACTGCCTCTTTAATCTTACTCAATCTATCAGCAACTTCATTCACCTTGGAAGTCTTCTTTTTCTTCAAAAGTTCTTGTTTTTCCTTTTCTTCTTTTTCTCTTTCCTCATGATCTCTTTCTCTTTGTCTCTTACGAGAGTTGGTGGCAGATCTTCTTAAAGTTGCTTGATTACGAGCATATGAAACAATTTCAGCGGAATTTGCATCTTCATAACGGAAATTGTATGCATGTTCAAATTTTTCCACTGCATCATCAAATTCTTCCTCTGCATCGTCATCAATTCTATCCAAATTTATAACCTTATCATTAGCCTTGGGGATCCATGCTTGTTTATCTACAAATGCCAGTAAGAATTCAGACAGATCTTTGTTTGGATCCGGTAAACTTGTCTCATCAATGATTTCTCTTCTACTTTGTGGCTTTGATTCCTTCTTCTTTAAGAAATCATCATCTGATCCATCATCATCTGATCCTTCACCAGTTTCAAATGCTCCCTTAATGTCTTCAAGCAATTTGTTTCTCTCTTCTCTTTCAGTCACTACAAATGGCTTTTCTCCATCAACAGTACCAAATTCATTCCCTTCTTCTTCTTCATCTTCTTCTTTGAACCCTCCAGAGAGTAAATTCATTCTATGATAATCTTTCAAATAAATTGGTTTATCAGTTTTCTTTGATAATTTGGCCTTGTCATCTTCTTGTTCTTCTTCGAAAAACTTTACGTTGGGGTCCAATAATTTACTTGGGTCGGTCTTAATGGCATCCAAGACCTTGTTGATCCCTTGCTCAACACTTTCAGTGATCAATTCTCCATATTCATCTTCATCTTCGGATGATTCATCATCATCAGAAGATGAGGATTCTTCTGGAGTAACAGCCTTGACCTTCTTCTTCTTTTCGGCAACCACAGCAGCGGCTTCTTCTCTTTCTACAGGTGTGGCATTCTTAAGCTCAGCCTCCTTGGCCTTCTTGGTAGCAGACTTCTTTCTAGCCATTTTTTTTTATTCCTTTCTTTCTTTCAATCTGATTAATATCAAAGTTATCATTAACATTTTTAAACAATGTTTGATGAGAGATGAGATACAATGTGTATATGCAGGAGAAAATAATAGTCACGTTTCATAGCACGTGACCGTGCCACCAAATAGGACTTGATGATATTGAGAATGAGCTTAGGTCTAAACCAATTGTAGGATTTGACGTTCAATACTAGAGTATCGGAAGATTAACAAGGGGACTTATAGATAATTGCCAAAATGAAACTAAGGAATCAGCTAACCTATATAAAAGAGAGTGTCGTTTCCAGAGTGGCTGCAAAAAATAAAAAAAAAAATAGAACCGAGTAGGGCGGTCGTACTGAATGATCTAATGAGCTAATATAAATAATCTTTCTATATATATTTATAGAAATGAAATAATATTTGCGGAATTTCCCCACTTCTTACAACTTGGCCATTCCTCTCGTTTCGTACCACCATTTATAACCCAATTCGCATCTATTTAAATCCAAATTCTCACTTAAAACCCTCCATAACATTCTTAAAAGATACTCTCTTTCAGAAACATTACTAGCATCAATCACAACCATAATCCGATCTAACCATGGAATAAACATCAGAAGTGGGAGATATGGAACCAAATTAATAAATGAAAAAATTAATGCTTCTCTAGCAGTTTCTGGTACTAATCTTACTTGAACTTCATATTCTGATGGTTCTTTAGAAAGTCTTGCCACTTTTGGAACATAATCTTTTGGTTTCTTTCTCTTATTAGCATCAATGATGTCAATACCCATCCCATCTTCATCTATATGACTCATGGTTGAATTGGCGCCATATTCAGCGATTGGTTGCGCCGTACCCAATGCATTCCCAGTTCTATTAATGGGGATCCCGGTGCCAATAGCAGAACATCTAATGTACAAGAATTCCAATAATTCTTGTGCAGAATTGGTATATAAATCCAGAAGTTCCAATTGTTCTTCTTCTGTTAAATTATGATATTGTATAGGATGTGATAATGTTTGTTTACCCAAGGTTTCAATGGCTATACTCAATTGATTGGCTGATAATACATTGGGGAATTGTCTAAGAAGTAAATCCAAATATTCAAGAGTTTCTCTTGGGGTGTTTTTATTGAATGCAAAGATGGCAAGTAACACGGAATGAGCTGCTTCTATCAAATCTGATGATAGAGGGAGTCCACGTCCATTTTCACCACTTGCCAAATTGAAACATATAGGTGATATGGTTCTTCTAACAAAAATTTGATTTGGATCTTTAAGATAATTCTCCCACATCCCCAATACAAATAATACTTTAGATTTCACAATATAATCTTCATGAACAACGTACAAATTAACCTCTTGATAGTCACCTATGAGATGGGACGTTAATGTTTCAAAAGCTCCCGTGGTGCGGCTATGGTTAAGAACAACTTCAAGAGCGACATAATAATCAAAGTTATAACTATCAAAGCCACCTTGACCAATTGATAATAAAATGAAATGAATATAATATAAATTGTGAAGTATCTTTAAACAAATCTCTTGATAAATTGGGGATCTACTACTGGTTGTGCCACTGGTTACATATGCGGTTAGAATTCCTTGAAAAATTAATATCTCAGCAAATAAGATAGATTTCATTGAATGCCAATATTCTTGGAATAATGGTGGTAATGAATCCAAATCTTTAGAATTTGAATCCTGATTAAATTTAGAATGTTGTGAAAAATGATTCAAGTCTCTATTGAAAGTTAAAAGTTTCCCCAATACGGCCGAAATTAAAAGTTCTGGAGATTTTTCACCAGGAATTTGTTTCAAATAACTTTCCAATAGAATGGCAATTTTATTGAGATGTTTAACATTGGGTGAAGGGGTGGTGGTATTATTATTATTGTTATCTCCTGTGGGAATGAAGTAATGAGTAATGGCACTTTTAACACTGTCCTTGTCTACAGGACTAACAATCATATCAATTAATCTTTCCACAACAAATGGGATTGAAATCTTTTGAGTAAAATTTAAAATATTTTGATTAGGATCATGAAAGATTGCCAATGATAATAAACTCAAATTCACCACGTTGTCTGGAAGAGAGGGAGATATAGAGTATGTCAAGGATTCTTTAAACAATTGAGTCGTTTGGTAGTCCCAATTGACAAAGAATGGACGGTATTGAATTGGGTTACCCTTGACATAAAGTTCATAACGAAGTGGGTTAGATAAACGCATTCCAGCGATTATTGGTAAGATTTTCCAAGAATTCTGTAAAGGATTAAATTGAACAAAATTGGTCAATTCTTTCCAGATAACATTATACCAAATTTTCACTGATAATGAAGGTTGGGAAATACTTAATTTCTTGTCGGTGACAAGTTTAAACACTTCAATGATTAGGTAAAGTTCCGCAAATGTGGCTCCATGGTTGCTGGGGCCAAAACAAACTGAGCTGTTTAAGAAACTGGCAAATACAAGTCGAAGGTTCTGTTCATGTTTGACATACGGGAGATAATGATACATGTAACCCAAGACCTTATTCACCGTTGCTGTTGGTGGGGGGAATCTCAAATCATTTATAAGAAAGTCAAGGTCTTGGGGCGTTGGGAGTCGTGGGTTGTCCGACGATGGGATGTTTAGTCTTGCAAGTGCTGCTTGTCTGGACATTCTATGTGGTTGGAAATATTGAATAATGTTGAAGAATGTGGAGCATTTGATTTTATCGTGGGGTTTTCATAAGAACCGAGGGTGGAGTGTGTATAACAATAGGAGTGTAGATAAGATTGGAGGTCAAACTTGACGTATTAAGAGTGGATTATCACCCGTTTATTAAGGTCATATTTGTACTGGGAACATACTGTGGGGTGATAAATAGAGAAGCCACCCTCTCGATAGCAACATTCCCATCTTTTGTATAATTTAATAGACTGTTCATTTTTTTAATAAAAACAAAAAAGCATATTACCTCCAATTTATATAAAATATTGCTGCAAATTTCTTCTCTGAAATTAAATATAAATCTATTAATCAAGAGATAATATCTCATAGTATTACTTTCTACTAACTTTCAGTTCATTAGAATACATTCTACTTACCCAACTACAACACTCTACCCCATCTCCTAAATGCTTTTCTTTCTTGTCTCTTCTATCACTCTACTCTCTCTTATTTTTTGTGTCGCATTTAAAAAAATTAATCGTACAACTTTTTTTCTCCAAATCCGAGTCGCACACGACCATTCTCGATATGGGTTATAGACTCTAAAGATACTTTCACCAACACTTTATTGACTGATATGAATTTTTTCAAATATCATTGTTAGGAGTAGTAGTCAACTGATCGTAAAACTTACTATAGCCTCCACCCCTGCACGCAAAAAAAGGGTCCCTTCAATATAAAATATTTGATCAGTAGCGAGAAAAGAAGGAACAAAAAAAAGAGAATAAAGAATAAAAAAAAGGCAATCACAACGAACATCTCCCCCATTTCATACCATAAATAACCTGGGGCTTGCCCCTTAAATAGACATGATCCGACGTTTCCCATTCACACAGACGTACAAGAGTCTCGCGGCCACGCTACGGGACTTCAAGCCGCCAAATCGACCTACCCATGCGTTCATGTCAAACTCTGAACTTGAAGAGGTTCTGTATCATAATTGGATCGTAAGGACATCTTCCACTCTTCCTAAAAGAATCATAGGACACTTAATAAACTCCAAGAATAGCACCCAGACCGATAGCTCGTCTCTGAAACTGTCGTCCTCACCATCCTTCAAATTGCATCCGCATCATTATTATTACATTCCTCGTGATCTTCATGTTGATGATCTTTATGCGGAAAATAGTGCCACTGAAAAAGTCTTGACAAGCTTTGAACATGAGGATTTGGCCCATATGGCCGATATCCTTCAATCTTATAAATTAGAGCATCAAAAGGTGATTGAACCGGAACTTGTCAATATTTTAATGAAACTTACTCTCAGTGAAATCCCCTTACCAGACTTGTTGCCATATGAAAATGAAGTTGAACCACCGTTATATCGTGAGAAATATAAAACGATAGACTCTTTACTTCATGTGAATGATTCCCCATTCTATCGCTTCATCTATGATCGAATACCTCACCTTTATAGAATTTGTTCATTGTATGAACCATTAATGTTTAATGATCGAGATTTCCAAGAATATTATATCTGGCTTTGTTATCATACCAATGATCTAGAGAAATTGTCTCTTACTTTGAAAGCTTATCTCAAGCAACAGGATACTTATGACTCCAAAGTTTTGTCATATGCTGTCATTGCTCATCTCACTAATTATGACGTTCGGTCTGCCTTGAACACATACAAGGAGATCATGTCGCATGGGATGCGCCTTGAGCCAGTGTTCATCGAATCCATCCTACAACTGGCCCTCAAATATGATTCATTATTTGTAAATATTCGTGAATTTATTGTCATTTGGATGACAAGTAAAAACAATGGTCAAGAGAATCCACTTTCACCCAAGGCATTGGCCCTAGCACTTAGAGAGTATCTGAGATACTCTACTAAGGAAGATTTAGACGCTCTTACTCCTGGTGAACTGGACATCATGTCGTCCCATTATATGGTCAGATCTCAATTGCTTCGTACGAGAATTTTGAGTAGATACCCTACTCAACCACAAAAGCCAGTGTTAAAAGAAGATTTGGCGGAAATCAATGATATCGCTAAATCACTTTCCTTTTTGGAATTGAAAGATTTTTATTATCAAATGATGAGATTTTTCGCTCAAAAGAAAAATGTTAATATGGTAATTTTCATTCTGTACAAGATGAAACAGGATAAAATCGATGTGGATCCGAAATTCGTCAAGCTTATACTGCACATGTACTCCAGAGTTGATAAATACTTCACCTTGTTGGATTTTTTACAATTCACTTCTCAAAGAATTTCATATCAAGATCAATTTTTGGTGGATCTTTATCAAGGGTTTGTTAGAACATATCCCTACCATGCCCCTAAGTTCCATGTCGAATTCATTAATTGGACCAAGACCACTGGTAATGGCACCAAATTGATTGGTCTATTGCAAGTGGAAAAACTCCCATCCAACTTGTCGCCTTACAAATGTGTAGTACCATTTTTCAAACCATTAAAATATGATACCAAGAAATGGTCAAGACTTGGACCACATGGAAACACGACCCAATTGAATTTTAGATTGAAAACTGGGTTTAATGAATTGTTTCAACGTGGAGTTAAACCTGATTTCACCATCATTGAAGAATCTTATAATGCACTTCCACGTAATAGAAGATTTGAAATTCTTGAAATCATGAATAAGGCACAAGTAGATTCTCCACATAAGAAATTGGCCATGATGAAGCTTCATAGAGAGAAATATACCAAGAAATATTTGGAAGATTTCCTTAGAAATGAAGGGAATGGACTTAATGCTCAAAATCGACTCCATATTTCCCTTGTATTATTGAAGAATGGGTTAGGGTATTTGGCGGCCAAATTTCTCGGATCAATTAGACCTGAGCAACTTAATGATAAACTTTGTATGGTGAAATTATACAAGACTTTGAGAGTTCATATGGCTATGTATCACATGCAATCCTTCATTGAAACAATAGATGCATTCCCCATAAACGATATTGTTTTAAATCCATACATCTATGATAAATGTTGCGATTTGGAACGCAAACTACTTGATAGAATCAAGGAACAAAACTTCAATGATAAGAACAACATTCATTTCATTGCATTGGAAAGACTTCGAGGATTTATTGGAGATGTAAGAGTTCGACTTGATAGTGATAAAATTGATGTTGAACAGAAAATTAAACAAACCTTCACATTTTTAACCGAATGGATAGAGAAAGATTCAAATATTGATGAGAGAAAAGTTTAGATAATGGAAGAACTTATTCATCTTGAATTGTTCTTTTCAAAAGTTTCTTTCGATTTCTTTTTGCACCCAAAACATTTTTAGAAGTGCAACCCCTCCTGCATATAGAATAGCATAATACTGTAAATATATACATATATAATGATCAAACGTTATATTAATTGTAAGCGAAGAGGAAGAGAGTAGTTGAGGGTAACCGGGGACTTGTTGGGGAAGCAAGTGGCTGCCCTACGGGGTTTATGAGTCGCTCCGCTGGCACTCGGTGGGCCACTAGCCGTGGAGGTTCCTGTTCCTCTAACGAGGAAGGTCAGGCTACTTAGAGTCACCTCATAGAGGAGCTAGGCCCCACGCAGTGGCTTTCCCCGAGCAGGTGGCCAGCGGAGCGTCATATCGAAAGGGAGAGTACTGGCCACCCTACGGGGTCTGTGTGCCGCTCTCACTGGCGACTCCTTGGGGCTACTAGCCGTGGAGGCTCCCTATTCATCTGACAAGGAAGTTTGGCCACGTATGCTCACAGATTAGATTGATCTGATTCCATACCATTGAGAGGAATTCCTAGCAAGAGCACAAAAAAAAAAGAATGGATACTGAAACATTTACCCTGGTCCCATATATAAAGATTCACAGTGTGCAGTACCTCTATCCTGCACCTAATCAAATAGTGGGTGTACCGATGTGCCGATATGGATGATGTAGTGAAGAGACAAGAGATATGGACAAGAAGAGGTAACAACCAAGGTATTTTACCAGGTTAAACGAGGATTATTATAGAACAAGATGAGTTCTTTAGAGGAACATCTTAAGACTTGGAATGCGGTTGTATGTATTTGAATAATGGAGGGGTAATTTTCATTGAATGGAGCGAGGCAATCAGTCAGTGGGGTCTTGACGTGATCAGGTACCGTCGTGCGTCCTAAGGCTCGTGGGAAGGGTCCCACGGGGTAGTCGGACACAGGAACTAAGAGAGGGAGCCCTTAAGTGATTGCACTGGTACTCCAGGGATTTCTGACCAGCATGGCGCCCCTCGAGTAGAGACCTGTGCAGCCGGTTGAAGTCCCACTGCGAAGTAAGTGGCAGCCCTACGGGGTTTGTGAGCAGCTCCGCTGGCACCCCGTGGGCCACTAGCCGTGGAGGCCCCTGTTCCTCTAACGAAGAAGGTCTGGGCTCTAGGAGACTCCTCGTAGAGGAGATAGGCCCAGGCAGGCCCCACGCAGTGGCTCCCCCCGAGTAGGGGCCAGCGGAGCGACCGGCAGTCCCACGGGGAAGCGAGTGCCTCATCCCACGCCCTATGGGGTCTATGACTAGTCACTGGGATAAGAGGTGCTTCTTGCTAAGTTCCTGCTGGATTTTTAGAGACCCTCCATCTGCTCATGAGCTTGAGAACCAAAGGATGAGCAACAGACTTCAATTTAATTTTAATGTTTACTAACAATATAGGACTCTAACCTTATGAGTGGATTATTAGCCAAAGTCAGCAACACTTTGGAATGCGCCATCTGTTCGGAAATGATGCATGTACCCTTTTTGACCAGTTGTGGACATTCCTTCTGTTACAAATGCTTGAGTATGTGGTTTGGGAACCGATTGAATTGTCCCACGTGCCGGAAGGACATGGAACACCCGCCAACTTTGAACGTACAACTTCGTACCATCAGTTGGAACGTCAGTGAATTGTTGATTGACGTTGGTGGTGACGAGGGTAAGGCGCTTAAGGAGGCACGAGAAGAGGCTGACGCCGAGTACAGACAAGAAATACGTGCACTTTTCGGGAATGCATTCACAGCCACTGCCTTGACGGTCATTGATAATTCCGATGGAGTGCCGAGATGTGGCAATTGTCATTGGGAAGCACATGGAAGTGTTTGTTTGCATTGTGGTACTAGGTTCCGAGTACCTCGTGACGACGATTATTATGACTCCGATAACGGTGAGGCATATGATGAGGATGAACAAGAGCATGAAGAGTTGGACTTTTATGATTCTGATGACAGTTTTATTGATCGTAGAGCCATCATAGAAAATGGGATCCTTTCCTCTGATGAGAGTGAAGGTGAATGGCAAGGGTTCTCGACCGAGCCCGTGTATGTAGACGACGAGGCCGACGAAGATGAACGTGCTAATAGAGAGGAGAACGAAGACCACGATGTGGTTGACGTTGACTCGGACGCTAGTAGCGATCTACAGGAGGTTGAAGACCTTGACCAGGCGTTGGACCGGTTTAATAATGACATTGGAGATGATGACGACGAGGACGAGGACATGCATGACTACTCCATAGATGAGGTTCTGGTTGGACGGAGAAGAAGAGGTGGTGGGAGAAGGACAATTGGAATGGATGAAGAGGATGAGGATGACGAGTAGGTGTCCATAGGAGACAGTAAGCCACATCACCAGGTCTCCTGCTTGAGGAGGGCTACTTGCATTCCTCGTTAGAGGAACAGGAGCCTCCACGGCTAGTGGCCCACGCTGTGCCAGCGGAGCGGCTAGTAGACCCCGTAGGGACAATAAGACGCTCCGCTGGCCCCTGCTCGGGGAGAGCCACTGCGTGGGGCCTGGCTCCTCTACGAGGAGATTCTTTGTCACCAGGCTTACTTCAGTAGAGGAACTGGGGCTACCACGGCTAGGGAATGTACAGGGAAGTTGTACTGACTTCTCCTCGGGACATTATGATACTTCATGAGGGTGGGGTCCACCTACTTGGTGGTGACCCACAGAGTGATTCGGAGCGCCCATATACCACCATACAGTGATACAACTCATAGTTACAGCAAGTACTCCCCTGACTCCTTAGATACTCACATGTCTCTCCGGACTCCCCATTCGTAGGCACATCACTGTTACTATGATTACATACGTCATACTATTAATACTACATCTTTAACTCTTATCGACTATGTAGTGCTACCTAGTGCATAGCTACGGAAGTAGAACATTCCCGTCTAGCTATACAATCATCATAAGAGGAGCTGGAGCTTCAACAACTAGTGGCCGAGGGAATATCCATAGAATCTGACTACATACGCCGCCTCTATTCCTCATGACATATATACAGTCCCTACTCACATCTACATATCCATTACTACAAGCCACGTCAATACTACAAATACTTCCTCGTAAGAGGAACAAGAGCCCCCACGGCTAGTGGCCCACGGAGTGCCAGCGGAGCGGCTCACAAACCCCGTAGGGTCGGTCACTCGCATCCTCGTAGTAATTGAAGTCGCTCGACTCCTAGTCTGGAAAGAGCCACTTCACGGAGGCACCCTACACCTCTACAAAGGGTCCTACATCCCTCCCTGGGTCCGCACTACTTCCCGTCTCTAGGCTAGGGAGAAAAAATAATTTGTTTATTATGACTTGTGTACTTTTTTTGTTTGTGGCCCCACCTGCACATTGACAATTCCAGCCTTGTAATTGGTCGCTGTTTCGCGGTATATGAAAAATGAACTGATATAAAGAAATGAGATCTCAAGGCTTCTCTCTTTCTTATAAACACATCTACAAGTATGTATAGGTGGCAGGGACTCATTACAATGGCGCGAGGACGCGGATAGTCACCGGGACTGTCATGTAGAGCCGTTTACGCGGACTTTTGAAACGGTCTGGATCGCTTGAAGTAGCCTCCGCCTCAACTTGCCAGTTTGATGAAGAACCCCCCCTCTCCAATTTAAAGCAAACAAACATCAAACAACTATATAAGTCAACTCCTAACCAATGGATTGAATGACTCTACTCTCTCCCCTATCTATGTATACTAACAATATTTCTAGAATGAGTCCAAACCCACAAAGAATTATTAACTTACAAAGAGAATACCAAAACTCCTCCAAGAAGTTGTGGATGAGAGGTAAGAACGCCAAGTTGTTGGTTTTCCCATTCTACGCTTTGTTCACCGTCACCACTGTTGTACCATTGTACTACGCTGGCAGAGCCGTCTGTGGTCTCAAGGACGAATAGGTTGTATAGTAACTGTTAATACAAGAATTTATATTAGAAAACTTCTCGGATGATTGTAGAGATATTGGATGAGAATGAGAGGGGGAATTGAAAAAAGTGAGGCTACAATCTACCCCTGAGACACCTGTAGTGATTAGAAGTCCCTTCGAAGGAGACACCAAGGGAGTCACAGTCTCCGAGCAGGGGCCATTGGAGCTGGTTGAGGTTCCACGCGGGGAGGGAGTGACCCACCCTACGGGGGCTGTGAGCCGCTCCGCTGGCACTCCGTGGGCCACTAGCCGTGGAGGCTCCTGTTCCTCTAACGAGGAAGGTCAGGTTACTTAGAGTCTCCTCGTAGAGGAGCTAGGCACCACGCAGTGGCTCTCCCCGAGCAGGGGCCAGCGGAGCGTCTTGCAGTCCCATGGGGAAGCGAGTGACTCAACTTCGGGCTCTCCGATGATGATAAGAAGTCTTCCCTTCTCGTACCGGATCTGAGACCCTAAGTAGTGGTGGCACTTTTCTCAGAGGCACATAAGCAAGTGATCATTTCCGATTAGACTGGTGTCAATACATCGCACACCTCTTACATTTCATAGTCTCACTAGCGGTGTATGGGGCCATTCTCCTCCATCAAGGCAGTATCTGTTGAGTTAGCAGCGACTGTAGTGTAGGAGTAAAGCTCCTGGTATCTCTATCATGACACGTCACGTGACCAATATAATTTTAACTCTTTTAATTCTTTGTATTTCATTTATTTATCTTCATCTTGAGTTTCTTCCAATCTCATCAATTTTAACCTTATTCCCACTTTCAATATTTAATAAATATTTATATATTACTTACCAATTATTAACGATAATATCCCCACCATTAGGTATTTAGCTATTAAAGCACAGGTCCTGCATACAGACATGGTTGCAAAAATGGTCCTCACTAAAATTTTTTGATTGTTTTGATTTTTTTTACAGCCACACCGTTCACCCCAATGAAAAGGCCAAACCTGAAAGGACAATGTTGTATGGCCTCCAACCCTGTGAGAGTGAATAGGCGGGCAAGTACTGGAGGCATTGTCTCCTCTACTGAAGAAAGCCTGGTGGCAAATAATCTCCTCGTAGAGGAGCTAGGCTCCACGCAGTGGCTCTCCCCGAGCAGGGGCCATCGGAGCGTCTTATTGTCCCCACGGGGAAGCGAGTGACCCACCCTACGGGGTCTACCAACCGCTCCGTTGGCACTCTGTAGGCCTCTAGCCGTGGAAACCAGAAAAAAAAAAACTCCTAAGAGTCTCTTCCTCCTACAGGAGCAGATTAAACAAAGTGGTCCTTCTATCTACACGTCCACGTGTGATACCTCACGAGCTAGGTGGGAGAGAGAGAAGGTTGGTGTATGCATAAATTGTGGTGTATCGCTTAGCCTCGTCAATGTCACTTTCCTTTAGTTGCTTGGTTGCCACTTTTTTGGTATCCGCTTATATGCAGACCCCAAAATATTTGTGTCATGTGACTTTTGTTGGGGTTTATCAGATGATGGGAATACAGAGAGTATGAAATAAGTTGATTGATTGAACTCGTTTAGACGTGGGAATTATAGAATATAGCTTGTTAGGTATGACAGTACAGTTATTAGACCTCCCAGAAAGTGTTCATGGCAAAATCATTGATCATCTTTATCAACAAGATGTGGTTAATTTAGCCCAAACCAATTTTAAATTTTATAGACCATGTATGAAGAAGTTGTATAGAAGGCTACAAATATGTAAAGATCCGATATTGAAATCTGGAGGAGGAGGAAGAAGAGGAAGAAATTTTAAAGATAGTTTATTTAGTGTTATTGGAGGGTTTCAAAACCGAGAGATCAATGGGAAATTTCAAAATCAATTGATTGAGGCAAGGATAAAGACATTGATTAGGTCATTGATGGTTAATCAAGAGTTGATTGGGTATATACAGGAGGTGGTGGTTGATAGGAGGGGAGTTGAAGAGGGAAGTAGAGATGTGGTGAATGAGTTAATTAAGATATTGGGGGATGATTGTAAGGTTGTTACAATGGGGGGAAATAAGGAGGTTGGGGATAAGATGATCGAAATTGAGTTGGATATTGGAGGGGTAAAAGAAGAGAAGATGGGGGACAAGTTGAGAAAGAAGATGGAAGAGAGGATAAGAAATCAGATGGATGAGAAGATACGAAAGAAGAAAAGTGAAAGTGGGGTTAGAATTAGATATTATCACAGTGAACATGGCCAAGAGCAAGAAGAAGAAGAACAGAGAGAACGGAGTGAAATCCCAGGCTTACAAGAGCAGCAATATCTTACACAATTAGAAGATTTGAAACATCACACACAAAAACATCACACATATCTGAGGCATGATCCAAAGTTTACACATCTGAGAAATGATGCAGAATTTACACATCAAATGGACCCTAAACATCCGGGAACCCTTCCACACAATAAAGATCCCACACACCCAAATCTGAAACATTTGAATGATGGTACACGTGTGAAAGATTTTACACATGTGGGAGATTGTAATCCAGATTTCACAGATCTTCTACACCTCCCTGAAGAAGATCGCCAAGATCTTTCAGATTTTGACGAGGTATCGATATTTTTTGGTTGCGACAACCCCTCCTGTAACCAGACCTGTTACCCTGTCCTATCCTCCGTAATGAGCACCTTTCTCACCTTTACCACAGTTGAAAGCCTCTCATTCAATCAGATCAACTCCACCCACCATATTAACACACATGAAGATTCTGTCCAATGGGACTTGACCGTTTTCCAAATCATATCTCAATCCAATATTTCAAACCTATCTCATCTCCTAATTGATCATAAAGTGAAAGAATTATTTGAAGATGGAGTCGATGGGAATTACCTAAAAAGATTATCCCTCTATACAGAAACGCTCCCAAGACTTTTGTCCGTTAGTCAACGGCTCATAACGTTGGAAATGCCACATTTCCTAACAGTTGTTGCATGTTATGAACAACCCATGAATAATTTATTATGGAACGGATGCAAATGCGCGCACTGTAACGTCCATCTAGGCATATTGGATGAGTTTATCATGCTGCATAAGATTTATCTGGCCCAACATCATTGTTGGAAAGATTTAATTAGTTGTCATTTTTTTATTAGTCTAGGCGATGAGTTGGCAAAAAGAAGGGGTGAATGCAGCCATCGATCGACTAATGACCCACTTTTCAAAGTTGGATGGGACCTACACACCAATCGATCGGGATTACCCTTCCTTTGCTTGAATCATCATACAGTGGATGAAGGAGAATTCGATGAAGAAGATAAAGAATTTTTCTACGATGCTCCGATGGAACCAATGAGATGTGACGTCACGGGGAGAAACAAGAGCACTACTTCAATCGATCAATTAGCAATCTGTATGTCTCATTACTTCAACGATATCTTGTTGAAGATGGTTGCTCTTAAGCGAGGTGACGCAGAATCATTTACATTGGGAGGTGAGAATGAACATGATGGAGATTATGAGCAAGTGTTCAAGGAGATCGAGTTAAACGGTGTGCTCTATGCAGTGGGGAATGAAGCCAATGGTACTAATTGGATAACGTGTATTCTGGATGGTGCATGAGGGTGACGTAAGTAGTGAGAGTAAACAATGTTGCAGGACCGGTGTGTACCGGGTGTGGAAGACGTTGGAAAGTAGCACCTGGTGGGGAGGTCCATGGGCTATGCTATGGGCTATGAACTGTCAATTTTCCGCTTTAGTCCAACCTGTCACTTTCGTCTCGATGCACACATACCCGGATCGGATATGTATCTTTGTTCACCTTGAGGAAATGCCATTTGATCAAGGGCTTGAATGATTTTTTTTTTTTTTTTGCTTATTTGATGTCGTATCTGTTGATGTACGTCTAGCTGCATCAGCTACCGTTTATTCCATTATTTTTTCTCCCAATTCCTCCTATTCCTGCACGCTGTGCACGGTTTTTCTGATGAGCTGGATTATGTGCAGCCTGGAGAAAAATAAACTATGTGCAAAATCTCTGGCGTTAACAACGTCACCTCCCATACTGGGAGCGCCTAGCGCTATCTTATGTAATCTAAACTGCGAGAATAAACAGAAAAAAATCAACATTGAAAACAATGCAATGCAAGTAAACGGGGTCCCCTATCCCTCACACTCTCTCCAGTGTCGCCTTATCGGGAGGTGGCCAAAAAGGGTTTTTTTAGCTTTGCGCGGGTCTCTGTGGGAAATGACCACACTGTTAGCATTTCTGAAATGTATTTCAGATGATTCCAAATATAAGGTTTTAAAAATAGAACACCTACATATACGAAGAATTCCCATTTCTGTTGAGGTTCGGAACTTGAAAAGTTTTCCGAACCGCATGGAACGGTTGAATCAACTTGTAAACCATCTCTTCTTTCTCTTCCTCTTTTTTTATTTGTGGTTTCCTTCTTTCCGCTTAGCGTGTACCCCTCCCACCTCCCCCTCTCTGTGCTCCTGCCCTTCCTGCATCGTTTGTTGGCAGAGAATTATTCTATTGGGAGGGCCAAAGTTGCAGAACGACCTCGCATGCATATAATATGCATGCAATCTTCAAAACATGACCTGATTTCGAGGTACTTTATCATGTACACACTTTCCTAAAATAAATAAAAAAAAAAAGGGTACGATTGTGGGAAATTGTTCGCTGTCCAATTAGTTCAATCGGCGTCTCCTTCCGCTAATTCTTGCCATTCGAGAATCATCCCTGTTTGAAAAAGACAATTTGGGAAATTAATTCGTCGGGGAAACGTGTCTTCCGCTTGACAACTCACGGTATTTGCCGACACTCCGTTTTCCCAAATATACTGTGAATTCCGCTTTCTACATACGTGTTCTCAATTTTTTTTATTCTTTAGCTTTCTTGGCCGAGCAATCTTTGTTATCTTTTCTTGTTATTTGCTCTTAACCTTTACAATCTAAGGTTTCATAGTAAGGTGGTTGGTCATGGAATTCTGTCTGGAATTTGGTGAATGTTCGACAAGATCTGGTGTTTGGATGGAAGACCGGGTACTGTAGACTGCGTGCAGGACAATACGTTTATATGCACACTTCCCAATACGGGTCCTTTTTCCTACTTTGATGGGGTCCCCCCCCTCCCCATCCCCCCGCTTTCATACATGCTCAGATTAAACTACATTGATTAAAAAAAAAAAGACAACAGACAAGGTGGTGGAAAAAGAAGTAAGATGGATGAGAGAGAGATACTCTAATCTACGAGTCATTCACATTATCTCTTCTTGGCCTCTCTCTCTCTCTCTCTCTATCTCTCTATCTCTCTTCACCACCTTGTTACAATAAGTTTCTAAAATAAGTATCTTTCCCGGAAGTTACACAATCCCGGCGAAGGTTTTACTATTGTTTGAAAAGTTTTAGGTTTTAATGTATATGCACAACGGGGTAATATTGGATTAGCTTGCTACAAACTTTAATTTTCGTATAATTGTGTAGTATTCTTGGCCATCAAGATGTTATATCTACCTAGTAGCCGGTACAAACAGCTTGGCTGGACCCTTGTACCAATAGGGGGTGCGACGCGGAATATCGAGGGGGTGTGTGAACAATAAGCAGGAGAGTACACAAAAACATCCTCGCTACACTTAAACTTAAACTCTTTGCACCATCGGACTTTACGTGGAAGCAAAAGTACAAAAGCTTATCTCAGCGGCAAGGAAGTCCCAGGAACAGTTGAAACAAGGCAAGAGAACACACTTGTAACAAAGGAAATCCTTTTTGTGCAAAATTTAACATTCATTCTCGCGCCGATATCGGAGCGCGGAATCTCTTTCTCCCACTCCCCCCTTTTCAACCTAACGGACAACTTTTGCACCACCGCATTGGACTACCGCATTGGTTGGCGAAGCGGAAAGCAGTTCCCTAAAAAATAATGAGGACAGGAAAAAAAAAAAAAAAAACTTGTGGCTGCCTTTTCCCTCAAAAAAATTTTATTTTTTTATTTTTTTATTTTCTATTCTGTATTTCGGCATGCAGGAGCGATTGGGGTTATTTTTTATTCTACTTGGAGCGACCATGCGCGGGGTTGGGCAAAAAAAGTGGCTACCACCTTGTTCTCGGGGAGAGGCGGGCATGGATATGGAAGCGAGGGAAGTAATGGGGTGGGGGGGGGGGAACAATGCTTGTGGTGGATAATGCTATAGGTGTAGTACTGTAGAATGATCTACTTTCTTCTCTTACACTTGCCGTTGGTGTGTGTCTTGTAGTGTTGCATGCAATTGTCTTGTCTGGCAAACTTTGCCTCACAAGATGGCCAAGGACAGACATGTTTCCTCTCACCGGTGTGGATTCTCTTGTGTCTTGCCAAGTGGCCTGACGTGGTGAACACACGGGTACATGTCTTACAGACATGTTTCCTCTTTGGTTGCGAGTTGATTGGTAACGGAGTAGGAGTCACAGAAGCAGCATTGGCAGCGGTAGCAGCGGCAACATCGTTATTATGAAGTGATTGTCTCAAGGACGCCACGGAGTCACCAGAGATAGACGACAGCGATGATCTTGAGCTATTACATGCAGATGGAGGAGGAGTTGGGATGTTGAATGGAGATTGTGACAAGGCAGCTTCCACTGCAATGTAATCACTTCTCTTTTCCGAAGTGTAGGTACGACTAGCCGAGGATCTTGGCGTAGGATATTGTAAAGGAGGGAGCGAAGTGCTAGGGGAAACTGGTGAAAGTTGGCCAGGGACTTGGAAATGCAGCCCCAGGTAGCCTCCATAGTATTGTCTCACGTACTGCTCATGATGCGCCTCTGGGATGCTTGTCACGAGCTCCTTGAATGAAGGTAGCACTATGTTGGAGGTGGGAATGGAAGACATTGTAGATACAAGCTCTATTTTATTTATGGTTGTAGTAAGCGACGATATCACTGTGGTTCAGAATTATCGGCGGCATTTCTGCCAAAGTGCGGCCGCTCGCTTCTTCTTATATTTGTTCAATTGTAGCGGCCTCGGCGTTACAGGCCTAATCTTCGATCATGGTCAGGGGTCGCGTCAGGTAGCAAACCACACCTGCCCAACGTGTAGCCTGGCACAATAGGTGCACGCCTCAACTCTGGGTATCTATAGGCGGCATATGCAATGTATACGCAGACGCTGTCTGCAAAGTTCTCGCATGCATATGGTTCATTACTAATAAGCCTCTCTGAACTGGATTTCTCGTATTCGGCAATATTTTGTCGAACCTCCGATCAAAGTGTCAAATGTTGCGCGCAGTAGCCGAGGTTGTCCTGTTGGTGTTTGGGTGAGTTCTTTGCACCCACATATCGGGAAATGGTACAAAGATAGATAGAGCGCTCTGGTAGTGTACATAGGCCAAAGAGATACAAGGGTTTAGTTTTCCAACCACCAACTCTCCCCCACTATGAAGACGCAAACTTTCCTTATTGTTTTAGGCCGTGTCAGTGGTTCAGAGGGCCAGTCCCCCCTCGCGCTAGACCTTGCTACTGACAGAGAAAGCAAGAAAAAAAAAAAAAACAACTACAAGGCTGGAGAAAGTACACAAAATTGAATATGACGTAATATACATTTCAGGTAAGGGTTATGCGCCACCATGTCTGTAACGGTCTCAGGACTGAGCCCTGAAAGGTTGCGTTTACCTGTAGGAGTACTGGGGAAAGTCCCGTGTGTGCGTTTGAATAAGTAGACGAGGTGGAAGACGATTGGACTGGTGCACGGGGTGGTCAGTACGCTGAACAGGTCAGGGCCACTCCCACTTCCTTTCAAGCATCATACATTCATGGATGTTTCTATTGTGGTACTCATGAGGAACACTTCCTATTCTTTTTTTTTTTTTTTTTTTTTTGTGCACTTTTAAATTTCTTTTTCAACACTATATTGAAATGGAATTTTTTTTTTTTTTTTTTGGCTTCTCTATTTTTTTCCTCCCAATTAAACCTCTGCATTTCTCTCAGATGCGTGCATTTTTTTTTTCTCTCTATTTTTATTTTTGCGGTAATGTTTCGCCCGCCATCAGTGTTCGTTTCTGTAACTGTGTCACCACGCAAACCGGTTGATTACGGCGGTAAAATTTGAAAAGAAAAGCCATCTAGATTGCGTAAAAATGCAGAAGATCAATTGGCCAACATAAGATACGGCTCATATTATGAGATCGTTCTATTTGCATATTCTGTCGGTGGAATTGTTGCAGATTTGAACTGGCTATCATACAAAATTCCTCATGTGTCTCGCCCCCCCCTTGGGAAAAATTACGCAGAACAGACGACATCCCCAAAAATGGATTGGGTAAATTTAAGAGAAGAAAATAAAATTTTATTAAAAATATTCTCCTCAATGCAGAAATCTCAAGTTTGATGATCCCCCCCATTCCATTCCATTCGTACTTTGCCAAATTATCTTAAATGGAATCAATTGATATCTATGGGTTGAAAATGGATATCTATCCGAGTATGTGAAACAAGGTTTACAGACACAACACCATATACCGGACATCCATAAATATAGAAATGAAATGTTTTTTTTTTTTTTTTTTTTTTTGTCAAGCATTTAAAAAAAAAAAGAAATTTTGGCAGACCCACCTTATCTTTAACATCGGTAAAGGGTCTTACAGATAGTATTGATAAAGTACTTGCAAAGTGGAATAAATTGTCGGTGACGGACATTTTATATCGAATATTTTTGCTTTAAATTTTGCTTTAAATGACCACTACTCCTTGTAATGGCTTTATGGAAGCTATTGGAAACACTCCATTGATTCATCTTGCAAACATTTCTAAAACGGTGGGAAGAAATATATACGTTAAGGCGGAATTTATGAATCCTGGTGGATCAATAAAAGATCGAGCAGCACTCTATTTGATTAGAGATGCAGAGATGAATCATGGATTGAAGCCAGGTGGAACCGTAGTGGAGGGCACCGCTGGAAATACGGGGATCGGGTTAGCTCATGCGTGTAAATCGCGTGGTTACAAATGTGTGATTTATTTACCAAATACTCAGTCCAAACTGAAAATTGAAACCTTACGACTTTTAGGAGCTGAAGTACATGCGGTGCCTGCAGTACCATTTGCCAATGTTAATAATTTTAATCATCAGGCTAAACGACATGCAGAACAATTGGACAATGCCGTGTGGACAAATCAATTTGATAATCTTTCAAATAGTCAGGCACACTTTGAAACGACAGGTCCAGAAATTTACGAGCTGCTTCAAGGCAAAATCGATGCATTCACATGTTCTGCCGGTACCGGGGGTACTTTTGCTGGAACCACTCGTTATTTGAAGGATAAATCCAATGGTAAAGTGAAATGTATACTTGCAGATCCACCAGGGGCAATGTTGTATAACTTTGTAAAGACTGGTGAACTTGTAGCTCAGGGTAAATCTTCATTTACTGAAGGAATTGGTCTTGGAAGAATCACCAAGCAATTGGAACCAGTGATGGATCTTTTAGATGATGCCATTCATATTCCTGACCAAACTTCTATCAATATGTTGTATGAATTATTGGATACAGAAGGACTTTTCGTGGGGGGAACATCCGCACTTAATGTTGCTGCAGCCATAGAAGTTGCCAAGACACTCCCACCAGATTCAAATGTAGTTACTATACTTCCTGACTCTGCTCATAAATATTCCGACAGACTCTTTTCAACTCAATGGTTGAAGGAGAAAGGGATCTATGATGGGATCTCAGAACATCTTAAAAGTTATATAATTTATCCTTAATAGAAGAAATCTAGTACATTCATATTCATCACGTGTTGGATAAGCTAGTAAAGTAACCCTCAATACAAGAGCCAACTAGCTAAGATAGGTGCAATAGGCGAAGAATGGGTCATTTTAGGGAAGCCCCCAAAATTCCCCAATTATTCCCAAAGAGGAAGGGAGGGGTATCTGATTCTTTGAGGAGACGACTTACAGCCAAAATAATTTGAGTAAATAAAAAGAACCACGCCTTACGAACTTCACTAGATTATTGTAGAGGCTGTTAAAGGCGGTCAATTTGCTGCTGCACAGTTAGAGGAAGAACTACCGCATTTTTTCTTGCTACTTCAATCGAGGAGTGTACTTGCAGTTAAGATTCCTGGTTAGAGGAACGGAGGTCCGCCCCTCACCTAAGGTCAGTATCCCACAATGTACCAACAGAGGTGAAATCCCACTCCCACTGAGATATTATCTCTACAAGGGCGACTTATCCTTTCTCAGGAGAGACGTTGTGTGGAGGCAACATTATTTATGAGGAGTCTATTTGCAGTCAAATCACTTCCTCACCAGAAGAAATGAAATTCCTTATGACCCATAGAATACTAGAAAAGTCACTAAAACTCTCCACTCCATTCCATATGGACTTTTAACTATAGTCCCTATGGTAGGCACTTGTTATGACTGTACATCACGTGCCATATATTCACGTGCAATTTCGATCTTTTTGACACAAAACGAGTCGAAAGTCAATCTTCCCCGTGAGATAACCATGGAAAGTTCTTTGTAACATCTCTTTTATATACCCTTTCAATACTATTCATATCTCCAATGCTTTCTAAATCAATAAGATCTGTTGCATTCAAGAGATTCTCATCATCTGGGACTTTCAAACCGCCATTTGTGCCCCTTGTAGCTGAAAATGGATTTTCTGAAGCCGTGGGGAACACTCCATTGATTCGTCTCCCCCAGATTTCAAAAGAAGTTGGTAGAAACATTTTTGCCAAGGCAGAATTCATGAATCCTGGAGGATCTATCAAAGATAGAGCTGCACTTTTTGTAGTTAGAGACGCTGAAAGAAACCATGGATTACAACCAGGTGGGACTATTGTGGAGGGAACTGCAGGTAACACCGGGATTGGATTGGCTCATGTATGTAGATCTAGAGGTTATAAATGTGTCATCTATATGCCCAACACTCAGGCCCAACTGAAGATTGATACCTTACGTCTTTTGGGAGCCGAGGTTCATCCAGTCCCTGCCGTGGCCTTTACAGACCCTCAGAATTATAACCATCAGGCTAAACGTCATGCAGAACTGTTAACCAATGCCGTATGGACAAATCAATTCGATAACATTGCCAATAGACAAGCTCATATAGAAACCACCGGTCCAGAAATTTGGGCTCAACTTGATGGGAAGGTGGATGCCTTCACTTGTTCTACTGGTACTGGTGGTACGTTTGCAGGAACCACCAGATATTTGAAAGACATTTCCAATGGGAAAGTTCAATGTGTACTTGCAGACCCTCCAGGATCAGTCTTGTACAGTTATATTAAGTCCGGATTTAAGGACATGGTCCGTGGAGGCTCATCATTTACCGAAGGAATTGGTCAAGGTCGTGTCACTGATAACTTGCAACCAGATCTTGAATTGATTGATGATGCATTAAAAATTGAAGATCAAGACTCCATCAACATGTTGTACAAGCTCTTGGATATTGAAGGACTTTATATTGGAGGGACTGGAGCTCTTAATGTGGCTGCTGCTGTTGAAGTAGCCAAGAGTCTCCCTGAAGGTTCCAATGTGGTGACTATTTTGGCGGACTCTGCTCACAAATATTCAGACAGAATCTTCTCCAAGAAATGGTTACAAGGTAAGAACTTGTATGATGGGATCCCAGAGGATCTTAAAAAATATGCTATTTTAGAATAGGAACACCACTTCATAGTGGTGGTAACTATATAAATAAAAGACAAATAAGTCCTTAGACTTACTTCAAACTACCGCGTAGACCCATTGATCGAGTGGGGGATAGGGGTCACAGACAGACACCGCTAGTATCTTAAGAGGAGATGAAGTTGCTACATTAACCTTTACCTTGAACTTGTTAACCTCTACTAGTGGGGTTGGGTACTTGTTTCTCTTGCAAAGCTCGCTACTACCAGACTCCTCGAAGAGGAGCTAGGCTCCACGCAGTGGCCCTCCCCGGGTAGGGACAAACGGAGCGTCTTGCACCCACCATATCCTCTTACCCTCCTCTTTCCAAGTCCCTTCGACTCTCTGTTGCTTCCCCCTTTTGGTTGTAAATTTGTGGTGGTTGCCACTTTTGCAACCACCTCAACATGTCGTGTGCGCACTAAAAAAACGCCTCCACATAAAACACAGTCAAAACAATCCACTCAATTCATTCAATTGTCCCTTGTAAGTTATTCTACATTTTTCCCATATCTCCTTAAATCGTATCACCATGAACTCACTCTCTTAAATTTCCTTCCCATTCTCTCTTTTTTCCTCATATCTACCTCTCTCTCTCTCTCTATATTCGCCACCAATACAATGTAAACACACCACCTGCATATGACACATCTTATATTTTATTTTGACTTCCTTCCAGATTTTCTTTTTTTTTTTTTTCCAAGTTTCTTGCACTACAGGAACGGACGAAATTTGAACTTTTGAACAAAAATTTGTCAGTAGAAAAAAAAAAAGGTGGTTACTCAGAATCAATCATCCAGACTGTAGGCCTTATTTCAGCGTTAAAAGTACAGTGAGACCCTGTACCGACCTTCCCATACCCACAAGGAGCCGCCCATATCGATAAAACGCCCCATCACCGCTGTTATCGCCCCAGTTTTGGAACCTGATTAGTATTTGCAATTTGAGACATCAATTCCTCGAAATCAGCATTTTTTCCACGAAATCAGCACTTTTTCATTTTCACTAAGGCAAAGGGCAAAAAAAAAAAAAATAAGAGAATAACTTTCATTCCCATTTGCATTCTTTCTCCCCTCCTTTTTTATTATTATTTACCCCATTTGTAGAGCCCTTCATTGCACTTAGCTTCTGTTTATATGGACCAACAAATCCTCCAAGCGGTAGAAATAGCCCTTAGCGGGAATGCAGACCCTCAGTTGAAACAACAGGCGTTTGAGTTTGTGGAACAGATCAAGTCCACTGCTGAAGGATATCGTTCATGTGTCGACATTTTATCGAAACAGGGCCATGATCTCAACGATCAGTTCAAGTTTTTCATCTTCCAAGTGATCGAGGAGAATGTGGGACGTATTGGTGCTGCTGATGAGTTGTACCAGTTGACGGAGACGTTGTTTAAATTTGTACGAGAAGATATTGAACGTCAAGATTCAACCACGTCGTCCACACTCCCACCAGCGTTTGTCAAGAATAAGTTGGCCGGACTCCTTGCCACTGTGTTTTGTCATGTATACTTGGAAATCCGTCCTCAATTTTTGAAAGAATTGTGGGCACTTGTGGAAAAACTGGGCAGTCAATCCGCCGCTGATTATTATTTGAGAACTCTCTTGGCCATTCATCTGGAAATCGGTGATAAATTCATCTCAAGATCAAGAGAAGGTCAGGATAGAAACGTTCTTTTGAAAGACAAGATTAGAGTCGAAGACATGGGGTCCTTAGTCCAAAGTTGGAAGGGGATCCTTGAACGTGGTGGAGTCACCAACACCACCAACAAATCACTCACTAATGACATTTTGAACCATACCTTACGAGTCATTGGACAATACATTGAATGGATGGAAATCTCTCTCTTTGTAGACCATCCTTTCATCAATACAATCTTCCAATATCTTTCCAAATCTGACCAACGTACGGAAACTTGTTCCACCCTCATTGAAATCATCTCCAAGAAAATGAAACCTTCAAACAAGTTGGAACTCATTAGTTTACTTAATCTTACCAATGTCATCAATTCAGTCACTTCCTCGGATGATCAAGCCAATAATGATTTGGAATTCTCAGAAAATGTCGCTAAACTTCTTAATCAAGTTGGACTTGAACTCCTCATTGTACTTGAATCTGAAGCTAAATCGCTGACCGCAAACACTGATATTGCTGCCAATGCAAACGCCCAGATCTTAGCTCTTTGGCCATTCATTTTCTCCTTTTTATCTCATGAATACGACGACGTCAGTCAACAAGTGTTCCCATTTATTTCTCAATATCTTTTGGCCTGTAAGAGATTCCCCGGGCTTGTTCAAGTTGAGTTACTTTCCACGTTACTCAACAAGATCATTCTCAAGATGAAATGGGACGATGATGCCGATGGGTTGGTTGATTCAGATGATTTTGATGATGATCATGAACAATTTATGGATATTAGACTGAAATTGAAAGTTTTCCAGGATACAATTGCTGTATTAAACCCGGAATTGTACTTGGAAAGAGTTCCCTTGGTGATCAATGATTCATTGTTTAACAATAATGGCTCTCCAGCATGGCAAACCCTTGAATTGGGTCTTTTGGAACTTTCCATTTTCGCCGATTCTCTTCGTAATAACCTTATCAACGTCCCCAAGAACCAAATTGCTTCTTCTGACGCATACAGAGTGTTCCAAAGCTTCCTTGTCAAGTTGATTAATTCTGATTTCATCATCAGTTTTGACCATCCTATGATCCAATCGGGGTTCTTTGAATTGGTCGTTAGACATTATTCCTTCTTGAGTAATTATAAGGGTGAGGGAGACAAGTCAAACAATGGAGGCTCCACAGAGCAATCCAACTCATCAAACGCACATACCCCTTCACAATTAACTCTTCGAATCCTTGAAATTTTCTCCTCTCCATTGGGACTTTTCAATCTGGTGGAAAAAGTTCGTCTTAGATGTTGGTACTTATTTTTCAGATTTGCTAAATTAACTAGACCAACTTTAACTAACCATGGGTTCCTTGAACAATTATTGACCAAAGTACAACCACTTCTTGCCATTAAGGCAGTTCTCCCGGCCAAGGATGAAGATGATGATGTGGTTGAAGGTGGGAACTTCAATAATCAAATGAATTTGTTTGAAGCAATCGGACTCATTGTCTCGTTGAGTGTAGCTGATACCTCATCCAAGGCAACCATGGTTGATATGGTGTTTGAACCGTTGTTCAGAGACTTGGAAAGATGCGTAGGTGCCAACAACACCACTGTAGACCCGGTACAACTCCAATTGATCCAGCTTCAGGCACACCATTCACTCATGGCCATTGGTACCTTTGCCAGAGGTTATGATTGTGAACCTTCAAGCGTTAAATACCAACCAGAAGTAATTGCCAAGATCAACAACGCCGCTCAAGTGGTGTTGATCACCTTGGAAACTTTTGCCAAGCTGGAACTTATTAGAGACTCTTCTCGGTTTGCCTTTGCGCGCTTCATTCCAATTCTTGGATCTGCCTTGACCAACCATTTATCCAAACTTGTTTCTCTTATTTTGGGGGCCCCACTGTTGAAATATAGTGAATTGACTGATTTCTTGGGATTTATTGGACAAATTGTTCATAACTTCCAAAAGGATGATACCATTTATCAATTACTTAATGATTTGGTGCTGCCATTATTTGATAAAACATTTGCCTTGCTCAAATATAACGGAGAAAATAATGAATTTGATGCCATTCCTGACATGGTTCGTGACAAGAACTCATTGAAGAAGGCATACATGAACTTGTTAAGTACCATCATTTTGAACCATCAAGCAAGTTTGTTCATCACCGAGACAAATAAACCGAAATTCCCAGTTGTGGTTGAATCTTTATTTGAAAATGCTTATGATTTGACCGACCCTACTGTGTCAAGATTAGCAGTAATTCAATTGGTCAACTTTGTCCTTGTTTTCGGAGGAGCTGGCGGGAAGATCAGTGATCCTTTGGATAAAATGGGGGTTGCCCTCCCAGCTGTGGAAGGTGTAGATTCATATCTTATGAATAAACTGGTTCAACTATCATTTGAATTACCATTCCAACGTCAAGAATTTGACATTAAGGATGCCCAATTCAGAATCATAGCACAAGAAATCGCCACCTTATTGAAGACTTACCATAAGACTAAAGGTGATGAATTCTTGGGATTCTTATCGACATATTTAACCAATATGGGATTATCTCAAGATCACATGAATGGATTTGGAACTGCTTTAGTTAAACTGGATCAACGAGAATTTAAGAAGTTTTTCATTGAATTTATCACTGAATTGAAGGGAAAATAGAAGAGATAGTGAGAGACTATATAAGAAGGGTAGACAAAGGAGTCACACAACTTATTGAATCTTCAGATTGACCTTCTGTTATAGAGCTTACCAACAAAGGTGAGCGACATAAGAAAAAAAATACAAAGAAAAAGGAGCCAAGGACAACAAGTCTAAAGGTTTCATTAATTGCATAGAAACATATACATCTATATGTATATATATAGTACAGCGGTAACGCTATAATCCTATAAATAGGTAACCATTAAAAATACAGAAATAAAATAAACAGGGGAATTGTAGAGAAGATGACAAGTTTGTAAGCAAATAATTTGAGCTTTCCTTCCGGGACTAGTGCCCATCCCAGTGGAATTGTGAGACTCTCCGCTGGCCCCTTCTCGAGGAGAGCAATTTCATGGTGCCTGGCTCCTTTACGAAGAGACTTCGAGTAACCACACCTATTTCGGATAGGTACACCACATACTACCAATGAAGGGGTGGGGGCTACCCTTTTTTACAACCTATGGCTGCTATTTGCAACCACATATGTATGCAGTACCTAACAAAAAAAAAAAAAGTAAACAGAATTTTTTTACTTTTGTGACATTTTTGCAATTTTGGTGGTAAAGCGATGCGATGAGATTGAAAGAGACAGAAAGAACAAACCCAGTGAAGAGAACTTTAATACCGATCAATATAGTCAATATAAACATGGCTGGGAAAAGTTCAGCCGATGGCATGTTACAGGAGAAGGTCTCCCCACCTCCAAAGGACGAGGAAGAGCTTGAATTGGAGCGTCTTGTGTTTGGAGACGCTGAAGGATTTGTAGCGAATTTGAAGAAGATTGATAATTTGTACGATTACTCCGAGGAAGAAGAGGAAGACTACGACGGTACCGATGGACTCTTGGATACTTCAGGTGACGAGAGTGACTTGGATGGTGTGCAAGACGAAGATTTGTTCACGATAGATGACGGACATCCAGACCATGAAGATGATGATGATGCCATGGATGTAGACGAAGAAGACCAAGAACAAGAAGAAGATGACGAGTCAGACATTGACGAAGATGCCGCATGGGTCGACAGTGACGACGAGAAGCTCAACATATCGCTTCTTGCCTCGGATAGAATAAAAAAATTAAGAAAAACTGAGACTGATTCGGTGATAAGTGGTCACTCATATGTGCAAAGATTGAGATCACAATTCGAAAAGATATACCCTAGACCTGATTGGGTTGACAAGCTCGAGCAGGGTGTCGACGCCGAGGCCGAGGAGGGCAGTGACGACGAAATGGCCGGTGACGACGAGGACGAGACCGCCAATAGTAGCATCAACGGCGATGCGTCCGCATTGATGGCGCTCCTTTCGTCGACCAAACCACTCATAATAACCAAGCAATTGAAGCTCATCTCGCCACACAAGATCTCGGTGACACGTCTCAAGAACGCCAACCACGTGCAGCCTTCCAAGGGAGCCATCCAATCGCTTTCCTTCCACCCTACACATCCTCTTTTGATGACCGGTGGGTTTGACAGAACCCTCAGAGTGTACCACATCGACGGAAAGACCAACAACGTGGTGACGTCGTTGCACTTGCGGAACTCCCCCATCACCACCTGTGCGTTCGCACCCACCAATAGTAACAGTAACTTGATCTTTGCCGCTGGTCGTCGACGTTACATGACGAAGTGGGACTTGGACTCTGGGGAAGTCGAGAAGATCTCGAGAATGTACGGCCATGAGCAGTTCCAACGTTCCTTTGAGTACTTCAAGGTCTCACCCCGTGGTCTGTACATCGGGCTTGTAGGTAGCAGTGGTTGGTGTAACATTTTGAACGGGAAGACCGGCCAATGGGTCAGAGGCTTCAAAGTTGAAGGAACCATCGTTGACTTTGAGTTCACCTTTGACGAGTCTGTTTTGATTGTTGTGAACACCGCCGGTGAAGTTTGGGAGTTCCTGATGTCGGGCCAAGTAAGCAAGAAGTCCACCAACAACAAACACAATAACAATGGCTCCAGCAACCTTATCCGCAGATGGCAAGATGATTCTGCCATTGGTATCACCAAGCTTAAGCTCGGTGGAGCAAAGAGTAGATGGTTGGCCATCGGTACCAACAACGGTATTGTCAATGTTTATGACAGAAATAGCGAATCCACCAAGCCTCTCAAATGTGTTGAGAACCTTGTCACCACCATCTCATCATTATCATTTTCACCAGATGGTCAATTATTGGCCATTGCATCAAGAGCAAAGAAGGACGCCTTACGTTTGGTACACATCCCATCATGTAGTGTTTACCTGAACTGGCCAACTTCCGGAACCCCTCTTGGAAGGGTCACTGCTGTGTCATTTTCGCCAAATAACGAGATGTTGGCCATTGGTAATGATTCAGGAAAGGTGACCTTATGGAGAATGAACCACTACTAGGTGTTAGATAGATAGAGAAGACTACAACAATAGAATATATAACAGTCCAATTAAAATTTATAAGGTAGTAGTGGTAGTATTAGTAGTAGTAGTTTAGAACTGTCCACCTTCCTTACAAAGCAGATAAAAATCTCCCAGTTCATCTTCGAGTAGATTCAGTGGGGTGTTAAACTCCTTCACCTTACCGTGGTCTAGGACAAGAATTCTGTCACAATCCATGATAGTCTCCAAACGATGGGCAATAATTAAGATGGTACGGTCTTTGAATGCGGTACGAATGGTCTCTTGGATAAGCTTATCTGTTTGCACATCGACTGCAGCAGTAGCCTCATCAAGAATGAGGATCTTTGAGGGATTCAACAATGCTCGGGCCACACAAAGAAGTTGTTTCTGACCAGAAGATATATTGGACCCCCCTTCAGCAATCTTTGCTTCCAAACCAGTTCCATAGTCTTCATCATCTGTATCTCCGACTTTTTTTGGTTCAGGACTAGAATTTTCACTTGTGTCAGAGGTTTTCACGGGGTCGGAAGTATCCTCTGTCTCCTTCTTTTGAGGCTTCATGCTTGCAATATGTTCTTTCAAATGTGCCAATTCCAACACATTCCATAATTCTTCATCGGTAAACTTCTTGCCAGGATCCAAATTTTCTCTTACCGTCCCTTCCACTGTAGTGGCATCCTGGGGAATAATACTCAACTTTGTTCTCAAGTCCGCTAATCCGATTTTGCTAATATCTACTCCGTCGATTTCAATATGCCCGGAGATACCCTCGATGATTCTAAAGAGAGCAAGGGTGATACTGGACTTACCAGCACCAGTTCGACCTACAATCCCCACTTTTTCATTACTATTGATTTCAAAGGAGATATCTTTCAAGACCGGGTCCAAGTCTTCAGAGTATCTGGTAGAATAATTCACAAACAGAATGGCACCTTTGGATGGCCAGTTCAAGGGCGGGATATTATCTTCAATAACTTCTGGAGCTTCTGGGGTCAAATTACAGTACTCAATAACTCTTTCCACGGCAATAGTTTGAGTCTCCACAGACGATACAGAATGTATGAATGTACTCAACACACCGGTCACTCTAGATACATACAGCATGATAAACCCAAGAAGACCTGCTTGGATCTGTCTCTTGCTACCCACAGTAAGTAATAACAAGAGACAAGCGCTGAAATGGATTACCGAGGAAATGGTTTCCAATCTAATTTGTAACCATCTAGTACAACTTTGGTTACAATAATTAACCGTGACAGATCGGAAAATGTTCCGTACATTCTTGTCCACAAACCGTGTGTATTGCCCATATGCCTTAATAGTATCACTACCAGATATGGATTCTTGGAGATGTGCCAATTGAGGGCTTGAAGTTTTCTTACTCAAACGATTGAGTTGTCTGGAACAGGGAATATAATACTTCCGGATCTCATTGTATGCCACAAGGAGCAGTCCAATAACGAAGATCATTAGAGGAAGATTATAAATCACCACCAAAAACGTCACCACCCCACTAATCATTGCCAGGAAAAACGACATAAATACAAAGGGAAGCTCCATATCAACCACCAGTATGTCATTCGTGAAACGATTTAAGATTCGACCCACAGGGGTGGTTTCAAAGAAACGCATAGGTGCACGTAAGAGCAGGTTAATCATTGTGTCATGGAAGTAACGAGCAGATGGGAGAATACAAAATGTCCACAACACATAGTTGGAAACAAGGTTCAACACGGCAGCACCCACACCAAAGGAGATATACATCGATAAGTAATATCGGGTATCGACATTGGTGCCTGCATTGGAATTGTGTTGTGACCAAACTGTCAACACTGCATTTTCCAAAACACCAGAGAAGGACAATAACAACATAACTAGGACATAAACTATTGCCCATTTGTAGTTGAAGGCTTTCAAATATTCAATAAAAATAGTCAATTTGACTTGACCCTTGGCAGTTACTTCATCATCGTGGACACCGGCAGTATCTTCAGAGATAGAAATAAGACTACTAGGACCTATAGATTCGTTCGATTTGACCAAAGTTAGGGGATTATTCTCATCTTGAGCCTCTTCAATATCCAATGATTTCTCTTCTACTGGCTCACTACTTGATAAATCCTTACCAAATTCTTTAATAAAGTTCGAGAATTGATCACCCGCTTTGATTAATGTTGAATAACTTCCGGATTCCACAATTTTGCCCCCTTGAAGAAGATAAATACTATTGGCCACCAGTAACACTGGAACGGAATTTGTAGCAAGAACTTTGGTTTTACCCTTGAGAATCCCATTTGGACTTAATACTTTATGAATAATCTTCTTACCAACATGTACATCAACTGCTGATAAAACATCATCTAAGAGATAAATATCTGCTCTAGAATAGACAGACCGAGCAAGTGTCAATCTGGCCTTTTGCCCACCGGAAAGTGAAATACCCTTCTCTCCAACAAGTGTAGAGTCTCCATCTGGAAGCTGCTCAAAGTCCTTAAGAAGTTCACAGGCATCCACGGTCTTGTTATAAAATGATTCATCAAATTTGCAGCCAAATAAAATATTTTCTCTCACTGTCCCATTTAAAATCCAAGGAATCTGCGAACAATAAGCAATTGAACCATTTACTTGAATATCGGACTTGTTAGTATTGAGTGAAATTGGTAATTCGCCCAAAATAGCCTTTAATATTGATGATTTACCACTACCAACTTTACCCACCACACAAGTAAGTTCACCTTTGTTAGCTTCAAAGTCCAAGTCACTAAGGGCTGGCTTGATAGTTGATTCAATTTCCAGATCTTCACTAAGGTCAAATTCTTTTGGTTTTGTCCATAAAAACGTTGCATGGTTAAACTTGATTGGGATTTGTGATATATTTCCATTTACTCTTGGGGTAATTTCTTGTTCATCCAACAATAAAAGATCTACTAACCGGATCAATGATTCTCTCACTTGTACGAATTGAGATCCAAACACTGGAACCATAGCCACAGGACCCATAAGTCCATCGAAAAGAGCCAAAGACGGGAACACAATCTCGGGTACAAGTGGTATATTATAGAACTTGGAAAAGTACCAAAATGAGGCACAGGATATTACAAATGGCACACAACCCCAAACAAATTGAATAAATCCAAAGATAATTCCAATTTTTTGTAAGTACCTTAACTCTTGGTTGTTTCTAATTTCATGTAATCTTTCCTTCGTGGAAGATTCCCAAGAGTAAAGCTTAATACTTTTTATTGAATTAAGTAATTCTGTAGTGAAACTGACTCTTTTATCACGACTCTTCATCAATTTTGGGAACACCAAAAAGAGTGAAGAGCTTATAACCCCACTGAGGGGGATCATGGCACTAGCAGCTACAACACCAGCCCAGGTGGCCTTACCCATGAACTTATACAATGCCAAGAGACATAATGTGAAGTTCAATGGGAGGAATAATAATGCATGAGCCAGCAGACACCAAGATACAACGTTTGAAACATCAGTGGTAGCATTATTGACAATATCACCGGTTGTTTTACCCTTGCGTGCTTCAGGAGAGAGTCTAAGGGCCTTGTTGTAGATCAAAACTTTAAGGGAAGTCAGACAAGACGAAGAAACAATCTGTGAGATAAACGATGAAAGGAATAAATTTTTAACTGTTGCAAGAAGAAACATCAAGAGGGCCACAAAATAACCTTCAATAAGCGGAGGAGGATGAAGGTGATCAGATTCAGATTGGGAGAAGAACCGGATAAACCACAGTAGAAGGAATGGTTGCGCATATGCTAAGATTGTGCTCAACAATGAAATGATGAAATCAATGAACATGATCCCTTTGAATGCCTTTACAAGACAAAAGAAAAGAGAAACATTCAAGGGGTCATTGGGTGATTTCCTTTTACTAATTGCATTCAGAACCGCTTGATCCCACACTACTTGAAGACGTTTCAGTGTGTATTCTGGACTTAAGATGGAGATTGGAGGCGGTAAATCAACTGCATCAATATCATCATCGATATAGAGCTGATGAATTATTTTTTGCACCCACGAAAAGGACACAAGAACAAATAAATTATGATCGGTATCAAGATCCCATTCATTAAGAGCGTAATAATCAATTAATTCTTGAGTCGGAGACCAATATTTTAATTCCAAGAAATACGAAAGGATGGTGTAAATTACGACCAATACTTCCAAGGTAAGACTTAAAGTTGAATGGCTTTTTGCAACTATTTTATAATCAGTCAGTGCGAAGTCTTGCACAATGGCACCGATTGTCCAGACAGAAGTTCCAAGGAACCATAGCAATACAGAAGCGAGTTGAATGGTAGATCTAGTAGTTTCAAGCAATTGAAGTGGTGCAATTACAAATAAGGACACTATTGAAGTGACGGCAAGAAATTGGAAAGAATTTGATTCGGAGGTTGTTGAGCTATAATTCTTTATTGATAATCCGGCCATACAGAGTCCACTTAATACTGTAAGACCAGCTCTGAATACAGCACGAATTCCACCAATCCAATATCTTTTCCTGAATGAATACTTGATGTTAAAGCTTCCATATTGTGGAGATAATAATATTTCTAAAAGTTGATAGAGTGCAAAGAGTCCAGCAAGGATTGAGAAAATTTGAACTATAATGGCAAAAAATTCTGGATTAATGGAACTTCCATGTTGCAGTGCCAATGGATTAGGGAATTCATATCCCAATGATACCACCATTAGGAATTCTTGTCACAACTAGATAAATTGTCTAGATATGTTTGTGGCTGTTAGCTGTATATATATGTATATATAGGGGTGGCGGGAATATTGATAACGGAGAAAATTTAATTACCCAAAGCGCTATTTCCGAGGTTAAGTTACAACTTGAATAGTAAGACGAGCACTATTGTGAATTTGAAGAAAATAAGAAAAATGTATGGTTAGATATACGTTTAATTGAGATATCACCAACTGGTCTAGAATGATTTAGTCTCTCTCTAGACTTACTCTAGATCTCAATGAAGCTGATTGCTACAATCCACATGATGGGATGGCTCCTTGATTTTTGCCGCATGCGTTAGTTTATTTTCCCGCCTAACTTAAATAAAGTTTCCCTTGATTATCTACGAAAGAAGTTAAAAATAATCTACATTATTGCCCGACATTTATCAGTACCAATTGATTCATTATACTGCTTAGGGGCGGCATCGATCTATTGAGCTCCAAGTAATATACGAGATAAAATATGTCCTTTATGTGGTACTTCATTTGGTGGCAAAAAAAATAACAATAATTTCTGGCCCTAGACCTCGGGTGCGACATCTAACTAAATGTTTTATGTATTTACTACACATATGATTAAGAACTTTTATATGATAAATGTAAGATGAAGAAATGTATATACTAAGTTGAATTGAAAAATAACCCTGTGATCACAAAGAAATGGTGCACTGTTAACATCTTGCGCATCAGTGAGCAATTTTTACAATTATGATTGCCAAATGCGGAAGTCTAGAAATGTAATCTCCACAACCATCAAACAGACTTCCAAGTTATTCAAAGCACAATTAGTCCCTACTATCAAGTAGTTTTATGTAGAATCGAACCACAATATATATATATATATATATATATATACCATCTTCAATAGTTTTTGTTTTCTTCTTATGAAGTAATATTCCCCCTACTTAAATTGTATACGGTATACGACATTTTGCGACATACGAGGTACACGACATTTTCTTTAACTTTATAATTGCACCACAAATATAAAAATTGGGAATACTTGAATATATTATTAATCAATAAAGCAGAAACATAACTAAAAATGGCTTTCATGCGTGCTCCGTATGTATAGATGCAGAATGAAGTTTGGTCTTAAAAGAATAAAAAGACAAACGTATTTGTCCTGTCCCACAGATAGAACTTAGAAGAGTGTAAAAATGGACTAATTGGCTTACATTGATTCGTCAACTTTGCAACTCATGACGAGACTCAGAGACTGAATGATTCACCATATTCTATGCCATACACTCTAATATTCACAAGAAAGTTCACCTATAACCAACCAAACTTCCATTCTATGGTCTCTCTTCCTTCTTTTGTTTCTTCACATACTAACAATACCAGAAAGGGCCAAGCCCGGTACCGTGACCCACAAACTTTCGAAATGAGTCCTGCCTTGTTGAGAGTGCGTGCTCCTTTCTTCTGGAGAAACACTATTGGTCTTCTCCTTGTCACCGCTGTCCCTGCTGCCGTGTATGCGTACACCTGGAAGTCCTTGACCAAGGACGATTTCGGTGACATTCCTATTCCACCTATCTCTGATTCCGAGTTGGCTCAGTTGAGAAAGGAGTACGAAGCAAAGAAGAAGAGTGGAAATGTATAAAAAAATAATTCAACAATATGTAAATAGTATGAACAATAAATAAAATTTAAGGATCTCGTGTAGAGGCAGTCAACTACTTGAAAATTACAATAGTAATTAAAAAAACATATAAATCATCTCTTGTATGTTGTGTATTCTATCTATATTGATCTTGATTATAATCCCGTCTGTAATACCCATGTTCTTGTTCCCTATCATATTCATTTTGGTTTTTGTATTCATTTTCATTATCGTGTTCTTCACTTTCGATATCTCTATGAGGATATGGTCCAGTGTCTTTATGGAGCTCTTGTTCACTCATTTGTTCATATTCATGAATGATTGTAGATCCTCTCTCTGGATACGGAGGGTCATTATATTGATGTAAGATGGTAGACCCTCGCGCTGGGTATGGAAGCGACTCCTGCAGCACAGCTGCTGGTGTTTCGTAGAACGAATCAAGTAGATTTCCTCTAGATGAACCATGTTCATTATTTGTAAGGTGGGTATGTTGGTCTGACGTGGAGGAAATTGGGACATTTGTAGTGGTTGGAATAGTTTCTGAAGAAGAATGTGATTGTTCCGTGTAATATTCATATGCAACTGGATCAGCATTTTCTTTAACTGGTGAGTACTGAACTTCTGTCGGTAATGATTCATACGTTGCAAGAGAGTTTGTAGTTGTAGTTGGTGGAGGTGCTCTTCTAGATGGAGGAGCAATACGTGAACTTCCGTACGAAGAACCTTGATTCGCTCCACCAGTTTGGACAAATTGATTTGGATACGTCAAACTTGATGCACTAATCAAAGTATCAGAACTTTGGTTCTTGACCAGATCAGCAAATGGATTCTTTGGTGCTTCAGGATGTCTGTATGGAACATAACCTGGAGAATCAAATGTTTTATTTGATTGGTTGATTTTTTTCTCCATCGACAGCATTTCATAACTGTTATTGGAAAATGTATAAGTTGGAGCTGGTTTGACAATACCATTTCCATATGCCTCCAAATCCTTTGGTGATGAAAATGGGTTCCGTAAATCTTGAGTTCCTTCCCATTCTGTCCCGCGATATCCGGTGGTTTGTTCATTAAATGTTGTTGTGCTGTTTAATAATGGATTGGCCTTAATTTCTTCACGATCGAGAATACCTTCATCCAACAATTCCTTCTTTGACTTGTGATGCTTTCTGACAAGAATTCGTACCTTTTCATTGACTATATGACAACAATATTTCTTGAGAGACTTGTAGCCACGTCTACGGATCCCTACAATGACAGGGATATAACAAATCATCCCCAAGCAAAACTTGACAAAGAAAATTGCGAAAAGAATCACAGATGCACACATAAACGAAAGAATAATGGACAATTTCAAATTGGTTGTGGCTATAGTTCGAATATTTTCAATGATATTTTGAAAATTTTGCAGAAAATCACCATCAGTGGCATAATATCTCAAGGTTAAAATGTTAATAACTTGTCTTGGAGCATCTGCAATCAAGATTTCTAACGCGTTATCAAGTTCAAAATAACTAAGAAATGCAGCCCAATCGAAAAAGGTATCTTGTTTAATTTTAAAGAATAAACAATGATAATTGTATCGTTTAATTGAGTACATTATTTTAGCCCAATTGTTCACATAGGCCAAGGCAATGTTTCTGGTCCGATAAGCATGGATTGACCACAGTATATGGTAGATTGCGAGTAAAATCTCAAAGATAATACATCCAGTAAAGATCCATTTGGCCACAGAATAAGCATATGGAGTATAGCCTTGATTCCCCCACTTGTGGAACACTAAAATGTTTAAACACGTGTAGATATCAACCGCAAGAAGTGCCCACGATAATATAAGAAAGAACCACGTGAAGATCAAGTAGTCCAACACGGTGCTGAATTTGGTGTTGTGAAATCCATCCACATCAACAAGGTCAAAAGTGGAGGTGTCAAGTTCGTACTTGTCGATCTGACGATCGGTATCGAACCCGAGATTGAGCCTCTGGTACTGGTCAGCCATCGTGCTCGAGGCACCCGGTTGCTCTCCGCTGCTGGGTCCTCGTTTAGACATGATGTGTGGCAGTAGCGCTAAAGCACAGGTTAACGCTTTGATTGATAGATTATCTCCAGCTAAATTTAGCCACCAAGTCGTTTACTGAGCCAAAAAAAAAAATTAAAAATAAAAATAAAATGTAAATAACACAACAGAAATTTTAGTGAGTGAAATTCAGAAAAACCGTTTGGAACACAAATAAACACAATCTATCAACTAAGAGTAGGGGACCAAATTGAATGAGCTTTCAAAATGCAATGGGGCTAAACTCGAGAGATAAAAAAAAAAAAAAGGATACGGTGTATTTCCTTCCTTCCTTCCTCTACTTTTTATTCCCTTGGATTGTCCTCCCTACAGCTACAATTTAAGGATTACCGCTTGGAATTTAACATTCTTTAAAAACCCCTAAAGTCTCAAATTTGTAACAAAATTGTTCGCGAACCTCACTAAATCATCCCGCGCTGGACTTTATTTTTTCTTGGAGAGGAAATTTTCGTCACTCTAATAATAATGATTCATGCACCAAGTATTATATTATATGCCACACATAAATTGAATCCTGTTACAAAGTTTTGACATGGCTCCAATCGTGTAAAAGCTGCATTACCCAGTGCGTGAAGCAGATCCTGATACAAGAAGAGATTACGTACATATGTATACGTTAGTGGCGCTTGCCCACATACAGTTCAAGATCGTCAAGTGACAACATATGCATGTATGTTGGTGTACGCATAACACATATTCTCTAATTTACGTCGTTATTGACAGAAACCCCTTTGGTCGCGCGGCACAACCCATGATTTTTGCCGTGACAAAATATATACACAACCCTTTCCTCTATCAGCAAGTAAGAACGAAATGTGTCAACATTCGATTTCTTCAAGTTGGTGTCTATATCCTGATGTCCTTTATTTTTTTTAGATTTTCTAAACAGCCGTACCACTAAGGGGTCGCAAATTTTTCAAATGGTCGATACGTGTTTTCATTTAATTGATTAGGCTCTAAATTGTAAACTCATTCAAGGGCATTCAGAGATCTCTAAAGTATTTGACTTCCTTGGAAAACAAGATCTACAGGTTGGTACTCCCCCTCTCAATAAATTGTTTCGCATCTGTCCCTTTTTTTTTTCTTTTTCTATCTAAAACATCTACATCATTTACCCATCTTCATACTTCTTAAAACCTATTTATACCTATTTATATTTTTGTAATAACTTACTTGATTCATCTCTTAAATCTTCTTGGTCACATGTAGATAACTCTTCTAATACACCAATGCATGCTTGTTTCACTGGAGGTCTATACATGATAAGAAATTGTAATGATAAGAACCCAATCTTAGACCGAACAGGATCGAAACAAAGAGACTTGATCCGCAGAACAAGGTTATCATTAAGATATGGCAAGTCCGAAAGAAGTCTGATGAAAATTTTACGATCATTTGGTTCAAGGAAGGGAATCATAGCATCAAGAACTCTACCAGCCCAAAGATTATAAGTAGGAGTTGGGATCTCCATTGTTTCGACTTCCTTTCTCACAATGTTTGGAATTTCCAGGGCAGAAGTCCCATCTTTGGTGTGCTTTTCCGTAAGCTCCTCAATTATTTTTTCTTCATTGAACACCTTTTCAGAGTACCATTCTTCACTTAACCATTCAATAATAAGATCGATACGACTATGGATATTATTCAAAAAATGATCGAAAATAGCCTTTCTAATCATATCACTCATTTCATTGTTTTTCAGAGCATCTGAAGATGCATTATCAGTGTCTTCTGGGTCAACCCCGCGCATCCCTCTAGTAGCTAACCTTGTAAGTAATACCAGCCAAGAATCCTTTTTCCAACTCTTAATGGCAACTTTTGTGAGTTGTCTATCAACCCCATTTACTGCAGCTTCGGTTTGTTCTTCGATTTCCGTCACTGGCATCTCTGCTAGCTTGAAAAAATTATTGATGATAATATTCACATGTGCCTTTTTATCTTCAAATGAAAGATCTTTTGGTGGTGGGAGGGTGTACACCGATTCTGGGTTATAATCTGAAGTTTCCGCATCTTCATCGTCTTCATATTTTGATCTTTTACTGGCCGGTTCGTCTCCGGTTGGTTCCTCTACATCTGGGGTAACACTAACAGTTTCCATGGTATGTTTGTATCTCTCACTGACAATCGTCAATGCCTTTGATAATTTCTCAACACTAACCTTGTTCAAAGCTCCCAATGTCATGGCAACCAAGATATTTTGTGGCACTACTGACAAGTCAAATGAATTTAATTCATTCAGTGGGTCTGTCAAGCAGTATAAGTTCTTATAATCGGTGGTGGTGAGTTTCTTATTGCTATTGAAAAACCCATCGAATTTCCTCTTTTTAATGTTTGAATCTTCAGGCAGGGGTAATAAAATATTCTTCTTTCTTATTTCATCACCTCTGGCAATTAAATGTGATACCTTTTTCGCCAAAACCTGTTGGTAATTGGTTGGTACAAGCTGTTGTCTCAAAGAATAGTTCAACAAAACTTTCAAGGCTCTATCAACATATTTTTTAGATAACTTGAATTCTTCCAAAGATTGATAATTAGATTGTACTTTTCTTTTCGTGTCAAAGTTTTCTAAAACTTGTAAAATCTTGGGTACAAACTGTGGTTTTCTCTTCATAATGATGGCCAAATGGTTCAAAGTGGCAGTGATTAAGGGGGCAACCATGATGTCGTTCTTCAACGTCGAAAGAATCGTTTCCAAGTAAGAAAACGATTGACCTTCAACGGCAGAATGCTTTATAAGGGTGTGATTCGTGGGCACTCGATTGAGAGAATATGCAAGGGAAGAAGAAGAGGAACTTGATTTGGAACCATAATCGATCACAACAACTATAAATTTCAAGAGTTCCAATTTGGTGTCCAAGCTTCTCGTGGCATCATGTTCCACGTCATCACTAGGAAGTGGGAAACTAGAGGAGAACTTGTTTACAAGAGTTTTAGTCAACGCACTGAGTTTGAGCCATACGTCGGTACACCCATCGTTGTCTGCTACGAACCGGAATACCAAACGATATACCACAACAGCGGTTACTACACAGTCGTGGAAGATCTCACGGTTGGGGATCTCCACGAGAAATAAGAGGGCGTCCAAGGCATCAATTGCCAAATCTGCTTTGTCTGCTCTCGAAAGAATGGAATCATCAGCGGTGAAAGATTCTCTGAAAAAGGAAGCACACCAGGTTTGCACTTCGACGTCTGGGTTGTTGGCGAGTCTGAGCACTTGACGAAGCACCTGTGGGAATGTGTCTTTATTGGAGAATGCCAATTGCTTGGCTTGGTTAAGTTGTTGGATTATTTGTGACATGATGAGTATGGAATGGTGAACACTGACCAATCTATGGTAGGCCGAAAGTTTTGCTTAATTTGTTCTTTTCCAGGTTTCTTTCTCTGATTTACTGGGAAGTCCGTCTCTTAATATACTGATAGGTCTTCACACGGAGTTGTTGTAGTCTCCTTGTTTTTCAATTGAACCCTTTCAATGATTAGCGGTTACTCTATTACTAGCGACTTATTGTTCAATCGTTTCGCTACTCGCAACTACGTTCCAAATTATAGAAAAGGGAGGAGTGGGGATTGGATGAGAAGAAAGATATCTAGGAGATATAATCACAAAATGAAATCTTATAGAAAGGAATAAGTACCAATGAATTGTTGTGTTGGTTGAATTTTTTGAATCTCCAAACAAAAGAAAATGAGAATATTAGAAATTTGACTTTGTGATCAATCCGAGAGTTTGTTACCCGGATACTAGCACACTGAAATAGTATGATAAGATTTAGTAGAAGGTATAAAAATCGTAACTATCAGTATTATATTCGGTTAAGATGAGAAAGATATTGAGGGGAATTATCTGCTAATTCTGAATTAAATCTATCTGGATGTATTTCTCTATTAATGTTAGAGAAACAATAATACGATTAAGAAATTTATTTAAAGCTATCTATTATATCACGTGAGCCACAGAGCTTATTGGGTAGTTATTTGTGTTTCCAACATAGATAAAACATATGACGTAAATTATATATATATATATATCCTTTGTTGATTGACTAGATCCTAATGATATCATAAGAACACATGTCACTGATTATTCTTGTATTTCCCAATTCATTACTTTGGGGAAGTTAGTCTACCCCTTTCCTAATTGAGATATTTGGCTGCTAAATGGCATACACCAGTAGAATAAACATATTGTCAATATGGTCAGTTTATAGAATTTATAACCTTTTCACGGAGCATTTTTATCTTGAAGTATTAATGAATAATTGACTATTTGTTTCCTAAGGCATTTTTTGAAAAGGATAAGATTCAAAGATTACTTCGTACGAAGACTCTAAGACTTGATATCTAGAAGAAAGAGAGTCATTGAAAGGTGGTAGAAACTTTGACAGGCAATACAAGAATGAAATTCATTCACTTCATCTGTAATGTAGTAGCTTTTCGGGTCCTATTGTTCAACGAAGAATGCTTGCTAACAGTGAAATCCAAACTAAATTGAATTTAAAGGAAAGTACCGAAAACCAACCAATCTGGCTGGTATCATTGACAATCGAAGATATTAACAAGCATTTGTGTAGTATGACCTACTATTCAAAACAATATGAATATCATAGTTCCTTTTGGCGGTGGCGTTCCAAAGGTCCGTAATACCCTATTTCAAATCCACCATAAAGGCGGCAGTATTCATAGTGAAATACTATTGGGTTGAATTCATAAGACATGACCAACGATAGAAAGTTGTTACACACTTCCAGATTAGCTTTCCTTTATGAATTCCAACCATAAATTTTCAAAGTCAATTCATCAAGGGATTCAGTTTCTTCTGCCTAGTACCATTATTTTCAAGCTCCCGGAAGTCTGCAAATTTTCAGCTTCATTGTTTTCTTAATAGTAGCAGGGTATTGTCAGGGGTAAAATTGATATGTTGACCCGGATGTATGGTACAAATAAGGGAGCCGAGAGATAATACTTTACTCTTGCAAATGTATTCCTTATTTCAACCAATGCGGGTACTGATTATTTCGGAGCAGTATTTTTAATCTATATTTACATTTCCAACACAACGGTCTATTGAATCAAAGGTTTTTCAGTTTCCATATAGATCTGTTATACTTCAAAAATTACTGTGGATACTGCCAATTGGGAAATATGGCTGCAAATATGATCGTTTTACTTTACCTTGAAGTATATATATATATGGTGAAAACAATAATTATATTTAGATGTTATTCTTACTCTCGAGTGATGAACACATTCTGCCGATATCTACAATTGCAAGTAATACTATATTTATGATATGCCATACATTGCAAAGTGTTTGCAGCCTAATTATCCTATATAAACTACTAAATATCTCATATACGTTACCTGTCTAATATGTACGCAGACTGTTTAAAGAGCATTCGAAATGTCTTATGTGCTTCAAAATTCTGATCAAGTGTCGAAGTATATCAGTCAAGAACTAAAAGGAGGTACCCATTCTGACATTGCTGTGTATGCCTTTGGCAAACGCTACGAGCTTCACAAGCTTATTCTTGGGGACAGTACCTACTTTAAGAAAATTCTTCAAGGATTGCCAAGCCACTCCACAGAAATTAAGGTAAAGTTCCCGTACGATACCGACATTTACTTGACACAGTCAACATTTAAAAAAGGATTTTGCCTTGGGGATTATTTTTACCTCCTACTATTTAGGTATCTCTGATTTAGTAGAGTTGGAAATAAAAAGCTTTAGTTTATCCCAATCCTTCTCTGATGTTGCAAAATTGATGGATATCGCTGCTAGTGGAGATTTCGACTCTGCATTACCTGCACTTACGGACTTGACAGCCTCTGTCATATGCAATCATGGATGGGATGCTGGTTTTAAGAAATGGAGAGGTATACCACCAGCATTGGTTTTCCAATCTCTTAGTTCTGACTCCTTTTTTGTTCCTGACGAATGGGAAAGAATATTGTTTTTGATTAAACTCAGTTTCTTTTTCAAATACAATAGTGGAAAATGGCGAGAATACAAGCCGGTGGTTAAATTATTGTTCGATAGACATGTCTATTATTCGAATCTAACTACTGATCAATTATATATATTGGAAGGGTATTCAGGAAGATCTACTCTTGGATTGATGGATGTTGAAATTATCAGACGTGCCATTTCTGAACGAAGTACTATTCAAAGCAAACTAGGTACCAACGCTTTAAAACTTGGATTATTTGAGAGAATATCGTTGAAAAATGACGATAACTTTAAGAAGTTATGCAAGAATGAAATACATATACTTCACCTGGAATGTGACACTCATTTCGGTCCAATTGTCTATGTAAAGAGAAGAATTATTGGCGATGGTGAGGTGGAGACAACCATATATCCAAATAATAAGAAACATTTCAAATTAGTAAGTAGCATTCCACCATTGAGGGCATCTTTCACATTTAAAAACATTCATAAGCTCCAGAGAAATGAAATTCATTATTCTCATGCTATACTCTATCACGGGTCTATTTGGAAACTTGGCATCTGCATGTCTCTGGATGGTAATACTGGCTCTGATTTAGAGGATGAAGTCTTGAAAATAACGTACCATTGGACGGCTTTCCCATCATTAATCTTTACTGCAAGAGCACCGGAGAAGATGAGCTTTCTTTATCTTGATTGGAGGAAACAATTTGGGGAAACGAAACACCGGAAATTGAGGTGGCTATTTGGAACTGATTTTGTTGAGCTCCCTGGGGTTCACCCCAGTTGGTCTCTCCGCGGAATATCTTCGAGTGATAAAAGGGAATTTATCAGTGGTGCATTTGCATTGTACTCACGCATGACTGGTGAAGATCACTTGAGTTTTAATGGTGAAACCATCTACACTTCATCAAAAGTTGTAGGTCACGGGAATGTCCACCTGATCACCGTGAATCGAACAACTGGCGAAATTACTAAGGAAAGCTCAACTTTTAGACCTACTATATTGTTTTCACTCTGTTAGAACTCTACAAATACACACTACAATGCATAATTCGTGGTTTGAATTCTATTATCAATATATCTGAAGTAAATAAATGAACACAGTAGTAAATCAAGATGATTTCTAACCTTTTCTAGTTTACTCATACAGACGGTAAAACTCCTCGTATTATTATTAATAATAATATTCATGTTCACTTCCTCTGTGGGTATGTGTCACACACAAACCAATTATGATATGTGTGTATTAAATTTAAAATATGAAAATATTTTTAACATACAACTCTAATCTAATCTATCTATTGTTTCAGATTTCTCGTGTGACTCTGTGTGCGCTTACACTTTGCCAAAATTTCTCCACTAAATACAATCACCCCTCTCAAGAACTTCTCCGCCAGAGTGCCACCACTCAATAATTCCCCCTTTATTCATCTTCCCTATACGGGATCATCTACCCCACTCGCTGAAATAACTATTCTCCCCCACTCTCCGTATATATAACCCGCAATTCATCTACGGTAAAACCGTTAGCAGGCATATAAAACACATGCAGGCCTTATCTCAAAAAGTTACAAAAAAAAAGTTATGACAGCCTCACCACCACAACGAGGGGTGAAAGACGTAAGGTTTCGAGTTATTTATATCCAACACTATATATACGATATCCAACTAAATTGAGGTAAATCTTCTTTCCTATTCTTATCGAGCGCTCAACCGTTGTAGATAGAACTGCTAGAGTGAACATATTTCTTGGCTTTACGGGATTTTCGGGATTTTTTTTTTTTGCCCAAGTTATATTTTTTTACTCTTTGAACCCTATCATGGACACCAACCTGGAGTCTGTGACAGTGTCTATGAGGTCGCCATCGCCCGTGGGAAGTGCCATTGAAGAGATGGCCAGTATGGCCAGTATGGCTGCGAGCATCCGGCTTCGTAGTGTGGTCTCCCCACCTGACGAATCATCAGCATCATCATCCACCGCGATGACTAGTCTGAACAGTTTTTCAGTGAGTAACAGCAATGACGCGGCGAATGCCAAGCTGCTACAGGGTGCCCGGTCATCGAAGCGCTCCAGCTCCACGTCCAATGACTTGATCTACGAACGGGATCGGTTCCGGGCCAGACTACACACATTCAACAATAGCATCGGAGTTGATGATGGATGTGATGAATGTGAAGTTTGTGATGAAGTTGGTGGCAAAACTGCAAAATTGATGTTTGATAGAGACAATTTGGAACCTTCAACGGAGGCAATTACCACCCCAATCTCCGAGATAATCACCATGTCTCCCTTGGAAGATGTGAAGTATCTTTCATCTCTCACACCAATCCCCTCATCAACCGAATCGATTAAGATCCTCCCCTTGACTCACAAGTGTCTCCGGGACATATTCACGTGGTATTTTAACCAACCACTCCCTGCAACAGACTTGATGTTCCCCTGGCTTCATGGACTTCATCGCGATAACTTTGCACAAAGACAATTTTTTATATACCAACATCAACAACAAGAGAGGAAACGTAGTAAAAACAAGCCAGTGACAGCCCAAAATACGCATCATGATATCTTCACGTATCTGGACATTTCTCAGAAACCTGAAGGCGTTCGGTTCTTGATGTGTGTCGATGCATCCCCCAAGGGGGCAACCAATTGTGAAGATTACCCCATTCATCCAATTCTAAGAAACACAGTAACACCATCCGAAATCTTACTGCCCATAGACATATCTCGAGTTGAAGTTAGGGAGTTGATACGACTGTTGGTGTTAAAGATATTTCTGGAGGAAGAGATTTCCGATGAATTGGTGGACCTCTTTGTGGCTGATTGTTTAAAAGTAAACCATTTACCAACATTTCTCAATTTGGATCCTGATAATGGAGTAAGTCTCAGAAATTTCCATATACAAGTCGCCAAACTGGCTGGATTTGCAGATTTAGTGGTGTATGAATCCCAGCATGTCGTGAATGAACCTAATGATGATGCAGTGTCTGACTCTCAACAGTTATCCCATTCATCGCCATCATTGACTGCCCAGACCGATTCTGGAATCAAAGTCTCTTCATCTGCTGCATCACTCTGTCGGATCCTTTGGTTGGCGCAACAGAATGAAGCATACATACAGTACCAGAAGTCTCCATATAACGTTTTCGTTCTTGAAGAAACTACTGATGTGCTTCTCAAGAAATATGACTCACTATTCACAGTTAAGCCTTGCAATACTACGCTCCCGCCGGGACTTTTGTCGAACAAACACGCACACCCATCTGAAATCATCCAAGATCCAAGAGTAATGGATTGCTTTGGCATCTGGGATGGTGATTACCAAATGAAGGAAGGGTTAGAAAGAACAAGAATGTCTTGTGCAAGTAGAGTGTTTAAGAATGTGTGGGTGGGCAATGTATGGGATAGTAAATTAATAGAACAAATGAATGATTTGGAACAACCTGATGCCAAAAAATCAACTATTGATTCAACAGAATCGATACCCAAGGATGTGGATTCATACTATCATCCAAAACATTCATTAATATCACCAGATCATATCCATCATAACCATAATCTTGTGGCATTGACGAAAACACCGGCAAACTTCCGGTTACTTATTCATTGTCATGAGAACGCATCTTTCCCCGATCTTTCAACCTTATCATCACTTCTTTTCCAAGCAACGATTTCATCTCGATTATCTCCAGATGACGAGCCTCCTATCACCATTGACTTCCCACCAAGTGGATCTGTTGGGCTTGGCAATTGTAAAGTTGATAACTTTATGTCGATTGTCAACTTGTGCAAACTCCTCTATTTATTCTCGTCTTCCACAAGTAAGCTGCAGCTGGTACTTCTGTCTCTTGTGTATTGTTCCGATGGGTTTACCGAGCTGTCTCTTATTGTGTTATGCTACTTGATATATGCCACTGCAATCCCATTAGATCAAGCAATGCTCAAACTTCATTTAGAATTCGGGCGTCCGTTCTACATTTTTAATTCAGACGTTCAAATCTTAAGGAAACTAGAACCATTATTAATCAAATTGAGTCCAGTGACTCTTGGTGATAAGATAATTTGGAGTGATATGGAGCTTTTAACCAATCAACAAGTTAGTGAATTGTTATTGAATGGCACCACCGGGAAACCAATACGGAATAGCTTGCGGTTGGGATATATTGGTAATGATGATGATTCAGAGGATGATTCAGAGGATGAAGTTAAATCTGATGGTCCAGAAGAAAAAGAGAAGGGAGGAACATCTACAGACGATAAATTATCATTCTTTAAGGACCCTTCGTACCAATCCACTTGGGTGGAAGACGTGGAAGGATCACTTCCTTCTAGAATTCTCCCATACCTCTACTTGGGATCACTTAAACATGCAAATAACACCACTTTGCTTACTTCCCTTTCCATCTCTCATATTATATCTGTTGGTGAACAGTTAGATTGGCTCAATGGCTACAAGTTCAAAGCACGTCATGATATTGAAATGCAAGAATTTGATGACGGTAACATTGAAATCTATTCCATAACTCCAAAGGACTCCAAGAGTGGACGCAACACAGTTCAGAAAGTGATGAAGGTTAAAAATCTTCAAGATGATGGGATTGATGAACTTTCCTCGTCATTACCAACAATTCTTCAATTTATGGAAGATATATATCAGAAATCCAATGGAGAAGAAAAGATATTGATACATTGCCGCGTGGGGGTTTCTCGATCTGCCACCGTGGTGATTGCAGAAGTCATGCGTAGATTAGAGCTTGATCTTCCCAAGGCGTATTTGTATGTGCGAGTACGTCGTCTCAACATTGTCATCCAACCAAACTTACGATTTATGTACGAATTGTTCAAATGGGAAGAGGATATGAAGAGGAAGAAACAACGTGAAAGTAAGGTATTGACCACATCAACCGACTTGAGAGAAATAGATTGGTTTGTCATGTGTCGAGAAATCATGAGATTGAATATTAGATATTTAAATGGCTGAACAAGAGTGTTTTTTTTTTTTCGCAGCCAGTCATGAAAATGAAAAATGTCTATAAAATGTATAGTAGAATTAACCACAAACAATAAAACGGAAACAACTGGGAGAATTTAAAATTACAAAATAAAAAGATATGAATACAAATAAAATGTAAAATAAAATAAAAAACATAAGATGATTTCAGGTACGAACTACTACTTTGTTATTCATTTCGGAACTGATTTGTAGATATACTACGTAGTAACAATGGAGGATGCAAACACTACTATGATTCATTCATACATTTCCACTGCATTGTGCTAAACAGGTTTTTTTCGCCGGCCCCGGCGCACGACCTCATTTTCTGATTTTCAAAATTGTCCAAAAAGTGTGAAGTGAGAGGGGACCTCCTTGAGCTGAATGAATTAAAAGTATCATCCCTGTTTTGCACAAAATTCCCCACCCGTACCTTATTACTACTATCTCAAGTGAGGTGCTATTTCTTGGGCCATTCAATCAAAAGTGAATTCGTTTTTGACACACAAAACCAACCGATACACCAATTTATTTTTATAGACCGCAAGAGTGAACTAATATAGCAAAAGAGCATATTCCAACTAAACAGAATCATAATGGCCAGTTCAAACCCACTTTTGGAGGATCCTTCGATCATCCAGGTTTCATCCGGCGGGACTTCGACTGTCACCACCACTGCCCCCACCCCATTAAACTCCTCGTTGGAACCCAGTAGTGTTCTTTCGAAGCTTCTTGATTCCGCCATTGCCAAGGCAGCCACTGAATCAACCCCTGAGTTTGAGCCTAGATCAAGCACAAATACACCTCTGCAATTGTCCTCGGTGTCCCCTATATCGAGCCACGCAAGCAATGGTTCCCGTACCACCTATTCCATCGATTTCTTGATGTCTTTGAGAGATCTGCCATTAATCGAAAACTTCAAAGTTGGAGGTAAACTCCCTGATCGGTCTTTTTGGCGGGCTGGTCCGAAGAAGGCCGCTCCAAAGGAACAACAAGCTTCCAAAAGACGTGGGGGCAAAAAGGAAAAATCCCTCGCACAGCAACAACAACTGCAACAACTGCAACAAGCTCCACCTTTCCATAGAAGGGGACCTTCTGTAGACTTGGACTCTCTTCCTGAGGACAAAATTTCGCATCTCCTTGGGGAAACCCCTGACGAATTAGAACCTGAATGGGATTCTGTAGAAGTTGGGGGCGATCTCAACATGAATATGGGACAAACAGTTCAAGACTTTGAGAATTGGAAACAACAAATGAGAATGGAAGAACGTAGACTCAAGGGAGAAGATCTCGTTGAGGAATCTCCAAGAGAAGAAGTGGAGGACGGTGAGTATGAGCAAGAGAAAAAGGGCAATGAAGTCGAGAACTTTTTCTCGTTTGTCAAGCCAAAAGAAATCACAAGAAAGTCATCGACCACCAGTAACAGTAGTTCTGGAGTGGAGGCGAAAAGTTCGAGGTTTAGCAGTTTCTTTGGTGGCCCTGGACCAGCCAATGTTAAATCATCTCCAAAGGCTGCCAGCAGTACTACCAGTAGAACCTCTTCTGCAGTTGGTACACCTGATGAAGATGGTCAATCCAAGTTTTTTGGATTAAGAGGTCTGGGACAATCTTCCCAACCCCAACAAAATATGGCGAAGACTGGCGGACCTTCTGGCCCCCCAGGTCTTCCACCTTCCAGAATGAACGGTCCACCGGGTATCCCACCTGGTTACTCGCCCAATCAAGGTCCTGGAGTTCCAGTGGCCTCTCGATTCATGCCGGGAACTGGCCCTGGTGGTCCTGGTACCCCTGGTACTCCTGGTACTCCTGGTAGCTCTGTTATTCCGCCATACATGCAAAATGGAAGACCAGATCCACAATTTACTGGACCACCAGCTCCTGGTGCAATCCCTATGGGTGGCATTCCTTTATCAATGGGCGGTGCAGGTGGCGGTCCACTTAATAACGATTCTTTCTTCCATTCCCTTATGTCTAAAAAGGGACCTGAAGTGAAGGGAGATGAATCTCAATCTCAATCATCGCCACAACAACCTAGAAACCCACAGCCACTTCAACAGGTTTATGGACAGAGATCCCAACCTCCTAGAGCTCAGGAACATGCACAATCTCCCCAAACTCAACGTGGCTCATCGTTACAACAAAATACCCTGCAAGCTCAGAAACAGCAACCAGCTCAACCACAACAACCACAACAACTTCAAAACCCAAGTCAACATCAACAACATCAGCAATATCAACAACAACCCCAACAGCAGCAACTTCCACCATGGATGAAGCAATTTCAAAATTTACCTCCAGGTGTAGGTCCAAATGGTCCACAGGGTCCACAAGTTCCTTCTGGGCCTCCTGGGCAACAAGGTGCAAATGGGCAACAAGTCCCCAATGGTCAACGTGGACCTAATAACTTCTCAAGACCACCTCAAGGGTTCCCAGGAAACATGAACGGACCACACCCTGGTATGTATCCACCCGGGTTCATGCCTCCAGGAATGGGAATGCCGCCACAATTCAATGGTCAAATGCCACCTGGGATGGCACATGGTCCATTCATTGGTCAACCAGGTCCTCAGGGACAAGATGGTAAGGGACCAGGTCCAAATGGCCCAAATGGTCCAAATGGTATCCCACCTCAGCACTTTATGAATTACCCTCAAGGAATGCAACCACAGGGTAATTTCCAAGGTCAGATGCACCCCAAACAATACTAAAGGGTTATATATCTCTCTTTTTTCCCCTTAATGTATGTGATGATTAATTTTTGTAGAAGGGAAGCAGGGGTATGTTCTTTGAAGAGATGCATATATATTTGCTTGGATACTTAGTGAGGCTGGACCTGTAGAGTTTTACTATGTTATAAAACTATTTAACTGGTAATACATTTTTTATTCTTGGAATACCTATTATATCGTACTAGCTAATTGTAAGGATAAATTCAACAATTGAATGTGTTCATCAGTACCATTGTTTAACTTCTTGTCGGTCGAAAACAAAATTGCTGCAATTTTGCTCTTGACTGCTGCATCGATGGTGTCATTCAAAATAAACTTGTCATGTAATTGATCCACAAGCTGTTGTGCACTCCAGCCTTGTAACACGGTTTCGTTGGTAGTCTTTATTATCGTTTGTGGGTCTTTCAGGTTAATTGCTTCAATGGTTTGGTCAACAATATCGTCTGGGACAACCCCGGCAATTTCTTGAATGGATTGTGTGGTGATTGGGGTGCTTCCAGACGCTGGAGCATCATCCGAACCTTCCATCACTACGTCTCCGTCTGTATTGCCAAGCTCGTGAAGCCTAGTGGCAGATTGAAGATATGTGATGGCCTTTCTCAAATCCCCATTTGATAATTTGAGTAAAACAGAGAGAACCTTATCATTGGCCAATTTGACGTTTTCTTGTTGTACAACGTACTCTAATCTGTTCAAGGCATGTTCGTTGTCCAAGAGTCTAAATCTGAACTTGGAACATCTCGAGGCCAAGGGGTCGATGATACGCGTTATGTAGTTACAAATAAGACAGAATCGGGTCACTCCCGAGTAGGTTTCCATAGTTCTTCTCAATGCAGATTGTGCATCATTGGTCATAGAGTCCGCTTCATCGAGAATAATGATCTTGTATGGTGGACAAGGGTACTCTTCAAGATCCTCCTTGCTTGGGTTTGAAACTGTGAGTCTGGCAAAGTTTTTAATCTTTTGACGGACAATGGAAATCCCTCTCTCATCAGACGCGTTAAGTTCAAGAACACGCGTTTTGAATAAACGTGGACCGTAGAGCTGCTTGGAAAGGGCCAATACCGTCGATGTCTTCCCTGTTCCAGGTGGCCCGTAGAACAACATGTGTGGCAAATTGGCTGATTGAAGAGTCTTCTTTAGCACCTTCACCGCGTGATCCTGTGAAGCAACATCATCCAAGTTCTTTGGTCTATATTTTTCCACCCATGGTGTGTGTTGAAGACGCTCCTCCTCGTACAAGGCGTTCTTTACTTTACCCTGTGTAGTCATTGATATGTTTTAGAAATATACGAAAATGTTTTGTTGATCAATCTTCCCACATGTATTTATTTAACAACTCCAAAAATTCACCACTAAGATACTGGTCGCGAAAAATTCACGTTAATCCTCACATAGAAAATATACGCAGCACTCTCAAATTATTACTACGATTTTACACAATTATGTTATTACTATGATTACTATTATTATTATATTATTATTATTATTATTATTATTATTATTATTATTATTATTATTATTATTATTATTATTATTATTATTATTATTATTATTATTAAATGACCCTCTGTTCATCTTGTCAATTACATATCTGTATATATCACCTGTGTAAATCTCTATCTCATTCTCGTACTAGCAACCCCATTCTGTAAATCATTCCCTTCTAATTAACTCCAATAACCGATAATTCCAAAGTCCAAACTCGTCTAATATGGACCTTCACCTTCATCGTATCGAATGTTTCGTTTCCAACAACCATTCCAGCTACATCTATCTCTATGGTTTCATTGGACCACCAACATTTTCTTGCTGGTTTTCTCCAAAATAAAAGTAATTTCGTTTGATTGGAATCAGGAACTTTTCTAGACTTGGAAAGTGATCTTGAAGCTGCTCTAGTGGCACTCAGAGCAAGGTTTGCTATACGGGATCTGGATTTTCTTGCAGATGATGACACTGAGGAAGTTGAAGTCACAGGGTCAAGTGCTGGTGAATCCGGAGGGGTGGGTTGTGCTTGTGATTGTGTTTGTAAACGAACCAACAGAAGAGATGAAATAACACATTTACCCGGTTCCATCAGTCTACTGCCCCATTCCCCAGTAGTTTCAAACCCGGAGGAACATAACATGTCCAATAAATGTTGTTCTGCAGGTCCCAACGTTTGTTTAATGGATGGGTTCAAACTAGGATTATAACCTAAACCACTGAAAATCTTTTTGTTTCCAATCAAATCAGTAGCTACAGAAAGTTTAAGATGTCTCATTTGATCAGCATCAACTCCAGCAACTGGAGAAATAACATAATAATCCAAATCTTCTCTCAAGACAATGATAGCAGGTTTACTTTGCAACACCGAAGCCGCCGTTTCCTTTGGTGCAGATGAACCTCCAAATGATACAACGGGTGATAATTGAGGCATTTCATTCAAATCTCTACGAGCAGCGCCAAAAGTATCAACAATATATTCAAAGCAACTAGGTTCAAAATTCACATGAACGGTATCTTCCTCGGTCAAGTTGGTGATGGCATTCCCATTGATATCAAGAAAGGCACCATTGGGGAACAAACAGAGTAAGATACTTTCGGGTAAGCTCATGAGCTCGTCACGAGTGATGGTGAACTTCGATCCTCTGACGTTGAGATGAATCTTTGAGTCATAATCTACCGAATTAGAGTTTTGGTATGATTGAGATGGATAATTGGCGTCTTGTGAGACTTGTGTGATAAGATTTTCAGCCATGTTATTGTAGGAAATGAATGTCTAGAAGCTTGCTTGATTTGTATAGATGGATGGATATATCTTTGTTCCAGTTAAAAAAAGATCGGGTCTCTATTAAAATTAAATAAAATTGGGTTGTTTTCTTTGTGGTTTAGTATACAAAATTGGAAATGAAGAATTGTATGAAAAATAAAGAACAAAGGATATTTGACCCGTGGGTGTGAATGTGGCAGGGTGCGGGGTGTGTGTTTTTTTTTCAATTGTTGTCGCTAGAGTTTGTTGTGTCACAGGTTTCCAGCACCTGTCCAAGTTGTTATGTTTTCAGTTAATGAATAGTGTTTATTGTTAAGGTTGCCATATTATGAGATTTCACACTGGTTAGAATTTTTGAAATTGAAGGACTTTTTCGGGTTTGTGTTCTGTGGTTGGTGCACGACTTGCTGGTAATTCAATCAATTAAGGTAATATTCCTTTGTCATCATAAATGAAATGAATAAATTCAAAAAAAATAAAACATAAATAGATAAGAAATATTAATATGGGTTGTGGAGGAGATTGTCAAGGAAAGAATGGAGGATGCGGGAATGAAATCGAAATTGCAACTTCTGATGTAAAAAATTTTAGTTCGAGTCCAAAAGATAGTACTAATGAGGGAATTTGGGCTGATAACGATAATATCTCATCTGTAGCAGCCATTCAACGTGCGCACACAAAACAGGGGTATTTGGACGGACTTAGTCAAGCCAAAGAATCGTCGCTTCAACAAGGGTTTGACGAAGGATACCCCGTTGGTGGGGCTATGGGGGTTCGTGTGGGCGCCATACTTGCACAATTGTCAGATAATGTGGAAGAGTTTAATATTGCAAAGAATGAATTAAACATCACAAAAATTTTAGATAAAAAGTATTTTGATAATAACGTAGATTTAGTACAAGAAAATCATCCAATCTTGGAAAAATGGGAACAAAGGGTTAAAATTTTATAGAAAATCAGGAAATTTGAAGCGTTACATAGATATAAATTAATATAGATAGGGATAATTATAAACATGGATATATAATGAAGTTGTAAGCTGCTGCCCATTCGAAACTCTTTTTTCTTCTTATCTATATATATACATCTCTTCATCTTCCATATGGCATATCAACACTTACTTGTCCATTAAGACTCTCTTGTAAAGCTCCAAACTTCTCTTGGAATTTAAATCGTCCTTGTGACCATTCAATCCACATCTCTCCAACAAGATATTGTGTTTCCTGGAACATTACAAACTCTCGGAAACAACATTCTTTGATTAACCAATCTCGGTTTAATTGTTGGAAGATTTCCTGTTTATCATTGATAATCACTTGACGTAATTTTGCGAGTTCACTGCCCTTAATGTCAGCATCATCAGTACTTATCTTGGCATATTTCTTCTCATTCTCTTGAATTCTATTTTGAAGTTGTGGGATGTTATTAATTGAAAGCTTTTTAGACCGTTCAAACAACTCTTGTAAGGAATAAAGATAGTCCAAATAATTCTTAAATTTCTCTAAAATCGTTGTATTAATCGTGTAACTTTCATCAATTAGAAGTTGACTAGATTTATTAAAAAAATTGGAAATCAGTCCCAAGGAATCATTCATTGATGAAATATCATCTTGGTTAGTCCCACCAATAATCCGACTTTGTTCCACACTATTTGGATAGATACTCCCATTCAAATCTTGGAATTTATGTAACATTTCTACAAATTTCCCATTATCGTAACTAATTTGTTGTTGGCGCTTTTCGTACCTTTCAACAAGTAATACAATTTTGGTCCAAACTTCGATCAATTTTGTTACATCTTGTTCAGATTTTTGCCAATCTTTCAAAAATTCGTCACCTATGGCTGGCCAAATAGAGTTTATGAAATGGGTCAGAATCTTAAGTCCCTTGAATTCAAGTGAATAGTCCACCTTAGCTTGCTTCCTCCACGTCGCCAAGTCGGTGGGTACACTCAAAAAGGTCACCACAACTGGCTCTTGGACAAGAACAGGATGCTTAACCAATTGATTAAGAAAACGATAAAGACCACGTCTACGTTTTTGAAGAAATTGAGAATCGGGTGACGATCCTACTAAAAGGTTAGTATCATAAGATGTTTCTGCTGTGAATGAAAAAGAAAAAAAAAAAGAAGAAAACTCTTCAAATTATTACATACCAGTAAACTTTTTGGGAGGAAGTCCAGGAATGACTCTAAATGGATATTTCTTGAGTAAAAACTCCAATAACCTAGAATAGTTAGTATAAAATTGAGACAAAAGCAAGAAAAAAAAGACTGAAGAATGACTTACCATACGAAATCGGAATATCTCCGGATAACCTTTTTGGATCCCGCAGGACATTGCAATCCCAAGTTTAAATCGTGGGTGATATTATAATTAATGTGTTTGAACAAGAGCCCTTCCTTCTCGGGGACTTCTTTAATCCTCACTGTTTTCTTTGGGCTAGCTGACAATGGATGGAAAGTATCTCTAATCTCATTGACGTACAGATTGAGTTCCCGGACGTCTGATGGTCCGTCAATGTCTGAGGTGGATTTGCTGGCTGCCCCTACATCGCTTTGTTTTCTTTGAATTGAAGTGTGGTCGGTGAGTATAGGATCGACCACAAGTGACAGACGTCCTCCATGATGGTCATCTTCCGAAATGGATGTGTTTGCTAATTGAGCGTTGAGAGGGTCCGCAAAATATGTCGATGCACTTGGTGACACCAATGCAGCGGGTCCACTTCTTCCTGTTTCGTGCTCGCGTTCGCTATCGCCATTGAATGCTGAAATGGCCGATTCTGGGAAGTCAGGTAAATTGTTCAAATGAAATTGAAGTGATACGAAATCTCCCGATCCGGGAACGTCCAATTCTAATGCTAAAAGTCCCAAGATTTGATAAAACTTGTTACTGTTGTTTGCAGGAAGTAGATTATGATCAAAGATAACATCCAAGATCTTTGATTTTTGGAAAGAAGTGAGCAATTCCGCTGCAATAAGAGGGTTGAAAAAGTGTTGATCCAATTGAGTTGAAGTTGAAATCGTGGCAAGTTTCTCGTACAATGCAGTGTAGCTGGCAGGTACGTTGTACGGAGTGGTCGATGAAGACAGGGCATCCAAGCCGGCTGGATGTGCCAACACAGAAGAGTCGCCAAGAATTGAGCTTGTACCGCCACCCGTATGTGTGTCATGAAGGATCGAGGAAGACGCAAGCAAGCCACTTGCGGCCCCGCCGCCACCGCCAAATGGAGTCGATGTAGAGGACGCTAAAGGTTGTGAGGACGCCCATCCGTTCTCCCAGGGATCCTCAGACTCATTGGTCCCAAATATACTGCTGTTCATTGCACAGATTTGATAGTATTACCAGTTAATATATTGGATTTGTTGAATGTTTTGTTTGTGATATATTAAGGATTGAATCGAAATCGCGCTAAACTTTATCAAAGCGTAATCGTGAGATAAAATGATTTTAAAGTAGGGGAAGAATTTGTTAGTGAGTAATAAAAAAATTCAATTTGGCGCATTTTGGTCATTATTTCTAGTAATATACTCAGTCTGGGTGTTTGTTTCTTCTTGTACTACAGCTAGCGTATTCTTGTAAGACTTGGCTCAGAGGACGTATGAGTTGACTCAGCAAAACCTATTAAGAGTCAAGGGGGTTGAGTGTATATATACTAAATAAAACAGAGAATCCTAGACGATAGTCTATATATTGCCCTGATGCTTCCACCTGTGTAGAAGACTCTGTCTCAAGGATCCAAGAACTTTCTATAACATCAATGTACTATCGTACTAACAGTATACAAATGGTAGTTCATGCACATAGCAATTGAGGAGAGGGGACTTTCTTCTTTAATAAGTATTTGAAGTACAAAACATATATACACTATCTATAACCATCTAGAACCATAACAATGTCCCTAAACAATCTATAAATAGTTATTAACGAGAAAAGATTATGCATAAGAATTTATTGTGAATAGAACATAATTACAATACTGTTTTTAACGAGGATACCCTTTAGGAAATGATGCGGGGCAAAGAATTCTCATCATAGAAGAACCGTGTCCCTAAGTTTCGACTCAAATAGTCTCACATTCCATGACTTTCCGCGTCTAACTTATTTCTGTTCCGTGAGAAGCATGTGTCCGTTGAACCCCTCTCACATGACCATATCCGGCAAAGGTAAATAATTCCTAATTTGTCTGACACTGTGGTTCAGATTAACTAAATATTAGTTAATATCAATTTCTTGGCTCTCGATAGTCCAAATGGGGAGGAGCATTGTGAATTCTCTTTCAACCCTTATAAACTTGAATTTTCTTTGATAATATCACCCACACTCAAAATATTACAATTCTACGAATAAGTTACCCTCCTACGCTTCAAAGGTGATGGCCATCATACGCAATGGCTAATATTAAGGCGACTAGACGTTTATGCTATTAACCCAATATCCTAGTTCTCTCCGTTTTGTACATATTTGAAATTTACAACTTACAACCGTATTAGGAAGTTTTTTAGGTGACAGGTACTGCAGGTACTGCATGTCCGCATGAAATTTCTTCTTGTGACCCCAAAGAAGTTAAAGCCCATATGCGCGTTTCGCCTAATCAGGTAAAGCGGGTCAGTTCCAAGGAATCATCTTGTGAAACAAGAGTATATCGAGCCAGCTTTAGTCATTGGACAATCAATTATATAAACTTCGATGTTCCTTAACTTTTTTGCTTTTAGGTTCAGAACTTTATTGCATAAAATACAATCTATAATATGAAGTTTGTTCAGCTTTTCTGGTGTTTCGCAGCCATTCTTTCGCTTGTGGTAGCTGCCCCTCAAGGTATAGTGGAGCTTCCTTCTAAGGATCCCTTCTATTCTGCACCAGAAGGGTACGAAAAGGCGGAATTGGGAACTGTTTTGAAAATTAGAAAAACACCACATCCGCTTAGAAGTGTATATTTTAAAATGAAAGTTAAAAACACATGGCAAATTTTATACCGGTCTAGTGATACTTTTGGTAATGCAACTGCCGTTGTCACAACAATAATCGAGCCATTTAATTCAGATCCAAAGAAATTAGTAAGTTATCAAATTGCTGAAGATGCTTCTCATCCAGACTGTGCACCATCATACTCTATTCAATATGGAGCAAGTATGAACACTATCGTGGCACAAGCTGAAATGTTCTTGATACAAATTGCTTTGAATCAAGGTTGGTGGATTGTTACTCCTGATTATGAAGGTCCAAAGGCTTCATTTACTGCTGGTAGACAAGCCGGCAAGGCTGTGTTGGACTCTGTTAGAGCAGCGCTCGCTTCAACAAACACCACTGGTCTCGATCCTGATTGTGAGGTTGTTCTCTGGGGTTATTCGGGAGGTTCTCTTGCCACTGGCTGGGCCAGTGCACTTCAACCAGTTTATGCGCCAGAATTGAAGCCAAGACTCTTGGGGGCCACTCTTGGTGGATTTGTTACCAACATCACTGAAACAATACTTGCCGTTGATAACACATTATATGCTGGATTGATTGCTAATGGGATTAATGGATTAAGTAATGAATACCCTCAATTACAAAATATCGTTGATGGATATTTGGATCCAAAATACAAACCGATCTTTGAACGTAATGGGAATAAATGCATGGTCCTCTCGATTATGTATACCGCATATGGCCAAATCATGAAGGGTGTAAACAAGTGGTTCCCAAAGGGGTACGATATGTTATACATGGCCACTGTTAAAGATACCATCTACAACACTACACTTGCAGTGGATAAGACAGAAATGCCACAGATTCCTCTCTTCATTTACCACGGTCTCAAAGATGGCATTGTTCCTGAGAAGAACAGTGAAAGAGCCTATAAAATCTGGTGTGATTGGGGAATTGAATCGCTTGAACTTTCTGTATCCACGCATACTCGTCATATTACAGAATTCGTTGCAGGTGCACCAGCAGCTATCAAATGGATTGGCGATCGTTTTGATCATAAGGCTCCTCTTAAAGGGTGTTCCAGGTCAGTATTCCCCACCACATTGCTGTATCCTGGTATAAGCAGTGAGATTGTTGCTGCAGTGAAAGGTGCAGCACGAACTATATTTGGTCAAGACATCGGACCATTAATTAATTCTACACTGGCATTGAATGCAAGAGATCTCAATAAGCATGAAATTGATCTCCGTGATTATGACCATGTTGTCGAACAATACTTGCATAAACAATACGAAAAACGATCCATGGGAGCGTTTGGAGATTTTGGGTCTGATGAACTTATGGAAGATTTGTTCTAGATATAGATACCTAATAGAATAAAATATAATAAAAGTATTAATCTTCAAGTACATCTTAATGTGTGAGTGTAGCGGACAATATATCTAACAGACAGTGTGTATGGTTATTGAAGACGTATTTTATAAGGAATGACATGTTTATTTTCTATTAATATTCTTCTGTACCACTATGCTATAGATTTCCTTTGGATTCAGTATATGGGGATTTTTACCAAAAATAGAGTGGCGTTGTAGAATTAATTGTAGGTATATGGAAAATAAATATGATTTAATTACAGGGTATTCTAGCAAAAGTGTGCAAATATTACTAACCCAACAGTGAAAATGAAGCACACTAATGGATATTTGTGCCAAGACAGGTGCACCTTAGAATATCTTGGATCAATGACTGATGAGGGTATCTTTGGTCTCTGGTATTTATGATATACTACTATAGGTGCACGTAATACACAGGTGGATTTTATAGCCATCGTCATGCCTTTTGTCATTATGAAGTTTTAAATAGAAAACACAAATGTACAAGTAGATGGGCAAAATGTCAAGAGTATATCGATCAATAATTCAGACTGTAACAATCAGTTGGCTTTTATCTTCTCTTTGTTAATTCTTAATGGGGGTGTATATTCTGTTGTAAATAAAATATTTCAATTGTCATGACTTGTGCAACATTCAGTTCCTTTTTGCAACCATTTAAATTTTTTTGTGTTGTTGAGAATTGTGCGCAACCAAGAAGAAAGTTGTCTTTAGTGTTGACAGTTAAATTGTAAATAAAGGACAATTCAATATTTTTTCATGATTTTCGTTTTGTAAGTTGATATGGATGAGTAGAATTTGAAAATGAGAGTTCAACTCTCGGGATGGAATTGGAATATTTGGTGGAGTAGTTTGTCTAATATTTTTAGTGAAGTCATATAAGTACAGTCATGTATATATATAATGTATTTCAATTTGTACGGTGTAGTACAATGTATATCAATCTTTGGCATAGAACAATGTATAATTTCTATGTGAATGTCTTTAGAGAGTAGAATGATCTATCTCTTTTTATAATTAGTAGGTTTCCATCTATTTTTCCCCAAAACTTCAAAAAATATTGAAAAAAATACAAATTGAGTTAACTGACCTACCACGTTACCTTTTTAAAATAAAAGGTTTCCCACCAGATATCCAATTCCGTACCCCTATCAATACTAAGTATTCACATATATATATATTCCTGCTTCCCCTACACTTTCCTAATCTTTTGCAACCCTTTTGGTTATACACCACAAATTTCATTCTATCAATCGCGAAGTAACACAAAACGTGTTGACACCTTTATCAAGTAGAAAATACATATTACACAATTCTTACCCGCTTTCAATATTGCTAATAAACCATGTCTTCCATCCAGTCCACCTTCTACGAGGTGATTAACTACTTCCACAAGGATGGGAAGGTGAACAGAGTCACCTTTGGCTTGGATAAGCTTCCTTATTCGTCGTACTTCCTTAGATGGAGATTTGCTGATGTTCTTTTTGTATTAATTTTATTTGTCTTGTACACCATTACCTACTGGTTGGAACCATTCCAACGTCAATTCTTTATCAATGATTTGACCATTCTGCATCCATTTGCCGAGCATGAACGTGTCCCAGAGGCTGCTCTTTTCTTTTATGCCGTATGGGTTCCCTTATCGATCGTTGGGATCGTTTCATTGATTGCCACGAAACCAAAGAATAAGCTTTATGTTACATTTATATCCCTTTTAGGTGTTACAATTTCAGTGCTTCTTACTTCAGTTGTCACTGATATCTTGAAGAATTTCATTGGCCGTCATCGTCCTGACTTTTTGAGTAGATGTATCCCTAAAAAGGATGCTCCTAGAGATATAATGGTGTTTGCTAAAGATGTATGTACCACGGACAATATGCACCGTTTGTTGGATGGTTTCAGAACAACTCCTCTGGGTCATTCTTCTATAAGTTTTGCCGGTTTAGGATATCTCCTGTTCTGGCTCAGTGGCCAACTTATCATTACCAATGAACATCTGGGTCTGTGGAGAACAGTAGTGGCATGGATCCCTGCTTTCGGGGCTCTGCTCATTGCCTTGAGTAGAACTGAAGATTACCGTCATCATTTTATAGATATAATCATTGGAAGTTTGATTGGATTCTCGATTGCTTATTGGTCTTACAGAAGATTATTTCCAAGTTTATCTGACCCTAGAGCTTATGAGCCCAAGCTAATCATCAGTGAAAATCTTCAAGAGAGAGAGAGTTACGATAGATTAGAAGAACAGGTTTAACAATATATTCTATTCAATTCTACAGTTCAATATTAGAGAAATGTAAGAGATTCTTAAAAAAAAAAAATGTTTGTTTTTTCTTTACCTTTATCTCAAATGCAAAAAAAGAAACGAGACCTAAATTCACTGCCTTTCATCTACATTTATCCTATTGTTAGGGTGCTAGTTAATTTTAATTTTTTTTTTAGCGCTGCAGCCGTACGCTTATTGAACATGTTCTGTTCGTCTTGTGACATGTTTACTTTAACTCTCTGCAGTCTCCACCTTCCCCTAAACCGAAAATTACGAAGATCAACTAAAAGTTTAAAACAGCATGTGGTAAAATCAAACAGAGTTTTACTTTTAAATGTGCAAGAATTTTTTCAAAAATATCTTTGAAACCCATGAAATAAGTTCTCTTGCAGATTACCAAAAATTGCCCCATTTCCTCGAATTTCCTATATTTGTAGTAGCAACATCCCTATCTCTCCATTTTGCGTCTAATATTGCATCTAATTTTACTTTTCTATCCCCTACCTGCACACAAAGTTACCACCTAACCCTTTCACGCTTTGTTCTTTTTTTCTGGTCTGGTGCGTTCTCAGAACAAAAAAATCACACTAGAGCGATAGACCAGATAACTTTGTAGCACTCCTTCCACACCGAGCCTTTTCATTTTTTTTTTTTCTCCGTTGATACTACTACCATGGCTAGCATGGCTTCTTCGATGTACTGCTTTGTTGCAGGAGGAAATGTCCATTACATTCCTGTGGATTCGTTTCTGGACGACATGGAGGAGGAAACAAAAACTTCACAATCACTTGACACGGCGTCGGCTAAAGGGGTCAACACCCCAACGATGAACGGCACCAAAAATGGCCTGAAATTCTCCGAATCCAATCTCTTGGGCGTCCCGGGGCTCTTGCAAAGAAACAAGAACTTGTTGTACAGCTTGAACGACCCTTCATTGAGTGATTTGGATTCGGGAGCAGATACAGAAAATGGAAAGATTAGTGACGACGAAACGCACAGCGATACAAATAATAATAATAATAATAATGATAACGATACCAGTAACAATCACGAGACCAGCAGTGCCAGCAGCGTTACCCAAGACAACACGTCCTTCCTACTCCCACAACGTTCGTTATATCTCCCACAGTACACTGTCGACCTCCCTTCTAATTTAAACAATGGATTTGTTCAAGTTAAGCAGCTTGTATCTAAAGTGTTCCCCTCTATCAGCAACGTTGAGGATGTCAGTGTCAAGCAACTAACCGGTGGGATTACAAACATGCTTCTTTCGTGTGAACACAAGTCGTCGGGACTCACCGTGTTGATGAGAGTGTACGGACAAGGAACCAATCTCATTATTGATCGTCATAGAGAATTTGTTTCTCATTTGATGTTGAATTCACTTCTGTTAGCTCCTCCAATTTATGCTCGTTTCCACAACGGGTTGGTGTATGGGTTTTTACCGGGTCGTTCTTTAGAACGGTTGGAAATGCAAGATGAACGGTTATATCCTTTGATTGCTCTGCAATTGGGTGTATGGCACGGTAGAGTTAAGAGCGAAGAAATTGAATCCGGTGTTGAGAGATTGCGTAGGGTGACTATAAAGAGGAAGAGATTGTCGTTGGCATCATCAGGCACCAATTCCGGGCCCAGCAGCCCTGTTATCGGAGTTGTTACAGGAGGGTTGGGAAGTCCAGGTCTGGAAGAAGTCCCACCAGTTACCATTGCATCTTCATCCATGCCATCCGCCACCCCTACCAACAATACTAATGGAACACATAACAAGTCTAAACGGAAGAAGAAGTATATTGCTAACGTCTGGGAACTTATAGAAGACTGGATGAATATCGTCCCAATCATACCGCAGCTCATCGAGTCATTCCAAGAAAACCTCCCCACCGAGGCTGGTCCCATCACCAAGGAGAATATCCGTGAAGTTCTTCAACGTGAATTCCGATGGTTGAGAAATGAATTAACCTTGAATTCTAAATCTCCTACAGTTTCATGTCATTGCGATTTGTTGAGTGGGAATATTATCATCCCTGAGGGATATTTGGAGAATAGTTCAGGAACCTCTCCGGCCATAAATCCAATTCAATTCATAGACTACGAGTATATGCTCCCAGCCCCAAGAGCCTTTGACATCGCCAATCATTTTGCGGAATGGCAAGGGTTTGAATGTGATAGATCTGCTATTCCAGACCCAACGCCGTCCAACCCTGTTATGGTCAAATGGGTGCAAGGATATCTTAATGACCCTCATGCGTCTGAATACCAAGTTAATGAAGTCATAGAAGAAATCGCCATGTTCTACGGTATGCCCGGTTTCTATTGGGGTGTTTGGGCTGTCATTCAAAGTGAGATATCTAATATCGACTTTGATTACGCCGACTACAGTAAACTTAGATTCCAAGAATATTGGGATTGGAAAGTGGATTATTTGAAACTGCATAAATAGAAAGTTTTATAGACAAATAAAGAACAAAATTGCCATGCAACATTTGTGCTAAACCCATGGTTTTGTTACAAGTTCTAGTATTATTAGTTATTATTTATTATTTAATTTGGCATATACGTAGAATTATCTTTCAAGATCAACGATAGTGGTCTTTTGCGTTCTTGGCGCATGTAAGATTACCCACTTTGTACCTCTAGCAGCTTCTTTAACCAATGTGTTGTATATATTAATGGCAAAACTCTTGGGTAAATTGGACGACGAGAAAATGACCTTTCTTATCCATTCATCTTGTTGCTTTAGAGATATCATCAGAATCATCTCTAAGACTTCTTCTCGTGCATCCACAGAAATAACAGGTCCTAGGGCCAATTGCTTGATGAGGGTAGCACCAGCTATTTTGGCATCATTTTCAGATTCCCATTTTTCTCGTTTATTCTTACGACCCCTTGGGGCATCGTTTGGTACCACTGAAACCTTTTGCGATATTTCAGTGGAAAAGAGTGGGCCAAGTGCAATATCTTCTTTTAAAAGGGCGTTGTCATTGTTGGTATCCCCAGAGTTGGAATGTGACATATCTTCTGATGGAGAGTTATCATCAAGAGAGTTCACAGTATTGGCAGTAGTAGAAGCATCTTCTTCATTATGACGTTCATCAATCTCCTGCTTGATGTAATCTACAACCTCTTCATAATCGACATCAACATCCTTATTGGTACTCAAGTTTTTAACTCTTAATGGTTTAAATCCACCAGGTGCTGTCCCACGCTTGTTCTTCTTCTTTTTGATGGTATGAGGGTTCTTAATTAATACCACCCAATTTGCACCATCTGCATGTGCATGGTCCAATATATCCTCTAGAGTTGCTGATGAAGACAGAGGCAGAACATATATATCAGACGAGATATCATGGTTCCATAAAGCACGAACTATTTCACAACCTGAATCCTTCGCATACGCAGCATTAAGGGACGAGATCAATACGCTACATCTAGAGCCTCCCAATGAATGCGAAGTCATTGACTCTCCCTTGATAATATGTAAGTTCTTTTTCAATAATAGAAACAAGAAGTTTGACGATAGTTGAAATCCAACTGCATGAGGGGTTACAGACTTGACCATATCTTTATTAGCAAACGTCTCAATAAGACTGTCATAGCGACCTCCCAGAATAATTCTAGCTTTACGTCTCAGCAGTTTGTCGACACGATGTACTGCCTGGAACATAAGACCTCCACGATAATACTTGGTATTATAGTTACTCAATGGAGAGAAAAGTACTGGTGTTGTACCACCTAATTTATGGAATATCTGAAGTACTTCCGCAATGTACGTTAGAGCTCTGTCCACCTTCGCAAAATGAGGGGAGTCCAACATTGCCTTGTGAAGCTTTGCCTTAGCGACTTCAGGACTCACAACAAAGTCGAATCGGTCAATCAAATCTTTGGTAACAGTATGCGGCACTCTTGCATCTTCACGTAAGCTTCGTCTTACTTCTTCAGGCTCGGTTTCAATTCCCAATTGTGAGAGAATACCAATAACTTCAGCTCTTTTGCGCTCATCAATTCCAACATTTTCAAACAGGAAGTTAATTATAGAGTTGATAATATCAGAATGATTAATTATAATGATGATTGCTGTCTCACCTAATTTTTTCAGCTTCTTTGGGAATTGACGCACAATTTCATCTGCAACCTTCAAACATTCTGCGTCATGAATAGGTTTCATCATCGGGTCATGTGTAGCAATATCAAAGGTTACCGCACTATACTTGTCTGGCATCAGACCTGGACGTCTACCTGGACGGTAAACAAATCCATTTTTAAAAGATTTAGCAAATGGAACATTGGTTTTCGACAAATAACGTGCAAGAGGTAATGTGAGATCATAGGGCAATTGCAACAATGATCCACTTTTATCTAAAATTTCATAAACATTTTCCCTGGTATAGAAGGGCAGCTTTGGGAAAAGTACATTCGTATCACAGATATCTTCAAGAGCTCCGTGGCGGCGGAAAATTTGACGAAGTTGATCAACCATGCGATCAAAAATGAGATTGTCAGACCCAGACAGGGCGGTCTTCTTTAAGCGCCCCGAAATACCTGACCTATTCAGCTGTTGAGCATCCGCGTCAAACATCAAGTCCCTAGCAAGTACATATGGCTGTTGAAAAAGAGTCTCTCTCACCTGCAGCTGCCATGGAGATGCTGGGTCAGCTAATGATCGCAATGCTTCCTTAATTATATGATCTTGATGCTCAACCGGTAACCACCCACTCAGTAACAATTCAGAAGCACCAGGTCTAGCCTTGGGGTCATGATCTAATAACAAACGTATAATTTTCCGTTCTTCGTGTTGTTGTTTTTTCCACAGCAGTGGGAATTCAACACTTGCAAGACGAAGCCCATTTAAGGTTTGAGCACGCTCCATTCCAGTTCCCAATGCATAACACATTTCAAAGAAAATAATCCCCAATGCGTACATATCCACCTTTTCATCATAATCACCAGTTGCAACTTCCTTCGCAGTGTAGAAAACAGTACCAACAACTGTGGACCAATCTTTATTCTTAGCAGGCTCAACCTGATTGCTGGTCAGTACGACGGCAGATGAAAACTGAGAATTCTTTGCAAGACCAAAGTCACCAACTTTAATGTTATTCGATTTATCAATAAAGATATTCATGGGCTTAAGATCTCTGTGAATAAATCCCTCTCTGTGGATATAGGAAACAGCTTCCAATAATTGACGGAAAAGTCGCCAATATTCATTGGGATTTTGCGGAAGGCCTTGTTCAATGATATTTTGGAGTGTATTGTTTTCACAAAATTCCATTTGAATATAAAGAATCGAGATAACCGAAGATTTATTCTGGTCATTTCGACTTCCAGTAGACTTTTTAGCCGAACTCAGGGTGTCCACGCTGGAAGAAGTAGCAGAATCAGTTTCATCTTCATTCTCTTCCGTTTCGTTGTTTCCTTCTTCGTCTGTAGAATATCCAAATTCAATCTGAGGATCATTTGAAACAAAGTCAACTTGGAAGGAATTATCACGAGAAGCCAAAAATGATGAAGATTTTGCTGAAAATGTGAAAGGATCATCGGATCTAGCAGAGAATGTAAATGGATCTTCCTCTAGTTGATCCGAGAATTCGTCCGTAAAGTCATCCTCTGATGAGGATGATGAATCATCCAACTCCTGTCTTCCCTTGGGGTCTTCAGTCTTTTCTTCAACCCAAGTACCATAATACCGAACGATATATTGATGGTTTAACCTGGCCAATGATAAGACTTCGCTCAAGAGAGAATCTAGTTTATGGGCTCTATGCTTAATCTTTTTTATGGCGTAGAACGTACCTTCGATTCTATTTCTAGCCTTGACAACCTCACCAAATCCACCCTTTCCAAGCTTACCAACTTCTTCGAAATCTCTTTCATATCTACCCATGTTTGGATTATATGTCGTAGAATTTGGATCAAAGTAATGCAATGAGTTTCTTCTTGGTCGGTCCATCCCTCCCGCTGGAATTCTTGACGAGTGAAGTGCACCTAACACCCCATTGGTGGTAGCTACTCCTCCAAGTGCGCTAACAAATGGCCCGCCATCTAAGTCCAATGGACCATCTCTCAAAAATTTCACTGCATTGAATTCCATTGGACTTGGCCGTCTTCCTGGTTTTTGCTGTAACATTTTTGATAACAAGTCAAATACAGAATTTGAATATTGGTCTTTCTCTATACTTTTGAAATTACTGAAAAATTCCTCTGGTGTCTTGAATACAGTATTTAATACATTGTACCCAAGCATTACTCTGGTAAAGAGTACACCTAGATCCCATACATCAGTTTTGAGCAGATATTTCAAACCCTCTGATAATTCAGGAGCTTTCCAAGCTGGAGGTGTACCGGATGGACTTAAGACTAGCTGTTGATCTCCATATGGATATCTTTCTATCATCTTTAATAGCGTATATCCATAAGAAGTGTGACAAAGTTTTAGTTTCTCACCTGGGGTCACCAAGCTTACCGTCATTGGACAGATTAACTTATGAACAACCCCGGCATTCTGAAGATACTCCAATGCTGGTAACAACTGTATAAGCCAGGTACGTGCCAATGCCCAATTGACCCGGCCCGTAGTGGTGGTTGCAAGCATATCTCTCAACAGTTCGCCATACGGAGTATAATCAGTAAGGATTCGGATGATCCAGGACGAGCCCTTTTTCGAGGTGTTATCGTCAGTTGTATCAATTTGGAATCCAACCAAACAATTTATATTATCGTGGGAAAGTTCCATGACCGATTGAAGTTCTGTTTCCAAATCCTGTATTTCCTTTTTACCTCCCTCGGTCATCCAGTGAGGATGGGATAGCTCAACTTCTGTAAATAAGAATTCAGTTGTCACACTGCACGTCTTACGAATTTCATTAGAGAGATGTGGTGACACCACATATTGTTTGCTGACACTAGAGAGTGCATCGATTCTGGAATAGTCAGAAAGCTTCAGTACAACTCTAAATTTAATTGACTTCCCTTGACATTGGAAGGACATTGTATTAGCGAAGACAAAATGGTCTGCAGAGTTTACAACTTGAGCCAAACTACTATCTTCATTTCCTCCATTTTGCTCTCTTTTAGATTCATCATCTTCGTCGTCATATTCTTCATCTTCTCCGAAATATTCACCTCGTATCCTCAGGATTTGGGCGTTCAATTCTTCATTTTGTTTCTTCCGGGCAATTTCCAATTCTCTTTCTCTTTCTCTTTCCTTTGCCTCCAATTTCAATTGTTCGTTCTTTAATCTGAGTTCTCTTTCTTCTTCCAACGATAGCACCACCTCTGTTGTCAGTTGGAATTCGTCCAACATTTCCTTGAGATCAGATATCACCACAAAGGAAACTTCCTCCTCTGCATATTCCTTAAGCAAATCTGCCACACGAGTTTTAAGTTTCTGAAGTCTACCCTTTAAGATATTTTTCGGGGATAGTAACGTAACCTTTGGTGAGGACAACGGGTAAGTTGAAGTGAATTCCACATCCACAATTAAAGATATAGTAGGTCTATCTTCACATTCAGAGGACTCTAAATAGACCTGAAAATGAGGGGACGGTTTCTTATTCCAAACAAGTCCCTTTGGCGTGAGATCAGTGTATATATCCCCATAGATCGATGCGATGCTATTGACCTCATCTTGCTGTCGAGCCTCTAGTTCCAGCGACAATGAATGTTCTACTTCCATACGCGAGTAATTGAATTATGGGTATACAAGCAGTAGGGAAATTTGAAAAGGGGATAGCTAAGGATAGTTTTCTACGGCTGTTTATTTGATTAAAACAAGGGTCCACTCTGTACCAGGTGGGTTTATTTTGTGCTTCGTGTGATAACGAGATTTATCCGATCACATAATATTATGTACAGGACTATATAAATTTAGAACTATGGAAAGCCAGACAACTAAGGATAGGTATATCTAGTAGTAGAGAGAATGTAGAAAGTAGAGAATCATGAAAGTTGTTCTAAGAGATGGACTTGATTGAAAAAACAAAATAAAGAAAAGAAAGAATAAGGGAGAGTTCAGGCAAAAGGAAAAGTTTTAAGGACCTGTTCAGTATAGTGGTTGCAAAATGAGTTTATAAAATTTTTATTTTTAAGCATAGATAGATAGGTATAGATATGTAGAACGTATACCCATATATTATATATAGGATTGTATTAGTGGTATGACCCGATTCACTTCCTTTTAATTGGATTGAAATATTAAATTGGAAGTCCTTCATCATCATTGGAAAAACCTTGCTCTTCCACTTTTTTTTTGGTTTACTAGATATCAATTTACATATTCAAGATCCATGAGAAGCTCTCCAGTTCTCTAAGATGTACTCACCACTTTATAACGACCGATCTATTTCTTTTTGCTTTCACTGTAATTCTTGCTGCAAATGAAAATACGCAGTCAATTTCGAATTGGTCCCCCCCACCCAAAAGAAGCGCATTTTAAGAAATTCCAAGCAGCACAAAACAAAGACTTTTGTTTAGAGAGAGTCTTGCACAACATACATATCACACACCAAATGCCTCATGTTGATAGAATACCGCCTGGTCCGGATACTCTTCGAATCTTGATTACTACAGACAACCATGTCGGGTACAATGAAAACGACCCCATTCGGAGTGATGATTCATGGTTAACCTTCCAAGAGATAACATACTTGGCCAAGAGTCAAGATGTGGACATGATCTTGCAAGGAGGTGATCTCTTCCATGTTAACAAACCTTCCAAGAAGTCCATGTACCATGTTATGAGGTCATTGCGACTCAATTGTATGGGTAACAGGCCGTGTGAGTTGGAACTTTTGAGTGATCCAGCCCAGGCTGGCGGGTTGGGCGATGGAGGATTCGATACTGTGAATTATGAAGATCCCAATTTAAACGTGAGTGTACCTGTGTTTGCCATTAGTGGGAATCATGACGATGCCACAGGTGAAGGTTTACTTCTGCCCATGGATTTACTTTCCGTTGCTGGGTTGGTGAATCATTTTGGGAAAGTACCCAATAATGATAATATTACTATATCACCCATGCTTTTCCAAAAGGGGAGTACAAAACTCTCATTGTATGGGTTGGCCAATGTAAGAGATGAGCGATTGTTTAAAACATTCCGTGACGGTAAAGTCAAGTTTCTCAGAGCAAACGTTGCCAAGGACGATTGGTTTAACTTGATGGTTGTTCATCAAAACCATGCTGCACACACAGATACTTCATATCTTCCGGAACTGTTTTTGCCCGATTTCCTAGACTTGGTGGTATGGGGTCATGAACATGAATGTATACCATACCCGGTACATAATCTGGAACGAGGGTTCGAAACTTTGCAACCCGGTTCGTCGGTGGCAACTTCTTTGTGCGAGGGAGAAGCGAAGGAAAAATGTGTGTTTGTATTGAATGTTAAAGGTGGAGATTACTCTTTGGAGACTATTCCTTTGAAAACAGTTCGACCATTTGTCATGGAGGAAGTCTCATTGAAAGCAGAAGGGATTCTTCCAGGGCCTGCTCTGAAGGAAGACATCATATCTTTCTTGACAGAGAGGATTGAAGAGTTGATAGAGAGGGCAAATAAAATGTGGATAGAAAGTAATCGAGAAGAAGATGATGAAGATGACGAAGACGATGAAGAGGAAGATGTCGAAGAAGATAAGATTAAATCCAAGGCACCATTACCATTGATCAGATTGAGAGTCGAATATTCGGGAGGATACGAAGTTGGGAATCCTCAAAGGTTTTCGAATAGATTTGTTGGAAAGGTAGCAAATACCAACGACGTTGTTCAATTTTATAAGAAAAGAAGTGGTGGTACAACTTCATCAACCGGAAAGGGAGCCACTGTGAAATATGACGAAAAACTTTCTGAAGAACTAGAAACTATATCTGCTGAAGTCAAGGTTCAACAATTGATGAATGAGTTTCTCCAGCAGACAGAACTTTCTTTGTTACCAGAGGATGGGTTAAATAATGCAGTGGCGACATTCCTTAACCAGGAGGATAAGACAATATTGAAGAAATATATTGACAAGGAAATGGCCCTGGAAACTCAATTGTTATTGGATGTAAATATCGATTATGAAGATTTGGAGAATGGAGGTGGGAACATTGTGAAGAATGTTTTGAAAGAAATTAAAAGAGAGGGCCAACGGAAAGGAATAAAAGATTCAGCATCGGTTCTGTGGGATAGGCGAGGAGTAGTTCCACCAAAGAAACCAAGATCAAAGACTATCTCTCCTATTGTTAGTCTGGAAGAAGACGACGACGAAAACGACGAAAGCGAGATAGAAATACTTTCTGATGAACCAGAAGTTAAACCAAAACCAGTATCTCGATCTAAGCGTCCGTCCGCGAGAACAGTTTCCAAAACAACCAGTGGTCCAGCTGAGAGGGTTAGAGCGGCCGCACCTAAAGCAAAACCACAAACGACAGCCAGAAAACCAAGGGCCCCAGCTAAACCTAAGGCACCACCAAAGGGAGGTGCCAGAAGTATTCTTGATGATTTAATGGATATTTAATTTGATATACGATGCATACCTCTACAATAGTATTGTTTAATATATACATGAAAAAGCCTTCAACTACTCTATATAAATCTATTATTCCATAGAAGCGGCTTCTTTAATCAACTCTTGAACATCGAAGGAGTCATCACCCTTGGTGAATGCAGTCAACAATTCCTTCTTTCTGGCGGCAGCCTCTGGTGACCCGATACCACCATAGAATCTTTGCACGTTGAGAACGAGTAAGGTGGCTTCATCCATACTCAATGCGGCTTCCGTTTCCACTTGTCCATTCATCAAAACTACTTGATGACTTTCCTGTAAGTCTTGATGGAACATCAAGGTGGTGTGTGGCTTAGCGTATTCACGATGAAGTTTGTATTCGGCCACGGTGGTCAACATACAATGAGTGGTATTAGGGCCAACAAAGGACCATTGTACGAAGTGCATTTCATATCCATCAGCACCATCCTTTGGCAAGGGTAAAATGAAACTTGGGTTCTTGAAGGCATTGACGTACATTTGAGCAAATTGCAAATTGGTCAACACCGCATGAAGCGTGCCTTCCTTACCAGTGAATCTTGCCTTCCATAAGAACTCAAGTTCTCTGTTGGGTAAGTCCTTGAACTTGTCCAAGTCTACATATGATGCAAGGGTTTTGTAAGGGAGCTTTGGGGTATCTTTAGAAATAGCCAGACGAACCTTGATGGTACCGTCAGAGTTTTTTCCAAGTTTACGATCCTTCTCCAACTCTTGGGCCTGTCTACGTTCGTACTCCTCCAACTCTTGGAGCGGATCCACGGTGTTGAATTCCCTCTTTTTACGATCAATATCGTCTTTGAGTTTAGTTTGAAGTTCTTCAACGGTGTTTGCGCCTAATTCCTTGGCCTTTTGTTCCAATTTTTCCCGGTAACGATCGGCCAACGACGAGTTGAACCGAATAGTTTGGAAAATGGTACGTTTTTGAGGGAGTCTCAATAATCGAAGCATCATCTTAATAGTTGGGGTAATATATGACTGGTGGATCAGCTACAAATCTTATGAACATTTTAAAAATTTACTAATATGTGATATTTCGTTTATATACAGAATGCGCCTACTGTGATAATAAGTGCACTAATCGTTAAATGGTATGAATGAGTTGAGAGAGAGATGGGTGAAAGTGGATGAAGGCTGGCGATTTTCGGTCAAGCTTGTCATGGTTACCAGGTGGTTCTGAAGGTGTGCTGGATTCGTTGTGTGTTTGTTTTTTTTTTTTTTTTCATTTTACTGATTTTCACATGAAGGGCTATAAAACAATCCAACTTGGTACATTCTTATTCTGGTCAGAATTATTTCCAAAAGACTCTATATCTATTTCTCTGGAAGTTCCTTGACTTCATTATCGTCTTCTTTTCTATACTCTTCAGGGGCATCTTTGGCATAATGTCCAAGAGTCTTCTTCAAACTATCAGGAATGTCTTCAAAGGCAAGATCTTCCGTCCCAGTGGCCACAGACTCTCCCTTGGCCTTCAAAATATCTTCAAGGTTAACTTTCTTGTCATCAAAGATCTTCAAATTGTCAGCAATCAAATGACGGTTCTTACATCCAGGACATTGGATAAGAACAGTTCCCTTGTGGTAGGCTTGCTTAGAGAATGTGTGGGACGATCTGGTGTCACATTTCTTACACGTGAAGGCAATCATATATTGAGGGTCAACCTTGAGAGTTGCCTGGTCTGTTGGTTTGGATGAAGAGTCAGTGGTTGAGTTGAATCTGGTGGATTGCATAGTGAACATAGGCTTAGCCATGTGAGGCACTCTGATGCTGAGTGAAGGCAAAGCTACAGCCCTTGGTCTGAAGTTTCTGGCATGTGTTCTTAAAGCTCTGGAAATCATACTGTATGTATTTTAAGTGAATAGGACTGGTAATACAAATAATACTGGTTAATCAATGTATTTGTAATAGTATAATTGCCATCAAATCTTCTGTGAGATTCCATATCTAGAAATTTATTCCTTGACATTTTTTTATGTAGGAACGCGTACTCAAACCATTTGATAGCCATACACCCAGTTCTTATTACCCGTTCTTATAACATCCAAAGCTACTGATACCAAACAGTTAATCCTATACCACCTTCTGCCTTTTCTGTGTTTTAGTCTGTTCACTTTTCATGTACGGAAATCTATCAAATAAACTTATTCTAGACGCCAAACGAACGTCCAACCTTGCCGATGTTCCATTGTACCAAACAGACTTGGTTCGGGATATCGTCAAGGAAACTTTGGACCTCAACAAAGATGCAGAGTTCCTTTCTGAACAACAGCAGTTACTGCAGCAGGAGCCACTCACCGAGGAAGAGTCCAAGATCAATCAATGTCAACTATTTGTCACCCATTTGTGCATGCGTAGAAATAAACGTTGTTTGTTGGCGTATGAGAAGTCTAGGGCCGATAAAATTGATGAATTCACGTGGTTGAACGTCGATCCAGTAGTGAATAATGATGCAGAGGATAAGCTGCCCGGCCTTGACTCGGCCACCCAATTAAACAACTCTGGGTTCACAGGAAATACCACGCGTCTTTCCCTCGATAACTTGTCTCACGCGGAACAAGAGTACTTCAAGAATTACCAGAACCTCCTAGTACACTACAAGTCAGGGTTCCCTGATCTTGATCTTCTGGGAGATTTAGTTCCTCCTACAAACATTTTCATAGACGTGCGGGTTTTGAAAGATGGTGGGGAAGTTCAAACGGAATATGGGGTATTCAATCTTATTAAAGATTCTCAATTCTACGTACGGAAATCAGATGTTGAACGGTTAATTCAACAAGGATATTTGGAAGAAATATAATAGAAAAAGAGGGGAAAACCTTTGGGAGGGTTGGGGTATCCCATTGGATTAATCATCATATATATATATATCACCTCTCTTATCAACCGTCATGATGTCTGACGGTTCTACAACTAATCAATATAACCTGTATACTAAAATAACATATCTATATCATCATCATCATCAGCCTTCACGTCGCCCATTGTAATGTCGTCAGCGTCGCCAAAAAGGTCATCAACTTCTCCCAATGGATCTATAAGTTCTGTTTGTATCACTGGTTCTTCGGAAACTTCTATTTTATCGTTAGACTCTTCCTTAACTTCTTCTGGAGCTCCATTTTGTTCCAATTCAGTAGCTGGATCATTCTCCTTTGCTTCTTCCTCTTTCTTAACTTCTTGTTCAGTAATATCACCAGTAACTACATCAATATCCATAGGTGCTTCTACCGAGTCTATTTTATTTTCCTCCTCCTCCTTCTTTTCATCAACGCTTCCTTCCTCAAGACTCTCCTCTTTCTCTTTTTCATCCACACTATCCTTTTTAACCTCCTCTTCATTCTCTTTCTTATTCTCTTCCTTGTTGACATCCTCTTCCTTAATTTCTTCTGTCTTCAGTTCAGTATCTTCATCCATTTTATCATCCCCCTTCTTTTCCTCCTCTTCCACTTTCTTAACTTCCTCCTCGTCAGAACTATCAGCCTCTTCCTCCTCCTCCTCTTCGGTCACATCTTTCAATATTCTTGAAAGTTGTTTCATCTCATGTCTCAACTTCTTCTCACCTAAAGTTGAATTCTTTTGATCAACACTGATGGGTAATATCATCACTCCATCGTCATTCTTATCATAAACACCAATATTCTCGTCCATGATCCGCACTTCCTTGCGTAGATCAATAGCTACAGTACTGATAATCCCGTAGATATCATTGGTCTGTACTGTGAATTGTTCTTTAATCTTGGAATTGACATCATCAGTCTTGGGTAACGTATAAGTCTGAAGTAAAGTAGACATCGAGTCCAACAAAGAGACTACTTTACAATCGATCTCATGCAATGCATTGATCCGTTTTTGAATGAATGTAGGGTTGGACATGCTATATAATGATGAATGAATATAAGTGTATGTTTTATTTGATTCATTCATTCACAAAATTCTGTGCGATATAAAAATCTTGAAAATGAGAACTTGAACAAGAATGAGTGGAGATCTCGCCCCCACCCCGTTATTGTATTTTTGTCCAACTTTATCAATACTCTCCACCATATACAATGATCGACCTTGGTCTTGCCAGAGTTGCTAGTTTGTTATCCCGTCTAGGGAACCCGCAACACGCCTACAAAACGGTCCATATAGCTGGAACTAACGGTAAAGGATCGACCATTGCATATCTCTCCTCCATCTTTACTCGTTCACAAATTAAAAATGGACGATTCACATCTCCTCATATGCTCTTCTATAACGATTGTATTTCAATCAATGATGAAGTGTATCCATTATCCAAATTTCAAGAAGTGTCACAATTGGTTCAAAATGAAAATAATTCCCTTCAATTGGGTTGCACTGAATTTGAATTATTAACTGCAACCGCATATAAAATATTTGAATTGGAAAAAGTTCAATTGGCGGTCATTGAAGTTGGGTTGGGTGGTAGACTTGACGCTACGAATGTTTTGGAGCCTCCAGGGTTACTTGCAACCGCAATTACCAAGATAGGAATGGATCATGAGAATTTATTGGGGAACACTCTCGCGGAAATTGCCTTTGAAAAGGCAGGCATAATGAAATCTGGTGTACCGTGTGTGGTTGATCTGACAAATGACCAACAAGTGTTGGAGGTTGTTGAAGCTCGATCTAAAGAGTTGCACAGTTCTTTACATTTGGTGAATGGATCCAAAATCTCTGACACTATCTTTAATCGTACACCATTGAAAGGGAACTATCAAAGACATAATCTCTCGATAGCACTTCAAGTAATTGAGCTTGTAAGGAAACATTTCGATATCCCATCTGAAGCGGTTAATAGTGGAGTTTCCAAAACCACCTGGCAGGGGAGACTTCAAACCATTGTGACCAGTTCAGGAAAGGAAATTCTTCTTGATGGGGCACACAATGAAAGTGCAGCCATTGAACTTGCCAGTTATTTACAATCACTTCCAGGGAGGGATGAAGGAATAGTGTACATAGTGGCTTTAACCAGGGGAAAATCAATGGATAATCTTTTCAAGCATATTTTAACTCCTAATGATACGATCATTCTTACAGGATTTAGTGTTCCGGATAATATGCCTTGGATCAGTTCTTCCACTACTGAAGATCTTGAAATAGCAGCAAGGAACTATACCAAGAATACTTTCCAATGTTCTAATAATATTAAAGAGGTGATACAACAAGCTGAGAAATTAAGTAATGGCAACAATAAAAGAATTGTTATTTGTGGGAGTCTTTATTTGTGTGCCGATGTTTTAAGATTACAGGCAAAGGAATGGGTGAAATAGAAGGTTATAGAAGGTAGTTTACACATCCTAATAGAATCAGAAACGAAGGAACTACGGAAGATTCCTCAATTAGACCCACAAGTTGGGATGACTAATTAAAGTCTATGATTCTTCTCGAGCCAAGAATCTGAAATAAGTTAGTATGGGTTTATTTAGTTTCCCCTGAATGTTCAACTAACCAACTGATCCTTTCAGAGTACTCCCATCTGTTCTTTTTTTCTTCTTTTTTGGGTGCAAATTTCCCAAAAACTTCTCAAGAAGGCAAATTATAGTAGAGAAATTTTATCGATATATTAGTCTTGATCATTACTTTTGCTGGGCAGATATTTACTGAGTCAATTCACTATCCTTTCATTGTTCAGTTAGCACTCCCTCTAGTGTATTTAGTTTAATCCCTGCATATATCTCCAATATGGTTATCAAAAAATATTGTAAGCGCTATCAAACTATTGACGTGACACCAACTTTTTCTACTATCAATAAAAATGGCACCATTGTCGGATTTCGAGAAGCAGAGACAAGAGAATATACAGCGAAACAAGGACTTGCTCCGGCTGTTAAATCTTGATTCTATCACAGAATCAATTTCTCGTGAGATTCCAGCTAAAAAGCCGGTTGACGCGTCAAAAAGACGCAAGACTTCAACCAGAACTGCTGTCAAACGTGAGCCAGCAGAACCATCAAGAAGATCTAGAAGGTTGGCAGGTGTAAAAGTGGAGAACTCCAAAGAATATGCAAAGATCCAGGCTGAAATGGACGCCTTGGAGAAGAAAAAGAAAGATATTGAAAAATTGAAACAAACGCGTCTCTTTGGAGAATTCCATCTTAATGACTTGGTTACAGATAGCAAGGGAGAACTCAAGAACGAGGGGAAAGTGATAGGAAAGGCTGAGGAAGAGTCAGTTAAGCAGGAGGATCTGAATGAGATCATTAAAAAGGAAGATCTGGAGGGAGATTCTATAGAACCAGCACTCTCAATTCTTCGAGTATTGGGAGAAAAGTTTTCAGCTGGTGATTTCTACGACTTGATAAGAGAAAAGGAGACTAAAAACGGTACTTCAGACTACTCTTTGGAATCCAAACGGAAAGAATTTGACAAAATGTCTCTCTACAAGAAGATTGACCCTTTGGATATAAAGGCAACCCACCAGAGAATATCAAGCATAGCATTCCACCCAGCTACCGAGGATAGATTAGTTGTGGCGGGTGATACGGTTGGAGATTTAGGTGTATGGGCTGTGGATGCTGAAACTGAAGGAGATGAAGATGATGAAGCCACTGCAAACGTCACGATTTTAAAACCTCATGGAAAACTCATCTCTAAAATTGTAATCCCTCCAAATTCTCCTTCCCAGATATTATCTGCATCTTATGATGGGTCTGTACGAACCCTTGATCTTAATAAACTCGAGTCCTCTGAATTAGCATATCTTCGGGATCCATATGAAGATGCAGATTATCCTTTAGGAGTGTCTGACATTAATCTTGCCTCTCCAAATCTCTTGTACTTTACAACGCTTTCAGGGAACTTCTATCAACATGACACCAGAACCAAATTTTCTTCTGTCAAAGAACTGGCGTTACTTAGACTTCACGATAAGAAGATTGGATCCTTCTCAGTTAACCCAAACCTTCCTCATCAAATTGCCACAGCATCACTTGACCGAACTCTTCGCGTTTGGGATTTAAGAAATGTATCTGCTTCCAACGCTTCCTGGCTGGAATACGAACTGCAGAGGTCACCACATCTCTACGGAAGCTATTCAAGTAGATTATCTGTATCTTGTGTGGATTGGAATTCTCAAAATCGGTTAGTTTGTAATGGGTATGATGATAAGATATGTGTTTTTGATTTGACTAGTGGGATTGCACCTGAAGATTGGTCAGATACCTACCAAATCGGAGAAGCACCCAAAAGAAGTAGAAAGAAGACTGAAGTACCCACCACATTAGAGGCAAACCTTGAACCATTCACTACGATTAAACATAATTGTCAAACTGGGAGATGGGTATCGATTCTCAAGTCTAAATGGCAAACAAACCCAGAAGATGGAGTTCAGAAGTTTGCCATTGCTAATATGAACCGGGGTATCGATGTCTATGACCAACAGGGACAAATCTTAGCACACTTGACAGAGGATAAAGTTGGAGCTGTGCCCGCAGTAGTCACCATGCATCCACTGAAAAATTGGTGTATTGGTGGAAGTGCAAGTGGTAAGCTTTACTTCTTTGAATAATTACTTAATATTTATTAGACAGGACATAAGAATCTACCAGTAGATAATACCTAAATAAAACATAAACAGTTCCTCTCTAAAGCGAGTCTACGGTAAACTACACATTTCAAATTAGTATACACGTATTATTATCACCTCTAAACTATTTAAGCGGAAGAGGTCATAACTTGCCAGACACGGATGACGTTGTCGGTGTAACCAGCGAACAAGTTTTGACCGTCAGCGGACCAGGCCAAAGAGATGGCTTCTGGGTCCTTGGCCTTAGCACCAATGGCGAATTCTGGCTTCAATTCATCCAACAAGGTTCTTTCTTCCAAGTTGAAGATCTTGATACCGGAAGCGGTGGCAGCAGCCAACCAGTATCTGTTTGGAGAGAAAGCAAGAGCGTGGACTTCAGAAGAAGCAGCCAAAGTGTACAAAGTCTTGTTTGAGTTCAAGTCCCACAAGATGATGACACCGTCCTTACCAGCGGAGGCACAGAGGGATCCATCTGGGGAGATGGTGATACAGGAAACGTAACCGGTGTGACCGATGAAGTCAGCGTTGACGTTGTAGTCGTTCAAGTCCCAAGACTGTAAAATGTTAGTAAAAGAATTATTATAAAACAAAAAAATTCATTTCGTTTCCAGATAAATTTCAATTTGTTCTCACTTTTGGCTTATCAGAGATCTTGGTGATTAGATATGTCTCATTCGGAGCTGGCGAGCCCCGTCTGAAGTAGCAAATATAGAATACATCATATAAGCGGTGGTTGAAGTGAGAGAAAAATTAGAAATTTGAACTGAAATCAAATCAAATTTAAAAAAAAATATAGAGGATTGGAAATCCTTCTTCCGATATCGGTACATACCTTAACAGTCTTATCCCAAGAAGCAGAGATAACAGTGGAAGTTTCGTCAGATGGGGAGAATCTAACAGCAGAGACCCAGTCGGAGTGACCAGTCAAAGTTTGCATACATTCACCAATGGTGTTCCAGACCTTGACGGTCTTGTCACGGGAAGCAGAGACAATTTGTCTCAAGTTCTTGGCAATGGAGACGGACAAAACGTCACCCTTGTGGCCGACGAATCTCTTGGTGGATTCACCGGTTTCCAAGTCCCACAAACGCAAAGTCTTATCCCAAGAGGCAGACAAAGCGTAAGCACCGTCAGCAGAGATGGTGACATCTTGGACAATGTGAGAGTGACCCTTGAAGGACTTCTTTGGGACACCGTATTGGTTGTCTTCACCGCCAGTCAACTTCCATCTGATCAAGGTCTTGTCTCTGGAACCAGAAAGCAAAAGATCTGGGTGAGCTGGAGTGGTGGCAAGGGAAGTAACCCAACCGTTGTGGCCCTCGAGGGTGCCTCTCAAAACTAAAACTTCTTGGTCAGCCATTGTAGTGAATTTGTAGATACAAGAGAAAAGAAGAAAAAGTATGCAAGAAGAAAAATTTTTGTAAAGGAACTCTTCAACGTTTGCCCAGTATGAGAGTTACATCGGAGTGTATAGTAGAAAATTTTTCAATGATGTTACACAAAGTTGGTGAAAAATTTCCGTCCAATTTGAAAATGTTGGAAAAAAATAAAATATCTGAGCACGGGCACAAGTTACACAAACATACGGGGTTCCCCTGGTATGAGCTTAACTACGGCAGCGTACTCGGAACTACGCATTTGGTGGACTGTGTTTTGCCGAGATACGTGCAGGATCATATCTTAGCGTAGGGGGTTGAATTGTCATCAGCTTAGACATAGTGGTAATTAGTCTTGATATATGATGAAGGAATTTGTAGTTTAGTGTAAAATATGAAATAATTGTTCCAATTGAGTCTAATTATTGAAATTGATAATTAAAAGTGAAGTTCAGGTCAAATGAATAATTTCACATTGAAGCATCTCATTGAATGAGGTTGTAGTAAATGACAGTGATAATGTGTCAAATTAATATAATGAGAAGGTCTAGAGGCTGAACATGGAACTGTTTTGATTCAATTCGATGTGATTTGATCTAATTTCATCTTTGTTTGTACAAGAAGAAAGGGTATGTAAATGATATCGTACTGGTTTGCTAATAATACGAAGTGGCTGCAAATCTGGACTGTAAATTACGTCTGTGAGTAATTTTAAGAACGGATGATTTACACAAGCGAAATAAGTAATAATCATGTGAAATATGGAGGAAATTAGTAGAATATTGTAAGTTTCTTAGTATTTATCTTGTTAAGGTATAGAATGAAGGTGGTCTCCTGAATTGGGGTTCAAATTCATATATTGCGGTTAAAAAGTAACTCTTCAACGTAATAACTATTATTATCGCAATTAATATCTTTCAATTCGTTTAATTATTAACAACCTAGATTTGGAATATTTTTTGCTTTTGAGAAAAGAAAATGATTCAATTGAAGGCAAATACAAGGTACTTCGAGAGTGAAAGACTTGCTATGCTTTAAAGTAAAACAATAATTTACAACGAAGCTAAAGCATTTAGATTATTAAATATAACTTGTATTAAGTGTATTACTTTCTGAACATCCACGTGACCACAATCACCTGCATCTCTGTACATTTTCTAGCACAAAGGTACGTTTCACATCCCATTTCTATCTATACAGACCTATACCGGTACTCTGAGCAGAAGACAAAGAACATGTTTTACAGGATTTGACGATGTTAGGAAATGTCAAGAATGATCGACGAGGAGATTGGATTATAAATAGAGAAAGATAGATAAATAGATAAGTTAAAATTAGAACAGTTAAAGGAGGTTTGTGGTTACTACAAGAGATAACCATTGTTTCCTGTATATACTACTGATATACATCCTCTAACTTAAAACAAGATATCTGAAACGTTGCTAATTTCATCACAATCACCTCTACTTCAACAATCATGAATGATCTTATTGCAAAGTTCAACTTCTCAAAAGTTCTCACATCCAACCCCCAGACAAAAAGTATTGTACTTCTTGGTCAAATAGATGGAGAAGATGCAATCGTCTCAATTGAGAAATCACACTTTATCTCATCAGATGAATCTCCAATTGATCTCACCAAATTGGTACAAGACCTCCGATTGATTCAACAAAATGACATCTATTCATGGTCCTTGGCAAATCTTGCTCAGGATATCGAGCTGGCTCCAGGTGCCAAACTTAATGTAGTGTATCCAGCTACTGAAACACACATCCGCAAGTACTCACAACAAAAGCTTCACTATGTTGTAGAAACTCCAGAGATGTACAGGAACTTTGTTGAACCATATATTGAAACCATGAAGGGAGATAGAATTAAATGGGTGTACAACATTTTATTTGAAGGTAAGGAGGCAGAATCTGTCATCTATCACGATAAGGATCCAGAGTCTGGATTTGTCCTTTTACCAGACATGAAGTGGGATGCACAAAACATGGACTCATTATACTTGTGCTGCATTGTGAATCGCAAAGACATTGCAAGTGTTAGAGATATTCGTGGTAAGCATGCCTCATTTTTGAGTGGAGTTCAACAACGTATCAAGCAGCTTGTAGAAGAAAAATACCCTGTCAAAGGCGATGAAGTCAGGATCTTTATCCATTATCAACCTTCATATTACCACTTCCATATCCATGTGGTCAATGTCAAGCATCCAGGCTTGGGTGATGGTATTGCTGCTGGTAAGGCTATCTTACTTGACGATGTTATTGAAAATGTGAAATTAATGGATGATTACTATGAAAAGAGAAGGTTGGGATACATTATTGGAGAAAACCATGGACTTTGGAACTGGCCAGGCTATCAAGAAGCACATGAGAAGAATGGTGGTAAATAAATAACTAGAATACAGTTTCTAAATATATGAGATGACAATGATTTGCTTGTTTTTTTTAAAAAAAATATTGTTTCTACCTCTAAACATCCATTTATGCTTTACACGCGTTTACTATTTAACTCTTTATATGCTTTATTACTAATATACACTAATAGTTGAACTCGCTGCTGGCAGAATTAACCGCCATCTTGGCCATTCTCAACATCTTCTTACGAGGGTCTTCATTCTTACGAGGCCCACCCTTACTGCTTCCACTGTTTTGTTGGCCCTCATGGATTCCTCCCATGGATTTACCCAACTTCTTTGGGGTTTCTCTAAGTCCAAAACTCTTGGCCAAATGCCCTAAATGTAAAAGTTTGACATTGAAAAATTGTCTTTCGGTAGCTAAATGTGTAGCATATGCTCTAATATGAGATGTAAACGCTTGAACAGCATTGTCATGAGCTCCGGTGTCTTCAAGAAGCCATCTTTCAACATCAAGATGCCATGTGGTGGCATGGACGTCCCACTTACCTGGTTTTCTTTTAGGATCATTACTGGTGGCAACGGTAGATGATGTTTCTTCTGAGAATCCTTGTCTAAGAATCCCTTCATATGGGATAACTCTTAAATTACTACTCTTTGGATGCACAATTCTCAACTTACCGTCAACGTAGGCTTCTTCAATACCTGGAAGAAGGAAAAGAGTAGCGTCACCCTCTTGACCCACACGGGCAGTTCTACCAATTCTATGTAAATGATCTTCAATTGAGAAAGGTGGATCGAATTCAACAACATTAGAAATATTTGGAAGATCCAAACCACGAGCAGCAACATCTGTACAGAACAAAATAGAGTGCTTTGGGGCATCACCAACTAGTGGGAAGTTCCCCTTAACAAAAGATTGCAAAGTGGAGGTTCTGACTTGTTGTGACAAAGAACCATGGAGCTTGTGGATAACAGTATTTTGACTCAACAATGGAGCGGTTAATACAGATGGAGTTGTTTCTTCACTTTCATCTGAATCAACAAATTTATGGAAAGGAACTCTCTTGATTCCACCTTCAACTTCTTTATCTCTCTTGAATTGAGATCCATCTCTTGTGAAGGTATCGAAATGGAAATCAACGGAATCAGAACATGAGAAGAAAACAATGGTTCTACCTTCGAACTTGACGTCATTTTTCAACAAGGCTGCCATAGTAACCAACCGTAACTTTGGTGGAACAACAACGACTTTTTGAATAAGTTGATCAGGTGCGGATTGAATAGAGAAGTCTTCTGGTTCCTTACCACCAGTATGTGTGGCATGCTCTTCAAATAAGACAGTACCAGCTCTTTCTCCTTCGATACTAACCATTTCAGCATTCTCCAACACAATACTTCCCAATTTCTTAACATTACCTTGAATTGTGGCAGAACATAACACATTGATTCTCTTCAGTGGTAATTCTGGGTATTGATTGATATTGATCTTACTACTTTCGGAAATTCTGGTGGTAATTTTGGTAATGGTTTCCTCAAATCCCAATTCCATCAACTTATCACCTTCATCCAACACTAACCATCTTAATTGACTCACGTCAAATACGGTGGTGTTCTCCATATGATCTACAAGTCTACCAGGAGTGGCAACCAAAACATTCACACCTTTTCTTAATCTAGCCTTTTCGGATTTCTTCTTTTCACCACCAATAACGATACCAGGAACAATGTGATGACAACAACGAGCAAGAGATTCCATTACCCCATAAATTTGTGTGGCAAGTTCTCTGGTAGGAACCAAAATAAGTCCAAAGATACCAGAGTCTCTGTTGATATCTGTTCTAAGCATCAAACGATGGAACATTGGGAGCAAAAATGCCAAGGTCTTACCAGACCCAGTTTGGGCTTTGACAAACAAATCTCTACAAGTTTGTTCTCTAACCAACTTGGGTAAGACATATTGTTGGACCTTGGTAGGATGTTTGAATCTTAATGATTCCTTCAAGTGCTTGGAAAGTCTTTCGTTTAATCCAATACCATCGAAGGAAGAGGTATCAAGAGGCGCATTGGAAGGAAGATGGACTTCACTAGACTCGCCAGCTTTTTCTTCTTCTAAAGTGGCCTTGTCATTAGATGTGAAAAGAGAAGAAACGTACGAATTGTTCTTCCCACCAGTTTCTCCACCAGTTTCAGCAAACTTGATCTTCTTCATGGTTGGTCCCAAGTGAGGCGTGGTGGTTCTTTTCTTGTGGTCACCATCTGTAGAGGTTGTTTCCCTCTTACGTGGCTCAACCTTACTGTTATTCACTCCACTGGCCACAGTCTTCTTACTACTACGACCTCTTCCTTGAAGTGAAAGCTGGAGCTTTCTTCTGTCCTTCCATCGTCCCCCAGTGACCTTGGATTTAGAGGCTTTCGAGGCACTTACATTTACCGACTCACTAGGAGCGGCAAAGTTCAATAAAAGGCCATCATCTTCCATTGTTGACTATTTTGATAGGGGTATATAACAGTGTCTGTGGTGTTATAGTTGTAACTTTTTTCTGCATATCTTCGCGCAGAGGACCAAATTTGGGGGAATGATGGGATGAGGCCTATATACCGGAGAGAGATGTGCAAGAGGAGAGAAGAAGAGAGTTCTATTTCTGAAGTAGAATAAGGGGGAGTAAGGATAAGGTGTTAAAGTAGCGGTATATTGAGATGGATAGTAGTTGAATGAGAGGCATAGCATTTTAAAGTTTTGAATATTCTTGAAAGTTTAGAATACTTTTAGTGGTGGATGTTTTAATGGCTGCGAAAAAGTTGAGAAGGTAAGAGTTCATTTAAGTTTAGGTGGTAGCGACGACTCAAGTTGAGCTAGTAGAGTTCATTCAAGTTAAACGACGCTAAGCAAGTTGAACTAGTACAATCAATAGTTTATTACTGTTGGCCTACTAGCTAGTTCATCGAAAGGAAGTCAATCTTACTAACTTATACTACTCAGAAACTGTTCTCAAGTTAGGTCTATTTTAGTCCAGATCGTCTTCTCTACATTTACATTAAGGTTAATTATGCTATTAATATACAGGGGTTAAGACTAAATGTCTAGTCTTTTATGAACGAAGGTGTGGCAACTGGTGCAAATGACGTGTGTTACACATCGGTCAACTTTGTTATGTACTCTTCCATGGTGACCTTGGTGGTCAATATATCGGAAGGAGCCTTGAATAATGCCTCCTTTAAAGCAACCGCTTCTTCATCATCCGCATCTCTAAACTCCAAACTAGTCCAATCTTCATCTTCAAACTTTTTGATGCATCTTAACGACTCTCCAAGAGCATGACTACCCACAGTGTCCCCAGTGTTTCCTTGGGGCAGTGGCTTTGCCATTGAAGTTTGAAGAACTTGAACCTTTTGGCCAGAGTTGGTAGTTCCGTTAGTTTCAGCAAATTCAGTTCTACGTTGAGCTTGCTTGGCAAGTTCTAAATCATCCAAATACTTAAAAGTAGGACGGAGTTGTACAGTTCTGTCCACTGGAGTGATTATGAGCTTCCCTTCATGGAGCTTAGCTATGTATGTACCACCATTTGATGGTTCTGTTTTAGGAGGTTCGGGACCTCCTGGGATGAGAGGTGGTGGTTGGTTATCCTCCCCAGTGCGGTTTAACACACCTTGAAGACCATGTTCCCTTACAGTGGTACCCCAGTCCTCTGACTTCAGTTCATCATAAAATTTGGAAGTATCCAATGGTACTTTTAACTCGATATAAGCTGAGTTTGGCTTGATCGATGCCTTTACCGAAGGGTAAGGTAATCTACTAGGTCTTCCTGGATATTGAAGAATGTGAAGAGAATGTTTGGAAAGGTCTGAAAGCTTATTCAACACAAGAGGAATAGATTGAATTATTGGATCATCTTCATCTTCATTTTCTTCTTCGTCTGAAGTTTCGTTAGTGTTGGAAATGCCCTCCATGGGTTGTTCTTCATAGGCTTCATGGAAAGATTCTTGAGATTCAGCACCTCCATCAACGTGCATATCGTCGTCTTCATTCACAAACAAGCCGGCCATAGTGAATATATGTCTGAAAGGATAGTTTTTAGATGAAATACTACAGTTTTATATAGTAGTAAACTTGTAGTTTTGATCCTTTTGATGCGATGAAAAAGTCATCAATTTATATGCAGTCTCGAAGAAAATCATAATTATTGTTAAGAAAGAGAGAATATAGGGAGGTAATTGGAAAAAGATATATGTATATATATATATATATATATATAGTATACCCATTATTCATCTTATCAATATGGATATACATAATATATCTATCTGGTGATAAAACCTATCACACTTCTTCATCCATTATAATTAAACAACCATCAATAATATCACGTGCCACTAATCACATGACTAGTAAACTTGGATCATCAGTCACATTCTAATGAACTTCTTATACTTATCATTAAGTTCCATTCACGTCCCTTGGTTCATAATAATAACTACAATATGACATTCGATATAACTAAAGCTTACTTAAAGTTCTTAGAAGATGACTCTGAGTTGACTATGCCTATAGCTGCTATCGAGTCTCTTGTAACTATGCTCAGAGTGGAACAACCCGCCACTTCCTCGGAACTCATCAAGTTGGTCAAATCCAACATTGAAGTACTTAAATCATCCATTTCTAACGCTATTTCACTTTCTGCTGGTTGTGATTTGTTTATGAGATTTGTGTTGAGAAATACAAACTTGTACGCCGACTGGGAATCTTGTAAACGTAATTTGGTTGAAAATGGTGAATTATTTGTCCAACGTGCAAAGGAAAGTCGTTCCAAACTGGCGGAGTTTGGGATTCCATTTATAAAAGATGACGACACCATTTTAGTGCATTCCTATTCTCGTGTTGTTTTCCAACTCTTACTTAGAGCCCGTCGTGAACGTTTCACCAGATTCAGAGTCATTGTAACAGAGTCCAGACCGACTGGGAAGGGTCATCATATGAGAAAGCTTTTACAACAAGCTGATATCCCTGTTGAGCTCATCGTAGACAATGCAGTTGGTTATGTTATTCACAAGGTCGATAAGGTGCTTGTTGGTGCCGAAGGTGTAGCTGAAAGTGGTGGTATCATCAACCATATTGGTCTGTACCAAATTGGATGTCTTGCCAAGGCCAACAACAAGCCATTCTATGTGGTTACAGAATCCCACAAGTTTGTTCGTTTATTCCCACTTTCACCTAATGATTTACCTGAAGATATCAGCCGCATCATCGAAGAAACTACCGACAGTAAGACTGATGACGAAGACCTGGACCTTCTTGTCACTTCTCCATTGATTGATTTCACTCCCCATGAATATATTACTGCTTTGATTACAGACTTGGGTGTCCTTACTCCATCTGCAGTTTCAGAAGAATTGATCAAGATGTGGTACGATTAGTTCTCGATATATATATAATAGAACCCATATAAGTATAACGACTTAAGTTGTCCAACTGTAATATTTTCTATACATACATTTATTTACAACATTTTAGGATGTACCCGTTATCTTGACTCTCTAGATTTAAGCACTTTGATTACCAAGGCCCGCCATATACTGCAAATTATTCATGGGTGTGCAATGATACCCTGAGTGGGGTTGATATTACTCCACCAGTACCTGCCCAATAGGAGCCATACAGCCACCACATGGGACCTAGTTTATATCTAACCATTAGTCCGTGCCTAGACTGTGAGAACACAACTCTTTAGACAACCGCTTCTAATAATATTTCATTTTCTATCATCAACTACTATTCACAATATCTCTTAAAACTTCTTCCAAACCCACTGGGTCATAGTAATCACTATCGTGTAATCGGTCAACTTCGACACAAATAATACCTCTCTCAGTTAGACGATGCTTGTTAACTTCAATCTGAGAATCCTTGAGATGTACCAAATGAGTAACATATGGAGTCCATGCTATATTAGGATCTGGTTTTTTCCCCATTGAATAGAGTGCCAGGGTTACAATCAGTTCAATAAATTGTTCAGCATCCATTCCTTCAGTTTCTCGATCATGACAACCATTAAGCAAGAGGATCTTCAGTTTGGCTGTACTATTTAAAAGTGCACGCCCAACCCCCTTTAAGATTACAACAGGGATAACACTAGTCATGAGAGACCCTATCGAGTACACCACGGCATCTGCCTGTAAAATGGACGTGGTAACTCTATTGTGAGCAGTAGGAAGAATTTCTTCTCCATAGGGGGAAATATAAAAAATTCTCTCAATGGGTGATTTTAACGGTTCAATGGTGGAAGATTTATTGAAATGAAGTTGAGACTTCTTGAGTTCTGGATGGGTATATTGAGGGATGTTTTGTTCTGAAGATGACGAACAAATCGACGAGGCTCGACTTACATTGAATTCTAGTTCTGGCCCTGGTTCATTGAATGTTGGGTCTTGACTAAAAGAAGGAGTATTCAACGTGAGATCATTTATACTAAGATTGACACTCTGGTTGAAGTTAAAATCTGGCGTGGGTATATCTGTGGGACTGGCAGCTACAAGGAATTCCCTAGATGGTACCAGCAATTTATTTTCACAACCTTCGGAAGGATGACTGATTTGAGATTGACCAGTAATTATTACTCCATTCTCAAGTAAGGCACTGATATGATATGTGAAATTGGTGTTGATACAGGGTAACACTTGTGTCATACTATGAACGCCTGTCATTCTGGCAAATAATTCAATGGCACTATCCAAGGACCCAACAAATGTTCTAACCCCAGTTAAGAACAAGTTCCCCACATTGGCCAATTCATACCGGAACTGTTGCAGCAGCAGCAGTTGCATCCGTGACCTCTTGAGCAACTCCGTGTGTACATGAATGAAGAATGCTCGGATTATCTCCTTTGTGGCCGGGTTTATCGGTCCCCAAAGCGCGTGTGACCCTTCAACAATCTCATTCCATTCCCGTTTGGCAGATACCGGATCACTTGAAAGCCGGAACGAGAGAAGACGTCTTAAACTGTCATGATGCTCTGGGATGAGTCTTGTTAGACGTGAGCGGATATCACCGATAGCTGGTCCGCCAATGACTCTAATGACCTCTGATGTGGACCCTCCATTGTCCAGAATGGGGAGAATGTATGTGATGTTGTGAGAAAGAGAGTAAAAAAGAGATACCAATTCATTGGTAGCTGTTCCTCCCGAGATGATTGAAATGTGTGGGGATCTTCCCATCGACGTGTTATTCATATGTAAATAATGATAGATGTAGAATAGCCGTGTGATTGTTACTCTTGTGATTTTCTTTATCTATCGCGAGGATCTTAGAAATGGCACAAAGCCTCAAACTGATACCCATACACGAAGATAAATGAGTATAGGGTCCCCCTACTTCTACTTCTACTCTTTTTCTTCTACTCTTTTACTTTTCATTCTATTATACATATACTAAATACAAGTCCTCATTTACAAACTCTCACCCTCATCATCCTCTTCTTCATCTTCATCACCAACACCTTCAGTTTGGTCCATGTCTAAACATATCCAACTGGGCCATGAAACTTCATCACGTAAAATCCCACGTAATTGTTCTACAAGGAACTTCTCCACTTTACCAACATTACGAAGTACGTTTTGTTCAACCTCACCTATCTCAGATTCAATCCGGACTCGTTTGATGATATCAATACGTTCCAGCTGAGAGCCGGAATACGCCGCATAATCAACAATATTACCCCCATTAGTGCCGAATGCATTCGTGGAGAACCCCTCGGTAGTGTCATCGATGTCACAAAGGAATGACATGTATACAGCGCGTTTCAAGTACGCAATTGTCACTATCGAATGGATATGTAAGTCTGTTATATGAAGTTTGATTGGGAGTGTTATAAAGTTGGGTGAAGGGTAATTGACCAAGAGATTTACCGCTATCTCAATGTGTAGATCACCTTGATACTTGATCTCTGCAATCAATTGTATATCTGTGTCTGATTTAACTACAGGTGGAGATTCCCTTGCTCGAAGTATTGTGGGGATCATGGGGTTAGATGGGAGATTGCGAAGAGTCGAGTATGGATGTCCATACAATGGAGAGTCCGAACGGTGGATCCCAGCAGCTCCCATGGCATAAGAGCCCGGATTGGGGTGATTTGGATTACCTGGAGTCGCGTTCGTTGGAGCATGAGATGAATGAAGTCCAACATTATTCATAGAGTAATTATGTGAGAGGTTTAGGAAGGGGATCGATGAATTTCTTGAAGAGAGCCCCGACGGTCTATCTGGGGTCGTCATGGGTCTCTCTATGCCTGGACCCACTACTGTTGAATCCACTTCTATGCTGGTGGTCATATCCATATCCTTCTCATCTTCATCATCGGTGGAATCATCGTCATTGATCAAGGCATCCAACTGGGCAGATTGTGCCGCTTGAGCAGCTGCATCACCATCCATTTCGTCTTCTTCCCGGTAAAACTCATCAAAGGGGTCCCCGATGTGTCTAATGGTGATTTCAGGAGGAACCGATCCAAGGCTAAAGTCCTTCACTGATAGATCATTAATATAGGAAGGAAGCAGTAGTCCTCGGAATTGTGAGTCTAAAAATTCTTTGATTGACTCATTGATGGTCCCATCACCAACCAATTGGTCCCAATTTATTTCAAAGGACATATATTGTTGTAAAATGTGGAGCTATATTATGAGTATTGGTTAGTACTGCCAAGTTTGTAAGGTCCACCAAAACTGAGAATCCTGTAGTGCACATAAACATCGATACAAGGAGACTTAAACAAGATGGTAAAAAAGAGTACTTATCATCAAATATGGCTTATTATAAAAGGTAAATGAAAGTGAGAGGGATTATTTACAAAGGCTGTTTACTTCTATTTAATTTCAATTTAACAAAAATACAAAATAGTCATTCCTAGTTAAAAACGACGCTAGAATTATAGATTCAACATGCAAAACTTTTAACCTATAGTCAAATCTTTTATTATTATTTCGTACTATCGATCAATTATACTGGCTATATACCCATACAAGTATACAGTAATTCATTTGAATTCCAAATGAATTTAATATAATCAACCTATCAAACACTTTTTACTTTTTCATTCCCTTCCTCAAAACTCTCAATCTTCTCTCCATTTACGTTTTCACTCCCCCACTCCCCCACTCTCCTTCAACACATTATCAACACCTCTTCATCTCCTATTAATACCACATTTCTTAAACTTGCCACAAAATTTCCCTCCACTTTCTTTTCATAGACGATTGGAACCTGTCATATTTACATTCCAGCACATGCACTCCACATTATCCCACCCGTTCCTCCGAATTTCCAGAAAAAGAAACGTTCCCTGCGTTTCCGGCCCGCCTGGCTTTCTTTTTTTTTCACCTTTTTTTTCCGTTTCCTCTACTAAAGGTTACTCATACGTAATGTGGAGTGAACTAAATTTCTGAAAAAAAAAAACCTTTCCCTTTTTTTCTCTCTTTCCTTCACTCTCACTAACATCCGTGGTTCTATATGGTTGACATAATATAGTTGGTTCAAGACTGTCCTATCCCATACATACCATTCATTTAGATCCCTCGTTTTTTCTGCATATTTTTTTTTTCTTATCTGTTGTGTCTTTGTTGTTGCAATAATCATGATTTCTTCAGTCACCCTTAAAATCGTGGTCATAGGAGTTGGAATTATCGGTCCAAGACATGCAAAGCATGTCATTGAAAATCCACACACTGACCTTTTTGGAATTGTGGACCCTGGTCCAGCTGGTCCTGGTGTTGCTAAAGAATTGAAGGTTGATCATTTCTCAAGTATTCAAAATATGATCCAATTTTGTAATGAAACAAATACAAATTATCCAGATGGAGCCATTGTTTGTACTCCTAATTCGACACATGTCAAGGTGGCTGCAGAATTGGCGTCCCATGGCATCCATTTGCTCGTGGAAAAACCATTGTCTCCCTCTCCAGCTGAGGCAATTGCATTGAAAAACTATGTAGATAGTAAAGGGGTTAAACTATTGGTGGGTCATCATCGTAGATTTAATCCTCATATTGTTGCAACTAAGGAAAATTTGCACAAGGTTGGCAAAATTATTGCAGTACAAGGAACATGGACATTGCGTAAACCATCTGCATACTTTGAAAGTGCTACTTGGAGAACTGATATTAATACCGGAGGTGGTGTCTTGATGATAAATTTGATCCATGATATTGATTTGCTTCAATATATGTTTGGTCCAATTGAAAGAGTTTACGCTGAGTTACTACCAAAGCAAAAATTACAATATCCAAATGTTGATGAAGGTGCGGTACTCACCATTAGATTTAAAAGTGGTACATGTGGTACATTTGTATGCTCTGATAGCGTGACGTCACCCTTTAACTTTGAAAGTGGAACTGGTGAAAACCCCACCATTCCACATCATGAAGATTTGGAAGGTTTGTACAGAATTTTCGGTACTGAGGGGACCCTTTCTGTGCCTGATTTCACCTTGTACCATCAACAACTGAATGGAGAATGTAAGCAAGAAGAACCTTCATGGTTGAACCCCATTCAACGGGAACTGGTGGTGAAGGATCGTGACTTGGAGTTGCATTCACATTTACCATTTGATTTACAATTGAATCATTTTGTCGATGTCATAAGGGGTAATGTGGATCCTTTCTGTAGCGCTCAGGATGGAATGTCATCTCTGCTTTGTATTGAAGCTGTTCTCAAAAGTATCGAGACTGAACTCCCACAAAGAGTGTCTGACTGTTCCACCATAAAGCCCGATTACGAGTCCTTGGGCCTTAAGGAGAAACTTAATTTGCCATGAACAAAAAAGAAGAAGAACTATACATAAAAAGTTTATACGATTGATTTACGAAATTCCCATTATAAAACTGTAGATATAACATAGATATGCCTTTTTTTTTTGTCACTCCCCCCATCTTTTCTGTTTGGCTGCGAATTCTCATGGATTTAATGTTTTTTGTATGTGTAACACACGAAAAAAAAAAAAAAAATTATAGCTAATGCTCTTTTTTCCTCACTCACACGACCCGTCTGAGCCAATAATTCACCACTTAATCTAAAAAGCGATCAATAGCTCAACTTGAACCTTTAATTGCCAATCTATCCACATCATGTCCAAATTTGTTATTCCTACTGCCTTGAAAGAGTTGAGATTCCACTTGTCACAAACCGGGGAAGCTTCCGTGCCCTTGAGAAAGTTTTTGACCACCAACTACCCAACTTTGAAGAAGGCACAACCATCCTTGCCAATTTTGATCAGAGAAGCTTATGGTGTTCCACCAACCGTCACTGCCAGATTTGAACAAGGTAGAGAAGTTAAGACGAGTTTGGAAGGTTTGGACAACAAGGGAATTGAATCCTCCTTGGCCAAGTTGTTGAAGAATTAAGAAAGTAGTGGTACGGTTCAAGTGATGACACACTGTGTAATATAAACAAGAAAAATGCATTGGTTCTAAATAACATAAATAGACAAATAACATCGATATAAGAAAGAATAAAAAATTAAATGTAGTAGTTTCAATTTCATTTTTGGTAATCTTCACCAAATTGGTACATCCCCCAGGCAAGACTTCCTTGATAATCCATAAACAATTCTTTTACTGGTGATAACCCTGCTGAGGCAGATACTACCACAACGGGCAAGAAATGTTCCAATGTTGGATGTGCCCTATAAAGCAAATCTCTATGGTTTGCTTGAATTTCCTTCAAGTTGTCCAATACTCTCTTCTTATTCTCCTTGGTATTCCCACTGGTTAATGCTGTAGAAAGTAAGTCAGAAAATGGCTTAACATATGGTGCATTTCTTCCTTCAAATACATATCTCAAGTCACGGAGATTGTGTACACTCATACCAGATCCAATAACAAGCCCTTTAAGATGGCGATTTTCCAGTTGATCCCAAATGAGATTTCTTCTAAAATGATCTAAAACTTCACCAAGTCTATAATGCGAATCAAAGTCACGATCATTGGAGGTGAGTGAAACTTGAATCACTGGTGTGTTGGGAAGGTCCCAGGTTGGTTCCTTTGGTTGTACCCCAGATTGAGTATTATAGTCTGAAAATGCAACTTTGAATGGGACCCATACACCGTGATCAATTCCACGTGGAGTGACATGAGCGTGGAATCCATGTTCTTTCAATTTCGCTTGAAGTTGCTCGGCAATCAATGACGATCCCTTTGAGTGGAATTGTTCTCTATACATATGGTTGGGGAATCCATAAAAATCATATATAAGAGGGTTTTCTACAGTGGAATCTACGGGCAGAATGCTCTTGTCCACAGACAGAATGGGCTTTGGTGGTGGAGGGACTGAAATTTCTATCAAATTCGATCCAGATGATTGCCAATGTGCAGACACCACCACAATATAATCAGGTTTCCAATTGTTTTTAATGGTTTGACCCAATTTCCGAACTTGATTCCATGGTCTTTGGGTCTCCTCATCCTTATAAATGAAATTGGGACCCCCATGGGATATGAAAAGAGCAGGATATGGGTTCTCGTTGGTAATAGTTTGCCCAATTTCCTCATGGTTGTCGCTAGCTGTGGCTGCAACTTCTGAAGTTTTCATATAGTTCATAAGAAGCGTCGAAAATATTGGAATTATAAGTAGTAACCAGATGCTAGTCATATATTTAAACGAATCAAGAGCTATTCTCCTGTTAAATGTGGGCAAAAACACGGTATTTATCTGCTGTTCACAAATGTGTAACGCTTAGTAAATACCTTCTAATGCTTAGAAATAGGCTGGTCCTGCAGATACCACATGTCAATCTAGTTGTATTTATTTTTTCTAATTTTATTTTTTTTTTTCATTTTTGATCTCATGTTTCTCATCCGCTCAGAAGAGAGTGAATACAATTTAGAGAAAGACAGTTGTCATGTCTGCAGGATCTGCCTCATTGGTTCGTTGTTTAAAGTCTCGGCTCGTTTTAGTATCCTTTGAAAATATTCGCATGATATCGCCCCAAATCCTATTGTTGCCTGGATCTATGTGCAGTTTGTCCTGTTTCTTACACAAACTATTTATGTCATCCTGGAATGTGGGAACAGCGTACCATTGAAAAGTTAAACAACGGCTGGACCAACCCCCTAGACCCCTCACTTCGTTTAATCTGAGATGGTTAGGTTGCTTTTTTTTCACTGTTTTCATTTTCCCTTTTCTAAATTTCCATTTCCATTTCATATCAACAATTTGTCTCTTTTCCAAGGCTATCAGGTGGGACCCTTCCATGCATGGTCATGTTTCCTCGCCGATACACCCCAAACTAAAGCTATCCCTGCCCTGCGCTGATTGGTGTGCAACAACTTCCCTTTGGGAAGACCATGCAGTACTAACTACTCTCGACCATACTTTCGCGATGTATTTCATATAGACTATGTTTTTCTTCGCCTCAATTCTGTACAGCCTTTCACATCAATTCTTCGTATTCTATTGTCTTTGTATTTATTTTTTATTTCCATTTCAGTGCCTTTAATTTAATTTTTGCTGTTCTTTTTTTTTCTTGAAATTTTTAGCTCTGTTGATTAGAACACGTTAGCAATCGAAGTTCAAGTGTGGTCCTATTCGTAGCAGACGTGAAGTAATCAGTCATGGTTAACTTTTTCTCCAATAAAAGGGTATGTATAGAGTGTTATTTTGATTAAATGTGAAGACTTTACCAATCAAAACTTATCTTTGAAGATACATGACCATTACATCCGAGGAATTCAAAGTGCATGAAGAGTTCATTGAACTTGTCACAGATGGTCGAAGCAAGTTTCATGCTCAATAGAACTTTCTATTCTAAGCAGAGGATGGGGGATCTAATGAATCAATTGGAACCTTTAACTTAAATTTCCCTCGATTGATTCAGTGGTAACAAAGATCTTTGTGTTTTGATTCTAGACGATAACATTTTGATGGTTGCTTTTCCTTTTGCCACGGCCTTACTAACGCTATAGAAAACTGATAGACAGGGCTTCAACAGATATGCTGAAGAATTGAACCGATATCAACAGAATTCGGTTGCTGGTGTCCCCAATAGTGGGATGACCAGGTCGGATTCACTCAGCAATGGAGCTGGTCAGGCAGCCATGGCTGCGTTGAGAATTCATCAACAACCCAAACTGCCACCAGTCCAACAACTGTATCAACAAAGGCAATTGCCCCATACTCCACAGTCTCGTCTGAACTCAATCACCTCCAGACTGCTGCTGGTGCACAACAATATTTCAAGATCAAATTCGTTACGCACATATGTGTATCATCCAAAGGCTTCATATGTTGCTGGACAACCTCTTTCATCGGAGCAATTATCTGCAAATGCCGCTGCAAATGCTCATGCAGCCATGAATGGCGGTAACAAACGTCTCAACTCCCTTAGCAGCAACACTTCATCTGTAAGACGTACAAATTCCTTAACGAACCGTACTAACTCTTTGACTAAGCGCTCTAATTCTTTGACTTCACAAGAATATCGTCCTCCTGCTTTCCATCTGCAACATTCACCTAACAAAGGGTCGCCTGTTAAACCTCCTGTGGTTTATGAAGAAATGGATGAATTGGATGAAGACCCAGACCTTTCCCACGGAGTCATTACTTCAACCAAAACTACGAAAATTGTAGATTCTCTGGGAAGAACCACTTCGATCACCATTGAGACAATCAAAACTCTTCCTGATGGGTCAAACATTATAGAAACAAAAACAAAAACAAGACCCACTAGCAAACCTAATTCGCGGTCAAACTCTCTAACGGCACCTCCTGTTCTTAATCAAGGTTTTCGGTCTAGTAGTATGACCTCTCAACAAGGCTCTGCTTACAACTTGACCAAAATCGATGAAGATTTACACGATTTTGACTATGATTTCACTCAACCAAATCATCAACAAACATCTCCTATTCAATTGGAAAGAAGCCCATTAAGACCATTACCGATAGAAAATGGAGGCAGTAGAGGCTCTACGGAAGCACAACCTCCTCTTCGGTCAATCTTGAAGAACTCGGCTAAGAATCTAGAGAAGATCCAAACCCAATACGCCGACGACACTACAACTAAAAGTCCAGCAGTGGCTGCTGCTGCTGCTGCCGCTGCTGCTGGAGGTAGCGCTCGGGGAAGTGCCCCTAGTTCGCCTGGTAGATCAGACCAAGAGACCATTAGAAGTAACAGAACAGATGAGGATGAGGATTTTGCAGATGCTTTGGATACCTTTGGTAATAAGAGTGGTAATAGAAGATCCTTTATTGATGTTGGCCAGCCCAATTTAGTTAACAAAAGATCACACCCATACAAAGAGTTGGATAAAAAGAAACCATCGCCATTAGGAGCAGAGCCAACCATTGCGTCATCTTCGGGATATAAGCCAACATCACCAACTATTGATGAGAATATTCCAGTATTTACAACCCCAATGACCCTTCAACCATCACCAGTGTTGACAACTTCAAAGAAATTCCAAGAAGCTCCACAACTCAATGGACTGGTGAATAAAGATTCAAGACCGCCTGTAACGAGTACTAATGATCCAAGCCCACCACAAAATTCGTCTGGAGGATCTATCAAATTCCTCGATACAGTTGAAGAGATTCCCAACAAGCCAATCAAGCCAATTCGTCTTACTGAAGAAGAAATGTACGAGCGTGCACTTGAAGCTGCAAGGGTGAAAGTATATGGGGACCTGTACTCATCGTCTCCAGAGAGAAGTTTATCACCTACAGTCCGCAGTACTAGTAGTCCAAAACCCGGTTTGGTGAGCGGGTCTCCTGCTGGTGTTTCGCCAGTAAATGGAACCAAAAATGGTGGACGTACGATGTCAATCACATCAAATCTTTCGTCTCTTCTTGATGAAGCACGTAAGAACAAAAAACCTGTTCAGATTGGGAATAATCACCTGGCACACCTTAACCATTATGAAATGAATGTAAACGGAATTAAGGATGACTATCATTATCAGAATCACCACCGTGATTTCACGAGACATTCCTTAAGGGGGGATTCCTCTCTGTCTGAGTCCATGTCGTTAGGTGCTGCTATTGTTTCGCCTCCAAGAAGAAAGGACCGTGCCAAGGAAGAAAAGAAACTTGCAAAGTTGAAACGTGAAGAGGAAAAATCAGCTAAAAAGCAAGCTGATCTAGCCAAAAAGCAAGCAGCAAAGGATAAAAAGAGTAGTGGACTCACGGGTGGTAGCCGAATTTCTTCTTTATTCGGTTTGAAAAAGAAAACTAGCTTTGTGGGAATAATTGACAGTGATTCGTGGCAAGAAAGAGAAAATGAGGAAAAGCAAAGGATTGAAACAGAACGGAGAATGGAAGAAGATCATATATTGAATGATCAACAAGAACAGTTTCAAGCTGAAACGCAATTTCATCAACAACAATTGATGAATGAATCTGATAAACCTAGTGACATGTATCAATATAGAACTCTTGATACTCGGTCGGTACCTACTATAGAGGAAAGCGAGTTCGAAAGTGAGTCAAACGAAGTTTCAAAGTCACTTCAACCAGTGAATAAGACGGAGTCCAATCCAAAATCACTGTCTAACGTTGTACCCTTACCCGAGCCAACCATCAAGGAGACTACTGTTCCCCATGGTCTGCGGTCGCCAGTGGTGCCTCTCATTGTGACACTGGGCGTCTCTGAAAGTGTAGACAAATTCCCTGAGCCTACAATCGAAGAAAAGTCACTCGTTGGTTCTCCTACTGCCGATTGGTCTCCTCCAGTTGATACATCTACTCCTGAAATAAAGTTGACTGATCACGATAATCAAGATGTTGATGCTAAGAGATTGGAACCTTCTATTAAGTTGCCAAATGACATTTTGACCGACATCGAAGAACCAGATACCATGGCCGCATATGCCGCATATGCAGATAATTCACCTTTGAAATCTAATTCACCAGTTCACGATTTTGATACTGTGGTTAAACAAGATACCATGTCCAACGGGGTAACGCAAGATGTAGAGGAAGTGGAATCTCTTGGTGAGTTTGATGAAGAACTGCTGATCCGTGAATATTCACCTGAAGAAGAGGCGCGCTTAGAAGAAATAGTTAAGGAACCACTGCTGCTGCGCAGATCATCAGTAGCCGATATTGCGTCAATGTCAGGCTCAATTGCGGAGAAAATCGAAGGTAAAAAAGATAATGAGGACAACTCTGCCTTGGATGAATTCACAAAGAAGTTGCGGGCTGCAGTACAAACTGTGGGTACTGATGCAGATTCAGTTGGTCTGGTAGATCCTGACGAAACATTTGATTCTGAATTGAATTTGGATAGTAGACGTACTTCACCTGGGGAATTGAAAGAGGTGTTGGGGAGACTGTTTGATGGGAATGAGAGGAATGTCAATGGTTCAAATAGCTCTTACAATGGGAAAGAGGTGTCCGTTAATGGCGGTACCCCATCTCAAAAGACAAAAGCCAATGATATACACGATAACTTTCCTCCTCCACCTCCAGAAAAACTCTTTCAAGAACCACCAAGATTTACAAATGGAGCATTTCAAGAACCAGGTACTCCACGAACATCTTCTCAGTCCCATCGGAATGGATCTTTGCCATTTATGGATTCCCCAGAGAGTGGAATTCGCTCCCACTTTTCACGCCTAAGTACAAATAACAAGGAAGTAGTCATCGAAACAAATCACACTCCAGGATCTAGCCCTCGTAAGGGGAAAATGAAGAAGAAAATTCTTAAATTATTCGTAAATTCATATGACCATCAATAAGAGAAATGGTATTATAATCAGCTTTATATATTTATTTAACTTTTTTTAATTCTAAAATTAATGTATCACTTTTCAGATTTAGGACTCCTTTCGTTGTAGAGTGGATGCCCCGAACTTTATGGAAAAACGATCGTGCCTGAGAAATAGGTTTTTTGGGTCTTATAATTAAAGACGATGTTGAAGAATCGACTGAAGGAGATGAGATGTGGATCGGTACAAATGAAGTCAATATTGGTTGTTGGTAATCTGAAACATGTCGAAATTGTTCTCGGAATGTTGAAAGAAATTCTCTAGAAAGATCTTCAGAATTAACATATGATTTGTCAGTGGATCGGGAGTTTGGAGGAGTACTTTTTGCAGCATGTGACCTTTGTATGGGGAAAAACTTACTTTGGTTTGGCTGAAATTCCGAAGAATGTTCATCACTTGAAAGAGAAATATTGGATTGATTACTGAAAATTGATCTATACGATTTAACAGAAGCCCATGAAAACTCTTTTAAAGTTCTCTTCCCTGTAACCTCTCTTTCAAGATCTACAAAATATTTCATTTGAGTTGAACAAGTATAATTGCAAACTTTGAAATTGTTGACTGTAAGGTGTTTTGTACTCATGACCACAAATTCAGGCGAGAAATAAGTGACAGTTTAAATTACTCCCCCTTTAAAATCAAGAGACCACCCTGCAAACCCGTAAATGGTTGGTTGTTTCTAGAAGTGCCTTGTTCATTCCCTATATGTTGATGAGAAACATGACCCTCTACAGAAAGACACATGAGTGAAGTGCCACCATATCGAAAAAAACATATCTTGTTTAAAGATTTCAAATTCTTGAGATCAATATTGACTTTATCTTATATCTATTGTACATTCTCATACATTATTATCTCTTAATTTCTTTAAAGCTAACAGGATAAAGAGATGTCTGAGGTGCGGCTCAGTGTTCCATTATCGCAATTTCGTTTAATTTGTATCTGTGGAGTATTGTTATCGGAAAAAGAATAAACCTCTTTCATATCAAGATTGTCCTATTTGCCAAATAATTTCAGTCATCAATATAGAAGAAAGAACAACTTTAAAACAATTAGAAGAGCTTTAGTGGATACTGCCTTGAGCTAACAGTATAAAGATGTTGGAAACCATACACGACTGAAAGTGGCTTGCATCACGTGAGAGTTCAGATAAGTTATCTTTTATCTTAACGTTTAAATTCGGTGAATCATTATTTGCTATGAGTTTTAACAAAGTATATTACTCTCAAATTAATCTCATATTCACACTAATATCTTAAGCTCAATTGATCTCTAATCAGGAACTAGAGTGTATTTATAATATCTACTGGTGGCCAAACCTTACTGCAAATGGCCTCGGATCATCTCCCGACCTGATTCCCCCTCTTTGCGGACATATATGACCAACAACTCCGATCCACACTTGTAAAATTTTCAGCCATCCTCAATCTGCTGCATTGCATTTACTCTGATTAATGTATCTTCGTGCTCCGCGTTTTTTTTACGATTCCTTTGGTATTTCCTGTTTACTGATACTCCCACACCAAAAGTTTCCTTCATATAGCCACTTTCTTTATATAAGACACTCCACAAACCAACTGCTCAATCGATCTGATTATATCTTTCATCAAACAACATATACAAAATCATTGTACAGTAATGTCTAACGATCAAAACGTTGATAGAATCCCGATGTCCGCGACGGATTCAAATTCTGAAAATAGTGACGATGGTCGTGAAAGTCCTGGTGGTTATGACAGTGATCAATATTATCTTGATGAAGCCGAATACATAGGTGAAGCAGTATCAAGAGAGTGGCCAGAATTCAGAGAGTCGCCACCCATTCATGGTGGAGGTCCATATGTGGTCACAAACTATAATGTCCAAGTCCCTCATAACTCTAATGCGATTGATATTACACAAGCACGAAATAATAATGATAATAATAATAATTTCTCTCCGGAAATTTTAGAATTGTTTGAAGAGCTTTGCCTTGCATGTCGTACTGGAGATTATGAATCTGCTGACAAACTTCTCTCGACGCCGAACATTCCAATAAACTATGTAGATAGTTGGGATTATTCGCCACTTATCTTGGCCTCTTTATGTGGCCATATCAAAATTGTAGAGTTACTTCTTACCCGCGGTGCGGTATGTGATAGAGATTCGTTTGAAGGTGCTCGTTGTATACATGGAGCCTTGACGGATGCTATCAGAGACTTGTTGATCAGCTTTGATGTGTCCAAGAAAGTTGATGTGAGTCAACCATTTGCTGGGCATATTTCATCTTTACTCAATCCTAGAGGTCCTCAAGAACAAATCCAACTACAAACAAGGGATCTTGTCTTCAATTTCCCACATGTTAAAGGGATAATGGCAGGTGACTATAGAGTTCTTAAATGTAATAGGTGGTTGTTGAGTTGTAGAAGTGAATATTTTAGAGACAGACTCACTGATCATCAAAGGGGTAATTTTGAATCCACAAGGTCAATTGAAGAACCTTCTGAAGTTTCAGCTCATGTAGGAGCTTGGGCGGATAAGTCTCTTATTGTAATGCCACCAACCATTGACCCTGCCCTTTTTTCCTTTATCATGGACTATATTTATTTAAGAACTGATGCACTTCCTTTAGATGACCCAGAGTTTGGAAAGTTGGCAGAACTTTTCCAATTGAAAGATTTGAAAGTTGCAATTGATCAACAATTATCCGCAAAGGATGACAGAGAAAGATCAAGATTAAGAAATGAAGCATCAGTGAAATTCATGGACACAGCAAGAGAAGATATGAGAAACTTTTTGCATAAAGACATTATTGGAGGAAATATAGCAAAGGAAGCAATTATTGATGTCAATGAAGAAGAAGAGGTTGATTTAGAAGACTTGAATTTTATTCAAATGCTACTGGATACTGAGAAGACTCGTTTAATTGAAAGTGGAGCTGTTCCTGATGTAATTGTGAGTGTGGTAGAATGGGTTGAAAGTGATTCAGTCGAGTCGGTGTCGCAAGGGGTATCGAAACTCGGGGTTGGTGAAAATAATCGCACTATTGCAGAATATACCGTTGAAGAACCACTGGATTACCCCATTGTACTCTATTATCCGGTCCATAGATCCATTCTTTCGCGATCCCCATACTTCAAAACGATGTTGGAATCTGAGCTTTTCCTTTCTTCGTCAGAGTTGCCTAGTGTTCGTATTCTTGAAAATACACATTCAATCATTCATCGTCCTAATTTATCACTGAACCATATCCCAATTACTCCGCTATATGCCCTTGCTACATCTCGGTTGGTGGCAGAAATGGTACTCTCCTATTTATACCATGACGATGTTTCTGAAATCCCTCCTAAACTTGCGGTTGACCTTCTCTTTGCAGCAGAAGAACTTCTCTTGGATAAACTTAAATCGAGAGCTGCCATTGCTATCACTTCACTTTCGAAACATTTCACAGGTGCCAATTGGGAGGAGCTCGAACGTGTGGTCGGATATTCAGGATTTGATCTTCTCCGGATAGCTTGGCAAATACGTTGTGAAAGACTTGAACAGCATATCACCAAGATGGCTGCATTCAACTTGCAATACATATATGATGATCAACTGCAAAGGAAACAATTGTGTAACCTTATAAAAGAAAGTGCAACCCGAATTGAAGAAAGACAAGATACAGATACCATTGAACTTGTCGATGATATTAGATACTACCTAGGAAAGAAGCACCAGGTGGGAAACATAGAGATGATTGAGGTAAACTTTGGAGATACTGAGGAGCCGGGGGATATCAAGGTTTACAAGAAGGCGTTAGCCATGCTTGAGCGTGATGAGTCAATAATAGATTCTCTTTTGGAAGAAGCTGAATTAGAAGCATAGTTATAAAAAGTGTGGAAAATAAACTAGATAAAATAGACCATTATATAGTGATCAGAGTCATAGATGGATGTCAGGTATTAGTATTTGATTTTATCTTGCATTGCTCTATCTGATCTGTATACTACTACAACAATAGACATAACATTATGGAAATAGAATTTTTCAATCTTTTTTTTTAATACTGATCTCACAATCACTTTCCTTATACATACCTAAGAGACAAAACCATCTCAAGTAAATAATTAAATTATATCAATACCCCCTGAACTCTTTGCAACTTGTCTCTTTTCATGGCTGCAATCCAACCACTAAACCTCAAAAACCTGTATATAAACCTCATCTCGGTAAATCAAAAAAATATCGCGACCCACACAAATTGTGCAAAAAATCGGCATCGCATAGAAAACTTGATAAATTCAAACTCTTTCAAGACCATACATACACAATCATAATGCTGGAAACTAATCCAGATGGAGGGGCGTCCGTAGACGTCTTTATTATGGAGGACAAGTTGGCCAAGATTAGGACTCAAGTCAACTCAAAGCTTGACAACCAAAAGAACTTGGCCCTCATTTTATCTGCTGTGGAGGAGAACATTGAAGAACAAAAGAATGAAAAGACTCCTGTAGCTTACTTTGTGTCCTTCCTTTCATTGATGGACCAATGTGTAGGTGGTGATGAAATCGTTGATGCTGGTTTGGCTACCTCGGCTGCATACTTTTTGGATTTAGTATTCCCATTCACACCACAACCATTGCTCAGACTGAGATTCGCCGATATTTTGACCAAGTTGGCTCCACCTTTAACCAGCAGTGAAGCTGAAGCTCCATTGGTTAGATCTACCATCGGTGCCTTGGAAACCCTTCTTTTGGCTCAAGACCACCATCAATGGACTTCTAACAATGCTTCAGTTTCTCCAAGAAGAGCTCTTGTGGGTCTTTTGGAACTTTCCTTCGACCCAAGACCAAAGGTCAGAAGACGAGCCCAAGATGCCGTCAAACTGTTGTTGTCTAACCCACCAGCATCTCCTTCCCCAGTACATGTAGCTGCACCATTATGTGGTGAATTGGCTTTGAACCGTTTGGTCCAACTCATGAAGACCAGAGGTGCTGCTAACAAGAAGGAAAAGGCCAACACCAACACCCAAATCATCCATTGTTTACAGTTGGTTGCATCCATTACCGCTAGTAACGCTTGGCCACAACCACTCATTGGTCCTCTTTGTGACTCTCTTCTTGAAGTATCCAAGACCTCTGATCAATACCTTGTTTCCCTGGCCTTCCAAGCTTTTGAAGGTCTCTTCCAATCTATGTCTTCTGAAGTTGACCTTGATAAGTTCACCAAGTGTCTTGATGTCATTTTTGACTTAAAGCCACCAGTAAACGATACTCATTTGGCTGCCAGTTGGTTGGCTGTTGTTGCTAAGGCATTGGAAAGCTTTGCCAAGTTGCTGCCTCTGCAATGTTTGGCTAGAGTTGCCCTTGTTGCACCAATTGTTGCTCTGTTCTTGGCGCTGGAGCTGAAGGACATCTACGTCTCTGCATCTCAATGTTTAATTGCAATTGTCAGTGAATCTATCTCAGATGAACAATTAGTCAACTATGAAGATGAATCATTGGAAGAAACTATTACTTTCTTAGCTGAATTCACCGAAAAAGAACTTCTTTCCATCAAGTACCAACATGCTACCCAAGAAATTTTGGAATTCGTTACTGCTACTCTTCTTAAGTTGAGAACAAGAGCTAACCCAGACTTCCTCAATGTCATCCAATTGGTTGGTGATTGGAGAACAAATGAAAGAGCCTCATTCCCAAACAAGGCTGCTGAAGATGTCTTGTCTGCTGCCATTTCCACCTTGGGTCCTGATGTCGTTTTGTCAGTTCTCCCATTGAACTTGGCCGGTGAAAGTGGTCCAGGACGTGCTTGGTTGTTGCCTCTTCTCAGAGACAATGTTAGATTTGCTAACCTTAACTTCTTCAAGTCTAACATTCTCCCTCTTGTTGAAGTCTATCAAGGCAAAATTAACCCTAAGGAAGAAACTATGCACAACAAGATTTTCCAAACTATTATTGACCAAGTTTGGTCTTTGTTGCCACATTTCTGTGACCTCCCTAAGGATTTAACCAAGGCATTTGATGACCAATTTGCTGCCCAATTATCCGATTTGATGTACAGTAACATTGATTTGAGAGTTCCAATTTGTCATGCCTTAAAGTTATTAGTTGAATCCAATATTGCCTACAGTGAAGGTGCCCTTGCTGATGACTTGTTGATGCAACAAGAATTCCCAATAGAACAAAGTAAGCTCAACTTGGCTCACTTGGCTTCTAAGGCTGCTAACATCTTGTCTGTTTTGTTCAACGTTTTCCTGTCTACTGTACCTGGTTCCCGTGGTTTCGTTTTGGAAACCATTGATGCTTATTTACAAGTCATTCCAAAGACTGACTTGGAAAACACTTTTAACAAGGTTTGTGGATTATTAAAGAATGCTATGGACGAAGAAGCTAAGCAAACTACCCAAGCTGCTCCTAAGTCTGACTCGGTTAAACTTTCTGCCACCATGATGGACTTGATCGTTGCCATGGCCAAGTATGTTCCTGAAACTTCCCACAATGCTCTCTTCTCTATCTTTTCTGCAACTGTTGCTCTTCCTAAGGATGCTTTACTTCAAAAGAGATCTTACAGAATTATCACTAAGATTGTTGAAACTGATGGCGGTAAGGAATCTGTTGTTCGCTTCTTGGGTGACATTGAACAAGTTCTTGTCAGTACTACTGAAACCACTCATAACTCAGCTAGAGCTTCGAGATTGGCTGCTATTCATGCCGTTTTAGATCTCCTTCCTAACACCGATCTTCACTTCATCCCAGCTGTCTTGCAAGAAATTATCATGTCTACTAAGGACGTTAACGAAAAGACTCGTGAATTGTCATACCAAATTTTGATTCAAATGGGTCACAAGATGAGCCAAGGTGGAATTGTTGAAAACGGAAAGGTTCCTGGTTTTGACCCTGAAACTCCTTCTAGTGAAGCTTCTTTGACTGAATTTTTCACTATGGTGAGTGCTGGTTTAGCTGCTCAAACTCCTCATATGATTTCTGCCACTATCACTGCTGTTTCTTGTTTGGTCTTTGAATTCAAAGATCAATTGGACTCTGCCGTCTTACTTGAAATTGCCCTGACTGTCGAACTTTTCTTGACCCATAATTCTAGAGAAATTGCCAAGTCCGCTATTGGTTTCGTTAAGGTTGAAGTCTTGTCTCTTCCAGAAGACATTGTGAGAGCTAACTTAAACGAACTTCTTGCAAAGTTAATGAGATGGTCTCATGAACACAAGGGTCATTTCAAGTCCAAGGTTAAGCATATTTTGGAAAGATTGATTCGTAAGTTTGGTGTTGAAGTAGTTGAACAAGCTATTCCTGAAGAAGATCGTAAATTGGTCGCAAACATCAAGAAGAGCAGAAACAGAGCTAAGAGAAAGGAAGAAGAAGAAGAAGCTGGTGCTTCAACCGCCACTGGTACTTCATCTTCGAAGTTCACTTCTGCCTACGAAGAAGCTTTGTATGATTCTGATGACTCTGATGATGAAGACGAAGCCCCATCTGCATCTTCTGGTTCTTCCAAGAAGGCCAACCAGTTTATTATGGAATCTGCTGATGAACCACTTAATTTGTTGGATCGTCAAGCTATGGCTCACATTTCTTCTTCCAAGCCTAAGAAGTTCGGTAAGAAGGACCTTGCTTCTAAAACTACAGTTAAGGATGGTAAGTTCGTCTTTAGAGAAGGCAAAGATGAAGATCCATTGGCAAACAAGGGTTCTGGTATTGATGCATATGTTGATGCTATTAAGCAAGCACCTGTGAGAGGTCAAAGAAACAAGTTGAAGTACAAGAATTCCAAGACCGAAGACGACTGGTCAGACTCGGAAGGAGAAGAAGAAAAATCTTCCAAGAAGAACAAGGGAGGAAAGAAATTTGTCAACAAGTCCAAGATTTCCAAACCACAACCAAAGTTCAAGGCAAGAAAGAAGCTTTAAGATTGATAGTGAAAAAAGAATTAAGCATTACCCTGTATAGTATATTAGAATTATCGTTTATTTGACTGTAAAAATTACATATTCACTCTTGACTAGAGAGGACTAATAAATATTTACCTTAATGAGGCAGACTTAGTCTTCCATTGGAAAGAATTGCATAGGGTAGGAATATGAAATGAAGTATAAGTGTTCCATAAATTAATCTATTAAGCCCTCGGAGTTACATTCCATTAAATTTTGATCACTTGCTTTCATACAAAAGCTGCCACTTAATTGAAGCAATCTAAATAGAACCCGATTACACAGAGTACTATATTTTATGCAACTTTTATCAATGAATGTTTTTTTGTTTCTTTTTTTCTTCATACGATGTTTATTATCCTATAATATATCTATATAATTGTTGGTCATATTGGATAATATTTTTCTCTTGTATATCCACTTCATAGTTGCCATATAATAAACCTTTTGAGCAAGAGGAAAAAGTGTGAACTTTGAAAACCGCTTGCAAGTTATGTCATAACGGTTTATTTAATTGTTAATTTAAACAACGCAACCCAGGCTGTGATATCTCTAATCGTTAAGGTTGTCCTTAACGCTGGTGAAATCTGTCGTTGTTCTCGAAAGAAACGATGGATAGCTTGGAGGTAACTATTTACATTTAAAGATTGTAGAATTGATACTGTCGAGTTTGCAACTATCTAATTTAATCAGTATTTTTTTTTTTCATTCATCAGTAGGTTGAGTGTGTCACGTGCTTTGGTCGTGCGCGCACCATTTTGATTGTCTTCCTTCTAGGCATGGAAAACTCAAATCAATATTTCACAAAGCAAACATCCGTGATAGTTTAGTGGCTAGAATTACCGCTTGTCGCGTGGTAGACCGGGGTTCAATTCCCCGTCGCGGAGATTTTCTTGCGCAAATGGTTTAGTGGTAAAATCCAACGTTGCCATCGTTGGGCCCCCGGTTCGATTCCGGGTTTGCGCATTTTTTTTTGCTTTTACTTCTTATATATTAATGATTGAAGGATGTATCTACATCTCTAACATTGACTTTAACTGCCACTTATTAATAGTGTGTTATTTTTTGATTTCAGTTGCATTTCGGTTAATTAGTGCAACAAAGATATTTGCATTCAAATAAAATGAGAAAAAGAAAACACAAATGGAATTTTGGTTGCAAAATCTCACAGAATACTCTAAATATAATATAAATCACATGTCTACGGCAATATCAAATATCCATTCTAATATTCTATTATAATGTCAATATATTCAAGTTCTCTGGAAAATTCGTTGAAAACATTCCCCAATAAATCCTTCCGAACTATTGTTGATACATCCTTTTTATTTGCAAAGTTGACTTCAATTGCGGATGATTCACCATATACGTATATTCAGTCTTGTAAAGTGATAGGTATAGTAGATGAAATTCTTACACAGATTAAGTATTTACAGCATGATCTTAGCACATATAGTGACCATTCATGCAAGAAAATTTATGGTAGAGTTATCTCACAAGTCATTATTGAGTCATTTCTTAATGGGTGTATATTAGAAATGTATTCGGACGAAATCCCAAACACAATATTGAAAAGTTTTGTCAAGGTGACTAAAGCTTTGTTCAATTCAGCAAGTGGAAATAATTGTGAGGAAGATGATTGTAATCTTATAGTTGAAATATTAGAGAAACTATACATCATATCCGCTCAACATCCCAATGCTGGAGAAATTATTTCCTTAGAACAGCCTCTGAATCCGATACCAAAGTATGACTATGTGATTCTGTCGACCCTTTCCATGTATTGTCCAAATGTGTATGTCCTTGAATTCCTATGTGAAAAGTATTTGGCTGCGAATTCTCCTTATCGAGATCGCAAATTAGGTTATGCCAAAAGCTACTTGACACAATGGCATGGTTTAGTCTCCCATCCGGAGCAGGTTAAAAAGAGATCTCTTACCAAAGAAGGCGAGGTGTCCCAATTAGAAGATATTAAAAGAAAATTTCTTGAAGTTCCGCTTACAAAGGGATCATGTCTTTTGGTACAATTGATAAATCGGATTATCATTTGCTTGGGAGATTTCGAAACAGCGAATTTGACAAAAGTACCTGTGAATGAGCCTGAAACGGTTCCCAATCCTGTTTCTTTAAACTCGGGCACCATCATCGTGACTCCATTGTTAAACAAGGACTTGATACCATTTGATGAACCTTATTGGATGAAAATAATTGGTGAGAATAATTGTACGTCCAGATTGTATGCACATAAACAACCCAGGACATTAATCAATGGCACTGACAATGCTAAAGCGTCTAAGTTTGAAAAGGCCCTTAAACCCACTGACTCCTTTTCAAAATTGAATATCACAGAAATGAATACTAAACCTAAACCAGTAACTTCAACCACATCTCCTAGTATGCTTATTAACGACAATACAAATGCAGTTGGACTTTTTAGGATTTTCAGTATGAATTTCTTAAAGAATAAGTTCAAATTCAAATGGTGGGGTTAACATTCTTTCTACAACAAAATAAAATAAAGTATGTTCCTTAATATCAATTTATTCTTTTTATATATACAAGGCGGAAACGTTATAATATCCGCATGCTAGGGGGTTGGTTGGACGCACTAATTGCGATAGTTTTGGGGAGAAGAAGTGAAAAGGCTCGCTTATCTTTCTCTGACTCTTTCTTGTGGTTCTTCGAAAACAACCTTTGGGCCCTGTACTTGAGGCTTTGGAATTTGTTGTGTCAACTTGGAAGGCTTTGGCCATTGTTCTGGCAATAAACCGGCTCTTTTGAATAAAAATCCTACACGGTCGGAGGTTTCTGCTCCTACACCTAACCAGTATCTTGCTCTATCAAAGTCAAGTTGGATATCTTTGTATGGTTTCACGCCATTCTTAATTTCTTCTGGAGATAATGGCACTGGGACTGGGTTGTATGTTCCCAAGACTTCTATTGGTAACTTATCACGGGCGGTACGCTTTTGAGCTACAACAATGTTATACATGGGTTGGAACTTTCTCCCGAAACGGGATAATCTGATTGTGATGGACATTATAGCAAGTTATGATATCTTCAAATGGGTTAGATTATGGTTAGATTCTTTGTTCGAGACTTTTTTTTCAATTACCATAAATTTTCATGGAGATCTTTTTTTGGAGCGCACACGACTGAAGTTACAGTATATTCTTGCAATGCATTACTGATACATATGACCAGATGAATGGTATTCTAAATATATCAATACAAAGATAAGTCTTTAGTTATCATAGTTGGAGAGTTTTGGTAAGGATTCAAAAAAACACCAATAAAAGATTTTGAAAGATGTTACAATGAATTTATATATCTGGAAAGGAGATTGGTGTTCCTACACACAACACAGAAGATGATCTTGTAGTCACTTACGAAGATTAGCATTTCAACGATGTACTATAATACTTCTTATATCGAAAGAAAAAAACTACAGTTATCATTTGAAGAATAACGTTTTTATCTAAACTATACTATGAATTAAACTAATAACTCGGCGCTTAGTCGAACAAACCGAATCCCATGTCGTCATCGGATTCATCCTTTTCTTCTTCAGCGGCTTCTTCAGCTGGAGCAGCTTCAGAGGAGGCGGCAGCGGCAGCTGGGGCAGCAGCAGCGTAAGCTTCTGGGTTAGCCAATCTGTCCTTGATGGCTTCGGAACCTTCGAAGGTGTAGTCAGTGGCAATAGAAAGAGCCAAGACGTTCTTGTAGTGGTTAACAACAGAGTGACCAACAGATGGCAAGGTTGGGTAACCAACAGCCAAGGAGATGGAAGCAATGACGTTAATGGCGGAAACGAAGTGACCGACCAATTCATCGTCAGAGATATCCAAGATGGAAGATGGGAAGACTTGACCGTTGTCGTAAACTTGGTCAACAGTCAAACCGTAGGTGAAAGGAGAGATGTTCAACATGTTCAACAAGGTGGCTTCAGATGGACCAACCTTGGTGTCCTTTTCGACAACCTTGACATCGGAAACGATTTCAATGGTACCTCTGGCAATCTTGGTTGGGACACCAAGAGCTTGGAAGAAAGAGGTCTTACCTGGTTCCATACCAGTGTTACCGGCTGGAATCCAGACATCCAATGGAGCAACGGCACCGGCTCTGGCTGGAGCGGCAACAACGTTGGAGACAATGGTGTCTCTGATGGTCTTCAAGTCAGCGTTGGTGAAAATGAAACCAACGTTACCCTTGATGAAAGGCAACAACTTTTCGTAGTCTGGGAGGTCGGCAAGGAATCCTCTCAAGGCTCTTCTGACCATGGTGTTCTTACCCATCAAGACGACGGCGTCACCTCTCAAAGCCTTTCTGATTTCGTGCATTTGTTGGGAGGAGACATTGTCAACACCAACAACGAAGATAGACTTGTATTCTTCTAACAATTCTCTCAACTTAGAGAAGTATTGAGCTTTCTTTTCACGGATACCACCCATTTCGACTTATTATATATGAACTATTGACGATAGGAAATTTAATGGTTCTACAAAGAAGAAAGTAGAAATAGTTTAAAAATGATTTTGGTTGTTGAAAAAAAAAAGTGAGAGGGTTTGGTGAAAATTTTCGAAAAAAGTTTCAGCCCTAATTATCATGTGACATGAATACATGCAGGTCCCGACTATTTTATGATACACAAAGAGAAAGGGATTAGATAATGTATATTGGTAATTGTAAAATGATTAATGGAAAGCAATATACATAGTGACAATGAATAATTAAATCAATTGATTGTTTGGTATATAGTGGGATGATTTTAATTTTGTTCGAAATACCAATTTAACTAAATTTAAGTAAATGTAGATATATAAATATAATATTTGACATTCCAAATCACGTGATCACATGATTTATCGAAGTTGCAACCATCAAGACCTATTCTAGACATACCTACACATTTGTTTTAAATCATTATGTCTTGATTCTACAATGTTTATTTTATATATGTATTTTATTCCTTGTTTTGTTTTCGATATCTTAAGCAAATCTTTACTTTTAAATGTTCATGTTTTCGTAACCCGAGTTTACAAAACTGTACCTCAAGTAATGTTGCCAAATGTCTTCTAACTTTTCGTGCTCCTTATTCTTCTTCTTCTTCTTCTTATCCTTATTTTTCTTATTCTTCTTACCTTTAATTTTCGATATTCTTTCCTCCGATGCATCCTTGACTGGCTTACCTAACTTTCTTCCAAATGCCAACCATTCATCGACAGTCAAGTTTTCCATTTCATACACACTATCATCTGTTTGGTATTCTATTTCGTATTTGAATTCCTTTTCTCCCTTATTGATAGACTTTAAGTCTGCATAATACAGAACATATCTTTCAGGTGTGAAAAGTTGTGGAGTATATGCTGGGCCCAATGGTAAACCCTTTGGCATTTTAGGTGGGATGGTTTTATCCTTCTTGAAAATGTCCATTTGATCTTTAAATGTGGAATACTTAGGTTCTGGTTCATCTTCTTGCTCACCAATTTGTTCAATCAATGTATCAAGTCCAACAAAAAATTCATCCCATGGTGCATATTCAATTTTGACTTCATAAGCAGAATTTAAGTCAGAGATATTGTACTCCCATACCCTTAATCCAGAATTAAATGTTGGAACTACACTAGCGGAAACATGTGCAATGGAATACCGCTCAGAGGATACACCACTCTTCTTCTTACCTTTGATCGTAGCGTAAAGTGTTTCTCTAAGAGTATCAAGGTAATTGACTTTACCATGGGGAACACCTCCTTGTATATCTACTGGTGGGGCTAAAAAGGAGATACCCTCACCGGTTTGAATAGGGACATCGTTAAGTGAATAATGATCTTCAAGTGATAAATCTTCATTATCAGATTCAAGAACTTCATCATCAGAATCGTGGCCCTCAATGTCAAACATGTTGTTATCAACCATTTCTTGTAACAGATACTTCTCCTTCAAACTCTTGTATGCCGCCTTACTATCCAAGGGGATGAAATGATCGATGTTCATATGTCCATATAACCCTCCAATAATGATATCACGATATTCATGAGTCCAAATGATGTACTTTCTTAAACACGAAATATCATAATTTTTTTCATTAGGAGGAACATGACCGGAAAGCCATACCTTCATATTTCTTTGTCTTAATTCCTTTAAAACATAACTCAACCATTCAAACAACTTATACCCAGGTTCCTTCTTGCTGTCACAGTTATCTACCAAGGGGTTGGATTGGAACCAATACAATGTGTTGATGGACAATACTGCCAATTGTCCTGGAATCACTTCTTGAAAGAAATAAGCCCCACGATTGAAAACATGCAATTGTGACTGAGGAATGAATGGGGCCCAGATCTTGAATAATTCTCTAGTTTGTAAAGTTGGACCTGGGGCAAACAAATTATGTGGATAGACATCGTTATTACCCAATGATGGCACCAAGTCTACAAGCATAGCCCTAGGATCATCTGGGTTGTCGTTATTCTTGAATGTAGTGTACATCAAGTCGCTGACTTGTTGGTTCAATTCAAAGATATTCATTTCAGTTCTTGGGAACCTTCTATCATTATCGTGTCTAACATTATCCCCAGTCCAGATAATGAAGTCGATTTTGTCTTTCAAATTATCCGAAACCCACTTAATTGTAGCTTCCATGAGTGCAAATGGAGAGTCACAACCTCCAACAGCATCTCCGTATTTCCCTGCGGAACCTTTGCCCCCATGACATAATCCATCTTCCACATTACTTCCCTCTTTATAGTAAGGGTCTGGGTGGATGTCGGTAATGTGAAGGAAACGGCCGTGGACCACTCGTTTAAATCCATTTGCATCTCTGACCACTGCTGCAGGCTTTGGAGTAAGTCCGAGCTTGGTAAGGTTTGCATTGGCCTCGTCAGAAAGAGGTAACGACTCTACCGAGTACGACAGATAGGAGATTGGCTTGGCGTTTTCAATAACATAAGATTTACCATAGTAACCAAATAATAAAACTAAAGATAGACACACTGGAAGTAGAAGTAGAAGTCGTAAGTGGTGCAGTTGTTTCAGCATCGAGCTTCCCATATCTGCACTTGTACCTGGTAGTAAGGTATTTTATTTATAAACTTGATATGACCAGAAAAAAGTGAATGAACCTGTATGGGGAGGTGCCCCATTGGGGTTGTGCATAATGTTCACTCCCACGTTTTACGCAAGCCACATACAGGAACTTCTATACATAGGTATCGTAAGATGTTTACAGATATAGTCACAAGATAAGATAAGTATGTAAAGACTGAGAGTATTAAAGGATCCAGGGGAAAGAAACCAATAAGTAGCGAAAATTGTGAAATTACTTATGAGAAGGAATAGACTGGAAAGTCGGTATTGTGTATCCAAAATTGCTATTTTTGGACCTTCTTCGTACATATCAAGTAAGAGAGATTAGTAATTAAAACTTGAAATGGGTCGAAGCTACTGATATAGATATATAAATCCAAAGGGAGTAAGAGCTCTTTGTATGGAAAGGATGAATTTGACCTACTTTTATAGTCCTTGTATGAGACGACGCCAATGTGCAGTACATAGATAAACTACTATAAGAGATCATTCTCTCAAGATAACATTTACGTTTTCTTTTCTAATTATTCACAAACTTGACTCATATGGATGTCAGACGATAGCCTTACAGATGACTCCGAAGAGTTAATTCAAATAAAACATGAGGTGAAACCATCTTTTCAATCGACATTTACACCTTCATCTGATTCATGGGTTGATAAATATTCACCAAAATCGGTAAATGATATATGTATACACCCTAGAAAGCTAGCAGATGTAAGGAAAGTCCTACTGACAATGATAGAGGAGAATGGAACCAACAGATGTCCCCGATTACTCGTCCTCTATGGCCCATCTGGATCTTCCAAATCCACCACTGTAAAATTACTTGTCAATGAATTGATCAATCATCAGTCCAATTCACTGTCATATATTGAGTATCATGATCCAACTCAGTTCCCAGAATTCTTGAATGATGCCAAATACAAAACTGGGGTGAACCTTAGCGCAGTTATCGTGGAAGAATATCCCAATGTATTCCACGAGGAGACTCATCGGAGGTTTCAAGATGCCATTTATGAATGGATCCATACTGAAGATCAATCACTCCCACCTCTTGTGATATGTGTCACAGAAGTGGAGATGAAAGATGATGAACATGGGCTTGAGTTTTTCAATATCCATAATAATCTTGTAGTTGATACACTTTTAGGTAAGAGGATCTCCAACAATGAAAATGTCACAACCATCAAGTTCAATCCTATAGCCATGACATATATCAAAAAGACTTTAACTCTGATAATCAGACATGAGCTGAAGGTGTTCAACAAAATCCCCAAGCTGGAAGTGGGTCAATTTATTGGGAACATCAGTAAATGTGGGGATATAAGGTCAGCCATTTCCAACTTGGAATTCTGGGCTACTTATCGAGCTAAACATGGGATGGAGGCCAATGAGCTGATATTGCAGCTCAGTTCTGGTAAAGAGGTGCAAATAAACTTATTCCACGCAATTGGGAAAATAGTTTATGGTAGTGAGAGTAATGTGGACGACGAAGAATTTAGTGCCGATTATAAAACCGTGGAAGATGTGTTGCATAATTATGGATCCAATAGTTTATTCCAATTATCATTACTTGAAAATTATGGGGTATTTAATGGGGGGAATTTTGGGATAGATCATGCCAGTAAAATCATCGACAATCTTAGTATTGGGGATGTATTGTTTCGAGGAGGAGTGATCGAGGGAAGAGATATAGGGATTAGAGGTACCAGAACGAATTTGCGCAATTTGGGGCAACATCATCACCAGCCTCAAGGGAAGAGAGGCCGTGGTGGGGGAGGTGGTGGAGGGCTGTCGGTGAAATTCCCAAGCCATTTTAGAATTATTCGAGAATATAATCGGATAAATTCAGAGGTAAGAGAGTATCAACGGTATGTCAAGCTGAGTGTGTCATTCCATGATTTGAACCAAATTCATGGGTTTTATGAGCCTCGAATTTATAATTCAACAAGGTATAAAATGATCCACAATCCAAACAAGAGGCTCAATTATGGAAGATTAGGAGGGTCATTTAAACAAATCCTTCCCAGCGAAGAACTCCCTATTTTGGATAACGAAGAGATGTCAAGGGTACACGATCAATATAGAGAAGATATCCAACAAATGCAAATGAAGGAAGACAGTGATGATGAAGGTGAGTTGAGCGATCCAATAGAAGATTCCGAGATTGACTCAGATGATGATGAAGGAGTATTTGACGATTCAATTGCCAATGAAGATCTCGACAAGATATTGTCACAAAAAAGTCAATTTGACGTTGTTAATAGTGATGACGATTTCCTGTCGGATGACGAGTTGGAGGACCTCATAAAGAGAAGAAAGCTTTAAAATATAAGGTTAAATTATAGAGTATAGAGATAAAAAGATTTAAATTCTAAAATTTGTATTCATTCTACACATAAAACTCCTTCTATAGCAATCTTTTTCTATTAATATTAATTTACACAGCTGTAGCGTTTTCGAAGAACTTAGGGTCTTCTTCAATAGACTCCTTGATGATATCCAAACCCCCTTGAAGTTCACCGTTCATGTACAATTGTGGGAAAGTTGGCCAATCAGAAAAGACCTTGAGACCCAGTCTGACGGCGTCATCCTTGAGAATATCAAAGAAACCAAATCTAACTTGGTGTTCACGGAGAATAGCCACTAATTGACGAGAGAAGCCACATTGTGGGGCTGATGGAGATCCCTTCATGAAAAGCATAACTGGAGCAGCGGAGACAAGTTTAGTGAGTCTAGCATTGAGTTCTTCTTCAGATTCTTCCTTTGGTTCAGTAGCAGCTGGGGCAGCTGGAGTAGAGGTGGCATCCAGAGACCCAGTGGAGGAGGACTCGGCCTTAGTTTCGACCTTGTTGTCGGCTTTACCAGAAAACTCATCAATAGCGGCAACAAGTTTCTTTGGATCAGCACCAGATAATTCCTTCAATATAGTTGAGTTTTTAACAAGAACAAAGTATGGAACTGCGGAAACTTCGAAAAGCTCGGTGACTTCTACATGGTCATCAGCATTTACAGATATGAAGAGAGCTTCCGGGTGTGCAGCTGCCAAAGTCTTAAAGACCAAGGCCATCTGTTGGCAAGGACCAGCCCATGGGGTGTGGAAATAGATAGCGATCAACTTGGAAGATTCATCCTTAGTAAGTTGAGCAAACTGTTCGTCAGATTCTATTTCAATAACTGACATTTTCGTATAATGGGTTAATTATCAGCAAAGATTAGTAATTGTTAAATAATTTGTGGAAATCATATTGAGGAGGATAAAAAAGATATGAGTTATAATCACGTGCCAGAATCACGTGATGCTCTAGTTTATTTAATTGACAAGTTATCTTTACACAATCTTCATCTTTTATAATTGTTATTATATAGGTGATCCTATATATTAAGATATTGCACATCTATTTATGACAAAGAGTTTTATTAGTGTCTATTTAAATATTTTTTTTTATCATCTCTTTAATCTTGTAGCCACACATTGAGTAAAACAAGGTATACAGGAATATATATAGCATTAATGTTCGATTGAATAATACCTTCAACGATCATCTAGATCTATTGAAAATATTGACTTCATTTATATTCCAGTGATTATATATCATAACTACAACTTCTTGGACTTCTTCTTAACGCCACTGACATTAGAGACACCAGATGCAGTACCAACGCTTCCAGTGTTGATAGATTGTTCTTCAACCTTCTTTTCAGTAGATACTCCTTCAACACCCTCCTCCTTCTTCTTCTTCTCATCCAACTCCTTCTGTTCATCCTTAACCCTTTGCAACTCTCCAATAAACCAAACAACGGTTCCATATAACAAACATGCAATGACTAAAAGATTGACAAAATGAATTGATCTGCTAAAGAAAATGAGTACAATGAGTGAAATAATAAGCATGATAAATGAGGCATGTGTTGCCTTAATCAATGCAGGGGTAGTCCCTGGAGTGAATATAGATTCCCATAATTCCACAAAAAATGATGCCATCTTTATTTATTCTTCTTCTATGTATATGAAATGTGTATATGATTCACTTCTCTCCGTGTCTATTTCAAAAACTATAATAATCGAGCGCCAGTGTGCGTGTGCGCGCTCGCGCCCACTCCGCACACATCCACTATCTTCTCTCAATCTTACTTTGAATGGCAAGACGAAAAAAAAAAAAAAAGAAAAAAATTAATCCACATTTCCTGCATACCACCACTAGCTTACATAACCACTTACCAAATCAAAAAATCATCAACCACCCACCACGACTTTCATTAAAACTTGTACAGATAAATCGTAATACATTAAATGAATTACAAATTAAATTATACAACAGATAATTTTTAAAGAAGAAACTCATATATAACACAAATTCACAATGGTTCCCAGCGACGACTCGTTTATCAGCGAAGAAGAAGAAGAATTCTGGTATGTATTAACTTTACAAACACAAACTATTAACCTATTTTTTTTCCAATATGTGATTGATCTGATGGCAAATCTACATTAAAAGTGACATACTAACAATTATACATAGCCCTCTTTGTGTAGAGGAAATGGATATTTCCGATAAGAATTTTAAACCATGTCCATGTGGTTATCAAATCTGTCAGTTTTGTTACAATAATATTCGCCAAAATCCCGAATTAAATGGTAGATGTCCAGCATGTAGAAGACTTTATGATGACGAAAGTGTCGAATACAAGTCTATCAGTGCCGAGGAATACCGTTTACAACAATCCAGACGTGAAAAGAGAGAAAGAGAAAAGAAACAACGTGAAAAGGAGAAGAAAGAAAATGAAATGGCAAACAAGAAACACTTGGCAGGTTTACGTGTGGTCCAAAAGAATTTAGTATATGTCACAGGTCTCAATCCTCCGTGTAGTCCAGATGATTTACACTCAGTTTTAAGATCCGATAAATACTTTGGCCAATATGGTAAAATCTCCAAAATCGTCATCAATAAGAAGTCTCCTACTGGACCTACCCCAGGAGCCCCCATGGCTTCTTCCTCTGTAGGGGCAACACAACATCACCACCTGAACCCTGGATTGGTGGTCTACGTGACGTTTGCTCGTAAGGAAGACGCATTGAAATGTATCAATGAATTAGATGGATCTTTATGTGATGGAAGAATCTTGAGGGCCGCTCATGGTACAACTAAATATTGTCTGTCATATTTGAGAGGTCATCCTTGTCCTAACCCTAATTGTATGTTTTTGCATGAACCAGGTGAAGAAGCAGACTCCTACACAAGAAAGGATTTGTCTACCCAACAAGGAATCAAGATGGGTATGATGGGTATGAGCGGTGGCAACGGTGGAATTAGCTCCGTTTCTGGTGTACCTACCTCCTCTAGTGCCAGAACTGGCTCTTCATCAAATGGGAACGCATACCATTCAGATCATACTAGTCAAAATGACTACTCTGGTGAAGAGGAGGAACATCACTTCAGTACTTCTGAAGAGGAACACCATCTTCAACAACACCAACAACAACTTCATCAACAACTCCAATCTGACAGTGCCGGGTTGTCATCCCAACCAAATGTGCCTATACTCCCAGCCACTGCTCATTGGGCAAAGGGTACCTCTTCTGCTAGTGTATCACCTGCAGTCAACAACAATGCTGCTTTGGCCAATGCCGCTGCTTTCCCAACTCTTGGAGAAATTTTCAAGGAGCAACAAAAGCAAGCTCAAAGTAAGCCAAAGATGAAGTCTTCGAAGTCCACAAAGGATAACATTTTACTTCCAGATGATATCGACATTGACGATGATTCTGCTATCCAATTTATTGAAGATACTACAAGACATTTGAAGAATCTTTCAGAAAAGAAGGAAAAGTTGGCTGTTCATTTCAAGAAATTAAGCAATTCTACTTCAGGAAGAACACTTCCACTCTTTGCATTCAACAAAAGTTTTGAATATGCGAATAACACCAAGCTCGATGAAGAGAAATTAATTGCTAGACAAGTAATCGAAAGATTTATCTTGAGACCAATTAAGAACTATCACTTAGCATACCAGAACCACCCAATCAGTCAACAGCAAATATTATTGCAACAGCAAGCACAACTTCAACAACAACAGGCGCAACAACAAGCACAACAAACCCCTTCAATCCAAGCTGCTCAGTTGCAACAATTGCAATTGGAGCAACAGAAGAGATTGTTGGAACAACAGCAGCAACAGCACCAAGGTACTCCGATTAACTCACATCCTGCCTTGAATGAAGAGCAATCACACCAACAACACTTGTTATTGCAACAATTGCAACAACAACAACAGCAGCAACAACAACTCCAATACCAGCAACAGCAACAACAACAGCAACAACAACAGCAACTCCAATACTCACAAGCCCAACTCAACATGTTGAAGCATAACGAGAGATCATCTAATGCTACCCCACCCCCACCAGGATTGTTCTCTGGAAACAAACAAGCTCCACCCCCTCCAGTTCAACAAGTCCCACAAGCTTCTAACCCTTCATCATCCTCTCAATTGTTAACTCAATTGATGAATGGCAAAAAGTAAACCAATTGTATAATTATTAATTCGCATTTTTAACGTCTATTCGTTCTATGTACAAGTAGAATTTTTGATATATGTATATATATATGTAGAGAGGAAGTATTACAACTTCTAGTTTCCAACCACAGAGTCACATCTAACACATAACTCGTTTTCGACTGGCGCAACAAACTTCCAACATCTTGGACACTTGTGTGAGTCTGAACGAGAAACACTGATTTTCACATTCTCTCCGTCGATATCAGACGTAGCTGTAGTTTCCGGTGCTTCAGTGGAACCATTGATAGTAACTTTAGACACGAGGAAGTAGTCTTCAAGGAACTCGCTATGTGATAATAATATTTTCCCAATACCAGAGTCGGTGGACACTTCCAAATTGACTTGAAGTTCAAGGTTACTTTTAAGAGAACCGGCTTGACGAAGAACCTCTAAACTCTTATAAAGAGAGTTCTTTATTTCCCATATTTTATTGAATTCATCTTCAACCTTAGCATTTGAGTATTCTTTAGGAAGCTTGTAGAAAGAATCCCAGTCCTTCATGAAAGGACTTTCGGATCCACCAGTAAAGTCCTGTGAACAAGTTTCCCATACCTCTTGAGTGACCAAAGGTTGAATTGGTGCCAAAATTCCAATCTGTGTTCTAAGGAGAACTTCAAGCACAGTTTGAATACTTCTTCTTTTGTGAGAGTTCTTGGCGTCGGTATAGAGACTATCCTTGGAGATATCAAAATATAAAGAACTGAGATCGGTGCTTACAAAGTGATTAATGTCTTTCACGACTCTTTGGAAATTATGCTCTTGGTAATACGTTGTGCATGCCTCTTGCAATTTGACGAGTTTTGACAATACGTATTTATCAAGAGGGTTAAGTTGGTCATATTGAACACCATCCGTGGCTCTATTGAATTCGTTCAAGTTACCCAAAAGATACTTGAGAGTAATTCTAATCTTTTTCAAATTTTCAAAGACTCTGGTTAACACTTCAGTTGTGACATTAACATCCAGAGTGTAATTTGACGAGGCAACCCAAAGACGTAAACCATCAACACTCAAGGCTGGCAAGAAAGGTTTCCCACCACCAGACATAGCATGAACAGGTGATATGATGTTCCCCTTAGACTTGGACATTTTATCATTCTTAGAATCAAGTGTGAAACCATGAGTGATAATTTCTTTAAAAGGTGCAACTGGTTTGAAATCAGTACCATTTACACCTGATGCAATAATTTTGTTCAAAAGTGAGGATTGAAACCACCCACGATGTTGATCAGACCCTTCGAGATAGACATCAGCTTGCTCTTGTTCCATAGTTGTCCATGAAGTACCAGAGTCAAACCAAACATCCATAGTATCCAGACCTTTCACGTATCTGGTGCCATCAATGCCTTCGGGTAACCATCTTGAAATATCCGATTCTACTTCAAACCATTCATCGGTACCTAAAACATCCATTCTCTCGATGATATGGTCCATGATTGTTTCAAAGTTCTCGATGGGTTCATTAGTTTCGCGCTCGTAAACAATGGGCAATGGAACACCCCAAACTCTTTGTCTAGAGATACACCATTCATTACGGTTGTTAACGAACAGAAGAAGTCTGTTCTTACCCGATTCTGGGAAGAATTTGACATCTTCCAAAGACTTCACAGCAGTTTCCTTGATCTTATCAACATTGATAAACCATTGTGGGGTTGCTCTTTGAATAACAGGCTTATTGGATCTCCAATCGTATGGGTAAGAATGCTTAAATTTCTTATTTACATGGAAAATCATATCATTTTCACGATAAAGTGTAATGATCTTCCATATAGAGTCACTAAGGTGTAAGCCCTTCAAGAATTGTAACTCTTGAGGAATTCCAACACCGTGAAATTTACCCTTACCATCAACAGATGAAATGATTTCAAGATTATGTTTCTTACCGATAAGATAATCATCACCACCATGGGCAGGAGCTGTATGGACCAACCCGGTACCTGCACTAGAAGTGACATGATCCCCATGTAGAATAGGATACGAACTTCCTTGACTGAGTGGGTTAGAATATTGCATACCTAAAAGTTTGTCACCAGTAAACGACAAACCTTCCAATTTCACATATTCATCGTTCAACTTTAAAAGAGATTCACAAAGTTCATCTGCTACAACTATATGTTCTCCGGTAGTCTCATTGTGCAAAACAGTGTAATCAACATCAGTATTGACACAAATGGCCTTATTGGCAGGTAAAGTCCATGGAGTCGAGGTCCAGATAAGTAACTTGACGTTTGAGAGTCCCAGAAGTGGACCCATGGGATCCTTTATAGGATACTTAACGTGAACAGCCACCGAATGGTGATTGTTGTTATATTCCAATTCGGCTTCAGCTAAAGCAGTTTCGGTTTCAGTTCCCCACCATACTGGTTTCTGTTGACGGGAAAGAAGTCCATTTTTAACCAATTTCCCAAAGACTTTCAACTGGTCAATTTCGTACTTATGATCCATAGTTACATAAGGCTTTGTAAAATCGGTCATAACTGCAAATTGAGTAAATTGTTCTCGTTGTTTGTTGATCATATACAGAGCCAAATCACGACACAGTTTTCTAATTTCTTTAGCACTGAGTTGCTTATCCGACTTTGTGATAGCCTTCATTTCAATGGGAAGCCCATGACAATCCCACCCGGGTTGATATACAACTTTTGCGCCATTATGGATCAATTCAAATCTATTGACAATATCCTTGGTGATTTTATTCAATGCGTGTCCTAAATGGAGATCACCATTTGCATATGGAGGTCCATCAAGTAAAGTGAACTCTTTTCCATGTGTGTCTCTAGTACTTTGCCATTTATATAATTCTTGGGAACTCTTGGAAATGAGTGGTTTGGCAGCTTCGAGGTTGGGAATCTTTGGACCAAAGGCAGTTTTTGGAAGTTGAAGAGTCTTTGAATAGGACACAGGTTTAGCTGTAGACCCGGTTAAAAGTACCCTCGACCTACTAAGTGATCTTGTACTGGATCTAAGCATCAGTGAGCGGACGAATATCTATTAATGAAATTTCAAAATAGATAACTATTTGATCTACAAATATATTTCCTGGAAATATTACAATGATACATTTTACTCGATATTTTTCACGTGATCAGTTGTCTTCTTGGTATTTTTTTTTTGTCCAAAGATTTCTGAACACAGAGGAAGGGGGACATATAGTTTCTAGTTAGTTGACCTATATCAGTTCCTACAATAATATTAAAAATTCTCTTTTTCTTTCATCATGTACACTGTTGAAGATAAACTTCACAATAAATAGTTACTTAGTCAATAAATACAGTAGTCAATTTAAGCCTTAATGTTCTTGACCAATTCAATGTACTTCTCAGTAGAGAAAGACTTTGGACGTTCAAGAGGCATACCAAGACCACGGTCCAAGATCAATTGTGGCAAAACACCGAAGGCACGAGAAACACCGAACAAAACAGTGTAGAAAGATTGTTCAGTCAAACCGTAGTATTGCAAGAGGACACCAGAGTGGGAGTCCACATTTGGCCATGGGTTCTTGGTCTTACCGTGCTTGGTCAAGACACCTGGGGCGACTTCGTAAATGTTGGAAACCAACTTGAACAATTCGTAGTCTGGCATGTGCTTCAAGGCAAATTCTCTTTGAGCAGTGTATCTTGGGTCAGTCTTTCTCAAGACAGCGTGACCGTAACCTGGAACAACTCTACCAGCGTTCAAGGTTTCCCACAAGTACTTTTCAATGTTTTCCTTGGTGTAGTCACCGTTCAATTCTTCTCTCATCTTGAACAACCATTCCAAGACTTCTTGGTTAGCACGACCGTGCAATGGACCAGCCAAACCGTTCAAACCGGCGGCAAGAGACAAGAATGGGGAAGACAAAGCAGAACCAACCAAGTGGGTGGTGTGAGCAGAGACGTTACCACCTTCATGGTCAGAGTGAATGGTCAAGTACAATCTCATCAATTCGACGAATTCCTTGTTTTCACCGAAACCAAGCAAGTTGGCCAAGTTAGCACCGTAATCCAACTTTGGGTCGATAGCACCCAACTTACCGTCATGGAAAACATTTCTGTAAATTCTAGCGGCAATGTTTGGCAACTTAGCCAACAAGTCGATAGAATCTTCGTAAGTGTACTTCCAGTATTCGGACTTGTGGACACCCTTAGCGTAGGCCTTGGCGAATTGAGATTCGGATTCCAAAGCAGTGACGGCAATGGAGAATTGGGCCATTGGGTGCAAGTGAGATGGAGAACGGTCAATCAATTCTTCAACGTGCTTTGGCAAAGCAGATCTAGCAGCCAATTCTTCGGAGAAAGCCTTGGTTTGAGCAACAGATGGAACTTCACCGGTCAACAACAACCAAAAGAGAGCTTCTGGCAATGGTTCTTCACCACCTGGACCCTTTGGCAATTCCTTTTGACAGTCTGGAATGGTTCTACCTCTGAAACGGATCCCTTCAATTGGGTCCAAAACGGAACCTTCCCAAACAAGACCCTTGATACCACGCATACCACCGTAGGCTTGTTCAAGAAGAACTTCACCAATGACGGTCTTACCGTGTTCTTTCTTCAATTGCTTGACTTGTTCAGCCTTTTCTGGGAGAATAGCCTCTAAACGGGCCTTAAGAGTCTAGAAAAAATTTTGTTAGTACTCATAGTGACACAAAATTAAAAAGGAACAATGGGCCACAATTCATAGAACCGAGGATCAAAATATTTTTTTAATTGTTTGACCAAGCCCAATTAGAGAAATTGAGACAATAAGATATATAGAGATCAATAGGTAGATAGAGAATCGGAGCCCTCAATTCTTGTATGTCATATTATATAGAATTTTCAATCTTGTGCTTTCAGCTCTCTTGACAAGAAAAAAAAAACAAATAAAAATTTTTGACACAAATTCCTCCCACCCGGAAACATGAAATGTAGTGAACAAATGAATCGTAATTATTTTAAAAAATAGAACACTCTTTAAAATCAGGTTCAATTTCAATACAAGAGAAAATTCTATGAAAATGGGAATGGGAATGTATCAATGAGGACACACACAAAGAGACACACGATAGAATTCAAACTCCTTCAACCAATTTCTACTCAATCTAACTCCAAACTTGATTCGGTACTTACTGGTTCGGTGGCGTAACCACGAACGAAGCGCTTGGCTAACAATGAACGTTGAACAGAACGAATAGCAGACATATTTTATTATGATCTAGATAACAACAAACTAAAAAGAAAAATCCCGGGGGAAGTGTGAAATGGAAGTGTTTAAATACTTGATCACACAAAAGATGCCGATTTCGCGACCAATCACAGCCCGCGGTTATTGCGAAAATGCCGAGAACCCTCCTACCCTTCCGGATTTAACTGCAACCCCAGGTTTTCCAATTCTTCATATTTTGTCTGCATGGGTAGAATCCGGTGGCTTGTATTCGTCTCCCACTTCCGCCGAGACCACTGCTGGTCTTTCTGTTGGGTTAACCAAAGATATCGTTCTTCTCTCCCTCCCTCTAATTTTTTTTTTTTTTTTTTTTTTTTTTTTTTTCTTCTTCCCTTTCGTGCATTTTTCATTTTCCCCAGATTTCGGAGTGTCGTCCTTGGGCCGTGAGAGGTGGAACGTTTTCCGATTTGCGCATGGGGCAATCCGACCATTCAGGTGGACGCTGGAATCCACATAGATATCCCTTATTGGGAAACTAACCCCTCGAATCTAAAAAATATCTCAACGGTGGAATTTCTTGATGAAAATGGCCTGACGCATAGGGGTTAGTATTGTCACTCAATTGGTTGTTAGGAGTTAAGTATTTTGTACATTATTTACAAAACTCAAAACTCCAACTAAATTTTTTTATTTTCCCACGGAAATATACGGGACGTGCGGTGCGGCAACCGGTAGTGCGGGATAAAAAATAAAAGAGTATGGCTATTTGAATGTGTAGTGCGCCACACAATATACGTCACAGATCATGGATCCAATGTTTAGATAATTTCAAGAATCAATACAAAATGCCGTTTCAGCAATTAGGCGAGAGGCAAAAAAAATGCGCAATATGGCAATCCCTTTAGGATAAGCATGACTGGAATGATATAACGAGAAGTTTAACAATCACTTTGGTTTCCCCTATATAAGTCGGATTGATTGAAAGTGGTGCGGAAATCAATCGAAAAGGACTTATAAGTCCATGTTGCACAAAACAGATCGGGGGTGCTTAAAAATTATGGTCATGCTTAGTGCCCAACACAATCTGTATAAGGAAATGCTTTAGCATTAAATTTCAAAGACTAACTTGTACCTGCTTCATATTGTGAAATTACCGGTTCAATTATCCACATGCAACTTTGCAGTTTTTAGGTTTTGAGGAAAAATAAAAATAATTTCTTATTAACAATCTAAAAATCAGAAAAAAGGTAACGTTGCATAAAAGATTGCTCAAAAGACTTTACCAACAAACTAAATGTGCTGTTACCTTTCTTTCTATATATATATATATATATATATATATATATGTGTGTGTGTACGTACCCGCTTACACTCAAACATATCCCATTATGTTATATTCTCTATCATTTCTTCACCTTTTGATTCCTCTTCCACATCCTTCTTTTTCCTCCCCCATAATTCTGATCTTCGCATAATCGCACTGTTTAATTTTCAATTTCTCGCGATGGGCTTCACATATAACCCTCTTAATCTTCAATAACCATGCTGCTCTACAGAATCCTAGGTGGTATCTACCTCTCTTCAGCCGAACCGTTGACTTCTGGTGAAGATCTTAGTGCTCAAGGAATCACTCACATTCTCTCCATTCTCCCAGGCCCTATTCCTAAACAATACACAGACTCTTATGTACACAAGCAAATCGAGGTCAATGATGAAGAAACCACCAATATCATTCGTTACTTCCCAGAAACAAATGACTTTATAGAAAAGGCGTTGTTCAAGTCAGACACAACCAAACATTCTAACAAAATTCTTATCCATTGTGCTCAAGGAGTTTCAAGATCTCCAACTATTATCATTGCATTCCTCATGTACAAATATAAACTCTCCTTACCTCAAGCTTTGCATGCTGTAAAGCGGAAAAGTGCCTCTGTGGGGCCAAATGAAGGGTTCATGGAACAACTCAAGCTCTACCAACAATTGGAATTCGACGTGGATATGTCAAACAAGTTATACAAACAATTTGTCATTGATCTTAGTATCAAACAAGATCCTTCTGGATCTTCTCTTAAGGATATGAATTTGTTCACTGCTAGTGACCCAGAAGCCCTCAAGTCTTCCTCGGAAGTGACCACTCAATACAGATGTAAAAGGTGTCGTCATGTTCTTGCTACAAACTTGCAGATTGAAAATCATGTTCAACCAACAGAAGAATCTCAACAATCAAAGTTTATCAAAAGAGGACACACCAATAGAATTATCTCTGTGCAACAAGCGTCTACTGTTTGTTCTCACCACTTCATTTTGCAACCTCTTGACTGGATGACTGAAGAACTTGCCAAGTCCGAAATTGAAGGTAAGTTCAACTGTCCAACCACCACTTGTGGGGCCAAGATCGGAGGGTATTCTTGGAAAGGTTCAAGATGTAGTTGCGGGAAATGGGTAATTCCAGCATTACACTTGCAAACATCAAGAGTTGACGAAGTCAAGGTGATAAAGAAGTAGCATACAGTTAGCATTTTTAAATATATTCAAGAATAATAATAATATTAATAATATTAAATAAATACTTAAGATTGAGGCCAGCTCAGTTCAAATAGCTCTACTCGATTATCATATCCAGTTCATCGTACTCGTTGTTATTTTCATTGTCACTTTCACCATCATTTTCATTGTCATTTTCAGCATTTTCATCACCAATTTCACTGGTGTTTCCCTCTCTTTGTATGGCGGTTAAGATACTCCCACTCCCACTTAAAGGCGCCATGTGGCGGGTAATATCGGCAGAAATACTGTGATCTTCTTGGTATTCGACTTCTTCCGCCATAAACCCTTCATCCTCGTCTACAAGGGATTCTTCTTCAATTACATCTTCTGTCCCACCAAGTTCAAACTCGTCTGCATCCGGTATGTATGCATCTAAATCAACTTCCTCTGGCTGCTCCAATATACTATTATTGGTATTCTCCACTGTGGGGATAAAAGAAGGATCTTCTTCGCCGTCTTCTCCTTCTTCATCGTCCATCTGGTCACTGAAATGCAATTGTTTCGACTCTTCGTATGCAAGTTCGACCATAGTCTTGTCAATTCCAACTGGAGATATGGTTGTGTATCCAATATTCCTAATGGAATTGAGTTTATTTAATTTCTTAAGCACTGATGGTGTAAGAAAATTTTGATTCGAAGCATTGAGCGATCCACCATTCAAAGATCTGGTCTTCATAATATAATCTAACTGTGATATGTTTGGCCCTGGACACTCTACCGAGTAGGCCAGCAATGGTGGTGCAAAGAGATGTCTCAATTGATCTCTCTTTTGTTCATCTTGGGTCCCATTCATTTCAACAAACCCCTTCAGTGATAAGCCTCCACTGGACGATTGGTTTTGAAGCCAGAGATCATGGAAGTCTCCAGAAAATAAACTAGGAGAAAACATAAAGGGTTGTAGAAATAGGAGAATAGTAAAGGATATGTAACTAACTTAAAATTGTTAGTTGTAGCTTTGATTTGATAGCGCGGTACAAACAAACAAAAATAAAAGTAAAGAGTAGAAATTAGTGCAGGTGAATAGGCGCCATCCTCTATAGAATTCGAAGAAAAATAGACTTATTATTCGATCAAGACAAAACTTCTACAACCTTTTTATCTCTGATGATTTCTCTTAATGTCTCAAATTTCCTGGTACAATTATATACGTGTATGGAGCACATCTCTATCGGTTTGTGAGAGCCTTCCCCCTGTTATAAATTGTTCACATAAAAGAGAACACTAATTTTTTTTTTTCCGAAAGACCTGATGATATTAACTCCTCATCAATGGGGTATTACTAGATCTCCTCCTTATTGAATATATGCTCTTCTCTTAATTTCTTCTATCCTATAACATGTAATCCTCATATCATATACCTAACCTATTTTGCACCCATCATTTTTGTCCGGGTAAGACTGCTCTCCTCGGTATATAAAAATCAACAGAAACTTTTTTCTTTACTTTGGAAAAATTTTTAAGCAGCATTTAGCAGCACTTTTTCTTTTCTTTCCTTTGTTTCCCTCTTACTTCAACCAATAAACAATATCTATATTGACCCAAATGTAGTTATATAGTCGGGACTATATCACCGCCTGCACTCCATGCCTATAGGTGTATGCGGTAAACGAATCCCATAAATCAACTTGGATCTGCAGAAGAACTTATACTTGTCTATGTATCAGTTTTCCTTTGATGATTCAATACATTTCTTTTACTAGTTTCTATTATTATTTTCTATTGTACTAAATGACGTAGCTTTTGTCCTAACGAAAAACTGAGATGTGGATTTGGAATAGAGCATCGACTTGAAAATTGACACCATTTACATTTGGATAGGTTATCCACTGCCTCTGGAGCTCTACTCCCATTCCAGAACTCCACTGCATGGTGAAGCTGTTGATCCAATTCAACTTCATTATACTTATACTGATTATTACTAAAGCATTCACCCGTCTTCCGATCATGGTACTCCACTGCAATGTCTTCTTTCAATAATGGTTCAATCATTTCATACATTTGACTTGACCTTGCTGCAAAATATCGAAGTGTTAATGGAACTTTCCAAACTCTAATTATTTCAGGTGTTAACAAAACTGAATAATCAAATCCTTCTTCGTTTATAAATTCATCTTGTTTCCCCTCGTCTAGTAAGTGAGTGAAATCATAAAATGGGACATGGTCTCCTTGTAAATATGTTTCTTGTATAAATTTATCATATGGTTCAAACCCAATTGGCTGTCCCTGTGCCAATCGAATGAAATCTTTAAACACTAAATCCCCAGATGTTCTGAGCATCTCCAATGCCGTTTGGAGCGCAATTGGATAATCGACATCAATATGACGTCTACGGGCATTTTCAAGTAACATATTGTATGCTATAGTTTGATTATCACCCATGATTGCAAGTAACTTTCTATAATTGGCAACTTGTAATTTTGCACCTTGTAATACGCTTTCAAAGCCGGGCAATCGCCTATTTTGTCTTGTCTTCACGTCTACCACTGCCAACGAATAACCCGCCTCATACTCGTGAATCAATTGTTTAGCCATTGGGATAAACTTTGTTAAATCTACTAGTTCCATCCCATTGACTTGTGGGAACTCATTTAATGACCATTCTTCGAGCTCTTTGAAAAATCTATAATCTTCTTCCGGGGTGATTTTCAAGTAGTCTATAATCCCACTCACCATAACATCTCTCCGGGGGTGTAAAGGTAATTTCGTACGATACTCTCCAGTCTCAAAGTTAGCATATCCATGAACCAATATTTCTCTGGCATCACTACGGCGTACCAACGTAACCAATTTCATCATTACATTGTTCAACCAATCCATAGCCAAAGTATTTTCCAGCTCTCTTCCCTTTAGAAGTTCAAGCACGGCCCGATTTGTCTCCTGTAACACTTCCAACAAATGTGGATCCAGGGTTTCTTGCACCCGTTGATTCATAGTCTCAACCAATCGAAGCTCATTATTATGTATTATACTATGTAGATTTGTAACATCCACTGGTTTATGGGTTGCTAATTCAAGTTGAAGATGATGTTCTGTTCCAATTTCCATAGATACAGTTTGAGCTCGTTTCGGAGACCCAGCATAAACTTCGTAATATTGCCGAAGCTCACACCACAGTTTAGTTAACAATTTCGTTACAGATAACCTTGGCGATTTCACCAACGATCTGTCACTATTATGGTTCGACATGTATTCAAATGGGCTTTCTTGAATGGATTTAGGCTTGACTAATGGGAGCTGATCGTCATCTCTTAATCCAAATGCATTGGCCACTTGCATCACATCCTTATCAATTACATCCACAGTCTTTGCTTTCTTAGGTTTCACCAGTGACTTGGTCTTATCATCTTTACTCGGCAAAATAAATTTTTGAAGGATCTCTTCTCCTTCCTTATCAGAAATCTGGAGAACTTGTAATTTATCCTTCACTGGGGAACTCTTCTTGTTTGATGTTCTAGAAACGGGCACTTTCAACGTAACCACGCGAGAATAGGGCTCCTTGACCAGTGAGTATACACGTCTAAAGATCAATACTCCTCTTCTCATTTCATATCATGGCACAAATGAAGTTTTAAATTAAAAGTAAAACAAAAACCAAAAACCCAAAAACCAAAATTTAGAGATCGTCTTTATCGCAATAAATAAATAATCGCATCGCCTCTATATATAAACCCCACCCATTTAATCACCAGACTTTAAATTTGCCATCAAATATATTCTCTTACACATCCTTAACTACATCTTTTCAAAAGAAATAAAATGTATCCTTTATATCTATCTAGTCTATAGTATATGTCTAATCGTACAGAAGGGGAAATGTTCGTTTAATCTAATGTATACCTCTCTTCAACTTCAATGAATCTCTCTTCTTCTCACTCAAACTGAATTGGCTTGGAAGGTTGATCGCATCCTTTTGTTGTCCTCCCTTGGAGGAACCACTGGAAGATGTCGAAGAAATAGACGCATTGTCGTCAGAAGTAGGGCTTTCAGGAATCGATCCGCCCAGCGAAGTCGATACTTGAGCTGCAAACCCGTTGCTAAAATATCCACAATCATCCGAAGGAGTGATGGCAGACATAAAGGGAGAATCTAAAGTATCCATGTTTTGTGAGTTGTATTGAGGGTTTGATTTAGCCAAATTGGCAGCTTCTGTGTTAATATTCAATGCACGTGGGAGAGTGGATCCTCCTCTTGAAGAAGATCTTGACCTGGCAGCACTATAAAAGTTGAAATCATCAACCATATTGTCTGCATTGTTATTGTTGTTATTGTTGTTGTGACCGTTACCAAACAAATTGTGTGAAGATTGAGAAAGGGATGGAGGAGTAATTGTATGTGATATCGACCCCTTGTTTGAACTGGGTGGTGTCTGGTAATCTAACATCATTGCATTAAATCCATGTGACATGTTTGGAGTGTTGACATGAGAATTGGTGGTTGTTTGAGGGGTGTTGGATGCAGATTTGTTGATGAATGATTGAGGTACGAAATCTTGTATCGATTGAAGTGAATCTGTACTAAGATTATCGTTATGCATCGTTGGTTCCGTTCTGATCTGATTGATGTTCCCCACATGTAACCAATTGTTACCACTGTACGAATTGTTTCTGGTAAGTGATTGCTTACGAAGAGAAACTGAAGAAGATCTAGATCTATTATTAGCTGCTGCAGCTGCTGCAGCTGCAGAGTTCCCATTGAAATTATTTATATTCAATTCATTCAATGACAAGTTCGAAATAGATGATTGACGAACGTTTGTAGTGTAAGGAACTCCATTCCCGCCACTGGTCAGTGTAATGGTGATACTAGTAGTGGTGGGTAACCCGCCTCCATTGACATTGTTCCCGGCATTAAGCGAACAAATGTCAAGAAGTCGTTTGCGAATAAGCTGTAAAAATATTGGCTTATAAGATGTATTACGGAGCATTTCTTCAGAGATAACATTGTGCTGGTCATAATTTATTTGGGCATTATTGGCGGTACTTTGGATAAGTCTATTCAAAGTCTCGTTAGAAATCTTGGAAACAAGCCCACTGGGTGGGATAATCCCCAGGAATGGAGTTGTGGTGGGGAGTGACAAGAAATATTGATAAGTTGATACAAGGAGTTGGTCAAATAATTGGTTGAAACTCACGGTGTAATTCTTGGTGGTTTTATATGACCCAAAAATAGGTTCGTCAATATCGGTAAGAATATCATCTGACTCGTTGTAGTGTTGATAGAGAGAATGGCCAGGGTTGCCATTAGACGATATGCCACCTTGTCCCTGATGGTGGCTAAAATAACCACTGTTGTTATTATTGTTATTGTGCCCGTATCCTAGAGGTGTGCCTATCATGGGGTGGTCTATAGGGGTCTTAAGGGTCTGTTCCAAAGGCGTAAACGGTTGATCACCGCCTCCGCCTATCTGTTGCAACGACAGATTAAGTTTTAATGAAAGATTCATCTTCTTGTTCAACATAGTGTTCTTATTGGGTCCCTTGATATATTGTTAAAAGGAACAAACTGTCTCTCTAACTTGGGGTACTTTCGTTTGCCGTTTCGTTTACCCTTAGGCTGGCAATCACTCTCTATGCAGTAGAGCGCGTATCTTTCCAGGGGTAGTTTCGCCAGGAAATTAGCACAAACAGGGAAATTTTAAAGGGGCGCGGGGCGTTGCAAATAAATTTACTCCAAAAATAGCAAAATGTCAACGGTGCAAAATGATAGGTTAAATACCCTTTTTTTCTCGTTTACCCGATAAGACGCGACGCTCGGTGGTTTATCCTTGGTGTATGGTTAGGATATGTGCTGTCGTTTCTTGTTTTAAAAAGCAATCTTAGTCACTAATGCAGTCTCTTTGTCACTGTAGAAAGAAAAAAAGTTTGTTTTTTCTCCTTTTTTTTTTTGCTAATTAATTTCAAAAAACGCGTCAGATGAATTTAAATGGGTGCACTTTTTTTACGAAAAAGAAGTGACCTCAATGGGAAATACGCGTCCGATCAATCCACTCGTGTTGCAAATGGCTGGTGAAATAAGACCCTCTCGGTGTGATAGGTGGCTTTCTTGTATGTAGACCGGTAAAGTGGAATTACAAAGGATATCTCGATCTTTTCTCGGATGAGATCGCTTAGCAAGATGGATATGTGTATATGTGTTTGTGGGTCGGGTAGTTGGCTGTGATATCCTTCCACAACTGAACGTCTTTACTTAACTTTTAAAACTTTGTCGTATCTAGTAAAACCCCGTCGTATTTGGTGCCGATGGTCTGCTCTATATACATTTGGGATAGGTCGCGACTTGGACATATTTCCCAATCAAGGCAAATTGCCTGCATTGTTTGTGTCCACCTCCTTAGACTTTTTGCTCAATCTAATTATTTATTTTTTTACCCATTCCATTCTTTCTTTTTTTGATTTTCGCTGTTCATGCCGCTTTTTGCCGGTGTGAGGGGCTTGATAGCACTGTTATTTGTATGGCACATTTTAAAAAAATGTGGTATAGAGGGCGCTCCTTCACATCTAGTAAGCACATTAGACAGCTCGCAGTGAATAATCGTATGACTACGGCATCCATAATGCATCCACTTATTGTTGTTAGGTAGAGCAGGATCGAAGATTGATACACCAACTTCGTAAATTGTTCCAGGTAGCTCATATCTGTGGGGATCCGCCCAACCTAAAAAATGCGATACATATCTGTCTATCTGCAAAAATTAAAATCCATTATGTAGAGTGCATTATAATTTACTAGCCACAATGTCTCCCCCCCCCAGACCCCAACCACAACCCAAAATATAATACTAAAAAAAAAAAATGAAATGCCAATTTCAAAGCGACTGAAATTAAATGGTGATCAAGAAAGTAAAACGTCACAAATATTTCAACTCGCCGAGTAAAAATCTACTTATTCCCCCCCAGACCTTCGATTTAAAATACACATTTAGCGTAACTCGCCTAAAATGTTATTTAAGAAGTAACTGTGTATTCTATTGAATATCTTGCTATCTTGCGTTGTTGTTTCTTCGACGCAGTATCTGCTTTTTTTTTCTTCTTCTTGATCATCTCTCTTCCTCATGTAGGAGCAACCCCTTGCTTGTTCTCGAACAAAAATGGTGCATTAACATATGCAGAAACTATTTTGTACATATTTATTTTATCGCGATAAAAATGATAGAACATGGTCCATGAACCCTTTATTCCCGACAATGGTTGTGTATCGGCTAAAACCCTCTCTCCCTAGGGATATTATTCCGTCAAATCTCAGTTGTTGATGCATGATTGGATTATTTTTGCAATTTAATGCACATATGTAACCATTGTCAACTTGGCAACCAATAAAACACCTGATTGAACATTCCTTTGCTTGCGTTATTTATAATTTACTACAGATAGACTACAGTTGTTAGATTCAGTTTAAACTTTTAATTCGTTTCTTATCGTAAATTCGTTACTCTTTCATGTGCGGGAGTCCTGTTGATGCATTTGAAAACTGCAATCAAACAGTAAACCGGCACTATGACTCCTTTCATATGTATGAAGCAAGGTGGGGCCTGTTCTTGGGCTTGCACATGGGCAGTTGGTGGCATGGTGTTGTATTTATGTCTGTTCCCAATAGGGTTATTTATGTAGCAAATGCCGTCGATTCAACTCCTTATACCGCCGTAGCTGGCTCTAGGATCCATTCTCTTGGCTAGAAGATTATTATTTTTTCATTTATGCACCTTCAGTACAATATTCACACTGTCTTTGAAATTTATAATATTGAACATTATGCAATAGTTGATGTATACCATTGAAAAATTTTTAACACTTGAAAAGTTTTGTTGAATAATTTTGTTGATGTTACTAGTCTGGGTTATATTGTTCATCTGAATTTTATGTGCGCATCTGGGTAATCCTCTTGATCTTATTCTGTCAATCAATTGATCTTGTTGATCTTGTAATATAATACCAACTATTTCAAACAGGTGAATATTCCTATTATTGAGATGAAGTTTCATAAATGAAATGATCCTAGTCAAGAGAGAGGATTCTAGAGCCAGTTATGGCGGTGTAAGGATTTGAATTGGAGTAATTGCTACGCATACTTGGTGAATTAATCGTGATTTGGTGAATTGATTGTGACTGGTTGATCTGGTTGATCTGGTTGATCTGGTTGATCTGGTTTATCGACAATCTCCTCCTCATTCTCGTTATTATTGTTTGACGCTTCCCCTTCCTCGGAACTTTTCACTTCCTTTTCACCATTACTTTCTATCTCTATACCTGCATCCAATTCGTCTTTCTTCTCTTCATCTTTCTTTTCTTCGACTTCTACTGCCTTCTCTTCATCTACCTTCTCTTCATCTACCTTCTCTTCATCTTTCTCCTCTTCATCTTTCTCCTCTTCATCTTTCTTCTTTTCATCTACCTTCTTGTCATCTACCTTTTCGCCATCATTTTTCTCCTCATCTAGTACTTCATCTTTCTTCACTTCGTCGTTTTTCTCCTCAATCTTCTTTTCTTCAACCATCTTTGCTTCATCTTTCTCTTCCTCAACCTTCTCTTCTTCATCTTTCTCCTCATCAACTACATCTTCCATTGCTTCACCTTCAGTATTATCCACTACTTTTTCTATCACCTTCGTCTCATCATCCTTATTCTCTTTCTCCTTCTCTATTCTTTCTTTCTCCTCCTTTTCTAATTTTTCTTTCTCCTCCTTCTCCTTAATTTCTTTCTCCTCCTTCTCCTTTATTTCTCTTTCCTCTCTCTCCTTTTTTTCTCTCTCTTCTTTCTCTCTTCTTTCAATCTCTTCCTTTTCTCTAACTCTCTCAGAATATTCCCAATATTCTTCAAGTGGCTCTTCCAATAAATATTTATTATATCGAACATTATATGGTAAGGCCTTAGTAAGTTCACCTGAAATATTCATACTCTTATCATCTTCTTCTTGTAAACTGATTAAAATATGATCATATTTAGCATGATTGTTTATATGTGCTTGGATTTGTTCCTCTTTATTCTCAATTGGATGTAAATCATCATTCTCAAGTAATTTCCTCGTTTCTCCTTCAAGTGATGAATTCATAAATTTTAAATCATTTCCTAATTTAATATCCTTTTCTGATACATAATTCAACCAATTAAACACATTTTCCAACTCATCGACTGCATCATCAGCATCTCCATGTTGTTGTTTCTGTTGTTGTTGTTGCTTGAGTAACAGGTCCAGCTGTTGTTGTTGCTGCAGTGGGTCCAGTGACGGCATATTACTTTTGAAATGATTATAAAAATCTTGCTTTTCTTTTAATCTTTTTTGTTTCTTATCTTTATCTAATCCATCATCATCATCATCAACTTTCCGTTTTTCAATTAAATTTTTAATTAATGTTCTTGGAACTTTTGATAATTTCTTGGAGGTTGTAAATCCATCACTATAAATTATCCAATTCTTAAATGATTCAATTGATTTAGTACTATAATCTTTAACATTTGGATAATTGGGTATATCCAATGCATCCAAATAATTCTCAAAAGATGATGGCTTGATAAACCCAACATCCATCATCGCCTGAGTTATATCTTGTACACATAGATGAGTCGCTGGTGAAGTAATGGTTCCAGCACTTCGATGTTCAGAATATTTTAAACTCTTTTGAAGTAATAATTTTAAATATTGAATATACAAATCAGTCAATATATTCACCACAGATGGCTTACATTTATCGAATCCAGTGGCCTTTAATATTTGGATTATCGATACCCTAAGAAGGGCAAAATGGAATGATTCGTCCATATTAATATGAAGTTAATGAAAGCTTTCACTATGATTTGTTTGTTGGTGTGATGTTTTAGGTTAAAGAGTTTTTGATGTTGGTTCATGTGCAGGAATTTTAAGTTTAGGAATAAAATAAAGAGTTAACGTATATTGGGGTATAATAAAAAAATTAAGAATAATAAGGGATATAACCCAAGAGTGTATTGTGAATGGAACCATGAACTTAGAAATATATGTGGTAGTATTTGTAAAAAAATAAATTTAGATGTAAAAAAAAAGTAACATTTAATCGTAATGTTTTGAATTTGTTTAAAACATCACATTAAATTGAAATCCTCTTTTCAATAAACGATTTTCAATCTGGGTGGTGATTGTGTCGAACCCGACATATTTCTGGGGTTGTGCAATGACTTCTTCAAATGACATGACTTAAGCTTATATAAAAAAAAACCGGTATTGGTAAGTAGATCAATTTATTTTTGTTGTTGTTGTTGTTGTCAAAATTTAGTGGGTGATTTTGTTTTGAGGTTGTCAAACTAGGAACGAACACAAAAAGGGGAAATTTTTGTTTGAACGCGTTTGTGAACATTCCTGGTATATGCAGGGGAGACTGATACGAGAATGGAAAAGGAGGGGAAGAGTGCACATACTGAGGGACGATAACATTGGTTGACGGGGGGAGGAATCTTGACGAGTCAGAAGGAGGAGGGGGGTGGGGGCGTCTCCGGTCATGGGATAGCGGAGCTGTTCTTGGCCCCGTTAGGGAAGAGAGTAGACTATCACCCTGCGGGGGGAAGTAACACACACACACACACACGGGGTCAGTAAGCCGCTCCGCTGGCCCCTACTCGGGGAGAGCCACTGCGTGGTGCCTAGCTCCTCTACGAGGAGAGCCCCAGGCCCTACAGTCTTCCTCGTCAGAGGAACAAGGCCTCCACGGCTAGTGGCCCACGGAGTGCCAGCGGAGCGGCTTGCTACCCCCGGAGGGCACCCAGCCACTTCCCTACGGGGTCAGTAAGCCGCTCCGCTGGCCCCTGCTCGGGGAGAGCCACTGGCGTGGTGCCTAGCTCCTCTACGAGGAGATCCCCAGGTCCTACAACCTTCCTCGTCAGAGGAACAGGGCCTCCACGGCTAGTGGCCCACGGAGTGCCAGCGGAGCGTACTACACCCCCCGGAGGGCAGGCAGCTACTCACTTCCCTACGGGGTTAGTAAAACGCTCCAAGTCTCCCACCCCCGTCTCTCTACGACGTGCCCTGGGCGTAGCTCTCGTTTGTCTGAAACGCGTACACACTTCATAATAATGATAATAATACAAATATATCTATACGAATATTATATACTGAGACAGTCTCACCTTCTCTTTTTGTTGCTAATCATTTCTATTTCCATGGCATCTTCCTCATCTCCTAAATCTTCAGGTTGTCTCCTTTTCAATTTAAAATTTGAGGTCAAAACCCCACCAGAATTTTGCTTTATGGCCAAATTTTCTGTATGGAATTTCTTTAAATTTTCTGCAATTAATAAATCTTCATAGTAATTGATGTTAAGGGGAGAAAATTTTGGATCACGTAATTGAATATGACGTAAACTTGTGGGAAGATCAAATCCATAACTATCCATTAAATATGAAACTCCAAGTGCAGTCGTAAGTCTATTACCAAATGGTTCGCGCGAAACAATCAATACTTCCACTGATGAATTGATGTTACGTAAAAGCTTGATAATCCGATTGGCTTGGAATAACAGTGCTTGTAAATTCCCTGCCAAGATGGGACTTGCCACTTGTAACATGGTATTGTTGATCAGCTTATGAATGACATCATAACCCGGGGTTTGATTGTTGACATAGAAATGGGTTATATAGTTTTGAAGTACTCGATTAAATTTGGCAACCGTTTTCATAAGGAAAGTTTGCTCGACCAGCGAGTGACTGTCCATATTAAAACTTGGATCAAGTGAAAGTACCACTAGGTCCGAGGGAATAGACACGTCTGAATATTCCAATTCATGGAAAAATGCGTAAGATGGAGAGCAATTGATAATAATCTTGACGTTTTTGGTTCGTAAGAATTGATCACCAAGACAATTCAGATATGAACCAACCCATACCGAGGGGGGCTATTTCACATGCTGTAGCATTGTCTTCCTGGTGATAGATTGAATCTGGACTATCTGGAGTGTATGGGAACATTACAATATTCTCTTACTAATAAGATGTGTGACAAATGGGGGGTGCAATTCACAGGGGGTGTTCAAATGGGGGGTGCTCTTTTTTTTGCAGCACTTTTCCTAAAAATTCGCTCTGGTATTTTTTTTTTCTTTTCTCCTTGACAGAAAACCGCAAAAAAATCTCAATTGGAGATTTTTGTATCTCTAAGCCCTGTAGGGGTGGGAATGCTAGATGAAGAATCCAATATATCAGTGCAACCTGCCGTAAATCTGGAAAGAAAACCCGGTACAATTAACCCACTTCAAACCAAATACTCAAACGTTACCACAGTACGTTCAACGGTAAAGAAAAAAAATATACAAAATTTTTTAGTTTTGGAAATTTCTGTAGCCACAAGAATTTTTGTAGGAACTTTGCAATGGTGCAGGGTGCTTAATGCATTCTGCGGAGCCTTCCAATTCTGGCGATAATTTGCGGCGTTCATGGTCCGAGAGCCTGCATGAACCGAAAGCTGGCTCGGGTTTCTCCCGTGCACGACCTTTACCAAGGAAGGAGTTTCTCATACCTTATTTGAGATTTTTTGGTGGGAGGTCGTGCGCGCGCGGAGGCCGGTAAAGCCTTTTGAAATTTATGGCCAGAGAGCGGGGAGGTCGTGCGAGACACGAGAACGTAGTCTAGAACTGGGGGGACAGACGCTTACTTGAAACAATAAAGGAAGTGTGAGGGGTGACGTTTACAAGGGTTATAATACATTAAATTACATAGAGATAAGGAGAAGTGTGGATGAGGGAGGTATATTTATGGTTTTTTTTTTTTTTTTCTTTCAGCAGTAGACATTTATTTTTCTCGGGCGTATCTCCCTCTCTCTGTGTTAACTCCGTTGTACAAAGGAGGGACGGACCCCATCTTACTCATAGACTGTGCTGAGGGAGTGTCAGGGGAGTGGGTTACACTACTTGTAGAGTGGTCACTGACCTCCCAGTGGGACTGTAAGTCGCTCCGCTGGGCCCCTACCCGGGGAGGGTCACTGGCGTGGGGCCTGGCTCCTCTACGTGGAGACTCGACTGGCTACGAGCTGGTAAATTCCTCGCTAGAGGAACAAGGCCTCCACGGCTAGTGGCCCACGGAGTGCCAGCGGAGCGTCTCACATACGCCGTAGGGCAGACAGCTACTCACTTCCCTACGGGGTCGGTGAGCCGCTCCGCTGGCCCCTGCTCGGGGAGAGCCACTGGTGTGGGGCCTAGCTCCTCTACGAGGAGACTCGACTGGCTACTGGCTGCTACATTCCTCGCTAGAGGAACAAGGCCTCCACGGCTAGTGGCCCACGGAGTGCCAGCGGAGCGTCTCACACACCCCGTAGGGCAGTCGTCCCCACTCCCAGTGGGACTGTAAGTCGCTCCGCTGGGCTCCGCTGGGCTCCGCTGGGCCCCACTGACGTGGTGAGTCGCCAATTAATTACGGATATAGCTCGAGAAATTATTTGAATGGGTATCAGTCAAACACCTCTATATATTCAGAAGAATCCATACACAGTTATTATTCTGAATTAGTACGAGAAGATTACTATTATGAATATGAAGAATCTGTTTACGACTTGGCTAAGGAACAGGAAAGGTTGGAAATAAGGATGCAAATGCGCCAGGAACTTGAAATCTAAGGAAGGGTTTTAATTATTATTTATTGTACATAGCGATTTTTAATTTTTTTTACATTTTATGAATTCATATATGATGCAAAATAAGATTGTAAATTCAAAACAACTATCCGTTTATTTATACATATCTCTTTTATATTTGAATATCAATATCCAAATCAACCTTCTTGATGAACTCATCCATGGCACCCAAACATCTGTAACTAGAGGCAGCGATTTGTGCTTCCTTTTTATTTTTTTCCTCTAGCTCCTTTTCGTAGTTCAACCGGGCATCTACGATGGCCTTTTCATTTTCTTCATTTACCAAATCCTGGTAGAAAATTCTTGTATTCGTCTTGAGTCTTGAAAAAGCATCTCCACCATCATTCTTTGCATCTGTAATTTTCTTCAATTGCGAAGATTTTAATTCAGCAATTCTGATATTGGTTTGGTTAAGTTTTCTATTTCTTTCATTAACCTTGAACATCGTCATACTACTTGAATTGCTTAAATTCTTCGTGGTATCAGCAACTATCTGCTCAAGTTCTTCCAACTCCTTTTCCAATCTACTTACTCTGTGTATGTCATTTTCCTGTAATGCCACCTTAAGTTGATCCTTGACCTTCGATTTTTTGAACACAGCATCAAATCCTTCGAGGTTATTCCCATTTGAATTCAATTCCTGTTTCCGTTTTATCATCTCATTCACATCTTGATCAGAAATTTCCCTATTAGCCAACCTATGTAATCCTTGATATTTATCTTTAACATCATCCAAGTAAGGAAGCTCTTCTCCAGTTTTTGATAATTCATTTTGGAACCTTTCAAATTCATCTTGAGTAATTGGTGAATCAGAAAAAATGTTCATTGGGAAATCCTTCTTCTGAGTTTTGTTTTGTGCAACTGTCAAGTAAATGTCACACTTAGTAGTTGGGAACTTGTAAGACTTTTGTGGAATATTCTTAACATCAACAATTTGAACCATTCTGTACATTGGTCTATGTGTACGTTTGTCCATACCAATATTTATACGGGCAAAACAATCAACAATGGTATCACTAAAGTCATTGTAAAAGCAGAACCTTTGTAACAAGGTACGACCGACCTTGATTTTATTGATGTTCTTTAAGTCAGCTCTTTCTGTACTTCTTCTAACCCTAGACTTGGAACTACCACTCCCCCAAACTACTCTATCTTCGTCATATCCATATTCATCGTCTTCACTTCTTTCTTCATCTTCACCCTCTTCTAAGTCATCTTCTTCATCTTCATCATCCTCATCATCTTCGTATTCGTCAAAGTCTTTCTGTCTTCTTTCTCGATTTGATTTTTGTTCTCTTTGTTTCCTCAATTCACTCAACTTATCAAGCTTGGAACTCTTCGCGTTGTCCTTCACCAACTTCGATCTAGCACTAGACCTAGTACTTTTAGCTGCTGATCCATCTGCAAGAGCATTTTGCAGTTTCAATCTTTGCTGTAAGTACTTCTTTTCATTGTAACTTTCCATTTCTTGAGATCTTTCAAATAATGTTTGTTCACGTTGAATTTCATCCATTCCAAGCAAGTTTTCACGATCATCCTCATCTCTATACTTACCTTCTAATGGATATGGGTTTATAAGAGTCTCTTCTACTTCATCGTCTTCATCGTCATCTTCATCTTCATCATCATTTAAATCAGTTCTTCTGCGCTTAGAAGTACTGACAGGTGATACGCTTCTCTTCCTTGGTTCTTGAGGCTCAAATTCAGAGTCGGAAACTCCATCTCCTGCCAAAGCTAACAAGTCGTCATCTAAATCGGACATGATATTGTTGTTCTATGTTATTTGTTTAATTATTTTGAGCCTGTAGTTCATTTCTTTATTTTTTTTTGTTGTCCATAAAACAATTTCAATTATACTTACACAAAACCATTTCTTAATATATAGGAGATTTTGATATCTACAAGATTTACAGTAGGGTACCCGTTCCCAATCTCTATTGAGATTAACAAAGAAGAATATAAAAAAAAAAAACACATACAACATACTAATTGCATTTAATATTCGATATTTAAACTAGTTAGCTGGGGAAATACCCACCTCTTTAATATATTCGTCAATAGTCAAGTGATTGTATTCCACTCCCAACCCTTCAGCAACCTTTGCGCCCAAGTCTTCATCAATCAACCCCCACAACAGTGGCACACGCTTCTTTACTGAATCTATAGTGATGGTATCAGCATGTCCTACAATTGCTGTAACAAAAGTTTTCTTCTGCTCAGCACTAAAAACCTTTTGGTATAACGCTCTTGGTTGTTCTACATCAAGCTCGCTGAAACCAGAGACATAATCATAACTCTTTAACCAAATCTTTTCTTCGTGCGCCTTTTTAGCGCGTTCAAGTTGTAAAATTTCATATTTATCTTCTGATTTCTTTGGAACTACACCAACAAATTTATCTTTTTCAACAGGCGGAATTCCTTCTTTGTACAATTTTGGATCACTTGAGATGGAGTTAATCGGTTGAATTGTACTAAGGTAGTTGGGTCTAGACCCTTGGCTAATAATTGCCAGAGCACCTTCCCTCTGAAAGTTACCAGCTGAAAATGGACATCCGGAACCCTTTTCAAATGTTCGAGGTCTATTAACAGGAATTTGCTGGTAATTAACACCCAATCTATGACGGTGAGTATCAGAGTATGAAAAAAGTCTTGATTGTAGAACTGGATCATTTGATGGTTCAATACCAGGTACTAAGTGTGCTGGAGAGAAAGCAACTTGTTCTATTTCGTCGAAATAGTTTTCTGGGTTCTTATCTAAGACAATTTTTCCAAACTTTCTTAATGGAAACTCTTTATGGGGCCAAATCTTGGTCAAATCATTTATAGAATAACGGAATTCTTCAGCCTGTTCTGGAGTCATAGTCTGGACATACAAAGAGTAAGTGGGAAACTTTCCTTGGCTGATACGGTCGTAAAACTCTTTAGTATTGTATTCTGGACTAACACTGGTTACCAACCCACCTTCAGAACTTGAAAAGTTTTCAGTCCCTTCGTCAGCAAGAACATGATACTGGATATATGTAAGTTTACCTTCTTCATTGATAAACTTGAAAGTATGACCAGAATACCCATTCATTCTAGCCCAACTCTTTGGGATACCTCTATCACCAAACATGTAAGTAATTTGATGTAAACACTCAGGGTTTTGTGTATAATAATCCCAAGTGTGAGTAGAGTCAGTCAATTGGTTAAGGTTAGTAGCCGGGTCTCTCTTCTGTGTATGAATAAATCTAGGAAACTTAATTGGGTCTCTAATGAAAAAAATAGGAGTATTGTTAAATACCCAATCCATATTTCCAATATCTGTTCTAAATTTGATTGAGAAGCCTCTTGGGTCTCTGATTGCGTCTGGGGATCCCCTTTCACCCCCGACAGTAGAGATACGGACCGTGACTGGACATTTATACCCAGCAGTTTGGAATGGTCTTGCAAAAGTAAGATCTGATAATGAATCAGTAAGCTCAAAATATCCATGAGCACCACCTCCCTTAGCATGAACTACTCTTTCAGGAGTTCTTTCTGCGTCAAAATGACTTAATTCGTCAATTAAGTGGAAATCTTGGAGCAACAATGGTCCTCCCGGGCCAGCTGTTTGTGCTCCGTATGGGTGCCCTTGATATGGGACTCCATTAGATGTTGAATAGACAGCGTTGTCAACTTCGCCTTTTTGCAATTATTCTGCAACCATTATATAGGTAAAGGAAAATGGAAATTTGTTAAAGAAATATATGAACTGAGGAATTGATTAAAATTTAATAAAGAATAATAGCACTTATACACATATATATATCTATTATAGAGACACGTCAAAGTCCAAATTTCCCCTTTTCCACCAATTACAAATCATCTTTTGCAATACGTCAGAGCAACATTAGTAATTACACAATTTCCAATTCTAGACTTTGTTGCTAATTTAAAGTGTGGTCCCTCAATTATACTGCACAATGTGCTACGGCATACTTATTTTTACGAGTTGCAACTATAAATTTACACTATGCAGGAAAGCAACCTTATAAACAGCCCACTCCTCTCCCACCAATCAGCAGCCCTCGTGGTCTGCGCTCGTGTAACGCCTTTCCCACTGTGGCGGTCCTCGGAAAACTTGTGCAGGACCCACGACTATTTCCTGCGCGCGACTGCAGGAGCGCTGCCCATATATGGTAATCAGGTGCGTCATCAATAGCCGCGGCGATACCCACATTTACTATATTTAGCTGCACCACCAGAGCCCAATTCCACCTGTTCTTCTCCAGTCCCACTACCCGTTTCTTCCACCATCTTCCCACCACCTCCTTCTTCTCCTTCTTCTTCTTACCGTCTACTCGCTTGCCTCTCCTCCAGCTCAACGCTCCACCTTATCAACGTGCACCCGCAGGCGCACCGCATGCACGTCCCACACTACATCACCGCGCATTGGCCCACACACACAGCGCGTAAATAAAATATTTATCTTAGACAAAATCTTTTACCTTCGATACTTTTAATCGTGCGTTGCACATGTGACTAAAGTTTTTTTTGGGTAAATTTGCCGCTGTGGGAATCATCACAAGGCCAACAACCGCCACGTCACTCTCTCGTACTCACAATTCTCGGGAAAATTCTCTCTATGATCTTGCCGTGCAATATTTCTTTCCCCGTGAGTCCCTTGTGTCCGTTCCGTTCCATTCATGTTCCAGCCGTGAGGGCATGCCTCTGGGGCACGTGATGCACGTGACCTGGACCGGGGTTTCTCTCTCTCTCTCTCTCGAGCACGGCCGTACCCCATGGAACCCGGTCGCCCTCTGGAGGCCAGTCTACGGGGTGTGCGAGACGCTCCGCTGGGCCCCTGCTCGGGGGGAGCCACTGCGTGGGGCCTGGCTCCTCTACGAGGAGACACCTAGTAGCCAGCTCTTCCTCGGTAGAGGAACAAGGCCACCACGGCTAGTGGCCCACGGAGTGCCAGCGGAGCGGCTCGCAAGCCCCGCAGGGAAGGGAGGAGACGCACCCTATGGGGTCTGCAAGCCGCTCCGCTGGCCCCTGCTCGGGGAGAGCCACTGGCGTGGAGCTTGGCTCCTCTACGAGGAGTCTCTTGCAGCCATATTCCTCGGTAGAGGAACAAGGCCTCCACGGCTAGTGGCCCACGGAGTGCCAGCGGAGCGGCTTGCTAGCCCCGCAGGGAAAGGAGTAGTACCACGCTATGGGGTATGCAAGCCGCTCCGCTGGGCCCCTGCTCGGGGAGAGCCACTGGCGTGGTGCCTAGCTCCTCTACGAGGAGATCCCCCTTCGTAGTCACTCTTTCCTCGGTAGAGGAACAAGGCCTCCACGGCTAGTGGCCCACGGAGTGCCAGCGGAGCGGTTTGCTAGCCCCGCAGGGAAGGGAGTAGTACTACCCTACGGGGTCTGTAAGCCGCTCCGCTGGGGCCCCTGCTCGGGGAGAGCCACTGGCGTGGGGCCTGGGTCCTCTACGAGGAGAACCTGGTCAGACGCCTAGTGGTCCACAGAGTGTTCTGCTAACTCGTCAGTGCTACAAGCCAACTATCGTAACTACTGTGTCGTACCTGCTGTGTCGTAACTGTTGTTTATTTATATGTATGTAATTCTTTCTACTACGCTCTATGTGACTCATTGGACCAGATGGGCCTTTCTCTCTCTCAACAAAAGTCTGCCACTCAACATGTCGTTGGCCTTTTGCAACTCCTTCCAGTGGACAGTCTTCCCCTTACGCAACTCGACGTTGGCCTCGTTCTTGTAGAGATCCTTGACGCAGGTGAACTTGATTTGTGCCCCCTGGATCCCGATCACCACGGCGGAGTCCTCTTGCTTTTGGCTGTACTCGTGGATCTTCAGGCCGTAGATCTCGGCTGCATGGTACTTCTTCTTGTTCCATTCTTCGATGTATTGGACGGACTTCACCGAGAACCGCACGGCATTGACTCTATCCATCGACAGTGGCATGAACCCCTGTTGGACATGTCCTGGGACCATTTCCGTCATTATCTTTGTATGATTCAAATATTTCGACAAGTTTCAGGTCTGGTCTTAAAGTGTTGGAGGATGTCTTATTGGAGAGGTATGCATCTATTGCTACATCAAGCTTCCAGCCACTCTTTTCAAGCCATTTGGTCACTTCACCAGATGAACAACCAGTAACGGCTGTAAATTGCTGTTTCAATGCAGATTTGTTCTGAAACATGGACTAATGTAGTTAGTATCAAATACTTCAAAAATATGGGATAAGCTTTGGGGAACAGGAGAAGATCATTATACCTCGATTGCCGTGTATCCAATTTTGGAAAGAAATCCCTTTTGAATATATATTTAATTCTTCATTCAATGGAGCAAAATGACTGTATGCTCTACCAAAGAAGACGCAAACTGGCAGTTTTGCTCTCGGTGGTTATCATTACAAATGAAACTCTCTTCGTCTTGCGGGGTTTACAAAGTAAACCATATTTGTTCATAACTATTAAGTAAAGTCTTCCTCTAAAACAGAGGAGGACAACGTTGTATTATGCTCAGATATCCCCTCTGTTTATGATTTCCCTAAATGAAACATACCATAGGCGTAATATATCTACTACAGAAGTTGAAATATCAAAATCAATATAAATAAATCTGCATGTACAAATTAGTAAATGAGTGTTTCAAACATGAGTAGTATTATGTGCGCGCATTTTGTTTGTAATATTTGATAATTGAACCCACATATACTCTGTTTACCTTTTCTGCAGAGTACTGACTATGTCACTACCGTTGACTAGAGACTTGATGGAGAAGATCCTATCTGCACCAACCTTATATAACCATAACTATGACCAATTTGCAGAGATTGAAAATGACGTGCAGCTATTATTAGATTGGCTTGATCCATGTTTTCCATCACCACAGAATGTCTTTATTGAACCAACCCCAAGAGTGAAACTGGCCATACGAAGCTGTTTGAAGGATGATAGAAGTCAATTGGATTTTATCCATCTCTACAATAACTCTATCACCACCATGTTCAGGGAACATTCGCAGGTGTTTGTACAAGAAAACTTTCTTGATCTTGTGAAAACAATTCATCAGATCAAACAATACTATGAAGAGTACTTGAGATATTTGAATTTGGGCCAGCTTGCTGCAAACCTCTTTGAACGTAACTTGAATGCTCTATTCTATACTCATCTTTTGGACTCAGATAATGATTTCACTCTGATTATGCGACAGTATTTCTCATCTTCACTTTTTAGTAGTGTCCAAAAATCACAACTTACACAATGCATATCAATACTATACTCGTGTGGCCTTCGGGATGAGGTCAATGGTCACATAGTTCTGATTTCTATTGAACGAATAAAGACATATATCCACGGCGTATGCTCTGGCGTGTGGGATAAACCTGTTCTCAATCAAATCAATGATTGGGTGAGATTGGAACTATATATTTATTTCAGCATCATTATCCCTAAATCCGAACTAGATCTGCAATATCTTTCTGATTTAACGAAGATAGCCCATGACGAGTTGGTTCTGTTACGTATTCTGGAAATATTCGACATTGTATTGGACTTTCCACATTCTCAAATAGCGCTTGATGAACTTCACCGTTGTATCTTACCATCTAGAAATATCGGTGATAGTTATCTTTTGGCATCATTATCTGTTCCACTCTTATCATCACAATCGTTTCAAAGAGAGAAATTAGTCAATAAGTTTATCGAAATGTGTCAAGATCGCATATTACATTCAGGTGCCGATACAATCGATGTAGTCATTTGTTATACATCAACAATAAAGTCCTTTTTGATTATAGATCCAAAGGGTGTTATTCTTGATAAGGTAGTGAGGCCAATAAGACGATACCTCAAAACAAGAAGTGATATAATATCAAAGTTGGTCCATGGTTTATTGGATGATAGTAAGAACAATCGTTTAATTGAATTAGCAATGGAACTACGTAAAATTCCTCAAAAAAATCCAACAAATGATGATTTAGATTTAAATTGGATTCCAGATCCAATCGATGCCTTACCTGATTTCAAAAAGGGGAAGGTCAGTGATGTGATTGAATCCTTGGTCTCGATATTTGATCTGAAAGTGGTTTTTACTAATGAATTCACTCAATTATTTGGACACAAACTTTTAAATCTTCGAGATTATGATGTTTCTGATATCGTAGAAAGTTTAAAATTATTGAAGCTTAGATTTGGAGAAAACAAATTTACCACTTTGGAAATTATGATAAGAGACATTATTGATAGTAAGCAAACAAACGAGAATATTTTCCAAGGAAAGAAGACCAGTATGGGTACTGTTTACCATCCAAAGATTCTATCACATATGTATTGGTCTATGCTTACTGAGGAAGAATTAAAAATCCCTGAACATATCGAAAAACAATTTCAGGAATACAGCAAATATTACAGGGATGTTAAATATGGACGTGGTCTTAAATTGGTTCCGAGTTTAGGATTAGTCAAGCTTGAATTAGAGTTTGAAAATGATGTTAAGGCATATTTTGAAGTAAGTCCCTCAGAAGCCACTGTCATTTATTTATTTGATGGGAAGAATCAGTTAACAACTAATGAAATATGTGAAAAGACTGGGATGAATACTTATAATGCACTTAAGGCGGTAGAATATTGGATTTCTCGTGAAATCCTTATAGAAATATCAAAAGATGTATTTGCACCAACCTTAGTTGCTCCAAAGCAGCTGTTAGATGAAGGCAGTTCCTCATCACGTCTGGGAAGCACGGTATTTGCCCATAAATTTGCTAGTATTGATACGATTTGGCCATTTATCACTGGAATGCTCACCAATCTAGGACCCTTGCCAGTGGTTAAAATACAATCTTTTTTGAACATTACAGTGCCCAAGGAACAACAAGAACTTTATTCTCAATCCAATGTTTCGTTGACCGAGTACTTGGATTGGTGTAGAGAAGAAGGGCGATTAGAAATGACTGGCTCCCTATACAAGATTAAGAAATAGTTATAAACTTTATGAAATAATTGCTACTATGTTCCTTTCTAGATATTTTGCTTGATATACCTATGTACTTTCATATTTAACTTATATTTCCATTGACACTCTTTGAGATGTCAACTCCACTAACCTTTTGCGTATAACTAGAAGATGGTTGCCATTTTCTTGTAGATTTAATTTCATCCATAGCATAGCCAGGGATTCTGATATTCCAGTTCCTTTCTAAATGCAATTGAACATCTCTCACGTCAACTGACTCCATCTTACGATGCTTAGCAAGACGACATGCAAACCCGGTCACTGATGTTATGAATTCATCGGCCAAGTCAAGCAAAAGTTCTTCAACATCACCATCAATGTTTGTTTTACCGTCCCCTTCATCTGCGCCAATAGTGTTAACCAATTCATTCAACTTACGTTTTGTTAAAACTCTTCCTGCGTTATCAGGTATACTTTCACCAGCACCAACGGAAAGCTCGTAAGTTGGAAGTTTGACCATTGCAGGAGTACCTAAAATAGGACCCATTCCATTTGCTCCTCCGCCCATCAAAGTAGCACGAGAAGTATTTGCGTTTGGTTTCAATGTTACTGCAGTAGGGGGTTTCACGTTAATTGTGCTTGAGATAGGAATTGGTGGGACACTTGGTTTAGTTATTCCGGATAAGTTAATCAGTGGTGGACCCAGCATGGTTCCTCCTGGAGAAGGTTTATTTGGGGTTGCAACGGAGTTCATGCCAGGAGGCGAAACTGATCTACCTTGTTTGGAAAGATTACCAGTCATATTAGATCCTGAAACGGGGAGAGAGTTGGAGAATGTATGGGTGTGTGGGTGTTTATTATATTGGCAGTACATTTTTATGGGTGTAATTTTGCGGTCAACTTTCGAAACAAGATAATAATAAAGTGGGTTATAATATATTGGGTGATAGGATAAGAACTTCTAACTTAAGTAAACTACAATCCAATATAGATGATTTATTATCTCTTTCATCTCTGACTTTCCCCTCTATTGTCACTACTCTCCATAGTTTATCTCTTATTTATATATATTTTAAAATACAACTATCTATCCTATAAACCTTGTTGTAATCTTTCACCAATCTTCTTAGATGCAAATGACAATGCATTGAACAACCCCTTTTCAGACAAATCAATCTTGTTCAAACTCATCTCAGATGAAATGTTGTTGGCGTTACGAGGGTCTGTTACACGTGAAACTATGATGGCTGGATCAATTTCCAAAATAATTCCATCATCAATAGTCTCATCAATACATAAACTGACTAAATCATATTTTTCCAAAATAGTGACTTCATCTAAAGTATTGTCCAATAAGATATTCAAGGCATCAATCAAGTTGCTGGTTAATGAATAGATCAACGATTCATTTTCCGACAATGCGGCAACAAGGATCAACACAACGTCGTTGGATTGCTTATAGGTGATCAAATGGTTGTCATACAATATGATGTCTTGGTTTTGTTTGTAAACCTTTTTGAATACATTAGCTTCGAATTCAAGTTGTTGTGTTTGAGTGGCGTATGCTTCCTTGGAGTAGTACTTGCTATAGAGTCTAGATCCGTGTGAGTCGAGAATAAGACACGCAGACACGGTTTTTAGCGAGACATTAGACATGGTTTGGGTGTGTCTTGTATAAGTGAATGAAGTATTGAGAACACGTCAATAATACGGACGTTTTGATATTTGAGAATTCGCGATTCGAACTCAAAGACGGAAACATTATGAGAATTTTGAGAAATTTCCAAAATTCAATTTTGTGTGTACATTAGAAAATGATTAATGGAGGTTGATTATAATTTAGCAATGCCCGGATAAATTTTAAAATAACATACTATGAGGTAGGTATGTGAAGATGTGAAGATAATCTATATTTAGGATAGCTTAGTAGAATAAAAAAGGTAAAAATTGATTGTTGAAAAAATATTATAGAGTTAGTTTGCAGCCAACAACATAAGATTCCAACAGGCCGAAGAGTCTAGTAGCTTACAAGTAAAGCAGAGTCACTGACTCATTCGATATTCTATTATGGATATGGTAAGATTGGTTCTATTGATTAGAGAAAAGATTAATTAGATCATTGAAGGTAGGAAGTGGGCAAAAAGAAAGCAAGACATCCGCGTAGAATGTTTCACATAGAGTCTTCTAATCTATCTCGATTAAATGTACCATAAATATCACAATTTTATTATATAATATACACAGATAGCCTATTATTCAATATGAGAAGCTTCGGTCTTTTCATTCCATTCTGGGTTCATGACCGCCATTCTTTGATGGGCATATAAAGGAGGAAGAGGTGCAACCTTTCTGCGTAAAAACACTCTTTGAATTTTGTTCCAAAAGTGAGCTGTTTGCCATTTAGCATGTTTCATACAACTGACACTGAAAACTTCATCCAATTCTTCCAAGGTCAAACCCTTGGTTTCTGGCAAGAACCAAAGAACTAAGAAGAATCCAACAATGTTCCAAGCAGCATACCAACCAAAAGCACCTTGAGGAGTGAAAGCAGTCTTCAACATTGGCCAAGTTAAGGCAAGGACAAAGTTAAAGAACCAACATGTTGCGGTTGCGAAACCCATACCCAAGTCACGGATATACAATGGGAAAGCTTCAGCGGAATAAGTAAATGGAACTGGTCCTTCACCAGAAGAATAGACAGCAGCAAACAAGTAGATACCAGTGATAATCATACCAACTCTACCATTTGGATTGGTTTCTTGGTCAATGAAGAATCCCATTCCTGTCACTAACAAGAACACACACATGATAGGGAAAGTCGTTAATAACAAGTTACGTCTTCCAAATGTATCAATGGTATAAATTGCAGGGATAGCGAAGATGAAGTTGATCATACCAAAACCCCAAGAAGCCAACAATGAGTTGATTTCACCCATGTTAGCTTCGATGAAAATAGATGAAGAATAGTAGGCAATGACGTTGATACCACAGAATTGTTGCATAAACATGACGATCCAAGCACCTAATGCACCGTTTCTATTACGTCTAATGGTGAACATTTCAATCAAACGTTTCCAGGTTGGAACACCCTCATAAGATCTCTCCTCGGAAAGCAAAACATGTTGATAAAATGTGTCTCTAGCAGCGGTAATTTTGTGGAAACGCAATTGACACAATGAATCAAATGCTTCTTGATGTCTGCCTTTACCCATCAACCAACGAGGAGATTCTGGCACAAAGGGAACTTGGAACAAAACGACGACAGCAGGGATCATGGCGGATGCCAACATCAATCTCCAATGAAGACCACCACCAATGCCATGGTCTCCAACATGGTAGAAAGCCAAAGAAGCAACGTAACCAAACATAATACCAACTGCAGTGAAAAATTGCCACAACATGACCAAGGCACCTCTAATGTGTTTAGGAGTACATTCGGATGCATATGCTGGGACTGTGGCAGATTTAATTCCAACACCGAATCCTAAAAGGAAACGGGCAATAAATAAATGCCACCAATTATTCACAAATCCTTGCCACAAACAAGTGACTGCAGAAATGAAACAAGTCCAGAAGATGGTCCATTTACGACCCAAATGACGGTTGGTGATATCGGACAACCAACATGCGATACATGAGGCGGCAAGGTAAGGAGCACCGTTGACTAACCCTAAAAGCATCAAGTCTCTTCTAGAGTCACCACCGATACCCATATAGGATGGGTAGAAAAGATTGGCACCATTAATGACGGTTTGATCCATACCTTGAACTGCAGCGGACATCGAGCCCAAGGCAATCACAAGGAATAACTTACGGGGGAAATTCCATTTCATTGTGGCTTCTTTATTAAGGGCAACTTTCTCTTCTTCAGACAATTCTGGCATGGAGTTGAATTCACTTGGGGTTCTTGCCACAAGAGCACCACGGGCAAACAATTCAGTGTCAAGGCCGTACTTCAGGGCATAGTTTCTTCCCATTTGTTGTACTTGTTCAGGAGAATATGAAGAAAGAATATTTTGGTCAACTGGTTGCTTGACGTGTTGCTTGGATAAAGTAGATTCAGCATCACTAGCATGCTTTTGCTTCTCTTCCATGGAAGATGAAGAGCTGTGTGCAAAGAATCCATCGTCTGCCGGGGCAGTAGTAATGTCTACTTGGCCCTTGTTGGTCTTACCGGTCGGCTCGGTCATGGAGTAAGTAGGAATGTTTTTTTGACTGCGAAAAGGTAGTGACAACTAAAGAAACAAAGGAAGAACTGAAAAGTCTTGTATGAGGTTGTTAGCAGACTAAATATAGCTATAAGGGCTATACTGAGGATGAATAGAAAGTTATTGTTTGGGTGTATATGCTGAGATGATCTACAGCAAATGGCCCACTATTTATAACTCGAGGCGCCCTTCCATCAAATGGAATGTATATGTGAGTGGGTTTTGAATTTATTTTTTTTTTGGTCATCTATCACACTTATTTGCCCCACCTTTTCCGTATTTTTGAAAGGTTTCTCGGACTCATGTATGGACCTTATTGTATCTGGGGCAGCCATTTGTGAAGAAAAGACGAGAATTGTGAGGCTTGCAGCATGTGCGGCTTAGCAGTTTTTTTTTTTTCTTGACATTACGTACATGGTACAAGAAATAATAGGACCTGTATCCTCCACTTGGTTTACGCCTCCCTTGAAACAGATTGTAGGTGGATGTGCCAGTACCCATGCTATTGTTTGCTTGGTGTAAGTCCCCCTCACTTCAACCCTTGTATTTTCTTCAAGATACAGATACGTTATCAAGTTGTGTGCTCCACCCAATTGTGGATCAAAATTCAGATATGTGGTAGTATCGGCGTTTGTAATTTTATCCGACAAGTCTGAACCTTATTTTTTTTCTTAACCAACACACAATTGCTTGCTCTATCAGACTGGATAAATCTATAAAGTTAGATATTTGTTTCATTTGAAGGCTTCACTTAATTTCTACTATCTACTGTTTCTACTGATAGTAATTTGATATTGCAAAGTATATCGATTACTTCATTCTTTGCCCCACACTTCCCCCGTACTTCTCTACATGCATTATCTAGTCTATCACTACTTCTAGTACAAAATTTTGGGTCAATTCTATGTATCAGACGACATTAAACCTTTGTTTGGTATAATTTCCCGCGCGCGGGCTCCCAACGTACATATGACAAATCGACATATTAAACCCTCACAATAACTAAAACAACAGATTATACATAGCTTTGAAAGATCCTGGAAGGTACATTTGTCGTGTGTACTGCTTATGGTAGGGCTCGTTGGTCGAATAACTAAACTACTCCTCTTCGTGGGCGCATTCCTTATTTTCATTCTTCTAATTTCACATTCTCGCAATTTGCAACCAATCTTTTTTTTTTTTCCTCCCCTCCTCCCCCCACAATAATTATGGAAAATGGTTCAGTTTTTCCCACTAATATTTTTTTATCGCACTGTACGTTGGATTTTAGATTTCTTGTATTTTTTTCTTTTTTAGTTAGCCAAGAACAGCCAAGAATAGAATTAGGAAAGGCATCCGCAATCCAAAGGAGTGTCATAGGAAAGCTCTCCCATTTGGAGAGCTCAACCGTATTGATAGCCGGGATAATAGAAGTATTATGTGAATCTACGCCTGTCTCCGTTAAGTAATTCAAGAGTAGAAACCTAACCGAAACAAAAAATTAATCTACAATTAATGACCGAAATGTTGCACTTTTAGTCTTTTATATTTCTGACTTGATTTTTGAATCGATGACCTATTGGATGGTTAGGATACTTGACATGCCACAGTGCCAAAGTTAGGTCACTTGACATTCCTTTCCTTGCCAAAGAGCTGTACCCCAGGATTCTCTGCACGACTATCGGATTTGGCTTTTGACTTTTCTGTTTTATTTTTTTCATTCAGTGTCGTTTTTGGATATCTATCCGTGTCTGACATTACGTAGACAACTGACAAGAAATAAACACTGGGCAGAATGCAAAGGACGGTGTCAGAGATGTAACCCCATGGGGTGCATAAATTACTATCGTAACGATTAATTCCGAGAATCATACCGCCGTAGTATGGAAGGAATTTTCTTCCTGCCCCACAAATTGTAACTGGATACATGTAGCTAATATTTTTTACTTCTGAACCGTCCCTTGTTTCAAAAAATATATAAAGAATCTTTCCGAGAATCTGTCGTTTTTTTGTCTTATGGGGCAATGGTTACACGAGTAGTAAATATATCCCGATCCTTCTACGTTTACAATACGAGAATTTAAAACCATTAACGAACAGTTAGCCTCTTTCCTCGTGAGAGGAACAAGGCCCCCACGGCTAGTGGCCCACGGAGTGCCAGCGGAGCGGCTCGCTAACCACGTAGGGAAGAGACTCGTACATGCTGTAAGACGCTCCGCTGGCCCCTGCTCGGGGAGAGCCACTGCGTGGAGCCGAGCTCCTCTACGAGGAGACCGCTAGTGGCCCAGTGAGTGTCACTGGAGAAGCCCACTAATCCCGTATGGTCCTCCTGTCCCCTTGCCATGGAGTGGCGGAAGAAGCTCTCCGGAAATGAACACTACAAACTGTCATTCTCCAACTTCTAACCTTCAAATCTTGCAAAAACTTCTACAAATTTCAGAGTCTCTAGAATTACTGTCTACCCCATTATAGACATGCCCTAAAATAGATTCCTTCATTGATTCCAACTATCCCACCTTATTGTTTGCCCAACTTCGCAACATTAAGATCGTTCCCTGGGTTATATGCAAACCGTCTCGGATTTGTGTTTTTCTCTGATTTTTATTTTTCTTCTATGAAAAACCCTTGTAGGGCTTGTGCCACGTGGGGATGTGTACCCTTCATTCCAATTTTACTCACAAAACTAGAAAATGTTCATGTAGAAAGTTCTAAAAATGTGTGAACAAATAACCAAAAACTTTGTATAATTCCGACCCAAGCATACCAAGCAATATGTTAGTTCAATGCTTAGTTTCTTTTCTTTTTTTTCCCAGCTCCTTCTATTCACTCGTAGTGTTTCATTTTAAAGTGCTATCCCCGAAAGTAGCCAGTCGGTAGTCTCTTTATTATTTTTCTACTCTGTACGATAAGCCTAATTTTTTTTTTCTACCCTTCCTACACACACACATGTCTAATTTATTGACACTGCATTCTGCAGTACTAATCAATTTACTTATGCCGACATCTATTGTAACCAACCAGAGCTTTTTTTTTTCTCCTAAGTTCCTCTCCTCGAATATACTTTCAGAGCTAGTTCCCCCCTCTACCTGTTCCTCTACTTCGTCACCACAACCATGCTCTTTGGTAACAAACTTGACAACGAGGTCTACGCGCCATGGAAGGAGTTCTACATGAACTACACTTCCCTCAAGAAACTTCTTAAAGAAGGTGTCATCTTGAAGAACAATTGGACCGAAAAGGATGAACTGAACTTTGTCACTGCTTTGGATTCTGACTTGGAAAAAGTTTACACTTTCCAGTCCAACAAGTATGACGAGCTCAATGAAACTTTGGAAACTCTTCAATCACAAACAGAAAATGCTTCTAGTGGGTTTGATGAAGTCAAGTTCTCTACCAAGTTGGAAGAAACTTTAACCCTTGCACAAGAACTTGAACATTTCCAACGTCTTAACTACACTGGGTTCACCAAGATTGTCAAGAAACATGACCGTATCCATCCAGAATTTTCAGTCAAGCCTCTTTTGAATGTTAGATTGAAGAACTTGCCATACCATAATGAAGATTACTCTCCATTATTGTACAAGATTTCTGCTCTTTTCCAATTCTTGCGTGACAACTATAATGTTGACCAATCCCTCTCCAAGTTGTCCTCCTTCCATGAAGACCAATCTCATCAAGAGTTTGATTCTTTCAAGTTTTGGATCCATAAGGATAACTTGATGGAGGTGAAAACCAACATCTTGAGACATTTGCCCGTGTTGGTGTTCAACTCTCATCGCCCACAATCTTTTGATGACTTGATGCATGACGACTCAGATGACGAGAATGAAGATGATAACCCAACCATTAATTGTTTGTACTTTGACAGTCCTTCCTTTGAGTTGTACAACGATAAGTTGGTGAAGAATGCAAACTCTTCCTCGTTGAGAATTAAATGGGTCGGCAAATTGTCCGATAAGCCCAAAATTAGTATTGAAAAGAAAATCTTTGATCAAACTAGTCAAGATTTCAATGTTGGTGAAAAACTCACATTGAAGGAAAAATACCTTGATGCCTTTGCCAAGGGTACTTTCGACCCAACTAAGTTTGTCAATAAGATGATCAAGCGTGGTCTGAGCCAAGCAGACATCACCAAGTTTGCTGACGATGTCACCAACTTGGAATCCTTCATCAAGGAACATAACCTTCAACCATGTGTTAGAACCACCTACAAGCGTACTGCCTTCCAGATCCCAGGTGATGACAAGGTACGTATTGTCATTGATTCCGACTTGAAGTTCATCAGAGAAGATGCATTTGATTCTGAAAGACCTATCAGAGATCCTCTGAAGTGGCATAGAACAGACATCGATTCCAACGTTGGCAACGTAGATGCCTTTTTGAGAAAGGGAGAATTTTCCAAGTTCCCATACTCGGTTATGGAAATCAAGGTTAAAAAGCAAAAACTTACTCAAAGTAAACGTTCTCAATGGATTAACGATTTGGTTTCTTCTCATTTAGTCAAGGAAATTCCAAATTTTTCCAAGTTTATTCAAGGTATTGCTCTGTTGTTCTTGGAAGATGATAAATTGGATAACATCCCACTTTGGTTCCATGACTTGGAAGGTGATATTAAGGTCGACCCTGAACAAGCCTATATTGATCAGAAGAACAAGGCTGTCAAGCAACAAAATGATCAAGAAAACTTGAAGAAGTTTAAGAGCATGTTATCCAACTCTGCTTCTAGTTCAGGTAACTTTTCTCCTAGATCCAAGTCCTTTAGTGGTTCTGTTCTACTTGATCCTCCTTCACCCCTGACCAAGGGCAAGGCATTCATTCTTGACGAAGTCACCGAAGAAGATTCAGGCGTGAAACCTGTCAAGGCAGTGCAAGATGAAGATGACGATGACGATGATGATGACGATGATGATGAAGATGATGAGGAAGAAGCTAGAAACTCTCTCACTACCAGTAGTTTCTTGAACAAGGTCAGCGGTAGTGGTGCCACTTTTGCCAAGCTCATTGATGCTGACTCTGAAGATGAAGAAATTGAACTTCCAAAGGGTGTTTCCAAGCCAGAGTCTTACATCAAGAACGCTGGTCCATTGAAGATTGAAGCCAAGGTGTGGTTGGCTAATGAAAGAACTTTCAACAGATGGCTCCATGTCACCACTCTTTTCTCTTCGTTGACTTTTGTTGTCTACTCGTCTGCTGCCAAGTCTAACTCTTTCCAAGTGGCTGAAATTTTGGCATACTTTTATTTCGCATTAACCTTGTTCTCGGGAGTTTGGGGCTACTATATCTTCAACAAAAGAAGAGACATCATCATCGAAAGATCTGAAAAACACTTGGATAACATTATCGGTCCATTGATTGTTGCCGTTGGTTTGATCATTGCCTTGGTGGTTAACTTTGTGTTTGGTTTCAAGCATGTTGCTCAACAACAAAATATGAACCTTATGGTTGCTGGTTTAGATGACACCTACTACCAGGACCATCCTTTCCACAAGAGTGTGCACGAGTTCGTGTTCAGTCTTGTCGCTTAATACAGCTACTGTGTGGCTTGAATCTTTAATTTTTTCTTTCTGCCAGTCATAGTACATACATACATGTTAATACTTTTAATAAAAAAAAACAGATATTCTTATTTAAGATTACTTTTAGTAGAAAATATGTTTATTTATCCATTATCCTCTCTTATTAAGCTTTGCAACCATTTCATGTTTAATTGAATTGCGGTCACGTGCGCGTTTCTAGATTTGATATTTATTTAGATTTCAAACCCATGAGATACAATGACAATGGTTATCTGCAACTATTAATGGATTCAAACTTACAATCAGGGGGTAATCCCATTTTGTTACGGGAACGGAGGAGTAATTTCCGAGGTCTAACAAATGGGTATAATTCCTATAAACTCCCCGGTTCAAACATACAAACAACCACTGAAGATCAACAAAATGTAGGAAACGATGAAGACAACCAAACAACCTCACATTCAACTCCTGAGCCTGACTTGTTCCATGTGGTTAAGTCGATAATATTTCAGATATATCATGTCTTTATTGGCTTGTTTCTATCGTCGCAACCCCCTTCATTGGGAGGTACTATTGAGAAAGAATCATCGGATAATACAATTCAAAAAAATGGATTTGTAACATCAACAACAAGGGCCAAAGATCTGTCTAATGATATCCAAGAACGTTCCATTGTCCAGAGAGTTAACGGTCAAAATGAGGGCCCCACTTTCACCAAAGACCTTGTAGCACTCCTCAATAACAATGGGAAGGACGATTCCGATACTGAAAGTGAATCTGATGGCTTAGCAGGACCAGAACAATACGGGACAACTTTCAACTTGGTCAAACAACTACGTGATCCTACCCCATTATTGGATAGTGGTGACCTTCTCCTTCAAATGTCTGACGATTCTTCAATCGAGTACAGAGTACGCGAAATGTCTACCCCTCGTGCTCTGATATCGCCGTCCATAATATCAAGTCCTTACCATCAGGCGATTGCCAAGTTTTATCTTCCTCATACCCCGGTATCGAAATATCTGATTGTAGATACTCTCATCAAGGATTTCCGAAAATCTGATCTCGAACAAATAGATGAAGACAAGCAACGCCAACAGTTGATAACAAAGGAACGTGAGAGTGCAACCTCGCTTATTAAACCTCTCTCGAGTGACCAACAGGCAAAATTATACAAAATATGGTCTACCTCTAACCAACTGATCATTGTATCATCCCACTTCCAAATCGATATTACTGTCAGAGATCTACAAACCTTGTGTGATAATCAATGGCTCAATGATAATGTGATTGATTTTTATCTTAATTTAATCACTGAACAGTCGCTGAATGTTTTCTGTTGGACTACTCATTTCTTCACAACTCTTCAATCCAAGGGGTATCAGGGAGTGGCACGTTGGTCTAAGCGTAAGAAGTTAAATGTCACTCAAAAGGATTTGATATTGGTTCCAATTAATATTATGGGGACCCATTGGGCACTTGCAGTGGTAGATAATGTGAAAAAGAAATTTGCATATTATGATTCATTATCTTCGCTGGGTAACAAAAAGGCCCTTCAATTGCTTGTGACTTACATGCTGGAAGAGGGGAAGAAACAAGGTTCTTCAATAGACTTTCATTCATATGAAATAATACCACTTGCAGAGACTCCACAACAACAAAATGGATATGATTGTGGAGTATTCTCATGTACATCTGCATTCTTTGTATCCAAAGGTAAGCCACTTAAATTCAGTCAAAAGGATATGAAACTACTCAGAAGGAAGATGGCTTATGAAATCCTTACTAAAGAGTTGATAAAGTAAATTCATCTACTTAAAAATAATTGTATATTAGAAATAAATCAAAACTTCACTATTTACATAATTCATAAAATTCAATTGAATAATTTAGCTACTGAAACTCAATTTCAGTAAGAATCCGCTATCTTGCTTCGATTGTTTACTACACACCGTTTTGATCTTCTCTTCGTACTCTACAATCTTCTCTGTTGAGGCTACGACCTTAGCTTGGATATATTCCAAACGGGTCTTTAATAACTTCAAATCCTGAAGTGCTGAAATCTTGGCGATTTCATCCTCAAACTTGGCAATTTTAGAGTTCTCCAATTGGATCAAGTTGGTGTAGTAGTCGGATTCATAGATCTTAAAGATATTGTCATCTGAAACTAAGTTCTTGAACGCTGCCCGGTAAAGTGGACGGCCCGTGGCAATGTTCAAAAGAATTCCCTTATCACGAGAAAGCGATACCAAGTCATGTTTCTCCAATGTAGCCAAAGTTGAGAGTGTTTCTGAAGAGGATTTGAACAAAGGACTCTTGGTCAAGTCAGTATAACGAATTTCTTCCTTTTCCGCCAAGATCTTCATGATAGCCCAGACTTGTGCCGAGTTCCAATTGTTTTCCACGTCTGATCCATTAGATTTATTGAGGAAGAAAGTAGTAATTTGCTCAGCAGCTTGATTAACCATTTCTTCGAGTGCATCGTCTGGAGTCTCTCCGGATTTTATACGACGAATAAAGGCTTGCAAATCGAGCATTCTACCACCAATTGGTTCCAAGCAAGCGTCAACTGCCAGTTTTTTGAACTCCAGATTGGCCAATTGGTTCAAAACGTATTGGTAAGAACTTTTCTTGGTAGCATCTGACAAACTGATAGTCTTGAAAACTTGGTTTGGTAATGCGTCTGTCAAATGTTGAATACTTCCAACGTCGTGCGTAATATAAATGACGTGAGCCAAATTGCTTTGAACAACCTGTGAGGTCCATTCAGCAATCATCTTATACACGAAATCATGATTACTATCGGACTTAAGAAGGTACTTATTGATAACAATTATTGGCTTGTTTTCAGGATGTTGTTGAAGATATTGATCCTCTTTGAGGATTTCATCTTCGATAACAATTCCAGAAGCGGTGGTATCTTCTTGTTTAGCCTTGCTTCTTTCCTTTCTTCTTCTCGACTTGAGAACTCCATTTGTGTATTTAGAGTAGTCCTTAAGAGCAACTGTACGAAGTGCTTGTGTCGTAAGCAGGAGCATATTCTTCATCTGAGTTTCCTTGGATTCACTCAATCCGGATTTCTGTCCAGTGATACCCTGAACACCTAAATCAATGAATTGGGAAATAGAATTGGTCCATGTGAAAAGTGGGAAATATCCAAGTTGATGGGCTGCATTTTGAAGCAAGGCATTGTCTGAACGAGCCTTTACAAGGCTATCACAGTCGATGTAAAGCACCTTCAACTTCATGTCATCATCTTGCAGAAATGTATGGTCAAGAACAAATTCTTGTTTCCCTGAACCCTTTGGACCCTTCACCACAATAAAAGTGTTAACATTTTCATAAATCCAAAGTTTCAATTGTTTAACTTTTTCAAATCTTTCTGTCCACAAAATGTTCAGGTCCAGAGAGAAATCACCATCGTCATCATTCAAATCGCCTGAGAAATTTGTCAAGCTTTTCGATAATTCCTTGGCCTTGTCACAATCTTTGATTATTTTATCATCAATATAATCGTAACCTTTATTAACAAAACGCTTTAAATTCTGATATGGAACATAGAATAATTGAATGAATCTATTATCCTTGTAAGTTTCAAATGAATATCTATGGGAGATCTTTTCTTCAATAAACCATTCTCTAATTGGGTCGAAAATGAATACAGCGGCAGTGGCTAACAATGCTAAAATCGCAGGCACGGAGATTCTTTGATGGTCTACAATGAAATTTGCAATATAGTTGACTCTCTTGACAGGAATATATTGAAGATGAAGCAGGGTCTTGCCCTTGTTCAACTTAATCCCAGTAATACAATTCTTGGCAGAAATGGCCGATCTTACGTTTCTAAAGATCACAACAGCATGAGCTTGGGTGCTTGTTTTGGGTTGAATGTCTACAATCATTCCATATCTTCTGAACAAAAAGTACAACTCTTCTTCGGTCAATGGCTCTCCCTCAAAGGCAACTTTAAGCAAGGCACTGGGGAATCGTCTCAAATCTTCTATCCATGGCGTACCCTTAACTTGGAAACATTTAGGGTAATGGTTCCAAATTTTGTTTGTAAACCGATCAAACCAATCTTCATTTTTTTCATTGGCCTTGATATTATCACAAATCTGGGAAATAAGCTCCTTGGCAGTGATTTCAGGTGGAACGGAGAATTTGATGAAAGCACCACCATCACGTTTCACGGGGATTAATTCTTGGATGGTGGCACCAGCGGGCAATCTACTGTGCTTAGTATTGGCGAGATGGAGTACCCTATCCTTAATTTGACGATCATCATAATATTTTTGGAATTGCAAGATCCATCTGAAATACAGAACCAAAGATAATTTGGAAACAGAAAGTGGATAGATATGGTCAAAATAAAGCACAACTTCACTTGTGTTTACATCAATGACACCAGTGGATGAAACTGAAGTATCAGTCTCTAATTTATCTTCCAGTTTAAGGTCCCCCACATCTGAAGAGTAGTGGCGGTGTGACAAGAAACGGCGATTAGCAGCAAGTAATGGCAAAGGCCGTGGTCTTTTGACTGTCAAAGCCATTGATCGACGACCCCATGGCACAAAGTTCCGTCCTATCACGCTATTTAGCTGATATAACCTTGAACTGAACATGGTTTAAGAATATGTGATATAATAATATATTAGCTAGGGAGGCAATTTTTACTGTTGCTATGTAAAATATGTGTGAGATGATAATACACACATGATAAGCGAAATGTCGTGCACACAGTGATGGTAACACCACTAAAGTTAAAACAATAAAGATCTCTACAAAAAAAAAAAAAAAAGAATAAATTTACTTTGGTGTGTGTGAGTGTTGGCTATTGCTGGCAGTACCAGCGTCCCTCTATAGAAATTTTCCATAGACAAACTAAACAAGCGCTCGATCTTGGCCTCGCTTTGAATCATTGTGCCACAGAAAGTCACAAGGATCTTCGAAGAGGCCAGTAGTAAAAAAAATAAAGAATACAATAAAGAGAGTCACAAGAATGTGTATGTATTTGTGCTATTTAGGAGAGGAGTATATCAAAGGATCTTGAGAAAATGGTTTGAAAACACTCCCAATATTTCATTAATAATACTCTATAGAAAACGATTGAGTAGAAAAGGTAAAGAATGTCTTTTAGAAAAAAATTCATTTCTCTAAAAATTTATTTCTATATTTCCAAGAGGGTCGTGTATGGTTCAATTATAAATCCGGGTTACCCCCTCTCCATAAAAAGAGGGTATGTATGTACTATGTCACTAGGGCTATTCAAGAGACACTTTTTTTTTTACAAAAAAAAGTTAACTGAATGATATTAGTAGATTAGTTTAATCTGGAGTGAATTCTAATCAATTGTTGATGAAGGAATTTGTGCCTTTTCAGCGAAAAAATCTCCAGTTTTCAACGGTCTAACCGCATCATTTGTAGCCAATTCCACTTTTTTACCATTCTTAAAGTTCTTCCTTATATATTCACGCATTGCATTCAAGGCAGCTTCTCTACAGAGTTCTTTCAAGTCCAGTCCACTCAAACCTTGTGTGTGGGTAACGATGTAATCCATGTCAAAATCTACTGGATCAACCGTAGTTTCTTTCAAGATTTTATTAAGAATGGATCTTCTTTGACTTGCATCTGGTCTTCCAATGGCAAATTTCTTTGGTAATCTACGTAAAAATGCCGCATCAATATCATTTTGTCTATTGGTAGCACCCATCACCATGATTCTCCCGTTCAGCACAAGCCCATCCCATAAGGTCATGAACTCGGCTTTCAACATGGCACTGACTTCGTGATCACTTGAAGATCGGTCTCTCAAGAATGAATCAATCTCATCAATGAATATAATACATGGTTGAAGCTTATTGGCCAACAGGAAAACGGCATCTACAATCTTATTACTTTCTCCATACCATTTATCCATAATGGTGGACATTCTTAACAGAAGGAAAAAGGCACCACTTTCTTTGGCAATGGCCTTAGCAAGCATGGTTTTCCCACACCCTGGTGGACCATGGAATAAAACACCCTTGGGTGATTGGATCAAACTCAGGTGAGTGGCAAACAAGTCAGGTTCTGTCAAGGGGAGAATGACGGACTCTCTAAGGTCATCTATGATATTGGTTAATCCTCCAATATCATCAAAGGTAACCAGAATGTCCTCTGGGGTAACAAGACAATTGAGAAGTGACTTTTCATATTCAGTGAACACAATATTCTTCAATTCTGGGTTTACAGCCTGGATTCTTTTCAACACATTAGAACTCTTCTTACGGGCCTCCTTGGCCTTAACTGAGTTGTCTCCCATGGCTCCTTCATTAAGTAAATGGCTTACAAGGTAGTACATGGAGAGTCCAGCTCCAGTCAAGAAGAACAAGTCTCCCAAAAGCTTGAGATCAACTTTGAACTTCCCGAAATCAATCTTGAATTTGTTCATGGTTTGTGCAGATGAAACTTGATTGACAAACTATGACTGATTCTTCCTTTGTTTAAGTTTAAAGAGCGGCAATTCTTCTTGTCTGCCTTTCGTTCTTCTTTTTTTTTCTTGATATGTTCTTTTGATCCTCGGTACTGCACATGTCATTTATGGGGACCCTAATGAATACCGTGTACGGAAATGTGTTAAAAATGATGGGAATTGAATACAAGAGGAATAGTGTGTTATGTATATATATGAAGCTGAATGGTTATATTAGAGGATAGAGGGTGAGTAAAGGTAAATATATATATAAATATATATAAAAAATAAAAACTTGTAGACATTAGAAAGGAGGACTAATATTTTATTTCATTAAAAAATGACCGGATTTGCTTTGTACAAGTTATAAGATCACCCAATTGTAAATCATAACCTAATTTACACACTAATATAAACATTTATCCTTTAATTCAACTATATTCATACTCTAGTACTACAAAGCTTTACAACATTAGATGGTGTGTTTTTATGGGCTTATCTGCAGTATTTTTGATGAGCTGCAAAAAATCTAAACCAAAAGGCTCATCACTAAACTAATCAATGAGATCCTAATAGATCAATCTAATCTAAACAATATCTCCTAAGAACGTTGTAAATATGAGGGATAATGAAGAAGATGGTCACGGCATTAGATTGCCAGGACTGCTCTTGGACCAAATTAAGCAGAAGGAAGATAAAGGTGAATACAATGAAGATGGTGCTAGATTCACTAAATTCGATCAACCTGCCAATGGGAAGAAAAGAAAGGGTAAACCGATATCCAGAAAGGAGAAACGTCAACAAGAACGTGAGCTCAAGAAGCAAAAACGTACCAAGAAACCAGCCCCGGTGAAGAGACAACCCCCATCAAGTACCAAGAAGCAACAGAAACAATCTACCAAAGCTGAAGCTAAAAAGACCAATGAATCGAAAAACAGTTCTGGATTAAGAATCGTTAAAGAAGATGATTTGGATGATGATGTAGTCAGTGATTTTGATGACATGAGTGACGATGAAGAAGAGGAAGAAGAAGAAGAACCAAGAAAGTCAAATGGAAAGAATGTTGATGGGTTCAGAGTAGTGAAGGAAGATGAATTGGATGATGATGAATTTTCTGATGAAGAAGACTTTGATGAAGAAGATTTGGGAGAAGATGATGACTTTGATGAAGAAGAGGAAGAGGAAGAGGAAGATGATAATGATGAGAATCCATTGGAAAAACTTCGTAAATTGAAAGAAGCTAAGAAGAATAAGAAGACGGAAGATGACCCAATGGAACAATTAAGAAAGATCAAGGAGGCTAAGAAGAATAAGAAGACGGAAGATGATCCAATGGAGCAACTTAGAAAGATCAAGGAAGCTAAAAAGAATAAGAAGTCTCAAGAAGAAGAAGATACAATGGAACAACTTAAAAAAGCCAAAGAAGCTAAGAAAGAAGCTAAGGAAGCTAAAAAGGCTAAAAAGGAAGCTGAAAAGAAATCCAAAAAGAAAGAAGTTGTAGCTGAAAGAATAATCTCTAGTAGAGAACGAGAACTCATGGAAAAGGATGAAAAGGAAATGGCTTACTACGCCAAGAAATTGGGTTTGAAGAATGGAAAGAAAGGTAAATTAACCAAACAGGGCGAAGATGATGTTATCGGTGGACTCTTGGATGGATTGGACTTTGATTTCCTGGATGAAGAACCAATATACAACGAAGAAGATGATGATGATATAAGAAACATCCAAGAAGATAGCGGTAGCGAAGAAGATGGATACGATGACGAAGAACAAGGCGATGAAGGTGAAGGTCATGACGATATGGATCTTGATGAATTTGACGAAGACGAATTAAGAGAACTTCGGGAAATGGAAGATCTTGAAAATGCATCTGAAGATGAAGACACTGGTGATACTCACATGGTTCAAGCCAAGGAAAATCCTTTCGTAGCACCAGAAGAAGTATCGTCTGGCTCCAAGTATATCCCACCAGCAATGAGACGTCAAATGGCCTTAGCTGCCGGTGGTGAAACTGTGTCGGAAGAAGTTTTGGCTCTTCAAAGAGCAATCAAAGGACCTTTGAATAAATTATCGGAAGCTAATGTTGGTTCCATTGTCAACGATATTAATTCTTTATATTCCACTAACCCTAGACAAGTGGTCACTGAAAACCTTACCAAGATTGTCATGGATTCGGTAATGCAACAAGGAAGACTTTTGGATACATTTGTGTGTTTACATGCTTGTTTGATTGTTGCCATTCATAGATTGCAAGGAACTGAATTCGGTGCTTACTTTATACAAACATTGATTGAAAAATTTGATAGTTACTACCAAAATATTTCCAACAGTGGGAAAGAACTTTCAAATATCATTTCACTTTTATCGTCGGTATTCACTTTCCAACTTATTTCCTCTCGTCTTCTTTACGATCTTATCAAGGTGTTGATCAACGATCTTAATGAGAATACTGCTGAGTTATTGCTCCGTTTAATTCAAAACTCTGGGAATCAAATGAGATCAGATGACCCTTCTTCATTGAAAGAAATCATTCTTTTAATTACCAAGAAGTCAAGTGAGATCCCAAAGCAGAATACTAGAACTCAATTTCTTATTGAAACGATTACATCTTTAAAAAACAACAAGTTGAAGGTCCATAATGACTCTAGTCAACAACTTGTCATCCGAATCAAAAAGATTTTGGGAGGCTTGAATGGTAAATATAGTGATCCACTTCAAGTTAGTTTAGATGATATTCGTAACGTAGCAACCAGAGGTAAGTGGTGGCTCGTTGGGTCTGCCTGGAAGGGCCGTGAACAGGAAGAACGCGACTCGCAAGTGAATGACGTTGATCAAGAAGTTATGAATGATATATTGGATAATGCCGAACCAAATTGGATGGAACTTGCAAGATCTCAAAGAATGAATACTGATATCAGAAGAGCCATTTTCATTTCTATTATGTCGGCAAATGATTACGTTGATGCAATGACCAAATTGGACAAGTTAGCTCTTAAGAGATCACAAGAGAGAGAAATTCCAAGAATTTTGATTCACTGTACTGGAGTTGAACCAGCTTGGAACCCATATTACGGTGTTTTGTCCAGTAAGCTTTGTGATAATCACTCTTATAGAAAAACCTTCCAGTTCATGTTATGGGATTTGATCAAAGAATTTGACGGTCCTAATGCTGGTGATGATCTGGAAGAAGAAGATGATTTCCTTGGTTTTGATAACGATGAAACTAGTGATGATGACAAGTTGAAGCGAATCTTGAACTTAGGTAGGTTTTTCGGATATCTTCTTGGTGAAGGTTCCCTTCCATTGAACATTTTAAGAACAGTGGACTTTGTCACCGCCTCCGGTGATACCCTTCTCTTCGTAGAGATCTTACTTATTACTTTCTTGGACCAGGTTGCCAAGAAGTCACAAGTAAATTCTATCGGTGCAGGCTTGAAGGGTTCTAAGGGCTCAAAGAGTATGTACGATGTGAAATTCGACTCTAAAGTTTTGGTTGAAAGAATTGCCAAGGCACAGGAACAACCAATTCTTTTGAAAGGTATCCAATATTTCTTGAATAATAAGGCTAAACAGAGTGGCTTTATAACCGGAAGAAAGCAAAGATCTCGGGTAGAATGGGCTATTGATACTGTTTCAGACTTAGTAGACGATTTGTTGAAGACGGATTATTAGGAAACTAGTGATAATAATGATGATAATAAAAATAATAATAATAATAGATTTTAATATATTATATATTCTATGTACATTCTATATTCTTTCCAATATCGCCACACTCTCTACGTGCTTTGTTTGGGGAAAGAAGTCAAACCCAGTGACTTCTTTGACTCGATACTTGGCAGTATTTCCCAGTTGTTGGAGTCTCTCAAAAGTTGCTAGATCTCTTGCCTGTGTGAAAACATTGCAGCTCACATAAACAATTAGCTTTGGTTGAAACTCAAGCAATTGCCCCATGAAACTCTCACTTGATCCCTTTCTCGAAGGGTCCATTATTACTACCGATTCTTTGCCATCGATTTTCGATTCAATGAATTCAGAATTCTTAAACATATCGTCGGCATTTCCCTCAATGAAACTAACCTTTTCAGGGGTTGAGAGGCCATTAAGTTTTGCATTATGAGTTGCATACTTGAGAGAATTAGCAGCAACCTCGATTCCAAATACTTTCCCCGGGATCTCCAGAGAGAGAGAAATTCCGAAAAACCCAGATCCACAATAGGCATCCACCAAGTTTGTAGGATTGTGCATACTCAAATGATACTTTATATAGTCCAAGACATCTGGAAGAATGTATCTGTTGATTTGAAAGAATTCTGTAGCTGGGAATTGAAATATGTAGTCTCCAACTTTCTCTGTAACAATCTGTGAGGGGTTTGATAAGCACACACTGTCGTACTCTCCAGTTGCATGGTCTACTCTAAAACTTTCTCTCAAGATTAAAGTGCCATCTTTCAATGATTTGCCCGTTTCCTCAATGTGTTTGGATATTTTGGAATGGGTTTCCGTACGGACTTGACGAAGTCCCTGGTTTACAGCGGGGCTGGAGATGGGACAATGTTCCACATCCACCAAGCGCCCTTTCCCCATATGAGCACTGTTGAACCCGATTTCAACAGGCTCACCATTGATTACATGACGTGTTTTCAGTACTTTGTAATGTGGAGTTAATTTCGTACGATACGCATATTGCATAGTAGAACCGTTGACATATCCAAACCCTTCTGGTTGATCAAGTTTGGGATAGAAAAACTTGTATGCTCTCAGAATAATGTCCCTTTTGTGTTCCAACTGGTCGTCATAGGACGTCATTTGAAATTGACATCCAGAACAAGTATCAAACTTTTCACACACCACAAGTTTGTCTCGACGACGAGTACTTGGAGTTTTTATGTCCACAACTGAACCCTCGGCATAGCTTTTGTGATGGCGTAACATTTGGGTATTTACAATGTCTCCTGGTATTGTCTTGGGTATCCTCACCATCCCATAACGATTATTCTCGGGCTCTTCGTACACCCCCAATCCATCTCCTTCTGCTGTTTGATAAATAATCGGTACTTCTTTCAAAGTTTGCGGTCTATCATATGCAAAGTACTCCTGTATTACTTCTGTAGGGTTTTCTATCTGCTCGATGTTAATGCTTTTACCCAGTTTGTTATTAAATGCTTTCAAAGCTTCTTGAATTTCTAAGTGGAGAATGTGATCTCGAGGTGTATCGGCGGCTTCTCTTTTGGTCTTCTTCCGCTGTCTTCTAACAGAAAAAGCGGGTGATGAGCTCAGAAAAGTTCTCAAGGACGCATATCTCAACGTCAGGGCCCCTGTGGCTTTCAAAAATACCATATTCCTAGAGCTCTAGCTTGGTGATCATCAATAAAACTTATCATCGCGATATACGAATACGATTTCCATTTTAGGTTGCAAGAGTTGCAAAAAAAAAGAAAAAAAAAATAACATCTACTCCCTTGGTGGCCTTCCCATTAATCATTTAATAAATTATATATATGTATACATTTTAGCTCGGTTCTAAGCTCCCACGGGTACCTGTGTGGGCTCTTCATCTTCATATTCTCTCAAATCTAAAGTAACAGTTTTTGAACTGTTTTCTCTTTGGTCTCGGTAAATCCCAACCAATGCATCAGATTTCTCAAATAATGAGTTTTTAAGCGATATGACAATAAATTGGAAGTTTGGACCAGCATGAGTACGAATGTAGTTGGCAATCTTGCTGACATTGGAGTTGTCCAAGGCAGCATCAACCTCGTCAAGTACAAAGAATGGAGATGGTTGGAATGAATGCACTGCGAAAAGTAAAGCTAATGCTGCAATAGTCTTCTCTCCTCCAGAAAGTAACTCCATATCTCTGAATCTTTTCATTGGAGGCATTGCGTGGTACTTGATCCCGGCAGTATATGGATCGTCTTCATCTTCCAACGTCAAGTAAGCAGATCCTCCTAGAGGTGAAACTTCAGATTTGGTCAACTCCTTGTAAATACCATCAATTTGATTGGAAATGTGATTAAATGCATCCATAAATAATTCATATCGTTTATCCTTGACTGCGTTAAATTTATCGATTACCTTGTTTTCCTTCTGTCTTGCCTTTGTAAAATCCTTATCAAATTCTCTCAATTTTACTTCGACATCCTTCAATCTTTCGACTGCCTTGGCATTAGGGGCAAGTTGATCTAAATCTTCAATAACTTGTTCAAGTTTTGCTTGTAATTCAGCTTCAACTTTAGCATTAAACGATTCTCTTAATTTCTCTCCCACGCTAGAGTAATCAATTTGAATATCATATATATCCTTGATGAGTGAGTCCACGTCATCTCCGATTGGTAAAAGATCGAGTAATCCATCCTTCAAGGGTAAGTTAACACTCTCAATTTTACAGTTCTTCAAGATATTCACTCTTTCCATATCCACCTTCAATATTGATTCTTCCGATGATATTATCAGTTTCGTAACTTCACTAATATCAGAATTCACATCTTCAATGTTAGCCTCGACGGACTTAACAGATTTCATCTTGGTCAGAAGCTTCTCATTAAGTTTCTTATATTCTCCCTGGGTAACTTCTATTTCAGCTTCAACTTGATCGCATTCATCTTGAAGAGTTTCAATCTCTTCCAAAAGTTCAGATAATTGATCTTCGTACTCTAAAAGTTGTCCTGAAAGTTTGGCTTGTCTTCTTTCCGAAGCAGCTAGCTTTTCCTTCTCGAAATCAACCTTGGATGACAATGTCGAAACAGCCTTGGAAAATTGTGCTCTTTCCTTGGCTCTACTTCTCAATGCAGATCCATGTAGCTCTTCATAGTCTTGAATCCCCTTGGTAAACCCGTATTTTTCACAAAAATCAGCATAAATTGTGCTTTGTAATTGACGAATCTCATCTCTTGTTTCATTTAATTCTTCGTCTATTTCATTCAATTTTTCTTGTTTCTTCTGTTGATCTTTAGCAAGCTTTTTGAACGCTTCACGATGGAAATCAATTTCAGATTTTCTATCTTCAATAATACGTTCAATGTTTGACTTTTGATTTCTCAATAATGGGAGTTTATCATCAACTTGATTAATCTCATCGGTAAATTGTTTGATATCCATTTCCTTTGGTTTCTCTTCATTTAACTTTGACAACTTTAAAAGTAATTCATCTTTTAATTCATTTAAATTCTTCCATTCATTCTTATCCCAATTCAAACTTGCTCCCGATCTCTGTGCTTGTCTACCACCAGTCATTAATCCAGAGCGATGAATCACTGAACCATCCATGGTTACAATCTTCTTATCCAAAGGTTGTCCACTTCTGGAACCCCATTTTAATTCACTGGCTGTTTCCACTGTATCAGCAACCAAGGCATCGCCAATGACATATTGAATAGCTTGCTCTAATGATGGATCATCATATTCCAAGATGTCAAGCCCAGGCATGACATTTTCATGTAATGATCTCAAATATCCCAAGTTAAATGAATCATTAGATACCGAATCAAGTGGGATAAATGTTGCAACACCACTACGTCTCTCCTTGAGGGTCTCGATACATTTGTATGCAACTGAAGTGGTTTCAACAACAATAGAATCAAAATTTTGTCCCAACAATGTCAGTAAGGCAGCTTCATATTTATGTTGACTTGGACGAACTAAATCAGAAACGAGTCCCTTGATGGCCCCTTTAGGGAAACTCTTCTTCAACATGGCAACGTTCTCCCGTAATTTCCTTTGCTTTTGAGATTCCCTTTGTTGAGATGATAAATCATCAAGTTTAACCAAGATATCACGCAATTGTGTATTCAATTCCAACTCTTTATATTTATATTGTTCACCCTTTTGGATCAATTCTGTCTTGCCACGTTCCTTCTTTGCACGAAGCGTCAACGCGTCGTTTATCTCGTTGGAAATGTGCTCGAGTTTCCCTTGAAGTTCATCTTCTAAAATATCTTTCAATTCCGTTATTCTACTTTCCGAATTCAATTTCTGTTTATCAAAGTTAGAAATCGTGATTGAACAGGAATCCCTTTCAGAAATAAGAAGACTTAAAGTTTCTTCCAATTGTGATCCATTAGATGAAAGGAATTGTGCTCTCAATGATTCATATTCTCGTTGACCTTCGGCAGATACTCCGCTATTACTTGAAGGAACAATTTTGGCCAAAAACTGTTCCATCAACTTCTGTGCATCCTTTAATTGACGTTCCACAGTATTTAATTGATGTTGTTGCTTTGATACATCTGAATTCAATTCGCGTATCTTATTACGACAATTTCCAATCTTTGATACTAAAGATTTCTTGGTGGCTTCTGTAGGAATGATATTTCTCTTTTTAGATTCTGCCTTTTGTTGTAGTTCAGCTAATAAATTCTGAGTCTTTTTAGCTTTAAGTTGTTGTTTAGAATAGTCAGACATAAGACTACGCAATGAACTTTCTTCAGACTTCAATTTCCGTTTGAATTCTTTCAATCTATCGGATTCAATGGCAACCACGTCACTCAACTCGTCGTGTCTCCTTTCATTATGGAAAAGCTTATACAAATTGATCAATTTAATCAATTTACTCTTATCGGTGAGCTTACGTTCAAATGCCTCTTGTTCAACAAGTTGTTCCTTATATTGTTTAGATTCGGAATTGAGGATTCTCTTTCTGGAAAATACAGAGTTTGACACTTCATGAGCCTTTTCACGTTCCTCCTTTAATGTCTCATATTCCTTGATATATTCAGTAGATCCACTAATTGTTTCGATTAATTGAGTTAAGTCTCGAGGTGATTGAGACGCGATTTGTTCTACATCTCCTTGAAATACAAGAAAGTTCCTCGCCTTGATCAATATATTCTCCTTCTTCAAGATCGTGGAGTATTGAAGTGCTGTGACCGCCTTACCATTAACACGATATTCACTTGTCCCAGTGGACGTAATCGTTCTTTGAAGTTTTAACTCTTCGCCATCATCCTTCTCGTACACGCACGTCACATATGCTCGGCTTGGGTCTTGTGTGTCTACGTCAAGACCGTCTTCTTCGCCATCCTGGGCACCTGCTCCTCCTCCACGTCTACCTCTATAGATCAAATCTTTCATATTTTGTGACCGTAATTGTGAGGATTTGATCCCAAGCACAAATGAGATCGCGTCCATCATATTAGACTTCCCAGCACCATTTGGACCAATGATCGAGGTGAAACAAGAACTCCCGAATCCAATGCTCGATGTGCCTCGATACGACTTGAAGTTGTGTAATTCCAACCCTACAAGACGACCCATTTTGCGATATTTGGTTTGTTATTAGTATTCTATTACCAAAGATTTTAAAAGGTAAATACTTCAAAATTTATATATTTGACGCGTTAGAGTAAGAAAAAGTGCAGGCGCGCGCGCGCGTGTGTGTGCTACAGACAGTAGTAGTTTCCTCAAACCAGACTCACTGATGATTTCACTTCCCAAACAGGCAGTCTAAGTTATCAGACATTTTTGGCACTTTGTATCCAGGATAAGACTCTGTGCACAGGATTACCGATAGGGAATCGCAGCAGCCACTCCCCTTGACGGCACAACCACAGCTTTAACATATTATAAAAGTTCACTCTTACTTCTATTTTATGTTTGCCCCTTTATCTTATTATAGCTATGTCGTACCCGTCAGAAAAGGAGGCTCTTAGACGTAGCCACCGTGCAAGTGCAGCTGCTGAGCTTGCATGGAAAAACGAAACGTCCACCATATCATGTCCTTCATTTTCAACTCTTCTCTCTTCGTTCCGTTTACCAGGAATCAACTATTTGGAACTAGATAGCGATTCGGAAGATTCTGAAGACGAATTGAAAGCTCTGGCACTGCCCCTTCCCGACTTGCCATATGTGATCAATCCAGTCACTCTCAAGGGCTCCAATAGTTCAGGTGGTTTAGATATGACGGCTGCAGAAAAATTGTCCAAACTCCGTCTTTTGATGAAGAATCATGGGATTTCTGTCTACATCGTCCCCTCGGAAGACGAGCACCAGTCAGAGTACACGGCATTGGCTGATAGAAGAAGAGAATTCATATCTGGCTTCACTGGAAGTGCAGGGATTGCCATTGTGACATTGGATGATGGTGACTCGCTTGTCGGAGAAGCGGCACTCTCCACCGATGGACGATACTTTTTGCAAGCAGAGAAAGAATTGGACTCTCGGTATTGGCGTCTTTTGAAGCAGGGCAGTGCTGGTTACCCTACTTGGAGACAGTATGCCATAGACAAGGCCTTGGCCAGTAAGTTCTCCAATGTTATTTCCGTGGACCCTCGTCTTATCTCCCTTGCAACAGGGGAGTTTTTCGATCGTGCTAGAACTTTACAATACCAAAACAAATATCAATTCATTCCTCTTCTTCAACCGAACTTGGTCGATGAAGTTTGGGGTCCAAATAAACCTTCCAGATCGTTGGAGCCAGTTTATCATTTCCCCTTGAAATATAGTGGAGAACACACCAATGACAAGTTAAAGCGCATTAGGAAGGTCATGGGGGTCACCAAAGATAGTAACACTAACTCTCATTTTGTGGTGACTGCTTTGGATGACGTTGCTTGGTTGTTCAACTTGCGTAGTGATGATGACATTCCCTTCTCGCCCGTTTTCTTTAGTTACTCCATTGTGACCTCAAACTCGGTTGTCTTGTATATTGACAAGGTGAAGATCACCAACGATGAAGTAAAGCAATACTTGTCGACTGTGGATGGATTGATAGTAAAAGACTACTCGTCATTCTTTGATGACCTTTCCCTCTTAAAGGCAAGTAGCGAGGACCTGTCACCTCTTAAGGTTATACTTCCTCTGAAATCTACCGCCACATATGCACTTGTCTCCCAAATCCCACAATCAGTTGCCAAAAGTGATGCTCGGTTTGAGTCAATTGTTTCAAACATGAAGATCATTAAAAACTCGACTGAACTTTTCAATGCCAAAATTGCCCAATATAAGGACTCGCTTGCATTTATTCTATTCTCTTCATGGCTCGAGAATCAGCTCATTGGCAAAAACCGTAAGGATCTTACGGAATATGAAGCCGCCTGTAAGATATATGATATTCGTAGTAAATTCCCCAACTTTAAAGGTTTATCATATGAAACGATTTCATCAACCGCTGGAAATGCAGCTATTATCCACTATGCTCCTACCAAGGAAGATAACTCTATTATCGATCCAACTACCCCTTACTTGATTGACTCGGGTGCCCATTATCTCGAAGGAACTACAGACATTACTAGAACTTATATGTTTGGCAAATATGCAACCAAGAACAAAAACTACAGTAAATGGTATACATTGGTTCTCAAGGGCCACTTGGCCATTGCAATGGCCAAGTTCCCACCGGGATCTACTAGTACAGGAACCATACTTGATGCTTACGCCAGACAACCACTTTGGAATGAAGGTCTTGATTTTAACCATGGTACCGGCCATGGTGTAGGTGCCTTTGGAAATGTCCATGAAAGCCCCTTGTATATTCTGACTACCGCGGGAGGTGCCAACACCGTTGACCTTTTCCAACCAGGCGGGATCTTGACCGATGAGCCGGGGTACTACGTTGACGGAGAATGTGGGTTCAGAATTGAAAGTGAACTTGAAATCATCAAGTGCGATGATAAATTGGGTAAGACTCGTGGAGGTGAAAACTTTCTCGGATTTGGATACTTGACAAAGGTTCCCTTCTGTAGAAATTTGATTGATACCAAATACTTGTCACAAGTTGAAATTGGATGGATTAATGATTTCCATAAGAGTGTTTCCAATGAATTTGGTGACAAGTTGTTGGAAATGGGAGACAAAAAGGCTTACAGATGGTTGGTCAAGGAAACAGCTCCTCTTTAAATAAATGATATGCACATAAAATTATTATACACTATTTTACAATTAAATTTCAATTCAGTTTAAATGAAGCTGAATACAATGTAGGGAACCCCATTCCTCTCTTTTTGTCCAGTTTTGCAAAACTTGGTCTTTGGAAACTTCCAGGCTTCGTCAAACCAACTTTTGGTTTTGGAGTTGTAAGAGGATCTCCAGTCATTCCAACCTTGTTGGATATAAATGGAGACAGGGATGTAATTTTTTCAGGTTGAGTTCCTACCGTAGTTGACGACCCTGTTATAGAATTACTTGACGTAGCAATAGGTTCTGGTACACTTGATGTAATAGAACTGCTTGAAGTTCCAGTACCAGTAGATGTACTCTCTGGTTTCTTGTACTGAGGCATTTTCAAAGTAGAGGGATTCCAATTGTGTGGGGAAAGTTTCCTATTTGAATCTTCTGTCATTGGCACTCTTTGCGCCAGCAGAGGGGAGATCGACCGCGGTCTCTTGGTTTGTTCTTGACTTATATACGTCGATGGTTTCCTCTTTTCGCCGTTGTTAAATGAAAGATTCTCCATATTAAGTAATGCGATGGGGTCAGTAGTTGAGTATCCGCGTAATCCTGCTGATATTCTACTTAAAACCCCTGGGCCGCTAGAACTCGACTTGATCAAATTACTGAATTCGCTTTCGGGGCCTGTAGTTGTTGTCGTATTGTCGCTAGAGGCTGGTGTGGAGCTGGTATCTACCCGGAAACTTGGTGTAATTCCCTTGGAAAGACTAAGGAGCCGGTCCTTTTGTCCCAAGACTTGTGAATTATCCATTACCGAGGTAAGAATACCTGAAACCGCTTGTGCGACATCATGCATATCTAACGAGCCAATAGTCTTCGCATAAATTGCTGCTGCAGTAGCAGTTGCAACTGAAGTAGCTGCCATGGCTGCCTGTGGATCTGATTTCAGTGCACTACCTGACAAAATGTTGAACGTATCGGTCACACTCTTTACAAAGTTTGGATCGTGAGTTAAAGAGTTTTCCTTTTCTTTATCGAGAGTACTATCAAAGTACTCATTTTTATTTCTCTTTTCGTCGTCATCCTTCTTTTGCTTTGCCAATCTCTTTTCTCTTCTTCTGGTAAATTCCTCGTCTACCCAGGCTTTCTTGTCCGGTGTGTCAGCTTCACCAAACATAGCAATCGCTCTTTTCAATACTCGCGAGCGCAAGTCATTATCCTTGTTTCTTTCGGCATTTTCTTCTCTCCATTTCTTCTTACGCTCTCTGTTTTCCATTCTAACCCTCTCTCTATATTCAGGAGTGTCACTCTTTGGCTTCTCACCTAAAAATGACGAAACTCTCCATGATTTCGATGTGAAATTGGAAACAGATGAAATGACTGAGTCACGAATAACAGATATAGAGTCAAGTTTAATGTCAGCAAATTCGAGTGGTAATTCCTTCGAGTTTGTGGTTGACAGTTCTGCAAATTGATTTGACGATAATGTATTATTATTGTTGTTGAACATTTCCAATACATTATCAATCACAGATACAGCCTTGTTTTCTGTATCCAACGACTGGCTCCTCTCAAGAAACTGTCTTGCAAGTTTAAGTGAATTGGTTATTCCTGTTAAGCTGTCTTTTTCTTTATAGCTAGCGATAATTTCATGAACTGAGGGTGCACTCGAAGAGCCAAGAAATGTGTATCCTGGTAATTTACTACTGGAGAGTGAATTGGTCATCTGTCGAATAACCTGGAGAAGGTTTGTTTCTCCCCCATTGTTAGAGTTGATATGCGAAGAAATGGATGAGAGAGCATTCGATAACTGAGTATTCAATGCCAATGAACCTGCGCTTGAAGTTGTGGAAGAAGCTGATGACGGGTATGGTGCCCTTGTACCTATTCTCCGCTGTTCACTTCTCAATACTTCTTCCAATGATTCAATAGATGAATAGTCTCTTCTTCCAGCCATAGAAGATCTGTGTAATGCTAATGTTTCTGCGATAGATAATGTCTTCTTATGAGTATCGTGACCACCTTCTGTTTCTTGGTTAACAAGATTATTCATGATGTTCTTAGCCACAGATGCTATTCTATCGGAACTTTGGCCATTCTTTCTTCTCGAAGTTGATGAAGAGCTCAAATCAATATCTTGAGAGCGATTTAAGGACTCTAAGAAAGTTGTAGTAGAAGAAGGTAAGGGATGTGATAACTTTGCCAATGCAGCAGCAACTGCACTACCAGGCACAGCACCAGAAGAAGTCGACGCTGGTCTTTCATCTTCCATATCGGCAAGTAAATCATGAGGATTCTCCATTGCCATATTAAATGCATTCTGGAGAATTTCACTCATTCGAAGTTGTTCAAGGTCAGCTGCATCATCTGGTTTAATGGAAGCTCTTCTTTGGGAAGATCCTTCACTTAAAGTAGTGGCATTATTCTCAATGGCATTTCTCACTACCGTGGCCAAAGCAGCTTGTAAACTGTTGTTATCTTCATAATAAGGCTCATTTTTACCATGCTCATCTTTGTACGCCTCGTTCTGAAAATGAGCCAACACATTGTCATCAATCTGTGGCATATCAGCAATATGCTGAGGTTTCTTCTTTGCAGATTCATCTTGCACCTGGTTTGTGATCTCCAACGCCAATTCCTGTAATACATCTTCCGGAATAGTTGCATTATGGTTGTCTGAAACTACTTGGTTTACAATATTTTGCACTACCCCGGACAAATCAAATGATTGTTCGGCTTCTGGAGCTGTCGACGAATGGTCAGGATTTGGAACCGTTTGCCCTGCACTTGAAGTTAATGATGATGTTGCTGATGGGAATGGCTCAATGGCAGATTTGAACGCCTCATTGATTGCACTTTCCATGTCCATATCAACATCATGACTTGTATCGGGAGGGTTCAATCCTGAAGACGTAGTTTCAGGAATTGAGGGAACTTCTGGTGTAAACTGTACAGGTTTATCATCCAGTTTTTCCTCACCAAGAAGCAGCTTAAATGAAGCTGATATCACTGCATTAAGGTCATCTTCATTCAAACCATCTTGCTGTGGCTCCTGTTGTTCATGTGCCTTATTCATTTCAGAGCTATCATGATTGGCCAACGCATTACTTTCCTCATTAATTGCTCTGAATGCATCACCAATTGCACCTTCAAGATCCAAATCTTCCTCCATAACAGAGTCTTCTTCAACATGTGGTGCTTCTGTTTTCTCAGCGACGTTTTGTTGTTGTTGATCAGATGCTAGAGATCTGACTTCCTCTACGACTTCCTCTCCAGCTTCCATGTCCTTTTTAGGTGAATCTTGTGAAGATTGACCTTGAATGTCCAGCGGTTGTGCCAATTCTTGGGTATCCTTATCTGCTTCTATAGCTTCTACTTCTACTTCCGCTTTGTCATGTTCTCCAGTAATACTCTGGAATGCATTGCCAATGGCTGCTTCAAGATCCAAATTATCATCTTCTTCTTGTTCTTCCTCCTCTAGTTGAACTACTTCTTCAGAAACTGCTTCGGCAACCTCTTCCGCTTCAGCTTGACTAGCTCCATGTTGATGTTGCTCCTGCTCTACAGGGGCTTCGTCTACTTGGGCACTTCTGGAGTCGTCTAAAGTCTGTTCTGTTGAAGGCTCAGCCTCGTCAAGTTTTGATTCACCAACCATGGCAAATGCATCTCCTATAGCAGCAGACAAGTCAAAGTCGTCGTCCAGCTCCTCCTTATCATTATTCTCCATCTGATACTCTATATTGTTCGGTTGTGGAGAAGCGCTACTACTATGGACATTCACTTCATGTGACATCTCCTGTTCCACCCCTTGGCCATGTGCAACAATCTCCCCCTGGTCAGTGCCTCCTTCTTCTTTATCCTCGTGGGAAAGCTGACCAAAGTCGAATTGCCCGAACACATCCCCAATGGCATTCTGGAGATCTATGTCGTCTTGGTCCATATCATGAGAGCCATCGTTGTTGTTATTGTTTTGATTGTTGTTGTTATTCTCGCCACCGTCAACACTGTCGATACCGTGGAGCTCGGGCCCATCGCCCCCAACAGCCACGCTATCTAGCTGCGTATAAGGGTCGTTCCCAACTCCATCATTATGTGGAGTTTCACCCCCAATCTCGTTTGCAACCATATGTCTATTTGCAACCAAATCTACTGTGACTGTTTTTCCATTTTTGTAAAAAAAGTGACTGTTTTTTTTCATTCAAAATTGTCTTGAGGTCACGGGGTCAGATGACATCTGTGCACCACGGGATTTTTACTTATCAATTTCTCGATTATTATTACAATTTAAATTCCCGTCTCTACTACTGCTCATCATTGTGAGCTATCTAGCATCCCCATTGCTATCACCCATGTCATACTTGTCTTTGTATCCGTACCTCATACACTTTTTTAGGCCTATCCTTTCACATTTTAACACATGCACTTCATGCATACAAGAAAATGGTTGCATCTTTTTGTTTTTGTCCTCAATCAATATTTTCTCGTAAAATTTACAACCAATATTAACCAACTAACTGCAGAAGTGCAAAGCATTTCCTATGTGAGCTCATCAAGTCTATATTTGGGACGTACTTCATATATCTCATCGCTTCTCCCTGTCTCTACATGTCTACTTTCATTTCTTAATCTAGTTAATTTCCTTTACTCTTTTTTTTTTTTTTTAGTTTTTGCAATCATGTCCTCCTCCAGCCATAATTAGCCTACAATGACGTATACTCTTTTCATATAATGAGCTAATCATAAAGTCCAGTCTACATATATAGTCCATATCGTTATCAAAATGTTTGAATAATTTCTGCCAGTCTTACTTTTCACGTGGTTCATCTGCAAGGGCAAAATTCAATACCAATCCAATTTCCCCCATTCCAACCCCTTCGAACCCTTTATTCTTAATCACCCAATTGAAATTGTTCAAAGTTTCATTGGCATATCCCAACACATCAATGTCGAAAGTCTTGTGTCCATATGTAGGAATGCTGACGGCATATTTGGAGTCGGACATTTTTAAAAAGTTAGTATCAAACCTCAAGGTATACGAAGTTCCTTCATCAAATGTAAAGTTTTTGGCATGTGAAACGTCGTTGAAGTACTTCTTACGAGCCAAAGATTCCTTGGGGATCTTAGCTCCCAAATTCTCATGATAATTCGTGGCCTCTTTATTGGCTTCTAAAACCTCTCCTGCATCCTCATCCTTTACTCTTGATCCGGTAATGTAACTAAAACTATTTAATGCCAATCCATAGAGATATGGCTTATCGTTATACACGTCTCCCTTGACTGTCTTGCTGATAAACCAGGTGAAAAACTTCAATCCTGTGTTCAATAAAGATGTAGGAACATATCCTTTAATTGGATACAAGAAATCATTACCAAAGATTAAATCACCACCATTAATGGCCTTATTGGGGGTAAACAATACTTCCAAGCGTAAGTTGGGAGAGGTTGGTTCAAGTTTGTCAGAGGGTTGTCCCTCACCTTCTACTACCTCACTACCATCAAGCCTAGTCTTATCGCTTAAATTGTAGTATGAATTGTGTAAATGAGGTTTGGCCCCATCAAAGTTCTTGATATGTACAATTACCCGAAAAGTTCCGATCTCCGATGAGATGTCAACCAGTCCTCCGTTCACAGGAACAATTTGAAACTCTCCATCGTAAGAGTTTGATGCTTTGATTACTAAACGTTTGGCAATTGACATCTCCACCGATAAAACCAAATCGTAAGCAAGAAGGGTAATAATTTGTAACTTGAAATTCTCTATATTTTTGGCGGGGGAGAGCAAGTAAGTTTTATTGACATCATATCGGGGTGTACGGGTGTCTATATACAGGTATTGCTTTATTACAAGTATGTATCTACATCAATCATTATTTGGGCTGTTATTCCCCCCTCCCACTCCAGTTTTGGAATATCTGACCATAGATTAGTTTGTGTATATAACTGTTTACTCTACATTCTCTATGATAATTGGTTCAAAGAATTTTCCCTCCAACTTTTTGCACCCAAGTGCGATATAGTCCAAATAACCTAAGACAGTTAACTGACCGAGACTTTACGGTGGTGCTTGTTGAAAGGAAATAAGGGAGGAGGGTCACAATCTATTGGACAGTTGGACTTGACAGTATAGTCTACATTGAAAAGCTATTTATTTGTAGATAAGTTGTTTACTCTATTCCTAGGGACATGATCTACTTCGGTAATCTTTCTATATCATTCCTTATTATTCTCGAGAATAATCCTACTCTAATTATCATAAACGTGGGAATCAATTGGTCTTATACTATTAGTTGATAACTTCTTTGTCAAAAGTTTTGTAAATAAATTATTTCAACTGAAAATTTCTACACTCTTTTAATTTATTAAGATTTATTTAAAAAACAAGTGAAAATTACCCATTCAACAACTATCCATGCAATACATGAATACATGAATACATGAATACATGAATACAAATGATCTCCAAAAGATATCCTTTATTGATTTTCATAAATGATAAATAATAAATGAATGACATTCTTTTGACTTAATCTTTCGAAAATGATCTCGTAAAATTTGGATGGGTGTCCGGATGTCAAAAGGTGACACACAACCATAAAGTTCAAATAACCCCAAATTAATATGCTTAAAAATGTACAACTACAATTTACAACAATTCTACAACCTTCTCCCTAAATGTCCTTGTAATCGCATACCATGAACTGATATCTTGTCCCCACTCCAAAAATCAAAGAATCTACCTCAGTACAGAAACATGTCCACTTTGTCCAGCCTCCCTTCTCTCCCGCTCAACTAGTCAGAATAAGATTAAGTTGGCAGTATTGTCTACAACTGGTTGCAAGGTTCCAGTAGATAGAAATATCTCAATTTGTTCAAAAAATTTTTTTTTTTCGGTGGAAAAACCGTAAACTTGACTCATATTAGTCAACTGTATTTGTAATAGACATTGATCCAGAAACGCACTAGAATCAATAAATCTTTTTTTTTTTTGCCGTTATGTTATAATCATGCATTTGCATGTTTCCATAGTGTTCCAACTAATGACCACATTTCTTTTCTTCTTCCATGTACTGCAGCAAAATAATTACAAATGAGGTTGTTTGTGGGGTTTTTTGCACTGGCCCCCGCCGTCATTAGTACATTTTTATTAATGTGAATTAACCAAAACATCATATGCGTGGGGGATCAGACTGCACATGGAAAGTCCCCAAAAAAAAAAGAAACGCTTCTTCCAGACTCACCCAAATCATGAAACATGTAGCATCGATATCTTACTCTATCGATTGAAAGTTGTTTGAAACGTGGTTCATGGTGACCTTAGTCCACGAACCATCCCACCCCGGTAGCACTAGTAGAGTAAAATTTGTACCGTTTCATGTATTCTATTTTAAAGTTATCCTTTTTTTTTGTTAAAACTCAACGTTTTACAACAAAAGGTTACCCGGCGCGCGCCGGATAATACTACTCCAGATTATATAAAGAGCGCAAACTCCGTAATCGGGTACTATTTTTCAAATGATAGATTTAAACCACGTTTACTTTCTCCCATATTAAACAAACCACATATTTAAAATGTCCAAGAACTCTTTAGAACAATTGAAGGCCTCCGGTACCGTCATTGTCACCGACACTGGTGAATTTGAATCCATTGCCAAGTACACTCCTCAAGACGCCACCACCAACCCATCCTTGATTCTTGCTGCCGCTAAGAAGGCCGAATACGCCAAGCTTATTGACATTGCTGTTGAATACGCCCAAGACAAGGGTAACACCAAGGCTGAAAAGGCCTCCATTGCCCTTGACAGACTTCTTGTTGAATTTGGTAAGGAAATCTTGAAGATTGTCCCAGGCCGTGTTTCCACTGAAGTTGACGCTCGTTTGTCCTTCGACAAGGAAGGTACCATCAAGAAGGCCTTGGAACTCATTGAACTCTACAAGTCCGTTGGTATCGAAAAGGAAAGAGTCTTGATCAAGATTGCCTCCACTTGGGAAGGTATTCAAGCCGCCAGAGAATTGGAAGCCAAGCACGGTATCCACTGTAACTTGACCTTGCTTTTCTCCTTCGCTCAAGCTGTTGCCTGTGCCGAAGCTAAGGTCACTCTTATCTCTCCTTTCGTCGGTAGAATTCTTGACTGGTACAAGGCCTCCACTGGTGAAACCTACACTCAAGAAACTGACCCAGGTGTGATTTCCGTCGGTAAGATCTACAACTACTACAAGAAGTACAACTACGACACCATTGTCATGGGTGCTTCTTTCAGAAACACCGGTGAAATCAAGGCTCTTGCTGGTTGTGATTTCTTGACCATTGCTCCAAAGTTGTTGGAAGAATTGATGAACTCTTCTGAAGATGTTCCACAAGTCTTGGACGCTGCCTCTGCCAAGGCCTTGGACATTGAAAAGGTCTCCTACGTTGACAACGAAAAGGAATTCAGATTCTTGTTGAACGAAGATGCCATGGCCACTGAAAAGTTGTCTCAAGGTATCAGACAATTCGCCAAGGACTGTGTTACTTTGGTTGAACAATTGGAAGAAAAGTTTTAAATTTAGTTTTTAATGTATACAGTGATTAATTATTTCATTTAGTAGTATAATTTAGTAGTATTTGTAAAGAGGTATGTATGGATGGATTGGATTATGGACTTTATGTCGGGGGGACTGGTCACGTGCAAATGCAACAAAGGTCTCTCCCCCTGATTTATAATGCATTACATAATCTATGAAATAAAGTTCCTCTTTTTTTTTTTTGGTTATTTTTTATTACTAAATGTCTCGATTCTTAGTAAAAAAATGATGGGGAAAATGGTTGCTAATAATTCAATTAATAAATTTACATAATCTATACAAATAGGTAAATTCTCTTTATTTTATTTTTCGCCCAGTATAAGTATTAATACTCCTTCTTGAAAGATTGTATTTTTTGTCTTCTTCTCTTTAATTTAGTAAATATGACTTTAAGAACAGTAAAAGAATTAGTGCATGCTACAGAGGAATCTGAAGGAGTTGGTGCAACCGTGAGACGGTCCATTGGAACGAGTAATATGCGAAAATTTAATCCATTCTTGTTACTTGATCATTTCAATATTGGTGCCAAGGCAGGGTTCCCACATCATGGCCATAGTGGCCAGGAGACTATTACTTTGGTGTTAAAGGGAGCGGTTGCACATGAAGATTTCACTGGTTCGAAGGGAATCTTGTATCCTGGAGACTTACAATTTATGACTGCTGGGAAAGGTGTAGTTCACTCAGAAATGCCAGTTTTATTGGATGGTGCGAAAAGTGTAGAAGGAATGCAATTATGGGTTGATTTACCAGAAGAATTGAGGAAAACCAAACCAAGATATAGAGATTTAAGATCGGATAAGATTCCAGAAGTGGTTGAACAAGATGGGAAAGTGAAAGTGAAAGTGATATCTGGAGAATCTTATGGAGTTTCATCTTTAGCAAACCTAGCATATACTCCAGTACAATACTATTATGTTACATTGAAGCCTGGTGGAAGGTATCAACAAAAAGTTCCAGAAAACTTCAATTTCTTTTTATATGTACTTTCTGGAGATCAATTGATATCTAATGGTAAGGCAGTACCAAAGCATCATACATTATTCTTCAATCAAGATGGAGATGAAATTGAAGCCACAAATAAGGCTAAAGATGGTGGTAAAAGCATTGAATTTGTGTTAGTTGGAGGTGAAGTATTGGATCAAAATACCATACAATATGGACCATTTGTTGCTGATACGGAAGAAAATATTAATAGAACCATTATGGATTTTCAAAATGGACGTAATGGATTTAAAAAGGTTAAAACATGGAAATCTTTGATATCTAAAGGGGTTACTCCGGAAATGATTCCAATATTACAAGAAGGAGAACAGAAACATGAACGTTAGAGTATATATTAAATAGGGAATGAATGATTATTGGAACACGTTTTTGTAGAGAGAGGAAGTGGTCATGGTGATTACAGTATTTAAAATAGATAAGTTGCAAATTAAAGAAAAAATGAATGTGAAAATTATACAATCTAACAGTATTCTTATTATTTATAATAGGTATTGACAGTCCAGGTCATTTATCACATGACTAAAACTGTTCGCTTAAAAATCCTGTATATGCAGCAAATCCGACATATAGGTCCTTACTAATAATTTAATTAGATTACTTATCACACCTATGATTCAACAACATATTCATTTATTGAATTCAAAATAATCAATTTATAGAGCAAAATTTTACATTGTATAATAGATGAGACCTGCTAGTAATATCCCAGAAACCCCACAACCTCCATACCCCTTGATACAAAAGTCACATATAGTATGTGGGTTTGGAAGAGGATCGTCCGAATTGGGAATCCCTACTGCCAATATTCCAATAAATGATTCACTTAATCAATTGGATACAGGTATTTATTTCGGTTGGTGTAAACTTGAAGTGAATAAAGAGGAATGCTCGAAAAAAGTTGAGCGTGGAGATGGGAACGTTGTAGAATTTAATAATGGATCAGAATTATCTGCATCGGAAAAGGATGTTCTCCCCATGGTTATGTCCATTGGATGGAATCCATTTTATGACAACAAGGAAAAGGCTGCCGAGGTCCACATCATGCATAAGTTCCAACAGAATTTCTACGGATCGTTGATCAGCTACCTGATCTTGGGATACATCCGTCCGGAACTCAACTACACCACCAAGGAGGCTCTTATTGAAGACATAAACTTGGATATAAAGATAGCATTAGACACATTGAAGAAGGAGCTGTACGCTAATTCTGACTTATAGACGATAAGAAAAGACACAATAAACAATTTTAACGAATTGCGGCGTGTATGTAGCATTGACGTGTGTATATGCACGATTGGGCGCCACCCCCCCGCCACCCACGAGATATGGGGCCCTTTTCACTACAATGTGGAGTGGGTGTTTTAGAAAGGTGTACAAATTGTGCCTGACACTAAAATCTCAATATGTATAGAACTTTGCACTGTATGCACACCCGTCATTCTTTCGTATATTCCACTACTAAGCCGAATGATTTATCAATTGCTATCAGCAAGCGATCATGCCCAGAAATAAATGAGATAGCAAAAAAAAAAAAATTACAGTACGGGCTCTTATATGTGAAGATCTCCATAATATACCACAGTAGAGATAGACTAGGATAAAGTAGTTATTGCCCTTTAGCTCCACTTAATTTCTCTAGGTCTTCCCTCTTGGCAACACAGAAATGTACACCACTAATAGGAAAACTCCTCTGGTGCGATTTCAATTGTCAACCAAAGGAGCGGCCACTAAATTCTCAATCCTATCGGTGGTGCTAGTCGTGATAATAATATTGACATTTTCAATCGGGAAACTTGGTGGTGCCATAGATTTGATACGACAGTCTACCGAGTCATCTTCTTATCAGGTGCTAGATCTTGATCAACCAGTTGCTGCACTTTCACATAACAACCCATACTCGTGTGACATTTTACACTTGAAAAAAAATGCAAATAGTGCTGAATATTGCAAATATATCCTGAAACATTGCGGGGTAGATTACTTTGCCATTTCCAAATGGTACTATTGCAATGGACCGTCTTATCTGCTGCTAGCCTTGGTGCTTACCAGCGTGGTGTCGATCTTACTACTTCTTTTCCTTTCGCTTAGCATTCTAGTTGCAAACTATTTATACCCCATTCTTGTTGCTGTTTGCCGCTTGCTTCATGTGAATGATGAGTTTCTCAGCTCAGTACTCGTGCCATTTGTGAACTGTTTCCCCGATTTGGTCAATTACTACATCACTCTCAAGTCGGATTCAGTGGACCTCACCTTGGCACAAGCCATGGGCTCTATTCTAATAATGTTCACACTTATCTTGGGGACCATATGTTGTATGTGTCCATTTGATATTTTGGATAATCGGAAAATATTATCAAACGATTTCGTGTGGGTGTTTTTGGTCGTCTTGGTGTTTCTGTACATTCTTTCCGATGGAGTCATCACTATTTACGAATGTACTGTGATGGTGGGTATGTATGGTGCTTATGTGACGTATTTATTTTGGACCGATAAATCTATAGAGGAGGTGCAACCAACGGATTTAGAAAATCAAGAAGAACGAGAACACTTGTTGAGCCCAGCTCTCATTCCTATTAGTAGGAACAACTCAAATTTATCAATTAGAGTTCCGTTTGGTATAGAGGATGCCTTGAGTGTCTTATCGGATGGGTTTGAAGAGGAAGATGAAGAAGAGATTCGAGTACATGATGATCTTGACAATGACGAAATTGTCATTACAAGCAATCCTAATGGATCTAATTATGACCTGATGGCAGATTTGATATCGTTCCAAGCAAACAAAATGGCTGCGGCTCATTCTACATCAGAGTTATCACTTCCATCTAGCATATGGGTGCAAACCTCAACCCATAAGTCGATTGCAAGGTCAATATTTCGAAATGTTACAAAGATGTTTCAAGTTATATTTAATGCGATTGACTTATTTCTTTACACATGCATCCCATTTATGGTACAGGAAGACGAAGAGGATTTAGCAAATGCACACGAAAGAGGAGAAATAGTGGAACTGAGGCAAGTTTCCAATCAACATCTTCTGCATCATCATCGCTCTGTGTACATCAATTGGAGACCATACCATGAATCGGTAGACCGTTACATCTCCTATGTACGATGCATAGTCATCCCCACCATTCTAATTCACGAATTCTTTCCCGATCACACTGTGTCACTTTTCGCTATTTTTCCCTTGCTGATGATAATCGTCCATTGGGGCCATTGCCAAGCCCCAATATTAATTTACACTTTGGCAATATTAATGACACTTTTGATAACTTCAATGTCAGGCACATTGATTCTACAGCTCCTCAAGAACCTTGGGTTAATGTTACGAATATCCGAATCCTTATTGGGACTCACAATATTTTCTGTGAGCAATAGCATCAATGATATCATCACAGATGTAACACTTGCAAATATCGGGCGACCCATTCTCGGAGTTAATGCATGTTTGGGTACTCCTCTTTTGTCAATTCTCTTGGGTGTGGGACTTAATGGGTTGATGTTGATTATATCCAAAAGTGCAAATGGAAAGCAGAGACTTTTCGAAATCCCGCTAGATTTCAACCCACATTTGAAAGTAACACTTTGCGGACTTATTTGTATATTGACTTTCTATTTGATATATGTACCGCTCAATGGGTGGAAGTTCGACCGACGGTTAGGCATCTTGGCCATCGCTTCTTGGTTTGTTATTACCACATATAACTGCACGATAGTAAACTGGTAATTAAACCGATACTTTCTACACTCACACACAAACACACTTTTTCAATACATAATGTACATTACATACTCGATCTATAAATAATATTATTCAAGGTTTTCTCTTTTACAGTTATGACGTAGTAGTAGTAGTAGTGGCGTGTATTAAAGGGAAATTGGATTCGTAACACGTCGCGAAGTGTCCCGACTATATAGATGCAGAACCTCTCCTCGTCTTCTTCGTCTAATTCTATCCAACGTTCTCCTAAGTCCTCTTTGTGCATCACTGGTGAAAAAATAGTAGGATCACCTTGGGAAGAGAATGTATCAAGACATCATTACATGCCATTCCACTTCAACACACATACATTTCCCCGATGATTAATTCCAGACATCTTTGCTCATGGTTACACTTCGAACTCGGCATCTCGCCCGATTGCCGCTTTTGTTGGGATGCTTTGTGCATAATTAATTATTAAGCGATTTTAACACATTTGCGCACCGCGTGTGGGAGTTGCTTTCGCAAATATTAGGGTACATAGAGTCACACCATAGATATTATTTTATAATCCTTGCAGAGTTAGGGGGCAGAATGCACAGTTTAGCATTTCAACCAGAATACCACACGGATTTTGTTCAGGTTCAAGGCGATATTTGCAATAGAGAGCCCCAACTGGTACTAAATTTTTCTCGATCTGTAGAGGAGGATATCTTCGTTAAGCCTTGTTCATATATTTTCTTCAACTGTGTGACTTCTTTATTCCCATTACTGGATATCATGCATTCAAGATACGAAGTCCAAAATATCCATGAATCTTCATTATTTTCAAATTTTCGGAAGAATTTCGACATTGCATGGTCTTCAAATTTATAGTTTACCAATTCTTTGTATAGGTAAACCAATTTAGTTTCAGAAATAAGGGTTTCAAAGAGTCCCAAGACGTATTCGTCGTCGTTTGGGTGTAGCATTCTTTCCAAGTTGAGCAATTTGACTATCAATGGTAAACATTCGGGGAAAAGACGCAAATTCATCAACACAATGTCTCTTGCCTTGACGTGATTCCCCTGGAAAGTTTCCAAGTCAATCAACTTCAATTTAAGTTCAATGTTTGTCATTGGAGTTATTGAGATGGCTTTCAATAGGATTTGCTTAGCAGATTCGATACTCTGAGATTTCCTTATGTAGTAATCTGAATATCTTATCCAGAAATCCTTGTATAACGCCGTGGAAACTATACAACGTTCATATGTTAATTCAACTAGTTCTGGGTATTTCAATTCCACAAAATCCAAGTACTCTTGCCATACATTCAATTGGTCTTTTGATAAATAATTCACATGGAAATATGACCGAGTGATTCTTTTTTCGTAGGTGTATAAACCATATACTTTAAATTGAGTAGATATATAAACATCAGTAAACAATTTCTTTAATTTGGATGATGTTTGCTTAAGATCTTTAAGATTATAACGAGACATTTCCCGATCAGGTATAAGATATTTTGCCGTTTGATGATCTAATTTATCAACAAGTTGTATAAATGTTTTGAAATATTTACCATAATGGTACAAGGGCAACTCTATAATGATTCTAAGAAGGATATAGAATCTCTTGCGCATATTTTCATCATACTTACTACGAGACTCAAGATATGTCAAATATTCATCATAAAACTCATGTGAATAAAAGTGATTACCAATATGATAACGTGCAGATTCCAAAACTTTCAATGTTTCAGATTCATCACACAGTGTAAGAATTATAAACTTTGTATAAGCCAACCAACATTCTATGGATCGTGGTAATTGTACCAATGCTCTTTGATACACCTGGCGACAATTTTCCGTGTGGCCAAGCTTAAACTCCCATTCTGCATAGTTGAGCCAATATTGATGAAGAAGGGGCCATTTATCAAGCAAGTTTTCATAGGTGATTCTTAATATATTCAATTCTGTGGATGTACTCGATTTAGAGATGCCATCGTGGGTCAGTCCAGCTTCAGCTGCCTCCACAAGTTTTTGCCAGGTTTCAAAGTCGTCCGGCTTGGAAACTAACACTTCGGATAGTTTGATCCAGTCTTTATTTTCTTGTTCCATTGGTTGTTAAATGGATACTTGAGACACATATTTGTATCAATTTTGTTTTATGTAAAGAGAAGAAAGATGTACATACAGGATATTGAAGGTGTACGGGTGTAGCAGTGTCAGAATAGAAAAGTGCAAAGAGAGGATGTTTTGAGCAGTACAGTATACATCTGGGTGGATGAAGAGAGTCTCCTCAAAGAGGAGCCAAGCCCCACGCAGTGGCTCTTCCCGAGTAGGGGCCAGCGGAGCGTCTTGTAACAGTAGAATTTAGCTTTTGTTTGTATATTGTCACGTGCCGGTCACATGCCCAAAATGCTGACACCATTCGGGCCGTTGGCGGCACTTTCTTTTATGGCACGGACGGGCAAACGTCTATCTTTTTTTTTTTTTAAAGCCATCAAATGAGCCATGTATATGTATGGCACCTTATAAATGGGGCAAAAAAAATAAAAGAGTATAAATCAAATCAAAATCTATCAATAGATACGTAGGCGTACATACGAATATATACATGTGTGTAATAGTTTGTCAATAAAGTAGGATAAAGAGTGTTAATAGTGTTGATGAGTAGTGTAAAGACATGGGCCGAGTGCGTGTCCTTGCATAAAACGGGCCTTACCATGCCATACCACGTGACCGGCAGTGCATATGTATATATCTGAGACGAAGAAACTTACCGATGTCTCACAGTTGAAAAAAAAAACGAAACGCCGCTCGGTTTCAGTGCAACTAAAAGGGGTAGATGTAGATAGTGGGTTTCAGCCTGCATAGAGGAGTTCCAATCTAGAAGTCCAGGGTCGAATCCACTAAACGAAGCTTCCAGGAAATCTGTGGCACAACAAAGTTCACACATTTGCGAGTTATGGGTGTCCGGGTGTGTCGCCGTGCAGCATATGAGCAGCACTGATCTACAAGTACTTTAAGGGCAACTATAGGGGTTGTGTTGATTGCTTCTAGAAGTATGAGCGACCACAACTTCCCACTTTTACCGGCAATATATACTTTACAATTTATTTCTATTCTTTTATAGAACCCGCTTCTTTTTCCCTTTTTTTTTTCTTTGGAAATATTATAACTTCCAAAACCCGCCGCTTTCTTTTCCTCTTTTGTGCTCTTTGGAAATAATGTTTTTTTTTTTTTAGATTTTACAAAAAAAAAAAAGAGGAAAAAAAAAAACAATTTTTTTATTATTAATAAACCCCGGAAATTGATTCCTATGAACAGACGCCACACCCACCGATAAAGCCTTCCAAAGACACAGAATCTATTCAATAAGCAATTGAACACACACCCCACACCGTTAAACGTAGTGGATCCAGTACGAAAAATATATAAAAAAAAAACGCTTGTATGCGTGAACAATTGAAATTCTTTGTGCGTTCCGTCTAACAAAATATTTTTTTTGAGAAAATAAAAAAGGAAAAAAAAAAAGGAAAGCGGAATGTACAAACCAATACATTCAGAAAATAAATGACTTTAACAGCGGACTGTATATTTACAGTTGACTTTATTATTTATTATTTTTAGGGTTTATTATATTGGTGGTAATGGTTGTGATAAATGATATATCATCAAGAATGATGATCTATTACGATCAAATGTGTAGTTCGCTTCATCCCCACTAATGGGGGGCTTTTATCGAAGGCGGTAATTGGCAGGGCATTTGTGTGCCCTAATCGCCGATGCAAGAAGAAGGCACTAAATTGGAAAATATGCGTATGAGTACCTATTTAGTGCTCCAATCAGCAGCAACTTTTCTTTTAAAGAGGTTTTTAGAAATTTCGCACAAATGTATTGAATCTTAGATAACGCGTTCGTTTAGCTGACCCTTTTTGTAAAGTCGGTTGCATTATCCTTGTTACCTTGGCGATTACGTACAGGCACGCATACGGGCCGGTTTGCAGAAAATCGGTCCATCATATTGCTATCACCTTTTTTTTTTTAGGACCCTTGACCTTAAACCTTTTCGTATGTGATCTACCTTTAACCATTGGTACTTATCATGGTTGGCCCCGTGTGTGTATAAAACTCTAGATTTATCTATTATTATTTAACTACTCTTATGGTATTTTTACCTCTTTTTTCCTTTTTATTATTTTTATTTTTATTATTTATTTGGGTCCGACGTCCTGCACCTGGCGATTCCGGTTACCCGTCCCTCGAAAAATGGTTCATACATACTCCAACAATGATTTGAACCGGTATTCGATTGAAAATATCCGAGTTCTGGGTAACACATTCTATATACTTCCACTGCAATCTATTCCCCAGTCCAAAAACATTCTTTTTTTTTTTTTCACACCACTCTCTTCGTATCTCGTACTCGTTCTCACTCACATCGAACTATTTTGCCAGCGGCTTACCGTTTTGAGATATTTTTTATTTTTATTTTTATTTTTTTCAAAAAGTTTTTTTTTTTTTTTTTAGTTTTCATTCACTTTCGCTTTGTGTAAGGGGACCTAACGTTTTCGGGGAGGAATCAAAACCAAACTATCCTCCTTCACCCCCCAGCGGACCAAGCAAACAAAAAAAAAGATACCATACCTGCAAGGAGGTGTAACCTCCACGATACGTCAAAGCATGGTTGGATCCATGTCTGTCTGTTGATACCGGGGCCGTACGTTTCTGACCTACAACCAGCTACGTAAAACATACAGTGCCACAGAAAAATGGCAGTAAAAATTAGAAATCAACTGTGGTAATGCAATCAAGAGGCTCGTGGGGGGCGGCAAAGATTTCAAAAAGGAGGGGGGGAAAGAAAGAGAAGAGGAAAACGAAAAAAAAAAAAAAATAATGCACCTAACTAAAACTAAAAAAAAAAAAACAACAAGTAATACTGCACTAAACTAAAATTCAAAGAAGAAACTGAAACTAAAAAAAATTTTGTACGGTATTGTTGTGCTTATATCATTACACCCTTGGGTGCAGTACCGGGTGGGTGAATCTCGCGTCATATCTGCAACTAAAAAGATGCATGCATGCGCATGGGTTCAAATAGGAAGGCAAACCTGGGCAACTAGCCCATTGAATGCAGGCCTGCCCAGGATAGTGTGCTTATTACCGAACTTCTCAGCTGATCCCATGTAAAAATACGCTGACGCGGGGATTGCTCTATTTCGACCGCATTGCTCTGCAAGTATCATGCACGGGCATGCAATCTGAACAGGCGTCAGGCATCTGCAAGATACGACGGCCCACCTGCAGGCGACAGGCTCTTTGGTTGATGTCTTGGGTGCTCTTGATATTTTCTGCTACCTTTAGGAAACGGTTCCTCCTCTGCCTGTATATATATATATACCGGGGCACAGGTCCATCTAGTCGAGCATAAATTTTTAGACCCTCTCTCTACATGGATAATTTATGATTTGAAAGGTTTGATAATTTCCTCCTTACACTGAAAACTCCCAAGCTCTTTCTTTCCTCATAAGCCATCGGTCACCGGAAGAAAGGATCACAAAAGGAATGCTTGACTACGACGCAAGCTACCAACAATACATTGCCCTAAGCACCCATCAAGAACTGGCTTCTTCCACCACTACCGAGCACATGCAGGCTGCGCCGTATGCCAACGCCAACCTGGAGCATGAGGGTCATGAGCAGCCCCATGCCGTCATGGCGTTCCAGGGTTTTCAATATCCTCATGGTGCACAACAACCCGTCCCCAATACGGCAGCAACGGCAGCGTTAGCTGCAACCGATCAGTTTGACACCCAGTCTCCCGGTCAGGTGACCTCATACTTTCCCCCACCGGGTGGAGAACCATACTCGTTGCAAAAGGGGGTTGGACTGGTTTCCTCCTCTATATATCCACCAACACCAATGTCTCAACCTTCACTTCAATCTGTTCCGTTGGCAACCACCCAATATTATTTCCCCCCTTCATATTCGCATTCAATTCCTCATCATACCGACCAATCGCTCTCATTGCCCACGTCGTTACCTTCACAGGTTCAGCTCACCAACTCACAATTTGGACCAGGAGACCCACCGCCACCACCACCTCAAGCACAAGCACAAGCACCACCACTACCACCGTCTATGCAGCTGTCGTTCCATCAACCCCAGCATCAATCATATCTTCTGCTGAATATGACTCCATACCATGAACAAACCCCTCCTTCGATGAATGGGTTTTATGGAGGAGGAGGAGGAGGAGCTACTGGACCAACGTCTGGCCATCCCATGGGAGCTACACCAGCCATTCCCGCAGCTCCAGGATACATCACATCATATGATGGAGGATTTGGTCATGTAATGTCACAAATGGATGTTTCCCCCTTGACTGCAGCTGCTACACCACCTCTTGAACATTATAATCAAGTGGATGAATGTAAAGATGATGGACGCAAAAAACGGGCCAAATCAACCTCATCAATGAGAAATAAATTGAATTTGATGGAGAAACCATTGTATGAACGATTACAAGAAAATCCTACGATTTGGAAAACTGCTCATGAATCGAAAAAGGGAAATTATAAATGTTCACATTGTTCTCAAGCTTTTGCCACTTTACTTGAGTTTGCCACTCATTTGGATCAATTTAAAGTACGTAGGGTCCATTTGTGTCCTGTAGATGATTGTCCATGGAGTATTATAGGGTTACAAAGAAAGGCTGAGTTGAGAAGACATTGTATTTCACAACATTTTCTGCGTGGACGAGTGATTCATCATGAAGGAGATCAACAATTTATTGATTCTGAAACTGAATTACAAATGGTGAATTTACTTTATTCTTGTAATGAAGAGAATTGTAAAAAGCATTTCTATAGGAAGGATTCTTTACAGAGACATCAAAAGTTGGTTCATTCTAATAAGGATAGTAAGTTTAATAAGCGGTGGCATCGATGAGGAGAGAATAAGAGAAAGTCTTGGAAGTTGTGGACCGGTAGTTGAAGAGGGCTATAGAAGAAAAGATTAGGAAGAAGACGAGAAGAAGAAGACGATAAAACCAAAAGAAGACTACTACTAATCGTTAAGAATCTTCTCTAATGATTGACAGAACTACATTTGGCTATTTAACTTTTCAAGGATCGGTTTCTTTTAATTTTTTTGTTTTCTTTATCATTTTTATTACGCCACAAACTCATGCCGTTGTGGATATACATATAGGGTTAATTATTTGGGTTACTTATAGGATTAGGTTTAAAAAATTACAATGAATTATCATTTGTATCTAATTATCATTCTTTTCAAAGGAGTAATTGGGAATTTTGCAGCCAATTCCCAACGAGTTTGTAGTCCATCTAAAAATGAACTCCCCTATTCTGGCTATAGAGTTGACTTGCAAGTTGTTAATTTCCAATCTATTGAGTTTCATTTGTACATGTGTAAAGATGGACGAGTTCTTGAAGATATTGTGGTTCCTACTAATTCATCCAATTCTTTAGCCGATATACATATTCCATGGACAACCGAATTATGCAACCGGGCTAAAACTAATTGTGTTAAACTTGCAAGAAGGAAAACTTTTGCATTGAGAAATCTTCCTTTGTATTTCCCCGGAACCTCTATAGGAGCGTTGTTTTGGAAGAATAAAGATCATCAACCTCCACTTCCCTTGATTGCAGAGAACACTTGGGATAATCAATGGATAGAAATGAATGGGATCTTCCATAGAATGGTCATTTTACATATCCCACTCTTGTACACACCAGGGATTGATAACCGGAAACATCCGTTAAATTCAGTTGGTGAACAAGATTGGTTTAAGAATATTCTCCCTAATGAAGATTACAATTATAAATTTGATCCAAGATTTATTTCTCAAAAGATTTGGGATTCTGTTTGCAAGTTGATTGAACAAAAGTCAAATAGAAATCTTTTAAATGGAATTTGGAAGGATAAGTTACATTCGACAAAGAATCCATTCTTACAAATCATATTCTTACTGAAGATATTACCTCAAAAAATCTTTATAGCCTTAGTTAAAGATATAGATAAGATATATTCAAGATTTACTTATTAAGAATGAAAATTGGGATAGTTTAGAAAGTTATATGATTTATCAAAAGCTGATTGCCAATTATATTTATCTACTTGTACTTCTTCTACCATCATTTTATTCTTCTTGTACTATCTCCCCTCTTTGTACTTTACCATTTGTGTTCAACACAAATTGTATAAAGAGTGAGCATGTAGTCATTTATCACTTAAACTTTTCTCTTACTCTCTTCCTCCCAATCAAATGTCTTCCAATTCTACCGACTACACAGAACTCCCAGCTCAAGCATTTCTTGCTCGTGAGTCCAATCGTCCTGCCTTGGCTGCCTTGAATGGGCTTCTTTCTTCGTTCCCGGTAATCAAAATCTTCACGTCAAATGCTGTGCCAATCATGGTGTATCGTGAACAGGCTGCCACAAAAAAATAACTCACAATTCATAGTTTAAATTCCTATCAAAAAATAAATGTAACGTGAATCTAGGTGTACCGAGGTGCAAATTAAACCTTCTCAATGTAGACATCCTATATATAGATTGAAAGCAACATGGTCACATATATGTAGACAAGCTGCAACTCCTAGGCACGAGTAAACTTTAAAAAAAAAATCGTGCGATGAGTCGATCTCGTAGTACATGAAAGCAACCGAGGCTTCATTGTGAAAAGGGGAAATTATTGGAAATAAGGTTTGGGTCAGATTGAAGAACATCACGAACCCAGAATTTGAGTTCGTAATCCAGGAAAATAAATTCCCCAGGGCTTCGCACAAACACCATCATATTCGTTGAAGAGTGAGCAAATGATATGAGATAAGGACGAACCGTCCAATTGCCAACAATTGTGAAACGCCGCCTACAAGCTTTTAAGGCGGAAAGTTTAAAAATAAAGGCTCGGCACGATCCGCCAATCGCACAAAAGGGTACTGCGTCAAGGGTTTGCAAATGTGGTAATATTTCCAACCATTTCTGCAAACTGCATATCCTCCTCCATGTCTGAGAGGTCATAAATAATATCTGCATTGTTTAATTCGTTGACTTTACATTGTTTCAGTGGACCCTCTTTCACCACCAGCACCTCTTGTTTTACGGCATTCTGGTTGGTACATTGCATCTGCAGACTCCGCATACCTTGCAACTCCGATCCGTATGGAATAGTCGACCGTTCAACTGCCGTAATGACGGTGTTTTTATCGGCAATTGGCTCTTCGTCACTTACATCCTCGTAAAGTTCGTGTTGTGTCGCCACTACTGGTTCGTCTTCTCCTTTAAAATCCATACTCATCGATCTTGATCCACCAACTACACAGCTCCCAAAGTCCTGCATTGGGAGTTGAAGTGGATTCTTACAAAGGTATTTAAAATGTGTTGAAGATTTGGCGGGGATTCGAATAACTTCATCTTGCGCTTCTATTTTTGGTTCAATCGGGGAAACTTTAACGATTGAGTTGTTCTCTAATTGTTTGGTATTATTATTAGAAATTTCTATAATTGGTGAAGGAGGGGTATTTACATTCACTCTATGTAATTTCTTTCGTTGTAATCCTATAGGTCTTCTTTTGATTTGACTGCTGGTTAACTCTTGTAATGAACGATTTTCTTTCTCAACAGTACCCTTTAATCTACTCCCATCATTTAATTTCCTCATGGTATTAATTGGTGTATCGTTTTCGTATTTTATCTTTACTTCCGGATTCGGGGTTGCGTCTGTCCTTTTGAACATATTTGAAACATCTCGTTCATAACATTCTAATTTTTCGTCCATTTCAATAAGAATGTTCCCATTGGGGAGTTTGAACTCGTTCCCCTCTTTCAAGTATTCTGTCTCGATTCTAGAAGGTAATCTTGATGGTGGGAAGAAATCAGATGCTATTAGATGTCCTTCTCCATTATGAATATCTATTCGATTATTAAAATGATAAAACTTAAGAATACCATCCTGCCAATTCTTACTCTTTTGTTTCAACCGGGAAGAGTACAATATCGAATACTCTTGTACCACTGATCGATGCACCTGCAGTGTAGCCATGTGTGAATTACAATACAGATGAAGTTTCCTTCAAGATTGTTGTTTGTATTGATCCCGCACTTTAATACTTTTTTTTTGTTTTTGGCCGCCAAAAATGGCGTTTTGCAACATAAAAGATATACCACCAGATTAGTTAATAACCCGTTATCTACATATATTTCACTCTAAATATACTTCCCATCTCCATTCCACATTCTCTCTTCCTTCACCTACACTTCAAAGTTTCATTTCTATTCTAAATTAAAACCTATGAATCCTAAATTCTATAGACTTTGGTTATATGTACATGCTGCTAAATTCAACCCACAAAAGACCCCTACTCAGCCTTGGCCTTGACTGGCTTGTAGAATGGAAGTCCCAAAGAGGTCAAAAGAGTTCTGGCTCTCTCGTCGGTTCCAGCCGTCGTCTTGAACGTCACATGGAATCCAAACAAGTTTGGGAATAATTCTTGAAAGTTTTCAATTTCTGGGAAAAGCTTGACTTCTTCTGGAGTCATACCAAAGGAAATGTTCCCACTCTTGTCACCAGAAGTGGTCTTGATCCCTTGGAAAGTTCTGATCCGTGGCAACACAAGTTCAGTCAAGGTGGTCAAGAAACGTGTCATGTCTCTGCCAGTGAGCTCAACCTTACAGCCACACTCCTTACCTTCTCTCACCTTCCATGACAACACGTTACTCTTGTTGTAGGTTATCTTAGGCTTGACGTTGGTGATTTGTGCTATTTGCAAACGGGCAGAAATGTTGACCCATGCGTCTTCAAGGGCATCCTTGTTGTACACGTTGATACTGATTCCAACCAATTCTGGGATGTTCTTGCTGGTGATAGGCTTGATATCCCTGGTGGCACGGGTCAACCCCTTGGGGTTTCTATGTCTACGATACAAGGCATATGGAGAGTCGGTACCCCAATCTCTGGTCTTGTTTCCCTTGACGACACTGGCGTCGTGCTCGTAGTAGTGCAACAACAAGTCGGACTGGAGGGTGTTATGGTAGTAGTCGGTGACTCTATCTTGGTAGATATCTTTTGGTTTGTAACCAGGCGAACGAATGTCTGTCTTTGGGATCTTTGTGTCTGGGAATCTGGTGGACAAAATGGCCTTCTTCACAGGTACCAAGTGATGGACCGGTTGCACGGTGGAGTAACCCACCTTGCTGGCCACGGCAGACGACGAGAACGAGCGTGCGAACTGCTTGAAAGACATGATATATGGATGCTAATTGAAGGTTGAGTTGATTGTATAAAAGTGTCTTGAATTTTTCAACTAGGGTACAAAAAAAATTCTCAGTACGAAAGTTACACTGGCTCGGTACAGAATGTACCCGCACACCCTTAAAAGAGAGATAAATAAAAAAACAGTATCCATTATTGATAATATGGGTTTAACGGGGACCATTTCTCTATTTGATGATATATATACATATATCTCTCTCGGTCTGTCTGTTGAATCTTGACCTCTTTCTATATCATATCTAGTTCTTTATACCTATTAAATCTTTGTCTTGAGTGTGTTAATCTATGTACAGTACCTAATCCTTTCGCTTTTTTGTCAAAACATCTCTGTATAGACAAGGACCATTCTATATCTTTCAACCCCATACACATAAAATAATAGAAAAGAAATGACCAGATTTGGTCTCCCGCTAGAGGTGGAATCGGTGATTCCTCAATCGTATCGTTCAATATCGAACACACACACCAATTCGTCATTAAATGGGACCGAATGCCCGCAAGAACATGAGTATTTCCCACAATTCCAATCGTTTTATGACTCGTTAAACCAAACAACCAGGGCCAATAAGGACCGTTGCATGCATATATGGGCCGAAATGGAGTCTAATAATCGATCTCATACCGAGAAAATCGTACAAGAAACCAATCAAACATTGAAGACATTGACGGAAGATTTCCAATCATTACTCTCATCTCAATCCACCAATGTTAGCCAGATCATAGCAGAGGAAAAGGAGAGACGACGAATACTAGAGGAGGCAAGATTAAAGAAACTAGAAGAGGAGAGAATACGGAGAGAAAAGGAGGAGGCCGAAAGGAAACGGAGAGAGAAGGAGGAAGAAGCATTAAGATTGAAGAAAAAGAAAGAAGAAGAAGAATTACAAAGGAAAAAGAAAGAAGAAGAGGCTAAGAAGGCCGAAGAGGCTAAGAAGGAAGCTGCCAAAAAGGCCAAGGAAAAGCAAGAAAAGGAGAAGGAACGTATTCGGAACGAAGAAGAGGCTGCGGCACGTGCCGGTGTTGGATTGACCAATTTCATCAAAATCGAAGAATCGTTTTATAAATACAAACAGGACATTGCTGATATCAAGCAGAATGTTGTACTAGCGTTGAAGAAGGAGAATGACCAGCATAGGAAGGCCGTGGGGGCATTGAAGAGGAAAATCAACCCGAAATTCGGACAACTTTCAAACAGTTTCACCCAATTGGCACGTATCACTGAAGAGGTCAAGCTGCAAATACGTGACGCACAACAGAATGCTAACGACTTGACATACCAATGGATCTTAAACTTTGTGGCCAAGGCGATTGTTTCCCAGGCCGAAACCGAGGTCACGGTCAAGGCAACGGCTGCCTTGCCATTGGCCAGACTTGCATTGAGCTTGCTTGAGCTGTTTGAACAATTCGAGTACTATTTAACCGCCAGGCTAGTCAAGAAGTGTCCCTTCATCATTGGATATAGTTGTAGCATTGAATCGGAAGAAGGTAGGACGAGAATGGGGTGGCGTAGAAGAGACACCAAATGGGAAGATGAGGTCAAATATGATGAAAGAGTTGCCGGGATTTGTACTATGTGGAGTGTTATGAGTCGATTGAAAGATCATTCGCCTGGAAATGGACCGGGAATCTTCAATATGAGATCGTCATGGCAATTTGCTGCTCGTATGGGGAATACACCTGTTGATCGACTCACTAACGCACATTTTGTATGTTTGGGCAATTGGTGGGAAGCATGTGCTGTTGAATTGTACAAGGCATATGGAGGTATGGGCCGCAAACTTCTTTTTGCCATTGCATTTGCACTCACCCAACTGGTTGTTGATAAGAAATATGCTGGGGCAGCAAGACTTTTGATTCTAGGTGAAGCACTTCAAAAGGGGGAAATTGTACCGATCAAGGAAATGGAGAGGTAATATATATTAATGAACTAGGGAATAGAATACTAGAAGAACTAGAAGACTAGAAGGCTAGAATGTAGCTCTCATAAAGGTGTTGGGTGCAAAAGTTTCTTTTTCTCGAGGAGAAGTCGTTCGAACTACTCGAAGTCTAAGGCACATATATAATAGGAATTTAGAGTTATTACGTGGTTCTTCAACTTCAGTACTAAAGCTCTTCATGTCAGCCATTTTGGGTGGTCTCTCGATGCTTACCTCGACAACAAGTTCCTTTTATTGATAAAACGGATTCTTTTGTGAATATTGTCCACACTCCCAGAAGGCATTAACGTTCTCCATATGTAACCGTATATCATCTCTTATACTATTTTATAAGAACAGTGAAGACAACATCATTCACCTTGTCTAATCATCCCTCACTGCTTCCATAAGCACCCCAACCAGGCGTTCCAAAAAGAAAAAAACATTTAAAGAAGACATACAGTCTTCTATCTTCCAAATTCATTGCATATTCTCTTGAACTGCCCTCCATTAGATCCATAGAATAATATAATATCATTTCAATAATCTACACATTTAAATATTCCATGACCCTCCGATTACTCAAAGACTAATTTACAAAAACTGAAACGGTCATAGACTGCAACTCATTGGTGAAACATATTATTACCCAATAACTGGATAATTTTTCTAACTTCATCTCATAGAGCTATCACTTCACGGTACATACCCCCACTCACCCTCCTTGATCGCTCTTCCTCATATCAACCTTTTCTTTATCATTTAAATCTCTACCGTCTTTCGTACATTCCGGTCATTGTTCCACCCCACATTCGGTCAATCTCAACTTCCGGTCAGGAGCACTGTTTCCAATCTACCACCAATTCCTGTCAAAATTCTCGTTTAAAAAATAAAAAAAATAAAAACTCACTCCAAATTCATTCAATCATCTCCCCTCCCACTTCCATAATATCAGCTTTCCTTACCCCACGCTTTTTTGGTAACCTTTTCTACCATCCACTTACATCTCATATTGAAACCCCGGCTTTCATTTTAAAAAATAATCTGTCTGAAATCCGACCCTGCGGATGTGCCACGCACGACCCTCCTAATATGGGTAACCCAAAAAGAATCGAACAAAAAGTTGACGGTTTTAACCTGCAACCTTAAATGGGAACCCATTTTATTCAACCGTATTTCCATCACCTAATATATTACATGGGACCCCAGTGAATTGCCCTTCTTTCTCCCAGAACCGCATTTCCTGCAACCATACCCGACCCCAATCTTCAGAATCCATATAGTCACTCGTTATTATGGAGAAGGACAAACGAACCTCAAAATTGTTTGGGTCAAGGATTTCATCCATTTTCAACCCTCATACAAACCCCAATGCCCATGATATCAAGTCCTTGCCACAACTGCAGAAGGCCAGCACGAGCCTGGCCCCGAAACAGCTACCCCGAGGCCTGTTACTGCCTCAAAGACCAGCACAACCTCAGGCCACGAGTCGAGGACTTGTGCTGCCCAAACAACATATCATGGGTGCTCCAGATCCAGTGACGCCTAACCAGGCCAGATCTCCTCGTGCAGGGGTCTCTCCCTCCCCACGGCCACTTCTGCTGACCCCGTTCAATAATAGAAACTCCACCACGTCCACGGGGACTCACAGCTTACAATCCGATGGGTCTATGAGTGTCTTGCGTCCCATGGCCGAGTATCCACCTAATCTTTTCCATTTCGACCAGATCGACGAAGCTGCCGTGACGGGTCGTGAGGAAATAGTTCCACAACAAGCGGCGACACAGTCATCGGCATCGGGCTTGAAACGAAATTTAACGAGAAAACCTCCACCTGAAATGGTGGACGCAACCGGACCACAGCAGGTGGAACGTATGGCTCTGGCTGGGAGCTTACGTACCACCCCTATGAATCAAACGGATAAGGACGTTCGCAACGACCTCCAAGACATTATCGGTACGCTTGAAAATGAAATCCATTTCCTTTCCCCTGACGCGAATAGTCGCCCATCTGTAAGTAGAGGGCCCTCGGATGAGCTCACAACCACCCCATTAAATATTCAATCTCCCCAACAAGTGACGCCTTCCCCTGAGTTTAAAGACTTTTCTGATGAGTTCTCACCAACATCAGACCCCTTTGCTAGTGGAGAGAACTCATCTTCATTGCCGTCTATAGCACAAACAGAGAATTCAGTACCTCATTCCAGCGCAGGTACAGTGCCATATCCCATTGATATCTTGGACCTGGGCGGTCTGGGTCTGGAAAGTCCTGGTTACACGCCGGTGAGTCCAACTTTCCCATTAGACAGAGGAAACCAGCTGCCACGGCTGTTTGGACAATACGCCGCGAATGAAGACCCATTCCAACGGCAATACGAAGGTAGTGGCGGTGGTGCTGCCAGCCTGCAAATGTCCTTGGATACCGCCAACTCGTCAACCTACTCCTTGGGGATGCCTCTGAAGAACAACTCTGCATTTGAAAGGAAAGTTCACCCAACAACTAGCAGTAGCAGTTCCGGATCAAAATTGACTCCAACCATGAGTGCCACACACAGTTTGAACAATCAAGGAGGGACAATCTTTGGTGGCCCCGTGGCGGCCACATCATCAGCTTCTGGGTCAAGCAATATATTCTCCAGTGCTGCGTCCATGTCCAAATCGGATGCATTCCCAAGAAACCCACCACAAACTACCTCGGGCTTGGGACATCGGAAAACAGGATCGATTACTTCTATCATGAGTTCTAATTCGTACCGTAATGTGAGTCTTGCTGCACTCAAAAAGACTCTTAATTTAAAACCAGGAGAAGGAGAAAGGTCAAACTATGTGTATACAATCCGTAAATCTGCAGGTACCTCCTATAATGACAATCCTCCTGGGAAATGGAAATTACCCATTGGGATACTTCCAGTGGATAAGAATGCCAATTACGCCATTTCTAATGGGAAATATATGAGATTAGGAGGAGGGATGTCCGGTCGGTCCAAGAAAACCAGTGGAGTTGAGTTGAAGCATGGTCATTTGGCCCCACGGTTGCTTGCAGCAGAAGTTGACGATACAGACTCTTCAATCCCAGGGATTAATTCACGTTTGGGCCGGGCCGGAACTAATATGACCGGATCCACATTTCTGGCGGCAGCACCTCCTACTCGTCCTGAAGTCAATTCAGGTCATTCTAGTTTCAGTTCCACCGCCACAGGACAGGTTCCTGGAGCGGCCACTGCAACGATAGCGTCAGTCTCTCGCAACAACTCTTTGGCTCGTACTGTCACAGAAGGGTCACTTGGAGGGGGAGTAGGAGGAGGAGGACCTGATTCGCAAAGTATTGTCACTGGAGGCGACTCGTCATTGTCCGGAAGGACCAAATCTATATCATCTGGGTCGTCTGGTAGTATATCAGATGCACACATTGGGTACTATCAACATCCAGGATATAAGTATGGTGATGACGAGGATGGTGTAGATGACGAAGGTGAGGGTGAACCCACCGACCATGAGATGAATAATGAAACACCAATACCTAATGGATACGGATCTGACTATGACGAAAGTCCAAGATTAGTACTTGCAAACCCTGATTACAGTGATAGTGAATAGGTAAATGATAGATCACAAAAAGGAATAAATCGATTTAATTTAAGAGTAAGATAAGATTGTAGAGAGATAGAAGAAGAAGAAGAAGAAGAAGAAGAAGAAGAAGAAGAAGAAGAAGAAGAAGTGCACCACGAAGAATTTGCATCCAATTTGTTATTTGTTATTTGTTATTTAGTAGTAGGAATGAATTGTGATCACTAGAAAGGTGACTATAGAGAAATAGACAGTTTCTTATAGGGACTTCTAAGTACCAATACATTCTATTCAAAATCATCTATCTAACTTTACTCCTATATATATATAAATATTTGATTTCTACAACAGTCGTCTAAAATAATGTCTCACTTTTTCTAAAAAAATGGAAAAAAAATTCTTTTTACAAATACAAGAATACTTAATATACCCCATCCTTAATCCCTTAACCCCCCTAAAATGCCTCCCCACTTATTTTATACCTAATAGAATATCTATCTACACTATACCCCTCCTACTTTAACTACCTTTCAATTATTAAATACAGTGCGTGATCACGTGCCCTACGCGAAGGCGTGCCCCGCTCAAGAAAGATCAAAATTATAACACGTATAAACAGACACCGGACGTCAATTGAATAGAGTAACCAATCGATTCACCAACCGTCTAGTCGTAAGTAAAACCCGAAATATTGTTGATCCAAACTATAAGACCACAGAATACTTGTCCGCAAACTATCTAGCCCTAGGGGGAATTGCAATTCGAGAATCATAAAATTTCATAACTTTCTTAATTAATTTGATTTCAACAACACTCTCCCACTGAACAGTAACACTAACAAAAACAGTACTATCATGTCCGGATACACGCTCATCTACGAGCCAAACACGGCGGCCAAGAAAACGGTGAACGAGTTCAAAACTCTTTTGGAAAAGGGTAAGGATGAATCCAAGATCGACGCCATGAAGCGCATTTTGATCACCATTATCAATGGGGATCCATTACCAGACTTGCTCATGCACATCATTAGATTTGTGATGCCCTCCAAGAACAAGGAATTGAAGAAGTTGTTGTACTTCTACTGGGAAGTGTGTCCAAAGTTGGATGAACATGGCAAAATGAGACAAGAGATGATTCTTGTTTGTAACGCCATTCAACGTGATTTACAACATCCTAACGAATTTGTCAGAGGTAACACCTTGAGATTCTTGAATAAGTTGAAAGAACCTGATTTATTGGAAACTTTGGTCCCCAACGTTCGTCAATGTCTTGAACATCGTCACGCTTATGTGAGAAAGAATGCCGTATTTGCTCTTTACTCAATCTACAAGGTTTCTGATCATCTTGCCCCAGATGCTGATGAATTGATCTACAAGTTCCTTTATGACGAAACAGACTCCGTTTGTAAGAGAAACGCCTTTGTTTGTTTGGGTGAATTGAACCGTGACGCTGCCTTGAGATACTTACAAGACCATATCAGTAACATTGAACTGTTGGACTCTGTAGTACAATTGGCCTTCATTGAGTTCATCAGAAAGGATGCTGTCACCGCACCAGCCTTGAGAGTGCAATACACCCAATTGATCACTGAAATCATTGAAACCTCTACCTCCAACGTTGTCTTGTATGAGGCTGCCACCACCTTAACCACCTTAACCACCAACTCACAATCCGTCTTGTTGGCCGGTAACAAGTTTGTTGACTTGGCCACCAAGGAGGCAGACAACAATGTCAAGATCATCACCTTGGAAAGAATTAGCGACTTGCACAAGTCTCACCCTGGTGTCTTGCAAGATCTTTCTCTTGAAATCTTGAGAGTGTTATCTTGTCAAGACTTGGACGTTCGTAAGAAGGCCCTTGACGTCACCTTACAGTTCATTTCCTCACGTAACGTTGAAGATGTTGTGAAATTGTTGAAGAAGGAATTACAAAGAACCGCTTCATCCAACGATGATAAGAACTCCGAATACAGACAATTGCTCATCAATGCTATCCATCAATTGGCCATCAAGTTTGTCGAAGTTGCTGCCAATGTTGTTGATTTGCTCTTGGAGTCCATGAGCGACTTGAACACCGCTGCTGCATACGAAGTGATCACTTTTGTGAAGGAGGTTGTTGAAAAATTCCCAGATTTAAGACAATCCATTGTAAGTAGATTAATCCACACCTTGGACTCTGTCAAGAGTGGGAAAGTGTTCAGAGGATCCCTTTGGATCATTGGTGAATACAGTATGGAAGAAAAACTTGTCCAAGAAGCTTGGAAATACATTAGATCCAGTATTGGAGAAGTACCTATTCTTGCCAGTGAAAAGAAGGCATCTTCCAAGAAGGATGATGGTGAAGAAGAACAACAACACGAAGATAATGATGAACATCCAAAGAAGAAGCATGGTCCAGTCATCTTACCAGACGGTACATATGCCACTGAAAACGCATTGACTTCCGATGTCAACCAACAAGACGCAGATGCTGACAAGCCTCCTATCCGTAGACTCATCTTAGCCGGTGACTTCTACTTGGGTGCCGTTTTGGCATCGACTTTGGTGAAGTTGGTGTTGAGATTGCAACGTATTTCTACACAACCACAGATTTTGAATGCATTGAGAGCAGAAGCTCTTTTGATCATGGTATCTATATTGAGAGTTGGTGAATCTTCCTATGTTACCAAGAAGATTGATGAAGACTCTGCCGACAGAATCTTCTCATGTATAAACTTTTTGAGTGATGAAAAGGATGCTAAATTAATTGAATCTGGATTCTTGGATGATACCAAGGATGCCTTCAAGCAACAAGTCATTGCCGAGGAAACCAAGAAGGAAGAAGCAAAGGCCCAGGCCTTCCACAAGAACGCCGAGCAAATCGACGACTCTATTGTGTTTGATCAATTCTCTAACGATGCTGCATCCACTGCCGCCGCTGCCAAATCAGATGAAGTTGAATTGGCTCTGGGTGGAAGTGACGTGAAGAAGGAGGACTTGTCTTCAAGATTGAACAAGATCTTGCAATTGACCGGGTTTTCAGACCCTATCTACGCCGAAGCCTTTGTCAAGGTACATCAATACGACGTTGTCTTGGATGTGTTGTTGGTGAATCAAACCACCACCACTTTGCGGAACTTGTCGGTCGAGTTTGCCACCTTGGGTGACTTGAAGGTTGTCGATAAGCCAGCCACTGCCAACATCGGACCTCATGGTTTCCACAAGATCCAAACCACAATCAAGGTTACCTCTGCTGATACAGGTGTCATTTTTGGTAACATCGTGTACGATGGACAACACTCTGACGAGTCAACCATAGTCATTTTGAACGACGTGAACGTCGACATTATGGATTACATCAAGCCTGCCACATGTACAGAGAGCGTATTCCGTAAGATGTGGAACGAGTTTGAATGGGAAAACAAGATCACCATCAAGTCACAAATGAATTCTCTTAAGGATTACTTGGCCGAGCTCATGCGTGGAACTAACATGAACTGTTTGACTCCTGGCGCGGTTATTGGTGAAGAATGTCAGTTCTTATCGGCCAACTTGTACTCTAGATCCACCTTTGGAGAAGATGCATTGGCCAACTTGTGTATCGAGAAGCAAAGTGATGGTCCTATTATCGGGCACGTGAGAATCCGGTCCAAGGGCCAAGGGTTGGCATTGTCATTGGGTGACAAGGTTGCGCAAATTTCGCGTAACACCCAAGCTAAGGCTATTTCTAACTAGAACTGTTTAAAATGAATACAATATATAAATAAGAATGTGTATTATTTGTAGAGATTTCTCCTCACAGAGGAGTTTTAAGAGATATGGGGGCCACTATCCCAGGGGGCTCAGCTTCTCTGAGGAGGAGTTCTGACCTGACCTGTTCGGTGAATCTCCTCGAAAAGGAGCTAGGCACCATGCAGTGGCTCCCCCCGAGTAGGGGCCATCGGAGAGTCCTGTTTTCATGGAGTAGGGTCCGGGCCACCGTACGGAGTCTATGTGGCTATAATGAATGCTGTAGCGGGGACTGGACTAGGACCGCGTAGATGCAAGGTTATTTTGTTTTTGTTTTTGTATAAGAAGAAGATACGAGTCTACTCTGATGGGTAAATGTACAGAAGAACAGCTTGGGTCAGGGCCGAGAGAACACCCGTGTTGACCAGTTGTCTTTGGAAAAGCCCCGGATTCCCATACACCCCAGTGACTGGGTGTTGCACTATTTTGTCATCATCAACATACTTGCTGGCGGCAAAGACAGACACTACTGTCCGTAAGAATCCAAACAACGCTTGGAAGTCTCCTCGAACATAAACGGTGCCCACGGTGTTGCTTCTGGCATACAGCGGCGAATGGTCGTACACCACAAGATGCGAAGCAGCATCTTTGAGCTGCTGGTATACTTTCGAACGCGTGTCACCGAACGAGTCTACAAGAAGCGTCAAGCTGTAATTGGAAGACTTGAGGGTGAACAAGTTGTTTCTGGCCACATTGTTGAGTTTTGCATTCAAACAGAACGAGATGAAGATAGCAGCCCGGCACACGGTGTCGAGGTCTCCAAACACCGTGACAAACCTATCGACAGACCCTTCCACCGCACGAGATACCAAGATGTCATGGACATTGAGTTTTGTCTTGAGTTCGACCAAAAAAGTTGGGTCTTCAAAGAAGGAGCCCTCTGAGCTTGCCACCACAATCTTGAGCGAATGGGTTGCCGAGGTTGCGTCTGCACCGCTAATTCCAGCCGACGACTTACCACCACCACCACCACCACCCAATTTCCTTATCCCATTGATTACTTTGTCATCTTCAGGGATCTTGGCCCGAGTATATTCAGTAGCCATGTCCACGTCCAACAGATTCAGATCATCATCCACCAATTGGATCAGCCCACCAACGTCTGAATGAGCACCACCATTCCCGTTCACCACCGACGTTTGTTCTGTCTTTCTCTTACGAAGCAGAGGTTTCATCTATAATATCAAATGTCTACCCGCTGTCGATGTATGTCTTTCTTATTGTTTGTTGTAACCTCCTCCTCTATACTAAATCATATGTCGCGCTTACCTGCACTCCAAAACCCCATTAAGATGTCTCTTCTCAAATTTTCTCTCACTTTAAATCTCTAACTCAATTTTACGGTCGTGCCCCGTCCCAAAGGAGATGCGGACCCCCATCGCTGCTGAAATTTTTCAAAAAATGTAAACCAAACAGAAACTACCCATACGCTTCTTATCTGAACCTATTACTACACCATGGCTAAGAAGGAAAAGGTCTCTAAGAGCGGCGCTGCCGAAGAAGAAGACAACTACGAAAAGAGAATGTCGGCTGTCTTGTCATTTGCCAAGCCACTTGCTCCAAAGAAGTTGAACAAGAAGGTTTTGAAGACCGTCAAGAAGGCCTCCAAGGCCAAGCACGTCAAGAGAGGGGTTAAGGAAGTTGTCAAGGCCTTGAGAAAGGGTGAAAAGGGTTTGGTTATCATTGCCGGGGACATTTCTCCTCCAGATGTCATTTCCCACATCCCAGTCTTGTGTGAAGATTCCTCTGTTCCATACGTTTTCATTCCATCCAAGGAAGACTTGGGCTCTGCTGGTGCCACCAAGAGACCAACCTCCTGTGTGATGATCGTCCCAGGTGGTGGAAAGTCCAAGAAGAACGCCGACAAGACCGATGAATACAGAGAATCCTTCGACGAAGTTGTCAAGGAAATCCCTGCTTTGTAGGTAATTTGTCGATTGATTCTCCCCCATCCTCGTCGACTACTTGTTGCCACCCCCACGACCATCACCCCCCAAACACACCCCTTGCACCTCCGTCTGCTGTTTTAACCCGCGGACCTGTACTAATAGCCTTGTTCTCTCTATAGCATGCCAGAGCATTTTGATGCTAATATACGTTGAAAAGAAGAAAGAAAGTTTTGTAGAGATGTAGGACCATGTAGGATCATGTAGAGAGGATGTAGAGGATTACATATCATATTACGGTGTATATATTTCTCTATTTATGAGTATTAGGTCGGATCGCGATAGTGAGAAATATGAGATACCAAGGAATGGAGCAGCTTAGGTAATTGAAAGTTAAGGAGAGGGAAGATCACCAGAGGGAATCTGACTAGAGGGAAGCTGACGAGATGGGAAGATCACTACAAAGGATGATAAGTTGTAGTTATCTGTCTGACAACACTTACTCTTTAGATTCATCCTTCATGTCCAAGAAGACAGACTCTAAAGTATCCAGCTTCCAACCTTCAGATTCTCTAATTTAAAGTTTTCAATTACCTCTTCAATGACTCTTTGACTCTTTGACTCTTTGACTATTCAATGACTCATCAAGCTCATTTTCCGCTCATTTTCTCTGGCTGCAAATCTCAATCAATCTTTAACCGACCTTTCTATGAATAAGCCTGTCTGCTAGGAATTAACACCCTATCTCTCTTAAACTATCTGACAGGATTCATCTTACCTGACTGGCTTAATATTCTTATCTGCCAGGAACTCTGCCACTCTGCCACTATTAAACATTCATCTACCAGTTATAATATTCTTATCTCTTGAACAACCATTCCCCTCTAAATGATAAACCTTAATCTCTATACATTGTCTAATCCTACTTATTTCTGCATCAATAACTCCCGTTTAGAAGCCCGTACCTTGGTCCGAATACTTCTTCCTTTCCTACTTGAAACTGGTGGTTCAATAAAGGTTGGTGCTGGAAGAGTACCAACTTTCCTTCTCTTTTCTATATGATCCATCAGAGAATCTTCACGGTCTACCACATAAGTTCCCAACCCCAAGAACGCACAAAGAATGTAATCTGAGTATTTTGTCATCTTGTATGTGCTACCAATCCATTAAACTACAAAAACAAAGGCCCACTCCCCCGTCACCGGCAGAATGGGCTACCCTTGCTGCCATTATATACACTTTACAACTCTACTGCACGCCACACAATACACCCCGAACATCCCACACCTCGGCCCAAACACTCACAACGTGTTCTTCTAATTTAACCCTTGATTGTAACAACGGAACCTTATTTAAAAAATATTTATTAGGTTGATTAGGCCACTCCAAATTTGGTAATTGTGGTCAATTTAAACTTTGGCAACCAGATAATAACAAGCCCGGACCATGTGTTCTGAAATTGGATCGTTATCTAATCTCCTACACACACTACACTGGTCGCAATCTTCGAAACTCACCGTCAGCACGTAATCTATCTGTCTATTATTATACTATATCTCTATAAAGTGCTGCTGTACTACTGACCAAAGTACCGACCGAGGATTTTATTTAAACTATCCTGCCGTGCACAGGCGGCTCTTGCGCGCCACCATTCAAAGCTAATTACGCGCAATTGACTCACAAATGAGTTTTTGTATGACCCCCTATCGTTCTATATTTTTAGAGGGCTATTATACCCACACAATCCTTCTACCCACACAATCTTCTAACTCTAAAGCTTTCTGTTATCTATAAAATTGTCCTTCAAAATTTTTTTTTATTATATATATTTTTTTTTAGTGCTGATTGTCTCTTCATGGTAGCACATTGACTCCCCCTAATCTGGACCTCTTAACAATGGCTGGGACGAAAACCCGACTGCAGATATGTCGTGATGTTCTCCCTGGCCATGCAAATGGCCACATGGACAAACCCCATTGTCGTCTCGGGTGTCCATCGCATCGCGTGCATCATCTCCCATAAATAAATCATCGCGTTCCAAATTCACAGGAGACGGAGACACCGGAGTTACTGGTCTCACAGCAACTTCAGATACAATCTTACGACGCTTGGCTTCAGGGATCGGCTGGGAGATGTGATGAATCATATCTAAATCAGTCCAAATTCAAGGAAAGTCTTCAAAAGAAATAAAAAGAGAAAGAACAATACATACCTTTCTCTCGCCGTAGAGAACGTTTCCAGAATCTTGGTAGCCGTTTCGGCGCCGTACTGGGCCTTTTCCATTTCTTTTCTTTTCTTTTTTTTTTTTTTTACATTTTTTATTTGCTTTTTTTTTTGTTTATCTCCCAGCGAAAAGGAGAAGGGCTTCACCTTCCATTTATGGAAGCCCTCCGTGATTACAGTTTAAGTTTGCCAACAACAAAGTTCATCAGATAGAACGGGACCGCAATGGAGAGGGTGTCTATCTGTCTTAGCTGTCAGATGAAATTTAGAGGTTCTCTCCCATTTTATTTTCCAAGAAAATGTGTCATTACGTCATAAAGACCCTTAGGCTGGATTAGCGAGAAAGAGGGTTTACCCAAACGTTATAACGTAGATATAATCCTTCCAAGTTTGTTACACCATCCCTACTGCCCAGTTCCCCATACATTACTTCTCGTAGAACACACTAGACCACTCATCCTTCCTGAAAAAATGGATGCAAAAATCTTTCAAATCCCCAGGCAGTGCCCATCATCCCCTAATACGACCCTCTAAGAGCTCGTCAAAACCACCACCGCGTCCCGACACCCATACCTCCTCGGCAGAGGAGCTAGGCCTCCACGGCTAGTGGCCCACGGAGTGCCAGCGGAGCGGCTTGCTGACCCCGTAGGGTTGTCCTGACCGTCCATGCTGCGCCTCGAGCTCTCACCTACCCACCCTACGGGGTCAGCAAGCCGCTCCGCTGGCACTCCGTGGGCCACTAGCCGTGGAGGCCTAGCTCCTCTACCGAGGAGTCGGATCTACGTGACTGTAATCATTCTCTCCTCCCCTACAATTCTACATGCACTTCCCACCATTTCTTCCCTTCACTACTGTCCCCTCTCTGGCCCCATTCTCTTACTTCCCCACTCTTGGCCAATCTTCTACTCTGTGCTACGCTCTTTATCATACTATTTGTATACAATTCTTGTTATATGTGACCTACCTCGCCCCGCACGTGACCGCGGCACTATTTCTTTTTTTAGCACTTTTTGCCCTTTCTGTCATTTTTAATCGTTCAAACTTCGTGTCAATTGCAATTGACTCCACATTATTTTATCAACTCAATTAGTTCCATTAGATCCAATAATTATAAGATGGGTATCAAGAATATGTTCAAGAAAAAGGAGCCCACGGAGCAAGAGCTTCGGGAGGATTTGAACCGGTTGGGAATCTCCACAAGATCATCAAATGGTGGACGTCCCGAGAAGTTTGGTGCCTTTAGAAATTATGCCCAAGAGAAACAAGCTCAAAAACCTGGGTTTGCTCCTGTGAATCCATATGCCAATGTCAATTCAGGAGGTCCTGGCAATAATCCATATGCATCCTCCGATTCACAACTGGGTGATGGAGGAAATCCATATGGTAATCAAAATAATAATCAACAGACCAATTCTCCATATGGTGGAGGACAGACCAATTCTCCATATGGTGGGCAACAACCCACCAATAATGGATCTAGTAATCCATACGGTGCTTCAGCCTCCACTCCACCAAATCCATACGCTCTGGCCACACCAATCAATGACCCATATGCCAGACAAACCACCAGAAACACTTATGATAGAGCACCAAAGCAAAGACAATATGATGAAGAATCAGTTTTAGATTTGAATCGAATGCCTTCTAATATCCCCACCTCGAAAAAACCGATCAAAAGACCGGCATTTGATGAAGAACTGACGTTGGACCTTAATGAACTCCCAGAGGAGGAAGACCTCAACTTGGACTTGGATGAACTTCCAGAAGAAGAGCAAATCAATTCTGAAGATGAAGAAGTTGAGGCCATCAGACAAGACATCCGATTCACCAAGCAAGAATCCGTAGCTCTGACGAGAAATACCTTGAGAATGGCCCAGGAGGCCGATGCCTCAGGAACTAACACTTTGGGGATGTTGGGATCTCAATCAGAAAGATTATATAATGCCGAACAAAACTTGTTGTTGGCAGACACTCAAACCAAGATTGCCCAAGACAAAGTCGAACAATTGAGAAGACTTAACCGGTCGATTTTCATCCCTGCCACCTCGGTGAACCCATTCAACAAGAAGGGAAAGTTGAGACAACGAGAACTGAAGCTCAAGACCGAGAAGGCCCAGGAGAAGTACTTGCGTGAAACAAACCGTAAGGGGGTCTACGACAGTGAACAGAGAATCAAAGAGGGGATCACCAACAACGCCACCAATTCGGAGGTCCATCAGAAATACCAGGGTGCAAAGCTGTTGGAAGCCGCTCAACGATACCAATTTGAAAACGATAGTGAAGACGATGAGATGGAAAAGGAATTGGCCTCGAATCTTGACCAGATTGCCGCCTATCTGAAGAAGTTGAAGAGTTCTGCACGCACCATGGGACAAGAAGTTGAATCCCAAAACGAAAGATTGCGCAAGATTGAAGATGATGCTGACAGATTGGATATTAATGTGCACTTGAATAACACCAGATTAAGCAATATTCGATAATTTATTTTCTAATACATATAATGAAGTATCCTACTGTAAACAGAGAAGACAGACGAGTACCTGGAGCCACATTCCTTCCACTTCGCCAGCGGAGAGCCCCACATCCTCCAACAACTCTACTGGGTATGCAAGCCGCTCCGCTGGCACTCCGTGGGCCACTAGCCGTGGGGGCCTTGTTCCTCTGACGAGGAAGTCTACAGGGGTCTCGGGTCTCCTCGTAGAGGAGCTAGGCACCACGCAGTGGCTCTCCCCGAGCAGGGGCCAGCGGAGCGTCTTACAGTCCCGTAGGGAGGAGGGTTGATAGGTACGTGTACTAAAGATGCAGGGGGGGGGGAATAGAGACAGGTATATATATATTGCCATACATACGAGTGGAGAGTCCTTCGACTCACTCTCGCTCATCAATCATCCGTTGAAGCTTGCCAAATATACGGTCTCGGTGAATGGCCAACTCACTGTCTCGATCTTCTGGGAAAAACTCGTTTCTTTCAAACTCGTCATCCTCCAAGAAGTCCACATGGTCGTCGTCATCGTAGTCATCATCGTCATAAAACTGGTCGTAGAGATCTTCCAACTCTTCGTTGGCAATTCCATCCACCGCGTCTTGGCTCTCGATGTAGTCAAAGCCTTCAACAAGATCATCGGTGGCATTCGGCTGAACAAGATAGATATCTGCGTTTTCATCGTCTTCAGCCCCGGCATCGGCCTCGTCGTCATCATCGTTTGAAGCCTCCTCGTCGGTGTAGGTGTCACTAAAGGCTCCAGCATCCTCATCCTCAGGGTAATCGTTCTGGTAGAAGTCTTCGGCATTGGAGTCCTCATCGTCAGAAAGTTGTAACTTGTTGTTATCATCGTCATCGGATTGATAAAGGTCGTTTTCCTCATCATCAAAGAACCGAATGTATCCGATGGTGGACAGTGGATGGTTGGCCGTGGTCATGGCTTCAGGAGATGCAAGCTGGTACACGTCATAGACGTACTCTGATAGTTGTGTGGATGGAGAAGAGTGTGGATCAGCAGAGTACTCATGGTCTCGTTGGACTTGGTCATTGATCGATGGCTCTGGATTTACATGTGTCGGGATGTTACTACTACTACCAATATTCCTACTACTACTACTACCATGATGTCTTCTCTTCTTGGGTCTCAGTGAACCTCCCTCTGCTGCAGCAGAAGAGGCACCATCTTCAACCAAAAGCGAATCTAACATGTCTGTCAATTCGTTGGGGATCACCGTGTCTTCTTCAAGTTGCCGTTTAGGAATCACAAACTTCCGGCCCTGGCCCTTTCTTCTACTCTCCGATAAAATCGACTGCATCACCGTCTCGTCCGTCACCACGGCCGACGACTCGTCCGTACGCGTCAAGGTGAATAAAAGACTCTCATTTACAGCAGAGGTTGCTCCAGGCACCCCTTTCACGGGAGTCAGTGCTACAGATGAAGCCAACGACGAAGGCTTGGATTTCTTTGTGTTCCGGTCCTCCAAAATCAAGGCCTGGAGCGGGTCTTGATCTCGCTTTCTCTTGATCCGAAGCACCGTTGGAGGCGAGTTGAATGACATCTTAAAATGTGTATTGGGTAGATGAATAGATTAGTAAACTTGTTAAATGTGTGCCGCCCCTCCTTTTCCCCCTAAGAGGCAAATTCGAGAAATCCATAGTGACACAAAAATAAGTGGCACATCCACACACCCACACACCCACAGCACACATACTCTATCATTTGTGACACCCCCCTACTTTGGGTTTGCAACCATTTTTACAAATGGATAATAAATCGTTTATTTTCTTTCCTAGACTATAGTCTTATTATTTGCTTTCAGATCTGCTAAATATTGTTAGTTCTCCCCCCACTTAATCATGGGTCCTCTTATGTGCACCGTAATGTTGTACCATCTCGACAAATACTACCGAAATGTATCCAATGCGCTTATTGGACATTTCTTTGAGCCCCACAGAGACGTGGTATTGATAACTGGTGGAGGGATGGGGCTAGGTAAGGAGATTGCCAAGAACGTCTCAGAAAAGGGTGCCCAAACGGTGGTGTTGGACTTGAAATTACCCACAGTGCAAGATCAATTGGAGAATGTTAAATATTATCAATGTGACGTCAGTAATTGTGAACAAGTGATCGAAGTGTCAAAGAGAATCGGTCTTGAAGTTGGTGTGGTCACCGTCCTCATCAACAATGCTGGGATCACCCATGGGAAGTCTATATTGGATTTAAATTATGATGAAATCGAGAAAACCATCAAGGTTAACCTTTTATCTAGTTTTTATACCATCAAGGTGTTTCTACCGGGAATGATTAAAAACTCCCGGGGTTACATCGTCACCATTGCCTCAGTCTTGGGGTATATGTCCCCGGCACGATTGAGTGACTACGGAGCTTCCAAGTCTGGTCTCATTGCCCTACACGAACTGTTAACCTATGAGTTGGGTCCACCATCGCTAAACCCCAATGGTATCAAGACTCTTTTGGTATGTCCGGGACAGATCAAAACAAGAATGTTCAGTTCCGTTCTGTCTCCTTCCTCATTGTTTGCCCCAGAATTGGAACCCAAATTCGTTGCCAAAAAAGTTGTCAAGGCGTTGGAATTGGGGAGAAGAGGTGAAATGAAACTACCATTGTATGGGAACTTGATCCCCATAATGCGTGCATTCCCATGGCCCGTGGTTGAGTTTCTACGGAACGTATCTGGCATGGATCAAAGTATGACTACGTTCAAGAATGCTGTTTCCAACCGAATTGGTTCCCGTACCACCTCAGAAATGACGTCGTTGCTAGGAGCAGAGTAGTGACAGACCAGACCATAACATTAGTATGAATATATTTGAATAAGCAAGTTTACACGTGTAGCAAGTTGTTAGGGCTCATCGGTATAGGACTGCAAGACCGATGCATGTGCACAACACTATCCATTTGACATGCATTGTGAATATTTTCAACGCACAGGTATATTTTTTACGTCCAACATCGGCAAATTACACCCCAACAATTCTCCTTCGTCAAACGGGGTTGAAAATGTGTCATATGCAATTAGTTCCAAGACATGAATATTTTTATGTATGCGCATATATATGTTCTGCTGATTCACATAGAAAATAATTTCAAATCTACCTCTTTGCAAATATTATTTAAGTGCATCGGACCTTCCGCGGGCCCTCCGACAAAACGCCGTAGTAGATATACTCCATGTTCTTGAGCTTGGCGATTGAATATATGTCGGTAATGCATCACCGACGGATAACTCGGCTCTATCAAAGTTTCTACAATCATATCAGATAATTTACGAATCGCATACGAGTCCACAATTGAATTCCGCGATCTACCTGCAGAGATGCATCGCTTCTTGGACTCCAAGGAGATAAGGATTGCACTGTGCAAAGGTGTACTTCACCACCCCGAAGGCGGGGGAACAAAACGTGTAAGAGGTCAGAGAAAAGAAAAAGTCTTGGAAAGTGTGTGCATGTCGATACTCTTCTGGTACCCTGTGGTCCGGTGGAAATGTGGTAACTAATCCCGAGCTGGTGCGGTTTGAAACATCGCGGGGAGGTGTTAGCAATCCCGGAGACAAGCCTCTTCATTGCGGGAAATGAGGTCATGTAGAGCTAAAAAGGTTAAGGAATCTCCTCGTAGAGGAGCAAAGCACCACGCAGTGGCTCTCCCCGAGCAGGGGCCAGCGGAGCGTCCTGATGCCCCGGAGGGAAGTGAGTAGCTGCCTGCCCTCCGCGGGTTGCAAGCCGCTCCGCTGGCACTCCGTGGGCCACTAGCCGTGGGGGCCTTGTTCCTCTAACGAGGAAGTTGACTGAAAAACCTTCAACTGACTCCCAGGGTAAGCGCCAGTGCAAAAAAAAAATGAAATCGAAAGCATTAATTTCTTTTTTCCAGAGCCTTGTGGGCTTGTTTAACCTCGATAGTTGATGTAGAGTCTTCCAATCTTCAATACCCGATATCCAGGCTTCCGACACCCCATCTTCCTATCCGATTTGGTGCCTAACCGACTTCTTCGGTGTCTGTCCGTCCATCATACCCACCCCTGCTAGGGACATATTCACGGGCTCGTAGCCCGGACAGATTCCCAAAGCGGGAACCTGTCGTGTGATCTAAAAGAAATTCAGATAAGAAATTTTTTCTTCCTTGAAAAGTTTTCCAATCTAAACTTTGTAGCATTGCTATTTCTTCTTCTTTTCTTCAAACTCGTCTCCAGTTTCTCACAGTTTCTCTCTTTCAACAGGACGGAACACATTCGCATCTACTCAACTAGACGGCCCAAACTCAGAGAATATAAACAAAATTCTCTTACCTAGTGCTTATCTTTTTCAAAGGACAGGCCACACAAATTTCCTTCAATTCATATTTTTTTTTTGCAGCCAACTCAAACTTGTTCCACACTTTGAAATGGAAGTTAAACTGGATGTACCACTCCCCTTCCGGATGAAGGACCTGCTGAGACTCGTACAGGAGACAGTTGAAGGTCCTGATGGAATTCAGTTCAATACCATCACCGTGGAACCTGCAACCACCGGGAAGGAACAAAGACCTCCATGCCGAGGTAAAGTTCTCTTTGTTCACGGATGGTGTGAACACGTTGGAATGTACTATCGAATCATGGAAACCTTGGCGGACCAGGGATTCGAATGCCATGCATTCGACCAACGTGGGTCGGGGAAGACCTCTTTGGGTAAATATAGAGGCCGTGTAGGACGTACCAAAGAAGTCATTTACCGTGATTTGGACTCAATGATTGAACATTTTTTCTTTAATAGTAGTCTGGAGGAGGGTGAAAAACAGGACTCACACATTCTTGTAGGCCATTCTATGGGCGGTGGGATTGCTCTCAACTACGCAGTCCACGGTAAATATCGTAATGAACTAACTCATGTCATCACCACTGGTCCCTTAGTTCTGGTGCATGCTTCCGTTCTCCCCTCTCCATGGTTTGTATATCTTTTGGGCACTGTAGCGTCATGGTTCCCCAACATGACATATCTGACATGCAATGGGCCCACCACCACCACAAGCTCACCGTACTGGAAGGAGTACCTTGGCACCGAGCTTCTTTGCCAAGGATTGGGTACGCTTGGCCAATTGAGCAACATGCTTTCTAGAGGACATGACTTACTCCATGGCGACATTTCCACCATCAACCCAAACGTGAAGCTTTTGGTTTTACACGCGGAACATGACAACTACACCTGTATCAAGGCACTGGAACAATTTGTAAATAGAGTCGATTTAAAACACAAGGAGTTTCATAAGGTTGAAGGAGCATGTCATTCATTATTCATTGAGAGTGATCCCATATACAACAAGGTTTCTGAGAAGATCAATGTCTTCCTAGCTGACGTGTAGAGAACCCCCCCATACTAATACTAATATACTTAATAATATAATATACCTGTTTGCAATACATGTAGAGGCTATTCTTCCCTTGTAAGATCTCCTCGAAGAGGAGCAAGGCATCACGCAGTGGCCCTCCCCGGGTAGGGGCCAGCGGAGCGTCCTGATGTCCCACAGGGAATGGAGTAGGGCCCACCCTACGGGGTCTGCGAGCCGCTCCGCTGGCACTCCGTGGGCCACTAGCCGTGGGGGCCTTGTTCCTCTACCGAGGAAGGAATCTATAGTCGGAACCTCCTCGAAGAGGAGCTAGGCACCACGCAGTGGCCCTCACCGGGTAGTGGCCAGCGGAGCGTCTTACAGTACCCCCCACAGGGAAGTGAGTGCTTGTTCTACGGGCCTGGCGGGTCGTTACTTTACATGAGATAGGTATAAAGTAGAGTATGTACTATTAGATGATGTCGTCCAATTTCAAGTCATGGATGGTCCACACAGGAGGAAGTTGTGAATGTACCGCATCTCTCTTCTTCACGTTGATTGTGAGGAGTTTCTGTGGGTTGTTCAGAAGATAGTCACGGAAACTTTGATTGGCAGTAGCCACCGTGGTGTAGATCTCCTCCTTGAACTCTTTATCAAAGAACAGGAGAAGTTCTTCCTCGTTCAAGGTGAGAACCAAGGAGTTTTTCTCCGTGAGAACAGTCCGAGGGTTTGTATTATCACTCAAAATGATTTCCAATTGTCGAAGGAATGGATCCTCTAGCACGGGTCTTTCCAAGATTGTGTCGTATGTGTAGTTCTTGACACAAACTTGTGAGAGATCCGCCGGGATAGTTCCGGCAATGTACGCACGGACCCGGTAAAGACGATTATCAACGTCATTCCCCGAGGAAAGTACTTGTGAGATAGAATGAGTTTCCTGAGAATCCAGCGAGGTTAACGGTGGAGATGGTGAGGAACGTGGGGATTTGGCAAAGTTCCTGGTGGTGGAGGATTGTCCATATGAAGCACTGTCCTGCAGTTGGGTCGATACTGGACGAGTTCTATGTACCAGTCCCAATGAATGTTGGGAATCTGCTCCCATGGAAGATTTAAGTGATGGAGGAGTCTGGAAAGATTGGAAAGAGGCAATGGCAGCTGCAGATGCAGCCGCATGGGCCGATAGATTACCACTAATACTACTACAATGTCCATTGTGCCCCATGGATGCTAATGCGTCCTCCCCAGCACTATGGTAGTCCTCAGGATGTTGAGTGTCCGGAATGATCCCATCAGAATAAATGTCGTCATCATGGGAGTCGGGCTCCTCCTCTTTCACCAACGATGGAGGAACCTCCTCGGAGGACGATTCACGCTTGACCTGGTTGGGGTACGTCTCGGGGAAAGGGTTCTCGGGCATACAATCCAACGGGATACGACGCTCTATGACATGCGAAAGGTTCTCCAGAAACGATTTGGGGACAAACTCATAGAACCTACGGTACAATTCACGTGCCTCACGACAATTCTCCTTCTCCAAAACCTCAACCTTGTTTGCCTTGGCATCCATCACCCCTCGATACAACTTTGTGTCGATGGTCACACGAAGAAAGCAAATCTTCTCCTTGATGTAAAACTCATTGGTGTCGGCTCCGCTGTCGACCAAGTCCTCGCCCATGTACTGGCGGAACTCGTGTTGCAACTTCCGGAGCTCCGGTGGCCAGATCGTGATTTGGAGCAACATATCCTTGGGGAGGATCTTGCGGTCAAAGTCGTTTTCCACCGTGTGTTCGCCCACCAACTGGCGGTTGGCGGTGAAGTCTGTGACGAACAACCGCGAGATCTTGCTGTCGATCCGGAGGAAGATCCCGTAGCAATAGATTTCCACCCTTTTCGCGTTTGTGGTGAGTTTTGATATGGTCATGGTGAGATTCCAGAGTGGTGGCAGGACGGCTTATCGAGTGGCAGCTTGGAGGTTTTTGATGTCCTCGCAGTTTTAGCGACTCTTACGATTTGACGCGACTTTGTCCGCGTGCGCGCGCGCACCTCAACAGGGGCCGAATTTCGCAGCCATTGCAGCACCTCCACCCTAGGGGTTTTCGAGCCACTCCGCAGGCACTTCGTGGGCCACGCAAGCTGTTTGGGAGGGTGTAGCGGATTGTCCCAGTGTCCCCCGAGGAATAGAGAAGCTGCCTTCCCTCCCGGGCTGCAAGCCGCTCCGCTGGCACTCCGTGGGCCACTAGCCGTGGAGGCCTTGTTCCTCTGCCGAGGAAGTCCCAGAAGAGTTGGTAGGTCTCCTCGTAGAGGAGCTAGGCACCACGCCAGTGGCTCTCCCCGAGCAGGGGCCAGCGGAGCGGCTTATGGACCCCGTAGGGAAGTGAGTAGCTACCCACCCTCCCGGGGGTTGCAAGCCGCTCCGCTGGCACTCCGTGGGCCACTAGCCGTGGAGGCCCTGTTCCTCTGCCGAGGAAGGTTGCCTACAAGTGGAAGTGACGTGGTTGAATCTAAGTCTAAAATTTAACATACAAATACATACTTGTAGCACCGTGTGAACCATCTACCCAGTCAATGGTTGCTCCTCGTCTTCGTGCTTGACAGGCCACAATCGGCGGCGCAAGATCGAAAAGACTCCTAGTCTTTGTGCCTCTGCACGCTTGAAGGCAATGATGGAGTCGTAGTTTGGAGGCTCGATTTCCTGTGGTGGGATGTTCAGGTCGGTAGGACCCAACCCGTCGAATGACGCGGTGTCTGATTTTGTTGGTTTCAATGCCGATTGCGCCGGTGGCACCACTGGAGCAATCACGGGCAGTTGAAGAAGACCTTCGTCTGGTCTGAGGAGCGCGGTGTTCCGGGCAATCGATGCCGGCGATTGTCTGAACAAGTCATTCTGGTCTACTGCACTGACACTGGTGGATCTATGGATGGATGAGGAGTCTTCGGTGGCACCATAATTGCCCAGAGAATGGAACGAGAAGATGGACGAGGAGTCATCGAATACAGAACCCATATCTTCCAACGTAAGACCCTTTGTTTCGGGGAAAAGAAGATGGACACAGAAGAAGGAAAGGGCACAAGAGGCAGCTGGAATCAAATAAGTTTTCCAAGTGATGGCATCAAGCAAAATTGGGGTCATTTCTCCAACAATGAAATTGAAAAGCCAATTGGTTGCCGTCAGAGCTGCGGCCCCCTTGGACCTTACTGAGTTGGGGATCACCTCGTTCATCATCCATGGGATAGGACCCCAACTGGCACCAAAGGAGGCATTGAAAATCACTACACAGGCCACCACGACGTTTGGGGTGTACGAGTTGTTGGCACGGAGCGAAATCGAGATGAGAAGTAAAGGAATGCCCATGAAAACAGCACCCGTCATGAGTAAGGGCTTTCTACCCCACCCATCAACCAAATACCATGGAGGAATGGTACTGGCAATGTAGACTAGGGAGTTGATCCCAGTCATTAAAATGGCTTGACGTCCAATCCACCCAGCAGATTCAAAGATCATGGGGGCATAATAGGAAACAATGTTGATCCCATTCAATTGGGCAAACATTTGCAGGAAACATGCAATCGAGAGTCTCTTCTTGTACCGTTGAAACATATATCTGTACAGTCTTTCACCGCCTTCGATACGGGAAATCAAGACATTCTCCTTGATGCCACGGTACTCGGCCTTGGCGGATTCATCTTCAACGTCTCCATCGGCATACAAGTCGGCAATGACAATCATTCCCTCATGGTCTTGGTCATGGTCCAAGAGCCATCTCGGGGTTTCTACAATGACATACAGCCCGGCAAACAACAAGGTACCCACTAAGCATTGTAGGAAAAGAGGGACTCTCCACAGGAAATCGTTTTCTAAAAAGGAAAACCCATAATCTACCCAGATACTGGTGGAGTAGCCGACAATGTTGCCGGTGAATTCAAGACAGGCGTAGAAACCACGGTCGTCCGGAGGACTGATTTCGGATTGGTAGCAGGGGATAATGGTGGTGAGGAACCCTATGGCAACCCCACTGACCAATCTACCCACAGCCAAGTTGACAATGTGGACCAGGAAAGTCTGGATAATCCCACCAATGACAAAGATGGCAGAACCATAACGAATGGTTCTTCTACGGCCAATGTTATCGCCTACTTTGCCCGCAAGAAACGATGAAAATAACGCACCCACCTCCAAAATGGCAATCATGGTCCCCACTGCCGCTGGGGATGGGTTACGATAGTATTGTTTGAAGTACTTGTTGGTAAGCAAGGAGGACATCAACCCTTGTTCGAATCCAAAGAGAAAGACTCCTAGTGATACGAAGATGGATGTGAAGTTGAGCAAGGCTCTCCCCACAAGAAACGACTCCTTAATAGGATGGTGCGACGACGACATTGTACAAGTAGAGAAGAAAGGAGAGAAACAGAGAAAGAAATAGAGATTCAACAACACATTGGTGCGATTTAAAGGGTCCCCCCTTGCGCACACGATTGCGCACTACTGCCGAAGCAAAAAGTGAATCTACAAAAATACTACAAATGAACAGAAATCCCACTAACAAAACCCCACCTCTGCACTTCAAGCAGCGTCCAGACTCTCCGCCCATTGTTACCACGTTCTTGTCACAGCATTTAAGTTTGGCACCGAAAAAAATAATCCAGCGAAACTTTTTTTAATGCCACCAAGGGATTCCCAATCGGGACCCCCGCTAATTTCTGGAAAGTCTTATCTTCCCACGCCTTAAACTTTTACTTCGTTTCTTTTTATTTTTTGAAGTTTTTATCTATTTTTTTTTTTTTTTAGCTCTGGACCTCCCATGTGTGGGCTCTTTTTGTTCTACAACTCTATCCAGTTTTTTGAGTCAGTACTACATCTCTCTTATTCAAACTTATCATCCTTCTATTAATTTATTTATGAACTTTCTTGGCCGGCATTCCTGCACAATGCGCCCCTTGTCAGTTGTTGTGTATGTTTTGAGTGACTTCCCCACTCAATCGTTCATTGCAACACTTTTTCCAACAATGTAAATGTACCTTTGAATGGGAGTCCGACCACGGCTTGGTATTCTCCCTGCAACTCTGTCCATAGTAACCCGCCTAGTCCCTGGACTTTGAACCCTCCCGCAGCCTGTAGTCCCTCTTCACTATCAACGTAAGCACGTAAAAACTCATCACTGATGGAAGTATCAAAGGTCAAACGAGTTTCCAGAACTGAACTTTCTTCTAGGAATGAAGTTTCACCATTTTCTAATCGATACACCACAACAGCCGTCATTACAGAAACAATTGGATTTTCTCTAAATGATTGTAATGTTGCCAATTGTATTTCCTTATTGCGGGGTTTCTCAAATATGCGTCCATTATTGACCACCACCGTGTCAGATGCAAGAATGATCTTACTTCCTGGTGATTCCTTGATTTGGTTATACACTGCATCGATCTTACCATGAGCAGTTCCTGCTACATAATCTGCAGGCGCCAATGTCTTGGGAAGATTCTCTTCAAAGTCCGATGGGATGACTTCAATGTTGGCAATCCCCAAATCGGTCAAGATTTCCTTTCTTCGAGGCGATGTAGAGGCTAGAATGAATCTATAGGACTTGAGTTTGTCATAGGTAGAATAGTTTAGCATATTTGAATGAAGGTAAGGAATAGAAACTTCATAATTGATCCGATGCTCACAGGGCTGAAATTTCTCAATTTTCCGCAATGTTCGTAACCGCCAAAAGGTCCCCACCCATCTGGGGTACCACCAACACATTTCAGGGGAGGGAAGACATCATTTTCTTTGTCCCCCAGTAGAGAAGAGAGATTGAACTCTAGATAGAGACTACATCCCTATTAAATAGAATAATTGTATTATTGTCTGATCTATTAACTAGCTTCTCTCTCCACTCAAGCCATACACAAATATGTCTCCTCGAAGAGGAGCTAAGCTCCACGCAGTGGCTCTCCCCGAGCAGGGGCCAGCGGAGCGTCTTACAGTCCAACAGGGAAGTGAGTACCTACCACCCTACGGGGTTTTGTGAGCCGCTCCACTGGCACTCCGTGGGCCACTAGCCGTGGGGGCTTCGTTCCTCTATCGAGAAAGTTGAATCACTAGCTATCATTTTCCTTTTCTTCTCGTTTCTTTGCAAGTGCATATGCCTTCTTTAAAATGGTGGTAGCATGTGTTTCCAACCCATTTTCTCCCTCTTCTCCAGCCAAATTTGTTGTTTCTTCCATTTCTGCAACTTTATCAGGATCATCATCTTCTGGAGTCTCCTTAGGAATTAACACATTTGATTCATCACATTGTAAATGTTCTCGTACTACACCGATTAATTCTCCATAATCATCGAAAACCATGTCTGTACCCACCAATTTCTTCCATTGACCCTGATAAATCTTCCCATCTCCAGCAGTGGAGGATGAATTCGAGATATCAGCATTGTTTGAAAGCTTGATTAATGGATGTTCATCGTCTAATCCAACAATTTGGAAGGCTGATGATGGTTTGATGATACTGGCCTTTGTTTGAGCCAATTCTTTGGTGAACTGCTTGGTTGCCCCAGCATTGCTATTACCACTATTGCCACTACTGCTGCCACCATTAGGACCACCAGTTTGAGTAGAAGTTTGCAGACCTGCTTGCTGTTGTCGTACTGAAACTTTGGTCAAATTGGCAGATTTAATATGGAAAGATTTTGAAGTCGATGGATCATCAAAATGTGAAAATTTCGATTCTCCAGTGATTGGAATATCTATAGTAACATATACTTCCTATACAAGTTGTTAGTACTGAATTCTTTTATTAAAAATAAACACACAGCAAGTGCGAATTATTTGTTGGTACGTACCTCAAAATCATCTGAATTGGCTGGATTTTGATCTTCTGCAAGCGTTAAAGAGTCTGGAGTTGGCGTGGTGGCACTGGAAGTTGTTGCACTGGCTGCTCCTGCTTGTAAGATTGCAGCTGCACTTGCCTTAGCAACAGCATCATTCGCACTATCTATATTATCTAATTTTGTACTTGTAGCGGCCTCAGCTTCAGCTTTGGCCTTGGCCATGGCTCTAGCCTTTATATCCTCATCGGAACCTGCCTCAAACCCAGATTGGAAGTTCCAATGCATTTCCTCACCCTTTGATAAAAAGTCACAATTCCCATTCATCAAGATTTCCCAATTTTTACCATCATTGGTTCTCGCATACTTATCCAAAGAGCAAGCACCAGCACGTAATCTGGTCCCAGCAGCCTCATCGACATACCCACGGACCCCATCTTTTTGCAACAAGGCCATTCCAAGCGATATCTTGGTGGCAGCATGGGTCATAATTAAAATGGTATCGATTTCTGGGAATTTCTCTTCAAACACAGAAATGAATTTGGACCAGAAAAGTTGAGTTCTAGCAAAGATATCCAGTTCGGTCTCACCAGTAAGGTCTGGAATCACTTGCAAGCCATCTCTTGCCCACAACTCTGGTTTCAAAGTGGTAGGGAAGAACTTGGTCAACAAGTCATAATCGGCCGGCTCGGGCACAATGCCACGGTCCTTCTTGTACCATTCACCAACCCCACGTTCAATGACTATAGGGATGTCTAGCTTGATAGCCATGGGCTCTGCTGTTTGCACACATCTGTAGAATGGAGACGACAAGACGATTTTAGGTTGAGATTCCTTAGGAAGCGTTTTCATATAAGCGGCCAATTCATGTGCTTGATCAACTCCATGGTCTGCCAATGGAGGGTCACTATCCACGCCAGTGGGGTTGGGTGGATGTGGAGGAGGGAGCCAGTTGGCTCTGTACCCATGACGGGCTATGTAGATGGTCTTAAGAGTCATTATCCACGTTGATTAAATGGTCCTTGGTGTGGATTCTTTTCTTTTTTATCGATTTGTTTTGATTTGATTAAAATTTGCGAGAAATCAAACAATTCGTCAAGGGGGGGGGGTTTAGCCAAAAAAACAATTATAAGCAACTTTTTTTTTTGGCAACAAACAATGAGTCTCACACGGGGGTTGGAGGAGGGGGTCTGCAGGATGTAGAGAATCTGAAGTGGGAGGTTCTTATATAGATATAAAGAGCCCCACATGCGGACGCACGAGACGGATTGATGATTGACGATCACCTCACCAGCGGTGCGGTAAGTTCGACAAAAGCACGTCTGGTGATGAAAGTGCAAGCACAAAAAAAAAAATAAACAGTAGATGGATTATCTATTTACTGAATAGGACTGTAGGTGCTATTGATATGGGGGGTTTGATGTAGACTAGGACAGGGATATATCACTTGTAGGAAGAGAGTGAATTTAGATTGACTTTGCGGTTGATCTATTGTAATCGATTATTACCTAAAATAGGCGTAAGACTTTGTTTTTACCCCTAAGACGGAGCAGAAAACTCGAGAGGCTTGGATAGGTGAGATTTACCAATGGGATAGTCATACTACCTATCTACACTCTTCAAGAGATTTCTATACTGTCTCTTCATGATTGTAGTAATATCCCGTCTACATAAAAATGGCTGCAAAAAAAGAGGTTGACGAGGGAATACGCCACCTAGAGTATCAGATCGGAGCACTAGACTTCTTCTGGGTCCATATCCAAGAGGAGTCTCCCTATATTTGGCTAGTCACCACGGCTGGTTGCCTCACGGAGTACCAACAGAGCGGGTTACAGACCCCGTAGGGTGGCCATTCACTTCCCCGCGGGACTGGAAGACGCTCCGCTGGCCCCTGCTCGGGGAGAGCCACTGCGTGGTGCCTAGCTCCTCTACGAGGAGACGTCACGTAGTCAGGGCTTTTCCTCGGTAGAGGAACCAAGCCCCCACGGCTAGTGGCCCACGGAGTGCCAGCGGAGCGGCTTACATATAGGGTGGTCATTCACTTCCCTGCGGGACTGGAAGACGCTCCGCTGGCCCCTGCTTGGGGAGAGCCACTGCGTGGTGCCTAGCTCCTCTACGAGGAGACGTCACGTATTCAGGGCTTTCCTCGGTAGAGGAACGAAACCCCCACGGCTAGTGGCCCATGGAGTGCCAGCAGGGCAGCTTACATACCCCGTAGGGTTTCTTCTACTATGGGACAGTAAGCCTCTACATTCTACTCAAATAAGGTACGTACACATGCGTTTCATTTCTATTTATTTTATACCCTTCGGACGTCTTTGCTGCCCGTATATTATTCAGTGGTTATTTAAACCAACATTTCCAATGGGTTTTCAACAATCTTCTTCAACGCCTTGATCCATTCACCACCGAGAGCACCGTCGACGGTTCTGTGGTCAAAGGTACCGGTGATGGTAATGACATCATCAAAGACAAAGCCTTGTTCGTTGACGGCCAGAGGAACGGCACGCTTTTCAACGGTACCAATGGCAACAATGGCACTTTGTGGAGGGTTGATGATGGAGGTGAAGGAGGTGACGGCGTGGTTCATACCCAAGTTGGAGATGGTGATGGTACCACCTTGGTATTCTTCTGGGTTCAACTTGCCGATCTTGGCACGCTTACCCAAGTCCTTGATTTCGGTGGAGATGGCAGCCAAACCCTTGGTGTGGGCGTTCTTGACGATTGGGGTGATGAGACCGGTTGGGGTGGCAACGGCAACGGAAACGTCGACGGTGGAGTAGGTTCTGATGACACCTTGGTCACCCAACCAGGCAGAGTTGACTTCTGGGACTCTCAAGGAGGCAAGAGCAACAGCCTTGATCAAAAGATCGTTGACGGAAAGTCTGTATCTGTCTTCGGCCAGGGCGTTCAAGGATTGACGGAGCTTCAAAAGCTTGGAGACGGAGATTTGGGATTGAACAATGTAAGATGGAGATTGTTGAGTGGATTGAAGAAGTCTAGAAGCAATGGTCTTTCTCATGGAAGAGATAGGAGCATCAGTGAAGGTGGCAGCAGCTGGGGCGGCGGAACCGGCGGTAGCAGCAGCACCGGAAGAGGCGGCTTCTGGCTTGTAGTTTTCAACGTCCTTGGCAACAATTCTACCGTTTGGACCGGAACCCTTGATGTTCTTGAGGGCAATGCCTTGGTTGAGGGCAATGGTCTTGGCAAGAGGAGAGGCAAAGATTCTGTCGGTCTTGGTCTTTGGAGCGGAGGAGGAGGAGGAGGAAGAGTCCTTCTTGGCTGGAGCGGCTTCTTCCTTGGCTTCTTCCTTGGATTCTTCCTTGGATTCTTCCTTGGCTGGAGCGGCTGGAGCAGCTTGAGAACCGGCGTCTTCAGCGGTGAAGTCGGCAAAGGCGTCAACGTCACCCTTTTCTTCGACGTAGACGGCAATTGGGGTACCGACTGGGACGTCCTTGGCACCTTCAGCCATCAAGATCTTAGCCATGAAACCTTCTTCTTGGAATTCCAAATCCATGGAAGCCTTATCGGTTTCGATTTCGGCAATTGGTTCACCTGGAGTCAATTCATCACCGGCTTGCTTACCCCACAGAACGATACCACCTTGGGTCATGGTTGGAGACAAGGCAGGCATGTTGATGACGGTATGTGGTGGGAATTTGGAGGAAGCATAGGTTCTAAGCGAGGCAAAGGCACTTCTGGTCAAGGCAGAAGGAGCACGGAAACCGGCCATTTGACGGACAGAGCCGGCCATGACGGACCGGGAAACAGCTTGGAGAGACATATCTTAGACGGTTGAATAAGTGATGCGAAAAAAGACAAGACAAGGAGACAAGCGAGTTATATCTAATTGAAGATTTAAAGGGAGAGGGATGTTTTTGTGTTGGGCATTATCTCCCGAAGAACGCAATTCTGTTTTCCGAAGGTCGTGCGCGGGCCGCGGATTTGAAAGTCCGGGATCGTCCTGCGATGCGACCAGCAGAGGAGGTGTGAGTGGGTGTATGGGTGTAAAGAGGGGGCACAGAAATGGGTGGATGTTTTAGGGTGGGAGAGGGGTTGGTGTTGTTGTGGTATGGAAGAGGTGATGGGCGGGTAAGATAAAGAGGTAGAGAGAGGGGGGATGAATATTAGAGGAGGATAATAAGGGGCACATGAGAATAGATATGGTGAGTTGGTTAAGAATGTGTTTGGATCGGAAAGGAATAAAGAGGGTATGCAGGATTTGACAGATTTGGAGAGGGGAAGTGTTCATCTGAATATGGGCTGTTGGGATTGATGAAGGGAGGTTGAATGAACAATAATATATATATATATGTATATGTAGAGAGTGTAGAGAGTGTAGATGATGAATAGAATTGGTGGAGAAGATTAGGAGAATAGTGAACGGATGGATGTTGTGATTACGTAACTATTGGAGCTCAATAAGAATTAGTAATGAGACTTAATTGTATATGAGTTTATGAAGGAGAGCTCATGGATGAGAACTATAGAAAGGCTCACCTATATAAGGAGAGCTCATGAATGAGAACCAATAAAAGGAGTTCATTGAAGTGTGGGAGAGTAGATGAATGGGTAGTTTTAAATGATGCATAGCGGCTTTTCGCAGCCAAAACAGTCAATAGTACAAGAAATTTAAAGTAGATGATTGGGGGTTATTCCCGTATATTAATAGTTCTAACGTCTAGCAGTACAACTCTTCTATATAGAAAGCTCTAGAATACTCTAAATTCATTAGACCCTCTCTCTTCTGCCCAAAAAGGATATGGGAGATTGAACAATTCCTCAGAGCTTCCTCGTAGAGGAACATGGCCCCCACGGCTAGTGGCCCACGGAGTGCCAGCGGAGCGGCTTATATACCCCGTAGGGCAGGTAGCTACTCACTTGCCCGCACAAGGCTGTAAGACTTCCTCCACCATTTTCCAGGAGTAAATTGTCTTACTTCGTCTTTCCCCTCTTTTCATATTCCCTTATCCAACTTGTTATAACTTACAAAGTAACCAGTTTACCATAAAAATCTCTACCGATTTTATCAGCCTTTTCGGTGAAAAATGAATCAATTTCAACATATCCAGCATCATTCTTTACACAATCATGCTCATAAATAACGTCAACTGCTCCATTTCTTACCAATGAGTCCTTGGCGGTCTGCCACAGGAACCGAACCAATCCAAAATTCCATCCGAAAACCGGATCAACCATCCCATTGAGCCATTTTGAGGTGTTTGGATCAGATGGATATCCTGACCCAAGTTTTCTACCATCATCAATGGTGGCTAAGTTGTCTACATAGTATTGTAAGTTCATATCTCTGGTAACCTTGGCAACCACAGATGCAGTACTGACAATTGGATATATGCTATCAGCCTTTTTCGCAACAGTAACATTAATTCCTGGGAATTCACGTTGTAATTTTGCTTGATATGTAGTTGGTGGTCCAACAGTATCAACATATAAATATTTAACATTGACCCCCAGTTGAATGACTTCACGTACAAGTTGAATGGTGGCATCATGTGCTTGTTCATTCAAGTTGTATGAACCCTTCCCGTGGCTAGGCTGTAACATACCACTAGAGATATCTCTAGCAGTCATAGTACGCGTAGCCCATCCTACATTTACATTTAATTCATGCTCTTCTTGATCCATAATTTGGAATAATTCTGTTCTTTTTTCTTCTTTTAAAGTTTTCGAATCAGCAAATCCGAATTTTTTCAATTCTTTCAGATACTTCTCTAAACAGTAGGCAATCCCATACACCATAGGCCCCAATACTGGACCTCTTCCAGCTTCATCTACTCCAAGATAAACAGGTTCATTGGGACTTTCCGCGATTCTTTCTGGGATTTTTGAATGATGAGTGGCAGATGCAAATTGGAAAGGATCTTTCATTTCTTTCACTGATGGAGGAAGCCATCCATTTTGTTCGCTTTGAACTAGTTTTTGCTTCTTTTCCACACTTTCCTGAGTCATTATTTTGTAGAGAGAACAAACAGAAGGTCTTTGTTTGTTGATGGTTTTGAAAGACGCGTCTTTCCTTTTCGAGATGATGGCCGCAAAAATAACCAACCCCCAGAAAAATTAAAAGTTAGACTGTGAGTGTGAGAGTTAGTGTGTTTCAGAGTTAAGTTCAGAGTTATCTTTTTTTTTTAATTGATAACAATCTCTATAGAGTATGGGACAGATCATTTAGATATGTAATGGGTTAGATTTATCCGTGTAGAGGTGTATTCTGTGTTATGTGGCTGGGGTGATAAATTATTGAACATGCACCCCCTTATGCCAATCTAGGAGTGTTCCAATTAACTATATATATCCTAATTTGGTAGATCCCCTCCTTCAAATAACTTTTAAGAGCATAGTAGAATATGTCTCAATTCCTAGACCTTAAATCTCCTAACTTGACGTAAAAACTAATCTCCTATTTGTATTTTATTAACTTCGGGTACAAGACAACATGTACATATAACCAGGGAAGCTCATTTCTCTCGATAATTTGGATCAACTGTATCCCTAAAGATGAACGGATTCACCCACGATCTTCATTGAGATATCCAACACCATTGAATGTCGGTACTTTTTAATTTATTCGCTGAGTTGGACCTGGCCAACTGTCATCTATTTATTTTTTGTGTCATACATGTATTTTTTAGCAACCGTTTTGATTAGATTTCCTGAAACGAACCTCCCTTTACAGTTCTCCAACACACCTCCACTTATAAGGGTGTTTCGCCCCCCCCCAATATATGAAAAAGGTTGCTGATGTCGAGGCTCTTCCTCTCAGCTCCCACACAACCAACTCTGAGGGGTTATTGAGTGAGAAATATGGGAGGAAGCAACAAAAGGAAGTACCCCGAGGGGTTCAAACTGCTGGGCTTCTTTCATTCTTACTGATGTTTGTATGTATGCTCAGTCATTTAATTGTCCAAATTGCGTCGTACAACGGGTATACCTTTGATGGAGCACTATTTTGGACTATGAGATTGTTTTGGATTAGTTTCTATGCTTTTATCACTACTTTATTATTAATTCGCTACCGGGATGAACTCCATATGGCAACGCCAATCTGTAGATAGTATATGTTACTGAACACCATTATTTATTTCTTCAATTACATTCATTACAACTCACCCTGAAAGTCACTACTCTCAACATTATATAATAGATGTCACGAGCAACGTACGTGATATGACAATAAATAATTTAGTATTGTATATATCTATAATTCTATATGACGATCTATAAAACATGTCTCTCATTGGAGAATGATATCCCCAAGACAAGTCTCTTTGTTCTTCTCCTTGAAGGAGAAGTGTAGGAATATGTACAATATGGTTGATACCAGGGTGACTGCTGAAAGGAAAGTACTTGAGCAAACGTCAGTTGGCATCTAATAACAATAAGTGGTAGACTGGAACTTCTCGTAGAGGAGTTAGGCACCACGCAGTGGCTCTCCCCGAGCAGGGGCCCAGCGGAGCATCTTACTGTCCCACGGGGAAGTGATTGGCCACCCTACGGGGTATGTAAGCCGCTCCGCTGGCACTCCGTGGGCCACTAGCCGTGGGGGCTTCGTTCCTCTACCGAGGAAAGCCCTGGCTATGGGGAGTCTCCTCGTAGAGGAGTTAGGCACCACGCAGTAGCTCTCCCCGAGCAGGAGCCCAGCGGAGCGACTTCCCGTCCCACAAGGAAGTGAATGGCCACCCTACGGGGTATGTAAGCCGTTCTGTTGGAAGGCCGTGGGAGTTCATGAGCCTCTAACTAGTAATATCGCTTGGATATCTCTTTCGTACATTTTAGTAGAATCAAATTCCTTACGACGATCTAACATTCTAGGATTTATTCTCACTTTCTCTATCACCTCGAAGTTGTCCTCTAACCTTTTCATAAACTACAAAAGTGATACAAGTGGCAGGTACCACTCTAAGCATGTTTGCCCCTACACCCTTGTAAAAGCCCCGAAGCTTCCCCTCATGGACCCAAATGTCCTTACAAACACCAGTAATGGTGTTGCCATTGGTAGTTATGACCTTAGCTTGTCCTGTTGGTGGCAGTGTGGATTGATAAGTCTGAAGTCTTGACTTAATCATCTGACTCGGGTACATAATGACCATACTAAGAGTCTTTGCCGTGGCAGAGGCATATATATACTGCAGTGTAGAGAGTTGTATCAGTTGAGTACCATCAGTATTCATGGGTCTATTCCCAAAATAATTCTTCAAATGATCATAAAAGGTAAATTGTAGACTTGCTTGAGCCACCAGAAACATGCTGGGAATCGACCCTTTCCAAAAGGCAGAGATACCTTCATTCTTCCATATCTTGTGAACCCCATCAAGGATCGAATGGTAGGCTCTCAGCTCATGGCTGGAAGTCCCCAAGATTCTTGTCTTGAGCACCCAGATTGGGTTGGTTATAAGGGAAGTTGTGGCACCAGCCATGGCGGAAGAGGCAAAATAATTGACGGTTTGCAGATTTGTCTTGACAATAGATTTAAATTCAGCATATAGAGTGAAATACAATGACCAAGCAGAAATATTACCAATCAAATTGGGCGTCAACCCACGGTAATATTGACGTAATAGGATCATGAATCTTTGTGACAGTCTTGTGGCATGTTGTGAGGATTGTGCTATGGTGGCAGAATCATTAATATTGGAGATAACATGACGAAGAAGCAGGAATGGTTGCGAGCTGGGAGGCTGTTTGGAGAGTTGGAGTCTTACTTTGATGAGATCAAGAGGATGTGTGATGACTGTGGTTGAGAAGCCAGCACACAATCCTGCAACCGTTTCTATTTGACGATCGGTTAGCATGTGGAGTAGGAATGAGTATGAATAAGGAGCCTGGTAAGGAGGGGTGGGAGGGAGGTGGTTGTTGGCTGGTGAAAGAATATATTTAGTGGAGGAGCAAGATGTTGAAGTACAGTGCGAAAATGAGATGAGACAGACATTAATAGGAGAAAGACAATTGACGGAATTATATTGAAGATGAGAATGTGAGAAGTTGAGAAGATGATATGAAGGAATAGAGGAGTGGATATTGAGAATGAACATGCAGGTGGAAGTGTGTAAATAGGTAAAGAGGTGAATGTGGTAGATTGATAATGTGGTGAACTAAAGGGTTCAGGAAGTGCAGGAAAAGAGAAGGTGTCAGTATGTTGGAGAGAGTAGTTTATAAATAGAGTGGGAAGGGAGAAGGAGATCAGTCTAGAGAAGATTGGGGTTGATTATGTTGAGCTACAGTTTTGAGAGAATTGGCTGACGACTGACCGTTGGAGAACTAATACAAGAGATGTGTTTGCAACCCATTGCAACCCATTTCCTCTTCAGATCCCATCCAAACGTAGTTATTCACTGACTGGCCAGACAGTGATATCCACAACCATCCAAGTAAACAATCTGCCGGTGAAACTTGACTGGCGGCCGATGTATATCTCCCCAACTTAGTCTCCCAACTTAGATGATTTCTACAGTACCATATGTGCAATATATGACCACAGTAGATGGACACAGAACTAGGAAATCGATGATACGACAATGGAATGGAAGGCTTTATGCTTGGTGATGTACTCGACCAGAATCTCCTCGTTAGAGGAGCTTGAGCCTCCACGGCCAGTGGCCCACGGAGTGCCAGCGGAGCGGCTTGCACACCCCGTAGGGTGGCCATTCACTTCCCCGTGGGACAGTAAGACCCTCCGCTGGCCCCTGCTCGGGGAGAGCCACTGCGTGGTGCCTAACTCCTCTACGAGGAGACCTCGAGCGCCAGATTACTGTTCTGGATGTCTTGAAACATCTGCTGCGATATCTACAAGGCAGTAAAATCCATGCTTTTTATTCTCTTATATACAAGTACTCAGCTATAAACTGACCATCTAAGCAGATGGGAAAGGACTCAACAAGTTGAACAAAGAAGGCTTGTTTGGGGTGGCGGACCAGCCCAAGTACAACACAAATGGGATGAAACCGTAGTGAGCAACAGTCTTGGAGTAGTCCAAGACCTTGACGATTCTTTCCTTGGATTCGTCGGATAAGGTGAATTGTGTGTTGGCCATGATGATAGATGTGTTTGTTGTTGTGGTATCAAAGGTTCAGTGCAGCAGCCCTTTTCAAACTTTCGACGAATTGCTCAAATTGAAAAAATTCGCACATTAAGAATTGGAGGGTGTGCATATTGTAATGCACTAGTTAAGGAGAGAGAAAGACTGGGAGGGAATTGAGGAGGTAAATATGTATTAAATAACGGTTTGAACAAAGTTGAGAAGGGAATAATATGCCAAGAGAGATATTCCAAGTTGTATGAATTAGATTATAAATGAATAAAAAGCAATCAATTTTGAGTTTGAATGAAGTTAAGTGATTCTATTTATTTACAAGTGACATATATTTGCTATTCATCGGTCACGTGACAAGGGTGGACCCAGAATGCATATAGACATAAATGATTGCAACATAGAAGAGGAAGATGAAGATAACGAGATAAAAGATGAATTTTCATTAAGGATGCTGGGGGATTCAATAAAGGAGTTCTTTAAAGCCGAGTAAGGTTTCCATTTCAGCCAAACACTACCAGTGGTTTAATACCCACCACTACTACTGCTACTACTACTACAAACCAGCTTAGTTCTAGTGGAGCTGCTCCACCGGAAGGAGTATCAGTTTCCCTGTAAGGCGCTCCGCTGGCCCCTACCCGGGGAGGGCCACTGCGTGGTGCCTAGCTCCTCTACGAGGAGACTTCCCGTAGTTAGGGCTTTCCTCGGTAGAGGAACGAAGCCCCCACGGCTAGTGGCCCACGGAGTGCCAGCGGAGCGGCTTGCAGACCCCGTAGGGTAGCTACTCTCATCCCCGTGAGACGGTAAGCCTCTCCTCTGGTCCCCATCGGGCTCTCTGGAGAAACTCTCTTCCATCGTACAGTGATGTGTTTTCGCAGCCAATGTATCTTACTCTACAACCCTTAGAGTAATTTCTCCTAAATTGAATTTTACTTCCACTCTAGTTCCTCCCCGAATTTTTTTTTTACTTCTCCACTCTGCAACCATTCAATGACCCCCTTCTCTTAGATTAAATCTATAAATACTCTTTGTAGAATTTGTATGGGGGCGCTTTCCTGCACATACCCGCAATGTAAAAGGTGATATGTTTTTCGTTTAAAAGTGGCGGGGCGGCGCGCGCGAACTGCACTAACAGAGGGGGGTTGTTCCTTTTTAACCACGTCGGAAATTTCTGAGCTGCAGGTTTTGAAACAATTATCTTACAAGTGGGAACATTAAGGACCAGCAATGAGAGTAGTGTACAAGGAGGACCCTAGAACGCTTGCAATTGTGTCCGACACACATGCGTTGGCGTTCAGATCACTTCCTCCACCGCCACTGCGGGAAAAACTGGCGGTTGCTGTTGAGTTACTTCCAGCTGGCCAGATCACTCGTGAACATGGCTACAGGAACTTGCTTCGTAGAGATATTCATGGATGTTTAGGATTGATTGAAGTGCAAGGTAAGGCGTACCTTGCCGTAGTCTCACGGGCTGCTGCAGGGGTTGCAAGACCAGTTGGAGGACAATCGGTTGACCGAATCTATGGAGTTGAATTTTTAAGTTTGGTTGATAATGAATGGGATTTCCGGGATCTGGCTAATGCTGGTGGTAATACCCCTGGATCTTATAATAATAATAGCCATGGTAATTATGATCCAAATACTGACGATGAAATGTCTGTACATCCATGTGATGAAATGAGGAAACTTCTTCTGAATGGATCATTTTATTTTTCTAATGATTTTGATTTGACGTCATTATTACAAAATAGAGGAGTAATAACCAGTTCAAATAATATGGATGATGGTGGCGATACCACATTCGCACCTTCTAAAACACTGCGAGAATATATGTGGAACGCATTTATGATGAAGGAATTATTTAAATTTAGAGGAAATTTGGACCCTTATGTGCAGACGATCCTTGACACAAACAAGATCTTTACCACCGTCATTAGAGGGTTTGCCAAGACAATTCCGTTGAACAGTGATGATCTGTTCACCATCATATCGAAACAATCCTGGAAACGAGCTGGAACCCGGTTTAATGCCCGTGGGATTGATGATGATGGGAATGTAGCAAACTTTGTAGAAACAGAATTCATTTATAATCATCAATCTATGGGTCAAGTTTATGCTTTTACTCAGATTAGAGGGTCAGTTCCTGCCTTTTGGGAGCAGGACACTACTTTACTCAACCCTAAAATCACCCTTACCCGGTCGATAGAGGCCACACAACCAACGTTTGATAAACATTTCACTGACTTGTGCACCAAACATGGGTGTTGTCATGTGATCAACCTCTTGTCAAAGACAAAACCAGCAGAAGTACAACTTCTGAATCGATACAAAGAACTCTATTTAAACTCAAATCATCGTGAAGAAATTGACTTTTCAGACTTTGATTTCCACCATGAAACTAAACAATTGGGGTTTGTAGGAGCCACCAAAATCTTGCCCATGCTTGAACAATCTCTTGAACAATTTGGTTGGTTTGTTTATGATTCAGAACAACATGAAGTGATCACTAGACAGGATGGGACTTTTAGAACCAATTGTTTGGATTGTTTGGATAGAACGAATTTAATCCAACAAGTGATATCTTCAACGGTATTGAAACATATTATGCAAACGACAAACTCCAATTCGTATTCATTCTCACCAGAAGATCTCCTTTCTAAGCATAATGCTCTTTGGGCCGACAATGGTGATGCGATTTCTCAAATTTATACGGGGACAAATGCCTTGAAATCTTCATTTTCAAGATCGGGGAAGATGAATTTGGCTGGTGCTTTATCAGATGTCACCAAATCAGTCTCGAGAATGTATCAGAATACATTTGTAGATCTGAAGAAACAATCGCTTATGGATGTTTTACTCGGTAGAGACGCTAGAGCGACTCCGGTAAAGATTTATGATCCAATCAATGAATACATTCAGGAGAAACTCAGGGCTCAATCCTCTGTGTACACCACCACGGAAGATATCACTATATTTGTCGGTACTTTCAATATTAATGCTGCAAATGCCATGAGTAGACCTGATCTTACCAGTTGGTTGTTTCCTCCAGAAAATGCAGGTCAACCTTTACCTGACATTTTCGCCTTGGGACTTCAAGAAATCATTGAACTTAATGCTGGATCTATGTTGAATAACGATGGTTCAAAAGCTCAACAATGGACAAAATTGTTGGATCAGCAATTGAACAGCAATAGCGGCGACAATGACGATAACTCAAGCTATATACTTCTTCGTACTGAAAGTATCAGCTCAATGTCACTTCTTTTGTTCGTCAAGAAGCTGAAGGTTCATTGTATTACCCAAGTTGCTGGATCATCCAAGAAAACCGGGTTGGGTGGTATTGCAGCCAACAAGGGAGGATGTTCTGTCAGATTTGAATATGGTGCTACTTCGTTTTGTTTGGTGACGTCTCACTTGGCTGCCGGGAATGCAGCACTTTTGGAGAGGTTCAATGATTATCAATCGATTATCCAGGGTTTGACATTTACCAGAAACTACACCATTCAAGATCATGACCATATCTTATGGTTTGGAGATTTGAATTATCGTATTGCCCTCCCCAACGATCATTGTAGAAACTTGATTCAACATGGAGCCTTTGACGAACTTCTGGCTGTTGATCAATTGAATCAAGAAATTCGTGAAAAGGGTGCTTTCTATGGATTCAAAGAAGGTGCCATCAAATTTTATCCAACCTATAAATTTGACAAGGGAACTTCAGATTATGATTCTCTGGAGAAGCAAAGAGTTCCCTCATGGACCGATAGAGTGCTTTACCGTAAGGGCCCTTCCAGTAGGAACAATAGTTCTCGATCCACACTCACCCAATTGAATTACAATTCCGTGATGGATATTATGTGTAGTGACCACAAACCAGTTTATTCTACCTATAGAGGACCAGTTACATTTGTGGACAATTCCAAGAAGAAGGCAATTTCCCGTGAATTGTATTACACTTATAAAAAGGAACATGGTGACGAAGCGGAAGTGTCGCTAGTAGACGGAGATTTCCTGTCATCGTCCAGTAGTGCAGCCAGTGTTGTATCTCCAAGATCTTCAAGGTCTCCGCCTGCGGCCAGCCAGAATCTGAATAGGTTATCATTTGCAGTAGATACACTCTCTCAAATGAATTTGTTGGATGATGATCTCCCCAGTGTTACTCCTAGATTGCCTCAAAGAACAAACACCTTACCAAGACGAGTTCCACCGCCATTGAACAATGGGGATTCATCTTTCCGTAAGGTGACGACCCCTAACGACAGTAACTCTTCTACTTCTACTTCTAGATCAACCCAAGTTCCACCACCCCCACCACCACCGAGAAGAACTCCAACGGCCCCGGTTGGCTTTTCATCGACTCCATTGATTCCAAGTCGATCTAACTCTACAACTCCAATAACTACATCAGTCCCATCACCAGTAGCTACTCCAGCACCAATAGAACAATCTAAGACAGCTCCATTGGTTCCACTGAAACCTGTGGCCTTGGTGGCTGCGAAGACAGGCGCACCAGCTGTTGAAGAAAAATCTACACGAACTCCACCTTCTGGACCCCCACCACCACGCAGAAATCCAACAGCTACCACTCCTACGATGAATATGAACGATTGGAAGCCATTGGTTCCGAAATGATTGTGATAGCATAGTTATATAGCATATCAATGTATAGACGTTGAGTAAAATGAATGTAGAGTATTTGGAATACGAGCCTCTACTCTCCAAGGTTGAATAAGGTTCCAATTAATTGGCACTTATCTGAGGCTTTACTAAAAAGGTACTTGTAGCTGCAAAATGCAAAAAGTGACCAAATACGTAAGCTACTGGCTCCATACACAAATCACACATCCACCATATACACTTAACCATTCCTTTATACAATTCTATTCTACTCTCCTCTCTGAACTCCCCCTTCACTCTTTACACTTCTCAATAAATATGATATCACCTACTACATCATCCTCCTAGTTTGTATATATCCCCATCTTTGTGTCACTTGTCGCGATATCAAAACAGTTGTTTGACCACCAGCCGCCAACAAAAAAACCAAAACAAAACGCTGAGAATCACCAGAATAAATAGGAAAAGACCCTAACTTGAACCATGAGTAGTTCATCTAAACGTATAAAAAATGTCTCGATCTCCGTGCCGGTGCTATATGGGAACCATGCGGTGAAATTAGCCCCGGAAAAGAGAACAGAACGCACTCCAGTCGACCACACCCATGAATGGACCGTCTTCTTCAAGCCGGTAATCGCCGGGTTTGACTTGACTCCGCTACTTAAAAAGGTCACATTCAAACTCCATGAGACCTATGACACCCCGGTCAGATCGGTTGAGAGACCTCCGTATCAGGTCACCGAGACTGGATGGGGTGAATTCGAGGTGATTATCAAGTTGCACTTCCATGCCGGATCGGAGTTAAGTATCAACGAGAAGAACTTTCAAATCTTCCATGGACTTAAGTTACATCCTTTCAATCCACAGCTGCCCACTAGACCTAATGGGGAGGTTCATCTGGTTCTCTACGACGAGCTTGTCTTCCTGGAGCCCACAGAAAAAGTTTTCGAGATCTTAACCCTGGCGCCACTGAACTTGTTGCCATACAAATTATCCGACCCACTGAAACGTGACCAAGAATTCCTCCGTACTGACGAGTTGGATGAGTTGGCCAGATTGGACGTATACATTGAACAAATTAAGGGGGAGATTGAGAAACAACGCGATGATTACAAGGACTTGGAGCAAGAGAAATTGGCATTGTTGCAGTAGACCAACCTCCCCCCCTTCTCCCTTACAAGTTTGACCAACTACGTCCTACAGGAGTTGGAGATATTAGAGCACCTATGTGGGTAGATTTCCTCGCTAGAGGAATAAGAGCCTCCACGGCTAGTGGCCCACGGAGTGCCAGCGGAGCGGCTTACAGACCCCATAGGGGTACGACTCCCCCGTGGGACACTGAGACGCTCCGCTGGCCCCTACTCGGGGAGAGCCACTGTGTAGTGTCTAGCTTCTCTACGAGGAGACCTCTAGGACCCAGTGCTTACATAAGGAAGTAGTCCGCGACGGTTGGTAGCGCGCAGAGTACCTGTTTAGCCACCCAGAGCCCTGGTAGGACTCCCTGGACATTCTCCGATATGCAAGTGGTTCATACCCTTGTACATTGTACATATGTATATATTAAACGACAATGGAAGTAATTGATATTCTTTTGTCCGATTCACTTTGTAGTTAAGACAGGTGGAATGCATTCAATAGGGCCCGTACGCCATGCCCCTTAATTTCGTGACCTGTTAACCGGCTGTCCTTAGCGAGGAAACCCTGTCCACGAACTCCTCAAAGAGGAGCAAAGCACCACGCAGTGGCTCTCCCCGAGTAGGGGCCAGCGGAGCGTCCTACAGTCCTACGCGGAGGTGGTTCGTACTACTCTACGGGGCCTCCAAGCCGCTCCGCTGGCACTCCGTGGGCCACTAGCCGTGGAGGCTATGTTCCTCTAACGAGGAAGTCTTCCAATATCGGAAGTATCCTCGTAAAGAAACTAGTCACGATAAAGTGGTACTTCTTAAGTAAGTACTACTTGGCGTTTGGCCCTCACGTGGGTATTGGCCCTGGAGAAGCTTAGAGAAGCCTACTATCCTTAAAAATGGATATCTTATATAAGGAGACTACACAGAAAAGGTTATATAAATCTAGGCACTCATCGCCTCCCTTATATACTGAAATTGGTGATGGAGGTGCTCGTTGGCTGACTGCTTGTTTGTTGATAAAGTTGAATTTTCTGTGTGGGGGGGGTGCGACTCAAAACGACGAAATTTTTGAAATTTTGGCTGGAGAATCAGTGGAGACTTTGCAAACAACACACAATGAGGTTGTCTACAGAATGTTTGCGCTCGGGTTCTCGGTCCGGGACGCGATATGTGGCCCGTTGGATGGCCACCGCTAGAGATGGGAATGCCTCATCCACTGTGGTGGACTACACAAAGAGAAGAGAAACAGTGGAGAATTCAGAGCCATCCAAGTTTTATCCTCGGTACGGTTTGGTTAAGAGGGAAGGGTATACGACTATCCGGGTCCCTGAGTTTTTGAAGAAGTATGAGTCTGTGGGAAAGCCTGTAGAGGGTAATGAGGCCACATCAGTAGCAGCCACAGGGTCTGCAGAACACGTGGTGGTGGAGGGAAGAATCGTGGGGATGAGGAAAGTTTCCCGATCTTTATTCTTTTTAGATATCGTTCAAGATGATGTTAGAGTTCAGGTTGTGGTTGGAAGAAAGTCCATAGAGGAGAATTTGGCAGCTAAGGGAGAGCTGGTAGGACAGACAGAACAAGTTGGACTGGCAGGACAGACTGGTGAGTTGGACCTGGAGTCCTCATCGTTTGAATGGCATGCCAGTCTCCGTAAAGGAGATCACATTTCCGTGGCCGGGTACCCCAATAGAACTAAGGCAGGAGAATTGCTGCTTAGAGCCACTAGTGCCGTCAAGATGGTGTCTCCATGTCTCCGCCAACCGGCCCATCGGTTGGAACATCGTGACAAAATCAACTCACAAAGAGTCCTCAACTACTTGGTCAACCCAATGCAACGTCAAACGCTTGTGGTGAAGGCAGCAGTTATTGCTGCCATCCGAGGCTATTTGTCGACTCGTGGATTCCTCGAGGTACAGACGCCCATCGTGGCCGGGGCCGGAACCGGGGCAAATGCAGAACCGTTCCTCACCACGTCCAAGGCCATCGACTCTTCATCCAGCGGTGCCCTCCAACTCCGTGTAGCCCCGGAGCTTTGGCTCAAGAAGTTGGTCATTCTGGGCTTTGACAAAGTGTTTGAGATTGGTCAGAACTTCCGGAATGAGGGCATTGATGCCACCCATAACCCTGAGTTCCTCTCCTGTGAGTTCTACAAATCCCATACCGATTTGGATGAGCTTATGAAGATCACTGAGGAGATCTTTGCTGAGATTTTGGCTCGCTTACCTGCCAGTCAACGACAATTACCACAAGAGGACAAGACTCTTTTTGATCAGTTACGTCTGGGTAGTTACGCCCGCTATGAGTTTATCCCTACCCTTGAGCTGAAGATTGGTCTCTCATTCCCTGCACAACTCACATCCGAATCCTTAATTGAATACTTCCATCAAGCCGGCATAAAAGTTCCTGATCAACGGTCCCCCAGTAATCTCTTGGACACGCTTCTGGGACTCTATTTGGAGCCTCTCTCGCACGAGGGCCCCATTTTCATCTATAATCAGCCAGCAGTGATGTCTCCACTTGCCAAGTCGGCACCCATTGAGTACCATGGGAACACATACAACGTGTCGCTCCGGTTCGAAATGTTTATCCGTGGTAAAGAGTACGTCAACTCATATGAAGAGGAGAACTCTCCCTTTGAACAACTTTCCAAATTCGAAGCCCAAGTGGCAGCCAAGGATGAGTTCCACGACAACGAGCTGTTGGTACCAGACTGGGAATATGTCAAGGCCATGGAATATGGGCTTCCTCCCACTGGAGGATGGGGTTGTGGTATTGACCGGTTGGCCATGCTTTTCTCAGGAAGTGAACGGATCGAAGATGTTCTCCCATTCGGCAGTTTGAAGGATGTTATCAAGCAATAAGATGGCGGGGAGTACGCCAATAAACCCTTACCGGAAATGATCTTTCTCCGTTCCACTCATGTATATACATTGTAAATAGAAGGACTACGCTCTACATACACGTCATAAACGTTTCTTTATTACAGAGGTGGAGGTTAATATAAGAGAAAACCCACTAACCATACGTGGACTGCAAGCCGCTCCGCTGGCACTCCGTGGGCCACTAGCCGTGGGGGCTTTGTTCCTCTAACGAGGAAAGCCCTGGCTACGTGAAGTCTCCTCGAAGAGGAGCTAGGCACCACGCAGTGGCTCTCCCCGAGCAGGGGCCAGCGGAGCGTCACAGTCCCACTGGGGAGTCGTACCCCCACGACCATACAGGGCCTGTAGACGCTCGGTGTGGCTCTATTCCTCTAAAGGGGAACACCTCTCCTCGTAGAGCATTCTGGAACCGTCCTGCCCCGAGTAGAAACCCGCTTAAGAGTCATACATCACAAAGGAGTGAGAGTACCCTGCTTACAAAATGGCTGCGAAAACCTTCCCATGGAAAAGCTCCAAGCCCCCAAATGTCGGCAAAAAAAACACCAGTTATCAGTTGTTTTATTTTTTCTAATTTCTTCATCATACCCTCTATAAACTGATTGCCACTCTTCCCTTACCTCCCGTCCTCTTACCCCCTGTAGATCATGCCGATACTTCTCCTCTCTCTGTCTATTTCATTCAAATCATTCACTGTAACCAATTTTGTCCTGCATGTGGACTCCTCGGTGGACGATCTTTTGACAGGGCACGCGTTACCCTGAAGGAGGGTACTTAGACACAAACTAGCCGGTGATTTACAAAGGAAGTGGCCAGATATTTCGAGTTCTGTTATAGCTGGCAATAGATAGAAACGATGGACTTTGAACAAAGAGAGGACATCGACGGGGTTAGATGCTCGTGGAACCAAGTGCCGCGGTCTGCATTGCAACACCAACGCAATGTTGTGCCCTTGGGGATGTTGTACACTCCGATGAACCATGGGGTCGAAGTGACCCAGGCCCCAGCTGAAGCCATGACCACATGTCGTCAGTGCCAGGCGTTCCTCAATCCATACTGCCGGGTAGATGGCACCGGGGCCACATGGACATGTGCCATGTGTGGCTTCCATAACCGATTGACTCCGGGGCAAACCATCCCCTTACAGGCCACCACCGTGGAATATGCCACGGGGAGAAGTAGTAGAGTCCCTCCAGTGTATGTGTATGTGGTGGACACTTGCTTTGAAGGAGATGAAGATCTCAAGGCGTTCCAAGCGTTGACCGATTCTGTGTTTGAACTGATGCGTTCATTGCCCGAAGATGCACTTGTTGGGTTCATTTCGTATGGACAAAACGTCCAGGTTCATGAGGTAGTTGCTGGGGCCACTGGAGTGCAAAAAAATTGGGTTTTCAACGGAGCTAAAGAGTATACATTGGAGGAAGTATCACAAAATTTGGGGATTTTGGACAGTTCATTAAGAAATAAACAACCACTGGCAGCTCCAGCGGGTGATTCTATCTTTGGAGTTGTCGGTCAAAGATTCCTCTCACCTGTTGCTACCGCTGAATACCAATTGGATACAATCATCCAGACCTTGAGGAATAATGCGTTCCCTCATTGTACCAAGACTCAACGGTTGAACCGATGCACTGGAGCTGCTCTTAATGTCGCCTCGTTGCTTCTTCGAGCCGTCATTGGCGCCACAAACACCATCGGGGGCCAGATCTTGGCCTACGTGGGCGGTGCGTGCACCTATGGACCGGGGATGATTGTCAGTCAATCGCTCAAGGACCCGATCCGGTCGCATCATGACATTGAACGTCAAAATACCCAGATTGTCCAGAATGCCGTCGGGTTCAACAAGCCACTCACACATGAGGCCCGCAAGTTTTATGGCACCATTGCCGAAAGACTTGTGGCCATGGGGATCAGTGTCACGCTCTTGATTGGTAGTTACGATCAAGTCGGACTCTTTGAAATGGAGGCCATTTGTAACCGTACCGGAGGTGATCTTGTCATGTGTGATCTGTTTGATAGTACCATTTTCAAACAGAGTGCCCGTATGGTCGTCCTGACCACACAATTGTGTCTCAATGCCACCTTGGAGGTTCGTGTTGGGGACTCGTTGGGAATCCAAGGGTTATTGGGTAATGCCACGGCAATCCCACTGGCCAAACGTGAAAATAGATTTATTCTGCAAAGTATAGCCAAGTTGGGCTTGGGACAACTGGGCACAAATTGTTGGAAATGTTGCAATGTCGGACCACAATCCACATATGCCATTTATTTGGAAAAACGGGATTCCACCACCGTGGGTCAGACATATGTCCAATTCATATTCCATTACCAAAGCCCAGAAGATGGTCAATTGAGGCTTCGTGTGACCACCATCCCGCTTCAAATCGTGCAAGACAACGATATCGCAGCCATGGAGTATGGGTTTGACCAGGAAACCTCCTTGGTACTCATAGCTAGAGACCTTGTACATAGACTCCAGGCACAAGAAGCTAAGGATCCACAGACTAAAGTGGGGTCTGAAGACGTGGTGACTCTTTTAGACAAACGATTGATTGACTTTTGTGCACGATTCGCCGTTTACAACAAGGGAGATGTCAACTCGTTCCGTCTTTCCACCACTTATCAAATGTTACCTCAATTCATGTACCATTTACGTCGGTCTCAACTTGTCAAAGTGTTCAATAACTCCCCCGATGAAACCAGTTATGTGCGGCATTTGTTCCTTCATGAGGATTTGACCAATTCATTGACCATGATCCAACCAACCTTGATGTCCTACGATATAGATAATTACTCTGGTGGTGAACCAGAACCGGTTTTACTCGACTCGCAATCTCTTTCCCCGGGGAGAATCCTTCTTTTGGATACTTTTTTCCAAGTTTTGATTTTCCACGGTTCCAGGGTCGCCCAATGGCGTAAGGCTGGGTATCATGAACAAGAAGAATATGCCTATTTTAAGGAATTCTTGGAGGCTCCAAAGAGTGCCGCCATGCAACTTCTCATTGAACGGTTCCCATTGCCGCGGTTCATTGACTGTGACGAAGGTGGGTCCCAGGCTCGTTTCCTCATGGCCAAACTTAACCCCAGTACAAACTATGCTTCACATCCAAATAACGGGTATGGTAGTGGAGTCAAGGATGTTCTTACTGACGATGTGAGCTTGCAACTGTTCATGGAACAAGTTCAAAAGAAGGTTGTTGCCAAATAAAAGAAGAAGTGAAACTTGACAGTGTATATGGCATCGAATGAGAGGAGAATATAGATACAATCAGACAAGAGTGGTGTAGCGATGTAGAGAATAGGAGAGCAGTCCATAGTTACAAGAGAATTGGCTATGATGATAAGCGGGAGAGAACGTATTGTAAACATGAGGTGTAACAGACCAATGGTAGTGGCTACCCTACGGGGGTGTGTAAGCCGCTCCGCTGGCACTCCGTGGGCCACTAGCCGTGGGGGCCATCTTCCTCTGACGAGGAATGACTACAAGGGTCTCCTCGTAGAGGAGCTAGGCACCACGCAGTGACTCTCCCCGAGCAGGGGCCAGCGGAGCGTTCCACAGCTTAGGTAGGGAGTTAAGTAATACCTTACTGACTCTCCAGACTTACTCTACATCTCTGTGCTCTCTCTCTAATATTGAAAACACGTCAGCAAGCGTAGACTCTTTTCCTTTTTGAATTTGCAACCATATCGGTCACGAGTGTGTATGATCTGGCCCTTACTTGATGGCAAAAAAGCTTTTTGCAGCACTTTCCCAGTTATTGACTTTATGAACAACATACCCTCTCTCTTCTTTTCCCTTCAGACTAACTTTTACAAAGTGGGAGTCGAGTCTTTGGAGTATACAATTTGATAATGTGCCCCAAGGAATATCTTCACCATGAAGTTTCTTTGTACTCTTCTTCTTTTTGCAACCACAACAATAGCTAATGAGTCAGGGTGGAACAATTTTAAACTCTCAGCAATTGAGTATACCACCTGTGGATAGGTCTATCATGAGATTGGTCCGTTGTACATAGCACGAGTTCTTACTTCCATTAAGTCTGTTGATAAGAAATCACGTGGGGAAATCGAACTTCCCATGATAATATTCCTTCACTCCAACATCCCCAAAATTTGATGGCGTACCCCATTTCTTAGAGATATATTAAACCTAGTTCATCCTTTAACCAGTCTGTCAATTAGGTTAATCTCAAGAAAAATGTGAGCCAGAATTCGAAGATTTTCCCAATACCGCATTCACAGTTGACAAGACTGTTGAGTTCAATGTCACCGAATCAGGGTTTTACTGTGTTTATGTAGCACCTCGTCCACCCAATTGGATAAGGATGTTTACATTTATGGAGCTTTTGGGTACCTTTCCTATCTCCTGTACGTTAACAGCAGCTTCTATTTTTTAAGGGTATGGTTCAACCTATTTGTTTCATTACATGTTGTATTATACATTGACATATGGCCCTGGCAATACCCTCCTGATAATCCCCAACACAATACTACTTTTGGTCGTTTTCCTAAAATATGTCATGTTAATTTCACGTACCACATTGTGTGGTGTTCCACGAACCTCCTCCAATTGCTACTGATGGTGCGAGTTATTTAAAGAAGTGATGAAATCAAGAATGGAAGAGACAATACCAAATAAAAGCTGAATTGGCTGTCTAATCTACGAGGTTAATTCTCTAGCTATACACACTGCTTATCCTTCCGATAGCGTATTTTTATATTGGTGGAAATAAAATATTAACATCATCAGTCCGATACAGTTTTGATTACTGGAGTTTCAGACTTTGTTGAACTATTAGATGCAAAACAATACTCTAAGGGACACTGCTACACTTCATGTGGGGCTTCTGAGACACTCCGTTAGCCCCTACTTGGAGAGAGCCGTTGGGTAGAACCTATCTCCTCTGATGAGGAAGACTTCAACTGCTTGTCAGAGGAACACAGCCCCCACGGTCAGTGGCCCACGGAGTGCCAGCGGAGCATCTCGTTACCCCGTAGGGTTAGTGGCTTTTCTCTCAAGGCGACTACAAATACCTACACTCTACTTGAAATGACTCCCTACACACCACCACCGCGTCCGTCAGTGGATCTGAACCACAATGGCTGCGAAAAAAAAAGAGAGCCCAGCACCTAGTCCAGGTCCAGATCCAGCTTCCGTAACGGACTCCGGCACGGACTCCCGCTGCAGTAGCAACACCAACTTCAAGCCAAACCATGGGTCCTACGCCTGGAGTCAACGACTCCCACCACTACATTGCACTACACATATTCTACTACAGAAGAACATCGTTCCATGATATGCACTCCATCTTATATCCGACGGACGCGCATTTCGCTGATAAACACGTAATCAAAAGTGCGACCGCCCCGCCCCACCTATTACTCTTTTTTAACGACGTCACCTCACTCCAAAGACACATTTCCGGTACCTCTCGTCCCCTGGGTTAATCTCATCGTATCCTGCAAGGGAGAGTTAGGGTGCCCCGTACCTCCCGCTTAGCGCAGCCGCATAGCTTAACTAACTCGTCTAATGACTCGTCGTCAAACCCATTGATCTGCTCGTCAGAGAGAAAAAAAAAAAAGAAGAATCAGAAAAAAAAAAATTAAAAATAAAACTAAAGGGAAAAAAGATGCTCTGAGTATGCCCCCTCCCCCGCCAAAAGAGGTTAAAAAAAAAATGAAACGGTGGCGGAGACGCGCGGACATGTATTAGCGCGTGTGGGATGAATGGGCTGGAAGTGCAAGATTGGGCCGCCAACCGGAAGGGCGGGAGTGGGAAAAATACTGTGGGAGGCGACCAATCTCAATTAGTTAGTGCCGATTCAACATCAGGGGTAGATAATAGTACAAAGAACGGAATATGTATCACCCACATTAATGTCCCAACATGCCCCAAACCCACACACCCAGCGAGCAGAACCCTTGACTTGCTGTACGGCGCAGCCCAGAAAACAAACTTTTAGCTAAAAATGTGCAGGAACGCTCGCGAATAGTGATAAAAATAAAAATACGATGCACCACAAAAGTCCCATACTGAGTAGTTTTACAATATGATGATTACCGTCTACAAGATAAAGAGAGTAGACGAGTGGATTCCAGATTCAACCGTGTTCCATGCCAGCTCGACCAGTTCTGACAACCCTATCAAACGGTGACAGTCTCCAACTCAACCTCTAACTGTATTGTAACATTACCACCTCTAATCATTTCGATCAATAACCACCTTTCTATTTTTCCCATTATGGGCCAACTCACCCCCCCGTAAGCCTTCTATTAAGAAAAAAACAACAATACATAAAAATAAATAAATAAATAAATAAAAAAAAAATAAGTGAGTGCCTGTCTGCAGGATCGCGCCCCTCTGTGTGGAAAAAGCGAAAAAGGAAAAAGAGGCCAAACCTCAAAAATCGTCAGAAAGTGAGACACAAGGCTTTTCCCATCGATTGCAAAAGTATAGTCCATTGGCCAGCGAGTCTAGCAACACTTGAGACACACTCCGCCGAGCCACGAAACAGTGCCGAAGGAAAACCGAAACCGCACAGGCAAATCATGAGGAAGATCTGGTCCAGAAAGGACAAGGATAAGCGACGGAGTTGGACGGGCGCGTCCATGGTTTCCAACCACGATCGTACTGGCAGTGTTAGTAGTTTGAAAGAGGAGGACAACGAGGAGATTGTCCATGCGGACGGTGGCAGGGGTGCTGCTTACGGCGGCACCGCTCCGCTCAGTCCCGTTGGGAGTGCCCATGAGGCGGGTGCAGCGTCGTCGGGAGCCAACACGGCCACGACAACAACGACGATGAAGACCACTCGTGGAGGCCTGACGCTGTCCTCTAGTGGATCAAATGGTAGTTCTGCCGCCACGTCACTCTCCCAGCTCATCAAGCCCGAATATGACCACCGACTCGTGAAGAACGCGTGGATCAACGTGATCATCAACTCACACAACACGGAGGTTTGTGAACAATCTCTTCGGTTATTCCGAGCAGAAATCAAAGGGTCACATCTTTATTTGTACAAATTATTGTCTCCCTTGAGCAACGTACGGAGCTTCCGGTTGGACGACGACTCGGACTCTGTCAATGGCACTGTAGCTCCTGCTGGAACACTGCTGACAGACGGAAACTCCTCCAACGGCGCGGGTGCTCACATACATGACTTAAACCCATCCCCCGTGGGGAATGCACCCTCCATATATTCATCACACATTGCATCGACCACGTCACTTGAGGCTCCGTCGCTCTACAAACAGCTGACCAACGCGTCCCATTCCACCTTGATGGATAATCAAAGCATCTTGGAGGATGGTGAAGCCACGGGATCGTCCACCGCTCCCGTTGATGGCGCCCCTTCAGTGGAAGCTGAAAACTCAAGCTCCACCACCAACTTAAATTCAAATTCCGCAAGGTCTGCAGCTCCAGTGTCAACCACCAACTCCTCCACGTTGACGATCACTCACTTTTCTGCATCTCCTCACCCGGACCTTCACTATAATCAAGAAACAAGAACTTTCCTCCCCAGTCTGTCAATAGAAGCACTCATTCATTTCATTCTATTCACGCCTAATTCCAATGCGTACCTGGTACAACAACTCATTCAAATCCTCCCGATTTTCCCCAATATCTCGCAGATCTTGAAGCTTGTGAATGCTTTTGTAGAGGCCATTGCTGCGAAAAAGTTTGATTCTACTGATGATGGAGATGCCTCCACGGGTTCTGGCTCTGGAACTGGCACCGTCAGTTCCGGTTCATTCTCCAACATTAATGAAAGACTTCTCCTTCTCTTAAAAAACATTCAAGACAACTTCAACGGATTCCTTTTGAACCAAGACATTGGTCCCATCATTCTCCAAATCCTTCAATCACTCCTCATATTAAACAGAAGTGGAACCCCTAATTCCATTGAAGAAAGAACAGGTTTCCTCACCAAGTTTGAAAGTTTAAAAAAATCTATGCTTGCTAAACAACAAGTTTTGGTGAACCTCATTTCTCCCGAGGTGGACTGTCAAGATTTGACGTCTTTAACACAACTCTCATCGTACAACTTGTTGAGTAACGTACTGTTGGTTGAGCTTGCAAACACCATTTGTTCAATAGATCTTCATTACTTCCAAGGATGGAACTCTAACTTGGATAAATCTCTTTTACTTACTTCAAGTACCATTGAGATGGATTTCCATGTCAAGAAAAACCCACTCATCTTCAACAATGATACCCATATGCATTATCTTGCCCGGTTACTTGTCCATCATTTATTCCTTGAGTCCACCGTAGGACTTTCTCTGCTGGCGATCTTGGAAAGAAAGGCCAAAATTTTGGAGAAATGGATTGATTTGGGATGTCTTTTGGATAAGTTGGGGAACATGAGTTCCTGGTTGGGTATTGCGTCCATTGTGTTGTCACAACCCATTTTGCGATTGACAAGGGTATGGTCTTTGATATCATCTGATTACATCAAGTTGTTGAAGAATGATTGGTCTCCAGTTTTATTCGAATTGGATAGAAGATATTTGACCAATGGTATCCGAGTGAACAGCGACAATAATGACCATAATGAGAGTAATGAAAGTAATGAGAATAGCAACAATGGAGGAGATGACTTGAAGGATTCCTTCCATATCATGGCCCCTCGAGGGCTTGGGAAAATATACCCCAAGGAAAACGTGGTGCCATATTTTGGGGACTTATCCATTGGGAACTCGTTAGGACCACTCAATGTCCAAGAATTGGAAAATGTATGGAAGAAGATCAATTATTCGTTCAATAGATGGAATGAATATTTAAGTAATTTGAAGAATCATCAAGAAATTATTCAGTACAATAAGGATGTTTTGAGAAGATATGACAGTATGGGGTTCATTCTTAGTAATGAAAGTTTGAACCAAGTGCTTTATCTTGGTGTGAATGACGACAGTGCCGCCACTGTATCGGGCAAAATGCCTCCTCATTTCGATGATGTCGACACCACTCCCCCACAAGAAATTTCCATCAATGACGAATTAAGAGAAAATTTGTTCAAATTGATTGAAATTAATTGTAAATCAATAGATTTGAAGAAACTTATGGAATTATCATTGGCTCTGGAACCTCATTTGCCGGAAAATTATATGATTTTGGACCGGTATGCCATGAAGCAACATCGTAATCAAGAAAGCATGTCGATAAATTCCCAGGAATCACTCCCAATGACCTTGACCGAGTATGCGCCACGGGTGACCGTGTTCAACCCGTTGGCGAGAATCCCCTTGTTCAACAATACGTACTTTAAGATCAACTTGAATAAGTACGATGAATTGACTGGAGTCATGAATGGGAATGTCTTGGAGGTGAACCCAATTGCACTTGATGGGAAAAGAAACATTGTCATCGATGATGAATTGGTGTTCCGGATCGATGACTTTATCAATGATATGGAGAACTCAATCCATGATTTTGATGAGATTGATAACGTCGACATTGATGATGATGTACCCGGCTTGGGCATCGATGTAGATGACATTTTGAACAGTGACAAGTTTAACAATTTGACCATTGAGTCACCCAAGATTGGTTCTAGAGGGGGCAGAAGACCGGTATCCAATGGAGAATCGTTGCCCATGACCGATGATACCGCATCTAGCTCAGGAATGGGCGGTGGTGTTGGTGGGTTGAATCTCAAGTATCTCCCAAAATACGCCTCCATTGATCGGTTGATTGACTTACTTCTTATCGATGCAAGATTCTACAACGACAACATCAAGATGGACTTGAATGAATATCGATTTGTATTCCTACTCAATTATGAATCTTTTATCACCACCAAGGACTTTTTAGACAAATTAGCCCATCGGTTCATCAATAGCGGGAACGCGGTGATTTCCATCATGAAGAAAAATTTCTTCTCCAAGACTGATAAACCGTTTGATGTGTCACAATTTGTCAATTGGGACATTGATGACACTGTGGATCTTACCGAGTTGGGAGAGGTGGATTACGAATTGTTAATCAAGATCCAAATCAATATCCTCAAGGTTTTGATTGTTATGTTGAACAATTTCTATCTGAATTTCGCTACCGATTTGAATAATCGCACAGTATTGGTGAAATTGTTGAAATTGTACAGTAATGAAATTCTTCAATGGTACAATTCCAACAAGATCAACGATCAATTGGAAGGTTCGTTCGAAGGATTGGTCAATTATTATAAACGGTTGAAGAAATTGTTTATCAAGAAATCGTACAGACCAGTTGAAATCACCAAGTTTGATGAGTATTTGATCAATGATTTCAAGTTTAATAACCTGTTACATGAAGTGCCCATCAATAGAAACTTACCAGGTCATAAGAATGTCGGTAAAATCGAGAAATTCCTTCATAAATTCAATAAATTGTTGACAATCTTCTACAAGGGGATCCGAGTGGAAGATTGGATGAAGGTGTTCAAAATCTTAGAATATCTGTTTGAAACCAATAACATGTTGGAATTTAACTTGCAGAAAAATTCCATGAATGATGACAATTTGATGATTTCCAACGTGTTTACATTTTTGGAAAGTTTGAATGATTCCAAGGAGAAGATGTTAATCTTGAAGAAATTCCCCTTGATTTTCAGAAAGCTTTTCAAGTTGTACTACAAGTTTAAGGTTTACTTGTTGATTCAATTGACAGACTTGAATATTACGGTGGATGAACGATTGGACAGAATGAAAACTTTGTTGATTATGGTACAGACTTCGAAATTGAAAATGAAGGATCATCAATTTATCTTTGAAGGTACCGTTGGCACCGGGATCCCCTCGTGTATTGAGAGTGCCATCACTAATGTGATTTACTCTCCAGAGAGTAGAACGTTCACAAACCTTTGGGTTAAGGCTGCCAATTCCTTGACCGATCAGAATGTTAGTGCATCGTCGTTTGACGATTTAACACTGTTGTTACCTACTACGATCCTGGAACATGATTTAGCCATCAACCACGAACCTCTTTTGCCATGTTTTGGATGGATCATTGAAAACTTTATTGAAGTCAACAAGATTCCAAACTATTACCGGGCGGAAACCGGGGTGATCAACTTCAACAAGAAGTACTTGGTGTACAAGGTAATCAAAGAGTTGGGAATTGAAGATTTGGACCCAATCACTGGTGACCCACAGGAAATCAACCATCATGACACAAGAGAATTTGAATTCTTGTTGAAATTGGATGAAACCTTGGTTCGTAAGCAAAATATCAAGGACTTCAACATGTTAGAAAAGGATAAACATAAGCTATTCCGATCAGTCTTGAAAGAACAACATCGTATTCTTATCTTGGACAACAAGAAGAAAATCGCTAGAGATAATTTGATTAGTCAATCGTTGACGTTGACGTCGACAGGCAGTACCCTTCAGAGCACCCTTGTTGGTTCTTCTACTGGCGGTGGTAACGGTGTTAGTAACTCAGCCAATGGTAATGGTAATGGCAACGTTCCCACCACTGTGTTGCCGGGCTCATTAAATAAAAAGAATTCGAGTTCTTCGCTCCGAAGACAAAGTTTATCTTACAAGTCCAATTCATCTTCAAGATTCAAGATCAGTGGGTTGTTCAACAAGGCAAGACCATTCTCTCTCAATGTTTCTGGACTTGGAGGTTCAAGTACACCAGAAAAGACATTGTCATTGAAAGAATTACCCACTCCAGAATCTCAAATTGATCCTAAACAGAAACCATATTTGATCATTCCAATGAAGAATAAAAAGATTTTCCCTGTTTATTTGCTCCCACTTTGCTTTAAGATTGATAGTGAGAACTCTAATGAAGACTATTTCTTCCAATCATGCAATGAATACGATTTGAATGATTGGTTGATGAAATTAGGCTTTGCTAACCGTCATTGGTTCTATTCTAAGAATTTGAATCTCAAGGTCAACAATCCAAACATCACCTTTGGAGTGCCGATCTCGTTGATTTGTAACCGTGAGAAACTGTTCAGTCCGTCCGTGTTACTGGTTCTCTTCCATGAGATTGAAACTGAAGGCTTGAAAGATGTAGGGATCTACAGAATCAGTTCATCGGTGAGTGACTTGAATCAAGTCAAATCCATCATTGACAAAACTGGTACGATCAATTTCCATGACAGGTCATGGGATGTACACACCTTGACCAGTGTGGTGAAGACGTATCTTCGTGAGTTGCCCGATGCATTGCTCACTGATAAGGTAATTGAGAAGTTTTTCGAGACCAAGCAAGCCATTGAAGAAGCTTTGGAAGTACCCGTTGGTTCATCTAGTGCACTTGATGTGGGTCATTCTCATGAAACTACCCCATTCATTAGTGAGATCGAATCCTACAAGGACATACTTCAACTGTTGCCCACCGTTAATTACTACACCTTGAAGCTTCTTTTAAGACATTTGCAAAAGATCAGTCATTTCAGTGACCTGAACCGGATGACTCCATCCAATTTGGCCACTGTGATTGGACCGGCATTGACAGAAGCCAGTAGTCTTGAGCAATTGGTGAATAACTTTGGATTTATGAATTCCATTTTGGAGAAGTTGATTGTTCATTTCAACTACGTTTTCGATGAGGATGCTGAAGAAGATGAAGAGGAGGAAGAGGAAGAAGATGTTGTGATTGGAGATGGGTTTGGGGGTGTTTCCTATGAGAAACATGAAGGTGGTGTAACTCCTTCCACAAATCTCGAGCACGAAATTGAAGGAAAGAATAGTATAGAAGAATTAAAGGAGAAGATCTTGTTGGGTGATAATAAGGAGAGTGTTTCTATTGGCCCAATAGAATCCACCGAAGACAATGGGATTCTTTTACAAGAAACTCCTTTGGCCACTGACAATAATGACATGATTAAGGACGTGTTATTGGAGGAACGTAGCCTGTAAATAGGTATACGTGGTTTTATAGTATGAGATGGTAATAATAAATGAGATATTGATAAGAAATGTAGAGCTTACAGGCCATGTACTCAAGACCTCTGGTGGCTCCTGCGCGGGGAGGGCCACTGCGTAGTTTCTAGTTCCCCTAGAGGAGACCCTTACAGTCATTCCTCGTCAGAGGAAGATGGCCCCCACGGCTAGTGGCCCACGGAGTGCCAGCGGAGCGGCTTGCACACCCCCCGTAAGGTATCTACTATCCTGCCCTAAGAGTCCTGTGGCTCTGTAGATGATCGCTACATGTGCTACGGAGATGGTTGCTCGACTTTCAATCAGAAGCTCTTTATACATTATATACTATTTACACTTAATGCTTCTTGATGAAGTTGTCTGGGCTGGCGGCGGCGGCCTTTCTTCTTTGCATGGCCTCGACCTTGGCGTTGGAGGACTTCATCTTCTTCTCGACCTTCTTGTTGGAGGTTTCGTTGAATTGGGTCCACCATTCGGAAACGGTAGCTGGCGCCTTGGGGGCACCTGGAGCCGGTGGAGGTGGTGCGGTGATGTCTGGCAAGTTCACCATACGACGGAACCAGGCCAGACGTAAGAGGGTGGTTTGGGCAAACGAGAAGATGGAGTTGGCGGCAAAGTAGAGAACCACAGCTCCGGCAAAGTTCTTGGTGATGAAAATGGAGGCGATTGGGAGATAGGTCATCATTTTCTTCATCAATGGGTTCATTTGCTGGGCCCCGGTTTCACCACCGGAACGCACCATGGCAATGACCACGACGGCAGCAAGGGCTTGCAACCCACAGTATGGGTCGACGGCGGAAAGGTCGGTGAACCAGGCGTAACCTTGGTCGGCGAACCCGTCGACCGGGTGAGCGGCCATCTTACGCAAAGCTTGGAAGAACCCGTAGGCCACTGGCAATTGCAAGATCGGGAAAAGTTGGTGGGTCATGTGGATATCATGGGCCTTCATGATCTTCTTTCTGGCGGCAGCAGCTTCCATTTGTTCCTGTTGGTTGGAGGCGTTCTGCATGTCGGAGAGACATTGGTCGAGTTCTGGCTTGACCTTACTCATTTTGGCGGCGTTGGCGGATGCCTTGATGTAGAGTGGCACCATGAGCACACGGATCCCCACGGTGGCCGCTATGATGGTTCCCCACCAGGGCAAGCCCGAGTACACGTGGGTGGCTTCCAAGATGCGTTCAATGGTGGCCGTAGGGCCCCAACCGTCAGCAAGGCCAATCGAGTTGAGGTACCCGATCTGGTCGGAGGAAAGCGCCGGGAGAGCGTTACTAGCGGTTTCCGCAAGGGTGTCAAAGTTTGGGAGAGTGGTCTGGATGTCACTGGATGTACTGGTTGAGTTGAAACGAACACCACCAGTCATGGAAGCGGCAACGGCTGGGTATGACTTGACAGCACGACACGGGACCATCCCGGCGGCTGCAGAGACTCTGGTGGAGCCAGCAAGCACTGATCTGGCTGCTCTCACGCTGGGGAAAACCCTGGATCCTAGCATGGTGTATTATGGGTGTATGGGGTGAAGCAGTAGGCGAGTGTATCTAACAGATGTCGTTCAACTGTTTTGAAGACTTTGGACGATTTTCAAATTTTCGCGATTTCTCTCAAAGGCCACAAAGGCCCCCCTCCTCTAGAGAACACCCTGAGAACGACAAACCGGTCCCAACAACTCTAAAACGTGGACAGATATAGTAGGAGACATGACCCCGCAGAGTGTGATACGACGGCGCTTAGCAGTGCTGGTGGTTCGGAGTCGGGTGGGAAGAGTGTGCGGCGGTGTGTCATTCCCCAACACAACAATGATGACACCAAGGCACCACCCCTCACGAATGATAGGCGGCTCTACAAGGGGCCTATATATGGGTGCCACCGTCAGTCTGACGGATTGTGCTGGACAATATATGGAAATCATCGAGGGGAAAGTCCCCGTGCCGGAGGTGGAGATCTTTCTCTACAATCTCTTGATGAATGGGAACTTGGACGCGGCAACGGCGTTACTATACAAGATTGGTGTGGAGGTCCCGGACGATGGACAGACGGTCTCAGACGACACCTGTCTCGCCAACATAACTCTATCGGACCAGATCTGGTCTTTCTACCTCTCACAAATCTGTGACGCATCGCATTACTCCGGGGCCACGCTTGTGTACCATCGAATCATCAACCCTCCCACAGACTCCATGTACCTCCCCTCGGACCATGTGCCGTTCCTAGTCTCGGCAGAGTCCCTCGTGTACCTTGCCATAATATTCCTGCGCAACCTGGACGCCACAAAGGTGCGTGGTTGCATCGACTACTTCAAACGGTTCTACTCGTCGCTTGGCCATCGACATATCTACAAGGACCTCCGCATGCTTCTCGTCGAGGCCCATAGTCGTGCGGGCCAGTTCGAACGTGCCTTGGCCGAGTTCACCGTCTTGGCCCATGTGTTCAAACTGAAAACTGACTCTCTTTGGTACTCGCGTCTGAAGATGTTTGTGTTTGACAATTTCAGATGGAGACGTACTGCCACCAAGCTCAACATCCACAAGAAGGGCACGACCCTGCTGGAGCCCTTGGACGTTTCCGAGGCCCTGGTGGCAGCGTCCATGGGGACAAAACTCTTTGTCCCCACCACGGAACGGAACATCTACTCCTCACCAAACAAACCCGTCTACCCACTCATAGCGGGGACCGTGCATGTGGCAGACTTGCCTCATTTCTACCGTCTAGTTCGGGCCAACGTCGATCGTCTTATGGCGCAAGAACTGACCCCATTGGAGGAGAAATTGCAAACTCTCTTGGGCTTTGTACGTACCTCTCATCCTCTCCTCCAGATTTTTGTGTTCAAAAGCTTGTGCGATGGTGGGCATCTCCAACAAGCGTTCCTCTTTTTAATAAAACTTGAACAAATGGATCAGGACAAGTTCCTTCTTCAATCGGCAAACTTCCGGTACTTTTTCCAAAGCTGTCGAGCAAAATTGGAGTCCACCGTCGCAACCATCACCACTACTGGTCCCACGAGTGCCACTACGGAAACCCTTTCCTCGACTCTATTACTCTGCACCTCGATGATGCAGCTCCGTGAATGGAACATCGTTGGTGCCACGTTCCCACGGGTTCTTGCGGAATACATACAGGCGGTGATGGCTTCACCCGGAGCCACCCAGGCCCATATCCAACCATACATGGACCAGATAGTACTTGGAGGTTCTAAGGCGGCCCTTCTTGAAATTCGTCTTGATCTGGAATCATATTCCAAATTCAACGCTATGTTTGGAAACCAGTACTCTTCAGCAGTAAAGGAAGCAAAGTAAGGCAGGGGGATAATATTTGAAAGCATAATTCCTCCGCTAGGGTGAAACACATGAAGCCATCACCTAATGTAAATATGGGAGTTTCATCTTTGAGTACCCCTTCCATGTTGCTTCCCGACTTTTCTATAAATACATTCTTCCCCCATATCCTTGAGGGAATCTTCTTGTACATAGACAATATACATATCCGTATCCACCCACCCTTCTAGAGTAACCCATCTAGTCTACTATGTAGTGTCTAACTTCTCCCTAACTATATATGCTGGTGGTCAGGCCTTCCTCGCTAGAGGAACAGGGCCCCCACGGCTCGTGGCCCACGGAGTGACAGCGGAGTGGCTTACGGACACCGTACGGTGACTACTCTCTAACTTTGTTTTGAATAGGTCACTACAACCCTATTAGCTCCTACAATTCGTCCTATCATTACTGGGTCATTATATTCTAATCTATACATACTACTTACCGTGTGAACTTCACCCTCCGCTATATTCCTCTTGGATTGTCCATCCGATGGATCTTAACATCCAGATTGTCCAAATCGCCAACCATAGCAATATCTTGTGGAGTGATGAAAATACTCTGTGACTTTGGATACTTGCGCAATTCCGTCAACAACAATTTGATACTGATACTACGGTTCACCGAGTCCATGAACACATCAAACTCGTCCAATCCTCTGATCTTGGAGTTCATGGCCTTCCAAATGGCAAGCAAGAGCGCAATCTGGGTGAAAGACTTCTCACCCCCAGAAAGAGACTCGACCGTACGTTTCTTCGAGTCTCCCTTTGTTTGCACCAACATGGTCAATGTCTTCTCTGTGAACCCAAACTTGAGTTCTCCCTTGAACCCACGAAGGGCAAGCGATTGTTCAAACGATGACGATGCTTCTCTGATCAGTTTAAGGATTGTGGTTTGTAAATATTTCAATCTTTGGTTCAAATCATCATCAAGTGATCGGGAGATCGTATCCAAGTTCATGGCAGTGGCCTCTAACTCGTCCTTTCTCCTCTTATTGTCAAGTAGTTCCTGTTGGATCTCCTCGTAAGTGCGTCCAATGGATCGTTCACTCTCCTTGACCGCTTCTTGTGCCACCGTATACTCTTGAGTTATCGACTCAACTGTGTCATTCTCATCAATGGTCACATCCAGACGTGAACATTTCGCCTCAGCTTCGCCTTTATGCTTGGAAAGTGCTTCTCTTCCCTTGACAAGTTTGCCTTCCAAATTCACGATATTTTGTGATCTTCTTTCCATCAGTTGCTTCAACTTCAGAGTCTCGGTCATTAACACTTCATGGTTAGTTTCAAACTCTTCCAACGCCTGCTTAGCCCCTCTCATCTTGGCCTCTCGCGTCTCTACATCCTCCTTTCCAGCAACATACCGTTCCTTTGCAACGTTAAACTTTACTACATCTCCCTTCCGATCTTCTTCTAAACTGGTAATAAACCCTTCTCTTTGTCTTATCTGAGTATCACATTCACCAATTTTCTCCTCCAATGTCTCCAACACTGATAAATCTCCATCTTCTCCCAATTTGTTCTCAATGGAAAAGATTTCATCGTTATATTTCCGGATCTGCTTATCAAGAGCTCCACGATTTTGTTCTAATTCCTGGATCTCATTCTGTTGATTCATTTTCAATCTTCTATACTCTCTTTGTAATTCATTTACTTTGCTCAATTCTTCATTGATTTCCACTTCTAATCCTTTCAATTCTTCCTTGGTATCCCCTTCAACTTCTCTTGAAAACTTGTGTGGTTCATTGGATCGATAAAAAATCGGATCGATCCGGAACGTTCCACCATTTTCACTCGATCTATGTCCAGATCTTTGGTCTAACAACGTGAACACATTCATCACTAAATGGCCACCTCCAGTTCGTAAGATCTCCAGAACGTCTCCTCTTTTCTCTCCAAGAACATTCCGTTCAACGTTATTGGTGTCAACCAACGTATACAACACATTCTCGTTCCCAATCTCCAACGCATCCAAAACAGTGGTGTAACCTTGAACTTTCCCACCGCCGAAATTGAATTTCTCAAACCTTCTGGTGATTATATTCTTGACCATTCGATTTCTTTTCAATATCCCTTCTAAGATTCTTCGATCATGATCATCATGAACCAAAAATGAATCCAACGTTTTCCCAAACGATGCATTTAATAAATCTTTCCATTCTCCAAATTGTTTCTTGACTGAGATGTATGATCCAATTGGCCCCACGGGCACTTCATGCCAATCATGTTTCGGGTTTTTGATTTCCGTCAATACGGCATTGATTCCAGGGCCCCAAGCAATATATTTATCCTTTTGTAATGACATCAATTGCTTCCTCTTCTCTTTCAATTGTTCAATCGTTTCCTGTACTCCATTCATCTTCAGAGCTGCTTCTTTCACCGCATGTCCTCCATCCTTTTCATTCACCATTTTCTGGAGTTTCCCCACTACAACTTCCTTTTCTCTTTCCAATCTTGAAAGTTCCCCTCGTAATTCTCTCAATTTTTCATTCAATTTCTCCTTGGAACCTCCATTAATCTCATCAATTTTCTCTTGTTCCTTCTTCAATTCATGACGATATTTCCGTTTCTCAACTTTTTGTACTTCAATTTCTTCCAAATATGTCTTGATCTCTTCATTAATCATTCCAATTCCATTTTTGATTTGTTTAACTTCTTCTTTCAATTGACCTACCGTCTCCAAACTTTCTTGATATTGTTTTTCTTCTTGTTCTTTCAACTCTTCCAATTCTTTCCTCTTATTTTCATATCCTTCACTTTTCAACTTGACCTCCTCAAGTCTCCTCTTCAACTCCTCTTCTTCTCGTTTATTCTCCTCCAATTCCCCTATATATCTTTCACATTTCTTCTCGATAATCTCAACGTTAAACCAATACATTTTCCCATTGATTAACTCCAATTCTCTTCGAAGATTGTCACTCTTCTTGAACTTGTTATAGACTTTACTTGACTCTTCATATTTGTTCAATGCTACCTCCAAATCCGTTCTAACCATCTTCAATTTCAGCTGCACTTCAACAATGTTTTGCGAAATCACCCGGTAATTCTCCAAGATATCATTGATAAGTGCTCCAGACATAAAATAATCATGTTTGATTCTATCGGTGGTGGCCGTGAGAAACTCTCGTGCCTTGTCCTGTGACAAGAATGCCAATGGGTTATCTACAGTGATATTAAACTTGTATAGCATTTCATCCAAGTGGGCCTTCTTATTAGAAATGGTCTTCCCATTGACATCCTTCAAATAATATGTATTTGTTCCCTGACGTTGAAACTTCCTTTCCACCACAATTTTCTTACCATAAATCTCCGGTTGGTATGCCTCTGGGCCTTCATTCTTGAGTGTAATACTAACCCTGGTGGTAGACCTCCCATCCTTAATCAACAGCTTGATCGACGAGCCTCTACTAGTGTCTGTGGCCTTGGCCCCAAGTCCAACCGAGATCCCGGTCAAAATGGCACTCTTACCACTCCCGTTTCTACCAATAATGAAATTCAATTGTGGGCCCAAATCTAATTCAAATGAGTCATGACACATGAAGTTTTTAAGTGAGATCCTCTCTATGATTCCTGCTTGAGCGGGACTAGAGAATCCATCCTCTTCCTCTTCCTCATCTCCACTCCCTTCACTGTCACTCCCACTATCACTCCCACTATCACCACTACTTCCACTTCCACTCTCTTCCTCACTGTCGCTCCCATATTGGGTCATTCTTAAACGTTTACTCTCCAATCTCTGCGACACAAAGTCATTGACTGAGTTCCCATTCTATCACCTTTGTTAGTAAAACCATCCATAAAAAATTTCCATCCTTCACCCTCATACATACCTGTGGGTCATAGAGATCAGACCCGAGCAGACTAGCCGCTCGCTTCTGTCCTCGGTTCTCTGGGACTGTCATGGCTTGAAGATCAGAGTTCTTACACCACCCACTACAAATTTGAAATCAAAACATTTTAAAAGACGCGCAAATGCCCTGCGCGGGAAAGTTCGCGTGCGCCGCCCCCCCAGTGCGCGCAAATGACAGAAAGAACACAAGAAGTCAAGAACTAATCTACCCTTTCAACTATACACTACACGCTGTGAAAAGGGAGTAGAGTAGAGTAGGGGAGAAGAGAGGACGGGACTGCCCTACGGGGTCTGCAAGACGCTCCGCTGGCACTCCGTGGGCCACTGGCCGTGGAGGCTCATGTTCCTCTGACGAGGAATGGCTGCACAACACTGGTGACTGTTCCTGAGCAAGGGCCACCAGGGCCTCCTGCTGGTTCCACCGGGAGGTGAGTTGGCCACCCTACGGGATCTGTAAGCCGCTCCGCTGGCACTCCGTGGGCCACTAGCCGTGGGGGCCTTGTTCCTCTACCGAGGAAAGGTCTGTCTACATGAGGTCTCCTCGTAGAGGAGCTAGGCTCCACGCAGTGGCTCTCCCCGAGTAGGGGCCAGCGGAGCATCCTACCGTCCCACGGGGGAGTTGTTACTACCACCTATGGGGTCTGAAAGACGCTCAGCAGGTACTCCGTGGGTCACTAGTCGTGAAGGCTCGTGTTCCTCAACCGAAGAATGTGGCTGCAAAATATTAAATGAGAGATGATGACACGATAGATTGAAGTACCACGATAGTGTCTCCCGTTGGGTAGACGATACTAGCTGGTTTACAATGAAGGGAGTGATATATATAGTGTGTATGGCTCCCCTGGCACTCCGTGGGCCACCAACGGTGGTAGACGTCGGTAGAAACTTACCCCTTACTTGCTAAAGTTGAAGATCTACGGTCAATCTTCTCGAATATTATCTACAACAGAATGATCTTACATGCTCTACAAAGAGTAAAGATACCCATTTCTCTCCCAGGTTCTTGTCTCGATAAAAGACCCTCTATGGATAATCATTATTATAGGAAGGACAGTTCATTGCGCTGACCTTTCTTCCAAGAAACTCGATGTACAGCTGTAGAGATCTCCTCCAAGAGAAGCTTGGGCCCCTCTGCCAGTGGCCCACGGAGTGCCAGCAGAGCGCGTTGCAGACCCCCTAGGGCAGTCCCTATTCAGTTCCCCGCGGGACTTGCAAGACGCTCCGCTGGCCCCTGCTCGGGGAGAGCCACTGCGTGGTGCCTGGCTCCTCTACGAGGAGTCCTTTGCCCCAAGTCATAATTCCTCGTAAGAGGAACAAGGCCCCCACGGCTAGTGGCCCACGGAGTGCCAGCGGAGCGGCTTACAGATCCCGTAGGGTGGCCAACTCACCTCCCGGTGGAACCAGCAAGACGCTCTACAGGCCCCTAATCGGGGAGAGCCACTAGGTGGTGCCTGACTCCTTTTCGAGGAGTCTCCTTGCAACAATTCCTCGTCAGAGGAAGAACGCCCCCACGGCCAGTGGCCCACGGAGTGCCAGCGGACCCTGTAGAGCAGTACTGCCTGTGGAACTTGCAAGACACTCCAAGACCATCTCAGCCATCCCCCCACATCTCCTGAAATACGGATCGAACCTCAACCCGTTGTGGTAAAGACATCCCCACCCGCGGAAGCCCCGCGGAATTCTTTATCATTGCAACCTCAGGGCCAATCTCTGAGGTGCTCAAAAAATATTTTTTGCCAAGAGTATTTGACAGTGACACTTTTTGTCAATTCCTTTTGCATACTTTTAGCAATTGAGCTACTCGTTGAATCTGGTAGACATTGTCGCCCGAACCCAAATCCCAGGTCCATGGTGGATACACACCGCTAATACAGATCCATGTCGTGGGACAACGGCGATCCAACCCCGCCATAGATTGCCCAATCTGATCTACGGTCGCCGAGTCAGAAATCACCTGCATCTAATAAATTAAGCAATTGCGAACGGCACCAAAAATTTTTCAGCAGTTGTACCTAATCAAAATATTCATGCACACAGCAATGCACAAGGCAGTAAACAAACTGGAAGACCGTCAGGTCAACAGATCTATAGAAGTCTGGCTTTCACTTCTACTGCTTGTCCTGGTACACTGCTTCCCGGTTACTCCCCCACCCCCACCTCGGCTGTTACGTTGGAAATCAGGTTGTCTAAAAAATGGCCTAAAAACTCCTCTCTCCTTTTCCTCTCCTCTCTCCCCTTCTCATTCCTTCTGCATAAGCGAATAAACAAACCAATGCCAAAAGAATCAAAAAATAAATAGTGGCAAAAATAAAATGAGAAAATAGAAATTTTGAATGCTTCGGTGGAGACAGCTGACCCACCCCATGGCCAAAACCTAGGCTTTCCTGGGGTTAGCTTCCTCCTCGGCGGACCGTCCGGACCGTCCCTTCCTTGAGCCATACTCCTTGTGCCTAACTTTGCTCTTGAAACCCGCTCCCTCCGCCTCAATCTAACCTCTCCTATTTGCCCTTGTCAACGTCCATGCATGTAATTAACAAAAATGGACAAAAAAAAAAATTGGGACATCTCTCTAAAGCTTATTTGTATGAGGCTCCTGTGAGGCTCTGCGTCTCCATCTTCCTTATCTCGACGTTCCAATCGGGTTGTTTTGGTGCTCGATTTGGAACAAGCGGCATCTGAACTGATCTCGTCGTAGCAATTGCCCTGCCTGCCAGGCACACTGCTGCCAGGAGGGGTATAAAAGGTGCCTAACATCTTCGTAGTGCTTTCCTTCTGTCTCTTTCTCTCCTTCTTTTTTTCATCTCTCTAACCCTTTGGACTTTTTCTTTCGTTATGAGACTTTCTACTGCCTCCGCCGTCGCTGCCTTGGCTGCCTCGGCTTCTGCCTTCCCATTGATGAAGAGAGACGATGCCAACTCCACCGTTGCCACCAACTCCTCTACTGAAGTGACTCAAGACGACCACTTCCAAGTCTCCTTTGCTAAGCCATTTGCCATTTTCCAACCAAAGGTTTTCATTGGTGCCATGTTCTCTCTTGAAACCGCCCCATGGTTGGAGGCCTTGGACTTTGTTCACAACATCACCTTGCCAGGTCTTTCTCCACAATACCCAGACATCCACTGTACCACCAACTACTCCATCTGTCAATTCACCGCCGGTGAAGGTGAAATTAACGCAGCTGCCTCTGTCACTGCCTTGGCCTTGTCTCCTCTCTTTGACTTGTCCAAGACCTACTTCTTGCTTAACGGTATTGCCGGTGGTGAACCAGACCACACCACCTTGGGTTCCGTCACTTTCGCCAAGTACGCTGTCCAAGCTGCCCTTGAATACGAAATCGACCCAACTGAATTCACCAAGGCTCAAGCCGCCAACTGGACCTCTGGTTACTTTGCCTTTGGTACCAACAACCAACAACAATACCCAGGTAACGTCTACGGTACTGAAGTTTTCGAATTGAACGAAAACTTGAGAAACAGAGCCATTGCCTTGGCCAAGAATGCTACCTTGGACAACGGTACCACCGGTAACGCTGAATACAGAAAGTTGTACCCACAAAAGAAGGCCAGAGCCTTGCCAGGTGTTGAAGCCTGTGATGTCTTGACCTCTGACGTCTACTTCACCGGTAACGTTTTGGGTGACTACTTCAGTAACTTCACCAAGTTGATGACCAACGGTTCCGCCACCTACTGTTCCACCGCTCAAGAAGACAACGCCTCTTTGGAAGCCTTGGTCAGAGCTGACAAGCACGGTTTGGTTGACTACGACAGAATTGTTGTCATGAGAACCATCTCTGACTTTGCCAGACCACCTCCATCCATGGCCAACGACACCCTTGGTTTCTTCACCAACTCTTCCTTCGGTGGTATTAGTGCCTCCGTTAACAACTTGGTCAATGCTGGTCTTCCATTCGTTACTGACGTTGTCCAACACTGGGACAAGGTCTACAAGAACGGTACCGCTTACAAGGCCAAGAACTACGTTGGTGACATTTTCGGCACCCTCGGTGGTGTTCCAGACTTTGGCTTGCCATCTTTCGAAATCGCTTAATAGACATGATATATGATATACCCTAAAAATATACTTTACAAAGAACCATCAATGTAGATATCGTAGAACACAAGGACTGAATAGGCAACCACGGTTAAGGTCCATCGTCTTGCGGTTGCAAGACGCTCTGCTGGCCCCCACGGCTAGTGGCCCACGGAGTGCCAGCGGAGCGGCTTATGAACCCCGTAGGGTGGTAAATCTCTCCTCTGTAAGGATATTTGTGGTAAGGGTGTTCTCTTTTCTCTTTCATCCTTACAATCCCCTTCCTAACCATTTTTTATTTCCTAAATACCGATTTATAGACCTGTCTATGCCCAATTCCTGTCGAAGGAATATCCTCGGGCGTTTATAGTTTTATACAATGACCCATCCATCCAGAGTATCCTCCTTATCAACAACCAAATTACCATTGACCCAAACTTTCATACAATTTCTATCATCTCCATTGAATATCCAACGTCCCAAGAGTTCATTGATTTTCTCTACGGCCTTTGTTGGATCTCCCTTGGTGTCTGGAACTTGCCATTCAAAGACATCCAAGTACAGGTTTGAGGATGCCAAATCGATCAATTGAGCATCCCATTGCTTCCCGACGTGGAATGTGCCGATAGTGTCACCTAATCCAACTGCCTTGGCCCCTCCTTGAGTAGCCATGTACATCACTTCCTTGATTGAAAGTTTGTTTGAATCATCAATTTCTTCGGGCATTGCCAAATGATGGGATACCAATATAGAATGTTTCATGATTCCCAAGATCAGCAGATCAAAACCTCCACTAAGATCGGTACCCAAGGCTATATTTATATTATGTTTAAGATATTTCTTTATTGGAGCTTCTCCCAGTGAAAGGAATGAATTTGAAGTTGGACAATGAGAAATGGTACAACCTCTTTCACTGATGATTTTACATTCATCATCATCCAAATGAACTGCATGGGCTAGAATGGTTCTATTGGTAAGGAGTTGATAATGGTCATAAACCAGTGCATAGTTTTCAAATTGTGGGAATAATTCCTTCATAAGGGCAACTTCCTTTAAATTTTCAGCTATATGGGTTTGAATTGGGAGGGAATTTGCCAAAGAGATTGCCCCCAAGGTTTGAAGTAAAGGGTCCAGACAGACGGGGGCAAATCTAGGAGTGATAATGGGGGTAACAAGACGAGAATGGTCATGATTACAGGTTGAAAGGGTTCCCTTCTTTTCACTATAGCGAGCATTAATTTTAGAGTTTTTAGACTCAATATAATTCAAAATTTTCTGTTGCAGTTCAATTGATTGTTCAAACAGTTCAGAATATTGAGGATATGGTTCATTATGGTCCATACAAACCTTACCCACAAAGCCTCTTTGGCCATGTTTAAGCAACAAATCGGTGAATAAGGTGGTTGTATCGTAATCAATGGTGGTGAAATACAGAGCACAAGTTGTTCCACACAGTAAAGTACGAGATATCACTTTATTATAGACATCTTCTGCCATGAGTAAATTTTCCTTTTTAAAAGATTCCTCCATGGGGAAAGTATATTGTTTAAGCCAATCCAACAAGGGTACCCCAATGCCAATTCCCAAGTTTGGATATTGAGACGCATGGATATGAGTATCAATGAATCCAGGACAGAAAAATTGAAGAGGATTTTGAGAATTATCATTAAATTTAAATTCTTTGATTGGATCTGAAGGAGAATGATTGTTAAAGAAGAATTTAATTGGATTCACATCTTTAGAAAGATTTTTATGAATAAAGTCAATTGTACCATTTGAATTGACCCCCACCAAAGTGTTGATATTTATTTCAATTGATGAGATTGTTGGGGTATGAACGATAGTTCCGTAGTAGAGTGTGTACATGATAGTGATAGAGTTTTAAAACGAAGTTTTAAAACAAAGTTCTGTGAGTCGTAAGGAGTTGTATTCAGAAATTATGTTCTAAGAAGTTTTTAGTCTGTAGTTTTTATTCTGTAGTTTTTATTCTGTAGTTTTTATTCTGTAGTTTTTAGTCGGCAGTTGTTAGTCTATTAGTTAACTTCTTACTTCTGTATGTCTCAATCTACCTTCAAATATATCTCAAAGTACAATCTAAATACTCTACTTTCTAAATAATTAGGATTATTGCTTTCATTTATATCTTGTTTGGCTGTAAAAAATAACAAAAAGATATGGTTGCCGCCACCGCGGGCCTCCGCGGCGATAATGCTTAATTCAACAAAAAATACCCAATAATAAAAAATTTTGAATGATTAAAATAGCTTAAATTGAAGGGCCCGGCATGCCGGTTTCCATTGACTTAATGAAAAATTATAGAAATCAAATATTATTGATGTTTTAAGGGTGTTTTAGAGTGTGTTAATAGATCAAGATAACCGTTTGAATTGATAAGGATTGTGATTGTGATTGTGGGGGGGGCGCCGCCTTTTATACAGGAAAGAGATAAGAGAGAATGGTTAATGTTAGCATTAACTATTAATACTGAGGGAATGTAAATAGAGAGAGAAAGAAGAAATAATATAGTAGTATTAAGTATCAAATTAGTATCTATCATATGTTGTAAGATCATTAAAAAGAGGGCCATTACCCTTTTCTGGTAGTGACATTTCTTAGGTTGCTATAAAAAAAAAATTCTATTCAGTTTTGTGTTACGTTTTGTGTTGGTTAATTAATTATAGCCGGAGTTTCCTAATTGAGAACCGGCGTACCGGTTCTGTAGCAAAGGTATATTGTAATGTAGTAATAATATATAGAAATGCCGTAGTATTAATGCCGTGAAAGAAGGCGTAATGCATTAGTATGACTAGTAGAGGACCGGTAGAAGGCCGGTAAATGACCCAATATGAGTCTAGTAGGATATTCTTTCCTTTTCCTAAGGAAGAGACCCGCCTTCTGTAAATAAAAGTGACGTAATCGACAAAATTTGAACGCCTTTCCAAATTCTAAAAGATTTAGTAGAGTGAAAGTATATCATAGAATAGATTATTTATATAGTTCTCCTTCTAATTCCATTGTATTGGCTAGCGACATCCCAATGTTGAATATTTTTCAAAAAGCTCGAAAAATCTGCTCCAAAATATATTTATCTTGTAGTTAGACAATTGAAGTAACGAGAGATTACGGTGCAGAAAAGGAGAGGGGTACAAGAGGTGTCCAACCAAGCGATTATCTGGGGTGACTTACACACCGGGGAGGATATTAGTCCCACCCTAAGGGGCCAGCAAGCCGCTCCGCTGGCCCCTGCCCGGGGAGGGCCACTGCGTGGAGCCTGGCTCCTCTACGAGGAGACCTCCCGTAGTCAGGGCTTTCCTCGATAGAGGAACATGGCCTCCACGGCTAGTGGCCCACGGAGTGCCAGCGGAGCGGCTCACAGACCCCGTAGGGTGGGACTACTCTGCGGGGCAGCAGGACGCTCCGCTGGGCCCCTGCTCGGGGAGAGCCACTGCGTGGTGCCTGGCTCCTCTACGAGGAGACCTCCCGTAGTCAGGGCTTTCCTCGATAGAGGAACAAGGCCTCCACGGCTAGTGGCCCACGGAGTGCCAGCGGAGCGGCTTGCTGACCCCGTAGGGTGGTACTACTCCCTTCCCTGCGGGGCAACAGGACGCTCCGCTGGCCCCTGCTCGGGGAGAGCCACTGCGTGGTGCCTAGCTCCTCTTGGACCAATTGGACCTAGTCCGGTCTTTCCTTGTCAGAGGAACATGGCCCTCACGGCCAGTGGCCCACGGAGTGCCAGCCGAGCGGCTTGCAGACTCCGTAGGGCTGTCCTCCACTCACTTCCCTATGTGACCTTCCGCCCAGTCTTCCTCTCTTCCTCTAATACGTTGTACATACTTCGCACCACCTTGCTAGTACCATCGGTCCAAAAGTCGGTGCAAAGTTGTACTTTAACTGTTTTTTTTTTTTTTGCACCCAAAATAAAATTGGTGAAAATGTTCTCCCCTCTCTAGCGGCCCCTCGCAACCTCCCCGCGGTCTAGCCAACCAAAAATAAAATTTTGAAACGGGCGTGCCGCACTCAAATCATCAGTGGCTGCTTTGGGCGGGGACAACTTATAAAGGTGTTATTCGATTTGCCCACCACTCTAGTCCCTTTCCTTGGGGGAAACATCCCCCTATCAAGCCAGAGTTTTGTGATCTCCTGACTTGAACCTCGATCGAGATTTGGGTACATATCTCCAGCTATGATGGCTTCGGGTTGACATCAATTATCTATCATTATATATTTATCGTTTAAAAACATAGAAAACCCAATATAATATATATATATATATAATCTAACACTTGTTAACCTATCCGGTATCCGTATCGGGTTACTACCACATCTTCTTTATACGAGCGCCTGACGAGGTTTGCTCGAAGATGTGGTGGTGCTCCAACACTCCCCCGCTGGGGTTGCATGACGAGAAGAAAAGTTCTAGGTCTCTCGTGTGTGTGACTTTCAGTTTACTAACCTCTCCCTAGGGGGGGGGGGGGGGACACAAGTCGAGTAGATGGGTGTAGGATGTAGTCCATGGAGTGCCAGCGGAGCGGCTCACACACCCCGTGGGGTGGGACTACTCACCTCGCTGTGGGGCAGCAAGCCGCTCCGCTGGCCCCTGCTCGGGGAGAGCCACTGCGTGGAGCCTGGCTCCTCTACGAGGAGATTTTCTGACGATCAGGGCTTTCCTCGTCAGAGGAACAAGGCCCCCACGGCTAGTGGCCCACGGAGTGCCAGCGGAGCGGCTTGCTGACCCCGTAACGACTCTCCCTTCCCCGTGGAACTGTAGGATGCTCCACTTCGTCCCTGCCCGGAATGGGCCGCTCAGTGGAGCTTACCCTATTTATAGCTTGTGTAGACTGATAGATCCAAGGACTGGCTCGGGAAATTGTCTCTGGCTCTCTCGATTCCAGTCCAGTAATGGTAGATATGTAACATGCACACAGATCGTCCTACCTACTGGGGAGAGGGGTACACCCGCAGACGAATGGGTGCAACTCTAGTCGTAGACAGCCTTATCCTACTCCAAGAAAGAACAACTACAAGGGATCTCCTCGTAGAGGAGATAAGCACCACGCAGTGGCTCTCCCCAAGCAGGGGCCCAGCGGAGCGTCTTGCTGCCCCACAGGGAGGTGAGTAGTCCCACCCTACGGGGTGTGTGAGCCGCTCCGCTGGCACTCCGTGGGCCACTAGCCGTGGAGGCCTTGTTCCTCTGACGAGGAAGTCTACAGGGGTCTCGGGTCTCCTCGTAGAGGAGCCAGGCTCCACGCAGTGGCTCTCCCCGAGCAGGGGCCAGCGGAGCGGCGGCTTGTGGACCTCGGATAGCCTCTCTCGAGGTGAGACTGTCGAACAGTGGAATGCTCGGGACCGTTCTATAGAGTCCCGTTCGGTATACTACAGTGTCTGCCATCGTGGGGCGGGGGGCGACTTCATAAAAATCTCATCTATTTTAAACTAAAGGGGGGGTATATGGGGTATCATTACAACAAGGCAACAGCGGCAAAACCGACCAAAGCGGCACCGAAGGAGACACCGTGACCGGCGGCAGCACCGTCGGAGGCGTGGGATGGGGTGGAGACTGGTGGAGCGCTGGAGGTGACCTCGGTGGCGGTGGTTGGCACGACTGGGGAAGGTTCAGCACTGGTGGTAGCTGGGGCGGAGGTGACGACTTCAGAGGAAGTGGCGACCTCAGAAGAGGAAGCGACCTCGGAAGAAGAAGCAACTTCGGAAGAGGAAGCAACTTCGGAAGAAGAAGCAACTTCAGAGGAAGAAGAAGCTTCAGTGGAAGATGGAGCAACAGAGCTGGAGGTGGTCTCTTCGGTGGAGGATGGAGCAGCAGAAGAAGAGCTGGAAGTGGTGGAGGAGGTGGTTGGAGCAGCAGAAGAAGAGCTGGAAGTGGTGGAAGAAGTGGTTGGAGCAGCAGAAGAAGAGCTGGACTTGGTGGAAGAAGAAGAACTGCTGGAGGAAGTCTTGGAAGAAGAAGAAGAACTGCTGGAAGACTTGGCATTGGTCTTACCCTTACAGGAAGACTCAAAGGCAGAGACGGCTTCATCGGTAACACCGGATGGACAAGCAGACTTCAAACAAGATTCAACACTATCAAAGTTGTCACCACAAATACAAGACAAATCATTCAATCCGTCACATTTGGAGGCCTTTTCAACTTTGGCAACACAGGCCAACAAACAGGCTGGTGGGGTGGCAACGACGGCAGTGGCCAAGGCGGCTAACACGGAGAGCTTCAAGTATTGCATAGCGAGTGTGGGTTTGGAGTGGAAAAGAAAAACAAGAGAAGAGAAACGATAGTGTGGGCTATTTTCTACTTTAACGATCCGATCCTCTCGAGTGTTTTCCTTGGTGGGCGCTCTTTTCAGTTTCATGTCCCAAAACAGACAAATGAGCACAAAAAAAAAAATAAAAAAATTCTTCCCACGGTGCAAAAAGTCAACAAAAAAAAAAGAAATGCTCCCCCATTAACTAAAAATAGATGTAGGGAACCTGTGAGGTAAGGGGTTCGAGGCTAAGGAAAACGCGGTGTGTGCAGGATGTGTGTGTATTTTAGGAGAGTCTAGCCTCGGCTTGCGCGGCGCTTAGTAGGAATAAATGCCTGATTTGGGTCGTATTTGCATGAATGTGCTGATTTTGTTTTACCACTTAAGCAGGCGAAGTAGGAGGGTTACCATGTAGTACCAGAGATATATAGAGTTAGAGGGGGTGATACAAAAATGAGAGTAGGTGAGAATAGGGGAGAGCAGGGGGGAATAGGGAGGAAAGAAGAAGGAGAGGGAAAATGAGAGTGAGAGTGAGAGGAATAATAATAACAATAATAATAAACCAATAAAATGGAATGTGGATGTCACGTGGCCCTATCACGTGACTCGTGTAGAGGATGTAGAGGAAAGCAGCCATGTCGGGAGTAGTCCCACCCTACGGGGTCTGTAAGCCGCTCCGCTGGCACTCCGTGGGCCACTAGCCGTGGGGGCCTTGTTCCTCTGACGAGGAAGGTCCTGCTTACGGGAGGTCTCCTCGTAGAGGAGCTAGGCACCACGCAGTGGCCCTCCCCGGGTAGGGGCCCGCGGAGCGTAGTGAAAGGTCCACAGGTTAGTGGCTGCCCTACCGGGTCTGTAAGCCGCTCCGCTGGCACTCTGTGGGCCACTAGCCGTGGGGGACTTGTTCCTCTAACGAGGAAGATTTTTCACGTCTCGGGTCTCCTCGTAGAGGAGCTAAGCTCCACGCAGTGGCCCTCCCCGGGTAGGGGCCAGCGGAGCGTCTTACAGTCCCGCGGGGAGGTCAGCACTTCTGAGAGTCACTCCTCTGGTACTCCGTAGACCTCGAGACCCATAGGTCATTCTTGTAGAGTTGTAGGGAATGTCTCGTAGTTTCAAGAGAGAGAGAGAGAGAGTTGTTACCTCAGAGTTCTCGTAGTAGATGTGTTATTATTCTTTATATAGATATGTAATTGCAAGACAGACCGGCTGAACCTTACAATTTGATGTTTGTCTTCAACCCAGATCCTTTGTACAACAAGTCCAACGACCGGAACGGTTGGTCCTTGAACAAAACTTGGAACAGAGCCATGATTTCGATGGCCAATTGGTCATTGAGGGCCCGTCTAAGGATGTCCAGACCAACGCCCTTGTTCATGGTGAAGGGGATTCTTTGCAGGGTGTACAATCCAGGGTTGATATCCATATGATGGCGGCCAATGTGACCAAGTTCCGAGCCTTCGTATGTGGCAACCACCAGTGCCAAATCCACCACAATGTTGCAATTGGTCAATGGGTTATATACGGTGATTTCTATTTCTGATTTGAGAAGGTAGATGGTTGCATCGACTAGAAATGGGGATCCCGAGCCCAAGGAATGTATTAACTCAGTCAGAGATATTGCATCTCTTTGGAAACCAATGGTTGGTAGGGTCAAGTTGTACAATTCTATGGTGGAAAAGATATTGGAAAGGTTCTCATTACCCGTGATGATGGTCCTAATGTCCAAGATGTCCACCTCAATGTGTGGGAATCCGGAGAGAAACTTACTGATGAGTTGTTGGAGTGCCAACTCATTGTCCTGTGTGTTCAAGATTGTGACTTCCACCGATAAGGTCATTGAATTGGTGATATTGGTGGGGAGAGGGTCAATCAAGGAAACTTTACAAATCTCCATTGAGTCGAAATAAAGACTCGATTCAAACAATTCCAAGGGGAATTCAACCAGAAGGTTCTGTGGGGAGAGAAGTTGGAGATGTACAGAAAGGGAAACGGTTAATTCAGTCAAGGTGGACGAGACAAGGGTGATATTGGAAAGTGAAATGTCCACAAGGTCGGCCAAGGTTGAGTTGGAGTTATTCTCTGGGAGGTTGAGTTGGTAAGGGATGTTGCTGAGGGAAAGATTTGTTAGGGTTAGCAAGTTATTGGAGAGTTGTGGGAGTAGGACATTGGCGGTGAGGTTATATAGGGAGATTGATAAGGAGACCGGTTCATGAAGGAGTAACGAGTTGATGATGGCAGGGAATCTGTCCAGGGATGAAGGTGGGATCGATAGGGAGAAAGAGGTGACACTAAGGAACATGTTGAACGGAGTGGTGTTGGATAATTGATGGGAGGACATCGGGGATAGAGATTTCCCCGAGAGGATGAGTTCTCCATCGTCCAGGTAGATGGATAAGGCGGTGGAGAATTGAGGGATAGAGATCTCGGGGAGGTTTGATGAGGGTAATTCCGGGAGAGCAAGACTCAAGGAGAGGTTTGAAGCGAGGTGGAGTTGAGGGAGATCAGATGGGATGTGGATCGAGAGAGAGTTGACCAGAACGTTGGAGATGATGGGGGAGAGCGGGTGGTTGGAGAGACAATGCGATAGGTTGATGGGGATATGAATTGATTGGAGGAGGTTGATTAGCCATGAGGGGAGAGATAATGATGAATCTTGCGGATCTGAGATTTGGTCAAGAGTTGACTCCACAACACCAGGCACCACGCAGTGGCCCTCCCCGGGCAGGGGCCAGCGGAGCGGCTTGCAGTCCCGCAGGGGAGGGAGTCGGTGTACGGCATTTTCCGGGGTCTGGGTCCACTTGAAAGCCACGCCTTCTTCTTTCAACGAGATATCTCCACCGGTGCCCTTCATCGATATAAACACCTCACCAGTTCTGATCATCTTCTCGATTGGACTCTCACCCCCACACTTTCTGGACAATCTCTCGTCAATTGGCGGCACCAGTCCACTCAACTCCACCACCAAGGGGGTGGCACGTCGCACTTGCAAGGGACCAACCTTCATGTCACTCATCGTCACGTAATGTCCCTGACAATCGGGCAAGGCCACAGAAACTTCAAAGGGATCCAACAGAAATTCCACCGCACGAGTCGAATTATTCTCCAGCCAGCTGGTCACCACCACGGTGGCGTTGTAGTCGACCGTGCTACTTTCATGGTTTGTATCCATCAGCCAGTCCTGAACCTCAAACTTTGGGTTGCCTCGGTCCATCTCCACGGTGGTGACAAAGTCTACCGGGACGCCGGCAATGTGCAACATGCCCAATTGGAAGTCGGCAAGGAATTGCACATTGACGTCAAAGGTGGCGTGTTCTTGTAAGAAGTACCGTGAGAGCTTGAGGGCATTGGCCGGGTTCAACTGGGAGTCGGTGAGGACGTCTATTGGGGTGGTCTGATGGTTCTTGATGTTGAGGGCAAACTGCGGCGTGGCCACGTCCACAAACTGGATGTACTCCGGTTCACCCTGGGGCTTTAAAAAGATATTGATGGGGTCTCTTGAGGAGATAAGAAGTGGTCCCGAAACGACGGCAGTGGCCAATTGAAGCGCATGTCGTTGCCAGAACAGAGGGACTTGATCGTAGTTGACCACGGTAGACCCTTCGACATGACATGCCACGCCACGGTCCGAGAGTCCGACCAACAGTACCGCCGTGATGGTGGAGGTGAATGACGTTTGAACAGCATCACCAAGGTTGGCAAACACCGCGTACAACACAAGTGACACCGCCATGACCACCAACAAGATCAACGACAAGATATGAAGGCGGTAATATAGCGACAGGGTTGCCCAATTAGCTACTGGTGGCCGGCGTTCACCACCACCACCACCACCCGTCAAGAGGTTTTCAAGATCACCCCTACTACCATCACCACCACCAGAAGCGGTGTCAGTGTACGGCCGTTGTTGCAGCGCACCGTTGAGCCCATTCAGGACCAACGGGGTCGTCTCTGTGGGCGGAGACGTTCGATCTACACTCTCGCCCTTACTAGGATTGATTAACTTTGTCATTTTACGATTAATGGCCGTCAGATCCCAAACATATCAATTTGTGGAGTGATGGCCCAATAAATAAAAAAAAGTTGGGGTGCGGAGTGGGATGACCCCTACACCCAGCACGGGGCACGGGCATGGGAACGAGCACGAGAACGAAAACGAGAACGAGAACGAGAACGGGGGATGAGAGCAGGCACGGGATCCAAGGGTCCCACGAAGGGAGAGTGCGTGTCTCGAGCTAGGAACGGTGTTGGACCGGGTAGCCGTTTGGGGGGTACTGTTCACATGACCATCCACAAAGAGAGATATATTAAGGGGGTAAGCACTACAAGAGACAAAAAGTTGTTATATGTACAATTTACTGACTTTAAGCAGACCCCGTAGGGTTGGCCACCTTCCACCCTACGGGGTTTGTAAGCCGCTCCGCTGGCACTCCGTGGGCCACTAGCCGTAGAGGCCTTGTTCCTCTATCGAGGAAAGCCCTGACTACGGGAGGTCTCCTCGTAGAGGAGCCAGGCACCACGCAGTGGCTCTCCCCGAGCAGGGGCCCAGCGGAGCGTCCTGCTGCCCCGCAGAGTAGTCCCACCCTACGGGGTCTGTGAGCCGCTCCGCTGGCACTCCGTGGGCCACTAGCCGTGGAGGCCTTGTTCCTCTATCGAGGAAAGCCCTGACTACGGGAGGTCTCCTCGTAGAGGAGCCAGGCTCCACGCAGTGGCCCTCCCCGGGCAGGGGCCAACGGAGCGTCTTACCAGGGTATCGTGTGGTCCCCCTGGACGGGTGTGTGTGTGAATTGATCTGTAGTTCATTAATTTGTAAAATTATCAAGGGTCCCCCCTTCATTTTCGTGAAATGGACGGTGCACCCAAAAGCGCTCCATTGACCCTCTCCTCTCCCTATAAAACCTCATGTAGTTCCCTCTAGTAGTAAACCACCCATCTCCTCTCCACTACAGTTTCTAGACCACACCCTCCAGTTGAAACACTGACTAAATATGCGCCGTAGTTGCCCATGGGCCACTTCTCTTTTTCGAGATCTGCGCGCAAAATGCGAAAACGCCCTCAAGTTTTGTTTTGAGGAGATTCTCTCCCCAACACTCCACACCTTTCTTTACAAACAAATACAAACCAACCATGTCTCGCCGCTCGCGCTCTAAACCATTGCCCCAGGAGCAGCCCGCAGCCCCGGCGCTGTACGAAGAAGACGAGGACATCGGCGACGACGAGGCCGACGCCCTGCTTGATGAGGAGGCAGAGGTCACTCGTTGTGTGTGTGGCCGCGACGAACTCACGCCGCTGCAAACAAACGCTCAGCTCCTGCAATTGCTCCAGCTGGAGTACGGCATCAAGGTGGATCTGGGGCTTTTCATCCAGTGCGACAAGTGTCTGGTGTGGCAGCACGGCTACTGTGTCGGGTTGTTCATGAACGACGACGTGCCCGACAAGTACTGGTGTGAGATGTGTCGCCCCGAGATGCACGTCGTGGTCGAGGAGCTGGCCACCGGGAGTAGGCCCAGTCGGACCTTGTACAAGCCTGTCAACGAGAAGAGACGTGCTCTTTTGAATTGGACCGGCGGTCGTCACAGAGCTGACCGAGAGAGGTCCTCCGCGGTCAAACATGAGGTGGCGGCAGAAAACCACCTGGATGCCCGTGGAAGTGGCAGTGGTGCCGGTGCTGGTGCTGGTGCTGGTACTGGTGCTGGTACTTCCTCGGGTGGTGCTGCCCCGGATGACGGTACCGTTGGCGAACAGTCTGAGGGGACAGCAACCGTACGAAAGGACCGCCGTCATGCCGAAGGCTACGACGAACAATTGGAAAAGGCATTGAGAGAAAGCGCCAAGGAGAGCGGAGTTCCCTTGAGTGACATAGAAGGCAGAACGTCGAGAAAGAGACGTGCTGCTTCTGGAAAGGAGGAGAGTTCTGGCGGAGAGGACGATAAGAATACGACAACGGCAGCGGGAGGTCTGCGTAAGCTGTCACCCGACCTGTTACTCCCAGCCTCGACTTCTTCTCGTGTAGGTAGTCCAACTAAAAGACGGCGTGGTGTAGCAGCTGCTGGTGCCGACTCCAAGCCGGTCGTCTCTTCGGACAATGACGACAGAGCAGCACATTCCCAAGACACCAATGCCTCGTCCGCCACGTCTGCGCCTACCACGGCCGGGACTTCTGGAGGCTCTTCTTCGACTGGAACAAAGGGCAGAGGAAGGGGGAAGAGCAAGGCCGGAACCCCAGCAGCCAACTCCGCGCCGGCTCCGACCAAGGAGGAGCTCACATCTCAGCCATCGAAGCCACGGTTCGTCAACCCCAAGTCAAGCATCTACGAGCTCCGTAAGCGTACGGGGGCCATTCTCGAATGGCTTGGCCGGCTGCAGCTTGAACTCGAGGAGGAGAAGTCCCACAAGGTGGAATTGTTTCTCTACCACGAAAACGACAATGAGGCCAAACGCGAACAACCAGACATCACCGGAAAGTACGACCATAACTTGCGTTTAATGGAGCAATTGACCGAGAAGATTTTGAATTGGGAACAAAAGTTTGGCAAGTATGCTCCTTGATCTCGTGTGAACCCCCGACCAAGTGAAGAGGGGGGTCGTCCTAAGATCTTACACACTTCCCTACGGGGTCTTCGAGTCAGTCCACTGGGCCCCTACCCGGAGAGTACCACTGCGTGGTGCCTAGCTCCTCTACGAGGAGACCTCCTACAGCCATTCCTCGTTAGAGGAAGAAGGCCCCCACGGCTAGTGGCCCACGGAGTGCCAGCGGAGCGGCTTTCAGACCCCGTAGGGTGACCCACTCAGTTCCCCGCGGGACTAGCAAGACGCTCAGCTGGGTACCCTGCCCGAGGATGGACACTGTGCTGCTCCATGGATCCGATGATATAGAAAAGGCATAGGAACCGTCCATGTGAGCTCACCCACTAAGGATGTCTGAACTCCAGCTACTGGCTTGACTGACTGTGAATCGGCCCACAATCTACAATTGGTTGAACCTAGTGGTGTTTACAAAGATCTCTCTGAGTGTAAAACACGCATATGTGTGTATAGATAAAACTAGTTAATATATACTTATCGTAACTCCAATGTATGACCCGTTTCTCGCTCCGTCTAGGAGGAATCATTGAGCCGCATTTCCCAGATGCTCTGTGGAAGAAGGATGGGCTACCATAGTCAGTACCATGCATTGGATGTGGGTGGCTTACATATCAAGCTCTCTCTCCGACGCTCCGCTGGCCCCTACTCGGGGTGAGCCACTGCGTGGTGCCTAGCTCCTCTACGAGGAGACCTCCCGTAGTCAGGGCTTTCCTCGATAGAGGAACAAGGCCCCCACGGCTAGTGGCCCACGGAGTGCCAGCGGAGCGGCTTATAGACCCCGTAGGGTGTTCCACACCCTTTCCCTACGTGACCCACAGATCAGCAATGAGGAGGTGACTACAATAAATCTCTTAATTGGGCCTGTCTGCTAAGACCAGGTGCCTCTTGCAGTCTATTTGTCTCGGTCAGACTCACCAAGTCGCATAACTTGTCTACCCAAGCCTTGCTGTTCAATATGGAGTCGCCTCCAATGATGATGTTCAACTTCATCAGGGTGGCGTTGTTCCATTCATGGACTAGTCTGGCCTCCTCGTACGTGACACCGCCCTTGATGTACACAATAACGTCCTGTACGTGGTCCGATACTTGGGCGCCGTACTGTCTGGTCACCGCCTCCGGCACAAGCGTGGTAAGACTCAGGGCACCCAGCTGTGTCGCTGGAGGTGGCGACGTGGAGCTGGTCTCGCCCTGTTGTCTGCCGGTGATTCCCGTCAACGTTTCGTAGAGCTTGGGCACGTGTTGCATGTAAATGTTGTCCGGTTGGTTTTGATTGGTGGCATTTTTGAAAAGTTCATTGAACTTTTTCCCATTGAAAAGCCCTCCCGTGGGGTTATTGGCGTTTGTCAGCAGGGAGGTTGTTCTTGTTTTGTTCCCAATGTACTTGTGGAAGCTTCTAAGGAGTGATAGTTGTTCGGTGGTGGGTAATGGAGAGGTCAAGCTCGGGTCTTCCAATTTCGAGATGAACTGGTTGGTCTCGTTGTCCGGGGAAGTCTCGTATCTGAGAGCGTAAAGAAGGGTTAATTTGAGTTTGTGAAGAGTCGAAATTGGCAGTGGTTGCAGTGCTTGCAGTGTTGGGGCTGGAGCTGGAGCTTCCGAATTATTTAAAAGATCACGAAGTCTCGATTTGATCTGTGAATGGGACTCCAAATCACCGGCAATGGTCTGTTGGAGCTCACCAACATCCCAGAGCCGTTCCTCGTTGATATGACGGTCCAACTCACTGACAATGTTGAGATGTTTCGAGACATTTGTCAGGAATTTCTTGAATTCCGGGAATTTGACAAGGAAATTCTTGAGATCTGAAAGATTTTTCGATTGAAGATTGGCAGCAGATGATTGTTTGGTTTGAGTTTTATATTCCTCAACATATTTCTGGACCTTATCGGTGAGATCTCCATAGTTGAGATACATTGATGAGGAGTAGAAAGAGTCATGGACTGAGGAGAGGGTAAGGCTCAGGGAGTCTAGATTTGGGGAATCAGAACTAGAACTAGAACTACTACTACTGGTGTCCAATTCAACCACATTCTTCTTGATCCCCATCAATTCATGGATCATTGATTGGTATGTCCAGGGGGTCAACAACGGCGTAATGGGGTCGTTTTTCCGGTCCAACAACAACAAAATGGGCGGAGAGTCTCTGTTATGGTTCAAATCATCAAATAAATTGTTGTTAGAGTTCGAATTGATGGAATAAAGCACCTCCAGAGAAAGTTTCCTTAGATCTTGAGAATTCAGCTCGTACTTGATCACGGGACAACACTTCAACAGGAGAAGTAACGAGGTCAAGGAATTGGATTCAAGGAGAAGGGTTGATTGAGAGGAAGCATTACCAATTGGTCTAGCTATAGGAGTAAACAAATTGTCATTGACCACCAAATAATCTTGGAAAATCTCACAAACTGACACCACCAAGTCAAATTCATCGCTCTCGGCAAGTCTTTCCAATTGCTGTTTGGACACGGTGTTGCTGAAGAAGATCTGGTATGAGTTGTAGTGCGGTGAGGACAACTCGCGACTCAATTGAGCCACCGATTGGTCGGTGGGCTTGACATAAACAACACAATTCAAATGCTTCATGGGGTTCAATCTCGTGTGGTTCTCCAACAACTCGACGAGCACCACGTCGTTCAGCAAGAGCTGCGACTGGGTGTAAGACATCGACACCACGGGGGTCGTCTGGTTGTCAAGAAGCAAGACCCGGGCCTTGGCTCCAGGGAGTGACGAGGACCCCGTGGTCGTTGTCGTGGCGGCGCTTAAGCCGCCGGATTTCCCCTTTGGGCCGCCACCCAATAACTTCTGGAAGTATATCTCACTGGTACGGTTTAGATTAAGGGTCATGGTCGCAATACAATGGAGAGATAGAAAGCGGTGGGGTGTAGTACTGGAGCAAGGTCTGGCGAGCGTGGAGAGGTGGGGGGGCGCCTTTATGGTGTAAATTTGCGACTGTGTCCCTAAGATTCGTATGGTTTGCATATAAGCAGCCATATCAGGACGGTCCCACGGAGTGCCACTGGAGTGCTACCGGGCCCATGGGGAAGGGAGTGGGTACTGCCCTACGGGGTCGGAGGGACGCTCCGCTGGCACTCCGTGGGCCACTAGCCGTGGGGGCCTTGTTCCTCTACGAGGAAGTTCCTGGGAGGGGGGAGTGCGAACTCCTCGAAGAGGAGCAAGGCACCACGCAGTGGCTCTCCCCGAGTAGGGGCCAGCGGAGCGTCCTGCTGCCCCGCGGGGAAGGGAGTAGTCCCACCCTACGGGGTCTGAAAGCCGCTCCGCTGGCACTCCGTGGGCCACTAGCCGTGGGGGCCTTGTTCCTCTAACGAGGAAACGCGAGAAAAAGGGTTGTTAATCTCACTATGGCCAATGGCACTCTCTCTGTAGAGTCTGGAGGGGCTATCGGCAGATATAAGTTGTATATTGTGTTTCTGTGGTGATTTTGACTTGTCCTGAATTTGGTTAGAGGGCCATGGAAGTTGTCGAGGACGGGTATATAGCCGGTGTTTACCAAAGAGAATGGCTGCAAAAATCAAACAACAACAAAAAAAGTAAGTTGAATAACGTCACTGACTTTTTGAGGTGAGGTACATGTATGGAGACTACTCTGGAAGTCGTGAAAGGTATGGGGGGTGCTCTCACGGGGCCCTGCTCTCGTAGGGACCAGGCTTCTCTACGAAGGACAAGTCTGCCCCTAGTAAGACATTTCATTTCCTCGTCAGAGGAACAGAAGCCTCCACGGCTAGTGGCCCACGGAGTGCCAGCGGAGCGGCTTACAGACCCCGTAGGGCAGTACCAACTCCCTTCCCCGTGGGACGGTATGCCGCTCCGCTGGCCCCTGCTCGGGGAAAGCCACTGCGTGGTGCCTAGCTCCTCTTCGAGGAGATCACGTGCAACTGGATTCCTCGTCAGAGGAACAGAAGCCTCCACGGCTAGTGGCTCACGGAGTGCCTGTGGAGCGTCCCGCAAGGTACCGTGAACCACCGTTATCTACATGTAACTTCTCTCTGTGGGGTTCCCTCCCCCTCAGATCTCCTCGGGGTACCCTTTACCTTATCGCCTCTGTCCTGTACGTAAATCACAGCTCCACAGCACGATTGGCTCACCCCATCCCAACGACAACTATAGATCCAGGGATCAAATCGACCGTCTAGACAGCCTCTATCGCCCTTGAATGTCTCCCCCTTGGAGCCGTCCCAGGGCTGGGGTTGGTTTATCTGAATCGGACAGGGACTTTTATCGTGGTCAACCGTCCTCTGGCTCGTGGTGGCATCTCCTTATCGCACCCCAAATTTGCCGCACGATGATATGGCCCGTGCGACAGATCGTCCAGAGATCATGGAGAAGTTTCCCACCCATGCCACTTTAGTTCTTCTTGTCCTCACGGTATATTTCTGTGTGACTAGTGAAATATTCAAGAATGCGTTTCCTGGGTGGTGTTGCATCGTTGCTATTCTTTTCAATCGCCGCCTCGGCCACAATTGTCCTCCCGGGCATCGACTCGGACCTTGCCAAAAAGTTGTCCTCGGACAACCTGGTCACCTGTGAGCGGGTCCGGTACGACCCTGACAATAACCGTCATGGTGCCCAGGTGAAGGTGACCCTTCGCTCAAAGGGTGCCGACATTCCTGTGGTTATTGTCCGATACTCTGACATCGAAAACCTCGTGGACTTCCCACTCGCTACATCGGATCTTCTGTCCCAAGACCCCCTCTTTTCCAATGGTGCTGGTGCTTTCCAGATCAAGTTGAAAGACCATAGTGTACCTACAGAGTACACAAATGCCTTGCTCGAGTACACAGGTCAGCTGGCCGTCCTTGACGTCACTAGTTCCGGCACTTATTGTGTGTACACGGCCCCACAAGAAGTCCCCGGTCTCGACTTGGACGTCGAATTCCGTAACTCCCATGGATACCTCACATATGAACAATACGTTCGATTCTTTGGTGACCAGGCTACTCTTTTAGTCCTTCTTGTGTCGTCCTTGGTGGTGTACCAGTACTTACCAGCCTCCTTTGACCCGCCCAAGACGTACTTTCTCATAAGCAGTGCCGTGCTGATCGTGGCACAACTCACCAAGGTGGTGGATCTGTGGCTTGTTTTAAACCATGATGTCTCCTCCTACGACCCCACTGCAAAGATTCTCCACGAGCTTGTAGGTTCAGTGTCCTCTCTTGTTTCGTTGCTCTTTGCCATGGGTCTCTGGAACATCCATGGCTCGAGAATGACGTCTCTCCCGGCCACCTCCAAGAACATAGCCCTTGTTCTTTCCGCAGTCTCTGCCATTGTTGCCTACTACTGGACAGCAGTCTTGCAGGACGGAGAAGTCTTGGAATCCGGGATCTTGGACTTGGACGAAACAATGCAAAGTGCCGCCATCTTGTGTGGTTTGTTGGTATCCATTCTCCCGTTCATCAAGGCAATCTTCACCATCCGGTTCCACCTACAAACAAAGCGTGAGGTCATCAACACGCCCCTCGACTGGATGAGTGGCACCATTGGCTTCACTCTCCTTTACGAAACGGTGGCCCCCTGGTTGGTCTTCCTCTATAGATTGTATCAAGACTCTGTTCCAGACATTGTGGACCTGCCAGACTTGTTCGAGCATCTCTCTTCGGTCTCCCAGGCGGACTCGGTGTACTTCAAACTGTGCAGTGTTTGGCATGAAATAGCCGTGGCCTTTGTCTTCCAAGCGATCAGATTGTACGCTTTCTACTACATCTGGAGCGGTACACCCATGAGCTTGAGTCGTCCTCAAAAGAAGAGGGAATAGACAGCCATCATATTGTATATATATATAGACACACATATAAAATAATACATAATCTTACCAACCCTGGGGAGTAGCATGACTCTCCGCTGGCCCCTACTCGGGGAGAGCCACTGCGTGGTGCCTAGCTCCTCTACGAGGAGACCTCCTACAGCCATTCCTCGTTAGAGGAAGAAGGCCTCCACGGCTAGTGGCCCACGGAGTGCCAGCGGAGCGGCTTGCAGACCCCGTAGGGTGGGACTACTCCCTTCCCTGCGGGGCAGCAGGACGCTCCGCTGGGCCCCTGCTCGGGGAGAGCCACTGCGTGGTGCCTAGCTCCTCTACGAGGAGGCCCCCTCACTTCCCTGTGGAACTACCAACCCCCCCGGCCCGCCCAGGGGAGCGTAGTAGGGCGCTGATACATGGACAGTCATCATATCTTTGTTTATAAATAATTAATCTAGTCTAGTACTACTATTATAAATGAGCATGTTCATCCTCTTGGTCGGATGGGTAATAGAAGTCGGACAACGGTTGTACAGGAACCGGCAAGCCCCCTAAAGAACTGTTCTTCTTGAACTCCTCCAACGTGACTGGCTCTCCTGTTGGATAGGCAGAAGGAACGGGTTCTGTAAGACCTCTCTTTAAAACTTGATGCAACTCCTGTTCCAAGGCATCCTTGTCTTCGATCTTGTTCCCCTCGTGTTGTCCTTCTTCCTGTTCACTAGGAACGTATGCAGCTAACGCATCGACAAGCTCGTGGGAAAGCTCCTGGAGCTTGTCCAGATACTTCTCCACAAGCCCATCAACGGTGTCGGCACCCAAATGAAGTCCTTGCTTGTACAAATAATTGATCACGGCACTGTGAACAAGCTTCTCTTGCGATGGAGTAGTTGGACATTGCGATTGTAAATGAACAATGGCACGAGCCACACGGCTGTCAGAGGCTTCCACATCAATGTAATTCTTGAAAAAAGTTTGGAATTCATCCAAGGTGATCGACTCTAAAACGTCAACTTCCTTCACCTTCAGCTCAAAATCATAGAACCCATCGGTGATATTGTTCCAGAATCTCGACACTTCTTCGCTCAAATTCTTAAGTTTGGTCAACTTCTTGGACTTCAATGCTTCCTTGAAGCTCTCAAAGTCTTGTGGGGAAAGAGAAGTGTTGACAAATTTCCCAAATTGACGTAAAAACTCTTCTATACGGTACTCCAAGTAATCACTCGTACGTTCCGATTGGACCAAGATCCGGAACCCAACTGCGGTTCTGGTGGTTCTAGTGCCCGAAAACACCACGTACCCCAATTGTTCCTTGGTTCTGAGTTGGTTGAAACATGGTTCATGGATGATGGTTCCAAGCAAGTCTGTCAAAACCCGAAGTTTCCTATCGTGACCAATGTCTGAGATCTGGATGTAGTATTCAATGCATGAGTTGATGTTTTGTGCATCTTCCAACGGGAGTGTGTATCTGGTACGGGTTCCCGCAGGTAACCGGTACGATTGGAGGGCTCTGGTCAGGGTGGATATGTCCAAATGGGCCAATTTCTCCTTGAACAAGGTGCTGAACTGTTCAGCGTCCTCAACCCGGAAGTTCCCCTGGACTAACACTTCGGCAAACACGCCTTCAGACCAAACGGCCTCATTGACCCATTGGTCCATGTTTTCAAAAGTGATTGTTTCCAATTCCTTCAATCTTTCGCCATATGTGTACGTCTTTTCATTGATAAACGTCAAGAAATGAGTACCAATCTGTGAGTAAGGCACATTATATCCAAAGTTCTTGTAGTCCTGTGTGATCTTCAGCTTGATGGCTTCAAACCGGTCGCGTTTGGGCTTGAATTCAAGCAACTTCCCAAGCACCTTTTCCATTAAGACTGACAATTTATCGTTGTACCCACTCACCTTGACCACAACCCCATCTCTCCAGGCATGGATCTGGAACGAAAGCCCCACGATCGACGCGTAGTATGCGGCATCATTCAACTCATCATCCACAAGATCCGTCAAGATGCCCAGCATAACGGCAGACCGACATCCAGCATTCATCGGAGGCACATGCAACAAACACTCAACCGTACCCTTGGGAACTTCAAATTGGTCGTCTTGCTTGTACCAAACTTGGAGTTTTTCCTCGTCTACAAGCAAGTAAGGATGTTTCAACACTGCCAGCTTATCCTTGGCCTTCTTGCCATAAACGGTGAAGTTCTCCGGGAGGAAATCATTGACCAAGGGGAGATGGAAATGTTCGTTGGAACCGTCCAATCCATTTGTCAATTTCTTCATCAATTCTTGGTCCAACTCTCCATACAGATACTCGGTGCCATACCATTGTTCCTTGTGGTCCAACCCATCCAACGTTTGGGACGCCAACGTGACTCTAAAGTTCTCCGGGACCAAGTACAGGGCAAACTCGCGAATCTTGTTCTCGTCAAACTTACGGATTACCAGTGAATTCAACACATATTCCGAAGGGATATTGCCCCCATCATGAAACTTGTACAACCCATTACTCATCTTGCTTACTGTCAGCAGCGCACCTGCCTTTTGTCTAAACTTGAAATTGATCTCCAGCATGGTTTTCACCTCCTGATGGATCTGGAGTTGTTCTTCAAGCGTGGCCTGCTTGACTATGGCCAAGTATTCAAACACTTGCACCACAATCTCTTGCCAATGTTTCAACCCTTCCGGAGTCAAATCCATCTCCACTACAAAGATCGAACTGCCACGACAAACCTTCATGTTCCCCAGAGAAAGCTCATTCACCCAGCCCAATTGTTGGTTCAACCGGTACAGAATGGAACCTTTCCCCTCATGGCCCAACAAATGCAGGAAATAGCCCAGAGGCTTGCTGTCCCAATGGGACTCCTGATCGTCAGGAACCATGAATGAAAGCTCCAACTTGTGCAGGTCCATGATGGGTTTGGCCCGGATACATTTCCCCAATTGGTGCTGGTCATAAATGACCTTCCCATCATAATCTGGCCATGACAATTGTTTATCTTCAATCTGATCGAAATAAGTCTCGGCCCATCCACACAATTCATCGAGGGATTCACGACCCAACACCACCATACTCATGATATTCAGTGAGTATTGTTCCTGCCAGAACTTCATCAACACCTCACGAACGTCACGTCCTTCGGCCGCGGGAGCTTCACCCAACGTTTGCATGTTCCCCGTACTAAACCCATTGTATGGATGGTGTGGGTTACTGGTCAGTTTATCCAATTGATACAATCTCCAGGTATCCAGTTGCAAATTCTTCTTGTTCTCTGAATCCACAGCCTTGATCTCTCGGTCTTTACACAGTTGCAGAAACAACGGAGAGATGAAAAACTGGGCAAATCTGTCCAAGGCGCCCTCCAAATGCATCAGATCCACCTCGAAATAGTAGTTGGTGTGCTCTGCCGCCGTGTACGCGTTGGAGTGGCCCAGGTGTCGGGCCAAGTAGCTCAGATATTCGTTTTCAGCGGGGAATTTCCGGGTCCCCATGAACAAGAGATGTTCACAGAAATGCGCAAGTCCGGACGTTTTGTACTTGCGATCAGCAAACGACCCAACCCCAACGTCCAACGATGCGGCAGACTTGTCGGTGGAAGGGTCATGGATCGCCAACACATGCAAGTTGTTCCGGTTCAACTTGATGAGACGATACGTTCTATCGTCCAACAACGGCTTGTTGATGGCGGCGGCATCCGCCACCACGGTGTAGCCTCCACTACTCTCGTTTCTACTGCTCATATATGCTTGGAAAACGCTCCTCTTGATCAGAAATGCTCTGCGGTCAATCTGTCTCAAGGCAGGGTACATACAGTGGGAAATAAAAAAAAAAAATCCAAATCAGAAGGAAAGAGTGAAGCTTATCCATCGCTTGGCGGGAGAGGCCTCTCCCTCGCACGCTTCCCCAGACACGCAGAGCTGCTCCTCACTCGACAACCACTATCGTAGAAATGCGGTATGCAGGAGAGCAGCCATACCTGGTGGACCCCCCAATTAGGCAATAATGGGGTCTGTAAGCCGCTCCGCTGGCACTCCGTGGGCCACTAGCCGTGGGGGCCTTGTTCCTCTATCGAGGAAAGCCCTGACTACGGGAGGTCTCCTCGTAGAGGAGCTAGGCACCACGCAGTGGCTCTCCCCGAGTAGGGGCCAGCGGAGCGTCTCGCAGCCCCATAGTGGGACGCTCCGATATCTACCCTACGGGGGCGGCCATATAGCCATTGGGTCGTTTGGGTATTTTCCTCTGGCGCTGGTCCTGAAGTGCTTGGGCATGTCCTGTGGTGTTACGAGTGCTTTCTGAAGGGAGTAAACTCTACAGGAGTTGGAAAGAAAAGAGTGAGAAAAATTGGGGAAATTGAGTAGAGGGGACTACTTGAGTAGACAGGGCACCACACCGTGCGGTGGCTCTGCAGGGGTAAGTGGGGGGAGACAGGGAGGGAAGAGAGTGTCAGGGCTGCCCTACGGGGTATGCGAGCCGCTCCGCTGGCACTCCGTGGGCCACTAGCCGTGGGGGCCCTGTTCCTCTCACGAGGAATGGCTGCGAAAATCTCCTCGAAGAGGAGCTAGGCTCCACGCAGTGGCTCTCCCCGAGTAGGGGCCAGCGGAGCGTCCTGCTGCCCCGCAGGGAAGGGAGTAGTCACACTCTACGGGGTCTGAAAGCCGCTCCGCTGGCACTCCGTGGGCCACAAGCCGTGGAGGCCTTGTTCCTCTGGCGAGGAAACCCTGACTACAGGATGTCTCCTCGCAGAGGAGCTAGGCTCCACGCAGTGGCTCTCCCCGAGCAGGGGCCAGCGGAGCGTCTCGCAGTCCCATGGAATGTAGAGGTTCAGGTGTACAAAGGCTCCGGGCTCTATCCTATCTTGATAATGTATATTGATTCTCTATAGAACTACCATTTCTCATCAGGGTATGCTGATACTCGTCCATAAATTGTATGGCAACTGGTGGTATAAAGGGCTGTTGTACTATGACACACGCAAACTTTCCTCTTTCTGAATCTTTCCACATATGGAATTATGCTCACCATGGCAAAGTCCCACCAATGGGATATAAAGAGGTTCTCATTTACTGACTTGTACTCAGACACAAAGTTCTTTTCCATTTGTATAAATAGTCCCAGAATTGTTCTATCATATTCCATGAGCCTTATGTCTCGCACAGGGTTACAAAGTCCTTCTCATTCAGTACCCTCCTGAAATAAATCCCTTGGAAAAGCATGGTCTAGTCAGCATTCCTTGTGAAGCATACGTAAACTGTACTTGAACTTGTGAAGCATATTTTTAACCAACTATGACACCAATACCGCTGATTGGCTCTGTTATGCTCAACTATTCTTTCCAAAGTGTCTGTTTGTAAACTTTGATCGCCATATAGAGGAACTCTTGAACCTGCCAGAAGTTTCCATAAAGCAGAAATTTCCTCTTTCTGTCTGTGTCCCATGGACACAGACACCAACTTTCTTGATATGCTAGGGGTATATAAAGGCGCGGATCCCCCCTAATTTTGATTTTTTTTGGTTGGTGCTAACTATCAAACTCATAATTCTGAATTCAATGCTCTCTCACGTACAAATCTTTCAATTTTGCCAAAAGTATGATAGGAAGACTCGGGGAGTTACCCAGAAGAGTTGTGCAACCTTCTTCCGGGTTGCAACGGGTTCTTGGTTGAAGTTTAAATGTTGGTTTAAAAATTTGTGGGTTACACAGAAGAATTTGCAACCACAAGATGAAAATTTGCAGCCATTTACTTTTCCAAGTGGTGAGATGGTGGATGGGTATGAGGATGTTGGATTTGACAGGGCCAGTGTTTGTCTTAGTTCTAAGTTGACTCTAGTCAATACTACTGGCTCCACAATCGATGGGAAAATAGATTCAACTCCTTTGTTTTGTGACACTGGCTGTCCTAAAACAGGTGGAAACTCTGGTTGCTCTGACTTGACTGACAGTACTGGTTGCCCTGACACGGGTGATGATTGGTATCTTGACCCAATTAACAATTTGATAGACTCTCTTGATGACTTGTCTTCTATTGACTCTTCAATTTCACTTCAGAAAAGGTCACCTATTCTTTCCAATGTTGCTTTCAACTTGGATGAATATACAACTTCTTCTGATCTGTCACAATTCAGTCTGGGAATTCTTGTTTCTAGTGAGTCTACCACTTCAAACGAGGAACCAGATGTGAAGGTTCAGCCAAATGAGGAGCTCGATCCAGTTGAGATTATCCAACTGAGTGAAAGTCCCACCATGGCTACGAAGATTGTACTGCATTTCGAATTGACTGGCGATGATATTCAATTCCCTCTGTTTAAAATATCAGAAAGGAAGGCGAGAATCCTCGTTAATTCATTGATTTCGACTACTCTCTTGGACCAAGTTTCACCATCTACCAAGGCTTGTACTCTCTACAAACTGCCAGTCAAGGAAAAAGAAGAACATCACGAACAGCACAAGAAGATCCCTAGTCAACATAGCCATCATGTAGAGCTGACGAAGAGCCGGAGACCAAAGGACCATAAATATTAATTACATGTCTGGGACATTTTATAAATAACGCATTTTTAGATTTTAATAAACAATATCATCCAATACTAGCGGAGCGCTTTTATAGAGTTCTCTCCTGGTAGCTTAGATTCATGCCATATGGGACAAGGGTCTCCGAAACATATATCCCAAAGTTGGAAACTCTCAACTCTACTCCCTGCGGGAGAGCTTGACGCTCCGCTGGACCCTACTCGGGGAGAGCCACTGCGTGGTGCCTAGCTCCTCTACGAGGAGACATCAAGTAGTCAGGGCTTTCCTCACCAGAGGAACAAGGCCTCCACGGCTAGTGGCCCACAGAGTGCCAGCGGAGCGGCTCGCATACCCCGTAGGGCAGTACCCACTCTCTTCCCCGTGGGACGGTAGGTCGCTCCGCTGGCCCCTACTCGGGGGGAGCCACTGCGTGGAGCCTAGCTCCTCTACCAGGAGACATCAAGTAGTCAGGGCTTTCCTCGCCAGAGGAACAAGGCCCCCACGGCCAGTGGCCCACGGAGTGCCAGCGGAGCGGCTCGCATACACCGTACGGAGATCCCCACTGCTCTCTTCCCTGTGGCATGTGGTGGTGAGGGGCTCCCGGAAACTCAGTTTGCCCTTACTGGGTCGCATGTCTTGTCTCAATTCACAGCCTTCAAGTTGTGGAGAAAACATGATATGATGTTCTCTAAACTGTCCAATTTTGTACTTGTACTCACCAACAATGGATCTGGCGATGATACCTCTATCTTTTTAGTAACCATCACGACAGAGTTGGCATAGGTGCTACATTTCGTCACGTACTCCATCGGGTCAATTTTAGGCTTGAGAAGATGGCTCAAGGTTGCGGCAAGACCAGAAGCTGCACCTCCACTGTGGGTCGGCGTGGCGCTCCCTGAACCAGCCGCTGTTCGTGGGGTGCTCGATGGAGAACCCCCCTGGCTTCCCCGGTGGTCAAGCTCCTCCATGATACTGTCCAAGGGTTTCCCCGCCTTCATTTCGTCTCGGACCGTGTCCACGTACGATTTGCCCGTTTGTGGGTCTATATGGCACCATGGCTCCTCGGTGACACGATGCAAGTTCTTCAAATCGATGCATAGCTCGGCCTGGTTGATGTACATGTCCAACGCCAAATTGTGGGGCAATGAAGGACGGAACCATTGGGCCTCTATCTCGTGCTGTGGGAACACTAACGAAGGGTCTGTTGGGAGTTGTAACAGATGCTTTGCCCGGGAAACTTCCTCTAGGATGTTTTCAAAAGAAGTACACAAGTCCGAATGGTTCTGGTCTGCATTGAAGTTCTGTAGGAGGAGCACAGCGTTGTCGATGCTCTCCTTGGCCGTGATGAGCTGTGGGAGCAAGATGGGCTGGTCCAAGGTGATCCGGTGGATATGACGGTTGAAATGAGCCTCACGAAGGTTGACCGAGAGATGGGTCACATAGATCCCGTCACGGGTGATTATGCCCTTGACCATTTCCAGCTTAGACGACGACACCGGGAGCTTCACTGGAGGGCCCCTCTCGATGCGTTTGGCCGGGTCTGGGTGCTGTGGGGAGTTGTAAAGAAGCATGTTGGCACAGATGTTGAGAGTCTCGATGATTTGATCAAACTCAGGCATGATTATCTCCGTCACGAGCGAGTGGAGTTCCCTCTTCTCACGTCCATTTTGGAGCGTGGCCACTATGGGAAGAATTGTAGTTAGCGTTGCTATCTCGGTCATGGTCGCAGTCAGATTTGAAAAATGGATGAATTGGAGACGATAGGAGTAAGAGGAAACATAAGTGGGCTAAGATTTGCGGGGGGTGTGTGTGTAGAATCTCGCCCTTTCCATGTTGGCACACCCGCACACCCGCCATCCGCACACCCACGGTGGAGCTAGACTGAGATGAATGTAGTTGACTGGGTAGATTCCTGGGTGTCAGAGGGAACATGGGTGATGGTCTACTAGTGGTCAATAGGTCAGCAACTCTGGTTGGTCGTCCCTTACTGAAAAGACTATTTCGCAAACAGTCTCCTCGTAGAGGAGCCAGGCCCCCACGGCTAGTGGCCCACGGAGTGCCAGCGGAGCGTCCTGCTGCCCCGCAGGGAAGGGAGTAGTCCCACCCTACGGGGTCTGTAAGCCGCTCCGCTGGCACTCCGTGGGCCACTAGCCGTGGGGGCTTTGCTCCTCTAGGAGGAGTCGTGGGTCACCTGTGGGGAAATATTATTATTGTGTCCTAGGGTTCCTAGGGTTCCTAGAAATATCTGGGGTGTTTGGAGAGTCTATAGAGATTTGTGTTCTTGTGGGTAGAATCACTTAGCAATGATAGGCCAGAGTTTCTTTTCTTCGAAGGATGAAATAATAATTTTGCAACAGTATTGCAATTTTCAGATAAAAAATAGGTTTATAGAGGAAATTTAACATGGTGTTTCTGCATGATGGGGATGATCACGCAGCTCATGGTGTACCTCTAGCTATCAATTCAAAGTGTGCTATCGGATAGTTCAGATGGTATGATATAACTTCTAGTGTGGTTGGTTTATGATGGCTACTATGCATGCACTAAAATTTACGAGAGTGTGAAAGATTTCTCTACAGAAAGGCCCCCCCCTCCCAGCCATTCAAGTTTTAGGAGCTTTGAAATTGGCACTTGAAGGTATGTCCCTTTGGCAGGGAACTGGGGCTTAGTATGGTAAGGTCATCTCTCAAACCACTGCTGAGTTAATTGGATCGGTAGTTGGAGTTGGAAAACGGGTGAGTCCGGACAAGTCCTGCGCGTAGCCGCACAGCTAATTTCCTGTTTAGAATTTTTATCTCAATTAACCCCGTTCAAGTGTCATACGCCCCAACTACGGTCATGTACCGTCATGTACATCCACATTGAGTTTCGTATCCCACAAATTTTGTGGCAAATTCTTATATAGGTTAAAACCTCTAGTGTGTACGGGAATTCTTTTTCAGTATACAGCATCCAACCACCAGTCTGTCAAATCTGGTGTCAAATCGGTAAACTGTTGGACATACCGAGTTCATTTGTGTGGGTTCTTTTTCAATAAATAATTTAAGTTTCTGTCAAAAAAAACTTAATTCCCTTCGAAATGATAAAACGTCTCATCTTTCTCGTTTCAATACTTTCAGTGGTACATGCAATCCTTCCAGGAATTGGTGATGAAGATACTTTAACACAAGAGAAACTTGTATCGTGTGAAAGAATCAAATATGATGCCGAGGGCCCATACGATGCCCAAGTCAGGGCCACTCTAATCACCATGCCAGTCAAGGATGTACCAATTCCAATAGTTATAGTTCGATATGCCGACATTGATAACATTGAAAGTTTCCCATTAGCGACATCAGAAGATCTTGCCAAGGGGGAGGAAATTGTAAAGTATAAGAATATATTGTATCGCGATAGATCTGGGTTCAACATCACTTTAGTAGATGAAACCAGACCCACTGAATACTTGACAAGTGCCTTCACGGCCAAAGATCAAGAGATTGTCTTCAATGCCACCCATTCAGGAACTTATTGTGTCTACATCTCAAAAGGACGTATATGGCGTGATATTGAGGTTGAACTTCAATTCCGTAGTTCTCATGGTTACCGGCAATTTTTAGCGTATTCACAGTTACAACTTATGCCATTCGATGTGTTGAGTGACTTAATTTTACTTCTTATAGTATACTTTCTCATGCCTGAACCACCCAAGACGTATCTCATCATACAGCTTGGTTGCGAGGCATTGATGGATTTGTTGGAATATGCCAAGCAATCCAATGCTAATCAGTACTCTGATAGGCCTCTTATGTCTTATTGGCATCTTTTGTTCATTTTTAACATTGTCAAAGGGTTAGTGCTTCAAACTGAAATTTTCTTTTCATTGGGGTTATGGACTTTTCATGGCTGGAATTTCAATGCCATTCCCTTTAATTTGAGACGTAATGCCTTGATATATGTAGGTACCTTTTCCTTTGCAATTTCCATCATGGACATTGCAAAGTCTAACGACCATATGTTTGAATCTATATGGTATGCTCTATTGCTCGGAATCATGGCAATTTTCGTTCTTTTATCCCTGGTTATTAAACCCATGATTCTTCTTAGTTTTTATAACAAGACTAAACTTTTATTTGCCAATACTCCAAAGAGGTGGATCACAGGAGGAATTGGTTCAACTTTATTAGTAGAAACTTTGTTTTACTGGGGTTCCGATGTTTGGGATATGGTGCAATATATGTTGGAACCCAGTCAGAACAATTCTCAAGATATTATTGAACATCTTCAGGCAGTGGTTGATGCTGATTTAAAGTATTTTGAACCGTTGGACACCGTTAGTGAAGTAGGAAAGTCCATATTAATGAAGTTAGGTCGATTCATCGCTATCTATTTGATTTGGAGAAACATAAACCTCAAAAAGGAGAAGAAATAGAGATATAGAGATATAGTGAAATAGAGACATCTCCTTTATATGAATGAGAAATATAGAAGTGGTTGTTTGAATGCTTAGGAACGATCTGTGTGTGAGCTTTTGGATGCAAAATCTTGGAGGTCTTCGTTCAAGAGAAAGATTCAAATACATGAGAGGAAATTAGACGAGGCATATGGATGATCTAAGGATGGGTCTGTAGTTTGGATGCTTCTAGAGTACGTCCAATGTGGCTTTGTTGTGTCTGTGTTAAGTGTCACTATTCACTGCATAGATTCATGCAGAACATCGAAAATTTCTTATTAGATAATCTAAAGTTTATTCATCCCACAATTCTTCCCTGACGTCATGAGACAAGGCAGAAAAATGTGTCTTTGAAGATCGGACGATAAGTGATTTCACTAACGAATTTACCAATAACTTCTCCTGATCTAGTCACAATGGATATACGAAACGGACAACATCGGGTAAGTCATGTGCGTGCCGCACCATCTAATTTCCTCTTCGGTACTTGAATTGTAAATAAGAATTCTTTAACCACACATCTAAGCCATATGTCATGCACCCACACGTCATGTATCCACACAGATTGCATCCATATTGACATTTATTTTATTTTATTCGTAAATGTCAATCTCTCCAGATGTGGTGAGTTAAAAAGTAAATCTTCTCTCCATTCTTGTCAAAAGTGTAGATTATACAGCTTTTTTTTCGTGTACCCCTATCTGGAGAACCTTTTTTATGAAGTATCTCATCTTTCTCCTATCGATACTATCAGTGGTACATGCAATCCTTCCAGGAATTGGTGAGGAAGATACTTTGACACAAGATAGACTTGTATCATGTGAAAGAATCAAATATAATCCCGAGGGACCATATGTTGCCCATGTTAGGGCCACATTAATCACAGAACCTGTCAAGGATGTACCAATTCCAATAGTTATCGTTCGATATGCGGACATTGATAATATTGAAAGTTTCCCATTGGCAACGTCAGAAGATCTTGCCATCGGAGAAGAAGAAGTAGATTATCAGAATATATTGTATCGCGATAGATCTGGATTCAACATCACTCTAGTGGATGAGACCAGACCTATTGAATACTTGAATAGCGTGTTCACGGCCAAGGACCAAGAAATTGTCTTCAATGTCTCCCATTCAGGAACTTATTGTGTCTACATCTCAAAAGGAAGTTTCTGGAATGAAATAAAGGTTGATCTTGAATTCCGTGATTCTCATGGTTACATTCCATATCAAGACTATTCAATGATTCAACTCCAACTAATCTATGTGTTGATCCACTTGATTCTAGTTCTCATGGTATACACTTTCATGCCTGATCCACCTAAAATGTATCTTGTCACACAACTTGGTCTCAAGGCATTGGTAATGTTGTTAGGGTATGCCCATGACTCGTATGCTAATCATAATCCTGACACGGGTCTTCCTAGCTGGTATGTATATCTCCTTTTTAAATTTGCGTACAGGTTTGTGATTGAAACTAATATTTTCTTTGCCTTGGGGTTATGGACTGTTCATGGTTGGAATTTCAATGCTATCCCCCATACTCTGAGATATATGGCCCTGATATACGTAATTTTCAATTGCAGTGGATATGTTTTCTTGAATACCTTTAAAAATACCAATTCTCTATGGGGTTCAACATTGTCAGGATTGATGTCAATTTCCTTTCTTTTATCCATTATTATCAGACCTATGATTATCCTTAGCTTGTATTCCAAGACTAAACTCTCGTTGGCCAATACTCCACAGTGGTGGATCACAAGAGGCATCGGATTAACGTTACTAGGAGATTTTTTGTTATTCTTAGGAGAAGAAGCTTGGGGATTAGTTAAAGCTTCTTTGCTGTACAGTCAATTCAATTCTCAAGACATGCTTGGACATCTTCAGGCAGTGGCAGATGCTGATATTGAGAATTTGGAACCGTTGAGCATTTCTAATGAAATAGGAAAGTCGTTATTGGAATTGGTAGGCCGACTCATCGTTATATATTTTATTTGGAGAAACATAAGCCTCAAAAAGGAGAAGATATAGAACCTCCATGTACATAGTAATGAATACATGAATGTATCAGTGATCAGATCAAGTGCGTAGGAAATAGAGTGTCTTGCTAGCCCACAGGGAAGAGAGTGGGTACTGCCCTACGGGGTATGCGAGCCGCACCGCTGGCACTCCGTGGGCCACTAGCCGTGGAGGCCTTGTTCCTCTGGCGAGGAAAGCCCTGACTACAGGATATCTCTTCGTAGAGGAGCTAGGCACCACGCAGTGGCTCTCCCCGAGTAGGGGCCAGCGGAGCGTCAAGCTGTCCCGCAGGGAAGGGTGTAGAGCAGCCCTACGGGGTTTGTAAGCCGCTCGGCTGGCACTCCGTGGGCCACTAGCCGTGGGGGCCTTCTTCCTCTAGCGAGGAACGGGGCTGACTACAGGAAGTCTCCTCAAAGAGGAGCTAGGCACCACGCAGTGGCTCCCCCCGAGTAGGGGCCAGCGGAGCGGCTTACACACCCCGTAAGGCTGCCATCCTTCCCCTGTGGGAGTGGTTGACGCTCCGCTACAGTTGTCTCCTCCCCAAGTAGGAACCCAAGGGAGTACCTGGAACAGGGAACAGATTATTTCCGTTCCCAGAACATTCTAACCACTACAACACGTCTCCATCCCTATTAGTTAGTACCCCATGGTCTCATAATGGTTGCAAATACAAACGCCAATCAGTTTGTACATCTCTTACACTACACATATATCTAATATATCTTCCTGAAAAGCCCTATTAACCCCCTTCTACATAGACACCTCTACACACATACATTTCTACTTGCTCCTCCAACCTCTTATCTTCTCTCCTTCTTAAACGATTGCACCACCCACTTCTACTATTTGCAGCCATTTCCTCTCCATATGTTCTTGTTTACACTTCCGTACACACTTTGTTTATGTCCCCGGAAATACGCCGCACTTCCAAAATAAGCGTAAATTTGAGACCTCACCCAAAGTAACAATACTCTCACCATATCATCATTACTGAACCCCAAAAAGTTGAAAAAAAAACAGCCACTCTAATACATTGATATAGACAAATTTTACATATATCCCCCCTGTCAAACCAACCTCTAACCACCGCTGCCGGCCCCCTGCCTTATTCTCCTTCTTTATTGTATCTCCCCTTTCTCCAAGCTTTTCACTCCGCACGTGCGCGCGGAGAAACTCTCCCCCACACGACCTTTTCAATCAAAAAAAAAATGACTCCCAACTTTCGAGTCGTGAGGTTCGTCTTGATTGAAATCTCCCTTTTCTCTTTTATACAATACTAAAGTATTATACAATACTAGCGTCCATATACAGTAGTTCTGTGTACAAACAAAACAAGTCAGATAGATAGACAGTGAACAGGATTTGCAGTCAAACGGTACCCTTGTAATTGAACGCTTCCCACCCCTTTGGTCTTACCCCCTACCCCTTTCCCAAGGCTCCCCCCTTTAGAAAAAAAATTATTTGCCACCCAATTTAGCGGCCAGATTTTTTTTGAGAAAAAAAAACAACAACAACAAGAACAAGAACAATGTCAGCACCTTCCACTTCCAGTGAACGTTCGACCGTTGGGTCGGCCAATGCTGCTGCTGCACGTCAGCCGGACTACCTGAGCGCCACTGCTGCTGCGGTCACCGCCGTTGCCGCCGCTGGGGCTTACAACGACGACGCTACCGGCTACGCGTTGGACTTTCAACAGCAACAACAACAGCAACAACAGCAACAACATCTTCAACAACAACATCATCTTCACTACCAGCACCAACAACAGGCTGCCCAAGCCGCTGCCCAGCAACAGGCTGCTGCCCAGCAACAGCAACAACACTCGCTCCATCATCACCTTCAACAACAACAAGTGCAACATGCACAACAAGCTGCTGCTGCTCAAGCTGCCGCTGCACAACAACAACATCTTCAACAACAACAAATTCCTCACCAACAACAACTCCATCAAACACAACCTAACGGACAAGTTGGCGTTGTTGGCCACGAGTATGATGACGGAGAAGTTCTTCGTTCCAAGTATGTTGAAAATGAAATTGTCAAGACTTTTTCATCCAAGCCAGCTCTTGTTGGATTTGTTAAGAATGTCTTGTGTATTGAAGAACAATGTAAAATTGTGATCAATTCCTCGAAACCTAAGGCTATTTACTTCCAATGTGAACGTTCTGGGCTGTTTAGAACCACCGTCAAGGATTCTACCAAGCGTCAAAGAGTCGCATACACCAAGAGAAACAAGTGTGGTTACAGACTCGTTGCCAACTTGTACCCACCAGAAAAGGATAAGAAGAAGAATCAACCTAAAAAATTGGGTGGAGTTGGATCTGCTGATGAAGATGCTAAAATTGGATTTGAACGTAATTTGGATGATAAATTGACTGGTGCAGGAGGTGCAGGAGCTGAGTATGATACTGGAGAAATGTGGATCTTGAGAATGATTAATCCAATCCATAACCATGCTCCAGAACCAACCTCCACCGGCTTGAAAGAACGTAAGAGAAGATTGAGATTCCTGAGAAGATTGGTGGAAAAGCCAGTGATCAACAATGCCAACTATAATCCTGAAATCCATCATCATATTAAACCAGAACATCAACATCATCATCATTTACAACATCATCAAGAAACCCCCTCTGTGCAGGACCCGGCTGTGATTGCTGCAATTGAAAGTGCTCCAGCCACTGCAGCTGCTGCCATCAGTCATTTACAACAACATCATCACCACCACACACCGGTGGATCCTAACATTGATCCAAATGTTGACCCTAGTGTGCAAGACCATGACCATTCCCACAGATAAGGGAGATCATGAGAGAGAGAGACCCTTTTATTTGTTTTATTAGTCTAATTGTATATGTTAAAAATTTTGTAAGATATTGAGATTTAAAGATAGAGGTGTAGAACAAAAGCAACAATAAGGATCGAGAGTTGAAGAGACTTGAAGAATCTGTATGTAAAAACACACGGTCACGTGGACAATCACGTGCAGATCCACGACCAGGGTAAGATGTCCTTCCCTGCCGGACAGTAAGACGCTCCGCTGGCCCCTACTCGGGGAGAGCCACTGCGTGGTGCCTAGCTCCTCTACGAGGAGTCTCCACCTATTCCTCGTCAGAGGAACAAGGCCCCCACGGCTAGTGGCCCACGGAGTGCCAGCGGAGCGGCTTGCATACCCCGTAAGGGCATCCCAGGACTACAGGCACCACATTGATAGTGGACCAGGTGATGTACAGGGAGTGACAAATGGAAATAACGTGTCATGTAGTAAAAATGTATATATCGAACTAGATAGAGAAAGGAAAGAGAAGACGGGAGGTCATCACCCCCCGGCCCGCGACCCGATTAGTACAAGCTGACCTTCAAGGTCCCGTTCCTGTCCTGAGGACCTCTCTTACGCACATATGGGTCCAAGGCTACGTGGTTCAGAGCCAACTTGGTGGCAACATCGATCTTGTCCTGCAAGTACTTCGACGAGGTCACTGGGTCGTACGACTCGATCCACCTGGCGGTCCGTTCCAACAATTGCAAGTTCAACTCGTCGCGCTCGTGAATCAACTTCTGGAACGTCGCATCCTTGGGCTTTGTCATGTACTCGGCCTCCAGCTTTGGTGGGGTGTAGTTGCTCGTGTACTCGTCCGTGCCGCCCATGAACACGGGGAGTTCCGAGACCTCGATGTACTCGCCAATCTCCTCCAAGTCCTTGACAAAGCGGATCTTCAGCGAGACCACCGGGTCCAACCAATGCTTGATGATGTTCCAGAACTTCAGGAACACCCAGGGCGCGTTGTAGACAAAGATGTTGGCAAGACATTCCGGGTAGTGGGCCTCAAACACATCGGCAATGAACTTGATGGTCACATAGTCGGCGTTCTTCAACAGGAAGCCCGTGAGGTCGAAAACAACCAGCGATTGGTCCGTCAGGCGAGTGATGTCCCGCATGAAGTAGCGGGTCCATTCGATTGCCAACACACACCAGCGACGCATCTCTTCTTGCGGAGCGTCCCCACCGAGATGGAGGGCGGCACGGAACATGAAAATGACATTGTCCTTCTTGTCAAAGCCGTGGATCCACGCCTTGTTGACGGTGAAGTTCTTGATGAGCCCCGGGTTGATGCCCTTGGTGGCAGAGGGCCCGTCACCCTCCAAGAGCCACTCGTAAGCCGGGCTCTGGTTGGTGCGCCACTCCAAGTCGGTGGTGAACATGGTCAATGCCTTCTCGGTCTCGAAGTTACGGGCCCGCACAAACTTCAAGATCCAGTTGTCCAAGAGGTCGGCTCTTTGGTTCTTCCAGAAAGTCGAGTGGATTTCCTGTGGGTTATATGGCTTGAAGAGTGGGAGGACCGAAGTTCTAGCCTTGGTAGAGAGTCCTCCGCCTTTCTTGTTGGTCGGAGCAGCAGCACCACCTCCAGAACCGTCCTTCTCATCAACCAAGGTCAAGTTTGTGGCCATGGTTTCCAACAGATGGCCGCTGTCACTGCCGCTTCTCGACAGCGCCGTGGACCCGTCCAGGTCATAGTTCTTGGAGAACTCCACCCCCTGAGCATAGTGCGTCATGTAGGTGTACCGGTGCTGTTCCAGAATTCCCATGGGAACGTACTTCTCCGATCTTTTCGCAGCCACTTTTTGCACTCGTTTCGACGAAGTGGCGGGCTTCTCCGGCTCAGCCGCTAGTGTTTCACCGCCCCGGAAAAACCCCTTCTTCTTGGCGGCAGCCGCCAGGGCTGCCACAGCGGTCTCCCCAGCCCAATGGCTCGTGTGGGCGGCACTGGTGGAACTGGCACAAAAGGCCTCCTTATACCCCAAGTCTCCACTGGTGATGGACAACTCATACCCCCAATACTTCAACAAATACCCCCATGTTTGCTTCAAGACAATTTCTTGTTCTGGCGAGAGGGTCTGGATCCTTGCAGGACGGTACTGTACGTCGGACATGTGTTACTTCTTTATGTGTGTGTGTGTGTATATGTGTGGTGTGTTTTGGATTTGCGCGGGGTTCTGTCCTTCTCTCTTGATGTGGACAGTCACTGCAGGGCCACAACACAAGGGGATCCAGACGGGACCCGTCGTGGGCTTTATACCCAGAGCTCATAGAACGAGCTGGCCGCGTACCCCACTCCCAGGGGCAGCTCGACCAGTTCCCAGATGTGGAAACCGTTCCTCCCCATTACCAGGCCCAATTTGGCCCTGCACCCACTGTAAAAACGTTCCCCTCCACGCTTTTCCGGCGCATGCATTTCTTCAAAGGTTCTTTTTCCTGTCATGTGTCTTGGTGGGTCGGGGAAGGGTTATCGAGAATGCACGCAGGAGACTCGGAGAGGGCACTCCATGGGCCACTAGCCGTGGGGGGGCTTCTTTCTCTAGCGAGGAAATCTACTGCACGCGAGTCTCCTCGAAGAGGAGCTAGGCACCACGCTAGTGGCCCTCCCCGGGCAGGGGCCAGCGGAGCGTCTACCAGGCCCACAGGGGAGGAAGTAGGGATACCCCTACGGGGGTTTGCAAGCCGCTCCGCTGGCACTCCGTGGGCCACTGGCCGTGGAGGCCCTTCTTCCTCTAGCGAGGAATGCTTCAGGAGTTGCAAATCTTCTCGCAGAGGAGCTAGACCCAGCGCCAGTAGTAGGCTTTCCCGGAGCAGGGACAAACGGAGCTTCGACCAGATCCCCACAGGGAAGTGAGTAGGTCCGGTGGTGGCCAACCTGTCAGAGGAACCTGGGGGAGGTGAGCCGCGCGTCCGAAGAGACAACTCCGCTTGGAGCTGTGCGCACGATTGTTCCTCGTGGTGCACACAATTAAGCTTTTGCGGGGACTCCTCGTAATTGCTCAGAACCACCGTAGACATTCTGCGGCTTCTACGAGATGTGTCAGGCTTGGCACGAGTGCCCCTTACTGTGAGATGAGTTCACATGGATAATTTATGCGGGGTGAAGTTTATTGTTATTATTTAAATATTTAATCATATGCGATCATATGAGAGGCTAGCACTCCGTGCTAGTCGGCCAGCCCAACAAGAGGAGGACTAGTAGGGAGTAGTAGGGAGTAGTAGGGAGTAGTAGGGAGTAGTAGGGAGTAGTAGGGGGTAGTAGGGGGTAGTAGGGAGTAGTAGGGAGTAGTAGGGGGTAGTAGGGGGTAGTAGGGAGTAGTAGGGGGTAGTAGGGGGTAGTAGGGGGTAGTCTGTAGGTCAACTTGTAGTTGTAACCCGTAGTCTGAGACTGGGCTGTAGTCTTAGGCTCCGCCTGTAATACACTGCCATATACTCTGTAACCTGTGGTTTATATCTTGTGTCTTGTGTCCCACTCATCTATTTCTACGTCTGGCTTGAGCAATTTTCCGACCTCCTCTGATCACTGGTGGTGTTCCCGTGGGGTTTGGAGGTGGCGTGGTGCTGTTAAAAACCAGCGAAGGCTCAGTATTACTGGCAAAGTTGATGTTTGGAACAAGCTGAGGTTGTCCAAAGCCCGGGGTTCCTCCAAATTGGAACGCAGGGGTGACCTCTCTTGAATTTGGGTTCGAAGCAGTCGACGCCCCGCTGACGTTGCCCAAGTTGTTGTTGTTGTTGTTGTTGAATTGGAAGCCAGTGGAGCCACCAAAGGCGGTGTTGGCGGTGTTTGCACCAAAGCCCTGGCCAAAACCCATGGAAGCACCACCGGCGTTTGGAGGAGTTCCCGTGACGGTGGGGAACCCGGAATTGGAAGAGGATTGTGAAACAGGGGCGGCGCCAAAGGCTGGCATTTGTGGCTTGGTGGTGGTACCAAAGGAGAAGGTGGTTGGCACTGCCAAGGAAGGTTTTGGGGATTCCATCTTGGTGGCACCAAACGAGAATGTTGGGGTTTGGGTTGGTGCAGCTGTTGGTTTCCCAAATGGCGAGTTTGTAGTTTGGCCAAAGGCTGGTGAGGCGGTGGCCGAGCCTGAGGGGGATGGTGATGGTTTAGCAGAGGTGCCAAAGAATGAGGTACCGGTAGTAGCAGGAGGTGCTGGTGCAGAGGGTGTGGGAGCATCCTTTGCGGCTCCAAAGGAGAATGAGGCAGGGGCTGGACGTTTTGCAGACGGAGCTGCGGTAGCAGCAGCTGAGTCTTCCTTCTTAGCACCAAATGAAAAGGCTGGAGCTGGAGAAGAAGTTGCGGTAGCACCTGGGGTAGATGTACCGTCCTTCTTAGCACCAAATGTAAAGGCTGGAGCTGGAGAAGCAGTAGTTGAAGTAGCGTCCTTCTTAGCACCAAATGTAAAAGCTGGAGCTGGAGAAGAAGCTGCGGCAGCAGATGAGTCATCCTTCTTAGCTCCGAAGGAGAAGGCTGGAGCTGGAGTAGTTGTACCAGTACTTGGCTCATCCTTCTTAGCACCAAATGAGAAAGCTGGAGCTGGAGAAGCTGTATTATCCTTCTTAGTGCCAAATGAAAAGGCTGGCGCTGGAGAAGCTGAATCTTTATCATCCTTCTTAGCACCAAATGAGAAAGCTGGCGCTGGAGCAGATGATGCTGGAGAAGCTGAGGTTTCATCCTTCTTGGCACCAAATGAGAAGGCTGGAGTCAGTGAAGTTGTAGCTGAGTCATCCTTCTTAGCGCCAAATGTAAAGGCTGGCGCTGGAGTAGCTGAGGCTGGAGTTGTAGCAGCTGGAGTAGCAGCAGCTGGAGTAACAGCAGCTTCATCCTTCTTGGCACCAAATGAAAAGGTTGGAGTCAGGGAAGTTGTAGCTGAGTCATCCTTCTTAGCACCGAACGAGAAGGTTGGAGCTGGAGTAGTTGTACTAGTACTTGGCTCATCCTTCTTAGCACCAAATGAGAAGGCTGGAGCTGATGAAGTAGCAGCAGCAATAGCTGGAGAAGCTGAAGCTTTATCATCCTTCTTAGTACCAAAGGAAAAGGCTGGAGTCAGTGAGGAAGAGGAAGACTCATCCTTCTTAGCACCCAACGAGAAGGCTGGAGCTGGAGTAGTTGTACCAGTACTTGGCTCATTCTTCTTAGCGCCAAATGAAAGGGCTGGAACAGTAGTAGCGGGAGTAACAGCAGATTCCTCCTTCTTCCCAAAGGAAAAGGTTGGAGCTTTTGATTCCTCCTTCTTCTCTGAGCCAGTCTTTCCAAAGGAGAATGAGGGGGTAGAACTAGTAGGAGCTGTAGCTGGAGCTGCACCTGTAGAACTGGTAGAAGCTACTGAGTCAGTCTTACCAAAGGAAAAAGTTGGCTTACTGTCAAGAGAAGTTTTGACTCCATCTTCTTTCTTTCCAAAGGAGATGGCGGGTTTGGCGTTATCTTCCTTCTTCCCAAATGAGAAACTAGGAGGAGCACTAGAAGTCTTTTCTTCTTTCCCAAGGGAAATGGTTGGTGTGGATGTCTTGGCTCCAAAGAGGGAGGAGGAAGTAGTAGCAGGAGTAGTAGAAGTAGTAGTTGAAGTAGAAACTATCAGTTCAGGTGCTGAGGACGAACCAACAGGCCCTGACGGTCCTGATGGTCCTGACGGTCCTGATGGACCTGACGGACCTGATGGCCCTGTTGGTTCTGATCTCTTCAAATACTCCTCATCTATCTTAATCTTCTCTCCAACTCCTCTCCCACCAAGAAGTCTCTTCCCTTCCTTCTCCCCCCTCTCCTTCAATGTCGGAGTCACAATCTCTCCAAGGTATCCCTTCAGCCAACTCTCACCCTCACCCTCCTTCTCCTTCTCCTTCTCATCTTTCTTGTTCTCCATCTCATACTCCAACTCTCCGTTGAAGTACCCTCCAACGTTCCTCTTCTTTGTCTTATTCTTCATCTTCATCGTCTCTTCTTCTCTCCAACGTCTCTTTCTCCAACTCAACGTCCGGTCCAATCCTTCCACCAGCAGTGTCTGAGTGCTCACGTCACACTTGTTCCCGCCATGAAGCGCGGGCCACGACCGAGTCTCACCTGGATCCACCATGTATTTCAATCTCCGTTGAAGTTGTTGTGATGCCTCAACCGATTTCTTGAGTTGAAGAAGATGGTATCGTTCTCTTGGATCAAGATTGATGAAGGGAGGTCTGACCAAACGGCCCGATGCGTCTCGGTACAAGGGAGCAAACTCATGTTCAATGATGATGGGTGAATCCTCCATCATTGGTTCGGTGGAGGTTGACGTGACACTAACACTACTGTCTTTACGTTGGCCTCCTTTAAGGATTTCTTCTTCCATCCCATCCATTGGACTGGCCATTCTAGTGGACATTCCGTCTGGAGACTCTGTTGAAGATCCAGCAGCAGAAGTACTGGCAGCAGCAGCAGCAGCAGCAGAATTACTGACAGAGTTACTAGCAGAAGTACTAGCAGCAGCTATACTCTTCCTCCTTCTAATCTCCAAATCATTCGTCATGTCTTGATGTGTTTGGTCAACAACACCTCGGAAATGCAGATACAGACCCATCTTAGGTTCCATGGCTAACCCTGACCTAACTCCAAGATCAGACAGTTGTTGTGAATTGTGTTGTGGTTGATTTGGCGGCACTTGAGTTCTGGCCGCGGCGCTCCGCGGAACACTTTGTTCCCCCATACTAATTGCCTCTTGAATCAGCATTTTCCTTCTTTTCGCCCCCTGGAACGATGTATTCAAAGGGTCTTCCTGCAAGGATGTAAGCCACTTACTTCCTGGAACGAGAGGGGTCCCAACTTTTTCCTTGGCAGGAGATGTCTCCTCAACTCGTTGAGGGATCTCCATCACTTTACGGCCACTGAAATAGTTCAACACACGACCCCACCGGGTTCTTGAACTCCCTCCCTTTCGCCCGGATGGCTGTTGTTGACTATGAGGACTGATTGACCTGGTGCCCTGTTCCATGGTTTGGATTCTTGGCTCTATTTCAAATTTGTTTCAGATCTGTTTCAAACACTTCCTCTTCGCTACTGTGGGCCACTTCTCCAAAAATTTCGTTTCCCTTGCGATTCGCATGGTTACACAAAAACGCACCACAGTATAAAAAGTAAACAATGGCGGTTCCTCTAGACACGACGTTTCCTATGGGCCACCATGTTTCCTCCCCTGGTTCCACTTTGGTGGGTAGGAGATTAGTGGAGCTTCATGTAGAGTATAAGGGGAGCGCGTAATATAGCACGGGGAGGGTAAGCCGCTCCGCTGGCACTCCGTGGGCCACTAGCCGTGGGGGCCTTGTTCCTCTAACGAGGAATGGCTGTAGGAGGTCTCCTCGTAGAGGAGCTAGGCACCACGCTAGTGGCTCTCCCCGAGCAGGGGCCCAGCGGAGCGTCCTGTTGCCCCGCAGGGAAGGGAGTAGTCCCACCCTACGGGGTCTGAAAGCCGCTCCGCTGGCACTCCGTGGGCCACTAGCCGTGGAGGCCTTGTTCCTCTGGCGAGGAAGACCTGACTACTGGGTGTCTCCTCGTCAGAGGAGCAAGGCACCACGCAGTGGCTCTCCCCGAGCAGGGGCCAGCGGAGCGGCTTACGGTCCCGCAGGGAGGTGAGTGGTCGGGGGTAACAAGCCGGTCCACTGGCACTCCGCCGGCCACTGGCTGTGGGGTCTGTTGTTCCTCTAGCGAGGAATGGCAGAGGTAACCCTCTCTGGTCCGCGAAGTAACCGTGTAACGTGTAGAATTATGTAAGCTCTTTGTATGTGTAGGGGATTATCTTCTCGGTCTCTTGACGAGGTGGCCGGTGGCCGTGATGGCAGCTCCTCCTAGAGAGCTGTGGATGGATCGAGGCTGCCCAGCAGAGCAGAGGGGGTGTATTTGGGTGGCCCTAAGGGATCTGCAAGCCGCTCCGCTGGCACTCTGTGGGCCACTAACCGTGGGGGCCTAGTTCCTCTAGCGAGGAATGGCTGCGAAAATCTCCTCGAAGAGGAGCTAGGCACCACGCAGTGGCCCTCCCGGGGCAGGGGCCCAGCGGAGCGTCTTACAGTCCCACAGGGAAGTGAGTGCTGATCACACTACGGTGCCAGTGAGCTACGGAGTGGGCTACAGTCTCCTAAAAACCTTTACCTTTTGTATTACCTATATCTAATTCTTATGGTCCCAATTCAAAGTCAAGTGACTCTCGTGGTTGTCACCAAACACATCGTCACCGTAGTCCTCGTCGTAGTACAGGAGCGCCGGGTTCCGGAGCCCCGTCACCGGGTCTGCCTTGGCCACCTCGTCAATCTCCTTCACGAGCTTGATCATCAGGTTTTTCCCCGTGTTCACTCCGTACAGCGCCACCACCGGCAACACCCCTTGCACCCACGCGTCGACGATCCGGGCCCGTTGCTTCGTGCCAAGTCTCAGAATCGGGAACTGGCCCTTCTTCATGAACGCAACAATGTCCACTATGAGGTGGTGCTTACTGAGCACCGTGTTGGCAATGAGCGGCACGAGCGACGCCACATGGCGTGGTCTCCGCAGCTCGCAAACCACAACGGTGTAGTCGGCACATTTGAACACACACGAGCCGTTCTTGTAGATGTCATGATGACAGGACTCGATCGTGTTCTCCACGTCGATCGGGAAGTGGTGGAGCCCCATCACTTCAAACGTGTCGGAGATCTTGCCCAACACAAAGAGCGGCTGGAACGATATGGTCGAGGAGTCGCCATCTTCGCCGCTGGCACCGGCAGCAGCAGCAGCAGCAGCAGCAGCGTCGTGTGTGCTTTCCTCTGAACGCGTCTTGGTGATCGAGATGTGGTGCAAGAAGCCCAAATCCCCCGTTCTCAAGTACGTCAACTCCTCCTCCTGGCCCGTTTCCAGCAGCTTGATCTTGCCCAAAAACTGCTTCTGGCTGAAGGTGTCGACGGGGCCCTTGGGCCCGTTGGAGAACCCGGTCAAGTTGGCCTCGCTGCATACCCAGATCTCACCAAACTCACCCTCATTACAGATGGTGCACGTCTCCGGGTTGACCACGGCGATCTGCGTGCACACGGGCACCATGCCGCTGTCTTGCACGTACAACGCGGTTGGGGTTTCCAGCGGGTTCACCACGGACACGTAGCCCTGGCGGAGCGCCACGGGGTCCAAGTAGAGCCCGACGGGCGCCACCGTCATGTACGAGCGCGTGGCGATCACCGGGTTGAACGTGTGGCAGTACACGGTCGACATGGACGCGGCACTCAACTTCGCCGGCTGGAAAACACGAGCAATCTTGCGCAACAAGTCGATCTCGACCCTTCCTTCGGTACTGATCATCATGTTCTTCAACGCGGACAAGTTGAATCCCTTCGGCGTGAACTTGATGGCCGCGTACTTCAACATCTGCTCCGTGACAAACACGTCCTTGACCTTGTAGCGCGCCAACAGCAAGAAGAACGCCAATGGGTTCTCTGCGTAGCTCACGGGCAGACACAAGTACGTGGTGGTGCCCAAGTAGCAACCGAGCAACACCAGCTGCACAAACCCAATTCCCGCCGAGTGCCGCACACACCCGACAAGCGCCAGCTTCAGCAGCAAGTTGCACGTCTCCTTGAACACCTTACAGATGCCCATGATGTTCTTGTGGCTCAAGGTGGCCCCGACCCGGTAGTGGTCCGAGGTGAAGTTGAGCCATACCAAGGCGACGCATCCTTCGTCACGGAAGTTCGCCGTGGCCTGGTACTTGCTGATCTTCAGGTTCAATGACGCCGCCAGCCCGAACTTGGTCAACTTGGCGGTGTTCTTCAAGTGGACGGGTTTCGTCCGACGATGGTTCATCTTCTTAATGGCGTCCGCCACGGGTCCGTTCTTGAGGAACTTCTCCACCTCCTCGTTGACCAAGATCTCCACCACATCGAAGTCCCGCACCACCCCGACGAACGCCGGGAAGTCCTCGCCGATCCGGTTCAGGTCAAACGGGAGCATTGGGATGGCTATGATCCCACACATGAAGCATGCCATGCACGCAACGACAAACTCCTCGCTCAACAGGTACATCAACACCACGTGCTGCCCCGGCCGCACGGCGGCCTTCTCGATGAGGTAGCTGCACACGGCGTAGATCCGCTGTTCCAACTTCTTCCAGGTCAACAGCTTGTTTTTGGACGAGGTCGAGTCGAGCGATTGGTACGCCACGCTGTCGCCGGCGTTACTCACGCGGAACTTGAGCACGTCGACAATGGTCTTGAAGTCCAGCAAGGGAGCACCCGTCCGGTCATCGATGGACTTTTCTCGGTAGTCGATGGTGGACCGCTGTTCTATGAACCCTTGTAAGGTTGCGCGTCTCAATGAGGACACGTATGGCGACCAGATGCCACCCAAGGGGTCTTCTCCATGTGGGACAATACTTATCAGCTTACGGATGAAAAACTTGACAAACTCCCCACGGAGCAGACCGTCGAGGAATCGCCGTTTACACAACATGTTGGCAATCTCCTTACCACCACTACGCATGATCTTTGGGAGCGTGTCGCAGTCAACCACCAAGACACAGTAGAGCCGGAGATAATGACGTTTGTAGAGGGTGTCGAAACATCGTTGAGCAATCTGGTTGAGAAGCGGTTCGTTCAAAGGTACGGGGCCGTACGTAACGGTGGATTCTTGTGAGTTCCCACCTCCGGAACCATTTCCAGAAGCCAGGACCCCGTCGCTACGATGACCATGGCCACCAACGCCGCCGGCACCACCTGCGCCCAGTTTGCCCAGTTTGCCCAGCTTGCCCTCGAGGGACGAGTCGTCGCCATCAACAACTTTACGGATCACCTCGGCCTCGACAATGGCCACGGGGAGATACTCATTACCCAAGAAGATGTCGAAGATGGTGCAATCGTAGATCTGGCGCACCTCCTGGGCCAAGGTGGCTAGGAGATGGCTCGAGTAATGGTACCGGCTTCCGTTACCCACAACGAGCTCCTTGCCGAGTTTCCGGTAGAGCTCCTGGTCCATCCACAGCACTCTCTGGCGAATTCTGTCCTCGTAGAGCCCGAGTACGTACACCTTGCCATTGTAGGTGAAGCCCAAGAGCCCCGTGCGGAGGAAGTCCATTTCCAACGTGCCATTGGCGTCGCGGCACTTGGCGTGGAAGATGGCCTTCAGTTCGTTTCTGAGGGCGTAGAAACCGCCGGAAAGACACGGCGAGTCGATCCAGATCTCGCCTAGCTCGCCCTTGCGGGCAAGGATCGACAGTTCCGGGTTCACCACCGCGAGAGTCGCGTCTGGGATTGGGTACCCAAAGGCATCGACACGAAGGGTGTCGTGTGGGGTGTCGTCGGACGTTGGGTTCGAGTTGACGATCTTGACGATGTTTCTTGTGAGGGACTCTCGATCGATGAGCACGGCCGAGAGGGTGGCACAGGCTGCAGCCTCTGCCGCGCTAGCAGCAGTGGCCGCGGCAGCAGCGGCAGTAGCAGCCGTAGATGTAGCACCACCACCACCATTGATGGACAGTCCGTCTCCATTCGCCGAGACAGAGACCGAGGCAGAGGCTGAACCAGAAGCAGAACCAGAGGCCGCACCAGCTCCACTAGTGTTGGAGCTGGTACTGGAACTAGTACTTCCAAGCCAATCTCTCATACTGATCACCATCCCGCCATACTCACTCAACGTCAACATCGGAATCACGGCGTTCTCTCCGTCCAGACACCCCAACGGCTTCAAGTACCGCTCCGACAACACCTCCATGAACTCCCCGTCCACGGTGGACGCGTTGACCAAGACCCACTTGACCGACAGGAAGTCGACCCGTTGGGTCTTCAGGAAGTACCGCGTTGCGTTGGGCAGCAGCTGGTAGTCATAGGTGACACGTTTCAACCCGATGTAGTCCGCAAGTAACAACGACGCGTGGAACTTGCTGATGATGTGTGCGTAGAGCCCCTGGATCTCCATCACCTTCTGCGGAGCCCACACCAACATGTTCCCGGAGTACACCGTGAAGAGCACCCCCATGATGAGCCCGATGGAGAACCGTGTGTCCAAGGTGGCCAAGAACACACGACGCAGTCGCTGCACCTCCTTGACCAGGCGCTGGAGCAGTGCTCCACCGTTGGGCAAGCTCAGGAGCGTGTCCTTGAGGGTGTTCATCTGGTGCTGGATGGTTCTGTGGGAGACGGCAATGCCACGTAGTTCGCCCACGGGCAGTCTAGAGAACTCGACGTACGCCAAGTCCAGTTTCTGGCGCTGTTGCGCCAACTGTTGTTGGTTCTGGCGCGACACCCAGCTCACCAATTCGGACCGTTTGGCACTGCCCATGTCGCTTGTACGCCACCGCATGAGCTTGGCCGGCCAGGAGAACTTGCTAGTAGTAGAGCTGCCGCCACCAGAGCCCGAGCCCGAGCCGCCAGTGGCACCCGAACTTCCACTTCCACTTCCACTTCCACTGCCATCCAGCAACTTCTCCAACTCCTTGGCCACGGTGTCCAGCAGCAACACCAAGCGCGCCAGCGTCAAGCGGATGATGTCCAAGACCTCGGGCAACGAGATGTCCTGGTGAACGGGGATGGCCGTGACGTTGGCCATGAAGCATGCAAAGAGCGCCACCGCGAACTCCGCCACCTCGTTGTCCTTGTAGAGGAGCACCACGGTGTCGGCGTTCTTGGGCGCCACCTTGTGTTTGATCTCGTACGCCACCTTGACCGCCTTGAGGTAGAGCTTCTCCCAGATCATCCCCAGGGTTTCCTTCCCGCGCGCGTCGAGGCAGATGATCGCCTGGTCTTGTTTGTAGAGCGCCGCCCGCTTGGCGAGGATGTAGAGAAGGTCGGGGGCAGAGCTGGGGCCATTGGAGGCCAGCTCACTGTCTGCGGTGGTGGTGGTGGGGGGCTTGGCGGCCCGTCGAGGGTACAACGGACACTCCAACTGGGCCTGCACGGCGCCGTCGCGCTGTTGTCTTTGTTGCTGTTGCTGCTGGTGCAAGCGATGCACCGTCTGGAGGATCTCCTCTCTTCGGTTGATGTATGTCCATTGGTCGATGGACCGGTCGGCAAAGTCGTCGTCAAGTTTCTGGAGAAGCACCGCCATGTCGGGCGGGATGTCCTGGAGGGCCGTGGCGGGGCCTCCGGCGACGCCTGTGCCAGCGCCTGCGGCAGACGCGGCGCCGCCCATGGGCGTGCTCGAGGAGGCGTCGGTGGCGGACACAGCGCCGATTTCAGGGTACATTGAGGCAGCAGAGGTCGACCGGTTGCGCGAACCGTTGGACACTCCGGCCACTGTTGAGAGAGTCATTGGTACTGTTAAGACTCGGAGGGGGGGGGGGGATGTCACCAGCGGTCTCTCTCTTAGTTCGCTCGTCCGGTAGATTGGGATACACTCTCTCTGTGTAGTTCCTGGGTCTCCAGCACTTCTGCGGGCAGCAGGGGGGGAGGGGGGTGGCAGTCTTTCATGGTCCAACCCCGTCAACCAGGGGAAGGAGAGCCCACCCTGGCGGACACGACCGGTGGTGCGAAATTTTTAGGAAATCCGGGGGCGTGGGCACGTGCATGCAGGGGAAGATCGGAATGCCGGACAGGGGGTGGCCAACGGTTTCACTAATCCGGGAGGGAGGTGCCAGGTCCTGATCGTGCGGGGGCAGGGGGGGGATCTCAAGTTGCATCGGAGGAGGGGAGTGAGACGCTCCGCTGGGCCCCTACCCGGGGAGGGCCACTGCGTGGTGCCTGGCTCCTCTACGAGGAGACTTCATACAGCCATTCCTCGTTAGAGGAAGAAGGCCCCCACGGCTAGGGCCCACGGAGTGCCAGCGGAGCGGCTTGCAGACCCCGTAGGGTGGGACCTAACCCCTTCCCTGTGGGGCTGTAGGATTCTTCTTCGGGTTGTATCTGGAGGGAAAGAGTAGTAAATATGGTGACAGCTTTTAACTATGTGGTCACGTGATGCAGGTGGTTTTGAGGAGGAGACGATAGTTTTTCTAAATAGCGTTGAATTGACCTGACCTTCTTGAAAGAGGTTTAAATGTAATGATTCATATGGCCCACCTTGCACTCTTACCAGGAGAAGTAAGGAAGAGGGAAGGAGGAGGAGGAGGAGGAGGAGGTAGAAGCTTAGGGGCCATATCCTGTATATGACTATTTGCTCCGGCACACAAGCATAGTTGGACACCCCTGGTTGCAAAACAAAGAGTGGGGGAGGCCTAGGGAGGGGGTGCCTCCATACTTCCATCAATGGGCTATAGTAGACATAGAGTGGGGCAAGAGAACCCACAGTAGAGTGAAACAAACTCAATCGGGAGGTTTGTTCCGTACAAAGTGGTCACCAAGGGCCCTCTCCCTTCTAGGGCACAGGCAAGTTCCTCGATAGAGGAAGAAAGCCCCCACGGCTAGTGGCCCACGGAGTGCCAGCGGAGCGGCTTGCAGACCCCGTAGGGTGGGGCCTACTCCCTTCCCTGCGGGGCAACAGGACGCTCCGCTGGGCCCCTACTCGGGGAGAGCCACTGCGTGGTGCCTAGCTCCTCTACGAGGAGACGAGGAGATCCACACGTCTGTTCGTCATCCTCCTCAAAGAGGAGCCAGGCCCCCACGGCTAGTGGCCCACGGAGTGCCAGCGGAGCGGCTTGCAGACCCCGTAGGGCCAGCCACAACTCCCTTGCCCTTTGGGATCAACTAGACGCTTCTCTCGCCCCTCCTGTTCAGGTAGGATCACCACCGGCACAGGGACCAAGTCTCCTCGTTGAGAAGTCTGGAAAGCGGTACCCATCCTCCCTGCACCCCCGGCACCCCCCAGCACCCCCAGGACCTCATGGCTCAGGGGGAGGGGGGTCCTGTCCTGTTGTTTTGCCACCTATAGAGGGAGGATGTGTTGCATCCTGCACATAAACAGAAAGGAAAGAAATTTTTTTTTTTTTTTTTCTGTTTGAAATTTTTCGGTTGCAAAGTTCGCGCGCGCGCTGCTCTTGCGCAGGAGCGGCGGTGAGGTCTCAAAAGAGCGATGGGGAAAAATCGAGAGAACGAGTGAGAGAGAGAGACACACACATCAGAAAAGAAGAACCGATAGAGCGTGCCACAGTAATGCTATATAGTGGTGCGAGAAGAGTGACGGTGGCCGCGGTGCGGCCGGACGGCCGTGCGGCGGGCGCCACGAGATCGATCGTGGTGGTGAAGAAAAAGGGCGCCAAGCGTAGCGGCGGCGATAGAAAAGATCGGCGGACTAGAGATGGTGCTGCTGCCATGGGACCGGGCCGTGAGGAGTCTTCGCTCCAGGCATGGGTCCGCAAGGATGACCGGAGCAGACTAGACGCCGAGGAGCGAGCCCATAGACGGAAGATGCAGAGTCTTCGGGAGTTGACGGTGCGGGTCGCCCTGATGGTGCGACAGCGTGAGCGCGAGGATCGTAGGGCGTTGAGCCAAGAGGAAGAAACTCGGGCATCACAGAACTTGGTTGGACCAGCGTCCGGTCCCTTGCCCGCAGGATATGTTGATCTGGAGAGTCAGCGAGTGTTGGGGTTGTTGGGGGGACCAGAGGGTGGCAGGAGGTCAGGTGACCCGCAGGCCATCGGTCTCTTGGGTCAAGCCGAGGGGGGCACCACAAACATTGGTATGACTACTAGAGGGTCTCTCTTTACCGTTCCGGCCGCATTGGGCATCCCAGAAAGTATCCAACAACGCTTGGGGCTCTCGATCCGATACTTGGTGTCGGCAAAGCACCAGAACTGGCCGATGGTTCTCCAACAATTGGCCGCCGAGGGAGGGTTCAAGGGCCTCCCCACCAAGGATGTACGGCAATTTGTGCGGGCCATGCCGCCGAAACAACTCAAGAATTTGATCCCCGTGGTGCAAGAGATGTGTGCTGCCGGCGACGTGGAGGTGGGCCAGAAATTGGTGGACTTGTTCATCCAGGCGTTGGTCCAAGGAGGAGAGGTGGATGCAAGGGCCATGCATGAGATCAACCAGTGGAAGAGACACCTCCAGCGAGTCAACAAGGGCGGCAGACTCCCACGGTCGACGTACGAGTTGCTTGTGGCGGCGCTGGGGAAACATGGCGACATGACGCTGGTGAACGCATACTTGACCGAGATGAAGGCCAGAGGACTCGAACCCTCAGCAGAGACCTTCACCAACGTGTTGACCACCTGTGTTTACCGGGCCAAGGACCATGGGCAAGCGGTGGCGATTTTCGAGTCGATGAAGTTTCTTTCGGCCCGGACCAAGCCCACGACCAAGAACTACCAGGACATCATTGTGCTGTACGTGAACAACGACCAGATCGAGAAGGCGTTGGACTTGTACCAGGAGATGAAGGTGGAGAAGATCGGCATGAACCAGCCGATCATGGTGGCGCTTGCGCGCGGGTGCACGACACGGGTCGAGCTCCGTATGAAGGCATGGGAGTTTATGTTTGAAATCTATGAGAGACGTTGGGACCCCACGGTGGAGACGGTGGAGTATTTGATGTACTTGGCGGCCAATGACGGCGATTTGGCGTTGGTGCGGGCGTTGTACCGGAAGATGAACGAGAGCCAGGATGTGACCGAGAGGGCGTTCCTGTTCTTGATGTTGGGGTATGGGAAGAGTGCCGAAGATGGAGAGATGCCTGGGATCACGTTCAATGAGAGAGGAAGAGTGTTCCGGAGGAATATCTTGGACGAGGCGGAACGTGAGATTTTCCATGGAGGAGACGAGAAGGGTCTGAACGATCCAGCAAAGAACATCCCATTCCTCCCGTTGGTTACACTTCAACTGGCAGCCCAAAGGGTGGCGGAGTCGAGTGCCATGTGGGCCCACACGTTGATTTTCAACGGCCGGTTGATCAATGATAAGAACACTGACATGTATTTGAAGGTTGCCATTGAACATGGAGAGATGGGTGATTTCATGGAGAGGTACGAGGGCTCAACTGAGTTGGATAGGGAGGGAATTCCGGGCAGTAGAGAAGTAGCAGAATCAGAAACAGAAGCGTCAGCTTCTGTTGAGGATTCTGAGATAGTAGAGGAAGAGTCAGAGGTTGCTGAGATAGTAGAGGAGGAGTCTGAATCTGCTGAAGTGGTAGAAGAAACTGAATCTGCTGCAGCTGGTGAGAAGCCAGTAATCGAGGAGGAGCTCTCAGAAGTACTGGAGACTAGCTACATCATGGAAGAATTGGAAGAACCTACCCAGTCATTATCCACCCCGCGCTCGAGTCTCACTTCACCATTACTCCCCTTACTGACGAACAAGGTGGCCCGATCAACCCGGATCTACCAAACAGCACTCAGCGCCGCGGCCCGCTTCAACTCGTTTGAGTTTGCCCAGACCGTCTGGCAAGAGAGAGGTCAATTCCGTAAATCCACGGTCTTTTCTCGCCTCCCAATTCGCGAGAGAGACGCCCAGGACTTCCTGTTTGCACAGAGCATGGTGAGATCGCTCACAAGGATGGGAATGCTCACGGACGCGATGGCCGTGGTGGTGTCGACGGAGTACCAGTTCAAGTGGTCGTGGAAGGAGCTAAGCGAGTTGTACCACAGCGCACTCGAGGTTGGCGACGAGAGAATCACCCAGACGTGCAAGGGGATCAGTGGCCGGGCCTTGGCGAAGCACGAGGGAAGAATCAGAAGAAAGGACTACAAGAGGTACGTCATGGAAAGAGGATATTAAATAGAACAAGAGCATCATGTATATAGCAATTCACGATAGAAGTAATGACGACTGGTCGACTGACTGACCTTGTAGGGGTGGTTCCGAGGGTAGTAGACGGTGGACTTGCGACCGCCCTGTGGGACTGCAAGACGCTCCGCTGGGCCCCTGCTCGGGGAGAGCCACTGCGTGGAGCCTAGCTCCTCTACGAGGAGCCAGGCCCCCACGGCTAGTGGCCCACGGAGTGCCAGCGGAGCGGCTTGCAGACCCCGTAGGGTGGCTGACCATCGCTGTGGTGTCCGCACCCATGACCCGTGGACCAGGATGGGCTACATAGATCCTCAATGTTTGGTCTAAGCTTCTTTTCTATATACATGTAAGCTCTAAGGTTCTATTTACCGGTGATGAAACTCAAGGTACCCTTCTTGACGATCATCTTCTTGACGTCGCCCACAATCCATTTGGCGCCCATCTCGTGCTCTTGCACCTTCAGGAGGATCTCCAGCTCCGGGAGGTCCACCAACGTCTTCTCGCCGTGGTACACAAACCGGGCCTTCCCGTTGACAAAGACGTTGTATTGGGCAAACGGCGAGGTGATCTCCTGTGCCGTGGGCCATTGGCGCAAGAAGATGCTGTGCCATTCCGCCTCCGGGTTCTCGCGCTGTTGGAGTCTTTCGTAGCACTCCTCCACCGCGCATGGGGTCACTGGCGCCATTAGCGTGAGGAGAGTCGTGTAGGCGTCGTGGATCACGTCGGGGCGCACGGCACCCAGGGCCATGGCCGTCTTGATCGAGTTGGTCAACTTCATGTAGTCGGAGATGATCGTGTTGAATGAGAGCTCGGTGTCGATGGCCAGAGTGACCAGCGTGATGGTCTTTTGCACGTCCAGGAAGAGGTTGAAGTCCGAGGTGGAGAAGAGAACTTCTACATGGTGGACGCCATTAAGAGTGATGTTGGGGTAGGAGGAGGTGGTGGAAGTACTGGCGGTGGAAGTGCTGCCAGTGACAGCCACCGTGTTGGACATCGCCACCACTCTTCTCAACCACCGGTCGATCCCGGCAATCTGCTCCTCGTTCCAGTTCAACACATCAGAGAGCGGCGCCTGGAACAACATGTGTGCCCTCGTGGCGTCCGCACCATACTTCTTGATACACTCTGCCGGGTCGGCCCCGTTGTACTTGCTCTTGGACATCTTCTCGAACGAGATGACCGGGTCGGAACACCCAGGGATCTCTTCGGGCTTGAGAACACGCCCGGAGACCGGGTCTCTGTAGGTCTTCCCATGAACCATGCCCTGGGTGACCAACTGTTTGATTGGCTCAAAGGTGCCGTCCGCGCTGTGCCACATTCCGATGGACCCAAGGAACTTGGAGATGAACCGCGAGTACAAGAGATGGAGGATCGCGTGCTCCACCCCGCCGATGTACCGGTCGATCGGGAGCATGGCCGTGGCATTTTCTGGCGAAAACGGCGCCCCCTGGTTGCGGGGGTCCGTGTACCGGAAGAAGTACCACGACGAGTCCATGAAAGTGTCCATGGTGTCGGTATCACGTTTGGCCGGGCCGTGGCACGAGGGGCACGTTGTGTTGACAAACAGCTCGTCCTTCTCCAACGGGTTTCCACCAGTGCCAAACGTCTGTGACGTGTTCTTAATCTCAGGGAGAACCACCGGGAGGTCCTTGTCCGGGACCGGAACGGGGCCACATGTCAGACAATGGATGATGGGGATCGGAGCACCCCAGTACCGTTGACGCGACACAAGCCAGTCCCGGAGTCGGTACTGCGTCGATGGGGCGCCGCTACCGACCGTCTCAAGGTCTCTTGTGATCATTTTGCCGGCCTTCTTGCTCGGGAGAGAGCTGTACTTCCCCAAAGAGTCTACAAGTACCCCGTCAGACCCTGTGAAGAGGACCGAGTCCTCCGCCAGCTGCTGCTGCTGCTGCTTCTTCTTCTCTGGCCCGGCATTTTTCTTGTTCTTCTTCTCCTTGGGCTTCACGGTCACCACCACATCCTGTTCAGGCGCATGTTTCTGCCAGAAGTCAAAATCTCTCTGGTCATGTGCTGGACAGCCCATGACTGCACCATGGCCATACGACCCAAGAACGTAGGGTGCCGCGTACACGGGCACACTGAAGTCCTCGCCCCTCTCACCGCTTGTGGTCAAGGGCACGGCAACGCGGTATGGGAGGGCGTAACCTTCCTTCGATGGCGGGTCTGCTGGGGTAGTTTTCGCCGCAATGGCCGACTCCCTCACAATGAACTCGCGCATCGTGGCGTCCTTCTTGGCGGCCTCAACCACCAATGGATGCGTGAGCGCTAGCGCCACAAACTGCACCGAGAAGAGAGTGTCGGGCCGCGAGGTGAACACCTGGAGCGGCCCAAGACTCCTCGAAGAGGAGCCAGGCTCTACGCCATCCGCAAGCCGCTCCGCTGGCACTCCGTGGGCCACTGGCCGTGGAGGCTGTTGTTCCTCTGGCGAGGAATGGTGGCGAACGGCAAAGGAAACCTCGGCCCCCTTGCTCTCACCGATCCAATGCCGTTGCATGGTCTTGACCTTGTCGGGCCACCCGGCGCCCAACGAGTCCAAGTCTGCCTGGAGCGCGCCGGCAAACTGCGTGATGCCAATGAACCATTGCTCCAACTGGCGCTTCTCCACGAGCGCACCGCTCCGCCAACTGCGGCCCTCGGCGTCCACCTGCTCGTTGGCCAACACCGTCTGGTCGACGGGGTCCCAGTTGATCTCCGCGCGCTGGCGGTACGCCAACCCGTGCTCATGCAACAACAAGAAGATCTTCTGCGTCCACCGGTAGTAGTCGGGCGAGCACGTCGACACCTCGCGGTCCCAGTCGAAGTCCGCCATCATCAAGCCCATCTGTTCCTTCATGCGGGAGATGTTGAGCTCCGTCCAGGCGGCCGGGTCGACGCCCCGCTCGCGGGCAGCGTTCTCTGCGGGGAGCCCGAACGCGTCCCACCCCATGGGGTGGAGCACCTCGTAGCCCTGCATCCGCTTGAAGCGGGCCACCACGTCGGAGATTGTGTACACCCGCAAGTGGCCCATGTGGAGCATCCCCGATGGGTACGGGAACATCGACAAGCAGTAGAAGGGCGTACGCTCGCCGCCGTCCTGCGCCGCGAGGTGTTTGGTTGGGTGCAACGACTTCCCGTCGCCGGACACCTCCTTCCAACGAGCGCTCCATTTCCGGTCAAGTTTGTTCAACTCCACGTCGACTGCCGGGGTACTGGCCCCTGGCGCCGTGGATGCGGCTCTCGTCTGGAAAGCACACGGTCTCATTCGCGCGGCAAGCCGGACGCTAAGCGCCGGACCTCTCGCGCGTGCCACCGAGTATAAAAGCATCTGTAGCGGTATACAATAGTGGGTAAACTCTTGTATATGGGCGCCAGGCTGATTTTCATTTTCTTTGATTTTCTGCTGTTCGGGTCGAATCTTCGCATTTCCGGTCAGGAGTGCGAAATGGCTGCGAAGAAAATCAGAGAGCACTTCCGGGCCCGGTGCACTTTGGCAGTGCCGGCCATCCCAGGGGGAGGCCAACCTCTCCAACGTTCAGGTCTTACAGAAGTTCTTTTCCGGTTGTCGTTCGCACGGGGGTGCATTGGGTGTCCTCTACGAGAGGGTTGATATCTACTGTGTATGCATTAGGGTATGTATATATGTGTATGAGTGGCCGAGTCACCACGGTTCTCTAGTGCCGTAGGGCAGCTGCGACTCCTTTCCCTGCGGGGCTGTAAGACGCTCCGCTGGCCCCTACTCGGGGAGAGCCACTGCGTGGTGCCTAGCTCCTCTACGAGGAGAATTCTAGTAATCAGGGCTTTCCTCGCTAGAGGAACAAGGCCCCCACGGCTAGTGGCCCACGGAGTGCCAGCGGAGCGGCTTACAGACCCCGTAGGGTAGAAGCTGATATATTTCCCCGGTAGGGCTGCTGTATGACCACTCCCTTCTCTGTTGGTCTGTAGAAACGTCTATAATTCTATCGAAGGTGTCTTGTTCCTTGTAAGCTCTTGATCGAAGAGAAGTTGATATCCACCAAACCTTTGAATCCTTGATCGTCCAACTTCCGGAGCACCGCCACTTTTAGTTTGAGGTAGGTCATTTCCGGGAGCCACGACGACCCCTGGTCTTCAATTAAGGAGTTGACACTGTGTTCGGTCGGTGGCCCCGCATGACGAACACTCACTTCGGCGTCGTCCTCGAGTTGTCGAACGATCTCGGTGGTGAGATACGCCCATGCCGGATTGTTGAAAATGCTCCCCATGGACTCGAATTGGATCATGTCGGAGTAGTCGAAGACACTGAGCGATTGTAATTGCGCCACGTATTTCAGCGGGAAGTGCATTGCCCGGTTGGGCAGCAGCGCGGACTGCTGGTCTTTGAGACATCGGTCTCTCCAAAGGAAATTGAGTATGTCCATGAGATACCCGTTGTGGAGTCGCCGGTACTCCAACTCCAGGGCCAGGGCAAAGTTGAATGCCTTCTCGAATGAGACGTAGCCACACACTGCAGATACCACGAGCGGGCTGTTGTTGAGAACCATGTGGTGCACCATGACCGGCGGGAGGGCCACTGTCAGCGGTGAGAGCACGTTGAGATGCTCTGGACAGAGCAGTTGAACAAACAGAAGAATGGGAAGAATCAGCATGTCCAAGGCAAACAGGGTTATCCCACGGCGGAGAACAAGACTTGTATAGAGTGAGTAGATGATGGGGAGTGTTGCATCGATGATTTGGAAAATGGACAGTGAGTTGCTATTGTGGGCCAGATCTGCCAGATCGGTCTGCGAATGTTCTTGGGAGTACCAGTAGGCAAACATGTTGGACAACTCGTAGCAGAGCTGGCGGAACGTGGAGAAGTCAGGGCTCTGGTTCAGGCTCTGGCTCTTGATGATGGTAATGATCGGGTCGAGCAAATATTCCTTCAAGCTTTCAATGGAACAGCTCTGTGGGGGCAAATACCTCAACAATTGAAGCCGCAACAGAAGTAAATCGGGCCGGATCTTGCCCAAAATGAAGTCTGTCACCACTGGGAGTCTGTCTAGAGGAGCTCCATGGGCAAGGAAGTCTGCCACTTTCACCACGAGAACTGATAAGTCATCGTGCGAGGAGTTGGCGTCAAGCAACGTGAGCCGGAGGTAGCAGTCGATGTTGGCGTAGTTGTCAAACGTCCCTGCCATAAGTAAATGGAAAACCTTGTCCTTGGTAGTGGAGATGGCCGAGCTGTCGTTGTAGAAGATGCTCAGTGGGTTGAACACGGCAGTGTTGGAGCTTATGGTCTGGATGATCAGGGAGTCGCCCATCGCCACGTGGCTACTATTCTGGTTAGTGGTGGACTCCTCGTCCAAGATCTCGGTCACCACGCTAATCTCAAGCCGTCTCCGTTTGGAGCCATCGAGGCCTCTAAAAACATTCTTGTTACCCGCGGCCTTGCTAATTTGGAACTCATGGTAGAGTCTGAGGTTGGCTGCCAATGGCAGTTTGTCGTCGTTGAGCCTCTTGATGTCCGCTATGAGCGGGTAGTCAAACACAGCCGAAACGTTTCCGATGACTAACCCCCGGATGGCTTCCCGCCACGGACGCGTGTCGATGCCGATCCAGCGGTACATCGCCACCAACCCACGCAACAGAACGTCGGTGGGGAAACGGACCCACAAGTCCATGACAAGTTGCACCTGCCATCGTTTCACTCGCGTGGCGTCCCTTCTGACCGCCAAGAAGATGAGCTGGACCACGTACGGCCGCAGGAACTCGTACACCAAGAGTCCGTACAACAACGACAAGCTACGACCGAGGAACCGACTTTGGTCCTCAATCAAGTGAACACTGCTGACGAGCCAGTGTAGGAGTACCGTCTGGAGCGTGATGGGCACGCCCTTGTGCCAGGTCGTGCCCTTCCGCATGGGTTTCCCCACGCCCCCCAAAACTCGCAACGCCATCGTTGGGGTCATTTGCAAAGTCGCACCGGGACATCCGTCACGGCCAATCTCCTCGGACAAAAAGATTCTTTTCACTATAAACAATTTTTGCGACAACGACAAATTGCCTTCCAACACCAATGTCACCAAGGAGTTGAATTCCCCCAGGTCAAGGCCCGGGCCGCGGATAGCCCGCGTGTGTGTGCCGCCATCTTCATCCTCGTCATCTTCAGCGCCGGCACACTTCGCGGCAAGCTCATTGAGAATTATTTGTACTTCCGACGAAAGGGCAACGCCGCTGTCACTGGCAGCACTCAATTTCTCTACAAGCAGCGCCACCGTGTCTCCACCGCCCGAGGCGGTCAGCGTATTCGTGGACATGAGCAGCTGGAGACGATTATCTATATATTTAGGTCTAGCTACTACACTCACTAGCACGCACTCTACGTCAAAAGTCCCCGAGATCGTTTGTTTTTGTTTGTTGTTGTTGCCAAAATTCATCGCGCCGCGCGCGCAGTTTGATCTGGTGATGTTTATATACAGGCCAACATTTCTACAGAGGGGAGCATACACTCGCCATCCTCCAACAGGGTCTGCAAGCCGCTCCGCTGGCACTCCGTGGGCCACTAGCCGTGGGGGCCTTCTTCCTCTATCTAGGGAAGCCTTGGGAATTCTCCTCGTAGAGGAGCTAGGCCCCACGCAGTGGCTCTCCCCGAGTAGGGGCCAGCGGAGCGTCCTACAGTCCCGCAGGGAAGTGAGTAGTGGCTGGCCCTACGGGGTTAGTAAGCCGCTCCGCTGGCACTCCGTGGGCCACTAGCCGTGGAGGCCTTCTTCCTCTCACGAGGAATGGCTGCAAGGATCTCCTCGTAGAGGAGCCAGGCACCACGCAGTGGCCCTCCCCGGGCAGGGGCCCAGCGGAGCGTCTCGTCAACTACAATATTCAAATGTAAACTACTTAGAACTGTCAATTCCTACTCATACGATCTCACGAGGTGCTGGTGTCATGTCCCCCACGGCGGACCGTTCTCGGGAAGTTTTCGCCTGTGTTGTTGTACCGCAAGCCTCGCGCGCACACGCGCACGCGCCCCCACCGGCCGTGGGGGCTTCCCCTCCCTCCGCACTACCCCGGAATTAACCTATTTACCCCCTAAGCTATCCCCCACTAAATCATGAAAAAATCATAACCCATATTGGCTGTATATATATATATATGAACAGAATCTCGCCATCTCATTGAAGCAATTGACCGGTTCTGTTCTTTATACAACAAAAAAATTGTAACCATGTCTACATTATTTTCTCTCAAGGGGAAGGTCGCATTGATTACCGGGGCCACAAACGGAATTGGGCTCGGAATGGCCAAGGGGCTCGCTGAGGCGGAAATTGATCAAATCATTTTAACATACCGATCTGAGGGCCCGCTTGAACGTGCCACCAATGTATTGAAAGAAATCAACCCAAAGGTCGTCATCAGTGCTGTTCATGCCGACTTGGGGGCAGGCACGGAAGATGAGGTGGTGGATAAAATTGTCACTGAGGCATACGCCGTGGCACAATCCGGGGTCATTGATATTTTAATCAATAACGCCGGGATCAATAACCGTCACCCTTTTGAAGCATTCCCAGCGGCAGATTTCGCGGAAGTGTTGCGAATCAATTTGCAAATCCCAATAAAGCTCACACAAAGGGTCGGAACACAAATGCTCAAAACGAAAACCGAGGGTCGTGTCGTGTTCACGGCCTCTCTTATGTCCTTCCAAGGTGGTATGAATGCCACCGCCTATGCGGTCACCAAGGGGGGGATCAACCAATTCACCAAGGCACTTCTGAACGAATGGTCTCTGAAGGGGATTCGGATCAACTCCATTGCCCCGGGATACATCGACACGAACCTCACGGGCACCATGGACCCACAGCATCGTGCCACCATCTTGCCCCGGATTCCCATTGGCAGATGGGGTGAAATTGACGATTTCAAGGGTCCTATCGTGTTCTTGACCCTGGACGCCAGTAGGTATGTGACAGGTGAGACCTTGTTGGTGGATGGTGGTTGGATGGGCCGTTAAGCCAACTTGGTTAGTGAGAATCTAGATAAGGAGAATATATGACAGCCACCCTAGAGCTTTAGGACCGTAGGGAATGTAGTCTCCCTCGTAGAGGAGCTAGGCACCACGCTAGTAGCTCACCCCGAGCAGGGGCCAACGGAGCGGCTTACTGTCCTACCAGTGAAGGAAGTAGTTGCTGCCCTACGGGGTTAGAAAGCCGCTCCGCTGGCACTCCGTGGGCCACTAGCCGTGGGGGCTTTCTTCCTCCACCGAGGAATGGCTGCGAAAATCTTCTCGTAGATGAGCTAGACACCACAAAATGACTCCTCAAGTCGGGGACAGCTGAGTGTCTTGCAAGTCCCGTATGGTGGTGCCAGTTGGGTGGGTTATTATTCCCCTATGGAGAGCCCTCTAGGAACTAAACATAGAACATTGCTTGGCCTCGTGGACAAGCGCGGAGATGTGGCTCAACCCTGAAATTGCGGGCTCTCTCTCCGAAAACAACAGGCTGACAAGTACGTATGGGTATTGGCGCTGAGCAGCTATACACGAAACACGACCCTTGGCAGTTCGTGCTCGATCTTAACTTCCAACTCCACAATTCCATAGATAAGAATAGATTGGGACAATGGAATAGCCTGTATGAATTGCACTAGATACGAGTCACTCCTTCTGTAGTCATGTAACGCGACTTATGGACAACCAGCCAAGAAGTAGGATTATTGTTGACTCGGGCAAATCGCATTGTTGCGCCTTGTTTCTCCTAGTTGTTAGAATTTAGAGACTTGCCATGAAGACACGAGTTGCTGAGTCCTAACCAGTAGTCCACAATAGTGGTGAGTAGCCTATTCCCGGTCTACCTTTGCTTGAATGTAGTCCGTAATAGTGGTGAGGAACCTAAGCCCAGTCCATCTTGCTTGAATACAACCTCAAAGATCTAATCAAATATCAGCAAGAAACAATTAAGATAGCCCGTGTGCATGTGCTTATCATATCACCATAGAGCCGCCGCCGAGGTTTCCAGTAACCCTTCACATGTTCTAGGTTAGAGCCCACCCCAGGTTTTTGCTGTTAGGCGGTCACACAGAGTGGCTCTAACGATCCAAGTTTGAGAGGATAAATAGCCAAAAATTGCCCAGTTCCTAGAAGCTTTTCTTTAATTATTGCAACATGTCAGAAAAGGGTAACGGCCTTGGAATTACAAGCATCAAAAGTGGTGCTTCCCACTTGGATCCTGAGGATCATAAAGTTGATCTTGCAGCTATTAGTTCTCAACCAATTGGCCTTGAAGATGTCGGCCTCAACTTGACTCCAGAGCAAAAATACTTTATCTTGAGGAGACTCAATTATGACACCTTGTTGTCGTACGAGGACTTACCGGTCGCAGCCACTTTCATGATCGAAAAGGTTGCCCAATTGCAGATCCCGGAAGCGCTTGAGATTTTGAAGGAGACACTTGACGAGTACAGCAATGACTTCAACTTCCCAGCCAAGGACTTGGAATTGATCGAAAAGTTGGTTCTGTTGGAAGGTAGCACAGGAATCAAGTCCAAATTGGCTGAGAATCTTTCTGAAGAATTTACCGACCAAGAGAAACTGCTGCTGCTGCTGAAGGAGGAAATCAAAGTTGAGATTCTTGAAGAAAGTTCATTTGATGGCCATAGTGCGGACTACTATGAAGTTGTCGACTGGAACTTGCAGGTGAGACTTGAGGCAGCCTTGCAGGCATACCACTCGCCGTACCCGGAAGTCCGGTCTGTTACCGACCCATTCGATGATCCTAACACTCCATGTGAAACTCTCAGAGCATATGTTCTCGGGTTCATTTGGGTGGCCATCGGGGCCTTTATCAACATGTTCTTCAGTGAGAGACAACCTCGGATCAGCTTGGGAAGTTCGGTGGTGCAGCTTTTCCTCTACCCATGTGGTAAGTTTTGGGAATTAGTCATCCCAGACTACACTGTTAAAATCACGAAGAACTTTTCCTTCCGTTTAAACCCTGGTCCATGGTCTTACAAGGAGCAAATGTTTTCAACCATCATTTATTCCGTTTCTGCAGGGAACTCATATATTGCCTACAACATTTACACCCAAAGAGTCCCTGTCTTCTATGGGAATACGTGGACAACCATGGGCTACCAAAGTTTGTTGGTGTTGGCGACAAACTTCTTGGGTTTCGGGTTTGCCGGGATTTTGCGTAGATTTGCAGCCTATCCAGTGAAAGCCATCTGGCCAGATATCTTACCAACTCTTGCCTTGAACAGAGCTTTGCTTAAACAAGAAAGAAAGGAGAACATCAATGGGTGGAAGATTTCAAGGTACAATTTTTTCTTTGTTGTCACTACTGCTTCCTTTCTTTACTTTTGGTTTCCAAACTATCTTTTCCAAGCTCTTTCCACCTTCAATTGGATGACTTGGATCGCCCCTCAAAACTTCAATCTTGCCATGATCACTGGGTCTATCTCTGGAATGGGGGTCAATCCTATTCCTTCCTTTGACGTGAATGTGTTGACAATGAATGGACCCTTGGTTGTTCCATTTTTTACTCAAGCTTCATCTTTTGCTGGGATGGTTCTTTCTTTTTTTGTAATCATTGCCATCTGGCAGAGTAACAACAAGTGGACAGGTTTTCTCCCGCTTAACTCTAATTCTATTTTCAACAACAAGGGCAGTAGATACGTTGTTAGCAACGTCTTGGACGAAAATGGACTTCTTGACGAGGCCAAATACGCCCAATATGGACCTCCATACTACTCCGCGGCAAATTTGGTTTTGTATGGTTCCTTTATCGCCCTCTATCCATTCTCAGTCTTTTATGAATCTATCATCAGATGGAGGGAAATCAAAGACTCATTCATTGCAGTCTACAAGACGTTCAGATACTTCAACCGGTCCGGCTTGGAGGGTCTTAAGGATCCACACACGAGAATGATGGCCCATTACAAGGAAGTTCCAGAATGGTGTTTCATGGTGATTTTGGTCATTTCTACCGTTCTTGCCATTTTGTGTGTCAAGCTTTATCCTGAGACACAGACTCCGGTGTGGGCTATCTTCTTTGCCATCGGCATCAACATTGTGTTTTTGATTCCCTTGACCGCACTCCATGCCTCCACCGGTTGGGGGTTTGGGTTGAATGTGTTGGTTCAGTTGATTATGGGTTATGCACTTCCGGGGAATTCCCAAGCTTTAATGTTCATCAAGGCTCTTGGTTACAACATCGAAGGTCAGGCTGGGAACTATGTGTCTGACCAGAAGATGGCTCATTATGCCAAAATCCCGGCTCGTGCCATTTTTAGAGGTCAGTTGCTTTCCGTATTCTTGAACTCATTCATAGGATTGGCAGTAATGAATTGGCAAATTGATTCCATGTCAGATATTTGTACTCCTTATCAAAAGCTCAAGTTCACCTGCCCCAGTGCAACTACGTTTTTCTCAGCTTCGGTCATTTGGGGAACCATTGGTCCCAAGAGAGTGTTTGGGGGCTTGTATCCAATCATGCAATATTGTTTCTTGATTGGATTCTTGTTGGTCCCAGTAGCACTTGCCTTCAAATGGTACGCACCCAAGAAGCTTACCAGACATTTCCAACCATCGATTGTCATGGGTGGCTTCTTGTCTTGGGCTCCATACAACTTTTCTTATTACACTGGAAGTTTGTACTTATCCATTGCCTTCATGTACTACATCAAGAAGCACTACTTGGGATGGTGGGAAAAGTACAACTTTGTTCTTTCCGGGGCTTTGGATGCCGGCATTGCCTTCAGCAGTATTATCATGTTCTTTGCAGTTCAGTACAACGACAAGTCAATCTCTTGGTGGGGGAATAATGTTCCCTATGAAGGTATTGATGGTGGAGTTGGCCAACGGGCCAGACTCAATGTTACCGAATCAGCTCCAGATGGGTATTTTGGGCTCAGAATAGGAAACTTCCCTTAGTTTAGTGTTTAATTTAATAAATCAATCAGTGATCTCCTCGTAGAGGAACCAGGCACCACACAGTGGCCCTCCACGGGTAGGGGCAGTGGAGCGTCGTAAAGTCCCACAAAGAAGAGAGTAGGTCAGAAAGCTGCCCAAGTGTCTAAATCTGTTCCCACATCAATAGAGGAGGGTAGCAGAGTAGTATACTAAAGTCTTCGGGTGATTCAATCCTTGTCTATGGCTCGATAACTTGATGTACTGAAAGAATTGACAGCAACGATCTATTAATCAAATTGCAGAGAAAGTGAAGAAAGGAAGCATTGGTACCACAAAAGGGGCGGGTATAAACAAGGTAGCAAGAGGTAAGTCTCAAGGTCATGGTCATGGGCAAAGCTTATGCAAATTTTAGGAAATTAAGGTAGAAATGCCTAGGTTTGGAGAGGACAGGAACAATACAATATAAGAGCAAGAAGAGCTCTCTCGAAATAAACTAGGTACCAAGAGGAACGTCTTACAACACAGTCAATACCCTAAGGGGTCTGTAAGTCGCTCCGCTGGCACTCCGTGGGCCACTAGTCGTGGGGGCCCTGCTCCTCTATCGAGGAAAGCCCGAACTATACGAAGTATCCTCGTAGAGGAGCCAGGCTCCACTCAGTGGTCGTCCCCGAGTAGGGTCCAGCGGAGCGGCTAACAGTCCCAAAAGGAAGGGACTAGCTACCACCCGGAGGTATGCAAGCCGCTCCGCTGGCACTCCGTGGGCCACTAGCTGTGGAGGCGGTTGACGAGGAATGGCTGCAAGAAGACCCCTCGAAGAGGAGCTAGGCTCCACGAAGAGGCTCCTCCAGAGTAGGGGCCAGCGGAGCGTCTTACAGTCCCATGGAGAAGTAAGCGACCACTATATAGGATCCGGGGGCCACTCCACGACTAGCCGTGCGGATCATCTTCCTCTTTGACGAAGTGCTGTATGAAGAATTGGTAGATTTGCAGACGCTCTAAGGAAAAAATAGGAGTCTTTGCGTTAGGGAAAATACCACCACAGCTATTACAACACGGTGACTTTTGCATATCCCCCGTGGGTGATTTCACGGGGGTTTTCCATGATGAAGGTCAGAAGCTACGTTGGGATCCTACATGGAGCTGAAAGCTTATAAATATGTAGCCCTTCCATCGATCTAGATACTTGAGAAGTACTGTTTTGCACTGGATTTCATCGGACGGTATGTCCTTCCAACTTCACGTAAACATTCATATGCGGTTGGATGGGCTTAACGTAACCTTACTCCTCGATAAGGACTCCAGAGATGAAGATATCACGTGTCACTTAAATTACCGGTCATACTATAAGTATAAGAAATGCTCGATTTTCACAGATCGGGTGGGGAAGTTTAAGTTTCACTCTATAAAATGACATTGAATGACATTGAATGACCCTTAGAGTGACAATGTGCAAAGTCAATGACACAGTCCGGACGTACATTAAAGCACAGTAGTAAGAAATTACCTTAGTTTCATGGTATCCTAATTTTAATTTCTCATATATGTACGATGTATTAAATGATACTTTGCTCCTGTAGACTTAGTTGGGTAGTTATTTCGTAATGTAGTACCCCCTTTGTCTCATACTTTCCCCTTCAATAGTGACTTCTCTACAACTTACCAGCCATTGCACTGAAACCTACGTATGTCACTAGCTGTAGAAGCCATCTTGTTCTAGCAAGGAATGACTAGGCTACAAAGGCTTATCTTTCTTAAGATGATAGGCACCACACCAGTGGATCTTCCCTAGCAGGGCCGGTTGAGAGTCTTGTAGTCCCACGGGGAAGAGAGTGGCTAACCTATGCGTAATGTAAGTCGCTCCGTTGACCACTGTGGGACACTAGCCGCCTTGACTCTGTTCACCTATAGAGAACATTATCGGACCTACACGGTGATTCTCCCTTGAACCACAAGATGGGAAGTATGTTCTGAGTATTAGCGCCGAGCACATGAAACACGACACTATAAGAAGTCGCGTTCAACATGCTCAACCTTATCTTCCAATTCAAATAATCCACAGATAAGAACTATAGGGATGATGGGGGCATCGGAATAGCCTTTGTGAGCTCCACTAGCTCCGGGTATTACCCTCCGTAGTCGTGTAACGCGGCTCATTGACAGCATGCCAAGAAATACGTCATTATGATAATTATAGACTCGGGACAAAATCGTGTTGATGTAACTTGTTTCTGCTTGTAGGTTGATTTTGGAGAATGTAAGAGTCGTTGAGTACTGATCAATCGTCCACCATAGCGGTTAGGGGCCCACCTAATCTCAGAAAACCTTGCTTGAATACGAATTCATAGATCGGATTAAATTTTCAGCCACAACAAAGATAGCACAGGGTGCATATGCTTATCACAGTACCATAGGGCCGTGCACTGTCGAGGCATCCTGTAACTCGTCCCATGTTGTAGTCCCACCACAGGTAAGACCTCACCACAGACTTTAGGCTGCCACAGATAGTTGCACCAGCCCAGTGTTGAAAGGGAATTTTAATATAAATAGAGGCAAGCATTGCCCAGGTTGTAGAAGGTTTTTCTAAAAAGTTTAATTATTGCAACATGTCAGAAAAGGGGAACGGTCTTGGCATTACAAGCATCACAAGTGGTACTTCCCACTTGGATCCTGAAGACCACAAGGTCGACCTTGCTGCAATTAGCTCCCATGCCGTTGGCCTTGAAGATGTCGGCCTCAACTTGACTCCAGAGCAAAAATACTTTATCTTGAGGAGACTCAACTACGACACCTTGTCGTCATACGAGGACTTACCCGTCGCAGCCACTTTCATGATCGAAAAGGTTGCCCAATTGCAAATCCCGGAATCCCTTGAGATTTTGAAGGAGACACTTGCCGAGTACAGCAATGACTTCAACTTCCCAACCAAGGACTTGGAATTGATCGAGAAGTTGGTTTTGTTGGAAGGTAGTACCGACATCAAGTCCAAATTGGCTGAGAATCTTTCTGAAGATTATACCGACCAAAAGAAACTGCTGCTGCTGAAGGAGGAAATCAAAGTTGAGATTCTTGAAGAAAGTTCATTTGATGGTCATAGTTCTGACTACTTTGATGTTGTTGACTGGAACTTGCAAGTAAGACTTGAAGCTGCCTTACAAGCATACCATTCTCCGTATCCAGAAGTTCGGTCTGTCACTGACCCATTCGATGATCCTAACACTCCATGTGAATCACTCAGAGCATATGTTCTCGGTTTTATTTGGGTCGCCATTGGGGCCTTTATAAACATTTTCTTTAGTGAGAGACAACCTCAGATCAGCTTGGGAACTTCGGTGGTACAGCTTTTCCTCTACCCATGCGGTAAGCTTTGGGAATTAGTCATCCCAGACTACACTGTCAATGTCACCAAGAACTTTTCCTTCCGCTTGAATCCAGGCAGATGGACTTACAAAGAGCAAATGTTTTCAACCATCATTTATTCCGTTTCTGCAGGGAATTCATATATTGCGTACAACATTTACACTCAGAGGGTCCCTGTCTTCTATGGGAACACTTGGACAACCATGGGCTATCAGAGTTTGTTGGTCTTGTCGACAAACTTTTTGGGTTTTGGGTTCGCCGGTATTTTGCGTAGATTTGCAGCCTATCCTGTTAAAGCTATCTGGCCAAATATCTTGCCAACCCTTGCGTTGAATAGAGCTTTACTTAAAGAAGAAAGAAAGGAGAATATTAATGGTTGGAAGATATCAAGGTATAACTTTTTCTTCATCACTACTGCCGCTTCCTTCCTTTACTTTTGGTTTCCAAACTATCTTTTCCAAGCTCTTTCCACCTTCAATTGGATGACTTGGATAGCCCCTCAAAACTTCAATCTTGCCATGATCACTGGGTCGATCTCTGGAATGGGGGTCAACCCTATTCCTTCCTTTGACGTGAATGTGTTGACAATGAATGGACCCTTGGTTGTTCCATTTTATACACAAGCTTCAACTTTTGCTGGGATGGTTCTTTCTTTCTTTATTATTATTGGGATCTGGAAGAGTAACAACAAGTGGACAGGATTTCTTCCGCTTAATTCGAATGCTATTTTTAACAACAAAGGAGGTAGATACGTTGTTAGCAAGGTCTTGGACAAAAATGGACTCCTTGACGTGGCCAAATACGCCCAATATGGACCTCCTTACTACTCCGCGGCAAATTTGGTTGTTTATGGTACATTTTTCGCCCTCTACCCATTCTCAGTCTTTTATGAATCTATCATCAGATGGAGGGAAATCAAAGACTCATTCATTGCAGTCTACAAGACGTTCAGACACTACAACCGATCCGGCTTGGAGGGCCTCAATGACCCACACACGAGAATGATGTCCCGTTATAAGGAAGTCCCCGAATGGTGTTTCATGGTGATTTTGGTCATTTCTACCGTTCTTGCCATCTTGTGTGTCAAGCTTTATCCTGAGACACAGACTCCGGTGTGGGCTATCTTCTTTGCAATTGGCATCAACTTTGTTTTCTTGATTCCTTTAACTGCACTCTACGCCTCCACTGGTTGGAGTTTTGGATTGAATGTGTTGGTTGAGTTGATTGTTGGGTATGCACTTCCTGGGAATTCCCAAGCTTTAATGCTCATCAAGGCTTTTGGTTATAACATCGATGGACAGGCACAAAACTATGTGTCTGACCAAAAGTTGGCTCACTATGCCAAAATCCCGGCTCGTGCCATTTTTAGAGGTCAGTTGCTTTCCGTTATCTTGAACTCATTCATAGGATTGGCAGTAATGAATTGGCAAATTGATTCCATGTCAGATATTTGTACTCCTTATCAAAAACTCAAGTTCACATGCCCAAGTGCAACCACTTATTTCTCGGCTTCGGTCCTCTGGGGTACGGTTGGACCCAAGAGAGTATTTGGGGGCTTGTACCCTGTCATGCAATATTGTTTCTTGATTGGATTCTTGTTGGTCCCAGTGGCAGTTGCCTTCAAATGGTACGCACCCAAGAAGCTTACCAGACATTTCCAACCATCGATTTTCATGGGTGGCTTCTTGTCTTGGGCTCCATACAACTTTTCTTATTACACTGGAAGTTTGTACTTATCCATTGCCTTCATGTACTACATCAAGAAGCACTACTTGGGATGGTGGGAAAAGTACAACTTTGTTCTTTCCGGGGCTTTGGATGCTGGTGTAGCTTTCAGTAGTATAATCATTTTCTTTGCGGTTCAATACCACGATAAGTCAATATACTGGTGGGGAAATGATGTTCCATATGAAGGTATTGATGGTGGGGTTGGCCAACGTGCCAGACTCAATGTTACCGAATCAGCTCCAGATGGGTATTTTGGGCTCAGAATAGGAAACTTCCCTTAGTTTAGTGTCTCGTATAATAAATCGTTGAATAGTTAGTCTCGTGCTTCCCTGTCATGGTGTCTGTAAATTACTCTACATTCTTCTAGATTATGGAGGAAAGTAGGGACCTTCTTCTTCAAATTATGAATTATTACAGCTAGATACGTAGCCAGTAGAGTGTACTACAGTCCTTCCGGAAAAAAATCCTCTGTAGCCGCATTTGGGACAGATACTTCAGTGCTTAGGGAAAAGGTTGACATCTGATATTAAAGTGAAGATCAGAATCATGACCAGATTCTATTTTGATTTCATGTTCATCAACATTACTAATATAAATTCGCAACCAACGGCCCAATTATTATCTCCGCAACAAGTCACCGTTAATTCCGCATGGTGTAATACAAAGTGGCATTAGTGGTACTACTCTACACCGGTTTACCGAGGACAGTTGTGAGGCGGAAATGGAAAGAAAGTTCGTTCTCCGAAATCGGAACTGGCCTCTGTTTAAAGGCTCGCGTCTTCTACTGGTCAAAGGATTCACTTCACACTACGGGAGACGGGGATAGCAGATATGCATTAAATCCAACCTGGAGATAAGTACTCTTCTCCGGTTGGCTGTCAACAAAAAAAAACTATGGTGGCCCCGACGCCTCGGGCGGGATGCCGGGCGGCCGGTAATCTAATCTGAAAAATCTGCTGCAGGCTGCAGAAATCTCGGGGAACATCTAAAAATTCCTAAGGTGCGGCTGATGGGCCACTAGCTATGAGCACTGCTATTCCTACAATACATGTGCTGGTGGTGGGTTATCTGTTCGCATGCGTTACATCCGAATCAGATCTGATGGCTAGTTCCCTACTTCAGTTGATCCTACTCTCCTCTTCATGCGGCTGGGTGACATCCGTCAAACTTCATGCAGAGCAAAATCCTTCAGTGGAGAAAATCACTCAAACCTAACACATTTTTTCTTGGCGAAACAATGCGACCATCTCCATGCATGTAATACGAAGGCGCCTTTCAATCGTACTTCCGGTCAAATCAGCATGGGTCTCGTCGTTATAAATAGTTAATGGTGTGACTTGATCCTCTAGATATTTCCTAGTAGCTTCTCATCGCCTGCTACCATGAAACCTCTTTTACTCTTGATATCTTTTTATTTTGCAGCCTTCACCCTCGCCGGCGGTGATCCATATGAGCAATTCGGAGAAGAAGTATACACTTTCCAAAGCTGTTCCTCGGCAATGTCTGCGACAGCAACGTTTTGTGATATCGGTACACACCGTAGAGGTGCAATGACCATGTGTATTTGTCGAAATCAATTTGCTATGGCTACTTTCACGGGTTGCATAAACAACGGAGCCCAACCAAAGCATTTCGACTACCTCATCTCCAGTTGCGCCAAATTCAACGTTATTGTCACGCCTGAACGGATCCAACAATCTTACTTGAACTTCACAAAGTATGCCAAAACCATTCACGAAATCCCACACTTCAACAGAACGATGACTGTTAGAGTTCCTTTGAAGCTTGACTCACTGACTGTTGCCCTTTACAAGAAGGCTTATACGCAGTTTTACGGGAACAGAGATCATGCCTTGTACTATGGTTCTGGAATGTTGGGTTTCTGGTTGCTTGTCTTCATTTGTGGTGCTGTTTCCAAATGGTCCAAGATTCTCATGCCCGGTCTTGTCAAGTGGTTTACTGGTCCAATATCCAATAGCTGGAGGAAACATGTTACTCTTCCTGCCACTGGGAGAAGAGCTAAAACTAACGACAAGAAAGTGTGGAAAATATTTCATCTCTTGGTTCCTTCTAGAAAGGAAACCATCATCATCTTTTTATTTTGCTGCTTAACCATTTTCTGTAATGCCCACATGATTGTTTATACTAAAAATGATCCATTTTCCCCACTAGGTGGGAAGCCATTAGTCGGTATGTGGGAGATAGGACTGGTGTAATATCAAGTATTATTGCTCCATTATTGATCGTGCTTGCCGGTAGGAATAATGCGTTGCTGTGGCTAACAGGGTGGCATTATGCAACTTTTGTTACATATCATAAATGGGTAGCTCGTGTCCTCGTAGCCTTGGTTGTCGTCCACGCAATTTGCTTTTCCATTTCTTTCCAATCCACATATAGAATGAATATGGCTAAAAATAACATAGTTTGGGGCACTGTTGGAACGGTTTCCGGTGGTCTTTTGCTTGGTTTGCTGCTTATGCAACTTCGAAGACGCTGGTATGAAGTGTTTTTGGCCATTCATATTGCATTGGCCGCATTGTTCATTGCTGGTGCTTGGATCCATGTTAATGAGATGGGTTACGTTTGGTTCTACTATGCCTCCGTTGCAGTGTGGGTCTTTGATAGAGTTGTTAGAATCGTGAGACTTGTTGGCTTTGGATGTCCAAAATCCGAAGTCACACTTCTAGCTAACGAAACACTCCGTATTGTTGTCCCTAAGCCCAAATACTGGCTGATAACTCCAGGGGGGCATGCCTTTGTACACTTCATCAGACCATCTTGTTTCTGGCAGTCTCATCCGTTCACCTTCACTTCCATGCGTGCCGATGAGTCTTCTGGATCAAAGGATAGTGTCGTCTTGTATTGTAAGGTGAAGGGTGGGATCACACATGGTCTCTACCAATATCTTTCCACCCACCCAGGGAAACGAGCTCAGATCAGAGTTGCTCTCGAAGGACCATATGGTGATCCAACTCCTGCTAAAAGATATGACTCTGCAGTCTTCGTTGCTGGGGGGAATGGTATCCCCGGTATTTATTCTGAAGTATATGACTTGGCCCTCCAGTCCCGTATGAAAGATCAAACTTTGAAATTACTTTGGGTGATCAAGGAGTACAAGTCATTGTGTTGGTTCTACGAAGAGCTACTCTCTCTTAAGGATACCAATATCCAATGTACAATTTTTGTGACCCAGCCTCACATGGACTCGTGTATGGATGATTTCTCCCTTCGGTTCCCCTCCAGAAACAGCAATGACGAGAAACTGGACGAGAAGTCCATCAAGGGGCTCGAAGTGTGCAGTTCAAGTGACTCTTCCATGAATGGTGTCATCGACCAAATCCACTCCGAGTTAAGCCATATTGATTTCAATGAGGGAAGACCAAACATCGATGGGCTTGTCAAACAAGAAATTGAAGATTCTCGTGGGTCAGTGGCATTTGTCACTTGTGGCCATCCGTTGATGGTGGACGATATTCGGTACTCTGTGGCCCACTCGCTAGACTACTCCAAGGGGAAACGGGTGGACTTCTTTGAACAGTTACAAGTTTGGTCTTAGTTGGGTGGCACTGTGTGCCATCTATAGATATATATTTATAGGTTGAATGCAAATATACAAAGACGTATTCCGTTTGGTTTTTGTCTCGTTTCCTTTTCTGTATCTATAATATCAGTAAAAGCTCTACATATTTGGCTCGGTCCATGGCCAGAGCTTTGCTTCGACTCTATTTCTTCTCCTATCACAGTTATTTTTCCTCCTTATTTTTAAATACCTCCAGCTTCTCTATACCATCTGATACCTCTATCGAAACTAATGGCACAAAGACCCTCGTTGGTATCGCCACCTAAACCTCCACGGATTCCCTTCTTGATGAATTGAACACCACTGACCACGCTGTGGTCGAGTTCAGGAGCTCCCGCCCCCAGAGCGGCATCGCCGTCCAAATCACTCACAGAAACGGTGATGGTGGCCACTCTTTCTCTGGTCTCCATGTTCCACACCCGGATACACTTGTCGAACCCACATGAGGCTAAGAGCTTCCCCTCTTCGTCAAAGGAAAGGCCCATGATCCATCCATCGTGTGCAAACCCACCGACATTTTTCGTCTTGGACAGATGCGAAGGAGTGGTCAAAGAGCCAACGTTTTCACCGTATTTAGCATCATAAAGTGTGATGGACCCCACGGATTGGTTATCACGAGCAACGGCAAGAATCGACCCACCAGGCAGGAACCGGATGGCTCTTGGTACACTTGAGCTTCCACTACCACCCACATCAGTAGATTTAAAGGTATAGATTGGTTTCAAGGACTCCAAGTCATACAATACGACTTCCCCTGAAGTGTATCCGATGGCGATTTTCTTCTCCACAGTAGCGGAAATGGCCAAAGAGTTTGGTGTGGACAGATGAGTTGGCTTGATGGTTCCAAACTTCTCAAGTGCAATGCTGACTGCATTTTCCTTCTTGCCGTCAACCGCGATTTCCATGCGGTATACTGCCGTCTCGCCACTTGCTTGTGTCACCACCAAATAGTCGCTTTTCAGCTCTGGGTCAATGTAAAAGCCCGGACACCAACTGTTGAGCTCTTTGAACCCGTCAACGCCACCTGCACTGACTTCGACCAATGTCTTGATATCATCCTGGATGAAGCACAAAAAGGTCAAGGACCCATCAAACGCAACTACGGCCAACACCACCACCTTGACCTGCAGACCGGGCAACACGGACTCGTATGCCGCGACATGGTGCAAGCCTGCACGGTTGACAAGTTTCCTCGTTACAAATTTGCGCGGGTCGTGTGTTTCGTCCTGTTTATTGTCCCAAAAATTGGCGTATCCATCACTGGACACCGTCACGGTGTACCGGTTGGTGACCGCAAGGTCAAGGATATCCGACTCGTGTGCCGCTCCGGTCGACACTGTCGAGATGTATTGCTTACTCATGATTAAGTATGTATGTAACTGCTAAATTTACTGAGCACTAGAAGGTGTTTCACGCCTTGCAAAATTGCGGCCTTGCTCTTTTTTTGGGGGTGTGTTGTAAAAAAATGTGGTATGTACTGCAGATAAGTATCGCCAAATTGCCGCTTTCAGTTGAGCCCGCTGAGGCGCGCACACCTTCAACTGGATGGTAGGAAAAAGCATTCAGTCCCATAAGTTTGGTCGGGGATTTGAGAGTGTATCAGACAAGTGATCTATATGGCGGGAAGGGGGTTGGACGGGGGTCCTTTGGGTGAATTTTCTGTGCTCTTACAGCCAGTAGGGGCACTGATTGGGCCATTTGGCGTGGATATTTGCAGCCATTCCTCGCTAGAGGAACAGGAGCCCCCACGGCTAGTGGCCCACGGAGTGCCAGCGGAGGGGCTCGCTAACCCCGTAGGGCATCCATACTCCCTTCCCTGCGGGACTATAGGACGCTCCGCTGGCCCCTAATCGGGGAGAGCCACTGCGTGGTGCCTAGCTCCTCTACGAGGACTTCTTTTACCGTCGACCTTCTCCCGTGGTACGCTCCATAAGGTGACACATACTCACTTACTGTAAAACTGCAAGACTCTCTAATGTGTAGATTAGAGAGTGCCATGTCGTAAAACCTATCTCCTCTTTCAGGAGGATTGCGGAGTCATTCCTTGAGGACCAAGAGTCACCAAGGCTAGTAACCCATGGAGTGCCAGTAGAGTGGCTTAAAAGTCCCGTACGAGGTTAGTATGTTACATTCTCCCTCATTATAATGTGAGCAGGTGTGTTTAGTTCTCGGTGTCGTTGTTTCTATATCTGTGTCTTCAGTGGCTCGATCACAAACGGCCAAATTGTACAGTTCTCAAAAACTGAATCCTCAAGGTTCTACACTATAGACTGGCACATACCCACATCCTTTGTTGGCCCACTCCTTGCATGAAACTACATAAGGGAAGAAGGAAAAGACTTCTCCAAAAAATTGGATGGGTTGTTGTAGACTCACAGGAAAAGTTCAACGACCAAGCCATCTCAATTAACCAGCTGGTCTATCCAACCTTGCCGTACTCACAGCTTTCAGGGCCACCTGAACAACTTCTGCTGTCCTCTCCTACTCCCCCAAGAAAGGAGAGCCCTTCGCTGAGTAATGCATCTCTCACTATCAGAGCAAAAGTACGACAGATGATCCTTTCAGACCCTCAATGGAAAGAGCGAACAGGATTCCCCAGTCATTTCTACAAGACTATACAAAGTTGTGTCTTTGACGTAACTCCATTCCCAAGATTGGGTCCTGAAGAAGAACCTTACATCGAAGAGTTTGACTTACAAGATCCAACCGGTTCCGACTGTGGGCGGCCATCTTCAACTAACGAGCAGGCAGCTTCCCTTCGGTACAAGCGATGGCATCGACGGGAAGCTCTATTCAAGGCGGCGCAAAGATGTCAATTGAAAAAAGAGTAGTTGAATAAAAGATTGAATACAACACAATAGACTCTCAGCTACCAGCTGGGCATGTCCTCTTATGAAAGAGAGAATACGGTGAGTGCCCCATGTTTTCTCTATCGAGATGGGTAAAGGATAAGTGTATCTCCTCACAGAAGAGCTAGGCACCACGCAGTGGCTCTCCCCGAGTAGGGGCCAGCGGAGCGTCTTACAGTCCCACAGGGAAGAGATTATGGATGCCCTACGGGGCTAGCGAGCCGCTCCGTTGGCACTCCGTGGGCCACTAGCCGTGAGTGGCCTTCTTCCTCTAGCGAGGAATGGCTGCGAAAATCTCCTCGTAGAGGAGCCAGGCACCACCCGGTGGCCCTCCCCGGGCAGGGGCCAGGAGAGCGTCTTTCTACTACTTTAAACATGTCCTTTTGATCACTCCATGTCCCGGACATTCCTCCACCCCTGCTAACCTACAACTTCATAGGACAGTATGGCCAGGTCCCCACCCAAAGTCTGCACCGGTATACGTTCTTTAATCCTTCATATAACATTTAGAGTCTTTTGTGTTGTATGCACACCCTCTGCGTTTTTGATTCTGATGTTTTTTTTGATCTCTGGCAGGAGCGCTCAAAGGGGAAGGAGAAGTTCAACAATAGAAAAGAGTCCAATTGTGGAACATATTTGTAGTACAGAAGGATGACTAGTTTCTTGCAAAGGGTGGAGAATCAACTGATCTTCCAATCCTTGGTGGAGACAAAGAGCCAAATCGCTCCTAGGGAGCGCACGGCTAGCGCAAAGACAAGTGGTGCTGGAAAGCAGGGACCACCACTGGTTGCATCGAATGTACTCGCATGTAGAAACAACACAGACTTGTTCTACGTCAGGAAGAACATCGTGAGATGCAGTTCAGTCAACAGCAAGACGTCAAACTACCGCATCCTCCGGAACGACGGCGTTATTACGTTCATGCCGCGCGCCTTGTCGTTGAATCTGCTGGGCACCCATTTGGCTGTGGTGGGAGACGAGAACATTATTGTGTACACTTTGCCCGCCAATATCAGCAGTCTGGAGGAGGCCGTGTTGCCCGTCAGGAGCGTCACTTTGGGGCTTTTTGGCAAGATCGCCGGTCAAGTAGCACAGGTGTTGTGGCAGCCTTGCACCGCCAACGACGTCACTCTCGTCGTGTTGACCAAACAGGGGAAGGTCCTCTTGTACGACTTGAGGATTCTGTATTTGTCCCCACAGCTTGAGATTGACTTGAAGAAAGAAATAGGTACTGGAGCCGACGTGGTGGCCATTTCCTTTGGCTCCGACTTGGTGCTCTCTGGGTGTCTTCTGTTGTATTGTTTGACGTCCCTGGGGAACACCTACTGTGTCTATCCGTTCCAGCATCGCGCTGGGAAGTTGGCCGTCAGTAAGGAGCAAGTTGTAGCACTCTATAACGAGACCAAGGTGCTTGTGGAGCACGTGGAGGGCCTTTTGGCTGGTGTTGAGGACGGTGAAGTAGGCGGCGCAATCGGCGCCAACACCCCATTGAAATTGGCCTGCAGACGCCAATATGAGTACGTCGACGACTTGTACCGCCAAGTGACCGGCTCGTTGGCTCCTAGATTTGATACCGTGGCGGTAGACAAATATGTAGTGGAGCAACGCAAGATCCCGGAAGTGGGCACGGTCGATGTCCAAGGTCCTTTGAGTAAGCCACCACCAGCTGCTGCTGGTACCACCTCTACGGCCAGGGCAACTTCCTTGGCCTATGTCGGGTCCAATCGCGAGTTCCTGGCCCTTGTCTCCTCGTTTGAAGACGGGACAGTTGCCTATTCGGCACAACTCAAACCCTTGGTGATGAAATGGACCGTGCCCTCAGATGGCCCTGTCCCCGTAGCAATTGCCAAGGCCACTGGCTCTGACCTGGTCTCTGCTTACAAGACGCCAATACGTGGGTTTGGATACGTTGAAGACCGTGACGAGGAAGACTCGGTAGAATACGACTCGTACTTACGAGAACTATCCCTTTGGAAAGATGAATTCCGCAAACTCAGTTGCTTGGCCCGTGATAGAATCGGCCGGGGTAACCCTGCATCTGTTGTTGGCTTGGTTGGACGTCCATACGAGTTCATCGTCAAGCTTGGAGATGATTTGGTGTTTGTCAATGTTCAACAATGGATCGAAGATCTTTTACAAGGGGTAAGACCAAAAGATGACGCAGTGATATACAAATGGGTCCATGATTCGAGTGCCAAAGGTGGTAAGTTGGATGGCTTTGTGGTGCTTGAAGACACCCTCACCGACGAGGGAAGTCTCTTGGTGGGTGTAGGCAATGAAAAATTGTACACCAACGAGGTTAGCAACAGGAAAGAGGTGAAGAAATCTGTGAAATCGATAGAAGGGGAAAGCTTGGCCCTTGTGAAACCAGTTTCGGAGCTTGTTAGATCTCCCTTTGAGGAACTTCATGTCCTTTTACAAGAGAGCTCACACCATTTAGACGTGGAATCCATCAAGAAATTGATATCTGGATCCGCAGTCAACTTCAAAAAGCCCATAGATTCCACTGACCCAGACACTTTGAATTCGGTTCATGAGTTGTCGGTGGGGACCATTGGCCATGTTACCGCACTCACAGAATTTGCATTTAGTCTTAAGCTGCGTATGGATACGGAACTTGAAACTTTGAGGGCCAACATCAACTCCTTGAACTCTGTCAAGGGCTCGCTTTCCACCATCAACCGCGAATCTACCAACGAAACCAGGTCTACCGTACGTAAGTTTATCAGTAGACAGGATAAGATCGAGGAAACACTCGACTCGATCCACTCAAAGATCTTGGAGGCCGTAAGAACCATCAGCTTGAACAGTCAATTGCCCATCTCTGATGCCGAAAGGGCCTGGTTCAAGGAATTGAACTCTATCACAGAGCAGGTGAAGGATACAGCAAGTGCTACTGGTGACGGTGGAAGTGAATCAGAAGAGAAGGAATTGCAGAAACAGGTCAGACGCGTGTTGCAAGAGTATGAGAACAGAGGACTCAGCATCGAGCTGAAATCGTCTGCAAACTCTGCCAAGGCTGTACAGCTCTTGGAATGGCTCAAGAAAGAAGGGAAGTTGATTAACTTGGCTAAGGCGAAGTTGGACAAGAAGTTACAACAAGTTGAATTAGAGTAAGGTAAATAAAATATGTAACAATACATCTAAGTGCGACAGATTGGATATCACGGGGTCTGTAAGCAGCTCCGCTGGTACTCGGTGGACCACTAACTGTGGTGACTTTGTTCCTCTAGCGAGGAAGTGATGTCTCGTAGTCACGAGCAACTTTCAATCCCACTGGGAGGGCGTTTGTTATATATACTCTACATTACAATTTCTTGCTAAGAAACGAAAGAATTTGCTTGGTGAGGCTTTGCTCTTTCCAAGATTCTAGGTCGCCAAAGGCTACCCCCTCTGAGACAAAGAACAGAATATGGTAGCCAAGGGGCTCAATAATGACATTTTCAGGGTGATTCTTGGTGATCCCTGCATTGGTACACCATCTGAAGTTTTCATCTCTGAGCACTTCGTGTTCTCCAAACACGACTAGGACATTCCCCTTAGCCACCGGTGGGAGCTTCGACCAGTCATATGAAGAGGACAAGGAACTGATATTGAGATCGGGGCGATCAAGGTCAGATTCAGTTCCAACGTACGCTTCACCAAAATATTCCACTGCACGGTATGAAAAAACGTCAAGGGCCTCATTCTTACGGAATGATCCAGAGTATTGAGCTGCCGTGATATCAAGCCATGCAGAAATGGGTACTACTGCTGACGGCCACACTGTTCCTTTCGGGTGGACTCTCTGGAGATAGTAGAGTAAGGCTAATGACAAGTTCCCTCCTGCAGAATCTCCCATTACTGCAATGTTTGTGTTTCCTTCACGGACCAATTGGTCGTAGATTTGGCCACATTCGTTCACCTGCTGAGGGTATTTCAGCCCCGTTGTGGTCAACGAGTAGTCCACAATGAGAACGGAGAGATTTGGATGTGAGTCACGACTGAGAACACGGTATACATTGGCAAGTACTTCAACTGCATTTCTCTGAAGTTGCATTGCAAAGCATCCGCCATGGATATATATGAGAATTGGGTCATTCTTACTTCGGCTGGGACCGCCATGGGCAAGCCAAAGAGAGTCTACAGAATGTGGATTTTCTCCCCAATCCGCAGCATCAATAGAATTAAGGAAGCACTTCCTCTTGGTATAAAACTCGCCATATCTAGGGAGACCACCATCTCCATTGACCGTCAGTAAGAGCTTGTCTAGGAGAGAAGAGACCGTGTACAGTGCATGGTCACGAATGAAGGGAACTGTAAGCACCTTGATCATGTGCTGCATAATTCCAGCAGTCCAGATCCTACGGATACTTCTATTAGTTTGGAAGTTGGTAAAGACCGTCCCGATCGAGAAGTACTCTACGGTGAGCTTAGCAAGAACGTATGGGATCGTTAGAAGCCGTGAAAGAATGGAAATGGTGAACATGCTTGAGTATCGTGGAAACCTAGAGTATTAACGGAAGTCAAAGAATAGAATTTTAGAATTAAAACAAAGATCGATTCATTTTTATATTAAAGACATGGCCACGTCAATACATAAATAATTGTGTAAGCAAGTATCAATCTTCACTATAGACTAATGCAAGTGCCCCTTTACATAGATCATCTTCCAAATTCGTAGAAAGTGTTATGTTAAACTGGGTAAGTAGTACGATAAGTGTGATTCTTAAATGCCTTCCCCGAGCTTCTTTTTGTGGGGAAACAGTCTATACAAACCAGAAAAATTTATTGTAGTTTTTTACGTAGTATTCTGAGCCACATACACTATCGTACGTCTCGGCTCACAAGGTTATTGGAATGGCCTTGAATCGTCCTCAATATACTATATCTGTTCTCTCCGTAGGTAGTAAAAAGAGAATAACATCTTGCAAAAAAAAATTGAAAAAAGAAATGCGCAAACCCGGAATCGAACCGGGGGCCCAACGATGGCAACGTTGGATTTTACCACTAAACCATTTGCGCTTTTCGTTGAGTTTGAAAGTTTTCAGATAGACGGCCCTGGCGGATGAAAAAAGTCCAAAACGCAAATTTTAGGGGTTTACAGGGGACTAATGGATGTTTTAATATCAAGTTTGAAATATAGAAGCTTTAAATAGTAGTTAGAGATCATTTAAAGTTAGTAAAATTGAAATTTCGAAAGAAAAACATCTTAAGGTGGGAAATGATAAAATTTTGTAGGTCCTAGAATTATCCCTGGAAATGGGCCGTTTCACATGACTATGGAGACGGGGTTAAGTTTCCCATCTTGTGTAATTCTAAATGGTTTTTCTACTGTAGTAAATGAATATTGAACCTTAGAAATGTACATCTGTAGGACTTGTTGAAAACGTACTCTGGGGTTTTCGCGCGCTGCAACTTTCTTCAGAATTGGGAATGCCTGAAGGGCAATCCCGCTTCTTCTTAAGGAATATAAAGGACACACTTCCCAAGTATTGGATCCGAAAGGGAACAAAGGGAGGTTTTATCTAGGACTTATATAGTTGTATATAATAATTGATTTCCTCCAAGGTTTGAAAAAAAAAGTTGTGTAAGCTGATTGGAACAAGGTTATCTAGATTGAACATAGCGAATCCTAGACAAAATAGTCTAAAGATTTCCTGTTGCTTCCCGACTGTGTAGTGGTCAGTCTAAGAGTATCAGGGAACTTACTATACCAGAGTTGTATGCGGAAGTAATCTGTGTGGGATAGATGAGATTCTCTGTTCAACAGATATCTTCCAGTTATTTATTTTTTTCATCTATCATTATGTATTTATCATATAAAAACGGATATCTACCTATGTAAACATCAAATACGTATAGAAATCCGAATTCAGGAACCTTGTTACTTGCTTCGTTTGTTACATGGGGGTCCAACGTTTGGATATCCGGTCCCTACTCCGGCGGAAGATTAGCAAGATATTTTAAGGGCACTACTCCGTGGCCCTAATAATCAAGATTTATGCGAGCTAGCGAGCGTTGTAGATCCCTGGATTAAAGCGGAAAGAGTTCTCCCTCTAACATCTTGTGCCTATTTTATTCCGCTCGAATGATTTGCACAAATATATTGATAAGTTCGAAAAACTTTAGATCATTGTTTTGCGGGGCTATGAGGGCACTATGAGATAACTCTCCAGGTCAGTTTAGCATACGCCACCATGTTTTGGAGATGGGACAGGTTCGATAGAGATGATGTAACATCCTGGACCTAGAGCAGTGTTGGAGACATAGTTTGCAGCCAATATCGGAGGAGTCCGCATTGGAGTCGTGTAGTGGGACAAAATACCCAAAAGTGAAGAGATAAAGCGATTCAAGGTCACAGCAGAAGTGCCAGAATTTGCTCCAGAAGTCTGTAGGAAGCCGAGGTATTCCTCGCCAGTAATACTGGGTATTTTTCGAGCAGCGCTTTCACACTACAGCTAGAGAAATTTTAAACAATAGTTCTATATGTGAATATAGCCAAACCAAAAAAAAAAAGAAATGCGCAAACCCGGAATCGAACCGGGGGCCCAACGATGGCAACGTTGGATTTTACCACTAAACCATTTGCGCGCTTCGTTGAAAAATATTGTTATTCAGAGGACCGGCCTCGGAGGAGGTATATTAAAAAGTGGAAAATTTGGCTATTCTTATCAATTTAATTACATTTAAGTGGGTGAATGATATAGAGTAAAGTCCCTAGTATATGCTGGTTACTTTTAAAACAAGAAAAAAACTAAATCAAAAAAATATTAGAGCTTTCTTTTTTTAACAAATTTCAACAAATTTTTGACCTAAATTGTTTAAAATTAAATTGATGAATCTTAAGAAGTTTCAGAACATTGAAGATACGAGCTACTTTGAAGCGGAGGATGGCATTAGAATCATTCTTTTCTTATTAAAACTCTCAGAAAATATAAAAAATCCTTTCAAAAGATTTACTAGGCTGGGAATTAAGAGATGGTAAATATTGTGGGTTGCGCTTATTAAATCAGATTGTAATATACAGATCATGGCTGCATAGATTAGCCTATAATCAGTTTAACCCCTCCAGCTTTTTAAGTGGAAAAGAATGGACAAATCTTCATGAATGTAAACTTTTCCAAGGGTTCCTTTTTGAATAGTCGTCTTCTTCTTTATGTATACACTTTAATTTTGCAGCAAGATTGAGTGATTAAGTACAAACATCCTACGCCTCTTACTCTACTACTTTACACTAATCTCGGCAATTTGATCAATCTGGTTGGGGTTACCAGCCTATTTACAATTATTAATGGTTAAAGGGATTCGGATCTAAGGATATAAAGTGTGTCAAAAAAGAGGGCGAGATAAAAAGAAGGTTATAAAGTTTTGTGTCTCCTGGCGATTAGAACATTGCAGTATTGTTAGATAGTAAACTCAAATAAAAACAATACTAAATAAGTTCAAGGAGCCACGATAATCAATGCATGACTATCTGAATCGAAGAATATACTTTTGAAATAGTATCCGGTAGCCTATCCGGGAATTTCATTGATAAGTGTGATAATATACATTTTGTACATTCTACTAGTTTTTGCTATATTATAGTGGCTGCACCACCATTACCGCATATTAAACCTGAAATTTTGGTTGGGGCGGCCAACATTATCGTTTAGCTCGTATAGTTCCAACAAAGATGCCTACGCTCTACCCCTTGTATCAGTAGTTTCCTAGGTACCCAGTAGCAATTATTATTACAGCAGATAGCTTACCCTACCACCTCCGATACTTTTTCCAAGTTACATTCATAAAACATATCGCTTGTATGAAATTTGCAGCCATTTCCTCACACATAAAAAAACAGACAATAGTTAATACCTAACTACTTCCTACACCTGGTCCATATCCACCTCATCTTCCTCTACCCCACTCTACTCTACTCTACTCAATATATTCTGTTTTAAAAAGTTTTCTATTCTCTAAGTCTATCTAATACTTAATCAAAGACACTGGTACCACCCCACTTTGGATCAGCAGTTCTGACAATACCTTCCTTGTCAGCCAACTTGTTCAATTCTTCAAAGTCTTCGTCCGGTAAGACAATGGTTTCCAAGTTTGAGATGATTCTAGAGTCAGTGACAGACTTTGGCAAGACAACGGCACCTCTTTGAACGTTCCATGAGATCAACACAGTGGCAGGTTCAACCTTGTTCTTGGCAGCAATCTTGGTGACAGTTTCATATTTGAAGAGTGGAGCACCGGTGGAGCCCAATGGGGAGTAGGCTTCGGCAATGATTCCTTGTTCCTTCAAGTAGTCATGTAACTCGTGTTGAGGCAATAATGGGTGCGATTCAATTTGGTTGACTGCAGGCTTGACGGTGACTTCAGGATCAGCAAGTAATTTTTGCAATTTTGACTTGGAAAAGTTTGATACACCAATTGACTTAACCTTACCAGAAGAAAGCAATTTTTGTAAAGACTTGTAGGTTTCAATGTAGGACCATTCGGTGTCAACTTCACCGTCGGCCTTCAAGGCTCTTGGCCAATGGATGAGGTAGAGATCAACGTAGTCCAAACCAAGCTTCTTCAAGGAGGTGTTCAATGCTTCTTCGGCATTTCTTTGGTCCTTGTTCCAAAGCTTGGTGGTGACGTAAATTTCGGAACGAGGAACGCCGGAGTCGCGGATTCCTTGGCCAACTTCCTCTTCGTTACCATAGATGGCAGCAGTGTCAATGTGTCTGTATCCATTTTCAAGGGCAACCTTGGTGGCATTGGCAGCAGCTCCCTTTTCGGTAGCTTGCCAAGTGCCCAATCCAACAACTGGGATGATGGCACCGGAGTTTAACTTTACGGTTTGGGTGTTCTTGGTCATAATTTAATAAATGTAGATAAAAAGTATCTGTGATGGAACAAAAAAATAAAACAGGAAGGACCGAGAGAGTGCAATTGAGCGACTATTTATAATAAGTTGCCCAGTTAGCATACGGCACGCGCAATTGTGGTTGAGAGATTCGAATGGAAGGCTTAAGAAGGAGGAGAGTTCAGAACGGTCGCCGCAGTGCTCATAATTTTGTGCCACAATCAATTAGTCTGGAAAAAATAGCCTGAGAGGGTAAACATAAGAGTAGTCCCACCAAAAACTTGGCGGACTGTTGGAGGGTATTATCAGTAGTTACAGAGTGTCGTGTCCAAATGTAGAAATTAGTAGCATCTTAGTTGGAGTGAATACGATAACCACCAAAGTTGGAATTGAGGGGTTGTTATCATTATGTAACACCACTACGAATATGAAAACTGCCGCAGTGCAGCGGGCCGTGGGCTCAAACCCACAAAAGCGGTTTATGGTACAGTTTCTCCGAAAATGATACCCCACGCTTAAATCGTTTCCTAATGGGGATGGGTCTAGTTGTTGAATGCGTGGGGGATCAGAGAACATGCCATATGTGAAGTGAATAAGCAGCCAAGTCCCCTAATCCCTAATCAATAGTAGTTCTAGGTAGCTCCTCGCCTACCATGTTGAAATTGTGGCTTCACGAGAATAGTAGGGTTCAGTTGAAAATACATTTCACCTTATCCGGAGGTTGTGGTGGCGTTTAGGGGGGGAGTCTTTTGGGGACTTCTGTCAAAAAATTAAGAATTGTGGATGAAACTTTAAATCGATCCACCCACACGCATATCGAGAAATGGTCATAACCGGATCATTTTAAACGAATTTCAATCCCGCGGTACGTTTCCTTTTCGTCTACAAATACTCTATTTTATTTCTACCTTAACAATTCTCTATGAAATGTATATATAGACTAATGTTTCCAGACTGTAATGCGCCAGAATTTTGGAACCCCTTACGGACTTGTAGCTCCATTCATGGGGGCGTCCCTGACCGAGGAGAACCATCGGTGTCGCCCTCCTCTACGAAAAGACTTTTAATTGCAATCTCTAAACCCCCCAGTGGTCCACCAAAGGACAGCGGAACGGCTCGATGATAGATAGTACTATCATCCCAACAGGAGGAAGCTGACCTGGCCCTGGGTAAACATTTCTAGTAGTTCATAGTAGATCGCTCTCATGCGTTTATCGCTCTCAGGTGTTTACAACTATCTCTTTCAGTGTGATTCGCTAGAGTCACAAGATTGGATACACTACTTCCTATCTTCAAGCCAATCCCCAAAACTGTCCAATCTTGTAGCATCACCATCACCACCTTCTTCACATCGACTGGATTGTAGAGTCTCACCCGAGTACTGAGCAACATCAAGTTTCAACCCGTCAAAGTATCGGCCCTTAAATCCGGCTACACACATTTCGCTCAGCTGCGGTTTGCCAAACTTTACCGTCACGGAACCACTCACATCATAAACTGCCACTTTTGTCAAATCATGGCCAATGCCAAGCTTGTCACATTCTTCTTGGATGTCTTCCTTCAAGTCTAACTCAAGCATTGGGTCCTCCAAGAGTTCTTCCTTTCGGAACATGTTCTTAATCAACACCGTTTTACTCCAAATCTTTTGCTTGATGAGTTCCGCCTTTGTAGGGGTCGTCTTGGTGGCATCACCATCCCAATCGGCGATTTTACGTCTCATTTCAAGTGTCCTCTCCTGGAGGAGTTTCTTTTGATTCGATGTAAGCGTTGTGGAAGCTGGTTCAGTGGCCAGTTTGGTTACTATGACTTCTTGGGAAGTAGCAGAGATGACCATTTCAGCCGTAGCTGGCTCGACTTTGATATTCACCGCTGACGTTGTACCAACCCCAGCGGTCCAAGGTGTATCGTCCAACATCTGAACCGCCAAATCTACACTTTCAGGCCCATAATACACTACAAGGGCAGTCCCATTGAATTTAGAATCATCATCGTCGTGGTAGTATAATTTTATTTGTGGTTCTCCAGTCTCCAAGTCTTCTGCAACAAGCCCAAATTTGGCAAAAGTTTCCTTTAATTGTGCTTTGGTGGTACCAATAGGCAAGTTCGACACAACCACCCCAGTATTAGGTTTATCTCTAGCCTCAGGGGTTGCTGAGGTGGCAGGGGCTTTGCTTGTTGTCTTGGACTTTTTATTACGAGAGCCTCCAGCGCCACGCATCTCCTCCAATTTTTGTCTTTTAAGCCTACGAATTGTCTCTCTATTCTCCTCTTCATCCGAAGATTCTCCGTTGGTATCCTCTGGTCTTACAGGAAGCCATTGTTGGAGCACAAAGTTGTAATTATATTTCCCATCTGGGGCATCATATACCCATTGGGAAGTTTCTTGGTTGAAACTGACCCGCTTATCGGCCGTCTCAAGAAGTGATGGGTCCGAAAGCACCAACGACGGATGAGGCGGGGCTTCTGGGAAGGACATGTGGCTCGAGGTGTGATGTAGATAGATTAGATGTGATGAGTATCAAGAACTGGTGAGTGTTTGGCTGATTGAGAATTTTTTGATTTTCATGTTGCGCGCCGCATTGGGCTAAGAGCATCTCGGAGGTTGCAACTGGCTTTGTAATAGTGCGTAGGAAACGGGCGGGAAGGCGGCCCCTGAGAGTAGACTCAAGGAATCATCAATATTGTAGTTTCCTTCGCAATAAGGAGTCTTGTATTGGTTCTAAATACTCTGCAACTAGCGGAGATGTGTGCTCGATGGCTGCGAAAAGATGGCCAGCATACCCGGTAGGGCAGCGAATACTCCCTTGCCCTACGGGGCGTGCAAGCCGCTCCGCTGGCCCCTACTCGGGGAGAGATACTGGGTGGGGCCCAGCTCCTTTACGAGGAGAATACTAGTTCCTGGGTCTTCCTCGGTAGAGGAACAAGGCCCCCACGGCTAGTGGCCCACGGAGTGCCAGCGGAGCGGCTTGCAAACCCCGTAGGGTGGATCCACTCCCTTACTAGTGGGACTATATATCTCGGTGACCCTCCCCCGAAATAGTTTTGGAGATTTATACCCCCATTACTACTGTCCTATTTGTTCTCTACAATTGAATCTGTCTATTATTTTTATTACTCTTTCATATATTCACATTACTTGGTACGCTTGCTGTCGTAGTCCAAGACAGCACCCAAAAGGACTTCAAATCCTTCTGCCACCTGTTCAGGAGTACTGTACTCCTCTGGATTGTGACTGACTCCATCACGCGATGGGATGAAGATCATACTGGTGGGGACAACAGAGCTTGTTGCACACGAGTCGTGACCGGCACCACTGACCATGTCCCGAACTTGATCTTCCCCATAGAGGGCAATTGCACTTTGACGAACACTGGCAATACAGTCTTCATGGAAGTTGACAGCTGGAGAAGTGTAAATATGCTCAAACTCAACGGAAATAGAGCATCCAGATGACTTCGCAATGGCTGCAAATTCCTCCTTAGCTTCAGCAACCATTGTAGCCAAGCTGTCGTCGCGAACATGACGGGCATCTACGGTGAACAATACACTTTCAGGGATGACATTGACAACACCAGGTTCCAAAGTAAGAACACCCACTGAAAATAAACCTTCGTGCTTGTGCGCAAGGTCATTACCCTTACTGATCATACGCAGAGCAGCAAGTAACGCATCACTACGGTTGGCCAATGGCGTGGTACCAGTGTGGGACGCCTTACCAACGACACGACACTTGTACCAGCCATATGCCTGTACACTGGTGACAACACCAATTTTTTTCTGTTCACTTTCCAAAATTGGACCTTGTTCAATATGAATTTCAAAATGAGCGGCTATTGGGTTTTCCTTGTAGGAAGCAGCAACATCCCCTTGGTATCCAATTCTCTTTAATTCGTGTTCTACAGTCACTGGCTTGTCATCGGTAACAGATTCAAGCTTGTAGACGGTCTCTTGTGGCACTTGTCCCGACCATACAGAACTGGCCATAACAGACATGGGGAATCGCGCACCTTCCTCATTAGTCCAATCAATAACCGCAATTGGATATTGTGGGACAATTTTGTTATCTTTCAAAGTTCTTAATAATTCTAATCCGGAAAGAACTCCGTAAATCCCATCATAACGTCCACCAGTGGGCTGGGTGTCAAGATGGGATCCAATGGCAGTAGGTGGTCCTTTCTTTTGACCAGGGTATTCTGCAAATATGTTACCCACCAGATCAACCTTAACGGTACATCCCAAACTTTTGGTCTCTTCTATGAACCAATCCCTTACTTGCTTATCTAAATCACTAAGCGCCAATCTACAAACTCCTGTTTCGGTTATTCCCTTTCCCCAAACTCCATGGGCACCAAATTTGGCAGCAGTTTCATGAATTGTATTGAGAAGACGGTCCTTGGCGATTTTATGCTTGGTTGTTGTGGTCATTGTTCTGAAGAATATTGAGGAAATCATTTACAAGAAATGGTGGAAATATTAAACATGTTATATAGATAAAGATAATTAATATAAATATAAGCGTCGTCGCTTACTTCCTAAGTGGGAGCATACCGATAGCGAGCGCTTATTGATTAAAAACCAAAAATGGGGCGGTGGAAAGGGAGCTCGAGCGCGCGCGCCCGCGTGCGGGACAAAAGGTTGTGATTCCGTCGCGTATTCCTAAATAGGGAAAAAGCGCTTTTTTATTCATTTACTTTGTATTTCCGTTCTTTTATTTTCCAACCACCCAATACTAATTGGAATATTAATTCAAGCGGAGAATGAACCCCGAAATATGATTCATGAGTGACCCTAATTCTTTTAGGAGCGGAGAGTTGGATGTATTTTTTGGGAGAAAGCTTTAAATTGTACACTTCCTGAAGTTAAGGGTTTCAATTGTACACTACAAACAGAATTCCGTCTCCAAATATCCAATGTATTGCTATGATCCTCCAACCAATACAGGGCATGACTAAGACATTTGTTAAATTCTCGAGGATTTAAAATTGAATGATATGAGTGAGAGTTTGACCCTAGAAGAAGTATTATATCCCCACGAGATCATTCCCATTATTCTTCTTCTTCTTCCTTTTCTTACAAGCACATTTGTGTCAAAAGTTTAAATGTAGAGAAACTTTCCATTGTTACACTGGCACATTATGTACATATTTGCACCCAAAAAGCAACTGTGGTTGCATATCTCTTGCAGCCAGTTTTTCAAAAACTAAACCACAATCTGCAATAACTTGCATATCGAGAATCATCCACCACTTTTCTACATCTTTTTTTATATTAATGAATTTGTATTCATATCATATCAACTTATAAAGAGTATCTAAAACCTCTATTTTCCTTATCAGTCATGTCCTTGAACCCGTCAATGACAGCTTGTCTAGCAATTTCCTCGGTATACCCGCCTTGTTCTTGATCTCTCTTTTTATTACGCCAGACCAAAAGATATCTATACAGAATGGCAAGTACTATCATTCCAACGTATGAAGTGATTAACCCAATCATTCCAGAAATATACTTTGGTGCCTGGTATGCATAAAAGATGTTGGATCCAACAATATTACCAGCAGCATAGAATGTGAACCAGAGACCAGTGGCAATCGCCTTTTTGGAATGACCAGCAACGTTGGCATTGAGACAGATCCACGAGAAAATCACAGGTCCTCCAATAATGAATTGCAACCAAGTACAACCAACAAGGGCCCAACGATGTTCTAAGGAGATCACATGGATTCCAATAAGTCCAGCAAGACCCGGAACACAAAGAAGGGCCAAGAAAATAGTTCTTGTGTTTTTGATGTAAATGGCTGCAACACCAGCAGCAAAGACCAAGACGAATTCAAATGCACCAGTTGGGAGTTGTAATGCGGTAGCATTCAACCCAGAGAAGCCAAAACCTTTGATAAGGGTCAGGGAAAAGTTGGAACTACCCCCATTGACAACACCACATCCAAGACCAACAAAAGCCATCATCCACACTGAAATATCACACAATGATTCAAACATTTGGTACTTTTTGAATTGCTTATCCTTGATACCCATATTATTGTGAGACACTTTTTCAATTACAACAGCCTTTTCACGGTCAGTTAAGAACTTGGCTCTTTCTGGAGAGTCTGGGCATAACCAAAGGAAGAAGAAAGCCCATGTGAAGTTTAATAAGCCAATAACCATGAAGATAAGCTGCCAAGCTTTGATATGTGAGTTGTGAGCATGGCCCAAACCATAACCAAGAAGAGCCCCGACCATGGTGGCAATCCCATTACAACTCAAAAAGGTTGCCATACGCATTGGTTGCGCATCTTTTGGATAAAATAAACCACAAATCATCATACAACTTGGTGAAATGGCACTTTCCAACATTCCCAATAAGAATCTCAAGACAAGCATGCCTCCATAGTTCTTTGCACCGACATGTCCAATAAGAAGTACGGCCCATACTACCAACATACAACCAGTATATTTTGCAACTGGGACCTTTTGAATGATGTAATTGGAAGGAAGCGCGCCGGCAAGATATCCAAAATTGAAAATAGCCGCAACCCAAGAATACCGCTGTCCTTGTAATCCCAAATCTTCTTTCAAAGTGTAAGCAGCAGCATAATTTAAAGAAAGTTTATCCAAGAATTGAAGGGTATAAGTAACACATAAAATGGGGAGGATTCTATAATCCAATTTTCTCAAGATTCGTTTGTATTCTGCTTCAAGGTCTTCGCTTCCGATATCTTGAGCTTGTTCGAAGTAGTCTAACCCAACCACTCCATCTTCAATACCGATTTCTTCACGAACGGCTGACTTGACCTGTACAAGGTCCTTTTCATCTTTACTTGACACCATGTTTGTTTGTGTGTAGTGGATGAATAAACAAGTGATGAATTTGAAGGATATTTCAAGTTTGATTTATAGAAGATGTGACTATATGTGATAAGAGCGCTAACTTCCTAATTAGGAAGGCGGAATTTCCAGATAACAAAAAAGATTACGTGGAGAAAATCAATAAAACATTGTTTGATTATTTTTTTGGGGAGATCTTAGCCATGCACCGAGAATAATAGAGGGAAGGATTGTATGGATAAACGAATGGGTGCCAACTAAGCGGGAGTTAATTTGAAAGTTCTATCTTAAGATAATTATTCATTATTCTACAGAGTTATTCTACATTAAAGTATGTGTTTACAAATGAATAAGATACAACCATACTTCAGCAAACAACATCATCAGCTTATCATTCAGTTCATCAATCATTTTCAATCAACTTATCAGTCAAGTTTGCCAGATAAGCGCACATTTATTAGACAGGTGTATGTTCCAAAATTAGCACTCATATTTATGCGCTCTTACTTTGCAATATATCCCGCTCTACAACCATACAAACTTCCCAACGAACTTGACATATCTTGGCAGAAGAAAAGGCAGAAGAAAAGAAATGCTTCAATTGTTTACTTCAATTATTTTTTATTTCAAAAAATCATCTATCTTAACCTTCTATTTCTCTTTATCTCTTATCTTAAAATGCCCCTGATTTGGAGATAAATTTCCGTTTCCATATCGATGTGGATAAAAATTGCCATTTCCCCAAAAACAAGCCACCAACCATCTACACACCCACACAAGCTGTCTACCGTTTTCTATCTATCTCTTATCTGGCACCTCCAATACTTTCCACGTGCTCGGCCTCGCGCAATTCTTCAAACTATGTATTCTTTCTCTATCCCAAATATTCGGCCATATCTCCGCGCAAACATTTCACAAATTCCCGAATATTCCCCAATCCCCCCACTTTCACAAGCCAAATGGTCAACAACCATTCTCCCTCTTTGTACTATTAATCGTTGTACTCCTTATTTATTTCTCTTTTTTTTTTTTGGGGGGGGGGGGGGGGGTCCTCCAATTCCCTCTAATACATTTAAGCCCCCATGCATCCTTATCATCTACATTTGTCCAAAAACCGTATGAGAATCCAACTATGTTAATATCTGGGCGGTTTTCTTATATAAACCCGTAGGTTCCACCACCAAATGCGCCATTGTAGTACCCATCCATAAAAGGAAACCCATCACACCTTGAAGAGCATCCCCGCCAATTACTCGTACTTTACTTTCAGACTAACCGATTTTTTTAATTTTAAGGTTGTTTTTTTTTTAGTTCATATTTATTTTTTTTGTTCTACGTCAACATGTGCCTGCTTTAAATTGTACACTTCCTGAAGTTAAGGGTTTCAAGTGTACACTTCAAATAGAATTCCGTCTCCAAATTTCCAATGTATTGCTATGATCCTCCAACCAATACAAGACTTGACTAAGAAATTTGTTAAATTCTCGAGGATTTAAAATTGAATGATACAAGTGACCGTTTGACCCTAACAGAGGTATTTTACCCCTCTCAGATCATTTCCATTCTTCTTCTTCTTCTTCCTCTTCTTACAAGCACATTTGTGTCAAAAGTTTAAATGTAGAGAAAACATTCCATTGTCACACTGGCACATTATGTACATATTTGCACCCAAAATGCAATTGTGGTTGCATATCTCTTGCGGTTGCATATCTCTTGCAGCCAGTTTTTCAGAAACTAAGCCACAATTTGCAATATCTTGCATATCGAGAATCATCCACCACTACGTCTACATCTTTTTTTATTTTTTATTTTGTATTCATATCTACTTATAAAGAGTATCTAAAACCTCTATTTTCCTTATCAGTCATGTCCTTGAACCCGTCAATGACAGCTTGTCTAGCAATTTCCTCGGTATACCCGCCTTGTTCTTGATCTCTCTTTTTATTACGCCAGACCAAAAGATATCTATACAGAATGGCAAGTACTATCATTCCAACGTATGAAGTGATTAACCCAATCATTCCAGAGAAATACTTTGGTGCCTGGTATGCATAAAAGATGTTGGCTCCAACAATGTTACCAGCAGCATAGAATGTGAACCAGAGACCAGTGGCAATCGACTTTTTGGAATGACCAGCAACGTTGGCATTGAGACAGATCCACGAGAAAATCACAGGTCCTCCAACAATGGGTTGTAACCAAGTACAAGCAACAAGGGCCCAACGATGCTCCAATGGGATCACATGAATTCCAATAAGTCCAGCAAGACCTGGAACACAAAGAAGGGCCAAGAAAATAGTTCTTGTGTTTTTGATGTAAATGGCTGCAACACCAGCAGCAAAGACCAAGACTAATTCAAATGCACCATTTGGGAGTTGTAATGCGGTAGCATTCAACCCAGAGAAGCCAAAACCTCTGATAAGGGTCAGGCCAAAGTTGGAACTACCCCCATTGATAACACCACATCCAAGGCCAATAAAAGCCATCATCCACACTGAAATATCACACAATGATTCAAACATTTGGTACTTTTTGAATTTCTTATCCTTGATACCCATATTATTGTGAGAAACTTTTTCAATTACAACAGCCTTTTCACGATCAGTTAAGAACTTGGCTCTTTCTGGAGAGTCTGGGCATAACCAAAGGAAGAAGAAAGCCCATGTGAAGTTTAATAAGCCAATAACCATGAAGATAAGCTGCCAAGATTTGATATGTGGGTTGTGAGAATGGCCCAAACCATAACTAAGAAGAGCCCCGACTATGGTGGCAATCCCATTACAACTCAAAAAGGTTGCCATACGCATTGGTTGCGAATCTTTTGGATAAAATAAACCACAAATCATCATACAACTTGGGGAAATGGCACTTTCTAACATTCCCAATAAGAATCTCAAGACAAGCATGCCTCCATAGTTCTTTGCACCGACATGTCCAATAAGAAGAACAGCCCATACTACCAACATACAACCAGTATATTTTGCAACTGGGACCTTTTGAATGATGTAATTGGAAGGAAGCGCGCCGACAAGATATCCAAAATTGAAGATGGCTGCAACCCAAGAATACCGCTGTCCTTGCAATCCCAAATCTTCTTTCAAAGTGTAAGCAGCAGCATAATTTAAAGAAAGTTTATCCAAGAATTGAAGGGTATAAGTAACACATAAAATGGGGAGGATTCTATAATCCAATTTTCTCAAGATTCGTTTGTATTCTGCTTCAAGGTCTTCGCTTCCGATATCTTGAGCTTGTTCGAAGTAGTCTAACCCAACCACTCCATCTTCAATACCGATTTCTTCACGAACGGCTGACTTGACCTGTACAAGGTCCTTTTCATCTTTACTTGACACCATGTTTGTTTGTTTGTAGTGGATGAATGAACAAATGATGAAGTTGAAGGATATTTCAAGTTTGATTTATAGAAGATCTATATGTGATAAGAGGGCTAGCTTCCCAATTAGGAAGGTGGTTGCAGATTCCAAAAAAGATTATGTGGAGACAATCAAAAAAACATTGTTTGATTAATTTTCTGGGGAGATCTTAGTCATGCACCGAGAATAATAAGGGAAGGATTGTAGGAATAAACGAATTGGTACCAACTAAGCGGGGACTAATTTAAAAGTTCTATCGTAAGATAATCGTACATAATTCTACAGAGTTCTAAAGAGTACGTGTTTACAAATGAATAGAGTATGTGTTTACAAATGAATAGAGTATGTGTTCACAAATGAATAGAGTATGTGTTCACAAATGAATAAGATACAACCATACTTCAGCAAACAACATCATCAGCAAACAACATCCATCAGCTTATCATTCAGTGCATCAATCAACTTAGTCGATTTTGCCTTTTTTTTTTTTTGCTTGATAAGCGCACATTTATTAGAGTATGTTCCAAAATTAGCACTCATATTCACCCGCTATTACTTTTCCATATTTCCGCTCTACAATCAAACTTCCCAACGAACTTGACATATCTTGGCGGAAGAAAATAAATGCTTAAATTGAATACTTCAATTATTATCAAAAAAATCATCTATCTTAACCTTCTATTTCCCTTTATCTCTTATCTTAAAAATGCCCCTGATTTGGAGATAAATTTCCGTTTCCGTATCGATGTGGAAAAAAATTGCCACTTCCACGAAAACAAGCCACCAACCATCTATACACCCACACAATCCACCGTTATCTAACCATCTCTTATCTGGCACCTCCCCCTTTCTACGTGTTTGGCCTTCCGCAATTCTTCAAACTATCTATTCTTTCTCTATCCCAAATATTTGGCCATATCTCCGCGCAAACATTTCACAAATTCCCCAATCCCCAATATTCCCACAATCACATGCCAAATGGTCGACAACCATTTTCCCTCTTTGTACTATTAATTGTTTCCTCTTTATTTATTTCTCTTTTTTTTTTTTGGGGGGGAGTCCTCCAATTATTTTCCTCTAATACATTTAAGCCCCCATGCATCCTTATCCTCTACAATTATCCAAAAACCGTATGAGAATCCAACTATGTTAATATCTGGGCGTTCTTCTTATATAAACCCATCGGTTCCACTGCCAAATGCGCCATTGTAGTACCCATCCATAAAAGGAAACCCATCACACCTTGAAGAGCAACCCCGCCAATTACTCGTACTTTACTTTCATACTGTCGACTTTTTAATTTTAAGGTTTTTTTTTTTTTAGTTCATATTTATTTTTTATTGTACTACGTCAACGTGTGCCTGGTTGCTAAATAGTGAAAAATACCAAATCTTTCTCCAAATCCTTCTCTAGATATTATTTAGACTTGCTCTCTTCTCTGGCTCTATTTGATATGTCTGACGAAAAGGAAAAAATCACCGTGGTGGCCTCGTCGCAGGGCTCGAACTTGTCGTCATCTCATGTCGAGGGTCAATATAGCGACATGGCTGATTTACAAGGGTCCGACGTGGCCCTTGCTGCCAAAATTAAACTCATCAACGATGCAATTGACGAAATTGGCTTTACTCCTTACCATTTCAAGCTTTTCCTTCTTAATGGGATGGGTTATGCAACCGATTCTCAACTTACCGCCATAGAAGCCGGGGTAAGAGAATTCATCAATTACCAATTTAAGCAAGACTTCCCAACCTCGGCCATGTGTTTGAACTTGGGGTTGTTGGTAGGAACCATCTTTTGGGGGTTTGGTGCCGATCTTATTGGCCGTAAAACCGCTTTCAACAACAGTTTGTTCCTTAGTGCCGTCTTCACTGTGTTAACCGGCTCAATGAATAGTTTGGCAACCTATTGTATCTTTGTGTTACTCTCAGCCGCTGCTGCTGGAGGTAATTTGGTTTTAGATACTTGTATCTTTTTAGAATATTTACCCTTCAAATATCAATGGTTATTGACATTTTTCGCATTGTTTTGGGGCATTGGTCAAACTATTGCGGCCTTGTTAACTTGGTGGGGGCTTTCCAATTATTCTTGTGAAGGTCCTGCCAATTGTCCTCTGGACTTGAATGAAGGCTGGAGATATGTCTACTATATCAATGGTGCTATTGTGTTGGTTTTGGCCATTGCAAGAGTCGTGGTGGTTCGTCTTCATGAAACTCCAAAGTTTCTTGTTTCCAACAAGAGAGATGTCGAAGCAGTGCAATCTTTACAATCAATTGCAATCAAATATAATCGTAAGTGTTCCTTGACAGTGGAACAATTGCAAGCGTGTGGAGAAATCACTTCTAACCATGATTACAGAGAAAATCTGGACATTAAGGGTACTATTATGATTGTAAAGGAACATTTGAAAACAATTTTCTCCACTAGGAAAAATACTCGTTCTGCCATTCTTTTATTTTCCTCTTGGTTCTTACTCGGGATCGCTTATCCTCTTTATTCCTCCTTTTTACCCGCTTATCTTGCCCTGAGAGGTGCCAACATCAGTGCTTCAACCACCCTGGGTGTCTATAGAGACAACGTTATCAGTAACGTTTGCTGTATCTTTGGTCCCATGATTGCTGGATTCCTACTTTGGGCCTTCCCAATACTCGGACGTCGTGGGGTTCTTGTCATTGGTGGAGTAAGTACCATGGCGTTCCTTTTCGGCTACACTGCAGTGCGTACGCATGCACAGAATGTGGCTCTTTCCTCAGTCAGTTACATTACTCTTTACATTTACTACGGATGTCTCTATGCATACTCGCCAGAAGTCATGCCCTCATCTGCAAGAGCCACGGGGAACGCCATGGCCATTGCCTTGACTCGTGTTGCCTCCTTGATCACCCCGGTGATTGCTTATTTCTCAAATACTTCCCTGGCTACACCTATCTGGATATGTGGAGTTTTCGTTGGATTGATTGGATTGTTAGCGCTCTTTTTCCCATACGAGCCTAGTAAACAAAGAGCTGTATAAGGCTGGCACTTGATATACCATGGGACCGTGACTATATATATAAGTATCTGACAATAAAGAAAAAAAAAGTGAGTCAATCACCATGTAGATAAGATGGCGGAAAAATAAAAAATAAAAATGGTTGCGAAATTTCGCAGCCAAAAAATACGAAGTGCATGAGAGGTAGGGCGTTCTAAAGAATGCATAGGAGATATGGGAATGGGTGACGAGAATTGGTTGCGCCAGGAACTACTGGAGGATGGACAGGATTAGAACGCAATAAATGCATTTTTGGATATACCATTGCCCCTGTAAGGTGGAATCTATGTCATACTACAGAGGAACAACAGCTACAAAAGATATCACAACCATAACCGCAAACCCAGCCCTTGGACTGGGAACTTCTAGAGCTATGGCCCAGCCTCAAGAAGAAGGATAGGGTCTGGTGGATTCTAGAACACTAGTTTTCATCTAGTGTATAGACTCTGAATCGAGCATGAATCCACAACCTCACACTCTTGATATAGAGGGATTCGGAACCATGTAATGTTTGGCTCTGGCTTTGCACTAACGGAACCTACAATGGAGAGCCACCCTTCGGGGTATGTAAGCCGCTCCGCTGGCACTCCGTGGGCCACTAGCCGTGGAGGCCTTGTTCCTCTGTCGAGGAAGTTTCCAGGGGGAGTGGGTCTCCTCGAAGAGGAGCTAGGCACCACGCAGTGGCTCTCCCCGAACAGGGGCCAGCGGAGCGGTTTTCAGTCCCGCAGGGCAAGGGAGTGGGCCACCCTACGGGGTCTGTGAGCCGCTCCGCTGGCACTCGGTGGGCCACTAGCCGTGGGGGCCTCGTTCCTCTATCGAGTAAGTTCCAGGAGGAGTGGGTCTCCTCATAGCGGAGCTAGGCACCAACGGAGTGTGGTTCTCCCCGAGCAGGGGCCAACGGAGCGGCTTACGTGGAAGGGAGTAGCAACCACCCTAGGTGTCCACTCCGCTGGTACTCTGTGGGCCCCTAGCCACGGGCGCGCAAGGAGACAGGGATCCTACATGTTTTCATTCATGCTTCTATTCTATATTGTACATCAAGTATATAAGGCATTAACCTTGGAATTTCAAACAGTACATTCTGACTGGGTATAATTCCTTTGGTAAGCCCTTTTGAACGTCACTTGCTATTAATTTGAAACCGGCTTCTTGGAACAATTGTCTGAATTTAGCGTCAGTTCTGGTGACTGAACTATCGGTTTCATCGAAAATGTCTTCCGCTGGAGCGATGTTCTCCTTTACAATCAAGGTCCCCACGCCGTTGCCCATCAAGGCTTCACCGCATCTTCTCCAGAACTGGACCAATTCAGCGTCTGGGAGTTGACCTACACACCATTGGCACCAAACCAACCAATAACGGCCCAATTTATTTGCGTCAGCGGACCATTCTTGCATTCCGATGTCGTAGATGTCACCCAACTTGCCTCTTTGTTGCACTTGGCTCAACTCATTGGACATTTGTGCTACAAATGGCTTGACTGGTTCTAATAAATCACAAACATCACTTACTTTCCACAACAAATCCCTCGTGATACGGCCAATACCAGCACCCATATCGATGGTGAGTTTTGGTTGGCCCTCGGGACAAACCATACGGGCTTGGAGCTTGCGCAAAAAGGTGGATGAACCAATGATATCAGCCTTGGGTACAGATGTTTGTTCACCAAATCCACCCAAGACTCCATTAACTGAGGCTGGCACAGACGTCCAGTAGTCTATAGCGTCGTTATAATTGATCTGGGAGTCGGCTACAACCCCGTCCATGGCTTGGTCATCCTCCCCTTGATATATGGATTTCACTGGCATTATTCTATGGTCTATATTGGTTGATCTTCAACTCCGATGATCAAAAAATTTATGTGAGCTATTATATATGATGGTTATGTGCAGGATATAAATATTTTGGGAAAAAATAGAAAGAGAGAGAAAATAATAAAGAACAATAAAGAAAAAAAAGTAGTATTAGTAGGGTACTACGAAGTATGAGAGAGAGAAAAAGGAGGTGAAGATAACTTGGATTTTAGGCATGAAATGTTTTATAATGTCTGGGTGGAGAGTTTAAATATTAAATTTTTTTTTTGTTAGGTAGGGGAATAAATAACTGATTATATAAGCCTTCCATTATATATATATAATTAGATGTATGTTAAATTTGCAATATGATACTTTTGATATTTTTAAAGGCTGAGAGAAAGGAAGATGTAAAAAGTCATATATATATATATATATATAATAAACCATCCAGACTTTTCTATTAATCTTTTAGTTTATATATTTATCTGTATAAATATATACCTGTTTATCACGTGACCATACTTTTTATTTTTATTTTTATTTTTATTTTTATTTTTGTTTTCTTTTTATTTTTATTGAAAGGACGACGCGTACCAATTGACCTTCTATTGATCAATATCAACCCATTAATATGTCAGATTATTATGATTTAGACGCAATTTTGGCCGATGGTGAGAAAATCCCCTGTCGGTTTAACATGTCGGTCCCCGGGCTCGGATACCTTGAGGGGAACCCGGGGAAACCAGTTGAAAAGGACACAAAGGTGGAACTTCCTCTTTGGTTGGCTGAAGTTTTAGCGGTCTGTGAGCTTTCTGAAGCACTGCAAACGTCCTTCATTGACCTTGCAAACCCTGATTTCATCTCTCAGAAGGTGCTAAACGCCATCAAGGCTAACCCTTTGACCGTGGACCTTCATTCTATCCTCACAAACTATTATAAGCTTTCAGAGAAATGGGCCGCCATGTTCAACGATGCAGAGTTGGCCCAAGTGATCCTGACCATGCTAAAGGAACGCGCCTTTGAGATTAACAACTACGCGTGTAATGCCAACAAGCTGACCAATAACAACTTTCTCTACTCCTTGGATGAGTTTGAAAAGGCTTTGTACAAAAAGACTGCAACCAGTAACAAACAAATGAGACAATGGATCAAAAATTGAACGCCATAGCCCTCACCATCCACTTCCCCGCGACACTCCGCTGGCCCCTACTCGGGGAGAGCCACTGCGTGGAGCCTAGCTCCTCTTCGAGGAGACCGACTCATTCTGGACCTTCCTCGATAGTGGAACAAGGCCCCCACGGCTAGTGGCCCACGGAGTGCCAGCGGAGCGGCTTACAGACCCCGTAGGGTGGCTCCCACTCACTTCCCCGTGAAACTGCACGACGCTCCGCTGGCCCCTACTCGGGGAGAGCCACTGCGTGGTGCCTAGCTCCTCTCCGAGGAGTCTCCTTGAAGCCACCTGTCTTCCTGGTAGAGGAACAAGGCCTCCACGGCCAGTGGCCCACGGAGTGCCAGCGGAGCGGCTCACAGAGACGTAGGGTTCATTCTTGTTGACGCAGCTGTACACCAGCTTCCTCCGGACTGGCCCCTTCGTCCACCTACTAGTTATGTCATTCGTAATATATTTTATTTTAACTATTAATACAATCTACTCATCCTTTTCATCCTCTCCAAATAACTCATCATCGAGATCTTCGTCACTGTCCACAATCTTTTCATTAGATAAAACCGTCTTTCTTCTCTTGTTGGTCTTGACTTCTTCACCTTCGTCGTCATTATCTTCAACAACAGCGGCGGCCTTTCTTCTTCTACCGCCAGTTTTCTTTGGAGCAGTTTCAGCATCGGCGTCGGCGTCAGCGTCAGCATCGGCATCAGATGCCTGGGCTTCTGCTTCTTCTTCACCCTCCAGTTGTTCTGTGACAGATTCTTCATCGCTATCATCAATGACATTCTTTCTCTTCTTACCACCCTTCTTCTTCCCCTTCTTAGCAGTGGTCTCCTTCTTCTTGCTGGACTTCTTAGACTTTTTCTTTTCATCTTCATCTCCTTCTTCGAAATCATCTCCATCATGGTCATCAACAACATTCATTCTAGCTTCTTCAGCCCATTGTTGTGCTTGTTCTTGAAGCTTGGCTCTTTCCTTGGCCATTTCCTCTTCAATGGCTCTTTCCTTGGCCCTTCTTTCTTCTTCCTCTCTAAGGAAGGCTTGTTCTTCACGTTCTCTAGCAAGCTTGGCCTCTTCCAAACGTGTTTCCAATTGGGCCAAGTTCTCCATGGTTTCTTCCAAACATACGTTCAAACGGTTTAACAAGGTGTTGCTACCCAAACTGGCTCTAGCCCTAAGGTCGGCCTTTGGATATGGAGGAGTAGGAGTGCCCTCTTCATCTGAAGCCAAGGCATTCAACGTGACAATGGCTTCATTCAATCCCAAGATGGAAGACTTGATCTCATCAACATTTCTTTGATCAATATTCAACTTACTGACAAACTCGGCAATTTGGAATTGAACGTATGCAATGTTGAACTTCAAACTGGTGTTGTTATTGTTGGTGGAATGTTCCAATGCCTCTTCACTATATTCCAAGGATTTCTTCAAATATGTCATATTCTTTTCATAAATCCCTCTCAAATACCATGCACGTCCCAAGAATGACAACACCTTACTGTCCTTCCCACCACGATAACGGATCAATGCAATTTCATAGTTTTCAATGGATTTGGTGAATTGTTTTAATTCCAACAACACATGTGCCAAGTTCAAGTAAACAGATTCATCGTTAAGCGAGTCACGGATCTTTCTCAAGATATCCAACCCCTTGTTGGTGTCCTTGGTTTCAATATACACAATAGCAAGCCCTTGTGCTGCATAGACATCCTTTGGATCAACACTCAATACCTTGGCGAATAATTCAATGGCCCGGATGTAATACTTCTTTCTCTTTTCATCTTGACTTGAGGACGTCACCTTGATGTCTCTGGCCATGATGCAGTAGATGTTGGCCAACGATAACAAGGCATAACAGTCATGGGAATCAAACTCAACCAATGTATCCTTTTGATGTTTCGTGTCAGCGTCAGGTTTCATGTTCAACTTCTTTCCAAAAGTGTTGATGAACCATCCATAGAATGATCTGATCTCCAAGTCCAGAGCGTTTTCCTTCAATAAGGCTTCAATTTCGTCCTTGATTTCTCCCTTCGATGAGTCTCCATCGGTACAACTCAAAAACAAAAGTCTTAATTTAGCAGAAAAGTACAGCGGGGTGTTCTCCAACAACTCCTTGTAGATCTCAATGGACTCCAGTTCGTTGGAAATTTCCTTGGAACGCGCCAAATTGAACTTCAACGTGATACCCAAGTCATTCACCAACTTGTCTTCCACCGGCTTGGTCTCTTCCAACTTGGTCAACGCGGTTTGGAAGAATTGGCTACTGGACTCATAGTTGTTCTTAATAAAGTGAATCACCCCAATGTTGTTGTACACTTCCAAAGGAGCATCCTTATTGATCAATTTTCTCGACTCGATGGCCTTGTTCAAGTAGTTCAACGATTGGTTGATGTCCTTGGTTTCATACAACTTGCTGAGAAGAAGGTATGCATTCAAGGCTACCGGTTCCTCGGCAACGCCTTCGTCCTTGTTATTACTATTATTATTGATATTATTATTTCTGCTGGTACTGGACAATCTCAAGTATCTTTCCAACATTTGGATCGCTTGCTCTTGCTTTCTTCTACCTCTTTGCTTGGCATACAACACCCCCAAGGAGTAGTTCACCTCCAAGCATTTCAGATCGGTTTTCAAAATCGATTCGTAGGTGATGATGGCTTCTTCGGTGGACCCTCTACCGATTTGGGATTGGCCCAACCCTAACTTGGCCAAAAGGTTCAGGTCATCAAGCTTGATTGCTTCATGGAAGTATTTCTGAGATTGGGTGAAGTCCGATTGCGTGAAGGACACTCTACCTAGCCACATCACGGCCTGGGATACAATGTTGCTTTCAAACTTATTTAATTTATGATGGTTATATTTGGACCCGGCGGGCTGGCCAGTGACTTGTTCAATCACCCGTTGACAGATCTTGGTGGCAATGTCATGGCTACCCTTGGAGTAGTAGTAGGAGACCAAGGCAAGCAAAATAACGCTGTCTGTAGGTCTTTGTTGGTGCAATCTGCCCAACTCCTTAAGCAGAGCCTCGTAGTTCTCAAGGAACTCGTCGTCAGTTAAAGACTCGTTGAAAGTCAGATTGAACTTGGTCAAAACAAGAAGGACCTTGGCCTTGATATTATTCAGATCAATCTCCAACGCTCTTTCCCATGAGGCAACTGCCATCTTTTCATCTTTCAAGCACCAGAAACATAAACCGACCCCTAAACGAGGGTCTGGTTTCATCAATGGGTTCAAAAGAAGCACTTGTTGGTACAATTTGAGGGCCCCAGCATAGTTTTTAGTTCTCTTCAAGACAATTTGAGCCTTCCCCAAGAGGGCAAAGCAATTGGTGTTGTCAACTTTTAACAATCGATCAAAGATCTCCAATGCTCTTTCCACTTGGTCTTGTTGCATGTGTAACACAGCCTTACATAACAAGTTCGATACGCTCGAGGAATATTCTCCTCCCAGCTTGGTCACATATGCAATCTCTTGGGTGGCATCTTTTAAGCTTTGAGCCTTGTCTTCTCCATGGACCTCACTGGCCACTTTCAAATGCAACCAAGCGGAAAATCCATGGAATTGCGTCCGGTCAGCCTCACTGAAAAGGGGCAACTCGAGTGCCTTGCCTACAAGCTTCTGGGCCTCCTGTAACTTGTCCTTGACCACGTACGCCTGAGCCACCGATATCCAATACTTGGTGGGACAGTTTTCCGTCTCAAGGAAACTCACCAATTCAAGCGAGTCGTCTGGGAGCTCCTCGTCCAAGTTGATACTGACAATCTGCCCGTTGGACAACGGCACATCCAAGTTCTTGTTGAGCTCGGAGGCGTTCTTTCCCACATAATACGTAGCGTCAGTACGATCGGTATCCATCCTGATGTATGTTGTTGGTTTTCTGGGTCCGGTCTACTTGTCTGTCGTCAATATATTCAGTTAATACCCTGTCTAGCCTATATATCTATTTCCACCAGCACTCAGTCCAGATTCTCGTACAACAACCTTGTTATTATTGACCTAAACAATCAATTGTCTCAATCCAAAACATTCAGAATTTCAATGTTGACCAAAAAAAAAAATTGCACAAAAATCCCTATAGCGCGTCGTGCGAGAACCATAAATGATATAACAAACATCTTTAATAAGAGGGAGCATTGAAAAGTAGGGGTTTTCTATTCACACAACCTCCGAATAGGTGTAGGAGTGGGTAAGGGGGCCACTCTCTTCTCTGACAAAGGGAGGGGGATCAGAAATGAAGGGCTCCCCTAGGCTCCTGCTCGGAGAGAGCCACTGTGTGGTGCCCAGCTCCTCATCAAGGAGATTTTCGCAGCCATTTCTCAAAGAGGAACAGAAGCTGGCAAATGGTCAATCAACTGGGTGGGCCACTATGACGCTCCGCTTGGCCCCTGCTCGGGGAGAGCCACTGCGTGGTGTCTAGCTCCTCTACGAGAAGACTACTATGTCCTGGGTCTTCCTCGGTAGAGTAACAAGGCCCCCACGGCTAGTGGCCCACGGAGTGCCAGCGGAGCGGCTTACAGACCCCGTAGGGTGATAGCTACTCCCTTGCCCTGCGCTACCCTCGATCAGGGGTTAGTTCTTCTCTATACAATTTCTTCATTCCACGAAGCATTGACCAATCCTTCAATTAACAAGTTCTTTTTACACTCTTTCTTCAATACACCCAACACTATCTGGGTATCTATTGGCCGTTCCATTCTCAACGAATTGATGGTGAGGTTACTTTCGAAAGATTTAGCAGCCATGGTAATGCCAATACGAAGCTCTAACTTACAATCAAGTTGCTCCTTGTAGAACTTGACAATGATATCTTTATTATCAATCCGGATGGGGAATTTGAGTGATATCCGGTAAACACATTGATCCAATTCCAACAAATTTCTCCACAATTTCTTAAATTCATTGAAATGATCCATCCAATTCTTTGGATTGATGTCAATCAAGTCCAATAAATTATGTGTGAATGCCCTGTAAAGGTCCTTATTTTTGAAATGGGATTGTCCCAGTTCTTTGAAAATGTATTGAATGTCTTCCTTCTGGAAATCAATGGAAATTTCCACTTGCTTGTCGTATAAAAACTTCAATACCGAACCATCAATCGATATATATTTACAATTAGAACCATGTTGTAAAAGTTTGAACTTAAATAAAAGTAAATTGATCTCAGACCTTTCATATCTTTTACTATTGGTCAATATTTCTTCCTTTTCCTTGATTTGAAGGTTCAAGTTCTTGATAAGTTGTTCATTGGCCAACAAAGTTTCATTTAATCGGGTCAAATTTGCTTCTTGTTCAGCGGATTCTCTTTGAAATTGTTCAATATGTTCTTTAATTTGAATGAATTCTGTTTTAAATTTCAATAATTCACTTTCTTGCAATTCTTTCCCCTGTTGCACAAGTTTTACATATTGACTTTTCTTTTCTTTTAAAGTTAAATACTTCATTTGAACAAACCCAAACACTTCATTTACTTGTTCTAATGCCTTGACAATCTTTAACTTATCTTGCATTAAAATCGGTGGAATTTTCTTCAATTCATCAACTAAATTTTGTAGTAATTGAATTCTCCATTGATACCAAACTCCCTTAGCCTCTTGACGAGCATAATCTTTGACGAGTTGGAACTTGGTCTTCATATTCAATTGAGCTTCAGGACTGGCATTATAGAACTCTTTGAACACTCTTGGATTCATTTCACTGGTGTTTCCATTATAAATATCAAATATTTTACTTCCCTCTTTGATATTTTGCATCAATTCATTACAACTGAAATCGCCTAATTTGAATTGTGGTGTTTTCAAGACTCCTTGAACATATTCCCTTAATGAAAACTTGGTGGTTTCTCCAGCTTTAGGTAACGATATACTGATTCTATTGGACGTTTTAGAGTCAATTTCAAGATCATCATAGAATCGGATTCCTATATCATTCATGAATTGGGCTAGGGTAACTGGTTCGGTATCAAATTCAAGTTCAAATGATTCATTGGTTACATCTGCCAAGGGGATGGTTGTAGTTTCAATTCTTGCTAACTTTGATTGTGAAAAGGAAGATGAATCAGATTTTCTTTTATTGGAAACGGGGGAAGTAGTAGCAACAATAGGAGAAGTAGGAGCTGCATTTCCATTAACAGGAGCAATTTCATCACTAGAAGAAATACCAGTAGTAGGACCATCCACAGAAGTATCATCATTAGAAGGTGAAAGAGCAGCATTTCCTTCAGCAGCAGTAGCAGCAGCAGCAGGAATGTCAGAAATATCAGGCTCAGCACTATCTTGCTCAGCACTATCTTGCTCAGCACTTTCTTGTCCATCAATTTTATTATCAATTCTCCCATCATATTGAGTTAATTCCATATCAGAAGATTCATCTTGATCTACAAGGTCAATCTTTCCATTATTCTGAGTCTCTTCCATCTTACCATCATCCTTGATATCCTGATCATTTCTCTTATCTTCTTTTCCTCCCGTCTCCTCAATCTTCCCATTATGTTGAGTCATATCCATTTCTTCAATCTCTTCGTTCTCTTCCAAAGACAACTCCTTGGATGGTTCCACCTTCTCTTCAGTGCCATATTTCACTTCAAATGATTGCTTAATAGACATTTCAAATGATTGTTTCATTACAATTGGATGAATCCTTCCAATAGGTTGAGTGAATTCCATTTGCAGTTCTTCTACATCTTCATCTTGTGATTGAGTTGCAGTTTCTTTTATGGAATTAGACGAGTGAGCATTATTCTCTTGAGTTACTTCTTCATGAATTCTTCCAACTGGCTGAGTAAATTCCATTTGCAGTCCTTGCAGTCCTTCCAGTAATTCTTCATTTTGATTTATTCTTCCAATACTTCCTATTGGTTGAGTGAATTCCATTTGCAGCTCTTCCTCTTGCAGCTCTTTCTCTTGCAGCACTTCCTCTTGCAGCACTTTCTCTTTCTCTTCTACATTCTCCTTCTCTTGGAGACCTACTCCAGATATTTGAATACGTCCAACCTCTTCAGTAAACTCCATAAGCTCCTCATTCTCAATCTGTTCATCTTCCAGTCCTTCATCAACTATCTGATTTGTTTGAGCTTCCTCGACTTTATCAATCTTCTCATTCATCAAAGATTGGCCGATATTAGCAGTAAGCTCCATTTCTTCCTCCTCTTCTTCTTCCTCCTCCAGTTCAATAATTGGCGCTTTAGCAGGCATTTCCTTCTCAACTGTTTCCACCAGCCCTACTGGACCAGTCAACTCCATAGTCTCCTCTCCACTATCATCATACATCACAGTAATAGGGATCTCAGACTGAATTGGGGCACTATCCTCCTCTTCACCTCCACTTTCAATCTCATCATCTGAACTATCAGTCAAAAGCTCAGCTCCTATCCCGTCATCCCCACCAGTCACAGGTTCACTACCTGGCTCACTCCCACTACTACTACTGGGCATAAAGGCTATGGTTTCTCTTCTCCTCTTGTGTCCTGCAACTTCATCACTTTCAAATGAATCGGACCGATATTGAGGTACAAAGTCGATCTTGTGCAACGTCACTTCCGGGGCAAACGAGACTCTTCTCCTTGCCAATTTAGGACCTCTTGAAGTATTCTGTGTATCTTCCTTCAATGGAATTTGTAAACCTCCCAAGGAGGATGGCTTCACCTTTCCTAATTGGGAATCGACATTATAATGTGTATTTGACTTCAAGATGCTCCTGGACCCGCTGGATTCAGATTTTGTTGTACCAAGATCCCCATCTTCCATGTTTTCCTTATCTGCCATGTTAAAAATGGCTATAATATATTCCTTTTAATCGTTGGTAATGACTACAACAAATGGATCATTTTGTGTGTTTACATTTCATAACGCGTAAATCAAAAAAAAAATAAAAATAAAGCCGGACAGTCAGTCACGTGCATTTTTGTCACGTGCAACATGATACTGAAGAACAGTAGAGATACAAGGGATTGTAGTACAAGAGGTTAGAGGGATTGGAGATGGAGAGGGAGTATACCGTAATGGTGTGTTTTAAGAAACGTTTCAAGAAAGGTAACTCCTCGTAGAGGAGCTAAGCACCACGCAGTGGCTCTCCCCGAGCAGGGGCCCAGCGGAGCGTCTTACAGTCCCGCAGGGTGCAGGGCGAAGGAATGGGCCACCCTACGGGGTAAGTAAGCCGCTCCGCTGGCACTCCGTGGGCCACTAGCCGTGGAAGCCTTGTTCCTTTGAGGAAGTTACAAGGATCCCCGAGTCTCCTCGTGAGTATTTGGACACTACAATAATGTAAAAGATCAAAAGGTCTAGTTTCAATTCTATCTGTAGAGGGTTCTAAATATCTCTACCTTCTCTGTAGGCAATCATCACTTCATGGATCACACAGCTACTCATGTCCCAGACCTCCTTGGCAAAGATATCCTTTTTCAAAAACGAAATAACTTCCTCTTCATCATGAGCTCTCAAGGTAAGGGTAGAACCAACAAAGTCACCCTTTTTGTTTAGAACAGCCCCACCACAAGTCATGGGATTCCCAGCAACTGCGGGGAGCGCGGCAATATGTTGTTCAATACTGCCAACTCTATTGGCATTTGGTTTATCAAAGATAAGAACTAAAAATTCTTTCAATTCTTGATTTGCAGCCATTTCACTTTTTTTTTCTTTTTCTGATTGTTTAGTTTAAGATGTCACTAATAGTGGTGGTGAGTAGAGAAATGGGAAGTAGACAGCTACGAGAGGGCTTTTATAGAGGGCTCTTCCGGAGTGAGAGATGGAAGTTCATGACTAGATTAAAGAGAGTATTTGTGATGACGTTGCTTAAATCCAAAAGGCAAGCCAAGATCATTTATTTGGCATTTTGAATCTATCTATCAAGATAGTAGACCAATTTTTAGACTACATTAATCTACTAGTCATCGGAGTTTGAGCTCATTCTTCAGACACCCAAATGTCATACAGAATGGAAATTCCAACCTTTAACCTTTAGGGCAAATTGGACCACAATACTGGAACAACTACCTTCAAACATCCTGAAATTCATCTTCAAAAATGTGTAAGTTCTATCTATAAGCGTCAACCAAACATTACAACCAATGAAAGAATTCACTCAACGGTTGTACATGACCTATCCCCCACAAGCATTCCTGCAGACAGTTGACGTATTTTTTGCAACCAGCTGCCCCCACTCTTTTCTCAAATGGGAGCGGCACCTTGATCCTGCTACTCACTTACACTGTGGGACTGTAAGCCGCTCTACTGGGGACCTGCTCGAGGAGAGCCACTGTGTGGTGCTTAGCTCCCCTACGAGGAGATTGCATACAGCCCGTCTGTTCCTCGATAGAGGAAGAAGGCCCCCACGGCTAGTGGCCCACGGAGTGCCAGCGGAGCGTTGTGTAGTCCCACAGGGAAGGGAGTGGATACCCTACGGGGTAAGTAAGCCGCTCCGCTGGCACTCCGTGGGCCACTAGCCGTGGGGGCCCTGTTCCTCTAACGAGGAATGGAGTTCACTTGACTCCTAGTAGAAGGTAGACCCTACGTCAGTGACTGCTCTCACATAGAAGGTGTGCGTTGTAACATTGTTGCCCATAGAGTAAATAAAATGATAGCTGAATGGTTTTTAATCGGACCCCCAACTCAACGATCCTTGCTAGACCCAACTTATAGTTTTGGAATTGAACTCCTAACACCTCTAAATAGAACTGCCCCTTGGGCGCACTCTTGTAACCGTCAGTCGTGGGAACTTCAGACGATCAATCAAGAGTGATACTCAAAAGGACAATAATCCAATACGTTACTACAGGTCATTCTTTACTGATAGTTTTGTTGGGGGGTCCTTCAACCACGATAATTCTTTTAATGTGACTTACATGTTTAAATTTATATATATCGAGCACATGTACCCAATTTAATCGTGAGAGTTGCCTATTCCTATCTACATCACCATTTTACAATTCCAAGTGTTCTAATTCTATACACTGACCGACTAATTCCACTGGCACATGATCTGCGATTTAAGATCCATTGATCCACAATCTCTGTCATGTGACACCCCTTAACTCCTGACTACCACCACACCACTACCCACCCAACCCAATCAATCCACAGCCATACACCCAACCAACCTATTTCATTCTCTTAGATTATTACCACATCTCACTACTGAATCCAGGTTCCCCACTTACAACTGCAATGACAATTCCTTTCTCTTTTACAACCACCCCTCTTAAGGGCCTCGGATATAATTGACTATTTCGTACAAATTACACAAAAAAAACTAAAAACTTCCCGCGGTCCGATCCCGACACGGTCCCGCTAAAATTATAAAAGTGGAGAAACGCAAACTCAACCCAACATCCCACCGCTCTTCCTACACTCTCCTTACCTCCACACCAAGGACACCTTCCAGTACATAAACACACACACGCACAGCACCCAGCTAGTACTACCTCTGTACTGCCCGAAGCATTGCCCCCCCTGGAATACCTCAAGTTCTTTCACTCGTCGGTCCGACCAATTACCCTTATCTCTGCACACCCGCACACCCGCACAACTCACAGCAATGGTTGTCGACTCCTTAGTATACCACCCAACGTTCTCCAAGCTTATTACCTTTTTGGATTCCACTCCAAAGAGAGAAAAGCTGTTCCGTCTCGTGGCCTATCTCTCCAGATTCCTCTCCTATTACCTCCAGAAGAAGGGCTTTTCCCCAGAAACCGTGCGTATTTTCAAGGACCTCAAGGCTCATGTCACCATGATCAGAAAGGGAATGCGTTTCCTCAAGCCTTTGAACCACTTGCAAGCCGCCTCCAAGGCCTTTGACAACAAGCTCATTGACCCAGTGCTCAAGAACACCACCGTGATCCGTAACCTTGGGTACTTTGGATACCTCTCGCTCGACTCCATCACGTGGTTCAAGATGATGGGACTTGTCGACAAGAAGAAGTACCCCACCGTGTCTACCTGGGCATCCAGATTCTGGCTCTTGGGCCTTGTGGCCGGGGTCATCAACTCGTTGCGTCTCTTGCTGATCAACTACTCCAAGTTGAGCTCTCCTTCAGACCTCAACGACGAAAAGGTCGACGTGGATGCCGTCAACGCCAAGATCTTCCTGGCCAAGCGTAAGCTTGTCTGGGATGGCTTGGACATGTTCATTGCCTTGAACACCTTGAACTACTTGCACTTTACCGAGGGTGACGTGGGTTTGGCTGGTACCATCACCTCTATCATGGGATTGAGAGACTTGTGGAGCGCTACCAAATAGGCCCCCTGAATAGCTCTATTTATTCTATATATAGACCTTATTGTACTGTGAGAAGAACTTTTATGTAGACCTTGACTCCTTGGCGACGTAGTCCTCTGGCACTCCGTGGATACCCACTCCACTAAGAACCTCCTCGTTTCCTCGTTAGAGGAACAAGGCCCCCCACGGCTAGTGGCCTGCAGAGTGCCAAACGGAAAGGCTTACTAACCCCATAGGGCAGCCACTATTCTCTTCCCTGCGGGACAGCAGGACGCTCCGCTGGCCCCTACTCGGGGAGAGCCACTGCGTGGTGCCTAGCTCCTCTACGAGGAGTCCTCTAGTGTCCAGTCACTTCCTCGCTAGAGGAACAAGGCCTCCACGGCTAGTGGCCCACGGAGTGCCAGCGGAGCGGCTTGCTTACCCCGGTAGGGAGTCCCACTCCTTCGCCCTGCACCCTGCGGGACTGTTAGACGCTCCGCTGGGCCCCTGCTCGGGGAGAGCCACTGCGTGGTGCTTAGCTCCTCTACGAGGAGCCCAGAGACTCTTCAGGAACCTGGTCCCGACAATAGTACCCCTTCCAAAACCATCGCATGATTTCATCCTTGATCTCCTTCTCAAGCGCTTCCCGGTCTTGCTGTCCCTGGAGAATCTCTAGAAACCGGTCTGAGAGCTGTACATCCATTTTGCCATTAGAGGGACTATCTCCTCCACTTTCGACGTCCTCGGAACGCCCATCAATCCTCTTGTCATGGTCAATGGACTCCACAGTAGTGCCGCTATTCACTTCCTCCTCGCGCTGGTCGTCGCTAACTTCCTCTTTGGGTATTCCCTTTAATTCGTAGTAGGAGTCTCTGGAATTCATCCAGGACCGATGGATCAACAGATCAAGTTGCTTCAGTGCGTCGGCCATAGTTAAAGGTTAGGAGTGGTAGGTGGTGGGGCACCTATGTCTTCCATGATGTAGAGGGGCCACCCTAGGGCCTGTGGTGGGGTGTTCCTACATATAAATCTCATCTCTTTGCGGACTTTATTTTTTTTTATTTTTTTTTAGGCAGGAGCTGCTCCAAACTTCAGAAAAAAACTAAGACAGCCATTACTCCTCCAAGTTCAATCCAGATATCTCGGGAATTTATTATGACAGAGCCTACATCTAAAGAGCTCAGACTACACATCGGGAACATATCTCCCAAGTTGGCCGCATCCGCGGAAATGTTTGAGGCCAGACTCGCCAAATTCGGGACCATCACCAAAAAGTTGGAGATCAAATCAAAACCATTACTTGATAAATACTTTGGGTTTGTGTCAATGGAGCTCACTCCTCAACAGTATGACAAGTTGAAGGCCGCATTCCATGACATCTTGTTCATGGGTATGAAACTCCTGGTGACCGAAGCCCGTCTGGGTTACAACTGGGAGAAGGATCATAACCGACCCGACATCAAGAAACAAGAGAGGATTAACCGAGAATTAATTGCTGAGGCTAGACGTAAGAGAATTGTAGAAGCTTCGACAAAATACCCAACCAACCTGTTCACCGGAGAACTCACCAACTCGAGCTTTTTAGCCGCCAATGCCGGCAGTTTGGGGTACATGAAGTCAAGTCATACCACCAACAACAAGTCCGCCAATACTAAAAATAAACCTCCTTCATCAACCCTTGTAGGGCTGAAATCATACTCCATAGCATGTATTGCCAAGCAGCCATACCGTCAGCAATACCTGACCACGTCCGGTCACGGGGAAGTCGTGCAGGGGAGATTGAGATCCACAGCAAGACCAATAAGACACATGAGAGAACTGACGTTGAGAATTCTTATCAATGGAGAGTTGAAGACTTACAAGAACTACAAGACGAAGCTTTGGGGGATGGACACCAGTAAGACCGCACGAGACTTGACCTGGAGATACGTTGAAGGTAGTTGGAAGAGTGGAGATGATCATATAGTTGAAAGAAGAAGAATTGTTCGTGCAGTGCCAGTCGACGATTATGTGCTTGGTGGGCCTGAACCGGTCAGATGTGGTGCCAATGTAGAGGAGTATGGTAAACCAGCCCTTTCTAAAGATTCCGGAGAACCACCAGTTATCCTTGATGAAGATCTTCAACAAGAAATCGATAAGAACAATAATGTCTTAGCATCACTTTTCTCCACCCATGACTTTGACAAGCCATTGGAGGTGGAGGAGGACATAGAGAAGCCAGAAGTCACCTTTGACAGCAAGGGGAGACGCACGGTGAAGACCTTTGACTATGAGATTGAAGGGGCCGACCAGAACGACGACGAGGACGACGACGACGAAAATGCATCTGACGTGAGTTTCGATTACGAGGGTGCACGTCAAGCGGTTGCACAATACACCAAGGAACACGAGAGACCACAGGAAGTGTACTACGATGAAAACGATGACGGGAACAACTTGGACTTTGACTTGGATGCCCAATCCACGGAAGCCCTTCGTAAGAGATACGAAGATGAACACAGAGATGAAGAAGAAGAAGAAAAAGAAGTAGAACAACAACATAAGGAGGATGTCTTCACACGTGGACAATCCGTGGGAACAGACTCTGTTGATGAAACGTTCATCACTGCACAGGAAAACCAATCAGAGGAAGAAGAACCACAATCTGAAGAAGAATTCATCCCTTCATTTGGACAGAAAACCAACAATACCGAAACTTTGAGGACTTTGTTCAACAAGGAGGAAGATTCCACGTTCAAACTTAACGTGGAGGACGACGATGACATCGATCAGGAGAAGGAGGTTGTGCTTGATGAGTCACAACAAAGAGAATTATTACGAGAGATCGAGCTCAAACAACAGGAAGAATTACAAAAATTCCAAGAAAAGAGAAGAGCCCAATTTGGCCTTTTCTGGACTCATTCAGATTCTCCGTTTTTAGCTACACAATCTCAACTTTCCAAGATTGGTACTGCCGACGACTTGGTCAATCTCCCTGGTGAAGACGATGCCGGTGCTGGAGCCAACACGGCTGACGCGGGCGAGGAGAGTGTTTATGAAAAATGGTTTTGGGACCATAGAGGGGAGCTCAGTAGAGAGTGCAAGAGAAGAAAGAGAGATGTTGTTCGTGCGTTCAAGAAGAAGGTTAATGTATGATAGATAAAAATAGATACACGATAATTATTAATAGAATAGAGTACAGTAGAAGACGTAATACGGCGGTACAGGGAGGGATGTGGCTTCCACACTGCGGGGCATGCGAGCCGCTCCACTTGCACTCAGTGGGCCACTAGCCGTAGGGGCGTAGTTTCTCGATCGAGGAAGGTACAGGGGCGCTAGATCTTCATCGCAGAGGAGCTAAGCACCACGCAGTGGCTCTCCTCGAGCAGAGGCCGGCGCAGCTTCGTGCAGCTCCGCAGGGATGAGAGCCGAGCCTATGGGACATGCGAGCCGCTCCGCTGGCCCTCTGGGGGCCACTAGCCGTGGAGGCCTTCTTCCTCTGACGAGGAAATCATGGGCTAGCACAAGCACTGTCAAGAGGTGGTGAGTGTGTTTGGTGCACTGGGACCAAGTTCCGAACCTTCCATTGCTTTGCAGGAGATCTCGTAATGGCGCTCAGTGTGATAAAAGCTAAAATCCGTACTTTCCGATAAACATTGGCGGACAAAGCCGCAAATTGCGTGCCCCATATGGGTGGCGTAAACCAAGAAAAACCCAGCCCGTTGAGATTATTTTTTACGTACAACATGGAATAGCAAAGCAAAGGTGGAAACGCAACAAAGAATGGAAGAGAAGAGTACAGTTGTCAGAGAGCACTACAAGACCGCCAGAAGATGGTTGAAAGAGCCGGGGGGGAGAAAGAGTAGTGAAAGTATTAATAGTAGCCCCTATAAAAGCCAAAGCTTGAGTGTTTAAAGTTTACGTAAAACACGCTTTCCTGCATTACATAAGCGCAATGTTAAATCCGCTGTAGCGGTGTTCATAAGCCTCTGTGATTATTTTTTTTAGCTCCGCCCCTAAGTTGGAGTCACACCCGCACACCCACGGCGGAATCTGCGGGACATGCGTCAATGGGAGGTGTCAAAAACGGCTGCAATGTATTTGCCTAATTTAGGCGCGGAGCCATTTATAGTGGGGTGTCTGTCTTTAATAATATTGGACACAGGGTTTATTTAGTACCCCCGCACACACAGTGAATGAGTTTACCATGGTAGACCACGCAGAGAACAAGCACGAGAAGGAGGAAGAGGTGGTGTTTGAGCGAGAGAAGCCCAAAAACAAGAAGCGCGGGAATAAGAACGGGAATAAGAATACTAAGACCGATGGTAAGGAAATAGAAGGGAAGAGTAAGGAAGACCCGGAATTATCATTGAAAACTTTAAAAGAAACACCACACAAATCTTCTAAGGATAATTCAGAAAAGAGTACCCCTCCACCACCACCACCACCATCAGAATCAACCATGGGTCCCACTCAAACCGACCCATCACAGCAACAACCTGCCGCCAAAAAGACAAAAAAGTGGTACGACTTCCTTCTCACGGTCTGGACTGCCATTTTCATTGATCTTGTTATAAACGTAGCCAACATCATATTGATCCTCTACTTCTCCGGGGAGTACAACGTGGTGCAATCATTCTCGGTGGCAAGCACTGTCATAGCACTCATTGTGCTCGCCTTGTGTATCTTTGACCGGGTCAACAAGCGCAAGCGCTACTTGGCACAGTCCCACCGGCTCAGCATTGCAATGTCCATCGCAAGACACTTGCTTCTGTTTGGGATCATTGGGATGATCATTGCGAAAATCGTGTACATGATGGCCGGCACGATATACAACCCTATCAACGTAACCGAGGACGCCCGGGTGGATTTGGCACTCCCATTTGGAGTCAGATTGGCCATCTTGTTGATCGAAGTAGGCACCGTTTGCGCGGATTGCATGATCCTTTGCCGGGTATGGAAGGTGCCCAAGAAGGGGAAATCCCAACTTCTTATGACTCTTGCATGTTTCTTCAACTTTATCCTTGGGATCGTGGAAATCAAGCTTTATCACGACGGGGCTATGGGCCACGGGAAACCAATCAAGATCCTCCCCGTGTTGTATCTTTATACCGACGCCTTCATCATCTGTGGATCCACCATGGGGATATGTCTCACCATGATCATCACCGAGGCCAACCGACTCTCGGAAACCATTGGCAAAGTGACCCTCTTCTTGGACTGTTACTTTTCCGTGGTGACCTTTTTGTCGCTCATTTCGTTTGCCAATTCGATTGTCCTTCGCTCCGGCGACAACAATTGGAAGGTATCGCTTGCCATCCCGGCGATCTTTGGGTGTTGTATGATTCTTTGCATTATGATCATCACTTTCTCAAGAGCCTTACGTTCAAGACTCCCACCGGCACTCGAAGTGGAAGAGCTCAACTTGTCATCATTGACCAAAGATCAGAAGTCTGCGTATGCCAAGTTGATTACGTTCAACGCCAAGTCCAACCCGGGGGTTTCTGGAGAAGCGGTCATTCTGTTGATGGAAGCATACAGTCAGACCGAGCTCGAGGATATGAACTGTACCATCTTACGGGTGTACAGGACTCCGCCAACCGACCAACCCGAAGACGGTCTGTACACGGCCTCGAGAACATGGGAAACCTTGGACTTACAGAAGACGGTGTTTGACGACGAAGAGACGTTGATATCGCTAGACATGCCGGAACCCAAGCCATTATCCAAGAATCAAAGGAAGAAACTTGCAAAGAAGGCAGCTGCAGAGGCAGCTGCGGGCGGGACACCATTCCCACTTGAACTTTCCACTGAGCAAGATATCAAGGAAAAGGTCAAGTTCCATGACGAATTGATGGCCACAGAAGCATTGGTGCTTCTTACTTCGATCGAAAGATACGATCTTACGGCCACATTGACCGGTTGCATGGGGCGATTCGCTCAAAAATGTTTTGGGAAGAATGGGCTCAGTGAGCTTCTTTGCATTCGTTTTGGTCTTTTGGCGTTCCATTGGCCGTTTGTACGGTCAACCTTCTACTGTAGCAACAGTAAGCACCCGGTGGCAAGACTGGCTGCGGTCATGTATGCCATCAGTAGCTGGAACAAGAAACAGCACAAGCTGAAGAGATGCACAGTGCTTCTTGATCCAACCTACAAACACGCATATTCAGAACAAGCGATTCGGTTCGGAGGCTGGTTCCGCATAGCCCTCCCACCATCGCACATCATCAACTTGAAGCCTCACAAGAACAAGAGCATTACCGAGTATTTCAAGAGCATCAAGTATAGAAACCAGGACGGGGCATTCAAGGCTGCAGGCGGGGTCACAGTGGAGGAAAAGGATTTCGACAAGGAGAGCTGTGACACGGTCATGAAGCTCTGGCACAACATCGCAGAGGGCAGAACCTCGAAGGGGAACACGTCTGTGCTTGCCGAGCCAGACTCACAGTTTATCCACAAGATCGGAAGTACTGCGAACGGACAAAACAACCGGTCGCTCTTGTTCCTCAAGGTTGACGACGAGGTGATTGCGTCGTGTGTTTTGTTTAGAATCGGCGATACCATCACCTCCGACTTGCAAGGGTTGCACCACGACAAGGCCAGGCCATTGAAGGCGTACTTTGTGATGATGCAAGAAGTGATCACGATTGCCCTTCGTGAGGGCAAGTCGTTTGTTGATTTTGGGCCCACCACGGAGAAACCCAAGTTGGACATCGGATGTCAATCCGTTCCATTGACTGGAGCGTTGAGGACGTCATCTCCACTTCTTTCGATCATTGCCAAGTGCGCCGCGGACTGTGTGAAGGTGTAGATAGATATGATATAATATAATATAGTATAATATATAATATGAGCATGACTACGAATGTAGAGGGATGATACACAGAGAGCGTATGAGAGACATTGTGGACAGAGTCAGTGAAACTCGCACATACATGGGAGCCATGGGAACTACAAGAGTGAAAGGTACCCACCCTACGGGGTTTACAAGCCGCTCCGCTGGCACTCCGTGGGCCACTAGCCGTGGGGGCCTTGTTCCTCTAACGAGGAAGGTCCAGGACTTAGTAGTCTCCTCGTAGAGGAGCTAGGCACCACGCAGTGGCTCTCCCCGAGCAGGGGCCAGCGGAGCGGCTCATCGACCCTGTAGGGAAGTGATAAGGGCCGCCCTACGGGGTTTGCAAGCCGCTCCGCTGGCCCCTTTCAGTCCCGCAGGGCAAGGGAGTGGGCCGCCCTACGGGGTATGCAAGCCGCTCCGCTGGCACTCCGTGGGCCACTAGCCGTGGCGGCCTTGTTCCTCTACCGAGGAAGTACCACGGGCCCTAAGTCTCCTCGTAGAGGAGCCAGGCACCACGCAGTGGCTCTCCCCGAGCAGGGGCCAGCGGAGCGTCATGCGGTCCCGCAGGGTATGGAGTACCCACCCTGCGGCGTATGGCAGCCGCTTCATTGGTATGCCGTAGACCACTTCAGCCGTGAGGGCCATCTTGCCCTGTGCAAGTGCTTCCGCTAACTCCTGCCCAAAAGGCACTCTTCAGCTCCAACGGCCCCGTCGTATCTCCACGACGCCCCGTCCGTGGCCTTCCTACCCGAGTAATAGTCCGCCACGCCAAGGAATGAAATCTCATCCCGTCCTCGTCGTTGCCAGTGCAAAAACGCTTCTCCTGTCAAATACTCGCCTTCTCCTTCCTTCCTCTGCCTTCTATGCGAGGCTGTATTGACAGACACCTTTAATTTTTTTTCACCAGCTCCGGAGTTTGTCCTGCACGTGACTTTCCAATCATCTCGCCAGAATCAGTCATCATCTAAAGACCCGGGTCCCTAACGCAGTCCATGGACATGACCCACCCACACTCCAATAACTCATCCACCGACCCATCCACATCCTAACAACTCCCCTCCCCACCCACTCAGATGTTGCTACTGGGGACAAATATATATATATTTATATATATAGAGGTATCTGTACCTTATCTTCTTCTGACGGTTCAACCCCTCGTGGGCTTTTCAGTCTGGTCTTCTCGCCTGCATACTGGCTTGCGCACATCCGGTTTTTTTCCCTTTGCTCGAAACTTCGAAAAAGCTAAATCGGCGACCGAAATTGCTGAAAGAAAAAAAACCAACCAGTCTCTTTCTTAACCAAACCATGGCTTCCACTCCTATCCCCTCCGAGTACGACGACACCAGAATCCTTGGGTACGGCCCATTGATCCCACCTGCATTGTTGCAGCACGAAATCAAGGCCTCTGCCAAGTCTCTTGAGGTCACCATCAAGGGTCGTTACGAATCCGCTGAAATCATTTCCGGGAGAGACGACCGTGCGCTTGTCATTGTCGGCCCGTGTTCGATCCACGACACCGACGCCGCCATGGACTACGCCAGAAGACTCAAGAAGCTTTCTCTTGAGCTTGAGAAGGACTTGGTCATTGTCATGAGAGCCTACTTGGAAAAGCCAAGAACCACCGTTGGTTGGAAAGGTTTGATCAACGATCCAAACGTTGACAACACTTTTGAGATCAACAAGGGGTTGAGAATCTCTCGTCAACTTTACTCCGACCTTACTGGAGTCACCGAATTGCCTATTGGGTCCGAAATGTTGGACACCATCTCCCCACAATACTTCAGCGACTTGTTGTCCTTTGGAGCCATTGGTGCCAGAACCACTGAATCCCAATTACACAGAGAATTGGCCTCTGGTTTAAGCTTCCCTATCGGGTTCAAGAACGGTACCGACGGTGGTTTGGGTGTTGCCTTGGACGCCTGTCAAGCCTCCTCCAAGGGCCACCACTTCTTGGGTGTCACCAAGAACGGGATGGCTGCCATCACCACCACCAAGGGTAACGACCACGGGTTCATCATCTTGCGTGGGGGTAAGAAGGTCACCAACTACGACGCCGTCTCCGTGGCCGCCGCCAAGGAAGCCATCGCCAAGAGCACCAACCCAAACATCAAGCTCATGGTTGACTGTTCCCACGACAACTCCCAAAAGGACTACAGAAACCAACCAAAGGTCTTGGACTCTGTTGTCGAGCAAATCGCCGCCGGTGAAGACACCCTCATTGGTGTCATGATCGAGTCCCACATCAACGCCGGGAAGCAAAGCATGCCAGCCTCCAACGAGGACAAGTCCGTCTTGAAGTACGGTGTTTCCATCACCGATGGATGTGTCTCCTGGGAAGAAACCGTGGTCATGTTGAACAAGTTGAGTGCCGCTGTCCAAAAGAGAAGAGAATTGAAGAAATAGATAGAACTGATTGTGTATATAATATAAGGACAGATTAGAAGATTGAGCGTAGCCCCCTCCTTCCTAGAGGCCCGGGGGCGCCCTGGGCTGGGCCAGTAGCCCTGCGAGTACAGGCCCCGTAGACGCTACCCCTGTGAGGTGGTCGGCCACATCAAGTGGGGTTTGCAAGCCGCTCCGCTGGCCCCTGCTCGGGGGGAGCCACTGCGTGGTGCCTGGCTCCTCTACGAGGAGGGTGCTAGGTCCTGGGGCTTCCTCGGTAGAGGAACAAGGCCTCCACGGCTAGTGGCCCACGGAGTGCCAGCGGAGCGGCTTGCACACCCCGAACAGTAAGCAGTGTGGTCCCGCCCTACGGTGTTTGTAAGCCGCTCCGCTGGCCCCTGCTCGGGGAGAGCCACTGCGTGGTGCCTGGCTCCTCTGACGAGGAGTCCTCTAGTGTCCAGTCACTTCCTCGGTAGAGGAACAAGGCCACCACGGCTAGTGGCCCACGGAGTGCCAGCGGAGCGGCTTGCAAACCCGGTAGGGATGGTGGCTACTCTCTTGTGCTACGGGTTGTACAAGCCGCTTTGGCTGAAACCAGCTCAGGGAGAGTCACGACCAATGTACCGCCCAGGAATCTTATCTAGCACTCATTCTATTAACTTCTATATACTCTACTTAATTCCAAACACCCTGTAACAGTTCCTGGATCTCTTCATTGGCCCCCTGTTCATCTACAGCTCTGAAGAAGGCTCCAAGTCTCGCGTTGGAAGCCAGATACGTGTGACGTTGACCGTGTGGGTTTCTCGTCTCCTTCTTCTTCAAGAGCAGTCCAGTGGCGCCAAACCAATCTTTTGCAAAGCATTGGACGGCAAATTTGTATTCACAGGCATCCAAATCATCGAAATAGGCCGCACGTTCCTCGTCGTTGTACTCGCGAGGATCAGGACAGTTGCCTACGTACTCTACGTGTTCCAAGGGCCATAACAACGCCGCAAAGTGGTGGTTCACAAACCGATTACGCTTGAACTCAAACCCTACGACCGTGACCTTCTCAGGGTACTTGTGATATTCCTCGTAGAATCTACAGATCAGAAAAATGACATTCTCCATTGAGTCTCGGGCATACTTCTCCGTGACAACACGTGAGAACACCAGCAGGTCCAGCCCGTCGAACAAGTTCTGGGCAAGCGTAGCGTACGACTCGGACTCTGTCAACGGAGTCTCCGTCTTGGTTTGGCCCCCCGAGATCACCAAGAGCGCCCCGGGGTCCCTTTGGAGCAACTCGATGCTCGCAGTGATGTGTTCAATAAAACAGAGATGGTCGTTCCCCTCAATTTGGAACGGCGCTAAGATCCATTCATCACGGCTCTGGCCCTTGGAGTCTCCGCCGAGCCACACAGAATGGCATGGGAGAATTACCAAGTGGTTCATGTGACTTGGGGTTGGTTTGTAGTGGAGACAGTAAAAGAGAAGAAAAATATGCCTACGTTCACAGTATGTGTATCGGAGTGAGACCTGTACTCGGGAAACAGTTCCGAGTCACAATGTCAAACACCCACCACAAACATTTTACAACAGCCAATACTGTAGACTTTGGGGGTGTGTATCGGTACACGTAGAGAACTGTAGACTGCCCTACGGGGTTTGTGAGCCGCTCCGCTGGCACTCCGTGGGCCACTAGCCGTGGGGGCCTTGTTCCTCTAACGAGGAAGGACATAGATACCGAAAAACTCCTCGTAGAGGAGCCAGCGGAACGGCTTACCGTCCCACAGGGAACAGAGTAGGATGAACTCTGGGTGGTCTGTGAGTAGTTGTGCTGCTTGTCTCTGGCGAAGAGTTGGCTGCGAAATGTGCCACCAATGAGCTGCAAAGAGATATACATGTCACTACACTCAATGCATTGGAGAGTAGCAGACGTTCCGGAAGTAGCCCTGCTTCAGTTAAAGGGTGTGTAGTCAACCGTGTGCCCACTACGAGTGTACTGTGAAAATTAGAAATCGTTGGTAGAGTATATAAAGTCTAACAGAAATAAAGGGGGGACCCTACAACGTAGCTGAGCGAGAACGACGGAATTTATAAGCTCACCTGTGCTTGTCAGGGGTCCCCAAAGGAAAAGAAATAAAGTCATTAGTTGTGAAGAGCAGGAATCGAAGGCTAGTCTCCTCGTAAGAGGAGCACGGCCCCCACGGCTAGTGGCCCACGGAGTGCCAGCGGAGCGGCTTGCATACCCCGTAGGGTGGCCCTATCCACTTCCCTACGGGGTCGATGAGCCGCTCCGCTGGCCCCTGCTCGGGGAGAGCCACTGCGTGGTGCCTGGCTCCTCTACGAGGAGATATCTTGTGGCCACGTTGTTCCTCGTCAGAGGAAGAAGGCCCCCACGGCTAGTGGCCCACGGAGTGCCAGCGGAGCGGCTTGCAAACCCCGTAGGGTAGCTTGGGCCTGTAGAGCAGCACCTGCCATCTACGCCGTAACGCCAGTGACCAAGTTTTCATGCAAATACGAATATGCACCCAAGAGTGACCGCCAGTGACAATAAGCAGCTATCACCACCATAACATGGAAGATCTGATGAGAATGCCCAAAGTAGTCAAAGGTGCCCTGGCGATGGCTGTGACACCCCCATCGTTCCGGGAGCCGCAACGCATAGATGGCTGCACCGCCAAGGTAGAGGCCACCTTCGGCCAAAAGCCACCATGCATGGGTCCGGGCAATTGCCTCGGTGTAGCCGTAAACCTGGATGGAAACCACAATGGGGAAGATCCCTGAAAGTCCAAACACCAGAAACATCATTGATCTGAACGGCCGGTACTTGGGCAGTCTGAATTGTGGGTCCAAGGTGACCACCGTGCATACCAGAGCCAACGCCACAAACGTCGCGGTGAACACAAGGACCCAGCCCTGGTGGTCATGGAAGGCAAACAAGACGATGGAGATCAAGGAGACACAGATCATCACCACAATGCCAAAGTAGTCGAGCTGGTTGCAACTCCGGTACACGTCGTGGGAGTGGGACTTCATCGTGTGGAAACTGGCAGACATCGCGAAACAGGTGGTGGCTGCCATGGCAAACATCATCAAATTGAACCGTTCCCAGCCAAAGTACGTTGGGTAGATCTCCAACTTGGTCGCCACGTAGTGGTGTACATACCACAAGGTCGACAACCCGGGCAAGAGGTGCGAGTAGATGTTCACAGACTCGTTGTGGAGGTACGCTAGCGACGCAACACACCCCCTGACCGACCCGGTGAGCCGGACGTAGCCAGAAATCAAGTAGTGATTGTCCTGTTGCCATGGCTCAAGCTCGTCAAAGAGACACAATTTTGCAGCATGCCCCACCAATTCAGGGGAACTTTGTACGTCTTGCTCGATCAACTCGGTCGCAGTGACGGTTGCCAAGCTGTTGTTCTTGGCTCTGTGGTTCATTACCTGTGAATTAATATTCGCACTTATGCCACTCGTCCTCTCTTTGTCCTGAACCCTGGCTGCTCTTTATAGTTGCACCATGTTCGCACTACCCTTCGGGCACTATTTCCACTTCTGGAATGGGGCAACACAAATATCTTGGGTCTTGGTCTCGGTAAGTGCATATGATTTTGTTGGCACTTTGCATGGAGTTTCTGGGCCACCCATCAATTTTTTTTTCCGTCTGGGTCCATTCCGAGCGGCCAACCTGTAGCAGTGTAGCGCCAGCGTGTACAAGCTCTACGGGCGTGTGAGCCTTCTCTTCCCCCCCTGGGTTCCTTCCCACCGTCACTCAGTCTATCTTCATCTCATGCAACTTAAACCACCGGTTATGAACTCCCCGCCGTTCTTCCCCCCTACCTTATTATTTCACGGAGAGCGCCCGAAACAAGTCAACAGTGTAGTCCCGCCCTACGGGGTTAGTAAGCCGCTCCGCTGGCCCCTGCTCGGGGAGAGCCACTGCGTGGTGCCTAGCTCCTCTACGAGGAGACTACTATGTCCTGGACCTTCCTCGTTAGAGGAACAAGGCCCCCACGGCTAGTGGCCCACGGAGTGCCAGCGGAGCGGCTTGCACACCCCGAACAGTAAGCAGTGTAGTCCCACCCTACGGTGTTTGTAAGCCGCTCCGCTGGCCCCTGCTCGGGGAGAGCCACTGCGTGGTGCCTAGCTCCTCTACGAGGAGACTACTAAGTCCTGGACCTTCCTCGTTAGAGGAACACGGCCCCCACGGCTAGTGGCCCACGGAGTGCCAGCGGAGCGGCTTGCATACCCGTAGGGTGGGGCCAACTCCCTTCCCTGTGGGATGGTAAGCCGCTCCGCTGGCCCCTGCTCGGGGAGAGCCACTTCGTGGTGCTTAGCGACTCGTAGTCCCTGTAGGAGTTACAGTTGAATAAATTCTATAAATATTCTATAATCATGTCTACTGCTCTTCCTTCTGGGAGGAAATAAATATATAACCTATACGAGGAGTATGTATACCACCCCGTCTGGGGTCGCCATGACGGGTGGTATTATGACCCGTGGATGTGAAATTGTAGGAGTCGTGCCCACCGGTGGCATCCCCTTGAACAGGCCTACTTCTTCTCTTGCTCTACCACCTTGAACGATGGTTCAATGCTCTCGCAAATAAGACTGTAACTTCGTAATTTAGCCTGTATGTCCACATTCTCTGGACGCGTCTTCCCCTTGCTTCGGTCAATTCTCTTGTTGAACATCTCCCCGGTGTAGAAAAGCTTCCATTGACTCTCGGGGTTGCTCAAGGTCCCGACACATCGCTCAAAGTACCACTTGTTGACGGGATTGTTCTTTCTCGACCGCCAGAGAAGCTCTTGTGGACTTGTTTGGAGAACCGCCTTGAACACCACGTCGGCAAGCCCCGGGAGCCCCTGGTTCCGCTTGGCAATGGCAAACTTGTCCAAGTACGCCACCGCGGGCAGATCTTCCAGCTCGCGTTCCCAGGTGATGATTGCCGCCCCGTCATAGTCGCCAAGAATGATTATTGAGGCAAGCAGAGAATTGATCCGGGCAAAATACTTGTCGACATCAAGATCCTTACCAAATGAGTCGTTGATGAGATTGATCAATTTGGTCCGGTCGACGATCTGATCCTCAAACAAGTTCTCGAGAGTGAACGGCTGAAGGTAATTATCCCTGTCCACCACCAACACATCCATACCCTTCTTGAGGATGGACGTCGAGAGCTGTGGCGTTCTTGTGTGCAGCAGAGGAAGAGACGACGAGATCACCGGTCTGTCGGTCAACACGTTGTAGATGATTGGGTTGAGTTGGTCGGAGTTGATCGACATGATGTACGGGGTCGTGATGATCCCCGTGGCGTCATCGTTGCCCGCATGGTCCGAGATCAACCGCAAGAGCTTGTTCATGGTACGGAGGTTAGCCAAGTGCCGGTCACGCACCAGCGGCGAGATGAACCCGATGTAGAGCTCCAGAACAATGTCTGAGTACTCCTGCGAAAGGTTGATGAACACGTGCGACGTCTGGTTCCGTTCGATCGAGGGGATTCCCCCCTGGGGGTCGATCATGATGACCTTTTCAATTGAAAGGAGTGACGTGCAGCTGACCAACAGCTGGCAGAGACTGTGCAAGAGCTCGTCCAGGTCCACAATCTCCTGGAAGGTGGTGCTTGCGTTATACACAATGGGTTGGATGATCGGGATGATCCCCTGGTAAAGCGGCACAAGCAATTGTTCAAGGAAGTTGATTGAAAGGGTGTCCTCTCGCTTGGTGAAGAGCAGAAGCGGGGTTGATTGTATGGAATCATGTGAGAGTCCTCTTCCTCCACCTCCTCGTCCAATGCCACCCAGCGACGGGTTCCCCCTGGCCCCGGCCAACACCTTTGTGACCCTGCTGGCCTGTTCCATGATGTACCTCTCAGCCTTCTTGAACTCCTCGGTGAACCCCTGTTCGTAATCCAACACAATTATGGGTGATATGCCCAAATGGACCAACCGTTTGAAAGTCTCGGCCATGCCCTCCCATTGCTCGTTCAGCACAGTCCCAACCTTCACCTTGACGATGGCAATCCGGAGCGGGATCTTCGCCACCTTCTCCTCGTCCTCGGTGTATATCCCGACAAATGGATTCTGTTTGTTGAGGTACCGGTTGACAAAAAGCTCACGTTGTGAGTCACGCTGGGTGAGACTGTTAGACGACGACGATACAAGCCCCTTGTTCCCGAAGCTCACCTCCAGGAAGTCGAATTGGTTCTGGTACTTGTGCAAGTAGTTGCGGGCCTCTCTCTTGGTCGTGGTAGACTTCAAGATCAGGAGGATTAGGTTCCGTTTAGCTTCTGTGATCACCTCATGAGTCTTCAAATTCAGAATGAACTGACGGTTGAGATTGCTCAATTTGCTCATTGGAAAGTTGATAGGGTAGATTCTGGCGTCCGGCTCGATGACCTAGACAAATTCCCCAGGTGAAAAACGGATTGGAAATGGTGTTATACCTAGTAGTAAGATCTTAGAGTTAAACTGTGGGAGGAGTTTGATATATGGAGTTGATTTGTGTGGGGCACGACCGCTCACCCCAACAGGAAATTAGATAGGCGAAATTTTACACAACGGTTTTTATTTTTTTATGATTCAGTCACGTGTGTGTTCACGTGTGGAGTGGATAGGATAATGAATGTGGAAAAAAAAAAGGGAAATCACTATTTAATTTTATAGGTATTGAGAGCATGAGTAACTTCTAGAAGGGATGTTTAGTATATGAGAGAGTTGTAGAGCTAAGTAGGGGTGGCTCAAGGTACTCACGACGCTCCGCTGGGTCCCCTACTCGGGGAGAGCCTCTGCGTGGTGCCTGGCTCCTCTACGAGAAGTCCTCTAGTATCCAGTCACTTCCTCGCTAGAGGAACAAGAGCCACCACGGCTAGTGGCCCACGGAGTGCCAGCGGAGCGGCTTTCAAACCCCGTAGGGTAGCCCTATTCACTTCCCTACGGGGTCGATACGCCGCTCCGCTGGCCCCTGCTCGGGGAGAGCCACTGCGTGGTGCCTGGCTCCTCTACGAGGAGACTGCTTGTGGCTCCGTTGTTCCTCGTCAGAGGAAGAAAGCCTCCACGGCTAGTGGCCCACGGAGTGCCAGCGGAGCGGCTTGCATATCCCGTAGGGTAGTACCTACTCTCCCGTGTGCCTGCTCTACAAAGAGTACCGCCCTACAAGTTAGGATACTTAAATAAGAAACAATTGTATTCTGCTGAAACGAATAATAATAATGATAATAAAAATACATAATAGTACAGATTAACAACCAGAAAGGCACTTGTCCAGCGGTCAAAAGGCGTGGTTGTTCGAAAGGTGGTTGAAATAAAAAAAACAAAGGTGGGGAGAGAAACACTCTATCACATCAAATAAGATAATAAGGCAATTATCACCGAGCCAAAAGAATAGTTGAAGGTGGCTGACCCACCGACATAATCAGAACTGACTGTCGAGATCGAAGGTACGCCAGAACTTGGCCATGTGTAACTTGTAGAAGCTTTAGTTGGTTTAGCACCTTTACTCTCGGTACAATGGTCTGAGGAACAAGAACCAGTGCCAACCACAGCGGTGGATGGAACTTGAAGTGTCAAGGGTGTCAGCTCGCTCGGAAGTGGACAGTAAGTGGTGTATGATGTCACGGTTCCATCCACGGTTGTTTCAACCACCGTTTGACCAGTAGTGACAGGAACCTCTGTACATTTGTTGTCTGAACAAGAAGTCACTGTAATAACAGTGGTGGATTTTTCTGTCTTGGTACTTGTTCTTGCAAGGGTGGACAGCCCTAAACTACTGAGTGCCGTACTGGTGAACTCATCTTCTTGGAAAACGAATACATGAGAGTCTATTGGCTCAGTGACTCCTTTCGGATTGGTTACGCTAAATGCAAATGATCCTGAACCCTTGGCGTTGGTATATACTATTCTAATCGGATAGTAAGTGCTGCCACTTAAGGATACATCCTTACTTCCACTTTGAGGCTGTTCGTTCCCTTCTTTGTAAACAAACAACTCCAGTGAGTCAGTATTTCCAAGTATACTTCTCTTCATCTTATTTTCACACGAAAAGGCCGAGTCACTTCCAAGAAGTAACATGGCTGAATCATCTATATTGTTCAAACTGAAGGAGTATACTCCTGGCTCCTCGGAAAGGAAATATCCAGCGATTTCCAACGTGAAATTGGTGATAGTTGTTGTGAACCCAAGAACTTCGCCAATTTCCGGTTGATCCTTATCAATCTCGGGCCCTTCATAAAAGAAATTCAAGTCGTGGATCTCCATGGAGTGTAATTCCTCATCATTCATATATCCGCTTGACATGTACTTGGCGGATTTATAAGTGGAATCATCCCCAAAATTGTAAGGATAAAAGCGGCCTCTAAGAGTATTAGTAGGGGTGCCACCAGGTGTACAACCAGATGGTTTAGGTGTACTACCCGTAGCCGTTGAAGAACTACTTGAATCAGACGTTCTCGCTGAAGTAGAAGTGGAGTCAGGAATAAGGGAAGTACTCAGTTGCTTTGACGTCGTTGTGTCCTGAGTATCACTCGTCATAGATCCTGGACCGGTTGGAAACGATGAATTGTCATTCGAGGTCTCCGACCTTGGTGTAGACTGTGTTGACAAAGTTTGCGACGAACTAATGGTGGATGATAATATCGATTGACTTGAACTAGACGAGGGGACAGTGGTGGTAGCGCTAGTCCATGTTAAGGAAGTGGTAGGACCATATGTAGAATTTGACCAAGAGAATGAAGAAACCCCACTGCTAGATTGAGCATTTGAAGGAATAATTGAAGACTCGGGGTTTGGAGTTACTGTAGAGAACGACAAAGACTGATCAGATGTACCTGTGTTCGATGATGGTGGATTGATTGACGAAGATCTGATGTTTTCTGACTTTGAACTTGCCGATGTAACAGATTCAGAGTTGGATGGAACAATTGAACTGTCACCAGAGGTGGCAAATCCCGAAGTGGTAGAACCGGACTTGGTTGGAACTGACGAATTGTCACCAGAAATGGCAGATCCTGAGCTAGTAGAAACCGACGAGTCGTCACCAGAAGTACCAGATCCAGAACTAGTAGAATCCGACGAGTTGTCACCAGAAGTGGCAGATCCAGAACTAGTAGAAGCCGAGGAGTTGTCACCAGAAGTGGCAGATCCCGAAGTGGTAGAACCAGAGTTGGTTGGAAGTGACGAATTGTCACCAGAAGTGGCAGATCCTGAGCTAGTAGAAACCGACGAGTCGTCACCAGAAGTACCAGATCCAGAACTAGCAGAAACCGACGAGTCGTCACCAGAAGTGGCAGATCCAGAACTAGTAGCAGCCGACGAGTCGTCACCAGAAGTGGCAGATCCAGAACTAGTAGCAGCCGACGAATTGTCACCAGAAGTGGCAGATCCGGAACTAATAGCAGCCGACGAATTGTCGCTAGAAGTGGCAGATCCGGAACTAATAGCAGCCGACGAATTGTCGCTAGAAGTGGCAGATCCTGAACCAGTAGAAGCTGAGGAGTTATCACCAGAAGTGGCAGATCCGGAGGTGGTAGAACCAGAGTTGGTTGGAACTGACGAACTGTCACCAGAGGTGGCAGATCCCGAAGTGATAGAAGCTGAGGAGTTGTCACCAGAAGTGGCAGATCCAGAGGAGGTAGAACCGGAGTTGGTTGGAACTGACGAATTGTCGCCAGAAGTGGCAGATCCAGAACTAGTAGAAGCCGACGAGTTGTCACCAGAAGTGGCAGATCCAGAACTAGTAGAAGCCGACGAATTGTCGCTAGAAGTGGCAGATCCAGAACTAGTAGAAGCCGACGAATTGTCGCTAGAAGTGGCAGATCCGGAACTAATAGCAGCCGACGAATTGTCGCTAGAAGTGGCAGATCCGGAACTAATAGCAGCCGACGAATTGTCGCTAGAAGTGGCAGATCCTGAACCAGTAGAAGCTGAGGAGTTATCACCAGAAGTGGCAGATCCGGAGGTGGTAGAACCAGAGTTGGTTGGAACTGACGAACTGTCACCAGAGGTGGCAGATCCCGAAGTGATAGAAGCTGAGGAGTTGTCACCAGAAGTGGCAGATCCCGAAGTGATAGAAGCTGAGGAGTTGTCACCAGAAGTGGTAGATCCCGAAGCGGTAGAACCAGAGTTGGTTGGAACTGACGAATTGTCGCCAGAAGTGGCAGATCCAGAACTAGTAGAAGCTGAGGAGTTGTCGCCAGAAGTGGCAGATCCCGAAGTGATAGAAGCTGAGGAGTTGTCACCAGAAGTGGTAGATCCTGAACCAGTAGAAGCTGAGGAGTTATCACCAGAAGTGGCAGATCCGGAGGTGGTAGAACCAGAGTTGGTTGGAACTGACGAACTGTCACCAGAAGTGGCAGATTCCGAAGTGGTAGAAGCTGAGGAGTTGTCACCAGAAGTGGTAGATCCTGAACCAGTAGAAGCTGAGGAGTTGTCACCAGAGGTGGCAGATCCCGAAACAGTAGAAGATGAGGAGTTGTCACCGGAAGTGGCAGATCCTGAACCAGTAGAAGCTGAGGAGTTGTCACCAGAGGTGGTAGATCCCGAAGTGGTAGAACCAGAGTTTGTTGGAACTGACGAATTCTCACCGGAAGTGGCAGATCCTGAAGTGGTAGAACCGGAGTTTGTTGGAACTGACGAATTGTCGCCAGAAGTGGTAGATCCTGAACCAGTAGAAGCTGAGGAGTTGTCGCCAGAAGTGGTAGATCCTGAACCAGTAGAAGCTGAGGAGTTGTCGCCAGAAGTTGTAGATCCTGAAGTGGTAGAGCCAGAGTTGGTTGGCACTGACGAATTGTCACCGGAAGTGGTAGATCCTGAGCCAGTAGAAGCTGAGGAGGTATCACCAGAAGTGGTAGATCCCGAAGTGGTAGAACCAGAGTTGGTTGGAACTGACGAATTCTCACCAGAGGTGGCAGATCCTGAACCAGTAGAAGATGAGGAGTTGTCACCAGAAGTGGCAGATCCCGAAACAGTAGAAGATGAGGAGTTGTCACCGGAAGTGGCAGATCCTGAACCAGTAGAAGCTGAGGAGTTGTCGCCAGAAGTGGTGGATCCTGAAGTGGTAGAGCCAGAGTTGGTTGGCACTGACGAACTGTCACCAGAAGTGGCAGATCCCGAAGTGGTAGAAGCTGAGGAGTTGTCACCAGAAGTGGTAGATCCCGAAGCGGTAGAAGCTGAGGAGTTGTCACCGGAAGTGGCAGATCCCGAACCAGTAGAAGATGAGGAGTTGTCACCAGAGGTGGTAGATCCTGATGCAGTAGAAGCTGACGAATTGTCAGAACTGGTTGTACCTGATGTAGTTGATCGAGATTGTGGGTGACTGGATGCTGATGTTGAGTCGAGGGAAGATCGGGTGGATGAAATAGTGGATGATTTCGCTTCAGTGGAACTGCTGTGCTTACTACTCGTTGTGGCCGAACTTGTGGGGTGCGGTTGTGGGGGTCGTGGCTCTTTAATACAAGGGGCACAGTTCCTATGTTGTTTGCTTCCTTCGGGAGGAGGTTCGGGATATGAAATAGTAAGAACATAGTCAGAATTTGCTGCTAAATTTACATCGGTCTTCATTTTGGATTGATCGTACCCTGAACCAATAGTCAAGACATAATTGAATATATGTGAAGTGAAAATAAGGTTATCACCTGAATATTTAAGACCCCTAAAGTCATCAAGAGAAACTTTAAGCCATATTGAATTCCCATTTCCAAAACCTGAAACTGATGCATTACAACTTGTAACTAAATGAAGTACCGAAGTCCCGCTAGAGAGGTAGACGGTGTTTTCAGGGTCTGTCACAGCTGTGAACTGGGAATTCTCTCCAATTTCTACACATCCAACCCCTCTGAAGGCATTGTTAACGTTGTTAGCATTCATATTTAACAAACAAATTTGCCCATGGTTCACTTGATTTGCCCCCGAGAAGGTGACTTCGTCTCCATTCTTACCACTGAACGATAAAAGAGCACCCCACTCGTTCTGAAACTTCGTAGTAGTTCTAATCAGTAGCTGTTGATCTACCTTCTTGTTTCCTAACAATTCTACCCAAAATTTCCCACTGTTATGGAATGAGTCGACTTCGAGGCTTATTTCTGACGTCTCTCCTTCAGTTGAAGAGATGGCGAATTGTCCTGAATTGTCTAAGATTCCATTACCACCTTTGGATGAGATATCCAAGGTTGCAGAAGTATCGTTGTTCACTATGTATACCTTTCCTTTATTGTTAAAGTTTTCTGGTAGCACCAACGGTTCACTGTTGATCATAAGTAAGTACCCGTTTTTGGATACTTCGATACTTTCATCATCAGGAAACTTTGAGTTCTGGAGTACCACGTCAGAATCATAAACGATAGCTGTAGCCACTTCTACAAGAAGTGGAGCAACTAGGGCTAATGGAAGTAATCTCATAGTTTAGTGGACTAGGAACTCGTTTGTTGAAAGCAAGGATTCCTGTCATATTTATTCTTCGTCTGAATGGCATTAGCGGGTGTGATTTTTAAGATTAATTTCTGGTATAGTACCTATTGCAAATTTTGGCTAATTGTACATTTGGTGTACATGGATAGTAAATCATGCATGAGCCGTTTTGTGCATAAGCATGAAGTGTTGGGTGGTCGGTTAGTAAAAAAAAAAAAGAAACTCCCACCACAAGTGGATTTCCACAAAACACGGTACAGAGACAAGTCTTTAGGTAGTCGGTTTATCTCCGTTTTCTGTGGTATCCTTCTATTTAGATGGTTCTTTCCCTCAATAAATAGAAGGAAATCTTGAATGGTTTGATTCTCGAGTTACAGAACCAAACCTTAAATTCTTAGCGAGAGGCACCTGTAAGTTCCCAGAAACTCGTACCATCCAATAATATCCTCTCGAGACGTCTATATGAAATTTGCTGTACGTAATCCCCGCCAACCTCTATTTGTTTCACTTGATTTCTTACCCAGAAAATAGAAGATGAACAAGTTTGGCGCACAAATTCCGTGAATTAAGAGCTTTTCCTTGCATCTAAGGTTCATAACTGCAGCGATTTTCGGTAAAGAGCACATTATGGAGTATTTAGGACATTCTGCATTGCATTATATGTGGAGTTAGTCCGAACTAGTTCGTTTCATATTAAGAAATAATGCTCCGTGATGAAACAGTAACAGAGATGAAAAAGTTTAAGAAGCAGATCTTTGGAGGTTCTAGAACATGCGATTTTAATTGTCGCTCCGAACCATCAAGATCTAAGATAAAATAGAGTTGGTGTGAACATTTTGATGGTATTTCAGCCGAATAATGAGATGAATACTCCAATGGGGTTGCCCGTATGAGTACTTGTTGTTTGTGAATTTGGGATATGATCTGCACAAAAAAAAAAGAAACTAAATGTATTCTCGAGAGCTAATTTCGTTTTGAAATTCCATCAAACAGTGCTGTATTTAGGAAGGGGGTACACGTTTGGAAATTAGTTCGTGTCCCAGGCAGCAGTACGACGGTAATTCCTTTGCAAATATAATGTAGAGAAACTTACATGGGCAACGGTCAAGGTTGTTCCATGATTGCGAGAGACTGACGTGAACTACAACACCAGCCACAGGTCTGCTGAGTACAGGCTAAAGCTTCTAAATTCTGGAATTGTAACCGAATCACACAACCAAGGTAATGGCTGGCTTGTCAATACTGAACTGTTGTAGTAGTTACTTGTAGAAGTAGTTGTAATTCATCTACTGGAGAAACCAAACCACAGGCTGGCCATAGTCGGTTTGATGCGTATACCCATCTCGTTTAAATTTACCCCTATCTTTTAAATCTTAACTTTAAACGTCTACAGAAGGTTCTAGTCTATCGATCTTTACATTTCCTTTAAATTTCTAAAGAAAGCTCTAGTATATCAATCTTCACATTTTGCACCCAAATAGAACTCTCCTCGTGTACTCTACATGGGTAAAACTACCTTTCTATACATTCAAAACACACCATAGGGAACACCTTGGCATGTGTGAGCCATGATAGTTCACTTGTGGATGTATTACTATGTAAAAAAGAAAAATATCAAGATGCCCTGAAAAAGAAGAATTCTCCGACAACGGATATGATCTATCGTGCCGCTCTCCCCCGAACCTTGCATGTAAAATGGTTCGATGACCTGCCAAATTCGGTAACTTGCGACTCCTGAAAAAAAAAAAAGTAACATTTCCTATAGCTCATCAAGATCCGGCACATACATTCGGCTGCAACCTATTTTAGCGGAACGAAAACCCTTTTCAAGCATGCCAAGAGTGCTTTGTTAATTATAGATTCTATCTGATTGTGAGTAAATCCGAACAATCTATACCTGTAGCCGAATATGGGGGGTATCCGAGACTATATAGTTTGTCACATTTTCTATGCTTTTTTCTAATTCCTGAGGAGGGGTGGCTACTTTTGTCCTCTTTATTGTACTCTGGACTGTAAGACATTGATATCTTGCTTATGTAGTGGCGACTGTTTACCAACCAGGATTGCGCTCATCTTGACTTCATGTTCTGGTGATGTAATCCCACGTCATCGCATATCATGAAATTCAGTAGTAGCGTACATGTACCATATTTTTTCATGTATTTCAAAACTCACACGGCACAACTCCTTCCAGCGTATAGCCGCAAGGAATATAAGCGCTGGTGGGGGTACTATGCTGCTGTTGGAGCAGCAATTTCCTCCACTAAAGACCAATCTGATTGAAAGGAGAGGGGGTTACAATAGTCAATCGTAGTATCCAGGATGTAAATAATCCTTGTCTCTTGATTCATATCGGCAAAAGTTGTAAATCCAAGAGCTCATCTCTTAATGGCAGGACTATCTACTTGTTGGAACACATAGAAATGACTTGGCAAGTACACTCACATCTGTATATATTGTTGGGAATCGGTTATACGATATGTCTTGAGACGGCACTTGAGTTCCCACTATTAACCACTATGGGCTAGAATTCTTTTGCATTAATCAAAAGCACAATGAGGGTAGTAGAGATACCAACTGTTTTGGGATTAGACCTGGAACTAGATCTTTTAAGATTAGGAGACATTCTGGGCCAGAGGAGCGTCTCTTCCTCCCCGTGGGGTGTTGCCACTCCCTTCCCTGCGGGGCCTGCAAGCCGCTCCGCTGGCACTCCGTGGGCCACTAGCCGTGGGGGCCATCTTCCTCTAACGAGGAACCGGGAGAACTCCTCGTAGAGGAGCCAGGCCCCACGCAGTGGCCCTCCCCGGGCAGGGGCCAGCGGAGCGTCTCCTCCACCCGACGAGAGGATGTTCTAGGGAAGGACCCCCCGTGTCGGGTCGGGCCATAAGGGAAGTGCCACTACATGGTGGCTAACTCCCTTACCATGGAACCTTGGTTTGCCATCTTGTCAGAGGGACCGAGTGTACTACTTGGCTAGCATGACCCCAGATCCAATCTAGTGTTTCTAAGATTAATTTATCTCCATAGAGGAGCTGCTACTATCACTGGTAGTTTTCTCCGAGTACCTTGTGCATCGTGAAGGTTGTTGTTTGTCTTTAAGAATCGCCGGGAACTGTACATCTAGTCATCCCTTTTTTATATGAATACAAGTCTCGGAATGACTACTAACCAACCAGTATCATATAAATACACTTAACTTACATCACTCTAGCTCGTGATACTTGATGTTCGCTACATGATGTCCGCTAATCTTTTAGAATTATGTATCAATGTATAAATATTAATCAGCGACTCTATTTTCCGTATTTAGTAGAGTAAGGTCTCGCTATCTTGAGACTTTGAAGTTTGCTCAATAGAAATCAGTACTGCTTAGAGCAGTCACCTTCCTCGATAGAGGAACCGGGGCCAGACGCCCGCAATGTGTCTGTAGGACGCTCCGCTGGCTCCTTCTTGGGGAGAGCCACATCGTGGTGTCTAGCTCCTCTGTGAGGAGACCTGACGCGGCTTACATACCCCGTAGGGTAGCTACTCTCCTGCCCTGCGGGACTGTATGACGCTCCGCTGGCCCCTGCTCGGGGAGAGCCACTGCGTGGGGCCTAGCTCCTCTACGAGGAGAATGTTAGGTCCTGAGTCTTCCTCGGTAGAGGAACAAGGCCCCCACGGCTAGTGGCCCACGGAGTGCCAGCGGAGCGGCTTACATACCCCGTAGGGTGACCAATGCTCTTCAGCGTGGGACTGAGACGCTCCCGCTGTCCCCTGCTCGGGGAGAGCCTAGGGTATTTCCGGGGCGGTTTCGTCTATAAAGGACTGGCGAGTGTGTCCCATACAAGTCTGGAGAAGGTGAGTACTGTCGATATGACAGGGAGCGCACTTTATAGATATCCATATACGCTGGACTCGGTTCTGGCTACGCCAGAACCTCGGGGGATTGAGCTTAAAGGCTATCATTTAGACTCTATTCATCATCCTCATCCTCTTCTTCTATCTCGTCACCCTCGGGTACTACCGCGTCATGAAGTTGACGTAACTTGTTCATCACTGTCAACACAAACGGACGAATTTCGTTGATCTCAAGAAGCGAAAGCCCATCCAATTGGATGTTCGACTCGTTAAGCTCACGAAGACCCTTGCGGGACTTGACAAGACGGATTTCTCGTAGATCCTGGATGATCAGTTTCAACTGAGAAGTCAGGTCTGCCAAGTCATCTGGGGCTCGGGCCAACAAGATCTTTGACGTTTCGAGCCAATGCCATGGCAACGCGCTGAATCGGTGTGGTTGAGCCAATTCCGCGTCGTAACGACTCTTCAAGTATGTGGCCAGGAGCCACTCTGGGGGGACAATGTTACATTTGTCCTGCGACTTGAGAATAAGCGCGATCCAGAGCGGCACCTGTTCTCTACGCATGGCCCTAAGGGCAGGGATCTTGGTCTAGATGGTGTTAGTAGACGGGCTGGGGGGTAATAGAGGGAGCTAGAGAGCACTAGAGGGGCACTAGACGACGCTAAAGGGCGCTAAAGCTTCAGATACATACACCAATCAACTCGAGTTTGGGCATGGAATACCGCGGGAGGATTGTTATGAGCTCGTTCTCGGCAAGGAAGTTCGACTCGGACGGCATCAAGCCGCCCTGGAGATGTGTGGGCATAGCCATGATGGAGATACTTGACGGGTTTGTTTGTTTGAACGCGTCTTTTTCTCGAAACTTCTCCTCTGTCTGTTTTTTTTGGCTGAGTGCGCGCGCGCGTGCGCGCACTTTGGACGGAGAAATTTGCAACACAGAAAAATTCACTGGATCTCGTGACTGACACACGCCAATTGGCTGCAAAATGCCCATCAAGGGGGGAATTCGTTTCTGTTCCCGCTTTTACTAGCTAGTCACCCTTTTCAAAAGAGAAATGGTTACACGATGGGTAGAGTCAATCTCGATGGCCGACTATCGTGGAAGTGACCACTGCTAGTGGACTATGGAGTCCAGAGGAGCAGGTGACATACCCCGTCACCCGTGACTACTACTCTCCTGCCCTGCGGGGCTGTAAGACGCTCCGCTGGCCCCTACTCGGGGAGAGCCACTGCGTGGTGCCTAGCTCCTCTACGAGGAGTTCTTCGGTCTCTATGTCCTTCCTCGTTAGAGGAACGAGGCCCCCGCGGCCAGCGGCCCACGGAGTGCCAGCGGAGCGTCTTGCAGACCCCGTAGGGTGACTACCACTCTCCTTCCGTGGGGCTGTGTGACCCTCCGCAGGCTACTGCGTGGGACTTGGCTCCTCTGATGAGGAGTTCTTCCCCGCTTCTATAGTCTCCTTGTATAGAAGGCAGGGCAACGATGCCTAGTGGCCCACGGAGTGGCAGTGGACAACCATCGTAGGGCAGATAGCTGTTCAGTTTACCAGTGGAACAGCTCTTCTGGCCCATTTCTCTTCATCCCTTCTACACCGATTGTCATCTTCAACTGTGTTTCCATGTAAGTATCTGTTAATATACAGTTTTTATGTAGTCTATTTACAATGAATCTCCTACTCTGGGAGAGCTACTGATTGCTACCACGCGCGCTTTCCCGCCCCGTTGATTGGAAGCTACTCCCTTACCCTGCGGGGCAGCACGATGCTCCGCTGGCCCCTGCTCGGGGAGAGCCACTGCGTGGTTCCTAGCTCCTCTACGAGGAGTTCTTCTGGTCCTGGACCCCTTCCTCGTTAGAGGAACAAGGCCCCCACGGCTAGTGGCCCACGGAGTGCCAGCGGAGCGGCTCACAGACCCCGTAGAGCATTAACCACTCCTTTACCCTGCGGGGCGGGGCAGCACAGACTCTAGGCTGACCCCTTCTCGAGGAGTAATCTTGGGAAGTAGGATCCTTAAATGCTAGTAATCCAGTCCAACGTTTGCATGGCAACTTCTGTTCTTATATGCTCTTCTCCATCAGAGTTCCCAGTCTCCGTGACCGTTTGTGTGGTTACCACTCCTAAACAGTCGATGATACGGTTGAGCAAGTCTTCATTCAGCTTGAGAGTCGTCTCTTCCTCCTGTGTGAACCAGTCACCAGTGGCACTTCCATCCCTTTGTTTCCGTTGGTAATGGTTTGAGCGGCGAATCAAAAATGGAACAATGATGGCATCCCTAAAGGCCAAGAGAAGGATTCTCTCAATGTTTATCGCAATCGGGGTCCCTGAAAACAGCACAACGTCGTTGAAAAACCTTTCTAATGGGTAGAAGATGGACATTAGGGAAAACCGTACGCGCTGGTTGAAGTATGTCCATGCCTCTGCAATGTGTCTCCATCCGGTGAGAAGGTCATCTCCAGTCGAAGTTCTCTTTATATCTTCATTATAAATGATCAACGCCTTAACAAAGAACGTGAGGAGATCCTGGTATATTTCTCTGACTCGTAAGTCATCAAGTCGAGTGTCCAGAAGAGCGGAAGACGCCGTGGCAGCGCTCACCGCCCGCGAGGGCCGGGTGCGTCTCTTCGAGGCAACAGGGGATTGACGTTCATCTACACCGCTCTTAACGTAGTTGTCTTGCACATACGCCGCCATGTCCTCTATGGTGGATCCAAGGTACGCGTGAGTGGATCCATTTGCAAGCGTCCGTTGCTGGGATGGGAGGAAAAGTGGCTGGAGTAGACTGAGAAGAAGTGTAAAGAATTGTACGTTTGTCTTGCCGAAATCAATAAGATAACGGTGGAAATACGTCTCTTCATCGTCGGTGATGATACCAAGGCCTGCCGGGAGGCTGGTTGCCATTGACAGAGTCGATGGGTTGCCCATGGACATTCCAAGATAGCTGCCAGGCCCACCGGGTCCACCACCCAGGCCGCTCATACCCATACCCACAGAGCTTCCCGTAGGCGTGCCAAAACTGCTCAAGTTCGCCGCAGATCCGTTGTTCCCACTCAACGCCACATGGCCCAACCGTTGCAGAAGGAACTGGTCGGTCGGGACAAGTAGTTTCTTGTGGATGTCCAGAAACGTCGTGTGGTCGTCTGGGGCCGTGTCTGCCGAGAAGTCTGGGTCTGTGAAGTGGTAGACCATGGCAAAGGAGATGTCTGAGATGAAGGAGTTTGAATTGTTGGACGAGAGGTCTATTGCCGTTCTGTTGGCAGTCGTGGGCGGGAGTTGGAGATGGTGGTGGTATCCACCCCGCAGCAGAAGCAGCAGTGGGTCGTCCTTGGGTGAGGCAAAGGGCCGTTCTAGCGCCGACACACTGAGCCCCTTCTCCGACAACGGAGCCACCACTGTGGAAACCGTGCCCAGGGGTGCTGTTGCCGCCTGCACCGATTGCGCCAGTATGCTGCTTCTAAACAAGCTATGGAACGTCGACACGGGCGAGTTGACGCTATTTTTCCTACCCACAGAGTCACCATCCTTGGCGGCACTTAGGATCTTTTTCGGGACTTTGAGTCCATGATGACCACCAGTTTGTACCTTCAAATCTGGCTTACCCTTGGTCCTAGACTTGCCCTTGATGGGCGATGAAGATGACGGGCCCCCGCCATCTTCCACCACTCCAGCCCCGGAGCCCACAAGACTGCCCGATCTTTTCCGTGGGAGTCTGAGCTTCCCACGTGGCAACTTGAACATTGATTTCTTGTCACCTCCAGCCACGATATTGGACGATGAAGAGGGGAATCGCATTTCTTCGTCTTCATCAATGCTGTTGTCTCTGTATTCTCGGTGGAATGATGGTGGAGGTTCGATTGTTTGCTGGGACTTGTTCCTGGTGAATATCCTCAGAAGCCCACCACCCAACTTGGATGCGGTACTTTGAGTCGTGACGGTGGTGGAGGTGTTCAATGATGAATTCCCCAGGATCATGGACGACCCGGTGTTCCACTTCTTGAGGGTGTTGAACCCGACACTCGACACCTGTGCCGCCGGCATGGGCGCCACCGAGGTCAGCAGTATGTTTCCATGCCCGTAGAGCTGTACATTTTCCATTGGAATGAGTGACAATCAGAGAATCAATACAAGCAGTAACAGGAGGAGGAGGAGGAGGAGGTTTCATACCACAGATTCCCAGAAAAGTATGATAAGTGACAGGTCACGTGAGCCGAGAAATCCAAAAGGGGTTGGAGGTTGGAGGACCATACCAAAGAAGAACATTGGGTTGGGTAGAGTATATAGATGTAGTAGGTAGAAAGGAAGGAAATAAGAGGGAAAGATGCTGGAGCTGGGGGGAGGTGAGGGGTGGGTGGAAGAAAGGTAAGGTAAGGATTGGAGGGAAGATTGAGGGAAATGCTCTGCAGTGCTGGGTGTTTGGGTGTTTCTCTAAAAATAGATAGGATACCCTACACTGCCGCCGCTCTGTTGGCACTCCGTACGTCTCCTCGCAGAGGAGCTAGGCACCACGCAGTGGCTCTCCCCGAGTAGGGGCCAGCGGAGCGTCGCACAGCCCCGCAGGGAAGGGAGGAGGTTCCACCCTACGGGGTATGCGAGCCGCTCCGCTGGCACTCCGTGGGCCACTAGCCGTGGAGGCCTTGTTCCTCTAACGAGGAAGCCTACAGGGGTCTCGGGTCTCCTCGTCAGAGGAGCTAGGCACCACGCAGTGGCTCTCCCCGAGTAGGGGCCAGCGGAGCGTCTTCCAGTCCCCGGCCGGGAATGTGCCCTACGACCCGTATCCTGTCAAGATTCACTACTCCCACTCCCATTTCTAGGCCCGTGAAACAGTTCTATTCTTACAATATATACTATATATACTAAGTGAAATTGGAGTTATCACTGTAATTTCCCCCAACATACGTTGCAAAAGTTGACCGCCAAAGTTGGCCCTCCAAAATGTGTCTAGATCCTCGTTCCTGTACGTAACTCTTGGGTCACGTGCTTGTTTGGATTCTCTTCTGTCTTTTTTTTTTTTTTAGTATTTATTTTTTGGGCTGAGCTGTGTAGAAGTTGCTGCACTTCCCGATTGGGCGGAATAGTCAACATAAACATTGAAGAGTCTTCTTTAGTCGCAGGAGAGATTCGATTCTGGATTTATATAGATAGGCCAAGTCTAACTTTATCTTGCAAGGAAACATCAGAGTGCAAGTAAGGCAGCAAAAACAACAATTTCTCCGAAACGATGTCTAATCCATTTGATGATCAAGACTCGTTTGTATCGGTGCCTCGTGCAGCCTTTACCTCCGATAGAACCTCACCCAGACGATTCCATCAGCTTGACGAGAGCGATGATGACGAAGGGTTTTCTGGGTTCAAGGCCTCTGTCAACAAGATGGCCGGTGGTGGCACTGCTGACCAGTCTCCAACCAGACAATCCCCCAATATCTTTGCTCGTAGTAGAGCCCATGCTTCATCCAATGCCTTACGTAATGGCTTGAGCTTTGATAAGATGAGTGCTCCTCCAAACCTCCAATATCCACAAGAGTCCGCTGGGGACCACGGCCACCAGGTCTCGCCCACAGCACGGTCCGCATTCACCAGTAAGGAGTCTCCCAAGAGACAAAGAAGAACAGAATTGGTCATTTCCGAGGATGAGGATTCATCCAATGATTTCTTTGTCAATGGGTCTCCCAGAAGATCCCAGTTTGGCAAGAGTAACGGCAGTGAGCGGTTCTTGGACCCACCACAGCCGATTTTCCTGCCAGAGACCTTTGCCGAGGCAAACAGTGAGGCTGGAGGCGATAGGTCAACCTTGAACAATGATACAGAGGAAACGGCCAATCTCTACAACTACGACGGTTACCAAAAGGCCCATGAGTTGGACGAGAAGTTTGAAGAAAAATCAGTGTTTTCCGATAGCGGTACCGTCTATGAGACTAAGTCTCTCAGTGGGAGCTCTGCCTCCGGCGGCGACGGGACCTATTTCGGTGCGTCGATCGACGGGAACATCATGAATAACATTGCCAACGGGTACGTCCCAAGAGAAAAGGACCCACATGCCACCCAGGCCAAGCGTAAAGTCAGACTTGTAGGAAGTAAAGCCGGGAACTTGGTGTTGGAAAACCCTATCCCTGATGAGTTGAGGAAAGTGTTGACCAGAACGGAGTCCCCCTTTGGTGAGTTCACCAACATGACATACACCGCATGCACAGCTCATCCGGACGAGTTCCAGCAAAGTGGCTATTCTCTCCGTGCAGCCAAGTACGGTAGAGAGACCGAGATCGTCATCTGTATCACCATGTACAACGAGGACGGGTTCTCATTCGCTAGAACCATGCACGGGGTCATGAAGAACATTGCCCATTTGTGTTCTAGAAACAAATCTTCCGTCTGGGGTAAGGACGGGTGGAAGAAGATCCAAGTGATCATTGTCTCCGATGGACGGAACAAGGTCAATGAGTCTGTGTTGCAGCTCTTGACGGCCACCGGTTGTTACCAGGATAACTTGGCCAGACCCTATGTGAACAACCAGCCGGTAACTGCCCATCTTTTCGAGTACACCACCCAGATTTCCATCGATGAAAACTTAAAGTTTAAAGGTGATGAGAAGAGTTTGGCTCCAGTGCAAGTTCTTTTCTGTCTCAAGGAGAAGAACCAAAAGAAAATTAACTCCCATAGATGGTTGTTCAACGCCTTTTGTCCCGTGTTGGACCCTAACGTGGTGATTTTGCTTGATGTGGGAACCAAGCCCGACAACCACGCGGTTTACAACTTGTGGAAGGCCTTCGATAGAGACTCCAACGTTGCTGGTGCAGCCGGTGAGATCAAGGCCATGAAGGGTAAAGGATGGAAAAACTTGCTCAATCCTTTGGTTGCCTCGCAAAACTTTGAATACAAGATGTCCAATGTCTTGGACAAACCATTGGAATCCTTGTTTGGATATATCTCCGTCTTGCCCGGTGCCTTGTCTGCCTACAGATACATCGCCTTGAAGAACCATGAGGACGGGACCGGGCCCTTGGCGCTGTACTTCAAGGGTGAAGATCTTCTCAACCAGGACGATCTGAGCCATAAGAAGAAGAAAAACTCAAAGACCAACTTCTTTGAAGCCAACATGTACTTGGCCGAAGACAGAGTTCTCTGTTGGGAGCTTATTGCCAAGAGAAACGACAATTGGGTGCTTAAGTTTGTCAGACTGGCCACCGGGGAGACCGACGTGCCGGACACCATTGCTGAGTTCTTGTTGCAACGTCGTCGTTGGATCAACGGGGCCTTCTTTGCCGCCCTCTACTCGTTGAGAAACGCTGGCCAGATCTGGTACACCGACCATTCCATGGTGAGAAAGTTCTTCCTTAACGTTGAATTCTTCTATCAATTCATCACCTTGGTCTTCTCCTTCTTCTCCATCTCCAACTTCTATCTTACATTCTATTTCTTGACCGGCTCCCTTATCTCCAACAAGGAGCTTGGTAAGGGTGGGTTCTGGATCTTCACCATCTTCAATTACATCTGTGTTTGCACAATCACGTCCCTTTTCATTGTTTCCATTGGGAACAGACCACTGGCATCACAAACCATTTTCAAGGTCCTAATCCTTCTGCTTACGGTGTGTGCGTTGTATGCCCTTGTGGTTGGGTTCTATTTCGTGTTCAGTACCATTGCCAAGTTTGGTGCCGACGACGGGACGTCAACGTATGTACTCGTCAGTATCGTGGTGTCTCTTCTCTCGACCTACGGGCTCTATGCCCTCATGTCCTTCCTTTACATGGACCCATGGCACATGTTCACTTGTTCCATCCAATACTTCCTCATGATCCCTTCATACACCTGTACCTTGCAAATCTTTGCCTTTTGTAACACCCATGACGTTTCCTGGGGGACAAAGGGAGACACCGACCAAAAGGAGGATGTTAGCAATAGATATGTGATTGAAAAAGGTGCCAATGGTGAGTTTGAAGCTGTGGTCACGGACGTCAATGTGGAGGAGCTATACTTGGAAACTCTCTACAATATCCGAGCCAAACGGTCCAACCGGAAGGTTGCCATTCCTAAACCACCCCCAGCGGAAATGGAAGGTGAGGACTATGCCAAGGACGTTCGTACCAAGGTGGTTTTGACCTGGATGTTGAGTAACTTGATCTTCGTCTTGACCATGATGCAAGTGTACGAGGCGGGCCAAACCAAAAGCAACAAGTATCTTGCCTTTATCTTGTGGTCTGTGGCCATCTTGGCGCTTTGTAGAGCAGCAGGGTCTCTTGGTTATCTCTTCCAAAGCGGGGCAAGATTCCTTGTGGAGACAAAGAGTAAGTGGAGTCACAAGAGACAAGGCTACCTGGTTACCAATGCCAGTGCTTTGAACTAATAGTTAAAAAAAAAATATTATACCTCATCAACCTCCTCGACCAGGCTCTTGGAAGGTTTTATACCCTAATGAATATATGTACTAGACATAATAGTTTGTAGAGATACCTACGTACTACACTATTGAACTGTAAGACGCTCCGCTGGCCCCTGCTCGGGGAGAGCCACTGCGTGGTGCCTAGCTCCTCTGACGAGGAGACCCGAGGTCGCTGTAGACTTCCTCGTCAGAGGAACAAGGACACCACGGCTAGTGGCCCACGGAGTGCCAGCGGAGCGGCTCACAAACCCCGAAGGGTGGTTACTTCCTTACCCTGCGGGGCTGTGAGACGCTCCGCTGGCCCCTACTCGGGGAGAGCCACTGCGTGGTGCCTCGCTCCTCTACGAGGAGACCCGAGACCTCTGTAGTCTTCCTCGACAGAGGAACAGGAGCCTCCGCGGCTAGCGGCCCACGGAGTGCCAGCGGAGCGGCTAACATACCCCGTAGGGTGGCACCTACGCGGGACTACTTCAAGTCCCTCTACTGAGCCCCCAGTTAGGTGCTCGCCACTCAATAGTACCTAGTTCTCATGGAAACAACTTGAATCACATTCCATCCCCATTTATTTCCCCCTACTCTCTACTTCTTGCAACCTCTGGGTGGATGGGGTTCCTAGCGCTAAACTCCCCCACATCACGTGACCGCGGCTCGGTGATGAGATTACGTTGCCGCGAATTTTTATTTTCATGGCGCAACCTCCTCGAGCCTAAATCATCACAAAAACATCAGCAACACCAGGCCCATCCATTTCTTTAAGATCAACCAGAATAGCAAAAAAAAAAATAACAAATACTGTAGAATGGTTGCCTTGAAGAGAAAGACCGAGTCTGCAAACGGAGCCGCCAAGAGGGCCAAGCATGGCTCAGCCACGTCGTCGTTTATTCTCCACTCATACTCGAAGCTTCCAGACCTCAACTCTCATGTTGCCGCAAAGACCACCCCATTGGACGTCTTTGTCTGGGGGACCGGTTCGATGTGTGAGCTTGGCTTGGGCCCAAACGCAAGCACCAAGGAAGTCAAGAGACCGCGTCTCAACCCATTTTTGACCAAAGAGAAGTTGGGAGGTGCCAGCATCGTGGACTTTGCCGTGGGAGGTATGCACACGTTGTGTTTGGATTCGCAAAACCGTGTGTGGTCCTGGGGTACTAACGACAGTGCTGTGTTGGGTAGAGACACTTCCAAGGTCAAGGAGAAGTTGAAGGAGGCCGATGCGGACTCCGACGACGAAGACGGAGACTTGAATGAAGCTGAGTCCACTCCAGGCTTGGTCGAGGGACTCCCCGAGGTCAAGGAAGATGGCGCCAAGATTGTTCAAATGGCAGCCACCGACAACTTGAGTGCAGTCTTGTACGACAATGGGGAAGTCTATGCTTGGGGTTGTTTCCGTTGTAACGAAGGGCTACTCGGGTTCCTCAGAAAGGACATTGACATTCAAAGAACTCCATTGAAGATTGATCTTCTCAAGAACATCACCCAGCTTGCCGGTGGTAAGGACCACTTGTTGGCCTTGGACGCCAAGGGGATTGTGTATGCCTGGGGTAACGGTCAACAGTTCCAATTGGGCCGTAGAGTGCTTGAAAGACACCGTTACCGTACCTTGGAGCCACAGCAGTTTGGCTTGTACGACATCAAATACATTGCTCTGGGAGACTTCCATTGCTTTGCCATCAGTCATGACAACAAGGTGTATGCTTGGGGGTTGAACCAGTTCGGCCAGTGTGCATTCACCGACTCCGAGGGGAACTTGGAGGATGGATCATTGATCACCAAGCCCACAGAAATTGAAAGCTTGTCCAACAAGAATATTGTTGAGATTGCCGCTGGAGAACATCACACCTTGGCATTGACCGCCAGTGGCGAAGTATTTGCATGGGGTCGTTACGACATGAAGGAAGTTGGTATTGCACGTGAGGACCTCCCAGAGGGGACATTTAAAGATGCGCATGGGAACGCCAGATCTGTGCCAATTCCAACCAAGTTGCAATTTGGGAAGAAGGGCAACGATGTCAAGATGAAGGCCGTTGGATGCGGTCTGCACCATTCGTTTGCCGTTACCGAAGATGGGTTCATCTATGCCTGGGGGTTTGCCGACACGTATGCTCCTGGTTTGGGACCTCTTGATGAAGACGTTGAAAAACCTACCCGTATTGTGAACACCGCAACCAAACACCATGATATCAAGCTCATTGGTGCTGGTGGGCAATTCTCGGTTGCTGGAGGGGTCAAGATTGAGGATGAGGATGAAGCAGAAGATAGAGTGGACAAGTATGAAGAAATTGACGGTTAATTAGAATGTATGTAATAAAAGTTGTTTTTGTTTGAGAGAAGATATTTGGTTGGAAATGTAGAGAGGGGGCACTACAGATGGGTTCAATATTTTCTTTTATTGTTTAAAGTAAAGTCTAGAGATGATAAGAGGAGAAGAGAAAAGGGGTTGAAGGGTCAAGCCTTCCTTTTAGGAAACTTTTGAACTGGAAGCTTTCTAAAGTGATAATTTGAAAGCGTTGGCTTCACAGCAGCCATGATATTGTAATCTGGGGGTGGTTTAGCAAGATCAAGGGATTGAACAATGTCAAATAGTTCGTCAAAAGATAGGGAATTGTCAAGTCCAAAGAATTCCTCGATATCTTTAAGATCTTCAAAGGAGAATGGTAAGTCAAAGTAATAATCAAAATTCTTGGATTCGATAGTTGGAACTTCAACTGGAGCTGTTCGAACTTTGATTGAAGCTTCAACAATCTTTGGAATAGGTCTCCTAAGGATAGTATTATTCAACTTAATGGGAGCTTTCTTCTTGGGTACCTTTTGGACACTGAGATGTTCAGCCCAGGTGAGTTTCCGGACTGGAGTTGACTTAGGAGCAAGACCAAGAAATTGAACAATGTCACAGAGTTCTTCAAATGAGAAGTGTTTGTCATCTTGAATATCATCAAGGTCTGCAAAGGAGAATGGTAAGTCGAAATAATACTCAGACTCCTTGGAATCGACAATAGATGAAACTTCAACTGGAAGACCAAGAAATTGAACAATGTCATAGAGTTCTTCAAATGAGAAGTATTCATCAAGTCCATAGAATTCTTCGATATCTTTGAGATCTTCAGAAGAGAAAGGCAAGTCTGAATAATAATCGTCATCCTTGGATTTGATAGTAGATGGTGTTTCAATTGGAACTTCAACTGAGACAATCTTTGGAACAGCCTTTCTAAGAATAGTAGTCCTACTCTTCAATGGAGTATCCTTCTTTGGTACAACCTTTTGAACACTAAGATGTTCGGCCCAGGTGAGTTTCCGGACTGGAGTTGACTTAGGAACAAGACCAAGAAATTGAACAATGTCAAATAATTCGTCAAATGAGAGGTGTTTGTCATCTTCAACATCTTCAAGGTCTGCAAAAGAGAAAGGCAAGTCGAAGTAGTAATATTCCCTGGAATCGACAATAGATGAAACTTCAACTGAAAGATCAACTGAATATTCAAGAAATTGAACAATGTCAAATAGTTCGTCAAAAGATAAGGAATTATTAAGTCCAAAGAACTCTTCGATAACTTTAAGATCTTCAAAAGCAAATGGTAAGTCGAAATAGTAATCAGAACCATTGGAATTGGAAATTAATGGAACATTGACCGGAGCTTCAGCAGAGACAATCTTTGGAATAGGTCTCCTAAGAACAGTGCTGTTCAGCTTAAGTGGAGCTTTCTTCTTTGGTACCTTTTGAACACTAAGATGTTCGGCCCAGGTGAGTTTCCGGACTGGAGTTGACTTAGGAACAAGACCAAGAAATTGAACAATGTCAAATAATTCGTCAAATGAGAGGTGTTTGTCATCTTCAACATCTTCAAGGTCTGCAAAGGAGAAAGGCAAGTCGAAATTATACTCAGAATTCTTAGACTCAATAATTGATGAAATTTCAACTGAAAGACCAAGATATTGAACAATGTCAAATAATTCTTCAAAAGACAAGAATTTATCATCTTCAATTTCATCAAGGTCTGCAAAAGAGAATGGCAAGTCAAAGTAATAATCGGAATCCTTAGATTCAATTGATGGAGCTTCAACTGGAGACTCAATTGGAACTTTGACAGGAACACCAACTGAGACAATCTTTGGGATAGTCTTTCTAAGAATAGTCTGCTTATTCTTCATTGAAGAATCATTTTTTGGTACAACCTTCTGAACACTTAGATGCTGAGCCCAAGTGAGATTTGGGTTTATGAACAGTTTAGGAGGTTCAGAAACAATTCCAAAGCAATGAGCAATGTCTAGAAGCTCTTCAAACGTGAAATTCCATGGGTTTTCTCTAGAGTTCAGTGAAGAGGTGGCCACAGAGTAAACCTCTTCAATGACCCCAAAGCAATTTGCAATATCAAAAAGCTCCTCAAATGAGAAAAACCATTCTTCAGGGCTGGTGGTAGAGTAAACCTCCTCACCAATGCCAAAACAATGAGCAATATCAAGAAGTTCGTCAAATGTCAAACCAATACTCTCATCCATGACACACTCAGAAGATTCAACATCACATACTTCAAGCAGAGAATCTTGGAGCTTTTGTTCACCAGAAATTAATTCAACATGTTCATCTTCAGATGATTCTTCAGGAACCAAGTCAAATATTTCAGCATGTTTCTCTTCATCCAGTGAGGATGCTGAGTCGTCAAGTTCAACAATTTTGCATTCCTCGATAGCAATAGGACTAGCATCAATGCACATCAAAAGAGCATAAGGTTCACTTTTGAGACAAGGTACTCCACCTCTTATCGGAAAGTATAAATGTTGATTATCAAACTCAGTATCAATCAAATGTGAGAGGGGAAGAATATAGGAATTACAACACCTTTTTGAGATTGAATGGAGCAGAAGCAACAAGATACAAGCAGCAATATCAATGTTAGAAACCAAGGGAGTATATTGAGAAACAGTAAAATTTGAATCAATTGGGGTGTTTGGACGAGGAATTTCTTCCACGTCTGAAGTTAAAACTTCGGAGAATTGGGGAGGATAGGAAATATCACAAGTGCTTGAATATTCATTGGGAGTAAAGGAGGAAACTTCAAGGCTCTGGGTCCACTCAACAATTTTAGAAATTGGAGGGAAGTTAGCACCATGTCTACTCAAACGAGTAGAGCCGACACAAGAACAGATTTGTTCAAAGTTTTGAGGACAAGTAGAGCACATTGCAGATTGAATAGAAGTTTTCGAGATAGGGTTAATAAAAAATAATCAAGGGATTCAGGGGAACCTGGTCCCCTTTTATAGTCCAAGGGTTTTCTTTGGATGCTCAGAGGTAGAACATGTCTGTGTTAATTTGTAAAGTATAGGGAGAGAATCCCCTGAAAGGCAAGTTATGCAACATTCTAAATGGTTCCATGGGAATCCAAAATAACAAAATCTTCCGCAAGAAAATATGAATTGGTCAAGTATAGTTGAAATATGCCAATAGAGGAAGTCATAAATTTATTCTTTGAGGCTCCACCCATACCTAAAATGTAGAGTCAGTACAAATGGGCCAAGTTTAGAAAAAACAATCCAACAAGGGCAAGTTATGCATTCTCAAAGGTTCCACGCATACCTCGATTATCAACTTTGACAAGTATAGGCAAGGCATGTCCAACAAGATAAAGTAATGCAATGCAATACATTCAAGACTTCCACGGGCATAAACATAATAAACATCTTGTATGATATGCAATGTATGGACATTAGTATGCATTCATATACAGTAGTTGCAACACATACAAGGGCCACAAATATGCACCACAATCCTTCTTAAATTTTTCAAACTATTCTTTCCCAATCGGGGAACTCAATGATTTACTCCTTGGTGTAGGTATATTGAATGTAGATAGCCACAGATCATGGATTGAAAATTATATGGTGCGCCATCTTCCATTTCTAGGCTTGACGAAATCTCTTTTCTTTATTTCTCGCCAGTTCTATCTGATGAGACGTTCCATTTAAATATACTTTGGTGTGAACGACTAAAGTTTCCATTCTGTGGACTTCCAACAGGAGCTTGCATCATTGTACGAAATAGGAAGTTTGCAAAGAGTAGCATTTTGAAATGGCTGCAAATTTAGGAAAGTTCGCGCGCATACACATACATCCCATAGGGAAGTATAGTCATAGGCTTAAATCTAAGGAAACTATAGTAAGATTTTAGAAGGATTAAGTAGGATGATCAGGGTTTTGGGAAATGCTGGAAGAGAACTGACCAAGAAAATTTGGAAAGAGTCGCAGAATGTCATTGAAAAAGTAAATAAAGGAGAAGGTATAGATATGAGTATGTAGGTTATTGTGAGTTTGACTCCCGTTGGCTAACTTGTGGGTATGAGGACTGCAAGACGCTCCGCTGTCCCCTGCCCGGGGAGGGCCACTGCGTGGTGCCTAGCTCCTCTACGAGGAGACTCCTTGTAGTAGTGCCCTTTTTGGAAGTAGGATCATGAGACTATTTACGACCAGAGTAACTTCCAATTGTCTATGGGGTTTGTCCCTTCTCTATTCTTCTAGTCTGAAAGTAGGCTTATGAGCTACTGTGATTGTTAAAAAAATTGTATTACTGGACTGGAATCGAGGGCAGAGAATTAACGAGCCAGTCCTTCAATGCATCATTCTAGACAGACTAGAATTAGAGTAATCTCCTCGAAGAGGAGCTAAGCTCCACGCAGTGGTCCTCCCCGGGTAGGGGCCAGCGGAGCGTCCTACAGTCGCACGGTGAAGTGAGTACGGTTTACAAATTTTGTTCTTGTCTGAGACGAATTTCTCTCAAAATTAATATGTCTAAAAAATTATGATAATTTGAATGGATATTAATGGGGAAGCTTTTTTGTTTTATATGTCAATAAAACACTTGATATAGGTACATTTTGAGTCTAATAACAAGGCCAACACTTTCCATTTCAAGAACTCCTCAGGAAAGACCGCTTTAATCGAGGGGTACAGAATGTAAAGTTGCAAAATTTCACATATACATTAAATGTACATACTCCATCATGAAATTTATAACCTTTTCATTACTCATACTAAACATTCATAGCTATTCTTCACTATAATGGAGTTTCTCACTCTATATTAACCTTGTAATTAGTCTAAAATCATTAAAAAAAAGAAGATTTCTCTAATTTCTGCCCATTCTAACACCTTTATATTTTTCAAAAATCAAAATACGACTTCGTGGCCAAGCTGGTTAAGGCGTAAGACTGTTAATCTTGAGATCGTGAGTTCGATCCTCACCGAGGTCGTAATTTTCTTTTTTTTGTTAAGTTTTGCCTCCCCTCCCTTTTAGTTGCGATTTAATAGTGGCAACCAAATTTTTTTTTTTTGTCTCCCCTCTCAATTAACCTATACCACTACAAACTCTTTATTCTTATCTATATAAAGCTTGTATACTCTCCAACTCAATTCATCTACTTCATCCACTATATGTTTTGTTTCACCCACCAAGTATCTCTACCAATTCTTCTCTAAATGGTTGTCAAAGTCTCTCCAGACTGATCGCACGCACGCGCGTGCGAGCGATCGCGAGCGCGAGCGCGCGCGGTTTGTGTAATTTCTATGCCTCCCAACTTTGAACCTTCTCCAAAGAACTCCCTTCAAACCCTCCAACCATTTGAGGTATCCCCCGTCAGAGAAGGAGAGATACACCACCAGCCATCTGACACAGCATACACCTGCCACGCCAGAGCTGACATTCCCCATAAATAGAACCATAGAAGGAGATCCTTAGAGTGACCCCAAAAAAAAAGGAAGATAAAAGAGAAACAAACAGAAACATGTATAGTGCAGTTGCTGCTCAGAGTGTAACTCCAGGAGGCGGTGCTGCTTCCCACGATGCCACGGGTACGGGGGCATCCAAGGGAAATGCGGGCCCCGTCCCGGGCCCCGGCACGAGCACCGCTCCACCCGGGATTTCCAGTGGGAAGAATGCATTGAATGATGATCAAATCTACCAATGGACTGCTGAATTGGTCAGTGGATCCAACCGAGAACGAGCTCTTTTAGAGTTGGGCAAAAAGAGAGAACAATACGACGACCTTGCGTTGGTATTGTGGAACTCCTTTGGGGTCATGACCGTGTTACTTGAGGAGATTGTGTCTGTGTACCCCTTTTTAAATCCACAAGTACTCACGGCCTCGGTATCCAATCGGGTTTGTAATGCACTTGCTCTCTTGCAATGTGTTGCATCCAACGTCCAAACCAGAGGCTTGTTCCTCAATGCCAACCTCCCACTTTATCTCTACCCATTCTTGTCGACAAACTCACGTCAACGTTCATTTGAATATCTTCGATTGACCAGTTTGGGTGTGATTGGCGCCTTGGTCAAGAATGATACCCCTGAGGTAATCAATTTCTTGCTCACCACCGAGATTGTTCCCTTGTGCTTGAATATCATGGAGATTTCGTCGGAACTTTCGAAAACAGTGGCCATTTTCATATTACAAAAAATTCTTTTGGATGACCAAGGCTTGTCGTATGTGTGCACCACGTACGAGAGGTTCCATACTGTTTCGTCTGTGTTGGCCAAGATGATTGACCAGCTCAGTACGGCAACCGTCAATGCTGCTGGAACTGCTGCCGCTACCACCACCACCGCCACCAACAACAACAACAACGCCTCTTCTTCTAGCACCACCAACGGAGCCGCTCCTCCTTCGCAAGCACAACCGTCCAACTCTCTGGGAAGACTCTTGAAGCACGTGGTCCGCTGCTACATGCGGTTATCGGACAACTTGGAGGCAAGAAAGGCGTTGGCAAATATTTTACCCGAGCCTTTGAGAGATGGCACGTTTTCAATAATTTTACAAGATGATGCGGCCACAAAGAGATGTTTGGCACAATTGTTGTCAAACATCAGCGAGCAGCAACAGTAGAGAGAGAGAGGAGAGCGAGGAGAGGAGAGGAGAGGAGAGGAGAGGAGAGGAGAGGAGAGGAGAGAGGGGAGATGATTGTAACATATAGGTTTAGTTTCATGGCATGTATATTTAATGTACGATAGTACGAGCAGAAGTTATTTACATGGGACCCTTCCTCGTTAGAGGAACAAGGCCCCCGCGGCTAGCGGCCCACGGAGTGCCAGCGGAGCGGCTTGCTGCCCCCGGAGGGTGGGACCTACTGCCTTACCCTGCTGGGCAGCATGACGCTCCGCTGGCCCCTACTCGGGGAGAGCCACTGCGTGGTGCCTAGCTCCTCTGACGAGGAGACCCGAGACCCCTGTAGACTTCCTCGACAGAGGAACAAGAGCCCCCGCGGCTAGCGGCCCACCGAGTGCCAGCGGAGCGGCTTGCTGCCCCCGGAGGGTGGGACCTACTGCCTTACCCTGCGGGCAGCATGACGCTCCGCTGGCCCCTGCTCGGGGGGAGCCACTGCGTGGTGCCTAGCTCCTCTGACGAGGAGACTTCTTGTAGCCCTTCTGTAGCGGCCCACGGAGTGCCAGCGGAGCGGCTTACGTACCCCGTCCGAAAGGTCCCCCCCCATGAGCCTCCGAGCCTCGCCATTGGCGGAACGCTGTAGTCTAGAGAAAGCCCAGCTCCTCCACGGATCCCAGCCACGGCATTTTGACCCAAATTAACATCTTGCACAGATCGTCGTCCTCCTCTGCCGCGGAATGTCTCACTTTCTCCTTTGGTTGCGAAATGGAGAGGAAAAAAAGAAAATTTTAAGGGGGCCCCCTTGGTCCCCCCTCCCCGCCACGGCGGAACAACTCTGAAACACCAACCGCCCTAAGGCTCCCAATGTTGCTAGGAGTTCCTAGGAGTTCCACACACTCTCTGCTCTCTCCACCGACATAGGCTGCCCCACGCAAAAACGGAAAAGTTTCCTTCTTAAGTAGCCTTGCATGGACGAGATCGCTGCTCGATTAGCCACACTTTTGTCTAATTTTTTAGCTAATTCTTCGCGCGCACTGGGGGTGTGTCCTGCCCTGCACTTATCGCATCGCACTTCTCTGCCCTTAGCGGCATGGGCCGAACCCGAGCGGATTTTCTGTGCGTCTTTTCTCTCGTGTTTCTTTATCGGAGGTGTTTATTCAAATCTGGCAATTTCTTTCAATTCCACCATGTCTTCTGCCGACCGCTCGCACACGTTCCGCGAGTCGAATGTCAAGAGAAGAGCCTCTGTCGTGTATGGGTCCGTCGGGAAGGGGGGCCTTTATCTCCCACAGGATTTTATCAAGCCGCTGACTGTCCGTGGCAGCACCGCGGACGACGAAGAAGAAGAAGAAGAAGATGAAGCGGACAACGTGGTCTCCGAGTACGCCCCGCTTTTGGGCGCCTCGGCCAGCACCGCCACCACCCATGAGCCCACCAAGATGCGCCGCCACTCGTCGGTTCATCGTGAACTTGTCCAACAAGAACGTGAGCTCCTTGAAGACAATAACATCAAGGTGGTGCATTCACCACACCGGGACGCCGATGGTGACGTCGAGGCCACCTTTGAGGACGCCGCCAAGGACCACCTTGTCGCCACGACCCTGCTCATCGAGTTCAAGCTGCTTGTCAAGTCGTCTGTCCCACTCGTGGTGACCTTTTTGTTGCAAAACTCGCTCTCCACCGTGTCGGTGTTCACCGTGGGCCACTTGGGTGCCACCGAATTGGCAGCCGTGTCGATGGGTGCCATGACCGCCAACATCACCGGGTACGCCACCATCCAGGGGATAGCCACCGCCTTGGACACCTTGTGTCCCCAGGCGTTTGGAGCGAAAAAGTACCATTTGGTCGGAACCTACATGCAAAAGTGTATTGCTCTCATCTTCACCATCATGCTCCCCATCTTGTTGGTGTGGACGTTCTGGGGATACACCTTGATCACCCTCATTCTCCCGGACAAGGAAACCGCCAAGTTGGCTGCTGTCTACTTGCAATACATCGCTCCAGGAATCCCTGGCTACATTTTGTTTGAGTGTGGTAAGCGGTTCTTGCAAGCCCAGGGAGTTTACCACATCTCCACCTATGTCTTGCTCTTTGGTGCCCCCTGTAATGCCGTCATGAACTACTACTTGGTACAGAAATTGGGCTACTATGGAGCCCCCATTGCCGTGGCCATCAACTATTGGCTCATGGCTGGAGGGTTGTTCTTGGCCACCATCTACGGGATCAAGGCGGAAGACACCCCGACCGGGTTACATCCGTTGGTATGTTGGGGCGGTCTCAACGTCAGGGTTGCCTTCAAGGCCTGGGACCGGTTGGCATACTTGGCCATTCCTGGCTTGATCATGTTGGAAGCAGAATTCCTTGCCTTTGAAATCTTGACTCTTTTCGCCTCCTACTTGGGAACCATTGCCCTTGCCGCACAATCCATCGGTACCACCATGGCGTCATTGACCTACCAAGTTCCCTTTGCCATTGGAATCGCCTCCTCCACCCGTATTGCCAACTTTTTGGGTGCTGGCATGGGTGAAGCGGCGAAAAAGACCACTCAAGTCGCCATGGCGTTTGGATTGGCCATTTCCTTCTTGAACTTTTTCGCTCTTTACATTTTCCAACAAGAAATCGCACAACTCTTCACCTCGGACGAACGTGTCATTCAAACCGTCAAGGACGTCATGTGGCTCATTGCCTTGATGCAGGTCTCCGACGCCGTCAATGCCAACTCGGCTGGATGCTTGCGGGGCCAAGGACAAACCAAAATCGGAGGCATTGTCAATTTGGTGTCGTACTATCTCGTTGGACTTCCCTTATCGGTTTATCTTTCATTCCACAACTCGGTGTACAAGGGGAGTTTGGACGGACTTTGGATTGGGAGTACGGTTGCATTGACCCTCATTGGGGTCTTGCAGAGTTACTTCTCGTTGTTTGCCGACTTTGACAAGTTGTGTGAAGATGCTACAAACAGAACCGCAGAGCCAACTGTTTGAACTAAAAAAATTTTAGATTCTTTATCGTTAATTCCAAAATATATAACTTACAATTGAATAGAGTAGACCCACACACAGTAGAGGGGTACAGTCCACCAGGGAAGGGAGTAGGTTCCACCCTACGGGGTATGCGAGCCGCTCCGCTGGCACTCCGTGGGCCACTAGCCGTGGAGGGCCTTGTTCCTCTAACGAGGAAGCCTACAGGGGTCTCGGGTCTCCTCGTCAGAGGAGCTAGGCACTACGCAGTGGCTCTCCCCGAGCAGGGGCCAGTGGAGCGTCATGCTGCCCCGCAGGGTAAGGGAGTAGGTCCCACCCTCCGGGGGTTGCGAGCCGCTCCGCTGGCACTCCGTGGGCCACTAGCCGTGGAGGCCTTGTTCCTCTAGCGAGGAAGTTCCAGGAGGAGTGAGTCTCTTCGCAGCGTCATCGCGTAGTCCCATGGGGTTTCTGGTTGGCCATGTGGTAAAAGCTACGGGATGGTACGGGATGGGTGGCTACGGGTAATGTATACACATTTGCATATATTTAACCATGGTGGTTCATTTGTCTAATTATACATTCTGCTCTCCTCTACACTTAGAAAGCGTCTATCATTACAGCCTCTTTGGCTGCACTTTCGCTGGTAACACGTGCCATACCGGCAAGAAGTTCTCTTCTGATTTCTGGACCAATTCCAGCGTGGAACCGTTGTCTTACGGTTTCCAACAAGAAGTCTCTTTGATCGTCGGTGATGTCGTTCTTGTAACGTTGGGCAAACGCCAAGAATGCCTTGTGCCACACCACGGGCAAGGCAGGCATTGGGGCTGCGGAGTCAGCAGAGTCGTCCTCCATCGAGTCCTGTGCAAGGGCAGCACGACGGAAACGCATAAAGTAGAACACCAACTCATCCAAGGTTTGGTAGGGCAAGGCGTACTTCTTCTCAATCAAAACACGGATGAACACGGTGGTGGCAGGACTGAAGTCACGTTGAAGCAATTGGGTCAAGGCCACGGAGGAATGCAAAACAGGTACGGATACCTTGGCCAACACGGAGGCCCCAATGGTGGCCTCACGCACAGAACAATGGCTGTCGACCAAGGGGAGCAAGAACCCTTTGAAAAAGGCGGCCGGCTTATAGAGAGACTTCTTCAAGGCTCTGTAGATGTGGTAGTTCAAGGTGTGATCTTCCGAGTCTTCGATGGACACACGGAAACGCTCGAGCAACACCTGCTCGACAAACTTCTGGGCCTCAGGGGCCTGCAAGTTGGAAACAAACAACTTGGTGGCCTCGTAGACCGCGTGTGGAGTCCATTGTTCTGGGTTTGTCACGTACAAGACGTCCTCCCAATTTCTCAAGGTGGGCAAGACTTTGAACAACTTGGGCAACTTCCCATGTGTGTATGTGGACAAGATCTGGCCGATCTTCTCGTAGGCGGCAATGACCTTTGGTGGGAGAAGAACTGCGTCTTCTGGACGGGCAACTCCGGCGGCAGTGGCGGCAGCAACTCTTCCTTGTTCCTTCTCTTGGATCTTGGCCATGATCTTGTCGGCCAAGTTGAATGCTCCTCCACCGCTCCCGGTCAGTTGCAAGTAGCGCTCGAACATCTCGGCGTCACGCTCGTCGACCTCATCCTCTTCATCTACCTCGACGTCTTCTTCTTCAAACTCAGAGTACTCTTCTTCTTCTTCTTCTTCTTCCACTTCGATCTCGGCGTCACCAAACCCGCCAAATGCGGCCTTTCTGGCTCCACCAGCGGCGGACTGCTTGTCCTCCTCCTCCTGCAACTCCTGCTGTTGTTCCTTGGCCAACTGCAAGATCTTTCTCGAGGTGGCGGCGTCCAAAAATCCATCCTCTTCACGCTTGGAGGTGCCCTTGGCTGCGCTTCCGGCACGTGGAGCGGCACGGAAGTTACCGCCCTCCTCGGAAATGTCCTTGTACAAGGGGTTGTGGCGCTGCTTTCCCTTGGTCTCACTCACGGATATCTTTCCCATTGTGCAGCTGTAATGTGGTGGTGGTGGTAGTAAGAGATGACTGTTTGCAAAAAGAGAAATAAAAAAAAAAAGGACCCCAAAAAAAAAAAAAAAAACCGTTCTGAGAAGAGGCCGCCGCCTACCAAAAAAAAGAAAAAAAAAATAATATCGCGATCCAGAGAGTGGCAGCCACCCAGTGACACACTGGGACCGAAGAACTCCTCGTAGAGGAGCTGAGCACCACGCAGTGGCTCTCCCCGAGCAGGGGCCAGCGGAGCGTCATGCTGCCCCGCAGGGAAGGGAGGAGGTTCCACCCTACGGGGTATGCGAGCCGCTCCGCTGGCACTCCGTGGGCCACTAGCCGTGGAGGCCTTGTTCCTCTAACGAGGAAGCCTACAGGGGTCTCGGGTCTCCTCGTCAGAGGAGCCAGGCACCACGCAGTGGCTCTCCCCGAGCAGGGGCCAGCGGAGCGTCATGCAGCCCCGCAGGGTAGGTAGTGGGTTTGCAAGACGCTCCGGGGTGACCTCCATTCATTCTAGTGTAGTAGTAGTAGTAGTAGTAGTAGTAGTAGTAGTAGTACGGGATCTACATATTCTCTTGTTTCTAATCTAAATATCATATTTTTGTCATATATAGTCATAATCTTAGTACGCTCTCACTTGTTCTTTCTCTGTCTATAAATAATCCATGTCATCGTATTCGATGCGGAGAAAAAGATGTGAGTAAATGAGTTCCTCTCCAGAGATGTCGGTCACCGGAAGGTACCGATACCCTCGCTTGAGATCACTTAATCTGCTGATCACAATTCCAATCGGATGGACTTCGTTACCATCCTCTGAATTGACCAGAAATCGTACAAACACCAAATCATTTGCAGCAGTGATGATGCCGCTGAATTTTTGGTTCCAAGTTGGATTGAATCCATTTTCCACAACCGCCTCCAGTCGTTTCGTGGCATTGGAATCGCCCCATTGTACAGAATTTGCTCCAATTATCTCAAAGGATACAAATGGATTTATTGCGGCATCTTTCGGTTTAGGTAATTGATGGGCACTAATAATCTCAATATTAAACCAAATCCGTCGTTCCAGGTTCACTTGTACTCTCATTGATTTAAGAAATGGTTTCCGTAACTCCATGGGTTTGATCACATACCCAGTTTTATTAACCCCTTCAAACATTGCCTCGTTCAATTGTTGTCCCAAATCATACGTTTGCCAGTTTGTGGCAACCATTTGCACTCCATGAGCCCAATAGTTCACCGGGATGAAATTCGTTGATAATAATCGGATTTTCAGAGGGTAAACCCTCATGAAATACCGTCGATTGTGCTTATCAACCTGGGTTTGTCGAACCTCATCTTTCAACATGGTGTTTAAAGATTTCTCACTAATTGAAAAACAATGATTGAAAGTTTTCAGTTCAGGAAGTGAAAAGTTCCGAAACTTGATCCCTTGTAAATAAACCCCCAAATCACTCAATGCCAAACAAATCTTGCTTGTTTTCAGTTTCCTTAAACTGAATGAATTGCTACGTTTCCGCTCAGGTCTTTCATTGTCTTCACTGAAAGAAGTGGTGGTTGAAGTGGATGTTGAATAATATTTCCCACTCTCACTAACGGCAAGATTTTCCGGTTGACAGGTACGTTTCGCCTTGACAAGGATTCTATGTTTCAATGCCTTGGGAGATGGTAAGCCAAACCCTTCATCAATGGGGTACAACACCAACATTTCCCCCAACACTTCCTTCAATACGGAAACCATCTTCAATTGGTTTTCTACATTACAATGCACTTCTAATGAAATGATCACCGGGTATGGGGACGTCATAAAGGCATATTTTTTGATGGTTCTTATGACATTTAAAAAGGAAATGGCCGTGGTAAACGTTCGACCATGAGAAACAATCGGTTCAGTCCCAGAAGCCCCATTTTCATCACCTCCAAGACTACCGTCCCATACATCCACTTCAACACATCTACATCCACGTTGAAGAACCTTGATATACCCTTCGATGGAACTGTCCCCTACAAATTGTCTTCCAAGGAGATATGTGTTGTGAGAAGAAGAAATGAAGTACTCATTCAAGGGCATTTCGAAATAATGTTCATCCAATTCGAAATATGGCAGAGCGTATTTGGAACTCAAATAATTGTTGAAATTCTCTGGTGATAATCCTTCTTGTTGCCCCGAGAATGCATTGAATATCCGCATGATATGATCGTCAGGGTACAGTTCCATTTGCACTTTCTTGATGAATTTCCGAAACTGTGGGTACGTCATGATGTCCCCACCGCCAGACCATTGTCTCCATACTGCCAAGACATCTTCCCGATGCTTTAAAATGTTCACAAAGTTTTTAAATTGATCAAAATTCAAACTTGATTTCCCCATGGCTGCCTGAGCAAACACTTTCCCCAAATATGCTGGCAGAACGTTGATATTCAAGCGTTTAGAGTACTTCAAAATATCCTCCAAGGAAAGGAATTGTTTGATTTGTTTGCCGCCCGATAAGATCATGCTTCTTCTAGCCTCGTCCAATCCATCGATATCAATCAAAAAATTCCGAGCAAAGTCGTCACGTAATCGTTTGAGGTCACTCAACACAGACACAAGTCTTTTGAAGTCATGGTCTGAGTCTGCAATGACATGTAGCGTTTTCAATTTACTTTTTTGAGAATTGTAGTAGAATAGCGTTAACCATGTAGATTCGAACTCCTTGGAGATATGAAGCTCTTCACGGTAATTGGTGGCATCTTCCTGCGCGAGAATGTTCTTGATGTCATCTATCGACACCTCTGTGAGTTTCCCCTTGGACAGTTGGGTGCCCGGGGAGATAAGTCTTTGTAGATTGGACAGTAATGGAGTACTGGCAATATTCCATGATAGCATGAAGTTATCAGGATCTATACGGAAAAGAATCCGTTTTTTCGACTTGTGCGATACTTTAAGTAATGGCATACCATCTTTGAGAAATACTGGAGGGATTGTGACTTTCAGAGCCAATCCATTGGGTTGATTACCCGCAGTATGTCCAACCCCGAAAGAATTTCCCAAAGGGTTGGCTGAACCATTTCCTGACTGTTCCACAGACACTTGTCCACCCAGGAGTTGTATCCTCTCGGCATGACTATTCAGCCGTCTTTCACTACCCCTCTTTTCTCTCTCGTTGGTTCTCAAGTTACTAAACAAGGATGGCAAGTCTGACAGAATGGGGGAAGAGCTCACACGTCTCATTTCAGCGGTTCCTGTGAGATCAGAAGGACTGCCACACCGGAGATCTCCCGTGGTGTGCAGATGAACCACCTCATGGTCCGGATGATCCGTCATTCCAAGCAATTGGTGAAACGTTTTATAGAGATATTCAAACTTAATCCCACTTGTATTGTGTTTCACATTTACAAATGGATACACTTGAGAGCCCCATACAAAATATTTTGTGTGCGAAAAAGCCTAAAGTGTGAAACACATACACACTGGAAACCACTTTGTAACACTGTAGAGTGGACACCCTACGGGGTATGCGAGCCGCTCCGCTGGCACTCCGTGGGCCGCTAGCCGCGGGGGCTTTGTTCCTCTAACGAGGAAGTCTACAGGGGTTTTGGGTCTCCTCGTCAGAGGAGCTAGGCACCACGCAGTGGCTCTCCCCGAGCAGGGGCCAGCGGAGCGTCTCGCAGACCCCGTAGGGAAGTGAGTAGGGAGGAGGCTTACTCTACGGGGTATGTGAAACGCTCCTCTGGCACTCAGTGGGTAGTCGAGGTCTCCTTTCTTACACCTTACAGTGAACCGTCTGATCTCTACATATCTCTCTATTCTATGATTCCATTCTATTTAAGATCACAATTCAACCTTGTCATCTAATCTAACATCCATCTTTTGCAGCTGTAAAAATCTCTTAACGTCATTAACCGCATATTCATTACGGTGGAAAAGACCAGCCCCCAAGGCAGCGTCGATTCCACAGTCCATCTCAAACACCTCTTGGAAGTGCGCAGGGTTCCCAGCACCGGAACTGGCAATCACTGGGATAGACACTCTACTCTTCACCTGGTTCAAAAGCTCCAAGTTGTAGCCCTTGTTCGACCCATCGTGGTCAATAGAGTTCAATAAAACTTCACCAGCACCAAGCTTTTCGCATGCCACACAGAGTTCCAATGCCCCCAATTCGTGGGTCTTTCTTCCACCCTGTGATGTCACTTGGTAGTAGCAATATTGTTCTCCATTGGGGCCATATTTAGCCGGATCGATTATTTGAATGACTTCTTGAGTAGTATCTTCTGGACTCGACACATATTTCCTCTTTGGATCAACGGAAATAACCACTGCTTGATTCCCAAACGTGGCAGAAATGGTTTCAATGGATGACGTACCATCTCCCTTACCCCCGTTGGCATAGTACTTCTCAGCAATGTTCACAGCATCGGACCCAATACTAACCTTGTCAGCTCCGGAACGGAAGTACAAGTCCGCCACCTGCACTGCAGGAACTCGTTTTTTGGTCACTGGATCCTCCATATCTTTGATCCCACCCCCAACCGTCAACGGTACGAAAATAGATTCTGCCGCTTTGCTCAACACTTGTAACATGGGTAAATCTTGTAAAGGAGAGTTTCTGAACGAAGTAATGTTCAAAAAAGTGACTTCATCAGCACCTTGACGATAATATCTGGTGGCCAATTCTACTGGTTTCCCCAAGTTTCTCACTTTACTTTCTTCAGAATCGGAAGATGATGCTTCTCTAACGTTGTATTGGTCACCTTTGGTCACCACCAAGTCTCCATCGTCGTTGGTTCTAACGTCCAAACAAGCAATGATTCTTCTGGTCAACCCACCCAACGTCTTCTCAACCGTTTGTCCATTAACGGGCTTTTGGATGTCATGGGCAGAAACAACGTCATATTTGCTCCCTTCCAAGAAACTCTTCAATACTTTCAATCCAGCAACCCCTGACTTCTCTGGGTGGAATTGAGTAGCAAAGAAATTCTTGTAGGAAACGGCAGCAAGAAATTGTTCAGATCCATAATTGGCATACACAAAGTCCCAACCTTGCGAGGCATATTGGGCAATCTTATCCTTAATTTCTTGAGTCTTCAAGATGGCAGCATAAGAATGAACGAAATAATACTTGTTGGTGGTGTTGATACTGAAAAGGGATTCATTTTCATCAAGTAATTCTCCACTCTTACGGATTTCACTGACACTATTCCACCCGATGTGGGGCACAGACTTGATCAAGCCACGTTCTTGGAAGATAGGGTCTTCCTTATTGAACTTGTATAAACTAAGATCAAGATATCCTAACCCTTGGACCCCGTCGGAACATTCTTCACTGTCACGGAATAATGATTGCAACCCTACACAGATCCCCATGAGCGCTCTACCGCTCTCAATATAGGCCCGGATGGGCTCCACAAGCGCACGGTCGTGCAACTGCTTCACAAAATGGGCATAGTTACCAACCCCAGGGAATAAAAGACGTTCAATTTGAGAGTCATATTGTTGGAATTCTCCGGCATTGGTGATGAATACGATTTCATACCCACCAATGTGTTTGATAGCATTCGAGAGAGACTGTAAGTTCCCGCTCTTCACGTCGATGATGTACACAGTCTGCATCCTGGAATATACGGGTCAGAAGTGATTTTTTAAACTGTTTCAAGTGAATCTTTTTAAACTGGTTATCCTGTTCTTCCTCAACGTGATATGACTCAGGCCCTCGCTATGTACAGGATGTTGCAAATTTCAATTAAACGGTGACAGACAAATGCGCGCGGGGGTTTGTGTTTGTGCGTGCGTGCGCCTGCAGTCCCTGTTGTTACTAGGAAGGTATCGAATCTACTCTCTCCTATTCTTCTCTTTTCTTCTTCTCTCATCTTCTTCTCTTATCTACACTCTCTTTGTCTATCATGTTATTCTGCTAAATACTCTTATACCTTTTCTGAAATTTTCTTATACCTTCTCTGCAATAATCTTTACAAAATAATGAATCCCTTCTTCCTTCAGTCCACCTGAATCATTATGTTCCTCAATATCGTATTCATTGATTCTACCAGCAGTCTCAAAAATCCGCATAAGAATATAATTCATCAAGTACAGATTGACATCATTGGCCATGTTCAAAAACACAATTCCGTACTTGACATTGGATTCCCCGAAAATATCTGCTAATTCTCTAAGTACACATTCAACATAATTTGGAATCAAATTGTAAATCTGAGTAACTTGAAGTCCTGAAGAACTCCATTTCCGAAGATTACAATCGGAAAATTCGCTGTCAAGAAGTCCCTTCAAACTGTCTCCCCCAATATGAATTGTGGGGATTTCCACGTGTCCTCCAACCTTCAAAATTCTATGGAATTCTCGTAATACAACCTTGTAATTTTCAGGTGTAAGTTCAATGGTAAGATCTCTTGATTGAATATGATCAAAAGTCAGCTCTGGAATGGTGGAAAGTGATTTTGTATAAAACTCAAAGTTATGTGGCTTGTGCAAAAATGGAATATCGTCTTTATTTTCTGAATTGGCATGTTTGCTCTTGATGGTATCTTCAATTGTTTGATGGATCCCCATCAATTTTTCTGCATTACATTTTTGATATTGTGCAAAGTCATTGAATCTAACCTTACTGAAAAAGTCTTCATACATTTCCAGTTCCAGTCGAGAAAAAAGTTGAATATTATTTCCTTCTTCTCTTTCCCTTTGTTTAGACTTTCTGGCCTCGTCATATTTGGCAATATCTGTCACCAATTCAGAATCTTCACAATATACATTCAGTTCAATCACCTGTACAAAAGGGTTGAGTACAGCCAAGTACCAACCATAAAATGCTGAAAAATACGTATTATAACACAACACTTTCACCAGTTCAAATGGTTGACCTTTTTCTGCAATTGCTTGGTTTTCTTTAAACCGGCCGAAAAGTCCTTGAAGGGCCCGTTGTTCCACCATAAAATTGTCATTCAATTTACATAAGATTTGAAGTGAATATGTTTCCAACAAGATAAACTCATAAGAGAGTCTCATAACAAGCTGGATGAAGTAACCAGTGCTATCGACTTCCCCAGGTGGAGACTCTTCTCCAGACTCTTCCTTTAACAACAGATAAAGTCTCTCTTGAGTGGTGGAAAAATACTCCTTATAGTAATAATGTTCCTTTAATTCCTCTGTAACTTCATTGGGGTCTAATGTCTTGATATCTGGAAGTTCCAATATATATCGAATATAATTTGTAAAATTCACTTGAATAAGCTCTTCACAAGAAATGATTTCAACTTTATTTGACTCCTTGACCAGATACTTGTATATAAGGTTTCTTAAGAGATGACGGATTCGGAAAAGTTCATGGGCGAGAGAATATTCTGTTTCTTTCGTGCCAGTGCCGTCACTTGAAAATACACTTTGACCGTCTGATGGCACGGTTGCTCTAACTCTTGTAGAGAACTTGACAAGTGAATTGTACCGCACTTTTGCAAAATTGATTGGGTCATGACGATGGAACCCTCCAATGATGTCTTTGAACCTCAGCCATCGGTCCACTTGCACTGGTGGTGCATAAAAGTGTTCGTAGATGCTCTCAGGCAGATTGAGCATAGCCAAATCTGTCACTGGAACATACAATGGGACTTTCTTTTCGCTTGGCGGGGTTTTCACATGTGTGTTCCGCGGGGTTGTAGGCACTGGTGTTGGTATGGTTGGTTTGTCAGTTATTATAAATTTGTCATCGAGTGGCGACAGAAACGGCAGTTGATCGAGTTCCATGGCCATTGGCGTTGTTGGTGCGGTTAATATGGTTGGTTTGACTTGCCCCCCTGCTTTGAAATGGTTTGGGAATTTGTCCCCCTCAAAATGAGATTCTTCCATATTACTGGCTAAGGACAGTTGTCTCCCTGAACTTCTGCTGGAAATATCCCCTACTGAATGTCTATGACCACCGCCCATGATCCGTTGTAACCCAAAAGTGGCAGGCGCCGACGAGACAGAACCACTTCCTCTACGCTCTCCACCACCAGCATACGTTCTCCCGCCAGACAGTGGGAGTCGTGACATCGACAAGACGCCCGAATTTCCTGAAGAACCTGAGTATGTGGAATTGTTACGTGATGAAACCACCGACTTGTCCCTGGGCCCGCCAGTTTCGTCGATTTCCGCCGCCGGGGTCAACCCAGAAGAGTGTATGGATGCCAAGTCGTCTGCTTGTGAAGACCTTGAACTGTCGTCTGGTTGAGACAGTCCTCCTCCTCCTCCTCCTGAAGTGGAGGTGGCAGTGGTCACGACACTCTCCGAAACACTCGGCTTATGGCCCGACGACGTAGTAGATGCGTTGTCCGAGGAGCCAGCGCCGTCTTGCAGACTCCGATGCTTCTTCCCACGCTTACCCTTCTTCTTGCCCTTCATCTTTTGTTGTGTCTGGTACGACATGGCTGGAACAATGTAAAAACTCATGACCACTCTTGTGCTTTGTTTGTGTCCACCAGCGTGTTATTAGAGTTGTACCTTGTTCCTGGGTATCGCACAGATTGTATGCTTATCCTCAATTGTTTCCTCAATCCTCACACCGCAGTTGATTGAATTGATTGCTTTTAAACTTCTTGTCCCTTATTGGGGGGCGGCGGCTCTTGGTTCAAACTAAAGTTCAATATACGTGAACATTATGCAGGATTTACTAGGGGTCTTTTTCTAGTAATTTTTTTTTTATCAATCGCCTAGGTAGTTTTTGTCACGTGCAGCCATTGCCAGGTCAATATTTTCTTCAATATACGAAGCCTGCTATCAAACAAGCTATTACGATGGAAAATATATTATGTATATATGTATATATATGTATATTTTTTATCTAAAAAATAAAAGAGGACAATTAGAAATGAGGAGAGATAACACAGATAGTGAAACAGAGGGGTAAATGGTAATTGTCTTGTATTTTTTTATTTTGTTGGTATGTATCCGCCTCATGAGTTTTTACAAGAATCACACATTTTCTTACTGCGCGATATTTTCTGGCATTTGAAATTAATATGCAAGATTGTACACAGAAGCCGAGTACAGTTCTTTTAATTTATATCAATATTCACATTGCTTGATATACGATTGTGTTTGGTCAAATTTGTTCTGTGTCTCTCTTGACGTAGTTGGTACCCTCCTCCTGTCTTCCCGCACTACAGAAACCAAATTATGAACCACATGCAGCACGCACGCACGGCTAGGCTGCGACCACCATGCAAGTGGAGATTGAAATAAAACGGTGCATGGCTATTCGCTTTCAGGGTATATTGTTCAGACTTTTTTTGGGGTTGTCAAATGGGTAGAAGAGTATATATGACTAGCATTAGTATTAGAATTAAAAGAGAAAGGTGGTATACATATTACCAATAAAAGATAAAAAAAGTAAGAATTTTTTTAAACGCCGCATCTATAGAACATAAACATCAACATGTACCTCCACTGAAACTCGTACCAATTAGTAATAAAGTGAAAGAATCACTAAAATATGCAAGTGACTCTATATTTGTCACTGGATACCTTTGTTTAAAGTCTTTTTCAAATGTACATTTCCCCAGGGGTTACGAGCCAACAGCACTGTTGATTATTAATTCAAATGACAAGACTGGTTAAAGGTCTGATGTACTTTCTTTCTTGTAGAACACGAATTGATAAAGTCTCTGTTATCTATGGGGTCTCATTAATAAGTCACACACGTTTGAATGCGATAGTAGCCCAACCTGTTATATATATATATATTATTGTATGCACCAACTATGTGATTCCTTAGATCTTAATTAAAGGAGAAGCAGAGTAGATAATCGATATGCATGACGTAGAATAACCGGGCCCAGATTAATGTGGCTTTGAGTTTTTGATAGACTCTAAAAAGGACATATGCTCCATTTCCCGAGGAAGGGTAGATGAGTAGGTATTAATATATAGGCGAATCTATGAGATGTATTATGCATTCCCCGATGAACTACAAAACTTGATACATATTGAAGTCCTACAGCAAGTAAAACAATAGTCACTTCATGAGACATATATTACCAAGGACCCCAAATTGTAGTTGGTCAAATTATTTCCGCTAAAGCTTCTTTCACGTATTCCAAAAATAGAATGCCTTTCTAATCGCACAGTAGTTGCAATTTAACTTTATGCAATTAAAAAATTACTACACGCAAGCTGATTGTTATGGCTAACTATCCAATTTGTATGATAGTTTCTAAATAATAAGTACATATAGAGTAGAATACCCCCCCAAAAAAACAATATGTAGTTCATAGATGACAAGGGGGCATATTGCAACCGCACGGATAATGAATAAATGGCCACCAAAGATGATCACCATCACCACTACATTGGTGATGGGTATGATAATTCTCTTTACCCTCTTAAATCCCCATTCTGAGGCTATCACTCACACATTCATTCCTAAACTCTTTGATTCACAAGTGCAGTTTTCTCCCGTACATGAATTCTGGAAAAATACCTTTGTTCATATGTATGCACATGCACCGGTTTTCAAACTAGCGAAGGGTCAGGATCCAATCGAAATGGTGGAGCGTTTGCCTGGAGTCAAGACCAAAGAGGTTCTTCTTGCAAGAGCCATTATATCGGCACCTGTGATTGAAGAGCTTACTACCAAACACCAAGAAATAATGGCTGCTTTACCACACAGTTTGCCGTACAAAAAAGATACTAGTGGAGTTGTATTTATAGGTGGAGGAAAGTTCTCTTGGTTATCATATGTATCTCTTATGGCTCTCCGTGATACTGGATCTACACTCCCCGTTGAAATTATCCTCCCCACTTACGAAGATTATGAGAGGGAAGTGGAATTCTGTACAATTGTACTTCCAAAACTAAATGCTGCATGCGTGGTGGTTCCCGATGTTTTAGGCCCAGGGGCCATGATTGCTTCGAAAAAGGGATTTGCAAACTACCAGTACAAATCACTTGCTCTTGTGGTATCATCGTTTCAAAACGTACTCTTATTGGATTCTGACAATGTCCCATTGGGAAATCCCGATTCTTTGATGAAAAGCAAGGTATTCAAAAGGTACGGAATGATTACTTGGCCAGATTTCTGGGAAAGAACAACAACGCCAGTCTTTTATGATGTGGCAGGAGTCACAGTCGATGAAACGAAAAGAGTTCGGGTTGGATCATTCCTGTTGAAGGCGATATCTACAATGAATCCCGAAGGAACTGAATGGGGGGAAAAGGTTGCTTTCCATGAGTTTGCTGGAACAATGTCCAATCCCTCTACCGAATCAGGCCAATTTCTAATTAATAAGGCAACCCATAGTAAGACTTTACTTCTTTCCATGTATTATAATTTGTTTGGACCTTTGGTATATTATAGACTTCTTTCATTGTCTGAGCCAGGAGAAGGAGACAAGGATACATTCGTGGCTGCTGCACACGTATTGAATGAGCCATATTATCAAGTCCATACTAAAGTGAAGCCCTTGGGGTATTTTAACACCGAAGGATACCGTGGTGTTGCCATGATGCAGCGCCATCCAGTATTGGATTATGAAGCATATCAAGAAGTTGTTCGCAAGCAAAAAGTTCCAGCAGATATACAAGTACAAGTCTCTACCCTTAAAGATATCGAAGAGAAATACTTCCTGGCTAATAATGATATACCATATCTTTTCTTGCATTGTAATTTCCCCAAGCTTGATCCTCAACAATTAATGGAGCTGGATTTGTATGACAAGGCTAATCACCGCTTGAAGTATCGAATGTATAGTGGGTTCAAGTACCCAAGCTTGGCAAATAGTATTGAGTTTGAAGACATTATGAGTCGGTATGGTCGAGATTTTGAGCTTCGACAATGGGATAACATGCACTCTGCACTTTGTCGTCAAGAAATCCAGTTCCGTCATTTCCAGCATAATGATAAGGAAAAGCTTTGTGGGTTGATGACCAACCAAATATTGTGGATGTCACAAGAGAATGCAAAGAAAGGACAACCACAGGAAAGTTAGAAGGGAGGTAGATAACAATACTGCGGGGTAGAATATAAAGACTTTTGAGACGATACAAGAGTGATGAAATGGTTTGGTGAAGTTTAGTGCTTGAAAAGAAGAAGAAAAATGGAGAGGGGGACGTGATGTGAATAAGATATAAAATAAATGAATTGAGCTCCATTGATCACTGTTTAGAGAACAATATATAACAAGATATGCCTAGATAATAGTATGACCAATACAATATATTGCAAGATAGATATAATTCACACAAAAAAATGGGTACATGATGTACACTCACTGTGTAAACTGATAGTTAGATTTTAAACTCTAAATGTACATATCTATATATAGCCATCCCGTTGAGGCTTTGATAAATTAAACTACCATTCACTCACCGGTCAGCCGCACATTGACATACACACCATGTAATCTTATTTAGAGGCTCGTCATAGTTAACCCACGCATCAATGCTTAAATGTGAATATCTTTACATTTTGCAGCACATTTGCACCTTAATGTTATCTTCATCATATGTCTATTATAAATTAATTTATTATTACGAAGTATATCTACCTGTATCTAGTGACTACCCTTGGTGTAAACATTGCTATTCACCTTTTCATTTTCAACTCCTTCGAGAACATCTTGTGAGTGATACACAAAGTCTGCTTCATCGATATTGGACTTTGGTCCATGGTACCATTTACGAGCATCCACCAAAAACCAGATAGTGACCAATAACAATGGTCCAAAGAAGACGAGTGAAGTCCAGTTCATTTCGTCCAAGGTCAAATCGATACCCTTCACGGTTGGGAAACACAACACTGGGATCATGGTGGTGACAAATGCCACTGAAACAAGACCAATTGGAGTAGACCAACGTCCCAAGTGCCAAGGACCTCTTTGGAACCCCCTGTTAAAGAATATTTTGAAGATGGTTGGCATGGTGAAAGAAACAAACCCTGCAATTCCTCCAACCGAGAAAATGGCCCCAATGGCCACATCTCCAGCAAACATAAGTAAAAGGAGTAATTGACCAAGTAAGAAGTTAATCCACACGGCGTTAATTGGGGTCTGGGTAAGTGGACTGACTTTCTTCCACCAACGAGATCCAGGGAATAAGCCATCTCTGGAGTATGAATATGTAACACGAGAAGCAGCCAACATACATGAACATCCCATGAAGAAACCTGAGATGATTGTCATTGCCATGGCTGCATTGACCAAGTCCTTTTTCAAGATCTGACTCAAATAGGAAACAAATGGTTGGCCCAACCCTTCGACATCATCTGCGATTGCAGTAAGATCGTACAAAGTGTAAGAAATGGCCAACATGAACATCCATCCAATGAAACCACCACAGGTGGCGGTCAAGACAATTGCTCTTGGAGCGGCCACAGATGCATTTGTACATTCTTCCGACAAATGAAAAGGGGAGTCATACCCGGACATGGCCCAAATCACACCCAAGAAGGACATAAGCATGGCAAGACCCGATGGATATTCCGTTTGATTTGTCAAGCCCCAGGCTTGACTGTTTGTATTAAATTTAGTTGCCCCTGGGTTTATTTCATCTCTCTTGTTTCCAGCCAAGATCATGACAAATACAATAACCAAGAATAACATATTGACCAGGGTTCCGGCGGTGTTGAACCAAGCTAACCACTTGGTAGGAAGTGAAGAAATGATGGCATGACAAACTTGAATTCCGGTGGTAAGACCGTATACATGCCCCGTGGTTGGAGAGTATGAAGAGGAATTGTAAGCATAAAGAGCTAACATCATACTGGCACAAGAATAGTCCACAGATGGAGCGGCAGTGATTTGACACATCCAATTACTGAAACAAGTGATCCATGTGAAGAATGGAGCATACTTCTTAGGAGCCAACTGGGAAACTGCATATGGGGTACCAGCAGCAGTTGGGAAAGCAGAAGCTATTTCGGCCATAGAAAGGGCAACTGAGGTAATAAAGATAATGGCAAGGATCCAGGGCACTGGAGAGATACCAATAACAAGTTGTTGGTAATCAAAACACGCTGCCACAGAGGGAAGTAATCCCAAGACCGAGAATGATACGGCGAAAACTGACCATAAGGAGAATTCACGCTTGAATTCTTGTTTGTAACCTAAGGCAAGAATCTTCGCCTCATCGGAGTCGATTTCGTGATCTACATTGATGGTGATGCCTCGGTTAGAGAGAATAGATGTGATGCCGAGATCATCGACATGAACATTCGAACGAACAGAATGAAGCGGCGTAGCCGATCCTGAGTTAGCTTTAGACATAAGGCTTAAAGGAAATTCTGAACTTGTCAAATCTACAATGCATAAAGTATTTAGATACCAGATTCTATATATATATATATAAATATGCACATTTTCCACCCTGTAATAAGCTAGACAAGAGATAGATAACCCCACTGTCCTGCAGATTTCGATGAAACTTTTCTCCTCTTATCTTAGCGGCTGTCCAATGGGATTACCGAATGCGAAATCTTGAGGTGGCTGAAAATAAAATAATTTAAACAATCACGGAAAGCAATCTTGCAGGGTTGTCGGGAGTTAATCAATCCTTTACTTGATATATCAACCACGGATACGAAACGTTTATATGTTAGAGGGTCTATTACGCCCCCGATTATCTAAGATTTTTTGGACGATACTCATTCATTTGACGTGAAATGCAAGGTGTACACAACAGTAGAAGTTGTGGAATTTGTTTATAGTTGATCCTACGTTAGCGGAATTCCTGATTGGGAAGTTCTCATCATCTGCATGCAGTATTCTTATATTTTTAGAGTGTGTCCCCTCTATGAGGGGCCCTTTATTTGAGCCGCACATTTGGTGGAGACCCAACTTCAAGTGAAGGTGGTAGACATGGTATGACCCCAGGTCAAGCTTGGAAGCGTTTTCACAACAGAACACTCCAAGCTTACGGGGAAAGTATGTAAGATTTTAAAAACATACCATATGGTTCATGGTTGTGCGAATTTATTTTTTTGTGTTGTTACAAATCTCAACGTTATCGTTATCTCTCACGAATTAATCAACACGGCATTTTATGTAGGACCAAGAAATGAAGTTACACAAAACAAATTTACTATTCAGGAATGTCTAGCAGTTAGATTAGCCGGATACGATGGCATGGAAGAAATATTCCATTCCTCGGCGGAATCGGCCAGGAGGAAGTGGAATACTTAATGGAAATGTAGGGGCCAAAAAAATAAAGTAATGTGGGAGCTTGCTACCATAAATCGTGCAGAAACATACGATAGAGAACGAATCTAGGGTATTTGGTAGTACGAGAGACCCTCTCAAATTGTTACTTCGTGAAGAATCGCCGTAACTGCAAGGGAGTTATTATAAGAAACCACAGTGTACTTGCTTCATCTATATGTAATCTGATTAAAAATATGTAGGTGTAGGCGGCTTTGACCCCCGATCGGGGTTCGGAGAACACCGTGCAATGAACTTCGGAGTACAAAAAGATGAATTCGCAGTGATTTCATAGTTTAACTTTAAGGATCATTAAAAAAAAAAAAAAAAAAGACGTGTCTCGGGTTATCGGTTAAGATGATGTTTTTTGTCAACATGGGTATGTCAACCCAGCGACCATCAGTATGCCAACCCAGTGGGCGCTGATATATTCCATTCAATAACAATGCAAGATATCCGTTTAAATTAACAATAAAAAAAAAAAAGCAAGGGGTCGTGTCGGCGCGAATTTATACACGCGTGTGTGTGGTTATGGGGAATTGAACCACCACAGACGTACCAGTAGTACAAAAAATTCTTCCATCTAGTAACGGTACACATATCATGAGGTGGTCAATATACCTGGTGCTTGTAGTAGCGCATGTAGTGGGATTGCTACTTTTCCTTCGGGGGTTTTTCCCCTCGAAGGTTGTACTTTCCGGTTATAATGACTTCCACGATGGCATCAAGTCACCATTCGCGACCAAGGCAGGAACCCCACAATTCAAGAAAATCGTCTTGATGGTGGTAGATGCCATGAGGGCGGACTTTGTGTACTCGGAAACCTACTCGGATATGTCCTTTGTGCATCAGTTGATTAGCAGAGGCAATGCTATACCGTACACCGCCTTTCTGAACCCACCCACCGTCACACTTCCAAGACTCAAGGGTATCACCACCGGAGGTACTCCAAGTTTCTTGGATGCCATCCTCAACGTGGCAGACGACAAGGACTCTTCCCAGGGGCTCTCTTCGCAGGACTCGTGGATCAGACAGTTCCGCTACATGGACAATGGTAAGAAAATCAACTTTTATGGTGATGACACTTGGCTCAAATTGTTCCCTAAAGAGGAATTCTTCGGCACTACAGAGGGCACAAACTCCTTCTTTGTAAGTGACTTCACTGAAGTAGATCATAATGTTACCAGACACTTGGATCTGGAGCTTGCAACTCACAGTTGGGATGGTCTTATTTTGCATTATTTGGGTCTTGACCACATTGGCCATAAAGGTGGTCCAGACTCCGTGTTTATGAAACCAAAGCAACGTGAAATGGACGCCATTGTGGAGCGTATATACAACAGCATTGACAACGATACGTTGTTTGTTTTAATGGGTGATCACGGGATGAACGAGGTGGGGAACCATGGAGGTTCCTCTGAGGGAGAAACTAATGCAGCATTGGTATTAATCTCACCTAAACTTCAAAAATTATCACAGGATAAGAAATATATTGCGCCAACTTCAAACTCAGATGATTACTCATATTTTAACCGAGTGAATCAAATCGATTTGGTCCCTACTCTTGCATCACTTCTCAACTTCCCCATCCCCAAGAATAACTTGGGGGTCATTATGAGAGAACATTTGGGGTTATGGGATTCCATTACTCAACAAAAACAGATTTTACTTGAAAATTGTTTCCAATTTAAAGACCTTGTAGAGACAAAATATGGCATTGATTTGCAACAACAAATGGAACACGTTGATTCTGATTCTCAAAATATTCAACAAAAGTGGAATCGAATGTTTGAAGTCAATGATAATGAAGCAATCGATGCTTACTTTGATTTCCTTCACACTGCGCAAGAACTATTGGCAACTTCTGCTACAAATTACAACTACACAGACATTTGGTATGGTATCACGATATTAATACTTTCCACTGTGGCTACCATTTCGTACTTGAGTTGGTATTTCTTGTTCAAAACTGAAGCTAATCAATTTTTCTTGTATTCATTTCTTGGGTTTGCCATTATGTACCTGGCAAATTTCCTTGGATCCTCATTTATTGAAGAAGAACATCAGATTTGGTGGTTTTTCATGGTGATGAGTCTTGTTGGTTTATTCTTGTATAATCACGGGAACTCCAAGTATATTTTCTTACTCACGGCACTTTCTATTAGAATCATCCGTGCGTTTGCCAATACTGGTCAAAAATTCAGAACTCCATACACCTTATCTGCATACTTACTCTCAACCCCTGATCTCTTGTGGGTATTGAATATCATCACATACGGTGTGTTTGCCATGTCGATATTCATCCAGGGAAGTTTCATCAATTGCTTATCGTTTTCAAATATGACTTTAAAAGAAAGAAACTCTAATGATTTTGGTCCACTCTTCACTTTTATCGCTGTTTTCGTAAGTGTATCACTTCTGTTCCTGTTCAAACTTTGTCAATCATACAACGATGGGAATATCATCCCTAGATGGTTGATGCCCTTGGTGGCCTGGAATTGTGAATCCTTTGGTATTGATATTACCCTGGCTGATAAAAAGCAATTCCAAGCGGTACTTACACAACTCTCTAGACTTTTGTCCTTCTCTCTTGCTGGCCTTGTGTCAGTGAGAATTGTGTTGGGTAAATTAAGAAGATTGAACGATGGATTATATACAGACATAGTGAACATACTTTCTGTGTTTTTAATTCATCAAACTAGAGTTGAATTGATCCCCGTGTTTCTTGCCTTTTTCGTGATTAGATTTTCCATTGCTAGAATTTTGAAACAAAATGAAACTCGTTTGAGAGCTAACATTGATCAATTATTAATCATTGTTACAACTTTCACCCTTTGTCTTCAAAACATATCATTCTTCTCTATGGGTAACACTAATCTGTTGGCTACAGTTGACTTATCAAATGCTTACAATGGGATTGCTTCATATGATGTATTCCTAGTTGGGCTCCTTACATTCATCTCAAGTTTTGCTGGCCCTATTTTCTGGTCTTTCACCGCTATTGGTTGGTTGTTGGAACATAGAACTTTGAGCTTTGATCCAAATCATCTTGAGCTTATCCGTGTTCGTCTGATCCGGAACCAAGTACTCAAGGTGAAATCATTTATTAGTCTCACTTTTTACTCGGTTTCTGCGTTAGTTCTTTGTGGGTCATGTATTAACTTGAGATTCCACTTATTTATATGGACTGTGTTCTGCCCCAAGCTTCTTTTCTTTGCTAGTTGGGCTCTATTGGTGAACATTCTAGTCGATTTCCTTATTGCTGGATTATTACTTCTGGTCAGTTAATTAACATCTACTGGGGATCTTGTACATACAAAATTTTTCTATTAAAAAAAAATATTCCATTCATTAGAACATATGACGCGATACATAATATACATAGACTATTGTAACAATGGGTCTCTGAAATGAGGTTGGTTGTTGATAAACTTGGCAGCTCTTCTGTCGTTGACATCTTCTCTCTTCTTTTCTCTGGCCCAGGTTCTCTTTTGTAATGCCAATTCTTGTCTGTCCTTGACGGTGAACATGTGTCTAGTTTCGGCAGCAATAACGGTACCTTGACCTTCGGTCAAGATTCTTTCTGGAGCCAAGTTTTGTCTGTAGTATCTTGCCATGGATCTGTGACCAATCACGGCACCAGATGGCAAGACAAGCTCATGGCCATTTTGAAGAAGAGCATTGTCCTCAGCTGGAGGCAAGTCGTCTTCAGAATCGGAGTCAGCATCTTCGCCTTCGTCAGAAACATCTTCCCAATCTTCGCCATCAGCAGCCAGTTCGCTTTCAGGTACAACAATCTTTGTACGAGGTTCGTATGTGGACAGGAAATCATAGAATTGAGACACTTCAAGCTTCTCGTCTTCCAACTCGTATGGCAAACGCATGTGTCTCTTCACCTTCATATGTTCTCTCACAGCTTCGGTGTTTCTCCCCTGGTATGTACAAGAAAGACAAACGTTACCCAACCCAATCTTTTCACCCAAGTATGCAATAAGGCCGTCCTTGTCTTCCAAGTACTTTTGTTCGGGTATGTAAAATCCATGCTGCTTGAACATGTGCTCTATGTTTAAGTCCACGGTTTCAAACTCCATCTTTGCCTTTGGTGGACAGAACAAACATGTGGTGGATGGGATGTGGACTCGGTTGGCAATCTTCTTTGCCATCAATTGTTCCGCTTGTTGTTCTTCGGTTAATTCTTCAGCTACAACTTCGGCTTCTGGTTGTGCGGCGTCTGAAGCGACAGTTTCAGCAGCAGCAGCAGCAGCAGCAGCAGCTTCAGCAGTCTCTTCAGTAGCCTCACCGTCAGCGCTACTTTCACGCTTATTCCCAGCAAGCATGTTTTGTCTAGCCATCTCCAAAATCTGCTTCTTCTTTTCATGTATGGCCTCCTTTTCTCTTCTTCTGATTTCCTTCTTGGTCAACTGCTTGTTGCTCTTCTTGGGTTCGGCTGGGGTCTCTTCGGCGATGGTCAACGAGGCAACCTTGGAATTGAAAAGATCCTCATCGATCGGTGGGAGTTGAGCCACTCTTCTCTTCAAGTTATATCTGTGCCAATCAGACTTCATGTGAACTCTCTGGTCCTCTGGGGTGGCAAAGGCCAACCCACAAGTATTACAGGTGTACAGCATGGTGTGGGAGCAGTTGTGTAAAGATTCAGTAAGAAATGAAAATAGTGCTTTCTGTCTTCACTGTTCTTCTCCTTCTTTAGATGTACCGCACCAAAAAAAAAAAAGAATAAAAAAAAAAAAAAAAGTTGCAATACACTCTCGCTCCGATGAGGCACTGCATGCAGTGCCGGCTCCCCCCCAAGGGGGAAGTTAGCGCTATGTTTTTCACAACTACACAAACAGAAACACCATCGTTCTACCAGCTCGACTCCACATTTACACACAACGCAAACATGTCTTCCAACGTCTTTGAGGGCGTGTTGCCCGAGGTGGTGCAGACCATCAGAGCCGCCACGTCTTTGGCTGCACAGGATGTGAACTTTTACCGATCTTTGGATGCCGATTTGGCGCAAAGAATCGACGCCTCTGGTCGTGGGTTATTGGACTTGACCAACCGTTTAATAGAGTCATCCACCTCCACTGTGGATGACGTGGAGCCTATAGTGTTTGGCCGCGACAACGTAGCATGGAAACCGATCCTGGACGTTTTGGATTCACTTTTCGAAAAAGTGGACATTGCGTTTGATCATGCAAACAAAAAGAAACAAAAGGATGATCAATTCACATATTTGGAGGATGGTTCCGCCAACGACAATGGGCGTGCTCCAGGAAGAGTCGGCAAGCCTCAGCTTGAGTTCAAAACCAAGATTGACAACTCAGAGGCCCACCCTTTCAAGCCAAAGCTTACTAGCAAACCACATGCTTTGAAGTCATTGGAAGAATCCACTGCCCTCATTGAAGGAGATGAAGAGTCTGAAGAGCCTCCACATTATGACCATCCTTACGAACACGAAATAGATAACCAGCCATACCCTGACTCCATCTTGGTGCTGGAAGATCCAATTCCTTCAAAGTCTTGGAATGATACTTCTGCCATTTGGGTCGATACAGTGTCAAAACTTGAAGAAATGATCGAGTCACTCGCTGGTCTGAACGCCATTGCTGTGGATTTGGAACATCATGACTACAGAACCTATTATGGGCTTGTTTGTCTCATGCAAATCTCAAACAGAGAACAAGATTGGATTGTCGATACCTTGGCTTTAAGAGACGATTTGGAACCATTGAACCGTATCTTCACAGACCCAGAGATCGTCAAGGTGTTCCATGGTGCCTTTATGGACATCATTTGGTTGCAAAGAGACTTGGGACTTTATATTGTGTCACTCTTTGACACCTACCATGCATCTAAAAAGTTGGGATTCCCCAAGTTTTCGTTGGCTTATCTTCTTGAAACTTTTGCCAATTTCAAAACCTCGAAAAAATATCAATTGGCTGATTGGAGAATCCGTCCATTACTGAGTCCAATGATGTCTTATGCTCGGTCCGATACCCATTTCTTGTTGAACATTTTCGATCAATTAAGAAACAAATTGATTGCCAAGGGAGATGGACGTCTTCAAGAGGTCTTGTTTGAATCTCGTCAAGTTGCTAAAAGAAGATTCGAATACACAAAGTTCCGCCCATTAAATTCATCATCATCATCAGGAAGTAGAGTATCTTGTCCAGTGATGGCAAACAATCCAAAGGAACCATGGGGGTCACTCATGGCACAATATAGAGTACCCTACGAAAAGACTCCATTGGTGCAAGCATTGTACGAATGGAGAGATGTTGTTGCCAAGGAAACCGATGAATCGGTGAGATATATTATGCCAAATCAATTGTTGGTAAGTTTATCCTTATTGGCCCTGCCAGTGGATTCACAAAAGGTATTGGGGGCTTCCAATTACATTTCTGAAAGTGTTAGAGTAAACTCTAAAGAATTGGCTCAATTGATAGAATCCACCCTCAAGGAAATGGCTGAAAATGATTGGGATTTGGTGGACAAGTTGCATAATACTGTAGGCAATGATTCAGCATTTTTGAATGAAGATGAACAACCAGACTCTAACACCATACAACAAACAACAAATGCATTTGAACAATTGAATTCATCTGCTAGTGCATCATTTGTCAGTCTTTTAGCTGAAAGATCGAACTTGTTGTCTGATATATTAGAAAAGGAAGAGAATCAATTTTCAGTGGAATATGACCCTAGTAATAAAAAGTCTGTTAAGCATACCGTTGATGAGACGATAGAGAGAAGAGAGACTGTTCTCAAGCACCTTCAATCGGTCAATGAGGTTAAAATCCCTCAATTTAAACCAATTGAAGTTGTGAAAGAGAGTGAAGTAAAGGAAGCCAAGGAGGACGAAGTTGAAGCACAAGGCAAGGAAGAAATACAACAACCTCCTACTCTGATATTTGGTGAAAGTAACAAGGAAGATCTTATTACCATTCGTAAGAGGTCTCAACAGCAAAAGAGTCAACCAAAGACCGCCAATGTTGATGATAAGCCAGCCTTCGATTACGCCAATGCAGACAAGATCATGCTTGAAACGTCAAAGAAGTTTGTTTCAAGAAAGGATAGACCAAAGAAAAGATCATTTGATCCTTATGGTAAGGAGAGTGAAGGACCCCAAGGTGCTAAGAAGTCAAAGAGAATGAACAGCGGTAAGACGTCGACATTTTCAAATAGAAGAAAGTAAATATAGTAATAAAGATTGCATTCGCCAAAAGTTAAGAGAAGTGGCTAAATTAGATATTCATAGCCTGATATTTCTTGTTGTTTAAAGTATTTGACTTGATGTAAAGTAGAGCTAGAGATCATTTTTTTAAAATCTGGTAATATATGAAGAACCAAGAATCTTTGGAAATACTTTGATTATGTGATCTGATTTAATGTAGAGGGAGAGTAGATAGATAAAAATAGTAGGTCGTTGGAAGGGTCTCCCCTTTGGTTTATGTGGAAAAAATCTCAAAAATTGAGTAGTGCTGCAAAAAATTGATTGTTATCTTAGGCGGCAAGTCGCATTTCATTTTTACAGTATACATCAGTTTGTATCTGTCACATACAACATATATTTTAACTTTGGAATCAATGACACGCTCCAGTACTAAGGTAAATAGTGACGAAACTAAAAGTTGAGGATTGACAAAATGAATTTTAATGTGCTGAGCTTGGACATGGAAATTGAAAGGGAATAATGTAGTCTCTATTGAGAATGTATATTAAGGAGTCTGTAAAAGTCCTTGAGTCCTGGAAATTGGTAACTCGATAGTCACACAATAACAGTTAAGGAAGAAGGTCACAAATTACAGTTCTATTTATATAAAGTGGGAGTCTCGTAGTAACTGATTGATAAAAGGTTTTGTGGAGAATATAACATAGACAGTATTGAGTTATTGAGTGTATTCTATAGTTGTAATATCTTGTATAGGGGATGTATTATACGGACTTATTTAGGTTACGGATTTAAAAATCTTTCTTTGTGGTAAATCCCCCCCATTTGTGAAACACAATCAAGACCTCAGGAAATTTTTCTGTGATCAATTGTCTTTTTACTACTTTTCTTCTTGATGTATCTATTGTCAGTTTCAAATTCGACATTTATAATCAGAGAAGTATCCCTTTGATGAGGGTTGGGCTACATGGTAGATCTGGTAAAATTTACAAGTTTTCCGATAAATTATAGGTTGATTTTGGTAAAAGGTATAATTTATTAAAAAAGGGTACTTGGTGAACATACAAGTCCACTCAATATGAATGAGAATACCTCAGCCAATGCTGGTTGCTGAGTGTATTACCATTTTCGAAAGTATAGATAAGATAAAGGTAAAAAGATAAAGAAAAAAACACAAGTGAGAGTAAAGATAAACAAAAAGACATACAATTAAAGAAATGATACAGAAAATGTAAAGAAAACAAAATCTTAAAGATAAAAAAAAGTAAAGGGTATAGTCAAAAAGATAAAGAAAAAGAGTAAAACAAGTTACAAAAAAGATTAAGAAAAGTCAACGAAAAGTTAAAGCAAAGAAAAAAGTTAAAGAAAAGATTAAGTAACGAAAAAGATAAAAAGATGAAGTTAAAAAGATAAAGATAAAAAGATAAAGATAAAAAGATAAAGATAAAAAGATAAAGATAAAAGATAAAAAGATAAAGAAAAAAAACACAAATAAAAGTAAAGATAAAGAAAAGATAAACAAAAAAGTATACAACTATAGAAATGTTACAGAAAATGTAAAAAAAACAAGAGGCAAAAGAAATTAAAGGACAAACCTAAAGATAGAAAAAAGTAAAGGGTATATTTAAAAAGAAAAGAAAAAGAAAAATCAAGAATAAAATACCAAAAGGTAAGAAGAAAAATGAAAAGAATAAAAAATAAATACATTCCAAGAGTTATAAAAAAAAGAGAACGTAAATCAAGGGAATCACAAATATTAAACTAGAGGTTTTTGAAATTCCCCAAAAAGAGGATTGTTTGTTATTGTTAGAAGAATCATAGAGGGAGACGGAATCAAATAAGGAAGAAAATAAGGAAGCAAATAATTGAGAATGGAAAAGTGATCAACAGCAAAAGAAAGGCTTACCATTAGCCAAATCAATTTATAAATATTTGATGGTGGAGAATTGAAAAGGAAAAATGGAAAAGATAAAAAGTAGACAAGGATACAGAATGTGGATATGGTTGCAGAAATAGGGTGACAAATCAAGGGAGTTTCAGGGTTGAAGATTTTGTTGGGAAGTGGACTTAGTAGGTGACACACTAGTGCTTTGGCACTTGGGTCATCTAGTGGAGAATTATGAGATGTCCCTCTAGTGTGAAAGCACTTGGGACGTCTGGTGGGGTTTGGAGATGCTTCTTCTGCGCTATTTTGGCACGGTTTACAATGGAGTATCTCCGGTGCGTTGCTGGCCAGACAAATTTAAAAGTACTCGAGTTTACACGCAAATCTGGTCAGTGTATCGTTGGCACTAGTTAGATTGCGTCAATGATACGTAGGTAATTCGCACAGATGGAGTGTGATCTAATAGCACAATTATCAGCTAGGGTCACCGGGTTTATTTGAAATGAAGTAAACAGTTGTTGTACAGTTGGGGGATACCTGTGATGCGTTGCTGATTAGTCTTGAAGTACTCGAGTTGCACAGTGGTGCATGACTAGTCAGAATGTAATCCGCACCAGGTGGGGCGTGACAACCGGTAAGTTTGTACTTGCTGGGGTCACCGGGTAGGGTTTGCAGGTGATACGCGAGCAGTTTGTAAGTCTTGGGTCACCTGCGGTGCGTTGCTGACCAGTTACTTTGGAGTACTTGAGTCTGCACATTTGTGCCTGGCTGGTCAGTGTATCGGGCCCGATACAAAGGTAATCCGCACCTGCTGAGGCAATGACAACCGGTACAATGACAAGTGCCGGGGTCATTGGTGGGTTGTGCTGGTGATGTGCTGTTATAGGGTACATATTTAGTTCGGGACATGAAGTCGGGTTGCCAGGGTAGAGTACACATGGTCCATTTTGATCTGTAGGTGTATTTGTAAGCGCCCAATGAGGCGTCCATACATTGAGGTATGGGCGTAGTCTGAGGGTGTGCGGCAAGTGCTGGGGTGGGTCTCCAGAGCCGGTCTGCTAGTGTGCGGACGTCACTCGGATCCACTTTTACGAGTGGAGATCGAGTCGATGGCCAGCACTAGATTCTGACTCTGGGCGCTACTTCACCTATGTGCCGTACACGTATCAGCCTTGCTGGGTGACTAGCTAGCCATTTGGCCAGGTAGTGTGTAGCATGCACTGGGGTGACCCCTGGGGTCGGCCGCTACGGTCGGACCATTTTTTGATGTTCCCCGCCTACCACTCCTCTCTTGTTCCATCACCCAGTTTCTTAATGTTTCTACCAACTGAACCATAAATATACATTACTCTTAACGTATACTTCTTCGTGGTCTGTTTTAGTTATCTGTGGAGTTATTGTGTTGTAAATTCAAAATGTGTGTTGCAAAAGGTCGTGCATTGTCCATTTCTAAAAATACTTTTTTACCACATTTACAAAAAGTTTGGTTTCAGATTATGCACATTCCTCAACTGCGTGCACAATCTGAATATTTAGCCTTGGCTGCCAACAATAATAAAAAATAAATTATTTTCTTCCCTGCACCTTTCTTGGATTTGTGTGTGTACCAGATCTAAAGTATAAGAAAATACAATTTCCACGGGTGACAGCTATTGCGCTTGTGCAGACACAGTTGAACTGACAATCGAAGTTCGTGGACAATGGTCAAGCGATTTGATCTACGTTCATACTACAAGTTGATCGACTAGCCAGCCTACCCGCTAGCCTTCTGGTACTTAATATGTAGCACACACATTTGGGCGATCATTGGGAAGGAGGTTATGTGCGGATCAAGGGAACAACTAGTTGTCCAACCGTAGAGGTAGACCCCAGTGTCACCCATGCACTACCAGGCCAACCCCAAGGAGGGGTCACCCCAGTGCATGCTACACACCAGCTGGCCAAGTGGCTAGCTGGTCACCCTCCGACCACGCCCCATACCTCAATGTATGGACACCTCATTGGGCGCTTACAAATACACCTACAAATCAAATTGGACCACGTTTACTCTACCCTGGCAACCCGACTTCCTGTCCCGAACCAGTATATCCACACTATATATTTATGTCTTTAGAATGAGGAATGCACGTCGACTAAAGTAACACATAGCGCAAATGAGTCAACGGAGCAGCTCACTAAGTTCAGTATCGAAGAATCAATCTCGGCAACAACCCATGCCGGTATTCCATCCCAAAAGTAAATGGATAGTACTAGATTGATGTCAAGGTTCATTACACAGCGATAATCAATCACATATCAGCAACTGCCTCCTGGTGAGTCATAGACCACAAATGGTCAGGTGGATAAAATCAAAGCACCGCATCTCTAATTTAAACATAGCACTTGAGAGTCACGGGTCTCGGTGGCCAGGTTATTAAGGACTGTAACTAAACTGGAAATGGGTCTAAAGATAAATCATAAGATTTGTTAGTAAAGGTAATTTGAAGAAGAATAAAATCTTATGGAGCATATCAATTCAGAATACATGGATATTCTAAAAGGTAGAACGGAAAAATGATGGGACTCACCGAAGGAACAAAATAAGTTTTACGCTGACCTTATTGTACTTTTTCTGAAATTATGATATCCCTCTTATATAATCCCCACAGCTTCAATCCACAAACCAAGTGTCCACAAACCTAGTATCCACAAAGTCAAAACCAAAATATACATCAACAAACTCCATACAATATACAGGTCTTATCAGTATTTCCCGTATCAATAAATGACCGCATGAACTTTTGCTTAGTTACAAATATGTGCTGCATCTGGTTTTGATAGAATAAGCAATTATTACATTTTTAACAAGGACGTTGGTACAGCTTAGAAATGATGATTGATATGCATCCTTTATAGGTGTATCAAATACAAGAGCTACTGGTGAATACGTTTGACTTGAATCATGAAGATAAAAGGTCACAGAGGAGGGAAGTGCGGTCTTAGTAAATTTATGAATTTTATATGCGTAACGCGGTACTGTACTATACTATTTACTATATTTATAGACGCGTAGCATTTTGGGGTTTGTCTCCTGCATTGGCCTTTTTTTTTTCGATTGTGGATTTTGATATAGTGAATTTGTAGTTATTCTCTCCTCTCT